TCATTTTCGTTTTCGTTTTCGTTTTTGTTTTCTCCCTTTATTTCATATTCTTTAGATATGACATTACTAAAACTAGCCACATATTTCCTTTTGCTCATTTATCCATTAAGAAAAGTTTCTGCCAATGAACCGACTAGCGCCTCGAATTTTGTAATAGCTGCAAGTCAAGCTAATACTGCTGAATTTATTCAAAAATCTCCTATTTGGCTATCCAGTGTGAAAGGACCCAAAAATAGTAATCAAGTAGTTAAATCATTTCCTCTCGATTCCGACATTAAAGCTGGTCCCTTATCTGTTAATCAAAATATTTTGAATGTCAATTTATATCCTGAGGTGAATAAACAGCCTTCACCTAATCATCCTGAGATAGAGGACGTAATAAAGCAATTAGATTTTACAAAAATTCCAAATATTGAGCCGCGCAAAGTAAAAGATTGGGTAGTAGACATAAAAGGTTATGACCTCTCTAAAGATCCTGATTGTTGGTGGTCATCTTCACTTTGTAAAAAGCCTAAACTTAGCTATCTTCCTGATGATATCTATGTCTGTCCTCAGAAAGGCGATTGGGGGCTCAATTACGATGATGGGCCCTATCGTCTCCCTTGGCCTAGATCTGAACAAGATAAAATATATGATCAACCAAGATTTTACAACTTTTTAGTTAAAAATAGGAAACAAAAGGCTACATTGTTTTGTAAATATATATTTGTTGCTTATATGAATGAAGTTGCTTAATATTATTATATTATTAACTTTAAAATAATGTAATAACTTTAACAGTTGTGGGATCAAATGTAATTAAATTCCCTGAAGCAGCGCAAAGGGCTTTAAATGATGGGCATACAATTTGTATCCATACCTGGTCCCATCCTCAAATGACAACTCTTACAAATCAGGAAATTGTTGCCCAATTATATTGGACGCAAAAGGCGATTAAAGAAACTTTAGGCATTACTCCCAAGTGCTGGCGGCCTCCTTATGGCGATGTAGATGACCGTGTACGTGCTATTGCATGGCAAATGGGAATGAGGACCTTCCTTTGGGATCAGGATTCAAACGACTGGAGTTTAGTATGTACAAACATGTATTTAGCTTATATATAATTAATATTATATATATAATAGGCCAATAATAATGATATAAGCCATCTTAAGACCGAAGCAATTGATAGATACTTTGATCAATGGATACAAGATCGTATAGCCGGGAATGATACTGACCATGGACATGTTACCTTGGTAAGAAACCTATTTACACATACATGTATATATATGTATATATATATATATATATACTAAATAAAGTGCATATACTCTTATAGCAACACGAGAACAGTAAAGCCACAATTTTGATGTCAGAAAAATGGTTACCAAAGATTCAAGCTCACTTTAGAGTCATGCCAATCCACCAATGTATCAATGATCCTCATCCATACTGGGAAGAATTCTGGATTTATCCTACACTTGATAATCCTAACCCTTCAAATTCCAAAGGACTTGCTACTGGCAATAGTATTTCAAGTGAGGATATCAGTAATTATGTAGATGGAAAACAGCTGAGTAATTCCGCAGCTAACATTGAATATTATATAAGCGATCGTCATTATACAATATTTGCTCTGAAGACTCTCTTTTTGATGGCCATAATTACTCTTCATTTATATATATAAATATTGTTTTGGATATTAGTCATTTGATCCACCATGCTATATACAGTAGAATAAGTGTCTTATAAAACTATAAATAAACTAAGAATAATGATCTTATATGCTTTACTTAAACTGATATAGTAAATTAAATGTTATTCTTAAAATAATGAAAATTTGACTTCGAAGTTAAAAGTAGTTTTGTTTTTATCGATTTGAGAGTATGAAAGTGATAGAAGTAAGAAAAAAAAAAAAAAGACAAGGACAACGAAAAAGAAATAAATTGAGAATCGAAAAAAAAATTATATAATGTAGTCATTTCAATTGCAACAAAACGTCGTGCTTAATTCGTTGATTGCTCGACATAATATTTTGGCTTACTAAATCGGAGGGCATGCTGAAATTCAGAATCGTTGCAAGGACAGACAGTGATGGCTTATCCTGTTTTTTCCAAAATGGTTTTTAGAAAGCCCACAAATGATGGCAAGATATCCCACGACTTGGATGAAGAGCTACCTTTTGTCTGTAGCGCTTTAATCGCGGCAGTGGCTTTGAATGCATCTAAGGCTGTACCAAATTCTGTCCAAGGCTTGCCAAACAATACTGACGTAGCTAAAGATTGCAGAAAGCATGATGCAAGTTTACCAGTAGATGTCGCAGAGGCGCCATAGCCCTAAATATATCGGGGGGGGGGAGGGAGCTGCAAAGTGTGAAAACGGTCGTCGGTGCAGTAAGCCCAGTGGCAAATTCATTATGTGCTACCCACCATGGTAGAAAGATGCTTAGATCGCCAAAGCTGGAGGTGAGTTGCCGCAGGGATGACATCACCATCTTAAATATTGGTATTGCATAAGACTATGGATCACACATTATTTCAATAAATTGATGTACCTCATCCACACAATGAAATATTCTGACTGCTTTTGAACGTATAAGGTACGAGGTTGTTGAAGTTTCTGGACCAATGTTAACAGGTTTTTTAGCGCTCACACGGATAGATATAGTCACCAGAATGTTCATTGTTTTGCTTCCAATTTTTAGTTTACACTTGAGGCTGCTTCCATCCGACTCATTATAAACACCAGCACACAGTGATTCATAGTGAGAATTAGATACTGTTGGTACAGGCTTTTAATCAGATTTACTATGAATATCAGTTACTTTTGATCCACTATATGCTTCAGCTACAATGACAAACACGACCTCTTTGTCGACAATGAATACCCCAGTGTGGAGCTTGGCTACAGTGTGGAGCTTGGCTACAGCGTGAAGAAGGGACGGATGGGCGCCAAATTCTAAGTTTAGGGGGTTCAGAAGGTCTTGAGTTGGTTCGATGTAATCGGAGGTCATCCTATCACAGATAGTGCGTGTTTGCTTAGCTAGCTAGAGTTAGAGTTAGAGTAGAAGTTGTGTAGAGAAGTGAAGTTGGGTAATGGATGGGGGAGTATTGACTACTTTTGAACGGAGTTGTGTCTTTCGCTGGCGCCTTGGTTGGCTACCTAGTGGTTAACCAAAAGAATGTCTCTTTCCCTCAAATCAAAACTGGAGTCGTCATTATGTTTTTGAATACTTACACATTCACAAATGCTTGTATTTCCCTCTCAAAATGGATGACCCAAAATTATTTCTTCTCAATATGCTCCCACAGTGTAAATCCCGTCGTAACTCTAATTACCTCAGCTGGTTTATTCTCTGGCCTATCCTTTGCACCATTTTACATGAATCTGGTCATTATTTTTATGGTAAATTTCCACCCCCTTTCTATCGATCCTGGTCACAAACTGTTGAATTGGTTATCGAAGTAATAGCGTGAGTCTCTCTGTTTATTCTGACCTCTTTTTTTCATTATTATTTTATATCTTTCAGTTCTTTTGCTCTTTTCTTTTTTTTTTCTTTTCTTTATCCTTTTCCCTCCTCTTGTCCTTTAAGAGGGTTTTTATTCTTATAATCATTTCATAACTGGCTTAGGAAATACAGCACATTTCGTTGCTACATGCTCACTACCAAAAAAAAAAAAAAAATTACACAGTACTCATTTTCCTGAATTGAAATATTTTATTATGCTTCGTATTATTGGGTCCACAGCTTCTGTATTTGAATATTGATTTACTAAGTGTATTTTTTCTTGAAGAAAAAAGTTGGCTTATATACTGCTTTTATAGTTAGTCAACAACAAAAAATTATACTCATGTCAAGAAGCTTATCTCTTTATCGTAATTTATTAAAAGAAATTAATATCCAGGTACATTAACAATTATGATAATCAATATATTAAAGAGGAAAATATTTATTATTATTATTTTTTCAATGGTAATCTAATCTCCACCCTTGTTTAAATAGTACACTAAGGGAACTAAGAATCCGACATTTGCACAAGAATTAAGGAACATTTATCGCAAAAATCAAAACATTCAAGATCCCAACAAAGTTGAGGCTTTGAATAAAAATGCCGAAGATGTGTTAACATTTTTAAGAAGCTCAAGAAAACATAAAGTAATATTTTTTTTAATAGAAGGAATCAAACACTTCACTAAAATAAAACTAAAACTAAAACTAAAACTAAAAAAAAAAAAAAAAAAAAATACATGCTTATTTCCTTAGGAGTTACGTGAGTTATATTCAGCACTTGTTATGGAACAAAAGAAAAAGATTGAACTTTCAGCGAAGCGAGTTGGGTTGAATTTACCCAAAGAGTATGATCCTAACAATCCTCAGCCATTTACCAAGGATATGTAAAAGATACTGTTTTTCACTTATATATTTGGTAAAACCTTTACTCTAGAACTAAACATTATTTCATATATTATTACATCTATGATTCTACTTTAAATAAACAAAAAAAAAAAAAAAAGAAAAAAAAAACGTATATCAAAACTTAATGGTATATATACACACACATATATATATATAAAAGGAAAGGAACCAATGTTATATGGTCAATTTTGATATATTTTAATAATACAATGGCTAATGTCTTTCATGTTTTCGTCTTTCTGTTCTATCTCCTCTACTACTTCTTTCAGATCGGTCACGGCTTTTATCTCTTGTCTTTTCTCTTTCTCGACTCCTATATTTTGAAGAATGATACTTTGAAGAACTATGACGGCTTCTTGAAGAAGAACGACGTCGATGACGAGAAGAAGATCTGTCATCTCTTGGAGATCTTGATCGTCTTCTTGATGAACGATCATGTCTCTTATAACTATCACCTTTTTCATTTTCTTCGTCATCATAACGATGTCGTTTGCTACTACTATATTTTTCTTCTCTTTTTCTACTACTACTTCTATAATCATTATCCTTACTACGATGACGACTCTCATCTCGATGGCGGCTCTCATCCCGATATCGACTCTCATCTCGATGGCGGCTCTCATCTCGACGTCTACTACTACTTCTCTTTTCATGACGAGAAGGTGAATTAGAACGTCTTCTGTGACGATCATATCGATCTCTTTCAGAACGTGAATTACTAGAGGGGGCATGACTGCCTTCTGTATTTAATAGCGTTGTAGAATCTGCCTCCATATCCTTACTATCTTCATTTTGATAATTGCTATTGCTATTGCTATTCGAATGGCTTGCATTATAGTCTGATCGACGTCTTCCTCCCTGATTATGATATCCACGACCTCTGCCACGTCCACCTCTCATCATGTTAAACCCACCACGATTACTAGTACCGAATGACATATTACCGTTAAAACCAAACATATCTTGTGGAGGCATTCCAGGAAAAGCTGACATATTATTTTTCCATAATTCATCATTAAATCCACGATTCATGACAGGAGGTCTAGGAGTCATGTCTATTTCCATATCGTTTTCATCATTATTATTACCCGTATTTCCATTATTATTCCTCATCCAGTTCATATCAGGTGTTCCAAAGCCTGGGAAACGAGTATTCATAAATGGAGGACGCATCATGTTCATCCAATTCATTTCAGGTGGTATTCCATTAAACATATCAGCATTGGGGGGTCCATTCATGATTATATTATTATCCGTTTGACCCATATTATTATTAAATGCCATTCCTCCTCCTAGCAGATGTTTCCTTGTGGGCTTTCTTTCCTCTACCGATGAATCAAATACTTGAATTGGCATACCTGATGACTTTGAAGACTTTTTAAATGTTAGTATATTATTATTAGCTAGTTAGCCAGCCAGCTAGCTTACCTCTTGTGCAGTATCTTCAGGTTTTGTTGGATCATTTTTTGTGTCTGTAGTTTTTTGATCATTATCTTGGCTTATTTCGTTATTTAGCTTTTCTTGTTGAGATGTTTCTGGCTCTTTATCTATTGCTTGTTCTTCTTTTTTTCTTCATTTATATAATGTTGAATAGCTAAATTTAGTGTTTTATTAGGAACTAATTGTTCGATGCTGATATTTTCTTGATTACAAAAAGGGCAATGATTTGTCTTTTCAAGCGTATTAATAATACCTATACAAAGATACATTTAAAAAAAAAATCTATGAATACTTGTGTATTTAAATATATTTTCTTTAGTTTAGTTGTTAGTGTTATCTTTCAATCACACGAGGTTTCTTTGTTTTATATATGTATGTGCATATATATATATCCTATCTTTTCCTCGCTCGTTCTCTCTCTCCCTCTCTCTCTTTCTCTCTCTCTCTCTCGCCCTCTTTCTCTCCCATGTAGTATATGATATCTTTATATATGTGCATATTCTCTCTCATTTTACATAATCCAAAAAATATCCTGAATCCAATTTGAGTCCATAAGTTCCCAATTTATCCCAATAATAATAATAATAATCAAATTAATAAACAGATAATAAAAAGACAATAAAATGGCATCTAAAAAAGTAAGCGAAATAAGAGTAACCTTCGTTTCATCAGACGATGCTTTGTCTGAATCAATATACATATAACAAAATAACAACAAACTAAAGATAATACAAAGATAACTATCCAATATAACAATCCTATACGTACATTCTTTACAAAATGACTTTCCACAACAAGGCACAAGTACAGCATTTGTCATAATTTTATCACAAATCATACATGTTAACTCTTGCGGCTTTTGTGCTTCTTCTTGTTGCTGATTATCACCAATAGCTTGATTTCCTATATTATTTCTAATAAAATGATAAATATAAATATATTGTTCGCATCTACTTTTTTTTTTTATTTTGTTATCTTTAAGCATATCATTACCGATTGCCAATTCCAACTCTTTGTACAAATTGTCCTTTAGGAACATTAGGACAATAGTATATCCAGTGACCAGGTTGTCCACATTTAAAACAAACATAACCAGTGGGTGGTTTTTGTGTCTCTGGTGGAATGTTTGACGTCGCTGTTGATGTAGTTGCTGCTGTCATGGCTGCTGCAGAATTCATTTGTCTTTGCATTTGTTGTTGCCTTTGAAGCTGCTGCATAAATAACATTTGTTGAAAATGTTGATATTGCATGGGATTCATCATGGCCATTTTCATAAATGAAGGATCATAGCCTCCCATCATTGGACTTCGAAATTGCATTTTATTGTTCATGTTTCTAAGTAGAAGAAAATAAAAAAATAATATTGTTATAGTAATTAAGATATAAACTGTAACGTGATGCTAGATAAGAATTTAAAACTTACTGTTGTAGTTGATCATTGTTAAATTGATCATTTTGAGGTTTTTCGTCATTGGAATTTGAATCGTCAGCCATAATTTATATAAAAAAAAAGTTTTTTTCCTTGATTTTTTTTAAATTATTATTTTAAAATATAAATGTTTACAGTATAGATAGATAATAAATAAGAAAAGTGAAAAAAGTGCAAAGAGATAAAACACGTTTTTTTTTTAAAAAAAAAAATGACGTACTTTGAAAGCCACGCATCAATTTCTAGTCTTATAATTTTTAGAGGTGTTTAAAAATATAGTAGATTTTTTTTTTTTCGAGGAGGCATAATTATAGATTTAGAAGAAATAAAACATGTTTAGCTGTAAAAATCAAAATTTTTCATCAGAAAAAGACTATGTTCGAGGCGCTGATAGCATTATGTCTGATGAAAGAATAGAGAGGAGCTGATTATAGCCAGTTAGTATCTTAATGAATATTATTCGTGATATTGTTTCAGTATCCCACAGCTTTTGCCAGCTAAGAAGATACTATGGTAACCTATTATTGCAGGCGTAAAACTTCTTTCAAAGTATAGCTGGCAGATCTATTTAATATAAAAGCAAATATGTTGAATTGGTGTTAACAGAGCAGTAATAATTAATTACTTTTAGAAAGTCAATATTCAGCTATAGTATCTACAATCAAAGCACCATGTCTTTATCTATTCACCATTTTTCTCTCAATATCCCAATAGTCTCTGTTCTGATACCTCTAAAGTCAACAATATTTTTATTAAGTATTCCATTCCTAAAGACTAAAACTAGAGTTTTCATATTATCTTGATAATGGTTTTCTTGTTACTGTAGCATAATCTTCAAGCAGCTTTTTTAATTTTTGTTAATTTATAGCTAAGGCGTTAAAAGAGACTCAGAGCTATTATGTCCCTTCTTATGACAGCAAACCTGTTCCTTATTACTGTTACTATTTTCTTTTCTTTCACTGTTTCAAAATGCCTGCCTATTTGCGTTCTTTTAGAACCAACTGCTTAAAATAAAATAATTTATTTGGGTACAAAGGGATACAATGCAATAATTATTTGTCTTGAATAGATCAAAAGGATTCAAACTTCTCGCGTTTTTCACTATGTTTTGAAAGATACCCGCTTTGTCCACAATCTCTGCATTTGATCGCTGACATAAAATATTAGTGTTCAATTGAAAACTAACAGTTATTTTTATTGATTTCTACTAAAAAGATGGTACGAAGTAGGTCAAATTTGTTGAAAGAACTCATTTTGCTAAAAAGTCTAATGAATAATTTTAGTAATGTCATTACAGTCGAAGAAACTAGGTTGAGTCAATAAAAAATTGTTCTGGTCATTTCCAAAATAAATTGGAACATTGGTATGAAAATGGGACACATAAGAGAATATGGGACACGAACGCGAATGTGGGACTATACTGAACAAATTTAAAGAATTTTTTTTTGTCTTGATTTAAGGGTTGTAACCCTAAAAAACAGCCGGCTTCTATAGCGCTCGTATCATTCGGGTACTTCATGATCTAAGAGTCGAAGACAAAATTCATTTGTGTATAACTTTTACTTAACCAACAAGGCCTTTATTGTTTAAATGATAGCTGAAGTAATTCTGCTCAGTTATAAAAATGAATTTAAATAATCAAAAGATATATTCTCTTCAACTATAATAACAAGACTTCACGTCATAGCTTTCATTACAATATGACACATTTTACACTGAGTATATTTTCTAGTTTGTATATTAAGGACGAAGTACCCAGTAAGCAGCGAGAGATAAAAACAAACTCTTTAATATACATGTTCAGTTTCTCAAATTTTTTTATACTAAAATTGTATAAACTAGAATGCGAAAGTTGGCTGTATCAAGAACTTGGATATATAATCATGTATATGATCAAGTGCTTACACATTCCCAGTCATCCTCTATACCTAATGATATTCTTGCCCCTTCTGATCCGGATGTGGCCAATAATCTCCCAAGTTAAATCCTTTGATTTCAGAAGTGAAGAATCGCATGTCCAAGCTTCCATTGTCTAAAGAAAGCTTAAACAATGAACCCTTCAAAATTCTATCCGCATTAAGGGCATATCCTTAAAAAAAATACGATGATATATACAAGGCCCAAACTCCTCAAAATGATAAAAGCGATTTGATTAAGTCCCTACTTCCAAGACGTTTTAGTCTATTCCCAAATCCTGGATTGCACTGGCGATTCATAAAGATGGATGCTCAGAACCTAACCGGAATTTTCCCAGATGCTAAACAGAAAAAGCAAGCTAATGAATCATCTCCTTTCGATCATAAACAAAGATGCTTCTATCAAATGTTTGACTTTAAGAAGCTGGTCATTCAAAGGTATACATTATTATTACATATATCTATAAATCAAATTACTGACGAAATAAAATATAGTTGTGAAAAGCTTCAAGCACTGCCTGAACAAAAAGAAAAGATGTTTCTCAATGGATTGTATACTGATGGCTACACGTGCAGAGTTCTATTTGCTAGAAAAGTGCTTCCATCATCACCAGAATACAATATCTGTCTAGAGTTGAACGATTTTACAAACGAAGAGGTGGACAAGCATTTCCGTCTATGTACTGTAGACCCAGGAAGATGGGATCCTTTTGTCTCTTATCACGGTGGCACTGGCATCTGTCGCTTGTCCTCAATCGAATATTACAATATGGGGTGAAAGTGTAAGACGAATGAAAGAGCAACAGAAGCGCAAACAGAGACTAGGTGTTGGAAAGATTGAAACAGACATTCCTTCGCCTAAAACTGTGTCTGTGGAACAATTTGTTTTGTACATAACTTACATGCTGCAACACATGAATACTTTGCTTAATTTCTACGGCTTTGAAACTTCTAAGATTAAATGGTTGAACTACCTTAGTTCCCAAAAAGCCATCCAAGAAAGTGTCAACATCTTAATAAATGGTGGAAAGAAGTATAATAAAAGCAGGAGAAAGAAGACAAAGGAAAACAAAAAAAGAAGGAGGAAAACTCGCAAGCCTCGTACTGCTCAAGAAGAAAGAGCACTCACCACCATCCCAAAATCAAAAAAATATACACTTTTTTTTATTATTATCATTATTTCAGTAAACTCGAACTATTATATCTGTAACTTACAGCAGAAACAACAAAGTCTGTTTTGGAAAGGGAAACAGCAGCAAGATGCCTCTGGTGGTCTTTGGTGACGGACTAAAAAAAAAACAGGGATCATATCAAGTTCAAAGGTCTCCGTCATGGCGTATCTAACAAAATATATCAACAATTAAAAACAAGGCAAAGGCTTGGAGAGCTCTTGCTACTAGACATTAACGAATTTAATACATCAAAGGTTATTAAGAAAAAACAACACATAGTTTACATATTGCACTTTCAGCTAAAACCAATTCTTCATAGATCTGTCATTCTTGCTTTAAAAATGATATAGAAAATCTGAAGTGTAGGAAAGATGACCATGATCCATCAAGTATTGAAGTGTAAAACTTGCAATATCTTTTGGAATCGAGATGTAATGGCAAGCAAAAATATGTTTTACATAGCTCAGTCTATATGGAATGACAATGATCGCCCCACTGTCTTCAAACGACAAACTGCCACCTCCAATGTGGTTGTCCCGACTCACTCCGGTGAGCCAACGACTTAATGATGTTACAGGTAAGAAGTTGTAACAATTTTGATTTGACCAAACAAACTAAAGTATCTTAATTTCCCATATTCCCTTCTGTGTACTATTTTCGTACCGATGCCCCATCTTCATATTGGTGTCCCAATTTATTTTGGAAATGGCCAAAAAAAATTTTTTTTTATTGACCCAACCTAGTTTCTTCGACTGTAAGATAGACTTCATATTGTCTAATACTAGGATGATTATGTAATAGAATACATTTTCTTTTTTAATAAAAAAAGTTTCGATAATACAAAATCAATGTATATATTACAGTAATATTCAGACTAGATAAAGAATCATATCATTTAAAAAATAGTCTTTATTTGTGCTATTAACTTTTTTTTTTCTTCTTTTTTCTTCAGCTTCTTGAATGATGATCACACAGTCAAAATAAATTCAAACTGTAGAAACAAACCATGATTGGATAAAAAAAAAGCAGCTCACTGCCAAGATTTTCATTTTATTTTTTATTTTTTAAATTTTATCTCTTTTTTATTTTTTTTTTTTTTTCCTGAACAATTAAACAATGTCAAATTCTGATTTCCTTTCTGTAAGATGATGATTCTTCTTTTCTTTTTTTTTTTCATTTTAACAATTCCTCTCTAACTTTAGCTTTTTACTTTGTAGAAAGCTATTGAAATCGTGAAAAAGGCGACGGAAGAAGACCATAAAGGCAATTATAAGGAAGCATATAATTACTACCAGAATGCATTAGAGTACTTTATGACAGCCATAAAATGTAATTTATTTCAAAATGTTACTTGTATATTCTTTTTATTTCATTATTTTAATTAAAGTTTAAATATAGACGAGAAAAATGACCGCTTAAAAGATCCCATTCGAAAGAGATTTGTAGAATATCTTGATAGAGCTGAAATGCTTAAAGAGTTTTTAAATGAACAAGAAAAGGAACATAAAGAGCCTGTAGGAGCAAATGGAGTATCAAAAAAGTAATTTATAGAAGAGCCTTTTTTTTGTTGTTGTAGTTGTTGTAGTAGTAGTGTAGGTAACTTATGCATAAAATAGGAAAAAGGGTGATAGCTTATCAAACAACGCGGATGACGATGATCCAGATATGAAAAAAATGAGAGCTAGTTTGACAGGTATATATATATATATTGACAGAAAGTAGGAAAGAGCTTTATTATTTTAACAATTAATTTAAAGGGGCTATTCTCACTGAAAAGCCAAATGTCAGATGGGATGATGTCGCTGGTTTGGAGGGCGCTAAAGAAGCATTAAAGGAAGCAGTTATATTACCTATTAAATTTCCACATTTGTTTACAGGGAAACGTAAACCTTGGAGAGGTATTTTACTTTATGGACCACCAGGTACAGGTAAATCTTATTTAGCAAAAGCAGTAGCTACTGAAGCCAATTCAACTTTTTTCTCTGTTTCATCGTCGGATCTCATATCAAAATGGCTTGGCGAGAGTGAACGTTTAGTAAAACAATTATTTCAAATGGCTCGAGAAAACAAGCCTTCTATTGTATTTATTGATGAAGTAGATTCTTTATGTGGAACTCGTGGCGAAGGTGAGTCAGAAGCTTCAAGACGTATTAAAACAGAGTTTTTGGTTCAGATGAATGGTGTGGGTAATGATATGGACGGTGTACTTGTTTTGGGAGCGACAAATATTCCCTGGCAACTGGATTCAGCTATTCGAAGAAGGTGAGTTAAATCATTTTATTTTATTTTTTGAGACAAGTAGTAGTAGAAGAAGAAGAAAGAGGAGGAGGAGGAGGGAGAGTGAGAAATTCTTGCTAAATTAAATGATTAGATTTGAAAAGCGTATATATATTCCTCTTCCTGAAGCACATGCCCGTGCAACAATTTTTGCTCTAAATGTAGGTTCAACACCATGCACTTTAACACAAGCAGACTATAAAAAATTAGCTGATATGACTGAGGGGTAAATCAAATTAAAATTATATAAATTTAGAATTTCTAATATATCTATTTTATGATTAAAACAGTTATTCAGGTTCAGATATTGCAACACTCGTTAGAGATGCACTAATGCAACCTATTCGTAAAGTCCAAATGGCAACTCATTTCAAATGGGTCGAAGCTCCTTCAAGGACAGATCCATCAAAGATGAGTCGCTATCTAACACCTTGTTCGCCTGGAGCAGCTAATGCCCAAGAAATGACTTGGGTTGATATTGAACCTGATCAACTTTTAGAACCTGAATTAACGATTCAAGATTTCTTAAAAGCCGTTCAGAACTCGAGACCCACTGTTAACAAAGACGATATTATGCAACAAGTTAGATTTACAAATGATTTTGGTATGCACTTTTCATCGTTAGTTTATAAAAATGACTAATTAGATAAAAATTATTATAGGACAAGAAGGCTAATTATTATACTATACAATTTGTTAATCTATTTTATTCTTTAACCTTAATATATTTATATTTATATATACATATATGTTTTGCTATGATTATTAAGCAAAAAATATAAAACACTAATATTCTTTTGTTTTTATTATTATATAAAGTTTGCCAACAAAGAAAAAAAAAAGTAGCGTGATAACCATTAATTACAGCATTTTTGGATAGGTCAATTAATAATACAAATTTGAGAAGAAAAAAAAATAAATTTTCCGTGAAGTAAAAAAAAAAAAAAACCTCCCCGTGTTCGAAACGACAATATTACTGTCCCTAGTGAGAGAACGCAGGGAGGCAATCTTGACCAGTGATTATCTCACTGAAGATTTGATGAATATTTGTATATTTTTATATTTTTTTTTTTTTTTTTGTGGTATAATATTCACATTCAGACAGTATCCCACAGCTTTAGTAAGCTAAGACGCCATGACAGCTTATTATCGCAGGCGTAAAATTTCTTTGAAAGCATGATGAATGACAGATCTATTTTATATAAAAGCAAATATGTTGAATTAGTGTTAATAGAGCAGTAATAGCTTATTATTTTTAGAAGTTTCAAGTTCATTTACTAAAGGTACAATTAAATCATCACGTCTTTATCTATTCTTTTCACAATATATTTGGTGACTCCTTTGAACTTGACACTATCTTTATTGAACATTCCATTCTCAAATGCTATAACTGGAATTTTCATCTTGATATTTTTTTTTTTAATTCTTCGTTCTTTGTTAACTTATGGTTAGGGCATAAAAGGGGGCTTGAAGCTATTATGTTCATTCTCATGACAGCTAGTTCAACTTTATTCTTCAGTACTATTTCCACTATTTTATCTTTTTTTCTTTTGCTGCTTCAATATACTTGTTTCTTAACTTGCCCATTTTCATTTTCTTAGAACCAACCAATTTAAAAAATAAATGAACAACATAAGAATAATAATTTGTCTAATAAACAAGGGAAGAGAATACTTTAAATAGATGAAGAGGATTCAAGTTTTTCACATTTTAGAAAATACCCACTTTGCTCACAATCTTTGTATTTAGTAGCTGACATGAAACATTAATTTTAGTGATTAATTGTCGGTGGACAACTGAAAACTTATAATTATTTTTATTCATTTCCACACTATTAATCAATTCAATGATATCATGTATCTTCTTCCTAAACACCAATATTTTATTATTATTATTTTATTTATTTTTTTCTAAAGAAAACATGTGTGAAAAGAAAAGAAAAAAAATATCATCAAAACAACATTATTCTTATTATTTTAACGCGTTTTCATCTTAACAAATAATATCACTTAATTTTTTTCAAGGCTATGGAATAAAAAAATACCAAAGATGCGTTTTAAAGCCATAAAGAAATTGTTAAAAAATAGGGGGTAATTAGTGTTCTAATTTTCTGCTTAATATAATCTATTATGGTAACCAAGTGAATTAAGTTATACAACGAAAAAAAGAAAGAGAGAGAGAACATACATATTGCATAAATCAATCATGTCCTTTTTAAGGATAAGCTTTGCATGTTATGCGCTCAAAGTTGACTATATTTATGCTAGAAAAAAAAACACCATTAAAATAATAATGAAAGCACACCCTTGCATGCATGAATGTTATTCATAAGGATTATTTAGCGTTAAATTGATATAGAAAACTATAAGGTAAACATACCATTTAAATGTATTCAGATAGTTGGAGATGATTACCATAGCTAGAGATCGACTTAAAATGATCTTCATATTCATCAATCTACCTCGTCTAATAAAATTAACCCTTCTAAAAAAAACATTTCCAGATCGTCTCAATCTTATCCAAAAATACTGTATTATCCAGTTACCAAAGACCCCGCAACTAACTTCTCTTTAATTAGTTTGTTGGGCAACTATCTGTATCATTTTACATGAAATGACTTATCTGTTTCATCGAATGTTTCCTCCTCCTCATCCTCCTCTTCCTGTTAATCTTGGTATCAAGTCGATCCTCCTGATATACTAGTGTAATTATACCGTCTCTGATTTCTTCTTTTTTTCCTCTCGACAATGGAGAGACTTTTATTACCTTTTCTCTCTCTCTTTTTTTTTTTTTTTTTTTTGCAAGCGACTAGGGCAATACAGCATAATAAAATTGATACGTGCTCACTTGTGCACCTTGGTCAAAACATCGACCATCCACATATTACATTTTATAGACATATTTTTAAATTCCGAAGCGACAAATGTGAAAAATTCGTCCGGAATGTGGGGTAAGTCACGTGACTTTCAGACAAGTTTTAAAACAATATGGAAATGGCAAAAAAAACAGGTCCAAAACAAGGTTCCATGATGTAATTGGTTAGCATTTAAGATTCTGATTCTTCGCATCCGAGTTCGAGTCTCGGTGGGACCTTTCCTTTTCTAACAAATAATTTTATGTATATGCACGGAATAAAGTTTTAGCCTCATTTTATTGTTGGTTGTGTTTGAATTTATACTTTATTAACAAAAAAAGAAAAAAAAATGACGATCCCTATGTGTTATCATCATATCAACTAAATGATGTAATTTTGTTTTTCCCTACAACAATATTAGTAGTAGTTATGATAGGAACAATAACAAACACTTTATTGGTGTTACTTTGTTTTTTTTTTTATTTTATTTTCTAATAGTAATAATTATGAAGTATACCACATGTATGTTTAAATAACTGCTGACAAAAAATGAAATTACACATTATATGTATATATTTAGAAGAAATCAGAATTCTTTGTTGTAGCTTAACTGATAATGAACAACCTATAAACAGTGTTTGATATATATTTATCCTTTTTCTTTATAATACTATAATTATCATTATTTCTAAATCAAGAAAAAAATATATACAATAAGGAAATAGGTACAAACAATAACATGTGGTAAAGCACACGAACAAATTATCTAATATGATAGTTTAAATATAAGATATAATTGGCTGTGTATGATTGGATTAGTAATGAACCAACAGTTGATGAAGGTATTACCACATATTTGTCATACACTATACTATACCTTTTGCCAAAATGCTGTCGTAAGAAGAAAAAAAAAAATTAAAGTGTCGCACTTTAAAAAAAAAACCAGTGCCATATGTTTTTTAGAAAAAGAGTATCGCACAATCTAGGAAAATAGTATCGCAAATATTAATTGAAGAACGTGGCTATAAATGTGTATACCTTAAGCCCCGTTGAAATATTCTGGTCAAAAAGTTGAAGCTAGTATTAAAAGAAATCCTTCAGACTCTACGGATAGAATGACACCTTGTATAATGGATGCAATTACTTATATCACTCTTGAATATTGCCATAGTTGGATTAGACCCTCTGTAAGCTTTTTTATTGGTTATAATATTGTTAACTTTTTTTTTTTTGAATAAACAGCTGTTTAAAGTTGCACTACCAGGCTCACTCATTCTTGTCTGGCAGCTGAAAAATGAAGTGAAAATCTTTTCATCCGCCTTCATCAACAATTATCTATAATGATGAATACCATTAGAAACTAAACGATATGTATGATTTACTAAGTCCAATTTACTCCTAAGAATGCTGAGGTATGTAAAAGAGAACGAGAGGAATCAGGATAAACCATAGACCTGAACATAGAATAAGATATCATGTCGTGTCGTGTCGTACTGTATATAAAATTTATGGACATTCATTGATTTAGACGTGTCAACTAAATAAGACATATGGCATCCATTCTAGATATTTATTTATAACCTTGATAAAAGATGTAAGCTGTGTCTGATACGGTAAAAGACACTAGAAACCTATACTCGGATCAAACAATAATTTTTTATTTTTTTATTTAAAACCTCAATCAGATTATTATAACACTCAATAGATAATCCATATAGATCAGTACCTTGAATCAACAAGACGTATACTAACATTATTTCATAACAGTTGGTAAGGTCAAAAGAAAAATAAACATTGATAACGCAAAACTAACATTTTATTAAGAAACTGACGCACAAGCAGTTCAATTCATTGATGATATATGGTGTATCGATAACCCAAACAATCATGAAACTTACCAAAAGAAACAACTGATAACAAAGCATTTTTTTTTTTTTTTGAATAGTTAGTTAAGTCAAATATACAGAAATAATTAGTTGAGAAAATTACAAAAAATTAGCTATTCAAGTGAATTGGAAGTGTTAGCTGGATAGAAATGGTATAAATGAGGACTTTCGAGAATATTTGACAAGGCCCACTATAACAGGTTGTTTTGAATCAATCCATCTTGTAACAGATCTCAACATCACCTAAGCTTTTTAATTACTTTTTTCATACTTCTTGACATTTTCTTGATTATAGTCAGTATGAAAACATACAAATTGCCGTATCCATCTTTTAAATTACAAGAAACGTTAAAACATCTTGAAAGTGTTCCTTCTTTATGCAGTCACTTTCTTTATTTTGTTACGGGGGGGATAAAGATTTGGACTAAAAAAAGGTGCACTGGTGTTTATTGATTTTGAACAATTGAATCTAAATACTAAAATTTATGTTCTACAATAATATCAAAAGGTGGCTACGTCAACAAGATTTCAAGATGTCTAAATAATTCAATTGTTTTGGAACATTGTCTAAATGGTTTCTTCTAGTTTCTAGAGTTCCAATTTACTGGAATAAAACGCATATTCTTATTAAAAATATGTATAAATTTATTTGCGACATGTTTTTTTTTTTTTTTTTTGAAAAGCACGACACTATTTTCCTGAATTGTGGGATATTCTTCTTCTAAAAACATATGACATTTAAAAAAAAAAAAAAAAAAAAAAAAAAAAAAAAAAAAAGAGTGCGACATCATTTTGGCAAAAGGTGTAATAATAGAGATCTGGGACTGATAGAAAAAAAAAAATTACACATTTCTCCTAAAATAGAGCTATTAAACGAGTAAAGTAATAACAGTATTTAATTGGATAAAGTTATACTAAAACCCCACAAAAATAATATGTATTTTTGATCTGACCTTTTTATTTACACAATCATATTAAAGGAAAACTGTTTATCCATACTATTCATTATTAAAACAGGTTGAAAGATTATTATTTTAAACAAATGTATTTAATAATATGCTTCTGACTTTTCTAAAGACAAATGATTTGATCATTTAATTTATACTTTTTTTCAAATATGATTATTATGACGCATGTATAGTAGCAAACTATTTTAGAGTTATTAGTTTATTAGTAGTAGAGGCATGCTTATAAAAATAAACCGGAGAGTCAAAATAGACTACTACTAGATGTCTCTTTTAAAATTAAAATAATCTAAACTTTATTAAATCCTTCTTTTGTTAGAATTAAAGACTTTCTTGTTAAGAAGAGGTAAGGTCAAATAAGCGAATCCCTCATCAAAAAATAGAAATAAATGACTATCTTTTCCCCGTTCCTTTTATATATAAATATATTTGTATTATTATTTCCGCAAAAAATGTATACATATTATATAGAATTTTTAGATTTATAAAAAAAAAACGTGGTTGCGGACTTGACCGAAAAAAGAAGTTATTATTTTTCAATTTAGAAAATAAAGTAAAATAAAATAAATAATTTCTTGATCTTCTTTAATAAAAAGAAAATAAAATAGAAAAAAGGGTTTCAATGTTATCAAAACGATATTTTGAAAAAAAAAAAAAAAAAAAAAAAAAAAAAAAACTACTACTACTACATGTGCTTCCTTTTTTCTTTTTTTATCTATTTCTATTTTTTCTTTTTGTCAAATACATACTTGTATTACAACGGTAGAATGTTTTTATATTCTATTTTGTGACGCGTGCGAATAGCATGAATACATTCCTTTTAATTGGATAATAAAAGCGTTGTTATTGAATCTTGATTGCCCATCATATTACGAATTTGCATATTCATAAAGTCTACATAATTTACAGATAGATACTGTCACATGATTTATTTCTTTCTAGTAAAAATCATAGTAATAGCTCTTGTTTTAGATTATTATTATTTTTTTTTTTTTTGGACAAGTTCCCTCATCTACTATCTCTTCTTCCGTTCACCGACCCGAGTTACTTGTATAAAAAAAAAAAAGAGAAAGAAAAGACAAATTCCCTCAATAAAATATGTATTAAAAGCAAACAATAAACATTTATCAGTGATGATGACCAATTTTTTTTTTCTAAAAAAAGGAGGATGATATAATTGTTTAAAATTAGAAAGAAAGGAGAAGATAAAAAAGATATAAAATCAGAGTAAATAAAATAAAACAAAAGAATGCTTTGAAAGGGATTTAGTATTTTATTAACTACTTGATTTTATAAAATAAATTTCTTTTACTAATGTGTAAACACTTTACGAGTCATTTTTTTTTATCTTTTTTTTTTCTGTAAACAAGGTACATGTTCAAAAAAGTTGATTTGTTTACAGATCAAGAAAAAAAAAAAACTTGATTTTGAATGAAATAAAACTCTTCTTTCCAAGTTTACACTTTTGTGTTAGTTTGGTTTGTTTGTTAAGGTCGCTTTTTACAGAAACGGGAAAGCTGATTGACAGAGCGGGCAAAAGCGGGGTGACATGAATATCCTATTTCTTTTAAATACCAATGACCATTTTTGATCATGTCATTGGTACATTTTTATTACCGATTCTATAGAGTGAAGCTTCACTACTATATATTGATAGTATTATAAAATTGGCTTGAGGAGAATCTATACTTGATTAGGAAAGAGAAATTACTTTTTTTTTTGATAACTTTTCCCCCTGCCCGTGCTGAGTTAGTCTAATCATATCTCTGTGTAATAAACTTCACTTTTAGATATAAATACTTGAATAAATTTCAACTTTCGTCTTAACTTTTTTCCCTTTTTCTTGTTTTTTGTTTCTTTTTAACCAACTCTTTTTTTTTTCTTTTTACCTTCATTTATTTTATTCTTTAACTTCGTAAAACCTTTACACAGTAAATCTATATAAAACAAAAAAGAGAGGAAGTTGGATTCAAGTTTTTCCCTTTTTTTATTATATATTGCCTTGCCTTAATTTTTTTTTGTACATTCTAACAAACCATTAAATCAATTATGATTGAAAAAACCGAGACACACGGCAATGAAGCTATTGCTGATAAAACTGTTCCTCAAAAAGCAAACATGTCAGGCAACCTTACAACTTTAACTGTCGAAGAGCTTTATGACAAGGACAAGTTTGACTTATCAACTATGGAACCTGGAGATATCTTCGAGCTTTTACAGTACGTATAATTTTTTTTTCTTCTTATTTGTTCCCATTTCTTTTTTTAGATTCCCTTTTTTTTTTTTCTATTCTTTCTTTCTATTCTTTCTATCTTATTATTTGTATGTTTATATCCCTATTTTCTCCTTAATTATAAACTATTATCCCAAATAATTAACCTTCTTTTCCACATGTCCCTTGAATTTTTTATTTTTATCTTTTTTTTTTTTGGGTTTTGTTTATGTTTTCTCTCTTCATAATTTTCTTTTGATTTAATTAATTTGATTGTACCTTAATTTGTTTCAAACAAACAATTTTTTTTTTATTTCCCCGGGATCAAGTATATTATTTTTAGTAAAAAATTTGTGTCATATTTAATTGTTAACGTCACTTTTTTTTTTTTTTTTTTTTTGAACCCTGTAGAACATCTGTCAATGGTTTAACTTCCGAAGAAGCTGCTCGTCGTGTTGAAAAATTTGGCCGTAATAAGCTCGAAACAAAGGATGTAAATCCCATTCTTCAATTTTTGGGCTTTATGTGGAACCCTCTTTCATGGGTTATGGAAGCTGCTGCTATTGTCTCTATTGCTCTTTCAAATGGTGATGGTCAACCTCCTGATTATCCTGATTTTATTGGTATCGTTCTTCTCTTGTTAGCGAATGCAACAATTGGTTTTATGGAAGAACGTCAAGCAGGTAATGCTGTTAAGGCTCTTATGGCCTCTCTTGCTCCTGAATGTAAAGTAAAACGTGATGGTGAATGGAAGACTTTAGAAGCTGCTGAATTGGTTCCTGGTGATATCATCTCCATTAAGCTTGGTGACGTTGTCCCTGCTGATGGTCGTCTTGTTGCCGCTCATGGTCAAGTTTCTGTTGATCAAGCCGCTCTTACTGGTGAATCTTTACCTGCGAGTAAAGAAGCTGGTGATGAAGTCTTCTCTGGTTCTACTGTCAAACAAGGTGAAGCTGAAGCCATTGTCATTGGTACTGGTACCAATACTTTCTTCGGTCGTGCTGCTAAACTTGTCGGTGACGCTGGTGATGATGTAGGTCACTTGCAAACTATTTTGGCCAAGATTGGTAACTTCTGTCTCTGTACTATTAGTATCTTCATTGTCATTGAAATTCTTGTCATGTATCCTAAATTTCGTTACAAGTATAGAACAGGTATCGATAATATCCTTGTCTTGCTTATTGGTGGTATCCCGATTGCTATGCCTACCGTCCTTTCTGTCACTCTCGCTATTGGTGCTAAGCAACTTGCTGAACATAAGGCTATTGTCACCCGTATCACAGCTATTGAAGAGATGGCTGCTGTCACGATCTTATGTTCTGATAAGACCGGTACCCTCACTTTGAATAAATTGATTGTCGATAAGCCCACTATCAAATGCTATTCTGAATATAATGGTGACGATATCATCCTCTTATCTGCTTATGCCTCTCGTACTGAAAACCAAGATGCTATCGATTTCTGTATTGTCAATTCTTTACCTGATCCTAAGCTCGCTCGTGAGAATATTGAGGAATTGGAATTCAAACCCTTCAATCCTGTTGTGAAACGTACTGAGATTACTTACAGACGTAAATCGGATGGTGCTATTCTTCGTGTAACAAAGGGTATGTCTCATACCATCCTTGACCTCTGTTCCCGTGATAAGAATGAAGAACAAATTAAGGCCCTTAATGATGATGTGGATGAATTTGCTCGTCGTGGTCTTCGTGCCCTTGCTGTCGCTGTTGATGAAGTCCCCACAGGCGGTGTTGAAGATGAAGGCTTGGGTTTCCGTCTTATCGGTCTCTTGCCTATCTATGATCCTCCTCGTTCTGATACCAAGGAAACAATTGATCGTGCTATCGCTCTTGGTGTTGCAGTGAAGATGATTACGGGTGATCAACTTGCTATCGCTAAGGAAACAGGTCGTCGTCTTGGTATGGGTGATAATATGTTCTTGTCCAAGACCTTGAAGGATGGTCCTCCCGCTGGTTCCGGCTACACAGATGTTGATCAAATGGTTCTTCACGCTGATGGTTTTGCTGGTGTCTATCCTGAACACAAGTATGAAATTGTTGAACGTCTTCAAGCTATGGGTCATATGACAGCCATGACAGGTGACGGTGTCAATGATGCCCCTGCTCTCTCTAAATCCAATGTAGGTATCGCTGTCGCAGACGCTACAGATGCCGCTCGTTCCGCTGCTGATATCGTCTTGACCGAACCTGGTCTCTCTGTCATCATTGAAGCCATCATTGGTTCTCGTCAAATTTTCCAACGTATGCGTAACTATTCTATTTATACCTGTTCCGTGACGATTCGTGTTGTCGTTGGCTTTGCTATCCTCTGTTTTGCCTTCCAATTCAATTTCCCTCCCTTCATGGTCTTGATCCTTGCCATTCTTAACGATGGTACTATCATGACGATCTCTACCGATCGTGTCAAGCCTTCTCCTTACCCTGATTCATGGAATTTGAGAGAAATTTTCACTTATGCTATCTTCTATGGTCTTTACCTTACTGCCTCTACTGTTGCCTTCTTCGCCGTCATCTATAATACAACCTTCTTTGAATCTCATTTCAGTCTTCCTCACATCTTTTCTCCTGAGGGTGTTGAAGAAAAGTATGTCAACCATGGTATCTATCATTCCGTCATTTACCTTCAAGTCTCTACTATCTCTCAAGCCCTGATCTTCATCACTCGTTCACGTGGCTTCTTCTTCTCTGAACGTCCCTCGATCATGTTAATGATTGCCTTCGTGGTAGCTCAACTTGTCGCTACCTTTATCGCCGTCTATGCTGATTGGCCATTCACTAGTATTGAAGGTTGTGGATGGAACTGGGCAGGTATCGTTTGGATTTGGAATATCATCTGGTTCTTGCCTATGGATTTCATTAAATTCGGTATGCGTTATGTCTTTGAACCCAAGAATGATTTGAAGAAGACCAAGACACCAATGGCTGGTCAATCACGTCGTGCCTCTGCCATGTCCGGTGCCTCCTCCGCTCGTTACTATGCTAATCGTACTCGTTCCCTCAAATCTCTTGAACGTCCTCAAAACTTTGGTAAAAAGCTTTTGGGTATGAACAAAAAGATGAGCATGGATGCTAAAGAAATGCGTCGCTTCTCTTCCGTTCAAACAAATCATGCTGCTCAAGTCTTGAATAATAATAATCACACAAGCTCATAGAATATTTTTAGTTTTTACTTTTTTTTTTTTTTCGACAATAATAATATAATTTTTTCCTTTTTTCTTTACCGTGTATATTTTTTCTTTTTTTTAATTACTTATAAACTTTTAATTTAGAAAAAAAAATGATTTACGTAATCTTTATTTTATATAATAATAACTTTGAATGTTTTAAAGGAAAAAAAAAAGAAAAATGACTTGTCTCTTATTTTTTGATTTGGAACCTACTTGTTATTGTTCTATATAATAACTGCGAATAGAAACTGTAGTCCTTTCCATAAAAAGTGGATATTTCTGATGACTACTTTATATGCCAAGACCTTTTTTTCTTCTTCTACTACTTCTCAAGCAATAAATAAACAAAAAATGCAAATGATTATTTTATTTTATTTTATTATACAACGTGTGAAAAGATAAATCCAATTTTTATTATAAGTATTATTATTATTTGATATGGGTATTTTTTTTTTGTTTTTGTTTTTGTTCTTTTTTTTTTTTTTTCTTAATTGTACAGAAAAAAAAAAGTTATGAATCTAAAGTATCATCAGAATAAATAATTGAACGAAGAATAGCACATCTTCTTTCCAACATAATCAGAAAGCTTTGCATTTGATGAGTAGACATACGACTAATTAATGACCTAAACCTTGTATCGTCATTTTGATAATTAGTATGATCTTCAGAAGGTGGTGTAGGAGGAAGAGATGGAAAGGCAATAGTAGTAGTAGTATTATTATTATTATTAGTAGTAGTAGTAGTAGTAGGCATAACGATGGAGGAAGGGAAAGGCTTTTGATCTAAACAAAGTTTTTGACGAGCTTTTTGATCTTCATCCTGTAACAAAATAGTGTCACAAGGTCTCTTTTGACCAATAGTAGGTGAAGTAGTAGTAGTAATAGTCTGTTGTTGCATATGATCATATAATTTACAAGCACCACAAATGTCTTGACCCATACTATTTGAATACCATGAAGAACTTGTTTGAAAACATTGATGACAACGCTTTCCTTCTTGATAAGATGTTTGTTCCTCTTCCTTTTCTCCACTTGCTTTTGACTCTTCAGTTTCCTGAGTGGTTAGGAAAAGATCAATCTGGTGTTTATTGTTTTGATTAGCCTGATGCTTTTGACGAATATGAAGAGGTCTATGCATATTATATTGTTTATAATAGAGACCACAGGCATTACAGAGAGAATGAGCACGATCAGGGGTTCTACGCCATAAAGGAGTTTTGGTAACATGACAATTATAACACTCAATTTGACGTGAGGTACGATTAGGCTTGTTTGATTTAGAGATATTGCTTTTCCTTTTCATTTCCAATTTCTTTTTCAAATCCTGGATCATATCAACTTTTTGCCTTTTTCCATCTTCTTCTTCATCATTTCCATCTTCTCCTTCTCTTTCTCCTTCTTGAACTCTGTTTTGTTCATCTTCATCCTCTTTTCTTTCCACTTCTTCCTCTTCCTCCTCTTCCTCCTCCTCAAATTGAACAAATTGATCCAGATTATCTTGAGAACCTACTAGAGCGGTGTTTGACAGATTTTGAAGGAATTGAGGATCCAGTACGTGTAAGTCAGGACTATGAGCAGAATCGATAGAGGAAGTAGGAGAAGGAGGTAAGTTATTCAGAACAGGCCCTGATGAAGAAGAAGAAGAAGAGGCTTGATTGTATTGTTGTTGCAAAAGATTAGATAAACTATCCTTGTCAAAAAGTTCATTAGAACTACCATCACTTAAATTGACGCTCATATATTGTAACATGAACTCTTCGTTATCCATAATTTTTTAAAGTTTGTATGAAAGAAAAAAAAAGGGGGAAAGAAGGAAGAAGAAAAGAAAAAAAGAAAGAGAATATAAGAATCCTTGTTGATTATTATATTCTTTGTTTTAACTGATGAAAATCCAGGAAAGAAAAAGAAAGAGGAAAAGAAAATTAAAAAAAAAAAAAAAGAAAAGAGACATTATTTTTCATTTAAAATATTTATATTCCTTTCTTTTTTATCCGCCTATTAGATTCATTTCCTTTTTTTTATTCTGTTACTTAGCAACAACAACAAGCTCTTCTTTTTTTTTTCCTTTTCCTTATATTTATGTAAATATTAAAAAGAAAAAAAAAAGCTCTAATCAGGTAAACTCTACCCTTATTATAATTTATTGTATAACGATGTCCATGACCGTTTAATAATATTAACTATGATATACATTCTATCTGTCTAAAATAAGTGAAACGGGGGGAAGGGGTTTTTTTTTGTTTAAAAAAAAAAAAAATCCGCATGTATACTTAAACTCACACTTTGCTTTAATTTTTTTTTTTTTTTTTTTTTTGTATTACAGCCGTTTTTTATTTTATTTTCGATAATTCTGAATAGTAAATACATATTTATATCTCTAATTACCATATACTCCGACAAATAAAATATAATTATAATTCATGTCATCATAATAAATAAAAAGCTTGTAAACGTAAAGTTGCTTGCTACAATGAAGAAAAGGGAGAGAGACAAGTAGTCACCAATAGATGACTCAATTTTGGGTAACCAAAAAAAAAAAAAAATCGGCAATTTAAAATAATAGATAATAATACTAAATAAATATTCACCATGATTCATATGTGTAAAGGGAAGTATTAGGGATAAGCGTATAAGTGACTGCTATTTGTATATAATACAGTGATAATAATGTATATATCATGTGTAAATTTATATACAATAATATGATCAGTCCAATAAGGTGAAAATAATGTAATCAGAGAATCCGTTTTTTTTTTTCTTCGTGTTTTTCCAAATATTTTTTTTTTATATTGGTCCGATCATTTAAGCCTTGTGATTGGTGATAGATTAGAGGAATAATAAATAAAGCAAAACAGCGCAATCACTAAACTAATAAATATACAAGAAAACATGTAGTATGTATACACTTCTATATATGTGTATACATATTAATAAGTAAATACACATAAAATAAAATAAAGCTGATATAATAGAGAAGATTATATTATTATGGAGTGAATATTTTACATGTGTACTAATGACTTTATCATTTGACTATTTTTTTTTTTTTTATGTTAGACATAAGATAGGGTCGGGTTGATAATAATAACCATATTTAGAACTATAGATGTTTCTTATTTTATAAGTTTTTTATTCTAACAAATGAACTTCACATCCATGAATAGAGAAATAATTAGATAATTTGATTGGCTCAAAGAAAGATTGCGTGCATTTTAGTTTCCCTGAAATTTTCTATATTTTGAATTCAGGGTTTTTTAAATTATTATGTAAATACATTATTTGACAAGGAATATCATTTTACATTTATACGTAATAAATAATAAGAAGAATATAAATGAATATGAATACAGTGTTTTTTGTTTTTTACTTTTGTTTTTTGTTTTTTGTTTTTGTTTTTGTTTTTTGTTTTTTGTCTTTCGTGTTTTGTTTAATATTCCCATATTACTATTAGTACGATATAGTTTAGTTAATATGTAGATCCTTTTTTTTTAAAAAAAAAGGAAAAAAAAACATTGAATATTGAATCTAAATAAACTTTATATTCAGATCATTTTTTAATTGGATATGAAGGTTAATAGTGTAGTAAAAGAAAAGACACTATAATATTCATGCCTTTTTTTTTATCCTATCTACATACTACTTTATATTAATAAAAATGCCGTTATTAAGAATAAATATATAAAATTCTAAAGTATATCTCTTGTTAAGTAATTAAAATATAATATGATTGTTTTCTTTTTTTTTTGAAAAAAAAATAAATAAATAAATAAATACCTAATCTGAATACATGTTTATTTTCTTTAATTTATTTATTCTTACTATTTTTTTAGTGTATATATGCATATTCAAACATAAATGTAAGATGGATTTTCTTTGTTTTTCTTTCTTAATATGGATAGAATATGTTAAAGTATATAAAGGAAAAGAAAAGATTAGACACTTGTATATATATACATGTAAATGAATAAATAAAGTTTTACATTGTTCCGAAAAAATAGATGTATAGTCAGGCTTGTAAGAGTGTGCTCAAGACTCATAACTTAGCTTATATGTGGATGTAGATACGTTTGTTTACGGTATGGCTAAATAAAAGGCATTCTTTGTTACTACATGCACATTCGTCTTTATCTTGGATTATAGCAACATTCGATAATTGATTAGGGCCTTAATTGAATCTGATTGCTCAAGTTGATTTACTTTTTGTTCCCTCTAGAGAGGAAGAAAAGTGAATGTGATATTTGAGGATTAACCTGTTCATTTGGGGAATACGAGTATAGCCTTTGTCCATATTATTAAAAATGACTCATCAGTTGCAACTTTATATAATATATATAAATTTATACAAATATATTTAAATTATAGTATATTTGTAATCTAATAAGAATACAAAATTTTAGTTTGTGCAATCCTTCGCTTCTTTATAACATTGACTTTATTTTATTAAAAGTGATCTCATTATAAAGCGAATATAAATTGTTATCAACTTTTGTTTATCTTAGTATTAAACACACACACACACACACTACTATGCAGTATAAATATATACATAAGTGTATTAATAATGTGTATACACCGCTTATATTAGAAAATAGTGTTTATTTGGAAGCTATATAAATTACATTTTTTTTTATTCGATATTTTCTAAAGCTAATATATAACTGTATCATATAGAAGAGACGAATATAATAATTTATATTAAACTTATTTAACTTAGATATAGAAAAAAAGGTACATCCCTTTTTTTTTATCAATAATATTATTTATTGTTAGGATTCAATTTTGAATATTTATTCTATTTACTTTTCTATATTACAACAATGACTATGTTTAAAAAGTGTAGAACAAACTTATCATAAATGAATATCACTGTGAGAACAAGTATGGCTAATCGGAATACTTATGTATAGCATTAATAATGAGCTAATAACATTATGTATTATATCGTTAGAAAAAAAATAAAATAAACCAAAGTACATTTTTAGTGAAAAGAGATATAAATTATCGAAACAAATGGTACCTAATAAAGAAACCAATTGTGTCTAATAGCGTTTTTTTTTTTTTTTTTTTTTTTTTTCGTTGGTGATATTTAATTAGATTATTCTTTGGGTTGAATCATATTTCCAGTAAAAGATTAAGATATTAATAGACGATTTCTACTGTCCTGTCAAATAAATAAACAAAAAAAAAAAAACTTGAATTAACATAAATATTGTGTTGCTCTTTAATTCCTTATATTTATACAGTTGATAATAACTACATAAACAAAAATAAATACTCCACATTTTTAAAATCCGAAGTAAATTAAAGACAGTACGTATTTCTATTGGCCATGTCACGTGACTCAAAACCTGAAGTAATAGTTATGTAATTTTTTATGAAGCCCAAAAAACAACAAAGCCTTCTTGGCTCAGTTGGCAGAGCGTCTGCCTAGTAAGCAGAAGGTCGCCAGTTCGATTCTGGCAGAAGGCATCCATTTTTATTTTTTTTTTAATTTTTCTTCATCTTTGAAAAGACTTTATGGTGGCATCCACCAGAAGTATTGCGGGTATTTTTCTTAAATTTATATCTAATTTCTTTTGTGGTACGACACTAGTATTTAAAGTCTTGATGAAATACGATACCCTATTTTAACTGGAGTGGTGTATCTGATGATCAGAAAATAGTATGAGTTGTTAATACAATTGTTAGTATTAAATAATAAATATCACTATTGTTCAGAAGAAGCCCTCTCCTCTATAGTAAATACATCTATTCATATTACACTTTTTATAATATTATACACTATTTCTAGAAATAAATATTAGAAGATGTTGAAGATGAAATAGAATAAAAAAAAAACCAAGTTTGAAGCACATTCAAATTACATAAGAATTAGTACCAAATATACGAAATATCAAATAATTAGTTGCACTTATTTTTTTCCTTGAGTAAATTTAGTATACTACTGAATTATATGTATTTTATTAGTCTTTGTCTTTTTTTTTTTTTTTTTCTTTTCTTCTTTTTTGTTATTCTTAACCTTTCATTGTTCCGGCCTAGGATAAAGCTGATAACTTGTATTTATTAATAAAAATAAACTACGAATCTGTATATATAACGTGTATAACAATTATTAAAAGTCATAAATACATAAATATATTTATTTTTAACATGTGAAATAATATTACCATGCAGCAAATATTTGTTACGGGTAACGCGAAATCATTGTTTAGCAATACATAAAAAAAAAAAAAATCTGTGCACTTTTATAAATAGAATAGCATAATTCATCAAACATATAAAAAATTTATTATCTTACAACATATAGAAAGGGGAATATACAACAACATGTAAAATGCAAATAAAAAAACAAATAATAATAAAAAGAAGAAGAAGGGAAAGGATGGGGGTAAGTAGGTGTGTAAGGGTAGAATGCTTAAATAGTTGATGCTGTTTTAAAAGAGGAATTTGTTGAATCCTTTTCGTCTTTGTTTATAAACATGAGCATCACTTGTGCAGCAGCATTCGTTTCTATCGAGTCAGATTCATTTCTGACGTCAGTAGATTGATTAGGAATAGACAAAGATAAGCGAAGTTGACTTGTTCTAGTCCAATCATCTTCATCAAGAAGAGACGGCTCTTCTAGAGAAGTAGAATCTTCTTCCTTTTTTCCTTCAGTCATAGCGATTGCGTATGATAAATAATCTAAAGAATTCTTTACTACAGATGGTTCACCATTTATAGCTGACGGTACATAAGCAGCATCAAAAGAAGAACGTAAATTGGTATCTACGATAGCTGATTTTTTATCATTTAACATCCAATCTTCTTGTTGTTGAGGCTGTTGATCAATAGGACATAGGATAGTAGAAAGTTGCAAAGAATTATGTCTTTCACGGTAATTATTCTGAGATTGGGAAGGAGGATGACTTTTACGACGTCCTCTTTTTGATCTTTTATAGTTGACTGAATTACAAACAAAGTTCAATAAATCTGTCTTTGGTTCAATACTATGAGATAAAGATCGATTAAGAGTTTTTGTTGAACGTCTAGATTTCACATGCTTTGCATTTAATGTAGGGATATAAGGACGTTTATCGATAATATCTTGTTGTGTAAATCGAGGTTTAGGAAGGTCTTTAATAATTTGTTTTTGTTTTTGTTTCCAAAAGCATTCAACATCTCCTAAAGAGTTATTTTCCCAACCATAATTAAGTTTAAAACGTGCAAAGTTTAATCGTGTTTTTAAAGATTCAAGATACTATTAAATAATATTAAGAAAAAGAAAAGGGAAAGAGCGGCTATTAATACTTACTTTTAAAGCATCTTCATTGCAGTTATTTACAAATATTTGATTGTGATAATCTGAAAGATAATCCAATTTATTGTTACTACTTTTATGCATGTTGTAAAAAAAAAAAAAAAAAAGAGAGGGGAAATATTAAAAAAAAAATAAAAATAAAAAAATAAAGGGATGAAACACAATTAAAATAAATAACAATAGTAGTAATAATAAAAGGAATAGAACAGAATATAATAATTTGTTACTTTTTCCCCCCCTTTTTTTTTTTTTTTTTTATATAAAATAAAAGTTCAACTTATTTTTTTTTTCACAAAAAGAACCGTGTTCCGGCGCGTCGCGGAGTCTAAACCAATGCGCGTTTTTTTTTTTTTTTTTTTTTTTTTTTTTTTTTTTTTTTTTTTTTTTGTTGATGAAGAAAATATATATCTAAAAAAAAGGGGAGGAGATTATTTTTTATTTTTATTTATTTTTTTTAAAATATACATGTACACAACAAAATTATTAAATAACAAAATGTATACATTTCCCCTCCCCCCAAATTAAAAAAAAAAAAAATATGACTTAGTTACGAATTTCCGAAAAAAAAAGTTTCTTTGAAAAATAAATAAATAAACCATTTTTACTACTTGTTTACCGTTTTCTCTTTTATATTATTTTAATAAATCCATATATTCAAAATACTTTATTACAAATGACTGTATGAAAGAGTCAAAATTAAGAATAAACTGACTTTTTTTTTTTTTTTTTTTTTTTTGTGATGATGATTACTATTACATTTATCTATAATAATGTGTACATTTGATTAATAGAAAAATCAATTACATCATTTTCTTTCTTTCTCTCTCTCCTTTTCCTTCACTGCTTTCATTATATATATATATATATATAACAAAACAAAAATAATACAGTAATTTATTTGCATTCATTGAATTTTATAACTTGTTGTCCATTAAAACGTATTAATTAGGATTAGTTGCACCATATACAATTCTAGAGGGGTCTTCAGCTGCAACTCTTTCATAGCGAAGTCCACCTGATTCAATATCTTCAACATTATCATTATATTTGTGAACAATATAAAAGCCATGAATTATACCTGGGATAGCTCCTAATGCACAAAGACAAATATTTATTAATAAATCAACACTACAGCCCGTCTTGATAGCAACAGAAGCAGGTGGAAAGAAAAAGGCTATAAAAAAGAGCGCAATGTCTCTACTACTATAAGGACTCATTTATCCGAATTCAATAACTACTAGTAATAACAAAAAAAATAAAAAATAAATAAAAAATAAATAAATAAAATAAAAAAAAAATCCCCTCAGAAAATAAAAATTATTTACTGTGATTATTAAAATACACATATTCACGTGTTGCATAATAATATGAATATCAATTCGAATACGAATAAGAATAATGTTTATTACTAACTACTACTATTATATACATATATATTTTTTTTTATCTGTGCATGACGCATAAATCATTATTAATATACATCTTTTATTTTAAACCAATAAAAGAGTTGAAATTTATCAAATGATGCAAAAAAAAAAATAAATAAAAAAAAGATGGAGAATTAAACTTATTGGATAAAAATCAAAGTCACAATCCTAAGATGACCCTTTTTTTTTCTTTTTCAGCATCAACATCTCTTTTAATTTATTTATCTATCTCTTTTTTTTTTTTTTTGAAAAAAAAAAAAAAGACTTTTTACTATTCTCAAAGATGGAGGAAAAGAAGCGATACGACAAGATATTAATAAAGAATTTAGTTTTAAAGAATGTAGCAGGAGTAGAAGCATGGCAAAGACTTAAATCACAACCTGTCATTATTAGTGTTGAATTATATACAGATATTAGTGCCGCTGGCAATACAGACCATGTTACAAATACGATTCATTATGGTCATGTCACGAAGGCTATTACGACATTGGTTGAAAGTCGTACCTTTAAATCACTGGAGGCGTTAGCTCATGCTGTTGTCAAACTTTGTTGTGTTCAGTTTGGTGCAGCAAGAACACAAGTGACAGTGGAACAACCCAAGGCGCTCTTACATGCTGCTGCCTCAGGTGTAAAGTTAATGCGTGCTATTGAAGATTATCGACAGAGTTCAGCAGATGAGGAGATGACAACAGGCCAAGTATCAGGATTAGGTGTTGCAGATGAAATCTTTGTACGTGATTTACGTCTTCATACCATTGTCGGCGTTAACCCATGGGAACGTGAGGAAAAACAGGTTGTGGTGATCAATCTCAAGATCTATCCTTCCTCTTTACCTTACGGTGGTGGTCATTCGGAAAAGAATACATCTTATAATTTGCGTACCATCGTTCGTACGTTGACTCGACATGTGGAAGCCTCTGGCTACAAGACAATTGAAGCCTTTGCTATCACGTTAGCTCGATTAGCACTTGAAAAATGTCATGTCAACAAGATCTCAATTCGGGTAGAGAAGCCTAGTGCAATTTTATTTGCTGATTGTTCAGGCATTGAGGTAACGCGTGATCGTATCTGGTTAAGACAAATGATAGAGGAAGAGCAAAGGGCAGGTCAGAGATATATCCATTATGCTGGTAAACTTCATTACAGTAAGGAAATCCCTGCTCATTATACCCAAACTGTTTATATTGCCTTTGGATCTAATATGGGGGATCGTGTGAAGAATATCAAGATGGCCCTTGACATGCTTGAAAGGGAAGGGAAGAGTATCGTGTTAGATACAAGTTCCCTATATGAAACACCTGCCATGTACTATACAGAACAACCTGCTTTCTTGAATGGTGCTTGTAAAATCGCTACTTGTCTAGAACCTTATGCATTATTGGATACCTTGAAGGAGATTGAACATACCTTGGGTCGTCTCCCGACTTTCAGAAATGGTCCTCGACCGATTGATCTTGATATTCTCTTTTATAACAACCTTGTCTTGGATGATGATGAGGGTCGATTAATCATCCCACATAAATCAATTCAGGAGCGTGAGTTTGTACTTTGGCCCTTATGTGATATTGCGCGTGATATGGAGCACCCGCGCCTTTTTAAAACAAATGGGCAACTATTATCACAACTTTTAAAGGCAGCAGAAGAAAGTGAGGAAGGGCGAGCAGAGATTAAGAAGGTGATACCTATTCAAGAGAATCAGCTTTGGTATTGGGATAAAAGAACATATATCATGGGTATCTTGAACGTGACACCAGATAGTTTTTCTGATGGTGGGAAACATGTCGATGTGGATACAGCTGTAGCAGCAGCCTTCAGGATGAAAGAAGAAGGTGCAGATATAATTGATATTGGAGGAATGTCAACGCGTCCAGGCGCAGATGATAGTTTCCCTGAAGAAGAAGAGATACGTCGTGTGATCCCTGTGATTAGTCGATTAAGAGAAGCAGGGTTTGATTTACCCATCTCTATCGACACCTTTCGTGCCTCTGTGGCTCAAGCAGCTATTGAAGCAGGTGCTAATTTAATTAATGATATTAGTGGAGGCGTTCGTGATCCGAATATGTTAAAAACGATGGCAGAGTGTAATGTACCGGTCTGTTTGATGCATATGCGAGGAGATGCTCATACGATGATGTCAAAGGAAAATACAACTTATGAGAATGATGATGTAGTGGATGAAGTATCTCATGTTTTACATCTTCTTGTAGAAAGAGCCATCGCAGCTGGTGTCCATCGATGGAATATCATTATCGATCCTGGAATAGGATTTGCAAAGACAGCTGATCAAGATTTTGATCTTTTACGTCATTTAACTGACATCTCTCAGGCTCAAGACTCTCCATTACACGCTTTACCTTCTCTAGTAGGTATCAGTCGAAAGAAGTTTATTGGTCGTGTTACGGGTGTTGAAAAAGCGGAAAGAAGGACATTTGGAACGGCAGGTGCTGTTGCTGCATGTGTCGCTGGAGGAGCTAATATCATACGAGTCCATGATGTTCGACCTATGTGGGAAGTTATTCAAGTATGTGATAGTATTTGGAAAAAGAAATGATCGAAATTCTATATTTAAAACACATAAAAAAAAAAACTGTATAAATTTATATATATTTTATTTTATTTTATTTTTTTTATTTTATTTTAATTTAATAAATAATATGATCCAAAAAAGGTATTCATTGGCACATGTGACTGTTAACCCATATATCGATAAATCATGCCAATGGGACTACTGCTCCTCAATTATTTTTTTTTTCTTTCTCTCTTTCTTTCTTGTGTTTCCTCATTCATATAAATATCTATATTAACTTGCTTAGAATACTTTATAATGGCGTCTATCTATACAAAAAGACTCACTAAAGAATTAAAAGGTGAATTCATTTTTCATTCAGCTTTTTTTTTTGTTTTTTTGTTTTGTTATTATTATATTTTTTACTTAATAAATAAAACAAAATATAATAGATCTAAATAAAAATCCACCAGAAGGTGTTATTATAGAAGAAGCAGATAACCTAAAAAGGTATGTACTTTATTGAAATATATACGTCTATAAATATATACTTGAACTAACATATAAGTCTGTCTATCTGTCTATTTATATATTTAAGCTGGAGACTTTGCTTAATTGGTGCAGCAGGTACTATTTACGAGGTTAGAAATAACTATAGAAAAAAAAAAAAACTTCCCCTTTTCACATATTTTTCATTTTCTTTTGATATAATATATTAACGTATCTAATTTCATATATAAGGGAGAAAAGTTTAAACTAGAGGTATTAACATCATCTATTTATTTAAAAAAAAAGAAAGATAGAAATGTTATTTATTCAGTGCTAATATGAATGATTGTTAGTTTCGATTCCCCCCGCAATATCCATTAGAAGCACCTGAAGTTATTTTTATACAACCTTATGTACCTGTTCATCCACAGTAAGAGATTATTAAATTCGTATCTTTTTTTATTGTATTCATTTATTTTACTCTTTAGTGTAAGGAAAAAAAAAAACGAAACGAAACGAAACGAAAGGCTTGCTTATAAAAATAAAAAAAATTTAATAGATATATTCAAATGGACACATCTGTTTGAATATTCTTTATAAGGACTGGTCGCCTGTCCAGACAGTTGCTCATGTATGCTTGTCTATTATATCCATGATTTCTAGCTGTACAAAAAAGGTATAATAAATCAGTAGAATTTATATATGTATACATATATATATTTTTTTTAATAAAAAGAATCATCTTCCCTCAACAACTTCTTTATTTATTTTTATTTTTATTTTTTTGTTTGGGGGAAATCATGTTTATCATTTATAGGAACTTCCACCAGATAATGATTTATACGTTAAAAGTGCATCTACTTCACCTAAAAAAACTTCTTGGGCTTTTCAGGTAACATACATTTTTTTCTTTTTTCTCTCAAAAAGAAAACTAATTTTAAAGTTTTTTTTTTTTATTCATTAGTAAGGATTATCTTTTTTTTTTTTTTTTTTTTTTTTTTTTTTCACAAAGCATTTTATATTTATTCTTTAATTTTATAGTGATGATACAGTGTAAAAAAAGAGCAATTATCTAAGTGGGAAATATACGAATAATAATAATAATAATAATAATAAAAGGAGGGGGTGAAGACAATACTAAACCCTCTATTATCTTTCTCTAAATAATAACAATAATAATAACAATAATAAAAAAAAAAGTAAATATATTCTTCATTTGTCAATTATAAAACTGATCATTCATTCCTTTTTTTTTTCTCTTTTATGCAATCCAAGATATTATCTTTTGATACCAAGTATAGTTTTTATCTTCTTCATTATCCTTTTCTATATCAATACGAGTAACACGACCTGTTTCAAAGTCAACTTCCTCTAAAGGAACTACTTTGGTCTTTTTAATAAGCTTATGACTCACATACCAAACAATAACCGGAACAAGACCAATATAACTTTTAACAAAAGTAAGAGCGTTAAATGTAGGAGTAAAAGAAGTATAACCTAAAAGACATATATATGTATGAGTTTATCTAAAATTATTTGTATATATGTATCTATATATAAGGGAACGTCATCTTTACCTTGACCAAAAGTAATAAAGGTAGTTAATACAATAGCAGTAATAGCAGAAAAAGGATGAGCAAATGCTTTGTAAGGTAAATCATCTAGATTACGTTGTTGAGTCTTAAAGGCACGTCTGAAGCGCACATGAACAACAGCGATACCCCACCAACTAATAAAACCGCTAATGGCTGTAATACTCAAAAACCAAATAAAGGCAGCAGAGGCACTATAAATAGAAACAAAGACACAAGAAAAGCCAATGACAGAAGAGCAAATGACAGCCCAATAAGGGGCACCATAACGATTCAATTTAGACATGAAGCGAGGCGCATTCCCATCTTTAGCGAGACCCAAGAGAGTACGTGAACATGTATAAAGAGAAGAATTGGCAGCAGACAAGACACTTACCAAGACAACGACATTAATAATATCGGCACCTACATAAATACCAGCCTTAAGGAAAACAAGAGTAAAAGAGGCGGTGGCTGAACTGTTATCGGTATTGGCCAGATTAGGATTTGTAAAAGGAAGACACATGCCCAACAAAAAGATAGTTACAATATAAAAGAAAAGAATACGCCAAAAGGTATTACGAATGGCACGAGGAACTGTCTTGGTAGGGTTCTTGGCTTCAGCAGCTGTGATGCCAACAATTTCTGTACCCATAAAAGAGAAACCAGCAGAAAGCAAAACATTAACAGTACCAATGCCACCGTTGGCAAATGCTCCTGGATTAGACCAATATTTGAAGCCAATCGTCTCTCCACCAAGACCACCTGTAGTCACACAGATTCCTAATATGTATACCAATACATAAATATACATGTATAAAAAAAAAAATGAATAACCAATTATTTTTCTATGTTTTAAAAAATATGTACCAATAATAACAAATACAAGTACAATCAAGATCTTTAAAAGAGCAAACCAATATTCAAGTTCACCATATAATCTAACGCCTACTAAATTAATTCCTAAAATAAGAATCATAAAAATAGTTGACCAAGCTGGATCAGGCATAACTGGTCTCCACCAATCAATAATTGTAGCAGCAGCGGAAATTTCTACAAAAAAAAAAAAAATTTAATCATAATAATACATTTATGATTGTATGTTTATAGATTTACCAGTGGCAATTGTTACAGACTAAAATCAAATCATAATAATTAATATTACAGCAAAAAAAAAAAAGTGAACTAATATGAATTTACTTACCCACTAAATTCCAAGGAAAAAAAAAATAAAAAAAAATAAAATAAAAAATCAAGTTAATACCAGTTATTATTATTTTTTGTTTTTTACCCTAACTTACAGAAAGCCTATAATACAAATAAATATTTTTTTTTGACAAATTATTAATAAGAATGTAAATAAAAGAGTTGCTCTAATATTTACCAATAATTCCAACCAAGAGCAAAACCAAAAGAAGGATCAACGAATCTTGTAGCGTAGTGATTAAAAGAGCCATGAACTAACAGGGATAAATACAATAAGTCAATATAAAGGATACAGTTTAAATTCGATTTGATTTACCTGGCATATAAGTTGCCATTTCACCAAGACATGTCATAAGACAAAATACCTAATAATGAATCTTATAAATAACTTATTTTTTTCTTCTTTTAGTTCATCCTATTTATACCATTAAACCAACTAAATAATAATAATAGTAAGGTTAAATACATATATTATAACACTTGATTTTCTTTCATCTTACCAACACAATAAGCAATTAATGCACCAGCAGGGCCAGCCTAAGAAAAAGATAAATAAATGAATACATAAGTATATATTCATAAAGACTTTTTTTGTTTTGTTTTGTCTTGTTTTATATATAATCAATCTTTCCTACCTCTGAAATATTTTGACCAGAATTTATAAATAAACCCGTACTACATAAAAAAAAAAAAAAAGGTGAGAAATGTCACAATTCAAAAATAAGAAAATAAGGGATTTACATGTCTGCGTGTTACCCAATACAACCACCAAGTGAAATCATTTGAATATGACGGGCAGATAAACCACGATGAGGTTGAGTTGAAGTAGGAGTTGCTTCAGATAAAGACTCAAATGAAAGGTCAGTTTGATCATAAGCTTCCATTTTTTCATTATTATTATTAAAGATCCTCATTGGATTGTTCGAGTCGTTATTATCCATTGTAGGTCGTAATACACCCTGTTCAGCGTGCGTTAGTTTTCGAGCTATATCTTCCGTCATTTTTGTTATTTTTTTCTTTTTTTTTTTTAAAAAAAAAAGAGGAAAAACAAAAAAACAAAAAGTAGGGGAATAAATAAAATATTTGTCATAATGGATTTAATATTTTTGACTTTTCACTCGTTCATTTTCGATGAAACCTAAAGTCCGATATTTAAGAAATTTTTTTTTGACTTGTGCTGACTTGTTTTTCAGAGATAAGAACTTGTCTATTTTCTAGTAGCAGTGATAGTATTATTAGTCGCAATATGACATCAATTAATAAAAAGGACTTCCTCTAATAATAGTAATAAATAAGAATACTATTCGTATATTTTATCCATTTAAATAAGAACAGCATTTATAGTAGATACTATTAATAATAGCAGTAATATTATGATTTAACAAGTAATAGTAGCATATGATTATAAAAAAGAATGGTAGCTACCCTTTTTAGAAATAAGTTATGTCCGGTCCGGAACTAGATCTTTTATTATGCTACATAAGATGGTTGTTTCAATTTACCCCTTGATCATAGTATATAATACATCATCTTCTTGATGTATATAAGGAGATATATTTATTTCTTTTCTTTTCCTTCTTGTTATTTACTAACATGTTATCCTTAACTGTAAGATATTAAAAGAAATAAAATGCTATTTAAGTATGTATATTTATTATTATTATTTTTTTTTTGTTTTACTATATGATTTATGATAGACAACGGCAGTAGATCTTCAATTACAACAAGAAGGAGGTATGTATATTAGTAATATTATTCTCATTATATTTTATTCATTTTTTTTTACAATAATAAGAGCGTACATTAGCTATAGTAACATATAGTGACAAATTAGATGATATAATTCAACATATAGAATTGAATGGTTTTCGTATAATTGAGACAAAGACTTGTCATCTTACTGTAAAAGAAGCTAAAGAGTTTTATACAGAACATCAAAAGCAAACCTATTATGATAAATTAGTCAATTGGTTAAGTAGGTAGGTAAGCAAGCGAGCAAGCAAGCAAGCTATACATGCAAAGAAAGCCGTTTTATATTCATATTTATATCTATCTATATATATATTTTTATATTTTAGCTTCACTGTATGTGTTTTTATTTTAGAAAAAGAAAACGCTATTCAAGATTGGAAAGATTTAATGGGTCCTGCAAATTATAAGAAAGCAAAAAAAGCAAATCCAAATTCGTAAGTTTTTTTTTTTTTTTTTTTTTTTTTTTTTTTTTTTTTTTTTTTTATCTTTTATTCTCATTAATTATTATGATAATATAGTATTCGTGCTTTATTTGGTGAAAATATATCACAAAATGCTACACATGGAAGCGATTCAGTAATAAATGCTAAAAAAGAAATTGAATTCATGTTTAGGCCATTTACTACTGCTTTATCAAAAAAAGAAGGAAACGGTAACTATTACATATGTTAGAAGAAAGAGATAAGGAGAGAGAGAGAGAAAGAGAAAGGAGTTATACAAATACTCATTCTTGTTATTATAGTCTATTCACATGAATGTCAAAATAAGTTAAAAAATACATTGTACCATGATGAATCTATTACTCTCCAAGATCAGGTAAAGGATACAACTATCAATAAACCATTGTTAGTAGAAGAAGAACTGATTAAGATGGAAGAAATAATACAAAATGATACTATGAATCAACAGGAGGCGCATACTAACAGTGCAACACAACAAGAGGCACATACTAACAATGCTATTCAACAAGAGGCATATACTGACACTACAGCTCAACAAGAGACGCATACTAACAGTACAGATCAACAAGAGACTCATACTGACACTGCAGCTCAACAAGAAACTAAACCATTATTAAAAGATAAAAAGGATAAACAACAAAAAGCCAAGTCAAATGAAAACTTAATGAATGATAAGCCAAAAAAATTATTGAACAAAAGAAATAGTTTACAACATTATCCAACACGTATCAAAGTTCCTAATAATATCCATTTAACAAAAACTTCTAGTAAAGAATCTACTACTACTCTCTTGCCAAAAAAAAAGAAAAATGAAAGTAATCATCCCAAGAAAGAAGGCACAGCTACGACTACACGCCGGCCAAATAATATAACTACTATTGTTCAACAAGAAGAGATAATAACACTACAACAACAACAAACGACGACATCATCAACAGTTAAAAGAGGTATATCTAAACCTCTTCCTCCTCCTCGTCTAGCCACAACCACAACCACTTCTTCTCTTCTTAAAGAACAACAAGTAAAAAAGAAAAGAAATAATACAAAAAGTTTTATCTCTCGACTCACCACACCTACTGTTGCAAGTTCAAATAAAAAAGTTTTAACAGAAAATGATAAGCTCAAAATAGCAAAAAAATAAGATACTTTCTTACTTAATAAAAAGCTGATCTTATTTACTCCTTTCTATAATAATCTAGACACTATAAATTTGTTTCATTTCATTAACAAAAAAAAAAAAAAAAAAAAAATAAAATAAATAAAATAAATAAAATAAATAAAATAAATAAAATAAATAAAATAAATAAAATAAATAAAATAAATAAAATAAATAAAATAAATAAAATAAATAAAATAAATAAAATAAATAAAATAAATAAAATAAATAAAATAAATAAAATAAATAAAATAAAATAAAATAAAATCGATCGATACAAACTAATCAATCACAACACTAAAGCAAGATGAGAAAGTAGTCGTCTCTTAAAGAAAAAAAAGATCAATTTACTTCTACAGTTAAAAGTAGTATGAGAATATTTTATTTTTTCGTTTAACCCCTATTGTACTACTTACGCAATAAGCAGCAGCAGTAAAGCAACAAAAAATTTCTTTTTTTAGTTCGATTTATTTATTATGATGTAATATTATTTCGATACAATAAACTTTAATAATCGTAAAGAATGAACAAGATAAAAGAGGAAAGGAGATAGTAAAGGAGGAGAAAATGATATCAATTAAGAGAAAGTAGTTTTCCCTAACAAACAACTTTATTCTTGTTATTATTTGTATGACATTTATTCTTCTTTTTATCAAAAAGAGAAAGAAGGGAAGAAAGAGAGAGAGAGTGAGTGAGAGTGAGTGAGTGAGAGAAAGGGAAAGAAAAGAGAGAAAAGAGAAGAGTAGTTACTAGTGGCTTAGTAGTTTGTATGAAATAGACAAAATAATTGTAATCATCATTTTATTTTCTTGTTTTTTATTTTTATTTTATTTTATTTTATTTTATTTTCTATATTTATATTTTATAGTACAACTTAATTTTACCTTATTTCTTCTTCTTATTCAAAATTTATTCATCATATATATTACTACTACTAATAAATATAGGATGAATTTCACTCAATGCAGTGATCCAATGTTAGAAGATAATAATGCTTTACCGAGAAATAATAATAATATATCTGAAACATGTTTCTCTCAAGTGGGGGATCAATTTCTGGAATCACTGGCAATGGAAATTGGAATAGGGACAGCAGCAAAGACAGTCATGATTCATAGATTAATTACACAAAAGGAATATATTGATTTGAAATATAATCAAGGCTGTCCTTCAATACATATTGTTAATGATCATGAAGATAATAGTGACTACGCAGATAGCGATTCCCCTTCTTTATTCGGCTTTAATGATATTAGAAATAGAATTAAATATCTATTTTTAAAAGCTTGTTATTCATCAACAAATGATACAAATCCTACTTTGTAAGTTATGGTTATATCTTGACTATCATCTTCTTATCGTATCTATTATTAGAGCTCGATATTCTGCAGTACCTATTCATTCTTTTATCGCTGATTCTCCTCATATCTCGACAATAAGAGATAAATATCATCATATTAATAATCAACTATTCAGTTCAGTGTATCCTACTTTTAAAAGTTTTGTAGGTATACGTCTAGATACTGAGGAAATGCCAATCGGCTTAATCACCGTTATGGATGACAAACCTATGGAAAACGATCGAATACAATCCATTTATAAAACATTGAAATCAGTTCAATTAAGAACTAAAAATGAAATTGAAAGGGCTCGACATAGAGACAGTTTAATTATGGCCAAAAATATTGCTTTAAAAGATGCTCAAAATAAACTAAAGTTTTTAGCCGACATGAGTCATGAAATAAGGTAAGATTGTATATAAATGTATAAAAGAGTTGAATGCTTTATATGTAACCTTCCTTTTTTTTCCCTTTTTTTTTTATTGCTATTAGAACTCCCATGAATGCTGTTATTGCTTTAACTGATTTATTACTTCAAGAAAAAAACTTATTAACCCGCGAACAAACCGAGCATTTAGAAGTAATTCAAACTAGTGGCAATCATCTCTTAACTGTCATCAATGATATTTTGGACATTTCAAAAATTAATCATGACCCAAAATTCAAATTAGAGTATAGAAGATTTAATATACGAAAATGTGTTAAAGGTAAGTTGTATTATATATACTAATACTATTTTTTTTCCTTTTCTTTAAATAAACGTACACATTTTATTTTAGACGCTGTTAATATGGCTCGACATCAAGCTTCAATGATACAACACAGTAAACTTGTTTATACTGTTGAATGTCCCTCTGATCTCAATGATGATATTCCAATACGTCAATTAGTAAAGCAGATCGAAGCAAATAGTGTTAGCCTATTTCAACGTCAAGCAGAAAAGACAGTCTTGCCTCTTATTTGGAAAATTGATTCTGATGTACCTGATTATTTAATGGGTGATAGTATGAGACTAACTCAAATATTACTTAATTTATGTTCAAATGCCGTAAAGGTATACACATGAGTGAAAAAAAAAAAAAATCTTTTAATCACTGATATATTTCATAGTTTACAAAATCAGGTGGGATTCAAGTAAAAATAGCGAGATATAAACCATCAGAATCAAACATAGAAAATGACGATGATGATTCTCATGCATACACTTATTTTAAACAACGTTATGACGCAAAACTTGAAAGTACACATGCCTGTAAGGAATCGAAAAACAAGAGGAATAATGATATAGACATGAAAAATCGATCTAGTTCCTCTGTCGTTCCTTCTAGTATAAAAGACATTGTAGATCCTAGTTATTGTTATTATTATGATGACGATCATGAGGATATGACAACAGAGGAAAAAGAGATTGAAACGGAAAAAGTAATGTTAGAATTATCAGTAACAGACACAGGTATTGGTATGCCTGCTAATCGTCTTCCTCGTCTCTTTAAATCCTTTTCTCAAATCGATATATCAACTGCAAGACGTTATGGGGGTACTGGGCTTGGTTTAGCCATCTCTAATATGCTTGTTGATCGTATGGGTGGTGCTCTATGGGTTGAATCAAAAGAGGGTCTAGGCTCAAGATTTGCTTTGACTTTACCCTTATTTGTTTCACCTAGAAGAATTTCATCATCAACAATGACTTATCAGGGTTATCTCACAGGGTCTTCTGATGGGAGTAGCGCCTATGCTGATAATAATAGTGTGATCGGCTCTCCTCCTTCACCGAGCTCTTCTACATCAGATGGTGGTTCTAGCTTAAGTGATCGAATTGTAATGGATAATAGCATTTCCACTTCCTCACCATCAAATTCAACAACAAGTAAAAGACAAATTTGGTCAAATCCAACAAAAGGTCCTATACCTTCTACTTCATCATCTACAACCTCTTTGACTAATCAAACCAAAAATCTTCATTCTACTACAACTGATATGAATACAGTCATCAATACAACCTATCATACTGCTAATATTAATACCATTACTACTAATACTACTTCTAATATAAATATCTCTCACACTACAACTGTTAAGGGTCTTCAAAGTATATTAAATAAAACATCATTACAACAAGAATCTATACCTTCTGGGTCTTCAAAAATACTTAAACCATATATAAAATCAACAAGCGTAAAACATAACAATGAAGAAAATTTAGCTTTACACTCTCCTATCCATATTTTGTTAGCAGAAGATAATGTTTGTAATGTTTTCGGCAAAACATCCATTTTTTTTTCTTAGGCTCTATTTTTTTTTTTTTTTTTTTTTTAACCTTTTTTTTTTCTTATATGTATACATATCTATATACATATCTATATACATATTTATATAGTGAACCAAAAAATTGCAATTAGTATTTTAAAACGGTTAGGCTATCAAGATGTTATCATTGCTAGTAATGGGCGTGAAGTATTAGAATTAATGCGAATACATAAATTTGACGTTATTTTTGTAAACTTTCAAGTTTAAATACATACAAATATGTATATATGCATACATTGATATATTTATATATTTATACTGATATACATATATATATATATATATATATATATACAAATATATATACATATATACATGTATATATATTTTAGATGGATTTATATATGCCAGAAATGGATGGTCTAGAAGCAACACGGTATATCATGTCGGAGCGCAAGAAGATGAACGACCCCTTTACGACAGTAGGTGGTAGTGATAAGACAACAACACCTCCTTTACTAAATATAAATGATATTTATATTATTGCTCTTACTGCCTCTGCTTCTAGACAAGATCGACACATCTGTATTGAAACAGGTATGAATGATTTTATTAGTAAACCATTTACAATGATGGAAATGAAATCTGCCTTAAAGAATTGCGTATCTAAGCGAAAAAAGCATATATATGGAACTCATGCAAAGGAAAAAGAAACTATGACTTCTTCAAATAAAGATAACAACAAACAATCATCCTCAAGTTAAAATGAACGCTATCTTATCACCTATCTCCCTTCTTTTTATACATGAAAAAAAACATATCCATTTTATTTATTGATTTTATAGATTGAAATCCCTCTTATTTTAGATTAATCTTCCATTTCATCATCTGAAGATTCCTTTGCTAATGTTTCTGCTTCCAACTTAATATCCTTTGGTACAAACTGATGTTTATATTTTGATTCTGCACAAATCCAACTTAATTCTAATTCAAAGTCCTTATCCTTTGCATCATCATGACATGTATAAATACTAATTATTAAAAATAAAATAAAATAAATAAATAAATAATTGAAAACTATTATTATAAATCTCGCTTACATTCGAGTAATATGATTGATAGCCTCACGAACAGTCATATTTTCTAAATCAAGTTTTTCGATTTCTGTCTTTGCAACAGATTTGCCTTTACCTATAGCACATCCTCGATAGCCCTAAAGAAAAAAATAAAATAAAATAAAAGGAACGTTCATTTAATGCTTACAAGATAGATTATTTTTTGTTATGCTTTACCCAATAAACACCAGATGGTTCAATCATATATAAAGAGGGTCCTTCCTTTTCAGTCATTGTACCAACAATAGTGCTTGTACCAAAAGGACGAACACTTGAATATAAAGTATAGGCAGAAACATATTGTCCTAAACGATCTGCAATTGTCTTTCCAGGAATAGGTTGTCTATAAATATCTCTCCAAGATTGAGCTTCATCACGAGCTCTATTAACAAGATGTCTACCATCAGCTAATAAACCAGCAGTAGCCTAATTAAAAAAAATAAAATAAAATAAAATAAAATGAATACATTTTTATTTTTATTTTTTTTTTTTTTTAAAAATGGCATACTTACAATGCCAATATGAAGATCTGCACTTTGAATACGACGATTAGCACCTTCAACAAGAAGCTTTGATTGAACAAGCTTTTCAACTGCTAAAACAATACCATCCTTTACACGAAGACCAATGGCAGTACTATTGATTTTGATGTGTATATGCGTGTGTATATATTTATTTATTTATTTTTTTAGATTATTTTTTTTTTTAACTTTATCGAAATTCAATTTACTGTCATATTTACCCACTATTGTCAACTGCTTTATTTGCATACTCTACTTGGAAAACGCGTCCATCGGGAGAATAGGTTGAAACAGATAAATCATACTATTATAAAACCGAGACAAAAAAAAAAGAGCATAATTAGATTAGTTAAATGTTATTCATTAAAAATAAAAGGGAACATTATTCTTTCTTTCTTTCTTTCTTTTTTTTAAAAAAAATACTCACTCCTGTACCAATCGAAGTCATTTCTTTAACTTTGTTATATACACTGGAGAAAGATTATTAAAAAAAAAAGGTTCTAATTTGCTTTACTTGTAAATAAGGGCCGCGCGTTCGTAAGCAAGTAGTCCGCCTAAAGAAATTTTATTGGATGACATTTCTTACAACCTCAATTCAGTCACAAGAAAAAAAAAACTATTTTATACTATTATTCTTAACGTGTTTTTTTTTTTTTTTTTTTTTTTTTTTTTAATTTATTTTTCATCAAAGAGATGGCTGCACCTTATTACTATAATCAACAACAACAACAACAATTAGGAGGTATACCATCTATGCAACAACAGCCACAACCACCACCACCACAAAGAGCCATGCCAGGTCAAGTCGGCATTAATCCAACTCAAAGCCATTATCTTCAACAACAATATAGAAATCAACCCATTAACGATGCAGGACGAAAACGAGCACATAGCAAGGTATTACTTGAGTTACAAACATACATGTAATTTTATTTTCTAATTACATGTTATTAAAAGGCTGGAAGGCAAAATGCGTCCATAATGGAAGATGCTGATGAACCTTCAGGAGGTACACTTGAAAAAAATAAAAATAAAAAAATGGCGTATTAGCATTATACCTAATCGTCCTCTTTCAATTAAATAGATGAATTAGACGACATTTCTGCAAGAGATATTGCTATGGCTAGATATAAACGTAATCATGACTACTTATCAGAAATATTTACACCTTATAATGCTGGTAAAAATTAAAGCACAACTCAATCTAATTATATATACATGATGTTAATTATGCCTTCAACCTAGCTCACATTGTTACACCTGCATTGGATATTAGTCAATCAAAAGAAGAATTAGAGAAACAAATTGTAAGTTTTCAATTTTTTTTTTTTTTTTTTTTTATTAAATCATTTATGCTTAGGAAGAATGCAAAGAACGAGACATACAGCAAAAGAAAAAAATGGAAGAAAAGTTAGCTTCAATTGAATCAGAGCAAGAAAAGTTTTGGAAATGTATAAACCAACTAAAGAATGCAACAACATTGGAAGTATGGATTTTTTTGTTTAAAACAAAAGTAATCTCTGGATTAATTTTTTTTTTTTCTTTAGTCTATTGAAGAAGTGACTAAGAATATAACAAAAGAATTAGGAATTGAAATTAAACATAGAACAAATAATGTAAATATTTTATCAATACCTGAATTAGAAAAACAAGAGGAAAAAGAAAAAGAAGCATTACTACTACAACAGCAACAACAACAACAAGCTTTAATTGAAAATGCTAACAATCAACGACAGCAGACTATGGAAGAAGTAATAAGCAATAATATAGCATCACAAGGAATGGACATGTACTTTAACCAAAGAGAAGATGAAGCAGAAACAGCCGATAGTTTCTTTAATGAAATGGTTAATACAGATGATGATCCAGCTGTTAGTGAATTCTTAAACACTGAATAAAATTTATTTCAGTCTTATGGATCAAGCGCGTTTAATAGTTGTGTCCTTTTGCAAAATATATATGTGTATATTGATATACAAGCCTGTGAATTTACATAGTTTTCTTTTTATATGTTACAATATCCTCATTTGAAACTTTTGTAAAATAGCAAATAGTTTTTGAAAGAAGGATATTAGCCTTGATTGTGACTTTATATTGTAAATGGGAGACTTCAACTTTCATAGGATGAAAAGAAGATAGTTTATTATTAAAGGATCATAGATATTTTTGTTAGAAGACACTTTCAATAGTCCTATGATTTGAAATACACGTGTTTTAGCTGAATATAGTTTGCAATAGTTTTTTTTTTTTTTTTTTTTTCACCTATTCATTATTGTATATAATTGCAGAGAAAGGATTTCAGCAGTTAAATTAAGCTCGTTTGTGCAGCAACTTTATAAATTCTAGATAACCCTTTTATAATTAGCTAATTATGATACTTATATATCTATAAACTGAATATCCTTTTTTTTTTACTTTTTGAATACATTAAAACTGTTGATCATCTTTAAATTGTCAATAACTCATATATTTCATACTCCGATATATTCTTTTTTTAATTTTTTAATTTTAATTTTAATTTTTTTTTTTTTTTTTTTTCGTTGTATCTTGTCTCCTTTCCTTAATATAATATAAAACATTATATTCTATTATGGCAAGGGTAAACTAGTATTTCCATATATAAATATATTTATGAATATATACAGTAAAGTATTTAACGTTAACTCCTCTTTTTCTTCTTTTTTAACTTCAACTTAGCAAACGACATTACCCATCTTCCGGCAAAAACGAATAAATCCTAATCTTGTCGTGCCTCGTAGATGTGAACTGCCTATTGCGATATTAAAGGCATCAAGTCTTGCACCTGCAGCATTAAATAGTTTTTATAACCTAAAAAATGCCTGGAATGTTCCTATAAGAGATACAGGTGGGCCCTTGATAATTCAAACAACAGAAACTGAATTTTATATAGCAATTCTTTGGGTAATTTTTTATCGTTTTTATTATTAGGATTGTTAGAGAGAGAGAATATTGAAAAATGATAGTAACATCTTTTATAGTGTGTTTTAGCAGGTTACTGGAACTGGGTTTTAGCTACAAGCATGATGAAACAATGGCTTTACCAGTACGAAATTAAACACGCTATTACTCGACTCTTAATGCTCATTATAATATCTTGGTGCTTATCTAGCTTCATTCACTCTTTGATGAATCCTAATGATCCTGTCCTGATCCAAATAGTTATTTGCTTTGTATTATTTTTATCCAACTTTTTAAAACTTACGTTTAACGCTAGAACGAAATATAGTCAAAAGATAGAAGACGTCTTGCCCACAACAACACAATTAAATCTTAATAGTAAAGCAGTTCGTATTTTGTTATTGCCATTGTTAGTTGTCATGGGATTATCAGCCTTTGGGTTAACAGGTCAAATTCATCATTTACAATATGGATCTGTTTTGTTGATGAGCCAAGAGAGATTTGCATTGAATACAACAATCGTAGATCCTATCTTTGGCAATGGTGTAACTATATTAGTCTTGATTTTTTCTTCATGGACTTCTCAGGCTGCAGAAAGACGAAAGTTATTAAGAGAAACAACATTACAATGGATGGGTCAAGAAGAAGATACAACAATGATATATCGTTTTGTAGTAGGCCAACCACCTTCTTCAAATATTCAGTCATGGTTGGGTCCTGATTTGATTGCAGAATCAGAGAAATATCATGATATCTTGATCGTTCCCGCTCCAGATCGACTTTTATCTGATAAAAGTAAAAAAGTGTTTGAAGCTTTTAAATATGCTTCTTCTGTAGTTCAATATGATTATCTTGTCAAAACAGATGATGATGTATTTGTCCGATATGATGTCTTGAATAGAGAAATGAATGATTTAGGACAAAAGGACAATTATTGGAAAGGCTTTGTTAATAGGTATTTTTTTTTGTAAGTTTTATTTTGTGTTATTTTTTTGCTTATTATTTTTTCTTTTTTCTTTTTTTTTTTTTTTTTTTTTTTTTTTTTTTTTTAATTAGGAATATGCCAGTGAATTATTATAATCCTACTTATCATTTGGAAAATGATTATTCTATGCCTGTTTTGCCAACATTTGTATCAGGCATTCTTTATATACTCTCACGAAATGTAGTAAATCTGATTACACAAACTAATTATCCGCAAAGATATATCGACAAAGATGATGTAAATGTGGCTCTTTGGCTTTTTGGCTTTGATATTGAACCTATCCATGACAAACGAATTCAAGATGATGTAGATGTATGTGAAGAGGATTTTATTGCAAAACGGTTAAATCAAGATAAATTCAAGTCACAATTGCTACTTATGTACGATCATGTTTTAACAGATAAAAGACTATGTACAGGATTGAATCCAGTCAAGAAATGTGCATTGTGTTATTCATGTCATGGGAAATCGAATGATTGGCGAGCTAACAATCTTGAATGCGATACAACTCGAGGTGTGACTCTGAAGAGACAAGCTGAATTCAAAACAATTTCTGGATCCGTTGTTAAGGATGCTCTTGAACCTTCTATTATTGGTGTAAATGATGAATGGATTGTGAAAGATATACTTTCAGCGCGTACATCCATTTACTCTGAAGATGAAGCAAATTGGCATTTACTTTATTGGGTTTGTTGGACAAGTGAGCCTTCGACTTTTACAGACCGACATTGGCGAGCTATTGAGATGGTATGGATTCATGAGCCTGAGGCAGCTATTTTCATGATCTCCAATACTTTGCCAAAGAACTTTTTCCAAGAATATACACAACGCGGTTATAATATTAATGTAGTCTCCTTTAACAAAGAGAGTCTATTAAAGTGGCATTGGTATTTTGGACCTGGTACACAGGATTGGATTCTTGATTGGGATAAATGGGAAAATGGAAGGTTCTTTTACTGGCATTTGACCGATTATATTCGTTGCCTTTTACTCTATAATTATGGTGGCACCTACATGGATATGGATGCACTCTGGATTCGTATTCCACCTAATCCAAATCTAGAATTTATTGGTTCTGATTATTCAAGCATTGTTTCTGATCGTAAATGGACATTAGATAATGAAGGCTTGTATCTACCTCAGGGGCTTATGCGTTTTAAACGTGGATGGAAATTGTTTCGTGAGATGGCAGAGGGTGCATTCTCTGCTTATAACTATGATCCTGAATGTTTCAATTGTGGTGGACCTAAGGCGATTACATCTTATGTACGTGATCGTCGAGCTGTTCTGGAAGATGCTGGCATGACTATCTTGCCTCGTGAAATTCTCTATCCTTTCAGTTATCTTGAAATTCACAAACTCTTACAGCCTAATCCCTTGGCTGAGCAAGATATGAAGAACATAATTGAGCCTTTAAGCTGGAACATTCACTTGTTTGGCAAAATGACCAATCATCTACCTGTTCAACCAAACAGTGTTATTGATTATGTCTTTAAGAAGTTTGACTTGGATATACCTCATCGTGATACAAGTACACATAAAATTATTTCTTCTACACACTCGATGGAAGTCCCTATGAAGTTAATCGGTCCTCGCGACTACATTTATCGAGCTGTATCAGCACGTATGTTGGAGGATGATAAAGGTCAAATGCTAATATTTCAACCAGTACCAGGCAAATTCCAAGGCATTCATGTTATTTATGTTCGTGGAGGCCCATCTGGCTTTATGCCTGAGGTCATGATTGAATTAGAAACAACGATTGGCTATATACGTTTAAACAATGCCACTAGCTTTGAAAAGCGAACGACTCATGTTATGAAGCATGTGACGATGAAGGAAGTGAATCGTGTATTGAATTCGATTGAATATAGTCCTGCAAAACTAATGGCAGCTAATGGAGGTCGTGATCGACTCAAGGTATCTATTGTTTATGATAATGGGATAAAAACAGAGAAAGAACAATTGCAGATTGCTATTATTGTTGTTGAGCCTGAAGAAGAAGATGAAAAGGCTGAGATAATAGAAAATTAGATCCATTTTCCTCCTTCTCCTCCTCCTCCCTCTCCTCTTTCTCTTTCTCTTTCTCTTTCACACACACACACACCCTCTCTCTCTCTCTCTTTCTCTCTTTACATATATATTCCTATCTTCATCATTCATATGTGCATATTATATAGAACAAATGTAATTATAATAATTATAATAATAATAATAATAATAATAATAATAATAATAATAATTTATTTTATTTTTATATTATATTATATTATACAAAGTGAACACATTATTGTTTAACTGGAAGAGGTAATAAAGCACCGGCAATATCCAAAGCCCGTTCTAAATCCTCTAAAAGATCTTCTACATCTTCAATCCCAACACATAAACGAATTAAATCTTCTGGAAGGGCTCTTTCAGCACGAATATGAGCAGGGATAGAGGCATGTGACATTCTACAGGGCATACTAATTAATGAGTTTACACAACCAAAGGAGACGCTAATACTCCAAAGTCGTGTAGCCTCCACAATTCGTTCTGAGATGTCAACGTCCCCAGTTTCAAAACTAAGTACAGCGCCTGGACCTGATGCCATTGAATGATGCAATTGATATTGAGGATGTGATTTTAAACCAGGGTAATGGACTTTAAATCCTAGTAACTCTAAATAATGGGCGATACGTATACTAGATGCCTGTTGTTTATCCATACGTACTGCTAATGTCTTTACACCACGTAAGAGAAGCCATGAATCAAATGGATTCAAACCACACCCTGTAGCATTAATCACATAATAAAGTGCATCTCCAATCGCAGCCGTTTTAGCGCCAATAACACCTGCCATCAAGTCATGATGACCTGATAAGTATTTGGTACCTGAATGATACGATATATCAGCACCCAGCTCTAAGGGACGTTGCAGATAAGGAGACATCATCGTGTTATCCACCACAACCAAGGCATTAGGACATCGTTCATGAACATATCTTGAAATGGTGGGGATATCACTGATCTTGATCAATGGATTTGTAGGTGACTCGAGTAAGACCAATCTTGTCCTCTCTGCTGATAGATAAGGTAAAATAGAATCAGATTTCGTTGTGTCTATATGATGTGTCTTAATATTTTGTGATTGAGCCAAAAAGCTGAGGAGACGATTTGTGCCACCATAGAGGTCATCTCCTGCAATAATCTCTTCTCCTGCTCTCACTAGACGTGTGATGACATCAAGTGCTCCCATACCACTCGTCACTACTAATGCTCTCTCTGCTCCCATCAATTTTGCCAAATGATTCTCTAATGGAAATTTTATTAGTTATTATTCCAGACTATATATATAACCTCTTTTTTCTTTCTTTCTTTCTTTCTTACCAACATGTGTACGGGTTGGATTACCACTACGAGAGTAATCATATTCTCCAGAAGCATTTGCCCCTTTTTGTTTAAAGGTAGCTGTTTGATAAATGGGTATTGAAGACGCATTATGAGGATCATCTGAATTGTCAATAGTCACTACTTCGGTTGCAAAACGATATCTTCTAAAGCTAGTCATAGAAGCGGCAGGTGAAGAAGGTAAAATATCTGTCATTGTTATTATTATTATTTTTTTTAAAGTGTGTGAATAAAAAAAGAAATAAATAAAGAAATATTAACTATTTTTTTTTATTTTATTTTATTTCTATTTGTCTCATGTATGCTATAATTGTATGTATTTACATAAAAAAAAAAAAAAAAATAGATGGAAGATTTTGATGTAAGAAGGGTATTGCTTAAACGAATTTCAACCAATCAAAATTAAAACTGATGATAAAATCATAATTAGCATGATCGAGGAGTTTAAAAACAATAAATTCATGTATATTTTGTATATATTTGTATATGTGTGTATGTATATTTTTAGGCTACATGAAATCCAATTTGTTTTATCTTTGGCTCCAATATTTCTTGGGCCACATCAGCATCGTCTTTTTTAATGATAGGTGGTATCTTTTGCAACGATTGATCAGGCGTTGTGAATGCAACAGATGATGTCGTTGTTGTTGCTGCTATGTCATCTAATTCTTGTAGTAATTCAGTAGTAAATTTCATATCAAATATTTCCAAGACATATTTGCGAACAGGTGACCTGAAATGATAACTTCCAAGTAACTGACATACTGAATAATAAAGGTTTACCTTTTTAAAGTATTCAGGATAAAGTTGTCTTAATCTGTAAAAAATTATATTAGAGATAGAATGTAATGTAGTGGTTGTGTTACTTACTTTGCAAGATTCTTTGATGCTTCATTTGCTAAAATATGATTGCTCATATTACCGATATTTTTTAATATATCCGCGCTAACTGAATCTGCTGTAACAGATCTCGGTAATTGTGGAGGAGAAAACAATGCTGGTTTATATTTCCAATTCCGGATCTAAGATCATCATAAATTAAATTAATTTTTTTTTATCAAAATGTGTAGAAAAGTATTCATTTTTTTTTTTTTTTTTTTTTTTTTTTTTTTTTTTTTTACCGTTAAAAATCTCGAAAGATTTAATGGTACACACAGCCCCTCAGGTTCTCCATTTGGGGAAACAACGCTTTCCCAACCAACTTCGCCTAATAATTCAACACCTTGTTGAGTTTTTGCAATTAATCCAAGTACAAAATAACAAGTTCTAACAATCAGAAATTTAAAATAAAATTCTTAAATTATGCCTTCCCCCCCTCCTCCACCTCTATTTACCCCTTTAGTGATAAGATTTCACTGCCTTCTGCCATTTCTATAATATCTTTTACAATATCCTCTTCTTCAAGAAAAGGTAGACCATTCTTTGTTGCCCCAATATTTCCAAGTGCCCATAGAACAGCCTTTAGTTGCCCCAATGAGGTTTCATTACATTTATCTAAAGGGAAATTCCTCACATAATCAACAAACATCTTAAGATGACCCTTTTCTCTTAACAGATTACATCCTTCTTCTGTCTTGGTTAATTCTCCATAGAAATGAGGAGGCGTTAAACCATCACCAGGTTGTCTATATAAAGTTATTTTTTTCTTTTTTTTTAAAAAAAAAAGATTCATGTAGTTTGTTTTCTTATTTTTACTTACAACGCTTCAAAATCATTTTCACTATCAACCCTTTCTTCAAACGGATTTACCTTCTTTTCTGGTGTATTTATTAAAGCTCTCGCCAGCGAAAGCTCTAACTGAACAACATAATTAAGATTTCCTCTCTTAAAAAAAAAAAAAGAGTTACGGACAGTCTTTATATTTCATATACACACACACACACACAAACTTACTTCAAACCAGTCATCCATTTCTTTTTGAACATATCCCAAGGCATTCAAATATTGAAATCCAGTCGAGGTTGACAAAAATCGTAATAATAATGGATTACCAACTTCTCCTAAATGTCCCAAACTAGGTCTACATTTAACAAGTAATTCTAAATTAGCTTGTCTCTCACATGCTTCGTCTAATAAATGAACAGCTGTCTGGCAAACATCCATATGCGTATCATAGAGTTGAGTCACTAGTAATCGAATGACCCAGTCGTTGAACTCAGATTCTGATTGTCGCATAATAACACCTAAATGTTGAGTAGCGAAAAGACGAATTGGATTATAACCCGACGTCATGATTTTAGACAATAGCACCCGTGGATGTCCATCTAGGGTATAATCCAAATTAGTAATCATGGCTACCTTAAGATCTGTACGGTTTTTGAGTTCAGAGATTTGATAAAAGCAACTAAAAATTTTGAATCTTTCAAGGATACGTACGCCTTCTTTATATTTCGAAAAGGTACCTAGAATAGCGAAATAACCGCATGTTAAGGTGTTCTCCATACGTTCTTTTGAAAAAATCGGCTCTGTACATGCATCACCTCCTCCATTTGTAAGCGGATCCAATTCATTAAATGCCAATGCAATATTGCTAAGCAATTTGTTTTCACTCAGATAACGTACACCATCCGGATTACTTAATAAGGTGGAAATAAGTGTGCAACCTGTTCTAACGTATCGACTAATTGTGCCCTTAGTCGCATTCATATCCGAAAATTGATGCTTGAAGGGTCGATAAAAAGCCAGTAGACGTTTAATAAACTTTTTACCACGCATTGCTTCATCTAGACGTCTTGGATTCAATAGAGGCCCTTGTAAAAGTTCAAGAATACTATCCCAGTTCCACTTTGTGTAGTCCTTTGTATTTAATACTTGTGTATCCATCAAGAGTTGTCGAAAGTGGGTATCATCAATAGCATAACCAATCTTTAATTTAACCTCATGCACTTTTTCTTGCGTGCGTTTTGAAGGTGATTGATCAGTACCTTTAAACGAGGTCAGATTTGATGAAATAGGGGGTGCTATATATCGTGTACGTGCTCGCGTTAATCGATCAATATGTGCTAATGCTGCTGTAGCGTTATGCCGTACTTGTTCATCTTCAAAATTAGATGCCAATGTAAATAACTTGGGTAATGATTGGACTTGAATAGCCATTAAAGTAGGTAATAGTCGTGTAGAGAGTTGTAAGATTTCTCCAATTAATAAAGTAGCTTTTCGAGACATGTAGATATCGTCTGATTTGACCATATCAACAAGGGCCATAAGAATGTCTGATTCAATAAAGATAATAATGATAATACTAAGATGATGATCAAGCATTTTAAGTCTTTCCGAGTTGCTAGCTGTTGTCGTGCCATGATTGAGGGCATAGCGTGTATAAGCATCAGGACTAATACCTCCCGCCATCATGAGATTGGACATGACAGGTCCATTTAAAACAGCAGTAGGTCGAAGTGATATTTTTGCTAATTCAGTATCATTTGTAGGTGCAACCTGCACTGTATGTTGTCTTCCAGATAAAAACCCATGATGATCTACAGGTAACTTTACTCTAAATACGTCAAAAAACATATCTAGTACTAATTTCTGTGTATATATGTATACAAATATTAATATTTGTTTCATCCATTTTTTATTTTTTTTTCCTTTTTTCATTCCTCCTTTTCTTTATTATTATACCTGTGTCTCTAGTACTGGCATCCTTAATGCCTGCACAACGGATCGAGCGGCTCTCATATTATTTGCACTCATATAAAATATACCAGCCCAACTTTTAATCAAAGTAGTTACCATTTTTGCACTATTCTTCAATCGTTCAATATAATTTGGACCTGTGTTTGATTCTGTAAAGGGAGCAATAATCGTCTCTAGTTCAACACCAGGTCGAAGATAACATCTTTTATTTGGTGTATCCAATACATATAAAACGGATTGAATAAGTACTTCTGATATTCCATGCTGACCATCTATTAGAGCTTGTATTAATACTCTTAATCCTCCTGATTTTACAATCAATGCAACATCTAAGATAGCTATTAAAAAAAAAGAAAACGTTTTCAATCATTATTTATCAAATAAACGATATTGAATTTAATTATTTACTTAATTCAGCAAGCGTTTCTAATGCAATATTTCTTAATCTACAATCTTGTTGTTCTGCAATAGCCACGACCGACCTCACAATACCCTGATTGATATGTTGAACACCACCGTATTCAATGAATGTTCTTATTAATTTAATTGTTTGCTCCCTTTCTGGTTCATACCCATCTTGATCTCGTACTAATGCCCTATATACCCATCTTTTAGTATAAACCAAAACCACCCAAAATCGATAGATAGTTTGTCTCTTACCTAGCACAAAATACATCTAAATGATAATATATCATCATTTCGACATCTTCAGGTCCTTCCACTAATAATCTTAAAGCACGTAGAACCATAATTCTTATTTCTTTATAAGGACTCACCATAGATTGACGCAGACTAGAGCAGACAACAAATCAGTATTCATAATAGATTGTCTATTCGATTTATTTACCCTTCAATTATTTTCTTTTTTGAACAATGTGCCTCAATTCCAGTTGTATTTTTTAATATTCTTATCAAAATTTTAAGTTTCTCCATTTTTGTTTCTTTAGTAGTATTATTATTTGCCTTCCACTCATCGACTTGTAAATATTGTATAATATGATCCATTCTCTTTCCTATAGGCCAAGTATCTTTTTATATGACAATATTAGACTGATAATTATATGCATATAAAATTAAACTGATTATCAAAAAAAGAAAAGAAAAAAAATTACCATCATCAGGATAAGATACATTTTCCATAGCAGCTTTCTTTTTTCCCTTTAAAGTATTATTATTAGACCTTAATTTAGAACGCGATTGAGCTAATGTGGAAGGTGTTATAGCATTTGAAAAAATTGTTCCCGTATATTTATATGCTTTCAATAATTTAGCAACGTCTATAATGTGTGTTCCTGAATTAACTAATATAACAACAATAATTAATGTTTATGCCCAATTCAATCATTTCCTTCATTGACTTTTTTTTTTATTATTATACCAGCAGTTATTCTAATGTGCTCAATTCGCTTTGTTATTTCATCAATAGCTAAACTATATCCTTCTAATTGTGTTTCTAATTCTTTTGTCTTCTTTTTGTCCTTTAAATAAACTTCAAGCATGTTTTCAACACCAGACTTCATTTTTGTTTCCCTAGCAAGCTTTATTAAGAGTTCTTCCAACTTTTTTTTATAACATGTAAAACAAAACATTAGATTGAATGTTGTTTATAGAATTAACTTGTACACCATTTTTTTCTTTTCTTTTTTTTTTTTTTTTATACCTCTTTTATCATCACATTGTTATTTTGTTCCTTTTGTTGATGAGATGGAGGTGATAAAGGTGATGTTGGGATATTTATGTCTGATAAACTATGGTGTTGTTGTTGTTGATTACTTGATTGCTGAGAGGATGATAAACTAGCTAAAGAAGGTGATGGTCCCATTTCATTTAACAAATTTTATCTCTTTTTTTTTTTTTAATATGACAAAATTACTATAAAACTTTTATAAAAGGGAATCCTAATCTATTTGTTATTATCAGAGATATATATATGTATATATATATAAAAAAAAGAGAGAGAATAAGAATAAGAGTATTAAAACTGTAGAGAGACAATAACAAGATGCTTCATCCAATGAAAACTGTGATAAAGAAAAAGCCAATGAATGAATTGTTTTTTTTTTATCATGACAAATTTAAACGCAGACACATGTACCAAATAACAAAACAAATCATGCAAAAAAGAAAATACATTATAGCTTTAATAAATTCAACATGTGGTAGGTATTTTTCTTTAAAAAAAACAAAACAAAACAAAACAGAAAAAAAAAAGTTCATTTAATACAAGTATCTGATCTTTATCTACAATTCGAGATATACTAAAACTGCTTCTATTCCAGAGTGTATAGACTAGTTTATGAATCTCATACAAACATGTATGTATACTGTAAACTGAATTACCTTTTATAAAAAAAAAAAGAGTTTTAACCTTATTTTATTTACATTTTTATATGAATGCATTAGCTTAAAATTAGGATGGTTACAAAAAAGATGGCTAATCAATGATTACATGAATATGTTTTAAGACGCGTATGTCTTTAAAAGATGATATCATATATCAAATCCTTTTGTTATCTTGTATACTTTTTTTTTTTTTTTTTTTTTTTTTAACCTGATAATTAGATACTTGTTCATGTAATATACTCTCGGAGGAATAAATCTTATTTCTCCAATTTTATACATTTATAAAACTCCCCTAATGAAAATGAAAGGACGCTGTTTATGATGGTTTATATAATAACCTGTGATGCGACCTCAACCATGATGAAAAATGATTCTATTTGTATGTAAATGCTAAAATATAGCATAGTGACCTTATGTGTATCTAAAGGATTCATTACAGTAGTCATCGTCGTGGTGAAACACTATTTAAATATTCAGCCCTTGAAAAATTAAAAAAAAAAAAAAACTCCCTTAATAACAAAGTAAATAATACTGTTTATTGAATAGATTGGTATTGATGTTTATTCTTTTTAGCAGCTTTCTCTATTGAATACATTTATTAGCAATTTATTTTTTTCTAGAAGAGAAAAGAAAAAAAAAAAAAAACTTACTTGCACGGAATTCAGCAATATCCTTTTTAATTTCAATCATAACTTCTTTATGGAGTTCAGGTCGATAACCAAAAAAGAATAAAACTTCGAAAAAAACGAAATAAGGGGCAGAAACAAGAGCTTATGTTATAGCAAAATATACATGTTTATATCTATTCATATGTACACACACACACATATCTTTATATTACCTTGTACAACATTATCCAATAATTTTGGACTTCTTTTTTCGGCAAATCCATGACCAAGGAATTGAAATATCCATGCAGAAACATGGATATAAAATGCAATTTTGTTTGCATTAGGATTAGTTTGAAGAAAGTTCGTAGCTGTGTAACTCATTGCAAGAAGGAAAGGTGAAGCAATAGACTATATCATACGAAATATGAGTATACAACAAATAATAATAATAATAATAATAAAAAAACCCCATTTTACAGCAGCAACGAAATCCAAAATAGCATAATACAGGAAATAACCAACTACTACAATCAAAGATAAATTTGGACCAAAAGGAGTCAAGAAATCAAGTAAAGTATCCTTTACATTAAATAAGGGTCCAGTATTAGCGCAAAAGACAAGAGCTACAAATATAAAAAGTATTAGTAGCAAATTTTTATACTTTTTTTCTTCTTTACCTGTCCAAAAGATAGTAGGCACAAATATCATATGAATAGCTATATTAATTCCATTATTATGATGAGCCCCATAAAATACAAGTTGTTTCTTTAAACTAAAAATATCGTTTGTCATTATTTTAATAATAAAGAAAAAAGAAAAAAAAAAAAAAAAAAAAAAAGACAATAGAAGCTTAATTATGGCATAAAAAAAAAAAAAAAGTCATGCCTACAATAATGGGAAATTTTTTAGGTAATCATCTTAATTATTCTGAAAAAGGCAAAAAAAAAAAGTTTTTTTTTCCCCTTAAAAATAAAAACATTTAATAAATGGGTAATCAACAATCATTAGAAAAGGTCGAGCATGTTGTTAAAGAAGGCATCGATATTTATAAGCAAATAAAAAATAGTCAAGAACAATATGAACAAAATACTCATTATACATCAACAACAACAACACATGTAACTCAATCTACATATTACCATGCATCAGAGGATATTGATGATGATCAAATTTATTCTGAGCTACGTCAGCGAGCACACGAAGAAGCAGAAAAAAGAAATGAATGCTATTCAAAAAGTCAAGAAGCCTATCAAAATGGAGATGGTGCAGAAGGTTAGTTTTCTCTCTCTCTCTTTCTCTTTCTTTTCTCTTTCTTTTTTTTTTTTATGATATTTATTATAATTATTTTAAGCCAAGGAACTATCAAATAAAGGCCATTATCATGACAACCTTATGAAAGAATACAATAAAAAAGCTGCTGATCATATTTATGCAAGTAAATAAGATAAATACAACATATAAATGCATATAGTTTATTTATTTTATTTTATTGTATTTTATTTTTTTTAAAAAAAAAGTTAGAAATCAGGGTCGTCCAATTAATGAAATCGATTTGCATGGTTTGTTTGTAAAAGAAGCTTCAGAAAAAGTAGAAGAAGCCATTCAACGCTGCCAAGAAAATGGTCAAACTGATTTAGTTATTATTGTTGGTAAAGGACTTCATTCTCCTGGTCAAATAGCTAAATTAAAGCCTGCTATTATTGAACTTGTCAAGAAATATAATGTAAGTTGTCAGCCTAATATCCCTAATCCTGGATGTCTTTATGTCGAATTTGGTAAAGGTACTGGTGACCTTTCATGGCTTAACCATATTACAGACAAATTTGTTAATGAACAATGCATCATTATGTAATCAAGCTATTTTAATAGAATACAGAATATATCATATGTAACAATTGTTGTGCTCTTTTTTTTTTTTTTTTTTTTTTTTTTTTTTTTTTTCTTGTAAGAATAATCCTACTTTATTCATAAATAAGAGAGAAAGAGAGAGAGAGAAAGAGAGAGAGAGAGAGAGAGAGAGAGAGAGAGAGTGTGTGTGTGTGTATGTATATAATATTAGTTTATAAATAGTAATTATATATGTATATGTTTATATAAAGGGAGGAAGGAGGAAGGAGATAGGAAAAAAAAAGAGGGAGAAATAAGGATAATAAAAATAACAAGAGGAAGGAGTACATCTTATTTCATCTGCTTACAGTATCAAGTCATTGCCGTTGTAATATTATTATTAGTAGTATGGCTTGATGTCGTTTTCTTCTTGCCCTCTTCTACATCATATGTATGAGGAGCTGAATAAACGGTAGAATTTGTTGTTGCAGGCATTATAGATGAATGCATAGTAGTCATAGGTGGATGCTGAATAAGATACGGATCATATTGTTGAAATTGAGGTTGATAACCCATTGTAATTGCATTAGGCTCATAATAAGCATGCTGTTGACCATTATAGTAAGGATCAATATAAGTTGTATTATTATAATACATATCATGCTGTTTTGGAATTGCAGCCATAGGTGGTTGTGGAGAAGGAGGAATCATTGTAGAATTATTATTACTATTATTATTATTATTATTGTTATTATAGGTAGAATCCATCCATGCATCATCGGTTACTGCCATAGGAGAAAGTCGTGTATTATTAAATGGATCATGTTCACCATAATCTCCAATGTCACTACTGTAAACACGTTTCTTACGATTGTTTCGTCTCGTTTTCGAAAAGAAGGCATATGCAAAGCCTGCACCAATAATAGCTAAAAACCCACAAACAGATCCAACAATGACTCCAATATTATTATCTTCCTTAGGTTCCTTTGATAATGATTGCGTCGGAGAGGCTGTTGTAGTGATGGTACCAGAAAGACTTGAACCCTCTGTAGCAGTTGAACTAGACTTTGTTGAAGCAGCAGGAGTAGTAGCAGTGGTAGTAATAATACTCGTTGGAGTTTGATTTGATCGACTTGAGCTTGCTATAGTAGATATTTTTGTGTTCGTTGAAGATATAATAAGTGATGATGTAGCAGATATAGATGTTAGTGAACTTTGACTTGATACTGTTTGAGAAGGAGAAGGTAATTGTGCTGCAGACGTTGCAGAAGAAGGAATATGAGCACTAGTAGATAAAGCGATTGATACTGTGGTTGTTGTAGATGGACAAATATCGAATAGATCACAAAACAGTTCTGCTCTAATTTCTTGAACAAGTAAAATAGCTACCCATAAAACTATTAAACTTTGTTCATGAAACCTTATACGCATGCTATTATTCTATGTAGTGTATAAAAAGTAGATAAAGAAGAGATAAAAGAAGTACAAAAAAATAAAATAAGGTTACGAAATGATACATTAATATTTTTTTTTTTTTTTTTTTTTTTTTTTTTTTTTTTTTTTTTTTTTTTAGTAAAGTAACCAGAAGGAGGAGAAAGTTAGGAGAAGAGAAATGAGATATTTTATAGGAGATCATTATTTAATTGATTGACTTTTATTGGTCTTTCTTTTTTTTTTTTTTTTTCCTCTAAATTTATTAATTTATTGTACAAAGGTCTTTCATTGTACACAGCATGTGATTATACATCTTTTCTTAACAATAAATTGATTGACTTGATTTGTTAAAATGATAGTCACTTTTCACAATTGAAGTAGATTCACAAGATAGTGGTGTCTATAGCCAGGCGGAAATTAAAAAAAAGAGAAACTTTATTTCTTTTATAAAGTGCTTTATAAATATTAATCATCTTTTAAGACTTGTATTAATAATCAATGTCAGAAATTAATCTTTCAAACGTCAAACATATTGTGCTTGTACTTTCTGGTAAAGGAGGAGTAGGTAAATCCTCAGTAACAACTCAACTAGCCCTTGGTTTAATGCATCAAGGTAAAAAAGTGGGTGTACTCGATATTGATCTTACTGGACCAAGCATTCCTCGCATGTTGGGATTAGATGGTAAAAAAGTCCATCAGGCCTCTCAAGGGTAAAAAGAAAAAAAGGATATATACCAGAGTTAAGTATAGCATTCATTCATATTTTTTTTTTGATATACATAGTTGGGTTCCTGTTTATGCTGATAAAAGCCAACGTTTATCTTGTATGTCTATTGGATTTTTATTGACCAACAAAAATGATTCAGTTGTTTGGAGAGGGCCTAAAAAGAATGGTAATTATTTATTATAGTGTTTAAAATTGTATGACTAATGATTGACTATATAAAAAGCTATGATTAAACAGTTTCTTCAGGATGTTTATTGGGGTGAATTAGATTATTTATTAATCGATACACCACCAGGCACCTCTGATGAACATATCGGTATTGTAGAATATCTTAAAGAGTTTAACCCTGATGGAGCTGTGATCGTCACAACACCTCAAGGTGTCGCTATTGCTGATGTTAGGAAAGAAATCTCATTCTGTAAAAAAGTAAAATTACCTATTTTAGGCGTAGTAGAAAACATGAGTGGATTTGTATGTCCACATTGTACGGTAAAATGATAATATTAAAATGAATAGAAACGCTTTATATTCATTTGTGTGTGTGTGTGTGTTTTTTTTATTCATTAGGAATGTACAAATATTTTCTCTTCCGGTGGTGGTGAGTCAATGGCAAAAGAATATGAAATTGACTTCTTTGGTAGAGTCCCTATTGATCCAGGATTTACAAGTATGGTAGAAACAGAAGGATCTGGTTCTTATGTGAATATGTTTGACAAATCCAATTTATTCCCTATTTTTCAACAAATATGTGATAAAGTCATAGAAAAGACGTCATCCTCATCTTAATTTAGAAGAGTCTAAACCCCAATACTCTTCTAAATGATCAAGGATAGCTGGAATACTAGATAAAGTATTAAACGTTTTTCGTTCTGCATTGCTCATCATATCTTCAAACATAAACATTAAATGATGATGAAAAATAAAAGAATTTGTACCATAACCAATAGCTAATTTAACATATTCCTATATAATCATGAATGTAAGAAAAAGAAAAAAAAAAGGGGGTCCTGTTGTATTTTATCATATTCAATCATTACCTCTATACATTCCCATGGTGTTGTCTCATATCCTGCAAATAAAGCTGGATTTTGTAATAATCCTCTGGCTGACATCACACCGTCTACTCCTGTCTTTTCATACATTTCATCCGCATCTTTTAATGAGAATATACTTCCATTCGCGATAACAGGCATCGAAACAGATTCTTTAACCAGTCGAATTGCTTCGAAATTGACAGGTTCAGTTGATTTTTGAAGTCGAGTACGTCCATGCACTGTCAAGAAATCTACACCTACTGATTCGGCTCTTTTTACAAATTCATATGTAGTTCTATTTATATAAAATGAATAGATTCATTTTCAGTAAATAATTCTTAAACTAAATATATGAATATATACATGTAGATGCATATATGGTACATTACTTGAGATCATCATGAACTCGAATTTTGATACTACAGGGTATATTGACTCTTGCTTTTACAGTACGTATCATATCTCGCACGTTTTCAGGATCTTGCATTAAATAAGAACCAATTCTTTCTTGATAGGCCCATTTTTGAGGACAACCGCAATTGATATCGATACCACCTGCAAAGGGGGCCACTAATTCAGCTGCATCAGCTAAATCAGATCCATTATTCGCTGCAAACTGAACGACTACTGGATCATCTGCATTATTAGTTGTAAAATCGGATGTTCTAGCAAATTCTGAATTTTTGAATACATCTGCCAAGATCATTGGAGTATAAACAATATCTGTATTATATCTTTTGTTTTTTTAATATTAATTATACATGTTTGCATACATGAATACAAATATAAGAATGTATTTTTATTTATTTATTTTTACTTTCTCACTAGTTCTCTAAAAGCAAGTTTACTATATCGTACCATGGGTGCACATACATTTACTCGTTTTTTAGTTGCTAACACTTCTAATGGTGAAGTCTTTTTTCTTCGTTCTTCATTCAACATGATTAGAGTGGAGATGAATATTAAAAAAGGAAAAAAAAAAATTTTTTTTCCTAGTATGTATACAAACAAATATATTATTTTTATGTTACAATAATAGCAATAAAAATCCCCGAAAAAAGAAAACGATTTAGTCGATTTTACTTATTAAAAATAAGCTGAACTGTAAACTTCACAAAGTAAAGAAGAACAAAAACAAAAACAAAAAAAAGCTGTTCACTCACTAATAATAACTAAAAAAAAATGATTGAACAAATTATATGCAAGGAGAAAAAAAAAAAAAAAAAAGAATGACTCTAAATTTGTTGCTTTTGTACCTGAAAACTTTATTTATATGATGTGCTACTGAGTAAAGGCGTATTTTCATTTTCAACAGAATAAACAGTGGGTGCTTGTACTGCACCATAATTCATATTTTTAGAGACTTTTTCTTTTTTAGTAATCACAAGCCCTATTTCCTTTTCATATTCATCTGCAAGCCATAGACCAGCACTTACAATATTTGACCAAACAAAAATGATGTTGAAGAAGGGCACAAGTTCTAATGCAAAAGCAAAGCTACCAAATCCCACATAATTCCATGCATGTTCTCGTGCATGATGATAAGAATCTGAGACCTTGTAGCCACGTAATTCGATATCATAATGCAATCTTTGACTCCATCTGAAAATAAAAAAATAAAATAAAATAAAATAGTTAGCTTCATACATACATACATACATACATATATATATATATATATTACGCTGTAGGCCATCCATTAATAGTACAAGCTAAAGCAGTACCAGCAAATGGAATCAATTGTAAAGGAGCAGTCAAAAGCATAAGTAAAATCTACGTATATATTATATATATATTAATATGATATCAGCATACTTCATGAATACCTGTTATTTACCTTGACAGTAATCAAACACCATGTTACTAAAATACTAGATCGTGAACTACGCCAACAGAGTACATACTTGGGAATATCATGCTCTTCTTCTTCATCAAAGATACGATCTAAACCACGCGCTCTAAGTGTAGCATCAAATACAGCATCTTGAAAGATAGGGACCAGAATGGCAAAGAAGATCAAGTTTAAAATAGCGCTTTCAACTATAGTAGATATAATTGAAATGAACCAAGACATCCAATGAGGCCAGTGCCATTCTAACAGTTTTCCAACAAGTTGAGGTAAAAGGAATTTAATAGAAATGCCAATAGAAAAGACACTGAAGATCATCGTGAGTAGAATAGGGCTTAGCGTTTTTAACCATAGTTGCTATCAATCAAAGAGAGAGAACACAGAATAGAATAATAAGTATGCTGATTTGTGTACATAATATACAAAATACCTTTGGATGCGTTAATAAGAAGTAAATACCTTTAAACGGAAAAATAACAGAAGCCATTAGAATATGATAAAGGAAGAAAGGAAATTAAAATAAAAAAAGGGGGGCTATTTTTTTATTTTTTATTTTTTAAATAAAATAAAATAACTTTTGGTGATACTGTTACATTTGATATACGACAAAAGAGAACGTACTTTGTCAAATAAAAAAGAAGTTTAAAAATAATGCAAAACAAAAAAAAAAAAAAAAAAAAGAAAGTCAAAAGCAGTCCGAGAAAAAAGTTTCAAATTCAATCGCTTAAAATAACTTTAACAAACAAACAACACCACTCCCTCTCTCTTTTTTTTTTTTTTTTTTTTTTTTTTTTCATGTAAATCCCGTATGTCTATTATTGATAAAATTATTGATAGAGCAACACGGCATAATAACACAACTGAAGAAAAGCCTCAACGTCGGTCTTTTTTTGGATTCAATACGAGTAGCACAAACAACGATGACAATCATCATAAAGCAACTGTTACTACTACTACTACAGTGGTAACAAATAATAACACAGGTAAATAGTTTATATATGGTAAACAAATTTAAGCTTATTTTTAAATTTTATTTTATTGTATTTTTATGTTTATTTTTTATTTTATTTTATTTTATTTTATTTATTATTTATTTATTTTTTTTCTGAAAAGGCAAAAACAAAGAAGAAAAAGAAGCTCTGCAACAGAAAGATCCTAAAGGTAAACAAGTTATAATAAAAACAACATGGTTCATGAGCTTACTCTTTTTTTTTCTCTGTAGAATTAGAAAGGGAACATTTAAAACAACAATATGCTACTTATGATCGAGCCATGTTAGAACAGCGTAAAAATCGACCTAAACTTAAACTTGATGATTTTCGTCTTTTACGAACATTAGGGACAGGTTCATTTGGTCGAGTTCATCTTGCTCAATCACGTCACAATAATCGTTATTATGCCATTAAAGTGCTTAAAAAGTCGGAGGTTGTACGATTAAAACAAGTAGAGCATACCAATTCAGAAAAACATATATTAGAATCAACTGCAAATCCTTTTATGATTAATTTATGGGGAACCTTTCAAGATGATGTTAATTTATATATGGTTATGGATTATGTGCCAGGCGGTGAATTATTTAGTATTTTAAGAAAGAATCAGGTAAAAAAATAAAATAAAATAAAAAGAGAGAGAGATGAATTACATAATAAAGCTTAAACATAGCGTTTTCCTGATCATGTTGCAAAATTTTATGCAGCAGAAGTTGTATTAGCTATCGAATATTTTCATTCAAAAAATATTATTTATCGTGATTTAAAGCCTGAAAATTTATTATTGGATGCTCAAGGACATATAAAGATTACAGATTTTGGATTTGCGAAATATGTTCCAGATATTACATGGACATTATGCGGTACACCTGATTATTTAGCACCTGAAGTAATTCAGTCAAAAGGATATAGTATGGCAGTCGATTGGTGGAGTTTAGGTATTCTCATCTTTGAAATGTTAGCAGGCTATCCACCTTTTTATGATGACGACCATTTGAAGTTATATGAAAAGATATTACAAGGGAAAATTAAATGGCCAGCTTATTTTGATCCTCATGCTAGAGATTTACTTAAAAGATTATTGACTCCTGATTTAACTAAACGATACGGCAACTTGAAGGGAGGCGCAGATGATATCAAGAATCATAAATGGTTTAGTGGAGTTGATTTTGTTCGAATGGCGAATCGTCAAATACGATCCCCTTATGTTCCAAAACTTAGAGGAGAAGGTGATTCTTCTCATTATGATACATATCCTGAAACAAATGAACGTTATGGTGAATTGGGTCCAGATCCTTATCGTGATAAATTCCCTGATTTTTAAACAAAAAAAAAAAAAAAAAAAAAAAGACTTTATTTATAATTTTCTTGAAGGAATAGCACAAAATATAATAGTACAAATAACAGAAAAAAGTAAACTTGTCATGAGTAACCAAATGGATCTTGCAACTAATATACGTTTTACTTCTGGTTGTTTTATTGAATTGAATTTAAATGTAGTTGTTTCACTATATACAAAAATATGAATATTCATCACATTGTATGTCAATTATCATTTTCTATACCTTTTGTTAAATACAAGCACCCAAATAGGATCTAAACCAGTCAAGAAGATAAGAATATTCAAAATACCAATCCAAAATGGAATTAAAATCTAAGTAACAGTGTAAATATGATATAGAATATAGATATACATATGTATATATGTGTATGTGCATGTGTATGTGTATGTATATAATCTAAAGCATACCCAGAATCGAGTCCCCCATTGAGAATAGCCCAGAAATATAAAACTAAATGATGTAGTTAAAGCTGCTAATAAAGAAACTAATCCAAATACTAATCGACCTAATTGCTGATATAATGTAATGTTTCCCCATACTTTTAATCTTAAAAATTTAGGATATACTTGTCTCTGCATATAATCAAATAAATACTCTTTTACTTCTTGAAATAAAGCAGGATCATCTCGTCCTCCTGTTGGTTTCTCTAATTCTTGTCTTAGGCTAGTCACTAATTCAGCTGGTAAATAGTGTGAAATTTCCTTGGTTGCTGAAGGTACTAAGTAACGTAATAAAAGTCGTTGAGCTGAATCCATAACTTCCTTTCTACTTGGTATAGCAGTAGCATTTGTCAAATGCTCTGTAGTAGTTGTAATAGAAGAAGTGAGAGAAAATGTGTTTGGTAACACAACAGTGCCTCTTAAAGGAGGTCTGGCTGTTGTTGTCATCGTGGTGGTATCTTGGATTGTAGATGAAGAAGCTGGATGCTGTGATAATCGACTTAATACTCTAAGGGATTGATAGCCCTCACTTAAGTCACCTTCTGATAAATGACCTGTACGTTGCATTGATTTTACATATCTTTTCCATAATAACTCATGATGTTGTAAATCTAAATAGAAATCAAGTATTTCCTCCATCTTGAGTCTGTCTCTCATAATAATGTAGAAATTATAAAGACATATAGGTGGCAATGTCTTTCTTGTTAACACTTGATCTAACGTAGGTAGTTCATCTTTATAATTATTTTCTTCTTCTTTCATAATAATTTAAATTAAATTAAAAAAAAAAGAAAGAAAGAAAGAAAGAAAAGGGAAAATAATGAAATTTTATTATAAAGAATTTTATAAAGATAAAACAAAAGATATTAAGGGCGAGGTTTTCATTACCTTTTATTGGTAATATTTTATAACTCAGCAGCATTTTTTTTTTTTTAATTTTCTTGTATCTTGGTAAAAGTGATCATAATTATTACTTCAGCTTTTTATAAAAATGATCATTGTAAATAATTCAGAAAAATGCTCATTAAATAAAACACGATTTGTTTGTATATCTGATACACATGGGAAAACAAATTTTGAAATACCTGATGGTGACGTTTTAAGTAAGATTTGTGTTCATATAGCAATAATAAGATAAATTCATTTTTATTATTATTATTATTATTATAAAGTACATGCAGGTGATCTGACAAGGAGAAGTTCAATGGAAGAATACGATAGAACTATTAAATGGTTATCTTCTTTACCTCACAAGTATGTATATAAAATGACGTAGTTTTTTTTTTTTGATCTATTAATCATATAATAAAAATGTAAGGATTAAAATCATTACAGGTGGTAATCATGATCTAATATTAGATAAAGCATTCGGATATATAGAGAATAGAACAAAAATAATATCATTAATGGAACAAAATGGATTGACATATCTTGAACATGAATTTTATCAAATACCTAATTATGAATATACACTATTTGTTTCACCTTATGCACCTACTCATTTAGGTGGTGCTTTCATGTTAGACGACATGTCTAAATGCTGGAATAATATTCCTCCAGTAGACATTTTAGTTACTCATACTCCACCCTATAGTCATTGTGATAAAGTGATAAGGGGTAATAGACATGTGGGATGCCGTTATTTAAAATGTAAAATTGATAATGTTATAAAACCAAAGGTGTCTGTTTTTGGACATATTCATGAAGCACATGGTTACGAATTTGATGATGCTAATAATAGATTATTTATTAATGCATGTTTATGTGACCATCGTTACAGAGGAAATCAAAAACCGATTATATTTGATCTATAATTTTTTTTTTTTTTTTTTTTTTTTTTTTTTTTTTTTTTTTTTTTTTGTTCTTTTAATTATTAAACTGTCGAAAACTTTGTTATATTATCAAGAGAAATTTTATCGTATTATTGAAGAAAAAGCATGTCGCATAATAAATAAATAGTGTGGAAATAGTAATATGTGATGAATAAACCTTACATTTAATTTAAAGAAATTCAAGAATAAAACAAGTCTGTGAGTACAAAACCTACTTTATTTTATGATGGATAAACCAATTTCACTTAAATGATAAAGGACTTATTATGTATCCAAGTTAAATCTTGTGATAACTAGATTGGTGAATTTTACTGCTGTCTATGCCGTGATCGAGAACTATTTCAATATCTAGATTGGTTACTGGGTAACTAAAGCATGCTGAAATCGTTCAGAGATAATATGATCCCACTCATAAAAGACCGAATATCAATAGTGAACATACTATAAAATTTTGATTCCAAAGGCGATATACATCTGTCAAAAATAAAATGTATAATAATCTTGAAAGTCTTGGAAATAACAAAATGACTTTTTTTTTTAAAAAAAAAAACAAGGGCATACTTGATAATTTGTTAGGAGGGGAGACTATTCGCTTATTGTTGTTTTCTGTATAGGACCAAGGTTTTTCAGTCATTCAAAATGTTTCAAGACTTAAAGCTTTAGCATTTGCTTGTATTAGATTCATTAATTAAGTATCACTAGAAAACTTGTGCTTCTTTCCAGTAGTCTTCAAAATCTCATACCACGTGTTGGTTCGCTTGGAGCAGATCAATTACCTATTATAAACACTGCATCATGTCTTGGATTTATTTATTTTTTTATCAATGTTTGTTTGTCGTCTTACTGCTTCTTGATGTTGTATACAAATTGTTTTAGCTTTTGATGCAGCTTACTAACATTGTCATGGTTAGTAGAAGTTTCAATATAATGATTTCGTAAATCATTAAAAATCATAGACCTATTTCTTGAAAAAAAAAAATCTTTGACTTTTTAAAGATTCAATGTAACATAATGCAGTAGAGTTCTTTCAGTGTCGTTAATACTTTGATATTTCATTCTTTTGTAGAATCCTTTTCTATTTATTTATTTTTTTTTAAAAAAAAATTGGTCTTGCTGAGGCTTTGTATAATACTAATATATCAACGGTAGAATTTTTTTTTGTGCAACACAGTAATGCAAGTTTTGTTTCCCAGGATCAATTGCTACATACATGCCAGCAATTCATTGTTGTGATTACTTCATAAACAACTTGTTTATGTACTAGATTTGCTCTACTTGATACATATTTTTGCGCAAGTATTTGCCTTACTTATCTGTTTTTTTTATGACAGTTAATTCAACATTATCGGTTTGTACCTTTCCGTAAAAAAAAAAAAAAAAAAAAAAAAAAGTAATCTATCATCTTCTTCTTAGCGATCAAAAGACTTAGCCTCTAAAGCAACAACTATTGATTTCCACAGTCCCCCCCCAAAAAAAAAAAAAAAAAAAAACTGTAAATGATTAATCAGAGATATTGATTATTTCGATGATAATTTAAAATAAAGCAAATTCGAACTTCTTTTTTCTATTTTATTATTAGAGAGTATACAGAATTCAGATAGCAGTATAATAGATGTATTATGCACAAATTCTATTCATCCTTGTTAATTAAAAGAGATGTTCATGTAGTTATTTTTTTGTATATATTTTGATTCAGTGTTAAACTTGTAAATAACTAGTAATGATGAGTCTTCATCTTATTTAAAGAAAGCTGTCTATTTTTATTGGTGTGCCTACGTCTGGGTAATATATTTAGACATGAGATCACATAAAAGAATATATTAATAATATCAATTGTTGTAGTTAAAGCTAGCATATAATAAATCTTTTATGTCTATTCCGATAGTTTGGCTACTATGAAGTGGTAAATCATGTTTTGTTTAGTCTGCACTTGTTCTTAATTCTAATTTTCTCAGATGTTACTCTAGTCGATAAATATCCTATTATTATCACAAAGCCTACTAAAACGACAGGAGTTCATGATAAGATTCAATTTAATCACCAGTATTAAATATGAATACACCTTTTTTCATAAACTTTTCGTACACTTGATATGAAAAAATTCGTATAGTTGAGGAAAAAAAATTTGGGACAGTTTTGTGTAATTTCGCAATGAAATTTCGTACACTTTAAGAAAACGAATTTATACAGTCATTTTCGTACAGTGAAGCTGATAAATGGTCCACTGTTCTCCGGTCCTTTTTGTGTGTTATAAAAAATATGGAGAAAAACTTGCAGACAGCTAACAAAAAAAAATTATATCACTAGACAAAACTTGACGACGCATTTTAATAAGTTGGCTTATCAAGAATCTTTATTTTTTAAGAAAAAAAAAAACCTGTTTGTGATGAAGTGCCTCAAGAAAATGATGAACCCAAAATTTGTGTTATAAAACGAGACTATTGATGTTTCAATCATTGATGTATGTAGCTATTCAGAGTTGGGGAAAAGCCAACAGGAGCAACTTCTTAAAATTATTAACGTAATCAATCTCAAGTCTGTATGCACTACAAGCTCGTCCAGACAATTCGACTCTCTTTGTCAAGTCCAACAATATAAAAGAATCGTTATCCGCATCGACTGTTTCTAAGTGGTTACATCGTCGTTTCATCTCTTTGTGTACAAATGAACCTGGGGTCTCTATTCGATCGTTGGCATCTTCTAGGGCATTAGATCTAGGTATTTCTCGAGACAGCATTGTGGCTCTTGGTAACTGGGCTTCATCAGAAACATTTGTTCGTCATTACCAGCGGAATCAAATGGCGCAAGTTGACTTTACATCGACGATTCTATCCAGTCAAGACGAATTTTTTGATGCTTCTGATTCCTTTCAAGCTCTGGATTAGCATAATAACATTTCCTATTTTGTTTCGACGATCTCAAGAAATTCTCTCGAGAAATTTCTTTCGACTGAGAATTGCTATTTAGACCTGAAGAACAAAATAGGAAATGTTATTATGCCCACCCTTCAAAAATTTTTATTTACTTTATTATATTTAGTCTTTCCCTCCCTTCTTTCTTATTATTTGACCGAGATCAAATTCGATTGATAGTATAATATTAAAATTTTATTCCTTTATATATCTTTGAATTCGCTATTAAATAAAGATTCAAGAAGATTCTAGCATAATAACATTTCCTATTTTGTTCCGATGGTCTCAAGAAATTCTCTCGAGAAATTTCTTTCGACTGAGAATGTTTAAAAATTGTTTAATAGTCGCTCTCTGGTGAGCTTTTAAAGTGCTCCTTACCAAAGCGTTGTCCATGAGTGTTGAAACTCAATTTGAAAATTTTTGGGCATATTACGTCCGACAAAAGAACTACTTGATTACTGTCGTCACTGTCATAAATTCTCTCATTTTCCTCATGCTGGTTTTTTAATAGAGCAATTGTTCTCATTGTCTCATCAAGACGGCTCTAAACAATAAAATTATACTTGTTACTAAATTCTTTTCTCAATCCTCAAGATTAGAAATATACCTTCAAAGTTAAGAGAAATTTAACAAGGGATACCGAATGTTCATCCCTATCTTCAAAGTTCTCGCTCAACATAATTTTTTCCTCGCGAACAAAGTCATATAATCCGTTTTTGGAATAATTCATTGACCATAATCGGAAACATGTGTCTATATTATATAAAATAATTTCATTAGTAAAAATAAATAAAAAGTTCCTTCTATTGCTTACCACTAGGCTGAACGAGGTAAAGTTTCAATTTTCTGAACTCGTCAGCAGAAGCGTATTTGAATGTGTCAGCTACTGTTTTTAACATCGCTAACAATGCAAACATTCCCTTCGAATTATCAAATGCTATCTTGGCCTTGTCATTATACCCAAAAGCACCTGCTGTTTCAAGAACAAGGACTTCCAAATCGCTGAATTTTGCTAAACGCAAAACACCGTCAGCCCTGTAAATCTTTCGCTTGTCTTCTTTATATCCCATTTCCTTCAACTGTACCGTCATAGCAACAAGTTCTTCTTCGCCAGGAACGAAATATGGCATGTATTCACTCTTCTTCATCATAGTGGCTATTGCCTGCAAACAAGGAAAGACCATGTTTGTATTATATACAATTTCTGAGTGTGACAAGGAGGGCCTTTTCATATAGGATTTGGCCCTAATCCAGATAATAAAAAAAAATTATTATTTGAATGATTTTGATGGTATTTTACTTACATGACTTTAAGAATATCCTTGGTAAATTGGCATATTTCTTCTTGACCTTTTATGATTTCTTTGCTATCAATCTTTTCTTCCAACTTATCGATATCAGCCTAAGAATAATAAACAATAACATACTTAAATGCTTGAAATTTCACACAAAAACTTGAATATCAAGAATATTTACTGCTACAATTATACTACCGATGTAATCCTCCATTTCAACCCAGACATCACTTGCTTTATGTGGTTTTAGCTGCTTTTTCAAATGTCGGTATAGATCTTTATTTGCATCGGGATGGGGTGATAGCTTTGCACCCAAACGAGTTACACCGTTCTTCTCCGGACTATAATCAAGATTAACAATAGTCTTTTGAATGAATTATTATTTTATTTTACCTATAACGATGAAAGTTTTTGCTTTGTTCGGCATCGGCCAAAAACCCAACCCACTTCTGTCTAAACTCGACGTCTTCAATCTCTTTTAATTTGTCCTCATGGTTGGTCTAATACAAAATAACAAGTTTATAATAGTTAATGAATGTCGTTTACTATCAGTTTACCTTTTGCTTCTTTATCTGTCTCTCTACTGTTTCATTTATGATTATATCTCTGCCAGCCTATAACATTTATGAGTAAGTCATTCAAATAATAAGGAATGACTTTAAATTTAGATACTTACGTTGTAATAGTTGCCTTTAATCAAAATGGTATTGGCAATATAGACAAAGCATTAATTGGCTCAAATGTTTCTTTCCAAACTTTGATATTATGCATATCAAAAGAGCCAAATTCTTTATCTGATGGCTGATACCATTGGATGAAAGCAAATAAATGTTGTTTACTTTGTGGTGCCGCAAACAATGTATCGCCAGGAATCAACAAGTCCCAACCATCCAAATCTCCTCTATGGATATCAGTTTGCAATGAAAATCTTAACACTACGTCTCATAAGGATTTTAGTAGAAAACGAAGACAATTCCTACTTGACAGCTACCACTCAAAACTACAAGAAAAACATTCGAAACTTTTATCCCATTGCCGTGATAATCTGATTATCGACCCTATTCTTACGATACCAATGACAAGAAGTGAACGGTTTCGTTGCGTGCGATGACGACTTGGTTGGTTACCTCTTGGTAAACCTCAAGCCTGCCCCTTCCATCCAAATGAACTCTTCACACGCTCACATAGTTTTTCTTGTTTGCATGTGCATAACCGCCTTCAGATGCCCCAAATCTATTGAAGATCCACCCTCTTATCTCTTGAACCTACTAAGAAAGTGAGAAAATCAATTGATGCCTGGTTCATACGCTGGCCTTCTATATGTGCAATTCTGCTTGAGATGGACTATCTAGCTTCACTCCCAAATCCCTAAACCCTCTGACCATCATCTTCTTTCAATACAAAAACGAATTTCTGATAGTTAATTATCATCACTTATACATACACTTCAACATTTTCCCTTTTATCCCAAAAGGGTTTTTCTTACCTTTTTTTTCCATAGCGATCTGACCAGGGCAAAACAGCATATATAGATGCTATGTGCTCATTGGTCATTTTTAATTTTTTAAATAAAATTCTTCTTAATCGTAATAGTTGCCTTTCACCTAAAAATAAAATGCTAAAGTGAGTAAATATAGTATGTGATATTATAAACAAAGATTTAAATACCGTAATATTGTTAATAGTAGAAGAACTAGGTATACTTAAAGCAGAGTCAGTAGATGCAGTAGGTGCATTTGAAGTAGAATTGAATGGCTCCATTAATCGATTGATGTGTTGATTGACGATAGGAGGAATGTTCTTCGAATCATCTTTAACAGTTTGTAAGTTTTTCACAAAAACTTTCCTAATTTTTTCATGATCTTTGTCACTGAAATAATTTTTATATTTTTTAAATGTCCAGTCTGAGGCAGCTTTATTACAAAAGTACTTTAAATACTTGTTTGTCGTGTTGAAAGTCACTTTATAAGTGGTCAAATCTGTCATGTAAAAAAAAAAATTCTTTGTCTTGTTAACTAAGTGAATTGAAAAAAAATCAAATTACCAGCAACCAAGTGAATGCAAATTTTGTGTGTACAGTCAGGTATTTCTTTGTTACACATTACAGACATACGTAATGCCCATGATTATTAAGGACTAGGCTTCGATAAGCAATTTATGACTTACTTACATAATCCGATAATTTATTTTTTACCTGTAATACAAATGTCCATAATACAACAAAATACAGCAAAGATGCGAAATATTGGTTAATTTAGGAATTTGAATGGTGATAATAGCAAAATAATTTAGTGCTTATTAAAAAAAGTATTGGCGAAAAACCAAAAAATGATTAGTTTACCAATATTTTTAAGTAAGCTCAGAGCAACATACCTGCATTAAATAACCAAAGCGATAACTTTGGTGGAGATTTGCTATTGTTTCCTTCACTCTGGTTTTGATGCTTCTTTTCTGCTAAAAACATCAGGGCATTTACCTGTCTCTCTCAAGCTCATCAAGACCTTTCGAAAGTTTAAAACAGCTGCCACATCTCGATTCCACAGCTTTCGTGGAATTTCCTTAACTTGTTCAAGGTTGGCCAACAGGCAGTTACGATTTTTACATCTAATAGTTCAATAATTAGTATTATTCTCTGTCGTATTAATACAATTCATATTGCTACTTTACCTCAATAAGCCATGACATTTTACAGTTGGCATTTTGGCTGCTCTCTTATGGAGGCGAGGGTTGGCGACTGTTTTAAACGTTTCTAATGAACTTTCACAGGTTGGGCAGCATGAAGAAGTTTTATATTCGTCAATATTAAATACTTGGAAGCCGTTTTTCTTCAGCATTCGAATGAGATCTTTGTTCCTGGTTGGCTCGTGATATTTTGAGTTTGAAGCCGACCAATTACCAATAACAAGAATTGCATCATGACCAAACTTCTTTTTCAACCTCTTCACTAACATCTGGTCATTTTGATCACAGAAAATTTTGGATGAACACTTCAGCTTTCGGAATGGCAAAACTTGAAGTTTCTCCAACAATTCCCCCGATATGTTGTTTTAGTTTGACTTCTTCATCCACGATCATCTTCTCTGCAAGTTCAAGCACCGTATTTTGGACTCCATCGTACAATCTTTCTGAGATATGTTGTTGCTGCAAAATTAGCTGCAAGTACGTATGGTACAGTTGAGATTGCGTTCGAGTGTCAGGAGAGGAAACGATGTCTTGAATATTTAAGACGAATAAATGTCTAAAATACAACTTGCTTTTCTCATCCACACAAAAGTCAAACAGGGAGCCGGGGAAGTAAAGATCTTTGGATGATTTTGTTTCATTTCCATAGTATTGGTTTAATACTTTTTTCACCGATGATCTTGTCTTAATGTAATCTACAAATTTGAATACATCTACAGTGGATGACGGTGTTTTGGAAAGAAGAGCTTCAGCGGATTCAACCATGGATGGTTTAGTTGACTTTTGTAAAGTTCTAAAGTGTCTTGATCTTCTTGATCTGTCATTTTTTGTAAAAACAAGAACTTCCTTGTGCTTGACCACACTGGTTTCTTTCATACAGTATAAAATATCACGTCTTTCAGGATCAATCAAAACGCATCTTCCATTCGCGCTTGCCAGCTCTGCTTATGTTAATGTTTCAATTTACTGGGCATCATTGTCACTTCTTGTTCCACCTTCCTTTTTTGAAGTTCCAGGGCTATCTTCTGTTAGCTTTTTCTTCCTAGTTGTAGCAGTATTTTGCTTTAGAATAGAAACACCATTTCCATCAGTCTCCAAAATTCCTTCAAAATGAAGAGACTTATTTAATCCTTGTTCTTTAAAAGCCTTTTTTTTTTTCAAATCAGTTACTTGAGCCCAGGTTTTAATTTTATCCTTCGCAGGCTTCTTGTTTTTGAGAATATGGAAGTTAACAATCTTACTATCCACTGTCATATATGGGGGAATAAACGTGGTTTGTATAGGAAAGCAAATGAATTCTTTTAACTTCTCTGATTCAACAAGTTGTGCAAGTCTATAAAAAAAACCTTGAAGTGATGTACTGGTTAAGCCAGTACATCATAGAATATTGACTCTTTATGGAATCTGTAGTCTGTAGGATACATGGAGAATAGAATTTCTATTTCTGATATTGACTTTTCATCCAAAATATGAGAATCGGGCATTTCTTTTTTTCGCCACACCAAGTTTTACTTGGGTGCAGGGAGTAAAGACCTCTTTACGGGCAACTGCTTGTATGGCTTTTGTGCTATGTCCTTCTGTCATCATTCTTTCTTGAAGAGCATTTGATTTTTCTTTCTTTTTGCAAAGTTTGTTTAGCAATTCGTGGAGCCTATCTCTAAAATGGGCTTTGATATTATTGTAATAGGCGGTTTCAACTTTCGTACATTCGTACAAAGCAATTTGCTGCGCATATGCTAGTTTAGGTGAAATATAGTGGGCATTTTTTAACAATATAAGCCTTTGTGTTTGGCAATCAATTGTCTATATAATTTCGTTGTTTCTTTGAGGCGTGTTTTTTTCCAGATTTGGTACCATCATACACTCATCTCAGGGTAAGACTCAAGAATACCTCAACAAAAAAAAAAACAATTTTGTGTCGTTGGTTAGATTTGAGGGTTATACGTTTAAGAAGTTGCTTTGATGTATAGAAATGAGGGTTTAATATAAACAATAATAGAAGTTATAAAAATGCAAGTCTACACAATTGTTTAGGATAGGTGTGATGACATTTCTAATCTGAAGGGAAAGCTTGGATAATAGCGTCAGAGACATAGCTATTAACACGACAAAGATCTGGACAGAGCAATCCTGCCAATTTTTCTAAATGACTGTTCAACTGATAGTTTCCAATGATTTGTATTGACGAAGCATTATGTTCGTACAATTCATTCATTGATTTAATAACTGTTTTGGCTTGACCATCATTTCTAAAAATGTTTTTTCTAAAGATCCAACAATGACATCATCAGCAACTCCATTATCTTGTTGTCGAACGATGCTAAGTGCTATTTCACGAAAAACCAGAGACATTACCCGACCGTCTGAAAAACTCTTTGTATTATCACAGTTTGCAAAAGTGAATATGGTATATGGTTGTCTGTTTGAACACTTGACGCTCGACATCTAATGTATGTTGAAAGTTGGTCAAACTTCGTTTGGAGCTGCCTTAACTGATAAAGGCTATCATAGTTGTGAATATAGCGATTTGATTGTTTCAAATATAATTTTTCGGCTGTCTGTCAGGATTGACGGTTGATAAAAATTTTGACTATTGTAGGGTCCAAAGTGTTACCAAAACTGCTTGTTGTCGGCCCAATATTAGACTTTTCAAGAGTATCTATTCTCAAGCTAGATGTTGTCAATGAATTAAAGGACTTCGTTCCAAGTATTAGTTTATGGTCATTATTATCATCAATGCTGATAATTCAAACGTTATCATATCTACAGCTTTGTGGAGGTGTGGGGGGAGTGATGACGTTGGTACAATGTCTTTTTTTGATTATAAAGTCTTTATGATGTTCATCTACAAGCTTTGTTCTGCCGTACACTTCATTGCAATTGACAATGATAGCATTGTTGTGATTGGTAATAACCATTCCTGATAGTAATGCAGCACATGAAAAACAAACATGTGGAAACGTACTCCAATCATCATTCAGCAGCTTTATCAATCTCTCATTCAATTCAATAAAGCTCTCTTTATTATTTAAATAAATGATGGTCTGTTTCTATTAACTTAGTTATAAAAGATGACTACAGTTATAACATCAGGCATAGATAATGTTCTGGCGGATCGACTAAGTCGTTTATCCCCTCCTATGGAAAAAATTGGGGAGAATATGATCCTTGATAAGTCCAATAAAATAAAATGGATAGATATTTAAAAAAATTAGAAAAATCAAAAAGCAAAACGAGAAATTTAAAATAAATTATACAGAGTATAAGAATGGAGATTGCATGACACCACCAGAGAATGAAAGAAGAGCTATTTTAACAAAAGCTCACGTATTCGAACATTTTGATGCCGAAAGTATAGTAAAGGCTATTCATAACGATGGCTTACATTGGCCGCATTTATTAGAAGATGCTGTCAATTTAGTAAAATCTTGTAAAACTTGCCAAAAACATAATATTGTAAAGTGCGGTTTCCATGAATTACGTCCCATATATAGTTAATATATTGGGCGACCATTGGTCTTTTGATTTGGCTGAATTATCATATTATACTGTATATAATATCCTATAAATAATATAAACCTTATTGAATTCAAGTCGTCTTTGATTCAATAAAATAAAATATAAAAAATATCAGGAACATATACTCAGATTGAATAATAAATATTTTATTTAAAACTTAATCAAAAATCAAAATTGCATTTTTTTTTGTAACTTAAAATATGCCCATAACTTTCATTTTAACGATATATAGCCTTGATCCATAGATTCTTTGTCTTGTATGACCAAGGTTTGGTATTAAATATTTATCGTAGAATTCACAAATTTGCCTGTTTGATCATTGTCACAACTTCTAAAGGTTTTTCAGCTCTCTACATTTCTTACCCAACTACCAATGTTAAAAGGATTCATATATCTTCTATCATTTTTATCAACTTTGGCCACTAAGTCAGTACCCTTAATATCCTTCCTTATTATTAAAGTAGTTATTTTTAATGTTGGATAGCTTATTTGATGTATCAGCTATAACAAGTCTGCCATCAGTTTCATACTATTTTTTGCGCTATCAATCCTTCTTTGTGTCCTCATCATTAAAAATTTGCTATTTATTTTATATTGTTGTTGTTGTTTTTTAATTTGTTACATTTAACAACATCTTCTTCATTTGTCAATTCTTTACATAATATTTCTTCTATTTCAAGTCTTTGTGTATAACCAAACTAATTTCCTTACTGTTACATATTATAATTTACAAGTATTCTGTAACCGTAACAAGTATGACAGTGGTTCTAAATAAATAACGTGTAACTTTTTATAGCAATTGTACTACACAATACGTATTAACTTTAGAGCCCATCCTCCTTTCTTTTTCATTTTTTTTTATTTTATATGAGAAAAAAAAATTATTGAAGAGGAAGTCCTTTATAGTGTAGAGGTGGATTAGATTCTGTTCTTGTTTGCTTCTACTACAGCCGTGTTACTCCCAGGAATGCCCTCAATGCTGCGGGCTTTCCTCTCTTGCATGGTAGGAAATTACCCCGCGATTTAACAACATCTTTTTATCGACCTCCATTGAAGGCCTGGTGTTGAACATTGGATCCTGGAAGGTAGCATGTTATCATTAAAGCTCAGAACTAACCCCGATTTTATTATTTAATCACTCCCATCTACAGCTAACAAAGTTCATCTCTCCATGATCGCCGCTAGGCCAACAGAAAGGCGCTACCCTTTCCGATCAAGTTGTTTTATTTACCTCAATTTTTTTGTTTATAAACCCAAACTTTTAGGTGTAGTTGCCGAGTTGTGGTATTCAAAAAAAAATAAAAATAAAAAAACATTTCCCTTTTATGCATGCATTTGCTATAATCTCATATCATCAAACAATTTTTTTTTATAAGAATTCAACGACCATCGAAATAAATAGGTATAGTCAGAGTCACTTACTCTTCCTTTATTAAATTTTAGACTTAAAGTACATGGACAAATAGTATAAAGGAATGCGGCTTCAACTTATTTATGTATTATACTTCTTCATGTTTTATAAACTTAAGGAAGTTGGTACACTCTACTGACAATACTAAGTAGGATTATTCTGTCGTAACTAATATTTTTCTAATGCCTCCCTGATCTTAGATATTCTTATATGAATACCTAACTGTTAAAATCATAGATAAAACTGTGATATTACTTGTAAAATATCAAATAAAAAATATTATAAAATGAAAATAATAAAAAGATAAAAAAAAAAAGTCAATGAAACGGAACAATAGTTCTAAAGTCAATCATTTTTATTTATGAATTTAAATTGATGAGTATTTATAAGAATTGTTAAAGAAGTCTAAGATAAGATTCGAATCAAAAAAGTGTTAGTTACGACCGAATAAGGTATGTTGTTGATAATAAAGTGTTAGAAGTTTTAATATTATTTGATAAAGTGGATCAAGAGAATTTTTCAGGGGAATCTAGGTAGAATTCCTTGATCCACTTGTTTAATCAAGGAACATGATATTCTAAGTCAGTTCATGACATCAAGTCTTGAAAAAGCCCGTCAATTAGGCAAACAAACAATGTGGTGTGGTTAGGTGTTTGGGAGCATAATCCTTCAGCTATTAACTTTTATACACGTCAAGGTTTCTATAAAGTGGGATGCCATACATTCATATTAGGTTCACAAGAAGATACAGATCATATCATGGTCAAGAAACTTTAGATTTGCTGTAATATAATAATCATTATTTATTTTATTTAACGTGCATTAAAATGAATCGGTTCTATTCCAATGATTACAATGACTGTAAAGGAATCTTATAAAAACTAAAAGAAAGATAAGAAGAATGATATACTAAATATAAAGGAGGAAATGTATTTTTATAACAAACAAAAATTTCTTTCTTTTTTTCAAATCTCTACTGTTGTTACATTTTAGCTCAGGAACAATATAAATATCTCTTTTTGTAATGAAGATATTAATTAGAATAATTAGTTCTGTTGATGCCTATTTTTTCCTAAAAAAAAAAAAAAAAAAAAAAAAAAAAAAAAAAAAAGTATTGCTATACCTACGTTCAACAAAATTTTCTAATCCGTTCTATGGATTAGAATATATTTTTTTCTCAGGAACAAGATACTGCTTTACCATTGAAATCAGATTTTGTTTCGTTGATGCATGACTATTGACCTTGATGTATATGCGGCTATCATAATCACTCATCAAGATTTGGCCAGTATCAACTTTTGTTGAATTTTGAATATTGTGCTAAAAATCTTCAATTAAAATAAAATATAGAGTAAATAGTATGTTTTTATGATAATATATTTTGTCTTTATTTACTATAGTTAAGCTGCCTTCTTAAATCTGATAACAAAGAAAATATATTTAACGAACGAACAAGTCATGAAAAAATTAGTAAATAACATAAATTTCGCAGCCTATTTTTAATAACATGATAATCATATATATACAAATATATATTTTGTGAGGCGAAGTATGAACTTTAAATATATAAAATTGGATAAAGGAAGAGTTGAGATTATTCATTTTGATTATACAACATCTAGATAACGTTTCAGTAAAATAAAGTAAAAGGAAAAAATATTGAATATTCTTAGAAAAGAAATATCCTTGCATTTATTACTGTTACAGTGACAGAATTGTTATATTTGTCAATATCTTCTTTTTTGAAGTAATCAGGAACACTTTTCTTTACACTAGTTTATAGAGAGATATTCATTGTTATCACAATATTTTTGGTAGATCTTTTTAAGTCTTTATTCTTAAGTGAGCCATAACATAATGTATATTATTAGCTAGAGAAGCTTGCTAATCAATTAAATGAATCTGTACATTACATTTACTTGTGATTATATCATGAGAGGTTGATTATGATCAAACACAGCAATTATAGATTTGTATCTGTATGTGCTTAAATTAAGGCTTTTTAGACACTCTATTATCTTTTTATGTCTTGAGGACCATAATGATACCAAGGTACATAGTACACATTCATGTGTAAGAATTTATTTCTAATATATAATCTAACTATAATAGTGTCAGGTAATAATAGCAAATTTATATTTACTACTGTTCCTCCTGTACCTACTACCGTTGCTTGGTAGAATATAGTCATAAAACATCATTACTCATGCTGCTGCTGCTGCTTGAAAAAAGAAAAAAAAAAGGAGTCGCTGGTGTAGTACAAAAAATAAGAATAAATAAAAAAATTAAGGGTTCATTTGATTTGGTGGGGAACCCTTGAAGTGATTCGATTCCACAGCCTAGGCTTGGGCTAAATATGCTGCGAATTCTAGTCACTCTCCAAACACCCGTGTTACTTTCATCAGAAATAGAGGATACACATAGGGCTATATTTACTATAAACACCCCACTTATACCACCACCTCTATTTATACTTACAGCTATAATGCTACTACCAACAAATCCTTACTAATGTTAATAATCACTACACAGTGCCAGTATTATCTACTACCACTACCACTACTACTACTTTGACTTGCTTTCGTTTTTTTTGTAATCCTTATCATTGAATTATGGAATAGTCTATAATATATATGTATGAACAGGAAAAAAAAATCTTCTTTTATTATTATTAACATTTACTATTATTATTATAAATAAACTATATTGGAACCGCAAATGATTTATTTTGTTATATTGCTTGGGTTATAGTATATATGAACCTTTTTATAGTATTTGTTATAGAGCAAGCTCTGGATATGAGCATAAGCAATATTAGAAACGATGAATTACATATTACAGAATAAACTATAAACCCCAACATAGAATAAGACATACAACATATCATATTATACTGTATATAACATCTAATAAATATTACAAACCTTATTGAATTCAAGTCGTCTTTGATCCAATAAAATAAAAATGTAAAAGACATTAGGAACCTATACTCAAATCAAACAATTTAAATCTTAAATCAGATCATTATAACACCCAATATATAATCCATAGATCAGCACTTTGAATCAGCAAGATGAATATCTGAATACTAACAATGTTTCATGATTCATGTTCTTTGACGGTTATTTTTATTTCTTTGATTCAGGATTCATTAGTATAAATACAAGCAGTTGTGTAGACGTGAAATAATTCTTTATATCATTCTTTTTACATTGAATAAACAGTCTCAAACTATACTTTTTTTTTTTGTTTTTTTTTTCTTTCTCCTTTTTATTTATTATACAAGTCCTACCACCACAACGACTACAGTGAAAACCACATACAAAAAAGGATCCGAGAACAGTAAAACATACACAATTGACCCGAGAACAGTGAATCATTTATCAGCCTCACTGTACGATAATGACTGCATGAATTCGTTTTCTTAAAGTGTACGAAATTTCATTATGAAATTTGCACAAAGCTTTCTCCCACATTTTTTTCCCCAATTATACGAATTTTTTATTTCAGGTGAGGTATTTTAAGGAGTGGATAAAAAAATAAACATACTATGTGATATGTTTTTCTTTAAAAGAACTACTGTGTATTCATTAAAATACACGTGAGCAGAAATAATCTTCTTCTGGTGGACTAAAATATATATAAAGGATACAAGTGGGTAATGTTTGTTCATCATGTTGTTAAAATCTAAGGTAGTAATAGGATCATAGAGCTCTTATTTATAAAGAAAAAAAAAATAAAAACTGTATACAAAATAAGTGATAGATAAATGTGCAAAATAGAGCAAAGACTATAAAATACATTTTGGTTTTAGTCCCTATACTTTAATGTGATATTAAAGTAAACTAACTAGGCTAGTAATAAATGATAGAATAAAGCATTATTTTGTAGTTCACAAATAATATGCATTTTATAAAGAACACTCATTAAAACCAGCTGCTTGCTTTTTTTTTTTTTTTATTCTAATAATTGATATAATCTGATTATATAATATCAAAATTTGACATAAATTTTCAGGTCATTTAAATTTGGTTTAACTTGATACAGAATTCCTTTTTTTTCTTTCCTTAATTATAAATTAAATTCAAAAAAAAAAAAAAATGAATTCTAATAGAAATGCTGGCTCAACAGCTTTAAAACGTCTTATGAAAGAATATAGAGGTATCCAATACTATTTTTTTTTTCCTTTTATGATTTATAAAAATTGGTTATTAAATCTATGTTTATATTATAGAACTCATTTTGGAGCCTCCAGAAGGCATTGCTGCAGGTGATATATATATAAATATTTATAATATTCAATATAAAGAAATATGACGAATATAACTTCTAATCTGTTAATAAATAGGCCCCATTGATGAAAATAATTTTTTTGAATGGGAAGCTCTAATTTCGTAAGTTCAATAATTCAATAATCTTTAAATTCATGTGTGTATGTATGTTTTTAACAAGATTTGTCAAGTGGTCCTGAAGATACTCCATTTGAAGGAGGATTATTTCCAGCCACTTTATCATTTCCAAAAGATTATCCTTTGAGCCCACCTACGATGAAATTTACCTGTGATTTCTTTCACCCTAATGTATATCCTGATGGCACTGTTTGTATTTCAATCCTGCATCCTCCTGGAGATGATCCTAATATGTATGAAAGCAGTTCTGAAAGATGGAGCCCTGTTCAAAGTGTCGAGAAAATTTTATTGAGTGTTGTTAGTATGTTAGCAGGTGAGCATTTGATCAAATAATGATATAAACATAATATATGTATATGTGTATACCTATATACTGATATATATATATTTATATACATATATATATTTTTTAATTTCTATTAGAACCTAATGATGAAAGTGGTGCTAATGTTGATGCTTGCGTAAGTTAACATTTTACATGTGAATTACAACAAATTAACATTTATTTTTGTTTAAACATGGATTTGAATAGAAAATGTGGAGAACAGATCGTGAAAAATACAATCAAATTGTAGCTGAAAACACTAGAAAAACTTTGGGCTTGTAATAAAAAATATTTACAAATTTACTTTATAGTTTTTTTTTCTTTCTTTCTTTCTTTATTTTTATTTATGAGATTGGGTATTGATAAGAAGAGAATGATCTATAAGCGTTTGCCTACTTACAGGAATTTGATAAACATTTGTTAATAAATCATATTGAGTTGGATTTGTACGACGATAGTTAAATAGGGAAGTGTTAAATTGTCGTGTAGAAACAGCTGCGTTATGCATCCAATTTAAATCATTTTCAAAAGAGTCTTGTGCTGTTGGTTTGTGTGATAAATTATTTCTACCGATATCAAGTGTTGCTACTGTATTCATAGCTAAATGATTGGTTGCATTATTATTATTAGTATTATTATTATTGGTGGTGGTAGTTGTGTTGATATTAGTAGTGTTCGTATTAGATGGAAGGAAAGCAGATGCAGGCGTAGGCTTATTCTCTGAAAAATCTTTCCCAAAGCTTGCTGAAAATGTCTCTTCATCTGATTGTTCTTCTTCGCCATCATCGACTTCATCTGTATAATAATAATCATCCCTTCCTTTACGTCCTCTTTTGATAATACGATGTCCAAACTGCTTAAATACAGAGCGTGCTGTCACAACTGAAATCTCTCTTGTACGAAAAGTAGATCGTAGCATATTAGAATCTACTAAATATCCCTTTTCTACTGCATCAATATGTACTTTAACTAAATTTACATTCTTTTTCAAGAATACAAAACTATCACGAAATCCTAATAATGCTGCTGGATCTTTTGAGAACATAAAAAGTGTCTCATCTCGAGTAGGTAGTGTAAATGTAGGAACACGATATTCACGACCTTTTTTTTTTTTTAATAAAAAAAAAGGAAATCATGACTAAGTATCTATTCTCTTTATACATACATATTTATATACCTTCTTTTAATCTACCAAATTTATCAATTTTAGTTTCTCCGGTTTCATCGATATCACTAACATAACCAGTATTAGAAGGTGTAGCAGGGGAACCATATGTTTGTGAAGAAGCTGAAACAGACGATGCACCTCCATGAGCAGCACCTGTTGATGAAATTGTTGTCGATCTATGACGTCTATCTTCTCTTGCTGATGAAGCTTTTGGCCTTCCTCTCTTTCTTCCTGTTGAGGGTGTATGATGTTGATTAGAGTTATGTTCATCATGAGAAGGATGAACATCAAGATCACTCAAAGTAAAAGTATCATCACCGGAAGATAAATCACTCTCGTCATCAACATAGTTCAAATCGTCTTTTGGGTCTAATCCTCCACTTCTACTTCTTGACCGTTTTCTTTTAGGTCCTGATTTATGCAATACATTATCTTCATTTCCTAGTCATTGTAAGTTTATATTTATTAAAAATACATGGACTTTTTGTCTTTTTATTTACCTGATGGCATCTTTCGTTTTATATATATTTATATATATATATATAGTACTTGGATTTTAATTACTTTAAAATATATGTGTATATCAAATAAGAAAAATAAAGTTACGCGTTTTGTATACACATGTACTAATTTTTATTTTATTTTATTTTTTTTTAGAAAAAAAAATAAAAAGAAAGAACAATAAAATTATTTAATATAGCAAGTTCACTCAAATACACCACAACACATCCTTATTTTTTTTTTTTAATACAGTTATACTGGATTTAAAATAATTTGCATACGTCATTTCTATATAGGAAAAATAATATGTTACATGATTCAATGTAGTAGAAGCTGCTTCAGTAATCAGAATAGCAATGTCAGAGTTACTTGGTAATAATAAACTTTTTAAATAAGCTAATATATTTGCCATCAAATCTTTTGTTTGTTTAAAATAACTTTATCAAGAACATTTCCTCTTAATAAAGTTATATTCGTATTATTGAGACGCATATTATTCAGTTGATAGTTACAACATGAACAAGTAAATCATCATTTGATTATTCTCTGCTTTCATCCTTAGTAGTAGAAGAATTTTTATAGACATGGTGATTTTTGTTTATAAAGACCACGCCAGTAACAGCAATCGCTTTGCTATATTGTGTTTATTAGACACTTTATAAAGCCTTCAGGATATCTACTTTATATACATGTATATATTTGGGAAAGTATTTAACATGTTTCATCTGAAGGAATAAAAAAAAATTAGATTGGCAGAGAAATCGCTTCATGAGTTGTTATGATTTAGAATAGATTCTTTTGTGATCAAGGTACAGAATCATGATTATCAAATTTTAAACACCACTTAAAATGATTACAACAACAACAGAAGAACTTTTTGATATTACGATTAAGAAGAATTTTATTTAAAAAATTAAAAATGACCAATGAGCACATAGCATCTATATATGCTGTTTTGCCCTGGTCAGATCGCTATGGAAAAAAAAGGTAAGAAAAACCCTTTTGGGATAAAAGGGAAAATGTTGAAGTGTATGTATAAGTGATGATAATTAACTATCAGAAATTCGTTTTTGTATTGAAAGAAGATGATGGTCAGAGGGTTTAGGGATTTGGGAGTGAAGCTAGATAGTCCATCTCAAGCAGAATTGCACATATAGAAGGCCAGCGTATGAACCAGGCATCAATTGATTTTCTCACTTTCTTAGTAGGTTCAAGAGATAAGAGGGTGGATCTTCAATAGATTTGGGGCATCTGAAGGCGGTTATGCACATGCAAACAAGAAAAACTATGTGAGCGTGTGAAGAGTTCATTTGGATGGAAGGGGCAGGCTTGAGGTTTACCAAGAGGTAACCAACCAAGTCGTCATCGCACGCAACGAAACCGTTCACTTCTTGTCATTGGTATCGTAAGAATAGGGTCGATAATCAGATTATCACGGCAATGGGATAAAAGTTTCGAATGTTTTTCTTGTAGTTTTGAGTGGTAGCTGTCAAGTAGGAATTGTCTTCGTTTTCTACTAAAATCCTTATGAGACGTAGTGTTAAGATTTTCATTGCAAACTGATATCCATAGAGGAGATTTGGATAGTTGGGGATTAAGATCATTACAGGTAAAAAAGTCTAAACATAAATCTCAATTCATCTGAAAACTAATTCTTTTTTGTCTCGATTTTATTTCTTATTCTTCTGTAGAGTAACGTCCTGAAATCTTGTCAAAACACATGCATAAGTCGGATATTTGGTGGCTCTAGTCGATCATTAGTAAAGGTGATGCTTCATATGGTAAACCAACCATTAATGAAGGTTAGGGTGTCTATTCTGCAATCTCAATTCGTTTTCCGTGCTATTGATTTACTGGATGATACTTTGCTCGCTAAATTACTTCCTGAGCTTCAAGCCTCCACCTTCAACACTCAATGGTATAAACTCATTCACGCACCATGCTGGAGACTCTGTGCCGCCAACTCTATTCCGTTAGACCAACGCTCCTTTCGAAAACATCGTCAAGAATTTCTTGAAGAGAGTTTTCAACAACTATGTGACGGGGCACGTTCTGTTTTGCTTTCCGCTTGCCGCCCCAATCTGATTATTGATCCGATACTTTGGTTACCCATGACACACAGTGAGCGTAGTCGAACCATTCGATGGTGTCTTGGTTTGTTACCCGGAGGAGTACCTAAATCCTGTCCATATCATCCTTATGTATACTTTAGTCAGTCACACGCCACTGAATATTTGCACATGCACACTCGTTTATGCTTGCCACGATTAATAGTAGATCCGCTTTCCTTTCTTTTAAATCATCTCCCTCAGCATAAGTACCGAAATTCTCAGGATGTTTCTGCCTGGGTCTATTGCTGACCAGTTATGTGTATCATTCTACGGGAAATGGAATACTTAATGCACGATAAACCACCCCCTCCACTTCTTGATCCAGGCAGAAAATTACTCAACGGGTTGTCTCTTTAAACTTGTTAGCAATATTCCCCCTTTCTTTCTCACCTTCTCTTCTTCCTTTCCTTCACCTTTTTACTTCTTGTCCAATAAGAGGGTTTTTAGATTTTTTTTTTTCACATAATTTGAACTGACTTGGGCAATCCAATATAATGAAGATATTATGTGCCCATAAGTCGCTTTATAAATTATAAAAAAAAAAAAATGTTTAATCATAGAGTAACGTCACTATTTCCTTTTAGCCAATAAGAAAAAATTTTCTAAATACTATAAAAAAATTTTTTTTCTTGCGCCTTTTTGTCTAGTCTTTCCCAAATTTTTAAATTAACAGATAGTGAGGAAGGTTTGTAATGATTTAAAAGGATGTATTAAATAAAGAAGTATCTTGATCAACTAAATAAATAAAAAAAAAAAATTCCTCCACATGTAATAGATTCTTTTTTCTGCACTACATACTAGTCTTTTTTTTAATTGGAAAAAATAATCGAGTTATCTGATCAAACAATGCAAGTCTTTGTCAAGTCTCTTCAAGGTAATACACTTACCTTTGATGTCACTGCCAACTCATCTGTTGCCAATCTCAAGTCCATGATTCAAGAACGTGAAGGTTTACCTGTTGATGCTCAACTTTTGTCTTTTGCTGGTAAGCCTCTTGTTGATGGTGAACTTTCTGCTTATGGCATTGGCAACAACAACACCTTGAATTTGAATGCTGAATTATTGGGTGGTGGTAAGAAGAGAAAGAAGAAGACTTATACCACTCCCAAGAAGATCAAGCATAAGCGTACTAAGGTCAAGTTGGCTATTCTCAAGTACTATAAGGTTGATGAGTCTGGTAAGATCACTCGTCTTCGCCGTGAATGTCCTAACGCTACTTGTGGTGCTGGTGTCTTCATGGCCAAGCACAAGGATCGTCAATACTGTGGCAAGTGTCATTTGACTTATGTCTTCCAAAAGGGCGATAGCGCTTAATTGCGTTTTATATGAATATATACATGTGTATATGTTTACTTTAAATAATAATTAAAATGGAATCTGTTTTATTATTATTATTACAATTTTATTTATTTTTTTTCATCAGCTACTGATTCATTGGATGGAGGTTTACTCACTTGTTGAGTTTTTAATAGAGCTTCATGTAATTCATGTTGTTCCTTAAGTTCTTTGATATTTAATTGTTGTTGCTCTTTCTTTTGTCTTCTCTCTTCATCCCGTAATACACCTGCTCTAAGATTCTTGTTGACAGTTCATGTCAATTAAATCAATTAACTTTATTTTAAAAAAAAAAAAAAAAAAAAAAAAAATTACTTCTTTTTCTTCAGTTTGAAAATAATGAACACTAAACACAGATGCACAACAGAATAAAATAGATGCAGTTAATGTTGCTTTGGCAGCTTTTGACATCTTTATTAAATAGTAGAAAGAAAAAAAAAACACACAATAATGGGGGGGAGGAGAGGAGGTACAAGCGGGGAGGGGGGAAGAAAAAAAAAAAAAAAAAAAGGATTTTTATGTCCAATGATCTAATTGGCTGCTAACTGTTGATGTGTATTACCTTATCCATTATATCATGCTATTTTCTATTTTTAAAGGGAAAAAAGAAGAAAAAACGTGTAGGGAAATGTTTATATTTTTAATAATAGTGATAATATCCATAAATAACTTTTTTTTTTTTTGCATTCCAGCTTTGATATATAAAGTGTCTTTTTTTTTTTTTTGTTTTTTGTTTTTATTTTCTTTGTTATGTGTGTGATATGGAAGATAATAATGCATATATGAGTAGTTTGTTAAGACAATTAACTAATTGGGCAAAGTTATGGATAACACCACCAAATAATCAAATTCCATGTAAACGGAAAATAGAGAATAATGGACAACATCAAGTAGAATGGAATACTCGAGAAACAGATATTCGATCTAGAGTTAATTATTATAAAGAAGAAGAAGAAGAAGAAGAAGGACGGATGTTTGTTAATTCTTCTTCTTCTATTACTACTACTACTACTACTACTACTATTATCAGTCAGAAGAATAGTAGTTTATTTCTATATAGCATAACATGTCAAAAGCTCCTCCGACAAAGACAGAAGAGACTCTATTTAGGTGCTATTATACAGATTAGACACTTTTGGGATAAATTAGAAAAGTCATTATATAATCATCATGATAACTGTTATTTACCACCTTCAAAACGATTTCCATTTAATCCTGATAGACCAGGTTCTCTGTATTCTTCAAAGTCATCACCCTTACAGCAACTTTATAATAAACGAAATCATAGAAAATCATTTGCTTCATCTACAATTGTATATACTTTAATATCAGATAATGAAGATCATTTACATGTTTCTCCTGCTTCTTCTATAACTAATAACATAACCTATAATAATGATGATGACGATGATGATGATGATGATAATATCCCGCTTGGTACTTTACTGAGTGTATAATTTATTATACGTTTCTTTTTTTTTTTTTTCAAATGTATATGCATATACTTTAATAATAATACTAATAATAAAAAGGATAATTTAATCTATCTACACGGAGGGATATCCCCAAAAAAAAAAAAATTAAAGGGTAGTGGGGGAGAGAGGAAAGAGGAAGGAAGGGGTATTCAGTTGTATTATGTAATAGGAGATATCCCCTTATATATACACATATACATCTATTTGTTTATATAAATATATGTATTTGATATTATGATTGAATAGATTCAATTGTCAAAGTTAAAGCCCTAAAACTTGAAACTAAAAATAGAGTACCTAGAACACCAATTATTGCTGTCCTCTATGTTTATTAGAATAAAATAGATAAAATGATTACTTACAAATAAGATGTCACATAATAATCCATCTTCCAAAATACTAAAGTAACATCATTTCAATTTTAAGGCAAATCCAAGTCTAATTATGATAAAGAAATGAATACAATAAAGCAGGTTAAAAAGAACCAAACATGGTGATTTAATTCTCCTATATTGATTCCCCCCAAATAATAGCTTCAAGTACAATTTGAACAGGAATATTCTTTGCTAACATTATATATTCAATTACTCGATAATTTTCAATTGTTTCTGTATGAAGAAGATAAATACTCATATGAGGTGTACAAATAGAATCAAGATAACCTGCTAACTCAGTTAAAACAGGTATTAATAATACTACTCCTTTATAGTGTTCAACATTAGCTTGTAATAGGATTCCTGCTAAACTTAAAATAAGCATTGTAACTATGATAGGTGTCCAACCTACAAACAATAAATCTTTTACATGTACACTTCGCCAAATAATCTATCCAAAGCACGGAATCAAAATCAACATGATACTTATCGTAAATAGACTGAACATACTTTAACCAGTTATATATATATATATATTTATATCCATTGTATGTTGTAAGAAAAAAAAAAGAAATCGATACAATGAATAGAATTAAAGTTACTACATCACCTGTAGCAGAGGCAATAGTGTCGGGATCAATTTTGAAACGTTGGCAAAGAAGAATAAGAGAACACATAAAAGTACAGTCAGGCTGGTGGATATTGGCAGTTACAAAAAAAAAATAATAAGAATAAGAATAAGAAAAGATAATACTAGGCTTAAACCATTGCACTTAATAATACGGTATTTAACTGAATTACGTAGTGCTTTACGTTTTGCAACGCTTTTGTAGAGTTGAAGTTTAAAGTAGTAAATATTTTATTCAATGAAAGGCTTAGAAAGGAGTTCGAGTATAGCACTTTACAATTTATCGTTTGGAATGGTGGCGAAGGCCATAAAGATCGCTAAAGTGAACATTATTACAAATGTCACAAATTCTAGAAGAGAGAGTTCCTTCTTTCATCAAGCGGTGACGCTTCATCTTTCTTTTCGCTAAAGACTGGAACTGCTCAAAAGGGTTTAGCTTAGGTGAGTAAGAGGAGGGGGGAGTGATACATTACTCTATAACCTCTAGCTTCGATTTTTTTGAATCAGAGGTTTCTATTTATGAATGGCTAGCGTTATCCACCACTAAATAGCTACCCTTTAAATTCTCGTCTTCATACATTATATTAAAGAGCTCATTGATGAACTTGATAAATTTAGCAGTTGTTGTGACTTTTGGTGTTGGCTTCTACATCAATTAGACTGACATCATTCTCCGGGACAGCTTCGTCGTTATTGACCCCAGTTACAGCTCTCTTCTTTCCACTGTTACCCTTTTCTCTTCTTATTAGCGTCAGTTTTTGTTGCGGATTCGGGAGGGGGGGTATGGCAAGCGAATGGATTGCATCAATAACTGAGTTGGAGGTTATTCTTGTTATTTTTTTTTCTCCTTTTTTTTGGTATATTTATTACATCACGAGTTCCAGCTGGTGATTTAGTTTGATTATTTCTCCTTTTTATATGAAACCCGGTTTCATCGATAAATACATAATTTTTTTATATAGTCCAGATCTTTGTCCTTCCAGTTCATAAACCATTCGTGACTTGTCTCCATATTGTCAATAGAGTTCCTAGATTCGGCTTCAAAACGAAACTTTTTAACAATAATCTGCATGGTATCCTTCAAATAATGATTAAGCTGCGACTTTGATATATAAAAATCATGGAACTGTTTACTCAAAAAAAAAAAAAAAAAAAAAAAAAAGGGCCCATGATTCCATTACTAAAGAAGCTTTGGACCAATCGACTGGATATTGAAGCACGATTAGATGCTGTATTTTCTTTTACTGGAGCGCCACCTTCCTATTCTCTGCTTCCCTGCTTTACAGCAATCAATTGATTGTATCTATCCTAAATCATTTATACTTATCAACGGTCTTCTTACTTTATTATTATTTTTTTTTTTATACAAATTTCGTTCTTTTTATAAAATGCCTATGTCTTACCTTTTGTAAAATACCTTTACTTACTTTTATGCTGCTGCCACATTTAAATGAAATACAAGCTGAAGTGTGTGTGTATGCGAGACAGAGACAATAATGCCGCCTTAAAATCGACCGAAAATTACACTATAAGTATTTATTATATATGAAAACGATTAAACTATAATTGAGAAAAAAAAAGAATATGTGCAAGACTGATATTTAGAAATAGCCGTAAATATGATATGTAATTGTCTAGGTTTTTTATGCATAAATTATAAGAATCAAGGAGATTTAAAATAATGACAAACTCAGTCTTCTGTAAGGAAGTCTTATTCATATTTAACAACTTGTCAAAAGATACATATTATTATATACTTGCATATTATTTAAAGCCTTCCTCTTATTGAACAGATTTATATATAATGCAAATAGTCTTTATATAATATCATATAAAAGTAAAGTCGTATTTCAGATGGACAAAAACAAATGTCTAGTTAACGTAGGTTAGTGACAGTGATTTGTCCCCGTATTAAAAATAGTCAAATCAATTTATATCAATGAAATAAGACTATTTACTGTAATATATACATCTTCTTGTATACAGAAATTCAGTTTTTTTTAGAGTCTTTTCCTTTTTTTATTATATAATGGATTTCTTTGTCTTGCTTCTTCTGCTAATAGTTGTAACCCTCTTTTATGTTTTAATTCTAGATTATCTTCAATCTATTGTAGAATAAATAAATAAGGCAGAGAAAGAGAGAGAGAGAAAGACTAACTTACGATTGGAACTGTCTCTTCATTTTCTTTTTCTGAATTTGTTAAAGACTCCTGTATAGCAGTAGATAATGTAGATAAATCTAAATAAAAAGTCAGTATTTATTCTCATTGAATTTATTTCTACTTTACTTGAAGAATCATGAACTAACTTTGACATGTAATCCAATGAAGTTGTTGAATATACTGAAAATGAAGATTTTTCCTAAAAATGAGAATAAATGATTTATACTATACATATATAATATATGTGTGTATGTGTTATAGACTACCATATTAATCTTGGTATAATTGTCATCTAAAAGTTAATTTTTATGTAAAAATAAATAAATAAAATAAGAAAGATTTTAACTTTGTACCTGATAGATTCTCTGTAAAATAATTAACAATGGCTTGAATTGGTTGAATAAAATGTTCAAATATAATTTGTGGTCCTGATTTAAACTTATCATTTGTCCCTTGTTGATCTAATAAATCGCAATGAAATATCCATAAAAACGCATTTACAATGTTATATTGTTCATTTCTTCTGTATTGATTCACAACAGGTTTACAATGAACTAAAAGTTGATTTGACTTTTTTTGAATCAAAGTTCGAACATTATTTTTATCTAAAAATAGTTTTTTTACTCTCACTAAAAGAGTCATCGATTCTTTTTCAGTCTCAATATCAATGTTGGGTATCCTTGCGTTTTGTTGAATTCGCTTAAAATTACCATGTTCAAACCAAACAAGGCATAAATCAGTAATCAAGATCATGTACTCTTTTTCTTTGAAAATGTGTTTAATATAATAGGGTTTATTTTCTATTCTACGTATTTCCCATCCTACATTTAATAATTCTTGATGATGTTCAATGCTTAATAGCATGTTTATTATACTACAGGAAAAAAAAAAAAAAAAAAAAAAAAAAAAAAAAAGGAAAAGGGTGGGAAGAGGAAGGTTAATATGGGCAAAAGAACATAAGCAGCATATAAGCAAGTTTATTGTGACTTGTTAATCTTTAATGAAAAATCAACATGAGGAACACCTTGAGTGACAGTGCTCATGCTTAATATATCAATATCTAAAATTAGAGACAATAAAGATTAATTATTTTGTTTTTCCTATATTTTATGTATCTGTTTACCATCACAAAAATAAGCTTCACAGGTTTCGAAAGTAATTCCACCACTACTTTCAATTAAAAACTGAGTATTTCCTTTAGCAGCCCAACGGGTTTTAATACTCTTTGCAGCTTCTTTTAAGCCTTCGCTACTAAAATTATCCAACATAACGATATCAGCCCCTGCAGCAATGGCTTCATCTGCTTCTTCTTCTGATTGACATTCAACTTCGATTTTTAAAGCGAAACCACAAACACTACGAGCATTTTGTACAGCCCTTGTAATTGAACCTTAAAAATACAGATATAGTATATACAAATATATATTTAATACACAGAATAAATAATGCTCATGTTATTGTACCTGAGCTCCAAATATGATTGTCCTTAAGCATCACCATAGATGACAGGTCCATACGATGTGTATCTAAACCACCTACAAGTACACCATACTTTTCTATTAATCTAAAACCTATATTCCATATGACAAAGAGAGATGTTAGTCATCATCGTTATCCAGTCCCGATAATTGAAGTGGAGAAAATAAAAATAAAATAAAATGAAATAAAATAAAATAAAAAATACCTGGAGTAGTCTTTCTAGTAGCAGCAATGACACCATGAAAGCCCTTTGCCTTTTTCAATTCATAGATTTTTCGAGCTCTAAAGAGAATTAGAATTATGAATAAAGAAAGAAAAAGAAAAGACGATTTAATCATATTTGATATATATCTAACCTTAATGCAATACCACTGCATCGAGAAATAATATTTAAAGCAGTGCGTTCACCCAACAGAATCTTTCGGGCTGGACCATAAACTCTAGCGATCTCTTGTTTACCTTTTGGTTTGATATAATCACCTTCATTACAATACCATTGAACCCTTTATATATATATATATATATATATATATATTTTGAACATGATTAGAATAAAGAGAAAGAGAGAGAGAGAGAGAACTCTTCTCTAAAAGTATACACATATATTAGATATATCTTTTTTTTTTTACCTGCAGTCAAGTTGCTTGAATACTTCATCAAAGAAAGGTACACCAGCTACAACACCTTCTGCTTTACAATAAAGAATAGCAGTTTGTTCTTCTTCTCCTACTACAAATCCTCCATAATCAAAGGAAGGAACATCTTCTGCAAGATATTGTGAAATAAGTGTCTTATAATTTGTTGCAAGTAAATGAGAATAGGCTGTCATCTATAATATTTATAAGTATTCAAAAATAAAATAAAAATCTATTATTTATAAGGGGAAGAGGAAGATAAAATAAGGAAAAAAACCCCCCCCCAATTTTATTTTTATATATAGAGGCAGCAGTAGCTTCGAGAGCCCTGTCTACCCTTCGAGTCACATCTACTATATTTGTATATAAATATCTATATTGTGCCATTTTTGATCTATTTAACTATCATTTCAAATCACTCCTTTTTGTTTTGTTGTTGTTGTATTTCATTCACAGATAAAATAATCACTCATTCATGATAATATGTATCTATTATTATTACTACTATTTATTCGGATTATGTAATAAAGAAAAAAAAAAGACAATAAGTCTATTACAACGATATTATAGGTTAATACATTTTAACCAATCAACATGTAACAAAAGAAAAAGGGTGGATCGATGTATACAATGCGAACGGTGAACTTTGTTGGTTCAAAAAAACAAATGTCGCTTGCCCAAAAATGAATATCGTGTACCCAAAATTAAATGTCGCCTGGCTCAAAAAATAATTGTCCTTTAATAAGACGAATTTGTCACATTTTTATCACTGAGATTAAATGATTTATTTGATTGTGCCTTTAGAGTTGAAATATATTTACAAAGTGAAGATCTTGGAAATGCCATTTAGAAGTTTTGCCCGGCTAGGCCACTACATCGCCTAATTAAAGTCAAATGATTCAACTTTCTTAGCCATGGAGTTAAGAAAAAAAAATAATTTGTAGACTAGTTTATTGTTTTTAATATTATAATGTCTCCATATCCATACATTTGCCAAAGAAAGTATTACTTCTTGTCTCATGAATGTTGAATGTTGAATAGCATTTTTTCACCTCTGTATACCAGAACGATACAAAATGATTTCTTACATTATAAACCTTATACCAAACTATAATTTCAACTTTGTTTAAAAAACTGTAAATAAAATAAACTCCCAAATCTGCTACTAATAGAGAGCAAGCAGTGTACACAAACAATAAAAATCTTTAACTTTTTTTTTTATGTGTATAAAACTATTTAATTTGATTGCCACCAACGCAATATATGAAATTTATTGAATACTGTAGCATGTGCTTCTTCTTTTTTTTTTCAAAGAACATATTGGTTGTACATAAATAGTATGGTCTGTTCAGTCTGGTAACTTCACTAGAATACATTAGTTTGCAGAATAGAATTACAATACTACAACTTACAAATGGGTGCACATCACTTCTCGTGAAATTGAGGTCTGTGTGAACTGCAAGATCAAAAGGTTCTTCCATTTGTAAAGCATGAGATCTGATTAACTTTCTCATCACTCTTACACTTGATGCACAGCTGGCTAATTTATTAAGCAATAACTGACAGGCATCTATGAAAGGCTTGTGATAAAGTTGAGTGAGGTCGGTTAAAATACCAACAGTTTCACTACGATTGCTTGTCCAAGAATAAAATAATAAAAAAAAAATTGAATAAACATAATAAATAAAAATCGATTTGAAGTTCAACAAATGTAACTTGACATGGTTGTAAGATTTGTAACTTAAATCAATAAGATGAAATAGTCATTATAATAGAACATATAGTGCACTTCTGTCTATAGACATATGAAGAATACATTTACCCTTATAATTAATAAAAGTCCTACATCTAAAAATAAATCTTGTTCTGCTGAATATAAATTTACAAGTTAAACTGGGGTAAACTAAGAATAATGCAAATACGCGTAAACAATTGATTTCACTCAGAGTACACGTGCTAGGTTATAAAAATAAATACATTTATATACAAAAGACATGAGTCTATTTCTATAATGATCCTTGATATTATAATCATTAAACCTTTATTCTTTTCCATAATTACGTCATCATATATAAGTTATTATTATCCTTATTCACAATAGGTGTAAATACTCTTACATTTCTAATCTTTATTTTAAAATTTAACTTATAGCTTAACCTTTATCTCAATAAATCGATTAACAAGTCTCAGCGTACTTTTTCTGTCTGTTTTCTTTTATTTCTCTTTTTATTTTATTCTATTTTACCTGTAAACCACAACAGTATCCCTCAAAGGTACGATCCTCTAGATCCTCAAACTACTCTTTCACTGATATCATTTGTTGAACGACTACTTCATGCAATTAGCACTTTAACCATCATCATTCTTTTTCTACCAAAACTTGCCTTATTTATGAATGCTTCAAAGGTGGTGCAAACTACTTTGTTACTTTGCTTCACTTGTTTTTTTGTCTTTGTATATACATGTATATACAAAGACAAATAGTGCCTTCCCACCTGCACGTTTAAGTCAAATCGGTTTCTTTTTCTTAGTTTCCAAAGCTTCTTTCATCCTTTGAACTTTTAAGAAGAAAGGAAGAAATCATGTATTTATTTATTGCGACAATTATTTCTTGAGCCAGACAACATTCATTTTTAAGCAAGCGACATTTATTTATTCATTTATTTATTCATTTATTTGTTTATTTATTTTTTGAACCGACAAATTTCACCGTTCGCAGTGCAACATTCTTGCTATCACCCGCTTGTAATCGTTTTATTTGCTGCAATAACAAGCTCCTCGTATTTATGATGATATCAATAGTGTGATTAGATCAATAATAGTAGATAATAAAAAGAGTCACCGAAGCTGATGATGATGAGGAAGAGAATAACGTTCGTTTCATGTTTATTATTAACAGCTATTTTCATTCTATTGCATTTTTTTTTGTTAGTAACTTGTTAAAATCAGAATAGTTCTTCTTTCTACTACAACAAGAAAAATGAATTGTTGTATTCCATGAATAAAATCTAGGAAAGGATGAGAGACAACATGTTGCGTGTAACAGCAACATTTTTTTTTTTTTTTTTATAAAAAAAAATAAATAAATAAGTAAATAAATAAATAAATTAAACTATAAATATGTGTGTGCGTGTGTGTGTGTCTGTATACAGATTTCTACAATTATTATTCTTTTTCTTTCTTTTTTTTTAATCCCTTTCTCTCTCTCTTTCTCTCTCTTTTCTTCCCTTTACTAGTATCCCTTCCCCCTCCCCTCCCCCCTTTTTTTTTAAGATTTGATTATTTTCATTATTCTTACAAGATGACTACAGATGAACTTCAAATATTAATTCAATCTTTACATGAACAGATTAAACAAGAACAAGAAATTGAAAATGAGGTAAAAATGTAAATAAATACTATTGTTATAAGCACATGTACATATGTATACATTATCCTCCCTCCCTCTTTTCTTTTTTTTTTTTCTTTTTTTGTTATAATAATAGCTTCGACATGACATTGATATTCAAACAATGAAACAAAAAGAACTTCAAAATGATAACGACTATTTAAAACAAGTAAAATCAATATTGATTCCTTTATAAAAATAAATTTAATTTAATTGAAAAGGTATTAGAAAATGGCTGCTATTCAATTGGATAATTCAAATTACAGTAATACCCAAGCTCGTCTGGAAACACAGCTTTATTCGCAGGAACAAGATATTATCCAATTAAAAAAAAAAGTCCAACAGCTTACAAAATTAAAGAAGGATGCAGAAAAGAAGTTGATGATGGAGACTCAAGAATATGAAAATGAGAAATCAACATGGCAACAAAGAGAAGCTGATCTTTACAACCAAATTCGTTCTCTCAATATTAGTAATGAGCCTCGTACACCACGTACACCGAATAATAAGAGACGTAGTATAAACTCACTTAATATGGGACCCTTTTCAACCAATTTGGTAGAGGAATCGAATGGTTTAGATACTAATCGTACACTCGTAGACACTAATGAGATGACTACAATAGATGAAGAAGGGACTGTACTCACATCCCCTAAACTGGCTCACATCGACTCTTCTTATGCTCGTGAGGCAAAGATTGCACAAAGAACAATAAAGGCACAAGACAAGTTGATTCTAGATTTAAAAAATCAATTAGAGAAAGAAAAGGCTTTTTTACAAGAACAACAATCGGAAGCAGAACTTCAATCACTCAAAATAACTCATCTAGAAAAAGAATTAGCCAATATGAAACAGTTAAATCGTTCATTGATGGAGGATAATGAAAGTTATCAAATTTTATTACATGAAAAGACAATGAATGGTGAATTTATGATGAATCCCATTATGCAGGTAGTTAGTTAGTTATTATTAAATTACGCATCATGAAATAATTCAACTTGATTTGTAAAATGATATTAGGTGCAAGATTATCCCATCATGAAACAATCTATTAGCTCATCTAGTAACGGTTTGAATTTAGCAGCTGAATTAGCTTCATCAATACCTGAATGGAATAGTCAAAAGGAAACGGAATCAGATAAAACTATTTCAAAACTTAATGAAGAGATTAAAGTATTGCAAGATACGAACCGTGCGCTTCAATTATACATGAACAAGATTTTGATGAAGATTATCGATAATAAGCAATTAGAAGATGTCCTTAGTATCGATCAACCTTCTTCTAAACCATCAACACATATGAATAACAACTCCTCTTGTTCAACAAAATCGATTTCTTTGAAAGCAACGACCACAGCTGATCATAGTAAAACAACCAATAACAACAGTAATAGACCCAGACGACGTACTATTTCTTATTGGGGCTCTAAACCATCTTCTAATAATACTACTGCTACTGCTGCCTCTTCTAATTCATCCAATAAAGCAGCAGCAGCAGCAGCAGCAACAACAACAACAAAAGAAGATAATAAGCGTCGACACTCTTCTATTCCACCACCTCAGCCTGAAAGATCATTTTCAACCACGACCACGTCAAGTAGTAATGGGGGTGGTTGGGCAAAAGCATTACGTAGAATGAGTGGTATTGGCTGGTCTTCTTCTAGTACAACTTTAAAAGAAGAATCGCCAGTGATGAATAGTGAAGTCGTTCATTCATCAAGTGAAGAAGAAACAATTAGAAAATCAGCTGGTTCTTGTAATTCTTCTATTAGAAAAAGCAATGAATTATTATTAACTACACTTGATGAAGAGTAGAATTCAAAATTATCATAAATGACATTTTATTATTAATAAAGAAATTGATATATGTGTGTATAAAAAAAAAAAAAGATAATAATAAAAGGGAGTATTGTTTGGTCTAAAAGTAGTCGCCTTGCAACGAAAAGGCTGACTCTATGAATAAACGCCTCCTCCTTCTTCTTCTTCAAGTGATTGCTGTCATGATGATAATAAAAGATGTAAAACATGATACAAATATATATAAATGTCACATGCACAATAGTAGTAGTATTCATTATTGTTTCGGTACCCATTCCATGATATACATACATACATATATATTTATTTATGTATATATATATATTACACTATTGAAACTAGTAGTAGTATGGCATGAATTATTACTTTTTATATATCTACATAATGATAATAAATTAGAAACCTCTAATAATAATGAAAAAGGACGATTTTAAATAGGAAATTTAAAATAGCAATAATCTCGGAAAAGTTAGTGTGTAACAGTTTAGGGCTCAGATAGTTTATTAATTATTTTTTTTTTCTCAATTAAGCTACATGTACATTATTATTATTATTATTTTTAAGGGGAGGGGGAGAGACGAAAAGAGAGAGTAGAAAAAAAGAGAGAGAATTCGGAATGGAAGAAAAGAGGGAAAGGGGCTAAAAGAGGGGGGGGGGGAAAAGAAAGAAAAGGGATTTTTTTTTCTACACTATTTTGATTCTTTACTGACTTTAAGAAGTAAGATATCACCTACTTCACTTACAGCTTGTAATGTTCTATCAAGATCCTCTTTTGTATGTGCAGAAGATAGACAGAAACGAGCACGAGAAGTAATGATAGGTGTGGCAGGGTAACCGACTACGACTGTAGCAATACCACGCTTTAATAATTCTCTAGAGAACGCGGGAATCTTTGCAGGATTAAACAATAATAAAGGTATAACAGGACTTCCTTGATCACCATAAACAATAAAACCCATTTCTCTTAGACGTTCAATGAAATAAACTGAATTCTCTGCTAGTTGCTTGATCTTCTTTCGACCCGTATCAGTACCATCTTCACCACAAATAATCTTCATAGATGTTATTACTTGTTGAGCGACGGGGACTGATATGGATTCAGCATAATTATAGGCATGGTTACGCAAACGAATATGGTCAATAATGGCTTTATCACCGGCAATGTAACCACCAGCTGCACCAAATGATTTTGTAAATGTACCCATGAGAATATCAACCTCTGCAGGATCAATACCATAGAAATCACATACACCTCCTCCATTTTCACCAAGGGCACCAATAGAATGTGCTTCATCAACGTACAAATAAAACTATAAAAAAGAAAATTAAGTCTACATACATACATGCATGCATATAATAGATAGTATACCTTGAATTCCTTTTTGAGTTCAATAAGTTCAGGAAGATTAACAATTGTACCTTCCATAGAATAAAGACCTTCAACAACGATTAAAATCTTTTTCCAAGGACGATGAGTACGAGGTTGACCTTGACTAATGACTTCACGTAATAATTCACGAAGATCATCCATATTATTATGTTTAAAGACACGTACAGAAGCACCTGAAAGACGAACACCAAAGACAATAGAAGCATGATTTAATTCATCAGAAATGACGAGACATCCTTTACCAACCAAGGAAGGAATCGTGGTTGAATTAGTAGCAAAGCCCATACTAACACACATAGCAGCTTCTTTACCAACAAAACGAGCGACTATTTTTTCTAATTCCTGAATATGTTTCGTTGTACCTGCTTCAGCTCTTGAACTAGCGGCTGTTATACCAAATTCTTGAACCGCATGTTCAACAGAATCAGCACAGGGACCTTGATTATCAGAAAAGCCAAGATAATTATAGGATGCAAAATTAAGTGCCTCTGTAGTTGTGCCCGTTAACTTGAATGTTTTATTAAAATCTGTAGAAACTCTATCAAGCAATTTCACTGTTCTTGAAGCTATACCAGTGATTGGACGATTAAAACAATCACTAATAAAGTTTAAAAATATAAATATAAGAAAGAAAGAAAGAAAGATAGATAGATAGATAGATAGAAAAAAAAATAAAAAAAAGAGATTTATATATATTCTTCTTACCGAATTCTTACATAAAGTCTTCGAGTATAAAAAGAATCAAAATCAGATACAAGGGGAGCATAACCCTAAGTATTAAAGTTAGCTTTTTCTTTTTTTTTTTGTTATTAGATGTTTGTCATTTGAAAAGAAAAAAAAAATACCTGGCTATTCTTTAAATGACTATAATCTTGGGGCTTGAAAAATTTGCCAAGAATATCTCTTAAATGACCAAATAAGATGAGAACAAAGTAATTAAGGTAAGTACAGACAAGAACATAAAGAGGAGTAGCTTCCATCTTATGTTCTAAATCATCGTATTTCATTTTGGGTTTACGAGGAGGCTTCCATCTTTCAACTGAACTATGAGTTTTTTCTGAAGCTGATCCAGAAAGAGAACCAATAAAGTTTGAAGGAGCATAAGAATGATCAGCTGATGACTTGGGTGCAGTCAAATTGATACTTGGGATACTAATCGTATGTGCTCTTTTCCCTTTACCCATTTTTATTTATTTTTTCTGAAATACAAAGAGGAAAAAAAAAATAAAAAAAAAGTGAGAGAGAATCATTTTTTTCTTTTTTTTTTTTCTTTTTTTATTAAATAAAATTAAAACTCAATGACTAAATTCTTTTCAATAAATTGAATTTTAATTTTTTTACATAATTTTTAAACTCGGGTACTAAAACTGACAGGCGTTAAATGTCTTTCATAGATACTAATTTATAACTTCACTTATTACTTTTTTTTTTTTTTATTTGGTTCTATTTTACTTTTTTTGTTCAATTTTAAGCTAGTAGTTTTATAACAGGAAAGAGGGATTTACATCTATGTTGTTTGTTGTCAACAAAAAAATCGGGTTATTTATTATTTATTCAATTTATTCTTTGACAGATTCTTATTTAATAACACTAATTAATACCATTTGCTGTATTCCTTTATTATTATGTCAGTTATTGATGATAAATCACAACGATAATTTTTTTTTTTTGGATTCAAACATTCAATTTATTATAGATAACAAAATCATTGTGTTTCATGATCCTTAAACCTCAAGAAGAAATAATAAGGATGAATCATTCATTATTAGTTAGAAATAACCTTCTCTTATGGGTTTTTTTTTTGTAATTTGATGATTATATTGCAGTTATTCTAAGGGCTATGATTATTTGATCCGACAATAGCATCTTTCCTAAGAGTGTAAATGGTAGAAAAAAAAAAAAAAAAAAAAAAAAAAAAAAAAAAAAAAAAGAGGGGAAGGAAAGAAGCAAGTTGGTTGTGTGTTGAAGTTTAGCTTGGTATAATAACTGTTGTCTTTGTAGATATTCCCCCTAAGGAAGGAGTTTAGATTTCAATTGATTGAGATAGTGAGTTTTAATCCGCCATAGATAGGAGCCCCTTTTCTTTTCTTTTTTTTATGGAGAAAGTAAATGCCTGGAAAGATGATTGCTGAGTCTAAAGCTGTTGTAGATTAGAGGAAGGTAGAGAGAGTGAAATCTGTGATTTATTATCAGGTGAGGTTATATTGTTATTATTATTATTGCTATTATATTATTAATATTATTATTATTATTGCTATTAATATTATTATTATTTTGTTTTCATTGCATGCTTCGTAATAACTATAATAACAGTTTTACTGAAATAACGATAATAATGCCAGGTCTAGGTCTTTTTTAATTGAATTATGTAATCGAGTTTTTTCGTTGTAGTTCCTTCTTAGTAAATCATTACTTCTGTGCTACCAAAGGTCAATAAGTAAATTTTTAGTAGACACTGATGGTAAATAGAATTGTGAGTATTCAACTTGTTTATTATTGAATTACTATGATATCCCTATTTATTATCCTGACAGGCAGTATTATTAAGAATAGCGTAGTAAATAATAGTATCATCAAAGGGACATATTTAAAAAAAAATGAATTACTTTGTATTAGTCGGAACATTTGTATTCTTAATGTTGAGTACAAACTGATTACTTTTACAGCTCATATTCTTGTACGTTCAAATAAGATCTAGAATACTGTATTACTTGGCTAAATAAAATGAATAAAAAAATTTGGAAGATTTAAATATAGCCAGTGTTGCCTATTGAGATAGAAATATTGCACGTTTGTTGTTTACCTCCCATTTAATGTTAAATAGCTTGTCGTGTATATAATGAATGTGTTAGGGTGTATTCATATTCTACGTGAACTGTCTAACACTAAGTTTCTAGCTATTGTTCACTATTGATTGTTGTACATATTATAAATAGGACTGTTGATTAAAGCAGTGATGGATTAACACTTTGACTTTTAAAAAGAGAGAGAGAGAGAGCAACTTGGTTCATTGTCTTTAAATCTATTAGCCAAACTTATGATTCAATAACAACACTATTGTAATACATATATTATGTGTATTCTTATGGACAACTAAAATAAACCTCTCTCTCTCTCTCTCTCGTCTATTGAATGCATACTCAACTTAAACGCTAATAAAGATATTGAGGAAGAAGAAGTTCAAGCTTAATAAGAACAACTAGGTATGTTTCTTTTATTTTTTACTTTTATTGAGTCATGTAGACTAGATAATCTATCACTCATTTGCACATGATGTCTAGAACACAGAAATATGAATCTATATAATTCCAAATAGGATCAACAAAAATACTCAACATCATTTTCAGAAAGATACTTTGTAGCAATAAAAAAAAGTACTTTATACCAACTTTTTTTTTTTTTGAAATGCCAACTTTCAATAAAACTCTTGATTTTAAATAACTTTGTTTCTTAATTCTATAACTTTTTCATAAAGATCCATATCTATTGTATTCATTGATCTAATAAATCTCGCATTAATGCATGTTGGCTATATTGTTAACCAAGTACATTAATACAGATAAAAAAAAAAGGGGGGAAAGGAGCCATAACAACTTACGTTTTGATTACTAATTTCTCCTACACATTGAATCACTTCATCTTCAAAATATGGAATGGATGTTAAATGACTTGTATCTATTTCTACATGATCATCATTATATTCAATAATCGCAATTTGTTTATCTGGATTATAACTTTTCCAACTAAGAAATACATAATAATGTTATACATATATATTAAATATAGATATAACATTTCAATATAATTCTTTACATTCCAGTTATACGAACTGAATCATTTTTCTGACATTGTCCAACATCTTTTAATAGAATTAATTTTGCAGATGCCACATTTATCATATTTTTTAATCAAAAAAAAAAAGGCTGATAAAAAATAAAACTCATTTACATTTGTTTTCATAGTCATGTGACCATTTTATACACGTGAAAAAAAAAATGTGTATAGACAGAAAAATATAACCGGAGCTTACAAGTTTCATGATGATGACAATTGAGTTTTTTTTTTTTTTTTTCCATTCAAATAGTTTAATACAAGCCATGTATAGTCCTAAATTTATTGCTCCTGCATTAAAGACAGAGAATTCAAATGAAGAAGTTATATTCGATAATACAGGATTTGAAAATGAATATTATTTTCCAAAACAAAGACTTCCTAAAGTAATGAAAGGTATATACATACATACATATATATATATATATAAATATATATACAGCATAATAGTTAATATTATGCAACATTAGATGAAAGCAAAATTCCACTTGTGATTGTTGCATGTGGAACTTATTCACCAATTACTTACTTACACTTGAGAATGTTTGGTAACTAACTCTACTTGAGCCTATATATTTATACATGTATAAAAATCGAATTTTTATATTTACAAAAAATGAAAGAATATGTATAATGGTTTTTTTTTTATTTTATTATTATTAAGAAATGACAAGAGACCACTTTGAAGAACAAAAAGAATATGAACTTCTTGCTGGATATTATTCACCTGTATCCGATGCATATATGAAAGGAGGTTTAGTGGAAGCTAAACATCGAGTAAAAATGTGTGAAATTGCAGTAGATAGTACATCCGATTGGTTAATGGTTGATTCTTGGGAAGCAAGACAATTAAAATATCAACGTACAGCTATCGTTTTAGATCATTTTGAAAAAGAGTTAAACGAGTTAAATGGAGGCATTAAGACAAGTTCAGGTAAATCATAACTAAAAAAAAATGAACATACAAATAGATTTGTACGTACGTATATATAAGATGCTAAAATTAATATAAATAAGGTGAATCAAAAAGGATCAAAATTATGTTATTAGCAGGTGGTGATTTAATAGCATCCTTTGGACATCCAGGTGTTTGGACAACAGACGATGTAAAGTATTTAGCTTTATGATGACTAAAATATAAATAATAACACGATTAGAGATCATAGTTGCATCATATTGTTGGTAAATTTGGATGCATTATTATCGAAAGAACAGGTACAGATGTATATGGATTTTTACTTTCACATGATATTTTATATGAACATAGAGTAAGTTTATTATCGTAAATAATGAATAATAATAACTTGATTTTTTCGAATAGTTAAATGTAATCATTATTAAGCAATTAATCCATAATGATATTAGTTCAGCAAAGATAAGGTAGGTGGTAAACTAAAGACTGTATAAAAAGCGAGTCACTCATTATTACCATGACAATACTAGATTATTTGTTAAACGAGGAATGTCCATTAAATATTTATTACCTAATCCTGTTATAGATTATATTTATGTGAATAATTTGTATCTAACATAATAAAAAATTACTTTATGTTACACTGAGCACGGTTAAATTATTATTACTGTGTCTTTTTTTTTTTTATAGTCCCTTTTTTTTATTTATTTATTTATTTATTTTTTTTATACCTTATTTTTTTTTTTTTTTTTATATATACACAAATATATGGGGTCTCGTATATCAGTACATCAAAAAAAAAGAGAAATTCCTCTAGACTTCAAGCTAATAGTGTGAAGAATAATATAATTTTACAAAATATGAATGATGATAATCAAATAAATATGACAGAATCAAATGACAATAATACAACATCTTCTTCAACTATCAGTAAATCATCATCCGTTAATACTAACAAAAATAATAATAATAACATAAATCGATATGGTAGAAAATTTCATAATGAAACAAATTCTACCTATTGGTTACCCAATGATGATGAAGAAATGGATAGACTTGTTAGTGTGAGTAGTTAACCTTATATCTATAAATGTATCACATGTATGTATGTATGCATGTATATATACTAATCGTTGTCATCTATTTTTTTTTCTTTTACACATAAAGCAACACTTTGCTTTTAAAGCTTTATTTGAAGGGTAACACATTTATAAATTTGTTCAACTCAAAACATATTAGACTCATCTATATATATATATACAATACAAAAGAAATATTCCTAAAGTGGTAATTCAAAATAAAATGATACCTTTAGAAAATGGAGCAAAGATATTAGATGTAGGCTGTGGACCTGGTACATGGATTATGGTTTGTGTTATATACAGATATTATAAAAGGGGTAGAGAGAGAGAGAGAAGGTATAACGGTACTGAATACAAAACAATAGGATGTTGCAACTGAGTTTCCAACGAGTGAATGTATTGGTCTTGACATGTGCGATGTATTCCCAACTAATATTAGACCTAAAAATGTATCTTTTCAAATTGGAAATGTCTTATTAAATCGTTTACCCTTTGAAGATAATACATTTGATATGGTTTATTTAAGGTTATTTATTTTAGCTTTTAGAAGTCATGAATGGATACCTGTATTAAAAGAAATTTTACGTGTATTAAAACCTGGAGGATGTTTCTTAAGTTTAGAAGCATGCATGTTTGTAAATATTTTAACTTTTTTTTTTTTTTGTTTATTTCATACTTATTTGTCCTTATCATTTCTTCATTTATAGGAAGATGGAAATGACTTTACAAAATGCTTTATAAATAATTGTGTGTATATATATTTTATATCTATTTTTATAATTAACTTTAAAGTTCTATTCTAGTTATCAAAACAATGCTTAAACGAGAACAAGAACCTTTTATCGCTAACAAAATGAAAGACTTTATGAAATTAGCAGGATTTGATGCTGTCAAATCTATCAAGAAGAATGTTTATTTAGGTAAATAGAAAATAAAAAGAGATTATTACTGTTTGAATTAATACGAAAAAAAAAAACAATGATAATAGGTCGACCTGATCAAGTTAATAGAGAGTTTTTATGGGATTTAAGAACACTTGTTAAAAGTATTCAACCTTTTTTCGCAGAGCAAGCACAAATTTCAGATGAAAAATATCCTCAATATTTAGATGATCTTATAACAAACTGTCAAAAGCAACCAGAGTGTATATGGCCAATGATATCAACATTAGGAAGAAAGCCATTATAAACACACACATACACACGCACACACACACACTCACTCACTCACTCACTCACACATTAATATTATATTATTATTGTACAATATTTATTTATATTCGTTATAAAGTTTATACACCAGTTAATAACCATTCCCTAATATAAATGTATATTTAAAATAAGAAATTTGTTATTTTTTTATGTTATATAAATGACATACTTTTTTTTGAAGATTTACCTTATTAAATCTGAATTAGATACAAGTATGGCTAATAAGCCTACACTTGCACTTACGGTGACTAAAGTATATAATAAAGCATCTTTTCTATTTAAATGAGAAAGTCTTTGTAATATTGAATTATCGTTATTCATCTTCTTTTCTGAATTCGTATTTGATTTTAATTCAATCGGCAGTCGTTCCTTTTCATCTTTCAAAATAGGTATAACTTGATATTGAATAGTATGATTCAAGTCCTCTAATGATTTGATGGGTAACCAATCCTGTTCAAATCGATTCACAGTAGATACCTGATCAAGGGCTACTGAACTTTGATATTGTAATTCAAGAACTGAATAAGCTTCTTCAAGTTGACATGCTTTTTGGCAGAGGGTCTCCACATGATCTAGACTTTTCGGTAACTTTGCTAGATATGTATGTATCGTACTTGTATCTCCAGCAGGTAATGTTACTATTTCATTTCGTTTTGATAATACAAGTGCTGCAGAAAAATAGATAACCATAAAAGGATTAGATGAAAGAAATAGATCAAAAAGACGTGTAATCGTTTCTAGATTATCCAGATCATGACTGCACCATGTAATTACCCAAGAAAGACAATAATATGGCAAGACATGAGCCCTAACAAAGGTAAAATAGAGTATGTGTAAAATAATAGATATAAAAATAAAAATAAATAAAAAAAAAAAATCAGATTCTTCATAATTTACTCTGTAATAAAATGATATAATTCTTCATCTTCTAGTCGAATTAAAGTATCTAAAATTGTTAGTTTCTTTAAAACAGGTTCCATATTAATATACATCTCATCTGTATTTTATAGAGTTAAGAACCATTATATAAATATGAATATAAATGTAAATGTAAATGTAAAAAAGGATATCTTAAATAAAATAATGCTACTGATTCCATGAGCTTAGTAGCATATTTTTCTCCAAACAATAAGATGAATACTGAACATATATCATGATATCCCTTTTTAATAATAACCATTATTTAATACATACAGCATCTTTATATTCTTTTTTCTTTTCTTTTTTTTTTACCTGATAATAATGTAATGACGGATAAGATCTTAAAACATGAACAATCACTCTATTCAACTGTCCTTCAAGTTTCCTTTTATCTTCTTCGTCTATATCTATCATGGTTATTATTTTATTTTATTTTTTTTTCTTTTAATTAAGCTGTTTTAATATTATTAATATTCTATATTTCTTTATACTTTTTGGGAAAGAATTAAATGATCTTATTACATCTAATTTTACTTGCTCTTCATCCTTATGGGGAACTAATATGTATTTATATATACATGATTAACTATAAAAGTAAAACTATATACATATATGCAGACCTGCCTTCGAGTGAACCTTCTATTACTTTATTTATAGTGGAATCTTCACAATGTAGCAAAAATGGCCTAGTAGATATAATAAAAATAAACATGATAATAAATGGTCATTTCTCGTTGAAATTACCAAACTCTTCTTCGAATCGCATCGCTTATAAAACCATTTTTTCGACCTATTTCTCTTAATAAAGCATAATCCTCTAATCTTAATGCTTGATTAATCTTGAAAGTTTCTTTAAAGTCTTCATTATCTTGTGCTGGCTTCTCTTTATAGTTATGGTTAGTTTTCTTTTTGGCATTCTTACGCTGTTTACGTTGTCTTCGCTTCATTATAAAAGAGAACAAAAGGATAAAAAAATAAATAAAAGAAACAAAACAATTATTCTTGCATGTTATAATAAAGTTTCTTACAAAAAAAAAAAAAAAAAATTAAATCTCAACACATCTTTTTATACGCAACACTCAGGAGGTTATATTTCTTTCTAGTAACACTCTCTCTCTTTTTTTTTTTTTTTTTTTTTGTTTGCTTGTTTCATAGTAAAATGAGGCCTTTTCGATTCGTTGGAATCTGCTTTAGCATCTTTTTTATAAAGGAGAGTTATTGTCAATTATCAGATCGTGTCTTTGAAGAATACAATGAAGAATTGACATTACATAATTTACCTGATGGTAAATTATTAGCTCATTTTGAATTTACAACGCAAGTGAAAGCCAATACAAAGCCTAATGCACCTCGTAAGATGTGTTACAAGTCATTTTTTTTCTTTAAAGAATAATAAATTCTAATAAAAAATGAATAGTACTAGATTATGGCTTATATCCAAAAGCTATTGGCGAAGTTCTTGAAGCATACAATGTACGTGAAATGCATCTTTCTTTTACTCAAGGACGTTGGAATTATGAGGAATGGGGCTATGCACCTACTTTATCAGTTGGCACAGGCGTTGAGTTATGGGCCTGGATGAAGGATACAACAAAGTAAGAAAAGAATTACATTGTTATTTAAAGCCATTTATTTATTTATTTATTTAACTTGGATATTGAAATGATAGTGTCAATGATCAATGGAAATCATTAACAAACACATTATCTGGAATATTTTGTGCATCACTCAATTTCATTGATGAAACTATTACAACAGAACCTCGATTATCTTTTAGAACAACTAATGATACAGACCAACAATTAAGATATGGCTCATTACCTCATGAAAATGTGTGTACTGAAAATTTGACACCTTGGATAAAATTGTTACCTTGTAAAGCCAAAGTAGGGTGGTTAATGATAAGGAAGATGATGTTATGATACTAACTAATATTAAGTCTGGGATAGCCGTATTATTAAACCCTCATAAGATATATAATTCTAATTTTCATTCTATGGCCATTCACGCTAATTCCATCTGTATAGTAAGTTTAGTTACATATATGCATATGAATATATATATATATATATATTGTTTGTGTGTATAATTTGAATCATTGTATAGGATGAAGCATGTACAGAACGTTATTTAGAATTAAAACAAACATTAACGTCTGTTATGGATCCTGTTAGAGATACAAGTCGCAGAGGTAAAATAAATGAATGGGATTTTCATGTTGAATCGTATTAAGAATTATTATTATTGTTATTATTTCTTTTAGATTGGTCTTTAAAATCAGTATTTGGTAGAAAATTAAAAAATGCATGTCCAGTAGCAAAAGAAAGTAAAATACGAGTTGATTTAGCTAATGCTGGTAATGAATATGAATTAAAACCGGTTACTAAACAAGAAGATAATATTGCAATTTATGAGCTTTCACCCAATTCAAAGGAAACATTTGATATTCACATGGCATGGAAAGAAAACTCATTCTTATACCGTAAGATTTTTTTTTTTTTTTTAGTTTATTTAAATTTAAATTTGCGTTTATTTTAGCACTTGAGCCGATTCAGCCCATGATATATGCCCAGAGATATTTTACAGGTTATGGACAAGAAAGAGGAGGATTAAAGATAACGATTTATAATCATAATAAATTAAATGCTATGCCAGTTATTTATTATGATTCTATTCCATGGTATCTTAAAGTTTATCTTCATACACTTCAAGTCAATCTCTTTAGCTATAACAACCAATCAGAAGTAAATATGAAATCAGATAAAACTATACAACAAATGTATTATCAACCAGCTATTGATAGAGGAAGACCAAGTACACTCGAATGTGAATTATTAATACCAGCAAATTCAGTAGTTACACTTTCGATGGATTTTGAAAAAGTATTTTTAAAATATACAGAACATCGTCCTGATGCGAATAGAGGATTTGATATCGGGTAAAACTATAGGAAAATATATATACATGTGAAGCGTGAGAAATTGACATGAATGATTTACTAGTTCTGCTGTATTAACGACTTGGATTCCTACTCGTTATTTAAATTCATCGTAAGGTTTTTTTTGGGTATAATACAAAAGTATTAAACTAATGTCGTTCTATAGTAAATTACAAAGGATTTATACAGATACATTATTAGTTAGCCTTCCTACCCCTGATTTTAGTATGCCATATAATGTAATTACGCTTACTTGTACAGTTATTGCCTTATTCTTTGGATCCATGTTTAATTTATTGATACGTAATTTCATTGTGATTTCAAATAATGATGATTAATAAAAATAAAGGGAAAGAAAAGCTGTGTTACACTCGGGTATTTTAATAATGATAATGTGGGGTAAATCGTCGTATCCATCATATGATTGCATCATTTTTACCTTTTTTTTTTCTTTCTTTTTTTTTTCTTATACTTTTTCTTCTTCTTCTTTCTTTTGACAAGTGAAAAAAAAAAATGAATCAAATCCCATCCAAGCTATATGAAAAGATTAAATATTTTGCCAAATTCCCTCAAACTGGAGTTTCACTGAGACAAATGGTGATGTTTGGTATGTTGAATTTAAATAACAAGAGCGGACAATATAGGTTTAATAATACTAAATATGAAGAATAGGGCAAAAACCTTCAGAGGGCACTTTATTTAAAGCAAGTCAATTCCTACATGGTATAATAAAAGAATAGAAAGCTTTACATGGATATATTAATCACTCCCTACCTTTTCTTTTTTTTTTCTTTTCTAATAATATGATATTAGAGGAATTACCTATTCGAATTGCTCATCGTGTAAAAGAATTGGAAGAATTACCAAGAAATTTAAGTCAAATGCCATCCATCATTAAGGTGAAGAATTGGTATGCACAATCCTTTCAAGATCTTGTTGAACTTCAACCACCATCTAAAAAAATAATTTCAAGTCTTTCAATAAAAGAACAACAGATTAGACAGCATTTGCCTATCACTGAAGTGAGTTTACCTCCTAATATACCTAATCCATCCCTTACTAGAGTTTATAAACCAATCATTCAAACCTTACACCCTTCTGTTCCTATCGGTCATCGTTATTATAATAACATGGATCAACTTGAGTATTCACCCGAGATTGTAGACTATAATGAATCATTTGTAAAAACGATTGAAAGAGTAAAGAAGAGGCATGATCCAGTAGTGACAACGATAGCACAGGGTATATTAGAATATAAAGATTATGTAAACACTTCTTTAATTGATACAGACGTACAAATGTTCTTGGATCGTTTTTATATGTCTCGCATTGGTATTCGAATGTTAATTGGTAAGATAGAATAGACATGTGAATAAGTGAATAAGTGAATATGTGTATATGTGTATATGTGTATATCTATATGTATATATTGATGTCCTTTTATTTTATTTTATTTTTTTATTATTATATAGGTCAACATGTTGCATTGCATAAAGGACCTAATAAAAAAGATTATGTGGGCGTCATTTGTACAAAGACAAATATTCGTCAAGTAGCACAGGATGCAATTGCGAATTCAAGATTTATTTGTGAAGATTTTTATGGATTATTTAGAGCACCTGAAGTTCATATGTTTTGTCCTGGGGATATTGAATTCATGTACGTTCCTTCTCATTTAAATCATATGTTATTTGAATTGCTCAAGAATTCATTACGAGCTGTTGTGGAGCGATTTGGAAGTGACTATGAGGATGAATATCCACCTATCAAATTAATTATTGCACATGGCAAAGAAGATATAACGATTAAAATATCTGATGAAGGAGGAGGTATCCCTCGTTCTGGTATTCCTTTAGTTTGGACATATATGGTAATATAGAATACATATATAAATATGTGTATATACATTTTATAATATTATATTTGTAGTATACAACGGCACAAGCTCAGGAATTAGAACCAGAATTCAGTCAATCTGACTTTAAAGCACCCATGGCAGGATTTGGATATGGATTACCTATTTCAAGATTAGTAAGTGATAATATATTCACACATATTTGTGCATTTATGTTATTTATATTGATATACAATTACTGTGTAGTATGCTCGATATTTTGGTGGAGATTTAAAATTAATCTCTATGGAAGGGTATGGTTGAATAATAAAATATATTTATACATGTATATATAAGCTTATTTTTTTTTAAATGATAGATATGGAACAGATGTTTACCTTCATTTAAATAGACTATCAAATAGTGATGAACCACTCATGTAAATAGATGCAACATGACTATTGTATATCAAACATACTCATAATAAAATTTACCATGTCATAATATTGTATATCATACTATAATATCATAAACAAAAAAAAAAAAAAAAAAAAAAAAAAAAAAAAAAAAATAGATATAGTACCAACGAACAAGACTTTAATAATACTGTATCCACTGAGTATGAAAGTTATGAACAACAAGAAGTCAAGCCTATAGGTATAGTCTCAATGTAAATTAGAATGTATTTTACTATATATATATGTATGTATATATGTATATGTATATATACATACATACACACACACACACACACACACACACACATATATATATATATATACCCCTTTTATTTTCTGAATTACATTTATGTTTATCATTTACAGCAAATAGTGTATAAATAAAGAGAATATTTGTATATAAATTCTACAACGTGGAATCATAATAAATGACATCATATTGTATACCAAGTCGTTTCTTCTTTTTCTTTTATTTATTATCTGTTTTTTTTTTTAGATAGATCTTTCCTGTCAAGACATGATTATACAAAAGCTCAATTTAGATTTAATCCACTGGTGGCTATTATTATTCTTATATGAATGTAATTTAAAAGCAAAATAAGATGTGCTACTGTAAATAAACACCTTTAATAATAATAATAAGGGGCTTCAAAGCAATTCATGTATTACTGTACAGTCTTAATAGGCCCTTTAATGATAAAGACAATAAAATAGTAAGGTAGTATTTATATATATAATAGAGTAGTGTAACTCTTCTGACAATGCATATTCTTTTTCTTTTCTAAATTGAGTCATGCTTACCACACAATGTTGTATTATTTACGATGGTACAACATGTATTGTTATAACATAATACATCAAAAAAAAAAAAAAAAAAAAAAAAAAAAAAAAAAAAGAATTGTTCAAGTATAGTCTTACATATATATAAAAAAAAAGAAAAAAGAAAAAGTAATAAGATCATATCTTTCATAATGTGTACAGGACTGCGCAATGACTTGTAAATACATATTATATAATATAATAAATAAAGTTTTTTTTCTTTCTTTACTGTATGTCGGTAAAATAGTGAAATGGTTGTATTTGATTTCCTTTTAAGATATCTTTTTACGTGATTTTATATATAAAAATATACACATAATGTAGTACTCCGATAGCTGCAGGCCACTATCAATTTTACTTTAACCTTTAAAACACACACACATGCATATATAAGTAATCTCTTTTTTATTTATTATTATTAATTCTTTCTTTCTTTCTTCTTCTTCTTCTTTTTTTACGTATTTATGTTAATAAAACAACAAAATAAAACAAAATCATCAAATATAAATGACAATAATCAACAGCAAATATCTTCGGATATATTAGTGAATAATAGACCACTCAATGCTATAAATAATGAAAGGTATTTCCCTTTTCAAGGATAAATAGAATTGACTTGATTTAAATGGGAAAATATATATAAATTAGGACTACTGAAAGACTTAAAGACTTTGAAAAAAGAACAGCCCATAATGCCCTTGAACGTCATAAGAGAGAAGGTCTTAATTCAAAATTTCAAGAGCTTGCTCATGTTCTACCATCATTACAACAAATTCAACGTCCTAGTAAAAGTACAATTGTTGCAAAATCACTTGAATTTGGTAACGTTAAAATTATCTCCTTGTGTGTGTGTGTGGAGATAATGTTCTATTTCGCTTTTTCATTAATTTATCTTGACTGTATTTCCTTTTATATATTCATATACAAATAATAAGTTTCTAAAGCCAAAGAAAGAGAAACAGACTTTAATGATCGTATCCAAGCATTACGTAAAGAAAATGAACAGTTGATGAGACAAGCAAGTCGAGCAGAGAAGCGTATTCGAAGGCGTCTGGAACATGAAAAAGTGATGATGACTAATAATAAACAACAGGCAACAGTCTTTATGGAAAAAAGCTCTTTTGATCAAGCAAATTCTAGTTTGGAAAAACAAAAAAAAGTAAGTCTATTAAATTAAATCATATAATATGTCGTATTAAATAAAAAAAAATAACCACATTGTTTGTTAGATCATGAGGGTAGTAGTAGAACGAAAAAAGAAAAGGTTATAAAGTCTGTTATTACGTTATCATCTATGGCAAACGCTTCTTTAAAGAGAATAAGAGAGCCTACAGATGCTTTAAATGGATTAATGATAGATACAACATTACCTACATTAAAAAAGAAAAGAGGAACTAAAAAGATGGAGACATTCTCTTGTACACCGTTTTCTTCTATACAAGCTTCTTCTTCTGCTGCTGCTGCTGCTGGTAGTACGATGATAGATTTAGTAGTAAATGACATGACCCATGCAGCCTCTTATCAAGCCATGAATCAAAGCAATCTACCATCATATCATCATAGTCATTCGTCATCATTAACAGATAAGATAATTAATCATTCAGATTTACTCTATAATAGCATGAGTCTACCTTTATCATCCATTCATAACACAAAAAACACAGATGAATTAGGTAACTTCTCTGAGAGTCAACAATCTAAAGTGTCACCATCAGCCGATAATGAGCCTATTATAAACTATAATAATAATGTCAAATATATTGTAAGCTCAATCCCTGCTACAAAGACACCTATTGGTACTGGTCATCAACGACAGAACTATAACTATACGCCGACAACTTCTTCTTTTGATATATTTAACACATGTATGCAAAATCCTAGTAAGTAAAATGAAAGTATACATAATGATTAGTAATTAACCTACATGAATTAGATAATTGGCATTGAAATAACTATATAATATTATTATTTTTTATTTTTTTTTTCAGTTGAGCAAATAATACCATTCATCTTATGGCCCATCTTTAATTCATTTCTTATACCCTTTATCTATATTATACATAGGCTAATTTAATTGATGGGCGTGCCCTTCTTAAACTTTTTTTTTTTAAAAAAAAACATTATACACACATTATACATATTATATTTTAAGTTTTTATTATGTGTAAAATAATAATGATAATAATAAACAGAATAAAACAATGTGTTTTCCATGTGAATCAAAATAGTATTATTTTTTTTTATGAATATGGCTGAAGCAATACTCCTGATGAACAAGGACATATTATTAATGATTTGGAAGAAAGAAAAAAAAATGTTAATCTGTTTCCCCCCCCTCCCCCTAATAAACCTAATAATATAATTTAATATCAAGAGTTTAACAATGTAACTTGTAAATAATTGAAGAATGACTAAAGCACACATACACATTACCTATTCTCGAGCTTTGAAAAAAAAAAAAAACGTTGGTAAATTATACGAAAATAAAAGGATCTTACTTCATCAATGAATGTATTTTTTTAATTCTTTTAATTTTAATTTTAATTTAATTTAACGTAGTTAAAGTTAGTCTTTTATAGGTTTAAGAATACTTGAATTCTACCATAGTGTTTCAGTGACTATAATATTAGAGACTTTATTTATTATTCTAGTATTATACCAAAGACAATATATATTATAAATGTGTTCATTCCTAAATTATAGATATAAAATAAAAAATAAAAATAAATAAATAAAAAAAAGAGGGGGAGGAACTTGCAATTTGATATCGTAAGGACAATATCTTGCTAAATACGATTGCTGTCATTATACTAAGAGATAATTAGGTAAGAATATGATAAACGAATAAACAACAATAAAAATCAATCTGTACATGGCAAGTGTGTAAGAGCTATATTATAACTCTTTGTCCACCAGTGAACTCTGCGTATTCGTAGTAAGCAAATATCTTTATCCTGTATCCTTTTATGTTGGCTACTCTGCTGTTTATTACTAAACAAGGAATATCTTCTCTTTTCATCTTCTTCTTTTCTAATTTGATTATTAAAAAAGACTTGAATCGATATGTTCTCCATCTCTGCCAAGTCTCCAAATGTAGTAGATTTGATATAGTCTGTCAAATTATCATCAAGTCTTACATTAATATTTTCAAGTCCTAGACGACGAACATATTCAATATTATTTGAAATTTCCCTATCCAACTGCAACCAGACTTTGTTATTATCCTTTGGTAAGCTTGGGTTCGGAATGGACCACTCTAGTTCGTATATTGATTTATGTGGTAATAGCCATCTTTTAATAGCTGATGAGATGACTCTCTTGTCATGTTTGTTAGGATGATCATAAATAGGTATCTGGCGAATACACGCTGAAGATGAATTAGCATTACTAAAGTCTTTTAATGATAAAGGCTCTTCTTTATACTTTTGAGGATTTTGCAAAAAAGATGGATGTTCGACTCCCCAACTTTTTTCTTGTAATGATAACATTATTTCTTTACGTTTATCATTTCTGGACTTAATTTTATTTTATTAAAAAAGTGAGACAGAAGGAAAAAAAAATTAAAAGTAGACATTCATATAAATATTATGAATGTCTGATACTTACATTTTTGATCATATTTTGTCGATCTAATATGTTATATTGATTAAAATTGTCAAAAGTAGGAGCTATTTTTCTGTTGGGAAGCCGAGAAGGCGGAAATAAGATACGTCTTACTTTATTAACTCGTGTTGAAATGACCATTATAAAACAATATAATAAAGATAAGATAATAATTAAAGAAAAAGGAGGGCTGATAAGAGAATTTCGAGTTTATTTTAATGGTAGTTCACTATATTATATATGCGCTTTTTTTTTTTTATCTTTTGTTTGGTATGATGCAAAACACGCACTTCTTTCCACGCGGTTTTCCACAACAACGTGATGATGAAATAACTCCGATGATATTTGATTTCATACAGTATTTCAGACGATTATAGAAAATGTAAACATATAAAATACTAATTAAATATAGACTTTTTAATCAATAAAAGGCAGCTGATGGATCATATCCCCCTTCTATCATCGTTTCAACTAGTATCGCAGTGCACTGGATAGCTCACTTTCAGTTTGTCTTCAATTCCACAAACTGTTCTATTGACGTATTCAACAACATACACCGTTGAACAAGCACAAAACTTTGACTAGTCGTTTTCCTTTCCCTCTTCTCTCCCATGCTACTGCTGTTTTATTCACTCTTCTTATACGCTTTTATTTTTATTTAATTTTTCTATTTCTATGCCTAATCTTTTAACGTAATATGTTTCTAATTATAAATTGCAACCACCTCTTGAATAGACTAACTGCTCTACTTCTCTGTGACACAAGAAATGAAGATGAAAACAAGAGAAAACTTCTTCCATTGTTTGTGCAAGTTGCAGGGGGTGGGGGAATTGGTCGTAGTACTTTACGTAGCCCTACATGTAAAAATTATATCTTTTCAAAGTAAGAAGTTTTGTTAAAAAACCAGGGTTTTGGTTATATGTCTTTTATTAGAAAGATACCTAATAATAGCTGCGTCTATGAAAAAAAAAAATACAGTATGGAGCTCATATCTTCAAGTAGAAGCATTTATTAAATTTTGTTTGGAGTTCAACTATTCGTAAATTATTATATGCTTTTCTTTTAGCAAACAGAATAATATGTGTTTAGACAGGTCCCTTCTACAAACACAGGTTTTCCTCTACTTGTAGAAGGAATTTAGATTATTATAGGTATTATACATTATATCTTATTAGTGTTTTATATTCGCATAAAATCTACGTTTATTTTTTTTTCTAAATTACACTCTATTTCATCCACAAAAAAAATATCTATAATCTTCTGAATTTGAAGTTCAAATACTGTAAATTGTAATAACAGCAATAAGCTTTTTTTTTTAATGCATTATGAATCTTGACCAAAAAAAAAAAAAAAAAAAAAAAAAAAAAAAAAAAAAAAAGTATTATTTGTTTTTCTTTCTCGTCTCCTCCTTTTTTTTACATCTTTGACTAATCACTTTTAACCAATTCATATCTCTAGTAATAATATGAATGAACGTATCAGGAAATGCAAAATAAAGGCGTATTTCAGAATGTTTAATTACTTTTTAAAATATATAAAAATAAGAGTTGAGAATACAGCTGTTGTCTATCAATGAACCATATAAAGCAGTAATACTGTCTATTATTAATAGTCAAAGATAGATTAATATCGTTTAGAAAATAGCTATACTAAGTAGCCATAGATAACAAAGCAAGTACTAGATATTAATTGTTTTATTAACTACAGCATGCATTTAATTATCTGTTTGAAAAAAAAAACCAACGTATTGTTTAGATAACATTATAGATTTATAGTCTTATATTTTCATTATTGAATATTACTTTTTTTTTTTTTTTTTTTTTTTTTTTTTTATTTCTATTAATTTAAAAGATACATATCTGTGGTTTTATATTTAATAAAATTAACGTCAAAAGAAGATATCCATTTTGTCAACAAATAAAATATGTATAAATAAACAATTTGTAATAATAACAGTTGTTCATCTCATACTTTGCTACAGCAGATACATAGAACTTAATTAAAATTATTTATAAATCTTTCTTCAAATTATTATTTCATAATTTAATATTATATTTACTTATATAACAAGCATATTATCTTGAGATTGGCTAAGAGATATTTCTTACGTAGTTGATAATTGCAATCTCGCTAAAGCATATCCAATAGATCGATGTTCTATTCATCCTAAGGTTTAATTGCCTATTAAACCTCTATCTTCAAACTCTTGAATTCATAGAAAAAAAAAAAATTACTAAGGACACTACACATAAATCAAAATAAAAAAATAAATGCTCATTACAGGGGTCGAACCTGTGACCTTGGCGTTATTAGCACCACGCTCTAACCAACTGAGCTAAACGAGCTGTTGCTTGATTGACAAGTGGTATAAAAATATAAAATTTGCACACAAAAAATTTAATCAACAATCACGTGATATACCGGACTTGTCCGGCAATTCAATTTGTTTTATTTTAATTTACCCTTCTTTAATATTTCCTTTTATATAATATCATTTTTTATTTAAGTATCATTTTTTAATATAAGGGAATAAAATCAAGCTTTGACTTTGCTAAAAATTTTTATTAAGTTGTTTAATTGTAATTTGATTAATTGAACTGAAACGACAATACAGAAGATTGTCAATTAAATATAGAAACAGTAACAGAAAGAAATATCAATACATTAACGACGATATAAAGAACAAAAGGCAATATTCAACTTACATTTATACCTTTGTCTCAGTATAAAAGTAACTAGAAGAAACATCAGCTTCACAACAAAAAAAAATAAAAGAAAAGGATTCTACTGTTAAGCACCACGAACATATCATGATTTTCAAGCTAATAATTAAATTTTGAAAACATTTGGAAAAATTTTGGAAAACCGCAACCAATAAAAACGCTCAAAAATTATGACGTAATCTTTTTGTTGATTTTCATTCAACCTTATCATAATCAAAGAAATAATAAAATGAACTTGTTTTTTTTGATGTTATGATTTCTGTTGTTTTATGATGAATCATGCAAAAAAAAAAAAAGAAAAAAATACTAATTTTAGCAAATAATATTATACAATGGACTATAATAAGGCTGAATCAATGTTGTATCTCAAATATCTAATTTAGATTGGTTATTGCCATATTCTTTGGATCAAACTGTGATGACATGACTTATTATATAATAAAAAATAAATGAAACTTAAAAGTAAAAAGAGAAAGCAGATAAAGGGAAAGTGTAACTTAAGACTATTCAAATTCAATGTAAAAGGAGTAAGAATAAAAAAAAAAGGAAATTTAAAAAAGTTAAGGATCCTTTTGTGTCTTTATAACTGCTTGTATTTTGAAATAAAGAAATAAAAATAGCTATTAAAGAATATGAGTCATGAAACAATTTTAGTACTCAAATATACATCTTGCTGATTCAAGATACTGATCTATGGATTGTTGTGATTTGGGCAAGTTAATAGAGTAAAAAGAAAAAATAAAGACAATATAAAATACTTTGAAACTTTTTGTATCCTACTATTAGGTAAAAGTGTTATGTGAAGTTGAGTACAACATTATTCAATACAATATGTCAAGTATTAATATTTTTGAGAATGATGATAAAAATGAAACAAGGATATAAAATGTATAATTATATAGTATGAGCTGATATTGGTTCATGGAAGAGTAATCATATACATATATATCTTATGCTTGACTTGTAACTCATATCTTCGGATCATAAGAAGAACAGCTTAATTCAAGTTATTCTTATAAATAATTTCATTATATTAAACTTACATTCAGCAGATCGAATGTTCCTAGAATTAATATGTACATAATTTATTATGATTATCCAATCGAGCTAAGTTGTAGGTTATAGCTTTCTGATATCTTTTATGTTTTTATTTTCTTTGATCAAAGACGACCTGTAGTTTCCTCTATCGAAGTTACAAAAGTAAATATTTTAGAAATAATATTATGACTTATAGTTGACATATCAAGATGATTGAACATCAACAAGTTTTATATTATATAAAAGATGTTATCCATAGTATGATACAATGTTCTTATTTGATATTTAGGTCTATAATCCATCTTTCTTTATGTAATTCATTTATTATACTATCACTTACGTTGATATTGAGGACTTATTTTATTACACTTTTGTCTTATTTTATGTGAATATTAAAGAATCAAACTACTCTAATTCCTAGTTTATATCAAGTCTTTTTTATTCAGTCTGATGCAGAGAATAAGTAAACCAAGTTGCAAATTTGATTAATCTATTGATATATAATTAGTGATACTCGGCGATTTAAGCTTTGAAAAAATTGGTTTTTTATCTCTATTAATTTACTTGGAAGTTATTTATTATTCATTTTAACTTGAAAAAGCTCTAACTAAATCTTTAGTACAAATGAAAAAAGAAAGAGGATAATTTCGTCTAAAAGGAAATAGGTAAAATTATATAAATATTGATTATTAGTTTACGGAATTCTGATACTGTAGTATATTGATAACACAAAGGACAGCACATTTCACAAACAAACAATGGTTAATTCATCTTATCTGGATAATTAAGAATACTTCACTAATATTTTTCATTTAACAATGATTGCTAAAAAGAGGAGAATCAGTATGTTTTATTACAATCACATAGACTTTTACTGCGTAAATCTAACATGAAAAAAAAATTAAGCAGAGAGAACACACAAAAACACGTAACTGAAGAGAGAAAAAAATACAAAGGAAGCAAAAGAGTTACCAATATTACGTTTGATGTTTACAGATTTAGTTCTGATGATAGCTTTTAAGAATCTATTGTTAGATAGGCTACATATAGGGGATAAAGCAAGTCTGTTCTTACCTAAAGAAACTCCACTGTTTTAAGTAGTCTTCCTGTCACATTCACTTATATTGCTGTTATTTCTATCTCTATCAATATTTCTAAGACACCAGTTTTTGCCAGTGCTATTAACAAGACCTCTGTTAGAGAAACAAGCCCAAACAATACTATCATAGTACATTAATGCGTCATAGTAATAAAGACAATAGTGAAAAGTAATTAAAAACCAGCATATATAATAATTTGATATATGCTGGTAAATATTACAAACAAAATCGTTACTCATACCTTTGTGTTAACCAAGTACACTTTTGTAAACCAGTTGGCCGTAAATAATAAATTTGATTTAAAAAAAATTCGTCAACAAGAAATTGTTTTGTTGAAGTAGTGGAAATAAAATTGTAGAGTCATGACCTTACAGTGATATTGAACCCTCAAACGGTTTGATAAACTTGAGGAAAACAGTTGAATGGCCAGATCTCTTTAACAAAAATTAGTCTCCAAAACCAGCAGCAAGAAATGAAAAGATGGTAGCAACAATAACATTAATAAAAAAATTTTCTACCCAAATTTAAAAATTCCTACTTTCTACTTTCCGGTCAGAATATCGCTTGCCCACATAATGCACCATCATAGGTAAGTACTAGGATTTTTTTTTTTTTTTTTTTTTTTTTTTTTAAAAGCCTTTAAAATAGGTACTAACATTCTCTATTTATAATTTCCTAATCACGTTCGGTGTAAGTAACACTGCAAATGTATTTTATTAGTTATTCTTTCTTGTTCGAAAGAATTTTTTTTTTCTTCAGATGTTGTCTCCCCTTAAACCAGTTTTATCTCCTTTATCTGTTTATACTTAACATCAACTTTTGTTTCTGAATAAAATGTAAATATTATTATTGTTTAAACGCGCTACACGCTAGAACACGTCACGTTAAAAAATAAATCCATTTATTTTCTTTTTTATTTTTTTAAAGAAAATCCGCGTTATATTCGTTCATTTCTTACATGTCTGATTTAGAAGGCATAGTGGAATAAATTAAGATAAAAGTTAAATAACTAATAGTATACTGTGTTTAGATTCAGAATTCTTTAAAGAGCTTGAAAACGAAATTAAAAAAGAAGAAGAAAGTGTTGTAATTGAAGAATCAAATAAAAAAAGAGTTGAAATCGATGTCGATCGTCATTCTGGATTGAGACTAAAGTAAATTGTTATTCATGCCTATTATTATTAGTTTCGTATTTTAATTGTCAATTTACTTGACTGTAGGAGAAGACTTGTTTCTAAAGCTAAATGCGATAAAGGCTTACAGAATGTTAAGTATATACCCTTAAAAGATGTCGAAGCACATACAAGGTTATATTATTCTATTCGTATTGGAATAAAGCCTTCTCCACATTGGTCAACAATTGGAATAATAGATAGATGCTTCCCTCAATCCGATTTCTGTGTGACTCGTCTTACTGATATGCGTGGCAATTATGTAAATCTTTACATTACAGGTAAAGCTTATGTGCAATTTCAGAATGAAATCGGAATAGGCTCTATACTTGCTATCAAGAGACCGTTTTTATTGAAACCAACAGAGACCTATTATTCGATTGGATTGCATGTAAAACAATTACAACAAATATGGGTAATTGGTCAAAGTTTAGATTTAGTACAATGCAATGCTTATATTAATGAAAACAAAAGATGCAGTGAATGGACAGACATGTAAGTTTCATAACACTAACATTGACCTCGATATTACTTATGTACAGACTATTTTTTTTTTTTTTTTTTTTTTTTTTTTTTTTTTTTTTTAGACGTAATGGCGAATATTGTGATACGCATTTAGATCGTTTATTTAGATATTCAAAAAATAATCGAATGGAATTAGCCTCAGGGTTAGGATATAAATATGTGCATATTTGTGGCATGAATAGGATAATTTAACAATCGTATACATAGTGATAGCGGATTTGAAATTCGCTGGGCATCGCAAAAAAGACAAAATAACGGATCATTAATTTATGAATCGAAAAAACAAAAATCTAGTCCATATTCAAAAACAACTACGAATAACTTAAGTTTAAAAATGAAAGAGGCGTATTTTTTAGAAGGAAAAGGACTTGTTTCAATCGACGGAACTTTTATTAAGAAGAAAATAATACCAAATCCAGAAATAATGGCAGCTGAAAAGTCAGAATTAATGTAAGTTGCATTAACAAATTGTTAGGTACATAATAAATTGACTTTCTGTGCAGAGAGTTTTTGAAAAACAGAAATGATACAGGTGCTGAAATGATTCGAAAAATAAAAGGAATTATACCAGAAACGCCAAGTAAAAATAACGATTAAAATATTATTATAATATAGACACAATTTTCTAACTTTAGAAATTTACTTTTAGAAAACGTACTCTCTAAAGACGCCTTAAATAAAATAGGTAACTCTAAACAAATTTTAAGTGAAGAAGAAGAATTAGCAAAGGTATGTTAAAAATACAACTGGTAACTGAAACTATACTTATGAACCTTATAACGTCATAGAAACGATCGTTTGACGCTTTACTTAGAGCAAATGCCAATAACGATGATGATGATGATAGTTCTACACTTAAAAAACCTCGTTATGTATACCTCTAGTCCATAAATTAATTTTTTAATAAACCATGTCAACATTCCCTTTAAATATTTATTTTGATTCAATTTTCTTTTCTTTTCTTTTCCATTTCTCTTTCATATTTTTTTATTTTTTTTTTTTAATAACTATTTGAAAATAGAATTAAAAAACGTAAGTTGTGCTTTTGAAGTAATTTATATTTAACTTTGAATAATTTACCTTTTTTTTTTTTTTTTTCTTAAAGAATGCTTTTAAAAATCTTTAAAAAATCTTTACGTAAAAAACCTCTACAAGTGGGAATTGATCAATCTCTTAATTTTGAAGCTAAAAATGAAGTCGTATCAAGTGTTGACAAAGCCATTTTTGAACCTGCTTTTGCCCTTAAGCAAGTACAGCAAGGAAGTATTGAAATGTTGCTTATGTTTCTTTTCATTAAGCGATTAATGAAGTGTACTGGAACTTCAAGAAGCCGAAAGATTAATTTTTTGAAGAAGCTTGCTAAATTGTTCATTCTCTCGTCAAAGAAAACGACTATTATCAAGCCAGCTGAAAAAACTCCTGATGTTACGGACAATTCGCTTAATATGTCTCTTTCAACTATCTCTTTGGCTCATTCTCATGATGAATCTACATTAGTTCAGGCTGTAGTAAATGATGATGACAAAGCTGAAGCCTCTTTTGATGCCTCTAAATCCGAAGAATTTATGAATCAACCGGACGTATCAAATAAAGGTTATTATTACATTCTTCAATTTTATTTTATTTTTATTTTTTTTTTTTAAAAAAAAAACCTAATATACATATATATATATTTATAGAACTTATTACTTCCATTAATGATGCAATCATGGTATCCTTCCCTGAAAATCATATTACTGCTGGCCATAATACTGATGCCTGTGAAATGGAATTCAACATTGAGCCAAATGTTTGTACTGCATTAATGTCATCAAGTAGTGACTCTTTATCTGGTAATGATTTACCTACACCCGTCAATTCTAGTTCCGAATTATCTTCTATGTTTGCAGAAGAATGCATGAATAGCCCTGTATGTGATTATAAGGCTCTTTTTAATAATATTAAGTTCAAAGCTCCCAGAAAGAAGCATCAAGGAATCAAGAAGATGTTTGGCAAGTTTGGCAAGACCTTGAAAAATATGGTCAAAAAAAACAAAAGAACAGCCTGTATCAAGCTTCCTACTTATGACGATTTGATTGCTGTATCTACAGAAAATGACAATTTTGTTGCTGTATCTACAGAAGATGACAATTTTATTGCTGTATCTACAGAAAATGGCAATGACAACCATTCATTGGTATCATTTCAAGAAGCTTCGGTATGTGCATAAAATTATATTTCAAAAACGAAAATAAACCTACTAACAAAATAAATAAATATAGTTTGAAGAAAAACAAGCTAGCTTAATCTTTAGTGAAAGTTGTATGTCTGAAGAAACTAATGCTTCAGAAGAATCTTGGGACTTGTACCGAGAATGTAACTACCGTAAAGATCCAACCTATCCTGCCCTTATAGATCATTATCGGGAATGTCTTGGCTTTTATATGGACTCGGTTGGCTCACAAGAATATGCTAAAATCTTTAAAGATATAAATGAAGAAGCATTAAACTTTCAAGAAGAGCTTAAAAACAAACTTGAACTTATGGATGGCTCTAGAACTGTCGATGTGCCATATTGTTGCGACCTTGAAGACCAACTTTTAATTAATTCCTTGAGGTTTAGAAGATACCCTCCACCCAAATCTTTAAAAAGCCCTGTAGCAACAAAACCTTACTTGATCCTTAATAACCAACAGTTTACTCAAGACGCCCAAACAAATGCTGAGGAAGTTATAGAGAGAGAACAATTGATCAAAGAGTCTAATACTATCGATATTAATGACATAGTTAGCTACAGAACTAATGTTTCAATTTTGTCAAGTATTACTGACTTCGATATCAAATGGCAAGAACAGTTTAAAAGAGAAATGAACAACAAAGAATCCATTGATGAGATAATTAAAAGGTAAAAATATTTAGCATTATAGTATCGAATATGTATTCTTATATATATATATGTATATTTTTAATTATACAGTATCTCTTTGGCGCTTTATAATATTATAAAGTACAACCATGAGTGGAATGAACTTAATAGTAATCCAGTATACGGAAGTCATAATATGGAAATTTCTTCCAATTCCCCAAATTACGATATCTTCACTCCAATTACTCAACCAGAAGATATATTTCATCAATTCAAATCTATTTATGATTGTTGCGATGAGGTATTTAATAATTTATTACTGCTGTTATTTATGTAGTATACTAATATATATATTTTGAACATATAGTTTAATGTAGAGCATTCAATAATAAGCTACATTTATATCACAAGAATGTTGAATTTATCCAATCAAAAGCTTAACGACTTTAATTGGAAAAACATAGTTGCTGTTGCAATGTTATCATCTTTAAAGTTTTGGGATGATTCGTCTATGTACACTGCTGATTTTGTAGGCATTTTTAATAATATAGACATGGAAAGAATGTAAGTTTGATGAAAATGAATATTATAACTCAAGCTAAATCTAATAAACATATATAAAGTATTAATTTAGAAAGAACATTCATAACCGATCTGAAGTACAGCTTTTCTATCAAATGCATTGAATTTGCCAAGGCATATTTCAATTTGAAAAATATTCTTTAAAATACAAAAATTTTGTTCACAAAAAAAACCAAAAAAAACCATCGGAAAAAAAATAGAAAATTCGTTAAAAAAATAAAATAAAAATTAGTTCCTTAAAACATTTTAAAATTGATTATTCGCAGGAAATAATCTCGATTTTTTTTTATTCGCCTCGGGCAATACAGTATAAAATCTTATAAAAAATTAATCGTATAAGTATTTACCAAGTCAAAGTAAGCGTAATTTAAGACATACAAATATAATTCAATCATATAAATACATATTTTGAAAGTATAAAAGCTTAGAAATACATTAATCTACTTTTAAATCAATTAAACTAGAATACATGTACACATTTCTTTGCAATCAACGCTGATAATTTGTATGTTTTGTAAAAATAACTTGTCAATAGCCCTTATATTTCAAATGTATTGAAAATTTTATCTTTTAATACCAATTAGGGTCATTTAAAATAAACTTTCTCTTACACATTATAATAATCAGGAACAGTTTTTTTTATTTTATTTTTTTTTCCGATTTTTGAAACATAGGTGGTTTTTTTTTTTTTTTTTTTTTTTTTTTATGAATGATACCATTTCAGCACAATTCATTGAAAAAAGACATACCCCTCTTAAAAATTGATCAAACTAATGTCCATTATACTATAAATAAAGTCATGTCATCGCCAGACTCAACACCGCCTTCTTCTCCAACTAGTCAGATTCTCCACTTACCACAACGTTACAAATTAAACCATTTGGCTCGTTCATTACTACTCAGTATTATTTTATTTTCATTAACATCACTATACATCATGTGGGATTCCTTTCAACATCATCAACGTGATGTTTCAGGCTGCAAAATTAGTTATATGCGACCAAAGTACATTAAACAAACTGACTTTGACAGTGAGATGACTCGATTTGCCGGAAAATATGGACTCTATCTTTATAGAGAAAAAGGTGTAGACCTCTTTGATCAAGTAAACAGTTTAATCTATCTATCTATCTATATATATAAACAGTAAGCCTTAACACTTTTGTTTTATAGCCAACAGGTGTGCCAGTTTTATTCATTCCTGGTCATGCAGGAAGTTATAAACAGGTGCGATCAATAGCTGCTGAATCTGCATTTTATTATTATCGTAATTATGCTAATGATCCGGAGAAATGGCAACAAGGAGCTCGTAGTTTGGACTTCTTTACAGGTATAAATAATCTTAACGCAACTTTTTTTTTTCTTCTTCTAAAATAAAAATATTCCTATTTTGTTAGTTGATTTTCATGAAGAGTTTTCAGCATTACATGGACAGTCTCTTCTTGAACAAGCAGAGTATTTAAATGACGCTATCGATTATATTCTTAAACTTTATTCACGTAATAATATTGAAGATGGACAACGACCCGACCCTACCTCTGTCATTATCATTGGTCATTCAATGGGTGGTATTGTAGCACGTACTATGTTTACTATGGACAATTATCAGCATGGCACCATCAATACCATTCTCACTATGTCAACCCCTCATATGTTACCACCAGCACCCTTTGACTGGAAAATTTCACAACTTTACGATGATATTAATCAATTTTGGCAATCAGGGTTCATTAGTACAAATACCACTGAGCATCGTAAAACGAACAGACACTACCAACCATTACCTGCTCATATATCATTAAGAGACATTTCAATTGTTTCTATGGCAGGTGGTACATTGGATAATACAGTTTGTAGTGATTCAACAAATTTGGGGTCGATTGTGCCAGCCACACATGGATTTACCGTCTTTTCAACTGCCGTACCTGATGTCTGGACAGCTGCTGATCATGTCTCCATCCTCACCTGTAATCAACTTGTCAAAGTAGTTGCTAAAACACTTATAGATCTTGTTGATGTACGTCGTGGGTCTCAAACAAAGTCCCTTGAGGAACGTATGACGATTATGCGAAGAGCTTTCTTAACAGGCCTTGAAGATCGTTCAGGCAATATTCAGCTAGGAAATCTTACCTTTTATCAAACTAATTCCCCTACAGTAACTTTTTTAAAGCCCGGAGAAAGATGGGTAATTAAACAACAACAATTAGCTACACCCAGCATAGTTTTTTTGCCCACAGTGGCCAATGCAGACGCATTCGCCATTTTGTCAGATGATAATGATGGGAGTCGATTTGAACTGATGCTATGTTCAGAAGTTGAAAGAATAAACAGTAGTCCAACTGTTGCATGTCGATCGATTCAGTCGATTATTGTTCCTGTACCAGCGTCTGTTCAGAATATCCAGTATCCATTTTCAGGAGAACACTTTAGCTTTGCCAGTCTTGAGTTTCAGGAGATGGGAACCTTTAGTTGGTTGGCTGTAAGAGATCGAGGACATGGGAAGGGTACATTTTTGATTGTTGAACCATTTATGAGAGCTGTGAATCATCAAACAATTCGACAATCCATGCTATCCATTGCCCTAGAAGGCGTACATGCTAAGATGGGACCTGCCCTTTTTACATCCATACGTATACCTTCTATCGAGAGTCCCATTTTAGCTTATCACCTCAAGGTCTCCAGAAATTGTCAACATCAAAAGCAACAACTATTTTCACCTTTTTTAAGACAATCCATCTCAACTATGCATGAATCTAAATTTTATGTCAATTTAGCAAATAATCCTGAAGCAGAAACAGATCTTTCAATTCATGGTCGTACCGCATTTACGTCCTTGGTTAGTAGTGGCTCGGAAAAGGGACTTTCATTACAAGTCTGGATGGATCCTACTTGCCCTGATCCACTAGAACTTGACTTATATATTGACTGGTATGGAAGCTTGGGTCGTCTAGGTTTCCGAAATGGTATTATGCTTGCTACCTTTTCCTATATTGTTGTCATGTTGGTGTTTGCGACTCAAATCAAATGCTACAATGATACGGGTATTTATCCACATTTTGGACAGGGTCTAGCATTTTGTTTCAAGAGGACATTCCCTTTCGTCATGCTCTGTTTAGCCATCTGTAGTATTTTACAGGTTTGTGCACCCCAACTTTTACTACCATGGGAAGATATTTTAAATGGTAATACAGATAGCTTCTTTTGGTGGATTCCCTTAGTAGGTATTCTGCTTAGTATAGGCATCGTCAGTCTTCTTTGGCTGTTTATTGAATGTTCCGTTCGTCTAATGAGTTGTCTTTTCGAACAATCCATCTGGACCAATATTTCGGTGAGTGTCCGTTTTCAACGCAAAGAAAGCGAACAAGAACAACTTCAGCGAAGATTTATAATCACACTCATCTTATTTTTATTGGTGGCTACCTTTATTCCTTATCAATTTGTATTTGTTGTTGCTTTCCTTGTTCAAATCGTGACATGTATACGTGCATTTTTAAAAACAAAGGCATCGGTAAAGTACTTGAAATAATAACAATTTCTTTTCTTTTTTTTAACTTCTTTTTTTTTATATATACATATACGTTTATAGTTTAATCGAACAGGGTTAAAAAAATCGAATCGATATAATTATATGATCTCGATTTTACTTTTATTTTTTACATTATTACCCTTCAATCTACCTATTTTATTGGTTTGGATACGTAATATTTCTGTACATTGGTTTGTGCCATTCTCTTCAGATCACAGTGTAATGGCAATAGCCCCCTTCATCATTTATGTTGAAATTCTGACAAGTCAGAAAAGGATGCTTCCAAGACAAAAGAACAGGTAAGAGAGGGAAAATTAAAACAAAACAAAACAAAACAAAACAAAACAAAACAAAACAAAATACTAATTTTTGCTGAATCATTTAAACTTATTCATGTAGATTTTGGAGACTGGTCACTTATGCTATCATGTATTATATTGTAATTTATGCATTTTTGTACGGCATTAAATATACGCATTGGATTTACTTTTTATCAAATAATCTTGTCTTCTGGTTCTTGTTGCTCCATTTTCGTCACTCACATTATGGATCTTTGTCGTATCGATATATTATAGATCATCTTTTAATTGTGAATAAGAAACATTCATAACGTTAGACGTTTTACTTACATACTAATTACTATACTTAATAAAAAACAATAGAATTTATTTTTTTTCTTTCCTTTTTTTAAAAAAAAAAAAAAAACTTAGTTCTTTTGAGCACGGAGACCCTTAGATTCTTTCTTGGCACGAACTTTCTTGGGTTGTTGAGAAGAAATGATAGCAGAGGCACGAGCAACAGCAGCCTATAAACAAACAAACACACACACACACACATGCCCCATTAATATATTTCTAAATATCTCTTTCAAGAAAGAAAAAAAAAGATTTTTTTCCTGTCAACTTACAGCACGAAGGTCAGGTCTGTAGTGGCTACGAGCAATCAAGTTGGCAACAGACTTGGCAGTTTGACGACGGGTCTTGGCAATAACAACAGAGTTAACAGACTTGGCAGGAGAGTTTTCCTTCTTGGCCTTGCGAGTGGTGACACGGATACCACGAGCAACAGGAAGAATGGAGACGTTCTTTAAAAAAAGAAAAAAAAAAGTCAATAAACAGACAAAAAAATCGAACTGTTTCCTATCATCTCTTTTTCTTTTTCTCTTCCTCTTTATTTTACCTTGTAGTTGGCAAGACCAGAGTATTTGAAAGAGTTAATGTTCTTCAAGTTGGAAGGTTCGGAAGAGAATTGAACACCTTGACGCTTAACAAGGAAAGAATTGTTGTTCTTGATGATAGCCCAAACCAAATCAGCACTCATCTATTTTTATTTCCCCCCAGAAAAAAAAAATAAATATGTATATGTACACACAATTAATTACAATTTCGCATTTTCGATGAATTTCCTTTTTTTTTTTTTTTTTTTTTTCTTTCTTTCTTAATTTCCAGTGTTTGAAATATTGAATATTAAACTTACGTTAAATTATTTGACGTTGAAAAACGGAAAAAAAGAGGAAGGAAAAAAAATAAAAAAATTTTAAAGTTGCTACTTTGCTTCAGTAGGTGTCAAAGGGAAAAAAAAAAAAAAAATACAGTCATGATTTCATTGGCTTATAGTAGGTGGCTTAGCCGACCTTTTATTATTACCAGCAGATCATAATAATCAATATGTATACACATATATAATTAATAACTATCTTTGTCGGCACCAGCAATACGTTTACCCTGAACATAAACATGCTTCAAATTCTCACTACTTCCATTAAATAAAAACTTTTGTACTTTTTGTAATATCGTTTCACCACCCATCAAGTCCACAGATCCACCTTCTAAATCAACCCAAAGGGCATCAAAGGCCTTACCCACCTGGAAGTTTCCAATCGTCTCTTCTAAGCCTAATACACGAGCACCACCCATTGTAGCTAAATAAAGTAATTCAGCAGGACTCAATGGTGCATAATCCTTATTGCCATCTCGATCACGGGCCAAAATTTTACATGTCTTGGAGGCAAAGAAACTAGATCTGATAGCATCCAACATAGAAGGCTGGAAACCACCTGCGACGTCTGTACCCAAACCCAACTTGTCAACACCTCGTTCTAACATCCTTCGAACATCACAAATACCGCTGTGTAAGGAAAAGTTAGAGTTAGCGCAATGAGAGATACCGACTCTCTTACGAATCAAGAGATCGATTTCATCATCTGTCATATGAACACAGTGAGCCATATAACTACGTTCAGTTAACAAACCATGATCATCATAAACAGAGGTATAATCCTTAGAATCCTTAAAGAGGGAACAGGTAAAAGAGATTTCGTCGGGATTTTCGCAAAGATGTGATTGAATAGGTACCTGATAACGATCAGCGAGTTCTCCCAAGGCATTCAAAAGCTTTGAACTACAGGTGATTGCAAAACGAGGGGTAATGACAGGCGTAACAAGTCCCTGTTGTGCTTGAACATATTGAATAAATGCTTCAGTATCCCTTATACTATCCTCTGTTTTTTCAATATAATAGTCGGGTGCATTTTGATCCATGTTGACTTTACCAACATAGGCTCGTTGACCGAGTTGATGCAAGATATCAACAAGACGTTTACAGCTCTCAACATGAATCGTGGCGAACCAACTGCAGGTTGTGGTACCGTTCTTGATAAAACGACGGACAACGGCTTCATAGGCGCGTGCAGCATGATCTGTATCCTTAAAATCGGATTCACAAGGAAAGACATAGGTATCAAGCCATTCAAGGAGCTGAAGATCCATACCTGACCCTGCAAACATGTATTGTGGTGCATGCTAAAGACAAAAAAAAAAAAAAATTAGTGAGAGAATTTTATATAAATATATGAATTATTTACAGCATGTGTATCAACAAATCCAGGTATAAGGAACTGTTCAGGACCTAACTTGTGAATCTTGAAAAATAAAAAAAAAAAAAAAAATAAAAATAAAAATAAAAATAAAAATAAAAATAAAAATAAAAATAAAAATAAAAATAAAAATAAAAATAAAAATAAAAATAAAAATAAAAATAAAAATAAAAATAAAAATAAAAATAAAAATAAAAATAAAAATAAAAATAAAAATAAAAATAAAAATAAATAAATAAATAAGCAGAAATAAAAAAAAAAAAAAAAATAAGATAAACTTTTACCTTGGCATTCTCTCCCCAAGATTGATGAGAAAATAAAAAGTCTTCAAAATCGTTTACATTTCTTTCAAGATGAACAATTGTACCCTTTTTATTGTCAATTACAAGGACTCCTTGAGAGATGATGTCTAATTCAGACAAAGAAAGTGAATGGACAAATGTTCCATAATAAATAACGTAATCTGACATGATCTCTGTTAAAAAAGATGAATGGAATCAAAAGTTTCATAATTATAATGATAAAATGGTAAATCTACTTATTTTATTGGTCAAGTTTGTTACACACAATTTTTCATGAAAACCGTAAATTAGTTTTCTAGAAATAAAAGCTTCAAATCTTTTATTTTAGTAATAAAATCCATGTTAATTATGTTTATACAGCAGCAATGTACAGTAATTTTCTTGTTAACTTTTTTTTTTCTTTTCTTTTTTTTTCTTAGAGTAAAAGATCATCAAAAGCAGAAGAAGTGGAAGTATTGGGATGAGGTTTCGATGTCGTTGTTTCAGTTGAATCACTCTTATTATTGGCCCAATTATTCCAACTAGCCTGTACACTATTGTTCTTTAAAGTATTCATAGAAGGTCCAGTCTTGGCTTGCGTATTTGTAGTATTTTTACCTAAAGAATCAAGAGATACGAAATTAGAAGCTTGAGCCCATATGCCCATATTAATGACATCAGTCTTTGTTTCTTTCTTATCGTTTATTGCTGGAGTTGGAGTAGAGGGAGTAGCGGAACCAAGTAGATCAGATGATTTTTGTGAATTAACAGTCGTTGTAGTAATAGGTGTTGTATTTAATAAATCAAATAAATCATGTTGTTGTTTATTTTCTACTGAATATTGGAAATCAGTAAACTCGTCATCAATAATATTAGACGATTCCTTATTTTCTTCTTCTTTAACTACACCGCCACATGTAAATTCACCCCAGTCGTCGTCATCATCATCTTCTTCTTCTCCTTCCTTGTCACTTTTATTTTCATTTTCAATTCTTTCTTCTTCTTCTTCTTCTTCTTCCTCGTCATACCGACTTGATTGATGAGGATAAGGTGTCTCCTCTCCAAAACTCAAAGCATCTCCATTAAAGCTAATACCTCCTCCACTTGAAGAGCCAAAGAAAGAGTCACTACCAAATCCTACATAACGATTACTACCATTTACACCACCACCACCAAGTCTACTAAATCCACTTAGTGAAGAGGAAGAAGAGCCCATAAAGTTACCGCCTTCTTCAGATCCAACACCAACATATTTGGTTCGATTCTTTTTCGCTATCTTTCTCTCTGTTCTAATCTTTTCAGTGTTGCTTAATAATTCAATAATTTCTTTAGCTCTATTTCGAACTTTACAAGCAAAACATATTAACACACACACACACAAGTCTAACTTTAATTGTCGCCTTACTGTTAATTCCTTCATCTTTTCCTTTATCATCAATATAATAAAAATTACGTAGAATCTTGATCATAGAAACATGAGAGCGAGCATCATCAACAACACGTTCTGAGCCATTTTTGATAAGGTATTCTAAAAGAACCAGTGCCTAAGTAATAAATATACAAGTTAAATCCATGCATATAAATAAATAAATGTATGAATGTATGTATTACCTTGTAAATTTGTCTCCATTGTTTAGATTCTTTTTCGGTAAATCTTCTATAAATTGTTGGCATAATTTCATTAAAGTATTGACTTAAAATAGGTATAAATTTTAGTCACTATTTCATACACACTATTATCATTACTTTACTAATTATAGGTGCCTTGTGCAATTTCTTGCATAAGTGTACTGGAAGCACCCCAGGGATCATTACTAGTTGCCTCATGAACCTTGGTTTCCATTTCTGTATAATTCAACACTACACTTTTCCTATATTAAACAAGTCCAGTTAATTGCTTGTTCTATTTCTTTTCATTTCTCTCTTTTTCTCTCTTTTTTTTTTTTTTTTTTTTTTTTCTCATTTACAATTTATTCACCACATCCTATACATATGAACGATAAGGGTTAATCTTCATCTCAACTAAAGTGTTGCTCAGTGACTTTTTTACCTTAACTTCCCAAACGTCAGGAATTTGAAAATTAGGTATAGAATTCATAATTGCTTATTTTATGGAAAAGAGTGGAAAACAATCTATTCCATAGTTCTTTTACTTTAAATTCAGATGCTTTTCTTCAGTTATCGTCTAATTAAAATTCAGACAATTGGATTAGAGACATTTATTCTAGGTTTTTTTATTTTTTTTTTTTTTTGACAAAAATCCCTCAACAGTACTTAACATGAGAATTACATATTGAGTTTTGATATCTTCATTTTAGACTTTAAATAATGAAAACATTATAGAGAGATATCTCCTTATTACTAAATACTTTATCAAAATATAGAAATATGTCTGTATTAATTTAGCTTCTTCAATAACATATAATAATTCTAGATGCATGGCAAGCTGAATTATATAATTATTATTCCGAGCCGGATTTTTTTTTTTTTTTTTTTTTTGGCTTCATATAAAAAAGTAATTTTAATGATATGTCTTGTTTGTTCCTTTCACATCCATTTAAATTAAAATATGGCAAGTATTTATGTTGATCCATCCATCCATCCAACCAACTAATCTAATATTATAAAATAGTCCAAGAAGGCTGCTCCCAAGACTGTTGAAAAGGTCACCCTTGGCCCTCAAGTTCGTGAAGGTGAACTTGTTTTTGGTGTTGCTCACATCTTTGCTTCTTTCAACGATACCTTTGTTCATGTCACTGATCTTTCTGGACGTGAAACTATTGCCCGTGTTACTGGTAAGTTATTTTACTAAATAATAACTATAAAAAGAAGGACGCCACTTTTTTTATTTTATTTTTTTTTTGTTACATGACAAAAAGAAAAAAAAAAGTCGAGCGGCGTGTGTTTTTTTTGAGAAAGAATGGTTTACTAAAAGAAAAACACATCCCCCTCCGTGTTCCTTTGAATGTTTTTTTTTTTATTTTCTCCCTCCCAAATAAAATAGGTGGTATGCAAGTTAAGGCTGATCGTGATGAGTCTTCACCTTATGCTGCCATGTTGGCCGCTCAACAAGTTGCAGCTAAATGTAAGGAATTGGGTATTAATGCCTTGCATATTAAGTTGAGAGCCACTGGTGGTACTGGTACCAAGACACCTGGTCCTGGTGGTCAAGCTGCTCTTCGTGCTCTTGCCCGTGCTGGCATGAGAATTGGTCGTATTGAAGACGTTACCCCCATTCCTACTGACTCTACTCGTAGAAAGGGTGGTCGTCGTGGTCGTCGTCTTTAAACGATTTATCCTTTATCTTTTTCTTCATTTATTTTCATCATGTATTAAAATAAATGTTTATTTGTAAATATAAAATACCATTTAATCATATATAATAAAGGCACGTGAGAAGGAATGAATAATGTCACACGCTTCGTATGCAGCATATAAAAAGGAGTTGTTATGATTTTCCTTTCCTTTCCTTTCTTTTTTTCTTTTTATTTCATTTTATAAGAATATGCGTTCAGTTGTTCAATTTTTTCGTTCACATCCTGATTTAACACCTCTTCTTATCATTACTGGCTTTGGATGTACGGCTGCATTAAGGTAAGAAAAAGAAGAGGTAATACAAACATTTAGAAAAAAAGGAACTCATCACCAATGCATGTAATCTTCTTCTAGTTTTCCACGTAAAGAATAAATAAATAGCAGCAGTAGTAGTTTATTTTTTTTTTATACTAAATTATGATTTTTAGTTTATTTGCTTAGAACACATCCTGAAATACAAATTGATAAAAAGAATAATCCTTATCCCTGGAGACATGTTAAACAACATGAAAATATTAAGGTATACACATCTTTACTTTCTTAAGCCCTTTCTTTTGTTAACTCTACTTTATTTAAGCTTATTAATGCTACTCCTGATTTTTATGAATCACGTAAAAATATTAAATATCCTGAATATTAAACATTTTTTTTTATAATAAAAATAACAATTTAAACAAAACTATTCTCCTTAAAATAAAGAAATACAATAAAAATAAGAAAAAAAAAGTTGTTGTACAATTAAGCGGACTACGAAATACAATCGGATTGCATAAATAATAGTGTGTTCGGCTTTTATAGATCCGATCATTCTTCTTCTATCATCAATTTAATCCAAGTCTTCTGTATAATTGGCAGGGAAAAAGCCTCGTTTATTTCCAATTTCACCTTCCCACCAACTTTCTCTATTATCTAATCGCTTTGTAACAATAATATGATCACCTGTTTGAAATGAAAGATCAGAGGATTGATCACTGTGGTAGTCATATTTAGCTACTACGACTGTCATGTCGTTATGATGAATAGGTTGTGATGTTGATTCCTTCAAATCATTTCCATAAAAAGGATTCGTATGTGTAGTAGAAGAAGATGGCTCATTGTAAGTTGTCTTGGAATCTATTCTATGTGGAGGCAGAGTATTAGTATTAGATGGCTGATAAGGGGGTGGAGGATCCTCATATTCCTCTTCTGAAGCTTTTGGTTGTTGATGAGCATGATTTGAACCTTCTATATTTGAAGTAGAGGTAGTAGATGGAGCATATGGCATTCGATTGTCTAAACTGGATGTGATCGAAGATGTTTCAGGACTGGCATATTTAGACTTTGTAGGAGCAAAAGGTAAACCAGGTCGAGGTCCAGCTCCTAAAGAATTCAAAATTTCATAAAGTCGAGCAGCATCCTCTACAGGTGGAACAGCACCTGTTAAAATCTCACGTGCTGAAATGGGTCGACCATAATAGGCCTGATTTGTATTCACCCGTTCAGAGATCTTAGATCCCTCAAGGGAATATCCAAAATAAAGTCCCTTAGAAGAACAATAAGAGTATGTAGCAGCAATATGGCTTGAGTTAGATGCTGAAGCTGAAATATCCGCTGCACGACCAAAAGGTCCAGCTGCTAAAGAAACTCCTATACCTAATTGAAGTTGTCCTCCTCCATCAAAAAATGCTTTTACTGCTGCTCGATAATTCATGACAATAATAGAATCAATCACTTCCCCACCTATTTGCTGTCCAACACCCTTTAAGAAAAAAAAAAGTTAATATATATTATGCAAAAAAAAAAAAAAAAAAATTACAAATGACGACATAGATACGCCAGAAGGAGCAGACCAACCTATAATAATATAATACTAAGTAAATTAAATAAATAAATTAGAATAAGATACTCTTACTGCCATCTGGGAGTCTACAACAAATGTTCATTTATAATTTTAAACACATTGTATAAATAATACATTGTCTTTATTTTCTTGTCTTTACCTTGCTATAATAATACCAGTTCCATTCTTTGCCGAAAGCCATAATCCAATTCTCGTTAATCGAATAAATAGAATTCCATGGGCATTTTTAAGAACACTTGAGGGAATAAGCATCTTGACATCTCGACCTTTTTTTGGATTTGTAAATAATTCCAATATTTGTACTGCACGTTGAATGTCTCCTTTTAATTCCTCTGGGCTTCTCTGTGGCATAGTAAATTATATGTAAAAAGATAAATAAGAGAAAGAGAGAGATAATATAATAATTTTTCGGTAAGTGACTTTTTTTTTTTTTTTTTTTTTTTTTTTTTTTTTTTTTTTTTAATACCATCGATAAGCTTTTCTTCTTTCTAAAGACGAAATAACTACGAAAGAGAAGAAAAAAAAAATTATATACTTCTTGGCGACATGTATTGAAACAAGAAACTAGAGAAATGAAAAGTAAAAAAAAAAAAAAAATCAATTGAATTTATACATAAAATATGTTTATTAAAACAACGGATAAAAAACTGTAAATGTAATTTTTTGAGCTACTTAATTTTTTTTTTTATATTACATAATGTGCTGCAAAGGGATGACATACACAACAATGGCTGCTTTTGAATGCTAATTTAAAACAGTGGTCCCTTATTTTTTTTATTTTATTTTATTTATTTTATTCTTTTCCAACAGTTATTATTCTTATAGTTAAATAATCCATGTAATCATGTTTCGAAATGTGTTACGATCACTAAATACACCAATATATCGACATTCAGCAAAGAATATATACAGACAAAAGCCTTGTTCAAAACAACAACGACATTGGTATGCAACTATCCAAGATTCACCTAAACGAGATAATCTGTCAGGCGCCATGTACACTGCTTCCATTTTCATTGTCATGTTAGGCATGTCTTATGCTGCTGTTCCTCTCTATCGACTCTTTTGCTCAGCTACTGGGTATAGTGGAACCCCTGTCGTTGACAGCGCACGGTTCAGCCCTGACCGTCTTATTCCTCGAGATACACGCAAACGTATCCGTATTACCTTTGAGTCCAATACATCGGATGCGCTACCGTGGTCGTTTAAACCTGAGGTGCGTGAAATCTATGTTGTGCCTGGTGAAACCGCGCTTACGTTTTATAAAGCTAAATCTAAGGCTAAAGAAGATGTGATAGGTATCGCAACGTATAACGTGACGCCTTATCGAGCTGGTTCTTACTTTAACAAAATTCAATGCTTTTGCTTTGAGGAACAAAAGCTAAGACCAGGGGAAGAGGTTGATATGCCTGTCTTTTTCTTTATTGATCCTGATTTTATGGATGATCCCCTTATGAAGGATGTCAATACCATCACGTTAAATTATACTTTTTTTAATTCAAAATATGCAAAAGGATTAAGTCCTGTTCAGCCTGCCAGCTAATGCATCGTATGTGTACAGTTTATTATCAATTATAAATAAAATACAAGTTCAAAAAAAAAAAAATCTCAAGAATAAATAAAACTTTAATTAGTCAATTATGGGATATTAAATGATTAGCTTTTCAATAGTAAGGAAAGTGCGTGTGTGTGTGTGTGTATTATATATAGTAACTCTATTTTCTTTTCTTTTTTTTAAACAATGAATATGATTAGCTTTTACTTTTTTCTAAATTTTGATAGTTTTGTTATGCAAGTAGTGTCTTGTAGAAAATCGTCTTTTTCTGAAGATGATAGAGACTGAAACCTAGATCCTAACGAGTCTCTCGATCTATGATTTTTTATTAACAGTATGGGTGGTGGTGTTGATGATGAATGATTAGAACGAATCGATAATGATGAAACAGACGAATTTGTAGTAAAGACAAAGGACTGTGGACTTGAAGGTAATGAATCTGACTCTTCATTATATTTTAAAGATGAGGATAGTAAAGTCTCAGGAACATGATGTTTGTGTAATGATGAGTGTTTGTCAGGTAATTTAAGTCGATCAAGCCACTTATCTAATACACTACTACTATTATGAATTAAATGTGATAAATAACGATCTTCAAGAGAGTTAATCCACATACGATATTCAATAGCATCAGCCGCTTGCAAAAAGTAATCAGGCCAATTATACTTGGTTGTATCGTCTGACACTAGACAGAAAATAGTTTGTTTCCTTTGTGGTTGCTTCTGATTTAATAAAGAAGTAAGAGAATGCGAGTTTAATACTAGATTATAATGATCCAATGTAATTACTGCTAAAGCACGACTTGTATCGCTCTACACATGTAAAAAGGGAAATGACAATTAAAGACTCTCGATATTATATTCTTCTTTCTTATATACCTACTTTGCTTTTATAATATCGAATTTCTTTCTCATAAAGAATAAAATATCGCTTTAACCAAGCCTTACATTTTCCATGCTTTTGTTTCATTAAATAGCCTTCAAATAATATTGTGGATGGTGGAAAAGTTTTAACTGCAACTTTTACACTAGGTATCGATTTATTATTAAGCATATATTGTTTACGATTTTAATAGAAAAAAAAAAAAGAAAGTAATAAGAAATACATATATATTTATATACAAGAGAGATACATAGATAGAACACTTATACCTGATGTATTAACCTATATATAATATTTGTCCTACAATTATTACAGAAATATTACTGTACTACAAAACTAATGGGGGGAAATCTTAATTACGAACTTTTTTTATTCAAATCTGAAATTGTTTCTCAAACCTGCCGCAGGTACTGTTATAGTTCTAATTTTGGTATTTTCCTTGTTTAGTAATTATTTCATTTCCATAATCAGTAAGACCATTCTCGTATTATATCCATGAAAAAAAAAAACTAAAGACATTTGTAGTATATGCAACTAATAACTTTAAAATTCAAGGTAGAAATAAATGAATTATCTCATCCTTCTATCAAAGATGAAGAGAAATCTATCTATTATTTCCTCTTTGCCCCATTCAACTTTTTTTTTTTTTTTTTTTTTTTTTTTTCGTGTAGCAATCATATTTAATTATCACCTGCACACTTCAGACATAGTATGTTGTAACGTTAGAGAAGTTTCTTTAAATGAACAAATGAGAGCGCGATTGATTTCCGTTTATTAATATAGTAAATGGTACCAACAAGCTTATACATATCCCCTTCTTATACTTCTTTCAACCTCTCTCTATAACAGATAATTATTCAGTTAGGAACAGAGGAAAAGTAGAATAATGATGAAGGCTTATTTTATAACCAACTATGAGTTGATAGGGTAGTAGAAGATTCGATAATAGTATTCTTGTAGAGTAGAATACAGATACACTCGTTTCATATCTCCCTTTTATAACATTTAATGATAAGTTTTTTATTATTTAATTATATAGATAACTTGAAGATGAGGATGAAACGTGTTCTCTCTCTCTCTCTCTCTGTCTCTCCCCTTTCTTTCTTTAACTGTGACTAGTTGTAGTCATTTTATATAATGAGTCATTATCAAAATAGTGAGCAATAATAGGCAAGAAATTATAATTCTATTGCATCTACACAGTAATAATAAATGAGTGTATAAAGGTAGAGGTTGGATATAAACTAGTCATGATGCTTTATTTGTTTAGGAAGAAGAAAAAGTAATCATGAATGAATTCAAGATGGTAGAGAGTCATTGCTTGTCAGAAGAAAAAAGTAAAGTTTATAAAGAAGGTAGCACTTGTGTATTTCTGTGGTAGATCTTACATCTCATATCAGTTATTTAATCACAGATGAAGGGTGTGAAAATAGAAACAACTAACTCGTTTTATGGGGGAGGGAGGGGAGGGGTCACAAGTCTGAAAAGAATATAGCTTTGACTTTTAAAGAAGTTGTGTGTCTGGGGGGGGGTGAAGTAAACCTATATTTAGTTATTAATTCTTGGCTTCTTCCTAAATTTTCTCCTTAATATCAAATGTTACACATATATTTTTCAGCCATCATCTCAAGTCTTTATTTATTTATATTATTTTATAATTCATCCGAGTGTTGATCTAATAATGAATAGTCTAAGTTTGCTTGATATTGTTTACTACTCTCAGAGACTAATTTGACTTCAACTTGCTTTCTAAGAAGAGAATCTTGACGTGGTGGCAATAGATGTCGATTCTCATTATTTTCCTTTTGTTTTATTTTATTTTCTAATAATTCTGTGTCTGATTGTTGTTGTACTACTACTAAATGATGCGTATCGGTTGCATCACTATTACCTACTCTATTCCGTGCTGATGGAGAAAACGTATTAGGTACTGTTCCAATCAATGTCGTTAACTTTGGTGGATAGTTTAAAGGAGAACTCATGGGTTGAGTTAATAACATTGAATTAGTTTGTTGAGCTGGCATCAAATAAAGTAAATTGCTTCGAGAATATTGGGAAAATGGACTTTGACCATTCAAAGCTTGATTCAGTTTGGGTTCATTTATACGACGTGCAAAGTCCTCTGCCTTTGGGAAAATAAGGTCATGATAAAGAAGGAGGTCCCCAAAGAGATCATCAGGTGACCATTCATTATTCAAATGAAGACTTTCATCCGTCTGATTATAGTCGTGAAATATGACAGGTGTAAAAATCATTGCCAAGTTTGAAATATTCATTTTATTGGCTTGATTATGTGCATTTACTCTATGTATTTAAAACAACATTATATAATTTAGCATGATATGTATATAAATATAAATATATATGTATTTACTTTGATAAATGGCGTATAATACAATGTAATGTACTTCGATGTGCCAATGATAAATTGGATAATTTAGTTTCTAATAAGTTGAATTTCTGAGCTTGTGGCATATTCTCTAAATAAGAATTGAATTAATATGTACAGTGTTGATAATAAACAGTATTTTACTATTATAAGCGGATCGAGTTTGAACATTAAAATCAAACAAAGGTCTTTTTAGTTCACGAATATACATCTTTAATACAGTAGCAATTGTAAAGACATCAAAGTTGTCTAAATTTACTTTTTCTTCGTCCAGTTCAAATTGATGCTTGAGCTGATCTATATTGGCTTGTCTACCTGAGATTCTATAAATACCTTCCTTTTGTAATCCACCCATAGCTTCAATAGCATCAATACATTTTGTTACAAGCAAAGGAACAGCTCGACTATGTTCAACTGCGTATGCTTCTAATGAACCACCAAATAAAACCTCTATATAAAATGATGGTTATAAAAAAAAATAAGAATAATTTTTTTTTCTTTAATAAAGAAACTTTACCTTTACATTTTCCTTCCATATAATAGTTCTCATAACGAACAGGAGCTGGCTTAATATAACCTAGTGATTGATAATGTAAAGAAAAGAGTTGTGCATCTTTTAAGCTATCGATACTTGTTGCTGCTTCTAATGAATTGCGCGAAATCTATTAAGAACAAATTAATATATAGTTTCATTTATTTTTATTTAGCTTCTCACATTCATTTCCATTTGTAACGTATCTAGTTCAGAGTGAAGTATATTAATTAAAGTTGTCTTTACAGTCTCTGTCTTTCTTTGAATCGTATTTTGAAGTTGCTATATATTTGTAAAACAAAACAAAAAAGCGAATAAGCGAGATATCCTATAGATTTTTTTTTTTTTTTTTTTTTTTTACTTTGTTAACTTCATCCATAGTTTTTGTTTGTTTCTTTCTCAAGTGTTCCAACATTAGAATACCATCCCTGTATTCATTATCAGCATCCGTAATGTCCTTTTTCATTCTTGTGACCTTCGTCATCTGTTTGCTTTGATCCAAAGGTGTTCTTGTTCTCATTTGAGATATTAAACCTGCCATACCCTTTTTATTAGTAGGTGATTGATCACTTATGCTATTAGAATCTGACAATAAACCATCTCGATTGTTATAATCTCCTGACAATCTAAAATTATTTGCAGTTAACTCCAGCGAGTTTCTATTTGCTGCATTATTCATCAAATCTAATTGCTGTTGTTCTTGCCAATTATTTTGGGTTACTTTCAAGTCTTCACATTTGTGTACATATGCCTTTTGAAGCTGAATATTTGTATGTGAGTAAAAAAAAAAATAGGCTATCATGGATACTTGTGTAAAAAAAAAAAAAATACCTTGGCAATATCACGTCGTCGAAAAGTAATATAATTATTATTTGCATCATAAAGTTTGCTTTTATTAGTCTTTCTATTTTGTTCTTCAATTTCCTTTTGTTTTATCAAAACATCAATTTCTAGTTTTATGGTATCCTTTAATCTTTGTCGACTTTCAATAATATCATTAATTGTAGCCTCATAAAATTTGACGGCTGTCTGGAATGAAGATTGCGGTGCCTCATGATGACGGTCTGCATCATTAAAACTAGCTAACTTTTTCACTTTCTGTAATGAATTCAAGTAACTTTCTTCGGCTAAAAGACTAATAATAAATGTTATTAAATAAAAAAAAAATAAAGGAGAGTGATGCACATATATAAATATACCTTACCGAGCATGAAACATTTGAATAATGTTTTCTAAATCGTTAATGCCATACTTGAATGACATGTTAATAAATTCATATTGTTTCTCAATGGACAAAATCTAGTAAATGTTAATTTCATGAATTGAAATGAAAATGTGAATATTTTAGAAAACAAAAAAGGTAAATAAGTGAATAGTCTTAAATATACTTCATCATCGTTTTGGTTAGGTAATTGAGATGGGCTTCTTCCTCGACCTCGATTCATAATAATAATAATAATAAATAGGTAAGAGAAAAGGAAATAATAATAATAATAATAAAAAGATGTTTTTAGTTTTGTCCCTTTTTAGTAATGATAGGTCATCTTCTTATTAGTGACCGCCACGATTTTATATTATTATGGTCTATAAATACATATTTTTATAACTATATAGTATTCATAACACACTTATTCTAAGCAGGTTAAATATTTAGGCTTTCATATGCTTGCATGTATATTATTCATTATAGCTTTAAAATGTTGATTTTCTTTTATGTCTTTCTTTTCTCTTTCTTTCTTCAGCCCTATTTCTTTTTTTTTTTCTTTTTTCTAGCTTTTTGTACAACACGAAAAATAAAACAAAACATAATATAATCACCATATAAAATTATAAATAATAATATGTATAACTTAACATATAGTACGTCTGTATATATATAATATAAAAATATATAACAATCTAGTAAAGTAATATTATTCCTTATGATAGCAGTTCTGGTATATATTTCATAAATAAGTATACCTATTTTGCTACTATCTATTGTTTTAGTGCTTAATAATTTGTTACATGATTTTTTGGTTCCTGAATAAATAAAATTAAAAGCCAGTTTCTCAATTACATAATACAAGATTATTTTAACAAAAAATTTTATTTATTCCTTATTTGCTCTACAGGTGCAGCTTCTTCGTCTGGAGCCTTTCTTTTTCTTTCATTATTTTCATTGTCTTTTTTTGACATACTTCTATTCTTACGTTTTCTAGGAGTCCTCACAGGAGCAAAATCATCATCTTCATTGTTTTCCTGTTCTGTATCATCTGGTGCTTCTTTCGATTTCCCAGAATTTCTCTTAGTTGTGCGTTTTGTTTTAGGCTTCTTTGATGTCACATTATTATTATTATTATTATTGTCAGTATTACTTGTATCTTGATTTATTTCATTGATTTCTTGATTGTCACTTGGCTTTTCAGCTCTTTTATTATTACGTCTTGAAGGTCTCTTTGCTGTCTCTACAGTATTTTCATTCTCTGATAGCTCAGACATTTTCTCTGGTGTTAACCAGTCTTGTAATGTTGCTTTAATGTTCTTATTACTATTTTTCCTAGTAACCACTTTCTTTGCTAGGTCTACTACTTCATCCTTATTTACCGAATCATTCTCATTCTCATTTTCATCATTATCCGATTTATCTTGTTCCTCGGCTTTCTTATTACTACTTTTCATGGTGACTCTTTTTGCTAGCTCTATTGTATCATCCTGCTCAATTTCTTCATCTTTAGATCCATCTCCTTCTTCTGTTATCAACTCTTTTTCATTATTATGTTTAGGTCTTTTCAAAGATTCTATCCCTCCTTCATGTTCCGTATTAACTCTTCTTTCTATTGTCTTTTCAGATCGTGAATTATCACTCATATTGTTACTATTTTCAACGGATTGTTTTAATTTAAATTTTAATTCAGCATTCGCATTCTATAATATATAAATGAATGAATGATTGAATAGATATATAATATATATTGTCCTAATATTACCCTTAGATCTATATTCTTTAGATGCAAATCTTTCAAATTTTGTCGAAGTTTATCTACCACTTCAGGGTTATAATTTGCCCTTTCTGTTTCCTACCATCGTAATATCCAAAATTTTATTATTGTTATTATTATACATGATTTATTCTATCTATAAGAACACTTACCCTTACTAAATTAATATCTTCTTCAAACACTTGCTTTAATCGACTAATCTCCTTTTCATACTTTCGTTCAACTTGTTTAATTTTCCTTTGAAATTCGCTATACATCTGATTAAATTTTTCTTCGTATTTTGCTTTATAATTTTGTTTAATATCACGTTCAAATCGATGAGCATCGCTATTCAACATCATGAGTTGCTGCTGTTCTTGTTGTCGTAATTGTACTTGAGTTAATTTTTCCTGTTCAAGTCGATAGATTTGTAATTGACGATCATCAAGCTCACGTTGAAGTTTGGTGACTTTAGTTTGTGATTCCTCATAAGATCGTTTTGTGGCTACAAGTTGGGATTTTAAGGCAATCATATCATTGTTCATAAAGGATTGTCGTTTTTCTGCTTCTCGTTTGAGACTTAATTCAAGTTCCTGTATCTTGAATTGTTGTAGACTAGAAGCTGTTTGTTCATAAGCTTTATATAACCCAAATGTTATGTATAAGTAAGGTAATGCTGTAGATATTTCCTTATTCTACTTTACCTAGATTTTGTTTTAATTGTTGAATGATGGGTGACGTACGTTGTTGTAATTCACGGTATGTACATTCTAAATACTGAGCTTGGTCTTCTTTTATCTTTAAGCGCTCTTCCATATCTTTTTTCTAATACATAATGCATCAGTTTGTATGCATGCGTATATACACACTTTTTTTTTTTTTAATTAAATAAACTCTACCTCTTTTGTTAATTCAGTTACTGCTGTTTCTAATGTATCACATTTTACTTTTATTTTTTTGTATTCAATGGTCTGATAAACGGATGTATTTGGTAATAGACAAACTTTGATTTTATTTAATGATGCAGAAAGATCTAAGCAAGAAACTATATCTGATATGTATTTATCAACTACATACTCCTAAACAAAATAAAAAAGTATACATCCATACAAATTCAGTTTTCTCATGTTTTTTTTTTCCTTTTATTATACTTACATTAAAGTAAGCAAAAACGGTTAATGCATCATGTCCACACATATTTTTAGACAAGACATCTGTTAAAACATAAAAATCCGAATTTAAATGTACAGATTCACTTGAGTTAATCTTATTTATCAGCCCCACTATATAGATACAATACATGCAGAGAATATTAATGAATCTTTACTAAATGCATCTAATTCAATATATTACCCAAACTTGAATATGAATGGTAAAATGTATCATTAGGTAATGGTGGATGCAACATGTCTACAATCTGCAGTCGACTCTGTATAGACTTTGTTGTGTTTGTCAATTTGATATTTAAAATAAAAGGCAATTTTGATCCTCTTTTTAATTTATTCCAAATAGTGGGTATCTTTTCAACTCGTTTCATAAATGCATCTTGCCTTTTTTCGAAAAATGCGCTATCTTTTTTAATAAATAAGCATTTTTTTTTTGAAGAAAAAATATTCATGATCTTACTCGAAATTTCACGTTCTTTTCTAAAGTCATAGATATAATCATCTGTTATACCAAAATAAGAATATTCGATAAGAATTGTATTTGTGTTTTTTGAGATGGCTTCATTTAAGAGATTAAGAATTCTCTCAGTATCTGCTTTTCGTTGTTGATAAAGACTATTTGTATCTCTAATGAAAGAAAAAGAAGGTGGTTTAGTTTTTTTTTTTTTTTTTTTTTTTTTTTTTTTTTTTTTTTTTTTTTTTTTTTTTACTTTTTAGTTATTATATTACCCTGCACTTATTAATAAGCAAGTAGCATTATAACCTATAGTATATATTAGTATTAAAATGCCTTTTTTTTTTTACCATTATGACTATATGTTTTCACCTTTTAAAACAAGTTGTATTAATCGTTTTTGTTCTTGAATACTTGCTTCATTTAATTGTGGTGTAATACATTCCTTGACATTCCAAGAAAATCTAACAGAAAAAAAAAAAAAGTCAATGTTTAATAATGCCATATCATATTGCACATTTTCTGTTTCTTTGTTTACTCTTTATCTTTATCTATAAAATAATAATAATAATAATAATTAGAATTGTCATCGATCAAGTTTTTTTTTTTTTTTTTTCTTATGTTACCATTTAAAAACAGTTGAAATCTATCATGTACTGGACTGGCCATAAATTGCTGTTTTAAAGGATAGTTTGATGTGGTTGGTATCGTTCCTTCATTCTGTTCTTTGTTAGGAACTAAGCATACTATGGTTTCTATTGAACTAGTTTCCATTAATTGAAGAAGGAATAGGAGAAGGACGTGTAAGAAGAAGTAAGTAAAAAAAAAAAAAAAAAAAAAAAAAAAAAAAGATGGTGTGTGTACTTGAAATTTCAAACTTTTTTAATGTGAAATTAAAATCCAGAAGTCTTTATTTATAAATTCATACACATATTTTTTGAATATTATAGTACTTTAGAAAGGCTTATATATCATCCTTACACTATGCATAGTGCATATTAATTAATCCAAGTGTTATCAAAATCATTATCACATCACCTCTATGAAGTCCTTGCAGTAAGTCTTACTACTATAGAGAATATTGGCGAATTTTTAACTACCTTTGTAACGCTTATTTATACTTGTATGCATGATATTTTGTTCTGTAATAATAATAATAAAAAGTACTACAACCAATGAAATAAACAGTGTTAACTTGAATGGCTTTTTATCCACTTTCCTTAATGAGATAAATCTTCAGACTGTGTCGAAATAAGGAGCACTGGAACTCGGTAAATGATCGTTTTAAAGTCTACATTCAAGCATGCATATATATAATATGAACTGGTTTAGAGTAATGTTATATAAGGCCTATAATCTTGAAAGTCTTGGCAACGTGTAGATCTTTTTTGAATCTCTCAATATCTTACATTGTATAAAATTAGGTTCTCTACTGGAGAGTTAGGCTGATCACTTTAAATGGAAAACAAAGACAGTCTATCTACTCATCTACATAGACTGCTTTTTATCCCCTCCCCTTTCTTCCCTATACATTGTCCTTAAATGCTCTATCACTAATAACTATCCAGCAATACTAGTTATCTATCATCCTTCATTACTCTAAAGAAAAGAAAACATTAGTCCTTGCCCTCCCTAGTTTTTTTTTTCACGTGCAAGTTTAAGTTGATCGAGTGGCCTGCGATTTTAAAGTAGGTTACATAAGATCATCCATCGTTGGTAATACATTCGAGATTAACATAAGCGATGATTGATTGATAGATGGAACGAAGAATGTTATTCACCAGCTAACTTACTGTTTATCATCCAGTTCTTTAAACACGGATTCGAGTTCATCGTATTTTATGAATCAAGTACAACACTTGAAGGCCCCCAAATCCACCCTAGTTTTAATCACCGCCAACAAGAAACATAATTCATACTTACTGTTTAGTAATAAAAGGACTTGAGTCACCCTATTTTGGTGGTGGAGAGAAAAAGGGGAAGAAGGAAAAAAAAACAATAGAAAAAAGAAACCACAATATGAAAAAAAAAAAAAAAAAAAAAAACTTGTAAAAATATATTGATTTTGACTATTGTTTTTTTTTTTTTCGTTCTCCTCTTTTTTTTTTTATTTTAAGACTTGATCTTATATTTGAACCTCCCTTCTTTATTATTTGACAACGAACAAAAGAAAGGAAAAAAAGAGTTTATATCTTTTCTTTTTTTCTATTTATTTTGTTTTTTATTTTTAATATGGATACATCATTACTTTATAAGAATCTGAACACGACATCGTCTTTCCATGCTTTACGTGCAAAGTTTCAACAGCTTAATAATGATGATAGTACTCAATTTCTAAAGAAACGATCGTCTTCTTTAGTCAACAATCACCAAGCTTATAACAAACGATATTATAAGAATGAAGTTCCAATCAAAAAGGCATCTACTAGAGATAGTAATAAAACCATAGTAGTTGCATCCATTGAGTTATCTGAAAAGATCCAAGAAGAGACACCTGTTTTACGTCGTCCTAAATCTGTCATCGTGATGCCAACAACGACCAGAACGTCTTCACTTCATGATCATAAATGCACTTATGTTGTCCAAGAACTTATTTCAACTGAACGTATCTATCAGGCCGATATGGAATTAGTTAAGGAGATCTATTATATGCCAGGAGAACAGATATTTTCAAAACTAGAAATGAAACAAATCTTTATAAATTTATTAGATATAGTAGATTTTGAGAAAGAATTTGTAAAGTTATTATTATCAGATCAAAATATAGGGAATGTATTTAGTTTAATGGTAAAAAAAAAAAAAGAAAAAGAAAAAAAAACCAAGATATAGAGATACATATTTGTTTATATGTAAAAGGAATTAAATATAGATAAATCGTATGGAATTAATTTATGGTGAATATTGCAAAAGATATGAAGATGCTGTTTGTAAAATACAAGAATTAGGCACCACTCGACACTCAGTTCAAGTTTATTTAAAAGTAAGTATTATTTATACTTGTACTTACACACTCATCACTACATCCTGTGCCCTCTTTATTATTATTATTATTATTTAGGAATGTAAAGAAATGCTACAAGGTCGAACTATGTGCTGGGATTTACCTAGTTTATTAATTAAACCAGTTCAAAGAATACTTAAATATCCTTTATTTTTAAATGTAAACTATTAAAAAAACTTGATCTTTATATATTATCACCTATTTATTAACATGCAAAAAAAAAAAAAAAAAAAAAAAGGAAATTCTCAAGTTAACTTCAGAGAAACATCCAAATTATAATCAACTCTTTATTGTAACAAATGAAATACAACAAGTAGCTGACCATATTAATGAAATCAAACGTAGAAAAGATCTAGTAGAACAAGTCATTCATGATCACAATAATAAAAAAATATTAGATAAAAATGTATGCTTTTAGACCTTTTTTTTATTTTCCCTTTACAATTACTTTATATTAAAACACGTTTCTTTTTAATAGGTTGTGTAAAGATTTTCTTCCCTCCCCTTTGTGTTTTTTTTGTTTCTTTTTATGTATAGTAAACTAAGGTTATCTTTTATATACATAGACAAGGCTTTAATAAACGAATTTCAAGAAGAGTTCATCGTCATAAAAAAGAATTCTCTACAACAACCCAAGATATATTGTTTGATGACCTTTATCGTCAATTTATATCAAGACAGACAATAGCAAGACAATTCGAAAGTCATGTTCAAGCTTGGGTTACAACGACAAAGGAACATGCACAAGCATTATCTAAACTAATCAATAGACTCGATACTATTTTACATGATAATAACATGCTAAATGATGATAAAAAGACAGCTTTTAAAATTTTAGTATGTCATTTTGAATTCTATTCAATGGTAAAAAAAAAGAGAGATGGAATATCATGCTTATCATATACGAATATTAAATTCTTATTGGGTAACACATTTAGGAAAGTAAATTACAAAGATTAGTCTATGATAGAATCACATCCTATTTAAAGCTCTTTAATAACCCGCTTCAGGTGATTCAGAAGAGAAATAGAAAATATATTGATTATGACCGTATCATGATGGCCAATAAGAAGACTAAAAATCATCAACGTTATACTATGGATCACCCTTTACAGATATCAGCTGAAGCATATCTTTCACTGAATGCGCATCTATTAGATGAATTACCCCTCTTTTTGGCACTTTCAACAAAATATTTCGAAATGATTGTAGATGAATTTAGACGTATCCAAATCGGTTATTGGCAACACTGTCAACAATTATGGAAAAAGATCTTGTTATCCTTCACATACAGTCGACAGTTATTAACTACTGATCATCATCACTTCTTGGTCTATTCTAACTGGAAATCGATTGAAAATGAATATTTTATGACTTTTCAAGAACAATTAAATAAGAATAAAATCATATCCAAGCCACTGTTTCAAGGTAATTTATTATTATTATTATTGTAATTAAAAAGGGTAATTAAAAAGTAGGCTATATAATAGAGAATCAACAACAAAATAGAACTATGACCGCAGCAAACCAAAAACCAAGTATTCCTCAACAGTCAGCAACAACAACAGCAACAACAAATCACAGCGAAAGTACTATTTTGTTAGATGAAGAATTTGATTTAATGGATTTATTACTTTTACCGAATTTTATTGTTGAGTGAATTAAACGGAATTTATGACCGAAAAAAAAAAAAAAAAAAAAAAAAAAAATAGTCCATTTTATATATATATAATAAAGGTCACTAATTTGCTTCTTCAATAATACATCTATTATTATACATACTTTAATATAGTTACTACTAACAAATATACTTTAAAAGTTAGTTTATTTTACATATATAACTTGTTAAACTACTTGCATCTAAAACACGTGTGTTACTAAAAAACAATTTTTGTTTTATTTGGATGTTAGACCGCAGATACTATAAACAAAGTTTGAGGTTACACTAGATTAGGAAAGCATTTTAATAGATAAAAAGTATCAAATAGAAGAGAGATTTGGAATCAATTAGTGAGTGCAGTTGATAAACAAGTGATTGAAGATAATAGCAGTATGAATTAACACTGGTTGATTATAACGAACGAACCAAATTACAATAAAGGATAGAAACTAGCATTACTCAAGTGTAACCTTTCCCCTGCACGCACGCACGTACCATTATTTAACATGCGTGTTACTTTTAATAAAAACTACGAAGCGAGGGATTTAAGGTTCGTTTAAATCAAAAAAAGAAGGGTGTACAAAGGACTATTTCTGGAAAAAGAAAAAAAAAAAAAGGACCCTACTAACCATAATCTTGATTTGGGTGTTAAAAAAGTGACTTATTTGTCAGAGAACAATACAATTTCATATCCTGTCAAAAGTTTCTATTAAATCAAAAAAGTCCATCATAGAGAAGAAAAGGGACTACTACTGTCTTATTTGCTTGTTTCAAACTTTCTAGGGAAGAGCCCCTCAATCTAATAATACCTTTATTCTTACTCGAAATGAAGACTAGTTCATGATTCTATCATGATGATAAAAGATTAGCAGAGAGGACGGCGATTTTACATTTTATTCATACTAAACCTTTCAAGGTCTATATTCAAGATAGAGCATTCATATTTTAAACGTGTATCCTTTAAACTGCACTCATCTTATTATTGTTATTCTAAAACTTGTAGTTGATTTATCCTTTTTGGTAGTAAAAGTCAAATATTTGTCATTTATATGTTGCTATTTTTTTTTTCTTTTAAAGTCCAGATTTTTCTTATAAAAAAAAAAAAAAAAAAAAAAAAAAAAAAAAAAAAACTAGCAGGATTTTATTGGACAGAAGAGAAACATATTATTGTGTACAAAATAATAAATCCATTGTTGTATTTATATATTTCACAAATAAATAAAAAAAAATTTTTTTTTTCATTAAACGTTCAAGTCAATTCATATTAAAATCGTTTATAAAAATAAATATTATATTTCCCTTTCGTTAGTAAACAGAAAAAAAAATGCATTCAAAATGAGATTTAATTCCGGGTTACGTTATAAATATATAATATAATGATACGTTTGCATTACACGTATTTTTTATGGACTGTGAAATCAAAAAAAAAAAAAAAAAAAAAAACAAAAAACAAAAAAAATTTTTTTTTCCTAAACCAGAATTAATTCACTTTAACCCAATCATTTTTATGTGCTTTTAGTCACCGAAAAAAAAAGTTTTTTTTTTGTGCATATAAATGCATCTTTTTACGCGTTTTTTTTTGAGTTTTTTTCTTTTTTTTTTTTTTTTCCTTTATCTAAATTAAAACAAAACGTAAGTTTACTTTGAAGCGTGTGTGTGTGTGCGTGTGCACTTTAAGTATAATTTATCTCATCTTTTTTTTTTCTTTTCATTTAGCATGTCTGACAACCAAGATCATCACGAGCAAACCTTCGAAACTGCCGATGCCGGTGCTTCTCTTACCTATCCCATGCAATGTTCTGCCTTGAGAAAGAACGGCCACGTTGTCATTAAGGGTAGACCTTGTAAGATTGTTGATATGTCTACCTCCAAGACCGGTAAGCACGGTCACGCTAAGGTTCACTTGGTTGGTATTGATATCTTCACTGGCAGGTAAATAGAGATAATATATGCGTGTATATGCATGTGATGTATACACATCTATTCTATGTTTTGAACGCGTCTTAACTTTTTTATTATTCCTTTTTAGAAAATACGAAGATCTCTCTCCTTCCACCCACAACATGGATGTCCCTAACGTTACTCGTCAAGATTATGCTCTTATCAACATTGATGATGGTTACCTTTCTTTGATGTTGAACGACGGTACTACCAAGGATGATGTCAAGCTCCCCGAAGGTGAACTTGGTGAAAAGATGGAAGAAGAATTCGAAGAAGGCAAGGAATTGATTGTTTCCGTTGTCTCTGCTATGGGTGAAGAACACGCTTTGTCTTACAAGGAAGCCCCCAAGGCTTAAGAAGTTTCTTCCTAAACTTCATTTCTTATTTTTTTTTTCCTTTTTTTTTCCTTCTATTTTTCCAATATTATTTAATATTTCATTTTACTCATTGTAAATTAGTTTCACTCTAAAAAAAAATTTTTTTTTTTATATAACATTCTCACATCTCCCTTATCATTTTAGATACATGAAAGGGTTAAAATAAATTATCTTTATTTATAAAAAAATTTTTTTTTTCTTCTTCCATCTTGGATGGCTTGGTATTGTTTCAAATGTAGCTCTTTTTTTTTTTTTGATTCATTGATTCATTGATTTAAAGCTCAGAAAGTACAAATATGTTAATTTTAATTATAAATTAATTTTGAAAAAAAAAATAGTATCTCCCCCCCCACTAACTGGGCAACAAAGGTAAAAAATGTAAATTACCCATCTTTTGGATCTGTTTAGAAAAACATTTTTTTTTTTTTTGAAAAAAAAAAGGTTGTAAAGGATAAAATAGTCTAGTTTTGACACAGTTTGTGATAAAGGAAGGAAAACTGCTAATCATTAAAGAAAAGTCTTTACTCAGGATGTAACAATAGTAGTAAAAGTATATCTTCTGAAAGAAGATGCTATGAATGTGTGGCAAATAAAAGAACCATTATTATATAAGCATGATTTATAGAATGAGAAACACGTATCAAAAGAAGAGGAGTTGACGAAACATTAGGACATAAATAGATAGAATGGTCAAGCGTTATGTGAAAATAGTTAGACGATGAAACAAAAACTGACCACCAGCCAGATATCTAGTGTAAATAAAATGTGAAAATAAATAAATAAACACAAGAAGGACTGTGCGTATAGGTGTGTATATGGTAAAGATAGATATATCCAGTTTCATAAAATAAGAGTCAAACCATTTGGAAGAGGGGATAGTTGGAGCTTTGATAATTTGACTAGAGATGTTCTTTGTAGTAGAATACAAAACAAGAAGCTTCTTCTTGGACAAAAATAAGAAATAAAGAGCTACATTGAGATGAAACTCATAACTGAATATAGAATTAAGGACGTGTTAAATACTTTATATTTTCCATCTGAGAAGGATAAAGGAAGACTATTAGCGTTTCACAATAAAAGAGAATATCTTTTCAACAAATGATCAACAATTTTATTTAATTTAATGGTCGTCTGAACTTGAAGTAATTAGCATAAAACAAACAAAAAGGAGCATAATAATTCTGCTCTTTTTTCCTTTTTTTTTTTTTTTCCCTAGATAAAATAATGAGTGCAGAAGAAACAAATAGAATAGCAACTTCAAATCACACACAGTATCAATCAATTGGGCCTATTGATTCTAGCCCACAACAAGAAGAAGAAGAAGAAGATTCCCAAGTAAATACTCATTACAGTCTCATTTATAATTTGAATGACCCTTTTTTTTTGTATAGATGTGTCATAGAGACACTTATCAAAAATGTTTTAAAATTTGGCTTATAACTATAGCAACTATTCTTGTTAGTAGTGTAATCGTGTATGGTTTGGTTGTACCCCAACACACTATGGAACCTCGTTATTCTAATGGTACTCATATTTTTGCACCCACAGTCATTCTTATTTCATTAGATGGTACAGTGAATCATGATTTGGATCTTCATGTAACACCTGTTCTAAGTCAAATGGGTAAGTTGAATGTTTATAACTCAATAATTAGACTTTATATACATATTATATATATATATGACTGATCAAAAATAGCTCAAGAAGGAGTAAAAGCAAAATACATGACTCCTTCATTTCCAGTAAGTAAAGACAAGCTCACACGCACACGCAAATTAATTTTTTTTTTTTTTTTTTTTTTTTTTTTTTTTTTTTTGGGTACAAAAGCCAATTACTTTTCCCAATCATTGGTCATTAGTTACCGGCTTGTATCCTGAGTCTCATGGTATTGTAGGAAATTATTTCTATGATGTAGATCTAAATGATAGCTTTTATTATAAAAGTCCTGATCAAAGTTGGGATTCAAAATGGTGGGGAGGCGAACCTGTAAAGCAATAGAGTACTTTTTTTTTTTTGTTTATTTTATTTTATTTTATTTTTAATATAAATATTTTTTAATTTAGATTTGGATTACTGCAGTAAAGCAGAATAAAAAGTCAGGTGTCATTATGTGGCCTGGTTGCAGTACAGTCTTTGAGGAGGATCTTCGTCCAACCTATTCAGTTGCTTATAGCGACTATGTAACATTTGATGAAAAGGTCGATCAAGTCTTTGATTGGTTTGATTTATCCTTAGAGGATAGACCTCAGTTTATTGGTCTGTATGTGCCTCAAATTGACCAAGCAGGACATGCCTATGGTCCTTACGCCAATGAAGTAATATATACATATGAAATATGTGTCATTACAAATAGACTCATTTTTTTTTGTTAGACAATAACCCAATTAAAAAAAGCAGATCAAAGTGTTGGAAGATTATTAAAGGGTTTAGAAATACGTAACCTAACTGACATTGTCAACGTGATTGTCGTCAGTGATCACGGTATGTCTGAAACTTCGTCTTCAAGACTTATCTTTTATGAAGATTTTCTTAGTCAAGAAGAACTTGAGTTAATTTGGCGAGTTGAAGGATATCCCATTTTTGGTATACGTATTCGACCCGATCATCCTGCTCCTGAAGCAGCTGTGGATCAACTGTATAAGGCCTTCTTACGTATCCAGGCCCATTATCCTCATATACAAGTTTGGAAACGTGAGCAAGTACCTGAGCGTCTTCATTTCCGTCATCATGTAGCACGTATTCCTCCTTTAATTGTCTTGCCTGATCCTGGCTGGAATCTAGTGAGTCATGCAGAGTATGACCCTCGTAAAGGTCTTGATTATCAGCCCAAGGGCGTACATGGCTATGATAACTTATCGCCTCAATCAAGGGCTATCTTTGTAGCTCGTGGCCCCGCCTTTGAACAAGGTCAAACAATTCGCCCATTTTGGAATATTGAGCTCTATCATTTAATGGCACGTATTTTATATCTTACACCTACAAGCAATAATAATACCTTGAATGGTTTCCTTGAAACGATGTAATCATCACTCTCTCACACGCACACAATAAAATTAAAAAAGAAAAAAAAATAAAATAAAAAATAAAAAATAAAAGTTTTATTATTTATTATCCATGCTGCCAACGGTTTGTTTCACCTACAAAGGCAAATTTATCTAATTCAGCCACTTCCTCATCTGATAAACGGAACCCTAAGGCCAACAGATTTTGTTCTACATGCTGAGCAGTACGTGCTCCACCAAGTGGGATAGTTCCCTTTACAATACACCAATTAAGAGCAATTGCACTTTGAGAACGTTCATACCTTTCACTCATTCTCTTGAGAACATCCAAAAGATGACCTAATTGTTCTGTATCTAATGAACCAAACGTTTCTTTACGACCCTCTGGCCATGGTCCCTTTGAACCAAATTTACCTGTCAAAATACCCATACCGAGAGCTATAATACGAAAAGGCAGAATTAGTTTTCTATCTTTTTCTTTTTATTATTATTATTATGATTACGTGAATAGGCTAGAATGGCTACACCCAAATCATGGCATGCTTTAATCAATCCTGATTTTTCAGGTAAAGTACGAATGAGAGAGAAGCAAATTTGGTTCGAGGCCAATGGTACGTTACGTTTTTGAAGAGCCTTATGCATACGTTCGACTTCTTCTTTGCTATAGTTGGAGACACCTACTGTCTTGACTAAACCAGCGTCATAAGCATCAGCCAAGGCATCCGCTTTTTTAAATATTATATTAAAAGATGGAATTTATTTTCAATATCAATTGCACCTATTCCTTTATATATATATATATATATATATATATATTACCAACAACTTCGATTTCCACAGGATGAATGGCTGCATGAATTTGATAAAGATCCGCTTTAAACATACCCAATCTTGACAAGGAATCCTTGAGAGCAGATAATAAAACATCAGGGAATTGAGTACGATTCTCATAAGGGAAATATTTTGTTGTAATCACCATACGATGTTGATCTTCTTGGCTATACTCTTTTCGAAAACAACCAATTTCTCTTTCAGATTCACCATTACCATACACCTCAGCTATATATATATATATATATATATATATTGTTATGAATATATAAAAGATACAACGCAAGTTTCTTATTTGAAAATGGATAACTATACATGTATATAAAAAGTATTCTATTTACCTGTATCATAGAACGGAATACCTAATTCAAAGGCTTTATTAAAGGCTTCTTTTGCGTCCTTTTCTGCTTCTGGAGTCCAATTCCAAACTTTAATAATATTAAATAATATTATTTATTGTTGTATCATATTATCATTTGTATCATTTCAAACCTTGCTTATCCCCCCATTGCCATGCACCAATAGCAATGGGTGGAATAGAAACAATGCCTGATAGCTTCAACTGTGTGTCCTTTGTAGGAATAGTACCAGTTTCTAATTTTACAACAGCTTTTGTCATAATTTTTAGTTAGAAAAAAAAAAGGAAAGGAAAAACAAAACAAAACAAAAAAAAACGATATTTTATATCATTCTAGTAAATCAGAAATAGTAATAGTTTGTGAGAAGCTAATAATCAAGGCGATCAGCCAGAGAAGAAGAGGGAAACAAGGTTATAATGACCACTAGTGACAAGAATGGAAAAAAAATAACGCACGTAATTTTGACAAAAATATTTAAAATAGATTATTCTTTTTTTTTTTTTTTTTTTTTTTTTTTACACACAAGTAGTCATGGTAACCGAGTTTTTACAATACAATTTCCGAAAGGGTCCCGAAAAAAAAAAAAAAAAAAAAAACTTAATTATAAATTCTGTTACAATTTATTTATTGTGCATAAAAATGTATTTATTTATATTAAGGGACATTTAATATATTATTTACAAGAGATCTCTTTCTCCAACCAAAAAGGAGAAGATATATATATATAAATAAATAAAAAGTCATCACATTGTAATATATACAAAAAAAATAAAAATAAAATAAAATAAAAACAAAGGAAAAGAAATGAATTTTTTTTCTTCTTCTTATAAAGTAAATTCTTCAAGAGCATCTACAAATTCATCATCATCAACATCAGCTTGTTGCTGCTGTTTTGATGACCATGGAATGACTGTTACTATCTCACTAAAGGAAACGGATTTGTTTCGACCCTTTTTTACTGTAGTAGGAGACCGTCGATCATGATAAATCAATGGAGGAATAGACATATTTTTTAATGTATTCTTTTCCAGTAAATTTAACTCTCTATTATTATTATTATTATGACGGGACATAGTATCAAGCCAAGCACTTTTTTTTTGACGTTGATTTCGTTTTACATAGGGTTGTTTTGTTGTAGATGGTGGAAGGGATGAAGAAGCATCTCGAAGATAAAAAGATAAAAGTTCATAAATTGAATCATCTATTTCTTTTCTTGTTTGATGTTGATAATGTGGAATTAAAGAGGTTCTACTTGTTTCTATATTCATAATGATATTCAAAAAAGAAAGAAAGAAAGAAAGAAAGGAAGGAAGAATAAATAAAGAATAACTTTCCTCCTTCAACCCCTTTCCTTTTTTTTTTTATACATATTTATATACATTTTATATATCTGTATTTATACAAATATAATTCGGTTAAATATAAATTCCTTATTTCTTACTATGACTACAGTTAACCACTCTTTATTATTTCGGACCGGGTATTTTATTATTTTAATTTATACTTCTTTTGTATCATTCTGGATAATAATAATAACAAGTTTGAAACTTTAAAAAGAAAGAAAAGAAGCCCATATATAATGTGTATGTGTGTATTTTGATTCGAGTCAATTATCTTCTTTCTCATGAAGAGTAAAAAAATAAAATAAAATAAAGGAGATGAGTGAGTAAGTGAGTGGGGGGAAATGTTGTTCATAATTACACATATTATGGGGGAAAGTAAGTCAGTATGAAGAAATTACACAATGTTATTATTGTTTAATATCAGCTGCAGTAACCATTGTTATATTCCTGTTTGATGATTTATTAATAAGGTTTCACGAAACAAAAAGAAGGAACTTTAAATTCGTATATGAAGCAATAACATGATACTAACATGTATTTTAACTTATACTATTACCTACCCATCTGATACTTTTTTTTTTTCCCTCTCCAAACAATAAGAAACACAGTTTCTACATTATTTATATTGATAAAAAAAAAAAGGGGGAGGGGAAAGGAAATAATTGACATGTAATAACAGTCACTTATATGTTACAAATATACATTTTTTTTTGTTTTTTGTTTTGTTTTGTTAGAAAACTGCAATTCTTAGAGTTTCATGTCAAATCCTATCCAACTTTGTTTAGAACGACTTCATTTAGGGGATGACGACAAAATAAAACAAAGAGCAGAACAATTCCAAGGTCAACTCTCCAATCTACCAATAAAATTATTTAGTAAAGGAGGTCCTAATTGTAAATCAGTCATTTCCATTCAATTAGCTTATGAAAGGTAATGTTTTAAATTTTATTTACTCCTAATCTCACGTATATATATATATATTAGCCTACAGCATTATGATTGGAATATTCAGTTAGCCGCTCAACTAGCAGGCTGTAAAGCATCAGCTTATGAATCAGTACTAAGCATGGTACGCAAACAGCTTAATATTCAACCTACTATAACATTCGACACATTGTTGGTTGCTTTAGGATCTACGACCATGTCAGAACCTGTCAAAGAGCTCTGGACAAGTTTTCAACAGGACTATTTAAGTCAATTTAAAGGAGTGCAAAAATCAAATGCCCAACAGGAACTGGAGTTACCTTGCTGGAAAGGCGGCATTATCTATTGCTGTTCTAAAGCACTAGGTGTAATGTATATATTTATATATAACAAGAAATGTAGCCCACATAAATAAATTAAAATAATTTTTATTCTTTAGGGTCAACAATTGAATAAAACTAAACTTCACTCGTTATGTGCTTGTACGATGACAGAACTTAATAAATCAATTAAAATAATTCAAACAACAAGTCAAGAGAAAATGTCGACATTAAAAACAATACAAAAGCAATCAATAACTGAAGAGCACCAAAAGAAAAAGAATAAAAATCGAGAAGATAGTAATGAAAGACCGAAAAAGAAGCTTAAACCTATTTCTGGTATTGTCTCAATGATCAATTTACAAGACTATAAAAAGACAAAGAAGTATATAAATTATTTAAATTGGAAATCAAATCTAATTCAACAACTGAAGGAAACATAAATGTCGGGAATTTAAATTCGTTGTCGATCACTCTGATCTTATAAATTTTAAATAATATGTGTATATACATATTCTTTTTCTTTTTTTATTCTTTTTCTTTTTTTTTATTGTTTTTTTTTCTTTTTTTCTGTATATAATAACCAGCTTTGCCCTGGTGAAAATAAAAATAAAGAATATGAGCCTACAATATAACATAAATAAGAAAAGTGGAAGACTATTATTTGGACTTGTACTGATTACATTACTTGTCTATTTTTTACAATCTAAAAGCTTTTATAATAAAGCAACTACCACTACTATAATACCCACTACAATAGAGAATAAACAACAAGATGCTATTACTACTGAAGGAGGAAAAAGGGCGTTTGTTACCTTTTTATGTGATGACGTTATGGTAGTACAAACGATGACATAAACATATACTATAGACAGATTCTAATTATGTAATCATAGGGCGAAGCAACAGAAGTCTTAGTTTATTCATTAAAGCAAACAAATACAAATCACGATATTGTAGTTTTAGTTTTAGATGATGTATCTGAATTAGTTAGGAAAAGATTAGTGCATCTAGGCGCAATAATAATTAATGTAGACCAAGTAAAGTAAAGCAAAATAATATGCATATACAAATATAGTAGGACATTAATTAAACTAAAACTAAAACTAAAACAAAACAAAAATCATATAGGTAAAGTATCCCTGGGATTCTAGTTCTGCAAGAAGAAAAGGGTTTAATAAAGCCTGTAGATACTCAAAACTTAATTTATGGAACTTGACTCAATATAAAAAGGTAACGAAAACAGCATACACACGCGCACATATACACACACGCGCACATATACACAACACGTAGTTATACATGAAGGCAAATGTACGTTTATTCTAACATGACCCCCCTCCCCTTTTTTTTTTTTTTTTTTTTTTGTTCTTTTAGGTAGTCTTTTTAGACGCAGACACAATGGTAGTCAAGGTATGTTACTATGATACATAAATGATTATATCTATGATGAAAAAAAAAGTAGCAATATAATAATTTACTTTCAATTTATAATATAGAATATCGATGAATTATTCAATTATCCACAATTTACAGCAGCAGTTGATATAGGCGGTGTTCTTAACACAGGCGTCTTTGTAGCAGAGCCTAATAAAGAGACTTATCGAAATATTATGAATACGTATGAAACTGCCCCAAGTTATAATAAGGGTGATCAAGGCTTTCTTAATTACTATTTTAATCAATCCGCTAATCCTTTACCAGGAAATTACAATCTGATGATTAAATTTACGGTAATATATTTTTTTTTCTTTCTATTTTATATGTTATGTTATTAAAAAAAAAAAAAAAAAAGAAAGGAAGAAAGATAGAAACTAAAACATAGTATAAAATGATACTATTTTTAGCATTTTTCAACTTTAGCCTCTAGTTTTGTCACAAAAAACACAGTCAAGGTTTTACATTTTACAAGCGAAACAAAACCTTGGAATTTCCATTTTTTGCATCAACGAGAATGGAGAGAGAATTATGATGGTTATTTGTTTGGTCTATGGACAAGGATGTTAAGAAAGATGAAGACTCAATTGAATCAAGTAGGACTGTTAGAGACAACAGATGAGATGGATTGGGCCAATAAAGGTCGTGTCACGGAAATATGTGATCATCGACTGAAAGCTAATTATGGACGTCGTTATCCAAAGACACATCAATTTACAATTATCTTGAACAGACAAGAGGATACAAGCGATTCATTAGATCAATTTGAGACTATGTTACGCGATCTGTCTGCCTCTAAATATGTAGCACAGATTTTTGTGAATGGTGGTGATAAAACAAAAGATCAAAAGGTAGCATTCAATACCGCCTATTTCCGTCGTCTCAAATTGCAAAAACCAGTGAAAGCAATCCCTGAAGGTGATTACAAGTCAGTTAATAACAAGTTCAACCCTATTCAAGGAATCGTAACGGATGCTGTCTTTATCATAGATAGTAATGTAAGTAATTGAATGATTTAAATAATGGGGGGGAGAGGAGGGGACCTATTTAATTTTTTTTATATTTGTGTGTGTATGGTTTAGACTTTGATATCTATCAAGGACATTGAGTTTGGTTATCAAGTTTGGAAAAAAAACATGGACTCGATTGTTGGGTTTTCACCCATCATGATCAATGATAATCAATACAACATGATTGAATCCAAAGCTATGTTTATGAAATCAGATTACTTGTACAGTTATACTTGTTTATTGCCTGAAACAGTGCATCGTTATGTCGATCAAAATACCGAATGTGCTGATACAGCCATGAATATGTTTGTTAGTGGCATGACTGGTATCAGTCCTGTCCTTGTCAAGTCGTCCTCTAATCATACTCTGCTCATAAAAAACGCGACACAACAAACATCATCATGTATTCAAGGTCTTTTAAAGTCATTTAATGGTAAAAATACATTGATTTCGAATAATCAAATCATTTCCCCATATACTTGACCATAATAAAGCTTTTTTTTTTCTTTATTAAAAAGAGAGAAAAAAAAAAGAGAGAGAGAGACGAAGACTTAATTTATTATTATCTTTTGAATAAGCATCGTTAATCTTTCTTTGAAATTCATGACAGTATTATTTAATTCAAGACTATAAATCTTGTCATTTAAATAAAATTCAAGCTGATCTGCTGAATTAAATTGAACACTAATATTGCCCTTTCCTAATACAGATCCACGAATAGCTTCATCCACTTGATCCAACTGCCATTTTTGGTACATTGTATTTGCAACATCACACACTACTTTTAAACAAATCACTTTGATTTCACGCTTTAAGAATGTCTCAAATTCGGATATGTTTTGAAGTACAATTGTTGTTTGTGGAAGATAAGTAGATATCGTTCCAGATGGATTCAAATGAAAATGTAAAGAAGGACTATTATCATTACAAAAAAAAAAATTAGATATATGTTTAACATTCTATCATACATTCCTTGACTTACCCTCTGCATAAACTTATACTTAAATTCATTGATATTTCACTGTATCCTGGATATACTTTATTATCATAATCGGACTTTGAGTGGGTCGTATGATTTGAGAATGAGTAATGAGTCGAAAGCATTAAACTACCTCTTAATGGGCTTAGAATACGTTCAACAGCTTCTCGAATTCTATCAAATTGAACCCAGAAACGTGTTAATGTCATAATCGGTAATAAAATTGGAATCTCTTGTGGCAAATGGTCACGTTGACGTAATGTCCGTGCGTTAGTAACGGAATGTACATTTCCGATAGCCTGTTGGTGTGTTGCTGTTGTTGCTGCTGCTGCTGCTACTATATGGTTGCTAGTGATTCCTATATGATTCATATTATTTGCGGTTATATTTGGATTACCGCTTACAGCAGCTGCTGCTGTTTTTGTTGTTGTTGTTGTATTTGTTGTAGTATTAGTATTAGGATTAGTCGTAGTAGCATTAGGATTAGTCGCAGTAGTTGCTGTTGTAGTATTAGTGTTAGTAGCAGTAGCAGTAGCAGCAGTAGTAGTAGTAGTAGCAGCAGCAGCAGCAGCAGTGCTATTAGCACCAGTTCCTGTACCTGTACCAAGCGCTGTAGATTCATCATTCACATTTGTATTTGACATTTTAAGTGATAATTCATTTTGAATTAATTGTTGATGAATTTTATGATTTGAAGATAAAAGTCGTGCCCTTTGTTTCCATAAATTATAACGTTGATGTTGTAAAAGTAAAAGTCGAAAAGAAAGATCGATTGTTTTACTGATCATTTCTGGTTCTTGACTGTTTGCTGTCTTATCTTTCGTTGTAATTACTCTAGCAATAGATAGATCTACTTGTCCATCAATGTTAATAACGATTTCATCATCAGGAAAACGCACATTTCCATTTAAAGCTTGTGCTTCTGCTAATATCTACATATATAAAGAAAAGAAAAATAAGCATATTGTATGTGTTGCGTATGATGTACATCACTTACAATTGAAAATAACTCTGTATCAAATACACTAGAATAAGCTTCTGATAATTGCTTTTGTATATGACTATGCTGCTTCTTATTATTTAAATCAGCAACAACTTCATCCGTTTTGCCAACTCCCAAAATACCCTCTGAAAACTTGTTTTGTTGACCAAACTGTCCCATATGACTTTGACTTACACGCACTATTACTTTACGTGAAGTAGCTCCATGAGGAAATGATAGCTGAACATCCGTATTTGAAATTTCTTCTGATCGTTTTAATTCAGCTAAAGAAACCTCATTAAAATTAGATCCAGCTAAATTCAAAAAAAAAAAGAAAAGGAAGTAGAAGGTCAATATTATATAATTCAATATTGTCTCTAAATTTTGTTCTATTTACCATCATTAAATCCATATTGAACCAAAAATATCGAACCAGCTACGTTGCCATGATTTGCTATTAAAGGCCAATTATTTCTTCTTAAATCTAATGCTTCATCCCAAAAAACTTGCTCCTTTTCAACCAATAACTTTAAAGATTCAGCACTTTGTTTTAAAAATTCAGATGCCTGCTTTTGCTTTTTTCGTTTAAGACCCAAGTTAAGCTGAGTATTTTCAAGTTGTCGTTTCGTAGTCTGTTTAGGTTTTGTGACATACGTAGCTGATAATGAGCCTTGTGGTAAGACTAAATCTTTTGTAGTTGTATTGTGGTGGTTAGTGGAAGCGAGGATGTTGATAACATCAAGAGCAACATCAATTTCACTTTTAGCATGACTAAAATAGGTAGATGTATTAAAATAAAAGGAAATGAAATTGTTATATATATATATATATTTATATCATTACAATAGTTTGTTAATGACTGATTCACGAAGTTTGACAATGTCAAGACCAGGTGGAGGCTGTAAAGAAGTTGTGGTCAGCGCGTTTTCATCAGTTGTATTATCAACTTGCTCCAATTGTCGTTTCTTTTTATCAATCGATTCCAATAATGATTTTTCAGTAATATCTTTCCATTCACCTCTTTCAAACCAGACGCGATCTACAGTTTGCATTAGTTTTTCAGGTAATGGAACATCGCTAAGATATAAATATAAAGGCATTTTAGTATAGTGACATGCAGCATTAAAATAGAAATGATTTACCTTTTTAATATTTCTTGTCCTGTATTTGTAATATCTACAACATTATTTTCGATAAAAGGCTCTAAAGAGAGTTTAATCTTTTTTTTTATAGGTTGATCACTCATTGAAACACTACAACAATAAGTATGAAAAGAAATAAGTTCAAAATCTGAGTCACACACTTGCATACATTTGTAGGAAAAAAAAAATTGTATAATCGTAACAGCGATGCACAGGTTAAGACCCCGAATAACTTCTATAACGAGCTGCTGTTGCAGTCCATGATAAATACCAACCACCTAGACTAAAGACAATAAGAATGAAAAAAAAAAAAAAAAAGGCTTTTTAAAGAGCTGATTTCTTATAGAAACTTTATGTTATTATTAGGACGTACAAATGAAAAAAGAAAAGAATCCGCTGATAGATGAAAAGAATAAAAGCAAATAACCAAGTGCTTTATCAAAGAACTTCAACTACACATGAATACAAAACAAGGATTATCGGTTCAAGAGATTCACCTACATAGATGTGTATGTATATATTTGAAGAAGATGCATATAACATGAGACGGCTCTTTTTTACCTAAAACGTTTATTAAATAAATCAACTTTCTTAAAGATTTTCTTTTTTGACCTATTTTATCTTCATTACTTCTTTGATGCTATACAAGCCATTATAACATTAAAGTAAGATTTTTATTGTTTTTTTTTCATATCCTTCTTTATATGGACATATTTTTATTTTATTTTTTTCGGAAATGCACATACCGATAAATAAGAGAAAAGGGGTAAAAAAAAAAAAAAGTATATAATTATATACACATATGCATGCGTTATAAAATATGAATTGACATTGATTCTTTGACTCAATAGACTCGTTTTCCTTTTTCTACTATTTATTTTATTTTTATAATGGATAATAAAGTATTAACTACAATAGACAATGATGAAATGATTATTAAACATTTAGATACCGAGAATGGAAACACAAAACTACAAAACCCAATTATTATGCATCCAGAACAAGTATATTTTGGCTTAAACGAGATAAGTAAAATATCAATTATTTGCTATCATCATAATAAAGATCAAGAGCAAATAAAGACGGATAAGAAGGAAAAGGCCTTTATTGTGAGGCTTTGCTGCACTTGGAAAAGAGGCATTTGTAACATATTAACTATTGTTTGTATTTTGTCAGTTATTACCTTTTTAATCATCTATCCTTTCATCATTACATTTCATAAATAAATAAAAAAAAAATTCTTTCGGTCTCTAGTCTTCCGTTATGTGAGATTTTGTATTACAAAACTAAATAATCACTAGTAACACATGAAAATCTAATATCTTTTACTTCTCCCTTTTTTTTTTGAGACTATTTAAAAAAGTCATTTTTTTCTTTTTTTTTTTTTTTTTTTTTCCTTTGCTTTACTTTACTTGCTTACTCTTCAAAGAAACACACACACACACACACACACATAAAAATGGACTACGATTCAGATTCTAGTGATTTTCATTTCCCAATGGATACTGGATTACCCAAGTTATCATCACCTTTATCACAAAAAGTGCCTGAAGCATATGATTGGGCTATGCACGATTTTATGCAAACAAAACCAACAGAGACATTAATTAGTTTTAAGCAATATATGCCTGTCATTGATAATGATGAACATGATGACTACTATCTAACATTAGAAGAAAAGGACTTTTTAACTCAAATTTCAACAAGATTCCTTCAAATGGAGCGTAAAGAGTTACATGACGTTTTGAAAGGAGGATTTATGCTAGTGCAAAATGATATTCAAACTAATACTCAACATCATGAAAGCAAGAGCAGCCATTAAGTTGGTTTGATGAAGCTGTTGAAAGTGGAAATTATCAAATTAAAAATTTAGATACAATAGAAGTGCCAAAGCGTAAACAGAACTTTAGCTCATTTGAAGATAATAGTGTACAATTACCCAAGAGTAGTAATTCCGAGCCATTATTTACAACAATTGTATCACCTAATGATAAGCCATTACCACCACTGCCTCCACTTAAAAAGAAGCTTAATCATAAAATTAAATCAAAATTCGTCAAACCTTTTGTCAAATCTACATCGGAAAAGCCAAAGAAAATATTTCATTCAACAAAAAAGTTTATTCGAAAAATATTTTTGTTCAGCAACAATGTTTAAAGAAAAAAAGAAAAAAAAATCAATCAATTCAACAGCAAATATTCGCATTTCTTCTTTGTACATATTCTTCCTTTCTATTCTTACTATTGTACCTCCTTCCACCCCCTTATTTTAATATACAAAAAAAAAAAAAAAAAAAAAAAAGAAATTCCCATTCTATCAATTTTTTTTTTTTTTTTTTTTTTTGTATCATATCTTATACATAATAGCAGCATAATGTTCATATAAAATAAACTTTCCTTTATTTCTACTTAAAACTCATAATAAACAAAGAGGCTTTTAAAGTGCTTATGTTTAACAAAAGGGAGAAATAAGCTTTTCTGTTAAACACACGCAATTACAATGCATTTATACACAAAAAAAAAAAAAAAAAAAAAAAACTGTACAGTATAACCATGTGTGTATGTCGGCTTTCACTCCCAACTTATTATGTAGGTTGCAGACTGTAATAATGTTTTGTTTAATTAAGATAAACTACCTCTATATTATACTTATTTTTTGATGGGTAATAGTGGTGTTCTTAGTGTTGATGCTTTATACATACAAGATTTGAATCGCTTATTGTTTAACTTTACATAAACAGACAGCATGTTATTTTGGAGTCTTAATTGGGAAAGAGGATGTATATCACAGTCGTGTTGTGACCACCTGAATTCTTTATTGATTTGAACTTGTATTTACACAAAGCTAGTTTATAATCAAGACAATGAAATTGATTTAGTTTCTATTGTTCCTAGTAAACTTATTAGAAATAAGCTTCTTACTGAGTTCTTGTTTCTTATCATAGGGAGAAAAATAAATAAATAAATCATTCCTCTTATCAGTCTTCATTGTTCCAGTTATTATTTTTAGCATATCCTGTTCAAATACTACGAATCGTTTATCGCTCCTTATTTATACTATCATTATTTTGGGTGTAATAAAACTGTCAATGCCCTGAATGATATACTATATATCTTTATACTCTTATTATTTGAAGTCTCCTCCCTCCATTCACTTTCGTTAAATTATTTTATTGCCTTTTTTTTTCAACTCTGGGAACACTACCATTAAGAATGATCATATTGCATTAACTTTGGTTTATCTGATTATTGATCAAGTGACTTTAATCAATGACTTTTATAAAGCTACATAAACAATTTACATTCTTTCACTAGATTACTCGCTTATTACTGTATATAAATCAAGTAGATTATGTACTTCAAACTTGTATAAAAGGTCTGTTTGCAATTTTATGCAACGTGTTTCTCCCAAAGTACTTGAACAAAGTTGCTTTTATAGCTACCAAGTCTCATAAGCCTTCTTAAGTCAGATTCTTTCCCTTATCCCCCCGCCCACCCTTTTCTTAAAAAAAATATTAAGGGAGCATACTGGGCAATATGTTTATGAAGATCCGAAAGCAAAACTGATTCAATCTCAAAAAAATAAAATTAGCATTATAATTTGATGTTTTTTTTCCCTCTCTCCTAATTACATTCAATGTAAGTAATATATTATTTGTTCTTTCTTGCACTAAATATTTTGCTTTTTGTATGTGTTGTTTCCTGTTGAAACAATTCCATCTCTTTTATCTGTCTACAATTTTTATCCACTTTTGTCTTATTTTAGTTCTGAATAAAGAGAAATAAAACTAAGTTAACCTCTCTAATTGACTGTGTTTTGTTAATGACTCTTTTTTTTTGTAACTAAAAAGCTCTTCATAAATATACAATGCACATGCTCATAAACAAAAGAAGACCTATATTCAAATTGATTGGATAAAATTTTTTTTACTCCTTAAATGGATTTACTCCTTAAAAAAGAAGAAAAAAAGATATAAAAAGGGGGTCAAAAAATTGTAAAATTTCCTTTTTTTTCTTTTCTTTTTTTCTTTTCTTTATGATCATCAACCGGCTATTCCACGGCCGTGAAATGGCTGGGCCTGATCAGCCTGGAGTGTCTCTTCAGTTGCTTGTACGCCCTCGGGAGGTGTGAGGGGGTATACTTCTGTCGTTCAGATGCGTCCATTTCAGAAATAACAAACACAAATGAAAAAAAAAAATATGATAGCAGCATATTTTATGATTAGTTATGCTTCTGAAGCTTAAATTGAGTTTAAAAAAAAGAAAAGATGTGGTGAAATCTAATAGAACCAGTCACGTAGAAGACAGTCATTCACTTAAACAGTAACAACTATAATTAATAAAAAAGATACAAAATACCTAACATTTATACATTTAATTGTGAATGATTATATTTGATTACAAGGAAATACATTAATTGAATCATCGTGTTATAAGCTTATTTGTAGCTTCTTTTTAATCCTATATAGTCTAGTATTTTAAAAAATAATGAGCTTATTAGTATAAATATATCTCAAATACACAGATTCACTTTATGCTTTATTAGAATAGCTAAAGAAAAGAAAAAAGACGTTTATCTTTATACAACTAAACTTAGTTAGTGCACTATTCAATTTTATAAACTTATAGCTTCATTGTGCAATATAAGAGGATGATAAAGCTATTATATAGATCAAGATAAAGTATGATAATTTTACTCCATGGTTTAAGTAGTCCTCTTTGACTGCTTTTTGGTTATATATGCTTAATAGAATTCTAGTGTTATTTTTTTGGATGTGTGTGGTATTTATAATAAAGCTACCCAAGCAAAATATTAGAATAATAAATAATGCTCTAAGAGTTGATAATGATATATTGTATGGAGGCCTTCAAGAAGCGTAATAAAACGATTATTGCATCTAATGGCTAGAAAGTATATCATGACTAAAGATAATAATGGCACTATTATATATTTATTAGTTATTCTTTCTTATACTAAGGGACTCGTTTACATATATTTATTTATATGTGTATATTGTTTCCTGTTGAACTAATCCTATCTTCTCCTTTGCCTGTTTGCAATTTATATAAACTTTTGTTTTATTTTGTTTTGTTTTAAAAAGTGTCCTAATAATTCCTAAATAAAGTGTATATCTAAATAACTGTGGCTGATCCTTCTTTATCTCTTCTACTTAACCATATTTCTTGCAAACGTAGAAAGACACTTTTTTTACACTCTGACAATACGCAGTATGCTTTTTTGAACTTGATTACCATGTCAAAATCCTTCCTGAAACATCCGCACACACACACCTTCTCTTGGTACTAATTTGACCATATTGTTATGCAGTCATTAAATTTGTATTTGAAGATACTGTTTTCTGCTCTTTTTCCCTTTTTGACTATCAAAAGGGTTTTTTTTTCTTTTTTCTTTCTTTTTTTTTTATCTGATTAATAAAAGGAAATTAGAAAAAAAAGATGAAATTACTATTTTATAAAGATTTCTTACCTGTAAAATTTTTAAGCCATAAGCCCACCGGAGTGAGCTGAGGTGAGCATATTCGAGGTGGCGCTTTGTTGTTGGAAGACATTTGGACGGCCATTGCCACTCCAAATGGATTTGGCAATGGTTAAACATATTTTTGGAGGCCATGACATCCCAATTCCAATATATATTACATTGTTTGCAGATTCATTACTTGATGGATTTCGCGTTCTCCGTGCTTGACATTTTTCACGCTTGATTGAAAGCAGCTATTGCAGGTCTATGAAAGAAGTTAATACTATTTATATAATATAATATATGCACGTATGTGATTTACTTTTAATGTGTTATACTCGTCTATATCCAGAAGTATCAGCTCATCAAGATTTTCACGCAGCTTTAACTGTCTATATACCTTTTTTTTTTTTCGGCCGTACCATGCCTTAGACCTTTAAGCTTTACATGGGATTTGTTTTTTTTTTCAGGCCATTGCCAAATACAATTAAAGGCATTTTGCTACGGTCACTTTCTTCAAATTTCTCTTTGTAATTTCTTTTTTTTAAAAAAAAAAGGGGGGGGTATAAAAAAGATAAATGCTTCAAGAAGTAGAACAAAAAAAAGATTATGGATTGTACCTTAATCTATTCTTCCCTATGTTTGAATGAAGGGAGTCAGAGTGGTTGCTTTCATATTTATCTGCTGTTTTTCTTCTACTTTTGTTATATTTTTTTTTTGAGCCATTGAGTAAAATATTGACAGCATTTTTGATTGCCCGCTGAGACCTAAAGTGGCTGCACCATCGCAGTCTTGCAGTCTAGAGACTGTAGAAAGCGGATAATGTATCGAAGTGCTGTAGCATATATATTATGTATGCTTTGTAACGTTCGAGAAATACGGTTTTTTTTTAAAGAACATATTGGTTGTACATAAATAGTATGGCCTGTTCAGTCTGGTAACTTCACTAGAATACATTAGTTTGCAGAATAGAATTACAATACTACAACTTACAAATGGGTGCAGATCACTTCTCGTGAAATTGAGGTCTGTGTGAACTGCAAGATCAAAAGGTTCTTCCATTTGTAAAGCATGAGATCTGATTAGATTTCTCATCACTCTTACACTTGATGCACAGCTGGCTAATTTATTAAGCAATAACTGACAGGCATCGATGAAAGGCTTGTGATAAAGTTTAGTGAGGTCGGTTAAAATACCAACAGTTTCACTACGATTGCTTGTCCAAGAATAAAATAATAAAAAAAAAAATTGAATAAACATAATAAATAAAAATCGATTTGAAGTTCAACAAACGTAACTTGTCATGGTTGTAAGATTTGTAACTTAATTCAATAAGATGAAATAGTCATAATAGAACATATTGTGCACTTGTATAATAATTCTGTCTATAGACATATTTAGTATATTTACCATTATATAGAAAAAATACTTAATAAAAGTCTTACATTTAAAAATAAATCTCCTTCTGCTGAATATTAAACTGAAGAAAATCAAGAATAATGCAAATACGCGTAAACAATTGATTTCACTCAGAGTACACATATTAGTTATAAAAATAAATATATACAAAAGACATGAATCCATATCTATATCTATAATTATAACTCTTAGTAATCATTCTAAAATTATGTTATCAAATACAATTTGTTATATTTTTCATCTTCTTATTACTCATCATCCTTATTCACGAAATATATAAATACTCTTACATTATTAACCCTTATTTTGTATAATTGAAAACATACTAGAACATAGTTGAACTTTAATTGAACTCAACTCTTAATAAACTTATTGACAAACCTCAACGTACTTCTTCTATCTGTATTCTTTTAATTCTCTCTTGACCCTTTTATTTATATTTTATTATATTCTTACCTGTCAACCACAGCACAAGCAAAAAGCTGAAAAAAGCCAGGCGAAAAGCTGAAATGACAAGAAAGCCAGGTGTTTTAAATGTAAAAGAATAGGTAAGAGAAAATAGAAACGTCAAGTCTGTGAAAACTCGGTATAATTTATTGAAGGAAAAAAAAATACAAAATTTGTACCAGAAGAAAATAACATGGAAAAATGATAAGGGCTATTTATATGTTTTGCAAGGTGAGTGATATTAATAGAAGTATGATTTAGATAGGTGAATACTACTATAACAAAGCCTTTAAGCACAAATTTTGTCTCCAAATAATTCTGCTTGTAGTATGATATATTTTTATTCTTTATTCTCCCTGAGCTGACGCTGTTACTAAAAATATACCTAATCATTATCTCTGGGGTAAGCAACACGTTAATATTAATTCACAGTGAATATTCCAGCTATAACAATAATATCAATTATTTATGAGCCACTATTATTATTATTATCATCCTCTAAGATGTTATTACATAACAATATTCAACATTATAGATGTATATATAATATGTATGACTTATGTGAGTGATTATGTAACAACATATAACAGTCATAGCCCTATTGAATTCTTATTATTACATAATACAATGAATATTATTATTATTTTTTTAATACTCGAATATTCTAACAATGACCGTTATTAAAACTAAATATTGTATAATACACATCATGCTGTAAAGTACAATATACAGGTCTTATTTGAATAACATCTTTATTATGTAATAAATGATGGTTTATGTCTATTAACTTAGTTATAAAAGATGACTACAATTATAACACCAGGCATAGATAATGTTCTGGTGGATCGACTAAGCCGTTTATCCCCTCCTATGGAAAAAATTGGGGAGAATATGATCCTTGATAAGTCCAATAAAATAAAATGGATAGATATTTAAAAAAATTAGAAAAATCAAAAAGCAAAACGAGAAATTTAAAATAAATTATACAGAGTATAAGAATGGAGATTGCATGACACCACCAGAGAATGAAAGAAGAGCTATTTTAACAAAAGCTCACGTATTCGAACATTTTGATGCCGAAAGTATAGTAAAGGCTATTCATAACGATGGCTTACATTGGCCGCATTTATTAGAAGATGCTGTCAATTTAGTAAAATCTTGTAAAACTTGCCAAAAACATAATATTGTAAAGTGCGGTTTCCATGAATTACGTCCCATATATAGTTAATATATTGGGCGACCATTGGTCTTTTGATTTGGCTGAATTATCATATTATACTGTATATAATATCCTATAAATAATATAAACCTTATTGAATTCAAGTCGTCTTTGATTCAATAAAATAAAATATAAAAAATATCAGGAACATATACTCAGATTGAATAATAAATATTTTATTTAAAACTTAATCAAAAATCAAAATTGCATTTTTTTTTGTAACTTAAAATATGCCCATAACTTTCATTTTAACGATATATAGCCTTGATCCATAGATTCTTTGTCTTGTATGACCAAGGTTTGGTATTAAATATTTATCGTAGAATTCACAAATTTGCCTGTTTGATCATTGTCACAACTTCTAAAGGTTTTTCAGCTCTCTACATTTCTTACCCAACTACCAATGTTAAAAGGATTCATATATCTTCTATCATTTTTATCAACTTTGGCCACTAAGTCAGTACCCTTAATATCCTTCCTTATTATTAAAGTAGTTATTTTTAATGTTGGATAGCTTATTTGATGTATCAGCTATAACAAGTCTGCCATCAGTTTCATACTATTTTTTGCGCTATCAATCCTTCTTTGTGTCCTCATCATTAAAAATTTGCTATTTATTTTATATTGTTGTTGTTGTTTTTTAATTTGTTACATTTAACAACATCTTCTTCATTTGTCAATTCTTTACATAATATTTCTTCTATTTCAAGTCTTTGTGTATAACCAAACTAATTTCCTTACTGTTACATATTATAATTTACAAGTATTCTGTAACCGTAACAAGTATGACAGTGGTTCTAAATAAATAACGTGTAACTTTTTATAGCAATTGTACTACACAATACGTATTAACTTTAGAGCCCATCCTCCTTTCTTTTTCATTTTTTTTTATTTTATATGAGAAAAAAAAATTATTGAAGAGGAAGTCCTTTATAGTGTAGAGGTGGATTAGATTCTGTTCTTGTTTGCTTCTACTACAGCCGTGTTACTCCCAGAAATTCTCTCAATGCTGCGGGCTTTCCTCTCTTGCATGGTAGGAAATTACCCCGCGATTTAACAACATCTTTTTATCGACCTCCATTGAAGGCCTGGTGTTGAACATTGGATCCTGGAAGGTAGCATGTTATCATTAAAGCTCAGAACTAACCCCGATTTTATTATTTAATCACTCCCATCTACAGCTAACAAAGTTCATCTCTCCATGATCGCCGCTAGGCCAACAGAAAGGCGCTACCCTTTCCGATCAAGTTATTATATTTACCACAATTTTTTTGTTTATAAACCCAAACTTTTAGGTGTAGTTGCCGAGTTGTGGTATTCAAAAAAAAATAAAAATAAAAAAACATTTCCCTTTTATGCATGCATTTGCTATAATCTCATATCATCAAACAATTTTTTTTTATAAGAATTCAACGACCATCGAAATAAATAGGTATAGTCAGAGTCACTTACTCTTCCTTTATTAAATTTTAGACTTAAAGTACATGGACAAATAGTATAAAGGAATGCGGCTTCAACTTATTTATGTATTATACTTCTTCATGTTTTATAAACTTAAGGAAGTTGGTACACTCTACTGACAATACTAAGTAGGATTATTCTGTCGTAACTAATATTTTTCTAATGCCTCCCTGATCTTAGATATTCTTATATGAATACCTAACTGTTAAAATCATAGATAAAACTGTGATATTACTTGTAAAATATCAAATAAAAAATATTATAAAATGAAAATAATAAAAAGATAAAAAAAAAAGTCAATGAAACGGAACAATAGTTCTAAAGTCAATCATTTTTATTTATGAATTTAAATTGATGAGTATTTATAAGAATTGTTAAAGAAGTCTAAGATAAGATTCGAATCAAAAAAGTGTTAGTTACGACCGAATAAGGTATGTTGTTGATAATAAAGTGTTAGAAGTTTTAATATTATTTGATAAAGTGGATCAAGAGAATTTTTCAGGGGAATCTAGATAGAATTCCTTGATCCACTTGTTTAATCAAGGAACATGACATTCTAAGTCAGTTCATGATATTTATAACTAGCATTTATCCTATCTTTCTCTTTTCATTGAATAAACTACTTCACTGATAAAGGATAGTCTGATATTTGATATCTTGCAGCAGGATTTAGCCGTTAAAGCGTTATACAAATCATTTATAATTCTATAGGAGGCAACTAATAATAATAATAAAAAGGAGAGTGAGAGAGGGAAGATCTATCCGAAGTGTAACAAAGACAAATAGGTTCAATTATGCTCTTCCATGGAAAGCATTGCGCCTATTAGACCGTTTGTTTATGTGAAAAAAAATTTTTTTTTCTTCTCCTATTTTTATTTCACACCCTTATTTTTGTTTTTTCCTTTTTTTTTCTTCTTCTTTTTTGTTAAAGTGAAGTTTTGAGGATAATGGTCACGTTAAATAAACAATCTTTAGTGAAGTTTAAAGACATAGGTCACTTTAAATAAAAACAATCTTTAGTGAAGTTCTAATGATGATGGTCACTTTAAATAAACATTCATTAATATCGTTGTGAGGATAATAGTCATTTCTATTGTCCAATATCGAGAGTATGTTTCATTTGTAGTTTTCGCGTCTCTCGTTAAATAAGACTGTGAAAGGAAGCACATAATGATCAACCTCCACGGTTGGTTGCTTCTGGAAACAGTAGCCTTTTTTATTATATAATGAAGCTACTGGCTAATTGGATCATTACCCCTTTTTTATTATTATTATTTATTAAAAATGAAAAAAAACACACATATTATCAATAAATAAATATCTATTTTTAAAACTTTTGTATAATAATGAATCTAATTATTGATGACTTGTAGAAGAAGAGTAGTCTAATGATGTTTAGAAAAGAGTCAAAATGAGCTTTGTAGATGTCTATGTACTTTATTTATTGTCCTTTTTATTTGGTTAATGAGTTTACAGAAAGGTATGACTATGAAGCATATTTGCTTTCTATAAACTATTTCAAAACCTCTTACTCTTAAAGGAGAAAAGAAGGCTAGTTACAGTAATATGGTAATAAAAACACTTACTTTGTTGTTTCTATTTGCATATGATATTTCACAATTGATGTTCGTGACTTGAGCTATCTACTTTGATAGTCTTCGGCAGTATGGATACTGTACTGTACAGAATAACTCCACCTTAAAGAAAAAGGAGGGAAGGGGCTATTTTCATTATGATCATACTTCACGGATATATTTTCTTATAAGTTAGTCAAACCATTTAATCAGAATGACAAGAATTTTATTTTTCTATCTTTAATAACAGTTGTTACTTCCTTTTCTAAAATGTAACCACTATTTTCGGAATAGTATCGAACTGATAGTAGAATTACATGCATAAAATGCGGTATGATAAAGTGTATATGTATATATAAAGAAGCTTATATTTTAAATAAAGGATGGTAACGAAAATTTAGCTACTATGATTATATAGAACAACTAGCTCAAAACGCTTTACTTTTTTTTTCGTTTTGATGCTGATATTGGCCTCATAGGTTTAACCGTAATGGGCCAAAATCTAGTGCTAAATATGAGCGATCATGATTTTACAGTTTGTGTATATAACAGAGCTGCTTTCCAAAATAGATTCTTTTTTTTTAGGTACCCAAATCATAAGTGCACATTACATTGAAAAGCTTTACTTAAAATTAAAACGCCCAAGAAAGATAATGTTATTGATAGAAGCAGGCACAGTTGTTAACTCCTATATTGAGTTACTTCTGCCTTATCTAGATCAAGATGATGATAATTCTTATTTTCTAGATTCTATTCGTCGTGATAAGGATGTTAGATATGAATGTTATTGTATTTGTTGGTTCTAGTGTTTTGGTTAGTGAAAAAGTTCTCTCATTGATGCCTGGTGACGGTCATTCAAAAATATGGTCTATCATTCAACCTATCTTTCAAGCTATTGCCGCTAAAGCTTCTGATGTCTCTCCATGTTGTGATGGGATCATTAATAAATCAAGAAGTGGGCATTATGTCAAGATGGTTCACAACAGTATTGGTAAAAATTAATTCAAAGAAAAGAAGGAATGGTATATTTTTTATAATAAGTTAATTGTAATATATATACAAATGTTTATAGAATAAGGTGATATCCAATTAATCTGTGAAATTTATCTACATATTATAAAAGACTTTAAGAAAATTACAGCTACTTTTGAAGATTGGAACAGAGATGAATTAAACTCTTTCTGTATTGAAATTATACGAGGTATTCTTCGATGGTGAACATCTTGTGGAAAAGATTTTTAATACACAACGTTATCATCGATTTACTCCAGTCCTGATCTTCCTCGACATCAAATCAGCTTATGACACTGTTTACCGATCCTATATATGGCGAAAATTTTCAACCTTTTGCACCAACACTGTTGCTTGGTATTTTATAGAATTTATTTGATGATGTACAGATTGAAGTTCTACCCGACAATACGGTATCCTCTCGATTCTCTCCGGTTACAAGTGTGTTACTAGGCTCCATACTATCCGCATTTTTGTATTCTATCTACATTAATGATCTACCTGAACTCCTAAGACCACAGCCTGCAATCTCTGTTACTTTCTCTGATGCCGCCCAATCTGCTACAAAGATCATATCTCTCCTCTACGCAGATAATGTCGTCCTGATCGCCCCAGCAACTGAAATGCACTCACTCCCGCGAAGCTGTGAGGACCATAGCTATCATGTGGGCTACCGTTGGACTCCGTCCAAATGCGTCGTTGTTGCGCCTCCCAATGATGATCACCAATATTACCTATATAATACATCTCTACCTCGTGAACCCTCTTTTCCATACTTTGGCATTCCTATAAAAGCTGGTGGTTCTATTGATACCTGTTGCTCTTATTAAACAAAACACTGCTAAAGCACGATCTTCAATGAACCAGGTAGCCGTCCTCGGTGTCGACTCAAAAGATTTCAGCCATCTCCTTTTAGTTCGTTTTCTATGTCCAGATGATCAGATCACAACTGGAATACGGCCTTGCCATCGCTGCCCTCAATGGTTCTCACTTTAAGTATCTAGAAGCCTGCCAAAATGAATGTCTTCGTCGCATATTTAGCGTCTCCCTGCGATCCTCTATTAAAGTGATGCTTCACATGATCCACCAACCGTCGATGATGAACCGATCCATAATACTCCAAACAAAATAACTAGTACGATCCATGAACTTACCTGATGATACTCTGCTCTCCAAATTAATACCCCACTTGGAGACGTCTGCAAGTCCCTCACAATGGTACAGGCTGACCAAGAACTCTTTATGGAGAGAATGCACCCGCAGTTTGGATGACCTTACTAAAATCAAGTTTAAACGGGCTACAGCTCGACTTTCTACAACAATACCATGACAAACTTTGTACTGTCCCGAAATATTAAACTGTTTACCACCTGTCGTCCAACGGTGGCACTAGACCCTCTCCTTTGGTTGCTCGATGTCCAAAACTCAACGCAGTCAGGTTATATGTTGGCGTCTTGGATGGCTACTTGGTGGTATACCTTGTCCCTGTATATACCACCCTTTTGAACATTTTACTCGTCGCCATGCCATCCTTTGTCTCCACATGCATCATCGGCTGTTATTACGGGTGTCGATCGAAGATTCTCTCTCTTTCTTGCTGAATCTTTTGCCTACTAAAAAAATCATCAACAGCACACCTTGCTGCTCCTTGGACGGTTCGATGGCCAAGGTTTTGTACAATACTACACATGATGGATCATATCTTCCACGGAAAACTCCCTCCTGATCCTCCTACTGATACTGGTGAATTGGTTGCTCAACTAACAGTGTTAATACTCCTGTACAATTGCTGAATTTTTCTTTTTCTTTTCTTTTCTTTTATTTTTTTTTTTTTTTTACTATCAACTTTTATACTTTTTTTTCATTTTCCCTCTTGTCTCTTAAGAGGTTTTTTCTTTCTTATATACACTACTAGAACTGGCTAGAGCAATATCGTAGATGAAAAATGCACTGTGCCCATCTGGTCATTTAAAAAAAAAAAAAAAAAAAAAATCAAATAAATTGATATTTTAATTGTAACAAGGTTGTTTTGATTGGTAAATATATCTGACTTTGTATTTTTAATTTGAAATAAATATAATAACAGGAAGGGAGTTTAAGGGGAGGGGGCGAAGACTGAGGACTAGGGGAAGAAAATTGCCGAGATTAATCTTTTCTTCTTGAAATTTTACTTTTTTGTCTTTCTTACGCCATACCTCCTCCATCACTCTCCCTCTTTTTTTTTTGTTAGATTTAATTCTCTACAACCATGTTTAGACAGTCAAGATTATTACGGCCTTTATTGAAAAAGTCGATTAGTAACATGACTTGCATTCATTCTAGATCAGCAATCGCATTACAATCCTCTAAACAAATGGTGAATATACGACTTTTTACAACTGCGACTGAACCTACGATAGATTGGAACACGTTCTCTCAAAGGATGGATGATTTATGGGCAGAAGCTGATTATATTGCTATTTGTAATAACATTGTACGAGATAAATCTCTCAGCAGCACACAAACCATCGAGCGACTTCAGTGTGTTCTTCGTCACCTTGATAGCTTAAAAAAAACTAACCCCAAGTATGGAGAGATCTTTCAACGAGCGTGTAACATGCTGATGTATGTCTATATTAATCAATGTCATGATCTCTCATCAGCCAAACTTGTTTTTGAGGGAATGGTCAACGCAAAGGGAGTTCAATTAACAGAAGTCTCCTTAACAACGCTTATCACGGGTATTGTTCGATTAGGGACACGTGCAGATCTCTATTCCTTCCTGAATTCACTTCGAAAACGTAATTTGCTCTTAGAGACAGAGTTCGTTTATATACGTATCATGTCCGCTTTACGACATTTTAAGGACGTAAGAGGCTGTAGTTTTTATTTTGCAGAAATGTTGGAAAAGGGACTTGAATCTATCCAAGCTTACCGCTTTATGATGACACTCTATCGAAAGGACCAACAACCAGAGATGATTATTAAATTATATAAGCAAATGCGAAAGAAGGGTCTGTTAACAAAGCCAGATGCAAGTATCTACGGTCTTGTCATAGATGCACTTAATCAAAGGCCGAATAAGACAAAAGACCAACAACAAAAACTATTTGATGAATTACGGAATTATTGGATAGCAACAATGTCAGAATCAACAGCACCAACAGGTGAAAATGAAACCAATCCACGTATGATTATCTATTTGTTAATGGATTGGGACCCATTAACGGCTCTTCAAGACATGAAGCAATTCACTCAACCTGTTACTCAAGATTTTAATGAAGGATTATCCGCTTATGTAAAACAAAATCAATTTGATAAAGCACTTCATCTTCTCAAGAATATGAATAAAGAGAAAGTGAAGATGGACGCCTACAGCTATTCTATATTACTAGATGCCCTTGCTAAGGATGTCAATACTCCAACTGATTCTGTTTTCCAATTATACGATGAAATGATAGAGAATGGTATTAAGCCTGATACTATTGTTTTTACATCCCTTTTAACAGCATGTAATCGAGCTCGTGATTTTCCCAAGGCCCTATCTGTATTAGAAGAAATGGAAAAAGTAGATGTAAAGCCAAATATTTATACCTATAATTCTGTATTTAATGTCATGGCTTCACATGCTCATATCACTTGGAATAGTGCCAAAAAAGTATGGGAAGAAATGTTAGCCATTGGAATCAAGCCTGATACCCGAACTTTTAACATCTATCTATCTATCTTGGCTAACCTCATGAAGCAATCCCCATCACAATCACAACATCAACAAAAGCTTATATTAGATGTATATCGACAGATGAAATATAACACTAAAAGTGAGCCTGATTATTTAAGTTATACAATTGTGATGAATGCACTTGCAAATGCAGGTCTCTTGAGAGCAGCGATGCAAGTCTATAATGATACAAAGCTAGAAAGAGTAGCTTTACCTGTATCAGCCTATAATACATTAATGAGTGCATTACAAAAGGGGGGTCAAGTATCTGAGGCTATGTATGTTTGGCATGATATGAAGATTCGAGGCGTTTTACCCGACAATGTGTCGTATGAAATTGCATTAGAAGGATGTGAACAATTAGGATTGACAGAAACCATTCAAAAGATACGAGAGCAAAGAAGGTCAGATTTTGAACGATTAGATGCACTAGAAAAGATGAGAGAGGCTAGGCGATCAGCAAATAAACAAAAGTAACCTATTAATTAGTTATTATAGAATTTTTTTTTTTATTTTTTTGTATATTGAATAAAAATAAAATAAAATAAAATATTCCCCCTCTTGGATCATAATGCAACAGACTTATTATACTCTGTTATTGAATTATTTCGGAGTTAAGCCACTATGACTGTTATTTCTTCCTAATTTTTTGTAGTAAAATCAATTTTGACTCCTTTGAACTATTTTTTTTTCTTGTTTTAGGGTCAAATTTCGATTGATTTAATAAAACAAACATGTTGCGTACAGTGTAAGTATATAGATTAATAAGTAATCAAGTCAAAGAAAAAGAATTATGTTTATTAATTATGCATTTATTTCTTCTTTTTTTTTCTATATAAATAAACAAATAGTAAAGCCAAAAATGCCCGTACCAAACGTTTCTTGAAGAATCGTGAAGCCAAAGTCAATGAAAATCCCAAGACATCTTTATTTGTACGTGGATCAACAACTAGTCAAGTAGTCAATGATGCTTTAAAAGATTTGGTAAGAGAATAAATTGAGATACCTCATTTTCAAAAAAAAAAAAAAACTTCGATTCTAACTTTTTTTTTATTTCATAGTATGCTTTAAAACGTCCTAATGCCATTCATTTCACTAAAAAGAACGAACTTAAACCTTTCGAAGATGAAGAAAAACTTGAATTCTTTTCTCAAAAGAACGATTCAGCTCATCTTATCGTTGGTTCTCATTCTAAAAAAAGACCCCACAATGTTACATTCATTCGTATGTTTAATCATCAATTATTGGATATGTATGAATTTGGACTTGAGAATGCTAAATCATTAAGTTCCATCCCTGTAATGTCTTTATATATTAGAAAAAATCTATCAGTCATATTCATTTTATATATCTTTTTGATAGGGAGCTAAATGTTCATTAGGTTTAAAACCATTGATGGTCTTTAATGGCGAACGTTTCGATTCTGAAGAAAAATATAAATATATCAAAAACTTTTTCTTAGATTTTTTTAATGGTGAAGAGACAAGTGCAATTAACTTAGCAGGACTTGAACATGTTATTAGTTTAACAGCTGTACCTGATAGTGAACGTATTCTTTTACGTACTTATTCAATTCAAATGAAAAAGAGTGGACTCAAGACTCCACGTGTTGAATTAGAAGAAATGGGACCTCATTATGATTTGGTTATTCGACGTACTACTTTACCTAAAGCAGATGTGTGGAATGCAGCTTGTAAGAAAGCCAAGACAGCAAAGGCAAAGAAGGTTAAGAATATTGAAGTGGATGAGATGGGTGATAAATATGGTCGTATTCATCTTGGTAAACAAGACTTTAATAAGATTCAAACAAGAAAGATGAAGGGTTTAAAGAAAAGAGGTGCAGATGAAGAAGAAGAAGAAGAGGTAGCAAAAAGACAAAAAGTGGATGACGAAGAATAAAGTATCATTTTGTAAATAATTTTAGAAGAAAATAAATAATGTGTTAAAAAGAGAGAAAGTTTACTTGTATCATTTAGAGTAAAAAAGGGGAATTACTTGATACAAGCAGTAAACTATTCATTAAAGACAATAACTTTAATTAAGCATATAATATCTTATAATGCATTTATTCACATACTATTTTAACCAATTAACGTTGACTTTTTCTTTAAAGGGGATTATAATGAAACATGAAAAAAAAACCAGTAACAATACAATGCTATGTATTATTTCTATTATTTTAATAAGAGAAGGAAGAAGTAGTTAATAGTACTGTTATTTCATTACCTCATTATTAAAATCCCGCAAAATAGAAACTCCGATTTTTAATTCATCACGCTCATTTTTTGTCGGAATATATAAAGTTGATCGATTACTTAATCAACATATTTGTACAGTGTTTCGGGGAGAGGGGATGTTTAAGACATGACATACAATAAATTATTTCTGGTTCCTAAAAGAAACTATTGAATATTTTGTAAAAACTCAAAAAAAAAGAAGAAGAAAATTTAGTTTAGTTATTTATTACTTTATAATAAAAGTAGCTACTTGTTAGCTTATTAACCAAAGTAAAGATATTCAATGAAAAAAAAAAAAAGGTAAACGAGAAAAACATCTATACACTCATATAAAAATATATATATAAAAAAAAATGAAAAAAATGAAACAGTTACAAGATAAATGGAGCTTAAAATATACAAATACATGTCTATAGGTTTGCATAATAAAGGAGGAAGATCTTTTATCAAACAGAATAGACATTTTTATTACACTTAATAATACTAATAAACTTCCAGGAGAAAAAAAAATATACTTAATATAAGCTTATATGAAAATTGAATGTATTATACATAATAAAAGTACATTTTATTTTATTTTTTACTCTTATTACCTGTGTTTATATAAATACGCAAAAAAATAAAATAAAATAAAATAAAATAGAATAAATTAAAATAAAATAGAATAGAATAAAATAAAATAGAGCAATCGACATATTTATGTACATTATAGATCTTTACGTTGTTATCCGTGCGTGGGGTAACAAATGAATGTTTGCTAGTATTTTTCATATAATACTTACATTTACAGCAAGAAAAAAAAATGAGGTGATATAATTTTAGTCAAAAATATAAATTTAAGGTTTATTTGATTATAATAAATATCATCTATTTACAAAAGGTAAAAAAAAGATTGTAGTCTTTATATCACGAAGAAGCAAAGAGGGAAACCAAAAAAACAACAATGGAAAAGACTTCTATATTTATGTTGTGAATAATTCAATATAAAGTAGTGGGATTTTATTCTATTATTCCCGAAAAAAAAATTGGAGATCCCATGTCGCATAGTAATAACAAAAAGGACCCTGTTTGACCTCCTAGGGCAATGAAAAAGAAATTTTTAATTTGTACATAAAAATTGGGTGGAAAATAGTTTATTATATCGCCGATCCAATTAAATGATTTGAAACTTAACTTCTCTCATGCTATTTTCTTTTGTTAGTAACAGAAACATTTCAAAAAAAAATTTTATGTAATCAGCAATCTTCATAGGGAATCATGTCAAAACCCTTTTATAGTCATAACCCTATTGATTTAATATATTTGTATAATTTTTTATAAAATAGAGAGCTTATTTATTTATAAGAAAGGGGAAATGGAGGAGGGAATTTTTTTTATAATCACTCCTCTTTAGTTTAATTTGATGTATGAACAAATAGGTTAAAAGCGGTAACTTAATACATATAACATGAATAATACGATTTTAGGATAGGTGGACATTGCGGGGGAAAAGTGTTACAAATATTATTGGTGAAATATTATTTATTTATTTTTTTTATAGTAAAGAAATGCTGGGTTTCATAGGTTATTTTCTTTAATTTTAATTATAATGGTTTGTGATCCCACTTTTTTTTTTTTTTTTTTTTTTTTTTACTTGTTTCACTCCATCTTAAGCCTTGTTTTTTTTGAATCAAAAAAAAAAAAAAAAATTAAATAAAAAGGACGGGAATTTACTGAAAAAAATAAAAACAGGCCTTTCTCTTTTTTGTATTTCATAACTTTGTTTATTATTTCCCCTTTCCTTCCCTTAAAAATTATTATATAATATTAATGAACGAATTTGGGTTTCCACCAATGTTAAAAGATATGTCATCAACAACGCCTAAAGTAGGTGGAATGCTCTATACTGAGCCTTCTTCCTTTAATAATAATAATAATAATAATAACAATAATAATTCTCGTTCTAATAAATCAAATGTATTTTCACAAACACCTCAAGAGTTTGAACATTGGAGAAGTAATTCACTTCCTACTTCTGCACTTTTCAGTAATACAAATAACAGTAATACAACTATGAATACTACAAATAATCCTGCTATTAATCCTGTTTCGTGTGATCTTCAAGAAGTGATTGTTTATTATCAGTCACAACCAGAATTATTACGTCTTATTTTATTAAGTAAAGTAGAAGAAGATAAAAGAAGAGCAGAAGAAGCTAAATTAAGAGCAAAAGAATTGGATATGTTTTTACTTCAACAACAGCAACAATTAAATATTACTACCACATCACAAACACCAGATATTCTTTCTAACAATAATAATTTATTAAATACAAATCAATTTGCACCACCAAGAAGACCTAGTGCCCTCGAAATGTTAATGGATGATTCTGACTGTAATCGTCGTGATTCTGCCTTAGGTTCTTCTTTTGATGGCAGCGCAAATTCAGATGAAATGGATGATCGTACCTTTTCTCCAAATTCCTCTTCTATGCTGTCTATGAGGTAATACATACATACGTGTATTTATATACGTTTTATGCTTAGACACGTAGTATTAATATTTGTATTTTTTTCTTTTTTTTTCTCTCTTTATTCTTTTTTTCTTTCTTTCTTAGTTTTCATCCTCAACCAATGATATCCGTTTCTACAACACCTACTACGACGAGTACTAGAACTTCATCTCTTCATCCTCTTTCCCCACCCTATAATAATGCTTTAGATGACTCTAATCGCACTAGTCCATTTCCATCTCAGATTAAATTAGAAAATGAACAACAGCAACGTCGTTATTATGGCAACGATACACTTGTCACCGCTGTTGCTAACCCTTCTTATTTTCCATCCACAACAACAACAACAGCAACAGCAGCAGTAGCATCTACAGCAGCATCCACAACAACATCTACAACACCACAAAGACCACGTCGTCGACGTGAGATGCAGGCCATCTCTAAAATTGTTGAGACTCGTGATTATCCTTACGTTGACGGCTACTTTTGGAAGAATAACGGTAATACAATTCAAAAGAAGACAGGCAATAAAAGCGTTTATTACAAATGTTCCAATAGTAGCAAAGGTTGTCCTGTAAACAAGACAGTTACCTGGAAAGAAAATGGTGAATATTTAATCAAATATCGTGGTGAACATCTCCCTGAATGTGGCAAAGTGCAACGAATTGTTGACATGTAGTTTCCTTTTTTTTGTATTTTTATATTTCATGTGTATATGTATACGCCATTGCAAATGTATATTTTGTATTACATTATTTTTTTTCTATCCCTTTTTTCATGTATTTTTAATTTGTAAAAAACATTGTATTTTTATTTTATTGTATTATTATTATTATCATTATTATTATTATTATTATCATTATTATTAAAAATATTTCATTTTGTTGTTATAGCAACATCAAAAAATGATAATAGAACGTCATTTCTATATTTGTTTAAAAAAAGAACAGGAAAGAATCGGGAAAAATCTAAAAAAAAAAAAATCTATTACTTTTATTTTATTTTTTATTTTTGTAGTATATTTGAATAGCTATTCTTTTTTATTTTTATAGTAAAGAATGTATTATGTGTAGTTTAATGATTTACATAAAAAAAAAACTTTTTTCTTTCTTCTCCTTCCCCCTTTTTTTTTTGGGAATAAAAGAATACAAATGATGTCAACAAAAACTCGGGTGAGTTTAGTAATGGGTTTTTCAGTGAAACTTGTATAGTTATTTTCCTAATATAGAATTTGTTGTTGTATAGCAATAGTCTATTGTTGTTGCTATTACAGCAGTTCTCATTTTGAGTTCACAATCTTTTGTGTTTTTTTAAGACGCTATTTTCCTTTTCTGTAAGACGCTTTTTTTTTTTTTTTACTATTTTATAGGACGTCCCTTTTTAGTTTCGTGCAACGCTTTTTTCATTTGTATACTGTATTTGCAACATATATAATATATTGATTTAAATAGTGTAGAATTACTTTTTTTTTCATTAAATATTATGTTCTTTATGTAAACAAGGTTCGAAAAAAAAAGTAAGACAATGCTGAGTATGGCTAAATAGATCTCTTTCTGTAACTGTTTTGGATGCCCCAATTATTTTGTCTTGTACTATTTCACTTTTAGCAAGCCTAGTATTCTTTGATCGGGTTTAAGAAAGGAGAATAAAGAGACAAATAAACGCATTTGTCACCTCTTTGATGAGTATCCTCTCTCATAAAACTCACCTTTGTGAATCGATGCATTATCTGTAATAATATAATGGTCTTACGTATTGTGAATATCCAATATGTCTAGCAAACATTCAAAATATTGGTTTTTTACTTTGAATTTGCGGACTTTTTTTTTTTTTTTGGCGAATAATGTTTTATTTTTTTGCGGATGACTTTTTTATTTTTTATTTTTGCGGATATCTTTTTGTTGCTCCTGTTTTTTTTATTTAACCCTTTTAACATTACTACGAGATGTCTACTGATAATGTACCAGATGAGTACATTCATTGTTTCGACGTAATGGACGAGATTCTTGAGCCCGAACCTATAGGAATTAAAACTCTTTAGAATGATTTATACGATACAGTTGATTTGGAATGGCATTATTGGGGACAGCCAGAAATAAACAAGATAACGGAAACCCGACGTTAAAAAAAATACTTATGGATTCAAGTACCTATGAAGGCTTTCGTCAAGATATTTTTATAAAAGGTGAAATAGCATATGTTTGCCCTAGAGAAAAAAAAAGTTACCAAATCAAAATTATCATCTGTTAAAGTGTCTGCTGCAAAGATTCGGGAATCATATACTCCTTAGAAAATACAAGAGCTACTTGACTTTATTATTGAAATACGGCTTTCTAACAAGAAAAGCTGGAATGATGGTGGGTATTGTTGAGAAAGAAAAAAAAAAAAAAGCTCGGCATTATGTGAACCTCTATAGTGATGATGAAGAGAAGTGTTTGCCTAGTTTGAGAAAACCTCAAACCAAGTGGTACATGAAGTTTGAACCGCAATATACCGACTCTCTCTGTGATCTTTACGAAAATAAACTAGAAGCTGTTCTTTGAGAAGCAAGGAATCCCTTACTTCAAGCATACACTGAGATTAAATCGATTTCTCTTTCTGGTCTTCACAAATATTTAATCCAGCACACATCATTAACACACACACAAAAATATCATGCTCAAAGAATAAGTGACCATTGTTATAGATCAAGTTCTGGATATGAGCACAAGTAACATAATATAAGCTAAGTTATATAATACAGGATAAACTATAAACCTGGTGTCATGAATTGACTTATAATGTCATGTTTCTTGATTAAACAAGAGGATCAAAGAATTTTATGTCTCTTAATCCATTTCATCAAATAATATCAAAAAGTTCTAACACTTCATTATCTATAACATATCTTATTCAGTCGTAACTAACACTTTTCTGATTTGCATCTTATCTCATACTTCTTTAACAATCCTTATAAATACCCTATCAATTTAAATTTATAAGCAAAAATGATTGAATTTAGAACTATTATTCGCTCTCGACGTTTTTTTTTTTCTTAATACAACAATGAGCACAACAGCGCAATTCATTTTTTTTTTTTTGAAGATGGCCAAGGTAAAAAAAAAAGAGATGATAATGACACTGAACTACTGGAAGTTGATCAGTATACCCCTCAGAACAAAACTTTGACAACGCTTGGTCAGTATTTGCAATACCAGGTTGATTATCTCATCACCAAGCTCCTGATGAGATCAACCAGGAATCCAATACACAAAAACAGCAAAGACATAAAAATGAAGAGGCGAAAAAGAAAGAAAAAAAAAAGCTTATACAGTATATTCACCTATTGATAAGTTCAACTTCATTCATTATATGATTGCAAAGTGTCCTAAAAAAAAATTGCCCCGGTTGTCAGGTTATATAATATAAACCCTCGAACTGGCCAGCGCTGGTGGGCCAAATATAAGGAAAATCCGGACACTTTCTTCGAAGTGAAAGCAAGAGGAAATATCAAAAAGCTGAATGATGAGCACAAAGACTTTTTGATAGAATTATATGATAAGGATCCAGCTGCGACTGTTGAGGACGCTATCGAGGAATTGTCAGCTAATTTTGAAGGAATAAAAATTAGAAAAACCGCAGTTCACGACTTTATAAAAATTGACATGAACTTCACTTTCAAAAAAGCTGCATCTCATACCCATAAAAGGAACAATGAGGAGAATATGGAGGAGAGATATCAGTGGGCTACTGGAATTGCTAATTCAAACGTCAATTTCCTTAAAAATTGCGTCTTTATCGATGAATCAGGCTTCCATATTAATCTGAAGCGCACAGGTGCTTGGGGACCTAAGGGGTAAAACACCGGTAATAGAAGTTGAAAGTACTCAAGCTGTATCTCATACCATTTTAGGGGCTATTTCTGTCTATGGTGTGATTCATACTAATGTAAGAATGCCTAGCGTCCTCACCTCTCACTTTGTTCTTGTCTCGGGCAAAAAAAAAAGAAAGAAAGATTGACACCAGAGTGACAAAGCTGCAGCAAAAAACCAAAAGGTACTGCAGCCAATCATTTTTATGTTTTTATAAAAGAAACTCTAGATGTCATGGACCAATTTGAGTATTTAGAAGAGGTATTTTTAGTTATGGATAATGCTTCTATTCATAAAAGACCAGATATAACTGATTTCATCATAGAGAGAGAGGCTATAACTATATTTTATGGCCCACTTACTCACCAGAGTTCAATCCCGATTGAGCAATTTTGGTCTGTAACAAAAAGTAAGATCAGAAGAGTTAAAAATTGCTTAGTGGAGACACCTTGCAAGATCAGATAACTGAAGCTTGCAACCAAGTTCCTCAAAGTTATCTTTATAATATTATCAAGCATTCTGATAATCGTTTATACGACTGTTTAAATAAAAATCATATTTAATTTTTTTTTCCTTCTATATAATCGTTCTTATTACTATTGCTGCAGACTTTAGTGAAAATGTGTCAAATAAAAAAGCGGAATTTCAAATGAGGAGGGGGGGGGTTCTCCAAAATGAGAGAGGGGGGTTCTCCAAAATGAGAGAGAGAGAGGGGGGTTCTCCAAAATGCCCTTTTATTCCCAATGTCTATTATAACACTTATTTACCTAAAACATGCCTGTCACATTTGCCAAAAAGAATTCAAAAGTCCATTTAATTTACGGCGTCATATCTCAAGTATCCACAACAAGTCATTACCACCTAAAGACGCAGATGGTTATTACTCAGCATTAGATGGAAAAGTCATAGTGCATGCAAAAACTCCAGATGCTGTCCCTCATTATGCTTGCCCGTCTTGTTGGACTTTCCAAACTGATTTCGAATGGATGAAGAATCATATGTCTACTCACGAAACGCAACATAATATTCCTAGCATCCCCATTAAAACCAAGAAAGATACTTATCTTTTTCGCGATGCGTCTTCAGCCTTACATCCACCAAAGCGGCCCAAGATCACTAGCGAGAATATTTCCACGTTGTCCCCAGTTGCAACTATAATTAACCCTTACAATGAACATTTGTCGCCAGAGCATAAACGCCTTGCAAAGCAGCAAATTACAGATCAAGCAAACATGGTATCATTAAAACAATATCCAATAGCATACAACATGCTGAAGCAGGCCTTGGAAGTGGAATTACCAAATTTGCCTCATTTTCTTTGGACATTTGTACAGCCTGCTGACATTATGGCTCACGACGCTACCTTGATCAAAATCATTCAATTCGTTTTAACCGACTTCTGCAGCAAATGTCATCGCAATGCATTCTATCAGTCAAAATTTGAACGTACTCATTGGATTGATCGAGTTGTGCCAATTCTTCAATGTTTTGGCGACCACAGCCAGCTCCTTGGTTTTCAATGGTGCGAAATTCCGACCGAAGAGCATGTTGAATTTACGATTGACCCTAAATCATGGATGAGAACTGCAACTGTCAAGTATCACGATGGTATAGGGTACGACATTAATGGCTATAGTCGACTTATCATGGAAGGGTCAAGCAATTGTATCGACAAAGAGAATATTGAACACACTCAGGGGGATACTGTCAAAGCACTGTATGCATCCATTGAACTTTTGAATTCATTTGTACGACGTCACGCCGCTGCATCATTTTCAAGTCTTTGCTCTGTTTTGTCCTTTTCTCTGCAATGTGTATGCACCACTATTACTTTATCCACCACGAAAATGGACTATATCAACATTGGCAGCTATATTCAAACAGAAGTACGACATGCAGATATTCCAAATAACTTCAATAACCGCGTATCATGGATGGAAGTCTTTGAGCTTGTTGCATATCTATTCACATCCCTTCGAGAACAAGAAACCATTCTGGAAACCATAAAGAAAGAAAACTCTGGTATTGTTCTTGTCAAAGATATAGATCGTGCGTTACATGTTTTAGATGAGATCAATGACCGGCCTCTACCTTAACTCGACATATACTATGAATGAAGTTTTAAGATAAATTATATCAATAATATATTGACACCATTTCGACCTAAGCTAAAATATACCTCATCATGACTCTACGTTTTTAGATATTGGAAATATCATGTTTAACGTTCCTAAAAAAAACTAGACAAGCCAGACACAACTTATTATTAATTTACTATAAAGTAATAAACACATATGTGAATACCCCAGCTTGAAACTAAATTTCTTAATCTCGAACAATTTGTCTATTACATTATAGATATATATATAATCTATCAATTTCTTGCAAGCATGAGGTTTCATTCAACTAATAATTTAACTTAGGAAAACATTCCTTAATCTTGGGTTGAAGGGATGGCTGTACGTCGGCAAGAGGTAAACACAGCTATATTATAGTATAATTTTTCACAAAACTGTGCCTTCTCTTTAAGACAAAATTATACAGAGTTTATATAGTTTTCAATGACAGTGATATTATCATTAGCTGTTAATAAATCACGGGAATGTTACTATTGGTACCTGAACCATTTAATAGATCAGAATAAGAATAGTATTTTCGTTCTTTCACTTCTGATCTGATGACCAATGCGGAGCTGTCATATGCGTTCAATTAGATATATAATGATAATCAAAATAACAGAATATTCAATGCATTGTAGATTAATAATTATAATAATCAATTATTCACAATTACAAATATTAATCAAGTCTAAGCTAAAGTCTGTATACGACAGTATTGTCCATAATAAAGGAGTAAGGACTATATTTATTATATCTAAAATTAGCAATAATTTGCTAGAGTTGGCGCTTCTGTTCACCATCGTTACTGTAACGTCTTTTACGCTTTAACAAGAAATAGCTGGTGGAATAATTATATCGAATGTTTTCTTTTTTTAAGCCTCTTTCACAGATTAAGTTTGAGTTAAACCCAGTTTCTTCAATTGGTTTTACATGAGATACCAAGCTGCTGTAGTTCACTCTGGTATACAGAAATCTACTTTTGATTAATTCAGAGGCGATTTTCTCTTCAGAATGATAAGAGAAAACCAGTTAATTTCGAACAGTTTTTCTCTCATATTTCCAAATTTATTTGGCAGTCTAACCTTCTATATATATATCTTCGATAAATACAGAATACTGCTCTCTTATTTTAACGTATACTTCCTCTAGATAAATTTTCAACTGTACCACTTCTGATATACTATTCAGTAACATCATAGACAGTTATTTAGTTAAGCCTGAATAATTTTTTTGTTTATACGCATCACCAGTCTCTCTTTTATAATAAACTTACCATTTTACAGTAATAATCAGCTATAATTAATAAGCTTTTATTAGAACCTTCTATACTTCCAGTAATTCCTGAGAACATTACAAAGGAACTTCTCCAAGCTTATGCTCCGAAGAATAACTTTGTCCTTGTAAATGATTTAAAGGAAAAAACCAAATTCGACGTCCATATGTCAATTAGATTGCGCAAAAAACTTGGACAATGTTAGCGATGTTCAGAAATTATTACAAAGGAAAGGAAAAGAAAACCAGATGAAAATAACTTTAAGAATTTAAGCGGTAATGTCGAATTGTATTCTCCTTCAAAATTGATTCAAAAGTTGATTAGCTTCAAAAGCGATCTAGAGTTTTTGCGTGCACTATGACTTTTCCATCTAATGCTGAGTAATAACCATCTGCGTCTTTAGGTGGTAATGACTTGTTGTGGATACTTGAGATATGACGCCGTAAATTAAATGGACTTTTGAATTCTTTTTGGCAAATGTGACAGGCATGTTTTAGGTAAATAAGTGTTATAATAGACATTGGGAATAAAAGGGCATTTTGGAGAACCCCCCTCTCTCTCTCTCATTTTGGAGAACCCCCCTCTCTCATTTTGGAGAACCCCCCCCTCCTCATTTGAAATTCCGCTTTTTTATTTGACACATTTTCACTAAAGTCTGCAGCAATAGTAATAAGAACGATTATATAGAAGGAAAAAAAAATTAAATATGATTTTTATTTAAACAGTCGTATAAACGATTATCAGAATGCTTGATAATATTATAAAGATAACTTTGAGGAACTTGGTTGCAAGCTTCAGTTATCTGATCTTGCAAGGTGTCTCCACTAAGCAATTTTTAACTCTTCTGATCTTACTTTTTGTTACAGACCAAAATTGCTCAATCGGGATTGAACTCTGGTGAGTAAGTGGGCCATAAAATATAGTTATAGCCTCTCTCTCTATGATGAAATCAGTTATATCTGGTCTTTTATGAATAGAAGCATTATCCATAACTAAAAATACCTCTTCTAAATACTCAAATTGGTCCATGACATCTAGAGTTTCTTTTATAAAAACATAAAAATGATTGGCTGCAGTACCTTTTGGTTTTTTGCTGCAGCTTTGTCACTCTGGTGTCAATCTTTCTTTTGTCTTTATATTATTTTCTTTTTTAATATTTTTTTATTTGATATTTTACAAGAAATATCACACATATTTTGATGTTAAAACAGTATATAGAATTTAAAATGGGGAAAATATCACTGTGAATGCAAGCTAAAGATACTTAAACTGGTTTTCATAGCATACATCAAAGAATCTAAAATCGTTAATCTTTACAACTTCATTTTGGCAAACGATGTATGTGAGTAAAAGAATGATTTTAAGCACAACATAAGGGAGACTAGACTTATCAAATACCCCTTGTTAGGAAATAGTAGTATTTTGTTCAAATGAGATGCATATTAATTGCCTAATTAGGAAAAAAGAAAGTTTATGAGAATATAAACAAAAAAGTGAAAACAAAAGACATTTATTTTATTTACTTTACTTTTCTTGAGCATAAATACATTTCATATAGTCATAAAGAAGAAGTAAAATTGACAACATTTTACTATTCTACACATTGTTACTTTTTATAAGAAAGAAAGAAAATTAAATAATGTAACTGTGTGTATTAAATGTGGGGTAACACATATTCCTATGGATTTCATATGATTGTGACTGTAATTTACAACAACGACCTCCTTATTCTTATAAAAAAGTAGATATTCAAAGTTATTTCTTCTTCTTCTTTTTCTTCTTTATTATTACTATTTCTTCTGTAGGTAAGTCATTAAATAATACTATTTTATTCTTCTTCTTCCCTGCCCTAGGAGGAAATTCTTTTTCTCATGGTTACCACTTATGTACCGGGCTCTTGATGAGGAAGACACCCTATCTTGCCCTCCTTGAATTAGGAGGACATTGTAGGGTATCTTGTTGATTCAGAGGGCGTTACATATTGTGATCGCTATGGTTTTTCTAACCTCCTAGTAAAAATAAAAAATACAAGAACAAAGAAGGTGCAACGAATCCTAGCCTCCACGCGGCCACCTTTGGACTGCAGTAAATATTACTGTTGACGAATTGGGGATTCACTTTTTTTATATGAAATAAAAATGAAAATAAAATACAATAAATAAATATCTCTTTTTTTTTACGCGTCTTTTAATAATCTTGTGCCTTCTTTAACTATTGTTTGTATTATAAAATATCTTTTTGCTCCAAATTGACTTTAAGAAGTATAAAAACAAGTAGAAAAGTTATAAAGTAATTAACATAAAAAATACAGGAAATATAAAATGTGGTGTAGTAGTGATTATTTAAACTATTAACTAATATCTTATCAGAGAAACTATCATGATTATTATTCTTCCTTTACAATCAAATTATTATTTTTTTTTTTAAATTAACTAAGATGAGTACAAAATATTAAAGATATTAAGTACTTATTAGAAAACTTATATTTCTTTTATGTATACATATTTTTTTTTTTTTTTTTTTTTTTTTTTTGGTTCTAGTGAGGCTACTTCAAAATGGGGGCGGATATTTTAAGCAAGCTATATCTAATGTAGAAACAATTTTTGATTCTTTTCTCAAGCAGCCTATTTCTCAATGACAGTCATCAGCAAACGAAGGTAAATGATGTTCTAATGTCCCTTATTAATCTTCTTTTTCTTTCTGTCTTTCTGTCTTTCTTTCTTTCTTTCTTTCTTTCTTTATTATGATAACGAATACTACTTTGCACTATGTTTCTACTGAAAAGAAATATGAGTATATTATTATCATTAGGATTATAAAAAAAAGAATCTATATATTTAATTGTTAAACGACTTTAATACCATTACTGAAATACAGTATACATAAAAGAAAGAAAGAGACCGATACAGCAAGAGTGCTTTAAAGAAGATGTGTTTGATATACCTAATAATAATGTAAATTTAACGTGCCAAAGAATTTAAGTGAGTTTGATATTTTTGCTATGCTCTCTAAGAAAAAGTAAGCAAACATAATAAATAGCCCATTACCTATACATATATACTTTCCAGTAATGACTATATAAACCTTTCTTTTTTTTTCTTTTCTGACAAGCATATGAAATATGTTTGATCCAAACAATATGACAGAAATCAATCTAAATACGATGTGCTATAATTAAGCTGATAAGATGACTAATCATTGTATGAAATGGACGCATGCAGTTAGCTTTTGTTATAACCAACTAACAAATATCATTCGTGGTGACCCTTTTGAGAGAATAGACGTTTTCAATAGCGGTAATGTGCACTTTGTTTCCTTTCTAAAAAAAATAATAATACATATTGTCATAAGCTGACTTATAATGTCATGTTTCTTGATTAAACAAGCGGATCAAGGAATTCATTATCTATAACATGTCTTATTCGGTTGTAACTAACACTTTTTTGATTCGAATCTTATCTCATACTTCTTTAACAATCCTTATAAATACTCATCAATTTAAATTCATAAATAAAAATGATTGACTTTAGAACTATTGTTCCGTTTCATTGACTTTTTTTTTATCTTTTTATTATTTTCATTTTATAATATTTTTTATTTGATATTTTACAAGTAATATCACAGTTTTATCTATGATTTTAACAGTTAGGTATTCATATAAGAATATCTAAGATCAGGGAGGCATTAGAAAAATATTAGTTACGACAGAATAATCCTACTTAGTATTGTCAGTAGAGTGTACCAACTTCCTTAAGTTTATAAAACATGAAGAAGTATAATACATAAATAAGTTGAAGCCGCATTCCTTTATACTATTTGTCCATGTACTTTAAGTCTAAAATTTAATAAAGGAAGAGTAAGTGACTCTGACTATACCTATTTATTTCGATGGTCGTTGAATTCTTATAAAAAAAAATTGTTTGATGATATGAGATTATAGCAAATGCATGCATAAAAGGGAAATGTTTTTTTATTTTTATTTTTTTTTGAATACCACAACTCGGCAACTACACCTAAAAGTTTGGGTTTATAAACAAAAAAATTGTGGTAAATATAATAACTTGATCGGAAAGGGTAGCGCCTTTCTGTTGGCCTAGCGGCGATCATGGAGAGATGAACTTTGTTAGCTGTAGATGGGAGTGATTAAATAATAAAATCGGGGTTAGTTCTGAGCTTTAATGATAACATGCTACCTTCCAGGATCCAATGTTCAACACCAGGCCTTCAATGGAGGTCGATAAAAAGATGTTGTTAAATCGCGGGGTAATTTCCTACCATGCAAGAGAGGAAAGCCCGCAGCATTGAGAGAATTTCTGGGAGTAACACGGCTGTAGTAGAAGCAAACAAGAACAGAATCTAATCCACCTCTACACTATAAAGGACTTCCTCTTCAATAATTTTTTTTTCTCATATAAAATAAAAAAAAATGAAAAAGAAAGGAGGATGGGCTCTAAAGTTAATACGTATTGTGTAGTACAATTGCTATAAAAAGTTACACGTTATTTATTTAGAACCACTGTCATACTTGTTACGGTTACAGAATACTTGTAAATTATAATATGTAACAGTAAGGAAATTAGTTTGGTTATACACAAAGACTTGAAATAGAAGAAATATTATGTAAAGAATTGACAAATGAAGAAGATGTTGTTAAATGTAACAAATTAAAAAACAACAACAACAATATAAAATAAATAGCAAATTTTTAATGATGAGGACACAAAGAAGGATTGATAGCGCAAAAAATAGTATGAAACTGATGGCAGACTTGTTATAGCTGATACATCAAATAAGCTATCCAACATTAAAAATAACTACTTTAATAATAAGGAAGGATATTAAGGGTACTGACTTAGTGGCCAAAGTTGATAAAAATGATAGAAGATATATGAATCCTTTTAACATTGGTAGTTGGGTAAGAAATGTAGAGAGCTGAAAAACCTTTAGAAGTTGTGACAATGATCAAACAGGCAAATTTGTGAATTCTACGATAAATATTTAATACCAAACCTTGGTCATACAAGACAAAGAATCTATGGATCAAGGCTATATATCGTTAAAATGAAAGTTATGGGCATATTTTAAGTTACAAAAAAAAATGCAATTTTGATTTTTGATTAAGTTTTAAATAAAATATTTATTATTCAATCTGAGTATATGTTCCTGATATTTTTTATATTTTATTTTATTGAATCAAAGACGACTTGAATTCAATAAGGTTTATATTATTTATAGGATATTATATACAGTATAATATGATAATTCAGCCAAATCAAAAGACCAATGGTCGCCCAATATATTAACTATATATGGGACGTAATTCATGGAAACCGCACTTTACAATATTATGTTTTTGGCAAGTTTTACAAGATTTTACTAAATTGACAGCATCTTCTAATAAATGCGGCCAATGTAAGCCATCGTTATGAATAGCCTTTACTATACTTTCGGCATCAAAATGTTCGAATACGTGAGCTTTTGTTAAAATAGCTCTTCTTTCATTCTCTGGTGGTGTCATGCAATCTCCATTCTTATACTCTGTATAATTTATTTTAAATTTCTCGTTTTGCTTTTTGATTTTTCTAATTTTTTTAAATATCTATCCATTTTATTTTATTGGACTTATCAAGGATCATATTCTCCCCAATTTTTTCCATAGGAGGGGATAAACGGCTTAGTCGATCCACCAGAACATTATCTATGCCTGGTGTTATAATTGTAGTCATCTTTTATAACTAAGTTAATAGACATAAACCATCATTTATTACATAATAAAGATGTTATTCAAATAAGACCTGTATATTGTACTTTACAGCATGATGTGTATTATACAATATTTAGTTTTAATAACGGTCATTGTTAGAATATTCGAGTATTAAAAAAATAATAATAATATTCATTGTATTATGTAATAATAAGAATTCAATAGGGCTATGACTGTTATATGTTGTTACATAATCACTCACATAAGTCATACATATTATATATACATCTATAATGTTGAATATTGTTATGTAATAACATCTTAGAGGATGATAATAATAATAATAGTGGCTCATAAATAATTGATATTATTGTTATAGCTGGAATATTCACTGTGAATTAATATTAACGTGTTGCTTACCCCAGAGATAATGATTAGGTATATTTTTAGTAACAGCGTCAGCTCAGGGAGAATAAAGAATAAAAATATATCATACTACAAGCAGAATTATTTGGAGACAAAATTTGTGCTTAAAGGCTTTGTTATAGTAGTATTCACCTATCTAAATCATACTTCTATTAATATCACTCACCTTGCAAAACATATAAATAGCCCTTATCATTTTTCCATGTTATTTTCTTCTGGTACAAATTTTGTATTTTTTTTTCCTTCAATAAATTATACCGAGTTTTCACAGACTTGACGTTTCTATTTTCTCTTACCTATTCTTTTACATTTAAAACACCTGGCTTTCTTGTCATTTCAGCTTTTCGCCTGGCTTTTTTCAGCTTTTTGCTTGTGCTGTGGTTGACAGGTAAGAATATAATAAAATATAAATAAAAGGGTCAAGAGAGAATTAAAAGAATACAGATAGAAGAAGTACGTTGAGGTTTGTCAATAAGTTTATTAAGAGTTGAGTTCAATTAAAGTTCAACTATGTTCTAGTATGTTTTCAATTATACAAAATAAGGGTTAATAATGTAAGAGTATTTATATATTTCGTGAATAAGGATGATGAGTAATAAGAAGATGAAAAATATAACAAATTGTATTTGATAACATAATTTTAGAATGATTACTAAGAGTTATAATTATAGATATAGATATGGATTCATGTCTTTTGTATATATTTATTTTTATAACTAATATGTGTACTCTGAGTGAAATCAATTGTTTACGCGTATTTGCATTATTCTTAGTTTACCCCAGTTTAACTTGTAAATTTATATTCAGCAGAACAAGATTTATTTTTAGATGTAGGACTTTTATTAATTATAAGGGTAAATATATTCTTAATATGTCTATAGACAGAAGTGCACTATATGTTCTATTATAATGACTATTTCATCTTATTGATTTAAGTTACAAATCTTACAACCATGTCACACTCTTAATCTCTTCAACTATGTACCTCCGTTTCTGGCCTTGCTCACCCAGTTTCTTGTCGACAAGCTATCCAATTAATTCAGTCACACTAACTTCGTTATGTACCATATGATGCCGCATGTACCTCACCTGTTTCTCAACAACATCACCACTAACAAATCCAGCACTCATCAACTCCATTCCTTGTTAATATCTATGCTTTTGACTCAATTTGAATTTATCTCACATTCATTTATTATCACTGTTCCCACTAAAAAAAGTTAAGAATCTCTCCCATTAATTCATATAGATAACTCATCTCTTAGATCTACGTTACCTACCAACAATTCTGGTCTCTCCAAATTCCGTTGAATACCCGTCATACTTGGTTTCGTATAATTCATGAAAAAGTGACAACGCGTCGTAAACTACACCACTACATGCCAGATGACTTTACTTCTTTCTGTTCACACTGTCATCCTGCCACAACATCTACCACACCAACCATTGAGAACACAGAACACTTCCTCTTCTCGTGCCCTCCTGAAGATTATCGTATGGCGTCAAGCTCTTTCTCACTACATCTCACCTCGTTTCCTACATTTTGTCTATGAGGAATACCTTTCCGTCCTCCACCTGCAATTATCTCCTGATCGCTCTTCTCACTCACTTTTCCCTGAATTATCCGTTTACCAAGCCTTTGCCTGCATTCAGCAATCTATTTGGTATGCTCACTACCGTTAAATTTTCCAGCATGTTCTGTTTAACCCTGATCATCCACTGTATCATCTTTAATTTATCCTCACAACTTTCTTTTGAGCCCGTCCTTAACTCTTTTTGAATCCTTCTATATACCATCTTTTTCTCCTCTCCCTCTATAACAAGTGACGAATTGAGGACATTAAATTAAAACTGGAGTTAACTCCCTTATATAAAAAAAAGTAATAGTCTTTTATTAGTATCAAAATAGTAATAGTTGCTTTTACCATCATAGATAATGAAATCTTTTTAAAGTGTGTTGTAATTGGCTGTCAATATTAAAATGCAGCACATCCTCATGCCATAAACGGCTAACAAAATTCCTATTCTCTTTTTCTTTCTTTTTCTTTTTTTGATACATGTATAAACATATAGAATAGAAATGAGGTATATATATATATATACATATATATGTTAATAATGATAAAGACACGTAGAAATATACATCTATGTATGTGTGTAAATTTAATTAAATAGTTATATTTTATAGTTCATCTAAAAATAACGGCTACATTTATGAACAACAGAATGATGTGCGTTTAAATGACCTTAGTTCAAAAATTTCAGCAATTAAGAATGTAACTTTCATAAAAATCAGTTAGTAGAATATAATAATAACAATAGTAATAATAATAATAATAATAGAGCATTTAGCTGACTTTTTCAATGCAATTATGTATAGATCACCATTGATATTCATCAAGATGTAACAGATCAGGATAGATTATTAGATGAATCGGTAAGTTAGTATAAAATATAAAGAAGAAGCCTTTTTTTTTTTTAACTTACACAGTTGTTGTTATTAGCATAATCAATTTAGTGGACTTGGACATAGTCTTAGTAGTTCATTTGGGAAGATGAATCGAATGATATCTAAACGACGTCAGAGACAGCTTTGTTTTTATGTAACAATTATCATTTTTGTATTTTTTATTATCTATTATGGTGCACCTATCATAAAGAGTTTATTTGGCACAAATAGTGATAACAGTCTTCCTGATGATACCACTTTATCAAAGCAAAATGCTGAAGATATGTAGTTTATTGAAAGGGACATGTTGTTGTATAATAATAAAAATAAAAAATAAAATAAATAATGATACTTAATTTGCCCGATTCTTTCTTTTATTATTATTATTATTATTAGATATACATAGCTTTTTTTTTTCCTTTTTCAGTTTAATGTATAAACGAAAACAAACATTAGAGAGATCAGAAAAAATAAAACAACAAAAAACAGTTGCATCCAAAACGAATAATGAGCCTTGGATGCAGATCTTTTCTGATGCTCGAGAAGCATTTAACCAAAATCAATTTAAAGATTCGGTTGCCTTATTTACTCGTGCTTTATCCCTAAAGCCTAATCATATCACACTTCTTGACTGTCGTGCAGCATCCTATGAGAAATTAAACGAAATGGAACTTGCCACTCGTGATGCTGTTCAAATGGTTAAATTAGCATCTACCGATGCAAGAGGCTATTTGCGGCTTGGCAAAATATTATCACTTGAAAAAAAATACGATAAAGCGATTCATATTTACACTCGTGCTTTAGATAAAGTAAGCCCACAAGATAAACGATATAATCAGATTGTAGCCATAAAGGCAATAGCAGAAAAGAAAGCAAAATCTGACCATGTTCAAGATTTTATGAACGTCTTGCCTTATGATATCATTTCACTTATCTTTTCTAAATTGTCTTTTGATCGTCGCATTCAATGTACAGCTGTATCAAGGAATTGGCGTGCATTTGCTTTGAACTGGTCAGGCATGTGGCGTGATTTAGAATTTGGACATCAAAAAATATCTCTTACAACAATTAAAAACTATTTGGGTTATGCCAAGGGCCGTCATGTAAGACGATTTGCAATTATGGATGTTGATCAAAATAAAATGAAAAAGATCCTTCAATTGTTGATTGATGAGAATTGTCAATATATAGAAATTCTAGGTAAAATAAAATAAAATAATAATAATAATAAAAAAAAAAAAAGAGTAAAGATAAAATGAGACAATTAAATGACATATTTCCTCTTTGCATTCATAGATTTCGTACGTTGTGAGATACCATTGACTTTATTTTTAAGAATGTTAAGATTGGTAGGAAAACATGTTCAAAGTATTAGGATTGACGAAGGGAATTTGACAGTAGTAGATGTAATAAAGTACATCTTACCAGCGTGCCCTCATTTAACTCATTTATCTATGATTGGTATTGAAACTGGTTCTGTAATCTATGATGATCTTCTCACTCAGCCCTTACCTAATTTAACTCATTTGAGGCTTTCAATAAATGATGATATTACACTTGCAAAATGGATTTTAAATAAATGCAACAACTTATCATTCTTGGATTTTTACACATTCAATATTAATTTTATCGATTTGGCAGAAACATTCACAGATCCTGTACTCCTATCCAGCCTGAAAACCTTAAATTACACTTTTGGATCAAATTATCAAATCAAGACACAATGGTATTCAACGGTGAACGCTGAGAGACAAAACACTCAGACAAAAAAAGAGGGTTTAGAAGCATTTGGCATCTACGGTGATTTATCATTTACAGGGCCCATGTTAGAACTCATTATAAGAAAATGGTACAAAAGTTTAAAGCAACTAACTATAGTAGACTGTCGATCTTTGGATAATACATTAGCTAGACTAGCTATAGAGCCTGGATTACCTTGTATAGAAATATTAAGCATAAACGCTTGTATTTCATTAGAAGAATGGAATTTACATTCAATCATATCTTCATGTCCTACTATACAAGATTTATCCATTTCTTGGAACCCAGGTGTTACTGACAGTATTATGAATGATTTAGCAGAAGTTACAAAAGAATTAAAAAGATTAGACATAACACATTGTAATAATGTAACGGGTGTAGGTTTACATAAATTAGTTCAATCACATCATCGAACTTTAGAAAAGTTGATATTGAATAATTGTCAAAGAATAGGAATTGATGCAGTCAATTGGGCAATTGAACTTGTCGGTCGTCGAGTTATTGAATGTAAATTTAATACATAATTATATTTAATAAAAGTGAATATGCTTCGTTTATTAGCATGCATACAGCCTTTTTTTTTTTTAAGATACAGATATCACTCTATGTCTTAATTATTTGAAACAAGAAAGACTTTAAAAAAAAATTCCCACAATTCTAGCCAATCAAACATTACCTTTACTTGCTTCTCTGTCTAGTAAAAAAAAAAAAATGATGCCATTTTGAAAGTTTGTGATACGTATATTTTTTTAAAACAACAGAAAAAGAAATAGAGGATACAAGTAGTTAATATTTACATATATGACACAAATTGAGAAAAAAAAATATGCTATATTTTGTTCCGATTTATTTCAACTGGATTTGATTAACTGAGTATATTTATTAAAAAAAAATTATACGAAAATATTTATTAGTATATTTTTTTTTTTTTTTTTTTTTTTTTGTTAACTTTATTTATTTTATTTCATTTTATTTCATTTTTATTTATTTATTTATTTTTTTTAATAAATAAATAAATGCCAATAGCAGTTCCATTTCTCACTGGCAGTAGACAGCTTTCTATTGAATTAGCAGAGCCGGTTGTTTTATTAAGAGGGCCTCCTTCTGACCCTAATACACATGTCTTACGAGGAGAAGTGGAATTAATGTTATCAAAACCTATGAGTGCCACACAAGTGATTGTGAAACTTATTGGAAAATCAAATATGCTTTGGCCAGAAGGACTTGGTCCTCGTAATGCTAAAGTATATCATGAAAAAACAGTTTTAGAACAGAATATTATACTCGATTGTCGGCCTGAAGAGGATCCAATGTTACCTGCAGGGTTAAATCGTTGGCCCTTTGAATTTTTAATACCAAATCGTATTGTAGAAACAATTGAAGATGAGATGGCACAATTATATTATTACATAGCAGCTGTCGTTCAACGTCCAGGAATGAGCACGCCTAATCTTAGATGTCGTCGAAATATATTGCTTCTTCGCACCTTATCTTGGTCAGATAATGTATTAGCATCTAATTCATTACCAACTACTTCTATTGTATCAGAGAGGAAAACAGAGACATGTGATGCTACCATTTATATCGAAAGATCCATTGTTTCTTCGGGTACACAATTTCCTATATCGATTGTATTGACAGCTCAGACAAAGAATGTCTATTTAGAATCAATAAACGTTATATTGACAGAACGTAGAGTGTATGAGGTTCCTGAATATAATGCACGGAGAGCTGAACTTCATGATTTCAAGTTACAACTTTCAACTGTTTCCAGTATGGCTGATACAGAGCAAATGAGTCAAGTCATGATTCCTTCCTCCGATATACCAATTCAGCAAATTCGTAAAGCTCTTTCTGCCAAAAACGTTCATATCCCGCTCGGTTCCACTCCATTCCAATATAAGTTTGTCTTTACACTTCCTAATTGTTTAACAATGAATCATACCACTTATTATCGAGAAATGAATTTTTTACACCACCTAAAGATTAACATTGAACTTTCCGTCCCTACTACAAGTACACCACCTTCACCTTCATCTTCAATAACAGATTCTGATACATCATCCGAAATGACCAAGTCTTTTAAACGAACCTATATTCATCTTGAGACGCCCATTACAATTCTTGATTGCCGTCTTAAAGAAGACTTTTCGACATTACCCACATATCAAGAATCATTAACAGATACAACTGTAGATGATGATGACGATGAAGAAGATATTATAAAGAAGCGAGCAGGCTTCTTTATTTGTCCCTGTTATGTAGACTATAAAAAGAAAAGTACAAAATGTTCTGGAAAGGAAAGATTAATAATTCTTCAAAATAATAATTATGAAGCGGGACCTTCATCAAGTCAAAACTCAAGTATGGAATGTTTATCATTACCACCACCTCCACCTTATGATAAATAATTCATTGTATTTTATAACACCATCAACCTTGAAATAATAATATTTTATTACATAATTCGTCTACTATTCTATTCGTTTTCCCTTTTTATATCCCTTATTTTATTTTATTTTATTTTATTTTTTTGCAGAAGTTATTTATATTATACATTTTTATTTACGGTTATTATATTTTGCATTATTAATTATAAATAAATATATAGCTTATGCAAGGAAAAGGAATAGATTATTTTTGTGTATATATGCTGCTCATAATGATAAAGGTATATAATATACATACTAATAGTTGAATCTATTATTATCCTTATCATATAAAGATATAAATAGTATGATAATAGTCTATATTTAATGAACTTCATATAAATATCTAATAGGCTGTATTTCTACATAGTGACTGTAGAATTCTCCACTAATAAGTTGTGATGACAAAAACATAAGGGCTTACTATACTCATTTTTCCACATAGAACTGGCAATAGTCATTATCTTGCCTATTTTATATTCTATATTAATATTCTTGCAATTAGTTAAAATGTAGTTCAAAGAGAGAGGGAGAGAGAGAAGGAAAAAAGAAAACGCTATTTGTAATGTTTTTTTTTTATTGACGTATGTAACTACAATATCATATACATTCTTCTTTTTATTTTTTTTATCTCGATAATAGTAAATATTTATATATAAAAGACGCTTATCTTGGTATCTTCTTTGTCTTTTATCATATCTATTGTCTTTATTTATCGACATTATCCTATCAAACATGTTTTATAGTGTAATGAAGAGGCACCTTTTTTTTGTTTATGTTATTTTTCATTGATTATTATCTAGAAGAAAGGTGAGTTAACTGTTGAAAGGGTCCATAAGTATTACATCGATCTATAACTAGAATATCTCCTTTTGGAGTCATCTTCTATAATCATTTCATGTCTACTATCCTTTTTTTTTTTTTGGCTTCTTGCTTATTTATAATTATTATATATCCAAGTATAATATATAAATACACATATACTATTTATGTTTAATTTGTTTTTTTCTTGAATCACTGTTAATGCAAGTAGCAGCAATTGATACAAGTAATATATTCAACTATTAAAAGATCATATAAAAGGGACTGGTTTGAATCATTACAAAAAAAAAAAAAAAAAAAAAAAAAAAAAAAAAAAAAGAGTATATTAATAGAATAAAGTTGCTAAAAAAGTATCGTTCATTAAGTATAACAAGGCTTTATTTTTGTATTCTTATCCAAGTGCTATATTAAATTAGTATTATCTTTATTTAACTGTATAAAATGCAGTTATGCTTGGGAGGGGAAAAAAAAAGTTATATTACAAAAGTGTGTTATATTAAGTTTAAAAAAATAATCAAAACATAATTTTAACAAGTGGCACGAATTAAATCATCTAAAGTTTCAATAGTTGCTGGTGCTTTAACAATCTTTCCAGATACAATCTGTTTTAAACCTTCACCAGCATAAGAGACAGCGGGGGAAATTTCAAAAACAAGCTGCTCATAATCATCTGTATCACCAACAACCTTACCACCTGCATTCTCAATAAAACGTACATGTTGAGCTACAATATCACGACGTGAAGTTTCAGGACAATCAGCACCACTTCCAGGTGCATTCTTTAAAGGAGAAAATTCATCTTGTCGTTTTACTTCAAGTACAGACATATTGTGAGCATAAGGAAAGACATCAAACACAAAGCACTCGAGTTTCATGCCAGAATTTGTCTTGGGCACAATCTGTTCACCTGTTTCAAGGTTGGTATATTTAATCTTCTTCTTAGCAATATGATATTCCAACTCAGACTGAAAGCTAGGAACGCGTTCAAGAAAGCTGGTAGAGAAGAAGTGATTAGCAATATTAGCTGCACCATATTTGAGTGAGCCATCAGGATAACGTTCATTTGCGGTTTCTTGAGTAATTTCAGAATATTCGACAACTGCATATTTTCCATTACGAACACAGACAATGCCCACAGGCTCTTCAGGAGCCATCTTGCCTACAACTTTAACACCACAATCTGTTCCTTTAGAAACACAATAACCAATGAATACAGGGTCTGCAACACGAGCCAAGCAATTATCAACACAATAACAATGGCTATATTCAATACCACGTTCTCTTAATGATCGAATGATACCCTTTTCTTGAAGTGCTTTATAAATACCACCATTACCATCAGGTGCAATAGCAACCTAAAAAAAAAAAACAACCCCCAACGTTAGAAGAAAACTATACTATAAATAAAATAAAATAGATTTTTCTTTGGGTTTGTTTGTGAATAGACTTCATTACCTTGCTCTTTGTTTCTAAAATGATTTTTCCATCCATCGTCAAGCAAGGAAGTGTACCTAATAAAGGCAAGATTATATATTAAACTCTAAGCTGGGAATAATGGAGCTTAAATTTTATATTATTTTACCTTGTTCGAAGAAAATGACGTTTTCTTCTTTAAGACCAAAAAAGTTATTCTTTTTAAAGAAATCATATGTAGGTTGATTTGTAGGACCAGAAGTCATGATGTACCAGGGAATAATAGTTTCTTGAGGATCTTGTTCATTACGATGTTGATGGGCCAATTCTTGAGCTTTTAAAATACGTTCAGCTTGTAATTGGAAAAGGGATTTACCAGAAGGCAAATTGATATTATAACAACCTTTAGGATCACTTGAGCCCAAACGAGTACCTTGACCACCAGCCATCAAGATAACAGCAACTTTACCGTGAGCGATCTGTTGAAGACCTAACATCTCCCATTCCTTGAGTTGTTCATCATTATGTTTCAAGACAGAATCGAATACATCAGGAGAAAGGGGCTTCAATTCATCCACTCCCTTGGTAGCCATTTCAGCACCTTCAATAGCTTTTTTATAAATAGTATTCAAATTGTCGACATCGATTTCTACAAGTTGCTTCAATAACTCAACTTTTTCATCTTGAGAAATGGAATCAAAAAATTTGAATACATGTCCCTGACCCGCATTTTCATAACGATTCTTTAATACTTGAATTTCTGAATCTGTAAATGGTAATGGGGAAGCAACTGTCATTGTTAATAGTTATCTAAAAGAAAAAGTAAAAAAAATAAAAATATAACAAAATCCAGATTACTAAAAAAAAAAAATGTATTTATATTGTTTCTATATTTATACATCTTATATTTTTGACATTCCACGGAACGGGGCTAAATTATTGGGCTGCAATATACAAGGGGAAAATGCTATTTTATTAAAATTACACTTTTATCAGAAACAGAAAGTCCGATAGTATTGTAACCATAGCAGCTCTGATATAGGGGATTATTCTATATTAATCTACTGAGGTTTATTAGCAGTACTACACAACTATGTTGTCTTTATAGCATCATAAAACATGTTCATTTTCCAATTAATTATTGTCAATGTTAAATTAAGGTAAGAATCGCTATAGTTACTAATTATAGACGACAAATTGAATTGAAACCTTTTTTTTTTTTTTTTTTTTTTGTAAAATTATAATTCAAAGTAGAAATTATAAACATCTTGTATAATCTCGGTTAAAAAAAAAAAAAAAAAAAAAAAACAATGGCGAATACTAATTATAATTAAATTCTTCTTCCTAACTTAAAGGCTTATGTACTGATTAAATTTCTTTCTCTCCACTTTTACAACTTTTTAACTTCCATTTTTTCAATGCTGTGTAGCTTTTCTCTTAATAAAGACCTTCAGTATGATGTTGCGATAAACAGATGACGAAAAAAGCAAGGAATCTGACACCAAAATACATAATCTAATAATTCTGCTACACAGTTGATGTTCCTTGCAGAAAATTCTTATGCCAAAAATATAAACATTAGCATGTTTTCTATGTATTTTTCTTGAAATTATCCTTTCTTTTTTCTCTCTTTTATCTTTTTTTTTTATTTTTATTTTTTTCAATCAATAGAATTTCAATTAAAGAATAATTAATAACTGATCTTTAATATATTGATATGAAACAATATTTACTTTTTTTTTTTTTAGTTACGAAGAAAAAAAATACTAAATAAAGGTCATCAATATTCCATAAGAAGCAACATCCTTCGATTTAAGAAAATAGTGGTAAATTTTAAATTTAGTAAATAACAAAACTGTAATAATTCACCGTAAGTCCTGTTATCATATATTCTCTTATTATAAATTTCCCTAATGTCTTTTATGTCTATTAACACATTTTTATACTTGTTTTTTTTTGCATCGATTATAACCACTACTTTAGCTCTACCAAACAAAGTCTATATCCAATAAAACCTTAATAAACCTTATAGTCAATGAAACAGTAAATTACTAAACTACCATTCGCTCAAAGTATCGCTTAATCCATCAATTGATAGTTGCTAATAGCTAGTATTGAACATAATCAGTCTATCAAATGGGGTCTTGTTAGATAGCTCCCTTCAAAAGATTCTCTTGTTTGCATACAAGTGAACTCATTTATCAAGCATCATCATACTGAATATATCTTGGTTAAATATACATCTTTGTTTGTAAACTGATACTGCTATGAATATGTATATTTTTGCCCAAGAAAATTCATACAAAACAACATCCTTTGATTGTATTTTCCATAAAACTGACCATCTATGATATGACACCCTCTCCACTTTTCCCTCTTTCTCTGCCACCAGCCCTTTCCACAAGTAGATCCTCTTTCTTTTTTTTTTTTTTTTTTTTTTTTTTTTTTTGTAGCTTATTATTAAGGAATTGTTTTTCTTTTTTCCTCAATAATTTTTGATCCAGTCCAGGCAGATAAGCAAAACGATATAATTAATTAGGGTGATTTATTTTCATTTTCGAAAAAAAAGGGGGTTATGAAATAACAAATGTTATAAAAACTATAATTAAAGTAGCTTACGCTTTTTCTAAATTTTGTCTTTTTCGCCACATATCTTCTACTTGATTACTTATCCAATTTACGAAATCTTCGTTTACCCCCCAAAATCCATGTTCTTTTAATAATTGCCTTCTCTCTTCTCCAAACTATAGATGAGTATAGACTAAAATGTAAGTTATATGTACTACTATACTGCTTTATCATTGTTGTCTTGTTTATACTTTATGATTCACATGTATAATATACGGCTTCATATGTTTCGATTTATAGAGCTTCTTCTCAAAATAAATGTTTCCATTGGGAAAATGAAGCATATCCAACAGGACCATCATGCCTGTCTTGACATTTAAACTAAATTGATCTAAAGCTCGAATAAATGCCTCCTGTTGATTTATCTTCTCTCGCTCTATCTCTTGAATCTGAATTGACCTTGCCAGGACTCGTTTTAGAATCTCATTATGAGTACCACGTACCATAAGTAAACCTGTACTAATAGGGCTTTGGTTCATATTGTCTTGTGTAGCAATCATCTGTGTATCTTCACGAATATGAAGTAAAGCTTGAATATATTCTCTTGTCCGTTTACGAATCATAATTTGATTCACATCTAGCATAAGGATATTAAAGTGTGGATCTGCATACACTAACCGTTGTAGAATCCGTATCTTCACAAGAGACAATTGAATAGATGAATTTTGACCAAGCAATGAATGCTCATCATCAGTAAGCGTATTATTATTATTATTATTAACTAGGTCGGAGTCGCTTAGAATCCATGACTGAGGCACTAAAACAGCTTTATCTTCATAACCTGCTACCATTAAATGCAAATAAAGTTTCTCATCTATACAAAAGACTACGAATTTCCTTTCTTCTGCCTTTTCTAAAAGTTGGATCCAATTGTAAAGTTCCATTCGCATATCATAGTTGGCCACTGTCACTATCAGGCCATGGTCATCATATTTGTTAGCATTCATTTTGTCGAGAATATCAGGCTGTATTGGAGAGAGTGAGTCAGGTACAAATAGAGGTAATTCTTCGCCATGTTCCACAAAGAATATATCATTCGTCTTTAATAAAGAGGAACAATTGCAACTCGAGTTAAAGTTGTTCAATTGTGGTTGTTTCATAGTGGTTGAATTTTGGAAATGATGTTGTTGTTGTGATGGATCATTAAGTAAGTAATCAGCAGACGTTTTATTGTTTTTTGATATTGTTGCAGCATTATTCACTTTATTTTCATATAAGAATATAATAAAGATAATAAAGATGACTATTATTATATATTTAAAATAATTTTTAAATTGTTGTTTCATTTCAAGTATATTATAGAGGAAGGAAAAGTTAAGAGGAAAAAAAAAAAAAAGGGGGTGGGGGGAGAGGAGCTGTTATAACAACCAATCATATTAAAAACGAAAAAATAAACGTAAATTTCATGTTAAATTTAGTCTTTTTTTTTTTTTTTTTTTTTTTTTTTTTTTTTTTTTTGTAAACTTCAGATTGAATGAAAGCATCAAATACCTCTGAATTGTTAACTAAATATCAAGCACAAAATTCAGAAATTATCAAATACAATATAAGGCTAAACGAAAAAATAAACCATTTAGAAAAAATCATTTCTCGTTTACAACAAGAAAATATACAATTAAGAATGTCTAAGGTCTCAACAAAAAAGGCGAAAGTTAATTCAAAGCCAAATAAAAAAGAAAGGAAACAAAAGATGTCTTCTTTAGTATCATTTGAACAAAATGAAACATATGTGAGAAAAACTCGTCAACATAAGCCTATTAATTATACTTTACCTAATACGAAATGTAAATTACGTAAAGGAGATCCCTTTACATTTGGTAATGATAAAAAAATGTAAACTTTTGCTATATATCCTATAGATATGTTATATATGTATATTATATTACAAACTTTTGTGTGTGTGTGTGTGTGCCTGTATATATATATATATATATATACACATGTATTATAATAAATTGCAATCAAGATAACAATCTTGAATTGTGTTTAATCTCTCTTCTATCCATTCTGCAATACCATCTAATGACCTACCCATTGTCTCATTTTTTACTTGAGGAAAGAATGGGAAATGAGTGAGTTCAGAAGCAAACCAATAAGGTACATTCATCATAGCTCTTATTTTATCAATAAATTGACTAATAGAACGAAACTTTGCAAAATTAATAAGATGAGGATCAGATACCAAAAATGTCGAGTTTTCATTAAAAAAGGTATAATCTTTGAGAACAACAGGTAAAAAAGGGATTGAAGGTGTTTTAGCAGTATGAATCTTTTGTCGATAATAGCGCATATTCATACTAACATCAAGTAATTTCTGAAGTGATGTATATGTATTCATGTCTCTTGTAGATAGTGACTCCCAAACTTCTTGAAGTTTTGGTACACATGAAAGGCCCATTATAATGACCATACAAGTATGAAAATTATTAAGGTCAAGACAGAACTATATATATATATATATAAAAGTGTTATATATAATACATTAACAAGTTCAAGTCATATTGTTTACCTTTGCAATTTCAATAAACTTTTTAAGTAACATTCTTTTTGATTTTAAGCAAGCTATGCTACATAACTCATGAACGACCCAATGACTCAGCTAAAAAAAAAAGAGGAATAATAAAGGTTAATACATGTACTGAAATAGATATAAAGAGATTTTTTTTTCACCATATTTGATCTCTTTGTCATTAATTCAATATAGTCAAGTCCAAGTTGATTATTTCCCTGTAGATCTGCATTATATGATGTATTCTTACGATGATAACACATATCAAAACTTCCTTGAGATAAAATAATTTTAAAAAAATAATAATCTGCCAAGGTCAAGTAACGTGCGATATTTTTTGATTCAAAAGAAATAAATAAACTGAGTGTTGTTGTGCCAATTGAGTAATTAAAAGAATGATTTGAGGGAGACACAGGGGGAGTTGTTAATGATGATAAATTGAATAAATTGGTTGAAGGGCGACGAGAGTTACTTATAGTAGAATATTCAGATATTGAATGATAACTACTAATAAATGGAAAATAGGAATTTAAAGTAGATGTAGGTGATGACACTTGTGAGGTAGCAAATGAAATATGAGGAAATGGATACGAGTATTGATTTATCTGGTCCTTTAAATTGTAATGTATCTGTTCTATTTGTTGTTGAAATTGCGCTGCCAACACTAAACCATCATCAAATAGAAATGTATTTAATTTTCTTTCCAAGCTAGAATCTAATTTAAAGTCTTGATATCGAATTTGTATCCAACGATTAATTACATTTAGTACCCTATATGTTTATTTTATTTAATAAAAAGGGATAATCAAGTCTTTAGATTCTTTTTTTTTTCATTTACTTACTTTGTTTGAATTGGATATTGCCATTTTATAAAGTACTCGTATTCACCAGGCGAAGGGCCAAGATGAAATCGACTGATTAGTCGATCAAGTAACTCTTCAGATGATATAAATTCGGTGTGATTTATCAAATAGATATCAACAAAATCCATATCCTGAACTGTTTCATCTGCTAGTTTTTCAAAGAGTCTTTCAATAGTACCAGCAATCACCTGTAATTTACCATCTAATATCTCAAATATTAATACAGTATTTTTATTTTCTGTTACTTTGAGTATTTGAGCATTATTAGAATTTTTCGTTTTCTTTAAAGTAGGAACACCTAATGATCTGCCTAATCTTGCTCTTTTCACTACTTCATTTATATCTTCTTTTCTATTTAAACCAAAAATTGAAGTCCAAGTTCCTTCATCATATGCTAATTTACTTGGCTTGTGGTTAGGAGAATTTAACTTTTTCTTTGTATCAACTGGTAATGAAGGTCTATTGGAAGAACTCGATTTAGAATGTGATATAGGTATACTACTTCTGCGTGGTGGAAGGGCCTGTTTGATATGATGATAATTAGGCGTTGCTTTAGGTGAATTATCATATGTTGTTGTGATTTTCAAATCAGGAAGTGCTGTTTTCTTTTTTATTTTATTGGATGCAATCGATACATTCGTATTATCTGATTGTGGTTTCAAATGAGTGCACAAATAAGCGTCTTTTGGAGGAACAGGTGGTGGTAATGATTCCACAGATAATTTATTAGATAAAATAAATGTCACATCTTTATCATTATTTTCTTCTTTTTCATTTATAGTGTTTTCTGATGATTGAGTAAATTCTTCAATATGAGTAACTGCCAGATTATTAGTTACTTCATTTAGTAAGACTGAGCTTAGTGTAAACTGTGAAGATGATTTCGAGGAAGATGAGTGAGCAGAGTAATAAGATGAATCTGGAGAAGTTGGCACATCCATGATAGTCAAAAAGTTTTCGACTGTTGGCAAATGTAATAAAGAGGGTTTGTGATGTTCTTCCTTAAATAAATTAGTAGTATCAATAGCTGAAAAAGAAAGATAATCATTACTTTTCCTTTCTCTAGATTTCTCTCGTTTAAATGATAATGCTGTTTGATCGTGACAATAACGAGACTTTTCATTCATTTTTTCTTCGTCTGTGATGATAGTTTTAGTAGAGTTGGATGATTTATGATATCTCCAATTTTTGAGAGTTTTATTTTGGGCACTATCTTTAATTTCACTACTCCCATCCTCACACACAGTTGTTTTCTCTTCCTCCACTTCATCTATTGACCAATGAATAGCTGTTCTCTTTGTAAAAGATGATATTAAATGTTGATTTTCTAATTCAAAAAATGGATTGAAACAACTATATCCTGTTTCAGTTAAAAATTCTGTTTCAGACATAATAGAAGAAGAACACAAAGAATCTTGTAATTCAGTTTCTTTTGTAATAGACTATAATAAGGAGATTATATGTATTTATACATATATTTTAAGTATAAATTAATGAATATTTTTTTTTATTGTATTATGTTTTTTTCTGTCTCTCTCTCTCTTTTTTTTTTTCTTTCTTTCTTTCTTTCTTTCTTTTTGATTTTCTTTTTTATACCTGATTTTTGTTAGTTGTATTGTCTTCTGATTTTAATAATAATTCGTCGTTCATATTAATTTGAAAAAAATCTCGAATATTTCTTAATGGTTTTTTGGATAATATGTTATTCTTTGATGAATGTCCAACCGTATTCCAAACAAATCTCAAGGATAAATTTGCCCCTTTTGATTTTCTTTCAGAAGAATAATGATTTAAACTCATTTCATCGCTCCACTTTTGTTTCTTAGGAAAGATCCACTTTTTTCTCGGCTGTTGCTCGGATTTAGTTGGTGAAAACTGGTTCCGTTGAAATGTTATAGATGGACAATGCTTCAATGAATGAATATTGTGTATGATAAACTGTTTCTCTTCTATTTATAAATTAAATCAATATATAAGATTTTTTTTTTCTAATAATTTAATAAAGGGCAATAATTTACCTATGCTTGTGTTAGATTGCTCCCTATAAAATAAATAATTTATATAAAAACGTATAAATATATACATATAAATAAATGTATACCTGCTATTATTATTGATAGAATTGTAAAACGTTTCATCTATTCTATCGTCATCATTCTTTTGCTTAGAATATTGCTCATATAAATAGGGTTTAGCTATTAATAAATATTAGTTTTTTTTTTCTGTATAATGATCTATTCCCTATCTTTTTATATAAATTTGTTTCTCTTAAAATAATTGCCGCGTAAATATGAATATTACATCTATAACATACTTTTATGTAAACAAGTATTAGGCCAATTACTATTAGATGGAGATAAACAATAAGTTATTAAGGAGTCTACTAATGTGTTTAGATGATGAACCATTGCTTCTTGAGCAAGCTACAAATAATAATTAATATCAAGAAAGAGTACAATTCCTTTTTCTTTTATCTCTATCACACACTTTTCTTTCTCTCCCTCCCTCCCTCCCTCTCTCTCTCTCTCTTTTTTTTTATTTATTTATTATTTTTTCTTTATTTTACCTGAACTTTTACAGGCGATTGAATGAAAAATTGCTTTATTATTTGAATTTGATACGATATCATTTGAATTTCGTTCTTTATGACATTGTCAATACTTTCATCAGACTTGTCAATGTATATTTGAGTTTTAATTAATGCACAGGTAACTGAAGAAAGCAAAGCCAAAGTGCTTAGAATATTTATTATGTGTGATGATGTAGTAATAGGATCATAAAGGGAAATCGGCAGGGAGTCAAGTATCCTAGTAATAGAAGATATAGCTAAATTCCATAAACGACGAATCTATACAATAGATGTATATCATTAGATTATATACTTTGATTAACAAATGCTTTATTTACCTCTAAACTTTGTTGATAAGCTGAAAGTTTTGAAATTGATTCAAGATCAATTAGACTCAACTTGTTTAGAATTGTATTTATATTTTCAATCATTTTAAAGAATACATAAGAAATAAAGCCAAAAAAAAAAAGAATAAAAGTGAGATTAAGAAGATTTGAAAATAAAACATTTTTTAATGCATGCATATTATCACTGACCATACGTAACAAGATGATCGGGAATGTATTTAAATAAATAAACTCAATATAAATATCATAGAATACAAAAAATTTATATTGACTTTCATAATAGTCTCTAATATGATTTTAAAAAAGAATAAGGCACTATCACATACTACTACTACAATTTATTAACTTCAATGTTATACATATACACACACATATATATTCTTAAAAAGAAAAAGGAGCATAAAGTATATCCTACATACTTACCTCTTATTGACATAATCAAAACTTACATAAGCTTATAATTATTCAATCTCCCAGTATATATTATAAATAATACTAATCACATGTAAAATTATTGATGCTAGAATGGTTATTAAACTATAGTATATTCATAATAATATATTCCATAGTATATGATGCTAAATGATACATAATAACTATAAATTCTAAATCTCTATTATAGTTTGAAATAAAGTTTCAAATTTACGAAAACAGTATGCATTTACCTGCTTTATGTATAATATCACGAGTTAATTATGTACAAAACTATAATATTTTCTTTAACAAAACCTTCAATACAGATGCATGTAGATGCAGTTTTTTAGTAATTTTTTTCTTTATACATATACTTTTATTATATTACTAAGTATAATAAAAGAGTTTCACACATAAGAAAAAAAATGGTTTTTATATGAATATCTTTCATGTACTATTTATTATTATAGTCTATCAATATATATAAAATGGGGAATATACTATTAAGTCATATACATACACACCTGAGGTTAGACTTGTTATTATACATCATTTAAACTTCAATTTGAGATATGTTGAAGTGAATTAAAAACAATTTCGAGACTAGAGAATATTTGCAATAATAGACAAATTGATCCAATTTCAAAAGTCACAATGTATATAAATATGTGTATATTATACTGATTGGTTCATATATGTATATACAACACTATCTGTTCATAACTAACGAAGCCATTCAGGGCAGAATCTAGTTTATTCCCTCATTAATTACAACCAAAATTTGATATGCTTCTTAGAGACTGTATCTTTATTGTAATTCATTTGTAAATATTATACTACTAGAGATTAAGTATAAAAAAAAAATATTATCAGTTACAAGAGAAGTGCATATCATTTGTTGAGCACAATCAATATAGTGAGTATCACCTCAAATACTTATTTGATAGTGTCCCACGCAGCTGTTAATAAGTTAGTATTCTATCTAATATTTTCAACTGCTCCATCGACTTTAAATGCCAAAAAAAAGAAAAAAACTGAGGATTCCCCCTCCCCTTTATTTTTTAGAAAAAAATAAACATTTTATACATAAATTATTAACTTCTTTTAATATTTTTCCTTGAATTATCTATTAGACGTTTTTGTTTATTCAATCCTTCATAAACCTAACTACATTTTTTTTTTCATCACAAATATCATAATAATAACACGGTTAAAGATCCCTCGATGATTACCTTCCCTTTTTATTGATGGTTCGATTCGAAGAAATCTTTCTGTAAAATTGAATACAGTGCTGCTAGGCTAAATTGGTATTCCAATTGGCAGAAACTAAAAACTCGGCCTTTGTAGCAAAACTAACTATAAAAAGCTGCTATTTGGATTTTTTTTAGAATCGCTTATTTGGGAAATTCGAGCATGCTTATTAGTTAATTTTGCTATGAAAACTGAGTTTTTAGTTTCTGCCAATTGGAATACCAATTTAGCCCAGCAGCATTATAATAAGGGGTAAAGAAAAAACAACCAAAAAGAGAAAAAAACAATAAAATGTCACAACTGTGGCTTGTGTTGCTTAGACAACAAAACAACAATCTTTCTTCTCCGCAAATAATAATTGTCTTTTTTCTTCAATAATATACCAAATGCATATTACCCGTTGTTATTTCTGTTCAGGGCCTTGCTATCCAGGCCATGGAACTATGTTTGTTCGTAATGATAGTAAGGTACTAGGATCATAATACACATATAATCATTCAACATGTAATTTTAATTTCATTTCTAGACATTTCGTTTTTGTAGATCTAAATGCCATAAAAACTTCAAAATGAAGCGTAATCCTCGTAAAATTCGTTGGACAAAGGCCTTTAGAAAAGCATCAGGAAAAGAAATGGTCATTGTATGTATTGAAAAAATAAAATAAAATAAAAGGTTGTTAAGAAAAAAATTAAATTATTTTAATTCTTTATACTTTCTTTAGGATTCTACCTTTGAATTTGAGAAACGTCGTAATGTTCCTGTTAGATACGATCGTAATATGATGGCAACAACGCTCAAGGCCATGAAACGTGTACAAGAAATCCGTGCTAGACGTGAACGTGCATTCTATAAGAATCGTATGGCTGGAAACAAAGAATTACAAAAGGAGGACGATATTCGAGTTATCAACCAAAATATTGAATTGGCACCTCTTGAAGCAAAGAAGAGAGTTCAAGCCATCAAGACAGAAAAAATCAATGTCGAAAATATGGAAATGGAAAATTAAAAAAAAAAAATATTATTGTGATCAAGACTAAAAACAACAACGTATAATGTACCTATATATCATCTATCTTGCTGCCTATGATTATTCTGTTTTTGCTCATTATTTCTCTTTGCTATTTCCCTAATATTTATTTTATTCCTATTATTGTATGGACAGTCATTTTATTTAAATTAGTTTTCTTGATTGCATTGTATTCTTACGCAATAAAGCCTTCTTATTTAAGTTGAGTTACATTGTTGACACTAATAAATAAAAGACATAACTGTTAAGATAAACGAAAACATATACAAAGAAAAAATAAATAGAATGCTATTCTTTTTAACCTCAATAAGAAAATAAATAACTTCAGTAGAGTATTAATAAAGAATTAATTATATGGTGAGCTATAATTAATAAGCATTTTTTTTTTATTAAATTAATGTCATGTATATTTACAGTTTGAATCCTTTTCGACTTAACGCATATATATACATACTCTTACATATGATAACAAGGATTTTTTTTCGTCTCTCTTAGCATTTTCAATCAAAACAATGCTTTACTAATAAAGAAGACCCCAAATGACAAGTTCTATTATACGTACTTTTGAAGAGTTTTAGAAGCTAATTATTTTACTTTTTTTTTTTTTTTTTTTTTTTTTTTATAATGGAAACACTATAGTTGGAGCTTTATTCATATGCTAGTTTATCTTTTTTTCCAACAACATAAACATTTAATTGCTGAATTGAGCTTTACATACTAATATTTGTCACTCATAAAATAACAAGTTCGATAATTTAATGCTATTACTCGAAAAATAATGTTGTACCTGTGGCTTGTAAAAGCCAAATAAAACAAAATAAAAAAAGCAAAAAGTATCTTTTGTCGGATATTTTTTTTATAAGCAAATTTCAAATTTGTCTTGAAATGGAAGCTGCATATGATGATCTAGTGAAAAACATTCAAAACAAATTACATACTCTTTTCCTTATTAAGAAAGATAAAGATCCTGAAAGAAACGGAAATGCCCAATTTTCTAATATACCTTGGTTAGAAATAAATAATTAATCAGATGCTTGGCCATTTCAAAATATAGTCATTAACAGATGCAAAATAGGTCTTGGATTGCAGTAAGAGTTGCTGAAATATTATCAGAATATCCAACAGGTTTAACAGAAACTGTTTTATTATCCATGTTGGAAGTGATGGTATGGACCTTAAATAAAGTAAGAAAGTTCAAACTTATAAAATTTCAATTATAGTGGGAAAAGACTTTTATTAAGCGATCAAATGGATTTGATAAAAGTAAATATTGATAAAATAGATAGATAAAGACTTCAGCTTTTAATTTGTACCTTACTATAGATTTTAGTACAATTCAAGCAGTTTATGAAAGTAATACAGATGAAACATTTATATTGGAAGTTACAGTAAAATCGTGGAAGCTACTTCCTGGTTCTAAGAATTATATCCTTTTTCTTTTTCTTTTTTTTTCTTTTTCTAAGATTTATTTTATAAACTTCCTTAACTCTTTCTTTTTATTATACATCAGATCACAGTGATTGATGAAGCGAATATTCGAGAACTAGATATTTATATGCATCCAAAATTTAATCATTGGATTACCTATCAATGCAGCGACAACAACAAAAATCTTTTTTTGAACCGTAAAATTCGAATGATATGTCCCCCAAAAGTGAATACACCTATCCTCAGCAAACATAAAGATAAAGATTTCCCTCGTAAATATCGTGTTGCCATTATACCCCCAACCCAGCTTATTCTCATTATGCTTGATCGCAACGACAAAAATTTTGTCCATCAAGAGTTCCCCGATAAAATTCGAGACATTCACAAAAAGCATGCTTGTCAATTATGGCTCAAAATTATCCATGTTGAGCATACTGTACATACATCATCAGCTAGAATTGACCCTGGAGAGGCACCTAAGGCACAAAAAACAAATTTGTATTTGGTTGATATGAGTAGTGACAGTGTTTCGATCATATTATCACTTTATGATCAATTGACAAAATTAGTATCCATGTTTCGAAGAAATGATTACATTGGATTGTATTACCCTTCCAGGCAAAAAGGAACTGAGGATATTGTCTTCGAGTGTTCAAACGAGACTGTCATCTTTTTAATGTCGGAAAAGGAGGCCCAGGAAGCTGGATTAGCTAAAACGAATTTAATGAGCTATATCGAGAGTCAACCATCGTTTTCAACTCCTAAAAATGATATTATGGAGCGCGATGAAGAGGTAAAAAAAAAAAAAGAAAAAAGAAAATCAAGATTTTCACTGAAGAGAATTTCTGTATGATTTATATGCTTAAGATTGAAATAGGGTTTCATGGACTGTTCTAATTATCTATCAAGAATTTATGTAAAAGACCTTACTTATTGTATGTTAAATGTGACTCTATTTGGAAAAGTAACGGGTTTAGCCAATTGTGTAAGTGTAGTTTATTTTTTTGATTAAATAAAAGTTTTATTCTAATTCTTGATTCCTTATTAGAATCCTTTTATTAAAACGAATGATAATGGTGAGGTACAAAAAATGAACAGATATGCCTTAAAAATTGCGGATTCAACAGGTATTTTGCATAAAATGTGGCCTATTCCTAAAACTGGCATTGAATCTCTTTTTTTTTAGGTACAATGGATATCACACTTTGGGAGGATGCTGGACGTGATTCTAGGAAAATAAGATCAGGGCAATATATTCTATTAGATTCTTTAGTTACTTCGCATAAATATACAGCAGGTGATAAACAAGTCTGGTATGTCAATGGTAGCTCTGTCTGTGGAACAAGAACGTTTAACAGTAAGTAGCGACTATGGGAAAAAATAGATTCTACTTTTTTTTTACTATTTTTTTTTTTTTTTTGTATGCAGTCTCAACTCTTAGTTGCTTATTATCAAGTACTGCAATACGATCTATTGTCCCATTATGGCATGCAAAAGAGATAGGAAATGATCATTTCCAAGTGGAAGGTATCATTATTGGTTGGGAATTGCATTTGAAAGCAGAAAAAGATCAGATTGCTCTTACCGATGAATACACTCAAAAATCAAGTAATTATACTGCCCCTAAAATAGATTTTTCAGATTACTCACTGGGATCACGTATCATAACAAGTGCACGTAAGAGGGATTCCTTTGTAAATACATATACACAAAGTTCATGTTCATTTTTTTTTCTCCTTTTATGTAGATAGCAACTGCTTATTACCACGAATTCCTGATAAAGACACTTGTAGCTTTTGTGGATGTCAAATAGGAGATAATGTTGTAAATATTTTTAGACCTAAACCTGAAAAATTAGATAGTAAATATGGACATGACTGGGAAGGCTGGATTGAATGGAGATTAGACAATGGCACGAGTAACTGTACATTTTACGGAGGTGAAGAGGTTAGTCATCTTATTGAAGAAGAAAAAAAATAAGTGTTAAATATTTGAAAGCTAATACAGTATATAGACTTTGTTAAATATTACTGCTTACAATTTTAAGATCATGCCACTAAAATCACAAATTGAATTATTAAATAGTGTTATTGGTGCTTCAATTCTGTGCTCACTCTCGGTACGTAGTTTAATAGGCATATCTTATATTCTCCTATCTTTAACAATGAAATTATTAAAATAGGGAAATGGTACATCAGCCTATAGGCTTAATCAAATGATCTTTGTTAAGCCTACACAGCAAGAATGCAGGAACATGTTAGAAATCTTGGATAAGAAGAATTAAACAGTTGTTAGAAAACTAGGAATTCTTATTTTTATATATTTAATATCGTGCTTATAATGTGGCACAAAAAAGCTTTATTTTTATTTTTTTTGTCAGAAAAGAAATTCTTAAATACTCTTTTTCATGTAAGGTGAAATATTCTAAGACTACTATGTTTTAGCTTCATATCATATAAATGATGTCTATTTCTTCAAATTTACATTCGCTTTTTTCATATTTAGAATTTTATATACCAAAACCGTGTTTGTTATCTATATACATACTTTTTATTGGCCGAAAAAATGCCTTAACAGAACTCACTAATTAGGGAGAGAGAGAGTAAACAATGCTCTATATTAAATTACCCGCCAAGGTTTGAAATTGTTCTCTCAAAATCTGCATTAAGTATTTTAGGATTATACGCATTTATATTGTTTTCATTAATAATAATTAAAGTATTTACTGCCATTAATAATAAAATTTCTGACTTTTTTTTTTTTTCCAAAATTGTACAAATTATATTGAGAATAAAAACTGGTCTAAAGCTCGTACTTACAATTAGTAACTATGGAACTGACTGTTTCGAAAATTTGACCCTTAAAAATAAACACCGTCAAATTATTGAAATTATTTATTGCTAGTGGCAATATATTTTTTCATCTTTTACTATTGTGCCTGAAAACTTCATAAAAAAAAAGACATAACGTTGAAACTTGTCCTAAAAATTCAAATTCTTGAGAAAAAGTTTAGCTCTTAGTTAGGAATCAGTCCTACTTGTGCAAAAACTATTCAGACACAATATTATTATTGTATGCCCTCCTTCTAAGAAGCATCATCATTTTATATTAATTATTCAAGTTAAATTAATACAAAAAAAGAGGAAATGTAGTAGATACTAGTGGATAAACAATAGTTTTTTCTTTTTGCATATTGAATAAACCTGAATAAAAGAGTTTATATGAGAATACCTTGATGAATAAAATAAAATGTTTATAAGAGGAGACTAAAAAAATATCTTCATTGAATATATTAAGAATATAATTATGTAGTACAAGGTTTTATTTTTGTGAAAAGGAAATATATAACCTAATTGATTAAGCATATATGATAAAACAATAAGAGTACAGTAGTCTAATACCACGAGAAGCCTACCAAAAATAAAAATATAGACACATATTTTTTTTTTCAAAAAAAAAAAAAAATTTATTTGAAAAATCTCATCAGAGATCCTTTCCTTTCTCTTCTTTATCAATTTCTCATCTCTATCATTTACATATATCTTCTTATTAGGACAGTAATCCTATCTCTCTACTTTCCTTAACGTTATAAAATAAAATATGAAGTTTACCCTCCTCGCTGGTGCTATTTCTGTTATTTCACAAGTTTCTGCTGTCATAGTATGTATATATAAATATATACATATAAAGAAGTTAATCAACGCATTTAATCGAAAACTGTATAATTTTTTCTGATAGATTGTTAATCCATGGGCTGATACTACTTGGGTTAGTATATATACCTAGTTCAGACGTAAACTACTCTTAATATTAAACAAATATGAATTCTTTTATAGGTTTCTGGTGGACAAGGCGAAATCACTTGGAAAATTACCACTGCTGATGCTGGTCTTAAATGCGAAATTTACATGTTAAACGGTGATTATAAAAATTCAAAGTAAAAAAAATATATGGAAGATAGAAAAAAAAAAGGAAAGAAAAATAAACTAAATGAATGTATTTCATAGCCTTGTAGCTCAAGTTACTAACCCTGCTACACCTGTTGATTGTTCAGTTGGAAAATATGCAGTAAGACATGATAAATAAGATTTATAATTCACTGTCTAATTTTGTTTCTTTTAAATAGATCTATCCTTTGAACGACTTTGCCTCTGGAAAATATTGGATTCGTATTGGTCAACGATCTACTGGTAATTGGGCCTATTCAGCTCCTTTTGATTTTAAAGGCAATGGTACTGCTAAACCTGAATGTAAGTTGATATATTGTTTTTTTTTTTTTTTTTTTTTTTTTTTTTTTTTTTTTTTTTTTTTTTTTTTTTTATCCAAAAAAAAAGTTAGTAACATTAAAATAATATAGCTATCGTTGTAACTCCAACTGCCGTTAAAAGCAATAGCACCACAGCTGCTGTAATTACAACTGCTCCAGCCACTACGAGTACTGCTAAATCTTCTTCTAGTTCTTCTGCTGAAACTAGTAAGACTACATCTAATGAATCTGGTGCGCCAATGATGTCTATTAGCTCTGCTGTAATTGCTTTAGGCGCCATTGCTGCTGTAGCATTAATTCTTTAAGGCTTTCATTATGTAACACTATTATGTTTCTAACATGTATAGTTATATACATCTATTTAATACTATTTAATAAACTTATAATCTTTAATAACCATAGTATAACAAAAAAAAAATACTATTGTAGGTAATTTTAGTTATAATGATAGAATAGTTGATTTGGGTTTTATTCGTCTGTATTTTACATATACATATACATGTATCTATGACTACACTAATTATTATATTTCACTGCTCCTGATGATTTTATATATAATTGTGTTACATTTTCGATATTGCTATGCTAACGTATATTACATTTTATATTTTTATAATGATCCTGTATAAAGCCAAGTAAATCAGGTAAATAAATAAAAGACGAGGTAAGGAGTAAAAGGTTTTGGAAGGAGAAGAGAGAATCATTGTATGAAAAATGAAATCAAGTTTGTCTATGTGTAAACGTTAAATTTATTTTGCAGAAAAAAAAAAGAAAAGGAAAGTGATACAATCTTTCAATACTTCTTATATTTAAATTTTATATCGATATCAAGCATTGTTTTTTCTTCTTTTCTATTTTATATGTTTCATATATTTATATGATGATCAATATCTACGAATATCTAAATGCTGTGGATCATGTTTGTCACGTTTAATTTTTTCTTCTCCCTGAAAAAAAAAAATATCATTTTAAATACGTTTCTTTATGTCTTTCTTTCTTTTTTTTTTACTCCTTTTTTTTTTTTTTGTCAAAATGGTATTTATTTTTAAAAAGTCATTAGAGACAAAAAAGAAGATATCAAATGACACAGAAGAAAAAAAAGAAGAAGAAAAGATAACAAATAACCAAGACCGTTTTTTAAATGGTGTTGGACCTTATAAGTTCATAAAGCCTCTAGGTAGTGGAAAGTTTAGTACAGTTATGCTTGCAAAACATTTAGAAACACAACAAGAAGTAGCTATTAAGGTACACGGTTAAAAAAAAAGTTGTATATATACACATTTATGCTTATTTTTATGCAGATTATAGATAAACTATCGCATGATTATAGGGTCATGGCACGGCTTGTAAGAGAGATAGCAATTATGAAAGTTTTGCAGCATGATTCAATTGTAAGATTATATGAAACATTTGAAAGCTGTGATTCATTATATTTGATTATGGAATATGTACCAGGCTGGAACTTGGACGAATACCTTCAAGGAAAAAAGAATAATTGTTTAAATGAAGATGAAGCTAGACATATATTTAGTCAACTTGTAACAGCTGTAGATTATTGCCATCGTAATTGGATTGTTCATCGTGATTTAAAAGTTAGTGAAAAAATAGTTAGAATTTAATCTTGTCCTAATCTTTTTTTTTTTTTTTTTTTTTTTTTTTTTTTTTTTTGTGTATGTATATAGACTCCTAATGTATTAATTACGTTGGATAAGAACGTAAAGTTGGCAGATTTTGGACTAGGAAATCAATATGGATTACAAAGATTACGAACAATTTGCGGTAAGTATAATATCTAACGAGACATAAAACATTGTATTTATATATCGTGCCATATAGGCTCTATGTTATATTATAGCCCTGAAATCATCACAGGTCAAAAATATTATGGACCTGAAGTAGATTGTTGGTGTCTTGGTATCACACTATTTCGTATGACAGCTGGATTTGAGCCTTTTTCACATGCACATAGTAAGTTTAGATTTGTAGTATGTTGAAAAAAAAAAAGAAACTTACATTTACCTTTGCATTTAGCTGTGGGTGAACTTAAAAAAGATATTTGTAAATGCAACTTCCTCATGCCGAACACGCTTAGCTTAGAATTACAAGCCACTATCAGGAAATGCCTTCAAGCTGATCGACGAAAAAGAATGACAATCAGACAAGCTTTAAAGGACGATCCATGGCTTACTAACCTTAACCAGTTGCCCTGCCCATTATCAACATCATCTGAAACTGTATTTGAAAACGAGGCCTGTAACAATTCCCTTAGTGAGAAATCAACACGTCAACAATTTAGGAAAGATTTCATCCGCCATGACTCAACTAACACTAATATCAGAAAAACGATCATTTACCATCCTATTAATCCTGCTACCTACTACACAACCAAATCTTTTACCAATTTAACACCAGGGGAAGGAGGATATCATCATCAAAATGTTGAATTATTAAGATCTGACCTACTTCAATCCATTTGTACTCGGACCCATCGACTGGGCATTCGTTCTAGAAAACGTTGGAAATCTCTTTTTTTATCATCATTGAAAAGGCATTCTATTACTGACCTTGTGCAACGTATTACTAAAGATCAAGTCTATTATTTTCAATTAAATAGCTCATTACAACAAATTATTGATGCATCACATCCTCCTTCCCTTTCATCATCACCTACATCATATAGTAGTAGTGACGAAATACCCACAGTTAATATAGAGCAACAAGAAAATCGTGAAATAATGGCTTTAATCTGCGAAACCTGCCAACTCATGGGTATTACTTATTTTCAGGATTCCCTTCTTTCTCTTCAGTGCGTTCTTACCTTAAGAAATACTCCAAAAATATTACCGATAGTACGAGCCTCTTCATCCTATAGTCGTAAACAAAGTCAAAGTAGTGCATCATTGGGTGATGATTTTTTTACAACAAAACGCCTTTCATTACCCTTATTATCTCATCTCACATCATCTATGACAACATCCTTTTTTGGGCGTAGTAAACCTCGCCATTCAGTAGATCAAGCACAGCGACAGCAACAAATCATACATAATAATAGAAAAGGAAAACAGGGAATTGCAGTATTTAAAATTGAAGTTGAGTGTCATAAAAGAAGAGCAGATCGAATCGTCTTGAGGTTTTCTAAACTGCAAGGATCAAACACGGTATTTAAGATGGCAAGTGGGTGGATAGCTAGTGTAATGACTTTAGATAGTAAATAATAATAATAAAAACTTGTATTATGTAATAAAAGTATATAATCTATATATAAATGCTTTGATTTTTGTAAGGACACTAGTAATGTAGAATCTTCAAAACTTAACGAATTTTTGCTCGGATATATTTCTTTAACAGAAAAAGAAAAAAGATAAATTCATAAAATTCGTCATAATATCATTCAATTTTATTCTCATCAATCATAGTAGTATACAGTATATAAATCAATGAAAGCATAGGATAGACATACAACTTTGAAATTGGAACAATTGTTATTATTCGCTTTGTTGATTGGCTTTAAATCTTTCTATAGTAATTCCTTCATCAGACCAACCATCAAACTCTTCTATAAGTAGTGGTTCATCCAATAATTTGTCTTCTGATATATAAAAAGGGTTTATTTCTTGCTGCCTTAGAACGCTTTCTTCTTGTTCAGTGAATTAGACAAATACTTGATTCGGTAAATATTTATTTTATTTTTATTTTTATTTTTTTTCATAAGAATTATTATTATTTAAATAGTGTTGTTGGTATACTTTTCCTATTATTAGATTCTAAAACAGCGAACGATTATTCTAATGTAAACAAGTAGATAACGAATTAAACTCGTCTGAAGTTTGGTCCTTTTTACATACTGTACATACTGTACATACTGTATATACTGCAAACATTTCTTGTTTACCGTTCTGAATTTTTTTGAAAGTTTATTTATGTTTTTATTCTCATAAGCAGGAGCACTCTTCCTCTTGCATAATCTTTCGAATTGGGCTTCGGTGAGGCTATCAATGTGAGAACCAGGTGTTGAAGTTGAAACATTTGTTACTTGATTTTTTGCCAAGCTATTGTATTTAAAAACAGCTGTTCTACGAGTTGCATTATCTATAAATGTTTCCAAATTAAATTTGTCATTATTGTCTTGGTGCTGCGTCTGTGGTTGAACCAATCCATCAACATCCATCATTTCGGCAATATTATCTTCACCTTTATTATTCATTTCAAAATGAGGACTAGTATTACCAGGTAAAAGCTTTCTAAGAATACCCATCATGATGGTATTGTTCTTGATTATATCAGGCAGTAGTTCCATATAATCTTGCATATGAGCACGTTGAAGATATTTCTCCATATACGTAAACTCAAGTCCTTCCTTAAAGTTGATATCTGTCTTCTTTATATCGCCATTTGTTCGTTCAAAACTATATAACCATGTAGAGTACAGAGGGCCAAAATCACGAATAGTTTCATGCAAGTGCAAATGCAAATGCATATTTGGAGTTATGAAATCTTCTCCATATAACTCAACATTCTTTTGAACAAATTCAACGAGTAAACTATGTGCAGTTTCAATTTCTTTTTCAGTAATCGATGGAGCAGAGAGAATATGATTTGCTTGCACAAACTTCATCCAATTTGACATATGCTGTCCAACAATTCTTCCTTTTAGTAAAATAGCTGAATAGACTATAGTCCAGGATCTATATTCATCTCCCTTTAAACCTGAAAAATTTTCTGCAATTTTAGAAGCCAATGGAGTAAACTGAGGAGGTACAACAATTTTTTTAGCTTCAAAAGACATTTCAACCAAATCTCTGCTTGATAGAAGACTATTAACTGAACGGTCATTTCTTGAAGGCTTCCAATGGTCCATCATTCTTTTTGCTGTACCCAGATAAAGATTGTGTAAACCATCAATTATAGTACATCTAACAATGTCAAAATAATATAATCGATGAAGCTCACTCCATCTTACACCATAGGTTTGCTCGAGTTTCTTGCGTTCAGCAGATGTTCTTGCATTTTTCCACAAAAGAGCTTGTTGAAAATTTGTTTCTTTGTTACGAGGCGCCCAGCTAGAACAATCAACGTTGCTAAAGCAACGCTTAGTAGCATCACCCTTTCGAGCAGGAAACTTTTGTGCACATTTATGACAAGCTATAAAAGAATTAAACGAAGTAAATCCACAGACTTTCTTCACAGCAGGAATATCGCAATTGATAGATGCTAATGCGCAACGAACGAATTCACCGTTAGGATTGTTGTGTGTAGGAATTAAAATACCTTCGTATAATTCCAAAAGTTCATCCACTAATGGTCGCAAAAAATAGTTAACGTTTGATAGAGCTGGTTCATTTGGTCCAGGCATTAAACCGACAAGAATCAAATTTTGAGGTTTATAACGTTCATCACGAGGAAGATTGTTAATAACTAAATAGATAGCCCCAACATGATAATTCATTGTCTTGGTAGGTTGAAACCAGTCAACGTTTAAACTAAGCATCAGAGAGTTGTCTTTATTTACAAATGGCTCATCTTCACCTTCCTTCTTGAATTCTTTAAAGAACTTGCCATCATAAATATCAAACATAAAACCTGGTACTGTTGTTCTATACTTCCATTCGTTGATTCTTTCTTCAAAATTCTTGCGTATAAAAAATTTCAAAGTTTCCTTTAACGAGTTGTACACATATTGTTTAACTGGCTTCATTACACCATTACTGCCTTTCTTTACCAAAGGATCACCACAGTGCTTGGTGACTCCAGCATATGAAGAAATGAACACATTTGTGCAACTCTTAACAGTTACTGATGATCCATTCATAACTTCATCAAAATCATATGTTGCATTACACTTTTCGCATACAACATATTTTTTTAAGCCTATTTCAATTAATTGTAGATAATATATATAAGTAAAAATAAATTATAAAACTAGATAAAAATAGGATAATACCATTAATAGCATAGTCGGCTCTAATTCTTTTCTTGATTGTAATAAGCTTCAAAGGAAACTGATATGTGGCACCAAGTAAAGACAATACTGCACTCATAAACTTGAATAAAAGCTCAGTTGATGAGACTGATAAATTTCCAACTTGGAAGAACACCAGAAAAATCATTATAAACACTGGAAGAGCTTCATCAACACCAACGTTAAATAATTTTTTTGAATCTACTAATGACACTTGAGCATCATCTATTATTAACCGATATAATATTTAATTAAATTTAATATCAAAACTCTCAATTTTTATACGTTGCTAATTCATGTAAATGTTAATTACCTTCGATGTATTGTTCATCAGCTTGATAATCAAAGTCATCAGCTTCATCAATCTCCAAATTATTATCAAAGCTGGAGATGCTAACAGACTCATTGTTGGCATCAACAACAACGGAATCCAACTCATCTTCGTTTTCTTCAACATTCTGAAAATTAAAAACTATTTTTATACAGTAATGTCAATGTTAATTCAAAACATGTTGCTATACGTTATACATTATTATTCATTTGAAATTGTTGTTCTTACTTTCAGCATAGTTGACAGGTGCAAGCATTTTTTTTTGCTTTTTTTTCGTGCTTTTTAAATGTATGACGGTTAACCAAACGGTAACCGTTTACATTCTTATGACATTCGTCGCATTTGCACATCTTTTGTTCATTTTTAGTAGTAATTTTAGGCATTTTTTAATATATAATAATTGTTAAAATTAACAATAATGAAAAAGAAAAAAAAAAAGAGCAGGATTATTTATAGTTCCGCGTAAATAAATTCAACTCTGGATAAACTTTGACTGTAATTAAAATTAATGCATTAAAAAAGTAAACTCACATGATATTACGAACTATGTTTCTTTATTTTCCTTGAGATGAAAAATGTATATTAAAAGTAATGGTGAATCCAGTTTGAATTACTAAAACTAAAGTCAAAAATACTAATTATCAAAAATATTTATTTTGATTTTATTTTTTTTAATTATTTTCTGCATGTCAATTAAACAATTTATAATTACTTTGTGTGAAATGGCTAAACATCTAAACTTTTATTTTAAAATATACAATTATTATAAATGAATATATCGGAAAGAACAAAAAGTCAAGTAAATATTAATAGATCAAACTAATGTACATGAAATGTACAAATGTAACATTCAAATGTTCAATTAATAGTTGCCATCATTTAATTCCTGTCTTGAAAAGAATTAATTTCTGCAATAATTTTCTGTAAAAAAAATTTTTTATTTTTTAATAAATGCATAATTTTTTTAAAGCATATTATACTGATAATTTTAATCTTCTTTTTTTTTTGAAATAATGGTTGTTAATAACTCTATCACTAGAATAGAATAATAATATTATTTATTATCTTAAACATTAATATTTTTTGTTACGTCATTTTATACACAATTATCTAACAAATTTTTGTTTCATCTAAATGTCTTGATAAATAAAAGAAAATAAAAATAAAATTATTCAAGTACATTGTCTGACTTTTAAATTGATCTTTTGGTCAATTTTAGTGTACCTAACCAGCAGAAATAATTTTCAAATGCTAATAACTCTTCTAAATAAAATATAATTAGCATATTTGAAATCATGGAAATGAGCTCTTTCGTTTGATATAAAACTATTTGAGAAAATCCCAATTTTTTAAAAAACGTGGTGAAAGTACTACTTTCACCATGGAGAAACTACTAAATGCAACCATGGTGAAACTTTGGTGAAAGATGGAATTATCTGCAATGATGTCGACTTCATCATTCTTCAAAGTTATATCTTATTTGCTGATTATTCTTAATAAAATATTTTTATTATTGTAATCTTTTCAAAAAATACAAATACGCGTCACCAATAGGTGGGTTTGGTGTAACAGCGACTTTGTTATCATTAAATAAAACCCATTCACCATCATGGTGAATATGTGAAACATAGTGTCCACAATGAACTGATGTACCTTTGTGAGATATAAAGGAGTCTATTTCATAATTAAAAGGTGGAATAGCGTCTATAACACACATTTATTAGTTATAGCGTCTTATTTTCTATGCAATCATATTACCTCCAGCTGTGTTTGTTTCTGCTATTGTATTATCTTCTCCAGAATCATCAGGATGACTGAATAACCAATCTAAAGCTCTTTCTGTATCATTATTCTAAAATAAAATATTAAATTAGTATATAATATCTTTGCAAAATGTAAGATTTAATTACAGTTTCTCTTAATGCCTTCTTAGCTTGTGCTTCAGTAAATCCCATTTCCTGTAAAGTATGAATTTGTTCTTGACTTACACCACCTGCTGAGGTGCTAGTAGAAGGCAATGGATCATCAACATCTATCCAAAAAAAAAAAATAATTATTATTATTTTGAACTATTCATTTCTTTATATAAATACGTACCAGCGTCATCCATATGCTCAAATATCCAGTTCATAGCTATCTCAGCACCTTGATTTCCTGTATTAATTAGTGCTCGCTTACATCTATTTTCAGAAAATCCCATTGCCTTTAATTGCTCAATATCATTTTCATTAAAAGCCAATTCTGAAGGTTTCTCTTCTTCCTCAGGTAATAACTCTTCTCCATCTTGCTGTCCTTTACTAAGATATTTATCAAGTTGGATAGGCCCTTCAGGAAAATCGATTTTAATATCTATTAAGGAATTAAAGTAAGTATTATATAAACTTCTATACATTTATATTAAAAGATGTACCTAATTTCTGAGGAACCCAATCAATAAAGGTGAACCTTCTTGGATTAAGAACAAGAATTTCAGGAAAAGTACTGAATTTAACAGATCTATTAAATAAAAGTTAGACAAAAATCTCCTTAAAAAATAGTTTATTTCTACCTTCTAGCTATCGTCTTTTCTTTACACTGAGGACATTGATATCCATCCACAATTTCTTCTTTCACAAAATCATTCAAACATTCATAGAAATCAACATTTTCGTATCCACCACTTTCTAGTTGACGAACAGGTACACTTACAGAAATAGAACTAGTTTTGTCCTTTTGATATCTTACTCTCTTGCATTTATCACACTGGAGGCGCTGTTCGGTCTCAAATTCAAAGACATTGGTAGGATCATTTGATTTGGTAGCATGTTCCTTTTGCTGTACTGTCTTGCAAAAATATTGAAAAAATTCAAAGGCATCTTGTTGACGCATTGTTGAAAATTCAGGATGATTTTTCCCTACCAAAGTCTTAAACATACTTGGTGCAACTCCCCCATCGCTTGATTCAACACCATGATCTTTGTCAAATTGTTGAACATAATGTGAATAACGACCAGATAAAAGCCCATCAGCTATTTTGTGTAATTGGCAATACCAGCAATTAGCAGAGCTTTCTTGTGTGCAAGTTAATGCATGATCTCGTAACTCATTATCATAACGATATCTAAACTTGCTCAAATGAAAGACTGATTGAAGGACGGAAGCCATATAACAGCTGTTGCCGAGATTTTTTAGTCCTGTAAACCCAGGACCAAATCGTGGTTCAAGTTGCTTACCATCCTCTGTTGTCATACTGAAATCAAATTTCAGATTTTGTTCAAGTTGAAGTTCTGTCATACTCTTTTCTGTCTTAAGCTGTTGAGCTACATTAATTCCCCAATTAGCTAAATGACTAGCCAAGTTTTCGTCAATACGTGCATCATCACAACTATAACAATAAATGTCTATACATATAAAAAGAGAACATAAGAAATTTTGCATATTCTTGTATACTTTATTACAAACCTGCTGTTCCTTCAGGTGTAATAGTGCCTAATTTGACATTAACACCATGTCCAGTCTTCTCAAAGTGCTCAATAGCATGATTATTTCCACCAGAACCATCATACTGTTTTCGTCCACAACCTAAATTACCACAAATCAAACATAACCATAGGTTCTGATTAAGGTCACAATTAGCACAATGAGCTAAAGCTTGTCCTTCAAGTTTTTTAGGTGGCTCTTGTTGTAAACAAAGCGTGTGTTCACAAGGTGTAATAACTTCCTCCCAAGCTTTCACCTCTGACTGCTTAGCAGAAGACATAGAGTTCAATATGGCTTCGACTTGATCATTTAGCTATGAACAAATTTATAAATATACAGGTTGTATAAATGACGAATTTATGAATGAATCATTCACAAAAATACCTTTGGTGTAGCATCTCTCTGCTCATATTGATTACAAATATAACAATGGATTTTAGTCAAGTATTCATATTGTGGTTCTTCATTTTCTGGTGAAATAACAATTTTAGTAATTTTGGGTGGTGGTGGTTGTTCATTGTCCTTTAATTAAACAGATTAGTATATGCTTTTATTGCTAATTTGCGATTATTTACTCTTTTATTGTTATTAATGACACGACGACGAATGTTTACAGCTAAAGGATGTCCACTAAGTTGAGAATGCGTCAACGCATGATGTCTTTTACTGTCTAAACAACCACCATTAAAACAAGTTAAACAAACATCAATACCTTCGGGTCCATCCTATTCATTATGAACATTGAGTAAAATAAAGAAAAAGAAATCCACTTTTATATTTCTCGAAACACTTACTTGATTATCAAAACATTGAGTACATTCTTCCTTATGCACTTGATCAAATGCAGTAGGAGGTGTCAATGGATGAGTTTCAACATGTATGCAAACCATTATTAAAGGAAAAGAAAAAAAAATAAAAAAATAAAAAAAAAATATGTATATAATGCAAAATAACGCGTGTAGCATGTTTTTATTGCTGCGATTTTATTTTATTGGTAGAGGGAGATAATATTCGGATGCATATACATAGAAAATAAAAGTCTACGCTTGTAAAGACTGTTCATGAACTAAAATACTATATATACCGTTAAGAGATAAGAGATCCCAATGTGTACCTTGTTCAGCAACAACACCATCCTTTACAACACAAATAAGATCCGCGTTTTGAATTGTAGATAGTCTATGTGCGATTGTAATCGTTGTTCTACCTCCCTGTTCGATAATCTTATCAAGTGCTTCCTGTACCACCTTTTCAGAGTCACTATCAAGAGCAGATGTTGCTTCATCTAAAAGTAATAATTTTGGCCTTCGAATCAAGGCACGTGCAATTGCAATACGTTGTTTTTGTCCACCCGATAACTGTGATCCCTTGTCACCAACACGTGTATTATAGCCGTCAGGTAATGTCATAATAAAGTCGTGAATATTAGCCTGTCGACATGCTTCCTCTACTTCTTCTTGACTCACACTATAATCATCGCCGTCTCCTTCATGTTTAGTAATATTATATCGGTTATCAATACCAAATCGAACATTATCACCAATACTCATATCAAATAAAACAGGCTCTTGACCAACCAAGGCCATATGTGATCTCAAATTACGCAATGTAAATGATTGAATATTATAATTATCTAACGATATCTGGCCACCAAAGGGATCATACCAACGCTGTAACATGCCAATCGTTGTTGACTTGCCACAACCTGAAGGACCCACCAAAGCAATTGTCATACCTTTTTCGGCATGCAAGTTGAATTGTCCAGTAAATATTGGATTATTAGGCCTTGAGGGATAACTAAAGGCTATATCCTTAAAATCAACATCGCCTTCGAGACTACCAACTGATGGCTCAATACCTTCCATTTCTGGATCGATTACAGGCTTACGGTCCATGATGTCAAAAATAGCAATAGCAGCCACTTTAGCTTTACTAAATGTAGAGGTAAAAACAGATCCATGACCGGCTGTTTGAGCGGTAATCATGATAGACATCATACAGGTGAACATATCAAGAAATTCAATTCGTCCATCCATAATTAGTCGAATACCTGCGTAAAAGGCAACAGCACTGGTATAAATCATGATACCACGTAAAAGTCCGAAACCAATAGAAGAAAGATAGGCACGACGGATAGCCATCTTGTGCGGTCTTTTATTAGCGAGATCATATCGATCTTCAAAAAATTTTTGACGATTAAGAGCTGTTACAGTTCGTATTTCTTTAATTGCTTCTCCAGCTACTTCACCTGATTGAGCATTAGCTCGTTTTGTACCATCTTCATAACCCCGATGAATACGAGCTTCTTGAGAAGTAGCACCCAAAATAAAGGGTACCAAACATAATATAATCAATGTTAATATCCAGCTGTAGACAAATGCAATAACTAAACCAACAATGCATGTAACAGTAACTTGAATAACATCACCCCAGACTTTAGTTACCATTTCATTGACATTCTTGGCATCGACGGCTAATCTGGATGTAAGTGCACCAGCATGATTTTCATCTTGATCAAAAAATCCAGCCTCCTGCTTCATATAAGTACGAAACACCGCTGCCCTAAGACGTCGAGTATAGTATTCACCAGCTACTTCAAAGGAAACAACCTGTAAAGCAAATCCAATGAACCCAACAATACCAATAACAACAAATAAAAAGGCATAAAGGTTGATCCCTTTAAAAGGTCCTGTATTATAAAGATCTGAATGACCTGGTATAGTAATGATTGTGATAACTTTGGCAAATAACAAAGAATAAATAGGAAAGATAGCACCAGCAATGGCAGCTCCGATACACCCTAATACAAGACGAGGAAATTCTGGTCGCATATCAAATAAGACTCGTTTAACTGGTGCGGATCGTTTCTTGATTTCCTTTTTATTCTGTTTTTCACGTTGAATTTTAAGCTCATAAGCATAAAGGTTGTTTTCATTTGTAGCTGTATGTAAGCTACTATATGTATTACTATTGGCAATAGTTGAAGGTCGTTTTTCATTATTATCAGCATGCTCCATCATCATTACTGAAACGTCTTTTTTGTTGATAATAGTTTGGTTTTTTTTGTGTAGCTTTTGAAGAAGAAGTTCATCTTCATCTGGCTGATCCTCAAAAGGCTTTTCAGAATCAGAGGTGTTTTTTTGAGCTGCTTTTTGTTGTAAAGCAATTTCTTGTTTTTTGACAAGTTCAGCATATATACCACCAAGATGAATGAGTTCTTGATGAGTACCGCTTTCAACAAGTTGCCCATGATTCATAACTACAATAAGATCTGCATTACGAATTGTAGAGAGACGATGAGCGATGACAATAGTAGTACGTTTTGCAGAGGCTGCATCTAATGCCTTTTGAACTAATCTTTCGGATTGTGTATCTAATGCAGATGTAGCCTGTATACATAACAAAAGGAAAATAAAGTGCTACTAGTAAGCAAAAAAAAAAATAAAAAAAAAAATAAAATATATATAAATATTATTACCTCGTCTAATAACAAAATAGGTGGGTTCTTCAAAATAGCACGAGCAATTGCGATACGTTGTTTTTGACCTCCAGAAAGCATGCTCCCCTGATCACCTACAAGAGTATCATAACCATCAGGCAATTTTGAAATAAATGAATGACAATTAGCCTCAGTACAAGCACGTATGAGGTCTTCTTCTGTGACTTTACTATCTTCTGAAACACCTAATAATAGATTTTGACGAATGGACATATTGAACAAAACTGGTTCCTGAGAGACAACGCCCAATTGCTGACGAAGCCATATTAAATCAAGATCCTTAATATCGACACCGTCCAGTAAAATGTTACCATTTATAGGGTCATAAAATCGCTGAAGAAGTTGAATAGATGTTGATTTACCAGAACCTGAAGCGCCCACAAAGGCTACTGTTTGTCCTGGTTTTACTGACAAACATAAGTCTTTTAGAATCACCAAATTTGGTCGAGTAGGATAGCTGAACTTGACATGACGAAATTCAATAGCACCCATGAGGTTATCAACAACTTTTCGAGGACCTTGTTCCCTGTTGATTTCAGGGATACGATCAATAGTAGAAAAGATCTTATACGCTGAACCGCAAGCGCTTGAGACCGCTGATAAATTTGGAGGTAACATCAGTAGTGACATAGCACCGATCATCATACTATAAAACACAACCATCACAGTAGGGCCTTCAATATCTCCTTGTCGAATGAGACGACCACCATACCAGAATGTCAAGCCATATGTAGAAAACAAAATGAAGATAAAAGCTCCAAATCCTACACCCAAGACGGTGCCTCGCTTAATACCAGCTTTTAAAGCTTTATCTAGCTTTTTTTCATAGAGACTGCCGAATCGATCTTGTAGCGAAAATGAATATACAGTACGTATACCCGAAAAGACTTGTTCAGCGATGGATCCAGCACTTGCATATTCATCTTGAGAACGTAGTGTATATTTAGTAATAAAGTAACCCATAAGAGCACCTGTAAGTCCCATTACTGGTATTGTCACTAACATGATTACTATTTTTTTTTTATTTATACATATTTATGTTAATATGTATATTCACATGAAGAAGAAGAAAGAAAAAAAAATTTTTTTTCTCTTTTGTTATTGTTTACCTGCTAACCTCCAACCTTCTACAAAAGCAACAATAAAGCCTGTAACGAACTGTACAAGACAAACAATAAATAGACCAAACTTTTCTGAAATACCATCCTGAATCAATTGAATATCTGAGCTAAGTCGAGTCACTAAAGAACCATCATCAGCCTTATCAAACCAAGCCATATCCTGATACATAATTGAATGCATGTATTTTCTTTTTATTCTCTGCGCTTGGTTCTCTCCAGCCATAATCCAAAAACAATTTGAAATATAAGAAGCAATCATAGTTGCTGTACCAATATACACAAATATAAGGATGACAGGACGACAAGCATCTAACAATTGGGAAGGCTGTGACAAACTACCAGACAAATCAGTTAAAAGATTACCCATAAAGATAATACTTATAGGTTGAATGGCGCCCGTCCCTGCCGAACAAATCACAGCGCAAAAGATAAGAAATAAATCAAATTTAGAAGCAAAGCGAAAAAGTTTGTGAATAGGAATTGAGTTTTCTTTGCGCTTATAAATTTTCGAGATAAGTTGTGGTATTAGAGGAATACGTTTAAGACGTATAAATTTGTGTTTTTTGCCGGTTATAATATCGAGCTCTTCTTGTGAGGGGATGGGTAATATATTTGTAATTATAGAAGCGTTATCCGGTGCTATAGGGAATGATGGTGCAGTGCCTTCATGTTCTGCATTTAAATCTGTCATATTATTAAATAGGTATAAGTATGTAAATATAATTAAGTGTAATTAACAAAACAAAAAATGTCATTTTTTATGTTTAATTTATATTGAATTCTTTTTTTTTTATATTTTGTTGCATAAAAAGCTTAATTTCCAAACGGGAAGAGACGGCCTTTAATGCTTAGCTAAACAATAGTCAAAATGAGCCGGATATTTAATAGTATAATATATTATAGTCTTTGTTTTATAATTCTATCACACGATATTTCATATTATATGCCAATATTTTTTAAATAATAAAAATATCTATGGAGACAAGCTAATATTTAAAGTCTATGTGTACATAATTCATACGTATAATCAAGATGTATTTATTTAAAGTGTTATTTATCAAAAACCATGCTACGTATATCTATATAATGATCCTTTTACACATACATTCGGTGTAACGAATCCCGTCAAATATATTCTATGTAGAAAAACAAAAAGAAAAAAAAATTCTTTCTAAATGATATCACATATACTAAAAAATCAATTTTAATTCAATACTCAACTTTATATAATACACTTTATTTACAGTAATATAATGAAATACAACAAAATATAATTAATAACGAGTTTATTGATTTATTTTTATTCGTCGGTTGCTATAACTATCAACACTGATACTTTTATTATTCAAAAGACTTGAATAAAAAATTAGTCGTATAAATTTATCCCGGTTAATGGTATAAAAATGTGCCATGATTCATTATTGGTTCAAGCTAGGAAATTTATTTATAATAGTGCATGTTTTCTTTAATAAAAAAAAATATACAAATATACAAAACCTGATTAATAGATATGTATTTAATTACGATCAAATAAAGTATCTTGGAAGTAATGTTTTTTCTTTCAATATGTTCGAATGTTGAAATGCTTTTACATATTCAAAAATAATATTCGGTTAGCATTCATTTATTTTTGTTTGAAAAAAAAAAAAAGATATAAATAATCTCTATAAGATAAACTAAAAAGTGATTTTGGTTCTGTATATACAATATCAAAAGTCATAATTATCCTTACCATTAGCCTATTTTTATTAATACTATCTCTTACTAACATTCCGTTGATAGTTTATTCTCAGAATATCGCCTTTTGTAGTATGTATTGAACTTTTTAATAATATTTCATCATTATATCATAAAAGGATTGTTACTGTTATATTTTATAATTGTTCTCGACTATTCGATTTATATATCTATTTATGATACTATCGGTACCTCTCCTGTATAAATAATAGCTAATAAAGCCTGTATTTATTACCTATTTTGTTGTAGCAGGTTATTCTATTCAGAATTAACTTCACTTTTTTTAAGAACAGATATTTTTTTTCTTTTACTTTAATTCCTCGTTTTTCTGCTTATACTGTCTAACTGTATAAGAGAGTAAAAAAGGAAGAGTAATATTTTATAAATGTACAGAATTGTTCCAAAAATTTTCAAACATCTTTATAGACTTTTGTTTTTTATTAATTTGCCAGTATCGATAAAATACATGTATATGTTTGGTCAATAATGATATTATATACATAATAGAAAGCTTATGTCTTAATATGCATACTTAAAATTTAAAAAAATATATATTCTTTATCTTATTAGTTTTATTCCTATAATATCATAAAATAGTTTGATAATAAAAGGCTACTATGCAAATTAAGTTTATGCTATATGAAATAGTCATACTTTATAGATTATTGCACTAGTTTATTACGTTGCCTGCATATTAAATCAACAATAGTTCCTTTTAATTCATGGTATTTATATGCTTCATGAACCTACAAATATTTCATTTTAATTAGAAAAAACGAGAATAGTAGAACTTTGCTCATGAGTGAATCTGTAATTTTTTGATTTAATGAAAGTCAAAAAGTGACAGCATTACCTTTTCTCGAATGACTTGCATTTTTATAATCAAACTCTTTGTTTCAACTTGTGAAACTAAATAAGTTGATGGTGTTTTCTCAAATATAATACTATTTAACAAGTTTACAAATTCCTCTTCAAGGTCTTACGGTAGCTGAATAAATAGATATAACATCAACATCCTCATTATCATTAGTATAACTTAATATAGTAAATTCAGTGATTGAAGAGCTCTCTTGGTTTTCTTCAGTAGGAGTAAGACTTAAAGATACTTGTTGTTTCTGTATTCCATCTCTAGAAGCAGAGTCAGAGTCGGTAGATACAAGTTGATTTTGCATTTTATCTTCAAAGATAGAGTCAGGCGATAATTGTGATTTTTGCTTTTCATTTATCCATTTTGGAACAGCTTCATAGAGTTCGTTTTTACTTGGTAAATCAACTTCAAATTCATTTTCAAGTGCCTCTTTTATTAAGCTACATTTCATGTTTAGAAAAGAAGAATTCGTTATTAAAGAATTCATAGTTCTGCTAACGTAAGAACAGCATATTTTTATCATTCTTTCATGATTCTCTCTCTCTCTCTCTCTCATATATATATATACAATAGGTGTTAATAATTAATTCAACACTATACTATACTCATGCATATTATTGAGATCTACCTGAAAATCCTCGCATTTTTCAATCTTCGACGTAAGTAGTGGAATGTACTCTCACATAAATTTTTCATCTTAAGTTTATCCTCTTCTAATAAAACTTCAAATGTATCGCCCATAGTGTCAAAATCAATAGTAAATTTACATATGAAAAATCGAGCAGTTTACTAAAAACTTCCGGATTAATACCTTTAAGAGTTATCGTATTTGTTTTTATTTTTCTTTTCAAATAATGATGCTAATATGGATGATGCAGTTGCCAAAACCACCTTATAATCATGAAATATGATTGGATTGTTATTACTTTCTTCTTCTTCTTCAAAACAAATAGTAACATTCGAAAACTTGTTTGAATTTTTAAGAAAACAACTAAGGGTTAAGCTAATAGTTTTTTTTTGTTAAGGTTGTCAAATAGAGTATTCGCTTTGGAAATAAGTTAGAATCAAGTTTAGTTCGTTAGATGATTCCACATAAACATGTAATACAGATAGGCCAGTGAAATCTTGGAATCCTTTGCTATTATCATCTTATATACAAACACTTAAACTTATAAATTATGACAGAATTCTAATTAATATACATATTTACTTTCTCTAAAGCAAGCTTTATATAGCGCTATAATGATGAAATAAGTAATATTGTATAACTGTAAGTACAAAGTGTACTATATTCATTTTAATATAAATCATTTTACAATTAGAAATAGGGTTAAGAGGGTAGCTCCAACTATAGTAACTTCATGTGTTGATAGTAAAACGGACAATCTTTTGTACACCATATAAATAACTAGGAAACTCTTGACATAGGCCAAATTAACAAGATATATTATATTATTAAAAGCAAAAAAAAAAAAAAAAAAAAAAAAAAAAAAAAAAAAAAGTTAAAAAGTTTGAATAGAGTATTTATAAGTTAGTTTTTATATTCACTTTTAAGTTTTTAATAGTACATTTGTCAAGTATCAAATATTATTTCAATCCATCAAAGTCATAAAAAGGACTTTTTTTTTATCTTTTACCAGTAGTAGAAAATATTAACCATCCAAGTATCAATGAATGAATTGTTTATTATTTGTCCTAAAATAGCTTCTTTTAAAAAAAATTATGAATGTTGTTGATTCCAATAACTTGAGCAGACATCTTCGTATGTACAATTAAAGCATATTAATTCAATCTAGCTACTCCTTTTATGCATATCATCAATTTATCTTATCACGCGTTTCCCCTCTCCCCTCTCCCACTCCCCCTATTTTTTTGGCGTTTAATATTTTACGAAAATAATAATAATAAAATAAAAAGCAAAAAAAAAAAAAAAAAAAAAAAAAAAAAATAAAAAAAAAAAAAAGGCTATTTATATATTTGTTTGCAGTAATAATATGATACATATATAATTTACGTTTAGTAGAAGAGAGGAAAAAAAAAAATAGGTATAATGTATATTGGACTATACTAACGAGCACTGACAAAGGAATGTAAGTCTGACTGAATGTCTTTATCACTTTCTTCATCAGTAGAGTTAAAATGATCTTCAATATACTCTTCATCCTGAAAAATATCATCAAAATAAGGTTCATTTTCATATTGCCATTGTCTCTCGGTAACGGTATTATGTACACTATGATGCACAATTTCCTCTGTATTGTCTTCAGCATATACAGATATTTCATAGTTATCTTCTTCATCAGATGATAACGTATCATTTAATGATTCCCTCAAATCTGGGCCTATATAGCTTGACCCAGGTCTACGTGAAGGAAGAGGTGGGGGTTGTTGAGTAGTAGTTGTAGTTGTAGTAGTAGTAGTAGCTGCTCTACGGTTAGGTATAGTAAGTTCTGCACAAGACATCATCAGTGGCTTTAGGTAATTGATATATGAGGCTCGAACTGTAGGATGAGGACATTGTATTAAAATCTAATATTAAACGAATTTAAAGATGATAAATTAACTCTTTTGCTTTTCTGGGTCTACACTAATATATATCTATATATATATATATTACCTTTGAAATTTTATCAAATCCAGAAAGCATAAGTTCAACTCTCATCTTTTCTTGTTCATATTCATCATAGTAGCCCATGTAAGACGTAGGCTGTGTGGTGACCACAGTACGAATAAGGCGAAGATGTGTAACCTTATAAATCATTAAAAATTAGTTTATGATTTCTATAATAATAATAATAATAATAATAATAATAATCAACTTACAATGTAGTCAACAACACCTTCTTCAGTCATTACAGCTCCAGCTTCTTCAGGATCATTATTACTTGCAGCAGCCTCTTGCTCTGTCAAGTTTTGTCTTGCTTTAATCTGTCGGTATGCACTTTTAAAATCATAATTTAAAACTTGAGCAAGAAACGTGATGGTCTCAATATGCTTTTCTACTGTATAATGAAGTTCACGCATCCAAGCTGTATAACGGGGTCTGAGTTCATTTTGATCCCATTCATACTCTTTACCAATGACTTGTCCATTTGGATCATTTTCCATAATCATTTGTAGAATTTCTTTAGGATCCGTCTTGAGCGTGATAGGGAATGGTGAAGTATGTTTAGAATGACTCTTTTTATCAGTATCATCAACAACAAGCTTATCTGACGGTCGATCTAGTAAGAGACGACGAAGGACATCATAGCCATGTACATACTCTGTAGTGGAACTTGTTTGTATAGTAGCCAAAGTACACATCAAGTTAAGTAATAAGCTACGTGTACTTATTTCTAGACCATATACTTGTTTTAGTTTCTTATTCGCTGGACCAAATAAAATATCACGAACATGGTATAACGCAATTGGATTTCGAAGAACAATTTGTGTACCCATTGACTATTACGTCAAAATAATTAGTTGAAAAAAAAACATAATAAATATGGAGTGAGAAGAGGGGAGAATTTGTTTCCCTTTACCTCATGAGTCATAATTGTTTTTAAACATTTTCCAAGATGCTGTATAATTCGATTATCATTTGGCATTCTATAGTTTATGAATAATTGGTACCTGAAGAATATAATATATGTATATGTATATATATATATATGTATATACCTTTTAGGAGCTTCCTTCATTTGCTTGAATAAATTTGCAATAGCTTCATATCCACCTAATGACAAAAATTCACTTGTCCAACTAAATTTAAGAAGGGAAGAAAGGGAATTAAGCGGGTTATTAGTCTCTTTATCTCTCTCTCTCTTTATTATTATTATGTTTCGTTTTGTATAAGAACAAAGATAATGTCTTACCTAACAACAACACTTCTCAAAAAGACACGAAGATCTAAAACTTCAGAGTCTTCTAAATCTCTCACATGTGTTTCTCGAAGCAAATTAACAAAATATTCTGGAGTTGATTTCAACTTACTCCTTGATGTATGGGTATATGAGTCAGGTAAACCAGAACGACGATATCTTCCAGGTGCTGTATAGGCCTTTTTGAGATTACCCGAGTATTCTGAATTCAATGTATCATTATAATCAAACGAAGAGTTAAGAAATGGATGGTCACTCCTTTTTGTCTTTGTTTTAAGACCAAAAGTGGCTCTTAATGAAAAGGAAGGTCCAATATGTGAAAAAGTCGAATTCTTTTTAAGTAATGCTGGAGATCGTGATGAACGCAGTAACATTTCCTTTTGCTCTACTGTCAAATTATTCACATTATTGATGTGATCTGCTGAAGGTGCATATTCTCTCTATAATATAAATATATATATAATGGAATGAATAATGAAATACAAATTTTAATATATCCCATTCATATAGAAATAAATTAAATGTTACCAGTAATAACTTAAATTGTGCCTCAACATCTTCAATCTTTTGAGGTGAAAGAGCTGGAGGCGTTAGCTTTCTCTGTGGTATTGGAGATGAAGGCATGGTCGAGTTTAATGAAGGATGATGTGGTGGCGTTGGCGGAGTCGGAGTAGGTAAATGTACGATTGGGTTATCTAGTTGCACTGTTTTCAATGGAGCAGGAACATTTGTATTTGAATGATAAACTGAGCGTCGAGATTGAAGAGAAGAATACATAGAGTCTACACAAGAAGCATTCCTATCTTCATTTAATATTGAATTTGTTTGAGAAGGTTGAGTATTATTTTCAAAATTATTTCCAGATTTTTTTTTGCCGCCTCCAAATAATGTAGAGACTCTGTCTAATAATCGATGTTGAGTTTGTTGACTAGAAGGTCCTGGTGAACCATAAGAAGTTGACCGATGATCTACGAAAATGGGAGAAGATGCCATTTTAATGATTTATTTCGAGTTATATATATGTTTATTAAAAAAAAAAAGAAAAAAGAAAGAAAAAAAAAGAAAGAGAGAAAACGTTTTCATTTTTTCCTTTAATTCTGAATGAAAAAAAAAAAAAAGGAAAAATGTTTCCAATTTTGGATATTAACACAACAAATATCTTTTTTAGATTATTCAATATTTTAATTGGATAATTATAACCTATGCAAGTTTATGATAATATAAAGTAATATATGCATGTATATTCTACAATATAACGATACTTTAATACAAAGATAGATAAAAATTTTAATAAAATAGGATAAAGTAAAAAAAAAAAAAAAAAAAAAAAATACATATTATATTTATAGATTTAAAAGAAAAAAAAAAAAAAGACATATTTACAAAATGAATAAAATTTAAGAGGATATAGATTTCTTTGATTTCAAAGAAGAGTTACAGCCATTCTTAATCTTTGGGATTGACTTCAGCCATTTAGGATTATTACTTGAAGTAGTAAACGATAAAGAAGATGACTGAGTGATATTATTTTCATTAATAAACGATAAATTGGGTATCTCTTGACTATCTTCAGGTGTTATGGGTGATTCTTCCATACAAGATAAAGGAGTGTCTAACATAGTATTATTGGTATTAGGGATTGGACGCAGATTAAGCTTTTGAACAAGTGGGCTTTTCCTATGACGATAATAGCCACGAAATAGAGTATTATCATTATGATTCTTTTCTAATTCTGAAATAAGTGAAGGATCATTGATAGCTCCTAGTTTAGCTTCTATTTTAGTTTTGAAGTCAATGAACCCAGTTGTATTCATCGCTTTTCTTGCTCTTCCTGGCCAACCATCATCAAAAAACACACTTTTCGTTGTTGCATTCATATTATCATATTCTGCCTCATATTCATAAACAGTAGGAGGATCTGTAGAGAATCTGACCTTCTTTATTGCTTTCTTCTCTTTTATATTACTTGCTTTCAAAATATCTTGATAGAATTTAGCAAGATCGATACGACGAGTCTTTCCATAATAACTCGACGGCCAAGCTGTTAAATCCATTTCTGTTTCATTATATAAAGTATTTATTTGCGTTGCCATTTTTAAAATATTAATAATAAAAATAAAAGAAGAAGAAAAAAAAAGCCAAAAGACTTCAAATTTTATTTTATATTTATTTATATTATTTTAATTATAGAAAAATGGAAAAAAAAATAAAAGGAGGAGTAGGAGGAGGAGATTTTATTTAAAAAAGACCATATAAAATTTAAATAATAAGGGAGTTGGGATTAGAAAGAAAAAAGGAGGGGAATTATACCAAGTTATCTAATGTCATGAATTATATAATGATTTTGATTGGTTAATTTTTATTCATGTACTAACTATTAATGTAAAATACACACTATGGAAGAAGGAAAAAAAAAATAGTATGACAAGCTTTGTTGAATATAACTATTCTTTTTTCCACGTGCAGTATAGATTTTAAATTGGTTGGTGTTGTATCTATTTAGTTTATTAGCATAAACCCTTTTAAAAAATCAAATAGGGATATAATAATTTATCCATGTAATATTACGTATTTTATGTTCTATATATATATATTATATAAATATATACATATTATATTGTAATGTTTATTCAATATTTATTTATATGTATTTATTTATATAGAAAAAAGTTCATTCTCTAATAGTTTTGTCTAGCTCGTTTAACAGCTCTCTTTTCATTCTCTATTTCGTCTCTTTCTAATTGTCTTAACCATTGTTTCTCTGTCATGTTGTCTGTGTACCTGACAGCCTCTTTAGACCTTTGTCCTCTACCTAACAATAAGTCGTCACGCTCATTATTGTACTCGGCCATTTGATCATAACGATAAATATCTGGTAACTCCCATTCTTGAATCAATCTCTCTGGCTTTTTACCATTATCTCCGTATTTTCGACGCCACTCTTCTGTATCAGACCTTTGTCTTTCGAGATCTATTTTTGTAAAAATAGCATATTCTTGGTCAGATCGTTTCAGAATTGTATTGAGTTCTTCATCATCCATTTCATCACTCTCTTCTTCTGCATCACGACTTTCTGCAGAGTTATTATTTTTGTCTTCTAGTAGGGATCGTAAAAATGCCTCTCGATCTTCTTCTGTACTTCGATGATCAAATTTACCAGCTTGAATAACTTTACCATCAATGTCTAGTTTATATTGAGCTCGTGCCAAGATATTTTCTTCAATTGAGTTTTCTGTAATAAGCCTAAAAATTCGGACTTCTTTAGTTTGACCAATACGATGGGCTCGGTCTTGTGCTTGAAGATCCTGATGAGGATTCCTATTTATATAAGTTAAGATAAATTGGTTAATCTTAGAAGCTTGTATAAATTTGTATATATATATTACCAATCTGAATCAAAAATAATAACTGTATCTGCAGTTTGTAAATTAAGACCTAAACCGCCTGCTCTTGTACTTAGTAAGAATATAAAATAGGGTGATTCAGGTGCGTTAAAGACCTTTAATAGATTAGAACGATCATCTGACTTTGTTGACCCGTCAAGTCGTAAATGACGGTATCCTCTATATATACAAAAGTCTTCCATAATATCCATAATTTGTGTCATTTGGAAAAAGATAAGCACCTGTATAATTTATCATTTATTTAGTACTTGACATATATATGCATATATATCTATATCTATACTTACTCTATGGCCTGTGGCTCGAAGTTTAGGTAAGATACGATCTAAAAGATCGAACTTACCTGAAACACGATAGAGTAGCTCATTACTCACTTTGTAAGGATTAATAACTCTCTCTACCTCCTCAAATACAAAAGGGTGATTACAGATTTTACGCAATTGCATAATAGCATTATTTAAGCCCTTTATGCTTGTTTTTCTGTAGAAAAAAAAAAAAAAAAAAGAGCGCATTTATCAGTCCTCTTTCTACCTTCTCCCTCCCCCTTTTATATATATATGTATATATATCTATGTTTGATATTTTACCCATTTTGACCATTGCTTCCAAATAATACACCATATTTTTTCATTTGTGAATACAAACGTGCTTGAAGTGCAGATAGTTTACATTTAATAACAGTTTCAACTTTATCTGGTAATTCCGATTCGACATCTTTCTTTAGACGTCTTAATAAAAAGGGACGTAGAACCTAGCATTTATAAATAGTTATATTATATATAAGCTTTAGATACCTAGAAGATATAGATGGTTTATACCTTGTGAAGACGCTTAATAATCAACAACTGTTCTTCTTCATTTAATTCTACTCTATCTTGTACACCTTGATTTGAAAATGGTGTATTAAACCATTCTTCAAAGCTCTTAACTGAATTAAAGATTTTTGGTAGAATAAAGTTTAAAAGTGCCCAAAGCTCAGGCAGATTATTCTATTAAAAAAAAATTGTTAATATCTTTTTCTTCTTCTTCTTCCATTTTATCTTTAAATTTACCTGAAGAGGTGTACCAGTCAAGATTAATCTATACCTTGCAAAGTAATACTGTCTTAATACCATTGTAAGTTTAGATTGGGTATTCTTCATACGATGTCCTTCATCAATAATCATGTACTTCCACTTGATTTTAGACAAGACAGGTCGATCTTTAATAATGTAATCAAATGTCGTTAACAAAACTTGGAAATCTCTATGTTTGATTTGTCTTTTTTGAATATCTTTACGGACATCAGGAGGCCCCTTATAGCATACAGTTGTTACAGTGGGTGCCCACTTATCAAATTCAAGTGACCAATTCGTCAATGTAGATAAGGGTACGATAATTAAGAATGGACCATTTTGTTTTTTCTTTTCAATAAGATAAGTGATAAGACTGATAGTTTGAATAGTTTTGCCTAAACCCATTTCGTCGGCAAGAATACCATTCAATCTATTATTATATAATGATACCATCCATTGTAAACCTTTAATCTAAATGTTCATCATTTATATTAGTTTATATTATCAAGGTAGATACATATATACATATATATATTTACCTGGTATTCTTTTAGTTTACCACCACTTAGAATAGTTGGTTGAGACACAGTCTCTTGAATTCGATGTGCCATTCTATAGTAATCTATCTTATTACCTTTGCTGTCCTATAGTAATAAATAAATCAATAAAATACTTATATCTTTTCAAAAAAAAAAAAAACTTTACTGTTAATAACATTTCCTCATCAATTTCCTCATCTACATGGTCTTCATCATAGCTCATATTTTCAGCCTGTTGATCTACAACAGCCTTCGTGAGTGACTCTAAGTAAGCACCTGTTTGTTTTAAAAGCAAGGTCAAACGTGTATCCTTAGCTTCATCAATCAACTTCATATAGGCTTCTTCATCATCATTACGTAAAGCACGAATACGCTCCTTAGAACGCTTATCAGCTTTCCTCTGTTCCTCTCGGTCAATATGTACATGGTATTGCAATACAGCCTTTCCAAGCTTGGCTATCTTAGCCTGATGCGACTTGTGCCATGCAATTAAATCACGACCCTGATTACAGACACTTTGCAAATAGTCCAAATGACGTTGCTTTTCTTTCTTTTCTCGATCAATTCGTTGTTGTTTTTCAAGTTTTTCTGTCAATTTAGCTTCACGAAGCGTTTGTTTCATGATTTTACGATAGGCAGTACGATCGACAGAGGAGGCAAGTCGATTCGCCTCTTCCATGTTTTTCACGATTTCTTCCCGTAATTTGGTTTGCTTTTGACGAAGTTGGAGAGATTTTAGTTTGACGATGGCGTGAAGTCGTTGTGGTGAAGCAGTTCGGACAGTCTCCTCATAATATTCTGTTAGAAGATAGCCAAGTGGCTGTCGTTGATCTTCTTCATCCATAAAAGATTCAAGCTCGACAACAGAAGCATGTGCACGTTGTTCAATTCTCTTCTCTCGTTCAGCTAAAATAGTGTATGGGTCAATACCTTGAGGTGGAATATCAGGCAATAATAAGCGCTGCTGCCTTGATCCATGTGCATGTGATCTTGGTTGACCCGATAAGAGATCAAAAGCAGTAATAATGTCACCATTATGGTTAGAAGTTGTTGACATAGTAATTAGATCATTTGTAGTTTTTTTCTTCATTATGCTAAATTCGATAGCTTGGTGATAAATTGCTTCAACAAGACGCTCCGCCATCGTTTTAGGAGGCTCTTCAGGCATAATAGGCTCTTGTTGCACAGTTTCCATGGCAGATTGCAAAGGAATCATATTTGGGAGCATAGCAGCTTTTTCTGGTGTAGCTTTGTTACTTATGTCAGTAAGGTTTGAATTTTGAGGAAGAATATTTTGAGTAGGAGACATTTGATATTGCAAATTATTAGTAGTTGTCTGAGGTGTTGAAGGTACTGAGGAATATGGTGAGGCTACATTAAATACGATATTAGATAAAATTTTAGAAAAAGGAAAAAAAAATACCATTGTTAATAGGATCATTCACAAAATGTTGTTGAGCTTGTTGCTGCTGCTGCTGCTGCTGCTGCTGTTGTTGTTGAGCTTGTTGCTGTTGTTGAGCTTGTTGCTGTTGTTGAGCTTGTTGTTGAACTTGTTGCTGCTGCTGTAATTGCTGTAATTGCTGTTGTTGCTGTTGTTGTTGTTGCTGTTGAGCTTGTTGCTGTTGCTGTTGCTGCTGTTGCTGTTGTAGCAAATGCTGTTGTAGAAGTTGGAATTGTAATTGCTGGTGAATTTCAGCAGGTGTGGGTTGACTGGGAATAGGAGCTATTTGTGGCTGTTGATTTAATTGCAACTGCTGCTGTAAATGTTGCTGCAATTGTTGCTGCAACGGTTGTTGCTGTGTCAACTGCTGTTGCTGTTGGAGCATTGATTGTTGTTGAAGCATTGATTGTTGTTGATTTTTAGTTTGAATCTGTTGCTGTTGTTGAAGGTAAGTACTTTCGGCATGCTTTTGCTGAAGTAATCTAATCAAGATCATCAGTTGAGAAAATTCATTTTTGCCGTCTTCTTTTTCGCCAGCAGCTTGTAATTGTCTAGCTCTCTAACATTATTAAAATAAAACTAAGTAATCATTCAAAATAAAGTATTTTTATTTTATTTTTTATATTTTTTTCTACCTGAATAATAATATTTAACTTTTCTTTTGTCAGCGAATTATTATTTAAATCAGAAATAAGATGACTGACAGTGTATGTAGTAGGATTAAGTAATGGCAAGTTATTATTATCCATGATTAGAAAGTTATGTGAAAATTCACTTTCCTTTCCTGCAAATAATGATGATTCTGTTTAAACATGATCATTTTTGTACAAGTTAATAAAAGCAATGCTTTTTTTTTTTAATATTCTAATTTTTTAATTTTTTTTCCAAACTACTTTACCCACCCGCTGTGCCGTTAAAAGATAAAAAAAAAACTGGAAGTTGAGGTGTGCGAACAACAATTTTTTTTTTTCTTCAACAGAAGAAATTAAAGCGATGACATAACAGCTGAGTTTAGAATATATGTATACTTTTTACAGAAAAAGATATTATGTCCAATGATTTTACTTTATTTCGGAAACCAATGCTTTAGGATTTTTTTAACGATTTTTTTTTTTTTAATACGTACATCCAAATGTTTCGACCACAATATACCCGTAAACCTTTTGAATTATTTGTATGATTAAAAAAAAAAAGTAGACCCAATAATACTTTAGATTTAATTCAATTAATAGTTTTTTCCATTTTAGCTGATTGGTCCTGGAAATTCAGGCAAGCGTACATTAGCGGCTCAACTTTTAAAGACTAAAGATGTTTTTTATTTAATGTAAAGATCAATACAAATTAAAAAAAAAATTATAATTAATTTTTAAACATATAGACATACAGCAGATAAATTACCAAATAAAGAGATCGATCATGTTGATTTTGTTTTCATACTTATTGACATGACACAACCTGCTAGTTTAGATCTATTAAAACAGATCTTGGAAAATATTAATATAAGTTACTTGGCAAGTAAAACAGCTATTGTAGTAACAAAAAGTATGATAAATATTGAGTATAGGGTGTATAGAATAAACACTAATATTGCATTGTTTTTTCTTAGTGGATGTTCCAAGGCTATGGCAGATAGAAATAGAGTCAATACAAAAAATGATTGGTGCTAATATGGATTTGCATATATTTTACGCTAATTTAAATGTAACAATTTTTTTTTCCCACTTCCCTCCCCCCCCCATCTTAAAAAAAATTATTTTACTCCCCTCCCCCCAAAAAAAAATTATTGACTCTCTTTTTATAAAATCATAGAATCATATTGAAAAGTTGAGGGTTTGTAATCAATTATCAAGACTAGTTCAAGCAAGTACTTTACAGTATAAAAACTTAAATTTAACTTTGTTGAAAGCAATTCAAGTTTATGATATCGATTATGAAGAAGAAGAAACAGAGGTGCCACCAGTTACGGTGGAAGACATTTAATATAGTGTAAATCGTCGATCTAATAAACTGAATAAAAAATCGAGCCAATCAAATCAAATCAAATATTACATAGTAAAGGTTCATGTTATAGATGTATTTTTTGTTTTGTTTTTTGTTTTGTTTTTTTTTCTTTATGTTCTTATAACAAAAAGGGACATGCAAAAGTTTAACAGTTATGAGCATTTATTAGACAAAAAAATAAAAAAGATGAATTTATCCCATTATGGTGAACAGCCTTATTTTAATAGCAATAATTCACTTTTCCCGTCATTTACTGATAATGACACCCCTTCAACAACGAGAGAAAGAATAGACTTTAAACGAAAAAAGAACTGGCCAGAACGGATTTTAGTGGAAATGACTGGTTTATTACATGTTCTTTCACCAACTGGCAAAATATTATATTGTTCGGAATCAACTTTTGCATTAACAGGTTTTCGACCTCATGAATTAGTAGGACATTCACTAATGGACTTTCTCCATGTCGATGACATGGATGTCTTCATTCGTGATTTCCAAATATCATTCCATACTCAATCACAAATAAAAACTTATTATCGTTTTCGTAAAAAGGATGATAGTTATATTATTTTTGAAACAGTAGGTCAGCCTAAATCAACAGATAGTTCAGCTCAAGCATTCTTTGGAACTGCTCAACCTGTTCCTTCAAAAAGCGGAATCATGATAGATTCATTTCTGGAGTTAAAAGCGGAAAATAACTGGTTAAGGAAACGAATCAGAGAACTGTCCGCCAAGGGGGGAGAAGTGACAGGTATTCCTGAGCAACATAATGTAGAGCTTAGCAACCAAAAATATATGAATGATACCATCGTTACTCCTTCCTCAAGTGATAATAAGGGTTTTGTAGTTGGGGAAGACAATCAACATTTAAGCGAATTAAATCGATTCATAATAAGTCGTCATTCTGAAGAGCACAGTTCAATACCTTCTGAAGAGAAAGAAATAAGTGAAGATGTGGAAAACGTATCGTTATCTCATATGGATACGTCTGAAGTAAAAAAAAGATGGAAACGACGTGTAAGTCTCTTGCTTTCCTCTTACAAAAAAAAAGGGGGGAGTTGATAATATAATAAACTTATTATTTTAAACTGTTTAAATAGAAAAAATACAAAGAAAAAGAAGAATATGTTTGCACTGATTGTGGCACAACAACTTCTCCGGAGTGGCGCAAAGGCCCGCATGGACCAAAAACGTAAGTTTATGCAAACATAAACAAAAATTATCTTTTATAACTTTATTTAATTTATTTAGTTTATGTAATGCATGTGGGCTTCGCTGGGCCAAAAAGAACAAGGTCAAGAAAAATGATTTGAATGATGACTAAAAAAAAAAAAAAAAAAAGGAAAAAAAACCCAGAATACTTTTCTATAATTTGCATTATCTAATAAAATATTTTTGGATGAAAATATTTCTCCTTATTTGGAAATAAGGAACAAGTTCAAATCATTTATTGACAAAGAAGGAATTTTACCGCCAAGACGGCTATTGTTACATTTATGCAACCAAACGACCCTGATTATCCCGTGTAATAAACACAATATTTATCAATAATATTATTAGGTTTTATATGTTCACTTTTTCAGGAAAGGTATAAAAAATGTTTCTACGGGAACTTTAATAGTATTTCTTGTTTTATTAGACATACCAAGACAGAGAATGTGTGGCATTACAAAAAAAAAAAAATGCTCCTGTAGACTTTTACTTTTAGTAATATTGATTATTACATGTAAAGTCCTTAAAGATACTCCACTTAGGAATTGCAAGTAGATAACTATTTCAAAATTATTTACTTTAAAGGACATCAACTTGATGGAAAGACAAATACTTACTTTATTGGCATTTGTATATGCTAAATTGATATGTATCATCATGTTTAATATATTTATTTATTACATTATATTTATGATTATCAATTTTTCAATTTCAAAAAAAAAAAAAAAGAAAAAGATCTTTATTATTCATTCATGGTCTATACAAACTCTATCTTTAGTAGTCTGCAATCATCTTCTATTACCTCCTAGTTCTATATACCTTTGACTAACTATTGAATCCATATACCATTTTGGTGATAATAATAATACTTATATTTAAAAATCCATATTTCCTAAAACCAAAACTAAACAACATGATAATGCAATAATAATAAAGAGAAAAGAGCTCGATTACTATAAAGAATCAATATGTCAACATCCTCTAGCCTCTATAAGCCACTCCTTCCTTTTTTTTTCTTACTAGTAATCGTATGCCATTAGCAGATATTCATAGCATTGAAAAAGATGCAAATCAATCAACGACATCATCACTAGATAGTAGCTCTGATACGCAAACATTTAATTCATCTTCATTTGAGTTGATAGAACTTTTAGAAATGCCTGATACTAATACAGAAGAATAAAATCTTCTATACCATATCAATTACATATATGATGTATCGATACAAAATTGGTACGACTATAACGTCTAAAGATTATTATTTTTTATTCTAATATATAAAAAACATACAAAGAAATCTTAGTTATTTTTTTCTTTTTTTTTTTTTAGTCATGCTACTCTCGGTATGATATTATAATGTTTTGAGTATAATAAAAGATCCGAGTCATATAACTACTGTATTGTATATTTCATTTGACAATAATAATAAAGATTGGGTATTCTTTATGATGTTCACAAGCAAAAAATATAAGCTACCAGCCATTATGTTTAGTATCTGGGACACCCCACCCAGCGTCTTGAGCCTCTGAGGCATCACCCCATCCTTCTCCATTCTCTTCTGTTAAACCAAATCTTTCGAATAATTCCTCTTGTGTTTCATGTTCTGTCTTTACTACTTCAAAACTCTGTGGTGTTTTCATCGTGTTCCATTCTCGAAATGTTTGCCATTGAGGTTGTGCAGGATGAGTAGGTAATGTCAAATCAGTACTCATTAAGTTAAGCCTTTTAGTGTGTATGTGTGTGTATGTGGTGTATATGTTTTTTTAGATTTATATTTGAATATAGCAAAACAATTAAAATAAATGAAAAAGTCGATATAATTCTAATCTTTTTTTTTTTTTTTTTTTTTTTTTTATTTTTTATTTTTCATTTTATTGCTTTTTTTTTTTTTACTCTCAGTCATTTACAAATTATTTACAATTTTATATAAAATGGTATCATACATCTAATTCTTTTAAATAGTTATAAGACACAAGTCTTGGATCTGGCAACTGCACTTCAACTGCCTTTAATTTCTTGTCGAATATGTCAATTTCTTCGTCTTCTTCTTCAAATGTTATCTTTCGCTTTTGCCTACTTGATGGTTGAACTCTAGCATATAACCAAAAATGACCAGCCTTCAGAGCTCTTTTGATGATGTCTTGTATTTTAAATCTTATCGTGTGAGCAGATTCTTGGTCCCCTTTTAGCTCCTTGTTTTGCCTCCAAGCATCATACGTTATTTCACCATATTCAAGAACAGCTTGTTTAATGGCAGTTACCTGTTGTTCACTTACGAATAACAATCGAAATAGGAGTCGTTCACCATCTACATTCACAGAGGCAGTGCCTAGACCATCATCAACCTCAACAAGGGCATTAGCTATAAAGTTACGTCCTGGACTACCATCACAATATCGATTGCAATCACCTCGTTGGATAACAGTGCCGCACCTACAGCATTGCCATTTCATATTTATATGGATAACGTGACTTAAATAACAGTAGGCTCGAAAGAGATTAGTGTCTGAAAAGGAGGATATGATTGATCTGATAGGAATCTCTGAGAGCTGCAGTGGGCTATGATGATCGTTGTGTTCTCTCGTATCTACCTCTACTGTTGTATATTGATCGGCTAAACAAAAGAAGCCCCCCGTCTTATGTTTGCAGACAAGGTTATGAAATATGACAGTAGAGCCTACAAGTAAACCTAAAGGATAATATATATGCTGAGGATCTAAATAGATATCAATCACATCCAAGGTATCAAGTTGTCGAAGTTGTATATACAGTTTACGATGTGCCTGACCTGTGCCAATATTAAAATCTTTATAAAGTGATAAAGCGTTACGATTCGATTGAGGATCTTCAAATCCACCTATAAACCGTTTAGCAATCACGATTCCATATACATTAACAACCTGTTTGCAGAATTGGTATTGGGTCCTTTCATTCAAGATATTAGTTTTATAAAGTGCCACTGTTTCAATCACATCATGAGCAAGCTCCTCCTCCTTCTTGGATGGATGTTCAAATATTGGATCTAATCGGATAGCTTCCTCATGTCGTTTCTCTGTATAAAATATAGGGTATATAACATGCTCATCCCCAAGCAAATGTAACGTAGACCCATTTTCTTTTATTTCATCACCTTGGTATCTTCCACGAATTACACAATAGTCTCCTATCCTTAACTCCTCAAAGAAATGGAGGCTACGGTCGCGAGAACTTAAGATGAGTACACATGTTTGAGGTTCACATGACTCTCCTAGATCCTCAATATCGTAAACGTTGACAATCACGCGACTTTCTAAATATATTTTTGCATCTGTAGAAATGATAGTCTGAATAGGAAACTTGTTGATGACATGTATAACCCAATAAGGGTATTCTAACATGAGTCGACTAGGTCTATAACGGTTTATACCTGCTACATCTTTGTATTTTTCATCTATTTCAAACCAGAGAGAGGACAATCCAGCCCCTAGATAAACAAGATCTTGTTTACAACAGATTATATAAGTGGTTTTTAAGTCGATACACCTTGGTTGGGTTGTCCTAGTGTTTTTCAGATAGGAAAGATCTTCTTGGACGAGTTTAAAACGCTTTATCAAGTAAAGGCCGCTTCGAATGATAGATCCACTGACTAAGCAAAGAACACTCCCATTGTCGTCTATGAAATAAGTTCGACCGTCTTGTAATATCTTCATTTGGCCCAGGAGCCAACATAAGTTAGCATTAGGTTCGTAGATAGCTGTTCGTACGGTGACATGATCGGCCTCTGCTAAAGTATTGCTACCTACTAAATTCAAATCTTGCTCTTTAAGACGTTTAAGAACCATCTCTTTCAATACATGTTTTAAAGAAGGATAGACATGAAGTGTAATATTCGTAACAGAATAAGTGTTAGGGCCAACTACAAAACAGGATGTGTCATGCAAAAAAAAATGATCACGCCAGTTACCCTCATTATAACCGGGCAAGAATATCTTCTCCTTCAAAACATTATATGCTTGTTTCAATACATTGATATCTGTTATTAAACAGCTTTGCACAAATTTGATGGTTAAAGCGGCATAAAGTTCTAAACAACTAATGAGTTGTTTAAAATCAGCACGCCGAGAGATACAATCCAGATATATATGTTCTTTTAATTTGGCTTTTATTTCATTTGTTGATTGATTATGATGATCTATAAATGCTATAGCTGTTTCAATGTATTCACAGTGATTTGGTATATCGATCAGATCTATATGGGATTGCATGCAAGCCACTAAAATATGTGTTTTGGATGCTAGCATATCCAATAAGTAGCTTTTTGTTTTTGTTACTTTTAAAGACACAACATGAAAGCGATGTAAACGAATGCGAGTCTTAACTCGATAAGGACGTAATGGTGAATATCCCAAGCAATGAAACAGGCAAATGAGTGTCGTTTGATTGATTTCATAAAGACCAAACATACTATCGATGACACGTGTGATGGTTCCTATAACAAAGGTATTACTTGATGTAGTAGAGTCATTTAACTTTCGGTACTGTGATTTGCTGAGAGAATAACATGAGGATAATTCTGGTAAAAATGCAAAGAGAGGTTGTTGATATTTATCTGATATATAATTTAGATGTTGAAATGCATAGGGTAGGCCAACTTTAAACATGGCATAATATGTAATGATTGAATTGCCTTCAAAAAGAATGGAGACATGAGGCTGTTTGAGACTAATAATGAATTGTGCAGGTGAATCAGGTTTTATAAACAATGTTGAGATAGCTTCCACAATACCTGCTATACTTTGAGGTTGATCCAGATTTTCTGTTAATCTATAGACATCATCTGGATATTGCTTAAAAACGTTCTCTGCATCTAAAGCAAAACATTCACGTAACAGTGATGTACTGGCTGCAGGCGAACTGTATGCGTTGTCCATAAGAAATTCTACATAACAGATACCTAGCGATTCGCAACAAATATAATTCCATTTATCAATAAATAAAATTAAATTGTCTAGATTTGGATGAAATTGATCAACAAGACACATGATTGATTCATGAGTAGCTTGATCGATCAATATAACTGTGCCTCTCTCATAATCATCCGTATCTTCAGAAATGACTTTTACGATGCCTGTTAAATAAGTTGCAGTTAATGTTGAGTTGGTGCCTGCTTCAAATAATTGTAATTCATGAATCGTCAATGATTCCATATGCTTGTTGATGAATGAATTTGAAAAAAAAAAAAAAAAAAAAAAAAAGAAAGAAAAGGAAATCTGTCAATTTTTTTTTTTTTTATTATTATTATTATTATTATTTTTATTATTATTATTTCTCAGCCATTTTTTATGTACTAATTAGCTATTCAGATTTAATCACATTAGAGCAGACTTATATATAGGTAAACAGCTCAAGTTTGGAATGAAATCTAAACAAAAAAAAAAAAAAATGAATATAGAGTAAGAAAACCCAGCAAAAAAGAACGGAATTTAATCCTATTTACTTACCAAAGTTTTTACTTGGATCACAAGAACATTTCGTTCGGAATTCTTCTTCTATAGGACAATGTGTATACGCTGAATGTCTATAGCCTATATCATTAAAGAAATGAAATTCATCTTTATGTAATAATAAAGAGGCAGCAATTGAATGAACAGGAGCATCACCCCATCTATATTAAGAAGATATAAGGATAAGCTTATGAAAGCTCAGATATCCTTACCTTTCATAATAAAATCCTCCTGATTTATCGAGATAATCAAATAACTTTAAATAAGCTTCAGATCGCCATAGTGAAAGATCTCCAATTTCAAAGTTTGACCAAAAATGACATGTATTATAAGTTACACCATTATCACTGGTAACGAATTGGAAGAGAGTCTCATTTCTATTAGGTAATAATTGAGGATATTCTTTCGTAAAATTCATCACTGTATCCCACAAACTAGGCACCGTTTCGATATGTTCTTTATAAGCTATATTGAACCCTGTATAATAGACATATTAGTAATAATTGAATAAATAAATAAATATATATATATATATATATATATATATATATCGCTTTTACCATATCTCTTTTTCGATTTTCTCATGTATTCAAATACGTCATAATCAATTTGACAGTAATAATCAACGTAGGGCTCTAATCTCCAATAATAGTCAAATTCGTCTAACAAAGGATGTCTAAAGAAATATCCACTTTGAAATCTAGATTGTATATACCATTAAATTAAGATATATATACATATATTTTTCTTTTTTTGAAATCTATATCCTTTACCTACACATATGCCTATAGGATTCACTTGTTGCATAAGGTATATTTTGCTCGGCCATCTTTTGTCTACATTCAGCTGCATAAGTTTGATTAATAAATTCTGGATAACCCCACATCGTTTCATTCAATTTTCCAAATAAAACACGCGCGTTTGTAATAGAAGATACAGTTCTAATAAAGATAGGCGTAAAATCTTGATCATTGAGAAAGATATAAGGATAATGATATTTTGAGTTGAATGTATTTTCAATTTGACTCATCGTACTGACAATGCCATCTAATTCTTCATTACGAATGAGGATTACAAAACATGCTTTTTCTTTAGTAGTTTGCTGCAACTGTTTATTATTTACTATTCTAATAGGCTTCAATGGATAAAGTAAAAAAAAAGTAATTATAATAAAGAGCGATAGAGTTGAGCATATTAATATTTTTTGTTTCTTTAAGAAGCGTATTATCATTTATTTGAAAGAAAGAGAAAAAAAAAATCACAAGGGAGAAAGACAAATAGAAAAAAAGAAGCTTGAATCTTAACTTTTACTTCTAATATTTCAAAAAAACTGCTTTTGAATATAGAAACAGGCTTATATGCATCATATACATGTTAGTATAATATTCCTATTTTTAATATTGTACTACAACAAGATTGCAACTGGTGACAAACAATGTTAAGAGACTTTCCTAACTAAGACTCTATGGAAGGCATGAATTCTGTCACTTTTATAATTTTTTATATGTAGAGAAAACGATGCCTTTATATATAACCATGAAACTTACCAAGTCATTGATAGTTTTTTTTTTTCCTTTTTATAAATATATATGATAGATGAAATACCACATTCTGAACAGATAAAGGAAAATAGAAACGACTTTTTATACGATAGAAATTATAGTTTTACATAGAAAGACTTGTGTAATTATGACTCTTCTTTAATATATTTAGAAGATAGACTTATCCAATTTAATCAGGTTTTATTTATTATTTAACGATAATACGTACAAATTGAAAAAAATAAAATAAAATACATATATGAACTAGCAGAAATATTTACTATCTAGGAAAGGTTACTTGGAAATAATCGACAATCCTTAATATTATCCAGTCTTAAATAGAATACTTTTGAAGGAGCGTATAAAAAAAAAACACAAATATACGAAAAATGACTACAGATATACAAAAAATGACTACAGATATTATACGCTGTTAAACTACAAATATGACTATAACCAAGGATAGCCTCGATTTAAACTATGTCGATTCTAAGATTATTCAGGCACTATTAAGCAATGATAATTGAATGTTACCATAGATAAGATGGTTTACTTTACTATCTAGAACATAAGCAAGCGAGAGAGAGAGAAGGCATGTGAACGATATATATAAATACACACATAATTTGTAAAGTTGACTAAATTATGAAGAGCACCAACTATCATTTACTACATAGCAGGAATTTTTTTTTCTATATCTTTAAAAAATAATTATACATGTCTAATATCACTACTCTCTTCAAGTATGTGAGATTATGATATACACCAGTTATCATGAGAAACTATAAAATAATGTTATTTTTATAATAATAATAATAAAATACGCTTAATTAGAAGAAAATATTGAAGCAGATTTGCGTACAGAATATTCTTTATCGATTCGAAATCGTAGATATTATTTGCTTCTCAATTTAAGGGGCTCAAGTTGAAATTTATTAGATAACGGCTATACAACATAAAATCAAGAGTAAATATATATTTCAGTAAAAAGAGAAACCCTCTTGTCAAGGTTTCCCTTTTATTAAAAATAAAATACAATGCAATAAATAGGAATCTAACTATATTATCTTTAGCAAAGTCGTTCTAAAATTTTTTGTTAAGGCCTTCCTTAGTCAATTAAAAATAATTTTTCTCGATTCTTATTGGATTTCAAGTTCCTGGCATATAAATTTTTGTGAAAAGAAAAAAAAAAAAATAATCCAGTAATAAAATTCTTTTTTATTTTTCTCTCTTAATTATAATATAAATGAAGAAAATGTCTCAAGTAAACAGACAACAACAATGGGGACTTACTCCTCCTTCTTCTATCGATTATCCTAATGATCATGAAATAAAACTAACAGAAGATCTTATAAGAACTTTACATGAATATGGCTTATTTGAAAGCGACCAGGAAGCACAAAAAAGGTATGCAACAATTAAAAAATAAAATAAAATAAAATAAATAACACTATTGAAAACAATGCAGAATTACTGTCCTAAATAAATTAGACGCTATGGTAAAAGAGTTTGTTTATCGTGTTGGTATATTGCAAGGTTTATCGGAAGAAGAAGCTAGAAGCGCAGGAGGGAAAATATTTACTTTTGGTAGTTATAAATTGGGTGTTCATAATGCTGGTAATTTTTATTTTCTTGTATAAAACTATATAAATATGGACTGTTTATATTCATTATCTTTACTTATTCAAGGTGCTGATATTGATACGTTATGTGTATTCCCAAAGCATGTAGAAAGAGATCATTTCTTTACAATAATGTATGACATGTTAAATGAGAGGCCCGAAGTGACTGAGTTAACAGTAAGTCGTTTTAATATGTGCATAGATAGATAGTACATACATTTAATAATTTTAACCTAGTCCGTTGTGGATGCATATGTTCCAGTTATTAAAATGCATTTTTCTGGTATTCCTGTAAGTTATAAGAAAATTTGCGTGAAAAAAAAAAAAAAAATTGACTTTATAATTTTAGATTGATTTTGTGTGTGCAAGATTATCATTATCAGCTGTGCCAGATGACCTTGATTTATCAGATAATAATATTTTGTTAGGATTAGATGGACGTTGTATTCGTAGCTTAAATGGCTCTCGTGTAACGGATGAAATATTACGACTTGTACCAAGCGTACCAGTATTTCGACTGGCACTAAGAACAATTAAATTATGGGCAAAGAGAAGGGCGATTTATTCAAATATTATGGGATTTTTAGGTGGTGTTGCTTGGGCAATGTTAGTAGCAAAAGTATGTCAAATGTTCCCAAATGCATGTGCTGCATCTATTGTCTCAAGATTCTTTTTAATTATGTATCAATGGGAATGGCCACGACCTGTATTATTGAAACCAATGGAAGAAGGACCACTTCCAATTAGACAGTGGAATCCTAAGGTAAGAAAATTATTTTTAATCTTATCATTACAAAAAACTAAACTCCATTTGTTGGCTAGCTTTTTCCTGCTGATAAAAGTCATCGTATGCCAATCATTACACCTGCATTTCCATCTATGTGTGCGACCCATAATGTCACTGATTCAACTCGAGAGATCATGTTAAATGAATTTCGTCGAACAGGGGATATTGTAGAAAAAATCATGATTGGTACAGGGAAATGGGAGGAGCTGTTTGTAGAGAGTGATTTCTTTCAAATGTACCACCATTACCTGCAAATTACTGCTAGTTCATATTCACCTCAAACACAATTACAATGGTCGGGTTTAGTAGAATCACGAATAAGACAACTAGTACTAAAACTAGAACTTGTTGATTTGTTGCAAATTGCTCATCCTTATATTAAAGGAATCGAAAGAGTACACTATTGTGTTATGGGAAAAGAATGCTGGGATGTAGCACATGGTAATTTTAATTATCCCGAAAGAACATTTAATCTTGTTGATAGTAACTTAAATGAAGCAGAAACTTTAAATTTTTTACCTCCTGAAGAAAGAGAATCACTTATACCTATTTATACCACAACTTATTACATTGGTTTAAAGGCAGAACCTGTTACGGATGAATCACGTGGTCGTAGAAAATTGAATATCGTTTGGCCTACAACTGAATTCTTAAAAACCACTAAAATGTGGGATCGATTTGACCAAAAGACAATGGGAATTACGATCAAAAATCTGAAAGGGTAAAAAAAAAAAAAAAAAACTCTTGTTTATAAAATACTTATATAATTATTATAGATCTATGTTACCGGAAGAACTTCGTAAACGACATAATAAGTCTAGTAAACATAATAACCGCGTATCTTCCTTTCATTATTATCAACATCGTCCATTACAGTTAAAAAATATGATAGAATCAACCAATAAAGACTCTGTTAAAACAAGTCAACAAATAGAAAGTTAACAATATACCAATCAAGAAGGGAGCAGGTATCCTTCTCAACACAAAATTTATAGAAGAAAAAAAAAAAGGCCCTTATACATAATCTAGTTTATATTTATAATAATATACTTATATACATTCCTTCTAGAATTGACACACCTACACACTCTCTCTTCCTCTCTATAATATGCATGTATATCTCTCTTTTGTGTATATATATAAAAAAAAACTATTTAATAAAAAAATAAAAAAAAAACCCATATACATATACAATACGCATGACGTCTAATAGTAAATTTAATAACGAGCGTGTCAAAAATTTTCTATTCAATTGACATTTGAAACCTAAGCTGCAGTTTTTGAATATTAAGATTCAAAGGAAAAAACATATATGTATATAGTATTGTTCTTTTATAAGGTAAGGTATAGTATTTAACCTTAGAATCTTCATAATATAAAATGAGAACTACTTCAAGTAAGCAGTAAGCCTCATTTAAGCCAGAAATGATATATAATGAAAGGAAAGAGGAAATTCAGAGGTCAGATAGCTTTTTCGTATCATGTATAGTAGTCTAGAAGCAAATTTATTACAGCACAATTGTCTTTATTATTGCAATAAATGACATTGGCCAAAAAATAAAATATAAATTTAATACAACTCGTAATTTAACAAAGCATACATCAATTTATTGCTTCTATTTTTTTTTTCCTCTTCTTCTGAAGATATATAGTTAATATTATCACAGACAGCAGTATATTATAATGTGAGGAAGTAAAGATTGAAAAAAAAAGTATTTTTTTAAAGTATAGAAGAAAATACAACTGGTAAAGATGTTATAGAAAACCAGGGAATTATTATTGCTGTTAGATATAGCAAAAGACTGTATTAAAGAGAGAAAAGAATTTACTAAAAATAAAGAAAGAGCTATTGATTACTAAAATATCACCAAAAAGTTTATAAAATAAGGATAAGGAAGCTACTCCTAGTTGTTTTTTTATTAATGAATAGTCTACTCATTCTGATTCTGATATTATAGTTATGAAAGTCTACTGTTTAGGTATTAGATAGTTTGCTATAGCTGAGCATTGTTTTGTTTGCAACAATATCATTTTTTTTTATTTATTTATTTCTCCCTTGGTGGCAGCAATAATGATTTAGTGCAATCATGTATAAATATCTAATCTTTTATATATTTGTATATTTATAGTCATTTTCAATGCCCCCCCCCTCCAAATAAAAACAAATGTGTATCACTTACATTACCAAATGCAAGTTTATTGTCAAATCAAAAGTTTAAAAATATATCTGTTCTAATTATTTTGACTTCAAGGAAGAAACAACCAAAGAAATAGTACAAGGAAAATATCTTGTTCATGCTATCCCGGCTACAAAACAATACTAGATAATGGTCAATTTCGTTCGGAATTTAATCATGTCTATGGTTTTATTTTAACGTAGAAATATGTGGGATAAGAAGAAAGTATACTCTTAGGTCTGATAAATACTTTACTGCAACCTCTATTGAAAAAAATATCTTTCCCCTAATAAGCATACAATGTATCAAGATTTCGCAAAGATAAAGAAATCAAGCAAAGAAAAGTGATAGAAATCTTTTATGATATGAAAATTGTATGTGTATTTGAAAAGTACCTCTAACAAAATTCAAATCGACAAATCATAGAGCTACGCTATTAAACCAGGAATAACTAACACTTTTTTTTTCTCTCTTTCTTATTATCACAAGTTCAATCTTTTACATTAGCCTTTACAATTTTTTTTTCTTAACTTTTTATCATTTTTAAACTAATTAGAACAATTCAGCAATTCCACAAGCTACGTGTCAATTTTTATATACACGTATATATTTTCTTTTTTAAAAAATAAGATAAATTTATAAATGAAACCACCTCATTTTTGCTCAGAGTATCTCAATGTGTATATAAAAAAAAACACGTGAAATGTTACACTATTATAAAAAATTGGATTGCTGTTTTTCAATCCAACCATTTAACAGCTTTACCCCTTTTTTTTTTTTTTTTTTTTTTTTTTTTTTTTTTTTTTTTTGCAAATAGAATTAAAAGATTGAGATGGACTTTATAGATCAAAAACTACAATCACTCTTTGCTGGAATTCCAAGTGAATTACATTTATTGACAGGTGCAAATATATATATATATAGAGAGAGAGAGAGAGAGAGAGAGTAACATGTCAATACTAATTATATGAAAATAATTTTCTAATAGCTGTCGAAATTCTTAACAATGCTTTTTCTAATGATGATCAAGATTATGAAACACAAGAAAATGCTCGAAATGCCTTAACTTACTTACGAATTAAAGCAGCAAAAGTAATTCTGTTTGACTAATTCATTTTGATCTAGAAACGATCTATATACATATATATATATATATATATACCATTATCTGGTTATTCATATTTATTATATAGGGAGATATTGAGGCAAAAATAAAATTAAGTACAATCCTTGACAGGAAAAAACAAGACTCGAATTTATTCATACAGATAGATAAAGAGGAAGCCAATTTATGGGCCCGTAGTGTCTTTGATCGACGGTTATCAGCTGCTTTAACGCCTTGTACATCCGAACTCATTTTATTAACACAACAGCAAGATAACAGGACTAGCCTGATTGAACGCTTGATAGAACGAGTTGATCATGGCCTTCAGAGTGATCCCTCAGAAAGTCTAAAAGGGAAAAAGAAATTACGTTCATTATGTTATTTAGTAGGAATCTTATTTATTGATGGCACAGCTATTGAACAAGATATGACACGTGGCATGACATATCTGTCAAGGGCCTCTGACTTGGGTAATGAAAATGCTGGAATCACACTTGCTAAAATCCTGAGTGATCCCTATAAATACCCACAACACTATGACATGCACAAAAGCCTTGAAATTTATGAGGCAATGGCTGAGCGCAAATTAAAGGATATGCGTGCTCTCACTGACCTCGCTCATGTCTACTACGAGGGTACCCATCTAATTCCTCGCGACCTTGATAAGGCTTATCACTACGCTCGTCGTATTGCAGAATCAACGGGTGAACAGTACTGTCAATTTATTGTTGGGGACATTTTACTAAGTCGACATGATATTCAGCAAGCCATCTTTTGGTTAACACAGTCTGCTGAACAAGGTTTCCCAATGGCCATTGAGACGTTATCGAGGATTTATTTTGAGGGTAGTCTTGTTGAGAGAGATTATGAAATGGCACATCACTGGTGTTTAATGGGCGATGCTATTTGGCCTTCTGGGTTAGGGTATTGTCAAACATGTCTAGGTGACATGTATCGTCAAGGGTTAGGTGTTCCAAAGGATTTAATTCGATCATTTGAGTATTATCAAAAGGCAGCTACACAGCAAAATACACCACAGAATTATGCGCGTTATATGTTGGGAGAAATGTAAGTCAATGAAAAAGAAAAAAAATTTTTTTTTTTTGTCTACATGTACATGCTATTAATATCAATATCTATTATTGTGAAAAGGTTTTTTAAAGCAGATGGTTGGGAACATAATTTATTGTTGGCTGCTGAATATTACAAAATGGCTGCAAAGGAAAATTATGAACCAGCATGTAAACGATTAAAAGAGTTAAAAGAAATTGAAGAAGAAAATAAAAAATCAATAGAAAAGTTAAATTCAAAATCAGGAAAATGGAAGATATGGAGAACATTTTTAAGGAATAGAGAAGGAAGGGCTGCAGTATAAATTTTATCTCTTGTGTCATTTACTGTATACTATATACCATTATTTTATTTTATTTTTGTTATTATTTGTATAGGTTATATTATTTGTAGCGTTAGAATTATATATATATATATGTATACATGTATATAAATATGTGTATATATATTTCAGTTTTTTCTTTCCATTATATTAATATTATTTAATAAAATATTCACTTGTATAATCAATCTTATCGCGTTATCTGCAAAGAATAGCAACTATTTAGATGTATACTTTATGAGAAAAGAATATTTTATATGAAGCAAGAATGCAGTAGATTATAGATGTATAAAATCAAGCCTTTTTTTTTATATTTCTTATTATCATTGGTATAAATATAACTTTAGGATGCATACTCGAATAGCTTTACAGGTTAAGTTTGCATTATGAAGTCGAGTACAATATATTAAAATTATAAATAGACACATTTAAATTTTTTTTTTATTGTTTAATCTAAGGGCAACGAAGAACAATGATTAAGTTCATTAAGAATAAAGCCTACTAAATTCAAGGTAATAATTTAAATGTATATTATTAATATTTCTACATATAACTAAAAGCAAAAGAGAGAGGGTTCTGTAATATATATGCATAAATATATACTCATTGTTTACCTATTAAAAGTATCTTTTGTATAAGAAACAGTATTCGATATTCTTCTGTTATTCCATTTATTAACGTTTTCTAAATACATATAAATGATGTTTTTTCTTCTTCTTTTATATCATGACTTTCGTTGTTATGAAATTATTGTAAAAAAAAAAAAAAAAAAAAAAAGAAAAAGAAAAAGAAAAGAATTATTCAGCTCTTTTAGGAGACATAGAATAATCGCACTTGAACTTTTTAAGAAAGTGATCTTCAAGAAGGAAGAAAATAAAAATAGAAAAAAAAAAAAAAAAAAAAAAAAAACGGGGTTAATAAATGATGTACATAATAAAGAAAGTTGACATATGTGTAGTAAAATATATGCACTATGAAATTAGATGACAACCAAAAGGACATGCCCTTAATATAAATAACCCTTTTTTTTTATAGAAAAAAAATCTCTTATTCCCTTCTTCTTTTCTTTTTATTTTATCCTTATTACATAGATTAGTATAGAAAAGGCAACATGAAGCCCTTTTTTATTTTTCCTATTATTGCTCTTGGCCTTTTATTAATATGCTCTCAAAATGTATCAGCCAACAACGATATCAATTACACGAATGGTCGTTTATTAAGAAATAAACGTAGTTTAAAGTTAATTTATGATCTCAAGAAACGTCAAACAACCTATGGCGGGACTCCTGCTCAACAGCAGCAGCAGCAGCCACCACCACCACCAACTTGTCCAAATCCTCAAGATCCACGATGTCCTCAAACATTAACATTACCACCTCTTCCTAATGCTGCTTTCCCCCCTCCACCTGTTTTACCCGCTCCTGGTCTTCCAGGATTACCAGCTGTTCCTGCTTTACCAGGGCTTCCACTTTTACCAGGTCTCCCAACTTTACCTACCTTACCTACTTTACCAACTCTTCCTGCACCTCCTGATTTAAGTACAATTACTGCTCCTCCAGCTGAAGAAGATTAAAAAAAAAGGAACATTTTCTCATTACACTTGAATATTATTTTATGTAAAATGTACTTGGTTTTATATTGTTAAAATAAAGAATAAACTAAAACTTTATATTAATAAAAAAAAGTTTCATACATATAACTTTACTGCATTCTAATATATCTATTATAAAGAATTAGAAAGATAAGTTTATAACTTTATCAAAACTAGAATTGACTATACTCGGTATATATACACCATTTTTTTATTGGAAAAAAAAAAGGAGAAAACATATAAAAGGAGAGTAATCAAAAGGTATAGGAAGAAAAAAAAAAGCCAGTTAGTTGTTGTTTAAGGGGATTCATAAATAAAAAAAACACATACACAGAGGATCAGTATACATAAAAAAAGTTTCTTTATTGATGAACTCTACTTATTGCTAAAAACTTTATCAGTCATACAAAGCTATTTATTGTCTTTCTTTAATTAAATCAAAGACAGATCGAGAAGAGAAATGCAGAAGAAAAAAGAAAGGGATCAAGTAATCTACTTCTTTTTGTTACAAATGTAAGTAATCTTGGTAATAATTCTCTTTCTTTCTCTCTTTTTTTACAATTTGAACTTAATTCTGATTGACTATTTTTTGTAAACAATAAACTATTTTAAAGAATTAAAGCCTCAGTAATTGTATTATATCCCAAAGTATATGATAACATACTTTATAGTTCTCCAATTCTTTATCATGTTTTGGTTGATATTGATGACATGTCTTCACAGCATACAGCTTTATCTATGTTGTGTATGAAATTACGGAGTCTTTTCATCGCAACGAGATAATAAACAGATACATCATTATACTGAAACATCGTAAAATAGACTCTTTATAAATGTTAATCTTCTATTTTATTTTACAAGCTTCTTTCAGATTATATATATCTGAGAAGAAGCGAATGTTTTTTTATCAGTCAGTAAAATAAGTCTTTAATGATATACACAACTTTTGTTTTGTGTATGTAGTTACTTGTGGCATTTATATGAATGCAATAATACTTCTTTTTTTTTTCCCCTTCATATGATGATAAGGGACGTTTACGTAAGAGCCTTTTACTAGCTCATATACCTTTTCCAATCTGTTGCCAATAAAGTCTTACTTTATAACCTAATTTGATCGAATATAAAAGCCTTCTAGGGGTTCAAATATTCTGTATAGCTTTTGGAAGCCTCTAATGACTCAGAGATACCTTATCTGCGAGTTCAAAAAGCAGATCTACAAAAGTATAAAGAATACCGAATATTTCAAACTACGACATCCTGATTTATTGAAAAGGGTAGGGTATGGTATGGTATAAAAAAGAGTCAAGTAGAATGCTGATCGCTTTACATAAAGAAAGGAGTATAGGGAAAAAGAAAAATAGAAAATAAAGAAAGAAAGTAAGTTGTATATAAGGAATTCATCTATAAATAAACTTCTTTCATCCTTCAATTCTTCTCTCTCTTTTTTCTTCCTTTCCTTTATTTTATTATATAAAATAGCTTAAAATATACACATACATACATAGTTGGATATTTAATTTACCATGCTAACAATGCAATCATTCTTCTTTCTTACTCTTTTTTACACTCTTCTTTTGTTCACTCAAGCTATTTATTCTAAACCAGTTGATAATGATTGGGTACCTCAAAATCCATTTAAACATCAACGAAGATCTCTTGCCTTTAGAAAACGAGACGCGCCTTCAGCAGCAGATACTTTGATCGCTGCTGTTCCTCAGCAATTATCTTCAGCTCCTACACTTCCTGGTCCTGATGCTTTAATGTTACCTACACTTCCTGATACCACCACTTTACTTCAACAAGTTCCTCCTCTTCCTGCTTTACCTGCTTTGCCAAATCTGGGTACTGCTGCTGCTATTCCGCCAGCTGGATTCCCTGTTATGGGTTCATCTCCTCCTCCTCCTCCTCCCTCAACACAACCAGCCCCCAATAATGGTAAGAAGAAAGATGAGGAAGAGGATGAAGAAGAAGAGGATGAAGATTAAATTAATATACATATTATATAAAGTATGCTGTATGCAGTATGCTTAAAGTAAATAATAATAAATAGTTTTTTTTTTGTCAACACATATTATGAGGATCATAACTCCTACTCCCTCTCTCTCTCTTCACTTTCTCCTTCCTTATAAAAAAAAAAAAGAAAAATATAAGCTGTATATAAAAAGAAGGTATAGGGGTAAAAAAAAGGAGAGGAATTGTTTGTTTGTTTTTTCTCAATGATGACATAGTAGATAAATATTTATTATTATACAGATAATATCATATTTGATTAGAAGGATGATTTGTTTGGTTATTAACTGTGATATCTAATGATGATTGTCGTTCTATTACTATCCTGTTTTCATTATTATTCATGTTCGAAGCCTGCTCTTCAATTGATAATCTATTTATAGGATGCATGCTTCTTTCTTGTTGCTCGTCATTCGTTCTAGCCACTTCATCTTCTTCTTTACTGTTATCTAATGCTTTCTTACAATCATATTTACAGATAGGACATAGACTTGATTTCTTTGTTAACCAAACATCAATACATGCAGTACAATAGCCATGCTGACATGGTAATACACGAACATAAAAGTCATTCATAAAGTCATCTAAACATATTGCACATGTTGTGTTTAGCATCGTCACTTCTTTGTATTTTTTCATTGGGCAAATGAGATCAAGTCTTTCGAATGGTATCACATCTGTAACGACTATTTCGGCCAATAACATATTCTCAAGAGCTACAGGATCTATAGTTGTTATCGGTCTACGCATGGCTCGACACCAACGTGTGATGACAAAGATGATGATGATCAGAGCAGCAGCAGTAACGGAATAAATAATGTAATTGCGTTCATTTTTTTCGTTATCCCATTCATTAGTACCGTCTTGTTGATTATCGAATGTGGTATTGCTGGGATCACTTGAAGATGGGAAATGATTTTCACTTAATGAAAAAGTCAATTGAATATAGTATTGCCATGTTCCATTTCTTTCCAATGTGTTTTGTATGAATGTTTTATTCAATACATCAATATATCGTTTTGGAACATAATAAACAGCAACAAAGGTTGTACCGGTGTTGATATCATTTTCGAAAGTCATGTTCTTAATGTTACGTTCAGCTGGAGGCTCCTGAGACTGTTGCCAAGTTGGGTAAGCCATATCATTTGTGTTTTCTTGAATCAGAATCGTATCGTTGTAAGGAACATCATCATAAATAACAACACCTGTGATTTGTAGACCGTATAGATTTGAAAGTGATTGGATAGTAGCAATCTTTTCTGACCAACGTTGACAACGACCTGATCGTTGAGCAAGTGCAATGGAAGGTTGTGACATCATCGATGGACTTGTAGCCCAGTTGCCATTTAAGGCTTCAATGTCATTTATGGTTGTGTTTGGACATGCATCACCAAAATCCATTACAAGACGCTAATATGCATATATATAAAAAGTCAATTCATTTACGTTGTTAGATAGGTTATCAGAAGAAAAATAATAATAATACATATTTACTTCATTATAGCCAAAGAGGTCTTTATATTCATATACTGTCTGGAACTCTGGACTATAGACTTTTGAGGAGGTTGTGGGTATGTAATGTTTAGTTTTATTTGACTGAGCCAAGTCATATTTAGCAAGAATTTGCCTGTGTAGCCAATAAGAGAAGGTTAATCCATTTGTACGATTACTTTCTTTTCATTTTATTTATATACCATATGAAAGGGTTTTTTGGAGAAGCTTGTGCCCTAATTATTGAAATAAGGAAACAACAAGACAACAAAATTGCCCAGAAGTTGGCAAAAAGAAACATCCGAACATTCAAAATAAAATGTATATAAATAAAAAGAAAAGGAAGAAAGAAAAAAAAATTCAAAAGCGATACAAAAAAAGAAAAAAATAAATAAATAAATATATTTGTACAATTGTGTGAGTGAGTGTGAGTGAGTGAATGTGTGTGTGTGTGTTTGTTTTTCTTCCTCTTCTTTTTCTTATTTATTTTTGTTTTAATAAGAGAAAAAAAAGAAAGGTTTTATGGCGTATTTTCCAAAAAAAAAAAAAAAAAAAAAATCGGATTAATAATTTTCCATCAAGGTACACTTTTTACTTTCCTTATCAGGACATAATGTAACTTAACCAGACATAGCTTTTACTCTAATAGGTGTGTTGATAATTCTCCAGATCAAATGACTTGCAATTACTATTAAAAAAAAAAAGACCAGTTCTGACAGCAGTTGATGTAATAGTCAATGAATGACATACAAGGCTTGTCTAAAATGAGAAGCTTATTGTTACGTTTAGTGACACTACAATGTGTGTGTGTGTGTGTGTGTGAAAAAAAAAACCAAGACTTGATGGTTCTTTAGTAATTTTGTGTCCAGTTATGTTGGACTTTGAAAAGTGGAATAGATTTTAAAAGAAGAATATTTATTGCTGTCCTGTTATGGGAAAGATTGCTTCTTTTGTAAAGAACAAATGTACCCTTTTTGGATATCATTTTAAATAAATGACGTATCAGTTTATTTATTTATTTAATAAGACGCGTTCTATTGTTCCCTTTATCCGAACTGGAACAATAGAGACAATTACTTGATAACAAGACAATACATTGTTATTTAAATTGATAAAGATTCATCAGAATCACGCTTTAATAAGCTTCAGATGATAGTGAAGTTATCATAATCCAATATAGTTTTTAGTCGCTGTTGAAATATCGAAACAATTATGTAAGGCAATAGTTGGTTAGAGATTCAAAGATTTGTATGTATGTTACTTGTTCATTTTTGGGAATAACTCAATATAGTGTATGTTTTCTAAACCTTTGCAGAATAGGTATATCGATAGAGTGAAAGTCCTTTTTTTTTGTATATGAAGCAGGAGAGGAAGGTAAAGTAGCTTACTATACAATTTACAACTGTATTACCAAGTAGCTTAGCTCTCTTTTTGGAAATGGGATATTTAGAAAAGACTTTACTAAAAGTGAAACTAGTTATTGATGCTATGCTATTTTAACACTTTTTAATTTATATTAAAGAAGAAAATAAAGACTTGTGAGACTAATTTCTTAGACGGCATTACTTGTGTAAAAAGACCAAGATACAATTTGTCAATGTGATATTTACATCTCTAAATAAAAATAAATAATAGCTGAAAGTGCTTTAAAGGAACTTTTAAATTCCCATAAAAGCAATTTTTGTTTCCAGAAAGATTTATACTTTTGCAGATAAGATAATCAAATCTGATAACTCTAGTTTGTCTAAAAAAAAGCAAGTAAACTCTTGTTTCACTTTATCTTACTTCCTCCCTAATTCCATGTCTTTATGAAATTCTATTCTATAATACAACATAATCGGAAAAGAAAGCTATAGAGTCCTTTTATTAAAAATAAAATGACAGTCCGTTACAAAAAAAAGTTTGGTTTTAGAGCTTGTAAAGAAATATGACTTGAATCAAATAACCCATCTTTCAGTTTTATTTCTTTCACATCATTTATAATGAATTATATCACTTGTTCGAGATTTAGGGCATACGCATCCCGCCTCCATTGATACGCTCTGTAAATGAGTGAAACACGATTTATGTTAGGGCTAATATTTTTACTTTTTTTTTTTTTTTTTTTTTTTTTTTAGTTTCCTTTGATGTTTCATCTTTGATAATAAATAGACAGCAATTACCCCATCTCCCTTTTTTTTTTTATCTATTGGTTTTGATTGCTTAATAATACTACTGTTTTAATGATGAGTTTACTAGAAGTTATAGATATCCATAATATTAACTCAGTCCTACCTATATATTGTTTCACTCAATTCTTCCTTACATAATACATAGTAACTACTTCATTAAAAGAAGTGTTGTGAATTTTTTCTTCTCTTATGTAACAAACTTACTTTCTCCCTATCATTCGATAAATGTTAGGAAAGCATAGAAAAACAACTAGCCTCAGTAAAACTTTAATGATATATTAAATACTCTTTCATAATTTTTTTTTCTAACCCTTCTCCCCCCAAAAAAAAAAATAAAAGAAAGAGGAAAGAGAAAATAATAAGAAGAAAGGTAAATGGAATAATATATACGTAGCATATAGGACAATCATGCTTAGCACTGTGTTAAATGGCTTTTTTTCTAAAAAAAAAACACATTGATTAGTAAAAAAATAAAAAATACCCCTCCAATACATTTAAACCTCCGAATGAATTGATATCATATAAAGATATTTATATAAAAATATGTTTTTTTTTTTCGTGTTTGGTGTTAACTTTACTTTTTAACTTTTAAAATCTAATCATGTCTACTGCGGGCCAAGTAGGTTTTTGATTATTTAAAATCGCAAGTAAATAAAATTAAATTATAGTGTCCTATTCTTATAGGTAATTAAATGTCGTGCTGCCGTTGCTTGGGAAGCCGGAAAGCCTTTAAGTAAGCATTGAGTGTACATAAATGAACCAAAGTAAAAGAATATACTAACATTTGCGATGAAAAAAAATAAAATAAAATAATGAAGGTATTGAGGAAATTGAAGTAGCACCTCCAAAGGCTCATGAAGTTCGTATTAAGATCCTTTATACTGGTGTGTAAGTGTTCATCTATAAGCGTTTTATTTCATATTTTGTTAGGAGTAAAATGCATTATTAATAATATAATCTTTTAGTTGTCACACTGATGCTTATACTCTTTCTGGTGTTGGTAAAGTATAATTTTATAAGGTTATTATTATGTTTGATATTAATAGGATGGCTATTTTGAAGACCCCGAAGGAGTTTTCCCTGCTATTTTAGGTCATGAAGGTGGTGGAATTGTTGAATCAGTGGGTGAAGGTGTAACAGATGTTGCTGTAGGCGATCATGTCATTCCACTTTATACAGCTGAATGTCGTCAATGTAAATTCTGTAAGAGTGGAAAAACAAATCTCTGTGGTGCTGTTCGTGCTACTCAAGGTCGTGGTTTAATGCCTGATGAAACTGTTCGTTTTACATGTAAAGGAAAGCCCATCTATCATTATATGGGTACATCTACTTTTTCAGAATATACAGGTAAGGAGAGGGAAAAGAAAAAGGAAAAGAAAACTAAGAGTAAACTTGGATTTTAGTTGTTGCGGATGTTTCTGTTGTTAAAGTGGACCCTAAACCTAGTTTGCAGAAGCTTTGTCTTTTAGGCTGCGGTATTACTACTGGTTTTGGTGCTGCTACCAAGACAGTCCAAGTTGCTGAAGGAGATAGTATTGCTGTCTTTGGTGTTGGTTGTATCGGTCTTAGTGTTATCCAAGGTGCTGTTTATAATAAGGCTAAGCGTATCATTGCTATTGATATAAACTCCAAAAAGGAAAAAGTGGCTCGTGAATTCGGTGCAACTGATTTTGTCAATCCTACTGAGCTTAAAGTACCAATTCAACAATATCTTGTTGACATGACCGATGGTGGACTTGATTATACATTTGATTGTACAGGTAACGTTGAAGTGATGAGAGCTGCTCTTGAATCCTGCCATAAGGGTTGGGGTGAATCTGTTATTATTGGCGTTGCTGCTGCTGGTAAGGAAATTAGTACAAGACCCTTCCAATTAGTCACTGGCCGTGTATGGCGTGGTTCTGCTTTTGGTGGTATTAAGGGACGTTCTGAAATGGGCGGATTAGTTCAAAAGTATTTGGACGGTCAATTGAAGGTGGACGAATATATTACACATACTTTTGATTTAGGAGACATTAATAAGGCCTTTGATGCTATGCATGCTGGTGATTGGTAAGTGAGACTTTATGATGTAGATGAAAAATAACTAAATTCATTTTTTTTTTATTTTTTTCTCTTAGTGTTCGTTCGGTTGTTACCGTTCAAAAGGAATAAATATTTCATTTGCATCTCCTTTTTTTTTTCTTCCTAACATGTACATAACGTTTACTTCTCCTTGTTATTAAAATCTTGATACATATTCTTTAATATTGGTAAACATATATACAAGTATATATATAAAGGGAAAGTGAGGGAAATACTGCGAAAACGATGTAGATAGAAATCAAGCTGCTTGTTTAATCTACACAAATGATTACCTTGAATGGTAGCGACGCATTCACCTTTCTTAGAATTACGCCTGTCTTTTATTTTTATTTTTCTTTAAATATATAGCCTAGCCTTTTGTATGTTTTAACTCATTCATTTTCTTGAGGGACTAAAGTAGATATCAAGTGGCATAATAGAGGGCAACCAATTTGAGCTAATAATGACAGATGATGAAAGTGTCACTAACATTCATTGCTTCGTCATATACATCTATTTATTGCGTTTCTCTGAATACAAATAATTCCATGTGGCTATTTTATTTACATTTGCTGATATTAATTAATTTACTGAGGGACAGCATCCAACATTATAGTGTCTTTCATGAATTAATATAAAATATGAATTCCTCTACCAAAATCGCATGTGCTAAAATCATTGAAATATCACATCATTCTTTTAGTAGCATTGCTAACATTATTCCCCGTCAGTATTTTTTTTTTTTTTTTTAACTGTATCACTAAATATTGAATTGACTGGTTAGTTATTTTTGCATTTACTTGGAACGATTATAATAAATTAGTCTAATATTATTCTTAATATTTCCAATAGCAATTGAAAATCTGTGTTTATTGCTGTTGACTGACCTTGGATACTTGTGTCCGTTATGTTCGACGGTATATCAACAAAGAATATTATTATATGAGTGGGTCAACAAGAATATCTATTCAGAACTGAACAAGTTGAAAGAAGCGTTTAGGTTCAGCTTAATAGAAAGCGCAATACCAACCAAGCTAGTAAACTATCTTAAACATGTCAACTTACATTATTGATGATATACAAACTTTATTCAACTTTTACAGTTTGGTTATCACAAAGAATTGCTTCTTCTTGTAACAAGGAAAACAGACAGCAATTAAGATGAGAGTAATCATGCTACTTAATGGTGTTAAAAGTAAAAAAAAAAACATACAACATAAAACTAAGAGAAAAGAAGAATAAGAAAGAAAAGAAGATCAAGAAAGAAAAGAAGATCAAGAATAAAGAGAAAGAGAAAGAGGTCTTGAGGAGGAATACATCAAAGTAGCTACATCTTAAAACCAATGATGATAGTCATGATTATTTTTTTTTACTTTGATAAAGAAATGAAAAAGAAGAGTAACTTTGCTAAATACCAATCAAATGTGCCCTTAATTGTATTATTTGGTAGGGCCGTGTTGGGTAAATGTTTGGCCCGACTGAAGAAGTTGAACAGTGGTGTAACTGTTCTTTTCTATAAAACTTTGAAAAAAAAAAAGAAAAGAGAGATAGAAGAGTGGTGACTTGATAGTTGTTACTATTGACAAGTACCTGACTTTACAAATCTGCTGTAAATGTATAACTGGAATTTTGAATCGAGTAATCAGCATTCCTGACTAAGATGTTTTTGTTTATAAGACATGTCGAACACTTTAATAGAGGGATATGAATGCTTCGTTAAATAGAATGAAGATTGCTCAGTCGATCTGGAGAAACAAAGGTCGCCCATTCTCTCTCTTTTTTTTTTTTTTTTTTTTTTTTTTTTTTTTTTTTTTTTTTTTTTTTTTTTTTTTTTTTTTAAAGGAGGCTACATAACAAAACAATAATCGCCGTAACGAATGCGACTTGTCCTAATAGGCTTAAGATTTTTTACTGGTAAATCATTTAAAAAGTTATTATCTCAATCTAAAGTTTAAATACTGTAACACCTTACTATTGATTAAACAACTTTAAAAAATTGCTTTTTCTTTGTTTACCATAAGAATGGGTAACTTTACACTTGTCAGACACTGTCAATAGTGATTGTAATACCCAATGTGAATCTTATTTCAAAGACTTTGATTTCAAATCGTAAATACTATAAAATTTAAAGGGAAAAAGAAAAAGAAAAGAAAAAAACTCCCATAATAAAAGTATATACTATATTAAAATATATAATTTCTTACTTTTGCTAAATGATAAAAATCACTTTAAAGTAAAAATTACATTTCATAAAAGTATGATTAATTATTCTGCCGAAAATTTGACTCCTTTCTCCTTATTCTCTCTTCCATTTTATGTACTCCTTTTTTCTTTTGCATAAAAATAGATATAAATTCCTTTCTCTTTTACCTCTTTTTTTTTGCCTCTCTTTCCTTTTTTAATTTTAAATAACAAATTATGAAGTTTTACATTGTTTTATTAATATTCTCTTCACTTCAAATCCTCGTTGTTTTCGCTAATGAAAACAAGAAAGCTCAATTATCTCGTCGTATGCTTCAAAATATGGAATTGCATGCAAACTTAAGTATGTGTAAAAGAAACTATTCTATTCTATATTTAGCTTATATATTATTATTATTGTTATTACTATTATTGTTATTAAAAAAAAGATCAACCTCATATAGACCGTTGTCCATTTATATATTGCTGATAAGAAAAAAAAAAGAAGGAAAGAAAGAGAGAGAGAGAAAGAAAGAAAAAAGAAAAAGCTGTGCTTTATCGTTATTATATGTGATTTTATAAATATTTGAAAAAGAAAACTCGTATTATTATTATTATTCCTATAATTTTGTCATTATAAAATATATCAAATTCAAAAGAACAATAAAGAAATCAGGAACACTATGTTTCGGATTGAATGGTTCACGTACATTTACATAAAAAGCTTCTTTTTTTTTTCCTTCTATTAAGGTTTGATTGTCTAGAACTTGGCTTTTACAGAAGAATAATGAATTGTGTGCGTTTGTATGTGAGTGTAAAAGGAAGGGAAGGTGGGGGCGTTGATACTAAAAATCATATAACAGGAGTTTTAAAATAAAAGGGAGAAGAAGAAGAGCAAATAAAGGAGAAATACAAGTTAAGTAATGAAGCATGATCTACTACTAATCTATACACATGGACCGAGTAATAGTATAGGGAGTATAGTACTACTATTTACTATTATACAAATCATACAGTCATATTATATCTTTCTTTCTCTAGATAATTCATTACGAATGAAGATATCTACTCTAGTTTTAGTATCTTATTTTCTTCTGATAAACACACATGCATTACCTTTGAAGAGAAGGTCATCAGCACAAGCTGCGCCTATTGATCTAAATACTCCATTACAGCAAGATGTAGCGCAACTTAATCGAATCTTACAGCATGGCACCATTTTCTTAAACTTCCCGGATAAAGGACCAGAGGAATGATAACAGATTTAATCTGTGACCAAACAAAAAAAATTTTTTAATAACAAAAATAAACGGATAAATATAATACACTATTTCTTATATGAATGTATATAGTATAAATAGTTTTTACAAATAACTTGTGTATAATATTATGCTGAAAAGCAAAATTTGTTATCGTAAAATATTCTCTTATACAAAGATAATTCATTTCTTGGTATACATACAATTTTTACATCTAAACTAGATGCATCTCAAAATTATAAATATGGTTCTTTTTATATCATGCTTTTTTTTTTTTAGTTATCTGTATCATTGATAATTATTCTAGAATAAGTATCTTAAATACCTCAATGATATATGGGGATAACTTTTAAAAATGTTGCAGAAATATTTAAATTCTTTCAATTAGGTGTTGAATAAATTATATTTTATATAGACTATATTGTATGTTCATTCAACCTCATTAAATACGATGGTATATTAAAATCTATATTGGTTCATCTTGGGTAACTATACAAGTTAGGAATGTCTAATGATGATTTAATGATGAATAAGCATAGTTTTTGATCTTGATATAACAGTTAGTTTCATATTGTCTTTCTGATTAACATATATATTTAAATATAAATATATACTTCATATAAGCATAGAATAAATAGATAAGGATTAAAGGTAAATGACTACGTTTAAATTTAAATCTATGAAATAATACTAAGGATAAGAAGATATTTTTGTGTAAAAAGCAACTGGTTATCATAAAAAAAAACACTTATAATTTGATAGATGAGATTCTTATTTCAAGAGACTTGAACAACTTGTATTTTCATCATCCGTCGATGGGTTAACAATTAAGGAGTTACTGTTATGTTGGGAGGGAACACAGGTCTTAAGAAATCATCAGATCAGTATATACTATCTTTGACAGTGTCACCCTAATTTTAGGTCAGTGCAAATATAATTGCAAGCTTGTACAATGCAGTGTAAGGGAATTAGTAGAAATTTAGAGAACTAGGAACAACTTCTTAACTATCCTTTGGCTTGTCATTCATTTTTTTTAAGGCTTGAATAAATATTTAGCCTAAAATTTCACATTTATTTCCATAATCTATATTATTTTTGTACAGTTCTATTTAATATAATCATAGAAAAATCAATAGTTATATTAAGTATAAGTATATTTTATTACTCAATACATAGTCACATTCAGTTTGATACCTTACCTACTAACACTCTTCTTATTAACAGCTATACATACACACACCAACATTCAAACAACAGATATATAGCCAATGTTTTATTTGCCTTTAAATTTCATGTTTGAGAATATGTCCCAATACAAGAATAGAAGTTTTTGATACCTGTAAATGATACAAAATTAAAATAATTTACAAAGTTACGTATAGGTATTTGCTTCAATTAAAAGACACCTTCCACCCCCCTACCCCTCTCTACTGAAGTTTTGAAGAAGTTAAAAGAATTAAGATTTGTAGTTTTCACACGAAACCTGTATATATAATGGATCTAATTATTTAAAGTATACATATACTAAATATAAACGAGAGGAAGCTTTCAAGAAGATCAAATTAAGTAAATAAAAGCATATAGCTTGAGTAGAATCCATTTTCTTTAAGACAAAAAAAAAACATCCTTTATCATATCCAACACTACTCGAATAGATATGTTATTAAGGTAATAACATTCTGTCTGCTATCGAGTAATATGCAAAAAAAAAAAAAAAAAAAAAAAAAAAAAAAAAAAAGAAGGTTAAAAATGATACGAATAATACACGTGAATCATACTTGGCAATTCTTTGTTATCTTATTCGAAATAAACATGAGAATGCAACAAAGATTACTTGTATCAGAATGTAGAAATATTTTATAGAACGCTAGTGGTGTATTATACATATTTATTATCTTATAAATAAGTTCATCTATAGCTAGCAGGTATAACTAGAAAAAAAAAAAAAAAAGAAGAAATTAATTTAAAATAAAGTATTATACATACAAGTAAATAGTATGAATAGTAATTTAAATATATGAAAGACGAAACTCTGTTAGTTTATGAGCATATTTTCTAAATTTAGTAAAGAAGCTTAGAAAAAATTGACTTCATGTTTACATGTGTATGCATATACTAAAGTTTTATTTGTAATCGATCCAGAGTGTTTCTATATTAAGGAATGATAGAATTAAAAAAAAAATAAGGTACATATTAAAAGATATTTATAATATACATATATGTATATATACAAATATATATATACATACATATATAAAGAGGGTTCCTTTTATTGCACTATATAAAGCAAATATACGTATAAATATACATTAAGGAGTTACAAGTATTAAATAAAGTAAGTTTCATAAGAACAAGCTTTATTTATTAATATCCTTAAAATATATATTTATACAAACCATCATTAGCTTTATTATCTCTTTCTCTCTCTCTGATTGCTTCTTTTCAGTGTTTTTTTTTCTTTATGTCTCAATTAGACCCTTTTATTGCCTATACTGTCAAATTGACCATGGATTTTAAATCTCAACCAACTATGATAAATGAGAAATACATACAACAGCCTCAAGATAATCCGAATCATCCCATGTTCCCAGAATTAATTATGCGTATCTTTTCTGTAAATCCCTTATTATCGAAATCTGTTGAAAAGGTCCCAAAGCTGAAAAAAGAGAATGTATTAGCTTTATTATATCATGCAGGTATATTATTACTATCTTTTTTTTTTTTTTTTTTTTTTTTTTTTTTTTAATTTCTACAGTATAACGCTTACTTTTTTTTTTTTTTATTTTACTTTTTTTTGACAATAGATAAACAATGGATACAATGCATAAAAGAATTGTCTACTACAATTCAATCTAGTAAACGTTCAAAACCACAGATTGAATATGCAGTCAGTAATATACATTATCAACAACGCGTCTTTTTTGATACTTTACACTTTCTTCGTGAAACAGTTATGAGCACTGAATATCCGTTAATGGATTCTATTCTTTTAACCAACGATAATAGTATTCAAACATGTCCAAAAAAATTTAACGAATCAATTTGGTTTGCAGCTCAAGTTCTTCATCATCATGGTCAGGTACGGCATCTCGAATATTTCACAAAAGTACTCAAGCCATTTGCTAGTAAGTTATATGATGCAGTGGAACAATTTCGTTTTCAATTACGGGATACGATACGTAGACAAAGAATCGTCAAGCGTCGCTATCAAAAGAGGTCCCTGTTATTATTCAGAAACACAAAAAGATTTTCAATGTGGAGTCTATTTACAATCAATTCTTTACCCTCATCTTCTTTTACTCAAACTCAAACTACTTTGTTCTACGAGACAGTACAACATCAACAGTTTCTACGTGATGAATTAGAGCCTTCCTTATCTAATCTATTGTATTATTGGACACAATTTGAAAATAAGCTTTATGCTTGTTATGTACATATCGTTTTCGGGAAATATCATGTGGATCATATACATGAAACAACGATAGCAATAGCAAAGGAAGAAGAAAAAACAATATCCCCCGTGTCTTCTTCATCGTCCTTATCAACGTTTCCAAGTGCCATCTATCATGATACATTTACTCAATTATTACCACCCACCTTAGAACGCTCTCTCAAGTTAGATATCATTAATATCAACATGATTCAAACCTTAGATCCAGCTGCCTTTGTCGCTCTACCTCGACTCGCCATCTTATCAGGTATGACTTGGCTCTCTCATCTAACAGGCTGGCGTCGTCATTATCACGTACTGCCTCAATGGATTCAACCTCATAAAGAAACTATGGAATGTATTATGTCAGCCATGATTAGACTAGAGGCAAAATTCCTCAAGGCTCCCTCTGAGGATGCACATTATACATTTGTCAAAACTTACCAACGATTAGAAAGGGCATTAGTACATGGACAACAACCAACGGATATCTTACTCACACTAGAAAAGGAAATTTATTTAGATATCTGTCTTGTAGCAGATTCAATATTATCTAATCATTATTCTCAATCATTTAATGCTATTTTATATCAATTATTTAAGCATGTAGGAGATGCTGTCATACAGCAATGACAACGTATAATTCCTCCTCCTCCTCCTTTTTTTTTTTTTTTTTTAACCCTCAACAAGATACCTCCTATATTAAAGTCACCCTTTTGATTATTAATAAGAATAGGAACCTATATATTTGCCTTTTTTTTTTTCATTTGTACATACTGAATTCTCCTCTATTTATATATTGAAAAAAACAAAAATAAATAAATTAAAATAAAATAAAATAAAACTATTATACTCTATGGTTTATAAAATTCCCTTTTCTATATGTCAAAGATAATAATAAAAAAAAAATAATCATGACATAATTGCTTGTACAGACAATTTTGAGTGTATGCATAGAAAAAAAAGAATTTAAATAAGTAAAAGTAGAATGTTGTAGTGATTTATTTACTTGACTACATGCACTCTACCAAAAAATCACCCCGAAATGTCCATGAGACCTCTTTTTTTTTTATGCAACCCCATTTTAACATAGATATTATTCTAATTTCTCTCTCTCTTTTTTTTTGTCCTTCTTTTCTCCACCTATTATAATCATAACTACTATCCTCAAAACTCAATTCAAATTAGATGTCACGATTACAAAATTATTTCAGTTCTGAATTTATTGCATCAGGACTAAGTACAGAATTTTATAATTTCATTACGGAAATAAGTCAAGCAAAAAGCAAAACTGTAAGAGGGAGCTTGATTGGTTATTAAGAATGACATTTACTTTTTTTTTTTGAGGTAGGAAGAAGCAAGCCGTATTACTAAAGAATTAACAAGTTTAAGTTGCAAAATGGGATTACCAGATGTGCCCTCAGTAAATTTAAAAAGAGAGAGAAAGAGAGAGAGTGAGAGAGAGTGAGAGAGAGTGAGAGAGTGAGAAGAGTCGAATGATTAGTATATAACATTAGTCTTACTATATAGAATAGAATGAGGGATTATGTTATACGATTAATTCATTGCTATATGCTTGGATATGATGTAGATTTTGGTATTATTTATGCAATTATGTCTGCTCAAAGTGGTGAAACAGAGATAGATAGACGAGTTGGTATAGTATAAACTAGTCAAATGATACAATTATCCACTAAAAGGATATCTCAGGCTATCTTGCTTGTACCTTGTTTCTTAAAAAGGACCATGAACTGGGAATTATGCTGATTAATACACTTCAAAGAGACTTAAAAAGTCAAAATTATTTGGATAGATGTGCAGCTCTTAATTCTATTTGTTATTTAGAGCTTGATGAAATGCCTGATAATGTACTGGACTTGGTGATTCAAGCAATCGATTTCCCAAAGTATATATTGAACTATCTTCTTTATATGTAAAAAAAAAAAAAAATTAACAACATCTATCTCTAATAGACAAGTTGTTCGTAAAAAAGCAGTTATAGCTCTTTACTTTTTATATAAAAGATCTAATATGGATCTCTTGAAGTTTAAACCTTCATTTAGAAAAGTATTAGAAGATAAAGATATGAGTGTAGTTTTCACTTCATTGGGTATCTGGAAAATGATTCTTATGGTAACTGAAATTAAAGATGTGTTTATTGTTACTTTAATAAATAGAATGTACTAGGAACATGCAATGGAATTTAAGGATTTACTACCAAAATTTTATACTATTCATAGAAAAATTATAGAGAAAAGAATCCACAAATCATATTTGTATCATGGTGTTTTAGCACCTTGGGCTCAAATGGAATGTTTGCAAATTTACAAAATATATCATGACTTGAATATAGGGTAAAACAGTGGGAGTTTTTCTTTTTTTTTCTTTTATTTGCAATTCAAGTCATTAAATAATACTCTAGATCTCCTCAAGATTTCTATAATATTATAGTAGACTGTCTTAAATCTGTAGAGAAGAAAGTAGATGCAGCATTTGGTACATATATGTATAAATATATTTTTTTTCTTTCAAATATTTATATTATTTGTTCTAATATTACATACACATATAAAAAGCTATTATATTAGAATGCGTTAAATTACTTTCATCTATGGACCCAATCTTATTGGGTAGTCTTTCTGTCCCTGATGAAAATCCTTTTCAAGTACTTGTACCTTATCTTCATGCAAATAATCATAATCTAAAATATTTAGGAATCTTAGGCATGTCCTATGTAGATGAAAGCTTTTGGAAAAAAGATTGGCTGAATGGTACTTTATTAGCCAAGATCATCCATACTTCCTTTGATGATGATACTCTACTTACTCAGACAATTAAAAACTTGGACATGATTATGAATGAGGAAGTGTTGACACATATATGTCGGGATATAATAGAAGCATTAAATAAAAGCAATGAATCCAAGTCCAGTAACACAATGATTGCTCATTGGTTTATTAACAAAATTCAAGCGCATAAAAATGAAGTAGACGAATGGTATATAGAAAATATGATGACTATATTAGCAGAGACAAGGAAGAATCTCGATGATGATTATGTAGAATCCCAATGCAATTTGCTGAAGGAGAGTAAGTATTTAAACACTTGTTTTTTTTTTCTTTAATAGAATAAATCACACATCTATTTGGGTATAGTTCTTATCAAAGAAACAGATGGAAATCTATTGCGAAAGGTGTCTGTAGAGATATCTTTTGATTTATTAAAGAAAACTAATTCTGATAGATATTCACCCTTATTTATTCAATTTATATTTTGGGTAAGATAGATTCAAGCTATATATATTTATATAAAAGGCTTTATTTTTAAGCATACATACATACATACATACTTACTTACTTTTATTTAGACAATGGGTGAAAATGGATATATTTTTTCAGACATAGATATTATGAAGCAACTTCAAAAATGGATTCAAATTATACAAGGTTTTAATTGAAGGACACTACAGGATAATCAAAAATTTACACTTACACACTTATACTTTTAATGCAGATGATTATTTGCAAATATACGGATTACAAGCTATGAAGCAGTGTATAATCCGCAGTAAAACTTGGTTATCCGGCATTCAAAAGGTTTTGAAAGAATATAGAAAGTCTCCTATACCTGAAAAGCAAGAGGTAAAATGAAAAGATGGAGGAAGAGGAGGGATTCTATTGATATTTTGATATGTATATAGATTGCAAGAGAATTACTTGTCATTATTAAAGATTCAAGTTTTAAAAGAGAATTACAAGAGAATGATGATACTAGCTATTCTGTTACAAAGGTAGTGTATTATTTTATATATTTATGTCTATTAATATGATTACTTGGTTTTGTATAGTTATCTATGAATCCTAATCAGCCAAAAGAAATTAGTAGATTTGTAAATAATGATATAACAAGTAAATACAACCTTAATCGAAGAGAAGAAGAATTAAATCAAAATTACTTGACTTTAGAGTAAGTTTATTTAGAATTAAAGTTAAACTAATGACTGAATATATGTAAAATATATACACATTTACAAATGTATATGTATACACATATTTATATACATTTATAAAAGTCGGCCAATAGCACAGGTACAGTCAACTTTAATATGCACTTTATTTTGTTCTTACCATTTCAAGTTTATAGTTATCAAGAGAATCATCTTTATTAGGTAAGAAAAGGGAAGACTACAAAATGATATATCAGCATAGATCAGTAATCAATATAACCCATATACGTATTAAATAAATAGGAAATAGTATACAGAGTCGCACTAATTATAAAATAAAAGAGGTATACAGAGTAATAGAAATATATACATATACACATATATAAATATGTATTCATTCCTTTTTTTTTTTTGAAAGACTGATTTGGTTTCAAGCTTAATAGAACTAGAGCTTGAAGATGAACAAGAAAGAAATCAATTTATAATGACTACACATCTCTTTGGTGAGTTGTGGATAAAGTATACTGTTGAAGAAAAAAAACGATTTGAATGCTCAGTCATTGAAAGTAACAAGTTAGCAAGAAGACTGGTTAAATCATGGAATATAGATGTAGTTGAAATGATAGGACAAGAATTTATAGCAGTAGAAGACAAAACAGAATTAGCTCCGTCTGTTCTAATTCATATAGCCATGTTACCTGAACATCAATTCATAATGACAATGAAAGCCAAACATAGTATAAAGGAAATTAACACATTTTTGACAAAACGTCAATTAATGTGATGATACATTTATCCAGTAAAAAGATCAAATATATTACATTTACATGTGTGTATGTGTATGTGTGTGTGTGTGTGTGTGTGTGTATGTGTGTATGTGTATGTGTGTATGTGTATGTGTGTATGTGTATATGTGTGTGTGTGTATGTATATGAATATGCATATATACATGTGTGTGTGTGTGTGTATATATATATATATACATACATACATAGAAATCCCCTATTTCTTTTATGTGTTACGCTTTTCTTCCCTTTATTTTTTTTTCTTTCCCTCCTATTTTATATATGTGTGTATACATGTAAATAAATAAATAAATAAACACATACATTCATACGTGTATATTTGTATGCGTATTTATATATTAAAAGATGAATATGATGTAGCATGTGGATATATTAATGTTCTTTATAAATACATATTTATGTGTGTGAAAAAAAGGTAAAATTTAATATATCGTACTCCGAGAATAATAATGATGGTTAAAACTTACCATTTTCAACAGTTGGAATATTATTGTCAGGAATATTTAGACAAGATTGAATTAGATTTTTCCCTTCTGGCTTTGTAACTAATGGTTGTAACTTTGGTGTGGTAAATGTATAGACTAAGCCTGTCTCTGAAACAACCAATAGTAAAACTTGTGTACCTGTTAACGTACTAAGTTCATAGGCCTATTTATACGAAATTAGTCTTTTCTTTTCTTACAATTGAATTTTAGTTTATATATATATTAACCTTTTTCATGATTCCAGCTTTTCTTTTGGAAAAAGTAATATGACGTCTCGTTTTATCTTCAATATATTCAATCTTTATCTTACGACGACCTGAATTTCTTGTCGTAGGTTTCTTTCCTTCTTCCTCTTCTTCTGCATCATTTTCCTTATCTTCTTCCTCGTCATCAGCAACAGTAGCAAGAGAATCTTCTTGTCTTTGAAGATTATTCATCATAACTGAGTGGTGAGGTAACATAGGTTGCTGTGTAAGATAAGCTGCTTGTGCTTGGTGACTATAATAACCCGTTGATTGCATTTTTTATTTTATTTTATTTTATTTTTTTTCTCCTAATAATAAATCTTGTTCCAGCGCCTTAGTTTTATATACTTTTATACTTCTTGAGATTTGGTTTCAATAGAAAAAAGGAAAGGAAAAAGAGAGAGAGAGAGAGAGGGAGAAATTGGTCTTTTATATTTTTATATGTATATACTTTGTATTGTTACACAATTTGATAAATTAAATACTACTGTATTTTTAGATTTCTTGTGACTTTATATTTATTAGCTTATGTATAAATATTATTTATTTTCAAGTCTAGGTCGCTTTTGATTTACATACAAACACCATTGTTGTGAATCATTATCATTATTTAAAAGTTGAAGCGTTGACTGAAGCAGTGTTGAAGAAGAAGAAGAAGAAGGATAAGTTAATTGCTGTTGTAAATAGTCTGTCGTTGTTACTGCCTTTTCTTTTCCTTTGCCCTCTTCTTCTCCTTCTTCAATTAATGTTAATTGTGGTGTCATCGTGCTGTTGTTTAAAGAATAGTTTTGTTGTAATAAATGATGCTGTCTTTGTACAACTAAATGTGCACAATATTTTTCTAATAAATTGCCTAAAGAGCCCTGATTAAATGGTTTTGGTAAAACATCTGTCATGCCGCTTAAAAAGTATTGTTGAATATCTTGTGCTGTTGTATTAGAAGTCATGGAGATAATAGGTGTCCATGTATCATATTGTCTTATATTTCTTGTAGCTGACATACCGTCTAACTTGGGCATTATAATGTCCATAAGCACTAAATCATATTTAGTTGTACCTAATTTACGAACGGCTTCCATACCATCTACAGCAACATCAATTGTACAGCCTGCTATTTGAAGTAATCGAGTAGATAAACGACGAAATATAGAATCATCGTCCACTAATAATACACGTGGAGGTACTGACCATCCTAATTGCATTCGTTTTCTCTTTTTAACAATAGGTGCAGCAGTGATGGGTATGACTGATGTGCTAACAGTAGAGGTCACTGCTGTTGCTGCTGCTGTTGCTGCTGCTGTTGTTGTGTTATCAGTAATTAAAGATGGCTGCTGCTGTTGCATTTGTAAAGGTTGTGATTGTTCAGTTGATAATATATTAGCTGTACCTTCTACAACTGTCGCTATCTTTTCCAATTGAGATTCAGCTGCATTAGAAACATTTTGATAAGCTGCTATCATATTTTCTTTTGATACAAAACTCATTATTTCTTGCATAAGTGTATCTTGTTCTGTTAATGTCTTTTTAAATGCCTGAATATTGTCTAATACAATATCATATTTTTTATCATATCCTTTCAATTTTTCTACCATTTGTTTTTGTGTTTGTTTTAATTCGTTGATTTCTTTTTGAAGAGTCGATGTTAACATTTTTATTTCTTCTTCAATACAAGAACTATGTGTTACTTTTGCTGTAGTTGGACGTGTTACTTTTCCTGTAGGTTTTCTCTATTATTTAAAACATGAATAATAATTTAGAATAACACATGCATATATAATCTTACCTTGACTTCTTCCAAGAGTTCCTTTCTATTGTATTTAAAATTAGGATGTTGAAACTCCCATGCCTAAAAAAAAAACCAAAAAAAAAGGTTAGATTAATTCTTTTTTTTTTTTTTTTTTTTTTTCCTTTTGTTTTTTAAATGATTACAAGTATAATCTATTTTACCTGATTACCATATATTCGTTGACTCTCCTCCGGTATTTTCAATTTATGAAAGTCATACTTGTTTAATTGGCGTACAAAGCTTTGAAAGTTCGAATGTTTAAAATGTTTGGGTAATATGTGGCGAGCAAATTCACTGGGATCTTTTACTACAAATGTATTCCCTTCTATTCCCCAAGAGAATATGTGTGGGTATGTGTTTTCTTCCAACATGCTATTGTATATTTTGAAAGAAAGAAGATAAGGAGATGATGATGCAACTAATGTTAATTAATGGAATTTTACCTAAATAGCTTTTTAACAAATTCAGGTATATTGTTGGTAATGGTATGATTATTATTCCCTATTGTAGAAGAACCGATCATAATATTCTTTCGATTCTCTGATTATATGGATATATGTACAAGTATTTAATAATTATATGTATAAAAGAACAGTAACAATAATAATAATAAAAAAAAGAATAAGGCTGTATATTAATGAGTACAAAAAAAAAAAAAAAAAAAAAAAAAAAAAAAAAAAAAAAAAAAAACTCAAGAATAAAAATCAGATAAAAAAAAATAAATATTTAAAAGTTTAAAGTACATTCAGTACATGAAGATGGTTTATACTAAATATTAAGCATTCATTTTTCTTTTTTTTTTTTAGTAAATTTAGTATTAAAGTACTGCTGTTACATATATATTATTTTCTTGCAAGTTATACTTTACATTAGAATTCTTATGTATGATCAAATAAAAACCTTTAATGTTACATACAGATAATAAATATAAAGAGAACAGAGTAGTCTCTTTCAGACCATCTAGTGAATAATAAGACTTTCAAGTATAGATCAAATTAAAGTTATGCATTTAGCTAATTTGCATATATAGAATGGGCTTATGAATATAACACTAAAGATAGAAATATTTACAAATAAGCTTTAAAAAAGAATGTCAAGTATACTTGGCCAAAGATATAAGTAATATATACTTGATGTTAATTAACACTATTTGGTACCTTTTTGTTTGTTTTGAAGTAATATTAGTCACGAAACATACATTATTTTATTTGCTGTAAAAGTTGAATTATTTCCTAAAAACTGTTGTGCTTTTTTGTTTTTGTTGCTAATGATTCAATGTAGGAGTTAAGCTCTTCATGAATTAAGAGAAAAAAAAAAGGAAGCAATTCATTTTTACATTATCCAGGTTTTGAAGCCACCAAGAGCTCATAGACAAAACTTATTTTCTATATTGAAACATGTTATCTAAGCATGTTTAACAACCTATGTCCAAACAGCGTCAAGATGGGGAGTTTTTTTTTCTATATCCCAAGTTAAAACTATGCATGTCTTTTTCCTTGTTAGAAATAAATATTCTTCTTTATATATCATATTGTTAAATGTATTTTTTTTTTTTTTTTTTGAAACTATAATAAAAAAGGGTATCATTTCATTGTAATCTAATTATGTCTGAAAAACTTCATTCCCATCCAATTCCATAAGACCCAATAAATCCAAACAATTGCAGTAATTGGAATTAAAAGACAATAATAATCATCGTATTTAATCCAATCTAGTATCTATATTTTTTAAAAAAAGAAAGTAAGTACTACTGCACTGTTGTTGTTGTTGTTTTTTCATAAGTTGCTATTAAAAACCTTAATATGAGTATCTGGCATATATTGACTGGCTATAATCGAATAGACAGAAATAATAAACACAATGAATGTAAAACTTAACAAAGCGTAACCATAGAGATATGTAGTGTCAGGTATTGTCTCTGGTAAATGAATGGTCATTCGTCGAGCATAATTGAAATGTTCATTCGTATAGTTGGCATTATTCGGTGGTAATCGAGATATAAAGATAGATTTAGAAGGTCGTCTTCGATTATGTACCTGCATCACACATAGTTTGCAAATATAATAGCAGCAATAATAACAGCAGCAGCAGCAGCAGCAGAAAAAAAAAAAAAAAAAAAAAAAAAAAAAAAAAAAAAAAAAGAATTTAATTTATTTTTCTTTTTCTTAATATATTAAATAATTTTTATTTTTTATGAGCAGGCACATAGTCCTTTGATAAATCAATATGAGACAAGTGAGTATTTGTAATCTTAATTCTCTTATTTCTTGTCTTTGATCTCTTTGGCTTTGTCTCTGATGTAACTTTCTTTTCAAATACTTCCATTGTTTTCAAGCCTGCAGTTTCAAGTGCTTTTGGCAAATCTGTTTCGTCCGGGATGGAGATTTCAGACCACATCTTTTTAAATTCTAAAGATAAAAAAGTTAAATAAATGTATATACATACATGTATAATACAAAATTACCAGGATCAATAGTTGTATTATATTGCGCATCATTATGAAATAATACACGAGGATTTCCATCTTTATTTCTAACAACCAATATCTGTCCTTCTGTCGCTAATTCTTCAACTGCATTACTTAATTTGGAATAAGAGTCCTTCAAGTCTTTATAATCCATGCCACCTTCATTCTTTTTTTGGATTAATAATTCTAACAAATCTTCTTTGCTTCTAATTTGATATGTAGGCTAAATTAAAGTATGTGTATAGGTGTTTTTTTTAAGAAAACATTAACTCGTTTTAAAGATATTTTTTGTTTTACTTTATATGCAAATGTCTGGTTAACAGGATCAAATTCAATTTTATCATTATTCACTAATTTATCCCATAACATTTGATTCTTAGAAATGTCTACTTTAGTACGAGAGGCAATACTAATGACTGATTGCGGATCATCACTATCCTAATGTTCCAATTATTAATATCCTTTTTTTTTCTTCTCTCGTTTATAACAATCGTTTTTTTTTTTTTTTTTTTACTTTTAAAAATTGAATGACTGTATACAACTGACTCATGGCATGATGGCCAGTACCCGTATTAGCAGGTTGTGAATAAACTAACAGATATTTGAATATAAAAAAAGAGAGATATTATTGACATTACTCCAGTATTTACCAGTTGTCTTCTTTCTTTTCTTTATTCCACTCACAGATTCAAATGAAGCTTTTGTATTATTTGCTATAGTTCCTATGGAAGTTTTAGTTTCTTTGATGGGTACTGCTTGGCCAGCACGTTTAACGGCTATGTCAGTGCTAGCCTTAAAGGACTTTTTAAAATTTTGTAATTGGCTATTCAAAGAAGACATTTTTTTTTTTTTTAGTTAAATAAAAAAAAGAAAATACAAAAAAATAATTATCAATCTTCAAGGGCAATTTTTATATTTTATGACAGCTTTTTTTTTTTTATGTGCATATATTTAAAACCATTTAATTGTATTTTTTTTTTTCCAAAGAAAAATATTCATAAAGTGATTATACAAAAAGGACGATCGTTAATTAACTACAAGGAAAATGGTTTGATATCTAATGAGACTTGGCAATTTCTAAATTAGAAAAAAAAACAGAAATTTAAACATTAGTACATGTGTATAGATAAATGTATGCACTCATTCCATCAAATTAAATAATTACTTTGAACATCAAGAATAGCTTGATCAAGAATTTGTTGTTGAATTTTAGGATCTTGCAAGTCCTTATTGATCTTTTCAGTCAAATAAGCAACCAATTGCTTTTGTTCACGTTCACGAAGACTAGCTTCATGACGAACCCAAGAATCCAAAGTAGACTTAACTTCATGAGCAACATTGACCTGTTGCTTCAATTGGAATGCTTCAGCTTCTAATTGAGCTGTTTCACGAGAAAGCTCAAAGAGAGACTTTGTAACATCAACAAGATCCTTCATTTGTCCAACTTCATTAATTCGCTCTTGAACAGCACTCTTATGATCTTCACGAGCTTGGACCAAAACATTTTTGATACGTTCGATATGTTCATTGGCCATGTTGGTGAAAGGTTCTCGAAGGTATTTCAAAAGAACACCAAGGAGACCAGCGGTGGAAATCAAGACAAGTGTTTCTTCGTTGAAGACGTAAATCTCTTTAGAAATCAAATATGTGGCGAGACCAGTGCCCAAAGTAAGATAACCAGTTTTAGAGATGAGGCTGTTGCCTGGAAGGGTATCGATGATGCTTTTTGCCTTTTCCTTAGGATCAACTAATGAAAAAGAAAAAAACGAATATTAATACAAAAAAAAGGGGGGAGAGAAAGCTTCGTTGTTTTCATTTAATAGATTGTTGCTATTGTACCTTCTTTTTGAGTGGTATAATGACGAACACTTGAAAGAAGTAATAATAATTTATTAATTTGTTTGCTTAATATAATGTCTTTTTTTTTCTTAAAAAAAAAACTTACGCAGTGGCACCCAAGGATTGGCGAGTAGTGTTAATTAAGCTAGGACGAGTAGCAACAGCAGCTATTTAACAATTCGTTGAATTAGATAGATTATTTACGCTTCTTTATTTATTTATTTTTTTACCAGTTGCGGCACTTTTAGTAATTAAACGGAAAGCCATATTAAATACGTATAGGAGAGAGAAGGGTGGAGAATAAAGTTGCTTTCTTTATTTAATAAAAAAAAAAATAAAATATGGGGGAGATTTTTTAGCGGGTCCCCTTGTTCTGCTGTCTATAAAGTTTTGGTTGGCTCGAGCAAAATAATAGGATAATTAAGCCCGCTTTAATTTCTATGCCCAATATGATGACGTAAAAGATTAGCTTATAACAACATGAAAGAGATCATCATCGAATAGTGGATACTTTAAAATGAAACTCAGATACTATCTTCATGTGAATTGTCTTTTTTTTAGTAGTTAACATCTGTTATAATAGAATAAATGATGTTTACGGTAGATGTCATTTTGATGTGGTTTTAAAATTGGATGAGTGTGCTTAGGATATATAATAAGGTATAGAGTGAATTTGTGGTGTAGCAAGTAATAATAAAAATTATGTTGGACTCAAAATAACTGCCTCTTTTTTTTTTTTTTTTTTTTTTTTTTTTTTTTTTTATTTATACAAATATACAAATATGTATATTTATCCCAAATTTGAGAAATATCCTTATACATATACTTTATAATATACAATATCGATGGCGTATCAATCAATAACAGATTGGCTATTTTCTTCATGTTTGTGCTTCCGTTAATCTAAAGAAATGATAATGAGTATAGCAGAATATTTCAGTATAGAATAATAAACAAAAGATTAGCTACTACTATCATCTATTAGATAGTATGTAGCAAATAATTTTCAGCATTTGTAGTTTTGTATTCACACACCTTTACAAATGAAGGGGGGCGGATGTTGACTTGGGAATTATTATACATGTTATTCTCGCATTAATAGATTTACTACCCACTTTTGACTCTCCCAGTATTACTGCTTTTTATTATTATTATTATTTTAAAAGACAGAAACTTTCTGCTGATTAAATAAAACTTCTAAAATGGAAAGAAAAATTATTTAAAAGAAATAGTTGTTTCATTTTCTTTAGATTTACTATTGCAACTGGACAATAGATTAAAAATGGTAAACTAAAGATATATAAAATTTGCTTTTTTTCTTTCTTTCTTAAATACATAAAGTAGACACAATGAAGAAAGCAAACTAAAGATGATTGCATATCACAAATAAGATTTGAAATATATAAGGAGATTTGATAAGCCCCCTTTAAATAGTATGCCAAGAACGATGCAATTATGAATTATAAAAAAAAAAAAAAATTAGACTACGCTCTACTAGTTTTTTATTTGTTGTTTATTATATACAGTTTATTATACAGAAAATGCTTGTCTATATGCATTACTAAAATGAAAATGCTGCTGATAAAAAGAGGAAAATTGCCAATAGGGTAAAGAGCAATAAAAGACATTATTACTAATAGGATGGAATAGTGTAGTTGCTTGGCTAACAGGAGGCAAAAATGAATAATAAGGTTGCTGATAGTTGTTGTTATACTGATGTTCTTCTGATTTTCTCCGCTGCTTGGTATTATTGCCTTTTTGTTGGGCTAATAGTTTTACTAATGGAATATTATCCTCTTCTTCGTATTTATAACAAGATTGTTTTCGTTGCTGAAAAGAGGACGATCGTGTTGGTGCGGGCTGCTTATCAGATGAATGAGTTGCTGTTTGTTGAATAAAATGTCGATTATGTTTTAATCTAAAAGATGTGTCACTTTGTTGTTCTAGTGTCCTTAACATTTGTTGTAAATGAATAGATTCTAAAAGCGGTAATGTATTCTTGCGGAGCTTCTGTTGTGTTAAACAGTAAAGCGATAACAATAAATCATCGTCTTTTTGTTGTTTGTGTTCATTAGGAAGAATGTTATTTAGAGATAGATTATGATCATTATTCGATATATAAATAATCGCACGTCTATTCATAAGTTTCCGTTCATTGCTTAATTGATCTCCACACTTGGTACGTTTTATGACGGTAGCGTTGTTATTATATACATTGTCTTGTCTTTTGCTAATAAAACAAGACGATTCTCTTTTTTTGTCATCTGGCTCGATAGTTGCCTTCTTACTCATGATCCTTTTCGATCGCTTTTTTTTGTTTGGAGTCGAAGTTAACTTTTGTTGATTTATCCTATAGAAAGTCCATTTGGTTGCTGTTTTAAGACTGTCATCGAATTGATCAGTTGAAGGTAAAACATTCATGGTATTTTTTATTTTTTTTTTTAAGAAAAAAAAGAAAAAAGAAAAAGAAAAAAGAAAAGAAAATCAACACTTTATATGTATGCTTATCATAAAGGCTAAATAAAATTAAATCAAGGGCACCAAGAAGTGCAGAAACAATAAAAGTACCCGTATGATTTGGGTTCTAGACTGATCGAGGATTTTTAATTACACTAATTCCCGGAAATGGGTTGTGCAAAAAGCTGAAAAGTGTGACGTATAAAACTTAAAAAAAAAAAAAAAAAAAAAAAAAAAAAAAAAAACTTGCATCACATAACTAAAAAATATGCTGCATAAAGTTTGAATATGCATATCAACTAAACATAATATATTTTTTCTTTCCTAAGGAGTAAATAAATAGCTATAAGTAGATAAATTGGAATACTAACAATATAGTAAAACATGATTCATGTTTCAGATAAATATTAGTAGCTGATCCAACAATCTTGTGAAAAGCTTTATTAACCTCAAAGGACACAATCGTATCGTATTCTCTATCTTAAATTTATAAATTAATGAATTGTTTATTGTGCGTAAAGGAAACAATTCTATTTATTTTATGTGTTGCACGCTTTATTCTTATAACTGGATTTCATAGTAATAAATCTCTCTTTGGCAGTTATCAAATGCCTTTTCATTCTATTTTTTTTTTTTTTTTTTTTTTTGAGAACTATCTCACAGATTTTGAAGCAGATCGTGCTGTAGGCAATAAATATAGAGTAATATCTTCTTCAACTACGGTTGTCTTGTATAAGGATTCTCGCTATCTATCGGCAAGTTCACTTTGAACTGCATTTTCTAATCTTTTTATTTATTTATTTTTCGTTAATCTAAGAATCTTTAAAAGTAATACTACTACATTCATCTTCTTTATATTGAATCAGAAATGTAAATAATTCTATACGCTTGAAAGTATTTAGATAGTCTTTTGAATTGTGAATAATAAGTCCTGAATTTTCTAAATAATGCATTATCTTTATTGTATTCCTTTCTATTTCTTCTTTTATGATTGCAAATAGATAGCTACAGTCTATCAATGATAGGTCTTTTTTTCTCTCTCTCAACAACTGTTTCACGTATCATGAAATATGCTCGAGAGCAATACTTAACCCAGCACCTAAGAAAAAAAAATAATTAATACTGGTGTGTTATATTCTTGTTCTTGGATACTCTTGTATTCTTGTTAATCACTCTAAATGAATACCACTACACGTACATCCTTTAGATTTGACTTGCACAATCTCATCAAGCATAGGCTATATATTGTCTCAGAGGGCACAGGGTCATCTTCTATTTTATTTTATTTTTTTATTTTTTCATCTTTGCATTGAATAAATTAGTTTAGTTCCTGATATAGTGTTATTTCTTAAATGTTGGTGATATTTGAATGATTTCTGTCTTAAATAGAGTGCTTTTGTCTACGTTGAACGCAATATAGATGTATATATATATATATATATATATATATATATATTTGCATCAGAGTAAAAGTCAGTATATGATCTTGTAATAGATGTTTGTTAACACAAGTATCCTTTGCAGTTGAAAAATAAAACTTTATTATAGAAAAGATTGATAACTTAAACCTATAGGTTTTCAGTTGATACACTTTCTTAAAACACACACACACATACTATAAGAGATCATGATATAACCATAACCATATACATCTTCTATCTTTTCCTTTTGTGTATTGAATAAAGTTATAAAATTCTCGCATTTCTAAAGGTTATATACTTAATTACTAGTTCAATTAGCAATACATAGAAAAGTTATCTATTTAAAAATAAATATAGACATCATTAGGCTTATTCCCGAATGAAACCAACATGAATATGAATACTTTTATAAGATACATTATATAAAGAAGTGACAGTTATTAGCAGACATTACGTATGTATCTACTGCTATATATTTATTTACATTCAACTTATTATTATATATACTTGTAAAAGGAAATAATTCCATTTAATCTTCTTTTGTTGAAGGATAAGACTTCTTCCTAAAAGCAAATGTAGATAAGGAGATGGTATCATCATTACTGCTATCATCTTCATCCTCATCCTCATCTTTGTCAAATAATAATGCATCTCTATTATTATTATTATTATTATAGTGCTTCCCCATTAATGTACTTGTATGTTCAAAATAGGTTCCAGACAAATCATATAAACGTTGATTCATTAAACGCTTCATGCCTTCCTCTTCATCGTCTATTGAATATTCGGCTTCACTATCTGATATAAAGCTACCTGAATCATAATATCCCTCAGATTCTTCTTCTAATGCTCTAGCAGCATCAGGGTCTTCTTTTAAAAGTCGTTGAATCTCTTGTTGACGCTTATACTTTGAAGAAAAAATAGAAGGCCTAAGATCGTCAGGATCTCGTGGTGGCCAATAATAAGGTAAACGAGGGTCTGTTTCTGGCGTCATGGGAAATGTTAAGCCATCTCCTTGCATCTTCTGTGGCCAAAGCCAAAGTAAAGGATTTGATCCTAATACTTCACGTATATTTCTATAAAATCCAACATCAAAAGGATAATTGACCTAAAATAAAATAAAGTAAACAAAAGTGTTATCTTTGATACATAATATATGTTTGTATGTATATGTATGAAGACACAAAAAAAATTTTTTTTTTCTTACAGGCGATATTTTTCCTCTTCTAATTAAATCTTCTACTTTTCCTCTTTCCCAAGCCTCAATATTCGTTTGATTTTTTGAAAGGCAATAGAGTTGATAACCTGTTAAAATACCAACACAAAATAAAACAATAAATGCAAATACAAAATTCAAAACCATAAAAATGATTTCAATCGTTGTAGGCTCGGCATCAAACTAACAAATTATAGTTGGTTATTTCTCTCTCTCTCTCTCTCTTTTTTTTTTTTTTTTTTCTTTTTTGTTTCTTTTTCTGTCAAACCTGAAAATGACGGATAGCATCCATAATAGCTCTTACTCGTCCAACAAGCAATAAAATAACATAAAGACAGGCAAGATCAGCAAAGATAATAAACCGCATAAAATGACCATAATTAGCATGACCAACACAGTTGTTAATCCAAGGACAATGATGATCCATCTTTAAAACACAACGACGACAATATCGACAATGATGACTTCTAGGTGGTTTATATACTTGACACGATTTACAGTAACGTGGACCTGTGATTCCTTCTGAAGGTATTTCTTTGAATATTACAAGTGAAGAAGGCGGTTCCCAGCCAGTAGGAATCTTGCCTGGATCTGTTACTACAGCTAAATAGTAATTGTAAAATACCATCATGACTAATGCATTCAGGGGTAATAATCTGATTAAGCTTTTTAAATTCCATCCGCCGTAAGCAGGTAAAAACAATATTAACTGAGAAGAATACGCAATAAATGAAATAAGTATCGAGACACCAATAACGAATATTTTCCCCGGGATAGATTCTAACATGTTCAGAATTAAAGATTGAAGTGGATATATTTATATACATAAATAGGTAAGAAAAAACATCTTTCTACATAAATGTAGTATAGTATAATGGCGGAGAAGAAATATATTTTACATAATTTGCTAAAAAAAAAATACCCCCTCACCTTGGCTACACTTATAAACCTACTTTCTTTAGTTTATACATATAAAATCTCATCTACTCATATTAGACGCTTGAGTAACGTCCTGAAGGTAAATAAATTATAAGTCTCATAATAGCGGTATTTATAAAAATTATTTTTATTGATCATTGATGGCTGCTCAGTCTTTGTTTCAATGAAGAAAAGGAAGTGGCAGCAGTTAAAAAAAAAATAAGTTATCTATGCTTCTACAAATAAAATTATTTCTACGAAAGATTTTATTTTAGGGAAAAAAAAAAAAAGGAAGGGCTATAAATGTATTTACCTTTCATTATTCTTGACAATAGTCATGTTTTGACCTCTCAAATTGTAAACGTTTGTTCTCAATTTATGCTGGTAAAGAATGGATAAGACACATGGTTTTTTTTTTTTTTTTACATTTAACCTTTGTTTTCTCTTAAAAAGAAAAGAAAAAAAAAACTCTTCATTAAAGGGATTCATAATAGCCACAATTATCAAATTATGTCTCATTTTATAAATGGTCTCCTTTTTATATTTCTACTAATTTTGTAGCAGCGGCTTTAAAAAAGAGCTTTTTTATTTGATTACCGAAATAAATAATTATTGTTATTTATTTTTTTATTTTATTTTATTTTATTTTATTTTATTTTTTTCATTTTTTTCCAAGAAAAGACTATTATAGAATGTCTGATGAAAAGAGTAGAAGACCTGCTAGTAAAGATCATAAAGTCATCTCTCTTTATATATACATATATTTCTTAGTGTTATAATTAATTAGTTTTCTCTTTAACTTTTTCTCTTTTTCGGTAATAGACACTGCTTTTAAACAACAGAGACTTAAAGCTTGGCAACCTTTATTAACTCCAAAAACAGTCTTACCTACATTATTTGTTGCTGGTATCATCTTTGCTCCATTAGGCGGTCTCTTTTTGTATGAAAGTGATACTGTAGAGTATTTTTATCATTGATGATTACACAGTTTTATTCATTTTAATAATTTGTAGGTTAATGAAATCATTATTGATTATACCCACTGTAAAGATGCCAATTCAACAGCACAGTCTTTAGATTCAAGTTTATATTCATATAAATTTACTGATGAAGGAACAGGACGTAAAAATTATTCATCGACCTATTTTATATTTACATATTTGAGACTTATTTAATCTTAATAGAGATGTATGCTCCAACCTATCGATTTATTCCTAGCTCAGTTGAAGGAGAATCTGGAACTTGTGCCATTCGATTCACTGTTCCTATTCAATTAAAGACACCCATTTTTCTTTATTATCGTTTAACAAATTTTTATCAAAATCACCGTAAATATGTAAAGAGTCTTAGTTATAATCAACTTCATGGTGATGTCATTACTATTGCTGAAGCACAAAGTTCATGTTCACCAGTAGCTGTAGATGCAAATAATAAGATTTATTATCCTTGTGGCCTTATTGCTAATTCCATGTTTAATGGCAAGTTTGAGTTTTTTTTTTTTTTTTTTTTTTTTTTTTTTTTTTCCCAAAAAGTGAAGTATTAACTCTTTAATTCTTTTTCTTTTTCTTTTTCTTTTTCTTTTTTTTTTTTTAATAATAAATAGATACATTTACAGTTTATTTTGTGAATCCACCTGGAAGTACAGAGAGTAGAAACATGCAATTTAGTGAGACAGGTATTGCATGGCCTGCAGACAAGAAAAGATTAGCAGATACAAAATGAATCCTGCAGATATCGTTCCTCCTCCTAATTGGATTAAAAGATATCCGAATGGGTATTCAGCTGACAATATCTTTCATCCTCAAGACGATGAACATTTTCAAGTCTGGATGAGAACGAGTTGGTATCCCAATTTCAGAAAACTTTATTCTGCCCTAAGAGAAGGAACGCTTGAAGCAGGAACTTATGAAGTAAATGTGACATTAAGTGAGTATATTCAAATACATATATAATGTCTATATAACGTCTATATAATATCTATATAATATCTATATAATATCTATATAATATCTATATAATGTCTATATCATATATATACATATACATTTTGATTTATTCATTCATTCATTCATATGATAGATTATGATATTACTGTTTATGGCGGTACCAAGTCTATTGTTCTTACTGGTACTTCATTCCTCGGTGATAGAAACCCTTTTATGGGATTATCATGGATTGTTATGGGATGTGTATGCACCTTTTTAGGTGTTGTATTTTTAGGATGGCATTTCTTTAAACCAAGGTAATGTTTATGTAGAATATAAGGTTTTTATATTTATATATATTAAAAACTTCTTTATTATTAGAAAACTTGGAGATCATGATCGTCTCTCATGGCAGCATTCTAGTAGTGGATTATAATACATATATATATATATAGATATATTGATATATAGATATATATACATATACATATATGAGAGGGGAAAAGGAAGGGTATATTCATACTGGTTATCTAACTATATATATATATATATATATACACGTATATAAAAGTCTATCAGCTCTTAGTAAATTCGGGATAATCCATATTAAAGTTGTCTTTGACGAATTTATAAATTATTTTTTGAATTGATAATCCGTAATTTCTTTTATGAGTAAAAGCAGATAAATAGTCAAGAGCTAAATTCTTGACATGATCGTTATAATATATAGTTAATTCTCCACAGTTTGCTACCATATCTTCATAAACGCATGTGTGTAAAAATTGGTTAAAGCTTGATTCTAATAAAAGATACACACACGATTTAGCTTCACTGAATATGTATCGATCGATAGACGGTTCCTCTGATGGATTATTGGCAGTTAATATGGATTCAAGTTGCTCTGTAATATTACGTTTTACTCGATCATCAAGATTGATTTCTAAATAAGAATTATTTGAAATATAAGTATTATAAATAGAAAGAGCTATATCATTTTGATTTCTTTTTGCTAGTCTTTTTGACTCAAATCGTTCAACTTCTAAAAAGAAGAGCTATAAATATTATGATTAATCAACAAAAAGGATTTTTTTTTTCTTCTGGGGTTGGGGGGGGGAGGAGGAATTGATTCTATTTACCAGGTTTTCTGAACAAAATTCATCTAATAAATAATAAAGAAAGTAACATAAAGGAACCTTTGACTCTAATATAGCCTTTAATCCTTCTTTATTAATTTCTCTGATACATACATCCATAGGAGTGGGTTCACCGAAAAAATATTCTAATTTCTTATAAGAACGATTTACTCTTTTCTTGTAAGTAACATACATATCAAGTACATTCTTTGTTGCTGCTATTTGATGAAAGGAGCTATTATTATCACTCTCTTGTGAAAAGGAACACGATATTGAATTCAGAGTGGAAGTTAAACTTGATTTTCGATTCATTTGCTGATAATGTTGCTGCTGCTGTTGTTGTTGTTGTTGTTGTTGTAGTGATGTTTCATTTATAATAATTATAGAGGATCTTCTTGATTTTGAAATAGATCTTCTTGTTCTTGTTGTTAAAAGGGTGTTATAACTGTCTCTACTTGCATAACTACTGCTCATAATAGTACTTCCACTAGTCTGACTTGTATGTGAGCTTCTACGTTTTTTAGTCATTTATTATTAATATTCAAAAAAAAAAAAAGAAAAGAAAAAAGAAAGGAAAAGAAAAAGGAAAAGAGAGAAAAAGAGGATGTCCTTTTTATTTTTATTCTTGTAATAAATTCGAGTATACAACGATGAATCAAAAAAAAAAAAAAAAAAAAAAAAAAAAAAATAACCAATAGAAAAATTTTTAAGCGTTGTTGAGACAATTTTTTATCATAAATAGTAGCTTATTTTTAATGAGAAAAAAAAAAACTCTTATAATAGTGGCTAAGAACAGAGTGTACTTTATATAATTAACGCCTTTTTTTTTTTTCACCTGCGTTTTTACTTTTAAGATTCAAATAAAGTTTGTTTGTCCCCTCCTCTGTGTAATAAATTACACGCATTAAAAAGTTGTGTAAACAATGTTTTCACATTCAGGGTTCTGTTCTAGAATAATTTACTGAAACCTTGAGCGCATGTATTTTCTGTTAAATTTCCTAATTTGTCGGATTTATAGTTCAGCCTATTCATTAGAATACATATTATGAATAACGATAAATGCACACATACATATATAAGGTGGCTATTCATCGTTTATTAAATAAAATGTAAGCTTCTAGAAGTGTTTATAATAATTGACTTACTACCATTCATGTTTATTCGTCTAAATCGTGTAATATAGACTGTATAAACTACATATTAAAAGTAAGGAAAAAAAAAGTATCTCTTTTTTCATTACATATCAATTGTCATTTATTATTACTTTTTATCTATTTTATAAAATTTGTTAATGACATAAACTTCTATTTATAACAGTAAAATTTATAAACTGCAGAAAGAGAAAATAATTCGAATAAAGTCCTTCTAAATAGAAAATAAATACTATATTATGTACTCTGATTATTTTAGATGCTGCATTTCTCAAAAGTTTAACTAAGTTTCATTTGCTCCACATTATTGCGTCATTACAAAAAAAAAAAAAAAAAAAGAATATCGTTTTATCTTTCTTTTTATTTTATTGTATTAATGCCTAGTCGACTACAACAGGAAATCGCAAATAAACATCCAGTATGCCTTTGTTTTATATACAAATATATAATATTTTCTTAATATAAAGGTAGTATGCTAACATCTCCTTTTTTGTTTGTGTATATTAGGAATGGGTTTTACCAAAGATATGTCAACAGAACGCGAATAAAACAGGCACATATGCTGCAAGTAAATGATTTCATACAAAGTATATGTATACATATAGAAGCTAACACTATATAATATGAAATAGTTCTTACAGGTTTAATCGTGTGTAAGTGTATCGTTAACTTAAAGTCAAGTTAATTGTTATTATTATTTATGTTATTATCTACAGTGCCTTTAGCACGTCGATTAGGATTAGATAAAAATAGAGCTTTATTCTCTGCGTTAGGTAAATAGAAGAATATATTTCCTATACATTCCATATACATTAATCTATTCATATAAAGGCGCTTCTGGAATTGCTGGATACGTTTCTGCTAAATATGCCTATTCTTATTGTGAAAAAACTTATGGCTTTTTTCAAACTATGGAAGATAATAATGAAACATGATGTATCAAAAAAAAAAAAAAGATCTATTTATTAATTACATATAAATCTATACTCTTTTTGATTTTTTTTTTTTTTTTTTTTTTTTTTTTTTTTATACATTTATACATGTATATTTTTTTTTTCTTAAAGCTTCTAGTCTTTCATTAGGCTGAAGACCATCATTCCATTTTCCGTCCTTATACAATACAGGTACACCAATCTGTTCAACTGTATAACTAGCAGAAACAGCTCCATAGAATGCAGATTCAATAGGGTCATTCCTAGTTTCTATCCAACCAAAAGCATAACCTCCACAAAATGAATTTCCTGCGCCTGTTACATCAACCACATGAATTTGATCATCAGAATGTTGATAATCCCAATAAGCAGGTATCCAACAACAACAACTACTACTACTACTATTGCTACTACTACTACTACTACTACTACTACTACTACTACTACTACTATTGCTACTCTCTATATTATTCGTATTCTTTTCCTGTTGCTGTTGTAAAATAAGAGCGCCATATTTACTTGACCTTACAACTAAGACTAAGTTTTTGTTATCAATCTTCTTTTTTTCAAAAAACTTTCTAGCACAAAACTCTACTGCTTTTTTAAAATCATGATATTGAGTAACCAAATCCTGGAAATGATAACCAAGCATAGCTGCTAGTTCTTCATGATTAGGGCTTATAATATGGACTAGATGAGCTGCTTCATAAATTAAGTCTAAATTCTATATAAAATAGAATCATCATCATCAACAACAACAGCAACATTCATTTCATCTTCCTCCTCCTCCTAATAGTTACCTCTGGTAAGCACGCCCATGGTAAAGGTTCCCATAAAAATTGGGTTTTATTACAACCATTCTCTCGTTTTCTCCAGTCTCTAATAATCTCTATAGCACGCTCAGCTGAAGAAATAATATGTAATATTTTTATAGAGGTGATCCATTCATCAGGGAAATCACTCGGGGTTGCTCTAATGATGGGATGAATGTATTTAAAGTCTCTATGATCATTTTCACTAAAAGTATTAAGTCCTCGTGTAGTATGTTTATCAGGATGAACTTTTGTAACAAGTGATACATTGAGTTGGCTTATTTGATCATCTATTCCTTCTGGACAATCAAAACCTTTATGAATGATGTAACCTACATTTTTAGATAACTGATTTGGTTGCCATAACCTCATTCCTATCCATCCATTTCCACAATGAGCAACTTGTCCAAAAATTATACTCATTTTTTATTTTATTTTATTTTATTTTATTTTTTTTTTTCAACAACGTGTACCATAAATTGCAAATATGCCTGCTCCTCCTAATACATTAGATACTTGTCTACCATCTGAAAAAATAATGTCATCAATAATAAAACTGCCAATGGAAGCAAATAGTGGTGAGTTGGACATTTGCCTCCCCCTTTTTTTGTTTTGAAGAAAATAAAAAAATAAAAAAAAAATAAAAAATAAAAAATCTTGAAATAGTTAGTGCCGTTCATGAATTACAGTTATTGTCTTTTACTATTTGTAACTATGAGCAGTCAAGATAAATCGCTAACCCTTTAAGTGAACATTAAGAAGCTTAATATGAAATGAGAAAAACAGATTATGTACATAAATAATTACTAAAAAAAAAAGCTTATTCTGTAAAAGCATAAAGGGCCTTTTTTTTTTGCAAACAAAAACAGCATCTTTCATTACTTGTCGTATTTTATAATGACATGTTTTTAACAAAAAGTATATGAAGCACAGTTGCTTAAATTCATTACAATCAGTTTATTACTAATTAAATATAAAAAAAATGTTACCGTATAAGCAGAGTAATCCTTTTTTTTTTTTTTTTTTTTTTAAATGAATATACAAAGCATAATAATAATTAGAAAAAAAAAAAGCTGTTAGTTGTTCTTATGAAAATGGAGTATTTTCATGTGACTTTTGCATACAAACATAAATTTCGCGCTACTTTTTTAATTTTCTTTTTATTTATTTATTTTTTTTTTTAATAAATGAGCCTTACGATAACAAGTAGATTACCAACTAATTTTGATTCAGAGATCAATAAAAAGATGAAGAAAGGTAAACAACCTTGGTTTTTTCTTTTCTTTTTTATTTTAGATTATAACCTCAATCTATATATATAAAAAAATCAGACGTTCATTTTGCTCCTAATGACTCCCATTCAAAACAAAACGATACCATTAACAAAGCTAGTAACCGTTCGGCTTTTTATACACAATTTATATCTACATCACCTATAGAAAAATCTACACAAGTCAATCTTTCAAATAATTTAGCGAACAAGAAATTTCAAGATGATATTGACTCCATTTTATACAAATTAAAAAAATTAAAGGTAGATTCGTCTAAGGTTGGAAAAAAAAAAAAAGCTTCAAACTTAATTTTTGTATTCATTGTATATGTTATAGACACAACTTCATAATGATACAAATCGTTTTGAGGTAAGTAATATCTCTTTCTTTTTATCTAAATAACTACAAGCTTTTTTTTTTTAACATTTTTTTTTCTTTTTAAGGATATTATACAACCTTTAGTGATAAAAAATAAAGAGCATGAAGAACGTTATGATGCAACAGCTATATCCACTACTACAGAAACTGTAAAACCACTTACAGATCAAGAAAATGAGATTGTGGATCAACTTTTTAAAAAGGGACAATCGGGACAAATAGCTCAAATCAAAAATGCAGTTGTAGAATTTAAAGATATTTATAGACTGTATCCCGAAACATGGCTGAACGATGAGATTGTCAATTTTTATTTTGAATTACTAGCAGAGCGATCAACAAAAATCAACGGATTACCGTCAATTCATTGTTTCAGTACATTTTTCTTTTCGACTTTACAAGATCAAGGATATGTAAGAGTAAAAAGGTGGACAAAGAAGGTAAAGAGAATGGGTGGGGGGATACTCGGCCAAAAAAAAAAAAAGGGATTCTTATATAGTAGTTTATAGGTCGATATCTTTGCCAAAGATTTATTATTTATACCAATCAATCAATCTTATCATTGGGTGCTAGGAGTGATTGATATGAAAAATAAAAAGGTGCTGGTCTATGACTCTCTAGGAGGCGATCATGATCGAACATTAGCCATCTTCCTTGAATATTTAAAACAGGAACATTTAGATAAAAAGAAAATTCCTTTTGATACGACTGGATGGACAAAAGTAGTGCCAAAGGACATTCCTCGTCAAGGTAATATGTCGGACTGTGGAGCTTTTACATGCACGTTTGCAGAAAGATTATCAAAACAGCAGCCTTTTAACTTTTCTCAAGATGACATGACTATCATTCGACGACGAATTGCACTGAATATTTACAAAAAAGAACTTTAATTCCTTTTTTTTTTTTAAAAAAAAAAAACAAATTGTATATATCTCGTTATTTTTTTTTTTTATGATACAATATGTAATAATTTCATAGTAAATATATCTTACAAGTGTTTTATTACTATTTTATATATATATATAGATATATATTTCATCAATGTTATTTGTTTTATGTAATAATAAAGTAAACGACTGTATAAAAAAAAATGCATCCTTTCTTTTTTTTTTTTCTTAATCAGCATCAACAAACATACGAGGAGCAATATTCATGGCCATTAATTCTTGGAATAAAAGTTTACATGCATAAGGAATATGAATTTGAGATATTCTTGTCTTGTTTCTACATGCACGACATTCAAAATTATTCTTTTTCAAATTAGCAATAGCCATTAAACCACAAATATCACAAACATGAATACGATAAGCATCTGAGGCATCAAATAAACGCTCCTTTAAGAACTGTGCAACACCATGACTGATCATACTGTTAACAATAATAATAAATAAGTATTAGTATCATTATGATTATTTCTTTTTTCTTTTTCTTTCTTTACCAATCTCTTTCCATTTCACCAAAACGAAGACCACCATCTCTAGAACGACCTTCGACTGGTTGTCTTGTCAAAATCTGTACAGGACCTCTAGCTCTACTATGAATCTTATCATCTACCATGTGTTTTAAACGTTGGTAATAAGTAGGACCTAAAAATACTTGTGCATTTAATTTGCGACCTGTAAAACCATTATACATCACTTCAAAGCCACGAGATTGATAACCCTGGGATTGCAAAGCTTGTGAAATGGCCTCAACAGTAACATCTGTAAAAGGTGTAGCATCACCTTCATTACCTGTCAAAGTTGACACTTTGCCAAGCAAACATTCAATCATGTGACCGATTGTCATACGTGAAGGAATGGCGTGAGGATTGATGATAAGATCGGGAGTAATGCCTTCTGCAGAAAAGGGGAAATCTTCTTGTCTATATGTCATACCAATCGTACCCTTTTGACCGTGACGTGAGGCAAACTTATCTCCCATTTGGGGTACACGAGTTGAACGAACACGGACCTTGACAAATTTAAGACCATCTTGGTTGGTCGTCAGCATCACTTGATCTACAATACCTGTTTCAGTAGATCGAAGTGGAGTAGAGGCATCACGCTTACTATGTGTCGTTGTCCTTTGCCCTAATTCCTCAGAGTCAGCAGGAATAGGTGCTGTCTTACCAATAATGATATCATCACCAGAGACACGTGTACCAGGAGCAATTAAGCCATCATCTTCTAATTTTTCATAGGTACCGTGTTTTAAACGTAATGTTGTATCACGAGTAGGCTTCTCAAACTCTTCCATAAACATCATACCTGCCTTCTTTTCAGCATCCATATAGGTACGGAAGAAAAGAGATCGGAAAAGGCCACGATCGATACTACTTTGATTCATAATGACGGAATCTTCTTGGTTATAACCAGAATAACACAAAATAGCGACAATTGCATTTTGTCCAGCAGGTAATTCTCTAAAACGCAAAAATTCCATAGATCTTGTCGTTGTAAGTGGTTTTTGAGGATAATACAAGATGTTTGCCAACGTATCCATACGCGTTTGGAAGTTTGTAAGATAGACACCCATAGCTTGTTTACCCATAGCGGATTGATATGTGTTACGAGGAGATTGATTGTGATCTGGGAAGGGAATGATACTAGCACAGATACCAAGAATCATACTTGGATGAATTTCACAATGGGTCCAGGTATGTGAATAGTTACCGGTTTGAGACTTAACACGACTAGCCAAATCACGTGTCTCCTCAAGTGGAGCACCAAACTGAGCTGTCATACGAGATTCAGCTAAATCTTCAGGTGTCATACAAATCATAGCTGTTTCTTCTTCATCAGCATCCACATATTCGACAATACCATCTGCAATCAAGTTTTGCCAGCCATATTCATCCTCAGGATCTTGAAGACGTGTAACATGATGACGTGTCAATTTGAGTTGTTGGTCTTCAACCAAGAAAAGAGGTCGACAGCAACGACCTGCATCTGTATACATTCTTAACTCCTTTTCACGAATATCACGTACAATACTAACTTCAGGAGAAATATCAACAGAACGTCTCATTTGCTTAAGTGAATTGATTAATTCAGCTGGATCACGATGAATACCAATCCAGACACCATTAACAAAGACTTTTGTAGCATCTGCAATGCTATTTGTACTCAATTCTTCTAGATTCTCCATGGCCCATTCTTCCAAGAACATGATTAAAGGATGAGCAGCTGAGCCAACAGAAATATAAGACATGAGGGCTAAATTCTTGACAAGACCACATGCTTGACCTTCAGGTGTTTCAGCGGGGCAAACAAGACCCCAATGTGTATTATGTAATTGACGAGGTTTAGCAATCTTACCATCACGACCAATGGGTGTATTACAACGACGTAAATGAGATAATGTAGAAGCAAATGTATATCTATTTAATACTTGAGAGACACCAGCACGAGATTGCATGGCTTTCTTTTGGTCACCCCAGTTACCAGTGGCCAAAGAATATTTAAGACCATTGGTAATCGTATTCGATTTAACAGCAAGAGTCAAGTTAAACTCTCGACTCGATTCAATACATTTTTGAAGATATTTAGCTACATCCTTTGTCAACTTTTTGAATAAGAGACGGAAGAGGCCAGCCATTAGAGGACCTGCCAGATCCATACGCTTTTTACCATAGTGATCACGATCATCTAATTCACGACGTTCAAGCGCAGCCAATAATAAACGATGAATCATATAACCAAAGAAATATGATTTACGAGTTTCAGTTTTATAAGCTGTACCAACATGAGGCAATAGTTCTTTTTGAAGAATTTCAGAAGCATATTTGATACGTTTATCTCTTGTTGCACCCACAGTTGTACCTCTCTTACCGATAAAGTCCAAAGCTACTTCATGATCTTGAATGACAAAGGCCTCTTCAATAGAAGGTTTCAACAATTCCAACATTTCATAATCATTACGATCGTAACAGATATGCTCCAAGACATCTCTATCAGAGACTTGACCTAAAGCACGGAAAACAATAACGATTGGGATTTCAGAACGAATATAAGGTAAGGCGGCACGAATACATTGCCCAGATGTGCCACGTTCAGAAGAAGGTCTTAACATCTTAATAAAGAGAGGAGAGGCATTTTTTGAACCTTTTTCGGCTTGTGATCTAATTTCAGCAGTATATTGAACGTTGGAAGGTGGAGCCTTTGAGAAAACATATACAGTATTTGTAGCCATACGTTCTTGAGCAATCAAGACTTTCTCAGAACCATTAATTACAAAATAACCACCCATATCAAAAGAACACTCATTTAATTCATGCATTGTGTTTTCCGGCATTCCATGAAGAATACAATATGTTGATTTTAACATGATAGGAACCTATAAGATTTGAAAGACCCAATTTATATCTATTTTTTATCGATTCAATTTACTTCTTACCTTGCCAATAAACACTTTAGTCCATGGTGGATTTTCTGAGCCATGCTCATCTTGGAAAAGATCGTTAGGACTTTTATTAGGATTGTTAGGATCAAATGGCACTGCAATTTGTGTACGTTTACTCATATCCACATATAAAGGAGAAGCATAGCTATATCAAAATAAAACCTTTTTAACATACTTTTTCAAAAAAAAATAAAAAATAATATAAAAATTCAGATGATATATACGTTAAATTACGAATACGCGCCTCTTGAGGAAACATGGGTTGAGTACTACCATCGGCTTCAGTCATTGTAGGTTTTGATAAGTAAATCTGACCAAATTGAATTATATAACGTTTCTAATAATAATAAGTAGATATTAAATTTTAGCCATTCTATTAACATGTATAAATAAATGTCTATTTACTGTCACATCACCGTCTCCACCAACATGTTGAAGCACAAGGTTCGAATTTTCGTCAACTAATTCCTGCATTGTATTTTGCACAAATTCATCAAATGAATCCAACTGTTGTCTAACGAGACCTTTTTCTTCAAAGAAAGAAGAAATGACTGTCCAGCAATCTTCCTGACTATTATTTTTTTTAAGAAAAAAAAACGAATAGTTAATAATGAAGGCTTCTATTTTTTTTTTTTTTTCAATTGTTGAAACATACGTGATGGGCTCGTCTTCATACATCTCCTCACCTTCCGGAAGAAAATACTCTACCAGTAAAAATAGATCATGTTATTGATCTATTCAACTAAACAGTTTAGCTTTTTGCCAAATTACCATTTTCCGCCATTCTATAGCTGTCATCCATAATATCTGTCATTCTTTTTATATATAAAAATTATTATATGAATGTAGTTGAATAAGTTGGAAATAAAATGGTTGTAAAATGATGTTGAATCGAGTATTTATTTTCTTGTAATCGTTTATTGTAATAAAGTATGTTAAAAAAGGTTTCTTTCTGTCTTTCTCTAAATCTTTTTTCACTAAATTACAAAAAAAAAAAAATAAACAAATAAAAAAAAGACTGATTAAAAATTAATTAACATGTAATTTATTTTTTTCTTTCGAGATAAATGGAAACCTTATCAAAGTACCTATATAATACAAGAGAAAAAGTATAAAAGAGAAAGGGAGAAAAGAAATAATTGTCGATTTCTATTTAATTAGAAATAAGAAGACAAAAAGCCAAAACAAAAAAAAAAAAAAAAAAAAAAAAAAAAAAAAAAAAAAAAGATAATTATTCTAAAAAATCTTTACTAGCGCGCAGCAGAAGAGACATAGTATAGTTCCGACAACAAATCAACAATTCGAAATTTAAAAAAAAAAAAATTGAACGACGGTCTTTTTTATTTCTCCTATAAGCTTTTTCTTTATTAAAGAAAAAAAAAATGTAAACAGCACCATTAAATATAATACTATGTCAGGACTTTCTTTAGTAAATAAAGTCAGATTATAAGATATAGAGCTGGAAGATTTTGCTGTTCAATATGACAATATTGAATTACTGATTAATTTTAGCAAGTTCTGTGAGATTCAGACAATGGGAACAATGAATAATGCATCAAGTTTATATTATGAATTTTGAAGAGTTTCTTATATAGCTCCAATCTTGACAAAATTAAGTACATTATTAAACTTAAAATATGAATCGGGTTGCTCGGTCCTTGCGGTGTTAATGATTTGTAGTATTTTCCACAGCATAGTTTAACGGTTACTGAGCTTGCTCAACATTATAAGAGTATCATCTGTATCTCGTAAAGTACCTAAAAAAAAGGCTTAAAAAAAAAGATAAAGCTAGTTCGGTATTATTTCCTTTATTGTGCTCAAAGAGATTACCAAAAAAGAAAAAAAAAGAGAAAGAAAGAAAGAAAGAGAGAGAGAGAGAGATATGATGTATAATACTTGATCACGCATGATGAAGTTGATAAAATTGATTATGTGTTGTGAACGTTGTTGTTGTTTTTTTTTGGCATGTATTGAAGAGAAAAAGTATGAGAATATACTTATATAAAATGCTGAATAGTTAATGCCACATATAGTGTCATGAATTAATTTTTTTTACCACTGCTATTATATATGTACACGAAGAATCTAAGGGTTCACAAACAGATAATAGTACGTGTTTAGTTGGTATTCCCTGACTTGAGATTAACGAATTTTAGATGTTAAAGACTATATTTTCACTTAATGGAATAACATTATATAATTGTTCTCGTATCTTGACGTCAAACACTCAACAGTGCATAAATATAGATTCTTCGCTGACGGTATATCTTGAAAAGTTAAAATACTTCTGTACACAAAAGTGCTAAAGAGTTAATAAGTATTGCATGATCAATTGATATTGAACCAGAAGAGATCCTCGAGCAAGTGGGACTTTATCTGAACAAACACGATAAATGTCTGACAGATTATCAGACCAGTTTCCATGTAATTAATTTTAATGTATTATTTTGCAATAATGTAGATATATATTTCTCTTGGTCTTTCTTTTATAGACATAAAATATTCTGAATAGTCGTATCTCATTAGCTCTTTTGTCTGTTTTACGTGACATTATACGTACACCCTTTCCATTTGAGAATGATAAAGGTGACAAGTCCATAACTAAGTATATTGAAAAATAGTTCATCATCTACATGAATCCCAATTTGGACGTGGTGCATAATACTGTCTTTCCCAGGCAAGCTTAATAAATGGTTTAAAGCGGCATGGGTTTTTGAGTAGAAGAAAAGAAGTATATGCACTATGTAATAAGCGGGGAAGAGAGGGAAGATGAACTAATTATGATACCACAAGACTTCTTCTTTGCAATAGTAGTGACCATACTAATGTAATATCTCGATCTGAGCGCATACAAACCGCTTTCATTCTTCAACAACTAACAGCCGAAAGTAACAGACAGCAGTATTAAAACTCTTGAAAAAAAAATACTACCTAATAACAAACTTCTAGTGAACAAACACATGTGCCATTAGATCGATAAACTAAATATCTAACCACTGCAACAGTGGGCAGAACCCTTTATAATATTTCAGGTAGAAAAGTCTGAACATTATCCTCTCATTTGTCTGAAACTAGTTTTTTTTTCTGTCTAATTTTTTTTTTTTTTTTTTTTTTTTTGCTGACAGTAATTTAAAATCAGCAATCAGAACGTCGTCACGTAATCAACATTATACAAAAACCAAAGCTTCTTCTTTTTTAAGAGAAAAAAATGCGGTATTATGGAAGAGTTCATTCGTAATTATTGTACTTGTGAATCAGACAATAAATCAAAACATATCATTGAAAACCATGTTGATACTATTTTAACGAACATATTGCAGCCTATTTTTCAAAAGGAAGCCGTAAATCATCCTATTTTATCAAGAAAACCTAAATCAAAATATGGGACAGATGATTTCATTGACAAACAAGAATGGAAAACTAACAATTATGTAGACATTTTAATGTGGATTACAGACAATATATCAGTAAGACACATCTACATGCATACATACATACATACATATATATATATATATATATATAACATAGATGTGCTAACATGTATAATGTAAAAAGGCAAAAAAATTAGAAAGCAATTTACATTTGATATTACCACCGATCATGATTGTGCTAGATGACTATGATATTGAATATAAAATAAAGGGAATAAAAATGGTGCATAAAATGATTAGTTTATTAGATTCGTCATTTATTTCCAGAAATGGTCTAGATAATGTCTTTTTTGAGGTACACATACTATCTATTTTATTAAAATTTTAATGATGCTTATTTTTATTTTTATTTTCAGTCTTTATTCAAGTGTACTAGCTATTTATCACAAGATCGAGATGAGCCATTATTGAGAGTAACTTATGCTTGTTTATTGGATTTACTTGCTAAAAGAAAAAAAGATCAAAAGACGACTGAACTCTATGAACGTGTACTTAAAGATGGCATAGTGACAGGATTTATCTATGCAGGCGAAAAAATCAAATTTTTGCCAGTTTTAATAAAGCCGATCTCTGTCTTGTATGAAGAATTAGGCATTATTGGTGTACAGTATTTAAAAGCTATTGTACCTATACTTTGTGATTCAATCTCCATGTATTCAGGTCACAATCCAGCAATTAAAGAAATTAATTTGATGGCAGCACAGTCGTTAATTATTATTATAAAGAAATGTTGGCCACGGTATGTTATTTTATATATCAATCTACTTTATTTTTAATCTTATTATATCCTCTTTTTCTTTTAAAAAAAAGTATACCAGCTTATAAGGGTAAAATCATTCAAGCTATAGCGAAAGCATGGACATATTATTTCAATAAGAAAGGTAAAAGTTGAAATATTAAATCAGGTAAATGTATACAATTAACCATCAAATTTATTAGATGATACGATGTGTCAATTATTAAAAGAACTATATCGCATTTTTGAAGCTGCTTGTCAAGGCCAAGAAAAAGTAAGTTTTTTTTTTTTTTCTTTTGTATATTCAATGTGTATATTAAAAATAATATTGCTTTATAGGCTGATAAAGATGCGTTAGTGGCATTCAATCCATCTGTATTTGAGCCTTTATTTACATAGATTTTATTGTATATATACCACATCTTTATTACTTAATAAACAATAAAAAGGAGAAAAAAAAATGATATTATACCTCTTTCTTTTTAAATACAAATAAAATAGATTGTTATGCAAACTTGACTTGTACGTGCTGCTAGAATTTTTTTTTTTTTCGCTAATCTGAAGCAATTCCGGGGGGATAAAAAAAAAAAAAAAAAACTGGTTCAGATTCTTCTTTTTGGCTATTCATTCATTTCTTCAGTTATAGTTTACATGTTTAGCATTTCTAGGGCATTTTCTACAGCTGTTAGTGGACCATTCAAATTGGCCATTGTTGGAAGTGGTCCTGCTGGTTTTTATACTGCTCATCGATTACTAAAAGAATGGCCAAATACACAAATTGACATGTTTGACATTTTACCTGTACCTCATGGCTTAGTAAGATTCGGTGTTGCCCCTGATCATCCTGAAGTAAAAGTAAATGTTTAAAAATTTCAAAATATAAAGTTTGTAATTGTATGACATTGAAACAGTTAAAATCCTTTTTCTTTTTATATATATGCACCTTCAGAATGTCATGACCACTTTTGATAAAGTTGCGGAAGATGATCGTTTTCGTTTTTTTGGAAATGTTCCTATTGGCACCCAATTTGCAAAAGGAATTGGTATAAAGGAATTACAGGAAAATTTCGATGCTGTGCTTCTTTCTTATGGTGCAAGCGAAGATAGAAAACTGGGAATTCCTGGCGAAGATGCTTACGGAGTTGAGTCAGCCCGAAGTTTTGTTAGTTGGTACAATGGGCATCCTAACTATTGTGACCTTCAAATACCTCCATTAGATGATACAGATACTGCAGTTGTTATTGGTCAAGGCAATGTAGCACTTGATATTGCTCGTATTTTATTAAGCCCAATAGATGTCTTGCGTAAAACAGATATTACAGAATATGCATTAGAAGCCTTGTCCAAGAGTAAGATTAAACATGTACATGTAGTAGGTCGTAGAGGTCCTGTACAGGTAAAAAAAAATAACTGCAAAGGCTATTTTGATACAGATATCTCTTTAAGGAGGATTATTCATCTTATCAAGTTTACTTTTAGGTTTCATTTACTTCAAAAGAATTAAGAGAGCAAATGGCATTGCCTGGAGTTGAATTTCATGCTGATATGGACTTAATAAAGAAAGAAATTACTGATTCTCAAGCATTTATTAGTAAGAATAGGCCTTTAAAACGTCTTTTGAGTTTGTTAGAAAAGGGTTCACCTACAAAACAAGGGGATAAATCGTGGACGGCTAAGTTTTTACGTAGTCCAATTGAAGTATTGACAAATGGTCAAAAGGCTTGTGGAATTAAATATGAACTAAATCGACTAGAGGGACCTTTAGAACAACGAAAGGCAATAGGCACGGGCGAATATGAGACACAAGAATGCGGAGTCATTTTGACAAGTATTGGCTATAAAAGTATTCCTATTGATGATAGTATCCCATTTGATAAACGTCAAGGTCGTATACCAAATCGTTACGGGAAAATGATGAAGGATGGTGAAGAAGTATCAGGTATGTATACAGCAGGTTGGCTTAAGAGAGGACCTACAGGTGTTATTGTATCTACTATGACCGATGCCTATGAGACTGCTGATACCATTGTAGATGATTTAAAGAATGGAAAGGAAATGCTTGATCGAGGTGAATCCAAAGCAGGAGCTGAAGGTTTAAAGAAATTGATGGAAAAAAGAAATATTCGACCTGTTAATTATCAGGATTGGAAGAAAATTGAGGCTGCAGAATTTGCTATTGGAGAGAAAATGGGTAAGCCTCGTGAAAAGTTCTGTAAGATTAAAGATATGTTAGATGTTCTATAGATTCAATTATTATACTATTTATTCCATCTTTATGTCATATAATTCAGTTAATACATTATTATTATACATCTTTAACAGTAAATAATCCTTTTATTAAAGATATTGATTAAATAATCTATTACCTACACTATTCTGAGGCAAAAAAAAAAAAGTGTCTATATTTTAACTCAAACTAATTTTTATTTACAATTCACATGTTCATAAATAAAAAAATGTATACGTAATATGTTTAAATTGATTGGATAAAAATATTTACTCCTTGAATGAATTTACTCCTTAAAAAAGGGAAAAAAAAAAGATATAAAAAGGGGGTCAAAAAATTGTAAAATTCCCTTTTTTTTTTTCTTTTTTTCTTTATGATCATCAACCGGCTATTCCACGGCCGTGAAATGGCTGGGCCTGATCAGCCTGGAGTGTCTCTTCAGTTGCTTGTACGCCCTCGGGAGGTGTGAGGGGGTATACTTCTGTCGTTCAGATGCGTCCATTTCAGAAATAACAAACACAAATGAAAAAAAAAAATATGATAGCAGCATATTTTATGATTAGTTATGCTTCTGAAGCTTAAATTGAGTTTAAAAAAAAGAAAAGATGTGGTGAAATCTAATAGAACCAGTCACGTAGAAGACAGTCATTCACTTAAACAGTAACAACTATAATTAATAAAAAAGATACAAAATACCTAACATTTATACATTTAATTGTGAATGATTATATTTGATTACAAGGAAATACATTAATTGAATCATCGTGTTATAAGCTTATTTGTAGCTTCTTTTTAATCCTATATAGTCTAGTATTTTAAAAAATAATGAGCTTATTAGTATAAATATATCTCAAATACACAGATTCACTTTATGCTTTATTAGAATAGCTAAAGAAAAGAAAAAAGACGTTTATCTTTATACAACTAAACTTAGTTAGTGCACTATTCAATTTTATAAACTTATAGCTTCATTGTGCAATATAAGAGGATGATAAAGCTATTATATAGATCAAGATAAAGTATGATAATTTTACTCCATGGTTTAAGTAGTCCTCTTTGACTGCTTTTTGGTTATATATGCTTAATAGAATTCTAGTGTTATTTTTTTGGATGTGTGTGGTATTTATAATAAAGCTACCCAAGCAAAATATTAGAATAATAAATAATGCTCTAAGAGTTGATAATGATATATTGTATGGAGGCCTTCAAGAAGCGTAATAAAACGATTATTGCATCTAATGGCTAGAAAGTATATCATGACTAAAGATAATAATGGCACTATTATATATTTATTAGTTATTCTTTCTTATACTAAGGGACTCGTTTACATATATTTATTTATATGTGTATATTGTTTCCTGTTGAACTAATCCTATCTTCTCCTTTGCCTGTTTGCAATTTATATAAACTTTTGTTTTATTTTGTTTTGTTTTAAAAAGTGTCCTAATAATTCCTAAATAAAGTGTATATCTAAATAACTGTGGCTGATCCTTCTTTATCTCTTCTACTTAACCATATTTCTTACAAACGTAGAAAGACACTTTTTTTACACTCTGACAATACGCAGTATGCTTTTTTGAACTTGATTACCATGTCAAAATCCTTCCTGAAACATCCGCACACACACACCTTCTCTTGGTACTAATTTGACCATATTGTTATGCAGTCATTAAATTTGTATTTGAAGATACTGTTTTCTGCTAAGGCAATGCAATATTACTTTATTATGTGTTCAAATGGGGTTTGATTTTTTTTAACCATAAAAAATATTTAATAAATCATTCATCATTTTTATATTATCATATATAGCTCGTGTTTCACGAATAGCACGTAACCTCAGCCTTCCAACATAATCTTTTGAATATGCTATTGAAACAAGTAAGAATGTATAATCAGAAGTTGGTATGTTTCATCATTGTACTTATGAATTAGGCTTCCATTATAATGATGAAAAATAATTGGGAAGAGGCGATAAAGATTTTTAAAACCCCTTTTTTTGAGGAAGGCTATTGGTCTTTATTAATCATGAAATACTTGACATGAGTCTGTTTAGATATGATGGGACAGACAATAGAAGCTATTTTGGAATTTGCTGACATTCCATTACTCTATAAAGAGAGTAAAATTATGGATGCATTCGATATTGAATCTTATATATTTCGTAAAGTTGAACTTTTTTTCAATCAAGTGGATATCAATATATAGACATGACGATGTATGCTTTAGAATATCTTTATTTATTTAATGCGTATGAATCCTATACAATTGAAACAGAACCTTGCTTTAACAGAGGCTGCAGTAAATACCCATAATTGATATTGTACTTGGTAATAGCTCTCAAGAAATTCTTGGCTAAGGTTTTATCGCTTATTAGCTTTTTTTTTTTTTGAATTCTAGATCTGAATCTGCATCTGGATATTTGAATTTTGAAATAGGGGAGCCTAAGGACATTTGGAGAATAACCCTTGGTTCCATCATTTAACAATTGGACTGAACACTAGCTGTAAAATCAATTTTATTTTTAAGTTTTCAATAGGTTCTTTTAACATTAATTATATGCTTAAAATAAAGCCAAGTTCTACTTGAATTCGAATTAAAATACTGGACTATTGAAGTATTCTACATAACTGTTAAGTCTTTTCTTTTTATTATTGATTCCGACCTGGGAAATTTTGATGTATTCGATATCTTGTTCTCAATTAGAAAAGACTTTTATTCTAAAAAAAAAAAAAAAAAAAAAAAATTAATATGGAAGCAGTATTTAATCGTATGCATATAATTAGTTCACTTAACTCGTAACACGAGCGGAAGAAATTAGATGCAATCATAATAGGTACCCTGAAAAAGAATAATGAGAAGTCATCTGAGCAAAACTAACGAACACAAGAAAATAGCACTAAATGTCTATAAGAAAAATATATAACTTATCTGATAAAGAAAATAATAAAACATCATTCTATATAAATCAAAATACATATTTCTCCACATTACATATACAGAAATATATGATAAAGAAGAATACGCCTAAACAAACAAACAAACCAACAAAAAATACTTTATAAAAAGAAGTGAAGTATGTTACTACTTTACTTGAACCTTTAAACTGATATTTACTTGCCGCTAAATTACTTTCTTTTACTTTCATTTTACATCATTCAATTTAAGAAGATTTATTATAGCAGGATGAGTGTGTAACATTATATACATTTTAAATATGAAAGTATACATGTTTATTAAATAAGTTTTATATACAAATAATATAATAATGAATAGTAGATAAAGCTAATGTCGATTAACGAAGATTATTTACCTCTTTTTTTTTTTTTTTTTTTTTTTTTTTTTTTTTTTTTTTATAAATATATAATTATATTAGGATTGACAATTTGTCATATTAATTATAACACCTGTAGAAGAAGGATGAATCCATGAGTTAATATTAATATACATTGTATAAACCATCATGGCCCAGCCAAATAAAACAAGGATAATGTCCAATATCTTTGCGTAACTCTTAGTTGTCACCCTAAAGTGGAAGAGACCTGGAAAAATGAAGCAGAGAGGCATACAAGCGACTGAACCCACAAGCGAAACAAACTTGTTTAAATTACTAGAACCCACACAGAAACTGATGACAGCACAAATGATAGGAATCAAGGAACGTATAAAGTTTTTTCCCATTTTGACCCGTACACTTTTTCTACCTGAATGATTACCAAAAATATATCTTTCAATAATGACTAAAGGAGGATATAACATGAAGGGTGAAGTAAGAATCATGGCAATTGCATATAGAATCTGGACAGTAATTGATAAAGGTATGCGTGGAATATTAGCTACAACGCTTGCTTGAGTGATATCGCCAAATGCAATGTAACCAATAGCACCAATAAGAGTGAAAATAAGTGTACAAATCAACATACCAATGTTTAAAACCATTGGGAACTTTTTTGGATCTTTCATACCTTGAACAATAGGTAATACTATAAAGAAAATTATGTATATTAGTTTTTCTTTTCTTATATGCAATTGTTTTTTTTTCTTTTTACATAATTATATGTATATGTATTTGTATTTTACCCATGCCTATGCCTTCATAAGAAAAGACAGCTGTACCTATCATGAGACCAAAGCTATTCTGATTGACCAAAATAATATTATTACCAATACCATGATGAGCAATTTGATTTGAACAAAAATAAAGGATACAAATTAGACCAAAAGCAATAAAGATATCTGCTACAATAGCAAAATAGGATAAACGTGCAATTTTTCTAACCCAGGTAATGGGAATAATCGCAATAAGCACTATCCAAATATAATATTTAGCTTCAAAAGGCGCGTTACAATTATTTAAACTATCCACAACAATTCCAATATTCTCTGAAATAAAAATCAAATAGGATGCAACAAATCCCATTTGAGAGATACAAAGAAAGAAATGAATAAGATGTCTTAACCAAGCACCATAAAGATGTTGAGCAACGTCACCATAAGAACCACCAATTTGCTGTTGTGCCTTTACTAAAATTTGAAAAGCAGCAACACAAATCAAGGCCAAAACAAGCATCAAGATGATTGATAAAACCAAGCCTCCACTAACAAATCTATTTTTTTTTTTTTTAAGAGTAATAGTATAAATATTTATTAACCTATAAACTATAATATGCATATATACTTTACGATCCAGGTAAGAAAATGACACCTGTGCCAATAAAAGCTTTAAGTAACATAAATAAAGCCTTTCCAGAAGATGCTGTGCCTTCAGGTACATGCTCTATTTTTTCATCAAGAAATGATCCTTCATATGAGTCCTCTGGATATTTTTCATAAATGATAGTAGGTGGATGTTGCGTATCAGGCTTTTCAATATTAGTATTATTCATTTAATTTTATATGTGTATTAATTCTATTAGATTAGGAAAATAGAGAGTTAACAAAAAATAGAGATATGTATGTATAATAAAATAAAATAAATAAAAATTTCAAATATGCTTAAATTATATCTTGTAAGTTTTGTATCACCATGGAGACATTTAAATCCAAATTTGGTAGTCTAGTGCTCTTATGCAATTGGCCTAAAAAATAATCGAATTATCTGTTGCACAAACAAGCCGTTTGAGGAGAAATGGGGTAATTCAATCAAAAAAAAAAAAAAAAAGAAAAAAAAAATTGAGCAACACAAACGACCAAGTAAAAATTAAATTATTTATAAAGATATGACGTGAGAAAAATAATATGAAAGGCAAATTTCAAGATGTAAAGCTCTATATTGTTATTTTTAAATTTAAAGGCTAATAAAGTAAAGGAGGGGGGGGAGAAAGTACAAATCAAATTTGTGCAGATTTATGTAGTAAAAGTCATTAAATTATACATGCATGCCAATCTTGTATACAATCTTTAATTCGTTGAATGAGGAAAAGAGGCTTGTTAGACTTCTTCTGGCAAGTAGACAACCACCCTGAAAATCGTTCTTGCAGTATGTGTAAAGAATAGTAGGGGTGAGCAAATTATAAAGTCCAGAGTGATAGGGAGTACCAGCCTCAGTCCAGAGAAGCGGCAAAATTGCCAGAACATCTTGATTATCTTTTGCAGAGTACAAGTCCACACCATTTTTCAGTCTCTTGAAGTCTTTTACAATTGTTGATAAAAGGAAAGGCTGTTTCTTTCGCATCTTCCTTTTTTAGGGATTGCAGCTAAAAAGTGTATATTTTCGATCAAGTATCGTTCCTCAAAGGAGAGAGCGCCGCATTTTATTGACCAAATTTCGTACACGTTGTACTGCTTTGATCGATTTCTAGACTTAACATTAGTAAACAAGATGATAGCAACAATTCCGATCCTATAGTAGAGTCGTCAACTGATTTGTATTTCCATCTTTGTCACAAATTTAACACTTCATGAAATGAGGAATAATGACCACTGTTAAAAAGCTGTCTACCTCTATATTACTAGGCATAATTTTGATACCAGTGTAATTATTAATCTTGTTCAGAAAAAACCTGATTATTTTTAGCAAACACGTCAACTCTATTCATCATGTGAAATAATTCAGCGAGTAAATACGGGTTGTCAGGAGCACGCTTAAACACGACTAAAACGCCAGACAAAAAAAATCAATATTGTTTACAATGTACATAGACTGTTGAAAAACTTGTGTATCTACCATTTCTCTCCTTTTTGAAGACAGAATGATTGATTGATTAAGTGTTTAGTCAGGAAGAGCAAATAATGTCCCTGATTTTTTGGAATTAGCAGCAAGTAATTTCAAATGATCAGAAGGCAGACTGATATAAGCAGAAAGTGTTTGATTTCCTGACAAAGAAACTTTAATTTCCTTCAAAAGGAAAGCAGAAAGTTGGTTACTATTGTGCCTTTGAAAATCAAACAAAGCATCTAATTGAGGCAGCTTGAAAGATATTTTGTTTTCAAAAGCCTTTTTTTAGAGCTTCAAAATCAGTTTTATTGTGAACAAAAAAACTTTTTTTTCAACATCCTACGAAATATCATCTCATTATCACCATCAACAAAAGCAAATAGGACCGTGTATTGCCAATGGGGAAACAGCTGAGTCTGTGATGTAAAATTATTCCAATTGACAGCGTTAACCAAGTCGTAATTCGCCTGCACAGAAGAATTTATAGAATTTGCCGAAAAAGTTAATACAGTTAGCAATTTGTTAAAATAAACTATTGCTACTGAATTCTTCGATATTCATCTCAAACTTCTTTTCGTCCAAGCCTGATTCATTATCTTCATCGTTACTAGAATCAGCTGACTCTTCTTCCCTTTACCAGTTAGAGTCAAAGATATCTTCTTATGAATCAGATTGTAATCCAAAATCAATTGCATAAGCCAGATAGGTTTTAGTATTATTTTCCTTTTCAGATTCATTAATTATACAATAACCCATCCACTTTTCTACAAGCGAGCAAGAAATTCTATGAACATCTATTATATGTCTTTCTAAGTCAAAAGGTTTTGCGAACTCCTTTCTGCAAAGACGACATCTTTTTTTTTATAGCGAATCCGTAAGTCTAAAATTAATTTCACATGTAAGTTTGCCTTTCAGTACATTTGTTATTTTTTTTTTTTTTTATTTATTTTTTTTTTTTTTTTTATTTTTTTTTTTATTCTTTGAAATTTTTATAGGTCATTTTTTAAGCTTTTAGTAGTCGTGAACCAATTTTCTTGCATTTATTCAAAAAGGTATATCAAAACAAATAGTGTATATTTTATAAATGAAAGCTATATAAAGATGATAATAAATACAGTACATAAATAACTACAAAGCTTATTTTGTTATTATTGAATCTTTTCTAAACATGATCAGTCGATTCTTTTTTTTTTATAAACCAATTGCAGCATTTAGAACAGATTTTTTGATTTATTGTGACTTTTTAAAATGTAGTTTCTTAATGCAATTTTATTAACCACCTCTTCTCTTATTTTACTAATTTGAATAATTTATAGATCTGCTGAACATGTCTTTCAAGAGTATACAACCTCTTGATTCAAACGTTATTAATAGATTAAGATCGTGAGTTTTTTACACTTTCTAAAAGTTGGTCTATTTTATAATGCAAATTAAAATAGATCTTTAGTCATTAGCTCATTAGCTCAATGCCTTAAGGAGCTAATTCATAATGGTAAATACTTGTTCTTTAATTTCTTCCTTCTTCCTCCTTTCTTTTAAGTACTATTAAATAACTATGTTATAGCTCTTGATGCAAATGCTACAAATATTGATATACATATTGATATTGAGAAATTTAGTTTACAAGTAAATGATAATGGCTACGGTATTCAAAATATGGATAAAATAGGCCAAAGACATGGTGAGTTTTGAAAAAGTACTTGTATATATATTTTACTAAATATTCTGAAAATAAAAAAAAAAGTAACTTCAAAATGTCATGCACTTTCTGATATAAATCAATTAAAGACTTTTGGATTTCGGGGAGAAGGTATACAATGAAAATGATGCCTCTGTCTTCTATTTTTAACAATAAAAAAAAAATAGCTTTAGCTGCTATTACTAATATGTCCCTAACTCAAATAATATCAAGACATTATCTGTCAAAAGAAACATTCGAAGGTTTTTGGAGGGTAGAAAAAAAAAAAAAAAAAAAAAAAAAAAAAAAAAAGAAAAGTTAAAATTATATGTTCTCATTTTGGTCATATAGGATAGTAAGCTTGTCGGAGAAATATCACCATCTAAACATACTCGAAAAAATTATCCAGGTACTAGTGTCATTGTGCGAGATTTGTTTTACAAGGTAGTAGAATATACTAGTGTGCTTATAATAATATAACATTATATATTGTTATTACACACAGGTTCCTGTTAGACGAAAATATCAACAAAGTTCTTCCTCTTATCAGCATGTCGTCACAATGGAGTCTGTGAAACGACTTGTAATTACGTTTGCACTTTGTTTCCATCATGTCAGTTTTACTCTTATTGATAGTAATCGTAATATGAAAATAGTGTCAACAAAAAAAGTAAATGAAAAAAAATAGTACAATCGTTAATATGAATAAATGTTAACCTTTATCTGAACCAGGCGCATACAAGTTTAGATATATTTAGACAGTTATTTGGTCAAGATATGTCAAAGGTATCACAGAAAAAAAAAAAAAAGTCTATAATTTTAACTTTAATATATTTAGTATGCGCAGCCTATCAACATCCATAAAAATAATCTAGAAATAACAGGATTCTTCTCCACACAAAGTTACCCAAATAAGGTTAGTTACAAGTCTAATCATATTTAGTATCTCATGTATTGATACATATACTTATCTGTTATTATAGTCTCAGCAATATATTTGTAAGAAAAGATATTATAATTTGAGTATCTTTATCATATTAAATATATCATTTACTAGATATTAATAATTACATTGTACCTTCTACAAATGAACTATACAAGATTGTATCTGATCTATTCTCTTCTAGTAGTTTTGCAATAAATACAGTATGTATATATTGTGTACTTCTTTTATTTGCTAACTATGGAGTCATCGCTAAAAGTTATCTATTTAATATAGGAGAAAGTTCAAATAACACCACTAAAAAGCAGAGGTATCCTACATAATCTTTTAAATTTATAATATATATACACATATATAGTAACATGCATTTAACCTTTTTTATTAGGTCGATTCATACAAAAATATCCCATTTATGTAATTCAGTTTTCGTGTCCTACTTGGAGTAATTACGAAATCAATTCATATTTAGGACTGTTAACCCATTTTAAACCACTTGAAACTATTGCATCTGTACTGAAAGAAATCACTACTCAATTTTTGAAGAGTTCAGGCTTTTTAATTGAAAGTCCTCAACAAAAAAAGATAAAACGCCCAAGGTTAACAAACACTTCAACTGTAGATAAAAGTATAATTAATAAAAATCATCCCCCTTCTCATTCACCTTTTATTGTTCCTTCAATAACTGATAACAGTAATCATAGTCAGTTAACCTCGAAAAATGACTCTAAAATCAAACAAACACCTAATAGTAGTTTTATAACTTGGTGGGATCCTAATAGAAACGAAGCAATGTACATAGATCCAAGGACTGGTAGTTCGTAAGTTTAACCCTGTAGCTTTCATCATTAAAGAAGTGTATACCAAGTTTTTTTTTTTTTTTTTTTTTTTTTTTTTTTTTTTTTTTTTGCTTTAGATACTATTCATCAGAACTAGAAAACTCTCCTGTAGAAATATCCAGTCACCAGGACAAAATCGATAGATCAAGTTTAAAACGAGCTGAAAGGTCCTATTCTGATACACTAATAGACATAAATACAATTCAGCAGACAGACCATAGCAAACACCGAAAAGTTTTCTCCCATTCTACCTGTATAGATATACCTTACAAACTAACAAAACATGACTTGCATCATATTCAAGTGTTGGGTCAAATTGACAAAAAATTTATTGCTGTCAAATTACTCAACACTCAACATTTAATTATTTTTGATCAGCATGCTGCAGATGAAAGAATCAAGTTGGAAGAAATATATGAAAATTTTGAGATAGTTACACTTGAGCCAGTTATTCAACTTGACTTTGATTTAAACGAGATTCAATGGCTTATGTCAGATCATGTGCTAAATTACTTTAAAATATGGGGCATTCATATCATTATAGATGATTTACAGTCAAGCTCTGAAACTGTTTTACTATCACAATCTCGATTTTTTGCAAAACCGGATAATCATCAGAAAATAAAGTCAAATCAAGTTTATATAACGAGACTACCAAGAGCCATTATTGATAAATGCATTACAAATCATCATATTTTGAAAGACATTATTAGAGACCATTTATACTGGATTATGGAACAAACAGATGAAATACTAACTGCCAGGACATGTCCAAAAGGTATAACAGAGATTTTGAAATCAAAAGCTTGTAGAAGTAAAGTATAAGATGAAAAAAAAAAGATGGAGGGGTGAAGGATTGCTTTATTAATAAATACCTTTTTTTTTTTTTTTTAATAATAGATGCGATTATGTTTAATGATGAACTGAGTTTGGAGCAATGCAAAACTATTATCCAAAAACTATCAGCATGCAATTTTCCGTTTCAATGTGCACACGGAAGGTTTGTAATATAATATTTAAATGCATATTTTAATCTAATTATTATTTTTTTTTAATTCATTAACAGGCCTTCAGCTATTCCAATAAAATTATATACAAGATACCAAAAACCATCAAGACCAAAAAATTGGAAAAAGTTTGAAAAAAAAAAAGCATATAAATAAACTTATACCCCTTCATTAATGATGTTATTAATAAAGAAAAATTTATTATGAAAAAAAAGTGAAATCTATATTATACAGTAAAGCGAGAATAAATTTTAAATAAATATTGAATGATATCTAAAGTAAATTTCTAGTTTACATATTCTTCAGGAGAAGGGCAAGTACACATCAAATTACGGTCACCATAAGCATCATCTACACGTGAGACAGATGGCCAAAACTTCTTTTCACGAAGGTAAGGCATTGGGAATGCAGCTACCTGACGACTGTAAGGACGATCCCATTTATCAGCCATTAATGTCTTGATAGAATGAGGAGCTCTATTCAACATGTTATCACGCTTAGGCAATTTACCATCTATCACCTGCTGGATCTCGTTACGAATGGAGATCATGGCATCACAAAAGCGATCGAGCTCTGGTTTGCTTTCGGACTCGGTTGGTTCAATCATCAAAGTATTAGTAACAGGCCAAGACATAGTAGGGCTATGGAAACCATAATCTTGAAGACGTTTAGCAACATCAATGGCCTCAATACCATACTCCACAAAGGGTCGGATGTCTACAATGAATTCGTGTCCGCACATACCATTGTTATTCGTATAGAGGATTTCATAATGGTTTCGGAGTCGACTAGCCATATAGTTGGCATTCAAGATGGCAAGTTGAGTAGACTGAGTGAGGCCGTCACCTCCCATCATTTTAATATAGGCCCAGGAAATAGGTAAAATAGAGGCAGAGCCGTAAGGTGCTGCTGAAATAGGACCAATCGCATTTTGTCCGCCACATGCTACAACGGGGTGACCGGGTAAATAAGGCTCAAGCTCCTTGGTACAAGCAATGGGACCCATGCCGGGTCCACCACCACCATGAGGGATACAAAATGTTTTATGTAAATTCATATGACAAACATCAGCACCAATCTCTGCCGGTTTTGTGAGACCAATTTGAGCATTCAAGTTGGCGCCATCTAAATAAACAAGACCGCCATTTTCATGTACTATGTTGCAAGCCTCCGAGACACCATGTTCAAAGATACCAAAGGTAGAAGGATAAGTGATCATGATGGCTGCTAAGCGATCTTTATGCTTTTCAGCTTTGGCCTTTAAATCCTCCATATCGAGATTACCCTTGTTATCACATTGAACGATCACGACATCCATACCAGACATAGCAGCAGAGGCAGGATTTGTTCCATGTGCAGAGATTGGAATTAAGCAAACATTGCGTTCACTTTCCCCACGAGCTTGATGATAGGCACGAATGACACGAAGGCCAGCATACTCACCTTGTGCACCCGAATTAGGTTGCAACGAGACACCCTTGAAACCTGTAATCTCCTTTAAATCATCAGCGAGTTCATCAAGCATTGCAAGGTAGCCCTCCGTTTGCTCAACAGGTGCAAAAGGGTGAATGTTGGAGAATTCAGGCCACGTTATGGGAATCATCTCTGTTGTAGCGTTTAATTTCATTGTGCAACTGCCAAGTGCAATCATGGAATGAACCAATGATAAATCTTTACTTTCAAGATGATGAATGTAACGAAGCATTTCAGTCTCAGAGTGATAAGAGTTGAAAACAGGATGCTGCAGATAGGGTGAGGTACGTTGTAGTTGATGAGGGAAGGTGACTGTTTGAGTATTAAGGATAGTAGAAAGCTTTTCAATTGTCATAGCAGTAGCGGTGTCCCCCTTCTGGAATACTTGAAGTAATCTTACAATTTCATCTTGAGTAACAGCTTCATCGAGAGTGATACTAACTGTATTGTTGTCAATAGCTCGGAGATTAATGCCAGCAGCAGCAGCTTTCTGAAGAATAGCTGAAGAATGACCGACCTTGATAGATAAGGTATCAAAGAAGTTGTCATCGTTTTCAATAACATAACCTGACTCACGAATGCCCTTGGCTAAAATAGAAGTTAAATTATTGATACGTTGAGCAATAGCCTTTAGGCCCTCAGGACCATGGTAGATAGCATACATAGCTGACATATTGGCTAAAAGAGCTTGTGCAGTACAAATATTACTTGTAGCCTTCTCCCTACGAATATGTTGCTCTCTTGTTTGAAGTGCAAGACGATAGGCAGGGTTCCCATCCGCATCCTTTGAGACACCAATTATTCTACCAGGCATACGACGTTTATGTTCATCTTTACAGGCGAAAAAGGCAGCATGAGGACCACCAAAGCCCATAGGAACACCAAATCGTTGGGAATTACCAAGAGCGATATCAGCACCAAACTCTCCAGGAGATTTGAGTAAGGTCAAGGCCATCAAATCAGTAGCAACAACAACTTGACCTCCAGCTGCATGAATATTCTTTGTTAATATTTCATAGTCCTTAACTGAGCCTCGTGTATCAGGATACTATGAATGAACATGAGTTCAATTAAAAAAAAATAATAATAAAAATTAGGATACATAAATACATATATTCTCTAGGAATGTTCATGGATTTTCTTTTTTTTAAAAAGAAAAAAAAAGATTCTCTCCATGATCACTCTGTGCAATATTTAATTACCTGTAACAAAACACCACAAAGCTTATTTTTATTTTCATCAAAATTGTAATGAAGAGTATCTGCTATCACAATTTCTATATTGAAAGATTCAGCACGTGTTTTAAGACAAGCAATTGTTTGAGGGTGACAATTTTCATCAACAACAAATAAATTTCTTTTACGGCGACCTGCTTGCCAACACATAAGCATTGCCTCAGCTGCAGCTGTACCCTCGTCCAATAATGATGCATTAGCAATAGGCAATCCAGTTAAATCACTGACAAGTGTTTGATAATTTAAAAGTGATTCTAAACGCCCCTGAGCAATTTCCGGTTGATAAGGAGTATACTATTTTATAAGAGATATATGTATATGCATATACATTTGTGTCTATTAATACTCCTAGTAAATCCCTCCAATTTTATCTTTATATTTTACCTGTGTATACCAAGCGGGGTTCTCTAAAATGTTACGCAAAATGACATTGGGTACAATGGTATCGGTATAGCCTTGACCAATATATGAGCGATAGATTTTGTTTTTGGATGCAATGCTCTTGAGACGTTTCAATAACTGACTTTCAGACATACCTTCACCTACAGCCAAAGGCTTTGGGGATCGAATTGCGGAGGGAATAGTCCTTGTGAGCATCTCATCAATATCTTTTACACCCAACTGTTTCAGCATTTCTGCAACATCTTTACCGTGTGAACCAATATGACGACGAGGAAATGTATCGAGAGGAGCAATTTTTGAAACAGAAGGCTTTATTGTATGTTGAAAACGAATAGATTGTGTTGATCTTACCACTATCCGAGGCACTGCTAAGCGTTGCTGTTGTTGTATAGTACGTGAAATAGTACTTCTTATCGCAATACGGGACAACATCTTAATAAAAGAGAAAGGCAAAAAAAAAAAAAATAGTTCAAAGACTATTTATGATATATGAAGAAGAAAAGAAATAAAAGGTGGGTTTCCTTTTTTTTTTAAAAAAAAAAAAACAATTACTATTTATTTCGTTATAGATACTTGGAAAGTTTCCATCTATAGGGGAAGCAAGATTTGATCCACCTACCATTACAGGTAACATATTGTCCCCGAGTACGTCCACTCTGTCAAAGTAGTCACGAATTTTTTTTTATGAAAAAAAATCGCCTTAATAGTAATTTCCCTTTTCTTTTTTTTTTTTTTCCTTTTTTTCTCATTCTTCTTACTTCTTGATGAAGAACATGTATTTAAAGAAAATATATTGCTAATTATTACATATTTTATTGGCTTGATTTTTTTTGTCCCCCTTTCCTTTCTTTTATACACTATTTGTATCCTTTTTTCGAATATCATATGACGATGATTATATATCAATAAAACTGTTTAATAGATGAAACAAAGATATAAAGTTTACACCGTGCATTTAATATATAATCTATTCATCTGATTTAAATACTAGGTCTGTATTATACACCTACCTTTTTTTTTGATATTATATATGTATTTATATATAAAAGAAGATAAGCTTACTTTATCTTCTGTAATCCCTTTTCTTCTATTTACTTGTCAAGTATTTAGAGCCTTTCATATTCATTTAATTTCAGAAATTATGCCTCTTTTTTTTGTCTCAAATTTCATATTATACCTCAATGCAAAGGACAACAAAATTATAAAACTATTATTTACTAGTACTGTAATGAAGAAGATTATATTAACTATTGAATTTTTAGTTCAAGTTATCATACTTATTGCAGTATCTGGTATGTAATAGTAATAAAAATAGACGGCTTTATATAATCTATATAATTTATAGTTTCCTATAATGCACAATATAGAAATGGACAAATAAGTGAATACTCAGTACAAGTAAACACTGTATATAAATATGTATTTGTATATGTTTATATTTAGTCTATTGACTTTCTATCGTACTGTGATCTATATTCAGAATTTATTGATCGTTGCTATTGCTGGCTTTCAGATGATAATTATAGGCTCTATTTTATTAAGAAACTTTTTATTATCAAGAAAAAAAGAAAGAAAAAAAGAACCTTTATTGACATATTGTTACAGCTATTTTTTTTTCTTCAAAAAAAAAGAAAAAAGAAGGGTATTAAAGTATAAGCTAAATAATAAAAATGATAATAAAATAAGATAAAAAAAAAAACTATTCTTTAAATCCATTTTCAATCTTTTCAATATGCGTTAATAAACATTTAACAAAGCTATTAATAATATCCATGGATGTTCCCGTTTGTAAAATATCTTCTACTGTCCAAGGCGCTTCATCCCCAATTTCCAAGTCCAAGTTTGCCTTAAAATGTGTATTATAAAGCGTATTAATTATTTCAAAGTCGTACCAGGCCTCTCCTTTTCCAGGTTGTGCATTGATTTTTTGTGTACCAGGAACAGGGATCATACACAATCTTTCAACCCGAGTCACTTCGACAATAAAAGGGAATACACTTCTGTATCGAGTTGTTTGTTTTAATATGACGTGCTCTACGGTTAAAAACTTTGGCACATTTTGAAATGACATTAAACGCGTGATAGGGCTATAAATAAAAAGATTAAAAAAAGAAAAACAAATTTTTTTTTAGATAGATAGATATTCTTACCTAATCGATATCCATTTATTGAATGTCGTAAAGGGTTTTACATCACTTCTAATTAATTGTTTAGTAGTTAACGAAAGTTGAAAATCATATTTTCGATCCAATGACACCCAATTTATTTCTGTTACTTTTTTCTCATTTATAGCTACTTTTCGTATATCAAGTATCCCTTCGTTCATATATAAAATGACAGGCTTATAGCGTCCATTAGGTTGATTACGTGCTGCACAATGAAATTCATAAATAGACGTTTTATTATAGGGTGCTGTACTCAATGCATTGGAAACTATAAGGCTAATAATTTCTTCATCCATGGTAGTCCTAATATTTAACGAATGCTTAATAAATATAAGATTTATATTAGGATTAAAAACTTACATTTTAGTGAATTTTGGAGCTGTACCTAATTCTTTCATGACAATATCTTTAATTTCTTCATATTCCCATACTTTTCCAAGAACCTCTGGTCTTTTTACATTCCATAACACTTTACCGATTCTAGATGTAGCATAGTTCAATAAGTTACTGCTTATAAATAAGCCAAAAAAAAAAAGAAAAGAAAAGAAACCTACTTTGCAGATAATCTTATTTCTCCTTTGAATCCTCTTACCGACTCTAATCCGGTGACCAACGAATCTCTAATAGTATTATAATTATAATTCTTCACCCTATACAACATTTTTTTTTAAGTAAATGGAAATAAACTTAATTCAATAATTCATATTTTTTTTTCTCTGTACCTATCCATTAAAATACGTGCTGGCATGGACATATGAGTCGCTGCTGCTTTTTGAGGTATAATTCGCATTACTCTACGCGCCTTAGGCTTATCCAAGTTTAATTTTGGTTTATATTTGCTCTTACTGCTAGTAGAAGAGGCAGTAGAAGTAGGTGAGGAAGGTCTCGAAGTAGATGTTAATGCTGGAAAGTCTTTTAATAATAGTGTAATATCAGCTGAGAGAGGTATTGATGATGATGGTGGTGGAGGTGGTGGTGTAAATGCACGAGCAAGTCGTTCAGAACTTAAATATTCCAATTTACCAGTATTATAAACAGAAGTGAAATTACGATCCATTCCCCACTCTGGCATTCTGTATAATTCTGTAGTAATTTCTGTTAACTGAATAGAATTTGGTTTCGGTGGTGAATCTGATTGAATAGAAAAATTGGAAGAAGAAGAAGACGACCGTACTTGGCATTTTGATTTAACAGTGTTAGTGGCTATAGCTAGCTCATTCATTGTATTGTTTAACTCCATTATTTTTTCCTTTTTTATTTGCTCTTCTCTTTTCCGAAATTGATAGTATGAATTTAGAGTAATCATATCTTTTGGTGGATCATATTCATTTGTCCTTGGATTTCTGAATATTGGTAACATGACATAAAGATTAGATACATCATCATCATCATAATCCAATTGTAAATGTACAAAGTTTTTATGTTTATAATTGCGCAGGTTACAAAAATAAAGACCATAATGATTAGATAAAGTTGGATAATGGATGCATGCACTAATATTAGTCTTTAGTTGTCCAATCTAAATAATATAATAGATCCCATTAGATATTAATTCAAATTGGTTTAATTCTACATTTACAAAAGTCTTTTGTAACACATGAAATCTATTATAAGCATTTTTGACAACATTTTCAGTTCCAGTAATACGTATGTTACGTTCATTAAGTGAACATGAGGCGCCTGTCATGTCTGAAATAATACTTATATAATCAGCAGACAACATATTATGCTGTGGAGGCCCATTTAAGAAACTGTTAATATTCTTTATTTTAGGCGAAATAACAAATATTTGGCTGATTATTCCCTCATTTTCATCGTTATTATAATCTTCATTTTGATCAGGTATATGATCGCTAAAAGCTGGTTCGTCATCCGATTCTTCAAACAAGCGTACTGATCCATTAATTTTTAGATGATACGGTATAGGTGTGGAAGGGTTCTCATTAATCATTTGAACATGTTTGCATAAACTTGACATGTCTTCAAATGTTCCTTGCATGTAATTGGAATCAATTTTTTCATTCTATAAAATGTTTGAATCAGTATCAGTGAGACTATCAATAAGACATTTATTTTTTATTACGAAACGAGATAAAAGATTTTGACATATTATTTGTTCACTATAGGAGTTGAGAAATGTGAATAGACAAAAAAAAAAAGCATGTATATTTCGTTTTAATTACGCTTTGGAACATTCTTCCTGATCTGAACCTGTAATGTCGAAATACTATTTATGAAATAATTAGTTACCAATGAAAATAAATAAATAAATATACCAATTTAATTTACTCTTTCATCAAAATTAAATGTTATTGATGTATTTGTTTTGTCTTCTAAACGCCTAGTTAAGATTATAAATAAGTACATTATTAATTGATGACAACAATAAGAATATATACTTTAAATGTACAGAATATCTATCGATCTCCTCCTCAGATATGAATGGATAAACATAGACCTTAGTGTTAGCTAAAACCTTTGTTAATAATATGAAAAATAAAAAAAAGGTTTATATGATGTGTATGTCTTGCTTAGGATACCTTTAACCATAAATACTTTGTTTAGGTTTGACAACGAGAAAGAAAAACAGTGAAAGTATCATAATTTTTTTTTTTCTAAAATGCGGATTTTTAAAAGTTATTTGTGAACATGAAATGGTTAAATTCGCTCTTAAAGAAAAGTAAACTATCGCTTTTATTATTTATACTCTCAAAGAATGAAGGATAAATTATCTAATTTTAATCAAGGAAAAATATATCTTTTGATATCAATTCTTTACAATTAGCAGAGGCTACTTGCTTAGTAGAGTTGGTGTTATTTTTTCATATCTGATCCTTTTGTTATTATTATTAACAGCACACTTTACTCTTCATTAATACAGTATAAAGAATGAGCTAAAAGTGGTTAAAATAATTGCATTTATATTCTTTACCATTAACTATTCTTCAACATATAGATCTGCTAGTTATCCTTTTAGTAATATCTCATTCATGACTTATCCCCGTATATTCTTAATAAATCGAAGGTAAATGCTCTGTTGGTGGTCTCCATTCATCTACAAAGAGCGTCAATCTATGGCTTTTGTCTTTAAGAAATTAAGTTTAATATCTGTCTCTTTTAAGATTCAAGCCTATCTATCATTCAATTCTAAATATTAAAAAGAAGATGCGCTTTATACTGTATTCTTTATTGATTTTGATGATAGTTGCATCATAAAAGTAAGGGGATAAAGTGTACCCTCTCCCCTATTTTATACTGACATCTAAATCATCTTTTGTTATAAAGACATTAAATATACAACCGGTAAAATACTTTTTGATATCATTTATCAAAAGTCTGTAAAAGATACACTAGTAATAGCAGAGAGCTCTCAAGCAGTAAATAAATCCCAAGCCATCATCAAATCATTAATAAAAAAGTATTAAAAGTGACAATAGTTTATCTTGAAGATTTTTTTTTTTACCTTATCGACTATAAGGCTGCCATAACTAAGAAGGACTCTTATTAAAGGTAAACAAGAAGAGTCATTTTTGTCTTTATCGATAAAGAATAAAAATAGCTTTCACGATGAAATCTTATCTAAAAATGACACTAATTAAAAGCTTTATTTATATGTACAAATAAAATAAGTAAAAAACTATAAAGCAATGTTAGCTTTTAAGATGATTATTACTTTACTTTAGTATATGGTAATCCTTGAATAAAACCTTTGTATAGAATAGCGAAAGATAATTATTTATATATGAATGGGCTTTTATTATTAAGCCTTATTTTTATATACCAATGTTTTGGCTAAAAAGTTTATTTTTTTTTATATCTGGTTTACAAAGCTTAAAGAGGAAAAGGATGGCGTAGATTATTATATTGTTAACAATAGAGACAAGCAAATCAATTTAAAGTTTTTTTTTTTTTTTTTTTTTTTTTTTTTTTTTTTTTTTTTTTTACTGGTCACAACGTGGTGATGAAATTGGAAAATTACTTCATACCAAGTTTTTTTTTTATGCTTTTTCTTGTTGTATACGTTTAACAATAATAGTAAAAGGAAACTAGTAACAAAGAAAAGAGGAGACAGACATGCCTTATCTTGTACCCAAGCTACTATACACTTTCTTGTTTGCATGTCAAGGTTCTGCTCCTGTTTATCTTGCTTTATTTTATTCATCTCAATTAGGTTTAAAGAGTGATCAAATTGGTTTACTCGTAGCAATAGGTAAAAGAAAAAAAAAACAAAAAAAACAAAAAACAAATTAATCTCTTTAAATTATCCTTCTCAAAAAAAAAAAAATATCATTTATTATAATAGCACCTTTTATTTCAGCCATTGCTTGTCCATTATGGACTGCTATAGCAGACAAAACCAAAACTCATCGTTACATCATGTGCATAGTTCATACATTAGCTACTATTGCCATCGTAAGTGTTATGGGTATATCTGTCATTATTAAACCTATCGAAGATGAAGCAGCTAGAAGCAAACTTGCCATCACATTAGTTACTATTACATCCATCTGTTTTGCTTTTTTCGGTGTACCCGTATTGCCATTAGTCGATGGAGGAGTGTTGAAAATATTAGGAAGAAATAAAGACCAGTATGGTCGACAACGTATGTGGGGATCCATTTCATTTGGTGTAGCATCAACCCTTGTTGGCTTTATTACAGACTGGACAGGAGACATGAATGCTATTTTTTATATTTATGCTTGTTCTGCTATTTGCTTTATTCTGGTTTGTGGAAATGCACAATTTAAATCGGAGAGAATCGATGAAAGACAAAGATATTTTATTCAACCACAAACTACAACAAACACGATTAGCAATTTTAAAAATAGACTTACTACTATGACTTCTACCACACCTGCTAATACTACTACTGTTAATCATAATAGTTACAAAGATACCCAAATAGATCAGTTTCAAATGGATCCCTATGATGAAGTTGGCATCGATTTAAATTCTTCTCAAATACGTCAGAACGAGATACAACGATTGATTCAGTTTGCTACTGAGTCAAGTATCATTGAAGCTGTTAATCTTTCAAATCCTCCAGCTCATCGATCCATTCAGCCTCCTATAAATAGCAATGAACCATCTACACTTTTACAACTATTAAAGAGACCTGATGTTTCATTATTCTTTCTTACTATGATGTTAATGGGTGCTTCATTAAATATGGTCATTAGTTTTCTATTTATTTATTTGAAGCAGGATTTAGGCGCAACCTCTTCTCAAGTTGGATTAACTGGTTTAATTGGATCTTCTACAGAGCTCCTTTTCTTTTTTTATTCCAAAGATGTAATGTTCCTAAGACTATTTTTTATTATCGACTTGGTATCTAACCTTCTTTTTTTTTTTTTCTTAAACACACACACACACACACAGCTTATTCGGCTTATTGGTATTAGAAGCTTAATCATTTTGGGACATGTTTTGACGATTATTCGAGTGTTTGCGTACACTATTATACCTAAAGGGCCTACAGGTGCTAGCATTGCGCTTGGATTGCATTTATTAAACGGTATTGCATTTTCAGCCTTATGGGGTGCTGGAGTTGTTCAAGCAGATGAATTAGCTCCTACATCATTACAAGCTACTTCTCAAGGTAAATAATGAAGTTCTGGATTTGTCAATTTTTTTTTTATTTAATCTAACTTTATCTATGATATAGGTGTATTGGCTGCTATGTACGCAGGGATTGGAGCTGGATTAGGAAGTTTAGTAGGAGGAGTTATATATGAAGGATATGGTTGCAATGCTATGTTTTATACTGTAATTGCTCTCACGTCATTAAGCTTAGAGATTTATCTCGAAACAAATACAAGGTGTGGTATAAGTGATTTTATTCGATGGACATACAAAACATCAACTAGAATTTATAAATGGATTCAACATGCTCGAGGCATAGGTCAATCCGTTCCAAGATGGAGTGGTAGCGGTGGAGGTAGAATTCGATTAGAAGAAGATGATTGAAAGAAGAGAGAGAGAGAGAGAGAATTTATTACATATATTTTAGGGTGCTTTAAAGAAAAATACATATCCAGCATCATCATATACCACAACTACATTAGATAAAGGATGACTTGCAATACCGATCACTTCATTGTCACACACTTTCACTTTCCCAATTTGTGCACCTGTATTTAATTGAAATCCATACATATAAGAATCTTCAGTTATACCGTATACAATATTGCCCTGAGGTGATACCGCCGCTGTGATAAAATCAGATTTGGCATTGTGACTAAGAGTTCTTATAATTTGTCCTCGAATAGATATAATAAATAATGTATTTGTCTTATTGCAAACCAAATATTGATCTTCACGTTTTGGAATTGGAATGATAGTTTGTACTGATGCATTTCCAAGGCCACCAACGGGATTTAATTGACCTTTTTCAATGACAGGTTGAGGATTAACTGTATATAGACAATGTGTTGTCTTGACATCCCAAATCTAAATAACATGTATGTATATATTAGTCAGAGAGAGAGAGAGAGAGAGATCTATAGTAGATACATAGAAAGTATATATTACCTTTACTGTACCATCGCTACTTGCACTTAGAATTCTTGTATTGTCTGCAGAGAATAAGACTGTATTTGTAAACGATGTATGACCTCTAAATTCCTTTAACATTCTTCCTGATTTTAAACCATGAATCCTGATTGTCTGATCATAACTTGAACTTAGAACTTGTGTTCCATCCTTACTAAAACAAACAGACGTTATGCCCTCTGTATGTGCTGCAGGTATCCTTCTCTGACATTGTCCTGTCTTTACTTTCCAAATCGCAATTTTGCCATCTGAGGAGCCAGAGGCTAAGAGAGCATTATCGAGACTAAACTGAACACATAGAACTGACTGATCCATGGCCATCAGATGATCGTTGGCCTGATAGGTCAAGTCCTTTCGTAATTTACCTGTTAAATAATTCCAAATTTCGATAAATCCATCGACAGAACCTGTGGCCAAGTAGTGCCCATTTTTAGAAAATGAAGCACATTCAGCATGTGTTGTCTTTTTACCAGGGAATTTAATAGAGACATATGGCTTTGAGGCAAACACATCCTCTTCAGCTTGTTGGACAGTAATTACACCTGTAAAAAGGTCATAAGAAGCTTCTGGGACCAAGATCCCTTGTAGTTGTTGCCATTTGATACTTTGGCCTAGTAAAGTTAATAAGCGACTACCAGGTGTAACTGATATTTCTTCTTTTAATTCTATTGAAAAAAAAAAAGAAATTGTCAATAAAGATAAGCTCTGTTTTACATACATATATATATGCATTTACGCTCTGATATGTGTCTCCTTCTTTCTTCCGTTGTATATTGTGGTTTTTCTATAGGTAACTGATCCAAATATCGTTCCATTATTTCATATCTTTCAGGATATTCTTCATTTAATAACCGTAATACATTTGATTTACGAAGTAACATTTCGGCTGTACTTTTTTCATTAAGTTCTATCATTTCTAGAGTAATCTATAAAAAAAAAATATGTGATAAGTAATGAACCACATACACACTTTGAACTATATAAATAAATATATATTTTACCTGTTCATAGAGATTAAATAATTTTTGGTTTTCAATGCCCAGTTGATTGACCTGTTTTAATACAATATCCCATCGACCATCTATAATATCTTGTAAAAAGCGTTCTTTACTTTCGACTGTGTTTAATGTTTGATTGGCTTCTTTTTCTAATGTTGAACGTGATCGATTGAGATTATTTTCCCTCAGAAATTGAATTATTAATTTAACAACGCTATGGATAATTTTTTTAGAAAAAAAAGGAAGTTATGAAATAAGCATGTTATTTTTTTTATTATCTTGAAAGGATAAATGATAAATTACTCTTGTTTATTTATATTTGACATGATGTATTTGTCAAGGAAAAAAAAAAAATAAAAAATAAAAAATAAAGGTTGAATAAATACTTTTGAGATTCCGTTATGATTCTTTTATATCTTATTTTATTTTTTTGTTTTATTTATTTGAAACAAACTACTTTATAAAAGCAAAATCTAACAAAAGTAGCATGGTTATTTAGCTCCCTCTGCTTTACATATACATCTATGTATTATCTAAACCTAATAGAAAGGGTTTATTTGAGCTCAAAAAACTTGAAGTTGATTATGTCTATTCCGTATTCCTAATTATTCAAATTCTCATAATGGATAGTATTTATGTAATAAACTGTACCATGTTTAATTATTTTATTTGAAAAGATCTTTGTTACAATATTCTCTATATTTTTTTTTTTTTTTTATAAAAAATCAAATAATTAAATTTATCCTCTTCACTAAGCCTCTCGTTTAATAATAATAAAAAATATATTTCTTTATTTTTTTATTTCTTATTCTTTTTTTTTTTTTTTTTTTTTTTTTTTTTTTTTTTTTTTTTTAAAAAAAAAGGTAATATTTTAATCATGAAAATTATTGAACAAACAGACGAGGAGATTCCAATTCACATTGTGAGTACTGTCGATGTAAAAGCTGCTAAAATAGAAGAGAAATTAGCCCAGGAACATAAATCAGCACCCAAAAAGCGTGTGAGAGCTTCCAGATATCTTGATGTTGGTCTTACAGTATCCAAATTAACCAACTCTACTAATCAATCATCATCTAATCTTGAGGCAATGGATGTTGATCCAACTGAGGAAACAGGTCATATGCTATCTAAATATAAAACAACTGATGAAGAAGACGATAAAGAAAATAATGACGTGAGCGGACAAGCAATCTTTCAATTTCAACAATCAGTCAAAAAGTCTTCCAGTTCCATGATGAAAAAAGCGATTGTTGAAGAAAGCCAGCAAGTTACAAATTCAACAAAAAGAGTGAAGCAGACAAAGAGAGGAAGAAAACAGATAACTGAAGTTGCTCCTGACCATGCTAAAAGACGACGTATTCAAAGACAAATGGAACTTTTAAAAGGTGACAAGGACGATGATGAACATGATGATGACGAAATAAAAGAATTTACATCTGAAGAAGAAGAAGAAGAAGAAGTCAATGAAGATCACTCAAAATCGATATTGAATGACCATGAAGAAGAAGAAGAAGATGATGATGATGATGATGATGATGAAATCAATATTAAAAAGAAGAAAAAATCAATGTATATCGAAACAGAGGGCTACGAAAGATACTTTCAAGATCTTCATGGTACTTCAAAGACATCGAATAACACTCTATCAAAACTTCCTGTACTTGAACCTCAAGAATTTCATCAAATCCTTCAAAACGCGCCATCAAAACATTTTGAAGAAATTAACTTCCTATTAGAAATGCACAAACAACATTTCTCACAGTGGTATTTTGAACTACATTCTGGATTTAATCTTGTGTTTTATGGATATGGTTCAAAACGTAAATTATTAAACGAATTTGCACAAACATCTTTAACTGATGGACCCATGATTGTTGTTAATGGATTTTTCCCATCTATTACTATCAAGGATATTTTACTAAAGATTACAGCAGGCGCGTTAGGTCTGACAGGACCATCAGGTTCAATTCAAGATCATGTAAAGTTTATTTGCGATTATTTTTCAGATGAAGATCGAGATTATGAAAGCCTTTACATTGTGATTCATAACCTAGATGGAGCTAATCTACGTAATGAACGAGCACAAACAATATTATCAATGTTAGCAAGTGCCGATAATATTCATTTGATTGCCTCTATAGATCATATTAATGCAGGATTATTATGGGATAATGCTAAATCAAGTCGATTTAATTGGATTTGGCATGATGCCACGACCTTTGACGATTATTTAGTAGAAACAAGTTTTGAGAACAGCATGTTGGTGCGTACAAGTGAATTAGGAGGTGCTCGTGGAGCTAAATATGTATTAGATTCACTCACCAGTAATGCTCGTGGTGTATTCAAGCTTTTAGCAGAACATCAATTAGTAGAGATGGAATTAGCTAATATGGAAGGACGTGGTAATGAAACAGTTGGACTCACTTATAGTCAATATTATCAAAAATGTCGTGAAGGATTTTATGTATCTAGTGATTTGGCACTTAGAACAGAATTAACAGAATTTAGAGATCATAAGCTCATATTTACAAAGAAGAATTTAGATGGTACAGAAATTTTCTTTATACCTTTGGATCGATCTACTTTACTTAGTATAGTAGAACAATTATAAGCATTATTTGTACATACATACATACATATAAATATAAATATACATATATATCTATTCGTTATATAATTTATAGTCTTGTTGATGGGAAACTAAACATTGAAAGTCTAGGAAATATTCCAAGATACTATAATAATAAACTAAATATTAATATTCAAACCTACAATATATATCTGTATACTTATACTTTACCAATATGGCCCAGCCTAATACACCAAAGAATGCTCCAGATAATAATTCAAAATGACCATGGAAATAGACACCCGTCATAAACAACATTACCCACCACAAAACAGCAATAGCTAATACACTAATAACAGACCAAAACTGTACTCTATTTTCTCTTTTCATCTTTTTGAGTGGTATTTGATTATAAAACAACCAACTTAATTCCTCCCAAAAGAATAGACTAGCATGAATTAATAAGACACAATGACCAGAGACGTCATGTCCACCTATCCATTGGCCACCTAGTTTCCGACATACTTGCTGTTGAACGACCGTGGTCAATACTTCCTCTGTTGCAGTTAAATTAGAGTGTTCATTAAGTGAAATACATTTGCCTCCTGTTAAAATATAGATTCGATCGATGAAACTAGGACCGAATAACCATTGAGTCATGGCATACCAATAGAGTGTTACAGCAAAATAACGTAATGTACCACTCTTGAATGCTTGCATGTTTTGAAATTGCCTTGATCGAACAAGACATAAATAAACAAAATAAACAAGTGTCACCCAGAACCAGCCGATTTTAACAAAAAGAACGTTAAAAATATTTCGCTTACTGCTGAAGTAAGTATTTGGTGGATTGCCTAAAGCTGAATAGAGGAAGGCGACAAAGATAGTTGCCGGATATAATATAAATGATACTATTTGATGTGGCTTTAGATACCTTCTTAAAGGTTCCATTTTTTTTTGTTAGTATTTTTATTTTAAATAAATGGTAAAGATAAAGATATTAAATATAGGTAAAAGAAAGAAAGAAAAAAAAAAAAAAAAAAAAAAAAAGTATTACGGAATTATATTATACTTCTTCTTGTAGTTGCTCATGATCATTTAAATGACCGCTGACAAAGGCTTTTTTTTTATTTATGTTTTCTCCAATTACGTTTCATATCGTGTTTAATTTCTGGCAAAATAAAAATAGCATGAATACTGAATAAGCATGATTTTGTCTATGTTTATTTTTTCCCCTTTCTATTTCTAATTACAAGTGTTTATAAGTGTCCAAATATTTTTGTATAAAGAAAATAATCGACAGTTTTCTAAATAAAACTTCTTTTTGAATTATCAAAAATTAAAATTCAGAAAGACTTATTTGGAATAAAAAATGACAAGTAAATCTAGCATGTTCTATATCATAGACTCTATGCACTATAGTCTTCTTAACGAACGTCCTTTTTGATGGCAATACAGCTTTTGGTGAAGTTTCTATTGAATAGAGTTTTTCATTATCAAATAGTTTTAGTCATATTCAAATAAAAATATAGAAAACATAGGTAAAGAAGAGTCCCTATTGAGATTTTCATATGAATCGTGTAAAAAAAAATAAAAAAAAAGAAGGCATGATAAAATCAAACACTGTAGACATTTGTAACATTCTATATAGTGAAAAAAAAAACGCCTTCTGTTACAGTATAATATCGACGAAAGCTTAATTTGCTATTTTTCCTTGTCCTTTTCTCATATAAAATCATTTGATAAAAGTTCATCTATTGCATTTAAACCGATTTAAGACTGATTTTGGGGCTTTGTTTATTTCTGCCTACTGGTGAATAAAAGGTATTACACAAGAATATATGATTGAATTGCACTGCGGAACAATTGTATACATTAATAAAAATGGGCATGTCTCTTAATTGATAAAGCTAATTTACATGCTCAAATGAGAATAATAAGCAGTGCCTAATAACTATTAATAAATTAGAACCAAAGTAGATACTTGACTGAGCATATCTCCTTTCTATCATGTTCGATTTTTACAAGCTGAATTATTAAAAAAAAAGATAGAGACAACAAAAGAAAAATACGTAAATGCTTTATTAAGAAAAATGAGAAGTTTCAATCTACTCTATACAGTCGAAGAAACTAAGTTGGGTCAATGAAAAAAAAACTTTTGGCCATTTCCAAAATAAATTGGGATACCAATATGAAGATGGGACATTGGTACGAAAATAGTACACAGAAGGGAATATGGGAAATTAAGATACTTTAGTTTGTTTGGTCAAATCAAAATTGTTACAACTTCTTACCTGTAACATCATTAAGTCGTTGGCTCACCGGAGTGAGTCGGGACAACCACATTGGAGGTGGCAGTTTGTCGTTTGAAGACAGTGGAGCGATCATTGTCATTCCATATACACTGAGCTATGTAAAACATATTTTTGCTGGCCATTACATCTCGATTCCAAAAGATATTGCAAGTTTTACACTTCAATACTTGATGGATCATGGTCATCTTCCCTACGCTTCAGATTTTCTATATCATTTTTAAAGCAAGAATTGCAAATCTATGAAGAATTGGTTTTAGCTGAAAGTGCAATATGTAAACTATGTGTTTTTTTTTCTTAATAACCTTTGATGTATTAAATTCGTTGATGTCTAATAGCAAGAGTTCTCCGAGCCTTTGCCTTGTTTTTATTTGTTGATATATTTTGTTAGATACGCCATGACGGAGACCTTTGAACTTGATATGATCCTTATTTTTTTAGTCCGTCACCAAAGACCACCAGAGGCATCTTGCTGCTGTTTCCCTTTTCAAAACAGGCTTTGTTGTTTCTGCTGTAAGTTACAGATATAATAGTTAAAGTTTATTGAAATAATAATAATAATAATAATAATAATAATAATAATAATAAAAAGTGTATACCTTTTTGATTTTGGGATGGTGATGAGTGCTCTTTCTTCTTGAGCAGTATGAGGCTTGCGAGTTTTTCTTTGTCTTCTTTCTCCTGCTTTTATTATACTTCTTTCCACCATTTATTAAGATATTGACACTTTCTTGGATGGTTTTTTGGGAACTAAGGTAGTTCAACCGTTTAATCTTGAAAGTTTCAAAGCCGTAGAAATTAAGCAAAGTATTCATGTGCTGCAGCATGTAAGTTATGTACAAAACAAATTGTTCCACAGACGCAGTTTTAGGCGAAGGAATGTCTGTTTCAATCTTTTCAATACCTAGTCTCTGTTTGCGCTTCTGTTGCTCTTTCATTCGTCTTACACTTCCACCCATATTGTAATATTCGATTGAGGACAAGCGACGGATGTCAGTGCCACCGTGATAAGAGACAAAAGGATCCCGTCTTCCTGGGTCTACAGTACATGGACGGAAATGCTTGTCCACCTCTTCGTTTGTAAAATCGTTCAACTCTAGACAGATATTGTCTTCTGGTGATAACAGAAGCACTTTTCTAGCAAATACAACTCTGCACGTGTAGCCATCAGTATACAATCCATTGAGAAACATCTTTCCTTTTTGTTCAGGCAGTACTTGAAGCTTTTCACAACTATATATATATATATATATTTCGTCAGTAAGTTGATTTATAGATATATGTAATATAGTAATGTATACCTTTGAATGCCCAGCTTCTTAAAGTCAAACATTTGATAGAAGCATCTTTGTTTATGATCGAAAGGAGATGATTCATTAGCTTGCTTTTTTTTTGTTTAGCATCTGGGAAAATTCCGGTTAGGTTCTGAGCATCAATCCTTATGAATCACCAGTGCAATCCAGGATTTGGGAATAGACTAAAACGTCTTGGAAGTTAGGGACTTAATCAAATTGCTTTTGTCATTTTGAGGAGTTTGGGCCTTGTATATATCATCGTATTTTTTTAAGGATATGCCCTTAATGCGGATAGAATTTTGAAGGGTTCATTGTTTAAGCTTTCTTTAGACACTGGAAGCTTGGACATGCGATTCTTCACTTCTGAAATCAAAGGATTTAAGAAACTTGGGAGATTATTGACCACATCCGGATCAAAAAGGGCAAGAATATCATTAGGTATAGAGGATGACTGGGAATGTGTAAGCACTTGATCATATACCAAGTTCTTGATACAGCCAACCTTCGCATTCTAGTTTATACAATTTTAGTATAAAAAATTTGAGAAACTGAACATGTATATTAAAGAGTTTGTTTTTATCTCTCGTTGCTTACCGGATACTTTGTCCTTAATGTATAGATAAAGTAGTTACATATAATATTTTCAAAGTTTTCAACATAGTAGTTATTGTATGTTGTTGTGACAGTTTCACATGCAGTTGACAGAGATTCTCCATAATTCTTTAACCTATTTTCTGGAACAAACAAGCTACCATTTATAGTGGCGGATAGTTCAACAAAAGAGCTTGTAAGTTGAACCACATCTAGATTCTGTTCTGCAGGTCTTTCCTTTTTCGCGTATTTGTAAGCCTGTAGAATTGGCCCTACATCATCTAAGCTGTCCCTAATAACTCTTGAAATAGTGTACCCAAAAATTTTGATCAAAAAAACTCATTTGTCAATTTGCTTGGGTGTTGCAGAATAAAAAAAGTTTATAAATAGTTGTGCTTTGAACATGACTTCACGGATAAAGCTTGATACAGTCTTGGCCTTTTCCAAAGAACTGGCTTTGTTTGGGAGTATTCTTGCAGAAAGTTGCAAATGGAACAGAGAGAGTATATCTTTGATAAGTTGATCCAAGTTTAATTTGTAAAAGTTCTGCTAGCTTTAAATTACAGTTTTTGCAGTGGGGACTTCTTGCAGAGTTATGCCCCTCCTCTTGGCAAGAACTACATTTGTTTTTACTTTTAGAGGATGACTCTGCTGAAGTATTAGTTTGGCGGCTTCTCTTTGCACTCCTTTTTGCTGTTATTACAGCAGGAGAGTCTTTCCTCTTGATAGCTTTATGTACATTAGCTTGTGAGACCTTGTAAATGCATAAAGTGTTTTTTTTAATTACATGTTCTCTTAGGGTTTTGAGTGGTTGAGTTGTCCTTTTTACTTTCAGAATTGATCTTTTCTAGCTTTGCACGTTTCTTGAGGAAAATTAAATGCTTCACTTCAGGGTATATAGGTGTGCGTGGCATTGATGAATTGAAAAAAGAAGTAGAAAGAGTTCAAGACAACATTTGTCTGCTAACTAGAAAATATACTCAGTGTAAAACATGTCACATTGTAATGAAAGATATGGCGTGAAGTCTTGTTATTATAGTTGAAGATAATATATCTTTTGATTATTTAAATTCATTTTTATAACTGAGCAGAATTACTTCAGCTATCATTTAAACAATAAAGGCCTTGTTGTTTAAGTAAAAGTTATACACAAATGTATTTTGTCTTCGACTCTTAGATCATGAATTACTAGAATGATACGAGCGCTATAGAGGCTGGCTGTTTTTTAGGGTTACAACCCTTAACTCAAGGCAGAAAAAAAAATCTTTAAATTTGTTCAGTATAGTCCCACATTCGCATTCGTGTCCCATATTCACTTATGTGTTCCATTTTCATATTGGTGTCCCAATTTTGCAACCCTGTCCTAATTGACCCAACCTAGTTTCTTCGACTGTAATCAAGTCTATGAAACTTGTTAGAAATAGTATTGGTAAACTTGACAAAAAAGACATGTCTTTTATGATGGGTAATGATAGGATACATTTTTTTTTTGCTTATACAATCCTTTGTTTATAAGCCTCTTTATTCCCTTTAACCCCTATTATTGAATAGTGTTAGAGAAGTCAATTAAAAAAGGAATTTCTTTAACGACTTGTTATCCAGGTACTCCAATTTTCTTTTAGTAGGCTTCATTTTAGTAAGATAATGTTAAGAAACTTAGTAGACACTACTACTGTTATCAGAATGTTGTATTATATGAAAATCAGTATCAAGGCTAAGATGTGACATATTAGAAGAACACTAGTAAAACTAGCAAAAAAAAAAAAAAAAAAAAAAAAAAAAAAAAAAAAAAGTCGCTTATTTGCTCTTCGTCTCTAATTGGTCTGAAATAAGACTGCACAATTGAATGTACAACAACAACAACAACAACAACAACAAAAATTATGTAGCTTTTTTTTTTCTAATTTCACACCATACATTTTCATGAGTTTACAGCAGCAACAACAACAAAACGATAATAAGAATTCTGATAAAAACGAACCTAATCATAAAAAGCCTTTAAAAGTAATAGAATATAAGCCTTTAAATAAAAAGGGGGCAAAATGGACAAGTAATGACACTACTCAAAAAGCTAATCATGAGCAACAGCCTTCTTGTATTCAGCTAACATCTACTATAAAGGAGGAAAGTTCAACAGCACCTATTGGCCATTATCAACTCATTCATCCTGCAATGGTGAAAGATAAATGGACAGATGATAGAAAAATTTGTTTGCTTGTAGAATATCGTAAAAGGTATTCTCTTAATGAAGAAAAGGTGAAGGCTTGGCAGCAGATTATTGACGTTGTTAATGATCAATTCAAACAGCTGATGCCCATTACTATTAAGGATGCGGAAAAGATGGTGAATACTCTTATGAATTTCTACCGTCCCTTTTTTGCTAATCGTATAGTAGAAGAAAGTGCTTCTTGTACACATTATAGTCCATTATGTCAACTGGAATTACATGCATATCTTGCCTATCAGGAAGTAAAAAAAAAAAGAAAAAAGAAAAAAGAAAAAAGAAAAAATGAAAGAAAAAAAAAAAAAATTAAACAAAAAATCATTATTCAGATAAAAAAAATTCGTTTCTTTTGCAGGAACTTAAATATGATGAAAATGTTAAAAGACAAGCAAAACAACAGCCAAATAATAATAGTAACAATATAAAAAGAAGGAAAGTATCAGAGGAGTGTGCTAATGGATCATTGTCAGTAACTAGTCATGGAGATGAAAGAGATCATCAATCTGAATACCATTCTTCGAGTATAATCGAGACGAAGCTTATAAAAATACTTGATAAAAATGAAGAAACAAATCTTCAGTTTCAAAGAGAAGTTTTATCAGGTTTAAAGGATATCAAACATTGCTTAGAAATCATAGCAAAAAATCAAGAAATTATGATTTCAAAGCAGTGTTAACGATACTACTTTTTATTGTAGAAAGAAAGAGAGAGAAAAAAAAGGAGGAAGCTTATCCATATATGTTTATATTACTTTTATATATTTAAGAAGGATTTATATAAATATATGTACACACATATAAATATATAAGTATGTATGAATGCATGTATATATTATCAGTTTTGCACTCTTTTTTTTTTTTTTTTTTTTTTTTTTTTTTTTTTTTTATCTTATTTTATTTTTATGGGTAAAAGTCATTTTGTTATTTTAGCTGCAATTTGGCTTATAGCAATGGCAGTGACTCTTGTTGTTGTATTTACTTCTCTAGTTCCAAAACCCATTATTTCACAGTAGTAGGAACATCCTCCTTTTAAAATTATACTGGACAAGTCTTTAACAGTAATAAACGAATAATGTCAATGATGATAACTTGACTAACTCTTAACTCTCCAACGTATTATTTGTATACAATATTTAGAGAAAGTAAGCTTGTTAAATTACTTTGATTCAAATCTTTATATACCAAAAGAACAGAGTATATCTGTTAGTTTATTATTGTTAATGATTCATTTCCTTTACATTCAGAATATAATAAACTGTGTTTACACTTTAAACTTATACTAGTGTTCACATTTTGAAAATATGTTCTTCTTTATGTGTATATATTGTTAAAATTAAAAGAAAAAGAAAAAAGTCTGTAATTAATATGTATATCTAGTTATTATATGTTTATATATCAGCATTTACACACATAAATATTGTACATATCTGTATATTAAAAGGGTATATATTGACATAATTTTCTTTTCTCTTTGTTTATATATCCTGCTTTTTATGTTTACTAATGCCATTTTCTAAAGCATTACAATAATTTTGATACTTGATAATCTCATGTAACATATACGTGGACTTGGCCTCCCAGTTTTGAAGTGCCTTTGACCGATTTTGACTTTTAGCTTGAAACTGTACAAATGAAAACAAAAAAAAAAAAAAACTAAGTATACAATCTGTATTTGCCTATCGATTTATAGTATATATTGTGAAATACCTTTACTAATATCTTCTTTTTAATTTCACGATGTTCGTTTATTTCATCATTTAATAATGCAACATATTTTTGTAGACTTTCAAGCTGTGCTTCTTCATCCAAAACACTTGATACCATAGTGGGTGCAGGAGGGATCCAATGAGAGATATGGACTTTATCAGGATCATGAATAAAATGCCCCGTCACCTTCTCATTATTTTCTACTGCATCTAAATCTAGAATGACATCATCTAAACAACTTCCCCATCCATACTCTACATTACTTACGCCTCCCTGAAGAGGTTCTTTACTTTGGCGTGCTGACCAATAATTACAAGTATTGACCCATTCTATCATTTGCTCATTAGAAGATGTGTGAATCAAATGAACACCACCATTAGATTCTTGAATTGCAAATACAAAAGGTCTATTTCGATTATAGCCAGGTGGTGGTAAAGGATTTGCTAAGGAATGGTTCAAAGAAATTGTTCCAATAATTTGAGAATAATCCTATATATCAATAAGAAATGTATTAAATTCATTCTGTTCTGTTCTATTCCACTCTATTCCATTCCATTGTATATATACGTATACATATATATATATGTATGTATGTTTATATTCTCTCTCTCTCTCTCTCTCTCTTTCTTCCTCTCATTACCGTCCATCGGCTTTCATTGTTTTGAGGAAGTGAATTTGTCGTTTGATTGAACTGATGATAGTTTTTTGAAATAGTATCCGCTAGACTTGTTCTTATCATCATACTTTTTCTGGAAAATGTATCCTTTGCTAAAAGAGATAATCTACTATCACTAGGGGATGGCACGTTATACATATTTAATTCACCTTGTCCAATCACCAGCAAGCATTCTCGCCATTCACGATATCTTGCCTTTTGACCTGCTTTCTCCAATAAATGCTTGCGCATCACGATACCTTCTTTTAAATAAGGTGGTTGATTATTTAATTGAAGATCACCTAAATGTTGCTCGTCTTTATTACTAGCTGAATTCATCATTCCGGGACTAACGGGTACTAGTAATGTATTTGGTGCTGAATGACTAGAGGCAAACGAACTTCTACGCTTTTTATTGTTAGCAGAATTATTTTGACGTGTAAAAGAGCTTGTACTTTTCCTTGGCTATATGTAGTATATATATAAAAAAAAAAAAGGAAAAAAGATTTATAAGTCTTTTATGCTATATCTATCTATTTATCTATCTATTTTATTACCACAGGCTCATTTAAAAATAACACACTTTCCCGAGAGGACTTGTGTATTATTGTATTTAAATTGCGTTTAATATCCATAATACTTATTCTCTTATTATTTGAACCTGTTGCTAAAAATAAGTCATGATCATCCATTTGTTGATGTTGAATTGGTTGGAGAATTTGATAGTTTTTCACTGAAACATACAAATCCTATAAACATAAACAAAAAAAAAATGAGCAAGCCAAATTTTTTTTTTTGTTTCCTGCAAATTCATCTGTATAAATATATATATTTATATGTATTCCATACTTTTAAATAGGCTTCAATAAGTGCTTCCCAATCAAGAGACTTATTTATACTGACCGAATTGATTTGCTTTTGTTGGTCTCGAAGAGTTGACATGGTATTCTTGACAAAAATGTGTCGTGTCATTCGAGTATAGTTTCCTTGAGCAACATGTAGATCGGTATTTAGTAATAAAAGGGAATAGACAATTGCATATACAACATCTATTTTTAATTTTATTTTATATATTTATAATATTTGTGTGAGTTGTACAACACTATCATTCAATTCTTTCATGTACCTGAACTGCCTAAAATAGACTTGGGGTTACATTGCCAATATCGTTTCGCAAATGCTTCTAAAATACGTTCAATTTGTTGTGCTTCAGCACGAAAATAAAGTTTAGAGCACATTTTTCTAAACAAACAAAAGGGAAAAAGGTGATTCAGTATATGTACATATATATATATATATATATAATTCTTGTAAATGATACCTAAATGCAGTGTCTAATCTCATAGTCGAAAAATTAAAATAATTCATATATTCATTCAATGTCTTTGAATTTAATGATTTACTATAATACATAAATGTTAATCGAGATTTTTTTTTTTTTGCTATTGTTTCACAGTATTCATTGTATGATGAACCTTTGTCCAAGCCATTCAGCTATCTTTTCATGTTCTACAAATGTTTCATCTTCATGCCATAGCCTTGAAGCACATTCCTTTGGATCATCTACTGTTATAACATCAGTTGTTTTAAATGGTAATTTTTTACAATCTTGAACAAGTATCTCTGGTGGTGAAATTTTGAAAGACTTTTTATTTTTACTATGACTCGCTTGTTTATATGAGTGTTGTTTATGAAGTATAATTTTTCGATCTGGTAGGTTGCTTTGTATTTTCCAATTAAGCAAGAGCTCTTCAATCTCTTCAGAAGGATGAGGAGAAGTAGTAGTAGAAGACGAAGAGGAAATGTCTGTAGTGCTCATGATCAGACCACCTGCACTTCCATAATGTCCTGCACTTAATCGCTTTGACAGCCTTGCTTCTCTTCCTTCTTCTTTTCGTTGCTTTGTCTCCTTACTACCTATTGATTTCTCCTTATTATGACGAAGATTGTTCGTTACAATTTGAACAAGATCTGGTGAAGGATCATCCATATTTTCGTTGTTGTTATTATTATTAACTTCTAAACTTTTATTATGAGTCTCCTTTAATTTATTATGTGTATTGTCTTTATAGAATGGCTGATTTTTTGCTATGAAACTTAAAGTATTAATAACAAATGTGTTAACTATCTTCAATAGATATATATTTTATATATATATATGTATATGTATTTTACTTGTAGCAGCTATTGGTATCATTCGCAACTTTCTCTCATCCATAGTTTGATTTTTTTCAAGTAAAAAATTATCTTCTTCACTTGTCATACTTTGATTATTGCCTTTAGTATGAATTATATTTGTCTATGTACAATACATGATATTAGGATGACTTAATATATATATATATATATATATAGCTCACCTTTTTAGAGGAAGATAAACTCTTAACATCATATTTTGCTATAGGCTTTCGTTTTATTTCCTGTTGTCCATGAATAGTCAAATTTGAAGAAGAAGAAGATTGAGTGAATGACTTTGTTATGGTTGTATTATTGGATATTGTTCTAAAACGAGAAAAAAAAAGCTTTGCAGTAGTAGTTTTGTTTGATGGTTTATTATCTGTTGCTGATACTGACATTGATCTTCTTCTATTCATAGTTAAATAAATAAATAAATAAAAGAAAAAGGAAAAGAAAAAGAAAAAGAAAAAAGCTAAATACATAATATACTTTTATTATATAAAGAAACACAAGCACAAAAAATAAAAAAGCACAGTACCCGTGTAACAGTATTTTGTTTTATAAAGTGATGTACATTTCATTATATGCATGTAAATATTAAAAATTTACTTTCACACTTTTAATATATGCAGTTATATTATGTAATAGATACTTTTATTTTATTCTCTCTTGTCCTCCCTTTTTTTTTTTTTCTGTTTATTGTTTAATACAATTATACTCTTAACTCATATAAATGAATATATATTATCCACTTTGCTAAAACAATCCAAAAAAAAAAAAGACTATTCGCCACCTTAATTTCAAGTTACGAGGCTGTATATAAAATAACATATGATAATTAACTGTTACACTATGTCGAAAGCTAAGAAACTTTATTTAATTATACCCTAACTAGACAACGGTAAACCGCACATTTCACAGTTTTCATTGCCTGGTGTATTAGTAAATGTACAATGTCTACAATTAATAGTAGTTTGAGGTATAGAGGTTGCTGTCTTTGAACTACTACCACCACTTGTTGTGTTACCTTTTTTTTTAAAAAAAAAATGAGCCATTACTATTCTATATCAATATTTTTTTTTTTACCTAATTCTTTCAGGACCATTAAAAGTGTATTCCAACCACTAATTTTATTTAACTGATTTATGTCTTCATCCTTATTTATAATTAACTGACAAAGTCGATTAAATTCTTCAGATGATAAAGTATCTGTAGACTGAATAAAGCATAAAATATGAAAGTCAGATAATACTGCCTTTAATTGTTCAGGTGTTTTAGCATTAAGGATTATTTTTGAAAGAGTAGCTAAATCTTGATGCTCGAGACCTTCACGATTTTCAATAGGAAATGAAGACTCAGAATTAAATAAAGGTGAAGGATGATGAGGGAAACCATTTGTGACCTAACCAAGCGCATCAATGTTAATGAATTTCCTTTACCAATTTCATGCAAGAAAAATGAAATGAAATAAAATAAAATAAAATAAAAAATATAGCTTACATTAACCAAGAGATATTCTACAGGAAAGGTAGGCTTTGCAGATTGTTTAACTAACACATTATATTCATTTTTAAATTTGTAAAAAACTTCGGGTACATAGCGTTCATGAGGAATACTATCTTTCACTCGCATCACAGAAGGTTTTATGCTAGGTTCAACAATTCCCGCTTCGTTCAGGGCTGTTAAGGTATCAGAGACTTGATAGGCTTTTACATCAATGTTACCTTCCGTATCACCAGAGATAACACAAGTGACAAATTTAGAACTAAATTGGCCAGAGGCTGAATGCTTACAGGCATTTGGATGACGGCGTTGCATTTCAGCAGCAAAGATACATTCCAATGAAGACAAAAAGTATGAATTAACATGTCTTTTCGCAATAACGCTCCCTTTACCAGTACCATCATCCATTAAATCAGAGAAAATCATTCCCACTGGAACCAATCCACATGCTTTAGCAACTTGGTTTATCTTGGCCTCCTCTTGCCACGGCAAAGCAAGTTTAATACCATCTGAGTGATCTTCTTGAGGTGGTTCATAAATAGCTTCAACTACGGCTTTAATACCTAAAGGAATGTCCAAATAGGGTTCATAACGACCATATAAATATCCAAAACGTTGTGATCCACTAGAACGCCAGTAGTTTAAAAAGGAATCTATTAAAGATGCAGAAGAAAATTCAACATGATCCACCATACGATACGTCTATAACAAAAAAAAAGCTAAATTATTTACACATTTCCTTTATCCTATATACAAAACTTTACTTGACTTTGCAACGTAATGGCACTAGGCTGACACTTTGTACAAATTCCCTCTGGCCATGGTGCGTGTCCTCCAGTGCAAGGTACTTTCACTTTAAAATTTTGCTCTTCAAGAGGAGGAATACTATTTGAAGATGCAGCATTATTGATAGATTGTTGTGCTGCGCTTAATTGTCGTAAATATGCATGAAATGACATATGTTTGATTTTATTTTCTTCTAAATACTTGGCGTTATAAGGCTAACAAAATTACAGGTTACTGTAAAGTTTTTTAACTATTTTCTCTTTCTTTTTTTCTTACTTCCAATGGCATGCAATAGTCACACATTGCATTATCCCCATGACGACAACTAAAAAAGAGAGAGAGAGAGAGGGAGAGGATATAATTAGTACTTCATTACCCAAATCACTTCAAATGTTAATAACATTACAATTTAGGATCTTTCTTTCGATGAATTAAACCCCTCTGCTTTTCTAGAAAATCATCTACTTCATCCTGTTTAACATTACGCTGTGCAGTTTCTTCTTTGGATTGGTTTTGTTGTTGTACTAAAGGATCGACATAATGAACATATACAATATCACCATGTCTACATTCAATTTAGGTTAGTTATTTGATAATGATAAAGTAATATGAAAAAAAAAAAGAAACTTACTTTAAGCCAGCTGATTCCAGTGTTTTATTAGCCAATTGAGAAATGGGTGTAGCTGTAGAAGGACTAGGTTCTTTTCCCATAGCAATTGTGTTGAGATCTTGAATCTTTAAGACATCTGCCACTTTTTGTGCAAGTGATTCAAATGTTTCATTTCCCTCAACCTGAAGTCTATTCATGCCCTCTTTTGACCGAATACGAAGTAACTAAAAAAGAAAAAAAAAAAAAAGAACGCATAGAAATTAAGTAAACGATAAATGAGTTATTTATAAATAAATGAGCAAAAAAAAATAAAAGAGAGGAGGAGGAAGAGTTGGATGTGGAAGGCTTACCATTGTATATTGTAAAAGTATCTCAAAAGTATATATAAAAGGAGAAAGAAAGAGTCGTCAGATGTGTAGCATGTACGCAATGCTAATTTCTCGATGTGACTGGATTTTATTAACGTAGTATACTTTGAATTTCCGATAATTTAAAGCTTTCCTCTAGTGTTGAATTGTTTCCTTGACTTTGTGTATAAATATAGCCCGTAATAATAATAAGACTATGATTACTATGTACAACTTTTTACTTTTATTTACAGGCTTTATTATAAATTAAAATGTAAATATGATTTTACTAGTCTTCATAACCTTCTACAAATTGATGTATGTCAGACATATTTTCAATCCCTAAAGAAATAACTTCTTGCTCCCAGGGATAAAAAATAAAACTAGATAAGCTATTGTTTGCACTTGTATGATTAGTATCATTTATCCATTGATGTTCTTCTTTATCTTCCTCATCTTCTTCTTCTATAATGATTTTATTATTACTAATATAAGATGCATTATTACTATTATTATTAATATTATTATTATTAGCAATAGCTGTATCATCACTTTTATTGCTATAAACACTACTATTACTACTACTATTGTTAGCTATTGTAATAGAATTATTTCTAGTAACAGCAGCGGCAGCAGTAGTAGTAGTAGTAGTAGCAGCAGAATATCGCCTATTATTAAAAATACGTTGTGGAAGATGGTACTCTGTATCACATAATGGTTTCCTCCCCCAACAACAATAATAATTAAAATAAGAATTGTATTGAACAGTTTCTTCCAAAATGGTATCAATTATTGTATTATAATCTGTGTCGACTATCCTATTATGTCTTTCGAAGAAATGTCGATAACTATCTAGTGAAAGCCTTAATGAAGTATGAATCATATTCCCTATTGGGCCCTTTGTATTAAATTGTAAAGGGAGAACTTGTCTGCGTATATCTGTCATAGAACCAGCATGCTGAAGGACATCATGCATATATCTTGCCCATAATATATTTACACTGTGATGTTCTTGCATTGTTTTAGGGACTATTGTTTGCAATAATAAAGTTAGGCGTCTTATTGAGGAAATATGAGTGTGATGTCATTTATAAATTTAAAACTTACAGTCTAGGAAAAAGTTTTGAGTGATTGGTCCCGGATTTATTAGTATTGGATCCATATCTCTAAATTCAACATAGCCACCTGGTTTTAATAGTCTTTTAATCTCCTTCATAATAGTCTAGAATATAGATATATGTATACATATATGAATACATTTAGTTATTATATTTAATGGGCGTTATACATACATATATATATATATATACGCATATATACATATATACATATATCTATATATATACATACATACATACATACATACATACATATACATATATATTTATACATATATAAAGTTTAAAAATATATTTACCACCCAATCATCAGTAGAAAAGCAAATATAGACTTGACGCATATGGATATAATCAAAATAATTATCAGGATAAGGTAAACCATTAGGCTGAATTATATCGTATTGAGAAAAGTGAGTATTTATAGGTTTAATAGTAGTAGGGTAAGTAGCAGAGAGATCTACACCATAAAACTGACTATCAGGGAATTCAGTAGCCATCTCTAATATCCAAGTGCCATTTCCACAGGCAAGATCTAATACTCTAGGTGGTGGTACATCTTGTATCCATTGACTGAAGCTACTCCCCGAATTACGTTTTAATTGTCTAATAGAAAGTAAATCTTTTACAGGAGCAGAGAAATTACCACTGAAAAGATATTTGTATATGAAATGCTATATTTATATTAGTTTATCTAAACATGTAGACTCTTCTTGGCTACTATACCAGTTGAGTCAATCTATCTTGCTCTAACTCATCATTTGGTAAAATATACTTGGTATTAAAATTTTGATACTTTCTTCCATGATATAAATATGTTTCTGTTGTTGATTTATATTCTGACTTTGGATGCACCATTGTACCACAAGTACTCGATGGCAATAACACATTTTCGACAATAACTGTTTTCTTCACATTATTCATTTCGTTGGACTTGTCTATCATTTGCTCTTTTTTCGATGATGATCGCATTGTCATCGATTTAGATCTTTTCTTATAATTACTAGACAGTGACTTGGAATGTTGATTTCCCATGAATCTCTAAAAACTCTTTTCTTTTCTTGTTGTGTTTTCTTTTTCTTTATATTTAGAAAGAGAGAGAGAGAGAGAGGAGAAAGATAAAGGAACAATAGCTAAAAAAAAAAAAAAAAAAAAAAAAAAAAAAAAAAAAAAACTGATTTACTTCATTAAGAAAAATAGAAAAATGGAAAAAGGGGAGGAGGGACAGTCAAAACCACGTCTACCCAATCAAATATGGATTTCATGCCGAAAAGTGTATACATTTGTATACATATAAAAACAGGGCTTGTTTTTTGGTGTATCATTTTTTTTTTTTTTTTTTTGTTTTTTTAATTGCATAAATTTAAATATGTTAGGAAAAAGATTGATGTATATAAAAAAGGACAAAAAAAAGGAATAAACTAAAAACTACAAAGTATCTGAGATTTTATTTATTTATTTCTTTGCTGCTTTCTTTCATTACTACGTGTAATCTACACTGCAAAACTGACAAGAACCTAAGAAAAAAAAAAAAAAAAAAAAAAAGAGCGGCGAATAAATGCGTATTTTTTTAAAAAAACGTGTGGACATTTATCGATTTCTATAAATTATAACAGTTTCTGTTACTAAAAATGAATTTAATAATTTCGTGGAAAAAAGAGAAAAAAAACATTTATTCAAGTAGTAGAATATGTATAAAAGATAATGTAATTCAAGTGATGAATGTGTGTGTTTTATTTTTGCTTATAGGCATAGATAGACTCTATCAAAGCATTAAATTATGAGAAAGGGCCTTCTATAAGAAAGGGACATAATTCTTGTCACTTATTCTCTTTCTTTCTATATATATATCTTATGTTGAACAAGTTTATACGAACTGACCTAAAATAGACATTTAGAGTTGAATTGTGAAAAAAAGGAAATCATTACTATAAGTTTGAGATTATCCTTTGTAGATACAGATTTGACATTCATTAATCTTCAAATTGTTTGCAAAAAAATTAAAGATTGAATTGAGATAATCATAGTCTAATTGAAATCAATAAGATAGACAATTGACACTTCAGAGCAATAAATGAAATAAAAAGGATACTTTACACAAATGTATTCCAATGATACTTAAATTATTGAGCAAATAAGCTTTATATTTGGCTTGAAAGAAGCTGCCGTATACAAAACGAACATACATACTAAATTAGGGTGAAATCTCTTATCGTTCATTATACTACCTGATATTATTTAAATATTAAGATTAAAGCCATTTCAGACTATTAGGATATTCAAGGTAAAATTTATTTATTTTTTAAGTTATTTTATTAAATTGATTTTTCATTTTTATTGATATTATAAAAAAAAAGGATGCTTTTCTTAGTTCTCAAATCTCTTTAAAAGAGACTTGATACTAACAGGATTAACCACGAGAAGGTGAAAGCATATCTAATCCCAAAAATAAGTTTTCTATAAACCAATACCCATGTTGGGTCTTTTTTTTTCTTTTTCCTTCTTCAAGAAAGATAGACCAATTTCGACTAGTAGACACTTGGCAAAGTACCAACCTGACCCAAGCCTTGCTAGAAGAAAAAGATAGGATTCCTCACCCCATAACCCAATAAAAAATACAGTTGGATGTAAGTTTCATTGGAAGCCGGGCTAAACATTCTGACCTGTAGCGTGGCGAAGTGGAAGGAATCCAGATACATGAAGTGCACGACCTGACTATTGTTTACCTAAGAATGTCCCTTCTTTGACCCCTAGCATCTACTTTTGACTTAACAGTAAATACAAGTTGGGATTCTTCAACTAAATAAATAGATGAAAAAACCACGGTCAGAAACGTAAGCTGTGCATCCTTATCTATTTTTATTTTATAAACAGCAACTAGATAAAAATAAAAAGAAGGAAAAACCTCCAAAAAGAAAAACAGAAAAACTAAACCTTGAGATAAGCCCTTTCAATGGTGCAGACAAAGAGTACGCTAATCTCCCTAAAAAAGGAACAGGTTTACAATTTCCAACCCCAAGTATCCTTTTTATTTCCCTCCTCCTTTGGAAATAAATCAAACTTGAGCAGTCAAAATTCGATAAGGTCCCATCAATTATCTAAGGTTGCAATAACCCAAGGTGAAGGCGGATATGCATGTAGTAACCAAAAGAGAGTCTAGGCCCTCTCCTTTAGCCATGTTATAAACGGACAGTTCTACAAACTCAAGTAAGCCAAGCTATGTGACTTGAGCACACTTCATAACCCTGACAATGTCTACCCATAGTTTCAAGTAAAAATAAAGAAGAATAGGAAAAATAAAAAAAAAAAAAGCTAAAGAAAAAAAGAAGAGAAAAAAAAAGGAAAAAAAAACAAAAAATGTACTTTTTTTTATAGTAAAATTCAGGAGAAAAAAATAAACAAAAAGAAGAAGTTATTAAAGTTTAATCTTAGCGTATTTTTTTTTGTTTTTAATTTACTTTGCGTTAAATCTTCTCTTCTGCCTTTTCCCTTGTCTTTTTTTTCTCTTTTCTTTTTAATACTTTAGAGATAAGTTTTGCCTTTTATTTGAATGTAGTAAAGCATTACTGTCTTCTTTGAAAGTAAGCAAGAAAGTAAGAAAGTAAGAAGTTTGTTTACTTTTTTTATATGTATAAATATTCATGTGAATATGCTGAGCATTCTTGTAAAGAAATTAAGCCAAAACTAGTTAAATGCAGTTACACAACAGAGCATGATGTTCATACATTCTCCAAAAGAATAAGAGTAGATAAGCTATCAATAATATAAAAAATGTCATTTTATACAGTAGTTTTATTTCTTGCAATTTTACAGGATGTTCCCTTCTAGCTGTGTTGTGGAACGCTTTTTTCAGTTGTAATTTCACGAAATATTCTTGGCAGTTTATGCATTTTAAAGAGTTAGGCTGTAATCTTTCTTATTACTATATTATGGCAATTGAGCTCTTTTTTATGATGATCATGATAACAAGGCTCTTTAGGTTTTGATCAGTTTGGAAAGAATAATAGCTTTAAAGAGAAGAAAGAGATAGAGTTTCAAAGAGTGTATAAAAGATAACGCGAAGAAAGAAAACAGCTAGTTCTTCAAAAAAAAAAAATTGTAAACTCAAAACGAGAACTTCTGTAGAAGACTTGCTTTCAACAGTTTGATACATAAAAGTGTTGTTTGGACCGTTTGTTTGATTTCAAGTAGTCCGCTGTAGTATTGTTTAAGTCTTCAGCTTAATTTTCGATTTTTCAGCAAATATCTACTATTCGTGATATGCACATCTATAAAAGGAGTCACACTTTCGATAAGATATTAATACGTTTAAAATTGAATTTTTATTATTTTTTTTTTTTTTTTTTTTTTTTTTTTGATCTGATAAACCTTAGTCAAACACTATTACAATAAGCTAAAATAAATTATGATTTTTATAGATAAACATTCTTTAATAGTATTGGTGCAGCTTAACAAATTTGTTATCTATATATATAAAAAAAGGGATCATCTTAACAGCAACTATTGTTAGTCTGCTGCTGCTGTTGTTGTGAATTAGTCAAGTTGATTACTTCGTTTTCATTAACAGCAGGTTTTGCATTTTCCTTTTCAAGCTTTAAAATGGAAGATACTAAATAGCGAGCGGCTTCTTCAATATTCGTGTTGTCTTTAGCTGATGTCTCAAACCTTAATTATATTACGCATTAATAAAATAAGTATTGCTTATGGATATCCTTTTTTTTTTTCAAAGAAAAGAAAAGCTTTTACCATTGAATAAATCCATGTTCTTTACAAAATTTATCTAGTTCATTTGGATTGACATGTTGTCCATGACCTTCTTGAATTAAATCTGCCTATTTTTTTGTTACCTTTTCCTACAATCAAACACACTTATTTATAATTATTATATTTACTTTGTTGGCTAATAAAACAACTGGAATGGGTCCACCGCCCCAAGTATCAGGTAATGTCACTTTGTTATCAAGATCATTTTTCCATTTTGTCACACCTTCAAATGTTTGTGGTCGACTCATATCATAAACAACGATAGCACCAACTGCTTCCTTGTAATAGACGCGTGTCATGTTACCAAACCTTTCTTGTCCCGCAATATCCCATAGTTGAAGTCTTACTATTAATTCAGGCTCCCATTGAATGACTTTTAAAGCGAAATCAACTCCAATCTACAAACATAATATAATGGAGAAAAGGAAGGGTAGTGGTGGTGGTGGTGAGTTTTTGTGTGTTCCGTTTATAAATAAAGTTGTGAAAAAAAAGAAAAAGAAAAAAAGAGGAGAAGGGGAAAGAATAGCTTACTGTTGATTTATAGTTCGTAGAGAATATATTATGTACATAACGTCGAATAATGGAAGTCTTTCCTGCACCAAGATCACCAACAACTAATATTTTATAAAGACATTCCTTCATCTCTGCCTAAAATGATGTTAAAACATGTTTATTTAATAATTAACAAAGGGAATTACCATGGTATATTCTTAATTAAGGAAAAAGAAAATAAAAAGGGAAAAATAAAGAAAAAGGAAAATAAAATGAAAAATGAAAAAAAAAAAGGAAAAAAGGAAATAAAAAATAAAAATTTATAGTTCGACTTTTATATATTTGCTAACAATGTCAAATAAACGACTCCAAACACGTTGTAACATTTCACTTGCCTAATTAAAGTTTTTATATATTCAATAAAATATGATATCATTTTTTTTTGTTTTGTTAGTATTAACTTACAATTGTCTTTTTCATAACTCCTAATTTGGCACCTGACAGATAATATCATGTTAATCAAAGAAAAAAAAAAAAAACTCGTGCTTTTTACCCATTAAAAAATTGACTTCTCTTAAATCATCAATAATAGACAAGATAATATCCTGGGTTTTATCATTATTTTTCTTTTCTCCTATTTAATTTTTTTTTTTTTTTTTTTTTTTTTTTTTTTTTTTTTTTTTTTTTTTTTTTTTTTTTACCTTGTCTTGCTTAATCTCTACTTCATCATTTCCAATAGCTGCATCTAATACAGCAACTTGAAGATAAATTTCTTCATAATCTAAAACTCCTTGTCCTCGTGCTTTTTTCACTTTATTAAAAAAACCTTTTTCATGGTGAAATATTTGTGAAATGTGTTGAATGATGCTTTGATCAGTAGAAACATAATCAATACTTCTTGGTATCATTCTTTCAAGACATCGTTCGAAACAAGTTACAGCAAGTATTCGACGTAAATAACGTGAACGATTATACATTGTTTTAATGGCATCAAAGAGATGGACCTGTTTATTCATATCAGTCACTATATCGCAAATATCGTTAGCAATCATCTTCATCTCAGTCTCCCAGGTTGTATCATTCATAGCAGATAGACAATTATCAATAGCGGATTGAATGGATTGTAATACGAGATAGCCGGTTTTATCTAAAGAGATCTGTAACAAGAGTCGAACAGTATGCCTGATTTCATAGGTTGTATAAGCCTTTGACCATAGTCGAATTGAGAAACTAAAAGCCTTTATCATCCAACCTAATTGTGAGATGGGTAAAGATGGAATCTGATGAGATGCATTTTTTTCTTTTGCTTTCTTTACAGCCTTCTCTTCTTCTTGTGAGGATGCATACATATGCTCAAATAACAGTGAAGGAATAGCATCGTAAGCTAGCAAAACTGATCTGAATGTTTTAAACTTAATGTATCGTTGTTGATAGATATGAGGCAACTTGCTATCCATTCTGTTACCTGGTAAAGACCATAAAACAAATAATGTAGATAACGCATTTTTAGCTGCTATCTTATTTGATTCCAAGCCAACTAAATATGATTTAACCATTTAATAAATACAACTATAAAAAAGAAGAAGAAGCCTCTTTTTTACCTACTTCAAATATCCATTGATATACATAATTTGGACATTTCCAGCCACTTTTATACCAATCTTTCATACAACCTGATTGCAATAAAAATGTTCTTCCTTTAGAAGCTAAAAAAAAAAGGAATTATTAATTATAAATACATGATCAACTCTAGAATCTACTTTTACAGCTTGATAACTCGGATAGATGAATTTCTTTTTGTCCTATTTCCAAGTCCCTTGAAATTAAAAAAGGCTCTCTAATAGACTATATTTCTCTTACGTCAGACATCCCTTCTTTCCCTTTCTTTCTAACTTACTTTATATCCTGGTTTAAAAAACTCTTGATACCATCTATTCTTTTTTTCTTTCACCAATTCGTCATTGTACTTTGTTACTTTAATAGCTCGATCAATATTTTCTTGTGTATCTTGATCAAAATAATGTTGAATCACTTGATTTAATTTTTTTTCTTCTTCAATCTCATCCATGTCTGATTCTTCTTGTAACAAAAATTCATCATTAATTTCTATTCGATGTATTTTTTGTTCCCTTTCTTTGTTGTTGTTGTCGTCGTCATCATCATCATCATCATCGTCGTCGTCGTCTATATTATGATCCAATCTATCGTTCAATGTAACATGGATGCCAAATTCACCATTTTTCTCTTTTGTTTCTAGATCATTTTGTAATTTACTAAATAACTATAGAAAAAAAAATAGAGAGAGAGAGAGAGAAAGAAAGAAAAGGACTATGCTGTCAATATATATATATATATATATTAAAAGTGAACATTACATTAGAAAGTTGAGTCTCTGTGTCTTGTCTTTGTAATCGTCTTTTTTTAATTTGAACGTAATTTTCTATTAATGTGGATGTATCATTATTAGAATCTAATGTAGCTTTTCTAGTATTGGTGCCTTTTTCTTTATTAATCCTGGTAAGATTATGTTGTATGTTTTTCTTTTTCGGTAGTTTTAATGCTGACATTATAGAATGAAGAAAAATAAAAAAATTTAAAATGGAAAAGGAAAAAAAAAAAAAGAAAAGAAAGAAAGACAATTTCTATATTTAGCAATAAAAAATGCAAATTTTAATACATCATGACAAAAATATGATTTCCGCTGAACAATAAGATTTATTGTTTGTGGTAAAAAACTTTTTTTTTTTTTTTTTTTTTTTTCCTTTCTCTTTTTATTCAACATTATTCATTCATTCATTTTATAAAAAAAAAAATGACATATTCATTTACAAGAGATAGAACAGCGGAAATAAGAGGAGACGTTTCTGATATAGAAGTAAAGTATTCCAGATAAGAACAAATATATATATCTAACATTCATTATAGAATCAATATAATAATAATGATAGGTAACATGTATTGAAATAAATAAAAATTGCATTATTTATTAAAGTGATAGTATACATATATAAAAGGCTTAATTTAAATAACAACTCTACATGCACTTCACCACAAGAGCAAGAAGCATCTTATGAAATGACAAACTTGACACATACTCAAGGATTTCTTCAACAAGTATACTATCTCATTTGTTTTAAAAAGAAAGAAAGAAAGATAATTCATTAACAACAAAAACAATAGATTGATAGGTTAAAATATGATATAGATTCTATCAATAACAGTATTGATAAAATTGGAAACTTACACAGTAATGCTTTATCTACCTTTAATGATCAACAATCAAAACAAATTGCAAAAGAAGTCGAAAGAATGAAAGTAGAAACACAAAAGAAGAATCTGTATATTAAAAACAGTATTCAACGTAAAGGAATAAAATAAAAAGAAGGAGTGAGAATGATTAGATAATAAAATCATCTAATAGAACTTGAAAATTCAAATGGGAGGTTATCTTTAAATGATCCAAATATAAATATGCGTAAATCACAGGTAAATAAAGAGAATAGAACCCTTTATTATGATTGATTGTAATGTATTTTATAGATTATTGCTTTGAAAAGAAGATTTCTAGATACGATTCAAAGATATCAAGATGTTGAAAGGAACTTTCAATTAAAATATAGACAACGTATTGAACGTCAAATTAGAATTGGTTCGTAATGGAGACTACGTATAATGATTTATTTGTTTATTTATTTATTTATTGTTAGTTAAACCAAATGCCTCTGAAGAAGAAATAGAGAATATACTGGATGCAGATGATATGCCGCAGATATTTGCCCAATCAGTCAGTAGTAGTAATAATAATAATAAAAGAGAAAGAGACATTAACACGGATATCAAATTCATAGTTAGTGAATATGGATAGACAAGGTCAATCAAAGGCTGTCTTGTCTGAAGTTCAAAATAGACACGATGATATTAAGCATATTGAAAAGACAATCATCGTAGGTTTCTTATTCAAGCTAATATAATAAAATCATCATTTAAATCATCATTTAAATAGGAATTGCATCAACTGTTTATGGATATGCAAATGATGGTTGAACAACAAGGTGAATTATTAAATACAGCAGAACAAAATGTACATGAAACAGCCAATAATTTAAAAGAAGGAAATCAACTTTTAACGAGAGCCATTCAACTTGCAAGATCAACACGTGCAGTAATAAAAAAAAATAAATCGAACTTTTTTTTTATATGAGTATTTAATTATTTATCTTTATTTTTATAATAGAAAAAATGGTGCTGTTTATTTTTATGTATTGGTATTTGTGTCATGATTGCAATCCTCGTTTGGTGGTTTGGATTTGATCATGTCGTAAGTTAAATTTTTTTTTTTTTTTATTTAATCTCTCAGCAGATTTTTATTTAAAATGATCGATTTTATTAGGGCGTTGGAGGTGGAGGCAGCAACACTAATAATAACACGACAACAACATCTTGATCATTTATTTCTAATAACTTTTTGTGTGTATGTATTATGTACTAATAATAAAATTTATGTATAGTTTTTTTTTCTTTTTCTTTTTTTTTTTTTTTTTTTTGAATGGTATGGTATATTTAAGACACTCTCTCCTTCTTCTTCTTCACACTCTTTTTTAAAATACTTCTTCAGAACGTTTGTTGATACCAAATATTCTAACTTGATGCATAGCAGGTAATTTAGCAATCAACACGATAATAAGAGAACAGAAATTAATAGCAAATTGTAAGAAATCATAATGTGTATAATGTGTACTTAATAAGAATCTATATAAATCATTAGTTTGTATATATATATGTGTGTATACTTGTCATTTAGGACTTACAAAATAATAGGCACTGCAACTAGAAACTTCCTTGTTGCTGTAAATTGAACTCCATCATCAATTTGTTCCCAAACTGTTAAACCATCATATGCACCTTGATGATTATTATTTTCAAAAGTGGGTATACCTTGTAACCAATGAAACATAATAAAGTGACCCTAAAAGAAAGAATCAATAAATAGGCCACCCCTTATAAAATTAGAATAGATATTACTGCATTAAAAGTTAAATTAGTTAATGTCCAACTTGTCTCTGAAGATATAAAGGGAATAAGCGAATATAATAGTTTAAGTGCAATCACAATAAGCATCACTGTCACCCAAGCGCCTATTCATTCATCAATCAATCAATAAACAAACAAACAATGTGTATTTCTCTCTCTCTCTCTCTCTCTTTTATTTGTGGCTTTTATACTATTATATACCTTTATAATTGATCCAATTTGTAGTATAAACTAATCGACTAGGCGCTGACTCTTGATCAAGATGAAAATTAGCTTTCCTTTCTCTTATACTTGACATTTTCAAACAAAACAAAATAATAATAATTAAAGGGTAAAAAGGTAAAAAGATGAAAAAAAAAAAAAAAAAAAAAAGATTAAAAATAAAAATAAAAATAAAAAAAATGTACGTTTTTTTTTTTTTTTTTTTTTTTTTTTTTTTTTTTTTTTAATTTGCCAATGAACCACACAACTAAGTCACATAAAGAACTTTTATTTTTTTTTTTTCGGATCTTGTGCCCTACTGCAAAAGAGAAAAAGTGTATTCGAGTTGTACATGTCATACCCTTTTTTTTTTAATTGTGGACCCTTTTTTTTATGTTATGTAAGACGATGACGTAAAATAAATCATACATAATAATAAAAGACGATATACAAAGTACTAAGATTGACATATGACTTGTAAGAAAATTTTATTATTATTGTTATTATTATTATTATAGTTACAAAATTAAAAAAAAAAATCAACACGGCTAATTAAGGGAATAAAGTGAGAAAAAAAAAAAAGAAAAAAGTAGAGGGTGGAGGGGGGGTAGATAGATGGAAAGGTATGATATACGAATAGAAATAGGAAGGAAAGTAAGATTTAACGACGTCTCTTAGTGATTCTGTCATCCTCAGGTTCATACAAACACGTATTTTTTCTTTTTTGAATGGGATCATGTATAGAAATATCTTCATCTAAAGGAGGAGATGGTAAGCTTTGTTCTGCTTTTCTAATTGAATTTAATCTATGTTGATAAGTAGTGTGTTGAATCGTGGAAGCCATTGTTGTTGTTGTTGTTGTTGTTTCCAATGCAACAGAAGGAAGTAATGGACCTAAATTAAGATGAGATTGAAGTATCGTAATCCATTCATCATAAGTTTCCTTCTTTACATAAAGACGATAATCTAAAAGCTCCAATAACACTTTTTCAGCATGATTAATTTCTTCTACACTTAAACCGCTCACTTTACTCCAAGCAGAATTCTTGTATGTCTTATCCTGTAAATATTTATGAGCTGAAATAAGAGCGGCCAAGAACATTCTTCTACCACAAGAAACATAGACATCATTATTTCTTTCTTGGGCACGAGCTCGAATTCGAAAGAGATAAAAGATAGCAAGTTGTAAAGTGGAATGTGTTGTACGAGAATATTTAAGAATATGGTGTAAAAATGTATTCAGATCAGCAATAGGCTTGTTATTTCCAGAATTTGTAGAACTAACTGAGTTGGGCCAAATAGAAGCAATGACTTGAACCGTTACAACTGAAGAAATAAAAATAAATAAATGCAAGAATTTCTTTTTTTTTTGAAATAAAACATCATCTATCTATATACTTTACCAACAAGAGCATTCACATAATATTTTTGTTGTTCACGAATATATTCTTGTAATTTACGTTTGGCTTCAACTTCAGTCTGCATAGTATGATTCATCAAGAAAGAAATCAATTTATGTTCATGGTTGTATTTATCATTGGGCTGCGCAACATGAGTGACTGCGGATGTAATTATCTGATGAGGTGTCATGATAACTATATGCCTTTTTTTATGTATATTTTTTTTTAATTTTTTTTCTTTTAAAAAAAAATTTTTTTTATGTAAAGGGGATCTCTCTTTTATATATAGATATAAAAAAAAAAGCTAAACTCGATTGTATTGTTTAATTGTAAAAGCTTGAGACTTGAGAAAAAAGGTTTTTTTTTTTTTGAAAATAGCTTTTTTTGTTTTTTTCTTCAAGGTCAAACCTTTTTAAACAATAATAATAATTGCAATCATGATAAAACTGGGAAATACTGTGTGTGTGTTTTTTTGGTTAAAAAGAAGAAGGGAAAGAAAAGGGTTTAGATGAAGGAATAATTAATTAGTATATAAAATTGTAATGCTTTTTTTTTTCTTTCTTTTTTATAAATTTATATGAAAAAGAAAAGAAACGGGAAAAGATATATAGAAAAGAGAAAGAGTGATAAAAATAAACGTGAGTAGAATTGATATTTTGTGAGTCATGAAAAGAATTTTTATTGGCTAAATATTTTTATCCAATGAATGCGCAGTAAAATAATAAACTATGACTCATGAACAATAATATAAGCCCATTTTTTTTTCTTTTTTTTTCTTTATTTAAACCAGGTCTATTACTAAAGCTATATGCTATGTATAATCATCACGATCTGATTCACTTTTTCTCCCTCCTCCCACCCCCCCTTTTTTTTACTTATCTAGATAAAAAATATAAAACCTTTTTTTTTTATTATTATTATTATAATAAACGTTTTTATTGTTGTTTAATATTTTGATTAATAAAGTTTCACTTTAAAATGACCGTGGTAAAACTATTATAACAATAAAACTCCGTTTCTGTTACATAATATTACCAGGAAAATTTCATTTTTTTAATTAAGGGTTCATACTAATAATAATGACTTGAAATTGAAGTGTTTAAATTACCTTGATCTTTGAATTCAAGAAAGAAGGAAAAAAGAAAAAAGGAAAAAAAAAAAAACTTCTTGTTGATAGATAAATTACATAGCAACTGTGGTCTCTTTATAAAAGTAGATACTATTAAGGTATGAACGCCACGTTGCCACATTGTGCCACAAACTAGATAATTTATTGGTTTCATGCGACAAGATGTCTTTTAGAAAAGTCGGTCATTTTACTTTTATATTTGAGATTATCACTAACAACTTCTCTCTCTCTCTCTCTCTCTCTCTTTTTCTTCTATAGTTTGTGACACAGAATTTTATTTATTTCTTTCTTTCAAATTAAACTATATCTTTTTATTAATAATATTCCTGCTTTGAATAATGGGTTCCTGAAAAAAAAATCTGTCTATTCTCGCACTAGAGAAGCATGCATAGCTACTACCTTTTGGAGATTATTTCAAAATGAGTTGCTTCTTATTTGAATATATGTTTATAAGTTGATTTAAAAATGGTCTCACTTATACATGTGATTCTAATTTTGTCTTGGAAGAATACTTTAAGAAAGATTTTTTTTTCTTTTCTTATATTAAAGAAGTAAATATTAAGTGGCTTTTATTGATATGATTTACTATCGATACTAAAATGTTTCTTTTAGGGTTATGATGTTTTACTATACTAAAAAAAAAAGAGTCAAATAAGGAAGAGGCTTGATCATATCCAGTTACTTTAGAACTAAATCATATCATATACAGGAATGAGCAATACGATTATTCAGTTGATTCTCTTTCAATAATGACTAGTAACTTAATTGTGACGTGCATTACTAACAAGTGAAAAAAATAAAATAAAATAAAATAATAATAGTTATCGTCCTATAGAGATTGCATATTTAGTTAACTTTAATCAAAGTAGCAGTAGGAGCTAGTCATATTCTTCTTCTTGAATAACACGTTACGATTGTCAACAAGCAGTGTAATATGAATAGACATTAAATGATGATAGTTTAACACTAAAAAAAAAAAATGCTTGTCAAAAAGTCAGGTAAAAGAATAATTTACTGGAATAGATTTTCAAACAATCTAGAACTTATGAGTGGAATAGATGATGTATTCATCATTATTCATTTACAGTACAGCTTTGTCTCAGGAAAAAAAAAGGAATACTAAAAAAGATTTGTTCACTCATTGTCTCATCGTTTTCAAGTTCAAAGAAAAAAAAACTATCTCGATTGTGTCTATAATCAGTAAGTTTTCTTGGTTAATTTTACGATATAACAAAATGAGGGCCTATTTTCTTAATTTATCCATCTAATACATCAAGGTGGCAAGAGAGAATGAAAGAGAAAAGATAGGGGAAAATAAACGAATAAAAAATGTAAACGTTGATTGTGTAGATCTATTGTTTTTTTTTCGTATTCATTGATAATATATGCAAGTAGTTAGTATGTTGAAAAGACTCGTTACTACAATGATAGTTTATAAGTTCGTTGTGGTGTATGTAGTTAATGTCACGTGTTCAAACTTTTTTTTTTTTTTTTTTTTTTTTTTTTTTTTTTTTTTTTGTTATGCTGCATTTGTATAAAAATTTATTGTTTCCTTTTACCTTTTTTTTTCTTTTTTTTTTTTTTTTTTTTTTTGCATATCCAGATAAATAATACGTATTCACTTTTTTTTATTGTTCTTTTTTATTGTTCTTTTTTTTTTTAAACTTTCTTAAAAATATATATAATTGTAATATGGAAGATAACAAGACACCTGAAGCACCTTCACCTTGTACAGCAGGATGTGGATTTTATGGCAGCAAGATTTATAATTACATGTGCTCCAAATGCTTTAGAGAATTAGATGCTAAAAATAAACGAGGTAAAATGTAAAATAAAATAAAACTTTTAAATATATTAAAAAAAAACTAATATAAAATAAAAAAAAAAGCTACTAGTATAGAAGTCAAAGACAATCATAGATCCAATACAATATTACCTAATAAAATCGAATCAAATCATCATCAGATAGAAGAAGGAAAAGCTCAGATCGAAGCTTTAGTTAACTATTATGAAGAACAAAAGAAAATTATTATACAAAAGAACAAAGGAAAATGCTTTTCATGTAATTCAAAGGTAATAAAATAAAATAAAGTTAACAGCAGTTTTTTTATTATTATTGTTAATTTTTTTTTTTTTATTTCTCTTTTTTTTCAGATTCCTATTACAAAACAATTGATTAACAAATGCAAATGTGAATACGTATTTTGTGATACACATCGTTACCCTGATAAACACAACTGTACTTTTGATCATGCAAAAAATGATAAAGGTATAAAGGAAAAAAAATGATAAAATGGAACTTTTAATCCTTATTTTTTTTTTCTTTTTGTATAATAGATATTTTAGCAAAGAATAACCCAAAGTTAAATGAAAAGAAGCGAGGCGGCAATTCATTTAATCGTATTGATAGTCTTTAATGTACATACACATTTTGTGCTATAAAATATAAAACTACTTTAAATAAAAAAAAAAAAAAAAAGTGCATTTATCTAGTATGGTATGAATTGTTCCTGATATAATAATAATAATCATAAGAATACTCAACTCACAAAAGGATAGGAGTATAAATTGATATATTCATAAATGTCTATATTAATTAATAGATTTCCCTTTTTTTTTTTATTTGACTATGGAAGAAAACATTCTTATACTAGGATTCAAAACTTATTCCATTTTTGACTGTTTGTGATTTAGATATATATATCTAAGAAGAGAGACAACAAAGCATACATATAAAAAAAAACAAAAAAAAACAGGTGAATCAAAATTATGTAATAGAGAAGAAGCTACCTATTGTTTTAACTCTTTTCGTTTCTTTTTCTTTTTTTTTTTTTTTTGTAATTATACACAAAGACATAAACCATATTCAAATAAAATTTATTTAACTTTGATTTTTCATACATAAATATAAACTCTTTTCTTTCTTTTCTATTCTACTTTTTTAATCAATGACATGATAGAGTCCCTTCTTGGCCTGGGCGTCTCCCTTTTCGAAAGGAAGATCAAAGACGGCATTACTACGGAATCTTCTCAAGAATTGAATAGCTACACTTTCTAAAGTAGTAGGTTGAATATATAAATCTTCAAAAGTAAGGGCATCAGGTGAAATCTTCTCATCTAAGGATAACTATATATACAGGTTATGATATGTAAATATTAAATAATAATAATAAAGTTCTCAAAATTTACTCTTTCAATCAAATCAGGGCTAACCATTTGATTGTAAGGCAACTTGTCGACAAGGGTAGCAGCCATCCTATATATAAATAAAGAACAATTAAATATGAATATACATTGATTCTGCATATACAGAATACTTTACTTTAACAAACGATCGGGCACACGTCGAATAGGAAGGGGCTTTAAAGTGATTTCACGAGCAAGTTCAAAAATTTCCTTGATAGCATATTCTTTGGGTCCATAAAGTTCATAAGTCTTACCTATCGTCGACTCTGCTGTTAACATCACTTCAAGTGCATGAGCAACATCAATAGCCTATAAAACACAATGTAAATATCTATTCTATATATTATGAATTTTTATGCTTTTTTTTTTTTTTTTTTTTTTTTTTTTTTTTTTTTTACAGAAACAGGTCGAATCTTTGTATTGCCTTCATTCACATAAAATTGCCATCCACTACCAGCTGTAAGTAAAAGAAAAAAAAATAGTGTAAGTCATTATATCTCGGTCATTATCTTTATGTATGGTATTTACAGCCAATTACATTCAAGAAACGATCTTCATGACCCCACATAATTCCGGGTCGAACAATAGTAGCATCAGGGAGTATTTCACGAACTGCTTTTTCACCTAAAGCCTAAAAAAAAAATAAAGTTAAATGACTTGTATGTTTTATATTATTTTTTTCTTTTTACCTTTGAACGAAGAAACTTGGAAGATGAATCCTCTGATGCACCTAAAGCAGAGACTTGAACAAATCGAGCTACACCATTTTCAGCACATGTTTCAGCTATACGGCGAGAACCATCGACATGAACTGCATCAAAAGTAAAATTCCTTTTTTTTTTTTTTTTTTTTTTGTTAACAAAACAAAAATTAGCATGTAAATAGATAATATAATCTTTATCTAATATCGTTTTACTTTGTCTCATAATCACGACCAATCAAATTATAAACAATATCCGAGTGACGAATACATTGAGATAATTGTTCCTTATCTCTCAAATCGAATTCCAAAGGAGCAATTTGACCTAAATCGCCTGTCACTTTAAGGTGTCTGGCTTCATCAGAATCCCGAAATGGAATTACAACTTGTGTACCTTGCTTGGCTAAAAAAAAAAAAAGAAAAAGTGAATACAAACAAACATACAAATATATTTGTTCTCCTTATTTCATATTTACCAAGTTTGTTTACAACATAACGACCCAAGAAACCAGTACAACCAAAAACAGTAGCAATATGACCATTGGTACTTGATCTTTATATAAATGGTCTATGATTATTATTGCTGGTAAATAATAGAGGTTTATGTATCATTTATACCTTCCACCTAGACCATATTTAATCATGGGCTGACCTGTCTTTTTTCTAATTGTTAAATCGTGCATGGAACGCTGTAATGTGAATAGTTCAATATTAATGAGTCTATCTTTATTATTATTATTCATCAAAGATTACTTACGACTTGAGATACAGTCGTAATTTTAGTAATGACATTCGTACGTCCAATCTCTAAATTATAACAAAAAAAAAATAAAAAAAATGAGACATCTTCATATATGGTATTGTTTCTTTTTATTTTGTCTTCAAAAAAAATATATATTTACGCTTTACTGTAACCGAGGACAACATTGCTTATTACAAAAAAGAAACTAATTTTATTCAAAAAAAAAAAAAAAAGAGAAGGGTGTTGAGGGAATAGTAAGTATTTATTATTAATGTAATAAACTAAAAAAGACCTTTTTCAAGTTATAAAATTTATTACTTACATCCCCGCTTTTTTTATTTAAATATGGGGCAACTCTGATTTATGAAGCAGCATTAAGATGACGCAAAAAAAAAAAAAAAAAAAAAAAAAAAATAAAAATAAAATAAAATAAAATAGGATATAAAATCTCAGACAAGGGCTGCTTATGTAATAATAAATTACTTTTGTATGTATAATGGCGTTTGACTAATTTTATTATAACGGAAATGAATGATTATCATTATCAGCCTTAACTTGACCATTCGTATTAGTAGCATTAGTGTTAGTATTAAGATTAGTAGTAGTAGTAGTAGTAATTGTAGGATTTATAGTTTCATTCAAATAAGGTTGTTGCGGATATATTGCAGCTGCTATTGGATACCTATTATTATTATTATATATAGAAGGTATGGATGATAAAGAAGTATATTCACCATTATAGGGTAACGTCATTTGTGATTGAGGCGAATATAAATAAGGATAGAATGGTACTGTACCATAACAGTTAAACGAAGATCCATCATAAGATGACGAATTTACAGCAAATTCTTAGAAACAAAATATATACACATACAAATATTTAGGTAAGAACATAAAAGTCTACACACACAGAAAAAAAAAATACTACTACCTCCTGTTTGTCCCCGATTATCATAATAATACTGATTATAACTAATAGAATAATTATTAAAAAAAAAAAAGAAATAAAAAAAAAAGAATTTAATATGTATATACCTTGAATACATAGTAGGCCGATGATATCTGTTAGGATCTCCCTTTACTGAAACCCCATCTGGTCCAGTTACATTTGCAGCTTGCATACCTTTTGGACCTAGAACTAAATCATATTCAACCTATCGAGATAATAATCATATTAAATACAAGTTAGGAAAAAAAAAGTATACAACAGAAGGTATTTCCTTACTTCTTCACCCTATTATAATAAAGAGAGAGAGAGAGAGAGACAAGAAATAGTCGATTAGTTATCTGTTCTTCAAATCCATGTTTAACATAGACGAACCTCTGCAAGATTCTTAAAGCCTCCGTTATTAAAAATAGCTGTATGATGAACAAATACTTCTATTGCATATATAAGCAATAATAATAATAATAATAATAATAATAAAGTATTTTACCTTCAATACTATCATTGTCTTTATTTGAATCAGGAATGATGAATCCAAACCCTTTTATTGAATTAAAAAACTTGACATGTCCTTTATGACGATGTCCATTGTTACTAATCGACATGCTTTAAAATATATATATGTGTATATATATATATATATATATAAAAAGAAAAAAAAATTAAAAATAATTAGAATACTTTACGTAAAAGAGCTAATCATTTTATCATATTTTATGCTATAGTAGATGTCTTAAAAAAAAAAAATAGGGTTATGTTTCACTCTGCTAAAAATATTAAAATTTACTTTTATTCATCAAGTTCTAAAATTTATGTGTGTATTAGTAAACATTATTTTCCCAATTAGACATAATAAACAAACTACAAACAAGGTCATCTTTAGTTTACAATGTACACGTGTATCTTTTAAATGATAAAGTTATCTTTAACAAGTGCAAAATAAGTTTCAATTGAATTCTTCATGCTTCTCATTATGCTTTATATAAAAGTAATATCTTAAAGTATATTCACGTATTCATATCTTCTTCTTTAACGTGACATATCACATGAGTTAAGCCTTTACAAGTCATTGATGAGCTAAGTTTATTAGTGATTGATTGAGTTTATTTAAAATATATTGTCTTGGAGTATGAATGACAGTTTGAACTTGAAGTCTTTAATAATTATACTTTCCCAATATAAATCATGACTTTGATAGTATTCATGGTTATTAAGTTAAAGTACAATACAAAATCTCCTATCTTTTACTCTCTCTCTCTCTCTCTCTCTCTTTCTCTTTCATATCAAAGGCAGAAGGTTTACAGCTTGATTTCATCATAAGGGAGACGCTATTGTAAAATTAAAAAATAGCCTTCATTACTATTACTGCATAGTTATACCCCCTTTCTCGTAACTCAATAAACATTTATATGATAAATAAAGCTGCATAATTTTATTTAATCAGATGACATCGTTAGGCTACAGTACTCTTTTAACCTTTCCTTCCTTCCTTTCTTTCTTTCTTTCTTTTTCTTTTTCCTTTCTTTTTTCTTTTTTTTTTTTGTTATTTTGCCCAATACACGCATATTGAATCTATTATGGCAAAAACTTCAACTAGTTCAGTAAGTGCAAACCCTTTTTTTTTTATTTGAATTTAATGTCCTTGTTTTTTTTTGTATTATGTTTAGTGTTCTGAACTAGCAAGAATAGCAAAGGAATACGAAAAAAAAGAAGATTGGCAAAAAGCTATTGAAGCCCATACACGTGCTTTAAGTAAAAGCTATACATATACATATATATATATATATATATATATATGATGCGATCTAGAATTAACACCGTATGCATATATAATTTTAGATGAATATGAAAAAATCTTTTGTAATGAAAAAGATAAATCTGTAAGCAATTTCTAATCATTACAAACATAAAATGATTTTCTTTTTTTTTTCCCCTTCCCCTCCTCTCTAATCCGATCATATAGTCTCTACAACATCTAGAGACATTTACAAAAATGCATACATTGAAAATAAACGAAATTAAAAAAAAGATGAATAAACGAAATCCTTTTGATATGAAAAAACTGAAGCAGGAAATTAATGCAATACAACGAGGTGAATTATCGTTGCAACAGCAGCAGCAGCAGCAGCAGCTAATTAATGATTCATACGCTATTGTGCCTTTAGAGGTAAAGTAAAGACAAAAAAAAAAAAAAATTGTTTCTCATTATAACGTAGGAAGATGAAGAAGATCCATTTAATAAATTTTGGGGTGTCGTGGAGCCCATGGTAGATAAACTATCCAACTCAATCACAGTTTCATCACCAATAAATGAATCCTATTTGACTTTACATACTTCACAACCTAAAAGACTTATAAGTTATGACACAACTGACAATGAAAAGGAAACAGAACGTATTCAACAAGAAATGTCATCAATAACTGAGTGTTTTTTTTTAAAAGAGAAAGACAAAAGTTCAAAAGAAGAAAATGAAAGTCTAAAAGCCGAAATTATGACCCTGACAACGAAGATAAAAGAATTAGAAAAGGTGAAAAAAAAAAAAAAAAAAAAGAGAGAGAGAGAGAAAAAGCAATGATTACATAATAATAATAATAATTATAAAATAGAAATCAATTGATAGTACAATATTAAAGAGTCATATTATTCAATTTAAAAATGATGTCCATAAAGAAGCACTTCGTATACTACAAACACAAGAAAATGCAATAATGACAAGATCAGCCATGGTAAATAGTAATGGAACATTAAAAAATTTTCGACATACAACAGCAGAAAGAATGAATCGAATTAAAGAATTAGAAAATGCAAATCGAGTATTAAGAGCACAAAATAGAAAACAAGAAGCGTTGATGAATAAATATAGAGAAAGATGGGAGAAATTAAAAGAAGGGGCTAAAAAGAGACAGTCACCACCACTCAATGATAATAATAATAACGTAGTATAGTATAAAAAAAAAAATAATAATTATAATAGTTTCAAATCATTTCATTTATTGTATATAATCTATCTATTTATTATTTCCTATCACTTTGTCTACCAACGTCTGCCTTATAGTGATATTTTTCTTTCCAATGATCAGATACCTTCTTTTGTTCTCCTAATTTTGTATTATGTAATGTCTTACAATCACCAAGATCAGCTTCCTTATGCTGAATAGGATCCTGGTTTTGTGTTAATTCAAGAAACATATGTAACCATGACATGGCATTCCAGACAGTAAAAAATTCTTCTGTAACTGCCTTCTTTGCATTCTCACTCAATTTAGAACGTAATGCAGGTTCCTTAAATAGCTGATAAAGAACATCTGCAACACTATTCACATCACCAATTGGAATTAAATAACCATCTTCTTCATGTTTAATTTGAAGAGGAATTCCACCAGCAGCATAAGCAACAACAGGAATACCCTTGTGCAATGCCTCTGTAACTTTTACTTCGAAGCCCTCACGATGTGATAGTTGGAGAGCTACATAGGCACCACGCATGACCATATTGAGTAATTGATCAGAAGCAGGTAAACGAACAGCAATGATATCCCTTGAGATGGCTGCATATTTACTTGATTCAATAATCGATTGGGCTTGTTCAAAGATAACAGTGCCATCAGGGTCATCAATACTACCATGGCCACAGATGATCAATTGAGGGATATGGATTTCATCAAATTCATCTTCCATCTTGAGACGTAGAAGACGATATGATTCGAGAACATCAGGAATACCCTTAGAGGGATCAAAACGAGCTACTTGTACAATATACGGTCTAAGCCAGTCGACTTCGTTAACACCTAAATCAATACATACACGATTAAAGACCGATCGGTAATAGGTTATACACCAATCTGTCAACGGTTTATTAAGACCGTCCAAAGGATCCGTTGCTGCAGGTAATAAAACTGTATTACAAGAAGGAACAACATCAGGAATGAAACCCTTGATTGGATGAGCCACAAACAAATCAGCTTGTCTAATAAATTGCCAAATGAAACTATAATCATATTAAGCCCCACCGCAAAAAAAAGAGAGAAAAAGATTTAATTTCATATATTTATCTCTAAAATACACACACACATATATCAATGGCTTGATCACACACTTACTTCCATGTATTAGCAGTGGAACCTTCTGGCTCATTTTTGATTAAATCAGCTCTAATTTCGATATGGGATCTAAAAATGATCTTTGTATTTGAAGCATATTTACGAATATGAGGGATAATACCACACACTACAAAATAATTTATATTTTTTTTTTGAGCTTAATTTTACAATTATGTAAAATTGACTTACATTGTGGATCATCAATGACAATGACATCTGAGTTTTTAATTGGACCCTTATCATCCAACCAAAATCTTTGTGCATTTTCATTTGACCAATCAATAAAGACTTGTTTATCCTCCTCTGTCAAGATAACATGAGGTTCAGCTACACCTTGAAGCACGTTATGAAATTTTCTCTTTGTAATATCAAACACTTCAGGCTTTGGACGAGCAACGTACCCTTAAAAATGTTCTCGTTAATAAAGATTGTGTATTTTTTTTTTATTTATATATTTTTTTTTAAGAAAAACACTTACAATGGGCATCAATACCATTCAAATGAAAGAATCTTATTAACGCATGACGCATTAAAGCAACTAGATAAAGCGAAAAGTTTTAGAATAACTCGTTTTGTATAGGAAAGCCACACTAGCATAACTATTTACCTCCACCACCCTGAGGAGTCGAATTAAAGAAGGATACTTTTAACCGTTTCTCTTTAAATGAAGTCACCATCTTTTGCAGTAAACTCCATGTTTCTTGACATACTGTCTCTTGATAGTCACATAATTTTACTAAATGAATGATTTGATTGAAGTCAACTAAAATAGAGAGGGGTGGGGATAGGGGATTTTAAGTTAGTTATATGCATGTATATATATATGTCTATATATACAAGCACACTCAAATAAGCCCTCATTTTCTTTATTTTATTTTATTTTATTTTTTACCTTCAACCTGTTATCATAATGCGTAATAGAAATAATAGGATAATGTAAAACGTCAGTATGATGAAATTGATGCGTGTATAAATATTTATAAATTTTGCTAACCTCATGACGATAACCAACAGAAATACGAGGCAAATTACCAGGATATTTTGGACTTAGCCTTAATAATAAAAGATAATTTGTTATTATTAAAAAGAAAATGAATAAATAAATAACACACACTAATAGTAAATTAGCTTACCACATCACGGCTTTTCTAACAGCGGCACTAGCTCTTTCATCAGATGAATCACCATGAGTTTCAATTCTAAAAGGAATAGCATCTAGTTCTCTCCAATATTCAGACATAGTAGAGATTTCCTCAATATCAATAAAATCACCTTGCTCCTTTAAAAAGCCCTTGGCAATATCATACGAACAAGCAATGAGTTGGACCTTATAGTTTTGTGCCATAGCATAAAGCTCGACAATACCATGAAGTTTAGCAAAGGCTTCAACAATAACTTCCTTTGTAGTTCTCGAGGGATCATGTCGTTTTAATTCACCTGCATAGTAATCTGTAGAGTACATACCATCATGAACAGAGATTGCATAATAACTTTTCCTGTCTTCACGGATTTCAATATCAACACCCAAATAGACAGCTAATGGGACATGAGCAGTAGAAAAGCGACGCGAGGTACGTCTGATTGGAACATGAGCATTGTTTGGTGGCATAATTTAGTTTATTTTTTTATAAGAAAGAAAAGTGAAAAAGAAAAGGAAAAAAAAAAGGATCTGGAAAAAAAAAGAACCAGTAAGTGATTCGGTAAATATCATTTATGCAGCATTTTTTTTTTTTTTTTTTTTTTATGACAGCAACTAAAATTAGGCTCTTAAATTAAACGGCTGCTGTTTTAGTACATTTTCACCTACTCTACTCTATTCAATTCTTATGATTATATACATATATATTTATGTATATACTTCTTTCAGAAAAGAATCCTTGATATCTTCTAGTTTTTACCTAACAAAATGATTTTTACTATATTAATGTCTTATCGGAAGTGTGACTCCTTTTATAGATGTGCATATTACGAATAGTAGATATTTGCTGAAAAATCGAAAATTAAGCTGAAGACTTAAACAATACTACAGCGGACTACTTGAAATCAAACAAACGGTCCAAACAACACTTTTATGTATCAAACTGTTGAAAGCAAGTCTTCTACAGAAGTTCTCGTTTTGAGTTTACAATTTTTTTTTTTGAAGAACTAGCTGTTTTCTTTCTTCGCGTTATCTTTTATACACTCTTTGAAACTCTATCTCTTTCTTCTCTTTAAAGCTATTATTCTTTCCAAACTGATCAAAACCTAAAGAGCCTTGTTATCATGATCATCATAAAAAAGAGCTCAATTGCCATAATATAGTAATAAGAAAGATTACAGCCTAACTCTTTAAAATGCATAAACTGCCAAGAATATTTCGTGAAATTACAACTGAAAAAAGCGTTCCACAACACAGCTAGAAGGGAACATCCTGTAAAATTGCAAGAAATAAAACTACTGTATAAAATGACATTTTTTATATTATTGATAGCTTATCTACTCTTATTCTTTTGGAGAATGTATGAACATCATGCTCTGTTGTGTAACTGCATTTAACTAGTTTTGGCTTAATTTCTTTACAAGAATGCTCAGCATATTCACATGAATATTTATACATATAAAAAAAGTAAACAAACTTCTTACTTTCTTACTTTCTTGCTTACTTTCAAAGAAGACAGTAATGCTTTACTACATTCAAATAAAAGGCAAAACTTATCTCTAAAGTATTAAAAAGAAAAGAGAAAAAAAAAGACAAGGGAAAAGGCAGAAGAGAAGATTTAACGCAAAGTAAATTAAAAACAAAAAAAAATACGCTAAGATTAAACTTTAATAACTTCTTCTTTTTGTTTATTTTTTTCTCCTGAATTTTACTATAAAAAAAAAGTACATTTTTTGTTTTTTTTTCCTTTTTTTTTTCTCTTCTTTTTTTCTTTAGCTTTTTTTTTTTTTATTTTTCCTATTCTTCTTTATTTTTACTTGAAACTATGGGTAGACATTGTCAGGGTTATGAAGTGTGCTCAAGTCACATAGCTTGGCTTACTTGAGTTTGTAGAACTGTCCGTTTATAACATGGCTAAAGGAGAGGGCCTAGACTCTCTTTTGGTTACTACATGCATATCCGCCTTCACCTTGGGTTATTGCAACCTTAGATAATTGATGGGACCTTATCGAATTTTGACTGCTCAAGTTTGATTTATTTCCAAAGGAGGAGGGAAATAAAAAGGATACTTGGGGTTGGAAATTGTAAACCTGTTCCTTTTTTAGGGAGATTAGCGTACTCTTTGTCTGCACCATTGAAAGGGCTTATCTCAAGGTTTAGTTTTTCTGTTTTTCTTTTTGGAGGTTTTTCCTTCTTTTTATTTTTATCTAGTTGCTGTTTATAAAATAAAAATAGATAAGGATGCACAGCTTACGTTTCTGACCGTGGTTTTTTCATCTATTTATTTAGTTGAAGAATCCCAACTTGTATTTACTGTTAAGTCAAAAGTAGATGCTAGGGGTCAAAGAAGGGACATTCTTAGGTAAACAATAGTCAGGTCGTGCACTTCATGTATCTGGATTCCTTCCACTTCGCCACGCTACAGGTCAGAATGTTTAGCCCGGCTTCCAATGAAACTTACATCCAACTGTATTTTTTATTGGGTTATGGGGTGAGGAATCCTATCTTTTTCTTCTAGCAAGGCTTGGGTCAGGTTGGTACTTTGCCAAGTGTCTACTAGTCGAAATTGGTCTATCTTTCTTGAAGAAGGAAAAAGAAAAAAAAAGACCCAACATGGGTATTGGTTTATAGAAAACTTATTTTTGGGATTAGATATGCTTTCACCTTCTCGTGGTTAATCCTGTTAGTATCAAGTCTCTTTTAAAGAGATTTGAGAACTAAGAAAAGCATCCTTTTTTTTTATAATATTAATAAAAATGAAAAAACAATTTAATAAAAATCTTATTCTAATAAAGTTGCTTCTCTAGGAATATTTAATAATTAAGCATATAATCCTTTCATTACTTTTTTTTTTTTTTTTTTTTTTTTTTTTTTTTTTTTTTTTTTTTTTTTGAAAAATGAAATTCATAATGATAAGAAAACTGCCCAAATATCTATTAACATGGGACTCACCAATAACTGAAAATTATTATTCAGATTTATTAAAATGTGGTGCGCCAATAAAATACAAAAGCAAAATAAGCTATTCTAACACATACCTTTCCTTCTCCCCCCCCTTGTTGTTGTATAAGCCATAATTTATACGTAGTAAAGAAGAAAAAAATAAGATGTCATTTATAAACACATTGCAACAACAATCGACCCCAATTGAACCAACCACGAATACCACATTATCTTCAGAGAGCATAGAAAAACAAAGTTTCTTCAGTAATGTCACTTCTAATCCTCTCTTTTCAGCTGGCTTTGGGCTCATAGGTGTTGGTGCAGCACTCACACTTTTGAGACAGAGTACAAAATTTGGAGTCACTGTGCTTCGAAGACGTTTATTAGTGACACTTGAGATTCCTTCCAAGGATAAGTCTTACCTCTGGTTTCTTCACTGGATGTCTCATCATGCTCCTAAACGGCAAGTTCAACATTTGGCAGTTGAAACTAGTTACCGTCAACATGACAATGGGAGTGTGACGACTAAGTTTGGTCTCGTACCTGGTCCAGGAACTCATTATTTTAAATACAAGAATATATGGATGCAAGTACAACGACAGAGGGATGGTAAAATGATGGATTTGTCAACGGGGGCACCCTGGGAGACTATTACGATTACTACTCTAAGTCGAGATCGCCATGTGTTTACAACATTATTAAAGGAAGCTCAGGAGATGGCATTAAAGAAACAGGAAGGTAAGACGGTCATTTACACGTCATATGGTCCTGAGTGGAGGCCATTCGGTATGCCTCGAAGAAGACGACTGTTAGAATCCGTCATTTTGGATCGAGGAGTCAAAGAACGAGTTGTAACTGATGTGAAGGCATTTATTAATAATGGGAAATGGTATAATGAAAGAGGAATACCCTATCGTAGAGGATATTTATTATATGGTCCACCTGGCTCTGGCAAGAGTAGTTTTATACAAGCATTAGCTGTAATTAGAACCAAAAAAAAAAAAAAAAAAAAAAAAAGGATAAAGATATTTTTTTTATTATTATTTTTATTAACGAATATATAAAATAGGGTGACCTGGAATATAATATTTGTATACTTAATTTATCAGAGAGAGGATTAACAGATGATAGATTGAATCATTTATTAAGTAATGTGCCTGAACGTAGTATAATGTTACTAGAGGATGTTGATGCAGCATTTACAAAACGAACACAGTCAGATAATCAAGGTTATCAATCGATGATTACATTTAGTGGACTGTTAAATGCTCTAGATGGAGTTGCTTCAGCAGAGGAACGTATTATTTTCTTAACAACCAATCATGTCGAAAAATTAGATCCTGCATTAATTCGACCAGGTCGAGTCGATTTAAAAGAATATTTGGGCAATGCTACTGAATATCAAATTCGAAATATGTTTATGAGGTTCTATGAAGACGTTTCACTTGCAGAAGCATTTATAAAGAAAACAAAAGATAAACCGATTAGTACAGCTAGTTTACAGGGTCATTTTGTTTATTATAAAGATAAGCCACAAGAGGCTATTGACAATGTAGAGTCATTATGGAATGACTTGTAATAAAATTTTATGTCGTGAAACCTTGTTAACAGTTTTTGGTAATATTGTAAATTTTTCTTTTTTTTTTTTCTTTCTCTTTTTTATTATTTTTCATTTTTTTTTTTATTATTATTCTATTTCTTTGTAAATAAATGGATAAAAATCCTATTCATTCCAACTATGCTTGGATTATGTTAGTTGGTGTTGTTGTATTCTTCTTTGTTTTTATAATTTTATTATGCTTTACAAAAATAAGCGGAGAACGATTCTTCTATTCTTCTGGGGAAGATTCATTATACGAAGATAGTGCATTTACTGAGACACCTGCTTTATTAGCCACTCTTTCAGAAGATGCAAGATTTAGTTATGAACAAGCAAAATGTAAAGGAAAAAAAAAGAAAAGAAATAAAATAAAATAAACAAAAGATAACATATTTATTCAAACAAATAAAATAAAATAAAATGTTAGTATTCCAACATAGGCATCCACCAGAAAGTATACCGACTGATATTACTTTATCTCAATACGTCAGTATTCAAGAAAAGGGCGTATCAGCCTTTGAATTTGAATGGGATATAGAAACACAGACTCTAGTATCTGCTAGAACTGAAATACAGTTTTTGGACGGTGAATGCTGTGTACAAACTAATCTGCCTTTGCCCAGAAATCAAGAAGTCTATTATTGGGAAGCAAAGATGTTTGAAAAACCACCGACGACTATTGTCTCTGTGGGGGTGGCTACAAAGCCATATCCTTGTTGGCGATTACCAGGTATAGATGCAAACAAATTACTTACATTTAAAGTAATGCATTATTTTTTACTAACCAGCCTTACTATAAATAGGTTGGAATAAGCATTCTATTGGCTATTTTAGTCATACAGGAAATAAACACTTTAATAATCCTTTTGTTGGTAAACCCTATGGATACATGTATGAAGAAGGTGATGTTATTGGTGTTGGATATCGTCACCGTACAGGCACCTTATTTTTTACAAGAAATGGAAGAAAATTAGAAGAGGCTTGTTTTGGTTTGAGATATAATTTATTTCCTACAATTGGAGCCAATGGACCTTGCCAAGTACATGTTAATTTTGGTCAAATAGGTTTCGTCTTTGTGGAAGCCAATGTAAAGAAATGGGGATTAGCGCCTGTTCAAGGTACATTAGCACCACCACCTGCTTATGGATATGAGGCTGGATCCTTATTATTAGAAAGAGGTGAAGCAAGCCATCTTTTAGAATGCAGTCATAATGTGTTGAATAATATACCCTTTTATAATAATAATAATAATAATAATGAAGAAGAAGACGACGACGACGACGATAATACACCATTAATTCAACACATACCAATACCACAATGCAATAAGACAGGAATTATTCCAACCTATTCTCCTCCTTCTTATTCTACTTTTCCAAGATTAGGTGTTTATATAGGAAGAGGTACAATGGATCATAGTGAAGAAGCAGAAAATGAGAGGAATCGAAGGGCAGGATTAATTTAAAAAAAAAAAAGAAAAAATACCAGTATCACTGTAGCAATAATTAGCGGAACTTTTTTTTTTTTTTTTAATAATTTTGGCATATGCACCCCCGCTTTCATTTATTATACTTTTTTCTACCCTATAAAATAAAAAAAAAAGGAAATGCATCGACAATTAAGATCATTACGATCATTCAATAAATCAAACTTATTTCATTCTTTATCATGTTCTCGACAAGCGTTTGTTGCTTCAACTATACCTACCGACTTTGATGTTATAGTCATTGGAGGAGGCCATGCTGGTACTGAAGCATGTGCAGCCGCTGCTCGTTCAGGGGCAAAGACGTTATTACTAACACAAAACAAAGATACCATTGGTAAATTACGACCCATGTAAAATAAGTTTGTAAGGATTCCTAACACATATTGTTGCTGTTGTTTTTTTTTGGTTAGGTGAAATGTCTTGCAATCCTTCTTTCGGCGGTGTTGGTAAAGGTGTACTTGTTAAAGAAATTGATGCTTTGGATGGTGTATGTGGTCGTATATGTGGTAAAGAAAAAATAAAAATAAAAAGAGAGAGAGAGAATTATTACATAATATTTTCAATGTTTTAATTTTTTTTTTTTTCATATTGGGTTATTTTAGATCTTGCTGGTATACAATTTAAAGTGTTGAATAAATCTAAAGGACCTGCAGTTTATGTAACATATAGTAATTCATTTGATTTTTATAAAAACTAATATGTATTTTATTATTATTATTTTAGGGGCCCAGAGCACAGATCGATCGCCGATTATACAAGAAACATTTACAAGAATATTTAAACAATTACCCTAATTTGACTATTCAAACAGGAAGCGTATCTGATCTTTTATTAAACGATAATGTAACAGAAGATGAATATCAATTAATGACCAAGAAAGGTGCATCTCAAATTGTGAAAGGTGTACGATTAGGTAAAAAGAAAAAGAACAAAAAAAGAAAAAAAAAAAAAAAGTTGTTTATAAAATTGCAATTAATAAAAAAAAAAATTAGACAATGGGCAGATTATTAGAGCACCTAATGTAGTTATTACGACTGGCACTTTTTTGGGAGGGGAAATACATTTAGGTAAAACAAATTTATCAGAATTAATAAGAATAACTGCTAATGTTTTTTTTTAATAAAAAAAAGGGTTAAAGTCGTGGCCAGCTGGTAGAATAGGGGAAAATCCATCTATTGGTTTATCAAAATCTTTAAAATCAGCTGGATTTAAATTATCGAGATTGAAAACAGGCACACCTGCAAGATTGGATGGTAGAACGATTCGCTATGAAGGTTTACTAGTACAAGAAGGAGATAATCCACCATCCCCATTTTCATTTTTAAACAAAACAGTTCCTTATGCAGTAAGTTATTAGACTATTCAAACTATCTTTAGGCGATAAAAATAAAATAAAATAACTCATTCGTTTTATATAGGATCATCAAATATTATGTTATCAAACAAAAACAAATATAAACGTACATAAATATATTTCGGACCATTTTGATCAAAGTATTCATATTAGAGAAACAGTGAAGGGACCTCGTTATTGTCCCTCTTTAGAAAGTAAAATTAAACGATTTAGTGGAAAGGAGGCACATAATATTTGGCTGGAACCTGAAGGTCTTGATACCCATATTGTATATCCAAATGGTATTTCAAATACAATGCCAGAAGATGTTCAAATCAATTTTTTGAGAATGATTAAAGGCTTAGAACAAGTGATTATGCTCAAGCCAGGTAAGAAATAATAATAATAATAATAATAATAATAATAATAATAAAATATTAAGAAATGTTATATTTATAGCTTATGGAGTTGAATATGATCATATTGATCCAAGAGAATTAAGATCTACACTTGAGACTAAAAGAATACAAGGACTATTTTTAGCGGGACAAGTGAATGGAACAACAGGTTATGAAGAGGCAGCTGCGCAAGGTATAATTGCAGGTATTAATGCAGGTTTAAACGCAATGGGCAAACCACCCTTTATATTGGACAGATCCGATGCGTATATTGGTGTCTTAATAGATGACTTAATTACAAAAGGTGTGGAAGAGCCATACCGTGTATTTACAGCGAGATCTGAATATAGATTACTTTTACGTGCTGATAATGCGGATACTAGACTGACAGCAAAAGGATATCTAGCAGGTGTAGTAGGACAAGAGAGATGGGAACACTATCAAGTATATTCAAAGAAATTTAATAATGCTATGGAAGCTTTAGAAAATTTGAAAATGTCTGCTAAGAAGTGGGGTGATCATGGCATTTGTACTAACAACCGTACTTCTTTTGTAAACGATAATGGAACCTTAAGAAGGTAATTCATGTATATGATGAGAGAACTGGTCATTTACGTGTATGCGTTATTAACAAAAAAAATATTTATAATAGTGGTATAGATTTATTAACTTGGCCACACATTACTTTGGATCACTTTGAAGAACTTTTACCTGAATTAAACCATTTAGAACCTTCCTTAAAAGAGCGCATTATGATCGAAGGTAAGTTTTTAAACATAATAAAGCAAAATCAAACTGATCCCTTTTTTTTTTTTTTTATAATAAAAATAAGGTCGTTATAAGCCATTTCTGAAAAGACAAGAAGTAGAAGTGGCGGCATTAAAACGAGATGAGCACTTAAATTTAGATATCAATTTAGATTATTTAAAGTAAACTAGTATTCATGTGTTAATTTGAAATTTTATTAAAGCTTTATTTATAGTATGAATCAACTTTCTAATGAAGTTCGACAAAAACTAGCAACTGTACGACCAGAAACCTTGGTATGACTACACTATTTATATCGCTTTTGAAGTAACAATGTATGTATTCATCATTTAAATTAATAGGGAGCAGCAAAAAGAATTGAAGGCATGACACCAGCTGCAATGGTTATTTTGATGAAGTATGCGAAACGTAACTATAATAAAAAGGTACTCTCATCTGCATAAGATGCGTGCTCAAATAAAATATATATTTATATGACAATGTATTATACCATCATTACAAATTATGTAATATCAATATATTATAGCTTTTTATAAATTAATTCATATTTTTTGATATACCTGCATACAATTGCTTCTCATTACAGCAATCATAGCTTTAGTGTTATGTAATTCTTAGTTCATAAGTCTTGTATTAAAAGATTTTTAGGACCACCTATAGAGTCGACATTTAAAAGATAAAATAAAATAAATTAGCCACCATCATCTCGAAACCTGTGCCTTTATACAACACTAATAATAATAAATAAATAAATAAATAATACAAAAAAAAATTTTTTTTCTTAAATAAATTCAGAATACCATGAGACAGCTCTAGAAGCATTTAAAACAGTAATTAATCCTAGACCATTTCAAAAAAAAAAAAAAAAAAAAAAAAAAACTCTTATATAACTGAACATAGTTCATTAGAGTATTTCTAGGCACTTTTATACATTTATCTTATGATAATAAACAAAACTCCCGAGAAATAGTTTCTAATAAACCTGGACTCACTTACTATTTATTCAACCAAGATTTGGTCGCTTATTTAAAAAATATATGCATATGTTTATTAATATATTTTCTATCGTCCATTCTCTTTGTAAAGGTTTCAGTATTCTTATATTGGTAGGAATAAAGCAGCTAATATGACTACGGTAAAGACAAAAAAAAAAAAAAAAAAAAAAAAAAAAAAAAAAAAAAAAGCTCGGTATTATCTCTGCTTCAAATTTTAAAAAATACTCCTGCTCAGTTATATCCAGTAGACTAACCCAGATACACTTTAGTAAGAATGTAGCAACTTATTGTTATATTGATTGTTTTTGGGACAAGTTTATATTTGTAATAATATAACAGATGCATATCTGTATACAAATATGTATATTTTTTTTTTAAAGAAGTGTCATTAAAATTTTTAGTCACGTTCGTATAATTAATATTGTATTAGTAATAATTAAACATATAACATAAGCAAAACTTGGTGTTTAATAATATTGATTTTTTTTTTTTTTTTTTTAATAAAAAATATCAATTTATATTTTATACAGTCCAACAAATGTGAATGTATCTGATTTCCTTGTATCTATTATTCGATGTACATTATCAATAATAGTTATCTACAATCACTGATCCTTTTTATTTTTTGTTAACTTTCTATTTTTGAACTTTATTTTGATTGGCTGTATTAATAATTTTTGCAGGCAAATCATGCAAAAAAAGTATCATCGTAGCAACAACGGTAAATTAATTTAAACTGTACTATTACAAATCAAAAGAAAAAAAAAGCTTTTTGAATAATATTTGTATTTATATTTTTTTTCTTTTTTGAATTATTTTTCTCTTTTTTCCTTTTTTTTTATTATTTTAAATATGGAACAAGCTACAAATTCAGTATTTTCAACTTCTTCATATCAAAAACAGCCACTGAAAACAAATCCATCAGAGCTAATGTGTGGGTCTCAAATGTTTAACTATAATCAAGCCTGCGCATTACTGCAAGCTATTGAATTAAATGGACGGAAACGATTGAGTAAAAAGTGTGTTGGTAATTAAGATTCTTGATTTCAGCTCTATTATTTAAAGAAGAGGATAAAGAAATTTATTATTTTTTTTATGTATAATAATAGCTCATTTAGCAGTGTTTGTATTACAGGCTTGGGAAGATAAAATCTGTCAAGAAAAGATTCAAAGACTTTATTGTATGATGAATAATTTATTAGATACAACGGGAATGGATCCAAATGAGCCATTTGAGATTTCGCTTCAAAACTTTTGTCAAAACTCGATATCAATACCTTCCATTTGCCCTAGTATTACATTATTAGTAGCTATTAGTTATGTAGAAAGATTAAATAAGGTAAATCTTTAACTTCTTCTCCCGAAATTTTATTACTCGTACTCACTCTTTTTATTTTATTTTATTACTCGTACTCTTTTATTTCATTTTGCTTCTTTTAAGCGTTATAGAGATTTGAAAGGAACACCTGGTTGTGGATTTAGAATCATGATGGTGGCTTATATTATGGCAGCAAAATACATTCATCGTTGTCTTCAGTTAATTATATACACAAATAGTAGACAATCAAATAATACTACTCCTATTACCCCTCCTACCTCACCCAAGATAATGTCAGGCAATGCATCTTTAACATATACCAACAATTCCCTTTTAGATATAGTCCATGATGATCGAAATATAAGAATTAAGCGTATGGAGCAGGAGTTTTTATGCTTTTTAAATCATGATTTATCAGTACAAGATACTCTATTATTAGTTTATTGGGCAAGGACTTACGATAATAATGATACTTTAGAAGATAAAATTGAAGATAATTATACTTCTGCAGACGAAGGTGACGATGAAATGGATGAAGAAGAGTTATGATTATAGATTCATATCTGTTTATGCATGCATGCTACTGTATTATATATTTTAATAAAATTTACCTTGTGTTTCTAAATGATGGTTGTGACTTCAATATTATTCTATTGAGAAAATACAGACGCCTTTCTTTTTATTTTATTTTATTTTATTTTTTTTTTCTCTTTTCCCCTTGTTTCACTCAACTTACTTTGTATAATATTAAAAAAGAAAAAATGAAAGTTTATACGATAGCTGCCATTCTTTCATTAGCTTCTACTGTCATGGCTTTTGAATCAACCGTCCCTTGTCTCATGTGGTCACCTAAAAAGTGAGTTCCAATGTATACATTTATACATGTAAATAGGGTTGCATGACGAGATAAACTAATGAGTTTTTAGTTATATTGACATTTCGCCACAGACAACTAAACAGTTCGTAATTGCAAAGTCAGACGCTTCTGATGTTATCTTATCATCCTTATCTTCAGATGTTTGCTCAGCTAAAGTAATTGCTTTAATTAATCAGCCCGAGGTAATGATAACCTATAATTATATTTCTAGATGACACGTCATATTTAAATGGCTTTTTTTTTTTTTTTTGTATAATAGATTCATAGTAATGACTTTTTATATTCTGGATATGAAGGCGCTTTTAGTCATTTAGAGGTAAAATACACTACAAAAAAAGAAATAAAGAGAATCCAGGTTTAATAAAATAACTAGGAGCAAATAAGTGAAGCAAATACTCATTCACAAATTGAATATATTACTGAAGGCGTTCATATTGACCAACTTGCAAAATCAATTGCTACTCGTTGTAATACGGCTGTATCTATCTTGGATCCTTATAGTAAGAAAATAGTATAAAAGAGACCAAGACAAAAAAAAAAGTATTCAGTTATTTATTTATTTATTTATTTTTTCAGCCGTTTCTACTGAAGATTTTGTTAATCAGATTAAACCCATTGTCGCTGTTCTTCCTCTTCCTTCTGCTGACAATAATGTAAACACTCTTAGGACAAATGGTAACAAAAAAAAAAAAGCAAGTTTTAATATAAAACACTCATGTTTTCATTAAGATGCTTTATTGGATCAATTTATAAATATCATAAAGTTAAAAGCTCAAGATAACTATGCGGTTATTTATACTTCTAGTTCTGCCAAGGTAATATTACATAAACAGTAAAGAGTTGTATCATACTGATAACTTACAAATAGCAATCTCATGAAAAGATCAAGTTAAGTCGTCGCGATATTCCTACTACAGATAACAATTTACCTATTTTTGAGAAATATCAATTATTTACACCTGGAGTTTTTATGGTCCTTGGTGTCGTTTTTCTTTTCTTATTTATTGCTGGTACAGGTATTAGTTGGTTAGTTGGCATTCAAACTCCTGTTCGTTTTGAAGGAAAACCAAAGAAGAATTAAAATATATATTCCCCCTTTATGAGATAATAAATGACATATGATATAAATAAATAGCTATATATATATATATATCATTGTATGTAAAATCGTGTATATTTATGTATATATATATATATATACATGCATATATATTTTATTGCTGTTGGTTTATTAAACGAACGGTAGTATCCTTGATGGAGACACTGTGGTACAATCCCACCTCAGTAAATTTAGCTACACTAACAACAGAAGTATCGCAGCTTGTTACTGCTAAACCTGCATATACATCTTGAGCTAATACTAATGGCACCTGCACCAGGCTTTCCCATTCTCCATCATCACTTCCTCCTTCTGAACCTACATGTCGAATTTGAGCTTCAAACATATCACGATTTTGTTTTTGTCGAATTAATCGAAGTCGATAAGGAGGAGATGCCCTCATCTTTTTGATCAGTTGAGTCAATTCAAAATTACCATATCGAACTTGAAGAAAGATACCATCTGCTGGTGAAATACCAAGCATAATAAGTGGAGATCCATGTCCTAAATGCTCACGAATCATGATGCCTGCTTTAGCACATTTTGCAAAGGCAGAATGAGATCGTACCGTGCCTTCGATCATGCCTTGACTAGAGAAGGGTTGATAGACAAATCGAAAAGCGTCATTGTCATTGTCAATATCAGCTCCTGAACCCCATAGAGTAAAAGTGGACCCTGAATCAGCGGAGACTGTGCCTGGTAAACCAATACAGTCTTCTCTACCCACATCTATTGTTTGCCAATCACCAGGCAAATTTGGGTTAGGAGGAGGACCCGGTAATGGATCACGAGGATTTGTTAATTTGATTTTAAGAAGAGGTGCTAGTTTCTTGGCCAATAATTCATGACCAGCATCAGTTAAATGGTTCTAATAAATTTATGTTATTAAATGAGATTATCTCTCAAATATATATGTATGTGTGTGTGTGTGTGTGTGTATGATCATGATACGTACATTATCTTTGTAATAAGTAGAACCATATCTAAGCCAAGATGTAGTATCAATAAAATAAATATGTTGATCGCTTCGACGATACACTGCCTCTTGAGAAGGACGAAACATATCCCCAAGAGGTTCTGACAAAATAAAGATAGGTGCATCCTCATCAAGCTTTTGTCGTACATTTATCAAAAATGAAATTAATGTATTGTAATATTCACTTGATGAATAGTGTGTTCGGTAATCATTTGAGCCTAACAAAACTACGACAGACCAAGGTGATGATGACTCTTTGAAATATTTCTTGTCCAAGCCGTCAATTAATGTAGCGTTTGGATAAGCAATGTGTGAATGTTCTAAATCGACGAATTCACTCGTTATCCAAGCAAAACTTGTCAATAAATTATGAGTAGTTCTGATTCCTAAAGTCAAGTCATGACCTACAAATTCAACAAGAGGCTTTGTAATCGAAGAAGGTGGAGGGGTAACCGTGATGGCTGTATCATCAAGAAGAATAGATTGTAACTGAATAGAAAAAAAATCATAGTCAGGAATATTAGTAGCGACTACAAATAATTCATGAGGTCCATCATTTTGAAGTTGATTAGGAGTAATGTCAATTATGTTTGATATATTGTTAAAATAGATAAAAGATGACTTGTTGATTTGTACTGCTAGAGATGTAGGTCGAGTCAATTTTAATTTAATTGAACGAGTCTTTTCTAATATTACTTTAAAGTAAGCACCGGGCCAGCCGCTTTTGATTTCAGTAGATGATGAATGCCATCGACCCACATATTGAATGTTTGGATCTCGAAATGAAACTTCTTGAATTGAAACCACACAGTGAAATAATAGGAAGGTATAAAAAAAGAGGGAAAAAATAAGCATTTTCTTTCGTTTATAAAAGTAATAAATAAAATAGTTGAGAAAATATATAAATATAGTCTCTTATGTTTAAAATACAAGCATAATATAGCAAAGAGAAAAAGAAAAAAAAAAAAAAAGAAAAAAAAAAGACGAAGGAAAAAAAAAAGATATAAAAACTATTTTCATTATTATCGTCTTTTTCTCTCTCTCTTTTTTTTTTTTTTTTTTCTCAATAAATTAAATCCTTTCAGTTACAAAGCATTATTCAATAGCTAATTTCTATTCAATCGAGTAAAATAGACTGCATTGCTGCATGTATATTTGTAGCAAATCCTATTATTTATTGAATAGGATTCAAAGCATATACATTCGAACAATAACTGCTATGGCATACATTAGCGCTATCTAAAATCAAAAAAAAATCATAAGTTAACATTGGTATACAACAGTCAATCTGGAAAAGATTGGCGGAGCTTTTTTTTTTTTTTTTTTCCTAATTTGACGACTAGGCCTGGATAAGTTAAACAAAAATGTTGGATTAATTGAGAATTCAAACTATCAAATACACTCTCAAGATTTTTATGTTATTATTACTGAAGTTATAAATAATAGTATTTATAATGTATCTTTAGATTTATTCAATACTTGCCAAAATATCATTATTATAAATGTGTTATTCTATAATAGCCTTGGATCCTATTCCCTAATTATTTATACAACCTATTAAATATGTCAATTTATGCAATGGCTTCATGATAGCATACCTAAATCTTGCTTGTGTAGATAGTAGATATTTATTAAAAACATCATCATCATTCAATGACTAAGTATACGTTCTCATCCTCACATGCTTTCAACTATAGCTAGCCCTAGCCCTAGTTCATATATCCTAAATATGCTTCTCGCTTCTCAAAGAGTCATCTAAATCACTAGAAAAATACGTATACTAAAAATAAACTGATATGGAACAATATGATATAAATAACAAGCTTTAAGCACTACCACTGGCCTTATTTGTCGATTCCCTCACTCATTTTTTTTTGTTAGCTACAATCTCTCTTTACGTTGAATATACTCTCTTTCTTCTTTTATCTCCCTTATGCTGAAAAGATTCTTTTTTTTTGGAAGGGGGAATTTCTTCTACATTATGAACAAGTCTAAAAGAATTTGGTGGTACTCAATTTGGAACATTAAAATATGTAAATCAAATATCAAACATATTCAGAATACCATTAAGTAACAGATTTTAGAATGTAAAAAAGTTTGTATTCTGGTATTTTAAACTTTTATAATAACTATTTATATGTACTGAACAGTGAATATCCTTTAAGAGTAAAACAAAATGCATATAAACTGTTAAGGATAGCGACCTAAAGGAAAAGGAACTAGAGAGATAGGCTCTCATATTTCAAATTTAAATTTACTATTCTTCTCTGGATATAGTGCTTTCTATAATTGAATAAGCTTTTCTCTTTAACTTATTGAATCCTACCCCGTTAATAAAATATATGAAGTAAACTGATTTCTATATCATGCGAAATTCTATTTATATTTTAGCATAAAAATATGTTTTGTCGTACAGTATGTTGAATAGACACTAATAATTAAATAGAATATCCTCTAAGCCTTTTGCTTTTAATAATTATCGATTGCTTTTAATTTTCTTTATGCTAATCTAGAATTAAACTTAACCACTATTTTGAAAGACATCGACTCCATATTTGGAGCCTAAACAAACATAACGTAATAATAATAAACAACTTGAAATACTTGAACAAATGTAATATTACATAACTATATAAGAAAAAAAAAAGTTCAACTAATATAGAATAAAGTATGTAGAAAGCTATTCTATATCTACTTAATGTGGCTGAATATATTAAAGATAATGAAGAAGAAAAGAAAAAGAAAAGTTATTTTTACACATATAACGAAATATGGAAAAACGTTATTGTTCCCATTCGTGACACAGTAAAGGACGACGACTATAAACCGACATAATAAACAATATTCTGACCTTTTTGTTTAAAATAAAACTAATTAGGCTAAATAGATCATTTTCGTTAATAACAAATGACTAAAAAAAAAAAATAAGGGATATTTCAAGTACTCTGTCACAGTATATGAAACGAATGACTTGAGACAAAAGTAATTTAGTTTTAATACATTAATGTGTGTTTATTTATTTACAACAAATAGATCAAACATGATATTTATATACATGTATGTATATGTTTATATAAAGTATAAAAGGGGATAATAATATATGTACATATAATAATTATTATATAGTTTCATTTGTAACAAAAGAGAGTCCTTTCCTTTTTTTTTTTTTTTTTTTTTTTGACAAATATGTCATTTTGTAACCTAAATATGCCTATACTTATGTTGATGCTTTTTCCTCTATTTCTTTAGTTTCGTTATTATTATCATTATGGCTATTAACTGTGGGATGGACACGTTTAGTATAAATTGGTGATATTGCAAGTGAAGGCCATTTATTAGTTGCAGAAGATTGTGTTGTCTATATTGAAAATAAAGATTAAAATTTAAGCATATATAAAATCAATAGCTATATGTACCTTCTCTTCAAGATGTGTTTCATTACTAGGAGATACATGAATAAAGTGAGTACCTTGCCCTTTAGGAACTCGATGAGCTACACCGTCTGAATCTAAAGTTACTTCATAAACAGTTTCCTATAGAATCTTAATTATTATTTCAAAATGACTCTTAAATCGAAATATACATGTATATATCGATTGTATTTACTTTTTCAAAGAAAGGATGTGAAATACAGCAACCCATTTTTAGTAATATTAGAATATATCAAATGAAAAGAGAAAGAGAGTAAAAGAAAAGAAAAAAGATAAAAGACAAAAGCCGCAATGTTTTATATATTCTTCTTTTTAATGAGTAATTAGCAGTGTTTCATCGTATTCGGGCCCGAATGTTTTGAGAAGAAAAGTCAAGCCCTTTTTTTTTTCAGTAACACAAAGTACACATAAGAATAGTAAGTGATAGATCTCACAAGACCCTTTACGAAAAAATACTTTATTAAACTCAAGTCTCTACTTCTTCTTCTTCACTAGCAGACCATGAATCTAAATCGGCCTAGAGTAAATCATTTGAATCGTTTATACATAACTTATATGCTGTATTTACGTTTTATAAAATACCTCATCAACTTCCACTCCATTTTCTTCATTCATAGGTGGCTCCCAGGTTAATATTTCACCACCATTTGACCCACTATAAAATTCTTGATAAGCTTCTCTCTTTTCAACACAAATCACTCTTCCATAAGCTCCTTTTAATCGTCGAATCAATGTCCCATCTAGTAGATTATAAATAAGAACTTGTCTGTCATCACTTGGTATAAACAATAGAGGTGGCCAAACATCAGGACTAGATATAGTTGCCTGTAAACATAATTTATATCTATTTCGCCAACTGGACCCATAATTTACAAATGTATTATGTCCCGTCTTTGTATCCCATAACCGAATCTTTTCATCTAGCCCAAGCGATACTAAATATCGTCCATCTCCTGTTACGATTAAACCGTTTATTCCTTTTCCATGTGCCGAATTTGTTTCTGCTAAAGGGTTGCGATCAACTTTATATGTATATGTATGAATAAAATAGTCTATCATTCATTTGTACATCAAATGACTTACTAGCATTCTCTTGATCAAGAGACATTAAGCAAGATGATGCACGTCTTATATCCCAAACACGAATTGTTCTATCCATACTAAGAAAAAAAAACACACACACACAAACAATTTCGTAAATTATATACAGAGTAATCATAGTAAAGTGACTAAATATACCCTCCAGAATATAACATATATTCATGATTTGTAGACCATATACATGATAAAACTGATCCAGAGTGACCCGTCAATGAATGTGTAAAAGCTCCACTATTCAAGTCACACAACCTAATTCTAGGCTCAGTAGCCGCACCTTGTCGATATTTAATAATTAATTATTAAACAAAAAACAAAAATTGTTTATCATTTACTGGCCACTAAACAATGTGAGGCAATAGGTGATATAGCTTGAGAATTGACTCTCGACTCTAATTCAAACTCATAAGCTGACTAACATGTTAAATGTCAATTAGTTTTTTTTACCAAAATATATACATATACAAATGTATATAAATATACGTATATATATATACCTTCATTGTATTTGTATCCCATATCTTAATAGTTGTGTCATAGCTTGATGTTACAAACATGCCTGTGTCAAACGGGTACCAGCTCACCGAAGTGACAGCGTATTTATGTCTCTCCTCTCTGATTATAAATATTAGTAAACAAGCTTCCTTTTAAATATATGCATATACACATATATATTCCCAGATAGTAATTAGTATGTTACCTTGGAGTACTTGCTATAGGTTCATTCTTTGAATGATTGGCAGGAACTGTGGCTAAATCATACACATGTACTTTACCATCACCTCCACCTGTTAATAAGCTATTTTGTTTCCCCCCCCCAGAGTAACCCACCAAAACATAAATAGATTTGTTTAAATAAATAAATAAAATAAAATAAAATAAAATAAATTTAGTTGATCTTACTATCGTTGCTCAATGTTTTCAACTTTAATTGAATTAACTCCACCTACAAGAATTAAGCATTAAGAGATACTATTTCCTCTTTTTTTTTTCGTTTTTCCCAATAAAATAAAATACCTCTGTGTGAGAGAGCTAATTCTTTTGTTTTACTTAATTGTATTTTGTATACTCTTTTAGTTATTACGGCTCTTTCTAATTTCAGTGGATTAATTTGTCCATATTCTCTTTTCTTCAAAAAACTGTACATGATAATAAAAGGAAAAAAAAAATGATGGAATTTAAATATATCATTCGTTTAAAAAAATTGCATATTTTTCCAATAAATACGTTTTATAATACTAACGTTTTAAATTAACAATTCTATTTTTTTTTATTATTAATTTTTCTACAAAAAGAAAAAAAAAATATGTATTGTTCTTATTTTGCTTCTTCAAGCTCAATTTCTTCGACTTGAAGGTTATGAGTTATTCCTTTTACATCAGTTGTACCACTCATTAATGTAGAAGATGTATCATTGTTTTCATTAACAGGTTGGCCGTCAATATAAGTTTGGTCCAGTGTATTCTCTCCATTCTTAGCATCATCTACATCTTGTTTTAAGATATATCTTTCTAAAAATTCATGAATAGCAGTAAAATAACCAGGTTGCATACATGTATTATTATGTGTGCCATTTGGAAAAGGAATCCAAATTTTTGGAGCACGAGTTTCACTTAAATCCTTTAATTTAACCATATGGATAGGTGGTACTAACTCATCTTTTGCTCCAGCTAAGAACAAGATAGGTGTTTTCACAATACGTTGAATATTTTTCTCACTGGGCCACTGCTGATGACAAAGAAAAGTGAAATGCTTTAAAAATGGAATTACAGTGGGAATTAACTTGGGCTATAATTAAAAAATAGTGAGTTAAAATCATTTCTTCTTCTTCTATACAAGTATTAGACTCTACCAAACTTAAAAAGGTATTCTCGATCATTAAACCAGAAAATGAATTCTCATTACGAGCCACAAGGTCGATTGCAACAGCGCCTCCAATAGATTGACCATAAGCAATTAGAGGGGTATTCTTAAGAATGGTATGCTCTCTTATATAATCTAACATTGTCTACTCGATTTTATTAGTTTATCAGATAATTAGTTAGTCAGTCATTTGTATAGTTTGATCATCACCTGCGCATCTATTCTTAGACCTTTCTCATTTGGACTCCCTTCACTTTTTCCATATCCTCTATACGATAACATGGCAACGTTACATTTAAATTTATCATGTAATATTTTGGCAATTGGCAGTCGGTGTCCCTAAATGTGAGTATAAACAACAGGATTATTATTCTCTTCTGGTTCATTCCCTTATAATTTCTTTCTTACCATATTTCCTGCATTAGCCTATTTTATATATATATATATAAAAAGAAAAGATATATTTATACTCTTAATAATTATGTCTCAACTTTCTTTAACTTACATGGAAATATAAAATTGTAGGCATTCGTTTTGCTTCTTCTACATTGGGTCGAATAATTATATAACTTTTCAAATTAACACCATCTTTAGTTTTTAAATCCACTTCATTGTATTCCATTCCATAATCAGAAGGTACAGCTACCTAGAATAACATGTATTTTTTTTTTTTAAAAAAAAAAAAATATGTAAATATACAAATATAATAATAATAATAATAATCAAGTAGTTTAAGGCTTACACTTTGGCGTGAGCCTTCTGGATATGAAGCAGGATAAATAAGTTTACATTGGTAAATATATATCAGAATAACTCCTGTTAGTCCAGTTAATCCGGTAAATGTTAAAGCATAACTCAACCAGTTTGGTACATGTCCTTTTAATATTGAATTTGGCATTATAAAGAGAAACAAAAAAAAAAGTTAAAAAAAAAAAAGGAAGCAAGGAGAGATATAATTACGGAGCTTTAAAAAATATTATCATTGGGACATCAAACATTAGGTTTTGTACGAAATAACAAGAAGTGATTTGTACCCATTTTCCTTAATTGAATCATTTAGTATACAATATTTGAAAAAGATACATTATTAAAATAAGAAAAAAAAATACTTTATTGATTGTTAATTTAACAAAATATGAATTACAAGAGGTAAATTACTTTTCTTCCTCTTTGAAACGGCTTATTGATTTAAATGAAACGAGTCAAAAAAGGGGTAAAGTATTTAACAGTAGTTAGTTCTCGATCGTCTTCCAGAATAGCGAAATACTCTAATAGTTATATCTTATGGATTTTTTCTTTTCTTATTTTATTACGTGAATATCACAGTATCGAATCGTTCTAATTTCCAGTCTATTGTATTCAAACTGATATAGAGGACAATAAATTAGATTTAATACACAATCTGTGATAAACAACAATTCAATCTCTCTTTTTCTGTTATAACCATCGATTTACAGACTACTTATAATAGAGTATATTGATGATACAAAAGGATGGTGTGTTTAACGAAAAAAAAAAAACAAAGACTGCTTTATCTTACTTGTATGATTCAAGAAGATTCAAATGATGATTTTCAACCAACAATCACTGTTAGTAGAAAGTAAGTAAGTATGTTTTATTACAATTAAATAGGCTTTTATTGCGTAAATCTGCCACTAAAAAAAAAATAAGTAGAGCGAACACACAAAAGTATGTATTCCAAGAGAAAAACTCGAATAACGGCTTTTACACCTTAAGCTTGTAGGAATGGAATTATATTTGTATGGCTTTCTTCTGTATCTGTTGCATTTATGTCTATGTTTATCAAGTAAGCTGTCGTGATTATCTTCATAGATAAGCTTATTGTTGATACTAAGTTCTGCATACTAATTCAAAAATAGCATTTAAAGAGTAAGCATTAAAAGAAATAAATATTTATATATAAAAAGAGAAAGGAAGAGAGGGATTTACAACTTGATACTGTAAGCATTTTTATATTTAAATTCATATTTTATTTTATTTTTCTTGGAGGTAAAGTATCGTTGTCTTTCCTTTTGAAGATTATTTCACGATACTAACAGTAAGTTCACTACTATTATTGCCAGAAGTCTCAAAATTATTACTCGTTAATCCTTCTAATTTTTGATATACAAATCGTAGTATTGCCTGATCATCTGCTTCAGGTTTAATTTGAATTTCTATTGTTCCTACACATTTACCATAAGTTATTTGCCAACAATGAGTATGATTTACATGAATAATATTAGGATCTTGTAGAATCTACAATGACAGATAAGTCTCAAAAGTGTAAAATTGTTTTTTTTTAATATTTTACTTCTCGAAGTCTATTCTCCACGCCATTTTGAACTGCAATAGGTGTTGTTTGTAATAAGATTTTTGCTAATGCTTTAGCGGTAGGATATCCTAAATAAAACATGACCACTGATTCAAACAATGCTAACATTTTATCAAAAAAAGGGGTAGCAGCACCAAACATATAAAATAGTAAGATTACTGATCCACATAATGCAATTGAAGATGAATAAATGTTTGATAATAGAACATGAATAGGATTTCCTCTTGCTCTATTGATTACACTATATACAATTCCATGTACGATTGTTGGTCTTTTTCTCAAGTCTTTTGTATGTATATTGATGTTAATACATCTAATATTACATATCTACTTGGATCCTATTTTACTTACAACGTACAAAATTATCATGATTTCCTAATGTTATACTTGAAAGACATGTTGCCGTTATTGCAAATCCCATCAAAAGAAACATGCCTAAAGTAAGCTTTGTATGATGTCTATAAATAATAATTTTTGCATGTAAATTCTTCAATCTATTTATGCATTTTTTTTTTTTTTTTTTTTTTTTTTTTTTTTTTTTTTTTTTTACTCTCCATTTTCGTGTTCCTCTTGTACATGATGACTTTCTAACAAAAAATGTTCTAATGATTCTTTTGTATTATGCATAGTAGCAAAAAGAAGATAAATATTTGTTCCTAATGCAAATACGATCTCATATCTATGCGCTCTATAATAGAATATATAAAAAGAAAGCTTTTACTTTTTGTTTAATATTGTAATAATATACCCAAATGGCTGTTTTATATTTGATATACTAAATGCAGATTGTGTTTTCAAGACACTTGATATAAACAAATTTAATACGCCCAATGCGTCAAATAACATCAAATATGAGAATCCAACCAGTGCTAATACAAAAAAAGAATCAATTTCTTCCAAACGTGTAGAATTTTATAAACTTACATAAACTTTCCAAACTGACTCCTATACAATATAACCAAATACCAATGCTGCCATGTATTAGAAACCAAGTAAATATTGTCTTTTGAATAGGCGCAAGATGAGAAAAAACCTGAAACCAGGATGGTAAAGGCGGTGTATAAACTGGGGAGAATGAATGATTATGCTGATGGATGTTGTGTTTGTGAACATGGTCATGGTGATCATCAATATAATTATTATGTTGATGATTATCACTTTTCATAACTTCATGCTGATGTGTGTGATCATAATTGTAGGAATAGTTGTTATTGTGATTGGGCTTATGTGCAATTTCCTGAGACAAATTGTGTTGGTTGACAAATCCATTCACATTCTGAACATTTGAAAAATTGACATCTGCTTGTTTTGTCGTACACTGAACAGTTGGGATATTAGTAACATTATATCGATTCTATTTTTTAGGTTATGGTAACAAGATAACTTGTTAAGGATATTATATATATGTTGAAAGCATGTTACGTACCTGATCTGCTATTCCACTTTGTTTATGATTATGATCATGACGTGATGGAATGGGTCCATAATGCCTTTTCGAATATAATGGAGCTGAAGTTTGTAAAGCAATACCAACTTTATCAACACTATTACCAGAGTTTTTATTATCCTGATTAATAGACTTCATCTGCTTAATTTCAAATAAACAATGTTGTAGAACAAAGCTTCAAGCGTGTTCTACAGTTTTTACACTTCAAATCCAGACAATGTTAGTTTTTTTCTGGACGAATCAAAATTAATTTTCAAACGTCTAGCTTAAGTTCAAAGTAAAAATTTAAATTTGGCTTTACCTGTAAGATCATTAAGTCGATACCCCACCGAGATGGAACGTGACAGCCACATTCGAGGTGGCGCTTTGTCTTTTGAAGACATTGGGACGATCATTTCCGCTCCAGTTTGATGTAGCAATGGTTAACATATTCTTTGCAGCCATCATATCTCGATTTCAATAAATATAGCATCATCTCCCTTTCCACATGCGAAGTTTTGAAGCTTGGTTTCAAGACAGGAATTGCATGTCTATACAGTACAGGTGCAATATATTGCATTAGTACGCTTATTATATTCACATGTATGTATTTTTTACCTTGGATGTTTTGTATTCGTCTATGTCTAGAAGCAACAATTCCCCAAGCTTTTCTCGTATTTTCAGCTGCCTGTATATCTTTTCTGATATACCATGCTTTAGCCCTTTAAATTTTACCTGGCTTTTGTTTTTAAGTCCATTGCCAAATACAACTAACGGCATCTTGCGGTGGTCGCCCTCCTCAAACTTCTCCTTGTGTTCTCTTTCAAAAAAAAAAAAAAAAAAAAGGTTATGAATAACAAGAATACAAAGTATTCATGAATATGTCTTCTTTTTCTCTTATTTCTTTTTGTCTTTACTCTTCTTTTTTTTTGTTGTATTTTTTTAAGCCGTTAATAAGAATGCTGACAGCATTTTCAACTGCGTGCTGAGAACCGACATAATTAAGCCAGTTAATTCTAGCAGTTTCAAAACTGTAAAAATCGAACAGAACTTCCATATGCTGTAGCATATAGGTGATGTACATTTTATAATGATCTATGGACATGGTTTTCGATGAAGGAATTTGTGTTTCAACAGACTCTACATTGGATCTTCTTTTGCTCTCTATTTCCATTTTTTGTCGATATACATTTCCACTCATGTCATAGTATTTGGCTGAAGACAAACACCTTATGACTGTATTCCCATGATAAAAGACGAATGCATCTTTTCTATTTGGGCCTACAGCACAAGGTCTAAAATATCTATTTATTTCTTCACTGGTAAAATCGTGCAGTTCCAAAGAAGTCTTGCTTATACTAGGCGATGTTGCCTGTGTTTTTCTACAGAATGATATCCTACATGTATATCCGTTTGTATACATGCTATTTAAAAATCATCTTTCTTTTTCGATGAGGCAAATCTATTAAATCTTCAAGACTACTCAAATTCAAAATTAGTGTGCTTATTTCTCGTAAACAATGTTAACACTTGACTGTTAATGTTTAATTTCGAAAAATCAAAGTAGGCAAAGAAACATCTTCGTATCTGTTGAAAAGGAGTTTCTTCATCTTGTTTCTCCAAAAAAAGCCCAAGGAAATATGCCACCTAAATTTTGGTTATCGATCTTTGTAAAACGCCAACGAAAACTTGGTTCTGGAAACAAACTAAAGAGCCTGGGTGGAACGAACTTCTTTTCATTGTCTTTGCTTGTCTTTTTATTCTTCTTAACCTTCTTCTATTTTTGGTCTTTTTCTATTTGGTGGATTTGTCTGCTCTGAATGTTCTAGTAAACCAGGCTGTGGTTGTAGGTTTTCTTCAATTAAGGCTTCGTATTTAACCAGAATATACCTTAATGCTGGTATTATACCAGAAGGTGCTTTATTGAGAGTTTCTTTTGTCATCGGAAACGAAGGTAATCTGTTTCTAATTTCCAAAATCAATAGTTTTAAGAGAGCACGGATGTTGCCTTGGGCTTCTTCATTTAATGAAAAAGCAATATTGCCATCCATAGCTGGTTGTACCTCATGAGAAAGCACCGCATTTGAGACACGTTTGAATACTATATATTTATAATGGATATCTTCACCCCCTTTTGATAAAAAAATGTCAATATTTGTAGTGGTGTGCAGTGCTAATTTTCTAAAAAAAAATTTCTCATGGGAAATTTTGCACGCACCATATATATGAAGTAATTTGCTATAAAAGTTTGAAAGTATTCTATGTAGTAGTTGTTGTAACATGTAGCCAAAGCCTCGCAGGCACTTGAAAACACTTGACCATAATTGGTCAGACCATTTCTTTTCACTATCAAGTCAACACCTTCAATGCCGGCAAGTTCTATCCACGTATCTGAAAAAAAAAACCGGAATTTGAGGATACTTTGATGAGAGCTGCTCGTTAGATATATTTTCGTTCGCCACTCTACAGATAGAGTACCAAAAGTTTTGTTCAAAAAATAAATTCGATAAGTTGTTTGGATGTCTTAGTATATAGAAATTAACGAAAAACTGGGCATTGAAGACAACTTTTCGTAAAAACATTGATAGAATCTTGTTTTTTTAAGAGCTTCTTCGTAGACATTTTGATTTGCTGCAGACACAAAGGATTTCAGCGGTAGAGAAACAGTGTATCTTTGATAATTAAATCCAAGATTTCTGTTCAGTAACTCTTTTAATGTAAAGTTATGGTTTGGGCATTCTTTAGTCCTTGCTGAAGAATGACCAATATTGTCGCAAGATTTACACGTTAAGTTTTGATTGTTTGAAGAAGTAGAGCTTCTTGCCCTTTTTTCATTTGCTTTATCTTTCTTTTCTTTATAAGTATTCTTTCTTTTGACACCTTTTAATAGTTTGAGTTAGTTTGTTTTATCAAACAATATAGTTTATATTACCCCTTTTCATAAATTGTTTGTTTGCGTTATCATTAACAGCTCCTGCTTGTATGCTTTCATACTTGTGCTGTTTCTTAGCCTGTATAAAAGCTTCAACATTAGCATAAATGGGTGTACGCATGTTGTTTAAAATAAAAAGAAAGAAAGAACAAGATTTGTGGACAAACCAGGCATACAAAAGTATTGGCTTGCTAACTGGTATTTCACAAGTCTCGAATATATTAATTCAATATATCACGTCTACACACTAGCCTCCCAAAGTGTTTTATTTTTATTATTCATCAATATTTACATTCAGTTACAGGGCAGTATCTATTGTCTTTTGTATTGGATCTTTTCATACTTTAATATGATTGTATTGCCTCACTTTATTATTGCAGGTAGATCAATCATTTAAATTAGGTTGATTTTATCACAGTTTTCCTTTATAAACGGCATTTATTCCAACATATATATTACAATAGATAGCATGATTGTAGGTCGCCATACTCTAAGGGGAAAAAAAGAACAAGGTTTTTCCTATGTATAAGTTGTTATACACGCTGCTCATTTTGATCCCCCCTTTTTTTTCAGAATTGAGCAGAATTGCTTCCGCTTTCATTAAACAATAGAAACTTTGTTGGCCAACTAAAAGTTCTATACAAATGAATTTTGAATTTCATTCTTAGATCGCGTAGTGCTATAGTGGTACAAGTGCTAGAGAAGCTGACTATCTTTAAGAATCCCACCCCCAAATCGAAAAAAATCCACATATTTTCTCAGTAGTAAATCAGTTTCCCATTGTACAGAATGCTGCACCTAGTACAACAACCTTCAATGATGACCTGAGCTACTATTCTGCAAGCTAAATGCCTTATTCGATCAATGCAAATACCCAACGATACATTACTGAACAAACTTCTACCTCATCTTTAAATGTCTAGCAGCCATTCTCAATGGTATAAACTAACAGTCAACCCACTCTGGAGAGAATCTGCCCCTATCTTGGACGAACTTGATAGAAAGATTTTCAAACGGCTCTGTCTGCGTTTTCAAAAAACTCAATAAGAACACCTCCGTCAGGGCTTAAATTCCAAGCTTATTCGTGCATGTCATTCTAATATGATCATCGATCCAATTCTTTGGCTGCCCATGACAAATACGGAAAGAAGTCAAGTCCTCCGCTGGCGCCTCGGTTGGATACCTGGCGGTATATCTCGTCCATGTCCCTACCATCCTTCTCAAACGTTCAGTCGTACTCATTCTATTGAGTGTCTACATATGCACCATCGACTCCAAATGCCAAGAACGGTCACCGACCCACTCTGCTTCCTGCTAAACCAACTACTGACTAAAAAGCTAAAATGCTCACAGGATATGGCTCATTGGACAATCCGTTGGCCAGTTATTTGTATCATCCTACATGAAATGAATTATCTCTTTCATGAAAGGCTACCTCCAGATCCTCCCTCAGAACCTGGTTTACTATTGGTGAAATGGTTATTCAACTAACAGTGCTAATACCCTGAATTTTATCTTACTGATCTTTTTTTTTTTTCCAATTACTTTATTTCTGTCTAACTCATCATATTTATTTTATCCTTTTACACATATACTTTTATTCTTTTCCCTTTTGTCTCATAAGAGTGGTTTTTCTTACTTATATACTATTAGAACTGACTAGGGGCAATACAGCAGATGAAAAATGCTATATGCTCATTCGGTCAAAAAAACACAAAAACGCAACTATTTGCTGAATTTTAAAACACGGCAAAACAAAAATATAAAAATATCATCTTCTACAATCTTTTTTTTTTCACTATCTTTTTCCTTGAAAAAAAAAGTAGCAATAGACTTGTTATTATTATACTTATTTGTAATAAAACCCTTTATTTCTTAATCTCTTTGTGGTTTTATTTTATTTTCCTTTTTTTTTTCTTTTTTTTTTTTTTTTTTTTTTTGCGTGGTTAACAATCATTTTTACTCCACGCCATGTCAAAGTTTTCGTACGACGATCTTCCATGGGAGGTCGCAAGCCAGCTACAATGTCTTGACCTTGAATTGGAAGAAGGTGACATTACTCAAAAGGGATATGAAAAAAAGAGGAATCAAATACTTGCTACTTACCAAGATGTAATTGAAGAGACTAGCCAGTCATTGAATTCACCTTTACTAAAGAAGTCTTCATCATCAATAAAGAATGAAATTCAAGTCAACGATACTGAACAAGAAAACAGCAATACAGCTGATGCATTTCTTGACCTTGGACCTGAACCAAGTGCAGCTGATGTTACAGATTTTTTAGATTTCCTTCCATCGCCGACTCATTCACCCGTTAACCATGATAATAAAGGTGCCGCTTTAATGATGGAAAATCATAAAAATTTTGTACAAAATAAGCATAATGATGAAACAATAAGTAATAATCAACCTTCTGTTCCTTATTCACAGCCACTACCGCCACCACCACCACCACCACCACCGCCTTCCCATATTTTGGCAAATCATGCGCCAATGAATAATATTCAACCATCTCGACCCTATGCACCAATAAATAATTACAGACCCGCACAAAACTATATGAATAGACCTGCTTTTGATCCTCGTATGGGCAACTTTCGTCCTATGTATGGAAATGCATATCCTTCTGGACGTCCTCCTATACGACCCACTCCACCTCTTCTTCCATCTTCTAACACTCAAATGAATCCTATGTATCGCCCTCAACAATCTCAAAATGGCTATGGTTATCGACCTCCTTCTATTAGTCTACATAGTGGCGGCCCTTCTACACCAACGCATCTTCTTCCTTCATTTTCACAACAGCATAGCAGATCACCATCAATGGACTCAAAATATGATCACTCCGCATTCAATATGGGCTACAGTCAAAATAACACGCGGCAAAAATCAGACTTAGTAACAGAGCCAGAATATGTAGGGGATTGGGGTATATCTTTGTTTAATACTAATATTTGTAATACCACTATTAACTGTTTTGTATAACGTATTATAGAAACATCATCTATTTCACGAAAATCAAATACTGGAAGGGAACCATCTATTATATCAGCATCAGGTGGTCAAATACGCCATTCAATGTCAGCAAATAGTGCAGTGTCCTCTATAGATTCAGCATCTATGCCTATATCTGTTTTCCGTTCCCTATCAAATTCAAGTATGGGACGTAGTCGATATAGAAATAGCTATATGGCAACCTCCTTTAAGGCAATTGAGCCCGCTCCGCAGCCTCGATTAAAATTGAATGACCCTATAGATCAAATATTCTTGTCTGATTTAGCCGGACGTCAAATGACACCCCTTAAGGGCCGTCCTATCTCTTTTGAATTATATAATGCTGATAATAAGACCATTTTAACAGACTTTAAAAACCTTGCAGAGATACTAAGGTTTAGAGCAACAAAGAGCAAAAACAAAGCAGATAATGCATTTTTGCTTGTGGATTCGCGTGGAAAGGAGCCTGTGATGTTAAGTTGGGAAAAATTAAATGCTCGTGCGGAAAAGATAGCCCAAACTTTACGTAATAGCAGTAATATGAAAACTGGAGACCGAGTTGCCCTGATTTATAGAAGATCTGAAATTCTTGAATTTATTCCAGCCCTATTTGCATGTTTTTTAGCTGGCATTGTAGCTGTACCTATCAATGCTGCAGAGGACTTGTCTGAGCTTTCATTTATCTTAGCAGTGGCCAATATTCATTTAATTTTAACAACTGAGCATAATCATCGTGCATTTACAAAGGATATGCAAACAAAATCGATTGATCTACCCTTTAATGTTAATTGGTGGAAAACAAATGACATGGGAACTTGGTATCCTCCTAAGAATTCTTCCGATTATCCTCCTATTCATACTCCCGAAGCCGCCTATATTGAGTATGCTAAAGCAAGTAATGGAGAATTAAAGGGTGTCATGATATCACATGCTTCAATTATGGAGCAATGTGCTGCTTTCCAAGCTGCTACAACGGAAACAATCGTAAACACAACATCCAATGGTAATGTTGAAGTAAAACCAAATAGGAACGGCCATCCGTCTGAAGTCGTTGTAAGCTACTTTGAACCAAGACAACAAATTGGATTGGTTCTTTCTGTACTACAATCTATCTATTCAGGCAATACAACTATATTTTGTAATGGATCTATAGTCGACACTCCAGCTATCTGGATATATGTGATTTCAAAATATAAAGGTAACTAAATGAAATATATATATATATATATATATTATATGATGTGAATAAAGATAACATGAATATGTGTTTTTTTTTATAGCTACTATGGCATTAGCAGATTATATGTCTATGAAACAAATTACGAACTATTTTCAGTCTAATACCAAAGAGGTCAAGCTCCATAGCAAAAAAGTGACACCCGATCTTTCAGCACTTCGCTATTTAATTATAGATACAAGCACGATTCAACCTGAACTTAATCAGTACATTGCAGATAAACTTCTTCGTCCATTAGGTAATACAGATAATCCCCTAGAAGTTGTGTGTCCTATTCTATCTTTACCTGAACATGGTGGTAAAATTCTTAGTATGAGGGACAATCTGGGGCCTGTAGTTATGGAAGAACACATTGAAAGAGAGGAAGAGATTACGACAGAGGATGGACAACAGATGACACGTCCGATAATGACTACACAGTCTGTATTAGCTCCGGGGGGATCTCGTGATATATTTACCTGTCTATTCGATGCGAATGCATTAAGAATGAATAAAGTGTTAGTTGTTGCAGCTGGAGCAGAGGCCAAGAAAGCAGAAAATTTAAATGAGCGGGAAAGAGTTCGGGTAGAATCATTCGGTTTTTGTATGCCCAAAGCTACTGTTGCGATTGTTGATCCTGAAACAGGCACCCTCTGCCCACCAGATACGTTTGGTGAAGTCTGGGTTGATTCACCCTCTATTGCGGGTAGTTTTTGGGCCTTACCAAAACATACAGATGCTATTTTCCGTGCTCGTCCGATTATTATGCCCTCAGATTCATCTTATCCTGAGGTCTATGAGGGGACCTTCTTACGAACGGGATTAAGTGGTACCCTTATTGGTGGTCGATTATTTATTTTAGGAACCTATGAAGAACGTATTCGTCAACAGAGCTTAGGTAGAGACTTTGGTGTAGAGGATACTTACTATACGAATGACTTATTAAATACTCTTAGCAAGCGTACTCATATTGATCAATGGTAATTTCTATTTTATATAGAATATATTACACTTATATATATATATATATATATATATATATATGTGTGTGTGTGTGTGTGTTAATATTTTATTTTATTTTATTTTATTTTAGCACTATATTTGAAATTGTTGTAAAAAATCAGCATCTTCCTATTGTTGTATGTGAATCAAATGCCCCAAAAAATGAACTGACAAAGATTGCATCTGAAATTGATGAAGCCTTAATAGAATTCCATGGATTAAGGGCTTATGCTATTACATTCATTAAAGAAAATGGATTACCTAAACAATTAATTCATGGTCGACGAGTTATTCATCCTTTAATGACAAAGAAACTCTTTCTTCAAGGCCAACTTCGTACTCGATATATTAAAATGGACGTTGATCGTACTATTTTTAATCTAATAGAAAATGAAGAACCATCCAAGAGTATCTGGTTATCTGGTGCAGCATACGAAAAGGCGATAAGAACAGGAGCTATTATGCCACATCCTCAACGTCAGCATACAGGTATGGAGCAGGTACATCATGTTCTTGATGAGCGTACAGAATATGATATTTCACAATTTACAAATATTATTGATATCTTACAATGGCGTACATCTCAATATCCTGAAGAAACAGCCTACATTGTCTGTACTCAGTCAGGATCCAATACAAATACAAAGACATACAGCTGGCGAAAGCTAAATTACAAGTCTGCAAGTATCTCTGCCTATTTAACAAAGAAGGGGTTGAAGCGTGGTGCAAAAGTTCTGATAGTTACCCCCTTTGGTATAGATTATATCTTTTGCATTTATGCTTGTTTAGCTATTGGTGTTGTCCTCGTTCCATTTGAGCCTGTAGATCCTCAACAGCAGCCTCAGCGTGTCAATGAATTTTCAGAACAGTTGATACAAGTTGCCAATGAGCTTGGTATCTCAGCGATCCTTACTAACACTGGGGGTGATGATATTTTACGTAATAATGCTATTAAATCAGCTATAAAGAACAAGTCATCTAAAAACTATAAACTACCAGAGATAATTAATGTCTCTAAGGCATCTAAACTCTACAGTCTCTTTGGGAAAGAGAGTGGATTTGCAGTTCATCCAAGCTGGGTTAATAATTCAAATAGACATTCTCCAACTATTATTCTTATCCAAACTTCGTCAGATGGACTTAGATATTATACTCACTTGAACCATGATACAATTCTAAATCAATGCCGAACTCAAAAGATGACATGTCAAATGCGATTCCAACGTGGTATTGTGACTACAAGTCTTGGCACTTATGAAGGATTAGGATTTTTACATGCAGCATTCTGTGGTGTCTATGTCGGTTGTCACACAGTCTTAATTCCTTCAGAAGACTTTTACCTGAATCCAGTTTTATTCTTTGAATCACTTCAACGCTATAAAACAAAGGATGCATTCGTAACAAATGCTTTGATTCAGTTTGCAATGAATCGTATGAATGTGAATGACTGCAAACATATTACGCTCAAAGGTGTGCAGAACCTTATGCTAGCTAATGACAACAGACCTAAACCATTACTCTATCAACATATGACAAGATACTTTGCTCGACAACGATTAGATAAGGAGTCTATCAATACTATATACAGTCATATTGGTAATCCCATGATCACCACTCGCTCTTATATGTTGATGGAGCCTATTGCCTTATTTGTTGATCCATATTGGTTGAGACAGGGCATTGTTCGAGCATTGAATCCAGAGGAAGAACCATATGGTATTCTCTTGAGTGATTCAGGTATTGTCCCCAGTAACACTATGGTAGCTATTGTAAATCCTGAGACACGAACGGTTTGCCCAAGTAATGTTATTGGCGAAATCTGGGTTTCTTCAGATAGTAATGCAAAGACATTTTTCGGTTTGGATGAAGCCGCTCATAACCAACGATTTGAAGCTACTATTGTTGGAAATGATCCAAATGTGAAGTATATGAGAACAGGTGATTTTGGGTTCTTATGGAACGTGAGAAGACGAGTAGATAATAGAATGATGCAACCTATGTTAGAAGAGGGTCAATGTTTATATGTATTAGGTCCTTCTAGTGAAGCAGTTATTCGAAATGGCTTGTTGCATTTCCCTATCGATATTGAATTATCAATAGAACGCTGTCATCCTTCTATTCCTCCAGGTGGGAGGTAAAAAAAAAAAAAAAATAGAAAATGTTAATCAAATTAATTTTGAGAAAACTAACCCCCTTTTTTTTTAAAAAAAAAAAAAAAAAAAAAAAAAAAAAAAAAAAAAAATAGCGTTGTATTTCAACATAGAAATGAAATTGTTGTTGTAGCTTCTATTAAAAATAATGACCATGCACTATCAGCTATTCCCTTGATTGTAAATGCAGTTTTGGAAAATCACTTATTCTTAATAGATGCTGTCGTAATCGTCCATCCCAATAATTTCCCTCGATCAAGATTTGGTGATAAACTAAGGAAGAAAACGATGGCAGCATTTATCGAAAAGAAACTGTAAGTTTTTATTGTTCTTGTTATTATTATTTAACTTTCTAAATATTTTATTTTATTTTATTTTTTAAGTCCTGCTATTTGTGTTAAACGTATAACCAACCAGCATGAAACTTTAAATTTGCCACAATACACACAATCTCAAATATCATTATCTGATTTAAATAATAATAATGATAATAGCTCAGTTCATACAAGTCCTCGATCACTATTAGATTTTAATTCTGAAATTGATAGACAGTTAGCAGCTCAACAACTTGTTAGACAAGATACAGTAAATAGTCACTTAATACGTTCTAGTTCTGGGTCTGTAATTCATACATCTATTTAAATAAGGATCTCTTTTTCTATTTTTTTTTTCTTTTTTTTTTTCTTTAATCAAATCGGTAATTTTGTAAACTATATTCTCTTTTTTTTTTTTTTCTAATTTGTAATGGTTTAAGAAAAATAAATATAGATGGATAGCAAACAAAAAGATAGAGTTGATATACATACTAATAAAACAAAGGGGAAAAGGTCAAACAAGAGTTATAATTTAATATCAAAACGTTATTAAATGAATTAGTGCAAGAATTTAAAATATACATTATCTGTTAAAAAAAAAAAAAAAAAAAAAAAAAAAATATTTGTATTCATATAAATAAATATAAATTTGTACAAATCCGTTTTTTTTTTATTATCTTTATTATTATTATTTTTTTTTGAAAGGGATCAATTTTGCTCTACTATCTTATGTTTTCTGAAGTCTAGTTGTATCTTTAATAAATATTATATCAATAATAAGAAATATTTAATTAAAAAAAAAATAGGAGAGAATGAAGTCATACAGTAAAAGACAAGTACATGAATAAAATAGTCTTGACATTTAAATATTTATTTCATTTGGTACTGTTATATAAAATGTAGATATATGCATAATATAAATATATTTATAGCCATCACCACGGCTTACATTACGGTCTATCTTTTTTTTTCTCTCTAATTAAGAGCAAGTAGTTATGATAACAAGTAATTGTTTTCGTTAATATTACACATCTAAATACTCAATATAGCCTTCTTTATTATGAAGATGGCTAACATTATTTAATAAATCAACATGTAGAATCATTATTGTAAAATAATAAAAAAAAAAAATAAACTAAATAGAATGATAATCGTTCAATCAACTAGTAATATTAAAATGTATTATTTACACTTGCACACCCTTAATCATACATATCAATGAAATTAAAACGGCTATGTACAGCAATTAACCTTATAGTATGCTCAATAGATGTAAAAGAATAATAGTTATCATATCCATTTCTTATATTAGATCCCTTAAAATAATTCGTATTATACATGTATATAAGTAAGATACATTATTATTTACAGTTCATTATAACGTTTCTCTCTCTCTCTTTCTCTCTCTCTCTTTTAATAAAAAAAAAGAAAAAAAACACATATTTTGGAAAATGACTTGCTTATTGATTAAAAAGCGTCCAAAAACTTGGTATAGTATTACAAAAAATAGATCTGGTAATCAAGAACTGTCAAACGCCTATCATAGTACGTAAATATATACAATTAGAAATAAACTTTGATATTAATAATTATATTTCTATTTATCCCAATCTATTTAGAAAATGAATCTGATTTAGAAACATTACGTGATAGAACAAATCATGTTGATAAAGAGAATTCAAGTAATAGTATTCACCCATGGTTAGTAGTCGCAAGTACTTTTCTTGTTCTGATTGTTGGCCTAGGAGCCGGAACTGGCTGGTAAGGATAGAAAGGAGATCGTATATGTAAACTATAGTATATGGTTATAATCTAAATTATATCGAATACCTTTTTTTTTGTTGTTCTCTTTTATAGGGGTATATATATATATATATATATATGTATATATAATATGTAATATTATTCTAACATTATTCTTGTATAAAAGGCGTGATGCAGAATTACTTTGAACAGCATAGTGATTTTAAGGGAGTAACTAATTTGTCTTTCAAACTAAGTTTTGTAGAAACTATTACAAATGTCTTGATGAATTTACTTGGCCCTTTTAGTCAATTGATGTTGACCGTTTATAGTACAAGAACAGTTCTGTTTGTATCTATCGTTATTTGCTCACTTGGGCTTTTATTAGCAAGCTTTAGTACAGAGGTAGTAGAAGAAGAGGACGAGACAAAAAAAAATAAATAAACAAATAAGAATATTATATAATAATGCTCGTTTAATTTAACATTATATACGCATATAATAGATTTGGCATTTATACCTATCACAAGGTGTACTTTATGGTATAGGTTGCTCTACTATTTTCTATGTAAGTTTTTATATATTTAAAAACTTAGATATAGAAAAAAAGAGGTATCATCAAATTAAACTTGATTAGATTGCATTGACTGTAGTCCCAGTATGGTTTGTAAAACATAGAGGACTTGCATTAGGAATTATTTCTAGCGGTATAAGTATTGGTGGACTTGTCATGCCTTTAGTAATGGAACCATTAAATACATATTTTGGAGCAGCTTGGTAAGACCCCCCCTTTTTTTTTGAAGTTGAAAGAACTTTCTCTGTATATTTCACGTTGAGCTTATTATTGAATTCATATGACGATTAGGTGTTATAGAATTATGTGCTTAATATGTTTTGTGGTCGGTACATTCTCATGTTTAATGTTTAAAAACAAAAATTTAGCAGATAATTTCACAGATGAAAAACAGAAAAATAGCAGAAATGAGACTAGTGATATTAAGAGTAAATTAACTATGATAATGAACATGTTTGACTTTAGCGTTGCAAAAAATTGGAGATTTCTTTTATGGGTAGTCATAGATATATTATTAGAAGCAGCATATAATGTGCCGTATTATTTCCTTCCATGTAAATAATATAATAATAACATACAAATATACTTCAATGGTAACTGAATATTATTTATAGCTTATGCTACTTATTTAGGATTGACTCCATCACAAGGAGCTATTATACTCTCTGTAGGATGTGGTATGAATGCTCTTGGTAGAATTATATCAGGGTAATAAACTATATATATATATTAGTGAATTAGATTGGTTTAAAATATCTATGTCTAATACACATACGGGGGGGATGTGTATGCTTTTTCATTCTTTTTTTTTCCCTCTAGGATTGTAGCAGATTATATTGGTCATGTTAATGTTGCTATTATAAATTCTATCATATCAGGATTAGCGTGTCTTCTTATCTGGACTTATTCTAGTGATTTCCCTATTTTAATGACATTTGCTGTTGTATTTGGGTTTTTTGGTGGAACTTTCATTACATTTAGTAAAGTAGTCCTCATTATTTGAAATTATTAATATTTATTTACCAAGTATATATGTATATGTAAATAGCGCCCACGATAACATTATTAATTACAGGTTATGAGAAATTCGAAACAGGTGTAGCTGTATTTTTAGTTCTTACAGTTATTTCAATGTTTGGGCCTAATCTTGCTGGTGCTATTGAAGTTTTATCACATGCTCCCAAAGCTTTTGACAGTTACAAGTATTTTACAGGCGCAGGTTATTTACTAGGTGCTATTTTATTAATTATTTTTAAATTTTCTCTAAATCGTAATCTATTTGTAAAAATCTAATATTATGTAAAATCCTAAATCAAAGAAAAGGATTCATATTAAAGCACCTTATTAAACAAAAACAATTGAAGTATAGAATAAGTAAGTTACCTTATCACCTTATTGATATATAATATTAGATTAGATTATATAGCAAGGCCCGTGCACAGACGTTTTGTAGAATGTATGATCTGATAATTTAGAAGTTCAACATTCGGAGCTAAGCTAAATTTCCAATACGAACTTAAAACATATAAATAGGACAATAATTCTGTAGTAGTAAAAAGCTCTTTACACTCTTTTATTCTATAATAAAATTCTTCAAAAGTTCTTTCTCATTAATTCATGTTTTTTTTTATTTTATTTATTTCACAAGTCAAATATCACATTTGAACCCACCCCTAAATCGAAAAAAAAAAATCCTTGAATTTGCACAGTTATAAATTAGTTTTCCATTGTACAGTTAAATTAACACCAAAAGATGGATTTCTTTTATAATGCGCTAGTTAAACCTTCTTAAGGTCGTTCGCAAATAGCATCTATGTAAGTGGTAAAAAAAAAAAATAGCTAACCTGTTAGCCTACAGTTGCATTTTAGTTCGTCTAATATGTTGTCCTAATTTAATTTCTCGAGCTCCTATGTCTGATTTCCATTTTCGCTTCATCCAAAAAAGGTAAACAAACTATATGGAAATTAATTTTAATTCGTCCAAAAAAGTACTAACATCATCTGAATTTGAAGTAAAAAAAAAAAACTGTAAGCAGAATGAAAATATTAACTATAAAAACTACAGCATTCATCTAAATGTTTACAAGTGAAGACATTACTAAATTTGAAGCATTTGATAATTACAATTTTGATAAAGATGAACAATTTCAGGTATTGTAATGTGTTGGAATATATGTATATTTTACTTTATGCTTCGTTTCATTTATTATGTTTCAAAAAAAAAAAAAAAGTTAGGTATTTCGTCATTGTTGAACAATAAACAAGACAATGAAGTTGAATTAGTTGAAAGAGCTAAAATATTTTATTATACAAAGTAAATGAGAAAAGATAAGCAAATGAAATAAAATAACAGTTATGTACTAAAGCCAATAATTAAATTCAAGATTTATAGAAAACTTTGATATTGAAGAATATAAAACGTGGAAAAAAGGGAGTCAAGAAACGATGATGAAAGGAAAGGATATGAATGAGAAAGGTATGATGTATAAAAAAAAAATGTGTATTCATGGTTAATTAAATTTGACAGTAGAAAATTCAGCTACAAGATTTACATTTCAAGAAATTGTAGATATGATTGAAAAGGGTATCGAAATTCCAGGTAAAATAATAATAAAAAGGAAATTTTAACGTATAAATAATTGTAATTTATTAGGCATTAAACAAATTCCTAATGTTTTAAATGAAGGAACTCCAAGTGAGTCTAAAATGTTAGCAAGACCAAAACCATGGGAAATGAAAAAATAAAAGACATGATTATGTCGCTACCAAATGATAATGATGTAATTCTGGATCAGGAGTGCCTGGTACTGAAATTGAATATTTTGATTTAATAGTTGCTTTATAAGGTAATCTACTCAATGATAATGATGCTGAAGAAGGTAGATTATTTTTTCTTCTTATAACAATAGAGGGTCGTTCATGATTTTCTTTTTTTATATGTAAATATCCTTTTATTCTTTCTATACACGTTGATAATAACCAATTTGTTGATTCAATTGTTAAATCTGATATTATTTCAATTCCAAGTAATGTTAGTCTAAAGAATATAAAAGAAGAAGTAATCGTACTCGTGATTATCGCTAAGATTGCCAAAAATATAACAACTAATAATATAAATGGCGTAAACAATACACATCCAATTGTTGATAATTGCATCTAATATATAATAAAAATAAGGAAAAAGAAAAGAAAAGGAAAAGAAAAGAAAAGAAAGGAAAAGACAGGTTTTATATCTTCATATTAAATAGAAACTACTACTGTAGGAGGATATAGATATTTGTATCACATGCAGCATTTGTTATATTCTTCCGATCTGACCCAACTGTTGTGAGACATTCTGATAGTAAGAATATTCATATTACATAAACATTCATGTTATATCTAGTCATTTATTACTAAAATCAAAGAATATATCTTCTTCTTGTCTTAATGAATAAGAAGTCTATATGTCCAACTTGACATAATATAAAGTCTAATCTATCCGAGAAATTTTAATAATACAACACGGATTATAAAAATTGATACTTTGAAAACACTTTATAAATACGTGTCTCTTATTACAGTCAATGCTTTAAACGTATTATTAAATTTAACTATCGACTGCAGTTTAATAACTTTTAGCCATTGTTTAGGAATGCTAGTCATGTATGCATTATTTCCCTTCTTTAATCATCTATTTTAGTATTACGGATAAATATACTCAGAAAAATATATCTTCTTTTGTTGAATATAATAATAATAAAATTAAAAGAGGCTAATCATTTCCTCCTTTCTTTAGCCACTCGTGTCACTATTTCTTGGTCTCTTCTCCTTACTCTCAAAGAATCTTGAAGAATTAAATGGGGTTTTATTATATCTCCTAAAAAAGCAGCATATTATAAAATAGGGGGAAACTATTTTACTAAATCAGATATTCTTTTTTCTTTATCAGTACCCATGGTTTTCTTATGTTCAGATGAATACTTACTATATAAATAGAATGGAATTTTTTGAAAGCATATTAATAATACTAATTAAGCGCTGCTTTACGAAAATAAAATAAAATAAATATGCTTGGAGACATTTAAGAGAAATGTAAATTTATTTATATCTTCTTGTTTAGTCTACAATCTGAAGTCATAGCAAATATTTTTAATAATTTTTTTTATCTGTAAACAATTATCAATAGTGGGAAGATATTTAATTCATTATTTCATGAAGCATATGTTATAATGTAAAGAAAAAAAAATAGTACATACTACATTTAACTTAGTTTCAATATTCTTAGTTATTCTGATAATGAAATGCACTCTTAATATGAGTTTCTTACCCTTTCAAGTCCAATACACATTTGAATTATCTATTATCTATTTTCTTTTCTTTTTCGTCTGTACTCCCAATATAATAATAGTTCTGGGATTTGTATATAAAAGTTTAATAGAAACTTTTAGAAGGAATTGTTAATTTCTAGAATTTATGATACAGAGTCCTTATTATTAAAGCAGTCTTTTAATACCCTTGTTTCAAATTTAAATTACTTTACTTATGCAGCTTTGCTATCTTGTGTATATTTAAATACATTTGTATAAATGTATAAAGTGATGTATTTTAGTTGTAAAGGGAAAAAAATGATTCTGATAAAAATAAACTCGATTGGATATATTTCCCTTGTAAGGAGAAGCGCATAATATAGGATAATACATAAATGCATCTTCTAACCTTTTTACTACTATTATTCAATATGTAAAATCTTGACAAACCAATTATGGTAATTTTATATGTATTTATTATAATATGCAAGTAGGATTATGTGCATTGCATTATATTATATTTCTTTCTTCCTTTCATATCTTTTTGTTTGTCTGTATACATATATACTAATAAGAAAGAAAAGGATTCTATAGTAAAGTAAATATGAAATCATATAAACAGTGATTTTAATCGACTATGTTATCTTACTTAGAGAATGAAGGGATGTTATTATTAATCATAACTCTCTTTCATTACCTATGTATATTATCATAAATCATATGTATGTAGTATATATGCATGACATACTGCTTAAGGAGAAAATTACAATCACTTATAATAATAGTTTAAGAGCTTTGATAATTATATTCGAGGTCTATAATATCAAATCAATAATAATGTAATCGAGACTCTGTAATTGACTCTGAATTATACAGTATACCTTCATATGAAGATATGAATATATATTAAATAACTCCTTCATGTAAAATGTCAGTTACTGTATATTTAAACATGAGAATATGTATTTGATATATAAGAAAAAAAAAGAGTATTCACGTTATTAGATATATACATTGATTATTGAACATGTATGCATATATGTATGTATGTATGTATGTATGTACATATGTGAATAATTTCTCAGTCGTGACACTAAACAAATACTCTTTAAAAATTCTAAAAATGGTAAAATTATACTATTGTTACTGTCTGCTTACAAGGTTCTTTTTATAATATATTAACTTGTATTTTTACATACAAGTCTCTCTCTCTTATACAAAATAAAATACATATTTGTGAACATATATATCCAATAATACCTTGATTTACTACAACTAACTTATTCAAAAGAAATATATGTACATGGACAATCTTCGGATATCTAATATAGTTTAATGCACCTTTTTTTTTTCTATTTTTTTTTAGTCAATTTTTCTTATTAAAAGGAATAGCTATATAATCTTTAGTGGGCTCATTTATGATATCTGTTTATAAATGTACTCATAAAATTTATAATTTGCCTAAATTTGGGAATTTCTTTCTTTACTGTATAAATTAAGAAAATTTATAAAATATAAAAGGCAATTACCCCTAAATTTCCTTGTTATTATATCTTTAAATAGAAAGTCTTTTATTCATTAAAATTTACCTTTTTTTTTCTTTTTCTTTTTATTAACATTATCAATATTTTTCTTTTGTAATAAGTCACTTGTAAATTATTATCGGTAAGAAATTAGAAAGAGTATATATATATATATATATATTTATATATCTTTTTTCTAAAATTCTATTATGATAGATATGGATCTTAAATATATTTTATGCGAACCTGTATCAAAACTTGCTGCCAAAGCAAATGAACAAGCTGCTTTGATGCAACAACATCAAAAACAGTTTGGTGTAGAATGGTCAAATAATCGTTTATATTCATCTAATCAACAACAAAAACAACAACAAGATTGGAATCACCCTTTAGTACCACCATTACTGACCCTTCATCATAGTCCAAAAAGTAGTTGTAGTAGCTTAAGCACATGTAGCAGTACAAGTTCAAATAATAGCCGTAGTAATGATGAGTTTATAGCAATCCCTAATAAAAGTAAAAGCCTTACTCCATTACATACTACTAGTAGTTCAAGTCAAAAATCATCAAGACGTCGAACTGCAAGTGATGTAAGCCTCACAAGACATCATATGTTCGTCTATAGTCACTTTAATCGTAGACCACGCTCAGAGTCCACAAGTAGTAACAATACTCAACATAATAATGTACAAACAAGAATCCCCTGGACACCTTTCGAAGATCATTTACTTCAACAAGGATATGATCAAGGCTTATCATGGGCAATGATTTCTTCAACTTATCTTCCACATAGGTCCAGAGGCTGTTGCTGGGGAAGATATAAAACTCTTCAAAATAAGAATATGATTGATCCGAATCATTCTCAATTGCGCCATTTTAGAAGACCTTGGAAATCAATTGATTTTAGTCATCATCATCACCATCAACATAGTAAAAAATCATGCTTGTAAATAGATAGCCTGGTAATCTCTTAACTTATTCCCCTCAATTATGCAACAACACTCATTAGAATATATAATATACGCATATCAATATAAATTTTCGGTAAAACCGTCCAACCCCCTTAATATTAAAGCACATCTCACATTAAGAGTTTTTTTTGTTTCCTATCATTATATATATGATTCAACATTTTCTTTCTTACTTATTTTTTATGTTATATGACAAGTAACTATAATTTGTACCCTCTTTATGTATATATAATATATATGACTTCTTTTTTTTTAAAAAAATAAAATAAAATAATATTTCTCTTATCCCTTTTCACTCCTTTTTTATATACATGTATATATGTTTCTGTATATCTTCTTTTCCTCCCTTCGGCCTCCTCTTACCCCTTCCTCTTTTCCCTCTCTCTCTCTCTCTCTCTCTCTCTCTCTCCACTCTTACCCCACTTTATGTCATTTATGTATTTCAGTTAGGTTGCATAAAAAAGACTACTCGTCCTTAATTCTTATTTAAAAATTAAAATCATTTGATTCAAAATGTGGCACTTAATATGATACATGTTTATTTTAAACATGATTTGCAGAAAATCAAAAAGAATATTGAATGGAGAAGAGTTAAGGGATCAGAAAAAGAAAAGACGGGGGGTGGGGAGCAGGAGGAAGTAAGAAATATGATCGGAGAAAAATTGGATATGGAATATAACGTAATAGAGGTTTAGTATATCTACTGTAATTTTCTGTAAAACAAGAAATATTTAGTACAGTATTTTGCATTTGAAAATAGAATTTTTTTGTTTGCCCAAGTTATTAACCTATGGCTATATTTGTTGGTCTTGCTCCAAGAACCTTTACATTTTTGGCTTTAATACCCATTTTTTTTTTAATGGCTATATAACATTGATTACGAAAAATATATGTTTCTTTAAATACTCTTATAAAATTTTGTTGAATAAACTATTATATTCACTTTTATACATTTCAGTAAATTTATAAACCCTGCGATTTATCTAAGAAAATTATTTTTGATTTTCATGTCGGACAACTAGATTTTAACACTATCTCCCTTCTGGTCATTTTATTTGTAATCGCTTAGATACAAAAGGACCTGATTATAAATCAAAAGAAACAGAGGAGATGTATTGTCCGAATATTTCAGTATCATTAGAGGAAGAGGAAGAAGAACTTTCTACACTTAACAGGCTTGGTTTTCATAATGTGCATATTGTTATGGATAATACCACGATGCACAAAATTGTAAAAGTCGTAACAGCAATTCGTAACTATGGAAATACCGCTTTGTTTCTACCACCATACTCGCTTTTTTTTTAAGAAAAAAATCCCATTAAAGAGTATTGATCAAAGATTAAGGGAGAAGCACGTAAAATGCCTCTTTTGAAAAAAAAAACGAAATGATTACTGACAGAATTGAAGAGGCAGTCCAGAAAGTTACACCTGAAGACTATCAAGGCTGGATCCGTCACTCACGAAGATTATTTAATATTATACATATATAATTATTTATTTGTATATATCTTTAAATTTGCTTACTAGAATAAGAGTCTATAGCTTTTCTAGCTGACAAATCTCTCTATATCTCTTTCTTTTTTTTTCTTTTTTCCTTTTAACAAAGGAATTTAAGAGATATTACCCAAAGAAAGCATTAGTCAGACATTAGTTAATTTCAATACTAATAAAGTGAATGAATATTACAGGTCATTCATGGCTGTTTATTGATTGTGAAGGTGTATTTATATATATATATATATATATATATCGTATCAATATATTGATGAATTCTGCATAATTTCAGTCAAAAAGATATTATTAGATATTATAATAATGTTCTTTTGTCCGAAGAATGAAACAAGAAGATAGACTGCTTAAAACTCAACTTGGAGTCAAATCAATAGGAAAAGTAAGCATCATATCATCTCCCAGAATAAAAAAGTAGTATTGACGCTATCATTATTATTACTATACTACTCAATGCGCCGTATGCAGCAAACATTGTTTGATTTCTATATTTTTTTGAGCAACGATTATCAAACTGAAATAATTACTATGGTAGACGAAGCGCATTGAATGAATGTACAGTCACTCATGAAATAAAGATAATTCTGGAGGATACAAACAAAATACTATTTAGTTCTTTTTTTTTTTTTTTTTTTTTTTTTGTGATGAATTGAAAATCAGGGATTATATTCAAGTTTCAAGATTTAAACGACAATACTACTGAGAAGGTTTCAAAGATATATAAAAGTAAAAGGAAAAAAAAACCAAAGGAAGCTCTCGTATCTGATATTCATAATACAATGATAAATACATAGACAAAATGATTAAAAAAAATAACTCAATTAAATAGATATATAATGGCTGTAAACAATATAGTTTAAGTAATTTTATAAGTATTATCTAATGGTAAATAACTTTATCAAATATTGGTTTGGAACTAATACAATAGCTTGTGGAATCCTAATACCTTGGTTATATGAATTATGATGAACATTGCTAAAGATATTTGGTCAGTCTAAGGTCTGTTGCTAAACTTTTCTGTAGTACAACTACACAAACCAGCTTCAAAATCCAGATCCAGAAATAAAGCGCTATCACTAATATGACTGTTCCTTATTTAGAGAAGCAGACTTAAAGAGATACACAGATAAATATATATAAATATGTGTTTGTATTTCTATATTAAATTAAGTCGTCCTTATTCTACACTAACACAGATTGCTTCTTTGTCCAATTTGGAATAATTCTATTCATTTTCAAAAAGAAATGCCTCGAATACTATATATAATATTTATTTATCTATCAATGTATGAAAAAAATTTTATATTCTACAAACAAAATGTTTATTCTATTCTTTTATATAATGATACTTCATTATTTCGTTTATTCCTAAAGTTGTCAGGCCACAATGAAATAATCTAGTCTGGATAGACTACCAACCTGAAATACATTTCTCTAACACAGCTTGGAATAAAATAGAAAAAAAAATATTCCTAACTAGTCGAAATGACTAACACAGTTTAAGACTGAATTTATCATCAGATCTAGTTCGCTGGTTACTCATGTATCTCGTTGATGCTTTAACTAATTACTTAATGATCAGGCAACTTGCTATTTCAAGTACTTTACATGACTATTTGTAAAGCAACATACCACTACTACTACATGCCGTTTCCAAAATACACTGTTGATTTTAAGTATCTAGCACTATTGAATAACTCTTTCCATCCCCACCCCCCTTTTTTTTATATCCTTGGTCCTGAAAAAAATAAATAAATGAAGCAACCTTTTCTTTTATTAATGATTTAATCCAGGCAATTCTGATATATTCAATATTTTATGCCCAATTGAAAGTTTTTAAATAAATGTAAGATAGATTATAAAAAATACGCTCAAAAATCTGATGCCACCCATTGTCTGTTGTTAAAAATACAACAATAGTATCTTTTACTGATCAACTATAATTGGCTGTAATAAAAAAAAATTTGATATTTACTTTAAAAGTAAATTTTATACATACGTATACAATCATCAAAAGTGAAAAAAAAAACCCGAAAAAGAAAAACAATGCAAAAAAAAAAATTAATTTTTTATTCTTTTTCTCTTCTATATTCTTCTTTTTTATTTTTTTATTTTTTATTTTTTTCAATATGACTACTTTATACGACTTTACTGTTAAAAATATTCAAAACCAAGACTGGGCACTTTCTAGTCTTAAAGGAAAGGTAAATATATCGTCTTAATAGACTCTACTGTTGGCTGACTAAGATAGTATGACAGGTTGTCCTTTTTGTAAACGTAGCCTCTAAATGCGGATTTACTAAACAATATGCTGGTTTAGAAGAACTTTACAAGAAATATGAACCTCAGGGCTTTGTTATTGTTGGTGCCCCCTGTAATCAATTTGGCGGTCAAGGTATATATTATATAGAATAAATATTGCTTTAAAAGACATTAAATACATATATTTATTTATATGCATTTACTTTATATAGAACCTGGTTCAGAAGAAGAAATTCGTGACTTTTGTTCTAATACTTGGAGTGTCACTTTTCCTCTTACTGCTAAACTGTAAGTTTTTTAAAATAGAATAAAATAGACCCAAATTAAATCATGTATAAATAGTGAAGTAAATGGTAATAATGAAGCTCCTGTTTATAAGTGGATGAAGGAGTCTCAACCTGGTATTCTTGGGTAAATTAAGATATTGAAAAGTCTATAGATATGAATATGAACTAACTCATTTTACGTAATAGCTTAAAGCGTGTTAAATGGAATTTTGAGGTAAAAGAGAAGGAAGAATATTTTTTTTTTCTTTTCTTTTAAATTACTAACTTTAATCTATATATATATATATAGAAATTCTTAATTGACCGTGAAGGAAAAGTCGTTAAACGTTTTGCTTCTACTACTGAACCCAAGTCAATTGCTGCCGAAATTGAAAAACTTTTGTAATGGAAATCTTATCTTTTTATAATAATTAAACAAAGCTTGTCGCAATAATAAGTAATGAAGACAAATAAAATAAAATAAAATACCTTGACTATTTTTAAATTTATTATGATATATGCTTTATATTTATACTACGTAATTTGATGATTTATTTGTGTATATACATTTGTGTTGATAATCATTTCTTCCACTTCAGCGAGAAGCCTTATGTCCTATCACTTTACCATCTCCACCTGTTCTATCTGTAGTTCCTTTTAAACTTAATTTTGCAACTGTATCCCAAAGAGATTGGTTTGTGTCTTCTTTCATTTGATCTTCTTGATGAGCTTGTTTTACTCTATCATCCAAACCACCTTCTTCTGTTATTGTAGGATCTAAGACACCGTTTGCAGCAGATGGTTTCTTAGTTTGAGGTAGAATTGAACTACCTCCTTCCATCATCAACGTTTCACGTGCTCTTCTAAATGCTATATCAAAATTGGTAGGAAGATGATCTAGTAGTATAGACTTCTTCACTACAACTTCATTACATGCTGTAATAGCATTTGTTTTTTCAACGACAATACGTGTATCATTACTAGGTGTAGGGTCCTATATTTTTTTTTATAAAGCAAGCATTATATATATTTGAACTTTATCATAATTTATATGTAATTTTTACCAACCAGAACTGATATATTTGTCCTGCTACGTATAGCTAATTAACAAAGATTTAATATGTTATAAAAGTATATTATTATTATCATCATTTACTCTTGGATTTTCCATTGTCTTCAAGCAACGCTCCCGAACTTGAGCTATCTGCTTAAACGCAGCTTTCCATTTTTGACCATCTGGATCACTTGACCATAAAATCTCGCCAACACCCATATTTCGAACGGCTTCAGAACTGGCAATAATTAAATCTTTGACATCCATCATCGAACCATAGCTCAATTTACTAACTATATCATCCGCAAATATATACGATTGAATAATGTCCTAGGAGAAAGTAAGTAAAAAAAAAAAAAAAAAAAAAAAATAAAAAAAAATAAAAAAAATTACTAATAAAAAATACGGTTTCTGTTTCTTGGGAGGAAATCTTTTTTTTTTTTCTTACCTTATATTTCTCAGCCAAGTCTAAACTTAATCCACATGCAGGCGCATAACCAAAACATTGTAACTTAAATTCATCTTTTCCTTTGCGAAATTCATCAATATAATCCATCAGCATAATTGTTAAAATGGCTGCAGTTGCGCCACCTAAACTATGACCCACAATAATTAATCCTGTAGTAGAATGTTCATTTGTATAAGCAATAAGCTGAGGCGCAACATGTCTCAAGAACCATATTGCTGAATTCTATATAAATATAAATAAACATACAATTTTTTTTTCTCCCCACATATATCGAATAATATAGAATACCTTCATACCACTATGAATAAACCCTCCTTTCCATGGCTCATATTCACATACTAAATCTGTAAGAGTATCCATAACACTCTGAAATGAAAGATGGAATTGTTAATATATACATATATACATGTTAAATAAGTTCCTTTTTACCATGGTTCCTCGAATAGATAAAACAATGGAATTTGTAAAACGGTCCCTTGCAATAAAATAACTTGGCCTAAATGCTTCTGCTGATCTAAACTCATATGCTAAAAGGTCTTCTTTTGGAATAGCTAAATATTCAATAATTGATCTTGCATCTGAATGCTCACGTATTGCATCTGAAAAGATGCCATTCCCCTTTCCTATAAAATTCAAACCCTTCCAGCCATAAGATGCTATTGAAAATTTCCAAAATCGAGCACCCATATCAATCTCGGATAAATTTTCAACAAGATCCCAAGTTCGATTTCGTGGCAAGTCTGCATAAAACTTTTCCAATACTGTAAAACCTGTGATGACTTGCATATGAGTCAGCTCAAAGCCTTGGCCAAACGAAGCCAAGAGTTTTCCAATTGATTTAATAACTTGACTGATCTCAGCAGGACCATCCCAATTGCGGTGGTCTATGGTTTTTTTATTATTTCGATTATCCTCAGGGAGAGTTCTGATGTTCCCATTATCTGGTTTATGAACAGGATGTCGCTTTGTTTCTTGATGATAATTCATAGGTGTAGTGGTATCTTTATCTTTAGTAGAAGAAAAGTTGAACCAAGAAGAAGAAGAGGTTTGTTTAAAAACAAGCTCAGGTGCAGCTATCATTTCTCCAAACTCATCATCGTCATCAAGTTTATTTCTATGATAGGAAGCTGTTTCTACTCTCTTTTTACTCATTTTTAAGGGTTGTATTAATGAGTCAGCCACATCTTCATGATTAGAATGTAGTTCATATTCGTCATATTCACTCAAATCACTTTCATCAGGGTAATCAAGACCTTGATTATAAATATCTTCATTTTCTTCATATTTCTTAAATCTTATACCACCTTTGTTAGCTTTCTTTCGTTCACGATGAAATTGTAAATGACGTTTTAATTCAGCAGCCAATTGCTCTTCTGTCATGAGATTAGTCGATCCCACAGGCAAATCATGCATAATTGACTTTTCTAAAAGTTGTTCCTGCTGTTGTTGATCTTTGTTTGAAGTCTCTAAAGGTTTTTGAAATTGATAAGATATTTTGATTTGCAAAGCACCTACGTTATTGACACCTGCTCTTTCGCGACCGATACTTGAACTTGCGCCTGTTGATAATTTCTTATCCCAAATCTCATAATAACTCATAAAGGTCTCTGGCATAGTTGTAAGCGTGCTTAAACGAATTTCCGTACGTCCCACATGTTTATCTGGATAAATTGTATAATTATCATATAAATCGAGTTGAATAGTGCCAAACAATTGTACATGAAATGTTACAATAAATTCAAAATATTCATTCCAGCGTCCTTCACGAAATTCTGAAACAGATGTTTGATAACGTTGATCTAAATATTACGTAACATGGTTAATTATTATAACTCTTTTGTGTTGTATAAACTTGTCTTATCATTCGTACCTCCTAAAGTGAGAATAACATACGGTCTTTTTACTTTTACATTTAAAAAGCAATTAAGAATTTGAATCTATAATAATATGACAAAGTCAGAAAGATCTAAAGCACTTGTGGCTAGTAGTAATAGTCTTTACTCTCAATCTTCCATTCGATAATGGAGAAGCTGTATGAGTTACTGGACAAAGCACAGGAAGCAATTCATGTGGATCATTATTATTTGGCATTATGTATTTATATTAGGAAAAAAAAAATAAATAAAAAAAATAAAATAAAAAAATTAAATATGTAAATGCACATGACAACATAAAAGTATCATTAATTAAAATAATTCAATTTACGTACGATATGCAAAAAAATCATTTTATTACAGTGAGCACGGTAAAATTTGACATTTTGAGAAAATTAAATGTCCGTAACCAAAAAAAAAAAAATGGATGGCACTAAGCCAAAAATGATTATTCCTTGATGTCTAGAAGCCTTGTTCTTTTGAAACGTTACAATAAGTTAAATCAAATTGATCTGAATAATGATATTTATTTCTTGACTTCAAAGCAATTAGTAGAATGAAGTTTTATTATAACATTGAATGATTTGTCGTTTATAATAGGGTAACTGTTTGGACAGCTTTTGTCTTTTGTCCATTGCTTGAGAAAGACCCTAATGCATTATTAATTATCTTTCTTTTGTTCTATAGTTTACAAACCGAGTGTTATGCGGAACTGAATTGTTTTATATACCAATGTTACGGAAGATGTGATATAGGTCCATTCATCGTATAAAAGGATTTTTTATTGAATGTTTTTTTTTTTCTGCAAATCGAGGATACAAATGCGTGTACTTGCCACCTTATTCCCCTGAATTAAATCCTATAGAACAATTCCGGTCAGCTGTTAAGAGTAAGCTCAAGAGACAATCAGATTCTCGAAGAAAAAACTCTGCAAGACTGTATCACTGAAGCGTGTAGCCAGGTTCCTCAGATTCATCTTTATGGTTTTGCTAAGCATTCCCATTCGTACTTAGAAGATTGCTTGAATAAAAAAGCCATTTAAGATCTTTCTGATAAGCAAGATCTGAAAATATTTCTCATATAACTGTAATCAACTAACACTACATGTTCCAGATGAGTATAACTAATTCGATGTATATTAAACAAAAATGTAAATGATTAAGTTAGGAATCTTCATGGTTGACAATGATGGGCACAGTGAGATCACTACTAAAACAACAAGACAAGTAAAATTTTAAAACGCAACTTGTTGATATGAAAAGACTGTATAACGTTTTATAAAAACGTTTTTTTTTTTTTATATTCATTTTAAAAGTAATCATAAAACGTGTACGCACACACACACACACACATATATATATATATATTTGTATTTATTTGAACATAGGAGTGAAATGAGGGCACTTGAGGTATATATATTGATAGTAAGTTGTTTGCTCAGTAGTTTGTTTTACGTCTTTTGATTTGACCTTCTTTCGAACGAATTTCTGCTCGTAAACAGTGTATGGCTGCCTCATGCTCGTGAATTTTACTTTCTAAATCATCAATATATGCTTCCAGCAAGATAATTTTAACTTTATTGTCGTTTAACATGGTAGGCGTGACTATGATTTCTGACGGGTTCAATACTGGTTGTGGGTTAGATACTGATGGTGGGCTCGATATTGGTGGTGGATTTGATACTGGTATGTTTAAAGGGATTTCATAAGAGATTGGCCTTTTGTTCCAATCAATGGATGCCAATACCCTCGTGTTTTTTCCTTCATCAAGCTTTTTATTTCCATATCGCTGGAAGAATCTGCAAGCATTCTCCCTTGTAGCGAAATGTAGAAACCCATATCTAGAAAAATATACAACAAAAGCAATAAGTACAATGAAATTCCGTTATTTTGAATACTTACGGTTTATCTTTTAAGAACTTGAAATGTTGAAAGGGTACAGCAAGATTAAGATTTCGGAGCCATGATTCGATGCTATTAGCAAGGTCATTACAGTTAATTTCTGTTAACGTAACCGAAAGGTTACGATCAGTACAGCAAATTTCCATTGTTGTAGTCAAGCTTAAAAGTAATAGCTTTTTTTTTCCAACTCTTGGCTATCTCTACTCCGTCTAATAGCCAAAAAGGACAAATTTTTAAAGAGATTTTATTGAATGAAAGAATTCTTAGTACGTCTTTTGTTTTTTTGTGGAATTTATGATAGACATTTTACATGCCACTGCAAAAAATTTGTCCGTCGTACGTATGGAGTACTATATAGCGTACGCGCGTACGACGTATAGCTTTTTACATTTGATGGGTTATTTCTTTGAAAACCATGAACCATCATTGGTATTTTGCAGAATAAATCGCTTTTGAAATAATAGTAAAAAAAAGGATATTCCTTGCAATTAATAATAGAAAATAGGATTACACTTACCTTTACATCTTTAAAAAGAAATAGTACAATTACGTAGTAAATAGATACAAATAAATAAGAGAAAAAGACAGAGATAATAATGATAGGGGTCTAGGAAGCTAAATTATAACAGTTAAACAGAAGCAAACAAACAATCTATAATAAACAAAATTGATTAGTTAGTAAATAAAAAAATAAAAAAGAGTATTGGTATTCAAAAGAATAAAATGCTTACCGAATAAAAGGTAAGGTTGGTATATCTTATATTAGACAAAGAAAGTATACTTTTGGAATTAACAGATAAATGTTATGTTTATTTTACCTTTTTATATACATTTATTTACCTGTTTAAAACGTGTTTGATTAAAGATAATAGACAAGTTAGTATATGTGTTAATATGAACAATAGTTATTATCTTACCTTTAGCATATCACTGAAAAATGCTCTGTATAAAAAGTAGAAAAAGCTACTACCAACATAAACAAGACTCTTTTGCTAAGAAAGAAATAAAACTGGTCAGTATAAATTCGTTAATAAGAATATTCTAAATCTTTATACTACCTTGAATATAATAAATATCTATAGAAAATAAAACAATTGTAAGTAAATAAGTATTAATCTAAAAGAATAAAAAAGAAATAACAATGAATGTGGAAAGCTAGTAATTTTCTTAACTTTCCCTATGATCATATGATTTTCTATAGATCCATTTTTGGAAAAAAAAAGTGTTTTTTTCTGCTGTAATTTCACAATGCAAATAGTGTGATTACTTTTTCTTTTTCTCTCCCTGTAAAAAAGACACAGCCAAAATAGCTGTAAATTTAAATATTAAAAAAATAATGATTATTAACAATAGAAATGTCTTTTTTTTTTATATATATTTATTCTATGATATTATATTGAACATAATATATTTTTTATTTGGAAGTTTTATTTTAAAAATTAGTAGAAATAAACAATTAAAAAAACCGCTGCTAAAATTGTAGCGTACGACGTATAAAAGTACTATCCGTCGTACGCCAACTTTTCGCAGTGACACAGCCACACTACAAAACATATAAAAAGGGGTGAATATTCAGAATTTCAATAAATTATCCTTTCTCTGTCCTCTGTGGCAGCCTTCTCCTTATCTTAACGATAATGAAAATGAAAAAAAAAATTACATTAATTCTTGCAATTGTGTTGAATCTGATTTAACCTGTTTTCACGCTGTTTCCAGTCAAAAGTACGATTATCTTGCTTGACTAGTTGTGGATTCAAAGTTGTAATAAATAGAACTATGTATATTTATCTCTTTTTTTGAATACGTTTTCATTCCAGTTCTTTTTTAATCAACTTTACCGTCAATTCGTATTTATTATGGCTGACGTCGCTTATAAACTTTTTCTTTTGAAATGTATACCTCAAGTGCCCTCATTTCACTCCTATGTTCAAATAAATACAAATATATATATATATATATGTGTGTGTGTGTGTGCGTACACGTTTTATGATTACTTTTAAAATGAATATAAAAAAAAAAAACGTTTTTATAAAACGTTATACAGTCTTTTCATATCAACAAGTTGCGTTTTAAAATTTTACTTGTCTTGTTGTTTTAGTAGTGATCTCACTGTGCCCATCATTGTCAACCATGAAGATTCCTAACTTAATCATTTACATTTTTGTTTAATATACATCGAATTAGTTATACTCATCTGGAACATGTAGTGTTAGTTGATTACAGTTATATGAGAAATATTTTCAGATCTTGCTTATCAGAAAGATCTTAAATGGCTTTTTTATTCAAGCAATCTTCTAAGTACGAATGGGAATGCTTAGCAAAACCATAAAGATGAATCTGAGGAACCTGGCTACACGCTTCAGTGATACAGTCTTGCAGAGTTTTTTCTTCGAGAATCTGATTGTCTCTTGAGCTTACTCTTAACAGCTGACCGGAATTGTTCTATAGGATTTAATTCAGGGGAATAAGGTGGCAAGTACACGCATTTGTATCCTCGATTTGCAGAAAAAAAAAACATTCAATAAAAAATCCTTTTATACGATGAATGGACCTATATCACATCTTCCGTAACATTGGTATATAAAACAATTCAGTTCCGCATAACACTCGGTTTGTAAACTATAGAACAAAAGAAAGATAATTAATAATGCATTAGGGTCTTTCTCAAGCAATGGACAAAAGACAAAAGCTGTCCAAACAGTTACCCTATTATAAACGACAAATCATTCAATGTTATAATAAAACTTCATTCTACTAATTGCTTTGAAGTCAAGAAATAAATATCATTATTCAGATCAATTTGATTTAACTTATTGTAACGTTTCAAAAGAACAAGGCTTCTAGACATCAAGGAATAATCATTTTTGGCTTAGTGCCATCCATTTTTTTTTTTTTTGGTTACGGACATTTAATTTTCTCAAAATGTCAAATTTTACCGTGCTCACTATATTATTTCAATTGACGATAATATTTATGACCCTCGTGCTTTTGCTGGTATCTGTAAAGCATACCTGAAAGATAATCTTGGTGATCGACGAAACAGTAAGAATGCCGTTCTCTTGTCTGCTTGCCGTCCTACCCTAGGTATCGATCCTATCCTCTGGTTACCTATGTCAAATGCAGAACGCAGCCGAATAGTCCGCTGGCGTCTAGGTTGGTTACCTGGTGGTGCCCCTAAACCGAGCATCTATCACCCTAATGCCTTGTTCACAAGATCTCATGCTATATGGTGCCTACATATGCATCGACGACTACAAATGCCTTTGAGCGAACCCAACCCTTTGTCCTTCCTCTTGAATAAGCTGCCAAATAAACAAAAACGCAGTCCATCAATCTCATCAGCTTTCAACTTGTCTGTCTTTTCCGCCTAGACGATTCGTTAGCCTTCTATGTGCCTTATACTTTTTGAACTTGACTATCTCCATCATGGTAAACTTCCTCCAGAAACTGCACCCCTCGGTACAAAACTTGTAAACTGGTTACATAACTCTGAATCTAGTATTTATTGATATATCTTACTTTTCCTCTTCCCTTCTCTTTCTTTTTTACCCTTTTGCCTATCAAAAGGTTTTTTAGTACACTTTTATCCTTTCTCGAACTGACCCGGGCAATCCAATATGCCAGTATTATGTGCTCACATGGGTTGTTTAAATTTTTGTTATAAATAAAATAATTCTTAATCATATTATTTCAAATTTGAAGAAATAGGTCAAGTCTAACGCTATTTATAAAATAAAGTATATCTATTTTTAATTTTTTTCTTTTCTTTCTTTTTTTTTTTTCTTTTTTTTTTTTTTTTTTTTTTTTTTTTTTTTTTTTTTACGGCAAAAGCTCTCTTGAATGGATTAAGTGACTGTAAATGAAATAAAAGATATTATGATGCAGATAAAGATGTCATACTCTTTTTATTTATATAAACATATAATAGGTAATATGTGTATGTAGATGTAGATGTAGCTTTTATATAATTATTCTTTTCAACTTGAAAACAGAAGCAAGTAGAATTCCAGTAAGTAAGGATGTTTAAAATAGTAAACATTCATTTTGATTTAGTCAACTAGTAAATACATAGCAGCTACTACTTGAATACTACATCTACTGGGTAAAAAATTGAATTGGAAGACCCTTTTTTTTTTCCTACATGGGCTTTAGAAATGAGTAACAAAAGATTAAAATAAAGTTACACAATGACTCATTCACATTCTATCTGGAAATGTGCTATTGTAAGCAATAGAAAAGTGGTGGTAGTATTTAAAGGGATTTTATTTGTACTCTAGTAGTTAGAATTTATAATCAATTTAGTTGTTTAATAATTATTGTAGTACTCTTTTTTTTTTTTCGGACGATATTAAGACTATGTATCCGATATGTAACAAACAATTGGTATAACGTATAGCTATAGATGATAAGACTTTGATCTATGTTTTAAGAGGGAAAAAGTTCAAGATGTTTATGTAAGAAAAAAAAAAGGCTTCAATAGGTCACGATGGCAACTGAATTTTTCTATTGAATTCCGTAATTAGCAATTTACACAACTCAATGTCAAGTATGATCTTCTTTCAGACCCTATCATTAAAAATTTAATGTACAGTAAAGATTCAAATAATCTTCCTTCATGTATGTAAGCAATTGATGTGTTCCTATTATTGACATGAATTTAATCTATTTTTCAAATGATGCATAAATAACTTTATCACTTCTTTTTTTTTTTCATTAGTATTTGATATACTGCTGTCTTATATCAATTAGCGCTCTTTTTGTATACTGTATTGTCAAATAATAATGAACTTCTTTCGCTAAAAGGTATATTTACAAGGAATTTTATTCAAGTTCTTAAGTTCAATGTTTATTGTTATTTTCGGTTAGTGTCTTTTCTGTAAGAATTGCTTTTATATATACATATTTGACAGCTTAAAAAATCTATTTATATTCAATAATCACCTAAAATTTTAATATATTTATTGCAATCTCTTTTCGTTCTACAGGTCGGGCATTCTCTAAAAGGTGATAATAAATCAGTCTTCATTTATCATGTAAGTGATTTATTTAAACATAATTTTTACTATATCTTCTCTTTTGCTACTGCTATTACTTTATGCACAGACTAATTATACCAATACTGCCATTATTCATGATTATAGTCTTTATCTCTTTTAGCTCAAAAAATGTGATTTCTTATTTTATATTTGAGTGACTTGGACAATTTAGTAAAAACTTTAATCAACATGAAAATACTAAATAAGAAAATGTGATTTTCTCTTTCTCTGTCTCTCTCTATCTCTGTGTATATATATATATATATGTGTGTGTGTGTGTGTTTCTTTTTCCTTCTGCTATTCTCGATTATATGTACCATCTGCGTTTTGAATTTATTTAATAGTTAAAATAATCAAGTACTTTATATTATTCAATTGTATTTTGATATCATCTAAATAGTTAACATATAAAGAAAGTTACAAAAAAACAGTTTAATCACAAGATAGTAAAAAAGATGTGTAACTATTGCAAGCACAATTCGGAAAATACCATTTCCATAACATGTTCGCACACACACACGCACACACATACACATACACATACACATACACACGCACATACATAAACACATACTATAAATGATCTTCTTCTCTAATGAAATAGTAGTAAAGATGAAATGTATCCCATATAAAGATTGTTGGCAGAAAAAAGAATTCTTAATTTTTTATACCTTTTTTTTTTCTTTTTCTTTTTCTTTCTCTCCTATTCTTTATTCTTCTTTTTCTTATTAATAAATAAAGCAAATATACAATGAGTTCTTCTATGACTAATAATTATAATGAAAGTAATTTATGGCGACAAGCGTCTATTGTATCAGCAAATAGTTATTCCAGCAGTAGTGGAAGAGATAATAGTTTTGATTATTCAGAAAAAGAATATTCCTTGGATTTTATAACACCTAAATCAGATAATTATTATCAATTGATTGATGATTTGGCTATTATTGACGAGATTTATCAAACATACAATGATGAAGTAGAATCAGAACCTTATGGTACCTTTAATATCTATTTTAGCTCGAATATATCTTTTGTAAACAATTGCATTTTTTTTTTTTTTTTGTAGAAAGACAAGTGGCAGATGCGGCAAGGAATGTAGCACATAAATTAAATACAGTTTCTCAAATATGTCAGACAGAAGAAGAATATATTATGGATCTCGAATTTTTTTTATTTTATTACATGGAACCAATGGAAAGATGGATTCAAGAGACTAATAATGCTGATATATTCCAAAAATATCCTACTTTTTGTTTCAAAAATGCTTTAATCGATTTATTTGAAATATCAAAAGAATTAACCAGAGCACATAAATCATTTCATAAAAGTATACAAGAAAGGTACCATTAATAATAATAATAATAATAATAATAATAAAATTATTGATTTATTTTTTTTTTTTTTTTATAGATTCAAGATGTGGGGTCCAACACAATTCATATCCGATTTATTTACCAATTTTGTAAGAGAGATTACATGTCAATATGTATAAAAACATATATATTTTTTTTTTCTCTTTTACTTACACGAATCATTATTAGTATGAAAAATCAATTATATATGAAAAATATTTAAATAATTTCCCAGATGTAATCGTTACAATAGATACTCTTTACAGAAGATCATCAGGGTTTCCTAAATTTATAGAAGTAATATATTTTTATATACAGATATATATATATATATTAATAGTGTGTGTGTGTGACATGTCTGTATTTACATGTTCCTATAATAGCATTGTGTTTCCCGAGCAAATATACCAAATACGAAAGATTTTCTATTCTATCTAAAAAATCCTATTCTTCGGCTCTCTGCATATACATCTTTTGTATCGCAATTATCGACTGCAACAGAATTATCACATCCCGATTATCGGGCTTTAATGGGAGTAAAAGAAAAGTTTGAACAACGTAACTTCCAATGGGAAGATGTGTAAGTATATAAATATATGAATATGCATATGTATATGTATATATAATAAGAAGCTTCCCTCCCCACCCCACCCCCAATCCAGACCACCCTCTTACATAATGTATATAATATATATATAACTAGAATAAAAGACCGTTTATCACACATTCGAGCCTTGGAAGCATTTCAAACAATACAAGATAATCCTGCAGCAGTAACAGCAACTCGAAGGCTAATTATCAATGGTCCTTTAACTAAAATTGATATCTCTAATCCTCACTGTCTAAACGATATTCGCACTTATTTTTTATATAATGATCTCTTCTTCTTTTGTCAAAAAATGAAACAAAATAATAATAATAATCATAATCATAATAACAGGTCAACTAATAGCAAAAAAAAATTAATATACAAAGGAACAATTAATTTGAGAAATGCAGAAATCATGCCTCTATCAGCCAAATATATCGCCAAAATGACAGAAGTGAAAAAATCATCGTTATCTTCTTTTAGTTCTTTCATGTCACGTAATAAGTCTCCAATCATCGATCCACGACAACAGTCGCCGTCTTCTTCTTTTTCTTCTTCCGAAGATCAGGCGTCCATTTTTGGGTTCGAGATGCATATCTCGAATGATATCGCTTCAGAGGTCATGTTCACTTCTCTTCGAGGCGAAGGTCTTTCTTTTGCCTCAGGAAATGGTACTGGTGATGGTAATAAACGTCTCTTTATTATGCGAACTCAAACTGAAGCTGAACAAAATGCTTGGATCACTTTTTTACGCCAAATAAGTAAACACATATCACAGAAGAAATAGGGTTCTTTTCTTATTATTCCTGCCTACCTTATTCATTGTAAATTTATATTTATTAAATACTTTTATTATTATTATTATTATTATAGTAAGAACCAGTCTAAGGATAATGATTATGTAATAATAACAATAAATAATTATTATACTTATTTGGCTTTATTTACTTTATTTCCTATATATATCTTATTTGTGTACTCTAATTGTACAAAATATTAGTGCTGAGCCCATTGAATAGATTTAAGATCAATGCCTTCTTGGACCTATAAAATAGCATGTCAACATACACATATACATATACATATATATTTTTAATAAACTTACCATTTCCCATAAAGGAGACATTTCTCTTAACTTGCCTACATGTTGAGCTACCTTTTTGATAACAAAATCAATTTCTTCATCTGTAGTAAATCTACCAATACCGAAACGAATTGAACTATGAGCCATTTCATCATCTGCACCTAAAGCACGCAACACATAGGATGGTTCGAGTGATGCAGATGTACATGCAGAACCTGATGATAATGCAATATCTTTTAATGCCATTAATAATGATTCTCCTTCAACATATGCAAATGATAGATTAACACATCCTGGATAATTATGTTCAGGATCACCATTACGATGCACTTCTTCAACTTGAGATTGAATACCTTCAATCAAACGCTTTGAAAGTCTTGAGATTCTAGCATGATCATACTATTTGAAGTGTTAGTAGCTAAATTTAAATAATCTTAAATGATCCTCAGAACCCCTGCACATGGCTCATTATGAAAACCTTACTATCTACCTTTTTTTTTTTTCTGTTAAGAGAAAAAAAAAGGGGAGGTAGACTTGGTTGCAAGCAACCAAAACGTAACTATTCACTCCCTTTCTTGTAAGGCCTTTGGAAGGCATTTTCATCATCGGATCAATATAAATATATATATAATAGTTTACCTCCATTTCTTCTTTAGCAATTCTACAAGCTTCACCAAAACCTACAACTAATGGGTGAGGTACTGTACCGCTTCTTAAGCCTCTTTCTTGTCCACCACCACTTTGTACAGCTTCCAGACGAACTCTTGGTCGTCTACGCACATAAACAGCACCAATACCCTTTGGACCATAAATTTTGTGACCCGAAATACTCATCAGATCGATGTTCATTGCATTCACATCTAATGGGATTTTGCCTACTGCTTGCGCAGCATCTGTATGGAAAAAGATCTTTTTTGATCGACATAATTTACCAATCTCTTCTATAGGTTGAATTACACCAATTTCATTATTCACTGTCATGATGGAGACAACAGCTGTATCAGGTCGCATCGCTTCTTCCAACTGCTTCAAGTCAATACGACCATTGGATTGAACTGGAAGATAGGTTACATCAAATCCTTCTTCCTGTAACATTCTACATGATTCTAATACACATTTATGTTCCTACATAAAAAAAAAAAATGTATATTAGTAATACATCACTTTTTTCTTTTATTGTTTTGCGACTTACGATTTGTGTTGTGATAATATGCTTCTTTTTGTTTTTATAGAATCTTGCAACACCTTTTATACTAATATTATTTGATTCTGTAGCGCCTGAAGTAAAGATAATTTCTTTGGGGTCAGCATTGATTAATTTTGCAACATGCTAAAAGAATTGTATTATTAATATAATAAATTTAATTTTTTTTTTTTGTCATCTAATTTACCTCACGAGCAAGCTCAACAGCTTTCTCAGTCTCCCAACCGTATGGATGAGTTCTAGAATGAGGATTACCGTATAATTCAGTCATATAAGGAAGCATGGCATCTAAAACTCTAGGGTCGGTAGGACTTGTTGCTTGCATGTCAAGATAGATAGGCCTGTCATACCCCTTGACAACTTTTGATTCAAATCCCAAAGAATCTTTTTTTTAAAAAGAAAAAAAATAGTAAAACAAAACAAACACATTGTCAATATACATGTGTAATTATCCTCTTTTTTTTTTTGCAAATTATATTCTTACCAAGAGTAGGTTTGAGGGTTTCTGTGGTTGTTGTTTCTTGCTGTTGCTTTACATTGATAGAAAACAATCGACTTGAAATGGGTAAAGTTGTTTTATATAAAGGTTCTGCTATAAAAGATCTTGTTAAAGAACGTTGAAATGCTTTTCTTAACATAGTGTCCAGTCTTCTTCTTTTTTTGTATTAATAAATAAATAAAAAGAAAAAAGAAACATATACACAGCTCGGAAAATGAAAAAATAAAATAAAAAAAAAAAAAAAAAAAAGATGCTGTGCCAATTTTTAGTTGGACCACTAATAATGGTAAATCAGATTCATTTTTTGGAAAATGTTATACAGACTTTTAATCAACTTTATATGTATTTTATCAATATATCTTACATACTATTGAATAAATGAAAAAAAAATAAAATAAAAATAAAGCTCGTATCGATGTAATTATTACAATCGATTTTACACAATTAAAAAAAAAAAAGGAAAGCTATCTTTTATTACTATTGTCTCCTTGAAAGCCTATATATAAAAAAAAAAGACCAATAAAATAAATTATTAGTAATTATTGAAACATAAAAGAAGCGGGGAAAAAAGGAGATATTATAAAATCGTTGTAGCCATTTTACTACAAACAAATCGGAAATTGATATTCAAATGTTTCAAATAAATCTGATAAGTTAATCATCATTATCATGTAGCAATTTTTTTTTTCTTATTCTTTTCTACCATGCAATAGAATATAAAGTATTCTATAAATGTCCTCATAGTTGTAGACACAAGAAAAAAAAATGATAAAGTGAAAGCACTCATGTTTACTATAAGTTTTTTTTTTTTTTTTTTTTTTTTTTTTTTTTTTTTTTTTTTTTTTTTTTTTTTTTTTTTTTTTTTTTTTTTTTTACTTGCTTATTAATAATAAAAAGAGGCATCATTTATATAGTTTAGTTTAGTTATAGTTAATAAATTCAATTGTAGCTGTGGTGCATTTGTTGTGATGGTAATAAATATAAGTCATAAGACGGTTGTTGTTGACTATTATGAAAGACAAAAGAAGATTCTGAGGGAATAATGCAGGTGTTGTTATAGGCAGTACCAGCTGCAAATGTTTGTTGTTGTTGTTGTTGTTGTCGCCCAATCAAATTTGTTGTTCCGTTATATAAATGATTAGGTGAAATGTGTTGTATATCTCCTCGCATGACAGGTGTAATAAAATTGGGTACAAAAATCTCTTGGGACGATACCTGCAAGTCATGATTATTCTGTTGATAGATAGGATGACGATCGTCTAGTTGCCGTTGCTTAGAATGAATAGGCAGAGAAGAATTGGGATCGATGATATTCACTTTTTCTGGTATCATTGTAGCAATGTGTAAGGGATCATTCGATAATGACGAACCTGCGTTCTTTATGAATTCTTTAGTAGTATTTGATGATGATGATGATGGGTGTGATTTTGCATGCTTACGAAGTGATCTCGAATGAAAATAAGCTTTATTACAATTTTCAATCGGACATGTATAAGGTCGAGTATTTGAATGAGTCTTGATATGAGTATTTAAAGAATCTAACCTCGAGAATTTTTTATCACAGTCTTCAACATGACATTCAAAAGGTTTCTCACCCGTGTGAGTTCGCATATGATTTTGCATTTTATGTCGTTTTATAAATGGTTTATTTTTTCTAGGACAAGAAGACCATTCACAATAATAAGCAGCCTATTTACAAGAGTTAATGGTATGTAAGAAAAAGAATTTATATGAGAAGGCTCTGTTCTTTATTATTATTATTCAAATATCAATACCTTTCCACTTCCTATGTGAATATCTTTTATATGAGTTATAAGTTGATTTAAGGTTGTTGAAGTAAAGTAACAGCCTATCCAACGACATAGATAAGTTTCTTCTTCATCTGACCCATCAGACTGAGTAGTATTACATCCTAAGATAGTAGTAGGTGATTTTAACTTATCTCCTAATATACACAAGACCCAATATTAAAATAAGTTATATGACGAAAAAAAAACATGAATAACAATGAATAATATACCAGCTAATTTATTTAATGCTAATTGTTTTTCTCTTTCTAATTCAACTACACGCTGAATAAGCTCTTCCTTAGATAATTGAAAAAATGAATAGTCTTGTAAAGCTGCTTCTTCTTTCAATGAGAATGTGCCATTCAAAGACTGTCCCCCCTCTTTCGTCTTTTGACTTGCAGAGTTCCAGTCCTCATCAGAGTGAGGAAAACAAACTGTATTACAATGACTACTATTGCTACTATTTGACAAATCACACATACTTGAAGCACTCTCTTCTCTTGAATTATTTAAATCGACTTGATATTCTTCCTGACTTTGCATAGGAAAATCCTATAAACATACTATGTTTATATCTATTTATATATGGTTGTATATATATATATATTTTTCCCTCTTCAATACCTCTTGAATATCTTTTATATCCTGTTTATAAAAATCTATCTTATTCTGAGGCCAACAAGATTCGATAGGATGATCAATACTAAATACATGTTGTTGGTATGTGTCCTTATGATTCCATTCAATAGTTGTCATTGAAGAACGTAATGGTTCGGCATTCGTCATAGCTTGTGCTACTGTATTTTCTAATGATGAAAGAAGATCGATTGTGTTTGTTGTCATAGTCATGTCGGAAACCGGATGAATATCGGGACTATGAATTTCGATTATCGATGAAGCTTCAGATAAAGATAAGCCTTCTTTATTGTTGCATACAGTTTGACTGTGTAAGTTTGTAGTAGTATAATCAATTGGCATAGTATGTCCTAACTCATTTTTATATGAATATGATTGTAATATTTTATTAATATTATTTTTTTTTTCATTACCTAAAGTCATTGTGTTATTATAAGAAAGTGATGGCTCTAATAAAGTATCAGATAGATAGAAACAGTCTTCAGGAAAATAGATAAGATGAGAATGATGGATACATGAAGAGTTTTGCTGTTCTTGGTTTTCATAGCAGCATTGCATTATTTCTGTATTTTGGTATTCCATCTTTTAATTGTATATAATTTAGAGTGATGCGCGTTTATATGACTATAAATACAAGATACGCACACGCACACACCCTCTTACTCTCTGTCTCTCTCTTTTATTTATATGTATGTGTGTGTGTGTGTGTATATATTGAGAGAGAGAGAGTGGGTGGGTAATAAACAAATAGTGAAATCGTCTTTATGCTTGAGAAAAAGGATTATTGGCTTTTGATGTTGTTTGATATCTCGGAGGGTCAATGTAGTTGATTCTGATTATACTATTTTGGATAAAATTGATTTATATATCTTTGTTTGTAAATATGCAATGCAACTTTAAAATAAAAAAAAAAAAAAAAGGAAAAAAAAAAGAAGGGATAGAGAGAGAGAGAGAGAATCTAGTCTTATTAAGCGGCTAATAGCATCTATATTATTGGGACGGGCTTATAACTATGATAGTTTAAACAACTTTTTTTTTTTTGTCATATACACGTAGTATAACTACTAAACTAAATGTAATAATATATGTTGTGCATACGTTTTTATACACACATGAAAAAAAAAAAAGTTACGTGATACAGCAAAAAGTTTACACAAAAGTATAACTAATCTAATTCCCTTCAAAAAGAAGAAAATAAATAAATAAATAAAAAGGCGTTCTACCTTAAAGACATACATAAAGTATATACATATCTATTATAATAAGGATTTATCTATTCTTTGTCATATTTTAGAACATCAAATCATCCAATGTTACTTGATTATATTAGATAGTACAGCTGTATTATTATAAAATATTTTCACATGTGTATGACAGTAGCAGATAATAATAGTATGAAATAAATGCCCAAAAGGCAATCAAACATAAAAGATATTCTCTCGGTAACAAGTGATGATATTTGAAAGAAGAAGGGATAATATCCTTGAAGTAATTCCCCTCCCCCTCTTTTCTTTTTTATATATATATAACTCATACGCGTATATTCATTATCTTTTTTATTTAGTCTTTTTTTTTAGTTTCTAAAATTTAACCGAAAGTTTGACTAAAATACGTATATATTATAATACTTGCTATAGGAACTAAATATACAGAAACAAACAAAAGAAAAAAAAAAAGGGAAGGGGAGGGTATTGTTATAGCAGAGAAACTTGATTTTGTCAGGAGGATATACTACTTTTCTACTTATTAAAAACAATTAGCTCTAATTCTTTACTTATTCTCGATCCTATCTAAAAGAGACAATCCATCGTTTTTTCTTGTCATGTATAACTATTCGGATTCATTCATTTGATTTGTACCGAATACTATTTTAATATCACTTTATATGTTAAAGAATAGTATATAATACTTGTATTGCTTTCATATTATACACACACACATATATATATATAAGCTTCTTTATCAGTCTATCTATCTTTATGTATCTTTTTCCATAATTTACTAATTAAATTAACAATCTTCAAAAAAAAAAAAAAAAAAAAAAAAAAAAAAAAGCTTACAAATCATTGAATGCAGTAATTTAACTTGCTTATACATGTATGGATTGGCTTGTTTGTATATGTACATTTTTTTTTTTTTAAAAAAAAAGCTTTCGTATAATTTCAAATCATTATATTTAGAATATGTATATACACATATATTTATAAATAAACAACTCCCCTCCCATCCCCCTTTTTTTTATAATTTTAAAGAGCAGAAGCACCAGTAATGATATCAATTAATTCATTCGTAATCACCGCTTGACGACCACGGTTGAAAGTCATGGTCAGCTTTTGGATCATTTCACCTGCATTCTTAGTAGCATTTTCCATAGCAGCACGTTTAGCACACATCTCAGCAGCATGACCTTCAACCATAGCCCAATAAAGGGTATTGGCAAAAGCAAATTCTTGAAGGTTAGCAAGGACATCGTCTTCGATTTCATAAACAGCAAAGTTAGGGGAGGCCTTGAAAGAAGATTCAGAATAGACGGGAAGGATATTGGCTTCATAAGAAACAACAGAATTGAATTTGTTATATACAATATGGGCCGTATCGAATTCAGTTTCGGAAGATTTAATAATATCAACAATAGATGAAGCTTCTTCAAAAGTAGGAACGTCCTTACCAATTTGATTAAAAGTAAGGGCAATGTTCTTACGGAGAATACGACCCAATTGTGCCTTAGGCTTATCACCAAGAACAATAAGATTTGATTCAGGCTGTTCAGCTATAGCCCTACGGGTAGCCTTGGAAACACTAGAGTGAATACCACCGCAAAGACCACGATCAGAAGATGAAGCAATGTAAAGAGTTTTACCTGCTTCAGTAGCCTTAGTCTCAGCATTTGTGAAAAGAGCTATAATAAAAATGAATATATACGAGTTATTCAGTTTTTTTTTCCTTAATAATTCTCTGTCTTTTCTCCTTTCGTTTCACCCCCTTTTCTTTTTCTCTTTATCTTTCTTTTTTTAATTTTCTAATATTTACAGTTGGAAGCTTCACCAAAAACACGAGCAGATTCCATACTACGTTGAGCTTTGCTGACTTTAGTAGAAGCAATCATCTTCATGGACTTGGTAATCTTTTCAATATTTTGAACAGACTTTAAACGTTGTTGAACTATATATATTTTATAGGAGAGCAAGGTTAGAAAGCTAATCCAATTTCAAAAATCATATTCTAATCGTATGTTTGTTCTTACTTTCTTTAAGAGTGGCCATGTTACGGACCTGAACACTAATGGTCATTGTTGTTAAATAATCATTTTTGAACTAATTCTTCCCCTCCCCCTTTATATATATATATATATATATTATTTGTTTACCTCATAGGTGTCTTACAGGTTTGAACGGCATTACGAGCTACAATGTTCAACATGATTTATTTCGAAATGGTTGCAAAATATGAAAAAAAAGGGATAGAATTAAACTCATCCTTATTATCCTTTTCCCCAATAAAAAATTAGCTTTTTTTTTTTTTTGCCTGGGTCAATAATACCACCTCCACTTTTTATTTTATTTTATTTTTGAAAAAATAATAATGATAAAAAAAAAAAAAAAAAAAATGCCGATAAAAAAAATTGTGCCCTGAAAGTCTTTCTCTAGACATACTGAGGCGGGGGAGGAGAGGAGGGGCCGTGGTCGCATTATTGATGTCATTCGAAGCCTTTTAAACTCCATTTTTTTTTCAAGCTTTTTTTTTTTTAAAAAAAAAAAAAAAAAAAATTCATGCTGGTCAAAATAGGTGTATACCTTTAATGTATATATTTTTTGAATTACTTTAATACATAATGTCTACATCAGAAGAAGATTCCCCTAAATTTATGGATGCCTTAAAGGTAAAATAATACAGATTGACTAAAAAAAAAATTTTTTTTCTTGACATGAACATAATTATTCCCTTTTTTTTAATAATAATAATAATAATAAAAGACTATAAAACTTGAAGACTTTAAAGAGGTAAACAAAATCCCCTGTGCTCGTAACGCTTTATTGTATGGTATTGGTGAGTAAACATTCAATGGATAAAAAAAAAAAAGAAAAAGAAAAAGAAAGAAAGAGTCGAGACATATTGATATAGATAAAAAATAGTGGCCGGTGTGACTATGGGTGCAATTCGTTTTGCTTTAAAACGAAAAGTCCCTACTTCTGCTAATTGGGCAGTAGGTACCTTTTGTGGTGTCTCAGCCGTTTCCTTTGAAGGATGTCAGATGGAAAGACAGCAAAAATTAGAAAAATTAAAACTTATAGTAAAAGCTACCAATTCTAAAGGAGAGGATACTAAAAAATTAATTGTAACAGAGAAGGGTAAAAATGGTGCCTTTGGTGTAGTTATTGAAACGCCAACTGATAACAAAAGCCAGTAAATAAATAAAGGAATGTATAAATACATGACTATAGATATTATATGACTATAGACATTATATGTATACACACACACACACACACATAAATATATTTATTTATATATATCATATTTATTCACAAAAAGAAAGAAAAGGAGAAAACATATATTTATATGCGTATATAGAAAAGCAAGAGTAAATATAAATATATAAATATTTATAAATATATCTGTACATACGCTCATATATGATTATTGAGTTTTGATTTTTTGATTTAAACCAAAATAATGAACACGATAATTTAGTTGATGTTTGATAGATTCAATATAAGTATTGATATATGAAACAATACTTTGAAGAGGAATCATAATACGGCCTGCAATATGTTTAAATTTATCGACAGTACTAATATCATTACGTAAAAATTCATTTCCAATTTCTCCAAGTTGTTGATAAACTAATTCTAAAACCTGTTCTAATTTTTGCTTCAACCAGTAAGGAGCTTGTGAGGATTGAGATTTAAGACTGCCTAATTGATTATAAAGTTTTAAAATAACCTGGGTGAAAAAGAGGGTTGTTTGATGAACATAGACAGTAACGGAGACAGGCAATCGATCTGCAGCAGCAGTACCATATACGTTCATACTTTGAATGATAGTATCCTTGAAGAATATAAGTTGTTCAAGTATTTTCTTGATATACGAATTATTTTCAGCCATCTTTATCATTTCCTCACGCGTTTTAGGAGATGAATGACTGACTCTTTGGCCAATACGATGAGTTGCTTTACCCATTACATTGAAAGCTCTCTTAATTTGATTCTCATCAACATCATCTTGATGATGATGATGATGTTGATGATCGCCAACAGGATTTTCATTATTCACTTCATTCTCTAAAGGAAGATAGACATCGACGGCATTTTCAAAGCTATCAACAACCAAACCAAGTCTTTTACTTGCTCCTTGGGTTACAACATGAGCAGGATGTGCTACAGTTTGAAGAGTAGAATAGATACCGACTTTTAAATCAATCATAGGTTGCTTGACAAAGGCATACATGATTTCAGAACTTGGCTGAGTAAGGATAGGTACTTTCTCTTGAATTACATCCAAAGAACGACAACCAAAATCATCTGCTATTTTAACATAATCCTGAAGATATTTTGGTGGTTGTGTCATGCTCATAGCATGCTTTGCAGTAGATAAAGCCAATCTACCAATGAATGTCATATTGGCCATATTTTGTGCATCTTTTATAATTGGAATAGATGAAACACGTTGAAAAAAATGACTTCCTGATGTTGTTTCGTTCATGGATACTATATTAAAGGGTTTAAACAAAGAAAGGAAGGAAGGAAAAAAAGGAAGTAAATTAGCACAAGTATGTAAATACAAATATAAATGCGAAAAAAAAAAGTTTTACATCATCACTTTATTATTATTATTACCGTTGATGCTATTAGCCCCTTCCACACACACACACACACACACACACACACACACACACACACACACATACACACATATACGTATACACAATCTCTCTTTCTCTAGCCCCTCTTAAAATAACCTCTATCATTTCTCTCTTTCACTTTTCACATACCATTTTCTGTTTGTAAACGTTCATTTGTTACTCTATCCATGTTTTATTATTATATTAAGAGAAGGAAAGTTAGAAAGAAAAAATAAAATAAAAGTACAAGACGCAATAAAATAAAAGGCGTGAGAATGAATGACGTCCTCAGAGTAGAACGAAGGACTTGTATTGATTAAATATATATATATAATAGTAGTAATCGATAAAGCTTGTTTAATTCTAGTTCTATCGCGGACTTTTCTTTTTTTTTTTTTTTTTTTTTTTTATTATTATTATTACAAAAGGAGGTGGACAAACAAATATGAAATAATGTAAGCTGCATAACTGTCAGAAATTCCCGAATGTATAAAGTTTGTGAAACTCTGATAAATGTTTATTATTTAATCATTCTATTCTTTAAAGAATGAGCATGCATGGTAAGAAATAAATAGATAAATAAATACATACATAAAATTATAAGGTAGACCCTCTTTTATATAAGCCCTTTTTATAGATGGCTACAGCCATTATCATGTTACAAACAAGTGCAGATAAAATACCAATCATAAACGTTGATTTGTAACAAGCTGATCCATAACAACTTTCTAATTCTCCTTGACGTTTAGATTCTTTTTCATAAACAGTTCCAAAAAGCACACTGAATAATTGACTACCAATAGCTGGTGCACATAATAACCAACCCCAATTACGTGCAAATGTCTTGATATATATATATATAAATAGATGAATAAAGAGTCTACTACTTTACTTTTGACTTGTTTCCTTTCTTACCTTTGTTCCAAATTCAGTGATCGTAGCAGGTGCTACACCAAATGTAATACCATATACAATAGCAGTCATAACTGTACACAGGATGAGTTCATTTGAATTTGAGACTGAAGAGATTAGGAAGATCATGGAGATCATAAGGCCAATAGATGCAGTCCAAAAGAACCATATTCGATGAATACCTACTTTTTTTTTAAAGAGATCACTCAATGCTCCAAAGAGAGCTCTTGAAAGACAATTAGCAATACTAAAGATTGAAACATGCGTATTACGTAAATGTTGAGCTTCACTAAAGGATATATCCTTAGGCGAAACTGAGGTCAGTAGCTGTCCTAGATTTGCAAAATAAACATATCCTAATCCAAGTATGACAAGCAATGCTGATGCTAATGAAAACCCAACAGGATCCATAAAGAAAGCAATTCCTGATATCTCTGTTTCCTCTTCATGTTGATATCTTATATTTTTTATATCAATGGACGAAATAGTGTCCACAGACAGGATGACATTTTTTGACAGCAAAGGTCTTTCTTCGTTCATATCGTCTTCAACAAAACGTGTAGATGATGTACTGAAACTTCTTATACTCTGCGTATAGTAAGTTAAATCATTATCTTCTTGTGGCTGTTGTTGTTCTACTCTTCTTTTTTCCTCTTGCTTTAACGAATCTAATATAAACGATCCAAATATATTTACAATAAAAGTACAAGAGCCAACAAAGATTAAGAAATTAAAAGTCGTATTATCCTCTTTATGATTTGATTTAAAGAATCGATCATTTAATTGAGAGAATACTAATCCACTAATGCCTAAAGATGCACTTGTAAATCCCATACTCATTCCTCTATATTCTTTAAAGTTCTGTGCCTATATTTAAAACACACACACACACACACACACACACAGATAAATATATACATGCAAAATAGAAATAAATAGATGTATATATATTTTTGTACCTGTGAGTCAAGGGCACAAAGATATGAAGCAGCACCGGCAGCACCAGTACAGGCTAAATAAAGGGAGCATAAAATGTAATGATTTGATAAATTTCCTACATATGTTTGTGCCAATAAAAATAGGGTTGTAAAGGCTGTGAAAGCGGCAATGATTAAAGTTCTACATGCATACATATATATACACACACATATATATATATATATATATACATATATCATTTCATTTTATTATAAATAAGGTATATATATTTATTACCTTTGAATTCCTAAATGTTCAACCATCCATGCGCATAAGGGACCAGAAAATGATACGCCTACAAAGGTTGCTGTACTCACCATACTGTTCTCTATACCATTCCAATGAAATCGATTTATTAAAGAAGTTCCATAAGTTGGATAAACATACTGAGGTCCAGATACATTTGCTACAGCAAGCGCAATTATAAATGAGAAAATATGTCTTTTCTTTAATAAATTAAAAGGCGTCATGATATAATAATTCTTTTCAAGGAAAAAAAAAAAAGAGAGAGAGAGAGATAGAGAAAAAGAGAGATGAAGAAATGAATGGTAACTAAAATTATATAAGTAAAAAAAAAAAAAAAAAAAAAAAAAATCAGAAGGTGTGCACCTAATGACTAATTTTGCTCTTTATTGGTTACATACCCTTTTTTTTTTTTCTTGCTTCTACACTCATTTACTATCTCTTTGTTATTAATACAGCAAAAGAAAAAAAAATAGATAGATGTATACACACATACATGCATGAATACATACAAATACGTATAAATTTGTAAACAGCTATAGATTGCATGCATACATCTTGATAACTAATATTAAAAATGTAGAATGATCAATGTCATCAATACACGCGGAGTTTATCCACTTGACGTCAATTTAATAATCAATACATTTAGGTTTTATGAAGCAACAGCAACAGCACGATTATCTTGTATAAACTCTATTATGCACTGACAGTTACATATTAAATTATTATATAACATGTGTATAAAACAGCCTTCTCTTATTATGACATAATATAAATATACACATGTTTATATTTATATCTTTGCCGATATAAGTGTGTACATATATATGTCGACTTGTCTGACTTTTTTTTTTTTTACCCCACATTTATGTGTTCATTTGACTTTTTTTTAAAAAAAAAAAATAATAAAAATAAAATTTTCACATCTCCATAAATTTAATAAAACACATACATATAGCTTTATATAATTATAAACAGTATTTTTTATATGTAAAAAAAAAAAAAGAAAGAAAGAAAGAAAGAAAGAAAGGCACCTTATTGACGTGCAGCATTTTGGAATGCAACAATAATTTGCAATGCCTGAACAGGTCTATATGAAAAAAAAAGGGGAAGGGATTAGAATCTCAAAAGTTATAAAAAATAAATAGAGAGAAATACTTACTCTGAAACCTTTTCCCAAGCAGTTTCCAAACGCTCTCTTTTGATAGCTTCCTTTTCACGAGCTTCTAATTTTGCACGACGTTTAGGAGTAGGAGATAGCTTAGCTGTAAGAGCAAAATTCCATCTTCTAAACATCCATACTTTGACGTAATCAAGAAGCATAAAATAGACAAGTGAGATGGCCAGGACAGAGATACCCCATGGCCAACCACAGGGTTCAACTCCTTCATCTTTACCAAATACACCGTATACTGAGAAAAATAAGGCAAGTACTTGTGTAGCCAGAATACAGACAGTAAAGATCCAATGTGGCATGTTTTTATACCAATAACCGGGAACACGTGTAGAGAAGATAACAAAATGAGGAGCTATTTTCAGGCGTATAAAATAATAAAAAAAAATGTGAGTCATCTGATTCGTTTTATATATGTATATCTTTATTTTACCTGAAGAGATATGCAAATACATAATAGAATGCAATTCATTGGGATTAACATGGAACACATCACGAGCAACATAAAAATGAGCAAATGATAAAGCAGTAAGGAAAACAGCCAAGACAGTGGATAAGGTAAGTAATTGTCCAATTCTCCATTTATCTGGGCGTTCAGAAATTTCTGTATTATCAACCGAAATAACCAAGGTAGCGGCATCATTCTAGAATTAATATATGTATATTAGTCTTTTTTATACTCTCTCTTTTTTTTTCTTTGAGTATACATGCATATGTATATATTTATATTTACCAATACACAAATCATAATCAATAAAATAGCAGGCATGTTCCAATTTTCAACCAAAGTAATGATAAACATGAAGAGCAGGAAATGAATGGTTGAGGTAATACGATAGAGAGCATAAGAACGAAGACGTTGAAAGATAGCACGAGACGTTTTGACACCATCAATGATAGTGGATAAACCAGGTGCAAGTAAGACAATATCAGCAGCGGAACGAGCAGCATCTGTACAACCTTCAACGGCGATACCAACGTTAGCCTTCTTAAGAGCAGGGGCATCATTCACACCATCACCTGTCATACCAACCAAATAACCCTTATTTTGAAGTAATTCAACGACACGATATTTATGTTCAGGGATAACTTGAGCGAAACCATCAGCACGACGACAATGTTCAGTGACTTCCTCCTCTGATTTAGTAGGATCCACGAGATGATTAGCATCCAGAATGACACGGCCCATACCAAGACGAGCACCTACTTCTTTAGCAATAATAAGCTGATCACCTGTAATCATCTTGACATCAACACCAAGTCTATTACAATCACGAATCGTGGCAGCAGAGTCAGGACGAGGGGGGTCTAATAAAGAAATCATACCAACCAATTCGAATTTATTCAAGTCACCAGGGATTGTCTTTGCAACACCAAGAGCACGAAGACCACGACGAGCTAGGGAATTAACAGCGTTAACGGCATCATTATCTCCACCAGCAAGCTTTGTGATAACCTGAGGGGCACCTTTAGCAACACGGAAAGATTGGTTTGTAGCGAGGTCAAGGATAGTGGCTTCCGTCATTTTTGTAACAGGATTAAAAGGCTGAAAGGCGGTGACTTTATAACCGGGAACCTCGATGGACTTGGCAGGACGATTCTTAAGGATATCAAGTGAACCTTCAGCAGCACGACGAACAGCAAATTCAATAGGATCATTAGCACCTGGTTCAGCGGCAAGATAAGAATAAAGAAGAATATCATCAGCCGTATAATCACCCGATAACCAAGGTTCATCAAAGGTAAGTTCATTTAAAGTCAATGTACCCGTTTTATCAGAGCAAAGAACAGAAACGGAGGCCAACTCTTCAACAGCAGTTAAACGCTTTACAATCACTTTCTTTGCTGCCAATTGTTTAGCACCAAGAGCCATAGTGACAGACATGACAGTAGGAAGACCGACGGGGATAGCGGCCACCGTCAAGACAAGACAATGTTCAAGTACCTCCCTCCAGTCACCTTTAGGTGTATTACGGAAATGAACCAACTGATAGATGAGAATGATGAGCACAAGTACAATAGTAGACCAAATCAGGACATTACCAATTTTACCAATAATTTTCTGAAAGTGACCTTCTTCATTTGTAATAGCGATTAGATTAGCAGCACGACCAATAAAGGTATTGATACCTGTCTTCGTGACGACAGCCAAATTTTGACCTTGTTTAACAATACTAGAGGAATAAACGGTAGAACCCTTCTTTTTAGAGACAGGAAGTGATTCACCGGTTAAAGCACTTTGATCGATTTGAAGTTCAGTTTCATTTACTTCACCGTTTACACCTAAACCAAGCAATCGAGCATCAGCAGGAACGATATCCCCAATACGAAGCACGATTATATCACCTGGAACTAATTCTTTTACATTAATTTCAACCAATTCATTGTTTCTCCAACATCGAGTCTTTAAAGCAAGGGTTTGACGTAATGCATCTAAAGCGGATTCAGCTTTTGCTTCTTCAATGAAACCGATCAAGGCGTTAATAAACAATAAAGCCAAGATGATACCAAAGTCTAACCAGTCACCTACAATAGCAGCAATAATACATGCAATTTCAATTAAATAAGCAATTGGACCAGTAAAGTAAAGTAAGAATTTGAGAATAGGATTCCTTTTCCGTTCAGGTAATTCATTTAAACCAAATTTTTGAGTACGTTCTGCTACCTCAGTGGAAGATAAGCCGCTAGAGGGATCAGTATGTAATAAAAGTTCTAATTCTGGTGATATTTCATCTTCATGTTCAACATGCTCATGCTCCTCAAATTGAGCTTCTCCCTTCTTTTCATCTTCAGGCTTTATATCAATCTTTTCATCAATAGTCATTTTCTTTTCCGTTTTTCTTTTCTTTTCTTGAAAAAAAAAATGTAGATGTATTAATTTATTATTGATTCAACGTCTTCTTTTCTTCCTATTGTGATAAAACACAAGACTATGAAAAAATATCTTTTTTTTTTTTGTTTTGTTTCACTAAAAGTAAATGTAAAGAAAAAGAAAGAGAAAATAAATATAATAAATATAATAAAATATAAAGCAAAAAAAAAAAAAAAAAAAAAAAAAAAAAAAGAGAGAATCGTAGATATATCAACAATTTGATTTTTATATCACTACATTGTAAAACCAAAAAAAAAAAAAAATTATAATACGTAGGTTGTCGTATGATTAGTATTTTGCAGACTGATGATCAAAACGACTCCATGTATAAAAAAGGAATTTACGTCTGCAGGGATAATTTCTAAAGATTCAATTTGATGTAATAAGTTTAGAATCAATTTTAAATGGCTACACATACAATGTGTGATGTTTAACTTATTATTACATACCCTAAAATATGGGAATATTTACAACAAATCAAGGAGAAACAAGCAAATTTTTTCCTTCTCTCCTTCCCCCAGACTTAAGAAATAATAAAGAAAGGAGGTGGAAGGGAGCAGGCGGGAGATGATATTAACTGATTTTCATAGTTATGTAATATTAGGGATGATTTCTTAAAGACTATGTTTCCAAATATTCTTTGATCGCTAAAGTGCATTTTTTCCTTTTTATATGTGAACAAGCCTAATAAGCATATCACATGTATAGATTTTAAAACAAACAAGAATAATTAGAAACGGTTTCACATTCAATCAAATTTTTTTTTCTTTGTGAGAAAATAAATCAAATCAAGAAAAAAAAAAAAAAAAAAGAGAGAGAGAGAGAGACAGAGAGAAAGAGAGAGACAGACAGAAGGAAAGTCATGACCTATTACCGAGTTACCAGGGTTATACATCATGACTTTTACAATGTCTTTTAAAATATCACAAAAGAAAGTTTGGAAGAAAACACACACGCACACACACATATACATACACCTATCTTTGTACGCTTCCTTTTATTTTATTTTTTTATTCTCATTAGATATTTTTATTAATTCTTTTTGCTATGTAAGTGATGCAGACTATTATTATTTTGATCTGCATTAAATAATTTGTTAGCGCTGTTATAATTTTTTGGAAACATTGAAATAAAATAAAATAAAGTATAGAACAAAATAAGCAAAACTCAGGACCAGTGTTGTACAAAATCAGAAAGAGATACAGGTGAGAACTGGTTTATTATAATTGCTAAGCAGAACAGAAAATAGGTCATTAAATATAAGACTTTTTTTTTTTTTAATTGTATAAATTTTTTCTGTTTTTTTTTTCATTTAAGGAAATGAAGTTGAGGAGAGGGCAGTGGTAAGGGAGAGATGGGGAGGGGGCAAGATGAATAGGAGTAGTAAAAGAGAAAGAGTGAGAAAGTATTTCTGTTTTTAAAACGTGTAATGAATAAATCCAAGTACTACCACAACACATACTGGTATTTTCTAAACTCTAATATTAAAATAGTTCATTTTGTGCATGTGTATTACAACTAAGAGAAAACCAAAAAAAAAAAAAAAAAAAAAGCATGTACACTAATAGTAAATGATGAAAAATGATGAACGTAGTATGCATGTTTGTTTTATCATTATAGTTATCTAGTATTATATACTCATATATAAGGCTATAATATATGTAAATATATGTTATATATATATTTATATATGCATATATAATGTATAGTCTATGACTCTATTTATATACATACATATACATATATACATACACACATACACACATACACACATACACACATACACACATACACACATACATATATCTATATATTAATATTATAAATTTATAATAACTTCTCCTTTATTTTTACTTATTTCTTTTATTTATTTCTTTTATTTATTTATTTATTTATTTATTTATTTTATTTTATTTTATTTTTTTTAGTATTATTTTTTTTTAAAATATTATTTTTTAGTGTCTGTTATAATCATATGAGGTTTGGGTATACTGAAAGATTTTGTTTGATATAAATCATGATTTGACCATAAGATAGTATCATCTTGTAAATCTACAGAATTATCTTCTCGATATAAATCTTCATTATCAAAATTGTTATTAGAAGAAATGACTAATCCCGCATGATAACTTCCCCGAGCTCTATAAGATGAAGAAGGCTCTTCTCTTGAATGATAGGAAGGAGATTGTATGGCTGTAAGTGGGATATCTAGGCCTACTGATGAATCATGACTTGATGATGCAGGTGAAGGAGTTGGATTGATGTTAAGTATGTGTTGATCCTCAACAGTATTATTGTCTTGAGTATAAGTATGTCTACTTTCTTTATTAATACCAGCAGGCGAATAACCCATTTGAGTTAATGGAACATCGCTATCAGTGGAACCTGCTGATCCTGTTTTACTATAACGTTTTATATGAATTGAGTCACGGAATACATCTAGCCCGCCTGTCCTAGGTCTATCAATAAAACGTGGGATAGGTAGATTACGATTTAAAGCCTCTTGAATCCTTCTTTCCTTTTCATATTCACTCCATTTCTTCATCGTAATTGCACTACTATCAAATTCACCTTCTTTATCCGCATGTCCTCCCTTCTTATCCGCCTCTACTCCTTCAACCTTTCGTGTATCCCCCCATGAAAAATCATCAAAATGCCAGTAGGCGTAAGTAGGTAATACAAAATTCCAAATGGGTAAGCTAAACAAATAAACGATCATCCAACCAACATACACAATCTTCCTACTCGTCATCACAATTAATACTGCAGGTAAACCAAGAATGATGGCTAATAAGATAAGAGGAATAATGGCAGGTTGTCCAATAATCGCCATAATAATTAAATAAATTGTAAATGAAATAGCTGCTGGGAGTGCTAGAGTACCCACAAGTTCCATAAAAATAACAAATTGCATTGAGAAACAAAATGTACCACATAAATCATGCACAAACAATAATTCCATTAAGTTATGAATTGTTGAATTAATCCACCTTCTACGCTGTGATAAAAGGACCATGAATGTATCTGGCACAACTGTTTTACATCTATAATATATATATGTTATATAATTGTTGGAAGGAAAGGATATTTTTTTTTTTTGTTAGTTGGGGGGTTGAAACATATTTTTTAAAAAATAAATAAATAAAAGTAAATAAATAAACTTACACTGCTTGTGGAACAAATACCATCTTACGATTAGGAAAGGTACGAAGCATCAAAGTAGATAAATAACGATCTTCACCTAATAAAAGTAAATTCTTTTTATGGAGTGTATCGACTATATTTTCTGAATAACGCTCAACGATATCTGGATTAGCAAGAATAGGTACCCAATAACCATCTGGTCCCTTTGGAGCCTTTATACGATACATACAAAAGCAACCTGGAAGACAAGTAACACCTCCAAAGATAGATTCAAAGGCCTTAGACTGATGATGTGAGATATAATATTCAAAGACTTGTATCATTGTCACCCAACTATTTGTTTTGTTTGCAATTTTCGTTTCACCACAGAGACCAGAGATTTCAGGGTCCTTGACAGCACATGATATCATTCTAGAGAGAGCATCAGGGAAAAGCTTTGTGTCAGCGTCAACCATTAAAACGATTTCATAAGCATCAGGGGGGACACCTGTCACGCGCCAGATACCATTGAAGAATTCATATTCCATCGCCGTCATTCGCTCATCAAAGATGACCTTTTGCATAAATTGCATTAGAATAATCTGTGAGTCACGTTTGCCTCTATTTCCCGGTTTCCTGTCTGCAGCTCTTTCTTCTAAGGTACCACATTTAACAATCGTGATCATTGGAACTCTTTGTTGATGGGCTTTATCGACCGTTGTATCGTCATATTTGTAATATCCTGCATATACTTTACCCATATTATTTTGACGCGAGCCATCTGCTAATGCCACATAAGAATAAGGCTCTACTTGATCTGGAGGTACGATCAAATCTCGCATCATACTTATACATATATCAGGTGTCGATTTACTTTCCCCTGAACCCGTTATCAACCCATCACAGATAACAAGTAGAAGCTTATGACTATTAGGGTAATCACTAGTAGCAATTGAATCAAGTGTAATACGAATACCTGCTTCTCCCTCTGAATAGCAAGTAACCAAACAAATGGTATGTGCAAGTGGGAAATTAAATGGCATATAATCAGATGGAGGCTGTCTAATGACATGTCTCGATAAAGGTAAAGGGCAAGCTGGCCCTGATGTGGTATGTGTATCTGTTGTGCTCGCTATATCAGAAGAAGCAAGCGAAGGACGGCGTAAATCATTTCCCAAGAATCGAACAGAAGATTGAGGATTATTATAGAATACAGAGGCTCGACTTGAGTTAAATACATCAGATGATCCCATCATATATGAAGATTGCCGACTTATCCCATCGGCACCAAATAGCATAGACTGTCTATTTACATGGCTTTCTAATGCACTATATATAAATATATGTATATGTATGTATATATGTATGTATGTGTGTGTGTGTGTGTGTGTGTGTGTGAGAAAAAAAAAATTGAAGTATTAGTGGTATCCTTATTTTTATAATTCCTTAACTCTCTTTCTCTCTTTCTTTCTTTCTCTTTTTATCATTATTCTTTTTTTTTATACATACCTATTTGGGGTTTTCCATAGAGTGGAACCATTTAAAGGCTTATCTGTAGTAAATCGAGTTGAACCATGCATTGGCTGAGTAAAACGAGATGTTTGAGGGAACAAGCTTTTACGTTTATTAGATGCATTACCAAAATAAGTAGATTGAATCCGAGCCTTCGGTAAAGGAGCACCTGCTTGCATATTCTCTGTCCAGTTCTCGATTTCCGCTTCGCGCTTCATTCTTTCAGCATAGGAGTTACCTTCTTTAAAGTTACCCAATTTCCAAGATAGAAACCAGCCAAATATGACAGCTAAAGCAAATTTAACGATAATGACACCTAAAATGACGACAAGGGAGACATAAAGTACAATATCTGAAGCCATACAACCAATACTGATTGTGTCTAATGAACCCACCTTAATGGTAGCAGATAGACATTTTGCTTCTTCAAACCATTTCCCCCCATTCATTCTATTTGCATTAATTGTTCTCGTGAGATCCTTTCCAGTAAAATCAGAAATGTTGGCAAATATAGCTGCTATTAATCCATCCTGCTTATATTGGTAATAATTAGTTGGTAATGAGGATAATAATTTCAGGTTTAGAACATCTCTAATATATATATATAAAGTTTAAAATAGGATGAGAAAATGAAGAGTTTTTTTTTTTTTTTTTTTTTTTTTTTTTTTTAGAAAAAAAAAAGTTGTTATTCATTGTATAAACATACCCATTATATACAGTCAATGAATTTTCTGAAGTTATATCTTCCCAATCATAATAAACACGAGCAGCTTTATCAAATCCTCCGTCAGATCTAGGGACACCTTGGGTTTGAAAGCTATTATATACATTATAAGCAGTTGCTGATAAATGACAACTTGTTCTATTTATAAATTGAAAAGGATCAGGTGGTATAGTTGAATTTGGATTAAATAGCTGACAAGGAAAATAAATGGGTTGATCGCCCTGCGTAGGTATAAACACAGAGGCGCATTCACTTTTAATTGTTTGAAACAAGAATGTAGCGTCCATACCGCCTGCGTTTATAGGTGGATAAAGAATATTAGTCATTTCATCCGTAGCACCTACTGGATGATCCCAAGAGGCTAACATGTATGCCCATCCGGAGATTATTAAATATCCTGGGCTGACCTGACCTCCACGAACACTTAAAGGTGGTATAGGACAAACTGCTTGAGTGAATCCAAATGTTAAAAATCCAACACAACCCATGATGAAAAGGATGAATGAAACTAAGCCTATTTTTTCTCTCCAAGCCATTTGTGCTGGTCCATCAGGTATACCTTAAGTAAACAAGTAAATAAATAGATATACATATATAGTATAATGAAATGAAATAAAGAAGGTACTATAAGTAAAATGGAAAAAATAATAATAATAATAATAATAATATAAATATTCATATATATATAAGTATATATGGTACCTGCACATCGTAATAAAGGTTTTGGTACGCAACAAGTAAGAATACGACAATAAGTCAACCAAGGATGAAAATCTGAAAAATAACCATTTTTTTGATTTGCATCATATCCAATAGCATCTTCGGAGAATTCATCCTCCTGTTTTTCTTCTCTTCCTAAAATACTTTTGCCTCTTCGTAAAAGTTGTTCACGAGTTGTTGGTCTTCTTTCAAGAGGCCTTGATTGTGAAAACTTTCTTTCAAGAACAGAGATATTTGGTTGATTTCCAGTTGTGCTTGGGGCTACTAAATCAGTAGTGTTATCATCATTTTGTACATTGCTAGCCCTCTGTCGATAATGATATAAACGATTATTTGGATCATTTCTTTCTCGTTCTGGTCGAACTAGTGATTTTTGTCTATGTGGTTTTATTCCATCTACCCCAGTTTGTATTGTTTTAGATCTATTTCGCCGTAAAGACCTTGATTGTAGAGGTAAACTAGTACGATCGTTGTTGCTCATATTATTGTATTAATTAGAATTTTATAAAGTATTGTAAATTTTACACACTCGAATATATAGACATATATATATATATATGTGTGTGTGTGTGTGTGGATGTGTGTGTGGATGTATATATGTATGTATGTATGTACGTATGTATGTATGTATGTATGTATAATGTATGTATATCAGTATAATATAATGTATCTATATATAAGTGTATATAAATAACTTATTATAAGAATCACTTCTCCTTTTATATTTTTCTTAAAAAAAAAAAGGTGAAAACTTAAAAAGAAGAGAAGAAAGGAAGAGAAAAAGAAGGAAAATAAAAATAAAATAAAAATGAAGTTGTACCAAAATGATTAGCAAATCCTAATTTTTTTTTTTTTTTTTTTTTTTTTAGCTGTAAATGATATCTTAATACTTTTACAATAATCTGTATATGAAAACTATTAATCTAAAAAAGAAAAAAATGATTAGTTCTGGGATGCATTTAATCATTATCTTAATAAGTGAAAAGATTCTGCAGATATGCTTAATTTAAAAATCAAAATTAAAGGTCGTACTTTAACCCATTAAATAATAATAGTAGACAAATGTTTATTTAAATGTTTTAATATCTATTGTAAGAATTCACTTTGATATTGGACACTTTGAACAAATTAACCAAGAAATAAATACTGTAGATCATTGCCAATCACCAAATATCATACAGATTCTGATATTGAATCGGTAAAATTACTAACACTATTCATAGTAACTACTCTTAACTAAAAAAATTTTTTACCTATTTTTTTTTTTTTTTTTTTTTTTTTTTATAAAAAAACGCATGTTTTAGGCTGATATATGATAAGTTTAGACATATTTATGCCTGTTTTACGTATACAACTTTTTTCGTATAAATAGATGTAATTAGAGTGTAAAAGACAATCAGGGGTTACTGTTAAGTTTACTTTATCATTTTTTTTTGAAGCCAAAAAAAGAAAAAGAAGTTTAGCAGATAAATACATGTTTTATCAAAACTTCTTTAGACCATAAAGTCATCCATTCTATCTCATTTAATAAACAATCTTGGCATTAATATGACGCATGTCTTGTATAATACTAAATAAATAGATGTATATGTATATAAATATATAGGGTCGTACAAGAATATATTATAAAAATAACAGCTGTGTAAAGAGATTGTAGTACTTTTTCTGACTTCACGATTAAATAGAAGAAGTAGGTGTTTATTTCTCCTACAAAGATAAAATATATATGAATATAAATATATAAATCTACCTTATTTAGATACATTCAATGCTATTTTAATTTTTGAAGAGTCGCTTTAAAGCTTAGGATTTGGGTATAAAAATGCAGGAGATGACTGCTTAGTACTGTAAAATTAAAATATATGAATGAAAATTTGTAACTATAGCAGTATGTAAAAACGACTCTTTTGTCTATTATAATATAGTAAAGCGCTTTTTTTTTTTTTTTTTTTTAGCACTTCAAAATATTTTGGTAAATTATTGGGTGAAATAATCAAATACGTATAGAATAAAAACAAGAAAAGAAGCTGAAAGACGATAAAGATTGAAATGTTCTTGAAAAAAATAATAAAAAAAAAGTAAATATTCAAATCAATAAAAAGAATAGCTATGAAATTCCTTTCATAAACTCTTGTGGTAACTCACAATTGTTAAGCTCTAATTCAGTTCGTAACATAGTGGCTTCTTCTCTTGTAAAACATAAAGTAAAATAAGAAAAAATGTAGTAAAACTAAGAAAAAAAAAGCTGGATGATTTTTAATAAATATCATTATTTTTTACTAAATTTACTATGGAGTAATAGGTACAACTATGCAATAAAATTCATAAATATCTTTGACTCATTTAAAATTAGGGTAATACATGATTTAACGATAATATACTTATTAGGAAAAATGATGGATGGATAAAGTTCATTTAATTATCAGAAGATGTTTAATGCTGTCCGTTTGAACCATCATAAACTGTTTATTTTAGAACCGTCATTAACTGTTTATTTTAGATTCAGTATTTAGATATGAAGAAGAAGGAGAAGAACAAGCTTAGTTGAAAGAATCTATACCTTAATTAGAGATAATATAGGCTTTCTGATAGAAATAATCACTAATCTAGTTCATTTATACAACTGCTTTATTAAACAAATTCATGACTACTTTACATTAGATAGGATTGTAAGGCTAATAGTATAACTCGACAGGAGATTATTTAACTCATCATTAGCATTGAAGTAGATATACTGAAACAAATAATTTTGATTATTTAAGTATTTATATGTCGAAAAATAAACAAGATCAAAATAATTATCGATTAAAATATAAATGCTTATACAAGACATTTATTAAATTACTGTTCAGATCAACTTGTAACAAAATGATTTATATGTTTTCTTATAAACTCTGTTGAAAGTACTTTAGTTGTCTTTTTTTTTTTTAATGATGTTTCTCATTATGCTTCAATCTTGTTTAATTAGATTTAATATAATAGAGTGAAAATACATTTTTATTTAAAGACATTTGATATAGATAAAATGAACTGAGACATCCTCATATAATGCTAACTCTAGCTATACTCATGTTCCCGATCAAAAGTTCTTATTTATTAAAGCTTATATTAACTCTTCATATCAATTCTACTTGATTCCATTCTTTTTTCTTTACTTAGAATACGTGTAGAAATGCTTCATCTTTTCCTCCCTCATATTAACTGACTATATATTGTATAAATCAATTACTAGTAGGTCTAAAATGATCTTATTATCTTATCGTTCTGATGATACTCAATAGCTCAACTACACACCCTTTAATAATCATCCTATTCCTATTTATAATAAGCTATTCGAGAGCAAACTTATGAGAAGAGAAATGAATTACTACCTTCTCCAGACTTCTAATGAAAATAATGTTTATCAACTATTTTTATTGATCATTTAGTTATTAAATCTACAACAGGGATCATCAAAGGGTTTGTTTCAAGCCATTGATTTACCAATCTTTCAATAAAAAAAAATATATACAAATATATTTTACATGCATTAAAATATCTATTACCTGATTCCTTTGTTTAATATGCACATGAAGAAATTCATCGTAATAAGTAACTAATTAAAAAAAAATGCACATATAAAGAATTCTTAGTATTTGCAAATAAGTGCAAGAAATAAAAAGTTAGAGGGGAAAATGATATTATTGTTGGAATGTAATAGTATTGATAGCTTTCACTCTGATAAGTGATAATTAATATAATTTATAATTTAAGTCAAATAGTTAGTAGTCGATATTATAAATATATATACATCAGGAAAAGAATATATAAAAAGAAGAAATGATTTCACGGAGAGGTAAGCTGAGATAACCATTCAATCAAAGAAGAGCCAGCAGCATTGGAGAGAAGAGGAGGAGGAACAAAGAAATGAGCCAGATAGTCTATTTTATGCGAGATGAAACATATGAATGAACCAAGGAGAAACTAGGTTAAGGAGTTTTTTTTTTGGGTAGAAAGGCTATTGAGATGAAGGCAAAGAGGTTCGTCAATTGTTCAAGGTAATGTTATTATCTGTAATCGTTGGTGGTACATATGCAGATAGTAAATGGAGTGAGGTTTACTAAATAAATGATCAGAGTGAAAAAGACAGGATGAAAGATACAACAGTTATAGTCTTGATTCGTCACTGATAGCCATAGTATAGGGATATGACGTGATACATTCAAACTGAAAATGATTGACAGAACGACTATTCTCTATCTCTGTAGTAGGTTCTTCCGTCCAATTAAACTGATGGTTTTGATTGGATAAAATGTCGGCTTAACCTATACAAACTACAGTAATTGGTCGATTACATATACAAATATATACATAGTTATATACATATTTACTAAAACAATGAAGTATAATATAAAGGACCTTTATCTTGATTGATTTTATGAATTGATATTAATCGGTATTTATCTTGACTTCCAACAGTATTTTCACATGTTCTTCTTAAAACTTGGAATCGGAGGGAAACTGTCCAATTTCTACATTAGCTGTGTGGATGATTTGCAATTTGTAATCTGTGATTAAATTTGATAATCAATTTCCCTCCCCCCCTTTTTTTACCTTTTATATATAATTGTTGCGGACGTTGAAAATAATAATTCTTCCCCGCCCCATATTATTTTTATATTCTTTTAAACCAACAAAAAGTTGTTAAATTATGTAAATTCAGGATTTGTGCCGTATACTACTTCAAATTTAAAAATGACAATAACGTATTAGAGAAGGTAAGTATTGAAGCATCATAATCATCAATTTAACATCATGTTAAGCCGATATTTTATCCAATCAAAACTATCATTTTATTTATACAAAAAGTATCAATTTAATTGGACGGAAGAACCTATTACAAAATTAGAAAATAATCCCGTCAGCCATCATTATTTGTTGGTCTACCCTATTGTAGCACACTCTTTGAACTTGATTACCTTCATCATGAAAAGATCCCTTCTGATGCCCTTCCCAACCACCACTCTTTCTTGTTAATGATTTGATCAAATGTTTATACAATTCTTTGTTCTTCTTTCCTTTTTTTTTGACTATCAAAAGGTTTTTTTAGTTTCTTTGTTTTTTCTTTTTTTGATCTGACCCAGGCAATACAATATGTGTGTGTTAAAATGGGTTTTAAAATTCTATTCAATAAAATATTTAATCGTATCACCTCATCTTTTTTTTTTTTTTTTTTTTTTTGGTTCTTCTTTCATTTCTATAATTATTTTTTATTCCAAAGTACTACTTTATAAATGGTTCAGGAAAAGGCAAATGTACTCATTCTAGGTGGTGTTGGCTTCATTGGGAGAAACTTTATTCATTACTTGTTAATGAACAATCTCGTTTCAAATATACGTGTTGTTGATAAAGTTTTACCACAAACTGCTTATTTATCCGAGACATTTAAAAAGGACTTTTCTAAAATAGAATTTAAACAAGCTAACTTGATCAATCCAGGTAAGCATGTATTTATAGCTCTTCTCATCATTGTATTTATTTTTTTTTATAATAGTGTCGATTGCAGCTTGTTTTAATACTGAGGATGGAAAAGAATTTGACTATGTTTTCAATTTTGCTGCAGAAACAAAATATTCGCAAGTACCTGAAATTTATCATGAGCGTATTTTTAATTTGTCAGTTAATTGTGCTAAAGAAGCAGCGAAAAGAAAAGTGAAATTATTTATTGAAATGTCAACTGCCGAGGTGTATGATAATAGTAATCGTGTAAGTAGAAGGAATGTAGACTATAAAGAAAGAAAGAAAAAAGAAGAAGTAGAGGGAAGAGAGATTCTTGTGATTTTAACTGTATATTTTAAATGCTAGGAAGCCTCTATAGAAACATCAAAAATTAAACCTTGGACTATTATTGCGGAACATAAATATAAAGCTGAAGAGGAGTTGAAAAAAATAAAAGGGTTTGTATGAATGAATGAATGACTTTATTGAATTGTATTCTAATGTCTAATACTATATAGTTTGAATCTATTAATTCTTCGTCCCGCAGTTGTTTATGGTCCTGGTGCTGTTTTAGGCTTAAGTAAGTTTTACAAATAAAATAAAATTAGCCTTTTTTTTTTCCTCAACTATTACATATATATATAGCGTCTAGATTGATTATTGGACGTATATATCAATATCTTAATGAAGAAATGAAACTGCTTTGGTCAAAAGATCTTAAATTGAATACAGTACATGTAGATGACGTTTCAAGAGCATGTTGGCATTTAACTCAATGGTATATAGAGAATGATATTAGTCTATCTGGTCAAATTCCTGTATTTAATTTGGTAGACAAACAAGATACAGGTAAATTGTTTTTTTTTTCTTTTTTCTTACCACAAAAAAAAATAATAATAACTCTTTTTTATAATAAAATATAGATCAAGAAGTCATTAATAAACAATTACAATATATCTTTCATATTAAAACTGGCTACTATGGAAGCGTTGTTTCAAGTTTTGCAAAGGTAGGTTTATTTATGTTATATAATTTTTTTTTAAAAATAAATAAATATCAAGTATACTTTCTTTTGTAGATGAACTTGAATGATGTTATTGAAACTGTCAATGAAAAGCATTTAGCTCCTTGGGCAGAGTTGTTACATAAAAATGGTATAAGCGTTACACCATTATCACCTTATCTGGATGAAGAACTCTTATACAATAATGCATTATATGTTGACGGTTCAAAGATTGAAAAAGAAACTAACTTTACTTATTCAGTTCCTTACCTTAAACAGGAAAAATTAATCGAGATCATTAATGAGTATGAATCATTAAATGTTTGGCCAAAGAGTAATAATTAAAAATAATGCTTGTATATGTATGTATTAAACAAATAATAATAATAAAGGCCATTTTAAACCTTTATTTATACTGCATATTAAAATAAATAGTATCATGCTGTATTGCAAGGAATAAGTTTTATATGTGTATTTATAGTAAAAGCATTGTAATGATGGCGTGATAGAATTGTATGTACATATATGTGCGTGTGTTTGTAGGTATACTACCATAAGACTATATGTTTTTAATGTCGTATATCATTTATATAAAGGCTTTTATGATATGAAAAGCTTTGATTCTTCTATTCTATATATACGATAACACTATTCTGGGATACATACTTTGACTTATAAGTCTTTAAATTAATTAATATTAAATAGTAAATGTCTATACTATTGATATAAATATCATTAATGTAAATCGTCTGAAAAAACGCTTTCAATTTTAAATCGTCACATAACTCTATAAACACACCGTTTTTTTTTTCTTTTTTTTTTTTAAAACTCTAATAATATTTTTTTTTTTTTTCTTTCAAACATACTATATATAAAATAAAACAATGGGCGACATTTCTGAAGACGAAGTTTTATCGCTCATTATTAGGTATATATATATAAAAACATCATAATTCATAAAGAATACAATACCAAGTAAAATCCATTATACATATTTTGATCTTGTAGTCAACTTATTGCTTATGGTTATTCAGCTGTTGCTCAAAGTGTAGCTGACGCGACAGGAGCTTCAAGTGATATGATGCCCAGTACTAGATTATCAGAATTAATACGAATTGCTAAAGAAAAGGGTATTTTATTTGTGTGTACATTGGTCTAAATAATTGTATAATTATTAACGTATTAAATATATAGGCGAAGAAGAAGAATCTGAAGATAATTATTCTGTTAAAGACTTTGATCATGAATTACCACAAGAAGAAATGGACGTAAGCACAACGGCTACTGGATTTGACATGGAATACATGCAAAACGCTCGTTCGTATTATTTATTTTTATTTTTCTATTATTTTGTCTAAGTATTCCTCCCCCCCTTTTTTTTTTTTTAATTGTTGTTAGAGCCTAAAACTCCACCCGATTATAATCAATTATACTTTACTCAACACAAAGGGCCATGCCGTACAGCTATTTTCAGTTCAGATGGCCGATTTGCAGCTACAGGTTCACATGATTCATCTCTTAAATTACTTGACGTTAGTAAAATGAAGAACAGATCTGGTGATGTTGGAGATAAACCTGTAATTCGTACTTTATATGATCATACAGAACAAGTCAATGATCTAAGCTTTCATCCAAATGGCCTAGTTCTTGCCAGTTGCTCTAATGATCAGAGTATTAAACTATTTGATTTATCAAAAGCAGGAGTTAAAAGAGCATTTAGGTATTTGCAGGTAATACATACATACAGACAGACATACATTTATATATATTATAAAAGTTAAATACCATATATCTGACAAGTTTAATTAGGATGCTCAACCTGTTAATTCAATTTGCTTTCATCCTTCAGGCGACTTTTTACTAGCAGGCACAAAGGATGCATCTATTCGTATTTATGATGTGAAAACACTTCAATGTTATACAAATGCCAGTAGTGCAGAAATGCATCATGGATCAATTTCACAAATTCGATATTCTAATTCAGGAAAGATATTTGCCACTTCTTCATTAGATGGAACAGTACGTATTTGGGATAGTGTATCATCTCAGTGTATAAAGACATTTGATTCTGCACATGGTGGAACCGCTGTTTCAAGTGTTCGATTTACAAATAATGAAAAATATGTGCTGACGGCAGGTTTAGATTCGACCATTCGTTTATGGGAAATTACAAGTGGTAATATTTTGATGGAATATAAAGGTCATGACCAGCATTCACAGTTGCTTCAGCCTACATTTTCATATAATGAGGACTTTGTATTGATTGGTGATGAATCATCGACGGATGCTATTTGTTATGATACATATACAGGTGTTTTATTAAAGAGAATTACTGGACATAATAATATTGTTAGATGTATTGCTGCATCGCCTACAGACAATGGCTTTTTGACATGCAGGTAAGACCCTATATGTATTTATTTATAGGAAGAGACTAAGATTTTTTTTTTCTTTTTTTTTACTTTTAGTGATGATTACCGTGCACGTTATTTTAATTCACCCATTGAAACATAACATAATAATATTAGTAAATAAAGTGTATAAAAGATGTGTGTATATGTTGATACTAATTTATTTACTACAAAAATAAATATAATATGCTAATGAGTTGATATAAAAAAAAAAACTTTTTTTTAATCAAAGGGTAGATACATCAATATCTTCAGCCATAATAAAAATTGAATAGGTTTCACCTGCAGACGCATTAACGACTTTACAAGTGAGTGAATCAATTAGAGTAGGCACTATATTGTTATCTTTATGCAAAATGCTAGATTGATGATAGCATAAACGTCCGAATCCCCAAACATGACCTTCTTGAGACAATACTAATGAATGATTTGCACCGCATACTACCTTTGTAATCCTTTCCTTACAACGCCATGGATGAATAATAGGACAGCCAATTGCATTTACTTTATCTGAATCTCCAAGCTTAAAGGAACCAGGGTATAGAAAATTTGAATCTAATTCTAAGCCTAGTTGATCTTCTTCACCGAAACCCCAAACAGCGATTGTATTATCATTCATTAATGCAATAGAGTGATAATCTCCTGTAGCTATAGATTTTACGGTTGGCATAAGAGTATGTGTCTATAATACAGGATATTAAACTCAAGTCTTTATGTATATATATATATATATATATATAGATGTATATTTATTTACTAGCGAATTTTCATTGCTGCTCATAATGTCTGTCTCTTCTATTTTTATTTCTTCTGTGGTTTTCTGTTGATCCATAATATTAATTGTCTCTATTTTTTTTCTGAGAGCTTCAATAAGTGATATTGTAGTAGTGTTGACTGAAGGAGCTTTCATTGTTTCCTTTTTTATATCATTTTTATCTATACAAATTTGATTATTACTGGTATGATGAATTGTTTTCTTATTTTTAAAGCATGGAATTTGTCTTGGGAATTCAATGATATCAGGTTCTGCTCGATAAAGATCATCATCCATACCTTCATTCACCATCTTCTTCTTCTCTGCTAGTCCACATTGTTGATAATGATTTAATCCCCAAGCGTATACCTGTCCAAATCGATCTAAAGCTAATGAATGAAAGGCACCAGAACTAATAGAAACAATATCATTTAACAGAGGAACCTGTGTAGGGGTTAAATTTTTAAGTTTTTCAACTTTTTCATCTGCAGTAGGTGTGGTAGTTGAACGACCTAACTGACAGAATTCGTTACAGCCCCATGTATAAACATGTCCATTCGTGTCAAGGGCAACACAATGACTTGCTCCTGATGCAATATCTATGAAATTTAGTTTTGCGATTGACTTGGGAACACGAGGATGATTTTGAATATAAACATTTGGTAGATAGCCATAAATATCTTTACTGGACTATACATCAGATTCAGTATACCATGTATGTATGCATGTATAATAATAACTCACTCTAAAAGTCCCCCATGTATATAGTTGTCCCTTTGTAGTAATTGCCATTGATATAGAGTTACCACAAGATACTTTTTTAAATTTAATATGTCGAATTGACGGATGAATAATGGGTCGTGGACATGACTCAATACCTGACCTTCCTAATGCTCCAAATTCACCACATCCCCAACTCCAAATCTATTCATATTATATCAAGAGAGAGAGAAAGAGAGAAAGCATAATAAATACTCTGTAAAATAGTTGAAATATATATATATATATATATATATATGTATGTATGTATGTTTTTTTACTTGGCCATATCTATTAATTGCAAGCGTATGAAGGCTACTAGATGCAATATCAATGATTGACTCATATTCCAATTCTGGAATCATTCTAGGAAAGGTAACATTTTGTATACCGTATATGCCTAGTTCATCAAACATTTGATTATATCCTACAACATAGGCGGTGCCACCTTCTCTTTCTTTCAATATATGTGCTATATTCTGCAAATGAATATGGTTTCGTCTACTATAAATAATATCATCCTTACTGTCAAATGAGCCCATACACAACTTTTAGATAACAAAGGCTTGAAGCAAAATAATGATAAAAAGAAAGCCAATTATTTATTTATTTATTTTTTAACAATACATATAAAAAAAAATTGATATATTACTTAATACGCATAAAAAGAAAACACATGCAGGTATAAAAGCTATTAATGATATATAAATTTTTATATTTACAGCTTTATAAATGTATAAAAAAAAAAAGATAAAAATTTGTCCCTTTTTTTTCAGTATTGATTGAATTACAAAATGACTAAGGGTCAGTTAAAGAAAGTACCCTCAGTTTTACCAAAGATGATCGTATTTGATCTAGATTACACATTATGGCCTGAATGGTAAAATAGATCATTATGTAATACATAATGCACATTGTATACATATTATGTTGACATTTTAAATGTTTTTAGGATCGATTGCACTTATGGTAAACATCAAAACTAATAATGCTCATTCAGTAATACTTGAACATTTTGTTTCATCACTATTTAGGTCCACCTTATACATATGATAAAGTAGCTAACGAGATTCACAACGAGTAAAGTGAAATTACAAAATTATAAAAACAAGTAAACTGTTAATAATAATATAATAGACAGGGAGAATCATTAAGGCTTTTTGAGCATACAGCTTCTATCATTTCGCTAATTAAAGCTTTACCTGATGTTAAAATCGGCATTGCTTCACGAACACAAACCCCTGACTGGTAAAAAAAAAGATACTACTGTATTACTGATCATGTTTTATTATATATCATACCATTAACATGTTTATGAATCCTTAGGGCTAGAAAGGCACTTCGTCTCCTACGTATACCTGAATTAGACAATACAACACTTTATGAGAATATTGATTATTTTGAGATTTATCCAGGAAGTAAAATGACTCATTTCCAATCTCTTTCCAAAAAATCTGGAATAGCTTGTCATAATATGCTATTCTTTGATGATGAAAGTAGAAATCGTGAGGTAACTCGTTTGGGTGTTCATTTTGTGAAAGTAGATGGAAGAACCGGCATTACACCTTTCCAGTTTGAAAATGCTCTACATGCATTCGCCAATAACTCGGGTGTAGTGCAATCAAAAATGGATAAATACCTTAAAAAGATTTAACAAACATAAATTAGAAGAGAATAGAATTAATATATTGTTACATTTGATGTTATGTTTTTTTTTCCTTATATTAAGGAACTGCAGTCACCTTGAAGCTGCATCTAACTTTACCAAAATATATAAATATCAAAGAATGAGCACCAATTTTATAGAAAAAACCTAATGTTGACATATTTCATGTTGCCTTAATAAATTTCGCTTATATTATCAAACTTCTCCTATAAAATCACATAGAGTTACTTGCTGTTCGGTACTTCCAGTTCCTCTATTATCGTTGTATAATTAGTATTATTCATATTGGATTATAACTGCCTTTAAGTAGCTATCTTCTTTCTATTTTATGTATCATTAGAACGGATTAAAATCTTTCCCTGAAAAGAAGAAAAAAAGAAACTTATACCTTGATTACTTATTATATGACGTAGAATTTAGAAATTAGAGGGACTCCTTCATGTTGTGGTACATAAAAAAAATCATCTTTTATCATTTATCTTTCTTCATAAAGTTATTAACTAAATTACATTATAATTATACCCCTCCCTTTTTTATTTATTTATTTATTTATAATTGCTTTAATGTCTGAACATCAGGCACAGGATCTACTTTTACAAGCCGAAAAAAAATTAAATAGTTGGGCTTGGTTTAATTCAAGTAACAAACATGAAGATGCAGCAGAAATGTATGAAAAGGCTGGAAATACCTTTAAATTAGCTCAAAAATGTTGGTTTTATTTTCCTTATTCAGCACCATAAAAAAAAAAGGTTTAATTCTTTATTTGAAATTATATTTTTTTTTTAGGGAATGAAGCAGGAAAAGCTTATATAAAAGCAGCTGAACTTTACAAGACAGCCCCTACTTTACAATATGAATCTTCAAAATCATTTGAAAGCGCTTCCAAGTGCTTAAAGCGAATTGATGCAAAAGGTATGAATATAATATATATTTATGCAGTGATAACAGTTTGTGTGTGTGTGTGTGTTTTTAATACTTAATCACTTGTTGTTGTAGCTGCTTTAGAGGCTTTACAAAAAGCAATTATTATTGATAAAGAAATTGCAAATTTTAGAAATGCAGCAAAACATCATCAAGAAATAGCTGATATTTATGAATCAGATATCATGGATTTGAAAGGAGCAAAAGAAAATTGGGAAGAAGCTTCTAAATTATACATGGCGGATGATTCAACAGCGTAAATCATTTTAATGTTAGTATAGAAGACTGTAATAATAAACTATATCTATGTACGATTAGGATGGTCAATAAATGTTTATTAAAAGTAGCTCATTTTGCAGCACAATTAGAACAATATGACGAAGCTATTGAGAATTTCGAAAGAGTGGCAACAGATTCTATGAACAATCAACTAACAAAATGGTCAATAAAGGAATACTTTTTAAAGGCTAGTTTATGTTCTATGTGTATTGGGGTTTGTATATGATTTAGTATTGACGATAAAATAGATACTTATTATATAACATGGATAAATAGGACTCGGTCAAGACACGTCAACTGTTAAATAAATATTATTCCATGGATTTATCCTTTGAAAATACTCGAGAATATCAGTTCTTATTAGGCATTTTAGACTGTTTTGATAATGGTGATCAGCCACTTTTTAGTCAAAAAATACATGAATTCGATCAAATATCAAAACTTGATAATTGGAAAATAGGAATATTGTTAAGAATCAAAAAATCAATGGATTCATCTTCTCTTTTGCTATGATGACATGAAACATTAGTAAACTAAATCTTATTGGGTGAAACTAAAATTATTTGTTTTCTTTTGCATACCCAATGTTTAAAGTGAAATTTCCAAATTAAAAGTTGTTTTATCTTTTTTTTTTTATCATCTTATTTTTTTTTTTTTTTTTTACACTTGTCAGTAGTGTAAATATACAAATATAAATATAAATATTTTATGTCAATTCCAAGAAGACATAGAGCATCTATTTCGAATATTTTTATCCCAATGCCTCCGCCAGAAACTCACTCACCTATACATATTGTACCCTCTCCAACCATAACTGACACTAACGTCAATACTTCAACAAATACTGATACAAATAACACAGCTCAACAAAATTGCCTAACTGTCAGTCCAATTACTATCAATAGGTCTAGTGCGGATCATGATAGACATAGTTCGCAAGTTCAACTCTTTTCTTCTAGTGCACCTTCAATGGGGTCATTTTTGACAGCGACTCGCTTTGCTACTGCTGAACGAGCGTCCAATAGTACGAGTAATGCAAGAAGAGAAAGTGTCCCTAATTCTTCAGTAATATCATCATCATCTTCTTCTTCTTCTTCAAATTCCTCTATATTGACTATAGAATTTGAAGGCGGTAACAATATCATTTTACGTCCAAATCGTATTTATCGTGGTAAAGTCATTATGAAACTAGCTGAACCTATGCATATTACAAGAATCAGAGTTAAGGTATGACCATAATGATGTAAATATGTACAACAATGAACCTTAATAATAAATGTCGAGTTTTTTTTTTTTTTTTTTGTTTTCTATTTAACACAAGTAGTTTCGTGCAGAAGAATCAGCTATGGTTAAAATAGATGAAGGCGGGGCTGATGGAAGAGGAGAATGGATCCATGAAATGATTACTACCTTTTTTGAAACCGAATGGAAATTATATGGTCAAGAATCATCTCGTAAATATAAAGTTATAATATATCATCTGCATTATTATTATTATTAAAATAATAGTGTAATAGCCTATTCTCAGTCAGCTTGGGAAGAAATTGAAGCCGGTAATTATGAATATCCATTTGCTTTAAAGGTAATAAATAAGAGACGTAAATTCCATATCAAAAAAAAAAAAATTAAAACGGAAAACTTTATATGGGATATAGTTTCCAAATGTAAACTATCCTCCTTCTATGGAAGAGCCAGCTGGTTTTGGCATTCGATTTATATGGACTGCACAAGCAGATGGACCTGCTCTTCAATCTGGATTAAAGAGTAGAGAATTCATTACATCTTATAGACCTATTATAGTTTCATTAGCAGGTAAATTATATAAATATACAAGTATGCTTACTAAAAAAGAAAAAAAAAACTTGATCATTAATACGTACTTAATAGAGAAAGAATGGGTTTATAAAACCACTTTAATGAAAGATAAAAAACAAGCCTTGGCTGAAGTTCAAGCAAAAATTGATAAGCAAACTTACTGTCCAGGTAAAATTTTACTTTAATTTGTTTATAGTATACACTAAAACGTCATTGTGCTTATATATATGTATATACATGTTAGACGAAGTCTTTAAAATGATACTCAATATGACAGTATTACATTCTGATTCAAAAATTACAAATATCTCATATCGATTCCGTAAACATCATGAAGGCAAGATGCTAATTCAACAAGGCACAGCTTACAAGGAACATGTCCGAATAGTTCTTCAAGACACACTTCAACTTACATCCTCTACTTCAACACAAATATCGGAATCACTTAAATTTAAAATCCCTACTCGACTTGTATCGCCCTCCTTTATCTCTCGTCATACTCGTGTTTATTATGATCTTCATTTTCAAGTTACAATTGAACAAGGCCATATCTTCAAGACAAGCCATATCACAGAATTTACTGTTCCAATCGTGATTGCTAACTTGCCCAATATGCAAATTGCGCGAATTCCAGATTTGACATCTATTATTAATTATCGTAACTCTTATGAATCTCCCTTGTTTTTCGATCCTTCATTAAATGAACCACCTAGACCTCAAGCATTTCCTAGTGAATTGATTGGCCCCTTGACAGCTGCTCTTATGACGCCTAATAGTGAAGATCAGCCTCCAAGCTATTTTAGTTTGCCCGAGTTACCTCCACAATTTGAACTTCGAAAGGAAAGAAAGGAGCGTACGGTGTTTATGTCAAGACCAGCACGAGGTGCTTATAATGGGAATGAACTTGGTGAAGCTACTATCATTCCCGGATTATATGATGAAGATTGGTAAACATATCATCTTCATATTCTTTTATATATATATGTATATAATTTACTATATTTATACGTATATGAAAGGAAAAAAAAAAGTGTATATAATAAAAAATGCTCTTTGTCTTTTTTATTTATTTATTTTTTTTTTTTAATAAAGAAAAAAAATATATATATTACAAAACATAATCATATATATACACACACACAATGTTTCATACATACTACTATCAATCTAACTCCAACCCCAAACTTCCTTTACCCATTGACCCAGGTCCATTTGAACATTTTCCCATTTTAATATAAATGGATGCTGTAACATACGCGCAGGAGTAGGTCTATAATTAGGATCCTTCGTTAAACTATTATAAAAGTTAGTTAAACTAGACATACATACACCTATATACAAAATTGTAATAAAAGAGCTTACCAAACAGCTACAAAGTTTTTACATTCATCAGAAATATGACTTCCTTGTATTTCTGGGACAGGTTGGCGAACAATAAAGTCAAGTAATTCAAAAATTGAAAGATGAGGTTGATCTGGGGGCGGTAAAGCAGGTCTATTCTGAGATACTTCGATTAAAGTTAAACCGAGAGACCAGATATCTGACTGTACGGCATACGCATTGCCCTGAATACGCTCAGGCTAAGAAGAAGAATAATAACAATAATAAAAAATAAATAACATATAATTAAATATGAATTATGGATATTTACTGCCATGTAATATTGAGTTCCTGTAAATGTTTGTGCGATAGAATTGATTAATTCACCAGATACACCAAAATCGCAAAGTTTAATTTCTCCTTTTCGTGTCACCAAAATGTTAGATGGTTTAATATCTAATAATGGTGTAATTTTTTTTTTTTAGTTTATATATATAGGATAGAATTATTATTATTTTCTTTACCTCTGTGAATAACTCTTTTAGAATGTAAATAGACTAATCCTTTACACACCTAAATATATACATACATACATACACACATATATTTCCACATGTTCAGTATCCATGATATTAATATAATCATTCATTTACTTACAGATTCAGCAATACGTTCAAGTACAGGTTCACCAATGACACCACCTAAATCTCTTGCTCTCTTATAAATATCCTCTAAACTACCAGCTTCACAATACTCCATACATAATGAAACAGTTGTATCTCCATCATCTAAAAATGCACCATAAAAGGAAACGATATAGGGTGAATCACAAGTCTTCAAGAAGGCAAGTTCACGTAAAATTTGACGCTGAACAGCTGGGTCAGGTTCTGTAGAAATAGACTACAAAGTTTAAGAATGAATAAATTGGATTGGCATTTTCTTATGCTACAATAGGATATAATATTATGTATATATATATATATGTGTATACCTTTTTGGCCATTATTAATTGAGTTGGTTTGTGCAATACTTTACGTACCGTACCTGCTGCACCTTCACCTAATCGAGACAAAGTTTCAAGATCTTCAGCTTTAATCTCCATAAAGTGATGATTAGTTGTCGTCTCAATCTGTTGTGTATTAGAAGCAGGTGGAAGAGGAGGTTCACGCAAAACTGGCATATCATGATTCTTTAAAACTTCTTGTTGTTGCTGTAAATAAGATGCTGCAAGTGAAGTCTCTTCTTCTTCTATCACAGTTTTGGTATTATAATTTTCACCACCATTAACAATGTTACCAATCTGTTCTCGAAATCTATTATTGGATTGAGAACTTCCACCGAGATAAGAAGAAGAGTTGGGTGAGGGAGTTGATGAAGCTGATTGTAAGTGTTTTGAGCTTAGACGAAGACCTGGTTTACGTTTACTAGATTTTGGTTGTCCCAAAGCTAAATCAGGTGTAAGTGACATGATGTATTAAAAAAAATAAAAAAATAAAAAAATAAAAAAATAAAAAAATAAAAAATAAAATAAAATAAAATAAAATAAAATAAAATAAAATAAAATAAAATAAAATAAAATAAAATAAAATAAAATAAAATAAAATAAAATAAAATAAAATAAAATAAAATAAAATAAAATAAAAAATAAAAATAAAAATAAAAAAGGAGTGAAATGCTGCTAAAGAAAGAGAAAAAAAAAACTCGGATTTTCTCCAGCAGCTGAGTTTGTTTGGTTATAAATATCAACTTATGTTGGTAAAGTACATGTTAGGCAGAAATTCCTATTTCAGGCTTGTACTTTTTTTTATTTTATTTTATTGGGTTATGTTTACCCTTTTGCAATGGTAGAAGTATATACACTATTTTTAAAGATGAATATCTGTAAGCAAAACAGAAACTGAACAAGATGTTATATCGCATTTCTTTTTTTTTTTTATTGTTACTCTATTATATATATTTAATCAAAGATGTCCTATTTCACATAAGAACCCCGTTATATAAATATATATCTATCTTTGATCTTTTTTTTTTTCCTTTTTGCTGATAATTAACATCTGACCTACCAGTCAGCTTAAATACATCCCATCTTTTCGTTGTTGCTCAATGCCCTTATAAAGAAAAAGCTTACGAATGCTTTTAGCTGCTGTCATATCTTGAATATTACTCACTTTACGCTTTGATTATACAGTTGTATAATGGTTTAAATATTGAGATTTATCTGACAAACTTTGTTTGTAACATGTTTATTCGTCTATTTTAATGACAGTAGCTTTATTACTGGCTAAAGATAACACATACATAAACTAGTGTATGTATATATTGATAGTATCAAAAAATTCAGGGCAAATAGAATTTAAAGATGTAAATGCTAAATCAATTTATTCATAGTAAGTTATGTAATAATAATAATTTTTATTATAATTTGATAGATTATCTATGCTCTTACATTAACCTTTTTTTTTTCATTAAGCGTTAGGAATAAGCTTTAAACAAAGACAATAAATGTGAATACTTGGATGCAGAATATATAAAAAAAAATAAATTACACATGTTTACATGAAAATATAAAATAAGACTTGCCTTTTATGTCAATAATTATTCTATTTTTATGCTGAAAAAACAATGTTTTATTTTTCTTAAAAAAGGCATGTAGTATATACTATTAAAATTACAAATTATTAATATAAATGAATACATATGAATACATATTTGTGATCAATAAGTACGCTGTCATAAGAACTGATTCCCCTCAGTTATTTCATCAAAAGAAAAAGTTAGCAGAAACTAAAAACCCTTTGAAGACAAAAGGGGGTTTCTTTTTTTTTTTTTTTTAAGGAAAAGTAAAGGCTATAGTTAGGTAGAAATATACTTTCATATGTCTATCGGGAAAAGAATATGCAAAAAGAAGAAATGGTTTCACAGAGAGGTAGGCTGAGATAACCCACTCAATTAAGAGAGAGCCAGCAGCATTGGAGAAAGGAGGAACGGTGAAATGAGCCAGATAGTCTATCTAATATGAATAGTATCTGTAAAGTAAGGTGGAGCCATCTTGCTATGAAGTCATTAAATAAATATTTATTTAGTTATTTAATATTATTATATTCCAGTACAGTAGAATTCTGTATATTTTATTTACACTTTTCATACTTATCCTATACAGTAACTTACAAAAATGTTATAATATTTTCTCTGATTTTTGTCTATTTTACATGCTACTTTTTTTTTTTCTTTTCTTTTAATTCTCGAAACTAGAGGTTTTAAGACATAGCATATTGATATTTTATAAACTAGGCAAAATATCCAAATTGCCTATTCCACCCATCTGCGATGTAAGCTTAAAAGATTCAATCAAAATGGGTTTATTAAGAAATAATTAACGATGATTTTATAAATACCTTGAGAACGTTATTTTTCAACCGGGATAAGAGTCCAAGAAATTCTGTTAAAAAAAAAGAGAGAGAGAGAGAGAAATAAACGTCCTTGATTTCCCTTCCTACTCAACAGATCTAAATCCAATCGAAAATTATCTATAGTTTTACCTGAAATGGAAACTTACTGCTTATGATATACTCCCTTCCCCTAAAAAAAAAAAAAAAAAAAAAAAAAAAAAAAAAAAAAAAAAAAAAAAAAAAAAAAAAAAAAGAAAAAGAAAAAGAAAAAAAAAACTTAAACGAGCTTTGAGAAAAAAATAGCTAATATTCAGTATAACATAATTATTGCTAAATTATGTTTAAGACATAGAGAAGCAGAAATTAATTTTTGCATAAATTTTTTATGTATATAGAAAACAATTCTTCAAAAATGAAAGTAGTTCTTTGCAAATTGAAAAAATTATTATTTACAATGGAAAGCAAGGATTAGTGCCCATGCCAAATACAGTTAATAAACTGTGTCAACTATTGAAGAAGAACACCACAACCACAAAGCGTCGTTTGATATCAGAAGGCTCCCACTCCTTAGGCTTCTTTCTATTCTGTCATGCTGCATACTTACATTGGCAGTTCATTACGATAAGTGTCAATATGCTTGCAAACTTTGTGAAAGAGAAGTTACATTGAGGGTTTTGTTAGCCAACTGGAGATATTTTATTGGATTTTTAGGTTTGAAAAATTTCATTTTAAAAAGGTAGGTAAGCGAGTCTCAAACATCCTTGCATGCTTGTATAAACAAGAAACATTTACTTAAAATAATAACACCCGGCCCCCTTTTTTTTATATATACATATATAGTTTAGAAGAGCTAATGCCATCTGGTGATAGTTAAAGCCTATTTGGGAGCATAGTCAGAACGGGTAGTTATTCAGTTGATTATCTATTCTATAAAAGAAAGCGATTGGAATCTATATATAACAAAGATATTATAATAACTGTAACCTGGCTCTTAGAAGATTTTGATTCTATAGAATCAATTACTACACACCTACTAATAACTTTGAATTTTAGACGTAAACTCCATTTTTTCAAGCAGCAATTGATTCAGGTGATAGAAACATTCTATTCAGAAGATGCACAACTAAAGAGTTTTACCATTTAATTGGGGTCAACTCAGATCCACGTCCAACTTTTAATAAAGAAAAAATAGAATACGAATGGTCCAGCTTGAAAGAGACGCATTCGACGTCAAAAGCAGCTAGGATGGATTAATACCACCTTTATATCGAATATCTTTTTCACTTTTTACGATCAAAAAATTAGCTAAAAAAAAAAAGACGATTTAAGTTGTATCAAGGAAGGTAAAAAGTGTTAGAATGAATGGTTCATATTCTGATCAATAGTGGTAGTAAACACAGTAGAAAGAAGATGTAATATCTCTATTAAGATATCAGAATAAAGATAAATATAAAAAGACTACAACCAGTTAACGAGGCCGAACAATAGTTCCAAAAATGGATTATTTCATTTAATATCGGAGAATCAGAGAGGAATTAGAAAAGTATTAGTTATAACCAAATAATATATATTGTATTCTTAATGAAGTATATAGTGTCCTTAGTAAACTTATAAATTATGAAGGAGTATATAAGTAAGTTAAAAATCCTTTACATACATATATGTATATGAATATATAATATATGAATATGTATTATTTGTTTAGGCATATTTAATCTGGGATTAAATAAAGGGTAATTAACTCTGACTACCTTATTCTGTTGATCATCGACTTATTATGTTAGATCGTAACAGAAGAGGAACGAAAAGCATTCGAGAAGAAGCAAGTTGAAGAAGTAATAGACAGATTAATATTGGTTTGTATATGTTTACAGTGGCTGCATCGGCTCGGGTGATACTCTGAATAGGTTGAGCAAATGTGTACCATCCAAGTTCAAATAGTATCCCGTTAGTTGTGTTTGGTGTAAGTATGTTCGGCAAAGACCTGATGAAGTTAAAAGGTCACAGATGTGGTGTAACAGCTTTGTTTTGGCATGCATTTTTTTTTAAAAAAAAAAAAAAAAAGAGAGAGAGAGAGGCTGAAGGTAAATTAATTACCATCACCATTGATGAGTACTTTACTTCTCAGGTGTATAGCAAATGTAATAGTCAATCATTAACTGATATTGGCAATAGAGGTGCCATCACCGTCTAATGTAAATTATGTGGAACTCTCTAGCAAAGGGATGTCAATACCTTGCTTGATGTGGGAAAAGAAAGGTATTCAGACTACATTCAAAAAAAAAAAAAGGCCAGTCTGCAGCAACATCAGCAGCCACTTTATCCAAATTGTCATAACAGAAGCAGTTTACCTACCCAGACTTTGGATTAAGTTTTCTTTTACAGTTAAATAATTTTATTACAGGAAGATTTTATTGGACGATTCAAGTCTCATTTGGAAGTTTTTATTAAATTCGACCAATAGAACTTTCCAATTACCGCCCTTTTTTTTAGGTTAAAATTCTACTCTGTTTAAACATAGTGTCACATTGAATTCACCAAAAGGGGCTTTATTTCACAAGTTTTCAATCAATAAAAAATAATATGCCTTTGATTAGATCCTAATTATTTTTTCTCCTTTTTCCCCCTACTCTTAAACTTGCATATATAAATATACTCTCCTTTCCTCTATATAAATATATACAAATACACGTATACATTATATACCAATTCCCCTTTCCTTTCCTTTAAACTAAGAATTCATGCTTAAAAAACTATCCTTTCATTTACACAAATCACAACCGTAAGAGCATATAAAAAAATTTAAAACTATAAAATTATTAATTGTATTTCTTAAAAGACAAAAGCATGAGCAATTGAATCGAGATTCTTTAATTGATCCCGAGGTTTCAGGCCGTTATGTTACAATGAACACAGATTATACTCGAGATGCATTTATTGGTAAAAAAAAAGAAAAGAAAAATAAATGGAAATAAAAGATATATTTACTAGAGATATTTATTGAACCTATCTTTTAACAGAGCCAAATGTTTCTACAATAGTAGTAAAGCCAGTAAGCCAAATAATGGATATGCATTCATATCAATTTTCTGAAGAAAATTATGGACATTATCATTCAAATACTATTCGAAGTTACACAGAACAAGATGATAGTAATTTAAAACCTCCTCCATTAACAATTGATCATTTTAATAATGAACCAGCATCTTCTGGAATGAGAAATTCACACAATTTTCCCTCACCTGCTTCCATTCCATCTCCACTTACCCCGCAATTTGAAGATAAGATGAGTAGTACTAAATCCGTTTCAGAGAGTGAAATAGAGATATTAATACAAGAAGGAATTACTTTTCATGAAAAAGGTCAACTTGAGAAAGCAACCCAATTGTTTCGTATTGGTGCTGAGAAGGGAAATCCAATTGGCATGTTTCTTTACGGTGTCTCATTAAGGCATGGTTGGGTAACAGTCAGCATAATATTTATATATAATTGTTCATTTAGGGTTTTTTTTTAAATGATTTTATAGGGATGTAAAAAGAATGAACATATTGCCTTTCAGTATCTTCAAAAGGCTGCTGAACATGCAGTAGAAGATCTAGCAAACATTACAAATACAGTCAATACATCCGCTTCTAAACATGAACTCATTATGGCTATTTATGAGTTAGGAGTTTCTCTTAGACATGGATGGGGCGTAAAGTTTGAAATAATTTATTAGTAACTTATATAACTTACATTACTCTTTTTTTTTTTTTTTTCCTTTTTGCTAGTGTAAAAAGAATAAAGAATCTGCTGTTCAATTTTTCAAAATAGCTGCCGATTTAGGTGATCCTGATGCACAAAATGACTTGGGACATTGTTATTATCATGGACAAGGCGTTAAAAAGGACTTATATTTAGCTGCTAAATATTATCGCAAAGCTGATAAACAGGGTCAGGGTATTATGGGCAACTCTTGGATTTGGAAGCCTAAATATGATAAACCTCCAAAATGAAATTACACGTGACTTAACGTATTTTTTATATAAATGTTATAATTCTTCCTTTTTTCATAAAATTTATTAATTGAAACTCGTTGTCAACAGCGAATTCATAGTTTTTTTTTTAAAAAAAAAAAAAATAAACCAATATATATAATCAATAATGGCCTCAGCCAAAGTAATGGCTAAGCTTCAGGCAGATCAAAATTCCATTGCTCAAATGGCTGAACTTCATGCAAAGCAAGGAGCAATATTAACATCATCGTTAACTAAAAAAGCAACTGCAGCAGCTCAACGTTGGCATCAATCAGTTTTAGCAACGCAAGCAGCACAGAAAGTAAGTTTGTAATCAATTATCCATTTTGAATTATCAATCTTACTTTTTTTTTTCTTTTAATAAATTCGAAATTAAAAAGACTCCACCAGTTAGAAATGAGATAGGTTTGTATAGATGTATATTTTTTTTTACATTTCACTGAAAAAAGCAGCCAGTAGTCTCATCATTATATATTTTTCTATTAACAGAATTACTACAAAGACACGAAAATGACTCACCATCACTTTGCCTACATTTATATCCAACTTATTTCAAATTCGAGCACGAGGTTGGTAACGAAGTGTAGTCAATTTGTTTTGAATAGAACTGATTTTAAGATTACTACTTTTTAACTAGGATGGATTCTTTTCATATAAAAGTCAATTTAAGGTTTTTCATTTTGAATGCAAATTTACTTAAACTTCTTCTTTTTTTGTTCAATTATTAAATACTTTTTGTGTTTTATAAAGGATTTCTTGACTTGTATTAAAGATAAAAAATTACCTGGCGACTTGATGGATGTTTTCAATAAGGCTTCTTGTCGTTATTATGATGGTAGGATATTATCTTAGATTTATGCATAGTATTTAATTTTATTAATATTTCTTTTAGGCTGTCTTATTGTTGAAATCCATGATCATCGTTCTAAAAATGCAGAGCCTTCTAAAAAAAGAATTGTAATGAAACCTACGGCAGAAAGTATTTGGACAGATATCACTTTATTAAGTGAAGAATGGGGTTTTCCATGTACAGAAGATATTGCATTAGAAGTTGAATCTCAAATCCTTGTAACTAAAACGAATGATGTTTATATCAGATTTTCTAGATATTAAGTTTTTATTTTATTATGTATTAGATTGCTACAGAAGAACCACTTTGTCTTGATCCTTCCTTTCAAGTCTCGCGTATTAGTAATGCAATTCAATATACTACTTGTCAAAGAAAGCCTAAAAGAAAACTAAAATATAATTCTGTTGAATGTGAACAAAAACTAGCTAAGAAAGCTGAAAATAATAAATTAATGACGTTAATGGATACAGTGAGTGGCTTGTTCCATTTTATACACTAGAATAGCTAATTTTTTTTTTTTTTTATTGTTTAATACTTAGAGAGCCAAACGTGCATTTCCCTTTGAACCTAGCTTTGGAAAAATATCATATGTACAGGATTGGAGAGCGAAAAAGCTTAAATTAGGGTCTGAACCATTGCCTGCAATTGATATTAAAAAGGGGAAAGGAAGGAAAGGTATATTAGAGCCACCAGCGCTGCCGGATGGACGAAAATGTTCTAGGACTATCCGATTTGAGAGGACAGAAGGCGATAAAAAAGTATTTACAATTGTTAATTTATATGTATGTAATGGTGAATATGACGGGGTATTTAGATGGGGTACAGTGTATGATACAAGTATCAATGGAGGTAATATCGACTTCATTATTGGTCCAGAATATCTAATGGAAAGTTATGTTATACATCTCAAGTCTACTTATGGCCGTTTTAATACAATTGTATGTGATAATACAAATACAAATACTGTACCGCCCTCACCATCTGTTGTACGTTTACCTGCATCAATGCAACAACAAATCCCTCAACAGGCTCAACAACATGTAACAGGTTTTCAACTGCAGCAGTTACATGCTCAGCAAAATCGTGCTATGCAAGCAAGAGTTGCTATGCTTTCACCTAACCAAAGGGCATTGCTTGCTCAAGCGCAGGCGCAGGCGCAGGCGCAGGCTCAAGCTCAAGCACATAAACAACAGCAACAGCAACCACCACCACAACAACAACAGCAACTACCACCACCACCACCACAACAACAACAACAACAGCAACAACAACAACAGCAGCAACAGCAACAGCAACAGCAACAGCAACAGCAACAGCAACAGCAACCACAACAACAGCAACAACAACAACAGCAACAACAACAACAACAACAACAACAACAACAACAACAACAACAACAACAACAAAATGTGTCGAATCAAACTCAGTTACAGGCACAAGCGCAAGCACAAGCGCATATGCAGCAATTACAACAACAGGCTGCTCAGTCAAGGATTTCTACACCTCTACAATCACATCTAAGTACACCTACTACTTCTAATGCAACGCCTTTGCAACAACCTGCATCATTACCACGCCAGCAATTGACCTTACCTAGCAATAATTTAAAACTACAGCAACAGACACCCACTCTAACTCAAGCACAGCTGCCTACTCAACAGATAACCACAATACCGCAACAACAACAACAACAAACTGCTGCTATGCAGTCTATGGCATTACCGCAACGTTCGGTGCAGGTTTCAGCACCTGCCTCGCAAATTGCCAATATGCTGCCAGTTAACAATAATACTAGTTCTTCGGTCGTTGTAAGTAGCATCGTAGCATCAGGGCAGCCACTACAAAATGCACTACCCAATAATATGGTAAATATTCAACAAGCAGCACTTGCACAAGCACTAAGTAATGTAAATGGTCAACAACTTTCAACACAAGCATCTTTTCAACGTATTCAACAGTTGGTTGCTACTGGCGCTATACCCATTGCAGCTGCACAACAGTTAGTAAATCAGTTAGTAAATTCTGGAAATTTATCAAGACAACAACAACAGCAACAGCAACAGCAACCACAAACACAACAGCAATTACAATCACAACAACAACATCAACCTCAACAGCCCCAGCCTCAGCAACAGCAACAGCAACAGCAACAGCAGCAGCAACAGCAACAGCAACAGCCGCAACAACAACAGCCGCAACAACAACCTCAACAACAACCTCAACAACAACCTCAACAACAACCTCAACAACAACCTCAACAACCTCAGCAACAACCGCAACAGCAGCAAACATTTACTCAACAATCGCCTATTCAGCAAAGAATAGCTACAGGTATGCAACCACAGCAAGCTAATGTTGCTCCACAAACTCAACCAAATACTACTGTTTCACAATTCCTAGCACAATTTAGTCCTCAACACCAGCAACAGTTAACTGTAATTATGACACGTCGTAACCAGTTACTTAACCTTGTAGCACAGCGAAGTATAACTCAAGAAGACTTTCAGACTCAAATGCGTCAACTACAGCAGTTACAACAAAATGTTATCCAACAGCATCAACTTCAACAACAGCAACAAGCGCTTCAACAAGCGCAGGCTCGTGCTGCTGTTGCTGCTGCTCAAGTCGGGCGTACACCACAAATGGCTGCAGTTTCACATCAGTCACCAAACCTATCTATCACACCTCAACAGCAACAAACCTCACCTACTAATGCACAAATTAGTCCACAGCAAGCTCAGTTAATACAACAAATTATGATTCAAAGAAACCTGAGTGCTGCAATGCGTGGTCGAGGACGGGGTCAAGTGACTTTAACTCCACAGCAAATAAATGCTATTCAAGCTGTACGCCAAAATGGAGGTGTAATACGTAGTAACAATCCAGTTCAAGATATTAATCGTGCAGCTATATTATCAGGGTTAAATCAAAACAGACTAAATGCTTTACAACAAGCTGCAGCGACATCGGGCACAGCAAATACAGCAATAGCAGGTGTTGCTAATAATAATTCATCTGCTGCTGCTGCTGCCGCTGCTGCTGCTTTATTAAATCAACAAGGACTACAGCAGTTTCAATTAGCTTTACAATATCAGCAACAGCAAGCTGCGGCGGCAGCAGCTGCGGCGGCTCAACAAAGAAATAACGTATTAAATTTCCAACAACAACAACAGCAACCACAACAACAGCAACAGCAACAGCAACAGCAACCACAACAGCAACAACAACAACAACAGCCTCAGCAACAAGCCCAATCTCAAGGAAATAACACAGTACCTAATAACGCTAATACGAATGTATAGAATTTTCTTTATATATTATTATTTATTATCTTAATTTGGAATAAGTGCATTTCATAAGAGATTACCATATATGGATATTTGTTTTCAAATTGGTTTTAAAATTTCATACAATAAACTCTTTATGTTTTATTTTTATCATTCTTTTATTTTTTCATTTTCATTTTATTATTATTATTATTATTTAGCTTAAAATATGCCACCCAATACACAGCTTGAGCAAGAAGCAGAAGAAATGGATACACCTATTTCATTCGTTCATCATTTTTGGTCAAAAGATAAGACGGGCATGAAGAAATTAATAAATCATATTAAATCCACTCATGAAGATCTTAATAAGGTTTACAATATCTATATTGAAAGGTTAGTAGTCAGGATATTGATAGACAAATACACACACACACACACACATACTTGATAACGAATGAATTATATAAACTAGAGCACAAATAGAGCGAGAGTTTGGAGAAAAGTTATTACTGTTATCAGAGAAAAACAGTCATGAGGCATCCAAAGACGGAATACCAGCTGCCTTTGATACAATGGTTATGGAATTAAAAAATACAGCCAATTCACGATTAGAGTTGGCGGATAAATTACAACAAGAACTAGCAGGTGAATTTGAGTCAAAATTAGAGGAATATAAACTTTTACTTGAAAAATGGACGAAATCATTGGATGAATTATATCAGGAACGTCAAGAAATGATAATGGAGTTGCTAAAGGTTATTTAACAAAGACTTTTTTTTTTTGTTTTCTTTTAAATGCCTTCTTAAAAAGAGAAAAAAAAATTGAATTTATATATATATATTAGACCCGAGCAAAATATTTGAAGGAGCATGAGATTTCAAAGGGACAAATGACCCCTATCATGGAATCGTTGAGTAAGTTTAAATATTCTTGATTTTTTTTTTTTTTTTTTTTTTTTACATTATCATTTATGTTATTTATTATAGAAAGTCACTACAAAACCTTAGTAGCAGAAGTAGATGAAGTAGCTCAAGAATGGAATTCATTATGGAAAGAAGCATGTGAGGTAACTGAAATATTTTATTATTTTGTTTCTTTATCTTTAAAAAAAAACAATGCCCTTATTCTACTCTCCCCTCTTTTTGAAATATGCTAAAGGTTATGGAAGCAATGGAAGAAGATCGAGTAGAGTTTTTGAAAAGCAATATTTGGGAATATGCTAATTTAACCTCAGCAACGTTACTTGTTCAAGATGAGGTAATGTATATATATAATGTGTGTGCGTGTGTGTGAAGTAATTAACACTCATTATAAAAGTGGTGCGAAAACATTCGTAAACAATTAGAGCAATGTAATGTTGATATAGAAATTGAGAGATGTATTTCATTATGTGCAACTGGCTCAAAAATACCAAGTAAAGATTTTTTTTTTTTATCTAATTCGATTTATATACACAAAAGTGAATGTTAACTGCTTTCTGTTATTACAGCTACAAATGAATATGTGGGAGAATTAATGAAAGAGCAAAAGAAGAAGCATCAGGCTTATTCGGAAAGATCATCTAAAGCGCCTACTCCACCTACAAAGCCACATCGTCAACAGGAAAGATTTAGTTGTCAGTCCACAGAGCAACAACATAGAAATAAAGAAAATTTCAATTCCTTAAGAAACAAATCAGATTCCTCAAGGCAATCAAACATGAATTATGATGACCAGCAACAACAGGACGCCAGCACAACACAATCCCAACGAAGAATACGAGATACTCCTTCGGATACGGAGCAAAATACAAAGCCATCTATACCAACAGTAGATCAAGGAACTTATGGACGTAACAGGAATCCACAAATGAATATTATGCAGAAAAATGTAAGCAGTAATATAGGTAGTACAGCTACTCGTGGTCAAATCAAAAGAAAGCCTTTGAATAAAACGTTGATGGAACAAGTATCAAATGAAATGGCTATAGCTCGTCAACAGCGAGAGATTGAACAACGACAACAGAAACAGAATGATAACTTTTCTACATCTTCGCCCACTATAAGAGAAAGTATGTCATCACATCATAAATCAGCTTCAAATGGATCACTTGAATCTTTACTAAAGACATTCGAAGGCACTAACTCGACAGCGACAATTCCTTCCGACTCAACATTACCAACACGTAAATCTTCTCAATCAAATACATCCATAAATGATGAGATTAAATCATGTCGTCAGCCCTCAGAATATAAACCTGATGCATGCTCCATTCCTACGAGACGCGGTCCTACAACAAATACGCCACAGGATAATATAGATGACACTTCAAGCTTAGACAAGTCCTGTCCCTCTAAAATGATTCAAGAGCCTTTATCAAATCCCGCTATTACTCCTAAATCACCCCGTCCACCACCTCAACAAATTGTGCTTGATAAGCGTCCACCTACTGATAGCTATCCTGAACAACAAAGACTTGGACATCAAACTCAACAGGTACAAAATTATCAAACAACATCATCCCCAAATAAAATGCATTCAACGCAAGATCCTTACTCAACTTGCACATATATACCACCACAACAATTTGCTGTAGGTCAGCCCTCATATATAGGGCAGCAGCATATGAATCAACCATCTCAACCCTCGCCTCTAATGCAGCCCGTGCATTCACCTATGATGCAACCAGTTCATTCACCTATGATGCAGCCCGCGCATTCACCCATGATGCAACCAGCTCATTCACCTATGATGCAGCCCATGCATTCGCCCATGATGCAACCTGTCCATTCGCCCATGATGCAGCCGCAAAGATCACCTATGATGCAACAAGCTCATTCACCTATGATGCAGCCCATGCATTCGCCCATGATGCAGCCACAAAGGTCTCCTGGGATGGCGCCTTCACCGTTAATACAGCCGCAACCACCATATAATACTCAAAGAGGTGGTACACTTCCACCACCCATCACTATTCCTCCTACTACTAACTTTGCCGTAACTCCTCAGCCCTCTCCTTCTATATCCTATACTAATTTAGCTGGCAGTGGCGGTGTTTCTCCTGGTGGTGTCCTCCCTCCACCTGCTTCACCACAGCAATTGCCACTAAGGCCACATCAATACTCTGATGGCCAACCTATTCAATTCTGGGGTAAGTTTTATTATGAAAAAAGAGAGAACCAAAAATATAAACTCATAACATCTTTATAAACACACATACATACACATATATTTATATTTATATACATGTATACATTTATAGCGCGAGCAAAATATGATTATGAAGCTAGTGACAGTGATGAATTATCATTTAAGGCACATAATTTAATTGGTGTCTTGGAAGCAGATATTACACAACAATCATGGTGGTTAGGCGCTATTTGGGATGAATATCGTCAAGTATGGTCTGCTACTGGTTCAATTCCAAGCAATTTTATGGAAAGTTGTTAAAACCTTTACCTTTGTATATAATGTTTATTATTATTAATAAATTTTTTTTTCTTCTTCTTCTTCTTTGAGAAAAAAAAAAAAAGAGTATATATGTACAACGTGTGTGTGTGTTCTTTAATCAAAAGAAGCCAATTTTTGCTTTAATGTTGCAATCTGGGAATTAATTTCTTGTTGAGCTTTATCCAAACGTTCAATTTCCTCTTGTTCTAATTGTACACTAAATAAGGGCATTAAAGGATCTTTAATTGATTTCTTGTTTGGTAAATTGAGTGACAAAGCATTATGTTCAGAAAAGAGTTGATATAGTGATTCCGTTGGTTCATTAAATACGAATTCATCATATAATAAACTCATTACGGGTTTATCCTTGGGCCATGGTTGTCCATTTAGATCATCTTCATAAGGATGAAGTCGTAAATGATGATACAAGACAACTGGTTTTTCACTAGCAGCTGGTTGAAAATATATTTTGATCATTATTTCAAATTCACCCCATCCTGTTTCTGATATTTCATATGGTGGATGCTCAACAGCTAGAAAACGGATAATTAAAACGTGTTAGAGAATAAATAAATAAAAAAGATGTATATATTCATCTCTACTCATTATGTATTATGTTTTACTTCTTAAAGGGTTGGGATATGTTTCGTGAAGCTTAAAGACTACTTTTTTAATGTAATAACTAAGATCTTCATTATTTAATCCCTTCACCATAACTGTCCATTTATGAGTATGATCTGATTCAGCTACCTTTTTCCCGTTTAATGGTGTAGCTATACTTCCATAATAGAAAGGCCTTGATACACTAATTCCTTTAATTCGTTTATTTCCACTTGACATTATAGAATAGAATTAAAAGACTTTAATAATAATATGAAGCAGCGCTTTTTTTTAATTGGTGATAATTTTTTTTTTTTTTTTTTTTTATTTATTTTATTTTTATTTATTTATTTATTTATTTCGCACTTGCAGTAGTAGTAGTAGTAGTAGTAGTCATCCTTTTACGGTCCTTATTTTGTTTAAAGCATAAAAATTGAATAACAGTACTTTTACGACTAAAGACAAGTAATTCTTTTACATGACTTAATTCAGATTGAAGATTAGCTGATTGCTGTTGTTGAGGATCATAGGCTTGTTCTATAGTTTGATAAATAGATTGAAGGGTATTAGATGCAGCAGGTGTTACATATTGTGATAATGTTTGATGCATAAATTCGATTTCTAATGTAGCTTGAAGCATACCACCCATTCCAAATCTTTCTACTTGTCTAAAACTATCTAAGCAATCAGTTGCCATATTTTCAAGTAATTTGGACAATGCTCTTGGTATTAATTGTTTAGCGATGCTACTGATTTGTGAATGTACCATGACAAGCACCATGAGTGCTTCGTATACGAAAGGATGGACTTCTTGTGGTTTAGGAATACTAGACCAATCAATGCCACTCATAAGAATACCTTGTCTAATTATATCACGAATTTTTTGTGATTTACGCTTAATATAATCACCAAATAAAATTTGATCCAATCGATCAATAACGTCAATTAAAGTCTATAGTGAATGAATAAGATAAGTAGATATGAGATTATATATGTATTTCTTACATGTAAGTCTTCATTCATTTGTATATTGTATGCAGCTTCAAATAAACTAATTAGTTTTCGTATGACACTTGCTCGCATATGTTCCAGATTACTAACAGTTAATAAAATACGTATATCTACGGAATCAACATCAATCTTATCCCTTTTCTTTGCTAACAGAATCTCTTCTTTTTCATTAAGTGGAGTGTAATTGGCAAGGGCTAATTGAACTAATCCATCCAAGAAAGTATACATAGATTCTAAGAAAGATTCGCGTACTTTTTCTATATAGTTTGGAGCAATGAGTTGTTTTTCCTGTTCATTTATATTATCTGGTATAGCTGATAGACTAGCGATCTTATAAGCAGACCTTGCACAAAATTTATGATAGTCGTAATATCGTTTTAATAATGTTGTAATTCGAGGGTTTTGTGAATCTAATATCCATTCTTCCAACATGTAAAAATGCTTTGCATCTCTTTCCCAACATTTACAAGCCACATCAATAAATTTAGATCTTGTTTTCTCTATTAACTCTGACAAACCAGAAAATGCTTCACCCGCTAAATGAATGCTATTGATATCATTGACACAATTCGCTAAATCACTAATAATCAATGTCAAGTATTCGGATGTGTAAATAGAGTTTGTATTGATAGGCACAAATGAGGGCATTGAATATGTTTCAGATCCATCCATATTTTTTTTCATTTGAAGATGTCTCTGGTTAAGGGAGAAATAGTCTGATATGAGTGAAGCATATCTTCCAATGATTTCTTGTGTCATTCGTTGACATTGTTCTACTTTAGCCATGTCCATACCATGACGTCTTCTTCGTGATGAAGGTGTAGTTGGACTCGTGGTATTGTTGGTATTTCCTGATCCAGAAATGGATACTACTGATTTATTAGTAAATTTGCCTTCAATAAAAGCTGTCGAGAGTCTCCAGAAATCAGGTAAACATCGTAATAAAAGTGAAGATAAAGACTTTACTAAATCTAAAATGGCTTGCCAAATTTTTAATTCATGGGTTGATTCCGTATTGAAATCAGTTATCTTTTTCTGTATTTGTCCAATTGCCTTTTTAAGTGACAAACTACGTTTAACAATCGATTCCTCGACATGACTATTTTCTTGATTTAAACTATTGATCTTTGCTACACATGCATCATAAGTCTCCTTCATTAATCCCATAATCCATTGATATTGACTATCCAAATAAAACCAAGCAGGGTCTTCAGTTGTATCCAAATCAAATAGAAAGCTAAAAAAAAAAAAAAAAAAAAAAAAAAAAAAAAAAGAAAGAAAGATACACATCGTTAAGTTTATTTTTACGCCTTTATTCTTTAACTTACTCGATTGTCTTTTCTTGATCCTCCATACTTCTCCATGGATCAGCTAACATTTTAAGTAATATAGTTTGTAATTCAGCGACAATCTTATTTACTTCTTCCCAAACTTTGTCAAAGACTTTATGGTGTAATTCAGTCAATCCTTTCTCTTTTTCAATTTCACCTAAGCCTGATGTTCTATCTGTTGTACCTAGATCTCCCTTAAGCACTTGATATAAATATTTGCCTTTTTTATAGTCTCTAATAGCTGCCTCATATTTATTCTTAAAGATACTGCTTAGTTTTTTTTTTTTTCTTTTCTTTTCAATATGTGTGTTTATACCTGTTTAATTGATTCTAAAAGATTACTTGGTAAATTAAATAAGAATTTATATCTTTGTAAAACATATAATGTATTTTTCACTTTTTCTACTCTTTGACGTCTCTCAACTACTGGACCATATACTTGTTCAGCACGATTATTCGCATCTATAAACATAGAGTCTTATAAGTGGAACATGTATTTCTATTGTGTGTGTGTGTGTTTTTTTTTTACCATTTAAAGCAGCTTGAATACCAATAGTTCCATACTCTTGTTGCTGGTTTAGTTGCTTTGATTTCATTTCTTCATAAACATGGTCAATCGTATTTTTAGCACTTACAAAACGATCAAAGTTTTGATGTACAAGGTTTTTTAAGGCTTCAGCCCTTTGGTCAACTCCTCTTCTTAAACGGTCTTCACCTGCTACAAGGTCATTATAAGAGGTATTTTTATGAACTTGAAGTAAAAACTGTCGAGGCTGAAATTTCTTATTGGCAATCATGATGGTTGTTTCTATAGAGAAAGAAGAGTGCGAGAAACGAAATAAGTTTTTTTTTTCTTTTCAATAATACAAAGCTTGGTTTGTTTTACTTTCTTTTAATTGTGAAATATTCGTATTTCTAGATGGACCGCTTTATGTAGAAATGGTTAAATTAATTCCTGCAAATATATATATACACACACACACATATATATATGGCTCTTACTCTGGAAATATAGAACGATATACTCCCAAAGGATCGCTATCGTCAATAATTTGTAAATCAATATCATTTTCAGGAGGAGGAATAGAGATGCTATTTACAGTATCTTCTTGTTCGGGATGTTGAAATTGACGAATACTTGATTCCTTTTCAGTTTCTTGATTGTTGTCAGAAACAACACCATCATCTATCCAAACATCAGAATCAAGTGAATCAAGATGATAAAACCTCAGGATGGCAGCATCTTCAGCATATTCTGGTAAATCTAGCCGCTCCATTATACGACAATAGTAAAATGGATAGAAAAAGTGTTTTCCAAGCACACTAATTCTTTTGATGATATTTGCTCCAATCAAAAAGCAGAGAATTCTAATTATTAAACGTCAGAGCATCAACACTTTCTTAAAAGGTTAACAAAGCGTATTTAGTAGGATTCATACATTCTGTAGAAGCATTGTCAATCGAGTCATTAAAACACACACACACACACACACACACACACACAAGCATACACACATTCATTCATTTCTATTAATGAGCCTCATTAGATAATAACTGTAATTCATTATTTCAATGAAAGATAGTATATCTATCTTTTTTTTTCTTTCTTTCTTTCTTTCTTTCTTTTCTCAAATTATTAAAGGATAAATGATTCATAATAAATGTTTATTAAAATATATAAAAGTATCATCAAAAGTTGATATTTTTGGTAGTAAGCAAGCAGGCAAAAGGAAAGAAAATAAAATTAAAAAAATTAATCAAGTCTAAATTCTTTGTTTCCACCAACTTTGAGAATCTTTTCATCACCACTCAAGACAGAACTTCTTCTACGTTCTTCAATATTTTGTTTCATTTCCGAAGCTAGTTCCTTTGCTCTTTGAGCAGGAGACATACTATGCTGCCATTGCTTTTGTGATGAATCATTTTGAATGAAAGCTTCTTTATCAGCTACAGGACGTTGTTGATCTACAGCATGTGGAGAACGACGACTTGAATCATCAGAAGAACCATATTCTGATTGAGTAGATGAAGTTCTGGTGTTATTCAATTTTTCTGGATTATTAGTATTGTTGTGCTGATTAAATTTATTAACAGTGGCAGTAGGCTGAAGATGATAGTGTTGATCCATTTCTTCTATATAATAAAAGATGAAAGAAAAAAAAAGTAGACAAAAACAAAAAATCAATGTCTTTTTTAAAGCATCTTTGTCGTCATTCTTATTGCATTTAGAATTGTTTACAAGAGAGACTTTGCCAATAAATATTAATATTTATGCAAAAAAAAAAATATATTTATACATTATTTAAAACGTAATGATTACTTCATTTAATAATGATGATAAATAATCTTTCTGTGTAATATACTTTAAGGAACAACGAAAAAGTCATTTTAGTGCTTTTCTTTGCTGGAGATTTTATATATATATTTGTATTTATATGCAGATGAATATACATGTGTCATATCTCTTTAAGATTACATAATTAAAAAACAAAGATGAATCCTTTTAATGTGTGTGTGTGTGTTTCCTTATGAAAAATGGTATAATCTAATTTATTTTGGTACATTGATATAAAGGGCTTCATTACCATTTATATCATATCGAGTAGATATAGTTAATCCCTTTAATATGGATTGTGCCTTATTATTAAACATAAAAGATTTTAGAGTTAAATTATCAATCATAGCTAATCCTAAAGGTAACGGGCTTTTGTTAAAATGAGAAAGAACGTCACGAGTAAAATGAGGTCGATTTGGATGATAAGCAGTTGCAAGGATGCCAATCAGGGTCTTTTTCTTTTGACTGCATGATATCACTGTACCTATAAGCTCACGTACATGATCAGGCGTACAACCATGTTTTGTATTTTTACATTGAATAATAACCTGAACATCATTAAACCATTTTCCTCTTAGATCTATTCCACCATCGCTTTTACCCCCTACATGATCTAAATTCATTCCTGTTGTCTGTGTTAATAATGTTAATGTTTGTAATTCAAATAATGTTCCTTTATAGAGTGCTGACGTTATATTCTTTTCTTTTTGATTCAAAAATTCTTGTAATTTATTCGTTGAAACATATCTTTTATTGTGTTTAAATATTTGTTGAATCTTGATGGCATGACTGGTCTTCATTTCTTTTTTTTAAAAAAAAAAAAAAAAAAAAGAGAGAGAGAGAAAGGGAAAGAGAGAGGACTTACAAAAAAAAAAAAAAATTAACTAATTTGGCAAAATTTTTTTTTCTGTCCAGCATTTTTCTTTATGAGTTTTTTAAAAAAGAAGAATAATAAAATAACAGCATGAATAAGAAGGGCTTCATTCCCTTCTACATTCTACGATACTTTAAGGCTATAAAAAGACAAAGAATAAATATTATTTTTTATTTTTCCTGTCTAAACAAAAAATGACGTTCTTAAAAAAAAAAAAAAAAAAAAGAGAGAGAGAGAACCCGCTTAATTTTTTAATCTCAGATCAACACAGAATATTTCATTCCTTCATGTTGAGTAACATCATTTCTATCATTGCAGTAACATTAAGGCCACTATTTCTCATACTTTGGGTCTAGTTTAGTCCTCCGTCTCCTGGGAAGAAGAAAAAAAAAGATATCTTTATACACAAGAATTTTTATTAATTGATATCATGAACTATAGAATTAAGCTTTATGTATTGGATCTCAATCACAGTAAACTTGGTAAGGGTTTACTTTATTTTACTACTGTTTAATATATTATTATGAAAAAGCTTTTATAGGTCTTTGTGACTACTACTATAACATTCTTTACCTTTATTGTAATGGATTATTCTCTTATTCAAAAAATCAGAATGTAACTACTATTAACTCCACTTCTTATACTAGTAGCGAAAGATATTCTATATTTCGTTAGAACCAGTACTACCTATGTCGTCCTTTACATACAAAAAAAAAAAGTTGATGTGTACGATAGGCGTTAGGGTGAGTACCTGGTGACTACTTTATTTTTTTTTTTTCACTCCAAACGTCCTTCTGCATCTACGTATACACGTGCAAGTAGACTCTCTTCCCTTTAGCTAATACCATTTGATATGCAATATTCACTTTGAAATTAGTTATCCCGCAATATAGTTAAATCAATTTCATTTATTACTAAACTAATTTCCTTCACTTTTTCCCGCTCCCTTTTTTTTTTTTTTTACTTCCCATTGATCTGCCCCGGGAAGTTTTTCAGTTCTATCTTGTGTCCATTGGGTTTTAAAATGAAATAAATTAAATTAAATTGCCGATGTATAAAGAAGTAAGAACCATTCCTTTATTTTATTTCATTTCATTTTATTTTATTTTATTTTTGTATATTATTAGAAAGGAAAGGATGAAAGAAAGTATCTCGAACGCAAATTTCCCAAGAGATGAAGAGGATAGGGTATATCATATCAGTGTTAAAGTGGGAGAAGTAGCAAATCGAGTTATTACAGTAGGTGATCATGTTAGAGCAAGAAGAATTGCAAAACTATTGGATTCTGAAGAAGAGTGTGGACATCCTATTTTCGAGAAACAAAGTCAAAGAGGATTTTTGACAATTACAGGAAGATATAAAGGTGTTCCTGTTACTATTATGGCCATGTAAGTAAATAGTTATGTATATGACTAAAGAAAGATAGGGACGATATTGAATCTCTTTTTTTTTTTCCAAAGTGGTATGGGCAACCCTATGATGGATTTTTTTGTTCGTGAAACTCGTGCAAGTGTAGAAGGTGAATTAGCTATTATTAGATTTGGCTCATGTGGTTCTATCACACATTTAGCACCACCTGGTGCTGTCATTGTACCTAGTGCAGGTTATTGTATTCGACGTAATATTGACTATTTTGCTGATGAGCCCCTTTATCCTGAATTAAAAGACAAACCTTATCTCTTTTCCGGTCATTTTAAGGCAGATGAAAAGATGGTAGAGATTTTATCGAATACACTGAAATCGGCTATTGGCGTCATTGAAAGTGAATCAGAGTATGTAGGTCCTGTCTTGACAGGTGGTTTGAACGTGGATGGTTGTTCTTTCTATTCCTCTCAGGGACGCTTTGATCCTACCTTTTGGGATGATAATCAAGATCTTTTAAAGGAAGTCGCTCTCAAGTTCCCAAAGACACATTCTATTGAAATGGAAACATCCATGTTATTTCATTTAGCTCATTGCGCTAAAGATCCAAAGAAACCCATTAAAGCAGCAGGATGTATGCAAGTCTTTGCTGACCGACTTGCTAATGGTTTTATTCAGCCTGAGGTCGTTGCTTTATTAGAACCTGTGGTGGGTAAAGCATGTTTAGATGCCCTCATTCAAATTGACATTGAAAATGAAATGTCTCCTGAAGGCACTGTTTGGGAATGTAAAAAATAAAAATGAGAAAATGAAATAAATAAATAAAATGATTGTCGTAGTCAAACAACAATGATTACGTAATAATAATACTGTTGTTGTTGTTGTTGTTGCTGTCGTCGTTAGAATGCTTTCATTCTGTATATGAATAAACAAAGAAAGAAAGATGATTCCTCCTCTATGTATATGTATACAATATAGATATACACTACGAGGAGAGAATATATGTATTTATTTTAATATAGACTTTCGAGATGGAAGTAGATGATTACTTTAAATGAAGAAGAAAACTAACTATAAGGGGAGAGTCCTGTATCATTCACTTTCTACTAAATACTACTTGTTGGACGGAGATTATAATACTAACTAAGGAAGACCTGCTGTCTTTCAGAGAGAAATCACCTTTTCGCTAGCAATAGTGATTTTGGATATCTACAGGTAATACGCACTAACAGTAATTCATTTCTAATTTTTTCTGTTGAATTCTTATTCGTCTTCATTTTTTTTTGTAGTCTGTCTCAATTTCAAGTACTTTGCTACTATTGAACTTATTTTTAACTTTGTACGACTTTCATTAAATTTAATAAAAGATTGCACAAGTCTTTTATTATTATCATCTCCTTTTTATATTTATCTTTCTTTTTTTTTTTCCCATCTTGAAAAAAAAAATAATAGTAGATTTATAATGTCTGAAAATCTTATTGCCTCACTTCAAATTGGTCGTAATGTTCCCTCTATGTCTGTTGAAGAATATAGAGCACGTAAAGTTGCTCTTATTACTGGTAAGTCTTTTTGACTTTTTATATCATATTTTATTTTTTATTTTGCATACAGCTTCATATACTTACGCGTATCGTTTTTTTTTTATTTTAATAGGTGTTACGGGTCAAGATGGTTCTTATTTAACAGAATTTTTATTAGAAAAAGGCTATGAAGTTCATGGTATTATTCGTAGATCTTCTTCTTTTAATACAGGTCGTATTGAACATATTTATAAGGATAGACATGATCAAAGTAAGTAAAAAAAATAAATAAAAAGATAAAAAAATAGAAAGAAAAAAATAAAAAGGAAAGAAAAAGAAATAAATGTTTCTTCAATACCCCGCTTCGGATTCAATTAAATGATTTTTTTTTTTTTTTAGACGTCAAGTTCTTTCTTCATTATGGTGATTTAACTGATTCTACATGCCTTGTGCATATTATCTCACAGGTTCATCCAACTGAAGTTTATAATTTAGCAGCTCAGTCTCATGTTAAGGTTTCATTTGATATGTCTGAATATACAGGAGATGTGGATGCACTTGGCACACTTCGTCTTTTAGACGCTATTCGTACTTGTGGATTAAGTGATCGTGTTCGGTTCTATCAAGCTTCTACTTCTGAACTCTATGGTAAAGTAGTAGAAACACCTCAAAAGGAAACTACACCCTTCTATCCTCGTTCTCCTTATGGTGTTGCTAAACTTTATGGCTATTGGATTACAGTGAATTATCGTGAATCTTATAATATGTATGCCTGTAATGGTATTCTTTTTAATCATGAATCTCCTCGTAGAGGTCGTACGTTTGTCACTCGTAAGATTACAAGAGCCGTAGCCGATATTCATCTTGGACGTCAAGACTGTCTTTATTTGGGTAATATCGATGCTAAACGTGATTGGGGTCATGCTCGTGATTACATTGAAGGTATGTGGCTTATGCTTCAACAAGAGAAGCCCCAAGATTTTGTTTTGGCTACAGGTGAAACGCATACAGTTCGTAGTTTTGTAGAAAAGGCATTCAAGGTGACAGGCCGTACTATTGTTTGGGAAGGTGAAGGTGTAAATGAGATAGGTAAAGATGCAGATACTGGTAAAGTTCGTGTTCGTATCGATCCCAAATACTTCCGTCCTGCAGAAGTCGATCTTTTGTTAGGTGATCCTACAAAGGCCAATACTGAATTAGGTTGGAAACGTAAAGTTGACTTTGATAAATTAGTTACTGAAATGGTTGTTGCTGATATTGAAGGCGGCCTCAAGTCCTCCACATTAATGTAATCCTTTTCTCTCTTTCTCTCTCTCTTTTTCCTTTTATTATTGTTATTATTATTATTGATATCATTATTAGAGTCATTATTTAATTCCTTCATTTTATTGATTTCAAGTCTATTGTCATTAACTTAAAAATATATATATATATACACATTTGTATATAAATAAATAAAAAGTTTAACATATTTAGTCATTTGTATTCTGAGAAGGTTAAAACTACGAGTATTATCACTTGCTAATACAAGTTCCATAACAATGTTTTGTCATATGTTATACAACATATTCAAGAAATTCCCTTGAAATTCTAGAATTAAAAAAAAAATAAAATAAAATAAAAATAAAGAGATAATTACACATATTCTCGGGTATTCAGATTCTTCAAGTAAAACTAAATGGAATAATAAATGATGACCATCAAATAGCTTGTCATGATGATATTAAGAGAGAACTGAAAAGAAGTTTTTTTCTTTTTTTTTTGACACTTGTAATTGATTCTTAGAGCAATAAGGATAGCATTTAACAAGGTAAACATCTATCTAAGTGTACAGCATGTATATATGGTGTCCTCTCTTTTTTTTTTTTTTTTTAGTATTATTATCAATTAGCTTACACATTTACTAGACTCTTTGTTTCCAACAAGACTTTTAAATAAGAAAAACCACATTGCTGTCATTGTTATCTAAATCAAGTAAACACTGTTTCAAACTCAGTGACTGCTATATTGTTATTGGTTAAGCATGATTTCTTCAGAAGAAAAAATAAGAAATGAAGAGAAAAAAAAAATATTTTCATCTACACTTTTTCTTGAATACATATACATATTTTTTTTTTCTTTCTGTATTGTTAAAGTATAAAAAAAATAAAACAGAATATAGAAAGAAGGAAAAAAAAAACTTAAAAGGAGAGATATCTAAATCACAAAATAAGAAAAGAAGGCTATTTTATTTTATTTTATTCTTTTTTTTTTTTTTTGAGTCGATTGTAATATATTATTAATAAAATAATGACTACAGCTATTCCTTTCCCTTTACGTGAACCTCAAATCAAAGATGACGAAAAACCAAAGCCTTTTCAACCTAATCTTAATATTAGATTAATCTGTCCTGACTGTAGAGTTGATCCTCCACAAATTGTAGAAGAATTCGCCTCAGGTGATCTTGTTTGTGGTGATTGTGGTTTAGTGCTTGGCGATCGTATCATTGATACTAGATCTGAATGGAGAACGTTTGCCAATGATGAAGGCGATGTATGTGTTTTTTTTTTCTTTTTTTTTTTCATATACATATACATATATAAAATTATCACATGTATATCGTATAATTTACCTACAGAATGATATACATACATACATATATATTTATATACATACATATAATATCTTTATATGTTATCATAAATAGGATCCTTCTCGTGTTGGTGCTGCAGCAAATCCATTACTTGATGGTAATCAATTAGATACAGTGATATCCAGGAGAGATGGTGGAACAGGAGCTGCGAAAGACTTGAATAAAGTTCATGGTCGTGCCACTGCAGTTAAAGGCGAACGTAATCTTGTTCAAGCCTATAAGGAGATTAGTGCTATGTGTGATTCAATTTCATTGTCAAAGATTGTGAGTGATACAGCTAAGCAACTCTATAAACGAGTGGAAGATGAGAAATTATTACGTGGTAAATCGAGCGATGCCATCATTGCTGCTTGTATCTTTATTGCCTGTCGTCAAGAAAAAGTAGGTCGTACATTTCGTGAAATTTGTGCATTAACACGCGTCCCAAAGAAAGAAATTGGTCGTTGTTACAAGTCACTACAAGCCAAATTACAAACGAATACATCGATTATGAATTCTGAAGACCTTATGCTTCGTTTCTGTTCAAATCTTCAATTACCAAATTATGTACAAAAGGCTGGTATTGATTTAGTGAAACATGCTAAAGAACATGGCACACTTGCTGGCAAGTCACCTATTTCTGTAGCAGCGGCTTGTATCTATCTTGTCTCTTATCTTTATCGTCAACCTAAATCGACTCGTGATATTGCTCATGTTGCAGGTGTATCTGAAGTCACCATTAAAAGTGCTTATAAATCCCTTTACGCTGAGCGCTTTAACTTGGTTCATCTTGAAGAGTTAAAGTCAAGACCTAATGGTGAAGGTTTAAGTTTTGAAGATCTTCCTTTACCTTAAACACTTTCTCCTTTCTTACACACACACACACACACACACACACACACACACACACCCTTAAATATATATATATATATATATGTGTATACACATATACACATATATATTTATACTTGCATATAATACATATATCCCCCTTTTCCCTCCCTCCCTCCCTCAACTTTTTTTTAAAAAAAAATAAGAAGCATATAAAGAATCTGTCAATAAAATGTATAAAGTCATGTTGTATATAATAATTTACATGTAAGAATAATAAATAATTCATGACTCTATTTATACAAATGCTTATTTTAAGAGTTGATATATTTATAAGGGAGTGGGAGAGGGAGAGACAGAGGCAGAGGCAGAGGCAGAGGCAGAGGCAGAGGGAGAAAGAGCGAGAGAGAAATGAAATTTATGTCATTAGTAAAAGTACAGCTATTTTGACATTAATTAATTAAATTTTAATGTATAACATGTTAAATACCTGCAGAAAGAAAGAATATACTATTGAACTCTTTAAATCGTTATCAAAAAATAAGAATAATAACGCTATTTTATATCAATGTCCTTTCAATACTATTCTTTTATTTTATTCAACAGATCTAAAATAGATATATTTATTACGTAATCATTAAAAAATAAACAAAATACAAAAAAAAATAAAATAAAATAAAATAAAATGCAGTAATATAAATGAGTTTATAAATGGAATCTCTTCTTGTAGTTTAAATAAGTAGGTGATGAGCTTTCTTCTAAAGAGATTGCATCCTCTTCTTGATACGACTTTGTTTGATGATAAGGATAATATCGCTCGATGATACCAGGAGAAATAACAGAAGAAAAATCCACAACTGTACTAGAAGATGATAATATACTTTTTGAAGAAGAGTTAGTAGTGGAAGACATACAAGGTGATGAGGAGGAAGGAGGAGGAGGAGGAAGATATTGTATAGATTCCATTGTTATGATTGGAGTCAATTTTTTGTTCCTGCGAGCTAATAAAGATTTTTTATTACTAGACGATACTGTACAACAGCATAAAGGCCATCTTTTTGATATTTGTAGCATGTCATCCATCTTTACAGCGGAAGAATAGGCTCTTCTAATTCTATGTTGAATAGTAAGTACCCAAGTATTCATGTCTTGTTCTGTTTTGCATTCAATGATCCAAGGTTTTATTATTTGATTTTCTTTAGGCTCAAGTCGAAAGCAAAAAGGATGATTTATAGTTGATACACAAGTAACTTGACTTATCTGATGTAAATCTAATATTTGTGATGCTGTTTCTGTATGCTAACATTTATATTATTCACTGAAAGAAAAGAAAGCTTTTTTTTTTCATTCTATTCATTTACCTCGTCTTTATAATAACGCAATTCTGATCCAAGCAAAACAAAAAATTTTGAAGACCAACAGGACCTACCGAATGGTAAAGGGACAATCATTTTCGATAACCAACCAGCTACTGGTACGATTGAATCAAATTCAGTTGTAAGAAGCATCATTTATAAGTAAAATTAATATTAAAAAAAAAAAGTAATTGTTATAAAAGCAATATTATTCTATTTTTATATATCCTTTTTTTTTTTTAGGGCTAACACATCATGATGATACTATTAAATACGCCTTCTATTCTATAACTGATGTCTATTTCCTAATTTTAATTTATTCATTTTTTGCTGTTTACTATCTCCTATTACGATGTGGAGATATAATAACACTTTACGGATTTGAAAAAGAAAATAGCTTTTTTTTTCCTCCGTTGTCTCCTTGAATTAATTAATTTGAAACCTTGAAAAAAAAAAAGAAAAGAAAAGAAAACAGCATATATTTACTACTGCTAGTTTTAATAGCTTTAACCTTCCATTGTATATACACATAAAATACACATTTTTTTATTTTTATTTTATTTCTTTGATTTTGGTTGAAAATAGATACACACTAATATGTATTGAATAGATCATATTCCTATTATTATTTTTTTAATATATTACTAAACCAGGTAATATATGTGTTTTACTAACTTCAAAAAACTCCTTATGAATACAAATGGTATGTGTCACTCTTGTGTACAGTTCTATACTCCTTCTTTTCTAACAACTCTCCCTTTCTACATGCTTGAACTTTTCTAGAAGATATAAATATAACAGTTCAAATAAAAAGAAATAGTAGATGAATTATAACATGTTGTATACATCTACATATTATATGCATAAATATGTACCATTTATAATAGCATATTATTAATTGATACTCTGTAGTATAATCAAAAGGGAAATCTTGTTACTTCAATAGAAATGACGAAATAATCTAATAATATTCTCTCCTTAAAAGAACAAAAATAAAGCATTACGTTACATGCTAGGCTTTCTTTTTTTTTGGGAGTGTTAGGGTAAGGATATGAATTGTAAATTAAAAAAAAAAAAAAAAAAAAAAAAAAAAAAAAAAAAAAAAAAAAAAATTCCTTCTACTAAGCAGTCATAACAATATAAACAAAAATTATCGATCTTAAAAAAAACACGATATATAAAATTTCGTGTTTTATGAATGACTGGCATCCTATAATTATTACTGTTATTTATTCATATAATTTAAATGATTTTGTTATATTTAAAATGGCTGTATTAATGATGAAAAGTCTTCTAGGATACATAGCTTCTAATCCAATTATTAGTGTTTTGAATAATAGTTTCAAAAAGAAGTATAGCTTTAATGGAAAACCCGACAAATGAAACTGTTTTTTTTTTCTTCATTGAGAAAAGAAGATCGCAACAAGAAAAAGACCAAAAATAAGTGTGACTGCCATCACTCCTTATATAGAACTTTAATGCTTGTTATTTAGTTTTTTTTTTTTTTTTTTCATTCTTTTTTTTTTTTTTTAAATATTTACACTTCTACATGCTTTGTTGTTAAATCAATAATATACATTTATATTTATTTACAGAGAAATAACTTATAGAAAAAAAATGAATTTTCAATCAATTGATTATTGTAAGCGTTATATTAGATATTCATAAAATAAATAACTAATATAAACTTAAAGTGCAGCAAACTACACAACAAATGCAAACAGGAATACTAAGTAAAAGCATTCATTCAACAAAGCGTAAATTAGAAGAAGATACGAATGAAGAGGTAGTTAATTCAACTAGTCATTTTTTTTTTGGCTATCAAGTATTTAATTACATATTATTTAGTCTATAAACTTAAAACGTCCACATCTTATGAATCATTCTTTATCGTTATTACAAAAAGAGGACAGTAAAGACTTTAGAAAACAACAATATATGACATCTATTTCTGATTACAAGTCAAATACCATAGTTGATAACAATGCAACATTATCATTGACTACTACTACTACTGCTACTGCTTTTGATGCAATCACTCCACCAGCAGATGATATAATGATGATAGAAGATGATTATACAGATGAGGATGAGTTATTGCAGACTCCATCATATATGAATTCCTATTTTAATTACATACCAGTGGATACAGAAGATGATCTAGAAAATGGTGGCTTTACTGGTCAATTAGAGCTTGGTTGGAGTGAAATGTATTATGATATGATCTCAGAGATGTAACCATTTTAATCTTTCTAATACATATTTATATATCTGAATCCTGTTTTAATAATGAACAATGCTTTATAATAAGACTTTTTTTTTATTTTTTTTTTTATATCTTTGTAAAGATTTTCTGTACGATTTACGGAATTTAAATAAACATAAACATAATAGCAATAACAAAAAGAAAATGCATATATTCATACATGTCATAACATGAGTGAGTAGATGACCTATCCACTTTAATAGCTAAATGTTATTCTAGCAGGTCAGGTCAGGTCAGGTATTTAAAGAGTTAAGTTTTCAATCAAGTACAAATGAAGCCTTTTATAAATGTATATATTATGTATTTATTCTACTATTCAATTTTAATGTTATAACCTCCTTTTAACGTAAAGTTGCAACACAGTAATATATTGACTTGCATCACTCATCAAATAAATGACAGTACCCATCAAATTTACCTAAACGTTTTATAGAAAGTCAACTCGGTTCATTAACCGCTTAGTAAATCAAAGTTACTTACTTGATAACATATGAACTGATACAATTAATCCTGAATACCTCGAACATCAATACTATCCAAAGCCACTCTTTATATTAGACAAAACTGACTTAATACTCTCAGCTTCTTCTTCTGCATAGAATTTGGCTTTTACTCCATAACACCTATACTATTTTTTTTTTTTTTTTTTTTTTGCAACCTCTTTAGATTCATCATGAGTTAAAAATCAATGCCATAGTTGCACTTGCTTAAAGTTATAGTGTTTTATTATAAACCATCTAATACATCTCTCGCTTTATATAAATATATATATATATATACATATATGTATATATTATTCCTACTTCAAAAATTGTATTATTTGCCTTAGGGTACTAGTAACTACAGTATAGTGTGTTTTTTTTCTTTTTCCTTTAATAAAGATATGTACTCTAATTATAGTAAAACGAGAAAGATAAAACACAAAATACATATACTCTCTTACTTTTTTTTCCTTCTGTCAAACATGTATATATAAATGTATTATTTATTTATTTTTCATTACTCTATGATTTTGAGGCTTGCGATTTATTGTATGTGTATGTGTATCGTATGATACTGCTTTTTTTCATCGAGAAAACTAGGATTTGGTAACTTGATGTATTCAGGTAATCAAATACTCGAGTTATTGTGATGATGAGGAGAAAGAGAAGAGAAGGGGAAGAAGTTTTTTTTTTTTTTTTTTTTTTTTTTTTTTTTTTTTTTTTTAATCATAATGCTGTGTTACACAAACAATAGTGTGCTCTAAATTCTAGCAGAGAATTGATGCTGACACCTTTGAATAATATGTTGTTTGAAATTTACTATGAAACATTTATTAAAATAATAATTTTTTTTTTTAAGATTGTTGTTCCCTCTCTCCCGAGATTCTTCATTAAAACTTCGAGTATCAACAAAGTTATCAAAGTATTTATTTGTTGTTATTATTGTTCGTTTGCTTTTGTTAAATATATCAGTAGCAATTGGTGGTTGAGTTATTATTAATGAAATGACGTTAGTCATACAATAAAAGATCATTATCCTTCTTCCTATTGATACGGAGTTAATAACGTGAGTCAGATATTATATAAAAATATTTATTTAAGAAGTTTAATTACCACAATTCGGCAAGTGGTGCTCAAATCTCGGGTTTATAAAGTAAATTTTCGAGAGATAAATAATTGACATGTTCTACGGAACCTCTGTCACTTATTAAAATTGGAACGATACAGAGAAGATTAGCATGGCCCCTGCACAAGGATGACACTAAATCTCTGAGAAGGATGCTCTACGGAGCACTATTTTTTTTCTTCTTTTCAACTACAATTGATAAGCTCATCATCAAACGTATTGAAAAATAAAAATAAAAAACACTACTTAGTATTGATATTGCTATTTTTCTTCTTCCACTGGACTCAAATAAACAATATTACCAAGTATTTAAAAATACCATTATTATTATTATTATTATTTAGAGCAGTATCAAATCTGATTAAACAACAGTAATAGCACTACTGTTTACTAAATAGTATTAAATACGGATATTACTTTATAACTTTTTTTTTTCTATGCGTTGTGTCTATTTTTCTTTTATTTTATGAAACAAAATTTATATTTATCTCTATGTGGTACAATACAGTAAATAAAAAAATACAAAAAAAAAAATTTTTTTTTCTTCTCGATAATAATAATTTTATTATGTTAGTAATATTTATTATCAAAAGACAAAAACATGATTCTATTGATAGAATGAATAATTACTACTATTTACCTTTACTTTTATTATATTACTAGAGGAAAAAAAAAAAGTAGTAGTATACATTATTTCTATTTTTTAATTACAGTAGTTAAAATCACTACGAATAATATGTCATATTGATATAAACTTCATTTGCCACTCATGTGTATTTCAAATGTTTAAAATATAATAGTAATAATAATACAAGTGATATATGTATATGTATTGAATTACAACAAGTTTAATGACTAAGAGTCATTTAATATGTAATATATAATACCATAACTCATAAAGAAGTTAAGTTCAAAGGTATTTGTAATTGTAATAATTGATTCTAGCATCTTCTGTTCATAATATACAATAGCCAGGAGGACGCTAATATAATAATATTGACGTAATGGATCTTCTCTTTGTAGTTTTTTTTTTTAAAAAAAAAAATTCATTTGTATTTTTAAAGATACGAGTTCCTATGAATGGGATTCTATTGCAAATAAAACAAATTTATCAAATAATAAAATGAAATTTTATATATTTCCAAGAGGGATATCCTCGAATATCAAGATAGGTTCTCTTTTATCTTCCTCCCCCCTTTTTTTGTAACATAGTAACTAAATAATAGTGATAATACTAATTTCAAATTAGAATTAAAGATGACAACCTAACATTGATATTTTTCTTATCTTTAAAACGGAGTTTATCAATGTGTAATGCAAAAAAAAAAAAAAAAAAAAAATCTTATTTTAATGATGAAGTTATTAAAAGAGAAAGTATAATATAGAGCCAAAAAAAAAAAAAAGGACTTCACTAGAAAATTCTAGTATTCCTTCTGAGAAAAAAAAAAAAAAAAGAACAAATTATATAATATTATTCACAATTTTTTTTTGTTTTTATTGAAAAGAGAGAGAGGGAGAAAAAAAAATTTACAAATAATTTAGACACAAGTATAACCACCATCAACAAACAATTCAATACCAGTAACAAAAGAACTAGCATCACTAGCTAAGAAGACAACTGCACCTCTGAGTTCTTTAGGATTACCGATACGGCCCATGGGAGTTAAATCAGTCCAAATTTTTTCCCATTCTGGGTTATCTCTAAAGGTATTATCTAATAAATCAGTTCTCATATAACCGGGACAAAGAGCATTCACACGAATACCCTTTAAGGCCCATTCAGTAGCCAAAGCCTTAGCCATCATGGTAGTAGCACCCTTTGATGTGTTATACTATAATGTAATTTTAATTAAGAAAATAGATACATGTGAGAAAGATGATAATAGTTAAAGGCTATATATATATATATTAATATAAACTTACGCCACATTGAATTTGAGGACGGTTAGCAATATGTCCAGACATTGAAGAAGTAATGATGATGCTACCCTTCTTCTTTTCAAGCATATACTTGGAGACAGCTTGGATACTATAAAAGACACCATTAACATTAACATCCATAATTTTTTGCCATTCCTTCAAATCAAATTCCTATTTTTTTTAATATTAAAAAAAAAATGAATCGCGTGTCATATTTTTTTTTATCATTAGGGTTTTACCTCAGTAGGTCCACCACTGTTAATACCAGCATTAGCAACCAAGACATCAATAGCACCATAGTCTTTATAGATTTGATCAATGACTTGCTTAACTTCATCAGGGTTTCTGATATCAGCTTTATAAGCTTTACAGTCAACATTATATTGCTTGCCAATTTCAGCAGCAGTATCCTTTGTCTTATCGTTGGAGACATACATGATAGCAACACTGGCGCCAGATTCAGCAAGGGCTTTACTCATTTCTAAACCCAAGCCTCTATAAATGTATATAATAATAATAATAATATGAATATCATTATTATTTGATTTCGCGTTTTTTTTTTCTTTTCCTTTTATACACATATAATATAAATATATGTATATATTCATTACCTTCCACCACCAGTAACAATAGCAACCTTGCCTTTAAGAGAAAATTCAGGAAGAGTAGGAAGTGCCATATTATTATTTTTCTTTTATATGTTTTTTTTAAAAAAAAAAAAGAGACAAAAAAAAGAAACTTTTTATTAAAGTGAAGCAGACCCTTATTTATATTCCTAAACCGCGATAAAAAAAATTAGAGAAAAAAAAAAAGTGAAACCTAATAGTGTATTTTTTTTTCTACGATTCTTAATTTGGGTATATCTCCTATTGTAAGATGTCATGACTTCTTCCGCGGAGTGATATAATAAACTTTTATAAATTTTCCTGGTTAATATATAATTTTTTTTTTTTTTTTGTATCTTCTTCTTACTTCTCACAAAAAAAATAAAATAAAAAATAAAAATAAAAAATAAAATAAAATAAAACATTATGTAATCAAACTTTATTATTATACAAAATGATCTCCTCTTTTATTATAATGTATGGTATATTTGTTTGGTTGAAGAGTCATATTTGAAGATTCTAACGCTTTACATGCAGCTAGCATTTCATCTGCTCCTGCTAATGCATCCATAGCAGTTTGTAAAAAATCCTTATTCCCGTATTTTTGTTGCGTCTCCAATAGTACACCAAAATCTGCAACCTTTTGTCTCAAAATCTCAAATTGTTTTTCTATCTGTTGTGCTTGTTTTTGTTTCATTATTCGAATAGCATGTTGTTGTTGTTGTTGTTGTTGCTGCTGCTGCTGCTGCTGTTGCTGTTGAGCTTGTTGTTGAGCTTGTTGTTGAGCTTGTTGTTGAGCTTGTTGTTGAGCTTGTTGTTGAGCTTGTTGTTGAGCTTGTTGTTGAGCTTGTTGTTGTTGCTGCTGTTGTTGTTGCTGCTGTTGCTGTTGAGCTTGTTGTTGCTGCTGTAATTGCTGTTGAACATGCTGATGTGTTTGCTGCTGCATTTGTTGTTGTTGCTGAGGAGGATGCTGTTGCTGAACAAACTGATGAGCATGTGGCTGCACCTGATGTTGTTGGGAATTAGACAGGTGTTGAATTATAGGTGAATGGCGATGTTGTGGAGAATGTTGAGATAGTCGAGGAGCTAGTTGAGGATGCATTTGAGGTCTTGGTTGAGGTTGCAGCTGAACAAGAGGAGATTGCGTCTGCTGTTGCTGATGAAGTTGTGGCTGTGAAATATGATGTGGCTGTACTTGTTGGTGTGTCTGATGAATTTGCTGGATTTGTTGAACCTGTTGGACTTGCTGAGGCTGCTGAGTTTGTTGTTGACGTTGCTGTTTCTGTTGTTTTTGACTATGCTGATGATGGTGATGTTGGGACATAAATGGTGGATGCGGATGCTTATGTATCACAGTTACATGTGCAGTTCTTTTTAACAAATCAATAATAATTGTTAATGCGCCAGCGCAATCATATCTATTTTGTGCTTTTGGATGATCCATTTTTCTAGGCTTAGCAGTATCAGCTCTTTGAGAACAATAATATCTTAATGTTGATAAGGTATCTGGGCTCTTTGTAGATCGTCGACGATCTTTCAAACTAATTAAAGATGTTACAAAGATATGCATATAAATAAAATTAAGTTACCTTACCTAAAGTTGAACTTTGTTCCTTCTAATACCCTTTCACAAATACTTCTGCCTAGTTGAGTGAAATTAGGATTTTCCCCCATATTGTCAATTAATTGACCAATATCAAGGTGATATTGTTTACGATCAAATTCAGTCTCTTTTTCTAATTCCTTCACAAATCTTTCTAAACTAATTATTTCCTGTGATGCCTTTTCCGCAGAAGTAGAAGAGGATGATTTATGTCGTATTGTTGATGGTAACGATGCTTGATTTTGTGCCAAAGATGCATTTGCAGGTGCCATTATACTCACTGATGAAGGTAAACTACTTGAAGCTAAACTAGCATTAGTAGTTGGCACAGTGCTTCGTTGAGTATTTGAATTATTAATCATATTGCTTTTATCCAATCTTTGAAGTAAATGTTCATGCTTTAATTGGTGCTGTGGTATCTGTTGTAAATCTTGAGATTGTAGTTGCTGAGGATGTGATTGGGATTGCTGATTAGGTAAAGGTAATGGAATGGAAGATTGCATCATTTGTTGAGAGTGCATGTGCGCTTGACTCACTATAGGAGGTGTAAACATGTGCGCTCTATTAATATGTTTGTTGTTATTACTATTATTAACATTGCCATTATTAGTTGGCATTACAGAGGTAGCTGATGAAGATTGTTTAGTTTGAGGTGAAGATATGGATTGAGAAGGAGGGGGAGGTAAGACGCCTCCAGCATTATTGTTGATATTTATCGAAGTTGAAGAATGTAGCTGTTGCTGAGGGGACAGCTGCTGTTGCTGTGGAGCGTTGTATTGTATATTTTGATATCTAGCTTGTTTATAATTTCTCTGATGCTCTTCGTATAATTCATATCTCTCCAATTGATGTTTTCTTTTCTGTAATTCACGAGTATGACATAAATTACATACTTTGTATTTAAATTCCCTCTCTTGAAAGAATGAAATATGACGAAAAGTTTGGCAACTATCACAATAAAGTGTTTCTTGTGTTGAGCCTAGTGGTGTTGTCGTTATACCTCTACTTGTATTATTAGGGCTATTTGTGTTTGTGCTATTACTTCCTGCACTTGCAGAACTATTTGTTGTTTGAACATGCGTCATTGCAGGTGGACTACTTGTAATTAATGTATGTTCAAAAGCTTGTTGATTATTTATAATCTGTTGCTGTCTAGGCATTGAATTATTCTGAATTGCAGGATAATTATGAGATGGGTAAGGTCGAGGTGGTCCTTGTGACATGTTGACTTTATAAAGTTGTGGATGTAGATTTGTAAATCAAAGATTAAGAACCTATTTTCTTTTTTTTTTAATAAAAAGAGAAAGTATAAATAAAAAAAGTATTTTTTCCTAGAAAAAAAAACCCTACTTATTGTTTTTTTCTAATTTTAGCCTTTTTATTATCCTGCAATAAAAGATATGATAAAGGGATTATGTCGGAAGAGATTGATGAATGCTAATATAATCTTTAAGAGAATAACTTTTGAAATTCTTTAAAAAAAAAAAGGAACGTCCTAACGACCCCCCCATCTAATGACGCAGATTTTTTTATACGGCATAAAACAGCAAGTCACGTATTTCAATTAAATATTTTTTTTTATCAAATGAATTTTGAGATAATATTACATTGCCCAGGCCAGATCAAAAAAATAAAATAAAAAGGAAAAAATAAAAAACTAAAAAACCATTTGCTGATCAAAAGTTAAAAAAGAAGAAGAAGAAGAAAAAGACAAATAAATATGTCTTCAGATACTAGATTAATTACTGCATAACCATTTGATCAAGTCAGTAGTGAGAAAAAGAGGAATTTCAGGAGGAATCTTATCATGGTGAAAATAATCAAGTTTAACAAGTATACTACATATTGGAGACCAACGAATAATCCATAGAGAAGTGGAGGCGCTGTTTTGTGAGGTAAATGGTATTCTATGTTTACTAGGAAGATAATTGAATAGCAAAGATAAAAGATCCGCCACGGTGCTAGGTATCTGTAGTGAGCGGTGCATATTTAAGCATACAATAGCATGAGACCGAGTAAACCTGTCATTTAGACAAATCACGTACTATAGTATTTTCAAATGAAACTGAAACTGGTAAAAAAAAAAGAAAAAAGTAGAATCAAACAATACAATTTCAAAAATAAGTAAAAAATAGAATTAGACAAAATGAAACTAATCTTTAAACATATTTACCTGTAAAAATATAAATCTTTCGTTGAGAATAAACAGTATTCGAGACGGTGATATTATTATTTCTGATGAGAGAATGCAGAGGGACGACCTTGAAAGGTTAATATCTTATTGAGATTTGATAAATATTTTTCGCAGTATTCCAATCATGTTGTTGTCTCAGCATTCCACAATTTTAGTAAGCTAAGAAGACGCAATAATAGCCTATTGTTGCAAATATAAAATTTCATTCAAAGCATGGTGAATGACAAGCCTATTTTATATAAAAGCAAATATGTTAAATCGGTGTTAACAGAGCAGTAATAATTAATTACTGAGAATTTTATATTCAGTTATAGAAGCTACAATCAAATCATTATATCTTTGCCTATTCAACAATTCTTTCTAATACATATTAGTGACTCCCGTTCGGACACCTTTAAGCTTGAGAGTATCTTTACTAGACATTCTATTCTCAAAGGCTATAATTGAAATGTTTATACCGTCTCAATATAATTTTTTTGGTGTCTAATATATACTTCCTTTATTTACTATACAATGAGTATAATGTCATTTATAAAACACTTGTACTCATTTTTCCTTATCTCTTCGATAGCTTGGGAAGTCTCATAGGGTTTTTAATCTTCACACCATTTTCTTTATTCTTACTCTTTTTTCTTTATATTCTATTTTATATACATATATATATGTTGATCCCTCCATTTACACCTTCTTTCCTTACACGTTATGTATTTTGGTAGCAAACAAACAGCCTAACTAAAATGCTTAATCCATTAAAGGATAGTATTTCTTTTAAATGAAGCATAGTGTAGGTAATATATTTAATATATAATAACAGATTGAATGTCTTTGCTGTTGACATATTTAAGAAAATAGCACCCATGCTATTTTGCTGTTTTTTTTCATAACGTTTAGATCTTATAAAAGTATGATATTCTTAAATAATTAATTTTCTAATCTGGTATGATGTCTCGCCCTTACCATTAGTTGTTATGAGCATATTTGTCCTTCCAAAGTTGAATATGCATAGAGAAAACTTGTCCATTTTATGTCTATCTGTTTGTCTATTGATTCGAATAGCAATTCTATACTAAAAACTTTGGAAAACATTTGCTTTTTTTGTTTATATGTCTTTAACAATGACACTTTAACAAGAGCTGATAAAATGTGAGGGCCAATCGTTATAAATCTCCATATCAAAGAAAGTACAGAGCCCAAAGAAAATAATCTCGTAATTTTTTTTTTTTTTTTGTATTGAAGGGATTTTTATTCCCCCCTTCAGACTGAATAATGTTTGTTTATTTTTAAGCATAATACTATTTATTTATAAGTATGCGTGTATACATGCATACATGCAGAAGTTTCCTTTTAGTTTATTATGATACAATAATGTGCTTAACTAAGATATAATTCAATATTTGTGTGTGTGTGTGTGTGCGTGCGTGTGCTTATGTATATGTTTATAATTCGTCAGTGACAGCACCTTCGCTTGCACTCTTGACAGTCATAATATAGCGTGCGAGAGTACCTCTGGTATATTTAGGAGGTTTGGGAACAAAGTTCTTCTTACGTTCAGCAAGTTCATCATCAGAAATTTCAACATTCATTTCACGAGATACAGCATCAATAGTAATTATATCACCATCCTTGATCAAACCAATGGGCCCACCTACTTGAGCTTCAGGACAGACATGACCAATGATAAAACCATGAGATCCACCCGAGAAGCGACCATCAGTTAAAAGAGCAACATCCTTACCCAATCCAGCACCCATGATAGCTGAAGAAGGCTTTAGCATTTCACGCATACCAGGGCCACCCTTAGGTCCCTCATTTTTAATCACAACCACTGTCTTCTCCCCTTTTTTAAATTCATTGTTTTCAAGCGCAGTAATAAAGTTTTCTTCACCATCAAACACACGTGCTTTACCCGTAAATTTAAGACCCTCTTTACCCGTGATCTTTGCTACAGAGCCTTCGGGTGCTAAATTACCTTTAAGAATTTGTAAATGACCAGTAGATTTAATAGGATTAGAGATAGGTCGAATAATATCTTGTCCTTGAGGAAGGCCAGGAAGCGAATGTAGATTTTCTTCAAGAGATTTACCAGTTACAGTCAAGACATGACCATCTATTAATTTTTGCTCCATAAGGTATTTAAGAATAGCAGGAATACCACCAATAGCATGAAGGTCTTCCATTACATATTTACCGCTTGGCTTCAAATCAGCTAAGAAAGGCGTTTTATCACTTGCAGCTTGGAAATCATCTAAAGTTAGTTTAACACCAACACTCTTAGCAATAGCAATCAAATGAAGAACCACATTTGTGGAACCACCAAGTGCCATAGTTAAAACCATTGCATTTTCAAATGCAGCACGAGTCATGATATCGCGAGGCTTAATATCTTTTTCGAGAAGATTACGAATAGCGTGTCCAGCCCTATGACATTCAGCAAGTTTTTCAGGGTAAGAAGCAGGTGTAGATGAGGAATAAGGTAAAGTCATACCCATCGCCTCAGCTGCAGAGGCCATTGTATTCGCAGTATACACTAAAAAATAAAAAAATAAAATAAAAAAAAAAAGAGTTTATCAATTTCAAATCACTAAATATGTATATGTATATATCAGTAAATACTTACTACCACCACAGGCGCCAGGACCAGGACAGGCATGACGAATAGTATCATAACGCCTTGCTTCATCAATATCACCTGCTACGTATTCACCATAAGCTTGGAAAGCAGAAACAATGTCCAACTTATTGCCACCACAGCCCTGACCTGGTTGAATTGTGCCACCATAAACCATTAATGAGGGACGATTTATTCGACCCATAGCCATTAAAACGCCAGGCATATTTTTATCACAACCAGGAATGGAGATATTAGCGTCATACCATTGGCCACCCATAACCTATATTTACAATTATTTTCTCGTCTTTTTTTTTTTTTTTAAAAAAAAAAAAAAAACGCTTACAGTTTCAATACTATCTGCAATCAAGTCTCTGGATTGAAGAGAATAACTCATACCTCGAGTACCCATAGAAATACCATCACTAACTCCAACTGTATTGAACCTGTAGCCAATAAGGCCAGCTTCTTGAACACCTTTCTTAACTTCACCAGCTAAATCCAAAAGATGCATGTTACAAGGATTACCTTCATACCAGCTTGAAAAGCGAAAAAAAAAACAAGATTAATATATATGTATAAAAATATATAACAAGTCATAGCCTAAACTACTTACACACTAGAAATACCAACTTGGGCTTTATTCATATCCTCATCAGTCAAGCCTGTAGCGTATACTAAGGAAATTGCATAAGATATCATTATCAGTACAAAAAAAAAAATAATACTAATACTAATTCTATGTTCTTACACATTGCTTGGGAGGCACCTTGACTTTTAGGTTGTGTAATAGTTGCGCTAAACTTATTCAGCTTTTTGCTATCAGATGCATAATGTTTAAAGCCAATTAATGAAGCCTTTGCAGTAACATTATGACTAAATAATTCATGTTAAAATTAAAAAAAAATAAAATAAAAAAAAAACGAATCTGACTTACAATGTATGCATTCTAGGAAGTGTTGCCTTTGATAAAAGTTTTGAGGCCATAATTTATTTTAAGAAATAATAAATAAATACAAATAAAAAGAAAGAAAGAGTGGGGATTGAGTTTGTTTATAATTAATTAATTAATAAAAAGAAAAGAAAATGCAATGTAAAAAAAAACATGAAAGATCATTTATGGTTTACCAGTTCTGACATATGAATCATAAAGGGTTTGATTGGATGATTGATTATAAGTCATTTTTTATTCAATCTTATTTTCGATGGAAAGCCTATAAGGCTATTGGCGCTGATTTAAAATTTGGCTTTTACGAATTACAGTGTCAGGAATCAGCAGAAAACGATGTATAATGTTATTTGCCGAATTATTTAATTTATATGCTAATCATGGATGGTGAAAATGAAGCATTATTTTTAAAATGATACTTATATCATTATAAGAAATTATATAACAACAACAAGTGGCACTGTTATATATAGTATATGAACGTAGTTAATATTAATTCCATAAAAGTAAATATGACAAGTAAATACGTGTTGTATGTATCTATTCTATTTTCATAAAGTGAAGTTATTGATTTACATAAAATAGAATATTACCTCTGATAATGCTACAACAATAAGTTCTTATTTTAAGAAGAACTAGCGATAGCACAGGATATTATTGTCCTACATTAAATTCGATTTTACACGAATAAAAGAGAAGACTTCTTTTATCTTTTTATTAGCTACATTTTTTATATATATATAAAAAAAAAAAGAAAAAAAAAAACTGCCTTCAGAAATAGTGTCCACATAATGTTATTTAGTTCTATCTTTGGGATTTTAATTATTTCATTAAGAATATTGGTTAAAGCAGATGATAAAGTACCAGTGCTTTTACGAGCTCCTTTAATACAAAAGAAGATTTCATCGAAAAAATTAGGTTCACTTCAACGACGAACTACTAATAATGAGACAATATACAATGATGAATCCTCTATTTACTTGATTAATGTTCAGATAGGAACACCGCCTATACAATTTGAACTCGTATTAGATACTGGAAGGTATTACTTTTCATTCTCCCTTTTTCTTTTTACTTTCTTATAATTTACCTTTTTCTTTTTTCCTTGAATAGTGCTGATCTATGGGTACCTAGTATAAACTGTCCTTCCTCACAATGCCCTTTCGCAAAGTTCAATGGTGCCAGTTCTAGTACATTCAAACCACTTAATGAAGTCTTCAATGTTATTTATGGTATTGGTTCTGCATCTGGAGTCTATGCACTAGAAACTATCTCAGTTGCAGGAATGACAGTTGAACAACAACAGTTTGCCTATGTCAACCAGACACAAAATATTTTGACCGAAATATTTACATTAAATGGCTATGTATATACGCCTACAGTCAACAGTACAGATAATACGTTAGATTTCAGTTCTGACCATCAATTAGATGGTATCTTTGGTTTAGGATATCCATTTATGACTTCATCTGAGTTAAATTATAATCCATTCTTCTTTAATTTGAAGGCACAAAAAAGATTGTCCCAAAATATCTTTTCTATATATTTGAACTCATATGAATTTTATGGAAACTCTGGAGAGCTTATTTTTGGCGGAATTGATAGTAATAAATACAAAGGTAGTATTTATTACCTTCCTGTAGCAAAGACAACTATTATTCCTAATAATTCTGAACCTATAAATGATCATGGTTATTGGCAAGCAAATGGACAGGGCGTTGGCGTAATGAATGGAAGTAAAAGGATATTCGAATATAAATATTTTAAACAGACTCCATGTATTTTTGACACGGGCACAACATTGAGTTCGTTACCAAAGAGTGTCATTCCGTCACTATTTTCAGCTGCATTTGGTAGTAATAATCTCATTTATATTCCTCAAAATAATTACTTCCAGGTTAGATGCTCATTAGCTCAACAAAACATAACCATTCAATTTATGATGTCAAGAACAGATGCTATGACGAATGAACAAATTGTCATCCATATTCCAATAGCTGATCTTATAGTACCTCTTGATAGTGACTATATAGAAAATGCGACTGTCTGTATGGTTGGAATTATTCCTTTTGATGGTCCTATTATGTTTGGTCAAACTATATTAAGAAGTTTATATCAGGTATATGATGCGGATAATAATCGTATTGGTGTTGCAAGCGCATTAGGATCAGACTCGTTCATAACTGATTCCATATCATCGGCAACAAGCAATTCTAGTGAACATCACGATAATGATAAAAAAGCAACTAGTTCAGGAGCTTTAATTCAATGTAATAGTATTCTACTTATAAGTCTAGGTTTTTGTATTCTTTATATTTTATAATTTAATAACTGTAAATGATAATATATAAAGAATTAATTAATTAGGCTTTACCTCTAATTCTTTAAAATATTGATAAAAATGTAAAGAGTAATGATTCAATACATACAAACATACAAACATACATAGCATCTTCACTTTTAATTTAAACTATCTGGATGCAAAAAAAAAAAAAAAAAAAAAAAAAGGTTTATATAATAATTAACTTGTACAATATCTTTAATATTGCATATTTCTCAGTAAGCCTTCAAGTGTTTGAATCAACCTTTATTATATTTTACATATATTTCCTTTGGAAAAGAATCATTGATATCTTCTAGTTTTTACCTAACAAAATGATTTTTACCATATTAATGTCTTATCAAAAATTTGACTCCTTTTATAGGTGTTCATATTATAAAGTAGATAGTTGCTGTAAAATCGAAAATTAAGCTGAAGTTTTAAACGATAATACAGCGGACTACTTGAAATCAAACAAACGGTCCAAACAACACTTTTATGTATCAAACTGTTGAAAGCAAGTCTTCTACAGAAGTTCTCGTTTTGAGTTTACAATTTTTTTTTTTTTTTTTTTGAAGAACTAGCTGTTTTCTTTCTTCATGTTATCTTTTATACACTCTTTGAAACTCTATCTCTTTCTTCTCTTTAAAGCTATTATTCTTTCCAAACTGATCAAAACCTAAAGAGCCTTGTTATCATGATCATCATAAAAAAGAGCTCAATTGCCATAATATAGTAATAAGAAAGATTACAGCCTAACTCTTTAAAATGCATAAACTGCCAAAAATATTTCGTGCAATTGAAAAAAAAAAGCATCTAGATTATGTGTGTGTGTTTGTGTGTGCGTGTCTAAAAGTAAAATAAGACTGCTGTATAAAATGTCGTTTTTTATATTATTGATAGCTTATCTACTCTTATTCTTTTGGAGAATGTATGAACATCATGCTCTTTCGTGTAACTGCATTTAACTAGTTTTGGCTTAATTACTTTACAAGAATGCTCAATATATTCACATGAATATTTATACATATAAAAAAAGTAAACACACTTCTTACTTTCTTACTTTCTTGCTTACTTTCAAAGAAGACAGTAATGCTTTACTACATTCAAATAAAAGGCAAAACTTATCTCTAAAGTATTAAAAAGAAAAGAGAAAAAAAAAGAAAAGGAGAAAGGCAGGAGAGAAGATTTAACGCAAAGTGAATTAAAAACAAAAAAAATATGCTAAAATTAAACTTTAATAACTTCTCCTTCTTTTCGTTTATTTTTTTTCTCCTGAATTTTACTATAAAAAAAAAGTACATTTTTCGTTTTTTTCCCTTTTTTTCTCTTTTCTTTTCTTTAGCTTTTTTTTATTTTTCCTATTCTTCTTTATTTTTACTTGAAACTATGGGTAGACATTGTCAGGGTTATGAAGTGTGCTCAAGTCACATAGCTTGGCTTACTTGAGTTTGTAGAACTGTCCGTTTATAACATGGCTAAAGGAGAGGGCCTAGACTCTCTTTTGGTTACTACATGCATATCCGCCTTCACCTTGGGTTATTGCAACCTTAGATAATTGATGGGACCTTATCGAATTTTGACTGCTCAAGTTTGATTTATTTCCAAAGGAGGAGGGAAATAAAAAGGATACTTGGGGTTGGAAATTGTAAACCTGTTCCTTTTTTAGGGAGATTAGCGTACTCTTTGTCTGCACCATTGAAAGGGCTTATCTCAAGGTTTAGTTTTTCTGTTTTTCTTTTTGGAGGTTTTTCCTTCTTTTTATTTTTATCTAGTTGCTGTTTATAAAATAAAAATAGATAAGGATGCACAGCTTACGTTTCTGACCGTGGTTTTTTCATCTATTCATTTAGGTGAAGAATCCCAACTTGTATTTACTGTTAAGTCAAAAGTAGATGCTAGGGGTCAAAGAAGGGACATTCTCAGGTAAACAATAGTCAGGTCGTGCACTTTATATATCTGGATTCCTTCCACTTCGCCACGCTACAGGTCAGAATGTTTAGCCCGGCTTCCAGTAAAACTTACATCCAACTGTATTTTTTATTGGGGTAGGAAGTGAGGAATCCTATCTTTTTCTTCTAGCAAGGCTTGGGCCAGGTTGGTACTTTGCCAAGTGTCTACTAGTTGAAATTGGACGTTTATCTTTCAAGTAGAAATTTAGAGGGAGAAGAAAAATTACAGCCCGTATCAATTTGTGTATGGGTTGTAATATTATTTTTGGGATTAGATATGCTTTCACCTTCTCGTGGTTAATCCTGTTAGTATCAAGTCTCTTTTAAAGAGATTTGAGAACTAAGAAAAGCATCTTTTTTTATAATATCAATAAAAATGAAAAAAAAAAAATAATTTAATAAAATCGTGTTCTATAATAAAGTTGATTCTCTAATAATATTTAATAATTAAGCGTATATAAAAAAGTGGTGAAAGACTATAATAGCACAGTGTATAAATATTAAAAAGATTATTGTATATTTTTTTCTAAGATTTCTTTCCTCTCAAGGTAAATTCTATATGGTTAAATAAATCCAGCATCACTAGAATGTACATTGTCAGAATAAGACTAAAACTAGCCAACATTCATAATGAGCATTCATAATCTTATTGCTGTACAAAAGACTGTTCATCTTTAGGGTATAACTTGAAGTTGTTTCAAGCCTTGCCATCATAAATATCCATTATTTAAACTGGAAATAAACTAACTTTAGTGTTTTTTTTTTAACATAATTTTCTCCAAGGAAAATTTTCTTTGGGTATTGAGTAGTAAGGACTGAAGGGAGGTTTGACCGATTCATCGAAAAGAAGTTGTTGAAATATCTCAGCCTTTGCAAAGGAACCTTATTTTTTTTTAATTATAAAATTTTCCATAAAGATAAATCCTTTACTCCTCCATATCGTATCTACGGATGGTATAATGTCACTTGATACAAGAAACGTATTCTTGAAGTCTATCATGAAAACAAAAAAAGGTTGCCATTTGACATCACTTGTAAAACGTAACAATACTGTTAGATACAGTCTTTTAGTGCAATATTAATGAAGGTCATTATTGTTTTGAGATTCTTGTCGATTATATATTGCTCTTGGATGAGCATTGACTTCATCATAAAGAATATAAAGGGTAATTGCTCCTTCAGTAAATTTGTCTCATTACATGGATTAAATAAAGGAAAATCTATAAATTGACTAAAGTTGATGCAAGTGATGTAAACATACATTTAATAAGAAACTATTGCCATTATGTACGATGTTTCTTGCTATTCGATGACTTCTTTTATGTTGATGCACTCACTATTAAACCCTTTTATAGTACTGGACTGTTTTTTTTTTTACTTATAATGTAGAGCAAATTATCTTGAACAAAACGCAGATCTCCAGGTTTTATTCGGCGATTAAACTGTTTCCTTGGCAGACTGTGTCGTTGTTGACTATAAACTTCAGAAGATGATAATAAACGAGTATTTTAATTTTATATCCTAAATAACTTCGGGACTTGTCTTGTTTTGCCAAGATAAATAATAATAAACATTTATCTCACATATTTAACTCCTTCTTTCTTATTTATTTATAATCCTTTCTTCCTTTATGCAAGATCCTTTAAAAAATGGATAATAATAGTAATACTGGAAGCCTTTTCTGTCGCTGGAATAATTGCTCAATGTCTTTTAATGATCCAGAACAACTTTATATCCATTTAACAAACGACCATGTTGGTAGAAAATCAACTGGAAATCTATGTCTAACTTGTGGTTGGGAGAAATGCGATATTACAGTCATTAAGCGTGATCATATTACTAGTCATCTTAGAGTTCATGTTCCTTTAAAACCTCATCATTGCCAAGTAAGAATATAATTAAAAGCTTATATATATATATATATTAATGAGTAAATATTTAGTTTTGTAGTAAATCTTTTAAACGACCACAAGATTTGAAAAAGCACGAAAAGATACACAGTGAGCAACATATTTCGAGCTTACGTTCTCACCAGAGAACACAACATCCTTTAACACCTCCTAATTATATACCGTATTCTAGTAGAGATGTGTCACCTATTTTATCTGATCATCATCCTATATCACCACCTATTAGTGCTTGTTCTGATGAAACTTGGATGTATACAAATATGTCTCCATCGACAACAGTAAGATCTGATAACCGTTTAGTTGCTCCTACTACTAAACATCATAAGGTTTCACAACAGTCTAATCTTGTTCCACAAACAACTAAACCTGATCAAATTATTCATAACTTGCTTTTTCCATTGGAAACAGACATTTCTACTGCAGAGTATAACAATACAGCAAGTAAGAAATTACTATTTATTTATTTATTTATTTATTTTGTTTAATTCGTCTTTTAACAGTAGATGTTACTGGTAATCTTGATTTAATTCAAAGTTATCTAGATGCAGGAGTGATAAATCAATCAAATTTTGATTTAAATATTAATAATAAGCAACAGTTACAAGATATGAACAATTGGTTAAGTCATCTTTCTCATAGTATTCAAACTGAACAATTACCTCATCCATCATCGGTGTATAATTCATCCATATCTACTACCTTTATACCATCCTTACAACAGTCAGATTTTATTATGTCTCAAAATAATAATAATAATAATAATATATATCCTGTTTCATCAACTATTGGGGATAATGATATCTATGTTCGTTCTCAGCCTATATTACAACCTGTGGCGCCAAGTCAATGCACTATTACTGCTAATAACATTTGCCCTGGTCAACCATTACCTTATTATGAGCAGCAACCCTTTATATATCATCATCATCATCAACAACAACAACAACAACAACAAAATATAGGTATTACAGGACAACGTCAACATTATTCAACTATTCCAAATATATCAAATCATTTCTTCCAGCCTGAACTTCGAACTGCTATGAATTTCACTAAAGCGAATAATAGTCATATTAAAAAGGAAGAAGTTATTTCATTCAAACCTACAAAAGCTATAGTTCATAATGACAAAAAGGATATCACTACTCTGACTAATACTTTTTCCAGTGCATTAGTCGAAAATAAGAACCAAAAAGAAGACGAAGAAAAGAAGGAGACAAAATTAAATAATTCAATTAGAGATTTAATAATAAGCGATCTTTCTAAACTTTCTTTAAATGATAATGACAATTCAAAAGAACACTCGGATTTGACAAATAACAGTAAGAATTCTAAATCTCTGTCTTCACTCTATCCTGCTACTGCTGATGATGCAACAACTATGCATATTAATCAGAAACGTCTTTTACTTGTGCAGAAAATGAAGGACTGGATAAATGAAAACTATCATAAAAATCATCCTAATCTTTAAAAGAGAAAATGAAATAAAATAAAATAAAATAAATAAATAAAATAAATAAAAAAAAAAAGAAGAAAAAGAAGAAAAAGAAAAAAAAAGAAAAGAAAAAGAAAAAAAAAGAAAAGAAAAAAAAAAAAAAAGAGAAAATTTTATTTGACGAGTAATTGTCTGTATATAAAAATGATACATTTAATATTATACAGCAGAGAAGCTTCTTAAAAAACCACGAGTCTATTTAAGTTATAATAAAATTATTTTGTACGTGAGTACGATAAGTAAGCAACATTCATAACATTGTTGTGTGCAAAGACGTTTAATTTAAAAGGAAAACTTGGTAAAACTATCTTTCTTTTCTTTTCTTTTTTTTTTTTTTTTTCAAATATACCCTTATTATTTCTTAACTATACATACAATTACTTTAAATATGAGTTCAGGTAAAATAAAATAATATATGCATGCAATATTGAATTTCATATATAACCTTTTTCTTTCTTTGAATAAAATCACTAGATATTCTCCCAGTAGTTGCTGCTGGTTTGGGAGGCCTTTTTGGAAGCATGTATGTAGATGCAAAATTTTTACTTCGTAAAGACCTTCATCAATTAAGAAGTGGTTCAATAGCAATTTTGACGTAAAGTATCTCTCTCTTTGTGTGTGTGTGTGTGTGTGTGTGTTTTCAAGTCAAATAACTACTCGATTTTAATTACAAACTCTGTTAATTTTTTTTATAGTCTTAAACTTTGGACTTTTCAAGATAAACTTCATTTTTATTATCGATTTAAAGATAAAGCAAAGGCTAATCCTAATAATATCTTTGTTTCATTTGAAGGAAAAGAACATACATTTCGTCAAATTGAAAAAGGTAAGTAACACACAATGTAAAATGAAATTGTTCATACTAAGTTCAGCTTTATTTAGCATCAAACAAATTAGTAAGATTAAATTTTACATAATAATATTTTTACATAAAAATATATGTTATCTCACATGTAAAAAAAAAAAAAAAAAAAAAAAAAAAAGGCACATTGGCTACTTGCACAAAATATTAAGAAAGGAGGTAAAGAAGTTAGATAAACAATGATGTACTACTAAAAATGATCCAATTCCTTTTTTATTTTGTTAGATATTGTTTGTATCATGCTTCAAAATCATCCTACCTTTTTTATTGCGTTGTTAGCTATCAGTAAAATTGGTGCCATTCCTTCTTTAGTTAACACGAATCTTTCTGATGACTCTCTCTTTCATTGTATCAAAATTGCCAACACAAAACTTTTCTTATTTGATCCTATCTATGAGGCCCAAGTATTTTCTATTTTGGAATCTTGTCGTAAAAGAAATGTGAATCTAATTTGCTATGGTGAAGGAACGCAAGATGCTGAATTAGAACCATTATCTTTTGCTTCAACTCTTACTCCAGCTATTCTATCACACTTTTCTAATGAAGATACAAGTGAAGAATATATAAGAGGAGTTCAACCTTCTGATCCTGCCTACTTAATTTACACAAGGTAAGAGTTTTTTACTTTTTACTTTTTTATTTTTTTATTTTATTTTTTATGTTGAGCTAAGATGATTTATTATGCAATCTAGTGGAACCACGGGTATGCCAAAAGTAAGGATATGATAGCTATTTATAAACAAAAAAAAAAAAAAAAAATAGTAAAGGACTAATTTTCCTTTTTTTTTTCTCTTGTCTCTCTAATTAGGCTGCCATTAGTCAACATGCGCGCGTAGATTGTAAAATATAAAATTCATATAATTTACATACAAAGAATATAACTAATATTGAGTATTTCATTTCATTTTATTTTTCATTTACTCCTAGTTGGCATGCTTATGTATTCCAACACTGCAGGTGTTCAGAAAAATGATAGAGTCTATTGTGTTCTACCTTTATATCATAGTTCAGGAAGTAAAGTATACTATTCTATTTTATAAAAGGTTAAAATACTAATATATATTTATACTCTAGTGATTGTCACATCCGCCGTTACTTTATATTCTGGAGGTACAATTATTTTAGGAAGAAAATTTTCTGCAAGACGTTTTTGGAACGACTGTGTTGATTATAAAGTGGATGTATTTACTGTAAGTGTTTCTTTTTTCATGATTTTCTTCATATATACACTATATTTACTTATCTACATCTATTTTAGTATATTGGAGAATTTTGCCGTTATTTATTAAGCCAGCCTCCTCACCCTGAAGAAAGGAATCATCATGTAAGACTTATTTATGGTAACGGTATGAGGCCCGATGTTTGGACAAGATTTAGAGATAGATTTAATATTCCAATGATTTGTGAATTTTATGCTGCTACAGAAGGTAAATATTACATATATATGCATTTTATATATAAATAAACCTAAATTAAATATTTTCATTTCTTTTTTTTTTCTTTCGTATACTTATAAATGACAGCACCTACGAGCTTATTTAACGTAAATACAGGTGAACATGGTGCTGGTGCCGTTGGATTTCGTGGCAAGTTTTTCCGTTTACTTCGTAGTGAAGTTCAATTAATTAAAATTGATCCTATAACCGAAGAGCCACTTCGGGACCGAGATGGTTTTTGTATTAAGGTATTCACTGATTTACATTTACGCTAGACATTTTAAAGTTATATATTGATATATATATATGTATAAAGTGCAAATATAATGAACAAGGTGAACTCATAGTACGTATGGAAACAGATGGTCCTCTTACATTTGATGGTTATTATAAAAATCAACAAGCTACTAAAAAAAAGACATTAACAAACGTTTTTGAGAAAGGCGATAGGTAAAGTTTTAAATAAATTAAATTTTGTATAAAAAAAAAAAAAACCGATTAGCAGTTAATCTTATTCTATACATGTTTTTTTTTTTTTAAAAAAAAAAGATACTTTCGTAGTGGTGATCTACTAAAACTAGATCCGGATGGTTATTATTATTTTGGAGATCGTGTTGGTGATACATTCCGTTGGAAATCTGAAAATGTAGCTACTACAGAAGTGGCTCAAACGTTAGGTATCTATCCTGATATACAAGAGGCTAATGTGTATGGCGCCCTTATTCCTCATCATGATGGTCGTGCAGGTATGGCCGCTCTTGTTTTAAAAGAGGGTGCAACACTTGATTTCAAAAACCTCTATCAATACCTTCGCAAGAGACTTCCAAGATATGCAATTCCTCTTTTTATTCGGTTTATCCCTGCTATGGAAATTACGGGCACCTTTAAACAACAAAAAGTTGAATTTCGTAATCAAGGAATTGATCTCACCAAGATTCCAGAGACTGATTCTGTCTTTTGGCTGAAAGGAGGCACTTATGTGCCTTTTACTTTAGAAGATTATGCCCAACTAGATGTTGGTAAGGTTAAGTTATGAGATTTGGTAGCTCAGGGGACCTTTTTTTCTCTTATTTAATAATAAACCATTAGGACTATTGTCTATTTCTAATATCATCTATTACTCGTCACTCTTGCGTAAAAAAAGAAAGACACTCCTTATTTAAATATATACAAGGATAAAGTCTTATAATTCTAAAATGAGAAAGGAGGACATATATACATGACATAAGAATAATACATCTATTATCATCACGGAAAAAAAAATCGGTGTTTTTAAGTGTTTTAAAATGACAAAAAAAAAAAAAAAAATCACCAAAAAACACCTAAAAAAAAAGGTGCTTTTTACCGTGCGAGAGGTGACATAAAAAACACCAAAAGTCATCAGAAATCAATTGAAATCACTTTAAATCACTTGCTCTAAAACACTTGAAAAACACTTTTAATCACTTTAAAATTACTTTAAATCACTTTATAATCACTCTAATCACTTAATATTATTTTATATATAAGTAGCTGCTTTTATTAACGCTTTCATTATTAATTATACCAACGAGTATAAATGAATAATTGCAAATACATAATGTCTCCTTTGACAATGGCGATATCTAGGCCCAACTTACCATTTTATTGAACGAATATGAGTCGAGCTTTGAAGTTTTGCTTGAAATTCGTGGCTTTCCGAATTAGCAGTTATGTTTGTGATGGTAAGTATTATAATAAAGAAAAATAAAAAGAGAGAAAAATGAAAAGAGAAAGAGAACAAAAGGAAGTATAGTTTGAGACTGTTTTTATTCAATAAAAGAAAAATAAAATAAAAATGAAATAAAAGAGTCAAAGGTTAAAGATTATTTTGTGTCTACACAACTGCTTGTATTTATACTAATGAATCCTGAATCAAAGATATAAAAATAGCTGTCAAAGAACATGAGTCATGAAGCAGTGTTAGTATTCAAATATGTATCTTGTTGATTCAAGAGACTGATTTATATGAATTATCTATTGGGTGTTATAATGATCTGATTAAGTTTTAAATAAAAGATTTATTGTTTGATCTGAGTATATGTTCCTGAAATCTTTTATGTTTTATTTTATTGGATCAAAGACGACTTAAATCCTTTGTCAAGGTTATAAAAATAAATATTTAGAAATAATACGATATCTTATTTAGTCAACACATTTAGTTGATTGGATGTCAATAAGTTTTATGTTATTTACAAGATGTTATATTCAGAATTTCATTTCATATTCAGACTTATAATTTATCCTTTATTATTTAATTCATCTATTAATATATTACTTATGCTTATATCCAGAGCTTGTTCTATAACAGCCGCTATTTTGGCTTCTATCTTGGCTTTATCCTGGCCTTTTTTTTTCCCCTCAGAAACGACAATCTTTGTCTAGGCAAACTAACGGCTGAAACGAATTTTAGTAATTGGCAAAAGTGAAATTTGCAAGTCAAAGCTATGAAGATTGGGCTTATGTAAAAGCGCAAATTGAGCTAGTACAAAAACTAAAATTGGAGATGGAGGCACTATACACTGCTTCCACTCTCAAATCAAGTATTTTTTTGAACTGGGTGGTACGTTTTTTCGAAAATAAAAAGGAACATTTCACCAATTAAATCCGAACAAAATTTGAACTTAATTTGGAACACTTTTCGAACTTCAATTAGAACACACTATGAACCCAATCTAAAATTAATATATATATGTATATATATATGGTAGAGGATTTCCTTTAAACATAGAGAGACTTTGCTATTTTTAGAGTGTTGAGCAATGTTGACGAGGTGAAATGAAGGGATATTATTGCATGATTCAGTTATTCTATGTACGAGTATTTCAGATTCCATAAGTTGCTTTTCATCTATTTGGACACTCATGTTTTAGTATTTAGTTGAAACCAACCAAGATGAAAAAAATAGTGCTACCTGGCTTCAAACCTCTTACTTTGGCAACTATAATATTGAGAAGAGCCATAAAAACCACCCTTTTAAAAAAATTTGGGTGCTATCAAAGACGCGAAATAACTGCTAACTGGTGAATTTTGTCCCTTTTAAAAAAAGTTTTTATTTATACTGAAATATTAACTAAGGGCTTGGGGGGAATATTTATTAAGAGTTGCAGAAAAACGGGGAGGAGGGGGGAGGTAGTTACCGCTTTTACTGCTCGATACCTATAATTGGTTTAGCAATCCAACCAAGAATATCACTCACGTTTCTTTTGTTTGTAGTTATTGACTGCACTTCTTTGTACATCAAATCTCACAATTGCAAGAAAGAAGACAAAGTATTAACTACAACATGAAAATCTTCTGAAGAGCGAGGAAGGAAACATTGTCTAATCTGCACCATTAGATATACCTTCGATGCAACTAATGTCATCTTGTACATAGAACAACTGAAACCTAAATTCAAATATTCAATTATTCTTTTCTGGTCATAAACAATAGCCATAGCTACTTACCATACACTAACACACCGTAAACGGTACAGTTATTAGCACCATGTTCTATTAAACGATTTAAAATGAACTGCATTTCTATTGACAACTTAAACAGATCATCTTTGCTGGTACTGCTTGGACATTTGACTTCAATCAAAAGACAGTCAATTTGGATACCATTGATTGTGATATGGAACTTCATATCCGGTCTGAGACCAACTTCACCTTCTAAAGATGTAAAATGTCTGCAGAAAGGGGATAGAGTTAGTCTATTGTATGAATTTGATAATGTCTTTGTATCCAAATTTACCCAGATTGCTGTAATTTATAGTCCATTTGTAAAGACAGCTTTTACAAAAGGACTTAGAGCTAATTCAATGAAAAGCGACTCGTCAACAGTGGCAAGATCAAATGAGTGATTATAGTTAGAAGTTCTAAAAGAAAGTCTTATTATTTTCTTATGTGTGGTACCCAACACTTCTTACTTACAAATTGAACAAAACTGTTGCATACGTTTCTAATTCACTAATTGACAATTGGGCACTTGCCAAGTCTTTAGCTTCCTTATCTAAACCTTTAGCCTTACTCTATACAAAAGAGAGGATCGTTGTTAGTTTTATATTTAAATTATCCATAAATACAATTACATAGGCAACACTGTTCACAAGCTCGACTTCTTTATTCGAAGCCTTGTGATAATACTTGCTTAGTTCCAAATACGCGATCAACTTATCTTTCATCGTATTCAACTCATTGCAATAACGAAAACTGTCATCATGTTGATTCATCAGATAAATACGATTAACAGCAAGTTTTTCAGTTATTGTCAAAGCTTGTCCCAAGAGATTTTTTGTATAACTGCGTGACCTAAAGTCAACAAGGATCCTGCTCACGTTATCACCGTCTATCATCCACTATATACGGTAAAAAGTAAATAACGAGCAGAATTAATTTCGTTTCATTTACATACCACAGGCTCCAACGTGTCGTCATCTTCAGAAGAATCGGTTTCAAAAGCATATGTTGACTGACTTGACTGATTTGAAAGGCTCTCTTCTTTAACTTCTTCCTCATCTTCTTCTTCACTACCATCAACATCTTCTTCATTACGCAAACGTTTGTTTAAACGTGTGGTCATAACTGTATGCGTCAACATAAGTTCATGTTCTATATGTCTCTTTAAGTTGGCCTAAATAAAAATTGTTAAGAATTAAGATTTTAAGTAGATGGACATAACTTACTCTTTCTCTCTGCAAATCGATTGTATTACAAATTTCTCGACAGATGTTTTCAAGCGTAACATTTTTTTTTTCAATTGCTTCTAAAAAAAAAAAAAAAAAAAAATGTTATTACGCCTTCTCTATACGTTTTTACAAGCACGCCAGCATGTAACGCCCACATTACCTTAATGTTTCTGGCTTTAATCGTTCTAAACATTTCACAAAATCGATTAGACCACATCCATGGAATTGTCATGTCATTTTTTAAACGCATCTTTATTTTGCAAAATAAATCCTTGTGAAGTCGATGATTTTCATTTTGTAATATACTCAGAAAGCACTACAGAACATGTTAGAAAATCAAGCAAATATAAAGTGTTAAATAAGTATTATTATCACCTTTTTGCCCCTTATAAAAACTCATTTTATACTGATTGATGTTCCTTAAGAAAACGCGTTTTTCCGTAGTTTGTTTAGTACAGGATAAGAAAGAATGTTTTTTTTTTCTTTTTATTTTTTTTTTTTTATATGAAGACAAAGATGGTTCAGATGCTTATTAGTGAAATATGAGAAAGTCACATTAAAGTTTTTGATATGCTTTTAAAAATTTGGAATTTTTTTTTTTTTTTTTTTAAGTTTAAGGGGTAATAGAATATAAGTTGTATCAAGGGACAAACGACCAAGATATACGAGTAAATGAGAGAACAATGAGGTAGGGTTAAAATCAAAAAGTGAGGAATTGGAAACGGAGACTTACCTGCTGTTAACAACTGTTCACAGAACGAAGTTAATAAAAGGAATCGAGCAACAGATACAGTGACTCACAAAACTGAGCGAATGTTTGATTAATTTTACAAAATGTTTGATTTATAAGACTTAACACTCTTGAAAATCTAACATACAATATATCAATAGAATGCTTGTGTTTTGAGTATAAAGATAAGGAAAGAGAAAAAAGAAAAGACAAGTCTGTGAAAACTTTGTATAGTTTTATTAAAGATAAAAAATACAGAAATTGTACAAGAAGAAAATAATATGGAAAAATGACAAGAGCTATTTATATGTTTTGCAAGGTAAGTGATATTAATAGAAGTATGATATGTATAAGTGAATACTGCTATAATAAAGCATTATGTGTAAATGTTGTCAGTATAAATGTTGCCAGTGTAAATGTTGTCTCTGAACAATTCTACTTGTAAAAAGATATATGTTTTATCTTTATTTTCTCTGAGCTATCACTGTTACTAAAAATATAACCAATCATTATTTCTAGGGTAAGCAACGCGTCAATATTAATTCACAGTGAATATTCCCGCTATAACAATACCAATTATTTATATGCCACTATTATTATTACCATCCTTTAAGATGTTATTACAACATAACAATATTCAATATCATAGATGTATATATAATATGTATGATTTGTATAAATAATTATGTAATTGAATATGACAGTCATAAACCTATTAAATTCTTATTATTACATAATACGATGTATATAATTATTTTTAATGCTCGAATATTCTAACAATGACAATTATTAAAACTGAATGTAGAATGAACATTATGCTGTGAAATACAATACACTAGTTTTATTTGAATAACCTCTTTATTATGTAATAAATGATGGTTTATTTCTATTAACTTAGTTGTAAGGATGACTACAATCATAACAGTAAGTAAGAAGTATTGGGTACCACACATAAGAAAATAATAAGACTTTCTTTTAGAACTTCTAACTATAATCACTCATTTGATCTTGCCACTGTTGACGAGTCGCTTTTCATTGAATTAGCTCTAAGTCCTTTTGTAAAAGCTGTCTTTACAAATGGACTATAAATTACAGCAATCTGGGTAAATTTGGATACAAAGACATTATCAAATTCATACAATAGACTAACTCTATCCCCTTTCTGCAGACATTTTACATCTTTAGAAGGTGAAGTTGGTCTCAGACCGGATATGAAGTTCCATATCACAATCAATGGTATCCAAATTGACTGTCTTTTGATTGAAGTCAAATGTCCAAGCAGTACCAGCAAAGATGATCTGTTTAAGTTGTCAATAGAAATGCAGTTCATTTTAAATCGTTTAATAGAACATGGTGCTAATAACTGTACCGTTTACGGTGTGTTAGTGTATGGTAAGTAGCTATGGCTATTGTTTATGACCAGAAAAGAATAATTGAATATTTGAATTTAGGTTTCAGTTGTTCTATGTACAAGATGACATTAGTTGCATCGAAGGTATATCTAATGGTGCAGATTAGACAATGTTTCCTTCCTCGCTCTTCAGAAGATTTTCATGTTGTAGTTAATACTTTGTCTTCTTTCTTGCAATTGTGAGATTTGATGTACAAAGAAGTGCAGTCAATAACTACAAACAAAAGAAACGTGAGTGATATTCTTGGTTGGATTGCTAAACCAATTATAGGTATCGAGCAGTAAAAGCGGTAACTACCTCCCCCCTCCTCCCCGTTTTTCTGCAACTCTTAATAAATATTCCCCCCAAGCCCTTAGTTAATATTTCAGTATAAATAAAAACTTTTTTTAAAAGGGACAAAATTCACCAGTTAGCAGTTATTTCGCGTCTTTGATAGCACCCAAATTTTTTTAAAAGGGTGGTTTTTATGGCTCTTCTCAATATTATAGTTGCCAAAGTAAGAGGTTTGAAGCCAGGTAGCACTATTTTTTTCATCTTGGTTGGTTTCAACTAAATACTAAAACATGAGTGTCCAAATAGATGAAAAGCAACTTATGGAATCTGAAATACTCGTACATAGAATAACTGAATCATGCAATAATATCCCTTCATTTCACCTCGTCAACATTGCTCAACACTCTAAAAATAGCAAAGTCTCTCTATGTTTAAAGGAAATCCTCTACCATATATATATACATATATATATTAATTTTAGATTGGGTTCATAGTGTGTTCTAATTGAAGTTCGAAAAGTGTTCCAAATTAAGTTCAAATTTTGTTCGGATTTAATTGGTGAAATGTTCCTTTTTATTTTCGAAAAAACGTACCACCCAGTTCAAAAAAATACTTGATTTGAGAGTGGAAGCACTGTAACTGTAATGGTCTCTAGAAAAATGTCTAATATTAGTTCACAAAATTTTTTATTTTGTCTAATTTGGAAGTCTGTGATAGTTTCTAGAAAAAAAAAAACGATTTTGTCTAATAAAAAAAATGGACTACATTTTCCAAATATTGACCTTTGGAATAAAAAACCCCCCCCGCCCTTTGGCGTTAGAACGACCATGATGCGACACACTTTTTTTTTAGTATAGCTCCCACAATAGAAGAAGAAGCTTCCATTTTTAGTGGGCTTGAGTGCTTTACGTCATACATATCTGGTATCTGATGCAGACTATGCTCAGATAGGAATTGCAAGCGTTATAGGATCTTTAGCTTTTGTCACTAAAGAGACAAAACAAACAGGAATCATTCATGAAGTTTCCCAAAAAAAATGGATTAATAATAATACTATTTATATAAAATGAAGACTTTGACTTGTATAAAATAATATTTATTAAACTTAATCATTTTCCTCCTTTTTTTCTTTCCCAAAATAACAAATAAAAATTATGGGATAAGCCATCCTGAAGATACCAGTTTTTCATTATTTTCATTTTTTCTTGATATAAACGCCTGTAATTCAATAGCAATGAATAAAATGTTTATAAAATACTTGATTTACATTATTACCTTTGGGTTCTTACATGTACTCGTCATATATCCTATTCCCTATGTACAGTATTTAAATTAACCCAAAGAACATGTATATGTATGTATGTATGTATGTATGTATGTATGTACGTACCATTGCATCAGTGGTATGACCATACCAAAACTCTAATCCTAAAAAGAAATAATAAAATGAGCGAAACAAAAGTAGATACACTTGTATATAAACCTACTTGTTTTATTATTTGATTTTTGGGACCTCAAAGCTATTATTCCTACTGACTTTTGATCATATATATCCAAGAATGGAGATTCTAATAAAGAAATATAATTTCTAAATGAATAAATATTAAATATAAAGTTTTTTTTTTTTTTTTTTTTTTTTTTTTTTTTTTTTTCACTCTACCCAAAAAGTCTTTAGTTAAAGTATTTGTCATAGCTACTTGGATATCATCTTCTTTTAGTAAACGTTGAACGCATTTATACGTAAACATGGTTCGCATAATTTGCTCTCCAGTACCTAGCCATTTTTTATTTATTTAATAATATATACGTGAGTTTATGTATAGATAATGTCATCTACCTGTTGTACTACATGCTACGCCAGGTAAATCACCTTTTTCATCTTGAGCCCAACAACCACTGCCATAAATTGCAGCCTATTATTATTAAGGATAAGAAATTGCGTCCATACTTTGTGTCGTATGATTATTGATTCTAATCATCTTCTTTACCTCACCTACTCTTCCTGGAAACTTCAATGATATACCACCACTACTAACACCAGCTGCAATATTACCATTAATATCGATTGCAATAGCACCTACAGTATCATGACCTAAAAGATCCGAGTTTTGAGCTTCCTGATCTTCTAAAAGCATCTGGATATGTTTAAGATATGTCTGATAAGAAGTTGCTAACGATGGGAATTAATAAAATCGTATGATTTTTTTTCTTTGAAGATAACACTTTAATTTACGTTCAATTAAATCTTCATTGTTTATAATAGAATGACCGCGTAACTTTGCCCATTCTTTCGCACCTTGTCCCGTCAATAACCTATGCATTTAGTTTAAATATGTATATATGTACATAGAGCTTCTTTTTTTTTTCCATAAATATTTACATAGGCGGTATTCTTCCTAATGATAATAGTCCCTTTTCTGCCTCTATGACCATCTGGTAGGCGGTTTTAATTGGATTTTTTATGCCACACACAGCACCTACAGCACCAAAAGTGCCATACTCTCCTGACATTAAACTTGCATCGCATTCTACTGTACCTGTTAATGTCAAATTAGATCCATAGCCTGCATTAGTTACAGGATTATCCTAAAAGAAAGAAAGAAAGAAAGAAAAAAAAAGATTAGGTTGTCTATAATTAGTAAAGTGTGTTTATTCATTTTTACTTCTAAATGCTGAATTGCTTTTGTAACTGCTTCAATAGCTGTACCATTCTCTTGTTTTAATATGCTCATACCAATACGACATGCTCTTTAAACAAAACAAACAATAAAAAAAAAGCGTATATGTGTACTATTAGTGCATGTCGTTTTGATTCAATCTATTTGAAATTACTTTGAACAAGCAGATCTATATTTTGATTCCTTTGATCGTGATAAAATGCCTTTTATATACGAAATAGTTTTTTTTTTTTTTTTTTTTTTTTTTTTTTTTTTTGCCAGTAAGATTAGATTTAAATCAAAATCAAGAATGAAAAGAATAAAAAACACAATCTCTTCATTACCTGCACCAATATGAACCGCAATGAAGATAGAATCTGTTGACATTATTTAAAAGAAAGGAATATGTGTATATTTATAAATATTTATATATTTGTATGTATGAATGTATGTGTATTTACAGGTATGGCAGCATACAAAAGTAGCACAGATTTTTTTTTTTTCTAAAAAAAAAAAAAAAAAAAAAAAAAAAAAAAAAAAAAAAACGGGGAGTTTAACTTTTAATTATAAAATAATTTCTGCATGATCTGCAAGTATATAAGACGACGCGATTTAGCAAGAGTATAATAGACGCGTCGAAATATAATATGCATTGACTTGTTGTTGTATATAAAGCTTATTTCTTTATTAAAGTTGTACATAGAAATCACTTTTTTTTTTATATATATATTACAATAAGTTTGTCAGTTGTTATTGAATGATGCTATTATTAATAGAATTCTTTAATATAGTAACAATCTATATTCATATATATCTTAGATATCATGGCATACTACTACTAAATGAGATGTCATATCGAATTGATTACATAATAAAAAACTTTATTTTCCTTATTATCTTGTCAGATGAGAATATTATTTCCTGCAGAAAGAAAACAAACAAACAAAAGGAAGGGAAGGGAAGAAATTGTCATTCAGTTAAAAATGAAACAATCATAATAAATAGTACACACGCCATATAAATTAAATTTTTTAATTATATTATTTTATTTTATGTTGTAATAAGTAAATAATAAACAGTAGTAAATAATAAAAAGTAGTAAATAAGAAGAGAATAGTAATAATAATATAAAATTAAGAAAATAGAACAAACAATCTATTTTTCTTTTTCATTTCTTTCTTTCTTTCTTTCTTTCTTTTTTTTCTGGGGGGAGGGAGAAGGGGAGGGGAGTGGGAAGAATGTCTTGGTTTAGATTTAAAGGGAGATGTAAAAAAAAAAAAAATCAAGTTCTTCTCTAATGTACACACATTTTATATATAAATATATGGGTAAAGAAAGAAAGAAAGAAAGAGAAAGAGAAATGATTGCTTGCTATAAGGAATTATTATGAATTAAAGTAAACTCTGTTACATACAGAAACATTTTGATTCTTTCTTTTCTTCCTTCTTAGGAGTAGGTTTAGATGCTGTTGTAGGCTTAGGTGTGGTTGTGGTTGTTGTAGTAGGTTTATTTTCTTTTTCTGCTGTTGTAATGGATGGTTTCTTTTCTTCAGTTTTAGGTTTAGATTCGGACTTTGGTTCTTCCTTGTCGACGGGAGTAGGTTCAGCTGTTGCTGCTGTTGTTGTTGTTGTTTCTGCTGCTGCTACAACTTCTTCTTTAATAGAAGGTTCTTTTGCATTTACAGTATCATCAACTTCAGTAGATGGCTTAACAACAGGTGCTTCCTCAATCTCAATGTCATCATTTTCAGAAATTTCTTTATCGACTGTTTCATCGTTTGCTACTTCAACTATTTCATCAGTAGTTTGATCATAAACCATTTCTAAACCACGATGATAAATATTCAAAAGTTTGGCGAAATTTTCACCTTGAGTTCTAGCAATTTCAAGTTCCTTTTCTGTTGGTTCACGAGATCCATCTCCATTTGCTAGTAATTTAAAAATTGATTGATAAGAATTCTTCAAATCAACATGTATATATATATATATATATCAAACTTACCAACTGTACCAGCTCCCCAAGCAGAGCCACCCACCACTTCAGTATTATCAAAAAGATTACTATTCGTAAAACCCAAAGGAACATAGTTAAGACCATAATGAGCGAAATAGGTCATTAAAGTATAAGCAGTCGTTTCTTGTCCACCATGTTGAGAGGCAGTAGAGAAGAAGGTACCAGCAAACTTACCAGCAAGAGCACCAGTAGCCCAAAGGGCACCAGTAGCATCCAAAAAGGATTTCATTTGAGCAGGGAAAGTACCAAAACGAGTGGGAACACCTTTTTTTTTTGTTATTATTATCATCAGTCACCACAAAAAAAAATACCAATAATAATAATATATGCATATATACTTTACCAAATAAAAATGCATCTGCTTTAATGAGAGCATCAACTGTAATGATGGGAATATCAGGTTTAGGAGGTGCATGTAATTTTTCGAGAATTTCTTCGGACAAAGTCTCGGGGACCTGTTATTATTACGAAATTAGAAACTTGCTCGATTTCGTCATGCAAAAATAAATAAATAAATCAATTTTACCTGAAAGAGTTGAACGGTTACACCCTCTGATTCAAGACCCTTTTGAATATCTTTAGCAATCGTATAGATGTGATGATAAAGAGAATAAATAATAATATAAACAGTAGGCATCTTTGGGGTTTTTTTTTTTAAAAAAAAAAAAAAAAAAAAAAGTTAAAGGAAAAGAAAGAAGAAGAAAAAAAAAAGGAAAAGAAATGACAAAGTAGCTCTTTTTTTTTTTTTTCTGCGCTTGAAAAAAAAAATTTGATTATGAAAAGTGTATCTGGTTAAACAATGATAAACTTTTGATTGGCTAAAAATGATCTATATTATTCATTGCTTATCAAATTACAAGTCATATTTAACACCTTTCAAATACATATTCTAAAAAAAAAAAGAGGGGCGGAAATAGGAACCTTTTATTCAAATTAGAAGGGTCAAAAAGGGACTCGAATTAAATGAAAGAATAAGGAGAGATTATTAAAAATAGGAAGAATTATGTCATATATTTTATTTTATTCTTAATATATATATAAAAAAAAAAAGAAAAGTCTTTCATATTAGATTTGGATTAAGAAAAAAAAGGGTAGAGAGAGAGACGCGTACCCCCAAAAAAAAATTAAACGCGAAAATAAAAGATTATTAATTTTAAAGCATTGCTCTTAATAATACACAGTAGTAGTAGTAGTAAGCAAGCTTAGTCAAATATTAATAATTTAAAGCAGCCACGATTATTAATATAGAGTTGCGGAATTTGTATTTGAAATCATGACAAAATAATCGCTAATCAAATTATTGTTACTTAGTTACTACTGTTAATCCATTTTTTTTTTTTTGTTAATTTAGTTTCCGAAGTATTATTTTTTTTTTCTCTTTCATATAAATATTCTAAACTTTTTTTTTTTAAATCCATTCTTCTCTCCACCTTTTTTTATTTTCTTTTCTTTTTTTAAAAAAAAAAATAATTGTTATTATTAAATTCTAAATATATCAATTCAATTATGGCTGCTAAGGTTTACATTATTATTTACTCTCTTTACCATCACATCTACACTCTTGCCAAGGAAGTTCAGAAGGGACTTGAAGCCGCTGGTGTAGATGCTAAAATCTTTCAAGTTCCCGAAACACTCTCTGAAGAGATTTTGACCAAGATGCACGCACCCGCTAAGCCTGATGTTCCAGTGATTACAGTGAAAGATTTGAATGACGCAGATGGTTTCTTGTTTGGTATTCCTACTCGTTTCGGTACTATGCCTGCACAAATCAAGGCCTTCTTGGATGCTACAGGTGGTCTCTGGGCCTCTGGTGCTCTTGCTGGTAAGTTTGCTGGTACCTTCTTCTCTACTGCCTCTCAACATGGTGGACAAGAGACGACTGCATTTACAACCATTACCTATTTCGCTCATCATGGCATGATCTATGTTCCTCTTGGCTTTAGCTCTCCTCATCTCTTTGATAACTCTGAAGTGGTGGGTGGCTCTGCTTGGGGTGCAGGTACAGTTGCAAATGGTGATGGTAGTCGTCAAGTAACTCAAAAGGAACTTGAAATTGCTCATACTCAAGGTGAAAACTTTGGTAAGATCGTCTCTACCTATGTCAATGGTAAGACTGCTTAAAAACCACCACCACCATCACCATCACCATCACCACCTCTACGCCTTTCTTTTCCTTTTTTTTTTATCCTACCTTTCATCATCTTTAATTTCAAGTTATTATCATTTAAATAAACCTATTTTAGTATTGTAATATCTAGTAAAACAGAAAAAGGGGAAGTTGACTTTTTGAGAAACATTGAACTCGATATTTAGAGATGTGTTGTAATAGTAAAACTAAATAGCTTAGCATGGATTTTTAAAAAAAAACGGAAAAGATAACCCTATTTTTTTATTATTATTGGTTGCTGATGATAGTAATAATAATTAGAAAACAGCCTATTATTATCTTCATTTTATTAAAAGAAAGAAAAGTGAAAAGTGAAAAAAAAATACATGTTGATTAGGGAAATTTGCATATTATATTATTGGAGAAGATGTGTATAGTATTCTAAAACTATCTCTTCGTTTAATATGTATGTTTCACCCACGTATAATCTTCTTCTTTGTTTCAGAAAGAAGATCTGTAAAGATAGTAACAATTTTTAGAAAAAAAAAATTGCATACATTTTCATAATACAACGAATAAAATAGTATAGCAACAAAGACCGAAGTCAGTTATTAGCTGTTTGTGTATGTTATAGAATACTTTTTATTAGGTAATGAAGCGAAAAAATAAGACGAAGAAAATAAATGAAGAAAGAAAGATAAAAGGAGGAAAAAAAGAAAAATATAAATATTTGTGGTATATGTATATAAATAATTTCTGTACATTCATATATATAATTTAAATGGGTTGTTGATGTGCTGCCAAAGTTAATTTAAATGTATTCTTGTTTAAATCATTCACAGAGGATGAAAAAGAAGGTAATGAAGCTAAATTAGAAGATAGTCTCATATCTTCCATATATTCATATTTAGTATCAAATGTTAAAGGTTCATCTATAAGCATGATTGGATCCTTTTTCTTATTACGGTTATTTGATATGATAGAAGTAATCATAGTAGATGATCTGTTATTATTATTTGAATTATCGCATCTTTGGCGTTTTTTAATATTATCAGTCTTCATCGATAACGGTCGCTTTTCATGATGTAATTTCAGACTATTTTTTTTTTTTTCGTTAAATAACCTAAAGTCATTCTTAATATTAGATACACTTACTATAAACCACATGCATTACATAAAGGTGTTCCATCAACATCACGTCTCCAGAGAGGTGTTGTAGATGTACCACAATTCGAACAAATAGGTTGAATTGTATTTTCATTTTCACCTTTCACTTCTTTCTTTGAGGATTGAGGCTTGAAATGTTTAGGTCTAGGTATATTATGTAACTTTAAGCTAAAAGAAAGAAAAAAAAAGAATGAATAATGATTAAATGTAATATTTATACCGAATCAAGATGTTTTATAATTTTACTATAAACCACATGCATTACAAAGTAATTCATCTCTTGCAGATCTTCTCCAAAGTGGAGTCGTTGTTGTTTGACAGTTACTACAGATTGGAGTCTTTATTCCTTTTTCTTCGATTTCACAGTTATTATCTTGTTGACTTTTATTAAAAGTGGTAACTGTCTTTTTAAAGGAAGGCATAGATAAAGAAGTAAATGCTATGTTTTTCATCTTTTGAGAAGAAGGATTTAATGGTGGTGAAGATGCTCTAGATGAAGGTAAAGATTTTGATTGATGACGATAGACTAATTTTGTATCTTTTGTAAAAATCACGTTAGAATCTTGTTGTGGTAGACATAAGAAGGAGTTCAGGTTATTATTATTATCTATAGAAGATGACTCTTGCTGATTAACTAAGCATGAAGAAGAAAGAGATAAATTACTGTTACTAGTATATGTAAATAGTGAAGATGATGGAGTTATATAGGGTGTATTTGGCGTAGATTGAATAAGGGAGGGAGAGGAAGCAGAAGAAGAAGTAGTAGTAGAAGAGTATAGATGATTCATAATACCTTGAAGATGCTTAGTATCACTTTGGTTGTCATTGTTTATATGGGATACTTTTACTATTTCTTTTGAAGAAAATGGAGTCAATAACTTATTTTGTAATGTACTACTAGGAATAGGTGGCATAGTTTCTGCAGAAACATATAAGGCTGACCCTTGAAGCATGTTATTGGTTGTTTTTGTAGGGCCAGTAGAAAATAAATTTTGTTGAAAAGAAGAAGGAGGAGGAGGAGGAGGAGGTAATGATAAGGATGGTGGTTGCTGAAGGACATTATAATTCAAGTGAGTAGAAGGTGAATAAGGTTGCCCTAACCTATTTTCACACTCATTAAAATAATGAATAGGTGAAGTTATATTATTATTGTGAGGAGTAGTGGTAGTAGTAACAGGCCAAGCTTCATTGATAAGATTATCTAATTGCTGCGAGCTAAGCCTTTCTTCTTCTGTAGTAGGATTTAAATAAGTCTGCATATCATCATTGAAAGATTTAAAAATATCATCCAACTCGATAACTTGATCATCTGTTGTATTATATTGATTATGATCTTGAGTTGCGGAAGGATTAAATAAAGGTAGTATTACTTCTTTTGTTTGTAAGCGTTTATTGCACTTCTTTTTTGCTTCTAATAATTCAGCTTTCTTTTTCTTTGTTGCTTTTATAAAATCGAAATTATCTGGTATCTTGAAATTACGAATTAATGTTGTATTATTTGCAAACCATAATCGCCATGATAAGTTTTCTAGTCTAGAACCATTTTCAAGTGCGTCTTTTACTTTTGTACATACTTTCCAAGTTTCCGAAAGATCGTCTATAGAGTCATTACCAAATGGTAAAGTATGTAATTCACCTTTTACTTTCAACACAATAGGTGCCATTGTGTACATTAACAAAATAAAGATATTTATTTATTTATATTTTTCTCTTGAAAGATTCTTTTTTCTAAAAAAAAAATAAAAAAAAAAATAAAAAAAAAATAAAGGAAAATAAAAAAAAAAAAAGAAGAGAGGAAAGAAAAGAAATATAATAAAAGTAGTGTATAATAATTTTTAACAATGATAATAAAGCCGCTTTACTACAGTAATGCGGAGAAAGAATACAAACGCAAGGGGAGAAAATGAAAAAAAAAATTATTTTATTTAATGCTTGTTGTAATGGTAGTTAGTAGCAATAGTAGTTAGTAGTGATAGTACTTAGTCAGTTAGTAGTAGTAGTAGTAGTAGTTGTTGTTGTTGTAGTAGTAGTAGTAGCGGTAGTTGTAGTAGTAATTGTATTATTGCAATCTATTCCTCCAATCAATTCATACAATTTTATCATAGTAAATTGTAATACATTAGATATAAATAGTGAGACTTTATTCTACAACACTTGAATACGAAGAACTTTAACATGACCATATACACACACCCCATCCTTTTATTTAATTTACCCCTGAAATATGTGTGTTGCTATAAATATATTATGCATGACATGCATTTGCGCACAGACAAATCATTAAGTAGATGGATCAATAATAATAGTAAACAAATATTTATTTAGGAATGTGTTTATATGAACTATTGACAGTTTGGGCTAATATTTCTGCAGCAGCAGGATTGATAGTTTCCTTTTTTTCTTCTACTAGACGTGATTTAAGATATTCTTCAACTCGATTTGTTAATACTTGAAGTGCAATTAAATTTTCTGCACCTCTTGGAATAATAATATCTGCTACCTTTTTCGACTATTAAATTAAAAAAAAAAGTTAGCTATTATCATGTATATAGATTATAGACTGCATTTAATATTACCGGTAAAATAAATTCTTCATACATTGGCTTAACTCGACCCACATAATCCATTAAAATTTCTTTAATAGACAATACACGACCATTTCTTATTTTTGTCTTGCGAACTCTTCTAGCTAAACGTTCATCACTATCTTCATCAATAAATACTTTCATGAACATTAAATCACGTATTTCTTTTGGATATAAGACTAGTGTGCCTTCGATTAAAAGAACATCGACAGGTTCAAGAATACGTGTTCCTTTTCTAATTTAAAATGAATAAATAAATACAGTATTGTTACTACACGTTTTAATCTATTTTACCTTGTATGAGTAGATGAATCCCATTCAGGGACAGGAGTAGGCTTACGAGCTAACAAAGATTGGATTGTTTTTTTTAACAAATCCATATCAAAAGCATCTAAATAAAATGTAAATAACAAATAAAATGTATATCATCGTAAATCTAATTACCTGGATGATCAGTATAAAATTCACCAGCTTCATATTGAATTCTCTCAGTTGGTGTTAATTCACGGTAAAACTGAGTTAAACTAATTAGTGCAACCTTGGTAGCATAACTTTTATTCAACCGAGAAGTTAGTGCCTCACAGAATGCTTTCTAATATGATATTCAAAATAAATTTTACACTGGTATAAATAAAGCAGTCCTTTTTTTATTATTTTATTTTTTACTGTACTTTACTTTTCCTGAGTCTGCACCACCAGCAACAGCAATAGTCATGGGTGTTTTTAAAGATACTTTAAAATAACTAATTCAAGATGAATAAACGATCATTAATGTTAATTACTATTTTGTTGTTGTTGTTTATTATCAATGCATTTACTTTGGATCAGTATATTTCGTATGATCAATAGACATTATGCTTTATATGTATTATAGAATAAAAAAAATTTTTTTTTTTTCGTTTATACTTTTCTTTCAAAAGCGGTATAGTATATGTTTATAAAAAAAAGCTTATTTAAACCAAAAAAAAAAAAAAAAAAAAAAAAGACAGTCAAGCATACAAGTGCTCCAATCAAAATTCAAGTTTCAATTATTTATAAACTGTTTTCAACATTCTCGTTCTTTTCCATTGCATTTCTAGCAAAAGTGTAATATTTCTTTTTTTTTTATCAACCTTTTTATTATTATTATTATTTAAGAAAAAAAATAAGTAGTTTGTTTTAAATATAAATAACATAATTTTTTTCCTTCTTTTTGTTCTTCTTTCTTTCAGTTGTTTTCTCTCTTCTTCTCTCTCTCTTTTTAAATACAAAAAACCCTTCTTTTCCATACCCCTTAACAAAAAAAAAAAAAAAAATCTTTCTCCCCCACACATTTATTACATAAAAAAAAAATTTTTTTTCTAAAAATATTTAAATGATGATTACAGAGACAACAGCATTTAGTCATCCTTTTAACTTTAATGACATTCAAAGGGTACATCCTCTTTCAGCTTCCCCTGCTCCTTCTGCTTTTTTTCGTACAACATCCCCTGTTCAATCTACAAATACTATGGATGATGTTACAACAATTTTCGTAGTTGGATTCCCAGATGATATGTCTGAAAGAGAATTTCAAAATATGTTTACTTTTTGTCAGGGCTTTGAAGCTGCTTCATTAAAATGGCATTGTAAAGAACAAGAAGAGGAGAATATAGGAGGAAAGAAACAAATGGTAAATAGATTCAGAAATAAAAATATATAATTCCTATCTTAATTCTTTCCTTTCTTTTATTATTCTATATAGATTGGATTTGCTAGGTTTCGTACTCGTTTAGAAGCACTTGAGGCAATTGATGTTTTAAGCGGGAAAAGGATAGATCAAGAAAAGGGAACAATGTTAAAAGCAGAAATGGCCAAGAAAAATTTACATATTAAAAGAGGCTCAACTACTCAAACTACATCATCCTCTTCTTCTTCTTCCTCATCTACAAGTACAACAATAGCACCACAGTCACAACTACAACTACAACCACCACCTCCACCACCCCCACCACCACCACCTATCTCTTCTTCTTCTACTACAACAACCACTTCTTCTTCCAACAATAATAATAGTAATACGTTCATGATGACTACTTCTCTTACTATGCCTGATTCCTTAAAGAATATGCATCAACGTAATTATCCTCCTCATTTACCAAGTGATTTATTTTCTCCTCAAGACTATAAAAATGACTTGTTCATTGAACCTTCTATTATATCACCTACTTTAAATGATTCCTTTTTCGGCATTCGATCCTCTTCCTTTGATCATCATGACTTGGGGTTCATTTCTTCTAATCGTGCATTTGGCTTAATTCCAACTAATGAACAGCAACATAATCATCTTCATTCTCATTATTATCCTCCTCATCATCATCATTTTATGAATGAACAAGAAAATAGGATAGATTCTAATTCTTATCATTATCTTTCAAAATTGACACCTTCTATTCATGACAATAAAATTTTAGAACAAGAATTACTTCGATTATCTCTCTTATCTAGTAATCAACAAGAACTACGTTTAAATCCAAAATTAACTGCTAATCCAGCAGATCAAAACCCTCCATGTAATACCCTTTATGTTGGCAATTTACCTTTAAATACCTTAGAAGATGAATTAAGACATCTATTTTCAAATTGCAGAGGATATCGTCGTATGTGTTTTCGCACTAAATCTCAAGGGCCCATGTGTTTTGTTGAATTCGAAGACATTGGTTTTGCATCTCAAGCTTTAAATGATTTACAAGGACAAAAATTATCGAATTCAATTAAGGGAGGCATTCGATTATCTTTTAGCAAGAATCCATTATTTATTAAACCCAACAAGGAAAATAATATGATGACCCATTTTAAACCAATGGGAAATATCTTAATGACTGATCGACGTGGTAGTAGTAGTAATAGAGATTTAATGTTTGATCCTCAACTATAATAGATTTATTATAACATTTATATACACTCACGCATACAACATTAATCTTTTTCTGTCTTAATAATAATAATACATGTAACACATTTTATATAATCCATACACACACACACACACACACACTTTTTGCACTGTTATTATTTACTTAATTGCACTATACAGTGCGTCCGCCGTCAATTGGACAATTTTTTGAAAAAGCTGGTCAAATTTTTGAATAAATTTGCCCACTTTTTTGAAACTCAATTGGTCATTTGTTTGAAATTCATTTGGTCATTTTATTTAAATTCAATAGATCATTTTTTTGATCATTTTATCTGAGGTATATTTTGTTACTTTTTTTTTATACCATTATTTCGAGATTATTTTTCAAATGAGCATGAATATTTTTATGAAGATGGTGCTGGTAATCTCATTGATGAACAGGGCGAGCAAGCAAAAGCATATGTTGAAGAGAAGTCATTTCGTTTGAAAAGATTAACAGATCTACGAAAATACATTAAGAACAAGGATCTCCAATTTGAAACGATCAGTTCAGACGATACAGTCATGAAAGAGGCTAGTCCAAAGAAAGAAAGACCTCTTGAGTATAACATTTATACAATGGAAGACCGTAGACGTTACTTTTATTTTTTGAAAGAAAAACTCATGAGACCAAAAGATGCGGCCATAGCCGCAAATGTAAATTATAACACAGCGCGCAAATGGAAAAAGGCTTACGAGGATGATCCGGAAAGGAAGATTCCTATCAAAAAGACGAATCTGAATCCCAACAGACCAGTCAGTCAACTGAACGAAGCTCATAAAGTTTATCTAACCAGTTTTTTTGATGATGACTCAACTGCAACAATCCAGGACGCAGTTGAAAGCTTGACAGCCAACTTTGCTGGCTTACAAATAAAAAAAACAAGAGTAGCCGAGTTCATGAAGGAAGAATGTAATCTCAGCATCAAACTTATTAACCGACACCCTCTTGCCAGAAACGATGATAAAAATCTTAAAGCTCGTGCTGAGTGGGTTGAGAAATTGATCAGCAATGGCGTCAATTATCTCGACAATTGTATATTTGTTGATGAGTCCGGGTTTGACATTAATATGCGTCGTAGTCGTGGTTGGTCACAGCGCGGTACGAAAGCAACTACCACAACTCCCTCCACCAAGGCTACCTCACATACTGTTCTTGGTGCAATATCAGCTAATGGTGTCGTCAATGTGAGTATGCGAGAATCTGGAAATGTTAAGAGAAGGAAAGTTGTAGGGGCCAAAAAGAGAAAGGCTCCTAAAGATAAATTAACTATTCCCAGTGGCACTACTGGCGATCATTATCTTTTGTTTCTTAACGATACTATGGATATTATGGATGAGTTCCCAGAAATGAAAGGATTTTTTATTGTTATGGACAATGCACCAATTCATGTTCCTGCTATAATTGACCCTGTAATTGTAAGTCGGGGCTATAAGCCATTATACCTTCCTCCCTACTCGCCCGAACTCAACCCAATAGAACAATTTTGGGCCATTCTTAAGGGAAAAGTAAAGCGAAGTAAACTTAATGATGTTGAAACGCTTACTTCAAGAATTATTGAGGCTAGTGAAGAAGTACCTGTTGAGCATCTTCGAAATATTATTCAACATTCCATAAACCAATTTAGTAATTGCTTAAATAAGGTCCCTCTATAACTTTCCCTTAACATTATATAAAGTATAATAATTTTCAAAAAAAAAAAAAAAAGATCAATTGAATTTAAATAAAATGACCAAATGAATTTCAAACAAATGACCAATTGAGTTTCAAAAAAGTGGGCAAATTTATTCAAAAATTTGACCAGCTTTTTCAAAAAATTGTCCAATTGACGGCGGACGCACTGTAATAATAAAAAAAAATATATATATATACATATTTTTAACTAACCCCCTCTCTCATCAAAGTGGTTGTTGTACCCACCCTGGTATATTAAATCTCAGACAATTTGAGTTTAATTTTTTTTGTTGCTGTACCTTTTTTTTTTAATTCCACCCCTTGTTTATCCGACTAATATCCAATCAAAGGGAAAGATGAGTTTAAAAAAAGAAAAATTGCATTAATAATTTGAAATAGAAATGATCAAAGCAAGAAATAAGTCGGTTTTATACTACTATTACTACGGATTTCTTCCCTTTTAAAATAGATATTAATAAATAACATGTATAAAATAAAGAGTAGAATATAGGATATTCTTAGTGTTGGCGTAATAAATTAACAATGACATGATATTATCACATGATATTCTCTCTCTCTCTCTCTTTCGGGCAATATGATGTCTGTGTACTCATCATATGATGCTATTTTGTATTTCTATTTTGTTTTTTGATCTTCTCCTTTCTTTCTTTCTTATTTTCTTATTTTCTTTTTCCAAGTATGATTTTTGAAACCATTAAACGACATATTGATCCATCTTTAGAGGTAAATGATGTGCTTACTTTATTGCATGCACTATTCTTATATACCTATTTGTGTTATTATTAGATGATAAATAGAGACTCTTTAGACAAATTAATGTTAGCTGATATCATTGAATATTGTCAAGAAAGAGGTAAGAAAATAATAGAGATGAAGGATGATAAAGAAAGAAGATACGCGTGATATTCAAGTTGGGAATAGGTTTAAAAACAGAAGGTGACAAATCAGAATTAATTGAAGATTTAATTAGTTGGGTATGTATGATAAAGTAAAGTAATATCTATCTATCTTCTCACACACACACACACACACAACTAGAAAGAAAATATTCAACTTGTACCTGCTCCTTCAACACCAAGGTTATTTACAGCACTTGAATTATTGCCTGATTCTTCTTCTACTTTACCTCCACAACAGAGATTAGAACTTAATTCTCGTGATTTGTCTTTATTATTTTTAGATGATAAAAACCCTGATTTTGACATACCTTATCATACTCTTGTTATTGGTAAGAAATTAGGCAGTGGTGGTTTTAAAGATTGCTATGCAGGTAAATGAATGAATGAATGAAAGCAAAGTAAAAAAAAAAAAAATAATGCCTCAAAATTGAACTTGTTCATAGGAATATATAAAGGAGTAATTATTATCAGATAAACAAAAACCCTCTATTCCATTATTTAACATACATACATTTCTTTAAAAAAGGAACCTGTAGCTATTGGTGAATTAAGACTAACTCACTTTAATCAAGTCGATCTGGATGAAATTAAACATGAAATAAATGTATTAAAGTAAGTCTAATATATACTTTGAAAGAATAGAATCTATTTTAATAATGGTTATAGACAACTTCGACATGAAAATGTGATACGATTCATTGGCGTTTGTACACATCCTGAGCATTTATGTATAATTACGGAACTATGTTCTAAAGGAGATTTATTTGATGTTATTAGAAACTATAAAAAGCCGAATTTTTCACAATTAGTACGTGTACATGTATATGTATATATTGTTTTTAACTGTTGAATGATACATATATATATATATATATATGTATATTTGTAGGTTATGTATATGTATGATATTGCATTAGGTGTATCTTATCTTCATACAAGAAGGTAAATAGATACAATTTAAAGTATACGATATATATATATCAAACTAATATAGAATTCATATAGACCTTCTATTATACACAGAGTATGTTGTATCTCAATAATTGCCCTCTCCCTCCACACATTATTATTATTATTTACAATGAATTCCTTCTTTTTATTGATATATATATATAAAAAAGGACCTGAAATCAATGAATATATTGGTATGTATACATATAAATATATTTGCAAACAAAATAGAGATCTCACATACACACGTACACACACACATATATATATATATATATTTTACTTACTTGTCATAGATCTCGGGAGATGATAGAGCTAAAGTAAATGATTTTGGATTAGCTAGAATAAGACCTAAAGCAAATATTCTTATGCATACACATTGTGGGACTCCAAACTGGTACATAATATAATATAATATATATAAAAAAAAAGGTACATCAAACTTATTTATTTATTTTTCCTTTTTTAGGCAAGGTAAAAATAAAATAAATAAAAGTAAAGAAATTTGATTCTAGAATAGACTTACACATATAATATGATTCATTAGCTCCTGAATATTGGTCCTCAAATCCTAGTTATACAGAAAAGGTAAATTTATAGATATATATATATGTATATATACAGAATAAAAGAATGTATACTCAACATGTATTATAGGTTGATGTAAGTAGCAAACGAGCAAATGTGAAGAGACATTATACATGTATATGTTTATTTTATTTTATTTTAGGTCTATGCTTGTGGTTTGATATTTTGGGAAATTCTGAGTTGGGGTGAATACGGCTATCCATTTCAAGGTAATTAGACTTGTATTTTATACTAAAATTATTCAATTAAAAAATAAAATAAAATGGAAATAGATTTAGCAGAACATGCATTGTATATTGCAGTGAAAGAGCACCGAAAGAGACCTCCTCTAGGAAAATTAAGTCAGATCTATCCACATCAGCTTTTAATACTTATCATGGGGATGTGGGAAGATAAAGCTCATTTAGTAAATATGCAGAGAGTATAATAGAATAGATACATATTTTAATGTGATTCTTATTTATAATAGAGACCTTCAATGAACCAAGTAGTTGACGTATTAGCTGCTTATCTTACATAATAAAAGTATACAAAAATTATTATTATTATTATTATTACTATTATTCTATTCATCTTTTAAAGTAGATGCAATATATGTATCTAATGAAGTATTAGCATATGTTCTTGTCCATAATTTCGCTTCTTCTATAAATCCTGCATTGTCATTAGTATAGACTTTGGCTACTTGATAATCTTGAGGAGAAGAAGCATCAGGTGAATCTAATAAGGCTTGAATGGACATAAGCATAGTTCTTAATGTCATAACAGGGGACCAATTGGCATTTAAAACATCCTATATATATACGGTATATTGAGTTGAATCAAGACAATACATGTATATTTATTCCTATAAATACATACCAAACAAATGGCGCCCTACAAGTAGAATAAATGCTTTAGAATTAGTTGCATAATAAAATTAGATGTACTTACAGTTTGTGAGCTCACATTTGGATGATAGACTTTAGTTATAAATTTAACTTTTGGTGGAGAAAATGGGTGATTAGCCTATTATAATATTTAGCGTATATTATAACATTTATTTCTTCTTAAAATTGTGATGTTTTACGCTTAATTGAATATCTAATAAAAAGAGGCCACCTATATATATGCATATATTATTATTATTATATAAGATTTCAATTCTTATTTATATTGAAGATATGTGATATAATTTTAGAGTACTTTTTTTTTCTTTCTTTTTTTTCTTTTTTTTTTTACCTTCATAAGGCGTATCGCGTGGTCCAGTAATAGATCCAATCAAATGATCTACACAAAAAGATAAAAATGTCAATGACTTGTATAATCTCGATGATTTATATGAATGTATATTACAAATGTTAGATTCGTCTAGAACATGCACTGCTAAAGGCGCAGTATTATCCTCACTGACATCTTTTATTTCATTTAAAATACGTCTTTGCATAGCGGGAGGCGCCATTGTTGATTTTTACGATTATATTGAAAAAAATAAAAAAATAAAATGAATGAATAGGATTTTTTTTTTTATGAACAAAGACATTATATATTACTCGGTTTTTACTGGTTGAATTAAAATTTAATTCTCAGCTGCAATGCTTGTAAAAAAAAAAAAAAAAAGAAAAGTAAAAGGCTTGAAGACACAAAGAAATTCATTATTTTTTAGAGACACCTTGCATGTAACTACTATTTTTTTTTTTTTTTTTTTTAAAAAAAAAAGAAAAGAAATAGACTGTTTATAATTTAGCAATAAAGAGGGATTATTGCTTGTGGGAGATTTTTTTTCTACGACGAGTGCTAGAAGCCTGCCAGCAACTTTCCATGTCGAGATGGATTTGACCAACATGTTCACATCTCACTGTCAGAGTTTGAAACAAGTTTTGGATATTTTTAAGTGATATAAGAGCAATAAAAATAAAAATAAAAAATGCAGACTTAAGAGGTGTTGACATTTTGCTTTTAACCTTGTCTAATTCGATTTCTTTCTTTCACTTTTGTTGATTAGGCCGAGTATAAACGAGAGTATCCCTTAATTGTGCAATGCATCCAATTTATGATCTTTAATGCTCAATCTACTCGCTGATTAATAATAATAATAAAACTGATTTTCTATCAGAATCAAGGAACACGGGCTTATACCTCTCTCTCTGTGTTCAAAAGTCTGCAAGATCAAGTTCACAGTAGCTATCTGTCAACAATACAAAGAGCAACAAAATAATACTTTTTTTTTTATTTATAGTAAATAGAGTATGTCTATTTTACACTTAAGCAAGATATGCCAATAAAGAAACAATAGCAACTATACTACCCATTGAACAATAATCTCTAGACAAGGTATAATGACTAGCAGCAGCAGCAGCAGAGGTGAATGTAAAAGCACCTCCATTGTATTCAGAAGCAGAATTAGGTCTAGGAGCATTCTCACTCCAAGAACAATTTCTTTCAGATGTGTACTTGATAGGCTCACCTAATGCTATATTACGAAGCCACTGGCGTTGATAATTACTACTAGGGGCGCTAGGATTGATGGCATTAATCATATCTTCTAATAAAGCATCTGCCATAACAACAGGTGTCTCAAACCAATCATAACCGCCCGCTAATGTTAAAATACCGTCTTCACGATACACTTTCTTATTTGTTAGGAATTTATATTTGGATTGATCAGTGCTACTTATGTTGTAGTTTCGTAAAAATGCAGTCATGTTAGATCCAATGAAGGCTTCATCAATTAAAATATCTACATCTTTAATAGCCTCAAAAAGATCTGATGGAGATGTATATGTCATGCTTCTTTCAGGATTTAACATAGTAGCGCCTGTTTTTTTTAAAAAAAAAAAAAAAAAAAGAAAAAAGAAAAAAATAAAAACTTGTTGAGCAAATATGTACACACACACACACACACACACATGTACTTTTACATATATATACATATACTGACCTGCATCTTGTGTAAGCACAACCTTGAAGGCAGCATTGCTAAGCATATATGAGGCAGTGTTATTATTGTATTGATTAGGAGCATCATAACGAATCCAAGCAACAACAGGTTTTGTCTTGTAATGAGAAGCAGCTTCTTTTAATCGATTGTAATTGTCAATCATCGTTTTTGTAAGATGGTTAGCTACTGCTTCAAGATTATAGAATGCTGCATAATAGGAAATCCAAGAAGAACGCTTATATGTAAATCAAGTTTAATAAATAACACACACAAATTTCATAGTAGACTTACACCTAATACATCAGGTTCATAAGCTTGAGCTGTTGCTACGGTATTGTTAATATCTGGATGAACGATGGTATAAGGATTGGCACCAAATTGGACTTGAACGTTCTTAAGTTGTGCAGCTTGTAAAGTTACATTGGTAGAAGATAATTGACTGATGTCACCTGAATTCAAGTATTTTTGAAAGCAAGGTGATGAAACCAAGCTACCATCAGCAATAAGTGAAATTGTTTTAGCAGCTCCTATCATCTAAAAAAAATCAAATCAAATCAAATCAAATCAAATCAGTTTATATACATGCATTTATTTGTATAATTACCTCTAAATAAGGAACAATTGTCGTTTCCAAAATACCTGCTTTTGTAATAGGAATTTCATATATTTCGGTATCATTAGTGACATGAGTGGGAACAGGGGTCCCACATTGAACAAGAACATAAGTATGTCCAGTATTGCTGTTTTTAACAATCTTATAGTTATTATGATATTCAATCGAGAAATACTGTCCTTTATCATTAGCTGTAGTAAGAAAAGGTAAAAAAAAAAAAAATGAATACATTCAAGTGTCAAATTTGTATATATCTAACTTTACATGTCTCTACTTTTTCGGGAAAATAATCAATAGAAGCATCATAGTTTTGAACACATTGGCCATTTATCAGATTTGTTGTTGGTGCTTGAGCAGAAATACTAGAGATAGTAAAAGTAGCAATAGCCAAAAGACTTAACAATTTAGACCCCATTCTTTTTTATGTCAAAAAGAGAGAAAAAAAAAAAAAGAAAGGAAATGTATTTTTTATTTATTAAACTATGGTATAATAAAGTACCGATTTAAAGTTATATTTTAGATGAAAGATGAGTTACACGACCAGTAATCTGTGTATTTCATCTCTTTATTCAGATTCCAATAAACCTTCTTCTTTCCTTGATTGAATTATCTTGTTTTGTTTCTCAATCAATATAGTTAAAATATCTTTATTAAAAAAAAAGTAAGTATATATACGGAAGTTTTTTTTTCTTTCTTTTTTTTTTTTTACCTTTAATTTTCATCTTTTCGAATCCTTTAATATTAGCTCGATTCTTTACATAAAAAAGCCTGTGCCTAGTAACAAAAGTTAACATTTTCAAATCTTTTTTTTTTTTTTTTTTTTTTTTTTTTTAATTTCAGCATTATACTTACACAAAACCTCTATCTTTTGTAAAATCTAGTTGTGATTCCTCTATTAAATTATGTTTCTCTACTTGTTGTAAAAGTCTTTATTTTATTTTATTTTATTTTGTAAGTAAAAAAGTAACTAGCAAAGTTTAATTCTTTATACACTTACGATTTTAAATATCTTAACTCTTCATATGGTGTTGCATTTCTGCTTTTAGCCAATGTTCCATCAGGTTGAATAAGGTGACGGATTGTATAATATCTTGCATATATTTGCTTTTGAGACCTTTCTCCCTTAAAAAGCGGTACAATAGAGAGAAAGGATACCTTTCCATCTTGCACATTTTTTTTGTTTACTACTGCTTTTGCAAGTAATTCATCTTCTTCTCGAGACCAACGTTTTGCCACTAAAAAGAAAGGAATTATTAATCCTATAATAAATAAATAAATAAAATAAAATTACATTTTTTAGTTGCATGTCCATGTCCAAAGAGAAAATCATTAATGTTTTTTGGTGATCGATCCATATATTCAGATAAAAGTACTGCATTGTTGCCATGAATCTTTAATAGTCTATTTTTTTTTTTTTTTTTTTTTAAAAAAAAAAAGAATGCATTAAATAAGTTTTATCTATCAGAATTCTCTCTCTCTCTTTTCTTTACTCTTCTAATTTTTTGATTTCCTCTGGTGTCCAGGGAGCGTTATTTCTTTTCGTATGATACATCTCTTTGCACTGCTTTGCTATTGAAGCAAGAGAACGATTTGGAAAGGCTTTTCCAATTTTTTGAAAAAATCGTAAATATTCCTTACGATGACTACTTGAAAATATTTCACAAGCTTCAGAGAATGATATATTTTCACGCTTTAAAGAATATTAAAATAAACATAAAACTAAAAAAAAAAAAAAAAAAAAAAAAAAAAAAAAAAAAAAAAAAATTCTAGTTTCTGTACACTTACTCTACATATTTTTTTAATACGTTTTTCTAATTTCAGCTTGTCAGAGTAGCCAAACTTTCTTTGCTTTGGCCATTTTATCTCATCTGGTTTTGTATTCCAGCTTAAAGTGCGTTGCCATGGAGGATATTCTCTTCTATCATAATCCTCTCCAGAATCTGTTTCTGAGTCAGAATCCGAAACAAAATAATCTGGATTGACGTTAGTTACGAATGCATCAGAAAGTCGAGTAGCATAATTGATAGCAGCTGATTTGCTAGGATCAATTTCGCGTTTAGCTCTAAAAGAGATACGATTCGAAGTTAGATGATTTCGTTTCCTAATATATCCCCTAAGTTTTGTAAAGTTTTCCTCATTATTGTTTGAATCTGATTCATCACTTGATGAAGAAGAATAGGAAGAAGGGTCAGAAGAATCATGAATATATTCTGATGTTCTAGGTTTAATACGTGAGGCTGTTTGTCCCCTTTGTTTATACTGTCTATTCAACACTGCCTTATCATTTACCACATCTGAATCTGATTCATCGCTAGATGATGACGATTGTTCTGAAGAACTTATTTCGGCCTTTGATTTATTCATAACCTTCTTAATATTTGCTGGTGCCTTTGATTCACGATCTGTTTCATCAGAATCTGAATCGGACAATGGCTGGACAGAGGACACTTTTTTGGATGGGGTATATTTTTTATTCATTGGAATATCTTTATCAGTTTCATCAGAATCCGATGCAGACAGTGTGTTTTGAACATGCATTTCTTTTTGTTTTGAATTAGATGATCGCTTTTCAACATCTGTCTCATCAGAATCCGAAGCAGACATTTCATTTATGTATGATTTTTTTTGAGCTAATGAAGAGATTCGTCTTTCATATTCTGTATCCTCTGAATCGGAACTATATACTTTAGGTGTAGGTAAAGACGTCTTTGGTATTTTTGCTATCTATGAAAAAGATGTGAATATTATTTCTATTTTACAAAAAGCCCTTCTTTAAGATTTTTCTTTCTTTCTTTTTCTTTTTTTTTACTTTCTGAATATCATCAACTCTTTTCCTTTTTTTATTCTCTTTTAATTCTATCGATTCAGTTCCCTTTTTACTGCTATCTTTTTTGTTCTTCTTTTGTTCTTTAGTTGCCTTTTTGGATTTCTTCCTTTTTTAATTTCTCTTTTATCTGATTTACTTTTTTCATTTTCTTCTCTTTTCTTGGCTTCTTGTTGCTCTTTAATCATCGATTCTACTTTTGCTCTTTCAATAGCAATAGCATTATTAGGACGCATCTATAAAATGATCAACGGATAGAATAAGTAAACAGTCCCAATAAAAAGAAAGTAGCTGTTAAAGCTCGGTTAATAATAATAATAATAATAATAATAAAAACCTTTCTGCGTTTTATAGGTTGATCCGACATGGCGAATAATTAAGGAACTGAACGTTCAAGTTGCAAGATACAGGTTTATTTTATTTATTTTATTTTATTTTTTTTTACTTTTTATTTTTTATTTTTTCATCAAAATAAGGTGACTGTGAAAAAAGAGAGCCTTTTTTAATTGCATTTATTTTTGTTGACTTTTCTAAATCAACGACAGGCAGATAAGTGGAAGATTCAGTTTGATCTCTCCCGCTTCTTATAGACTTTCTAAGCTTATTTTGATTTCTATATCATGAATATAAAGACTTTTCACCATTTTTTAAATACTTGCCTTTTTTATTACTAGCGGCCGTCTTCAAGAGTGAAAGTGAGAAAGATCACGTTAGATTTTCCACATAAACATTTGTTACCATTATCATTTTCTTTTTGGGTGAAAAAAAAAATAGAAAAAGAAAGAGAAAAAAAAAACCCCCAAGACATGTAAATAGTTCTTCGATTTTCCTCAAGATAGATACAGAATTTTTCTCAATTTAGGAGCTCTTCAAACTCGCATTTTATTGAAAAATTTTCTTTTACAGTTCTTTAAATGCTGCTCTTATACGTCTAATGAAAGCATATAGATCACGATTCTTATTTAGTGTGTCTAAAAGTGATTGAACTGTTGGTATCTGTGGCTCACATTGTGTCACTAATAATAAACGGCATTAACCATATAAAATATGCATAAAGCTTACTTCTTTATATTACCTGAATATAAGCCACTTGATTCATTGAATTTGATTGTACAGCAATATAGTCTTTTAGGATATTCATTATTAATATATCTAAATATAAGCTTAATTTCATCCTCTATAAATAAATAGAAAGTGAGTACAGATGTTTGTATCATTTAATTTCATTTTACCTCCTGTATTAACAATATCTAATTGAGTACATTGTATATCTGCATCTAGTTCAGCACTTACTAGTTGTGCTTGTTGCTCTTGGTTTAATTTATTTTGCTCAATTTCTTCTCTTTTTTTGTGTAAAGTGGCTATTAATTGATCTCGTTTCGATTCTAATGTGTGATTGTGTTGAATTAGAGCATCTGATTTTAATTTAAGTTGTTGTATATAGATGGGTAAATTGTTGTCCTTTATATCAGGTGCCTCTAAATTGATATTATTTGTTAGTAAGATAACCGACTTGTATTAAAGATTTTTTTTTTTTTTTTTTTACTTTGTTCGTATTCTGCAATATGTAATGATGTACGTTCTATTTCTAATTTTAACTTTTTTCTTTGTTCTTTATATATAATTAGAAATCCTGTAGCAATAATAAACTTGTTATCTGTCCATGTACCTGCTAGTTTAGTTAAATCCCTTTCTACTCTTTGATGTAGTGAAGCTATTGAATTTTGATCCTTTCTTATAAATGTAACAAAGTTTTTCTCAATTGTTTTTATTGCGTCCATGCTTTCTTCAATAGTTGAGTGAATAAGTTGAAATTCATCACTGTTAATTGTAATATTCATATTGTAAGTAGGGGATATGTTTAAATAAAAAAAAAAAATAAAATAAAATAAACAACAACAACAATTAGAATTGATTGCAACTTTAAAGAAAGGCTCGAGACTGTTATTTCCATTTTTGGTAAATCGTACCTTCAGTAAAGTCCGGTACGAAACAGAAAGTGAGATGAGTTGTTGTATGATTGTGGGTGGGCATTATGTGGTGAATACACTCAGTTTGAGAAAGGCTAAGTTTGAAAGATCCCTCTTTACTTTAGCTGTCAAAACTTATATCACAATGGTAAATTATAGCTTCTACAACAACAACAAATAATGGATGGATGGGGTTAGGATGGATTCATTTCGATATTTGAAGCAAAGATAGAGTGTGTTGTCAGTTACCACTATTTTGTTTTTGTCACTCTTCCCATTCGAAATTTAATTGTTGTTGTTGTTGAATTGTGTATATATAATTGGACATTGAATAGGGAAACTAATAACAAATTGTAGGGTATTGACTTGAAGAAACACCACGTCAAGAACACCAACCGTACAGCTCCCAAGTCTGACAACGTCTACTTGGCTTTGTTGGTTAAGGTAAAAATAAAATAAAATAAAATACAAAGTCAATTGGCATGATTTCCCCAAAAAAAAAAATAAACAAACTAATTAAAACTATTGAATAGCTTTACCGTTTCCTTGCTCGTCGTACTGATGCCAACTTCAACAAGGTCGTCTTGAAGCGTCTCTTTATGTCTCGTATCAACCGTCCTCCTGTTACTGTCTCTCGTATTGTCAAGAACAACAAGGAAGGTAAGACTGTTGTTGTTGTCGGTACTGTTACCGATGACTCTCGTCTTCTTGATCTTCCCAAGCTCTCTGTTGCTGCCCTTCGTTTCACCAAGACCGCTAAGGCTCGTATCTTGAAGGCTGGTGGTGAAGTCTTGACTTTGGATCAATTGGCTCTCCGCGCCCCTACTGGTTCCAACACTATCCTCATCCGTGGTGCCAAGAACAGCCGTGAAGCCGTCAAGCACTTTGGTTTCGGTCCTCACAAGAACAAGAAGCCCTATGTTCGTTCTAAGGGTCGTAAGTTCGAACGTGCTCGTGGTAAGCGTGCTTCTCGTGGTTTCAAGGTTTAAGTTGAACTAGAGAGGAAAATAATCATATGCATTGCATAATAAGCATAAATAAATTGACAGCCAAATTATTATGTGACATATACAATAAAACTGACAAAGTTCACAATTTATATACATTTTTATATACATATAAAAAAAAAGGGTGATTTATTAATGTACGTATAAAAGGGAGAAGGAAAAAGAAAAAAAAAGAGAAGCGTTATAGATGTTTAGGAATTTATTTCTTTGACTTTTTCTTCTTGGGCTTTTCTTCCTCTTCTAAATTGTGTAATTTAGTATTATAAATGATAAAACCTCTAATTTATGCTTCATTTTAAATTACCTTCAGACTCATCTTCAGAACCAAGTTCAATTTCTTCATCTTCATCTTCATCATCGTCTTCAGGACCTTGGAAATATTCAATAGCATTAGGGAAGATATCTTCACTAAGAATGATACCAGGACGAACATCGTCATCACTGAACCATTCAAGGAAAGAAACAGCAAAATCATCATCATCATCGTCTTCGTCAGCTGCCTTACGCTTCTTGTTGGGAGCCTTACTTTCATGATATTCAATAGTAGTCTTGGAAATAACAGAGCCGTCACTTTCAGGATCAATTGAATATTCCTACAAAGTTGATTATTAAAATGTGCTATTTCTCTTTTTTTTTTTTTTTTTTTTTTTTTTTATTTATTTATTATTATATGAATTTGTCCTATTTTTACCTTGGTTAAAGTTTCATTTTTGAAGATATCATTCTTCTTGAAAGTCTATTGAGAGAATATTTTATTTTGTTTTTTTAGTTTCTCAAAATGCATATAAATTTATATATATAAAAAAAAAAAGTAAAACTTACAGCTGAAACCTTACGATAATCAGGCTTTTCATGATCATATTCAACATGGAAATCAACCAAATTTTCTAAAGCTTCAACATCATTTTCAGAAGGATCAACACCAAACAAGGGTGAATTACCAAGCTACAAAAATAATTACAAACAAGTTTATTTTTATTTTTATTTTTTTTTTTATGTATATGCATATATTACCACTTGTCCCCAGAAACCAGGAATTTTCTTAACCATTTCACGACGCTTTTCCCAAATAGGAGTCATCAATTTACGTTGATAAGCTTGAACTTGCTCAGCAACTTTCATAGTTTCTTCTTCAAGAACCATAAGTTCATCGTTAAGAACGTCTTCAGCTGACATTTTTATATGTATATAGTAATGTGAAGGAGAAGAAAAGAAAAAAAAAAAGGACTTTTAAGCGAGGGTTTTAAAAGTGCTAAATGCGCATTTTTTTTTTCTTAGTTTCGAGTTTATAAGCCATCTAAATGTGACCATTTATACGCGTCATTAAAGATCTATAACTACGTACTTTTTTTTTTTTTTTTGACAACAGCGAATATCAAGTCTAACAATAGATTTTTTTACTTTGTTTATTTTATTTTATTTTTTTTTTAAAAAAAAAGAAGAAGGAACGAGTACATGTATGTAGAGAATTTGTACTCTTTTATCTTTTTTTTTATTGGTATTTTCTATAATTATAAACTTCATGGCTTTTTTTTTTTTTTTTTTTTTTTTTTACTAGATTTTCGGAATTTGAAAATGCAATCGTCCTCCATTCAACAAAGGAAGAAAATGCCACTCTAGAAGGAAAATGGAATACGCATTCTAGGGTTACAAGAGAGTAGTACATCCATAGAATGGCCTGTTACTTCCAGTGGATCAGCAGTAGCAGCAGCAGTAGTAGTAGCAGTAGTTATTAACAAGCCGTTTACAGCGTTTAACAACAAGCGCCGCTATAATCATTCAGGGGGGGAGGAAGAGAAGAATTGAAATGCTGCTACATGGTAGAGTAAACATATAAGAAAGTAAATAATAATAATATGAGAATGACAAAAAAAAACGGAGTCTTTTTATATTTTCTCTTCTTTTATATTTTCTCAATATAAAACTATTTTTTAAAGTATGCTTCAACTATAACCGTTTTCATCTGGGTTTAAGTACTAACAGTATGTACGAAATGACGCGTCATATTATACAGAAATTGTATCAAGAAAATGAAGAGAATTATTTATACTATTTTTACAAGACAAGTGATAGGATGAACTTTGACGAGTAATAAAGAGTCATATATGTTATAAAAAAGACATATAGACTGCAAAGATGACTAAGTCTTGTATAAAGATGAAGACAGAGTATTTTATTTGTACCTAAACTAGCCTATTTATAGTTGAACTCATCATAAGTATCACTGAATATCCCACACATGTTGTGAGATAAATCGTAAGACCTTAGGATCTTTAGGGACCTTGAAACCGTAAGTTTTTTTTTGATCTCAGGCTTAAGAATTATGAATTAAGGATTTGTAACTTATATTTAAAGGGAAAAAAAAAGAAAACGATACATTCCCCCCCTTTTTGTTACTTTATAGTTACCTTTTCTCTCTACAATCACATCGAATTTGTTAAATAATATGGATTGTGTCTAACTAGTGAAGGAGACATATATGATTGTAGTATCTATAGATGAACCAATCAGTAGCTAGTATTATTCATATAATAGAAGGAATAATAGTGATCTCAAAGATACATTGTCAAAGAGATTATAGAAATACCTTATTCCATGATAGTAACATAGAATCCAATGTTTAGTATTTAAAGTCTTAATGATAAGGGAAATAGTAATGGCCAAGAAGGATGAGTAACATCATAATAATAGCAGTGAATTCATAGATACCAAAAAGTTGATAATTCGAAATCTTAGTTTTTCTCCACTAATTATTATTATGCAGCACCAGCAAATATTTTACATGTGAGTTATAGTAGCTAGCAGCGGTGCTGAATAATTATTATGATATCTTATCGTTATTTTAATTCAAAAAAAAAAAAAAAAAAAAAAAAAAATAGAAAATAACTTTTGTCTATTTTGTTTTGTATTTAATAATAATATGGCAGCAGGTTTAAGAAGTAAGTTATAAATTACATGTTGTGAATTATGATAATCCTTTATTAATAGTATATATTAGCGTAAGTTATTATTATTAAACAAAAAAGAAAGAAGAAAAAAAGTTGCTAATTTTTAATAATTAACTCTGTTATGGAATCCTAATTTTTGTCAATTAGTATCATTTCGTTAGCTTTTGTATTAGCTATAGGATTTTTATTAGTCATTTTATCTTGTGCACTTTATTAGTAAGTTGACTCAATTTCAGTTGTGCTTCTAATTGAAATAACTTGTGTCATTTTATGCGATAGTAATTGGTGGCCTTTATTAGTTGGTAAGTATGAAGTTCTTTTTATTGTTATTATTCTAGAGATCTAAATTCTTTTTTTTTTCTACAAGTTGCTACATATATATTAGCTCCTCTACCTAATGCATTATGTACAAGATGTGCAGGTGAAGATGATGTTATGTCGGGTTATTATAATAGGTAAATAACAAGCTTGGCATATATTTATTTATATGTAATAAAATGATTAACATGTACATATTCAAATATAGTGGTATTATTGATGCAGGTCATTTCATAACAGGCATTTTTATTGTAACTGGCTTTTGTACGTATTTATAAAGTATCTGATTGTATCTATCTATTATTAACTTTTATATGTATTAGGTTTACCTCTTGTTTTGGCTCATGCTGAAGTTGTAAGTTTACGTTCCTTTTTTATTTATTTATTTTAATTTTTTTTTTTTTTTTTTTTTTTTTTTTTTATTATTATTATTTTTTAGATTACAGTTCCTGCTATGATAATGAGTATCGCTGGTGGTCTATTAGTTTATGGAACAAGTAACGTAATTTATATGATTGAATTACTGTTAGAGAACTAACGCTGTTATTATTATTAGTTATTACATATACACATTTTTTTGCTCATCAAGACGATAGCTTTTGATATCCACAATATAAATAAAATATGATAAATAGCGTTTATTTTATCCATTATTCTTGTTCAAGAGATGATGAAGTATGAAGCTGTTGAATAATAAATCCTTTACATTCACGTAAACTGCGAGGCATAGCAATGGAAGACTACATAATAGACATTTGTGAATAAGTAATTCATGATATATTTTATATCGTTACCTCTTTACTATTGTTGGGAATAGGTAAATATAACATTTCAACATCAAAATTCCCTACTACTTTTAAAACATCATTTTCAACATTATGTAATCGTTTCTTTTTTATCATCTTTGCTCGTTGACATAATGACTTTGAATACCAAGCATTGAAACAGTGAAAGCCTGCAGGATAAGGTGTCTCTATGCAGGCAGGTATCATATGAGCCAAGGCAAATCTTGCTTGTCCAATTGCCCCGTCTTCTTTATTAACATAAGTCGATAAACATTCCTCTTTCATCATCCTCTTCTTCTTCTTCTTCTTTTTCCCTTTTTCATTATTATGATAGGATATAAAAGTATTAGATAAGGAAAGAAAGCGAGAAAAGAAAAATGGTATAATATGATTGCTGCCTTTATAATAATGACGTGACTTCTTCATAACATAATCAGGTCGAACATGAAGTGAAATAGTAATGATCATATCGGGATGGGTATCAATAACACATTCATAATCGAATTGAATGTTTTGTGTTAGAATCTCGTATCGTGACATATATTCAAATCGGCCATCGCTTACTACGCAACGTACATAAGCGCGTTCTTTTGGTATAGGGAGTAATATATCTTGAACTCCATTCACATGTAAATAGAGTTTACCACGACTTGTTGACATGGCTTTCATTTTAACCGTTGGAGGCCTATTCGTATTATTATAGGAAAGAGTAGAAGGTGCAGATGCGGCAGACATGGTATTAAAGTTTTGTTGTTGTTGTTGTTGTTGTTGTTGTCTTAAATAGATAGTACTAGATACACGAGGAAGAGAAGCTGAAATTGATTTACGCTGAATCAATGATTTTGAAGAATGTATCATGGATATTTCTCCAATTTGCGGTATGTCATTTAACGTCTTCTTTTTCTGGTCTTCCTCTTTCCTATTTTCGATTTTTAAAGCAGATTCTAATGAAAGTACACTAGTTTCATGGCTATTATTAAAAATTCCATCTGAATTCTGCATCTCTTGCTTTTCATCTAAATCAAAATCATACTTATTTTGCTGCTTTCCTTCTTCTATAAATTCATCCAATACTTTTGATGAAAAACTTGCCACTGATGTAATAGAGGATATAGTTGAAGATGATGTTGATCCTTGTTGTTGCTGTTCCTTTTCCTCATGTTCAACTTCCTCCAACTTAAATTCTTTATCCAGAATAGCTGCCCAAGAACTTAGACTCATTGTCCAGGAAGCTTTCTGACTGCCACTCATTCGTTTCGCATCTTTTCGTTTTTTAGGACCTTCATCATTACTTGATTTTTGCGAGATATTAGGGTTATTTTCATTTTCACGTAATATAGATTTTGGTGGACGTACGGGTGAGCATAACTGTACTTCAGTAGCTGATGATGTCGTATTATCCTCTATTGCTAAAAAAAAAAAAAAAAAAAAAAAAAAAAAAAGGATAATTAGTTAAGCATTATGATATATTTATATTATTACTCAATACCTTTTTCTTCAAATTCTATACCAGAATCATTTGAAAGTTGCTTTGTTTTATTTCTATCTTTAAGGTTGTTTTGTTGTTCGGACAGTTTCTCATCACTACTACTGTTCAAAATAATAGCAGTTTTATAAGTAGGTAAAACTAAGCGAGTAGCATATTGAATTGTGACTGTTTCTTCTTCCTCTTCTTCTTCTTCTTCCTCGTCTTCTTCTTCCTCTTTCTCCTCTTCCTCTTTCTCCTCTTCCTCTTTCTCCTCTTCCTCTTTCTCCTCTTCCTCTTTCTTCTCCTCTTCCTCTTCTTTTCCTTTTTTTTCTATTTCTGCTTCTGTTTCTATTTCTACTCCTTCTTTTTCTTCTTCTTCTATTACTACTGCTGCTTCCTCTTTACCATGTTGTTCTTCTAGTGTAAGCTCTTTTGCAATTGGATCATTAATAATCTTATTATTGGGGTATAAATTGTCTATGGTAGTTATGCTTTGCTGCAAGTCATCATCCTCAGTAAGTAATAACATATTGTCTTTGTTCATTTCTTCATGATTTAATTTGTTACAAATGGATGATGACTCTCGACTATTAGGAAATGGTTCAGATATGTTTGTATCCTTGTTAGTTTCTTGAAGAAGGTCAACTTCAGTAGTAATCCTAGACCTTCCCGCTGACTGGTCTTCTTCTTCTTCTGTTTCCTTTTTATTACATGACGATAGTAAGTTTTGCTCAGATTGGCTGATAATAGGTGTACTTTCATGATTGACAACTGAGGTATTAGTAGTAGGATGAGGCACAAGTGCAGACATACTTTTCTTTTTCTCCAACTTTTTAAATAAGGGGTTATTTTTGACAGCGGATTTTTTAACTAGTTGAGCCACCTCCAGTTGTCTTTTTTGCTTTCCTAATCCAACTACGACTTCTTCTGTCAAAAGTACTTTTTTTTGTGTCTCCTTAACCCTCCCCTTTCGGAAAAAACGGCCGTCTGACTTTTGTCGGTCCAAGGTAATATCTAATAATTTTTTATTTTTATAATCGTTGTTTGAAGTTACTACAATATTGTTACTACTATTACTAGAGGAGGCTGATTCTTCTGCTAAATTTCGAAGTAACTGAAATTGATCTGGTGTACTATAGTTAGGCCTAATCGTTGTTTGTGATAGTTTTTGCTTTTCTGATGGTCGATGTAGATGATCAAGAATTGTTTGTGATGATGTGACATTCTTCGGTTCAAAGCCAAGATCATTAACAGGTGTAATAGATACACCTCTTTCAATTAATAATCGAATCATGGGTACATACTCTAGAAAGCAAACTAAATGTAAAGTTGAATTATTGCACTCTCCCCAAAATTGAGTATTGAGATCATGTAAAGAAGATCGCTTTTCATCATGTCAGTTTCCAAAAAAAAAAAAAAAAAAAAAAAGAAAAGAAAAGAAAAGAAAAGAAAAACGTGTATAATACAATTTTCTTACCTTGACTAAATAGGTTAATAATTCTGATTTTTTTATTTCCTGACTATCCTCTCGATGATAAAGACAAATAAATTGAATAGCACTAAGAGGATAAAAGGATGAACCGAGATGCTTTATTTGTGTTAATTTTGTTTGTAGATGATTAATGTCATCCAATGTGTGGGGTATAGGAGTCCATAACAATTCAGGCTCTTGTTTTAAAAGTAAACGAACTTGAGTAAGGTTAATTTCAATAATGGCGCTTGTCCATTCAGCAAGTAGCTCTGACAGCAATTTGTTGGAAGTTACCATACTACTTGTAGTACAAGCAATATATAAAGAAGAAAGAAAGAAAGAAAAAAAATGTAGCTGTAGTTTGTAGCAATGAAATAGATTTATAAATTAGTTTTTTTTATATTCATATGTGTATGTATTATCGGACTTTGAAATTAGAGTAGCATTTAAAGCTTGTCCAGTCAATTTTAATATATTTCATCAAATTTGGGCAATTTCTTGACTCCTTTATCATTCTTCTTAAAAAAAGAAATGAAAACATATATTGTTCCTTGGTTTCTCCTAAAAGAATTTCTATAGAGACGTTTTGCTTGGGAATTCTACCTTTTTTTTTTCATGGTTAATCATAACAATGAATGACAGTATTCTTCATGATTACATTTTGTTAACTCTGTCTTTCAAATCTTCCCCCTTTTTTTTTTCTTTAATTTCTCTTCTATTTTTATCGGTAAGCCCTCATCGTAATGTCTTAACCACTCTTAGAGAATATTTAGAAGCCTTTTTCTATATGTATTTTATAAGTTTAGTTCATTTTTCTTTCTTTCTTCACACTTGTAAACTTTTGTCCTGTCTGGCGTTAGAAACATGTATCTATTTATAGTTTTATTAAATATATACCATTATTTGATAATAAAAAAAAAGAGCTTTTGTCACGTTAGATATGTCTTGATAATTAAGTTATAAAAGACTTGTATTTAGGCCCTATTGTAGTAATATTTATTGCCTAATTAAATAATAAATAAAAAAAAACAATCTTTTTTTTGCTAATTCAATATAGTATGAAGTTTATTATTTAAAACTATTTGCCAAAGGAGAACTACAATATGAACAATGTTATTAGAGTAACAAGATGATTATCTCTTATAAGCTACTATATACGTTTATATGAATGCAAACAATAACATACGTTCGGATTGGCACTAATGATGAATAATGCTTTGGGCCAATAATTCTTAGTCTTGATGACAGTTCCTGAAGAGTAAACTCCTAACTGTTAAATTCTAGCTTTTATTCATAACAAAATAGAATATTAATCACATATGTACAGAATCTCATGGCCCTTTAGCATTTTACACAGACAAAAAGTACCAGTAAATAGATATACTTACATAAACTTAACAACCACTAGTAGTTGTATACAAATATAATTTCATGATACATAAGAACGTTAACTATCAGAAAAATAGTTAACTAAATTATCAAGCTAGAATTTGTAAATCTTTAGTTAACAAGAAGGATAAAAACAATTCATATTATGTAATATGTGCATTCGGTATTAGACGCTGTATGTATCAGTGATTAAGCTATGGTTCATAATCTTAATGACTTCCATAGTAGCCTAGCAAAGCGTAACTTGAATAAGAATGTCTAATAAAGAGATCGAGTAAAATTGTCTTTACTATATACATATATATGTATATGTGAATAGCCAGTATTTAATAATTAATCATCTTTATTTCTGAAACATACATTATGAAATTTTCGAAAATAAACGATATAGGTATTATTTGCAGATTTTCATACTACTCAACAACTCCTAAGGTACGTGATCTAGACGACAAATCTACTACCTACGCTTTCACAATCAATTTCAGACCCTGTTTCCTTATCTCCGCCTGTAGAACTTTATCAATCTGCTATCTTTTTTAGAAACTGATTATGGAACAAATACGATAACAAGCAGCTTTCAATATCATCTCTTGATGGCGACCAAGAATACTCTAGTTTCTAATAATTCAATCATCTAGTCCAACTCTACCCATACTACAAGCCTTACAAGAGAATACCCACACTAATTTGAAAAAAAAAGGGGGAGGAGGCAAATCATATAAATACATTATGCTTGTTTAGAAAATATCTGTTTATGATATAGTAAACTTCTAGATTCATAAAAAAAATAGATTTTATGAATCATTGTGTGTTTATTGATAAGGCTAGATTCAATAGAAATATGCACCTCTCTTATGGTTGGTGTAAAATAGGATAGGAACACCTTGCAAAATCAAAGTTGAAATAAAAAGTACCAAACGTCAGTAACCTAGATGCCATTTGCAAAGATGGTTTTATTACTCTTTCACGAAAGGAAAATATCACTACAGCAACAACAAACTGATGATATGCTAGCTGTAAAAAAAGAAAAGGCACAACTAGTAACGACTTTTTTTGGAATCCATAGAGCAAGTCCTTACTACGCTTGATGTAGCTACTATGAATGATAAGTATCTGATGCTTGATAACACATCCATTCACAAGGCTAGCCTTGTTATCATGATCATCATAAAAAAGAGCTCAATTACCATAATACAGTAATAAGAAAGCGTACAACCTAACTATTTAAAATGCATAAACTGCCAAAAAAAAAAAGCATTCCACAACAAAGCTAAAAGGGAACATTTTGTAAAATTGTAAGAAACAAAAAGCGTCTAGATTATGTGTGTGTCTAAAAGTAAAAATAAAACTGTTATATAAAATGACATTTTTTATATTATTGATAGCTTATCTACTCTTATTCTTTTGGAGAATGTATGAACATCATGCTCTTTCGTGTAACTGCATTTAACTAGTTTTGGCTTAATTACTTTACAAGAATGCTCAATATATTCACATGAATATTTATACATATAAAAAAAGTAAACACACTTCTTACTTTCTTACTTTCTTGCTTACTTTCAAAGAAGACAGTAATGCTTTACTACATTCAAATAAAAGGCAAAACTTATCTCTAAAGTATTAAAAAGAAAAGAGAAAAAAAAAGAAAAGGAGAAAGGCAGGAGAGAAGATTTAACGCAAAGTGAATTAAAAACAAAAAAAATATGCTAAAATTAAACTTTAATAACTTCTCCTTCTTTTCGTTTATTTTTTTTCTCCTGAATTTTACTATAAAAAAAAAGTACATTTTTCGTTTTTTTTCCCTTTTTTTCTCTTTTCTTTTCTTTAGCTTTTTTTTATTTTTCCTATTCTTCTTTATTTTTACTTGAAACTATGGGTAGACATTGTCAGGGTTATGAAGTGTGCTCAAGTCACATAGCTTGGCTTACTTGAGTTTGTAGAACTGTCCGTTTATAACATGGCTAAAGGAGAGGGCCTAGACTCTCTTTTGGTTACTACATGCATATCCGCCTTCACCTTGGGTTATTGCAACCTTAGATAATTGATGGGACCTTATCGAATTTTGACTGCTCAAGTTTGATTTATTTCCAAAGGAGGAGGGAAATAAAAAGGATACTTGGGGTTGGAAATTGTAAACCTGTTCCTTTTTTAGGGAGATTAGCGTACTCTTTGTCTGCACCATTGAAAGGGCTTATCTCAAGGTTTAGTTTTTCTGTTTTTCTTTTTGGAGGTTTTTCCTTCTTTTTATTTTTATCTAGTTGCTGTTTATAAAATAAAAATAGATAAGGATGCACAGCTTACGTTTCTGACCGTGGTTTTTTCATCTATTCATTTAGGTGAAGAATCCCAACTTGTATTTACTGTTAAGTCAAAAGTAGATGCTAGGGGTCAAAGAAGGGACATTCTCAGGTAAACAATAGTCAGGTCGTGCACTTTATATATCTGGATTCCTTCCACTTCGCCACGCTACAGGTCAGAATGTTTAGCCCGGCTTCCAGTAAAACTTACATCCAACTGTATTTTTTATTGGGGTAGGAAGTGAGGAATCCTATCTTTTTCTTCTAGCAAGGCTTGGGCCAGGTTGGTACTTTGCCAAGTGTCTACTAGTTGAAATTGGACGTTTATCTTTCAAGTAGAAATTTAGAGGGAGAAGAAAAATTACAGCCCGTATCAATTTGTGTATGGGTTGTAATATTATTTTTGGGATTAGATATGCTTTCACCTTCTCGTGGTTAATCCTGTTAGTATCAAGTCTCTTTTAAAGAGATTTGAGAACTAAGAAAAGCATCTTTTTTTATAATATCAATAAAAATGAAAAAAAAAAAATAATTTAATAAAATCGTGTTCTATAATAAAGTTGATTCTCTAATAATATTTAATAATTAAGCGTATATAAAAAAGTGGTGAAAGACTATAATAGCACAGTGTATAAATATTAAAAAGATTATTGTATATTTTTTTCTAAGATTTCTTTCCTCTCAAGGTAAATTCTATATGGTTAAATAAATCCAGCATCACTAGAATGTACATTGTCAGAATAAGACTAAAACTAGCCAACATTCATAATGAGCATTCATAATCTTATTGCTGTACAAAAGACTGTTCATCTTTAGGGTATAACTTGAAGTTGTTTCAAGCCTTGCCATCATAAATATCCATTATTTAAACTGGAAATAAACTAACTTTAGTGTTTTTTTTTTAACATAATTTTCTCCAAGGAAAATTTTCTTTGGGTATTGAGTAGTAAGGACTGAAGGGAGGTTTGACCGATTCATCGAAAAGAAGTTGTTGAAATATCTCAGCCTTTGCAAAGGAACCTTATTTTTTTTTAATTATAAAATTTTCCATAAAGATAAATCCTTTACTCCTCCATATCGTATCTACGGATGGTATAATGTCACTTGATACAAGAAACGTATTCTTGAAGTCTATCATGAAAACAAAAAAAGGTTGCCATTTGACATCACTTGTAAAACGTAACAATACTGTTAGATACAGTCTTTTAGTGCAATATTAATGAAGGTCATTATTGTTTTGAGATTCTTGTCGATTATATATTGCTCTTGGATGAGCATTGACTTCATCATAAAGAATATAAAGGGTAATTGCTCCTTCAGTGAATTTGTCTCATTATATGGATTATTTAGAGGAAAATACAAATGATGTGAACATACATTTAATAAGAAACTACTGCCATCTTTCATTATGTACGATGCTTCTTACTATTCGATAATTTATATGTTAATGCACTCACTATTTATTGCTAACTTAAACCCTTCTATGATACTAGACTGTTTTTTTTTTTTTTTTTTTTTTTTTTTTTTTTTTTTTTTTTTTCGGCAAAATTGATCTGTGACAGCTTCAACTGTTATGGTTGGTTCATTAGCTAACATTTCAAAAATAAAGACAGTATGTATGTCCTCAAGTATCAATTTTCGGCCCTTGTGCTCTTTGGGTATCAGGGATACCTACTTGGTCAGAATTGTTTGTCGTTTTGTTTCATTTTTTTTGATCTTGCTTACGACTTTTAACTTTGAAAGTTCTACCTTCATAGCCGCTTCTCTAATGAATAGGTGTTCAAATTCCTGCATTAAATTAATCAGGTTCACCACCTTTAGTTCATTTTTTTTTGTTATATATGATCCTTACATTTTTGTAACAGTTGTCGAAGTTCTTTGGGAGGTACACTGTTTTGTTTTTTTTCATTTTTTCTTGAAATGGCCCACTTTTTTTTATGGTCCAACCTATTTTCTTTAGCTGTAAATAAAGTAATTTTTTTTCTGTTGTGTGTATGTTGGTCTCCTTCACATTTTTTTTTTTTTACAATTGTTATATGGCCATCATAACTAGAGAGCAGGCACGCTATATGCTTCATTGTGCACCCTACAATGACGAAAATGTCAAAAAGTGCACTCAAATGGTTGATAATTTAGAAGACTTAGAAATCTGTTATATGGAAGATCCGATGGAGTCTATAATTATTTCGGATTTCAAGATCAATAGCTAGCCTTTCCGTCATTAAAAGATAAGATTATACTAGCAAAAGAGGATTGGAGTCTGTTGTTATAGTAAATGAAGATAGCAATCGTTCTCTTCTTGGTAAAAGCTTAACTTTTATTTCTTTTTAAAGCAGAAATATTCGATCTTAATTTGTGTAGTTAACTGTGTTCAAGCAATTGAGTTCATAAATTCAGTGTACCTTCCATGTGATCCAATAAACCCAGAGGTTTATGAGTGCCGGAAAGTCAAAATGAAAGATATACTAGCGTTGTTACAGAAGAACTCCAATTAATTTGACGAAGAAAAATGTAAGCAGTTTAGGAAAGTGGCTCAAATCACCAACGGTCAGTCTTTTGGATGCCCTAGACATTAAAAAGGACACTTGATACGAATAGTGATGAAAGCGAAATGTCTCGATTTCGAAAACTATATGTAATCCAAGTCCAAGAATGAATTCATAAGTAGGTCCAAATTTAACTTTAAAACTTAATAAAATCGACAGTCCTAAAAAAAAAAAGAAAACTGTTGTATAATCGGCTATGCACACAAATCAAATGGGACTGAACATATAAAAGAAGTTGGGGGGGTAAGCTTGCTGAAGCAAATGGGTATCAGATTAAAATCAAGGTCACTAGTAGAACGTGTTCTTGTTTCTTACAGTTGTAAAGCCAACAACTGTCTTCATGAGCACGATCTAATAAAACAAGAAAGGATAATAATAGAATTACAGGCTGATGGTGGTACAGCAGGTAAGATTATTTAAACCTGTTTAACATTCAAGAATCATAACCTCCTCTAGACATGTTACAATTTGTGAATACCTCCTCCAAAAAAAAAAAACTTCTCTAACATTTACTCATTGTTGATAGAATAAAAATAAGAAAAGACTTGGAAGTTCTGTTGTGCAAGAGTATGCAAATATGATTGATAATATTGCAAATGAGGTATGTACAGAGTTCAAAAACAAAGAAGTTATGTTCACGCATCTTCCTTCCTTGTTTGTAGTCTTAAAGATCAAATTAAATCTCACAATTAACTAATTCTTATTTTCCTTATCAATACACTTTTTGATAATCCTTTTTTTTTTTAAGTGCAAAAGATAAGGAAAGAGAAAACAGAAAAGACGAGTATGTGAAAACTCTGTATAGTTTATATGTTGTTTTTGCATGGTGAGTGATATTAATAGAAGTATGATTTAGATACATGAATACTAGTATAATAAAGTATTATGTGTAAATATTGTCTATAAATATATGGTAAGTCTTCATATTACCGGCGCAGTTCACTTGTAACTAACACTATGTCTTCTGATATCTAGATAATACTTTTTTACATGTACAGACTTTCAGCAACAAACAATATGTGTTTGTAAAGGGAAAGGTGCCTTTTGCCGTTATATTTCAACGCTACCAATTCGTTTGTGAATCCTTTTTTTTTTTTTTTTTGATTCTGTTAAAGATTTTAATAACATCATGGAAGTGCGTACTTTATTGTATTGTTCAATGTAGTTCATACTGTTAATTCTGAAGTGAGGAAAAGGGTGTCGTGAGCTAACCTTATAATGTTATATTTCTTATTTAAACAAGTAGAACATAGTATTATTATTCAAGAAATTTTATCTAGATTCCCTTGAAACTGTCGTAATTTACTTTATCAAATAATATTAAAAGCTTCTAACACTTCATTAACTGTAACATATTGTATTCGGTCGTTAACTAACACTTTTCTGATTCACATCTTATCTTAGACCTCTTTAACAATTCTTATAAAGAATGATTTTAAGCACAACATCAGGGAGACTAGGCTTATCAAATACCCCTTTGTGGGGAAATAGTAGTATTTTGTACAAATGAAATGCAAATTAGTTGCCTAAATAGGAAAAAGAAAGTTGATGAGAATATAAACAAAAAAGTAAAAAGAAAAGACATTTATCTTATTTACTTTTCTTTTCTTTTCTTTAACATAAACACATTTTATATAGTCATAAAGAAGATATAAAATTGACAACATTTTACTATTCTACACATTGTTACTTTTTATAAGAAAGGAAGAAAATTAAATAATGTAACTGTATTAAATGTGGGGTAACACATATTCTTATCGATTTCATATGATTGTGACTGTAATTTACAACAACAACCTCCTTATTCTTATAAAAAAGTAGATATTCAAAGTTATTTTTTCTTCTTTTTCTTCTTTATTATTACTATTTCTTTTGTAGGTAAGTCATTAAATAATACTATTTTATTCTTCTTCTTCTTCCCTGCCCTAGGAGGAAATTCTTTTTCTCATAGTTACCACTTATGTAACGCCCTCTGAATCAACAAGATACCCTACAATGTCCTCCTAATTCAAGGAGGGCAAGATAGGGTGTCTTGTTGATTCAGAGGGCGTTACATATTGTGCTAGCTATGGGTTTTTTCTAACCTCCTAGTAAAAATAAAAAATACAAGAACAAAGAAGGTGCAACGAATCCTAGCCTCCACGCGGCCACCTTTGGACTGCAGTAAATATTATTATTTTTACTGTTGACGAATTGGGGATTCACTTTTTTTATATGAAATAAAAATGAAAATAAAATACAATAAATAAATATCTCTTTTCTTACGCGTCTTTTAATAATCTTGTGCTTTTTCTTTTTTCTCTAAGAAAATATATTAACTATTGTTTGTATAATAAAATACCTTTTTGCTCTAAATTGACTTTAAGAAGTATAAAAACAAGTAGAGAAGTTATAACATAAAAAATAGAGGAAATATAAAATGTGGTGTAGTAGTGACTATGTAAACTATTAACTAATATCTTATCAGAGAAACTATCATGATTATTTTTCTTCCTTTACAATCAAATTATTATTTTTTTAAATTAACTAAGATGAGTACTAAATATTAAAGATATTGAGTACTTAATAGAAAACTTATATTTCTTTTATGTATACATATTTCTTTTTTTTTTTTGAAATCCCATTCATTTAAAGCTTTTAAATGATTTAATAATGAAAGGTTTTTTTTTGGTTCTAGTGAAACTACTTCAAAATGGGGGGTGGATATTTTAAGCAAGCTATATCGAATGTAGAAACAATTTTTGATTCTTTTCTCAAGCGACCTATTTCTCAATGACAGTCATCAGCAAACGAAGGTAAATGATGTTCTAATGTCCCTTATTAATCTTCTTCTTTCTTTCTTTATTATGATAACGAGCATTACTTTGCACTAGATTTCTACTGAAAAGAAGTATGAGTATATTAACATCATTAGGATTATAAAAAAAAAGAATCTGCATATTTAATTGTTAAACGACTTTAATACCATTACTGAAATACAGTGTACATAAAAGAAAGAAAGAAAGAGAACGCTACAGCAAGAGTACTTTAAAGAAGATGTATTTGATATACCTAATAATAATGTAAATTTAACGTGCCAAAGAATTTAAGTGTGTTTGATATTTCTGCTATGCTCTCTAAGAGAAAGTAAACAAACATAATAAGTAGCCCATTACCTGTACATATATACACATATACTCTTCGGTAATGACTATATAAACCTTTCTTTTTTTTTCTTTTCTGACAAGCATATGAAATATGTTTGATCCAAACAATATGACAGAAATCAATCTAAATACGATGTGCTATAATTAAGCTGATAAGATGACTAATCATTGTATGAAATGGACGCATGCAGTTAGCTTTTGTTATAACCAATTAGCAAATATTATTCATGGTAACCCTTTTGAGAGAATAGACACTTTCAATAGCGGTAATGTGCACTTTGTTTCCTTTCTAAAAAAATAATAATACATATTGTCATAAGCTGACTTATAATGTCATGTTCCTTGATTAAACAAGCGGGTCAAGGGATTCTATCTAGATTCCCCTGAAACTCTCTTGATCCACTCCATCAAACAATATTAAAACTTCTAACACTTCATTATCTATCTTTAACATATCTTATTTGGTCGTAACTAACATTTTTTTCTTATTCATATCTTATCTCAGACCTCTTTAACAATTCTTATAAATATTCATCAATTTAAATTCATAAATAAAAATGATTGACTTTAGAACCATTGTTCGCTCTCATTGACTTTTTTTTTTTTGTCTTTTTATTAATTTTATTTGATATTTTACAAGTAATATCACACACCTTTACCCTCAACAAATCAAGACAATACCAGAGGCAACGAGGACAGCAACAACGACAGTGAATGAACATTCAATGGTACCAATGTGACAAATCTATTTAGACAATACCAGCATAAAATTACAACCCAAGTAGTGGACAAGAGTTCATTTCAAGCAGAATCTGACCTCCAAGAATTATTTGCCCCGTCCAACATTCTCTTTCTAGCATCCAATCAACATAGCGACTTGAAAGTGCAAGTCTTTGGATGCCAGATTATCAACTCTCTTTGCCATGCTATCATCAATCGATTTATGAACAATTTGGAGGTGGATTTCTCAACGCAAGAGGTATCTGATTTAGCGGTCATTGTGGATAATATTCAAACCGTAAAGAAGTTGACCATTGATGCCTGTTATAATTGTAGTAGTCTATACAACTAAGTTTATAGAAATCAATTATCATCTATTTAATGATAAATAGGTTATTCAGATAAAACTAGTGTATTGTACTTCACAGCATAATATTCATTCTATATTCATTTTTTGATAACAGTCATTGTTAGAGTGTTTGAGCATTAAAAAACAACTATATACACTGTATTATGTAATAATAAGAATTCAATAGGTTTATGACTGTTATATGAAGTTACATAATTATTTATACAAGTCATACATATTATATATACATCTATAATATTAACTACTGTTATGTAATAACATCTCAGAGGATGGTAATAACAGTAGCATATAAATAATTGGTAGTGGTTATAGCTGGAATATTCACCATGAATTAATTTTAACGCGTTGCTTACCCCAGAAATAATAATTAGGTATATTTTTTAGTAACAGCGACAGCTCAGAGAGAATAAAGATAAAAATAAATCTTATTAAAAGCAGAATTGTTCAGAGACAAGATTTACACTGACAACATTTACACATAATGCTTTATTATACCAGTATTCACTTATCCAAATCATACTTCTATTAATATCACTTGCAAAAAAAAAAAAAAAAAAAAAAAAAAAAAAAAAAAGCTAAGCTTAGCTGAACTGAGCTGGGCGGCAATTTACAAACAATGTCTGAAAGGTTTTACTGAGGCACGTAATGCTGTACCTGCTGAAATTTTACACAACTTTTTCTAGGTATTCTAAAGTCTAATGCAATATAAATAAGAATAGGCATCATTTTTAGGACAATTTGGTTTAACCTCTTGTGACCTTTCTATTTCTTCAAAAGGACAAAATCTCTGCACACAAAGGGGCAAATTATTATTTTCGGTAAAGTGACATTTATTTTTGGTTAAAGGACATTTTTTTTTTTCAAAGTGACAAAAGTTAATCGTTTTCACTGTAAATAGATATCAATTTAACGATTTCAATAAGCTATACAAAAAGGTATTAAATTGTATATGTATATATATAAAGACTTGTCCTTTTATATATGTATCTATATTCCAATTTGTAACCCCTTTAAGAACAAAGTTTACATTCATTTTAAAGAACTTTTTCCATATCAGTTTTATCTTTTATTAGATGGCAATAAAAGGAGAGGGAGAGAGAAAATAGTGCGAAATGAATGAAAAAGGATATACTGAAATCTTTATGACGTGGTTTTGGTAAAATTGTTTCTTATGACACCATGCAATAATATCTTTGTGTTATGTATGTAAAATAAGGTGAGTGATTTTGTCTATTCATTTTTTTTCCTTTTTGGAAACTAAGTATGAATGACTCTATGTTTGTATACAATTAAGGCTTTTAAACAGGAAAATAGATCGACGTAAACAAAAAAAAAAAAAAAAAAAAAAAAAAAGTAATAAACTTTATATTATTGTGTGCCATTATTATCCAAATGTAGTGAAATATGGGTGGGGTTTGAATTATTAAAAAAGAAAAAAAAAAAATTAAGGGAGAAAAGAATAGATGTATGTATTTTTTTTTTTTTTTTTTTCTTACTTCATTACATAAATTTATAATCAACAGATGCTTTCCAAGGCACCATTAAGAAAGAAACGTAATTTTAAAAATCTAACACTTCAAAATTCACCAGTCGTTGTAAGTCCTCCATCAGCAACTGGATCAAACACTGCAAACGATTTAAAAAAAAATAATAATAATAGCAAGTCAACAATGACATTAAAAAAGGCATCTGTCTCTGGTCTTGGTCCACCTGATTATTCTGAATTATGTGAACAATTAAGTGAATTGGAGATTGGTCTCGAGTTAAGATTGGATCTACGTCCAGAAGATTTCAAGTCAATAGATGAACTCGGTAGAGGAAACGGCGGGACCGTATCGAAAGTATTGCATGTAAGAACAAACACAGTAATGGCAAAAAAGGTAAGACATGGAAATCCACCTCCTATCCACAGTTCATTTATATATTTTCAAAATAATAGATTGTTCACGTTGATGCAAACATGACTGTAAGAAAGCAAATAATGCGTGAATTACAATTTATGCATGACTGTAATTCAAAGCATATTGTCAGTTTCTATGGAGCTTATATGAATGGAGGCGATATTTCGATTTGCATGGAGTATATGGATGCTGGGTAAATATGAAACTATTTCGATTTTATATTTGGTTTACTAACATTTAGCACAAAAGTTCACTTGATCAAATCTATAAGAAGCATGGACCCTTTCCATTTGATGTATTAAAAAAAGTTGGATACGCTGTAAGTAGTATTTATTTATTTATATATTTATTTATTACTTCAAAACTAAACAAGTAGAGACTACATAGATTGTAGATGGATTAATATATCTTTATGATGAACATCGTATTATTCATAGAGGTTTGTTATTCTACATTGTATGTCTACATGACTATTTTACTTACCATCATTTTATAGATTTAAAGCCTTCCAATGTTTTAGTTAATTCTCAAGGTCAAATTAAACTATGTGATTTTGGTGTATCAGGGCAATTAATTAATTCTGTTGCAGACACATTTGTTGGTACAAGTTCTTATATGAGTGTAAGTAGATATTATAAAAAGTAGATTAGATATTTATATATATGTGTATTTTTCTAGCCTGAAAGAATTATGGGTTCACCGTATTCTGTAAAGTCAGATGTTTGGTCTCTAGGTATTACTTTAATGGAATTAGCATTTGGAAGATTTCCCTTCCCTCCTGAAGGAACACCCTTATCTATTTTCGAGCTTCTTCAACATATTGTTCATGAACCAGTTCCTGAATTTCCACCTAATAAAGACTATCCTTCTGACTTGAAAGATTTCGTTGCAAAATGGTAATGTTAAGAAAATACAAGTTTTATTTATTTATTTAGTACTTTATTTTAATCTATATACATGTATTTAGTTTAACTAAAGATGTTCAATTAAGAGCAACGCCTAATGATTTAATGGTAACTAAATAAATATCTATAAACATAGACTTTATTACTAACATTTATAATCTAGAATCATCCATATTTAGTATCTGCTGCAACAGAAAAAGTAGATCTTGTAAAATGGGTGTCAAAGATAACTAACAAAGAGTAGTATCCATATTGTAAATCAGGGCAATAAAAAAAAACATATACCTTGAATCAAATAATCATAATAGTTTTAATGTTATAATATAAAATAATATACATAGAATGGAAAAAGAAAATATAAGTTTTATTATAAAACTACAAGCTGTAAAATAAATACAAATATGTGTTTATTATTTTAACTCTGATTGAGTAAATGCTTTGTGTAAGATAGTAAATGAATATAAAGATTTCTCCAAAGTAGATCTTCTTTAAGCTGATATAAAATAAGGCCTCATGAAAGAATGACAAGACAAGACTTGGACATCATAGTAGATGTTTACTTTAGATTGCTCTTATCATTTACATAATTGATTCTATATGTCTCACATCAATAAAGATTCCCTTTATTATTATTATTATTGTCTTTACGTCGATAACCCCTATAAATTTTCTTGCATGAGATACCTTATTCTGGCTCACAGTGAAATTCCCTTTTTGCTACTCGATTCTGTTTATAAAAATTAATTCAATTGACTTATCAAAAAAAAAAAAAAAATGTTTAAATCGTATATATGAAAATAAAGTTTTTATTTACTTTTTATCATATCATAAATATTAGATACGTGGGCAGTAATAAAATCACGTATTATAGAAGAAGAATATTTTGTTCATGAATAACATTAAATAATGATAATACTGTTGAAAACAAGCCAGTCTGAACTATTCTTTTTTACTATGTTTCATTTCCATAGCAACTAAATAAATGATGACAGTTGTAATAAAAGCAAATAGATTCACAGTAAAAGAAACATTCATCGAATTTCAAATTGATCTTATACAACAACAACAACAATAATAATAATAATAATAATAACAACAATAAAAGCTAAATATTTTTTTTTGTACCTTATAAATAGTTAATATAAAATAACTGATTTTCTTCTTCTTCTACTTTCTTTTTTTTTTCCTGTTATTGTTGTTTCTATATAACAAATTAATTAATTCTCAAAATAAAAAAAATGCGTTTCATTCTTTCTTTAATCTCTGCTGCTTTATTAGCTTCTTCTTTTGTTAATGCTGCTCCCGCTTCTGTAGAAGAAGTTAACTCTCTTGCTTCTGATGCCTTCTCTATGCAACAAGCATTATCTGTTGCTGCTGCTGCTGAATCATCTGCTGATGGTAATGATGTCTTCGTTTCTGCCCTTGCTCGTCTTAAGGCTGAATACGGTGTTCTTTCTGATGACTCTGCTGTCTCTGCTGCTGCATCTGCTTCTGCTTCTGAAGCTAATCTTTCTGTCAGTGAATACCTTGCCTCTGCAAATATCTTAGAAAAGCGTCATAAAGACTGGAAGGATGACGAGGATGACGAAGATGACGAAGATGACGAAGATGACGAGGATGATGATGAGGATGATGATGAGGATGATAAAGATTATAAAAAGGAGGATAAAAAGGACAAAAAGCAAAATAATAACAATTTAGAAAATAAAAAGATTTACATCTATCACACCATCACTGCTGATGGAACTACTGTTACTGCACCTGCTATTCCTACCGTTACCGTAACCACAACTACTGCAACTACCACTCTTTATGAAACTGAGGTAATCACTTCTAGCGTTACTGACACCGTTAGTGGTACATATCTTCTTTCACTTCCCTTCTTGACTGTTGCTTAAATTATATACCTAAATTAAATGCTTTAAAAATAAATACATACACACGTACTAGATTGATTAGATATATGAAAAGATAAAAAAAATAAATAAATAACTATTTTCCCCCTCCCCTCTCCACACACACACACACACACACACACTTAACTCAACCCATTCCTTCTTATATAATAAAATAAAGTTATCAAAATTGTTTGTTTGTTATATGCAAATTCTAGTATTCTTTAAAACTTTTTTTTTTTTATTATTATTATTATATAAAATTAATAAACATAAGGGATAAAAATATATGGAACACGACGGCAATATTCTTCCCAATCAGCACCGTATTTTTGAGCACAACGTTCCATATCTCTAGATACACGATGAACTAAAACACAAAAGAAGAAGCAGAAATAAAAGTATGGCAAGAAAGAAGAGAATCCAGTGATGAGACCCCAAGAGATAGACATCATTAAATCAGCAGTGTAATGAGGCTTTCTAGCGATACCCCACCATCCAGAGGTGAGTAATAAATTACCATGCTTTGTTTCAATAAATGTAGGATTCTTGATATGACCCCAAGGTAATTGAGGGAAGGCATTACGAGTGATAAATGAACCATTTTGTTCCATACGGAAACGATTCTTTTGTGAATTACCAGTATCAAAGATATAATAACCCACTAAAAGTAATGTAAAGATAGCAATGGTGTATGGCCAATTATGTGTAATGGCTTTGCCCGTAGTTAATTGATATTTCATTAAATAAATAGAGGAATAGCAATAAGTAAATGGGACACCTGCCATATTCCAGAAAATAAGCATAAAACCTATATATAAAATAGCCAACACATTATTAATATCTATTATCTATTATCTATTATCTATTATCTATTATATATATAGATATACTATTTACCATCACACTCATAAAATATATCCCAAGAAGTGGGAATACATTCTTCTCCCTTTTGACAAGCATTCGCATATAAAAAGTGTGCCAATACCATAAAGACAGCAGGTGCGGTAACGGTACCATATGTTTCATATTGCTTCAATAAACAAGAGAGTGATAAATAAAATAAAACTGGCCAAGGAAGTCTGATTTCAGCCCACATCTTAAGATCTACATGGCCAATCCTTGGATTCAAGCAAGCACCCATAAAGTAATCATAAACGAAATTACCTGACATACGATGTGTTTTACCCATAAATGCACTTATAACATAGACAAGTGTAGACATTGTAAATCCCCAAAGCATAGCTACTGTCATCAATTCACCAAAATGATCAATGATTTTACTTAATCTGAATATGCCTGTGACGTGACAAACAATAGAAAAGGCCAAGGTAAAATACCAAGATGAAAGGCCATTACAAAGATATTTCAACTAAAACGAACAAAAAAAAAACATGATAAATAAATACTAGCTTGAAACACTCACTCACTCTCACTCTCACTCTCACTCTCTCTCTTTTTCTTTCTTTCTTTCAAAAAAAAAATCCCTTTTCAACATACTCTTTTACCGTTCAATGAAGGGATAGGTAAACCTTCCACAATAGGACCAGGCATGACATAAGCAAGAATGAAGGAAAACACAACATAACCCATATACGTTTGAATAGCCCAACGCGTAGGATAAGCATCTTGAACAATCTTTGTCCAAATCTCTTGAATAAACCAAGGCTTGAATTCTGAGAGATGAGTTGGATAAATTAAATGGCCTTGATGATACTCTAGACAAATCCAAAAATAATACATTAAACATGGGAAACCTAACATCATGGCCGTTACACCTAAGGGACCCCCAAACTCATATTTCACTTGCTTGTCCAACTCGACATCTAATTTAGTAACCTTTTGTTTAAATAAAGGTACGCCGTTTTTATTTATCTTGTTGCTCTCCGTAGTCGTCCTCTTCTCCTCTTTTAGTGACATGATAAAGATAAAGGAAAGGAACAAATAATTATCCACCTCTTATTTATTTATTTATATATACATATATACACATATATACATACATATATTAAACAGCAATTATTATTGTTTATCGTATATTAAAAATTTATTCTCCTCTACTATTTTATACGTACATACATACATACATACATACATATACGTACATAATATAAAGTAGAAGAGACTATCTTCACTTTCTTTTCTCTATTAATATAACCTTATAACGCTATGAAGGACCAGATTAATTGCAGATATGTTAAGGGGATAAATAGATAATTCCTTCGCTTGATATTTAAGCCATGAAGTAATACAACGGCGTTTAAAAAAAATAAAAAAATAACAGTAATATTAAAAAATCCGAATACATGGATTTATTACCAAACCTTGTGTAATGTAAGTAGTATTATTAAAAGAGCCCTAATAGCTTCTTCTAATCTTCTCTTTCATATACATACATCGACATACAAACATATACTTACCTTAATACTAACTAAAGTCAGTGTTCATGAATGGATCAACAAACTTGTTAAGAAAGTAAATATCAACCGATTACCTTTTGTTTTCGAATATAATGAATTTTTGGTCAATATATGGACATCAATCCTCATCAGTTTGAATAGAGACTTTTCTAACTCCCAATCTTTACAAAAGCTTTAAAAAAGAAAAAAAAAAGAGAGAAAGAGGATAAGAGAGAGACTACTGTCAGAAATTGTAATCTAATTGGATACAAAAAAAAAGATGTACTTTTATTCTTAATAAAACGAAAGAGAGAAAATCATATACAAACATCAAGAACAGGCAATTAAAGGAAGCAAAATAAATCGAGACTTTTCAAACTAATTTTTTGATTGATTAATAAGTCTGGAATTTTTTTTTTTTCTTCGACATGTATGAAAAAGAAAAGAAGCCATAACAGAGCTAAAGAAAGAAACACACAAGTTCAGAAGAAGGGTTTAATCCATGATTGGAAACCAAAACTACACTATTTTATGTTCAATGGATGGGTCAAGACAAATATAAAAAAAAAAAAAAGACTGTTGGTATTTTAACAAAGAAAAAGGAGAGAGAGAGAGAAAAAAAAAAGTTAAAGTTCAAGGGTATGGGAAGACTTTTTGGACGGTCATAAATCAGGACTTATTTGCTTTATACCTTACACCTTCTAGCTAACATTCAACTCAGTGCTTTCCTTTATGTATAACATCTTTATTAAGCATTACTTTCAAAGCCCTTGATGGTCATAGTATAATTGCATAAAAAAAAAGAAGTATAAAGTGGTTTCTACAAGCTTTGGATATAAAACACGATAATAGCATCATATCACCTATCACATGGATGGTGCAGAATAAGGATTAGTAACTCACCATAATTGGGACGCTCTTTATAATATTAGTAAATATTATGTAATTTGTAGTCAGAAGTCAAATTAATCTTAATAAAAAAGAACATCATCCCTTCTTTTGAAACCACTGCTGGGTATCTAATTCAATAATAATGACTGAATTATTTATTTTATTTTATTTTTAATGACTCAGAATGTAGTTTTATAAGCTAAAATAGGTTGCATTATATGTCAAGGAAAGACTATATACACTTCATTTATATTAAGAAATTAGATAGATGTAATATAGAGGAAGAACATGGCTGATGTATTTACTTATTCAGGATATAATATTACTTAAAATAGTCTAACAATAAAGTAGCTTTCTCAAATGTTTTACTTTTGTTTCAGGATTATCACAGCTGTCAGGAATACCGTTATTATTATAATAAACTTATTGCTTATGAAAAGCAAAAGTATCATTAAAAGCTATATTTTGCGTCATCGTACATAATTCTTTTTTTTTTTTTTTTTTTTTTTTTGTAAGAGAAAAAGGATAGTGCAGGAACTGAATTCTTCTTTATTTTACTATCCTTTTTTGTCTAAGATTTTTTTTTTTTTGAGTAGAGTTAATTCATCAAATTATACATTTTTTTGATTAAATAAATATTCATAAAAAGACTTTTCTGGCATAGTCCAATTAGCTGCATCTATATAGTCTATTGATTCTACATCTTGTTTTGTCACATAATTAATATATGCTGGATGACAAATGTATGTTATTCGATTATTTTGCTCATCCGTTTTACCTAAATAAGATTCAACATCGTTAACAATAGAGATTTTCTATAACTATAACTACAACTACTTTACTGAATGAATAAAGTCCATAGTATCGACACATTGTATGTAAAATATATCTTTCAAACTGATTATTTGAAACAACTTTAATTTCCAAATAAGCTTTATCAAGACATTTTAGATCATCTAACCAAAGATTAATGAATTGCATCAACTGAGATTCATAATTACTAACAAGAATTTTAGAGACATGAGTTTTTTTCAAGTTGTATCGAACATTTCTAGATAACGCATGCGGTAATAATACATTGTTGTCTTCTAATCCTTCTCCATCAAATAATAAATTATCATCATCTGTTGAACATAATACACTTGCTGCAACATCTAATTCATATTTATCGTAATCTTGGTTATTATATCCAGGAGGTCGTAAATCTTCAGCATAAAGTACAGCAGAAGGATGATTTAAAAAATTATCTAATAAATGTACAATTTAATACATATTAACCACATTTTAGATTTAAATCAATGACTTAACTGTTTAGCCAACGTTGTCTTCTTCGGCTACCCTCTTTTCCAATCCACTGAGATCGTCTAGAGCTTGTGTCTTTTTCTTTTGACGTTGGTTTTTTATTAACGTTGACTGAGGAGGTTTGAGGTCTTTCTGGCTCGGATGATGGCTTGATTCCAAGTAGTTGGGCCTTTTGTCTTTGAATAGCTTCCCAGTGAGCAGTAGATTGAATAAAAATAACAGTGGATTGCTGTTTGAATGTCATGTTTTTTTTTTTTATGAAAATGGAAAAAAAAAAGAAGTTTTTTTTTTTAGAAAAAGTTTAATGATATGTTGCCATGGTAACGTCTGTCCCCCTTTTTTTTATTTATTTATTTTAAATCTATTGGACCTATTTGTAAGGAAAGATTATAAATTAAAATTCAATTGGTCTTTTTCGTCCAATTATAGTTTTTACACTTCAAACTCAGACAAAAAGAAAAAAAAATCTGTATGTAAGCTACCTACATCATACATTTACTCTATCAGTATTTCCTACCTCAGGAGAACCGTCGTCGGGAGGCATAGAGCGGACTTTTTTGGAAGTGGAGGTGGTGGTGCTTGTTGAAGTACAGTTTGATGTTTCCCTTTTGAATCTAGAAGGGCGACCAAGGGCTTGCCTGTGGCTTAACACAATATCTCTAAAATTTAAAACGGCAGTCAAGTCTCTGTTCCAGAGTCGAGAAGGCACTAAACATTTTTGATTTGTACATCTAGCGAAAGAAAATATAAGAAACTGTCTTTTTTTCTTAAAAAAAAAAATAAAATAAAATAAAATTGATGTTTACCGTAACAGGCCGTGGCACTCAACTACTGGATACTTGCCTTGAATATGCGGTCGAGGGTTCTTGACATAACATGATGTATGAGTTCGCCTCAATGGGAAGCATGCAAATGATTTGGATTCTAAACTTTCACACGAGTCAGCTAATTTATAATATGCAATAGGATTCGCTTTGCAGTCATAATAAATGTCGTTGTTCTTGAATTTATATTGTGAACTATAAGTGCCAAAAAAAAATCTCGTATGTGTGTGATCGCTTCTTCGGTTAACTGATCCACAGATAAATTTTGGATATTTCCTGAAGCAACTGATAACTTCAATTGAGTGCAAGGTTGTGTTATCTTGTTTTTAATGACTTTTTTAATCTCTTCTTCAGCCATTTTTTGCTTTTTTAATATTTTTCTTCTTGCCGCTGTTCTGTCTTTTTGCTGTGTCACTAAATTAACGAACATCCTAAGCTTATTGCCAAATTGCAGCATGATGTCGTTTTTGTAGGCAGTATCTATCTTTGCACACTTGTATGCAGCAATTTTGCTGAGAATATTTCAATTCTATGAGGAGGTATAGCCACATAATCTACAATATTCGTTCAAGTATTTCTTAATCAAATTTCTAAACTCTGTGGTTTTAGTTGATTTTGTAGGTGGTAACTTCTTCGTATGTTGTACAAGTGACGAAAAAAACTTGTATGTAGAAGTCTTTTTCAGCATATTTTTCGATATCGAACGCTTCACATCTTTTTAATTCACTGATGAATATAAATTTGATTAGAGCAAAAATGTGAATCATAAGCGTGTTTATGGTATGCACGAGTTTTTCGAGCCTTGGGAGGTATTCAGGTTTCCACCCTATCTCAGATATAGAGCTTTTAATCGTTATTAATTTTAAAGGATCCACTTTTATTTGCTTATGATAAATAAAAAGAAGAAAGGGTAAGAAGAGTAAAAAAAAAAAAAAATAAATAAATAAATTGACAACTGTCTTATTTGAGATTTGGTTATCTCTTGGTAAACCCCAAGCCTGCCCCTTCCATCCAAATGAACTCTTCACACGCTCACATAGTTTTTCTTGTTTGTATATATGAATAACTGTCTTCAGATGCCCAAATCTATTGAAGATCCATTCTCTTATCTCTTGAATCTATTACCATCAACATTCCTTACTAAGAAAGTGTGAAAATCAATTGATGCCTGGCTTATATGCTGGCCTTCTATATATGTGCAATTCTGCTTGGAGATGGACTATCTAGCTTCACTCCCAAATTCCTGAATCCTCTGACCATCTTGGTGAACCCTTTGTCAATCATCTTCTTTCAATACAACAACGAATTTCTGATAGTTAATTATCATCACTTATACATACACTTCAACATTTTCCCTTTTATATCCCAAAAGGGGTTTTTCTTTCCTTTCCTTTTTTCCATAGCGATCTGACCAGGGCAAAACAGCATATAAATGCTATGTGCTCATTAGTCATTTTTTAATTTTTAAATAAAATTCCTCTTCAATCGTATTATAATTAATAGGAACTTTACTTTGCCAAATGCTTCAAATTATTCGTTACGCGAAAATAAGTTGCTTTACTACTGCTTATATGAATTTATAAATATAACATTGATTATATACTACATATATTCTAATTAAAGACAATAAAGAGGCTTGTATACGTTAAACAAGTAATAAGTAGAATCGCTTAGTATATTTCATGCTGTTTATAAATGAATTCTGTTTCATTTTTTTTTTTTTTTTTTTTGTTGCTTTTGTTTAAACTTATCAATTATTATAGTGAAAAAAAAAAAATGTAGCAGCTCAATACACATTTGTATACTTTGAAAACATAATAATTCTGAAAGTCTTTGACTGCAACTTTTGTGTACAGTTCTGCAATTTGAGGAATTGTAGTGTATATAGCTTTTATTGTATTATCCAGATAATTCAAGAATATTCTACTCTTGTAAGTTTTGTTATTATTACTGTTAAAATAACAGGCTTATTTGAAAATATTTTAGTACTTCTTAATTAAAGACTGTGCCTGTCATGGTGGCTATTAGCTCTTCAGTTTTTATTAGTTCATTGGCTTTTAATTTGAATGTTACACATTTAATATGGATAGGAATGATATTCTTCTCGAAAATTAATATTCGTATTGTTTAACAATGGCTGGACTTTTCTTTGTAAGAAGTCTTTTTTTTTCTTCTAGTTATTAATATGCTTCAAATACCTTTTTGATAACATTATTACTCTACTTTTTCATTTTTTTTATATAAAAAAAAGGTTAATGACATTCAACGCGTTTTTAAATTATTATGCTTATTTCTCCTTTAATACTTACGTTACTACTAGAGTATTCAGTGCATTTGTTAATATTGATTATGGTTATCACAAACGTATCCTTTTTACCAAACACTATAATTATTCAGTATCTCCAAGTGTATTGCTAACCATAAATAACATACATTATTGAGAACCTAGCTAATAGTTTTATTCTAATAGGCTTTATCCACTTGATTAGAAAAGAGCATGACCTTTCTTATTAATGCATGCATCAATCAATGAAACTATAATCTATAAATATATAATAAATGAAAGGCCCTCTTTTCCTACTTTTGACCTAATTATCTACCATGAAATCTTCTTTCCCCCCCCTCCAACATAAACGTTTTTTTTTTTTTTTTTTTTTTTTTTTTTTTTTTAGTTTATCAGATGAATCGGTATCTATCCTATTTTATATCACTTCTAACTGATTGTTGATGCTTAAAATGAATCTAAATTGACATGAAAATTACCATTTGTGTAGCTAATATATATGATTACAATGTTTATAAATATAGGCTCGTTTTATTCACTTGTCTCTCCCCAACCACCACCACCGCCAACACCAACACCAACACCAACACCAACACCAACACCATCCTTTTATTTTTAATATTCAACAATTAGTTTATTTTATACATATTACACTTTTGAACTGATTCAATTGCTAAATTCAATGTATCATACATATATGTATAATACTTGCAGAAATCGGATATATTAAACAAGAAACAAAACAAAAGATTATATTAAATAATTACTTAGTCTATGTACACCAAAATCAAATATCTTGAAAGAAGTTTCATTATTTCTTATTAGAAAAAAAAAAGTTAGTAGAAAGTTTTTTTTTTTTCTAATTTAATCTTATTTTTTTTTCTTTTTACTTTTGAATTGCTGCAATGCATCGACGACCATCAAATACAACTCGCCATATACCATCTACATCCGTAATCAAGTCCCGAATAAAGCGTCCAGTTTTAATATCCCACATCTTTAAACCACCTTCTGAGCCTGAAATAATTTTATCATTATCATGCTGAAAACATGTAATCGAATTAGCATGTCCTGCTAACGCATGTTGGCAAACACCTGTATCAGGTGACCAAATTCTCAAAATTGAATCTGCAGCAGCAGAGACGAGATAATTTTTACTTAATCCTAGTAACCCGACCAGGACAGTATGACCCTCTAGTTTCTTGATACAATCACCTGTCTTTAAATCCCAAATACGTATACTTGAGTCCATACTGCCACTCATACAACGATTCCTTTCTGAATCAATTACGACTGAATAAACTCTGTTTGTATGACCTTCCAAGACATGAACTGTATGACCTGTTCTGATATTCCAGACACGAACGGTATGATCATAACTACCGCTTACGAGTGTATCACCATGTGCTGCAATGGCTCGAACAGACTGACCATGACCAACTAAAGCACGTACAAAATACGGATTTGGTTTAGTGGATGTATCTCCAAAATAGTGTCCCTCCACATCCTTTGGATTAGGTAACCTCCAGATTCTTAAAGTAGAATCACGCGAGCCAGTAATGATTAAAGATGGATCATTCCCTTGAATAGGCTTCGTGATCAGTAAACATCTTACAGTGGAGGTATGTCCATTAAAGATATGTGTACATTTGCCAGTTTCCATGTCCCAGACACGTACCCGTCGATCAGTAGAGCCAGTGACCAGAGTATTATCCAGATATTGAAGAGCCCATACACCCCCTTCATGACCCTCAAGCGTCATTCGTTTCTTGCCTGTTGCAGTAGAATAAATATTAACATGAGCATCGTCTGCTCCAGATACAATTTTATCATCATCAAACTGTAAACATGTCACTACAAATTTTTCATGACCCCTAAACGTCCTTTCCTCTGCTCTTCCCTTTCTCCAATTTTGTCTTAATGTATGATGTATCGCATATAATTTTTTATAATAACTATAGTTTGTAGTGATTGATACATTCATAGATGGTAATGGATTAACAAGTGAATAGCCATCCTTTATTAAAAGTTGTTTCCATACTTTATCATCCGTATCTATGATGGATTTCCATTTCTTACATACACATGAAGCTGTACTTAATGAAAATGCATCCAAATAACTTATAATATATCTTGAAATCTCTAAGGGTAATGTAGATAATAGATCATGCTTTAAAACAGGGACAATGGCTGAGTTTATAAATTGAAGGGTATCTATTGATGATCGTTTTAATAATTGAAATAATAGACGAGACTTGAGATTAGCTGGTATCGAATCAAAGATGCTTATCATGGAAGGTATTTGCTGTAAGGCCTTTAATGTATCATGATCGTCCATAGTAAGTTGTCGACTTGAAAATAAATTGCAATTATCTGCTTTTAAAATCCTCGGTTTCTTTTTATAGCTTGTAAATAGTTTATCATCATGTGTGACTGATCTCTTTTTTGAAAAAGAAGAGCCATCGAGGAAAGCGGTTATATCATTTATAGTAGTAGTCATAGTAGAAGAAGAAGAGGAAGATTCAGTTATCATATTTGTAGTGATCATAGATAATGGAGAAGAAGGGTATCCGAGTTTATAAGTGTGAGGACTTTTTATACAAAATTGAGTTAACTCGGTATTTTTATTACTAGTATGGTTTAACTTTTTTTTTTGTTTTTTTAATAATATAATAATATTAGTTGTAAGACTTCTTTATCCATACTTTGAGAGCTTTTTTTTTCTATTTACCTCTTTTGAATAATTATTGTCCATGTCATTTTTATTTGATTCTAGAACTTTAAATTGTACAAGATTTGAGTTTATTTCGGTAGATGAATGAATCGGTAGTGATGAATCTTGATTTTGCATTTTAAATGAATGTGTTGAAAAAAAAAAAAAGAAATGTATATAAAAAGTAAGCTTAAAGAAAGGAAACACAAGTATATAATATATAAAAAGATAAAGAAAAATAATAATAACAATAACAATAATAGGAGATAAAGGGGATGGGGGGATTTATCGAAAAGACCGAAGAAAAAAAAAAAAAAGAATAAAAAATAAAAAGATTTAGTAATTCATTATTATTCGTCTTGTCTGTTAATGTACAATAGAATATAGAATTTTCGGGTTATAAAAAAAAAAAGTTTTACTGCTAATAGCGTTGTTGGAAGCTCTTTTTTTTTTTTTTTTTTTTTTCTTTAGCAGTGGTCATGATAGTCTTCTTCTGTTTATACTACAAAGCTATAAGAAAAAAAGAGTTTGTATTTAGTTTGATTAAAATAAAACTTAGAGTCTACTTTTATTATATTTTGGGTAATAAAGGAAACATAATAAAATGTAAATTTATATATTCAATAATTACATAATCATTTAAACTCTACTTTCTTCTTCTTCTGCATTCCCGCCTACAAGTGATAATAAGAATAATCGTATACATTCATCTAGAAGGAATCATATTATAATAATGTATATTTTAATACTATTTGCACGTAGAATCATAATAATAAAGAGAAACATAATTTTTTATCTTGTTGTACAAGTAAGCATGCATTATATACGTCTATATACTGATTTATCCAGGGACTATTATGTACAACTACGTACTAGTATTTATTAACATTATGCATTTAAGTCTACTATGAGCTACTATTAAAAAATGAAGTCTTTATTGTAATAGGACAGTGAAACAGCATTATGCGTTGTAACACCTCTAAATAATTCTCTTAATAAATGACTCTGCTTTTCTTTTTCTGGAATTTTTTTTATTTTATTTTATTTTTTTTTTTAAAAAAAAAAAGGAATAATTATTCTATACTTATTTGCATCTGCCTTCATTAGTCATCTGGTGAAAAAAAAAAAAAAAAAAGTTATTATTATTTAACAAATCGCTGTTTTATTTGCTTTGCTTAGTAAAATTAAATTTAATATAAAATATCAGGTTATCATCTACTTCAAAAATTCAAATCCAAAAATAAATGGTTGAGATTCATTCTGTTAGTAATCGAATTTTATTTTAATTTGATTGGCTGAAACATTCATAAGCAAAACTAAGATTCTGTATTTGAAGTTTTAAAACCAAAATGGTCAGAAATATATAAAAAGGGCGCATAATTCTTGATCGTGAATAAACCATACACTTCTTTTATATTTTATTTATTTATTTATTTACTCTTAACTTATATAAACAATAATGACTAACCTTCCTGTCTTGACCACCTCTAACGGTAACCCTGTTGAAAACGATCAAACCTCTATCACTGCTGGACCTTGGGGACCTGTTCTTCTTCAAGACTTCAATTTGATCGACAAGCTTTCTCACTTTGATAGAGAACGTATCCCTGAACGTGTTGTCCATGCTAAGGGTGCAGGTGCTCACGGTGAATTTGGTAAGTAGTAGTAGTAGTAGTAGCAGTCATTTTTTTTTTAAAAAAAATGAACATGCTTTTAATCATTATTATCATTGTAGTTGTCACACACGATATTACTCACCTTACCAAGGCCAAGTTCCTCAGTGAAGTCGGTAAGAAGACTCCTTTGTTTATCCGTTTCTCTACTGTAGGTGGTGAAAAGGGTAGTGCTGATACTGCTCGTGACCCTCGTGGTTTCGCTGTTAAGTTCTACACTGAAGAAGGTAACCTTGATATTGTCGGTAATAACACTCCCATTTTCTTCATTCGTGATCCTTCCAAGTTCCCCGACTTTATCCATACTCAAAAGAGAAACCCTCGTACCAATCTTAAGGATCCTAATGCTGTTTGGGACTTCTTCTCTAATGTTCCTGAATCTATTCATCAAGTTACTATTCTTTACTCCAACCGTGGTACCCCTGATGGTTACCGTCACATGCACGGTTTCGGCTCCCACACTTTCAAGATGGTAAATGAAAAGGGTGAATTCAAGTACATCAAGTGGCACTTCCTTACCAAGCAAGGTATTAAGAATTTGAGACCTGAAGAAGCTAATTTACTCGAAGGTGCCAATCCCGATTATGCCACTCAAGATTTGTTTGAAGCTATTGAACGTGGTGATTACCCCTCTTGGGATGTCTACATTCAAGTTATGGATCCTAAGGATGCTCAAACTTACAGATGGAATCCCTTCGATGTTACTAAAGTCTGGCCTCATAAGGTAAATATTTGTAATAGAAATCAAATATATATATATGTATGTACATGCTAAATAATATATATCTATATATAATCAATAGGACTATCCTCTTCAACCTGTTGGTACTTTCACTTTGAACAGAAATCCTGAAAACTATTTCGCTGAAGTTGAACAAGCTGCTTTCTCTCCTTCTCACTTGGTCCCTGGTATTGATGCTTCCCCTGATCGTATGTTGCAAGGTCGTCTCTTCTCTTATCCTGATACTCAACGTCATCGTCTCGGTGTTAACTATAAGCAAATTCCTATTAACCAACCTTTGTGTCCTGTTAACAACTATCAACGTGATGGTTTCATGGCTGTTAACGGTAATGGTGGTAGAGGCCCCAACTATGGTCCTAACTCCTTCAATGGTCCTGCTCAAACCAACATTGTCAACTCTACTTTCATTGCTGAAGAAGTTATGGGTATGACCGGTAGATTCACTTATGAAGTTACTGATGATGACTTTGTTCAAGCTGGTATGCTCTTCCGTCTTTTGAGTGAACAAGATAAGGATGACTTGACTAGAACCATCGCTAAGGACTTCCTCAAGGTTAACCAAGACATCGTTGATCGTCAACTCGGTCATTTCGAACGTGCTGACCCTGAATATCGCAGACGTATTGAAGTTGCCTTGGCCAAGTTGAAGGCACAAAAAGCTTAAAATAATTTTTCCTTTTTTAGTCATTATTCTTTTTGGAAGATCAATTTTATATAAATTCATATTTGTATTTTTATATTTATTTATTGTAATAAAAATAAAAAAAAATTGTGTGTAAATAACAGAAATCTGCTCTTTGGATATTATTTTTTTTTTATTTTATTTTATCTCATGCCACATACATATAGTTTCTAATAATTAAAATCTATTATATGTGTTTACTGGTTTAGTTATTACAGTTTGCTTAGCTACTATTAATTACTGAAGTATAATAATGATGAACCCCAACTTAGTTCAAAATATGGATAGTAATATCATCATAATTTGTAATTATTATATTTCCAGAATGTGGCGTTATAAAATAAAATGAAACAAACAAACAAATAAATGAATAAATAAATAAATATTTGAAATTAAGAGGTTTCATTTTTTTTTTTTAATGCATAATGTTAAAAAATTGCCCTGTCATTTTTTTGAATAGCTTTCTTATATATCATAATTAAGTCACTGTTTACAAAATAGACGATCATCTTTTATTCGTTTCGTTTCAATTATTTTAGAATTCAGTTTATTAAAATAAGAAGAAAACTGTTTTTATTTATATTAGGATATAAGAGAGTGAACATACAAATAGGTTATTATAAAGCGACAAAAAAAAAATAATGATACAAGAATAAAAAATTTAAAAAGTCCAACGATCTCTAATAGATGAAACCCATTCAGGGGCACCTTCAAAGCCATTTTTGCCTTGTTGATAGTCAGCAAAGGCTTGCTCTATTTCACGCCTAGTATTCATTACAAAAGGACCATGCTGAACTGTAGATTCTTTAATAGGTTCACCAGCAATAATAACAAAATGACAATCATCCGAAGTAGATTCAATAGGAATAAAGTCACCTTCATTATCACTTAAAACTAAGGTATGATGTGCTTCTGATGAATGATGATTACCACCAAATAAGCCCGTACCTGAAATTGTATAAATAAAGCCTGCATAGCTCTTGGGAATGATTTGTTCCATCTTTTTCCCCTTTTTCAATTTAACATCAATAAACATAGTAGGTGTTCTAGTCATGACAGGACTTTTAACACCATAGGATTCACCTGCAATGACTTTAATCGTCACACCTTCTTCAGGAATAACTTGAGTTACTTTTTCTTTAGGATATTCTTGATAATTGGGTTCTGACATCTTGTCTTTGCTCGAAAGATTAACCCAAAGTTGAAGACCATGTGACCTCTTATTACTTGCAGGGATCTCAGCATGAACGATACCACGAGCTGCAGACATCCATTGTAAATCACCAGGACCAATTCGACCTTTATGACCTTTAAAGTCTTCATGTAAGAATTCACCTTCCAACATATAAGTTACCGTTTCTATAGATCCATGGTCAATATTCAATATTCATTTACTCTATTATTGTATTTATTTAGTTATTTACCAAATCCTCTATGAGGATGATCTGGGAATCCTCCAGGAGCATGAACATCAAATTCATCCAACATTAAGAAAGGATCCAAGTTACGAAGAGCATTGCTGCCAATAGAACGATACACTATTATTATATAAAATAAAAAAAAGTTAGTATTATTTATAATAATATTTATATGTATGCTTATATTAATACCTTTAGCACCCACTCCATCCATTTGTTCTCTTGAAAGAACAGCCTTTGTAATGGTTCTAGCAATCTTAGTAGCAGTAGTTATAGAGGATATCATAATATTTTTAATTTTGATTTAACAATAATTTTATGAAAAAAAAAAAAATCCCTGACTTTTATAGTAATTCATTGTCTTACATAATCCTTACAAATGCTTATTAAAATTATTTGAAATAAAAAAAAAAAAAAAAAAAAAAAAAAAAAAAAAAAAAAAAAAAAAAAAACAGTCTCAAATTATTTGTAATCTTACATGCATATTTTATTCATTAGTAAATTTTACTAATCAATTGTAATGATTTTATGTTATTTCTAAATACTAAGAACATTATTCTTGCTATCTTTAATTCTATATTTTCCATACTAATATGTTTTAAATGAATATAAATATTTATATATATATATATATATTTAAAAAAAACATTTATAAAATTAAATGAACTTACTGATTTTGCTGGATCGAAAACTTCCCATCGACTTGCAGGAAAAATATGTTTATTTCTTTCATACCAAGCCCTTTCCACCACTTTACCTGCATGAGATTCATCTTTTTCTATGGTTGCATCATTGACAAAACGAATATCTTCATGGACATCAAAACTGAATAAAGGTCCAGATTTACCTCTTGCCTTATTTATGATGAAGTCATAAAAAGTATAATGCTATTCATACAAATGACCAGTTAGAAAAACAAATGAATACAAACTACAAATATTCAACTTTACATGAGGAATTATAAGATCTTCTTTAACATATAACAAGTTATCTGTATTTACACCACGTAACTGAGGAAATTGTTGACGACAGGCTTCTAAAAATTGCTGAATCGTATCTCCTTTCTTGCACTAGAATGAAAAAAAAAAGAGATTAAATTCTGTAATGTGAATTGAATTATGGTAAATAACAACATACTGTCACAACTTTACGATGTCCACTACCATCCCAATATGAATAGGTAATATCGATTCTCTCATCTAATTACATAAATTAGACTATTTTAGTTTCATACAATAAGAAATTTACTTTACTTTTAACTTTTTCTTGCTTTGCAATCCATTCTTTTCTAAGCTCTTCTCGTTCAATACGTTCTCGTTCCTCTCTTTCTCTATCTGGCAAGAAACTTGTATCAACTGTAGGATCTTTCATGAATCTTCTTTTCTTTGTTTCTTTTTTATTCTCTTCATAATCATTCTCTTCTTCTTCTTCTTCGTCGTCATCGTCGCCAGCAAATGATAACTTTAAAATTTGTTTCTTCTTCTTCTTTTTTCTCTTTTCATCACTAATTATTAATGAGCATTTTTATGTTCTCTCTCTCTTTTTTTTTTTTATTGTGTCCATTTTTCTAATTTATACCTTAAAGGTGCAGTTTTCGCAGCTTCTCGCTTTTGTTGTTCTTCCAAATTTTCTCTAATTTTTCGATAATCTTTTAATTCAGTTAAACCAATCGTACTACTTTTTAATTGCGATTCAATGTCTGATTTTGTCTTGACAAACTTGTCAGATCCTACACGAACTTCGCTCAACTAAAATTAAAAAAAAAAAAAAATGATCGATTTAAAGAATGAATATGTGTATACTTGTATAAAAGTTTTAATGTTTACTTTTGCATTTTTTTGACGCTCTTTTTCAGATTCTTCGTAAATTTTTTGTCTTTGCTTCTCAAACATAGTTTGACGAAGACCTTCAGCTTTTGAATCCATTTTCACTAATTAATTAAGACAGCTATTAAAAAAAAAAAAAATAAATGTATCCATATAAAGATAGACTCAAAGAATTTAGAAGTCTCTGCGGAGGTATAATTTTTTTTTTCCCCCTATTGAACCAAGAAAAAAAAAAAAAAAAAGAGTCCCCCTCCCTTCCATTTTCCCCAGTAGTGTACTTTTTTATTATTATTTGTAAAAGGCAAATGACAGCTGTCTTCAAATTTAAACAGTCGATTGCAAATCAACTTTCAAAGTTAACATCATGTCCATCTAAAGATATTTTAACATTAATGAGGCCATCCATTCCGACAAAGGGTGGTAACATGTCTATTTCTTTACCTAAACTCAACTTCACCATGAATGCACAACCAAATATAGAGGCAAAGGATATTTTAAATAAAGTATTATGTGCATACCTATTAAATATATAAAAATAAATATATACGTGTGTGTATAAAAGTAAAGTAACTCTAAAAAACCAAAGGGATTATTTATTTATTTTTTGATAGTTTGAATTGGATGAATATATTCAAAGAGTTACTTTTGAAAACAATAGTTTATTTTTCAAATTTCGAGAAACAGAGTTTGCAAAGCAAGTACTCCAGCAAGTTTACCAAGATCAAGAAACGTATGGTTGGGCACATATACCAAAACCCGTAGAAAGTACTGTATTAGTGGACTATAGTTCTCCTAACATAGCAAAGCCCTTTCATGCGGGTCATTTACGAAGTACAATTATTGGAAACTTTATTAAACAGATACATGAAGCTTTAGGCTACCAGGTTATTGGTATCAATTATTTAGGTGATTGGGGAAAGCAATATGGTAATATTAAGATAGTTTATTTACTTTTTGGCTCTCCCTTTTTATATTCACATATAAATATGTACATATATACTAGGTCTATTGGCTATCGGGTTCGAAAGATATGGAGACGAGTCAAAATTATTATCAGATCCAATTCATCATTTATATGAAATATATGTTAAAATTAATGCAGAAGCAGAAGCAGATCAAGAAATCAATAAACAAGCAAATAATTATTTCAAGCGAATGGAAGAAGGTAATAATAATAATAATAATAATAATAATAATAGATGCCTTTAATGGTCTTAATCCCTTTTCTTTTCTCTCTCTCTCTCTCTCTCTCTCTCTTTTACTTAGGTGACCCTGTAACATTAAAACAATGGGAAAGGTTCAGAAACATAAGTATTCAGTCTTTATCCGCCATGTATGAAAGACTTAATGTTAAGTTTGATGTTTATTCAGGAGAATCTCAAGTAAACTCATATATACCAAAAGTAATAGACATGATAAAAGAACACCCATTATCAAGCAATACACCAGAGAATGCATTAGTAATAGACTTGGAGAAATATAATTTAGGAACGGCAGTGATTCAACGAGCCGATGGAACTTCACTTTACGCTACACGTGATTTAGCAAGTCTATTGATGAGAAAGAATACATATCCATTTCAAAAGGCTATTTATGTTGTAGGAAGTGAACAGGCACATTATTTTAAACAACTATTTCAAATAGCCGAGTTGATAATGTCTCCATCTTTTAATTTACAACATATTCAATTTGGACGTATCAAGGGCATGTCTACGAGAAAGGGGACAGTCGTTTTCTTGGAAGACATTTTAGATACAGTGAAGGAAAGAATACTAGAGTATATGAAAAAGGATGAAGGGAAAAGCCAGTTGACACACTTGGACAAGATTGCAGATCAATTGGGTACATCAGCTATCTTAATTCAAGACATGAAATCTAAAAGAGAGAAAGATTACAAATTTTCCTTAGATAGAATGACAGATCCTAGAGGTGATACTGGTGTTTACTTACAATATGCACATGCAAGAGCTTATGGTATTGAGCAAAAGTCGGGTATCGAAATTAATCCAGATTGTGACTTTTCTTTATTAAAAGAAAAAGAGGCCATGAATCTAATTCAGTCTATATCCCAATTCCCAGAGATAGTTGAATTTGCCTTTTCATCATTAGAGCCAAGCACAATAGTAAACTATCTGTTTAAATTATCGAATGCTACAAATGCAGCAAATAATAGTTTAAGAGTGAAAGATATGGATATAGACATTGCAAGAGCACGTATGTTATTATTCTGGTCTGCACGTATCACTTTGAAGAATGGTTTACATCTTTTAGGCATTAAAGCTATTGATAGAATGTAGATATAAGACAAAAGAAAATTCTAAAAATAGTATTCAAAAAAAAATTAAAGTTATCTACAATAATAAAAACTAACGATCTACAGCCCCAATAGTAGTAATAAAGTTATACTTGGTCGAAAAAATTATTCCTCGGATATAATTGGTCAATTATTGAAGTTAATAAGAGGAGATAGTAGTAAATATTTCTTCAAGAAGGAAAAAAAAAGATGACACCCCCTTTCCTACATAATTTGTGTTAAAGGCTATTTTTGTTACTTTAACATGTTGATTTCATTCTATTTAACAATAAGTTTATCGGTATCGATATTGTTTTTATATATATGTAAGGAAAAGTAATATATATAAAGACATGCATAGTAGACAATCACTAAGAAAGATACAAAATTTAATATATTCAGACTTTTTTTTCTTTTTTTTTGATTATCATATATGTGTATTCTTATATGCTAGCTCTTGTATGCATTGTATTAATAAATATGATATTCCTTTTTTACTTTCTATATTAAGCCAAAAAGTGTGGAACGAATGAAATCTATTCTTTTGACATAGAAGGATTGTTACATTTATAAACAAATGATGGACAAACTTTTGAACCAATAGGAAATCAGTATAGATAAGGTAAAAGCACTAATGTCTGGCTTATGGTTCCTTAAAAAGGAGTTTTTTTTTTTTGAGTAGTGAACAATTTTAGCTTTCTCGATCGATTTATATAAAAATTTTACAACTAAATTCATTATGCTATTATATACAAACAACTAGCTAATACTACTTTGGTGATTGTATCTTTATAGGATATCATTTTTGTATACAGAAATAAGATATGTTTATCGTCCATAAAATAAAATAATATAATATCTTATTATGTAATAAATATTATCACTTCATAGAAGAATGTATAAAAAGTCTGAATCAGGGGAAAGTAATAACAAAAAAAATAAATAAATAGCCTTTCAATGTAAAGCAAGTGTGGAGCAGCCAATCATTTTTAATAATTTCTAGTGGCTAGTTTTGCTGTAGTTTAAATACACAATATGAATATCTTTTTTTTTTTTTTTTTTTTTTTTTTTTTTTTTTTAAGGTTGCCTAGGTCGTTCTATTGTTAAACATAAAAAAAAATATGTTTGTATTAAAGACGATAAGTATAAAAAAAGTTGCCTTATCTATCTTCTTCTTTTTCTTCTTCTTTTACCTTTATTTTTGCTTTTCTTTTCTAGTCATTTCTCTTTCTTTCTTATCCTCTCATTCTATACAATGACAGAGCAACGTAAAAAGAAAGCAATCAAATATCATTTTATTGATATGAATGATCCAAATAGGTATAAGAAGCTAAAAGTGACTAGAGCCTGTGATTTCTGTAGGAAACGTAAATCAAAGTAAATATATATGTTGTAGATACATCTATTTAAATCAGTGTAAAATAAATGAAGGATATTAATTATTCTCTTTCTTAACTAAAGATGTGATCTTGGTATTCCCGGCTCAGGTACCTGTTCTAATTGTAAGAAGGCAAAGAACATGTGTGTATTCTCTTCCATACCAACTTCTACAAAAAGTAATAGCAATAGCTTCACCAATCTAAAATCAAAAACAAGTTCATCAACTTCGATTCTTCAACTTAACGGCAATGCTTCTATTATCACTGAAAATGACTTTTCTGATTTATTTCAGTATTCCTCGACAAACATACAATATGATTTCTCCAATCTATATCAAACACAAAATCCTTTATTTTCTTTGGATTGTAAAGGCCGTTGTAATTATGAAAAGCATAGCAGTAACACATATATTCACAGTCATGTGTCTTCATTGGATCATATCACAAGTACTATTGATGAAATACCTTCGTACTCGAAACAAACTGAATATGAGTTATTTCATACCTTTTTTAATTATGTTCATCCATTTTATCCAATCTTAGATAGTTTTCAAATATTACAATCATTGCAATGTGATTCTAAACCGATACCTAATGCATTAAAATGGGCTATAATGGCAATTGCCCTTCATTTTACTCAACACTATCAAAAAGGTAGTTCAGCAACTTTAGCTACTATCTACTATCATCAGGCTTATCTTCTTCTGGATCACTCTTCTCCTTCTCTTTCATCTCTTCAAACATTACTTTTACTTTATAAATTTGAAGAACTTATGACTCCTGTAGGTGCGTCCCTTTCAACAGTTGCTCTTTCCTACTTGTACAAAGCATTAGATATGCTTAAAAATCTACTGCAAGAACAAACAGGACTAACTGACATGTGGACTATAAAGGATGAGTTCATTTGCCGAAATGGATGGATCCTGTTTATTATTATCACTACAAGTAGTAATGCTGATGAGAGATGGCGTGAATTACTTGAGGATTGTCCTACACCCTCTAGACTTCCATCGTTGATTGAGAGAGAACATTATAATAAAGGCGAATTTGATACGGCTTGCAATCTAATTCATTTAATCAATATCACTTTACTTTATTCACGCGTGATACGTTTTATTTTCGATCAGAGTACTTTATTTGCTAAAGACACTGCAAATTATCTTCTTGAATTCAATAAATTTGCTACAAGCCTTGATGTCTGGAGAGCATCAGCATCAAAACATCTCTCTCTCTCTCTCGTAGATAATCCCTCAATGCCTTATTCAGCTCAAGTTCATTCTAATACTAATAATGATGGTATATTGCATCATAGTATCTCCAAGACAGCTTTTTTTACAGCCTATCTTTGTTTGATCCATGATATCCTTGATGTCTTAATCTCTATTCATTGTGCTACTTCAAATTCTTACCTCTTTGATGATCTCCCAAGAAAGATAACTCAGGTATGTTGTAGAGCACACAGTCTGACAGTACATGGTAAAATAGAGGAGTCTCATTTTTTTAGATTAGCCTCTATCCAAGGTAGCCGACTGATTGCCTTTGGTCTTACCCTTTCAATTCAAGTACACATTTATTTTCAGGAACAAAAAGGGGAGACAAAGATTTTAGATGACGTAAAAAAGTTTCATACTTCCTGTATTTTATCACTTCAGATATTTGAGACAATGACTCTTACACCTCAGTTCTGCATAGCAATTCAAACTCTTCAAACACAAATTAAAGCCAACGAATGTTTATATATGTTAACTACCACAACAGTACATCATCAACGTTCATTATCTAATGACAGTACTGGTAAAAGTATAAGCACGATGTCGATACCCAATAGCAGTAGTGGCCATCTTTCAACCGATAGTTCTCAAAGTAAGGGTTATGGATATTTCAACCTACCGACAAGGAATTCTGCTGTCATAAATGAGGAGACAAATCACCCTACATTATGTTATTCGTCAACAGAGACCGATCACACCAGCAACGAAAAGCAACTATTAGATCAATTATCTTCGGCCAATGTGACTAGTATTAACTATTATTGTCATCAGCAAGAAAAAACAGTTTGGCCTCAAAGGCATCAACGTGATAGTTGGTCTCAATATCAACCTCTTAAACATGATACTATTGATGATAATATGTCTAAAATATCTTCTTTAAAAAAACAATATATTACACAGCAACAAGAGCCAGTGACACCACCTTCCATAAACATTATACCTGATTCTTACTTTCAATATCATCATTCTTCAGTCGCTGTTGCAACAGCAGTAAACTTCCCTTTTGATTCTTTAAATTTGACTTTACCCATTTTAAATTCAAAAAGCTGTAAAAATAAAAATAAAATACTAATATAGTATAAGATAGCATACTATTATACATCATATCATTCTATCATCTAAGGCAATATGTTTCCTTTTAATTTTATTTACGTGATATGTTTTGTTACATGCTGTTTTTTTTTTTAAAAAAAAAAAGAGACATTACTACATTGTCGGTCACTTAAAAAAAAAGTTTTATATTTATTGAGTGATTTGAAACAACATACTACTATTTTTTTTTCTTTTATATTTATATAAAGAAAGAATATTTCAATGGCGTACATGTATAATCAGATGCAACAAGGGCATATGCCTTATCATGATAATACATTCGGTCAACCTCTTCAGCCTCCCAGTCGCACTTTATGGTAATAGAGAACAAGAAAAAAAAGACCTTTTCAATGTAATATCGCGAAATTAATACAATCTTTTTTTATTTTTTTATTTATTTATAGGATGGGTGAACTTGATCCCTGGATGGATGAAAATTATTTACGACAATTATACTGGAGTTTAGGTGAAGATGTTTCATGTCGAATTAGTATTGATAAATATGGAGGAACTTACGCATTTATCGATTTTCCGGTTCATGAATCAGCCAGCAAATTCTTACAAACATATAACGGAACACAGATTCCTAACACAAGTAAATACTTCAAGCTAAACTGGTCCAATCGAGACGGTAATGGCATGCCAATTCTTAATCAGTAAGCAGTTTATTTTACAATTATGAAAAATGATTACTTACTTTTTTTTTTTTTTTTTTTTTTTTTTTTTTTTTTTAAAAAAAAAATAGTGTCTTGGATCCTAATGCAGGCGGTGGATTTAGTATATTTGTTGGAGATTTAGGAGCCGATGTTGATGACAATGTATTGTTAGCAGCCTTTCAAAGTCGATATGCATCTACACGTTCAGCTAAAGTTATGATTGATCCAGCAACAGGATATTCTCGAGGATTTGGGTTTGTAAAATTTATGGATGAAAATGATCATCAAAGATCTTTAGAAGAAATGCAAGGTGTCTATGTTGGTTCAAGACCTGTACGTGTATCAGTAGCAAGACCAAGAGCAAAATTTGATGTAGGCTTGAATCCTAATACTCCAGAATCAGAAATTACTACCGTTTTTGTGGGAGGCCTGAATAATACAATTACAGAAGAAGAATTAAGAGCTTATTTCGGAACATATGGTAACATCTTGGCAGTAAAAATTATCCCGAATAAAAACATTGCTTTCATTCAGTATGAACATCGATCATCAGCTGAACAATCTATTGCAGAACTAAATGGTTCCCATTTAGGAGGTGCAAAGTTAAGATTATCTTTTGGTAGGACTCAGTTAAATCTTGGTCCAGGGTAGAGTCAACTATTTTTTTTTTCTTTATAAAGCATAAAGGTTTACTTATAAATTCTATTATATAGAGTTCATTATACGCCACCTGTGAATACAGGTTTTCAACCTGTATATCCACCACAACAGCCTATGGTAGCACCACCACCCCCTCCTATTATCCCACAGCCTGTTATGCCTCCTCCTGATTTAGTAATGCCAAAGAAACAAGTTGACGTCAATCTTCAAAATGAAGAATTTTTAACTTTGCAAGAACAGAATTTTATGTCTTGGAATTTTACTCCTTTAAATGTTGGTGAAACATTAAAATAAAAATTATGATAAAACGTAATTTTCCTGAAAAAAAAAAAAGGCTTCAGCATGAAATACTTTAATTTTTTATTTTTATTTTTTTTTCCTTCACATTAATTATTTTTATAATGAGCTTTTCAAGTATGTTTTTAAAATGGTTCAATATATTGTTACTTAAATTGATATTTTAACATTTATATTAGATCACCATAATAATTCACCTTCATATAGGAACAGCAATAATATTAGTTATAGACTTAGAAACGGAAACAGAAATGGGAATATAGATAAAAGTGTTAATGGAGATGTAAATCATCGAGAACCTTCAAAGACAATTTTTGTTTCAGACTTAAATCCTAAAACTTTAGCTGGAACCCTAATGGATTATTTTGATAGATTCGAAAAAGTAGATGGCGTCACTCTTAATGAAGACGATGAAGGAAGAGAATTAGGAACAGCAACGGTTGTTTTCCAGTATGTTTTATCATTATGTGTATTTAATGTACATGGGCATTTATTTATTTTTCTTCCTCTTTCTATCCTTCTCTCTCTCTCCCCCCCTTTTTTTTATTGTCCTAGAAAAGTGCCACAAAATGCCAAAGATATTGTTGGACAACATAGAATAGATGGTAGAAGTGTACATGTAGAATTTACTCGTAATCAATCTTTTGAATCAAGTTCTAGTAATTATAATAATTCACGTTTATTGGCTAATACATTCTCAATGGGTTCCATGATGGGTCCTAAAACATTTGTAAAAGAATGGTCAACGTCAGATGATGTACGATTCATTTTAAAATATACACAACGTCAAGTCAATATTATATTTAATCATTTGAATGAATGCTATAAAGTAGAATATAAATTTAAGGATGTTTTAGGCGATATGCACGTTGAACGTGAAAATAACTTGACCATATTTACAATCCCTCTTCGTTATCCAGGTACTTTTTGGAAACGTAGTGCAGAGATACGAACTGGATCAGAACGATCAATGAAACGTGGCCGACAATGGGAAAGAGTGACGATGATACCTATTAAGCCTAATGTAAATATACCAAAACGTCTTCAAAAGCCTATTATGCCTATTGATCCTGAAGGAGTCATAAAGATTGGGAAATGGATTGTTTATCGTATCTCATTTTATCCCTCGCAAAGACATGCTGCTGATTTTGAGCTCAAGTTGAAAGAGGCTGCAGATTACAATCTTGTTCCTCGTGATTTGAGTATGAGAAAGCCCTTTATTAAGGTTATAAATGCCCAAGATTTACCTAAACCTTGGGGTCATATTGAACGTTGTTCTCTTGATTTGGACTATAATGTCTTGTACATGCTTGAATCGGTCATCTCATATTATTATTTGAATGAGCATAATTTAACGCCGGAATTTTACGATATGATTAAAGAGCTTGACCCAACGATTGCATGTGGTATTCTTCAGTTAATTAGTTCTAATAAAAAACAAGTATGGGATCCAACAGCAGAGTTTGCAAACATTTTCAATCGAATGGGAATGAAGGTCAAGGACCAGCGTAGTATACCAAGTCATTGTGCTTTATTACGAAAAATTATCATTACACCCAGTCATATCTTTATTCAACCCCCTATATTAGAAACAACAAATAGAGTTATTCGTCATTTTAAGGATCAAGCAGATAGATTTATTCGTGTTCAGTTTTTAGATGAAGGGTTTAATAGAGTTGGTGCAGGTCAGACTGAGACAAGAGATGCGATTTATAATAGAATTTTTGATATCTTGAGACGTGGTCTTCAGATTGGTAAAAAATGGCATGAATTTTTGGCGTTTTCAAGTTCGCAATTACGAGAGCAAGGCTGTTGGTTTTTTGCGCCTACGCCTGAATTGTCTGCTTCCAAGATACATACTTGGATGGGCGTCTTTTCGCATGAAAAGGTGGTTGCAAAGCATGCTATTCGCATGGGTCAATGCTTTTCATCTACTCGACCTGTTTATACTTTACAGCCTGAGGATATTCAACTTATAGATGATATTGAAAGAGGGGGTTATACTTTCTCTGATGGCGTTGGAAAAATTTCTCTATCTTTAGCGGAACAGGTTGCTATTCAAATGGATTTGAAACAAGTTCCAAGTGCATTTCAATTCCGTTTAGGTGGTGCTAAGGGTGTTTTAACTGTAGACGAAAACCTGGACAAGATGAATATTAAAGTGCAACTTCGTCCCAGTCAAATCAAGTTTGAATCAAAGCATTTAACTTTAGAAGTGATTCGTACATCAACATATATCCATGGTTACTTGAATCGACAAGTGATCACTATTCTTTCCTCGTTAGGTGTAAAAGATGAAATTTTTATGAAACTAATGGATGAAATGGTGCAGGACGTAAATATGCTACTTAACAAACCAGAGGAAGCTGTTCGTGTTTTATTAGGCAATGTAGATGAAGCGGGTACTGCTTTATCTATGGTCCCAATTATACAAGCTGGATTCTTAGCACGAGGTGATCCTTATATTAAAAACCTCTTAAACTTATTCCGTGTTAATGTATTAAAGGATCTAAAAAAGAAGGCAAAAATCATTGTTCCGAAAGGTGCATATCTTTTAGGTGTTATGGATGAAACAAATACCTTAAAAGAAGGTGAGGTATTTGTACAAATATACGATACATCAAATAATGGTGTAAATAGACAAGTTATTACTGGTGATGTAGTTGTCTTTAGAAATCCTTGTTTTCATCCTGGTGATGTACGCGTTGTAAAGGCTGTAGATAAAGAAAATTTACGTCATTTAGTAAATGTGATTGCATTCCCATCACAGGGTTATAGAGATATACCTAGCATGTGTTCTGGTGGCGATTTGGATGGCGATGATTATACGTATGTTATATTAAAATATATTTCTATTTAAAAGCTCTAACCTAACTTGTTTATATATATATAAGTATCTATTGGGATCCAAGATTATTACCCCCTACGACTTTTACACCTATGGAATATAAAGCTGCTCCTCCACAAACAATTGATGAAGTTAAAATTCGTGACATTATCAAATTTTTTGTTAATTATATAAGTAATGATAACTTGGGATCAATTGCAAATGCACATTTAGCAACTGCAGATATCAGTCCACATGGGGCAAGAGACGGGAAGTGTATGTTATTGGCGCAGCTTCACTCAGATGCAGTAGGTAATATATATATATATATATATATATATACGTATGTATGTATGTATGTATATATAAAAGGTTTTATTTAACACTTTTTTTTTTCTTTATAATAGATTTCCCGAAATCAGGAAGACCTGCAAAATTTACCCCAGATCTTAGAGTACATATGTTCCCAGATTTTATGCAAAAAAAAGATAAGCCTTCTTATCAGTCTAAAAAAGTGTTAGGTCGTATTTTTCGTGCTATTGATAAATCAGATTATAAAAACTATAAATCAACGTTGGTAGCAGAGACTGTTTATGATACTCGATTACGACTACCAGAGATGGAAATGTATATAGCCGAAGCACGACAATTTCGTTTACAATATAATCGAGATTTGCAAGCTCTAATGAACCAATTTGGTGTGCAAACCGAAGCAGAACTATGCTCAGGCTTTATCATTAAATGGGCTAATAGTAGAGGTCGAAAAAAATCAGACTATGAGCATCATCAATATACAATGAAAGCTGTAAAATCGCTCAAAGCTACATGGAAAAAGCGTTTTGAAGAAGAATTTTATGATTCTAATAAAGCCATAGATATTACAAAACGAAATTTATTTGAAGCAAAAGCAGCAGCTTGGTATTATGTTGCATATCATCCAAATGAAAGAAGTCGAGATATGTCTATTGAAGGTGGATTTTTCAGTTTCCCTTGGTGTATATTCGAGTATTTATGTGAGATAGCTAAGCGAGCCAAACATAAGGATTTGGAAATAGACGAAGCGACCCCAATTTCAGAAGAAAAGATTACAGAAGGAAATATAAAATTGATGCAGTTAAGAAGTAATTCACCTGTTATCATGGTTGATAATGATGAAGAATCTGAAGCTGAGGATGAATATGAAGAAGAAAGTGAATCAGAAGAATCTGATGATGAAGAAATTATTTCCTATAATGCTCTCACTAATAGTCATTACTACACAAGCAATACTGCTTCTCGTTCATCTAATCATAATGATACAGTGCGTGGTAATAATCCATACGCTATTGTAAATTCTGCTAACCGAAGGCCTTTGAATTCACAACAACCTGTAGTGTCAGCTGATGCATCAGAGGCAGAATTAGTTGCCGCACTTCTAGGTACTAAAGATCTGTAAGCATAATAGCTTTACCCCAGAATGGTATAAGTTATATATAGTAATAAGGTCAATAAATTTTGAACTCTTTGATTTTATTTTATTTTATTATATTTTTTTTTTTCATGATTGCTGAAACAGAAAAATTGAGTGAAAATTGTAATGACCTAAAAGAAAAAAAAAGTAGGATATTTCTAAAGGCTTGACAACAAAATCGAATTAATCTTAAAAAAGGCTTCAGATAACTCATTTTTTGCTTAATCAAAAGCTTATTTAACTTAACTCAAACGACGTTTTATTTATTCTTAAATTTTTCCAATAATGCTGTTTTAAATCAACTGTCTCTTACAGATTTTTTGACGCGTTTTTGAACTTCATAGAGATATATTTAGAAATATTATTAAGGGTATGAAATCAAAGCATATCTGATGTATCGTAGGAAGACATAGCTGCAAGTAGATGAAATTGAATCTACCCGTAAAAAAAAAAAAATAAATAAAAAAAAATAACGATTTGCGAACTTTAAATAAAAATCTAAACTGCCTTTAATTTTTTTTTTTTTTTTTTTTTTTTTTTTTTTTTTTTATAAAATTGTATAAAAAACTAGATTTTTATGAGCTAAATCATTTTAAAAATTACAAAGTAATATAATGAGAAAGTCATCACAGAAAAAGAAAGACAATACATTGTTCAGTTATTTTACAAAAACAAAAGATCCAGCAAAATCTGAATCATTATCGTCTTTGATCTCTCGAACCACACCATCAGATCGATTCGTTAAATCAACCACGCAACAAACCTCAGTCACGACAACAACACCATTAAACAAAGATTTACGGCAAACAAGTCTAACAACAAAAGCTGTACAAGCAATTGATTTAACTAACGATGATGATGACGATGATCTCATTATTATTCCTTCACAAAAATCTACATCCATCTTTCTTTCTAGTCAAACAAGTACATTTTCAAACACAAGTAGTAGCAGTCAGAATTCAACTAGCAAACTATTTACAGAAGAAATGAAGAATACCTCTAAATACAACAAAAAAGGGTGGTCTCCAAAAGATAGAGAAAAGGGACCTCAAAAATCAAGCCAAGATTCTAGTTTATTGTACGAACAAAAACCAGCACGAAAGTTTGACAGGATTGTGCTCCAAAAGCCTCGAATTACCGCAAAGCCTCGTTATGATTGGATTGGACCTAATGATGTCAAACCTTACAGTTCAAACTATCGACCTTATTCATCACAAACCCAATTAGATGATAAACCCCCACGCATCATCACACAGAGTCGTTCTTATTCTAATACAACAGAATATGCAATTAAAAGGAAATGGGAAGGCAATAGCAGTGTTGGAACTGCTTCAGGCTCTTCGTATTGGGACGAAAACTCATCATTCTCTATTTCAAATAAGAAAAAGAGAGATTCTACAAAACAAAGACCAACTAATTTTTGGACTAAGATTAAACCAAATACCAGCTCCAGTTATGTACCATCCTCTACTACTATGTCAAGTCTAACGACTTCAATAGCAACATTAAATGAATATAGACCAGAGTTATCGGCAGAGCAACAACGCGTTTTAGATATGGTTGTTAATGAACATAAAAGTTTATTTTTCACCGGTTCTGCAGGTACTGGTAAATCTGTTTTATTAAGAGCTATCATTGATAAGTTAAGAACTATTTATGGAAGTGGGTTAGCAGTAACTGCATCAACAGGTATTGCTGCCTGTAATATTAATGGTTGTACTTTACATAGGTAAAAAGCAAAGTGATGATATTTGTATTCTGTGTTTAATTAATTTTATTTATTAGTTTTGGAGGTATTGGTTTAGGCAATGATAAAGCAAGTATTTTAGCTTATAAGATTATGAATTCTAAAAGAGCTACTGAGAGATGGAAAGAGACACATGTACTTATTATTGATGAAAGTAAACATCACACCAATTAAAGAAAGAAAGAAAAAAGACGACAAGTAATTAATATTAATTGATATATAATATCTTCTTAATAGTATCCATGGTAGATGCAGAGTTGTTTGATAAACTTGAAGAAATTGCAAGAATTGTTAGACGATCTACTCAACCTTTCGGTGGTATACAAATTGTTGTGACTGGAGACTTCTTCCAGTTACCACCAGTAAATAAAGACAAGCCTTCCAAATTTGCATTCGAAGCCAACACATGGAATACTGTTATAAAGCAAACAGTGATGCTTACAAAAGTATTTAGACAAAAAGATGGAAGTAAGTTTTAAAAGTTCCAAAGTCTATCTTAAAACAATATTAATCAAATATACGTTCAATTATACAGCCTTTGTTAAGATATTAAATGAAATGAGATTAGGACATTTGTCAGATGAAGCTATACATATTTTCAAGTCATTATCTCGTGTGCCAGAAGGCGATTCTGATATTGAACCTACAGAATTGTAAATGAATCCAAAGATAGATATTTTTTTTTCGCTTTATTTAATTACTTACTTGAATTTATGAATAGATATCCATTGAGAAATGAAGTAGATGCATCAAATAGAAAAAGACTTGAAGATCTTCGTGGAGATATTCTTGAATTCAAAGCAGTTGATTTTGGTGATCCTAAAAAAATTTCACAATGTATTGCACCAGCTGTAATACAACTAAAGATGCATGCTCAAGTTATGTTGTTGAAGAACATCGATGCAGATCTTGTTAATGGTTCTCTTGGTGTTGTTGTTGGTTTTGTTGGTAAAGGTGAATACAAGAATAAGAAAATTTGCGAATCTCTGAGGACACCCCAACGTCAAAAAGACTATTTTATGTCCGAGGACAAGCAGCCCTTTGATATGTTAACCCCATATCCAATAGTCAAGTTTTCAAATGGCCGTCTTTTACTTTTAGAGCGTGAGGAATGGACATTTGAATTACCAGGTAAATCAATAAAGTAAAAATAGATTACAAGTAATAAAATTAATTATATTTATAGGTGGACAAGAATTCGCCTCTCGACAACAGATACCCTTAATGCTTGCTTGGGCAATTTCTATTCATAAAAGTCAAGGTCAAACTTTAGATCGTGTGAGAGTAGATCTTGGAAAAGTATTTGAGAAGGGGCAAGCTTATGTTGCCTTATCCCGTGCTACCTCTTTAGAGAGGCTACAAATACTTAACTTTGATCCAGTTAAAGTTATGGCACATCCAAGAGTAACTCAATTCTATAAAACGTTGCAAACAGTTAATTAAGCATATTGTTTGAAAAATATAAATATAAAAATGAATATAAAAATAAATATAAATATAAAAATAAAATAAAAATATGATTATAATTATAATTATAATTATAATTAAATTTGCATGAAATAAATATGGTATTTATTATTATTATTATATAATTAATAAAGAAAAGAAAAGAAAAGAAAAGGAAAAAAAAAGGTATTGCTTTCTAATAGATATAAATACAATAAATCGTAAAGTGACTACCAAGCTAACTTGCTAATGATACTCTTAGGGAACTTTCTAACTAAAAGTTTTCTACTTTCATCCATAAACATAATGAAGAAGGCCCAGCCAAATGGAATAAACCAGAATTTGACAGGTATAGGAGATGTTTCCAAATAAACATTGAAGACTGGAACATATAGAATAATGATAGCAATAGCTAGTGATGCGACCATAGCTGCGAACAAATATAAATTCTGATTAGGTCCCCACAAAGGATTAGCTTGAGTGATAGAGAGTCTTCTTGTTCTTGAAGAAAGGACATTTCCCCATTGACAAATAACCAGGTTAACAAAGTAAATAGATTGAGCAACGTTGATCATTTGCGTGATTTCATCAGCTGTATGACCTTTATAACCATCAGGACTTCTTAAATTAGAGAATGAAAAGAAAACATCCCGAGGAGGAATTCCGTTAATGCCTAAATAGAGGAAGAAAAGAAACATAGAGGATAACATTTCCATAAGACCAACAAAACCATAAGCATGAAGTAAAAGTCTACTATTCACTAAACGATCGCTACTTGGTCTACGTGGTGGACGAGTTAATAAACCTGTTTCGGGTTTTTCCATCATCATGGCCATAGAGGGACACAAATCAGTTAAGACACAGATAACGATCATTTGGAAGGAAGACAATGTTTGAGGACCACCCAAGAAAATATTAACAATAACGGGCCATAACTCTGACCAAGAACCAGCAGGAAGCAGATAAACAATGACCTTTTTCAAATTATCAAAGACAAGACGACCATTCTCAACTGCAGCAACGATACTAGAGAACTTATCAAGCAAAATCATATCAGCAGCTTCGATAGCAACATCTGAGCCACTTCCCATAGCGACACCAACATTAGCAGCTTTCAAAGAAGGTGCATCATTGACACCATCACCTGTCATGGCAACTATATTTTCACGTTTTTGAAATTCCTTAATAATTTGAAGCTTTTGATCAGGAGAAGTACGAGCGAAAACAATTTCTTCATATTGACATAATTGTTCCCATTGGGCGTCGTTGAGAGTCATCATATCACTACCAGATAGTAAAAGAGATTTGTTGCATTGATAAATGGAGGTTTCTTTAGCTTGGGTATTGTTTATGGTAATATTTTCATTCACATTCTTTTCAATATCATTAGTGACGACGGAGGTATTGTTTCTAGCCGTATCTTCCTTCTTCAGATCATTATATTTAATAACATCATCTATATTCTTTGTAGGGTCTAGATCTTTAATAGTGTGAGGATGTTGTGTAGTAAAGATACCGATATCTCTAGCGATAGCAGCAGCCGTCATAGGGAAATCACCTGTTACCATGAAAAAACGAATGCCAGCATTTCTACAGATTCTCACAGTTTCAGCGCTTTCAGGACGAGGGGGATCAACGATAGCAACCATACCGACCACAGTAAGTTCTGAATTCATTTGAGTTACCCAAGTAGTAAAACTAGATGTACCCGATACAAGATTATCTGGATTCTCCTCTGGTTTGATAATACGACGAGCCAAGAGTAAAACACGTTTGCCTTTATTTGCCCATTTTGATTGTAGTCTTAATAAAAGTTCAGTTTGTTTATTAGTCAATTCCTTTTCCTTAATAGTACTATCATCATCAGAAACGAGGATTTTTGAACATTTACTCAAGATGACATCAGGAGCGCCTTTACAGAATAAGACCCAATCATTGATATCAACGCTTATGTCGGAAGTTGAAAGACTGTTAGCTATAGATTCCACATTAGGGCGACAAATGGTTAACATCCATTTATTTTTAGAATTGAACGGGATTTCAAAGATTTTTTCTGTATCATTGCGAAGTCTGTCAACGGTTCTGATAGCATGAGAGGCATTAAAACTCAAATTCTCAGCAAAATTTAAAATAGCACAGTCAGTAGCATCGCCAAAAACCGTACGCTTAGAAACCTCTAAATCAGACGTAGCAGAGTCATAACTAGAACCATTACAAAGAGCAGCTTCTAATTGAAGTTGTTCTATTTGAGAAAATACAATAGGATTTGTATTTGCCTGGCCGTTTACATGTGAGGAATAAATTTGATTAGCAGTAGCTGAACTCATCTCTTCAGTCCCCATACTGATATCTGAGACGAACATTTTGTTTTCTGTTAAAGTTCCAGTTTTGTCCGAGCATAAAACGTTTACGCTACCCAATGTCTCTACTGTTGTAAGCACTTTACAAACCACATTGCTTTTTTGCATACGATGAGCAATCAAGGTTAGACATAAAGTAACTGCCACAGGCATACCTAAGATTATATTATATTATATTATATCAAATAAATAAATAAAAATTAGAAATAAGATTTTTTTTTTAACTTTAAAGAAAAATGTGCAATATACATACCTTCAGGAACAAATGCAACAATGACACTAATAATTGCAATCAAAGCATTTGAAACAGTTAAAAAGTTTGGATAATCTCTTCTTAACCAAGCTGCCCAAGTAATCAAACAAATGGAACCAACAGTAATAGATAATGTAGCAATAATAATAACGAATCTTAAAATTTCAACTTGAAGTGTAGTACGAGTATTAGGATCAGCTAATGATAAACGAGCAATTCTACCCATAAGCGTATTATCACCAATAGATACAACAACACCAACAGCAGAACCATTTAAACAATGAGTACCCATCATAGCCACATTATGAGTTTCCAATACGTTATCATCGGTTGCATCTACAGTGCCTGGAATGGGCTCAGATTCACCAGTTAAAACCGAACGATCAAATTTCAAATCATCAGAGGCCTCAATAAGACGTAAATCAGCAGGAATTTTGTTACCCATTTTAATATATACAATATCACCAGGGACTAAGTTTGAAGCTTCAATTGGAATTACGTTTCCATCCCGCTTAACTAAAGTTTGAGCTGGCAACATGTTATTAATAGAATTCATGACACGACTAGTAGACCAATCTTGCCAAGCATTAAAGAAAGCTTGTAAAAAGATGACAAACATAATGATAACAGCAAGAGCCAAACTAAGAGGTGATGGATCTGGATTACCCAATGGCTTCCATGAGACCCAACAAATAATACTAGCAATCCATAGTAAACCACAGAAACCACCAAAGAAATAGCTGAATATTTTTTTAAACCAATTACTTGGTGGTGGTGTGATTACATTTTTACCATATTCTGATACACGGTTCGAAGCCTGTTGAGAATCCAAACCTTGCTCAAGACTTGTTCTGTATTGTTGACTTAATTCAAGTAATGATAATTTGTGAAAATTGGTATCAGAGAGATCTATATTAAAAAAGAAGAAGACATGTATGAGTATAAATAATTATATAAATATATGTGATTAATGATATTACCATCAGCTAAATCCTTTTTAGATTTTTTAGGAGACTTTTTAACTTGTCGTTCAGAAACAGTGATAGATAGTGTTCTATATGCAATAATAGCATGACTACTAGTGGAGGCAGTACGCTTTATTTGTTTCCGCTTTAGATTACTTGAAGTATCTTCGTTTCTGTCATGAAGCGGCTGATTTTTATCCGAGAAATGGATAGTTGTGTGCTGCTTGTTTTCACTCATGATAGAAGTAAATAAAAGAAAAAAAAATGAATAACATAATTTTGAACTGTTTAAATAGATAGCCGCATACAGAAGCCCTCTTTTTTTTTTTTTTTTTCTTTTTTTGATAAGAGAAGACTGGCTTGTAGTAATCCTTCGGCAAAATTAGCTCTAAGTGATTTTTAAATAACTCATAATTTAACTTTTTTTGTTTGACATCATTGATAACAAAAAAAAACCCCTCTTATTGTAGTAACAAAAAAAAATCAATGCCAGTGAAATAAGTTACAATTGTTACACAGACAAATCGCTCATTACTTGTATTTCTTTACACAAACATTCTTTGTGTGTTAACAATAATTGATAACTGTATACTCTTTCATATACGAAGATATACCCTTGATATTAATAACTCTATTGTATATACGCAGTCACTAATACTAAGTTCCTATATGTTTTTGATCTTTATAATCAAAATATAATTGGAGACTGTTCTTTTCCTCAAACAAATATTGATTCAATTTATAAAAATATCATACATGCGTTTTAATAAACAAATTATTTTCTCCTTATTTATAAATTTAAAACCGTTTTAATAATGATTATTTTTCTATGATGTCTGACATTTAATGCTATTTTTATTTTTGTTAAAAAAAAAATTTTTTTTTTCTTTGTCCCTTTTTTATTAAGTGTGAGGCTGGAAAAAGATGACAGAGCGATCAAACATTTCAATTGAGTCATGGGTTCTCATGTCATTGATCTATAGAGATTTAGATGATGGCGATTATCGTAATGCACTTTTATTAGCTGAACGATTATATGCTCTCGACAATCAAAATAAATATTATAAATTATTGTATGCAGATTGTCTTTTTCATTGTCTTGATTATACTGCTAGCTATACTATATTGAAATCTGTAAAATCAATACCATGTTTAAATTTATTTGCTAAAAGTTGTCTTGAGCTTGGAAATACTGAAAAACTTCCCGAAAAACAACGCGAATTATGGGAAGAAGGTGTACAGTCACTTCAACTTGCTTTATCTTTACCTGAAATACCACAAACTATTCATTGGGGAGATGGTGAATGTTACATTATTTAATTCGATAGTAATTATGTGTTCATTTATGCCTTTTTTTTTATATATATATGTATGTGTATATTTTCTCAGAATTATCAAGTATGACGGTCAGAAATCATATGCCAAGTCGGTCTTCTATTTGTAACTTACTAGGTGATTTGTATGTAAAATTAGATAATATTCGTTTAGCAGCTACTTATTATTGGGATTGTCTATTAAACAATCCATACAAAATATCGGCCTATATTAAATTATGTGAAATTGCACCTGATGTGGTTGATTTTAACAAGACAAAATTACCAAAGGATATATTTGTTGATTTAGATCCTGCAGTCATTAATTTATCAAGATCTTCTCTCTCTTATTTACCACCATTTCCTTCAGCTAACATATCTGATATTTCATTCTCAAACGATTTACCACCTTCCTCAATAAAGAAAAATGGTTGCTCTATGCCAGAAATACATGGTGATTACCATGACTTTTCTATAGACCAATTAAGAGCCCTTGTTACGGTTTCATCAAAAATAGTATTGGATCATGATAAATTACCGGAACACGAGTATGAAAGGTTTGTTCCTAAATTTTGATTTGTATTTGTGTGTGTTAATTTATTATTGTTCAGAGATGAAATTGAGAATAGAAAGGATACTATTATTACAGATATCGAAAATGATATTAAGCGAATGGAAGCGAATGAAGCATTTAAAAATAAGCACGGTTTACATAGAAAACCACCTATACCAAAACCCCAAAAACTCACAGTTGAATTAGAAACAATTAATGAAAACGAGGAACAAAGTGATCATGACAAAGTCATATATGATTCTATTCAAAATAATGCACCACCTAGACTACTGAACTCCTCCAGAAGACGGCCTAGTGATACCCCTGCCAAATCGAACCGTCCAGTTAAGAAACGTGGAATAATTAAAGTAAAAAAAGAAACTTTTTGTAAATAATCTCGATACAGGCTAATAATATTTTTTTTATTTTTTTTTTTTTATTTTTTTGGAATAGGATTCAACTGAAAAGGCACAATCTATTTCTTCTTATTTTTTACCTCTTTTAAATGTTCCAGAAACAGATCAAGTAGGAGATAGAGAAATCGTTGAAGGAATGAACAAAGTAATAAAAGCACTTTGTATATTAGCGAATGGCTATTTTTATCAATCGTTTCATCATTGTGAAAAAGCTGCGCTGGAGTTACAAAAGCTGGATGATAGGCAATATAATTCTCCGCGTGTTCTTGGCATTTTGGGTATAGCGTACTATGACGCAGGTGACTATCTCAGTGCTCGTGCATTCTTCAGACAAGCATTTCTCATATCACCTTGGTATTGTGATTATATCCCTATTTATTCAACTTGTCTTTGGTATTTAGAAAAGGAGGAGGAGCTGAATTTGCTGGCCTTTAAGATGAAAGAAAATCGATCACATCAATTCGAGGCTTATATTGCGGCTGGTAATTGGGCAAAATGTGTAAAAGGTGGTAATGAAGCAGTTCAATGGTTTCAAAAAGCTGTTGATTTAGACCCATCTCGATCCTATGGACATGCTTTATTGGGTTATGAAGAATGGGAGAAGGGTAACAGTTTAGGGGCAAAGAAGCATTTTGCAAATAGCATGATTACAGATAAAAGATCATATCTTGGCTGGTAAGCTATTCAAAAAAAAAAAAAAAAAAAAAAAAAAAAAAAAAGAAAGAAAAATGAGCTGAAAATATGAGGTAGGTATGGTATGGCTTCTGCTTATCAAGCAATGGAAGAATACATGCAAGCAAGAACATTATTAGCTGAGGCAGTCCGATTACATCCACGACATCCAGTTGTATTGTCAACAATGGCTGAAGTGCTTTATGAACTTGAAGAATATGAAGAAGCAAAAGAATACATTGACAAGTCATTAAGCATAAAAACGAGTACAGCGAATGAAAAACTAAAAAGCAAAATTGAAACTAGTTTAATAGAAACAAGAAATAATGCTAATACTATCGATAATGATTTATATATTTAATAAATATTTATTTTTTACTAGTAGTGAATTAAAAAAGAAAGGATTTATACATGAATAAAAGGTTAGATTATATATGGCTAGTATACTAGCTAAGGATTGGTAAAAAAATAAATTATAAAACTCATATATGAATAAGTAAGCAAAGATATCTATGCGTATACTTACAATACACTGCTCTTTTTGTCGGACTTTATAAAATACAAGAACTATATGCAACAAATCTTAGCTTAGCGCTGTAGACTGGATTGTTAATCATACCCAGTTACTTTCGCTTCGACTTCCAATATGGTCGAGTTTTCTGTAGTACAGACTGATTTGGTAATATGGGAACCCAACAAAGCTTTAGTTGTAGGTTTGTAGTAAAAACTCTGAAAGATCTGTGTGTTACGACTCCAGTTTACATGTTCCTTTACAGTCGACGAAACTAGGTTGGGTCAATAAAATAAAATATTAGTTTCTTTTCTATGTCAATAAAAGTTATTTTAAATGTTTCACTCACCTTTTTTAGACGATACAAAAATGGAAATCAGACAAAAGAAAATTGGTGAGAGGATGATACTTTCTTTTTTTTTGGACAATTTTACTCACCTGTAATGGTGTATAGGATAGACCGAATACCCATGGTGTATCAAAGAGTAATATCAATGACACACGATACTTGCAATTATTCTTTTGATTCAGAACGCTGGAATGGTGAAAGATGAGCGTCATTGTTTCTTTCTGCATGTAAAAATATGTCGAGGATGTTTTTGGCAGCCATTACATTGCGATTCCAAATGATATTATAAGCGGTTTCCTGACACTGTAATACAGAATGTACTCTTCGCTTTGCCGATCGTTGCACAACTTTTTCAACATTTCTTTTCTTGCAATTATTGCAGACTTGACTGGTGAGGTATTCGTCTATCATTTGGACTGTAACGCCACGATTTTGTTCACATTTTTGAAGAGCTTTTATGATAACCTTTGTAGGTCCAGATCTTTTGCCTCTCATGGTAAGTGAAAATCTTCCGTCTCCATAGGCAATGATGGTTTTATTTGCCTTAAATGACCCATCAAGTGGTGGAGGGGGGGGAGTAAGAATTGTTGTTTCTCGTTGTTGTCCTTACATTGGTGATCGCACCCGTATGATATTTGATGCTGTTACAAGTAAAAATCTTAACTATTTCGCTGAAGGCTTTTTGCTTCTTTCTATAATATCTAAGCTTCAATTTTGAGGACCTATTTCATTTAGTTAACCACTTTTTAAAATGTGTACAAGAGTGTGCTACACTTACCAAAGACCTCTGTTATAAAATTTATACATCGTATCGTAGGATTGTATATGCTTTCTGCAAGCAATCAATTTTGAAACTTCTTTGGTTTTTAATGAATCCAGTTTTGTTATCATTTTATGTGTTTTTGCGTGCTTCGCTTGATGAAGTAGTGAGCACTAGCTCCTGTTTTGAAAGTAAAACGACTTTGCATAAAGAAGAAAAGATAAGAGTAAAAGAGTAAAAGAGTAAAAGAGAATATAATGAATTCAAGAACCAAGGGAGTAATTCAAAGAGCTTTAGAGACAAAAAAAAAAAAAAAAACAGACCAGTATCATAGAAGGGTTTAAGTTAGCAATAAATAGTGAATGCATTAACATATAAATTATCGAATAATAAGAAGCATCGTACATAATAAAAGATGGCAGTAGTTTCTTATTAAATGTATGTTCACATCATATGTATTTTCCTCTAAATAATCCATATAATGAGACAAATTCACTGAAGGACCAATTACCCTTTATATTCTTTATGATGAAATCAATGCTCATCCAAGAGTAATATATAATCGACAAGAACCTCAAAACAATAATGACCTTCATTAATATTGCACTAAAAGACTGTATCTAACAGTATTGTTACGTTTTACAAGTGATGTCAAATGGCAACCTTTTTTTGTTTTCATGATAGACTTCAAGAATACGTTTCTTGTATCAAGTGACATTATACCATCCGTAGATACGATATGGAGGAGTAAAGGATTTATCTTTATGGAAAATTTTATAATTAAAAAAAATAAGGTTCCTTTGCAAAGGCTGAGATATTTCAACAACTTCTTTTCGATGAATCGGTCAAACCTCCCTTCAGTCCTTACTACTCAATACCCAAAGAAAATTTTCCTTGGAGAAAATTATGTTAAAAAAAAACACTAAAGTTAGTTTATTTCCAGTTTAAATAATGGATATTTATGATGGCAAGGCTTGAAACAACTTCAAGTTATACCCTAAAGATGAACAGTCTTTTGTACAGCAATAAGATTATGAATGCTCATTATGAATGTTGGCTAGTTTTAGTCTTATTCTGACAATGTACATTCTAGTGATGCTGGATTTATTTAACCATATAGAATTTACCTTGAGAGGAAAGAAATCTTAGAAAAAAATATACAATAATCTTTTTAATATTTATACACTGTGCTATTATAGTCTTTCACCACTTTTTTATATACGCTTAATTATTAAATATTATTAGAGAATCAACTTTATTATAGAACACGATTTTATTAAATTATTTTTTTTTTTTTCATTTTTATTGATATTATAAAAAAAGATGCTTTTCTTAGTTCTCAAATCTCTTTAAAAGAGACTTGATACTAACAGGATTAACCACGAGAAGGTGAAAGCATATCTAATCCCAAAAATAATATTACAACCCATACACAAATTGATACGGGCTGTAATTTTTTCTTCTCCCTCTAAATTTCTACTTGAAAGATAAACGTCCAATTTCAACTAGTAGACACTTGGCAAAGTCCAACCTGGCCCAAGCCTTGCTAGAAGAAAAAGATAGGATTCCTCACTTCCTACCCCAATAAAAAATACAGTTGGATGTAAGTTTTACTGGAAGCCGGGCTAAACATTCTGACCTGTAGCGTGGCGAAGTGGAAGAAATCCAGATACATGAAGTGCACGACTTGACTATTGTTTACCTGAGAATGTCCCTTCTTTGACCCCTAGCATCTACTTTTGACTTAACAGTAAATATAAGTTGGGATTCTTCACCTAAATGAATAGATGAAAAAACCACGGTCAGAAACGTAAGCTGTGCATCCTTATCTATTTTTATTTTATAAACAGCAACTAGATAAAAATAAAAAGAAGGAAAAACCTCCAAAAAGAAAAACAGAAAAACTAAACCTTGAGATAAGCCCTTTCAATGGTGCAGACAAAGAGTACGCTAATCTCCCTAAAAAAGGAACAGGTTTACAATTTCCAACCCCAAGTATCCTTTTTATTTCCCTCCTCCTTTGGAAATAAATCAAACTTGAGCAGTCAAAATTCGATAAGGTCCCATCAATTATCTAAGGTTGCAATAACCCAAGGTGAAGGCGGATATGCATGTAGTAACCAAAAGAGAGTCTAGGCCCTCTCCTTTAGCCATGTTATAAACGGACAGTTCTACAAACTCAAGTAAGCCAAGCTATGTGACTTGAGCACACTTCATAACCCTGACAATGTCTACCCATAGTTTCAAGTAAAAATAAAGAAGAATAAGAAAAATAAAAAAAGCTAAAGAAAAAAGAAGAAGAAAAAAAAGGAAAAAAAACGAAAAAATGTACTTTTTTTTATAGTAAAATTCAGGAGAAAAAAAATTAAACGAAAAGAAGGAGAAGTTATTAAAGTTTAATCTTAGCGTATTTTTTTTTTTTTTGTTTTTAATTTACTTTGCGTTAAATCTTCTCTCCTGCCTTTCTCCTTTTCTTTTTTTTTTCTCTTTTCTTTTTAATACTTTAGAGATAAGTTTTGCCTTTTATTTGAATGTAGTAAAGCATTACTGTCTTCTTTGAAAGTAAGCAAGAAAGTAAGAAAGTAAGAAAAAAGAAGAAGTTTGTTTACTTCTTTTATATGTATAAATATTCATGTGAATATATTGAGCATTCTTGTAAAGTAATTAAGCCAAAACTAGTTAAATGCAGTTACACGAAAGAGCATAATGTTCATACATTCTCCAAAAGAATAAGAGTAGATAAGCTATCAATAATATAAAAAATGTCATTTTATACAACAGTTTTATTTTTATTTTTAGACACACACACAATCTACATACTTTTTTTTTTTAATTGAACAAGATATTCTTAGTAGTTTATGCATTTTAAATAGTTAGGTTGTACGCTTTCTTATTACTGTATTATGGTAATTGAACTCTTTTTTATGATGATCATGATAACAAAGCTAGCCTTGTGAATGGATGTGTTATCAAGCATCAGATACTTATTATTCATAGTAGCTACATCAAGCGTAGTAAGGACTTGCTCTATGGATTCTAAAAAAAGTCGTTACTAGTTGTGCCTTTTCTTTTTTACAGCTAGCATATCATCAGTTTGTTGTTGCTGTAGTGATATTTTCCTTTCGTGAAAGAGTAATAAAATCATCTTTGCAAATGGCATCTAGGTTACTGACGTTTGGTACTTTTTATTTCAACTTTGATTTTGCAAGGTGTCCCTATCCTATTTTAAACCAACCATAAGAGAGGTGCATATTTCTATTGAATCTAGCCTTATCAATAAACACATAATCATTCATAAAATCTATTTTTTTTTTTTTTTATGAATCAAGAAGTTTACTATATCATATGGTTTAATTACAGTTTCCTCACTGTCTCATGAAAAATATAGCGAGATGATGCGTTTACAAGTGAGATGACACTTTTTTTTTTTTTGGTGAACGTCCTAGACACCAGATTTATATCAGCGTGTCAATATGTTATAGAGATGACACACAAACATAGTAAAGCATAAATACTCATATCTTATTATGGCAAAGAAGTTTTACTTAAAGAAGTCATAACGTGATAGTCTGAATAACGCATCCATTATATAAAATACCTTTGCATTTTATTATTTAATAAAGAAAGACAACGGATAAACAGTGTCAAATTATTTCTATTACTAGTCTTTATATCATTATTATTTTATTTTATTTTTTCTTACCATGAAATATCATATGTACTTCTGAAGAATTAGAAAGATTACAATAGGTTAAAGCAAACTGTCTTAAAAAAAAAGCTAAGCTTAGCTGAACTGAGCTAGGCGGCAATTTACAAACAATGTCTGAAAGGTTTTACTGAGGCATGTAATGCTGTACCTGCTAAAATTTTATACAACTTTTTCTGGGTATTCTAAACGACACATCATTCATTGTTATAATAATACTTCGTTCTAAAGTCCAATGTAATATAAATAAGAATAAGCATCATTTTTAGGCAATTTGGTTTAACCTCTTGTGACCTTTCTATTTCTTCAAAAAGACATTTATTTTTTGTTTAAAGGATTTTTTTCTTTCAAAGTAACAAAATTTTATCGTTTCCACTGTATATTTAATAACAACGTATGTACACGCAAAGATATGCTACGATAAACACAAAAACAAAAACATATACAATTTTATTTATTGGATACATCCGCTTTACGAGAAATGAAATCAATTTGATTTAAAATCTTATTTTTCCATTCTGTATTTGTTAAAAACATAGCATGTCTTAATCCCTCCATCATATGAACTTGAGCACCTCTTTTTGAAAGGTAATGATGCACATGGGTGCTACCGACAATACCATCGTTTTCTGATAAGAAAATGGATGCATTCTCTAATATGTTTGTAGATACTGAATCAACTTCTTTACAAAAATAAATTGTTTCATACCATTGAAAATGTCGTGAAATGTAATAACTAATATAAAGTTCTCTAGCAGCACCATAATGTAAGATATACTATATGAATATATGATAAATACAATGGGAACTATCACTACTGTATATATATATACATATATATATATATATATATTACCTCAAATATCGTTTTTGGAAGTCGATGAACAAAATTGAATGCAACATGATGATGGTGAAGTAAGAAACAGATGGGATCAATTAAAATTAAACCAGCTACTGTCTCTGGGGCCATATTCATGACCCAGCTCGTCACTCCTGTACCAAGAGAATGTGAAATATAGACAGCTTTGTCATAGCCAAATTCATTCAACATATTTGAAATCTCTGAGACAGTTTCAATTGCAGTTGGTACAGAATCTACCATATGCATGGCTACATAGGGAAGTTCGACAAGAAAGATGGGTCGATCCAATTGAGTTACTACTTGGTATATAAATTCAGCATAACATAGAATGCCTACACCAATACCATGAATGAAAACAATAGGTGTCTGTGGGTCAGAACTGATGGATGTTGAAGGTCGATAATAATAAGAGAGACGTTTCATTTGACTTTCTTTCGTAGTTTGTGTAAAAAGAGATTGTAGGACATCATGAAGATAGCCAATTGGACCACCCCAAATAATACCAGCTTCAGTTCCTCCAGAATGTTGAAATCCCCAGTTTTTTAAATAGAATAAATGAAAGACAGTCGTTATCAAATACATGGAAAGGTAAAGAATAAAAGGTCGGTGTACGGCTTGTACGGGATCTAAATTTAATCTAATACATTCTAAATTTGGATTAAGTCCCTGAGGAAATGTGACACAAAACCATTGTTCGACGGCAGAAAGCATCCATTCAATTTCCTCTGCCCATTCTTTATTTTGTATAACAATCTCTAAATGATCATGCCAAAATGCCCAAGCAAACCTAAAAAAAAAAAAAAGAAAAGAAAAAAAAAGAGTAAATAAATAAATAGAAAGTGAATATCTTCTTTCTTTATATATATATATATATATATATTTATAATAATACCATCGAGCTAAATTATCTCTATGAATATCTTTAAATGTTGGATGTGAAAAATCTTTTTTGTAATAAAACCATCCTTCACTCCATGTCGTTATATCAGGAATAGTATGTAGACAATTCCAAAATAAATCTGATCTTTCCAATTTATTTAATAATTTTTTAGGTTTTGTGATTTGTTGAAGTCGCTTTTTAGTACGTAAAAAATAAATATAAAACATGAGTTCAAATATCATCCAAACTAAGATCAATTTCAATGAAATAGGCGAAACTATCAAACTGTGTAGGCTTGTGGTTCTTCCTTGAGAAGTTGCTGAAATATAAGCACAAGAACATGGTAAAATGACAAGTGATAATATCAATAAGGCCTTTGTCGTTGGCGATGATGAACTCGATTTAAATATCATAATATGTATTAAGAAAATTAGCAACTAGTGTTTAAATAAGTTTTTTAAAAAAAAAAAAAGAAAAAGAAAAGAATATAATATATATTTATATATAAATATGTGTATATGTATTATATATATCAAAAATCAAAAATCAAATTAAAAAAATCAAATTGTCAAAAAAAAAAAAAAAAAAAAAAAAAAAAAAAAAAAAGTTTATTAAGGAGTAAAGTACAGAGAAAAAGGAGAGAAAGGAGAAATATTTTTTTTCTATTAATAAAGACTCAGAAAAAAAAAAGGATTTCGCTGGTTTCACATTTGATTTCATCAATAGTTGTTTTTATAAGATAATTCTATATAATATTTGATATAAGACATTTTACTATGATATTATCAATATAATGTTTACCTCGAAGTCTTGCTCTTAAAGTATCTAATTCTGGTATAGGTCGATTAAAATGATACTATCATAAACAGAGATGTATGTATTAGATATGATACTATATAATAATAATAAGACTTACGTTTAATTGTGAAGATATTCTAGGTACAACATTATCAAGAATAAATGATACATTCATAGTTGCAATTGTTTTCTATAGTATATATAATTAGCTTGCAATTAATATTATGTAATGAATAAATATATAGATATGTGTATATATGTTCTATTTTACCTGTTCCTTGGTTAATTCTTTCTTGTCTGACTCAGTCACCATAGATCTTAGATAATGCTCGGTTAATTTACAGATGCTATTAACTACAGTGGAATATAACTACATAATATATTAGATAAACTCTGTTATCAAGAATAAAGCCTTTTCCTTTTTTTTTTTTTTCTTGTAGGATTTACTTACTTGTAAATTTGATAATAAACAAATATCATTTGAAAACTTGACCAAAAGATTATAAAAGCTGATAACGCTCGATGTAACTTGAACATCATTACCTAGACCTTGACCAGATACGACGTGGAAATTATCATTTTGAATTATCTTTTCAATTTTTTCTATGTTTCTGCTTTCATAAGCAATAATAGTTTCTTTTACGTTGGTCACGAATAAATCTTCTAATAAAAACTTTAAATCTAAACCAACTTTACGAAGCTATTTTGTATGTTGGTTAGATGAAACTATCTACGTTTACCTTTTTTTTTTTTTTTGTACTTACCATAGAACAATGCTCTAATGTTGATTTGAAACAATCAGCAATAATTTGACAGCTAAGCTGGCCTTGTCCGAATACTTGACGTTTATAAATGTCTGCGTAAATTTCCGTTTGTTCCCTTACCCATGTAATGAAACCTTGGGTAAAAAAAAAAAAAAAAGAACTTTTGTTAATATCTTGACTAGAACTAACTAATAGGATATGTAATAAAAGGAGTGGGAGAGCTCACCTGAGGCCATTTCATTTTGCTTGAATGAATCTCTATACCATTCACATGTATTTCTTATCAAAGTAAAAACAACAAGTGCCAACTCACTAATATAAGTTGTAATATCACCTTCAAATACGAGTTGTCTATATAGAAAGATTAACTTTAAACTATAATAATAATAATAAATAAGTTGACTAACCTAATTCTCTTTTTAATGATCGATGTTCGTGTACTTAAAAATACTTGACGCGCCTTTTCACTTTTATTAAGTCTCAATAACCAATTAACATATCTTTGAAATTGTATTTTAGTCAATAGAGTGTTGCTAAGATCTCTACTAATAATATCGCATAACATATCCGTGTAATCATTTATATGCTCTTTTGCTTCTCTTACGATGGGTAATGAATTGGGTGAAGAACTAACAATTTGTCGAGCTAAATCCCATAACATAAATAACTATAAACTATTCTTGTGTATATAATTACCTGTCTCTAAATAAGCAACACTTTTTTCAAATTCTCTTAATGCAATCATAACTTCTAATTGATCTGATAAATCCTCAAGCCATTTTTCTTTATCAGGATGAAGACTGTTGTAATCAGGAATCTATTTATACGTGTATATAATAATAAAAAGACATTTTAGTACATCACTGATTTAAGGGGGTAGGTAGGAAAAATTTGCCTTTCTTATATCCGCTAAATAAGTAAATGAATAGAATAGAATCAGTCATTCTTTTTTTTTCTTTTTTCTCCCTCCTTTAAATATGCTATTTATTTATTTTACCTGATTGAGGAGTATCTGTCTGTCTATCGTCATTATCATCTATTAATCGCTTATAAGCATTTAAGAAGCCAACTTTATCTTCCTGCCTTTCTGCTTGATAAATAAAGGTTTCAGGGTATACGACAATTCTTAACGCATTTATTAAATCTAATTACTTATTTGTAAATAAACAAAAAAGATAACTATGAATGGAAGTCCTTCTTCTTTATTTTTTTTTTACCTGATGAATCTTTAACATCAACAATATTTATATCTTGAATCTTCCAACAATCATCAGCTATCAGTTTCTGTCCTCTCTTACGCGCTAATAATAAACAATCATTTAGTAAATATAAATGAACAGTCTGTCGAGGCTGTAACGTTCTTGGGTTAATATCATGAAAGTTGACACATTCTTGCACAATATATCGATCTTTTGCATGAGGAATGAAACGTTGTGATCCTTCTACGTTATCCCACAATGCCATAATTTGTGCTCTATATGTACTATTTATATCAGTAGTCATTAATTCATTTTTCTTTCTATTATTCGTGTTGTTGTTAGAAGAAGAAGTAAAAATGGATCCAGAAGGGCCTTTTTATTATTATTATTATTATTATTATTAAAAAAATCAGCTATAGTATCTCTGGTTCTTCTTTTAAACATGCTGACTTACCTGATCCTTTATTCATGTCAGAAGAGTTAGCTGTAGATAAAAAGCTTTCCCAGATTGACTTTAGTTCGTTAAGATGTTCCTTTATATTCAATACATCTGCATCTAAATTGGAAATCTCTTTTGAAATGGAAACAAATTCTGTATAATTACGGTATACATTTCGTTGAAGATCACCTCCCACGAGATGTTTAGCATCTAATAACGATTTGTAGAAACTTCGGATAGAATCCTCCTGAGCATCGCCTAAAGTTCTACGAACGACTATAGATATAATGAGATATATATATAAATGTATATATATTATTCGCTCGTAATTTATTATTACATTCTTCAGGTTGTAAATTGTCGTCTGCAAAACGATGTAAATCAACTGTGATGGGGGCAGATGAAGTTGTTTTCGAAGTTACAGGTTGTTTGGGTGATTGATGACTAACTGAATTATGTGAATAAGTACTTGATGAAGTTGTATTAGGAGATGAATTAGAAGAATTATGAGTCGAATTTTGTTTATGTTTATCTTTTTTCATAAAATGTTCAGCTCCTCCTAAACCCTTTCTACGAAGTGTACCCACTGATTTCATATTTATAAAATAAGTTTAGTTGAATGAAAGATTTTTAATCGCCCCACACACGTAGCATATTTAACTTTTAAAAAAAAAAAAAAAAAAAAAAAAAAAAAAAAAAAAAAAAAAAAAAAAAAAAGCGGGCAATAAACCTGTAAATGGACATAATTAGGCCTTATTTCAGGGAAAAAGAAGAGTTCTTTACCTTTATCTTATCTTTATATATGTATATAGAAAAAGAGAGTCCTTTTTTTTAATACTGTCTTGTACTTTAAAGCATTTTGGTTTGAATTAGTTTACACGTACTTTTTTATTTATTTATTATTTTATCCTCTTTACATTTTTTTTAGATTTTTAATAAAAGAGTCCATTCATGTGTTACACACTTTATGCTAAAACATAAAACACAATAGACGAGTCCTTCAGTCAAGATAGTTGCGAACATTCAAATACAAAAAGATACATAACAGAAAGACAAGTAGCAGTTGATCTTTAAGACAGTATAGATAAATTGGTATTCTAAAATATAAGAAATAAAATTGTAAATTGATACATACATGCTTTTTTAAAATAAAATAAAATAAAAAAAGATGAGAAAAAAATGCCATCAAGTAGCTTTGCAAGGCTAGTCAGTCGGTTATAAAGAAGACAAAGAGAAAAAAAAAGCTCATAGTTAGGAAAAGATATCCTGATTTATATGATAAATAAATATATAAAAGAAAGACAGTAAATGTTCTATCTTGTTAGATATAGACGCATATCAATGTAAGAAAGACCAAAGTCTTTGTTGAAAGAATTTACTCAGAATTATAGGCGAACAATATAAATACTGTCTCATATTAGACATAGAAAACTAAAAGAGAATCAACTTTCAAACCGAAATTATGTATAAATGACATATAACATTAGTTTTTATAGCAAGTAGCTTAAAAGAAGAAGAATACAATTGCAAAAAGATCATAGTTGGATAATTAAGCTTCCTTTCATAATAATACCTATCCAATCATAACCAATTAAGACGGCCACTAAAAGAGCTGATCCTATCCACACACACACAAATACAACCAAAGATGTTATTATACCTTAGATAGGTTGCATACTTACCATTGGTTTAACTATTATCTTTAGAAAATAGCTCAATATACTTTTACAAGTCAAATAATTATCATTCTTCCATATCATTTAAGGAGGTTTACTCTATAAATGTCCTTGATGTACTATAAAGATCAGGTTCTCTGTTTGATTAAGATTTACAATATGTTAAAAGGCCGCTGTTATCATTGGTAACGTAGATCCTGTTCTAGACTTCTTTGAGATGTAAGATGTAGTTTACAACACTATAGTAGACAAAAATGTCTTTTTTTTGGGGGGCTAAATATTTCGAAACCCTTTGAGCATCTATTCTACAAGTCTTTTTTTTTATAAAATTCCTTTTTTTCTTCTGTTTTCTTTTTCTTTTTCTTTTTTTTTTTTTTTAAGAAAAAAAAAGTATATCAACTATATTCAGATTGATGTATTAAGTAATGTCTTTTACTCCTTGAAGTTGTAAATAATTTAATTTAATAATAATGGCAAACATATTGTGTAATGTTTTTTTTTTGTTCACAAATATTTTAGGCTAGTTCCGTTATTGTTTATTGACATTCATTTATGATTTGTACAACTATTACTGTATCATGCATTAGTTAGTTAATACAAGTATACTAATAAAAACAAAAAAAAATGAAATGCTTTTTCTTTTTTTTTTCTTTTCCTTCTAATTTTTTGTTTTTCATAAACAAGAGATAGTTATATATAATAAAGAAAGAAAGAAATAAAAGCATATATTATTCAAAGTAATTATTAGTTAACATGAATACAGCAGATGCACCTAATTTCATAAGAACTCCTCAGCCAGATCATTCTGAAATTGCTGCAAAAATAGTATCATTGATATCATTTTCTGTTCTATCTTGTCTCTTTGGCATGAAGACGTTTAATATCCAATTTCGATACTTGACATATTCTAGATGGCTTGTATTAATTTTATATTTATTTTCTTGGTCATTTACAGTGTTTAGTATGCTACTTGTTACGACAAATAATGGTAATATATTATATCTTGTATACTACTGTATCTTATACTTTATGATTATCTCTAACAATAACTTAGCAAACTATATGTCTTGTTTACTTTCTATTCTGGTCTGTGATATTTTTTATTCAGGCACAAAGCTTGTTATTTACGCTTGGTAACTGGAAAAAAAAAAAAAAAAAAAAAAAAAAAAAAAAAAGAGAAAAAGAAAAAAAAATGATATTTACAACTAATATACAAATGTATAGGTTAATTGAAAAAATATATATTGTATCATCTACAAGAGAGACTAGACGAAACACATTATCATACAAGATAAATCTTACATTGATGTTACCCTATATTGGTATCTTAACACTTATGGTATATATAAACATAATTTCAATATCAAATAGTGTTAATCAATTTCATACTAAATGTATTAATATTTATAAAGTTAATATTTCATATATCTGAAATTGATAGCAATGGTGTTTGTACTATTGGGCTTGAATCCATTGCAGCGATACCACTTATTGTAAAGTATATAAATCTTATACAAACTACTCTATTGTATCTCATATTATATGTTGTTGCTTTTTTTTTTTTCATTCATAGGTTTATGACTTTGTAAAGTAACAATTAGATATACATACATACATACATGTATATATCAATGCATAAACTAAATTTGTACTATAATAGCTTATCAATCTGTATATGACATTTTTTTTTGTTCGACCTTTATTAAGATTAGAGAACAATAGCATAGGTAGAGATCGAAAAAGATCTCGTCTAAATGAAGTAGCTTTCCGTACACTTGTTGCTTCTATTGTATGCCTGATTGTATCTTTTGCGAATATTTTTTCTTTGCAAATGCTTAATGGTAGAGAAAGAGGACTTGTATGCTTAACATGTTGTACAGTTGATGTTACAATTAACGTTATTACCATTCACTGGGTATATATAGATATACATACATAATAGGAATAATAGTAACGTGCTATTCTATCTCAAATTGTAGGTAACGACTCAAAATATAAGAAAACGAGCAATAAGAACAGATTTGGACTATATTAGTTCTCTTCAAAATCGTGTGTCGAATCCAAGAAATGATAACGTAGTTGATATTATAGAAACCGATGTAATCAATTGTAACCAATACAATCAAAAATCAAAAGTCAGTATTGATATGAATCAAACTGATTGTATTGATTCCAAGATAGAAAACAAACTTGATGATAATTTGTCAGACATTTCATCTCTTCATGATAGTCGAAAATCATTAACAAAAAAATAGTAAAATTAATGTACTATCTTATTCTAAAGAAAAAAATAAAAATATGATAACTGATAGCCTCCTCCCTTATATTTATATACATATACACATACTTACCTACCTATTTTTAACTAGTTATTTGATAGCATTAATAAAGTTTATTACTTATAACAAAAAAAAAAGTGTGTATGTATGAAGCATTATGTGATACTTGTTTATGAGCTATTTTAAGTACTGCATGCTTATATAGTTTATACATAATACTACTTGTTACTGTACTAAATATGTGTCTACTTTATGGTAACAGTATCAATGATCAAAATAATATCTGTGTTTAAATAATAATAATAATAACTGTACAATAGACAATCCAACAATGCTACTTAAAATTATAATTACCTTTGATTATTAAGAAGCTTTCTTCTCTTCATAGAGCCAAACTAACTGAATATACTAGTAAAGTAAAGTGACATTAAGATAAGTCAATTGATTAAGCAAGTATGTTTACCCTTCATCCATAATTAAGTATAATATAATGTATATCTCTATTTCTATAATAATCAAGCTTTTTTTTTTTTTTTTTTGGAAAAAAGTGCGGAAAGAAGCTATTTGTTATTATTGCTTTCTTCTGTTACTATTAGTATCATGTATTTTTTTTTTTTTTTTTTTTTTTTTTTTTTTTTTTTTTTTAGAAAAAAAAATCTGCTTAAAAAGTAGTATCATTGATTAAATCTTTCAATGATATCACAAGTAAATCTTCATTTTCAAATACTATCTTTATTGAAAAGGCTTTGTAGTTTATTGGTTTGATTGACTTCAAATGCAAATATTTATAGAATGTGAAGGAAAGTCTTTAGGAAAAAAAATTGAATAAAAGTATAAATGTATTAAAAATCTTCTATTTCAAGTCAAATATATACATATTTATAAGTATCTCTTATTAGGCCTGGTTATATAAATAATGATATAATCTTTTTTTTTTATTCTTCAATCATTTGATTAACTTTATATTAAATTTTATCAAAATGTGAACGATCGTTTTAATCAGCTTTTGTTAGCTTTCATGATCAAAGTATTCTCTTTTGAGTTATTTCTATACTTCTCAGGCAAACCATGTTAAAAAAAAGGGGGGTCAACAACAACAACAACAACTATTTACCTTAAACAGAAAAAAAAAATAGGTACTTTAAAGTGAAGCTCAGCAGCAGCAACAATAAACTGTATATGTTCAAATATGCTTCAAGTGATATATTCACACGTATTGATTGTTAGTAAACATTGGGGGTATGGATATGATCTCTACAAATAGAATGAGTTTATGTACTGTTACTACTACTACTACTACTACTGGATGTTATTGAAGTTTTTCTTTTTTTTTTTTTTTTTTTTTTTACAGCAGTTATCTCAATTATAAATTTTAATGATTTATAAGAACGCATTTTTATTCAATTATATATTCGACTAATTGATATATAAATATATTTATATTTAATCATTCTTTGCTAATACAAGAACAGTAGGCCATTCAAGTTTAACTACTTGCTCAAGATCTTTTATATCTGTAGTCGACAAAATATCATTCATTAATTTATCTATAGGGTCTTCTTTATCAGGATTTTCCTTGATATAATTAAAATAGGCAGAAGATGTTTTCATATAATGTCTAAAATGTTCTAATGACATTGAAGCCTTCATCAAAGAGCCCTGAATAGCATGACTGATATTTGTTGTATCCTCTGTTTTAGGAGTAATGTACCAGACTTGTTCAGTAAAAGGAAATACAATATCACGATACATATTGCGAATAAAGCGAATATTTTGATTTGAATACTTGTCAAAGGGTCCAGTATGTAATGCTTTAATAAGTTCATTTGCTTTTGGCTCGTCTTTAATAACTGGATAAAAGTAGCCAAAGATAGCCAGGGTGCCCGTCTCTCGTTTCAAAACTCGCTTTGCCTCTTTGAAAAATTGACTATGATCAAACCAATGGAATGCAGTTCCAACAGTGATCATATCAACTGAACTATTTTCAAATTGTGAAAGATCTTCGGCCGGACCTACTTGATATGTGATATTCTCTCGAGGTGTTGCGTTTTTTATTTGTTCTGATAGAGCATCAATGCCATATACCTGCTTGAATTTTTTACTCAATTCAACAGCCACTTGTCCTGTACCAGTACCGACATCTATAACAGTATCATACTCATTATTATGTTCTTCATGAAACTTGTAAATGAGTGAGTAAATTTCATCAGAATAAGAGGGTCTAAATTTTGAATAAGTGCTGCCTGAGTATGTTACTTTATTTGCCATGATGAAAATCCTCTATTTAAATAAAAATCGTACGCAGATATAAAATGTATAAATATGTCGATAATCTATTTTTATATTATAACATAATATATGTGTATATTTTTTTTTTCCTCCTGAAATTATCATTGGCACGCTTTAACAAAACAACTTTTAATTTTAAATGCAGCATAAATAAATAAATAAAACGGTAAAATAAATTGACAAGCATATGTGCAATCTAATTAAACTTTTTAAACGTTAGCATCTTTATGAACAAGACAATCTCCCCCCTTTTTTTTTCGTACCAAATTGAAATCTAAAGATATTTAAAATTACCAATCAAAAGCTCTATGTGATACTCGATACAAGCACCTACTCTGGTGTTTCTCTTCTTATTTATGTATTTATTTTTTTTGAATAGTCTTTGACTTTTAGAGCGTAAGCTCGGTTGTTGCTCCCTTTTTTTTTTCGTAAATGGCAGTCACTAGTGATATCACTACTTCTCTGTTCGATCTACAACTAATTTTTTTATGAGAGTATATACGCTGAAGTCTACCTTATTTAATTTTTACATTCGTTTATTGTGTGTGTGTGTGTGTGTGTGTATGTGTGTGTTTTTATCATTTCTTTCCGGTCAAGAATGATTCTATTTTATTACCTATTTAGAGATATAATAATAAAAGGGATTCAATATTGTCAGAGAACCTCAAGCAGAACATCACTTGTCTACTAAAGTACAGCTTGTAGAGTCTTATTATTATCATTATAGAATTCATACAGAAAATGTTAGTATAATGATATAAGACTATTCTACCTTGTTACTCATATTTGCTTTCTAGCATGTGTTTCCTAAAAGTCATTACATAATGTTGTACTCTTTGTTTACCCTTTTTTTTTTTTTTTTTTTTTTTACTTGTAATCCCTTAAAAAAAAGGGGGGAGGGGGGAGATTTTTATTCTTTTTATTGATGATCCGGTCCGGGTAATTCAAAAAAATATATTTTATCCCATCCAATCAACACTTTAAAAAGATTAAAGTGATTCACATTAGATCTCATTGGCATATATATAAAAAAAAAAAAAAAAAAAAAAAGGTACCACATTAATTTAAACTTTTTCCCTAATAGGAAACATTTTAATCTCCAAATGATGATTATTTGCAGAAAAAAAATAAATAAATAAATTACTATATTAAGATTAAAAAAAATTATCATACAAGATAAATAAATAAATATATAAAAAATGGATATAATATATATGTATAAATATATATATATGTATATGTATGTATGTATGTATATATACAACAAAGATAAATTAAGATAGTGAAGAGGAAGCAGACACAACAGACCAATGATTAGGTCTATCAAATGAATAAAGTAAAGCCTTCCCTGTATGATAGACCATACCATCCTGTTGGCGGACTAATAAAAGAGTTAATTCAAGACTTTTCTTATTTTCCTTTGTCATGATAAGGTCATGATTAGCAGCTAAAAGATCTCGAGTAGAAGGTAATTGAACAGACCAATGAATTTCATGAGGTTTATGGGGCTGAGGTGGTTGAGAAAGTCGAGTTAAGAGTGGGCCATGAGTACCTAGCCAAAGATCTAAAAGTCGAGGCACAGGAGCAGCTTGGATTAAATGTTGACCAACTACATTTAAAGTATGATGATTATATTGATATTCTACTGATGTTAATAATGGAAGAGGTGTTATATGTCTTGGTAAGGATGGTGAAAGAGGATTAGGAGTTAAAGGAGATGAAGAAGTAGAATTAGAAGAAGAAGAAGATAATGATGATGATGATGATGCTTCAACTACAGTATCCTTTTCATTTCCTTCTTGTTGTTGAATTTTATTGATTATATCGTCATCATATTCATACTCAAACTTATTTATCCCAACAATAGTCCAACAAAGATAATCATCTACTTCTTCATAACTAATAGGAGAATTATTTCCTGATTGAACCATTTTTGAAGGAGAATAATCAAGCCAAGTACTATGATTGATAGATGAATTTGTGCTATTATCCAATTCACCACCATTATTATTCTCTGCTATAGAACCAGATGCACTTAAATAAATAGGCTGTTGTGTATGTACAGTTGAAGCTAATTGAAGAGCAATCTTTTGCATTTGACTTACAGGACCATAAGCAGATTGAATAATGCGACCTTTATCAACTTTACGAATGATAAGAGAAGGAGAGGTAACACCTGTATGAGCATCTTTTAAGATGATCTCAGTACCATAAGTAAGATGATGAGGTATTTTCACATTATCTTGTTGATTAGAGAGAGATGAATATCGAGAAAGTTGGATACGTGAAGTAAAATGATCATGTTGTTTCGAAGAAAGTTTATGAGAATGAGGTAAATTGGGTTGATTTACGATGATGATATTAAATGGAGACCAAGAAGAGTTTTTTGCACAAAGCATATTATTAGAAGAAGTCATATATTTTGTTCGAACTGTCTGTGAATTAATACGGTTAAAAAGTGAAACAGTAGAATGAGCTAGAATACAAGTTGAAATATTACGAGTCTTTGCTGTCTTCTTTGATGGTTTAGAAATGATTGAAATAGGTTTTGAAATAAATGAAGCCAAAGATTCCTCTGTTAAGTGATCATTTTTTGTAATAGGTAATAAGTTAACTTTAAGATAAAAATGTTTTGCCTTTGCTGTACCAGTAACATGAAGATATTTAAAACTACCAGATTGATTTTCATCCAACATAGAACGTTGTTCTAATATTTTACCCCCATTTTCACAAATAACTGACATGGATAATTGAATCTTTTTTGAATATTTTTCATTAGATGCAATATGAACAATAGGAGGAGGACAAAGGAATCTTTTCTCGGTACCATATGATTTTTGAGCCACGGTAGCATGGAAACAAGTAAGAGTTGTTCTTTGATTTATTGTTGGCTTTTTATGATATTTTTTAGTATGTTTATATTCTTCTTCTGCTAAATTCCATCTACGTTTATAGCTAGTAATATCATCAGAAGCAAGTAAAGAAGCGATACTAATGTCATTCATAGAAGCAGACTGAGATTGTCGATGATGATTGAATAGTTTATGCTGTACTACAACAGATGAATCAGAATTATTATTAGTTGCTAAAAGAGATTTTATAGACATTGTTTGATGAGTTGATGAACAAGGGTCTTTTTTATTTATATCTAATCTACAAGTGTTATTAGTAGTAGTAGATTGAATTTGATCAATAGCACATAAAAGTGAATCCATAGGTGATGCAGTATATATAGTCTCAGTATTGATAGTATTAGTTTGTGTAGTAGTAGGAGTAGTAGTAGTATTAGTATTAGTAGGAGTAGGAGTAGGAATAGTAGGAGTAGTTATAGGAGTAAGTCCAATAAACTGTATTTTTCTACTACTGCCAAATACTTGTTCAGTAATTATATGTGATTTCTGTTCCATGAATATAATTTATCTATGTATATTGTATACAGAAAAAGAAAAAAGAAAAAAGAGAAAGAGAAAGAGAAAAGAAAGAAAGAAAAAATAATATAAATAAATATATAATAATAATCAGCAACAGTAGTGGCTGCAGTGGTGGCTAAGAAATAATTGATAAGATGAATAGTAGTTTATTCATATCTTTTCACGTGCTTTATATTCCGCTACTATTACTATCAGCAGCAGAATAAAAAGGTAACACTCATTTTATTCCCACTTCTTATTTTCTTTCTTTCTTTCTTCCCCTTCCAAGATATAAGTACAACATATATTAATTATAGTTATAGTTGTGATCAGAAGTAATATACATGTATATATCATTATTCTCCTTTTTATTATTATCACTTCCTTCTTTATATCCAAAACAGGAAATGATAAGCATACGTTATTTGATTCGCCTTTAAAAAGAATCATGTTGTCTCATTTGTTGACAGGGATACACATGTGACTTGTTTCTGGGAAACTAATAAACTTTTTTTTTTTTTTTTTGGTGAACAAGTCGATAAACCTGGATCACATTTGATTATTAACAGTTTATTACTTCCATATTAGGTTTCGTGGGAAAGACGTGAGAAAATAGTTTGTAGTCTGTGCATTTAAATAACCATGAATATATGTCATCATATTTTTTTTTCTTTTAAAAAATTTATTTATATTTATATTTATCGAAAAAAAGATTTTCTTGTAACTATTACTTCTATTTCGAGTAGATAATCTAATAGAATTATGACGACACTATGAGGGTTAGTTTTGATTGGTAGAATCTGTCGTAATATAATCTCCCGTTATTTTTTTTCCCTCTCCTCCTCTCCCCCTTAATTATTGTGTAACAGCATAAAAAATGCATAATTTTTTGGTCCACTATTGATTACATAATCAAATTAAGTTACAATTTTTATTAGTATTATTCTACATCTTTAAATAATTCATATATCTCCATATCACTGCTATTATCTGATTTTAACTCTTCATCTTCTTCTTTTACATGATTAGAATGTACTTCTTTCTTTTTCACTTTTGATTTATTAGTGTTATGATGATGATTAGGTAATTTTGGTGGAATCTAATATTTATTCTTTTATAAGTATTAAATTTTATATGTAAAATCTAATTGATTACCTTAAAGAAGTATTGAGTATCCTTCATAGCACATTTTCTAACACTTCTACCTACATTTGAATACTTGATTCGTCTTTCTTCATTAGGATCTAATTCTGGTTTGTAGAAATATAAATCCTCTTTTGGTGAACCATCTGCTGTCTTCCCTTGTCTTTTTATACATCCAATAGCTGTTGAATGATTTAAGATAGTCATGATTTTATTATCATTTGTCCTTGTTTCTACATTCAATTTTTTTACTATATCCGTACAAGTCATGGATGATTTCCTTGAATAGACTGCAGACACTATCAGCATTAGAAGAGATTTCATCTAGTATACATATAATCTTTATTTACCAAGTATTTGAATAATTTCTTCTTCCAAGCATAATGGTTTTATTTCAATTTGTCTTGTTTCTGGACTTATTATCGTCTCATTCTTTTTCTGTTCTTCTATCTTTATGGGTATCATCTCTTTCTCCTCCTCCTCCTCCTTCTCTTCTTCTTCTTTGGGTATTTTAAATATAAGTTTGGTACCTACAATTTCAATCATCGTTCCTTCTACAAGTGGTACATGTTCCCCTTCTCCAAATACAATATGATCTACAAGTGCTCCATTGGGTGATAAAATCGTTAACTCAAATCCATTGAACTTTGGTTTATGCTCTATCATTATATGTTGTCTTGATACTCTTTTATTTGTCTTGCCTATTTTAACTGTCACGTCATGTCCTCTACCTACTATTGTCCTTGCTTTTTTAGACCCTCGTAAAATGACAGGAATGGCATCCGGTGAACTTTCATGACATCGTTTAGCTAATGTAGGATTTATTCGAAACTGTGAGGTTTGTGCTTGAAATAAGTTTAACTTTAAATTGTTATTATCGTTGTAAATATTATTATTGTTATTTGTTAGTAATGATGTAGTTCCTTCAGACATGACGTTTAACAAATAAACGGGGGGAAAGAAGGAGGGGGGAAAAAAAGAAAAAAAAAAAAGAAAAAGAAAAAAAGATGAATATATAATATTAGATATGAATGTATTATTTTAATTGGCTAATAAAAATTTATTAGGTAGTAGCGGTAATTAAATTGTAATTTATTGTCATGCAAATAAATTGAACCTGTATAATTTAAACTCCATTATCTTAATCCTTCCTCTTCTTCTTCATTTGATACATTCATATTCGAAAATCCTTTGTTTAAATCATCAACAGATACTTTAGATGGAATATTATTATTACTGCTATATAATTCAGCTCTTGCTTGAGCATGACTCATCCCTCGAACATGATCATTAGCTGCTATTGTTGGCTTTGTATGATAATAAGGAGAGGATTTATTACTATTAGCATAGTTTGAATTCGTTGCTGATGATAATACTTCTCCAGGAACTGTTAATAGTCTTGCTAATTTAACCACTTCATTATCTAAAAATGTAATATGCTGTAATCTCACTGTTCTCTCTAATAGCTCTTGATCTCTTTCTTCATAAGCCTTTAACAAATCATTCGCAATAGCTGCCTCTTCACTCTGTACAAATCCTGCATCATTTCTTAAGAAGAAAAAAATAATAATCATCATTATTGTCCATTCATAAAGCTACATTTAGGATTCATCACTACTTTACCCACACATAGAATTAAACTGTTTACCAGCTTCAACATCATCACCAATTGCAAAATATAATATAATAATACTTAAATTTGCTTTGAATAAATGTGATCGACTTGTAAACTTTTGAAGTACAGCAGACTGTCGCTTTAACATTTCAATTGCCTTATCATATCTTTTTTTTTTTTTGTTTAATACGAATACAATATTATATATGTGTATAAAATGAACTTACTTTTTATTTCTAATAAGTAATGAAGTTGCTTTCTTGAATATATCAACTGCAAATCTTCCTCTATCTTCTTGTTCATATAAAGTACAGGCTTTACTATACATTTCGTATGAAGCATTCACATCCACATTTTCAAGTGCTCTAGAATAAAAACAAAAAAAAAATCAGATGAGTATATTTTTACTTTATAAGCATTTCTTTTTTTAAAAAAAAAATTCCTACCTTCCTGCTTTTTCCAATTGCTCGGCAGCACGATCGATACTTCCTAATAATAATAATAAAAGGACAAGATATTAAAAATAGATATATTATTTTACTGTGTCTTTGTTTACCTTGTGTCATAAAATAATTACTTGCTCGTTGGTAAGTTTCGGCAGCTCGTTGAGGTTGATTAAGATTTGAAGCTAAAATAAAAGCTGCATTTTCGAGCGCTTTTCCTGCTAAATGAATACTAATAAAAAAAAAGTAATAACATACATTTAATCTCGTATTTTTTTTTTTTTTTTTGTCTCTTACGCATCTGCTTTTGAAAGAGCGTCCGAGGCTTTAAAATAAGCTTGAACAGCTTGATCATATGACTTTGCTATTTTGAAGGAAGTAGCTAAAATTTACATGTAAATACTCAATTCAATATAGTCTTAGAGCAATTAAATCCTTAATTTGCTTACCAGCACGTTCATAATCGCTAGCTGCTAAATCCCAATCGGGTTTTCTAAAAAGGCCTTTTGAAGCACTATACATATATAATGACTTTGATGTTAATGATGCATAGAAGAATAAAAAATAGTTTCAATGGCGTACGCTTTATCTCCATGCTGCATATATTTAACACCTTCACGAATTTGCTCTGCATCCATGATTGATTTCAAGACGAAAAAAAAAAAATAAAATAAAATAAAAAATAGAAATAAAAATAAATAAATAAAATAAAATAAATAAACACAGTATATGAATTTTTTTTCCCGCTTCCAACATTTTTACTATATTTAGAAAGGGCAACAACGCAAAGCATAACATATTACAGTCTCTTCAATAAACTTCAATCGAAATTACTTTGATCATCCTAGTTCATGACATCAATTAGAGGTTTATATAATAAAGCTTTCTTCACAAGCTTTATTACTAAAGCAAATAGAGGAACTTCAAAACTTTATTTTCAGCTATATGCCATCGTATTCAGTTTCATCCAAAACAGCCACAGTGCTACAACCTTTCACCGCAAAAGGGCCAATATTCAAAACCTGATATAACTACAATTCAAATATACACATATTATTGCAACAACCGACTTAAATTATATGAGACGCAGTATCTTATTTTGTGTAAATATATGTCTACTTCTGCCAACTACAACAGCCTCTAATATTGCAAACATGGAAATTTCAAACGATTCTATCCTCCCCACCTCTCCACTATTATTATCTAGCACTCATGTTCATTCCACATCAACCATAACAATAGAATATTTATTTGTTATGAGTCAAGCTTTAACTTAAGGGGCTAATTGACATATGCAAACCAATTTACCCTTTCTATATGCTTCCTTCCTTAACATCTGCAGATTTTTCTGAAATACTATCAATTCTACCTTTGACTCTTACCAATACCATTACAATTAGAATATGTGTAGACCTTAGTGCAATAATGGCGCGTTCACTAGTGATTCTTGTTATAATCACATAGGTTGTTTATTATGTAATATAGATCGTAGCTTACAATCTAATATTGCTGAATCAATAGTCTGCTGCCTTTAGTCAACCAACTTCATACACATACCAGGGAACAAGTAGTATAGATTATTTCCTTAGCAATAATCAACTATCAGAATTGCAACTCACTATCAAGGGACAATGCCATTTCTGTGACAAAATAACACAAGACCATCCGCCCCCATCTTCTGCAACTAAGCAAAAGAACTAACCAACTAGTTATCCAACTAATCTAGAAGATTGTATAACTTTCTTCCTTTTCTCTTTTTTTTTTTCTTTCTTTTTTACTACCTCTTATTTCTCTAAAAGGGTCTTATATACATATATATATATATATATATATATCAAGCTGATCTGGGTAATCTAATATGTTATATATTATGTATTCACTGGCCCACCTTAATTTTTTTTTCTTTATTAATAAAATATTTAATATATCGAAACACGAGTGTTATAAATTGTTTATTAAGAATGAAAGCATCGTAATACAAGATACAATAGACTACCTACAAATCTAAAGGCTGCCATAGCCGCCACCATCCATAATATAAATCCTGTATACGCAGTTCCAATAGCATCTTGAAATTCATCTGTTTGTTTTTGATAATGACTTGATAACAATGATTGAAAGCTACCACTTGTCACAAATGCAACTAAAAGAGCATTACAACCAATCCAGCTAAGAACTAAACGTGTACGAAATCCCTTGTAATAATCCTCTTGCTTAATTTTAGGTGCACGACTCTGCATATATATATGTATATCTTTTTCAGTATAATATATATATACATCTGATTTCTTTTTCGTTTCCATACCTCTCTGACAGATTCAAGTTTCGTCATTAAACTTTCTAAAGCTTCATTATACGCTTGATCAATATTATCTTCCAATTCGACCTCAACTTCTTCTATACCTTTTTCATTGGTAATTGCTTTACCAGTTGCCCCTAAATCCATCTGTACCATATTATCACCTTTTGTACCCCAACTAAATATACATATACATATAAAAGAGAAAAATAGAGGGAAATGAGTCCACTAATATATATATATATATGCATATATATTCTAAATATACAAACCTAACATCATGGATATTGCAAAATGCATATACATTCAATATATTTACGTAAGTGGGTAAAAGGAAAAGATATTGTGGGAAACTTGTTACCATATGCCATGGATCAAAATACATGACGCTTACTAAAACATATAATCCATACGTTGCTATTAATGAGATAATAACATTTCGAAATTCAGACTGGCTTAACAGAAGACTAAAGTTGCCTAGACTATTTGACGGATCCCAGTAAGGAGAAGATATACCATGTGTGAAACTTTTAAAAGCTAACCATCCACCAGCAAAGGATGTGTAGGCCATAATACAACCATAAGCAATGACAGAAATAATAAACATCCATTTTGATCTATATATAGATATATATATCAGTTATACAATGTATGTCTATATTTGTATATGAATATACCCCTGAGGTCGATTTCCCATAGAACAAATAAAAGAAGTAATAAATAGAAATATATAAATATATTTGAATGATAAAAATACACGATTGCCCCAACCATTTCCAAAGGGATCTATATCTGGTGCTGCTAATGATTTTGTTACAAAGTAAAATGTAAGATAAAAATTAGCCTATATATATATATATATATATATATAACCATCAGTATAATATATGTATATATTTATATAAACATTATAATCATCTTGTCACTAACCATTCCTAGCCAATTGAAAATAAGGCTGATAAAATTATAAAAGAATTCAATAGATAACATAACTTTCCGTCCAGTCGAATGATTTGTTGACCAAATCCTTGAAAAATGCCATTGTGAATAGACAGCTGCAAAAAAACTTCCATTTAACCATCTACGTCTCTGTGAGATAAATTCAGGTAATTGATCAGGACAATCTGTTTCACCAAAGGCGGATTGTACATATTTTAGTACCCATTTTTGATTCTTTTTAGCAAGCAACTCAAAGCATAGGATACGATCTTCAGCTAAATACATATTGGCTGTAAAGATGTTATGATTCTCTAAATCATCATCATTATTATTATCATTATTGTGTCTTTCACCAAGAAAATACTTTTGAAGTGGGCCTATACCATTTATAGGATCATTTTGTAAAGCTGCATAACGATAAGCTGAGAATGCACCAGGTAAAACAGATATATAGCCAAAGACGGACTCAAGTGGTTTATCAAGAATGTTGGACATCTTGTATTCGAAATTTTGAGCGGCTACAAGTGGGTTTAATAACAAATCAATGCAGGCTGTGCCTTTCATCACACAAATCTCTCCACAGGCACCTCCAACGTTTTCATTCATATCAAAGGCCTTCCACAGATGATAAATGCTACTATTCCCTGGGCGTGTCCCAACGTCTAGCAAGACACATATGTTGGGCTTCAAAATGGGTCCAAATGCATTAAAGAACCACCGATGTGAATTGATCTTTTTCGCATTCTTTTCTTTGAGACAAAATAATATTTGAACAGGAACAATTCCTTTCTCTGCCCCTCTTATTTTCAAATCAGAATCCACAGAAACTTGTGTAGTGTACTGTTGCATATTATATATATATATATATAAGAGATATAATAATAGTAATAAAAAAAGGTATGATAAGTTTTATATGAACATATATATATATATATATATATTGATGTGTAGGGTTTATTTTACCTCAAATAAATGGGCTTGAACTGGTTTACCATTTACAATATTCTTTGCAACCCCTTTTTGATAGACACCCATAGCAGTAAGTACATCCATAACACGAGGGTCACATTTTTTACGTCCATCTGCAACAATACATACAACTACCTTCTTCCAGCCCTCTGTACCCCAAACCTTTGATCTTGTCCTTGAACATAAATGGGCAACATTTTTCATTACACCATGCATTGTACGGCAAAACAAAACTTCATTCTCCTAAAATGGTTTCCCTTATTATTATTCATTCATTCATTCATTATTATTATCATTAATGGTAGTAATGATGATAGCTTACATTGTACATAGTCATGACTATAAAGAGTTCTGTTTGACGATTCATTAATTGAGGTTGAAGAGAATAATTATTTTGTACAAATTCATCTGGGTCACAGGTAACGGCAGAATAACGCATCATACTAAATTCCTTTTCCTTCCTAGCACTTGCTTCCATTAGTCTTGCTGGTATTGGACAATCAAGTACAAGGTTTCCTTGAAATAAAGGAACCTGTTTTCTATTTATTGTTGCTGTTTGAGATCTACAATAAAAGGGTTGTTTAGTAGAATATGCTCCTGGTACTCTTTGTGGAGTCTCCATCACCCTATATGCTAATGGACTAGGAGGAACAATAGATTGAAGCCCACTAGGTTGATTATAATGTCTACTGCCCATAAAATGATTGCTGCCATTGAATGGATGAACGTTATTAGCTGCTGATAGATTATTTGTGGTATGAAAAAGAAAATTAGCATGTGAGGCAAATGTGTTTTGACCTTCTCTTCTATCATAAGGATGATATCCATTTGACGTCAGTTTTGGAAGATTTGGTGCAGAATTATATGATGACTCATTTTGTGGTTTTGTGAAATGATAACTAGAGCTCATACTTGAATAGAGGGAAAATGAGAAATAAATAAATAAAATCAATCAAAAAAAAAAAAATATAATACTTTAACATCTTACTTAATCCCTCTCTTTCCTCTCCCCTCCCCCTTGACAAAACTTATGCGCATGCAATGCATGTCATAATATTTGTTGACACGTAAAATTTTCTCTTTACTTTTTCAATGGAATACTAAGTATGTATATATAAGCTATTATAAACGTGTAACAATGTAATAGCAATATATTAGATAAAAGAATAATAATAATAAAAAAATTATCAGAAAGAAAAAAAACAGCCTCTCTCCCCCTTCTCCTCTCCTCACCTAGAATATTAAATGGATATATTTAATAAGATTTATCAATCAAGTATCATCTTACACTCCTCTTTCCTTTTTTTCATTATTATTAGAATGGTCGAGTTGAGTAGCGATAAGAGCGAATTGAAAGAGCTTAAGTCTACGGAGTAAAATATCATGTAATTGGACTCTACGTTTTAAATCAGACATGTTATGAGCTTGAATTAAGACGATTAATAAAAATCCTTCAATGATCATTGTTGGAGTATTACAAAGTAGTTGACCTGTTTCGCTCCATTTCATACCGCTTGCAACACCAAGGAGACCAACAACAATAAAAACAGATGCTAAAACAGCATGGGGTAATGCGCATATATAACCCATCCAGTTACTAACAGTAGTAATAATCGAATTATTTTTCTCGACGGGCTTTGTTGGAAGAGATATATTCAAGTATTGATAGAGTCCCTCATCAGCCTTCTTTATATAATCAAAGTGCTCATCTAGCCAAAGATCTAGACGGAAATATATATTTCTCAAGACAAAGCCATCAATAAAACCCACAAGGCCTGTATAAGTACCGATAATTAACCACCAGTTATCATTCCAGTTCATGATATCGCCAATAGATAACCAGATGATAAAGACACAAACAGAGATAAAGGCACCAATTCCAGTGCCAACAACATCACCGTAATAATCAATCGCACGAATTCCACGTGAGACCTTGGGAGGATCAACGGAGATAGTAGGGTTAGGTTGATTATCATCAAGGGCCTTACGTAAAAGGACTTCTAATGAGATGTCTGTTTCAATAATATTCTTTAAACATTTTTCGAGATATTCCATATGACGACGACATGTGTTTTGTAAGAACATGGAAGTAAATGTCAATTCAACTGCAACAGCTGTATTAATATAGAGTTGCCATAAATCACTCCAACCTAGCATGTCACCTACACCTACCCAAGCAAAGACACCACCCCAGTAAAGAGCTAATGAAGCCATGGAACCAACAGCCCATGAAACCCAGTTACAGCATCTATCAAACCAATTCTCGACGGGTAATTCAACAGCGTCACCTACATTATCCTTAATCTTCATATAATCCACCACTTCCGTATCAACATGAGAGAGATGAGAAGAATGAAAGATTCTTGTGATCGTGACACTTCGAGACCTGATTTGAGAGAGAGTAGATAAAAGTTTATAACAATGATTATGTTGCTGACGTATTAAAAGAGTATCTGAAATATAACATTGGATTGAGCTGCCATCCTGCATTACAATTTGCCAATTCTCTGGGGCTCCCAAGATGATACCTACAACCCCCCAAACACCTAGAATAAAAAGTGTCAATAAAAAGGTAACACGAGAACCAGCATATTGAGTCACTGAATCAAATAATCGACTAGCTAACGGTTTCTTCTCCTCTGGACTATAGAAGATAATTTCATTTGTATGTTCTTCACCTACTGTCTTTAAAAATCCTATTGAATTATCTTCATATTTGATTTTTGAAATAAATTGTGTTGGGGCTGCAACTTCAATTCTCGTACGGCGACCAGGTGATGAAACAGCGTTATAAAATCGTGACCAAAATCCCATTTTGAAATAAAATAATAATAGTAATAGTAAAAAGAGAGAGTTGAAAGAACTGAGAAATTACGTATAAAATATACAATAAACTGTAAATATATGTATACCCTTTTCATAAAAATCAAAGATATCTATATTTACTAATTTTATATGATATCTAATATTTAAACACTTTATATTTTTTTTTTTTTTACGTGTTTTTAAGTTAAGATTATATAATACAACATGTGTATATGCAATTCATATCATGATGTTATTTGTTGAAAAAAAAAAAAGAAAAAGAAAAAGAAAAGAAAAGAAAATGAATAGTTAAATACAAGAATAGGTAGTTATGTTTTCTTATTTAAATATTTACAATATGATAATCTTAGTATTCATTTTTATTAATTGCTTACATAAAACGAATAAGTTTGTTGATATCATTCAAATTACTCCAAAAATTTAATATACATGGAAAAAAAGACAGTTTATTTTGCCAGTTAATTTAACGTACACATACACGACGCTCTATTCAAAATATAAACAAGTGAAAATTACTTCATTTGTTCAAAAAAGAAAAAAAAAGTTCTATCTAGAATTATTATAAACTATCATTACAAGAAAAAATTACATCATATTAAAAGCACATAAACTTATTATACATTATCTGATGTATGACTGCAGATTAAAGAACGAAATACGTTATAATGGCTTGCTATTAAAGTTTTATCTGATGTGGATTGTTAGTTATATAATCGTGTTTTTAAAAAGCTGAATTTATTACAGAATTACCAATACACAAATCGTTATAATGAAAAACATATTAGTATAAATTAAGTTATCTTCAAATAATGGAAAATAAATTTACAATTAGCATAACTTCAGTATATTTTTTTTAGATAATAGATTCGTATATGATATAATTGACTGAAGGTATATATATATATGTATATGGCAGTCATTAAAGAACAATTTACCCAATAAATATCTATATACACTTTATGGTATCTTTGATGTAGTTCAGATCAAATCCTTAATGTTACTATATCAACTAGATTTTTACCTGATACTAGTGTTTAAAAGACACCATACTTTCTCCTTTTCTTTTTATCTGTTATATAAACTATTTACACAGCATTTTAAGATCGTAACTATTAGGGAACTATTACCTCAAAAAATCGGGCCCAATCAGCATCATAATTGCATTGCTTACTTTATGCCGGTGACATAATATAATAATTGAAGTTTACACCTTGCAAACTTTACTAAACCTCTGCGAGAATCATAGAAAAAAAACTAGAATAATATAGATGTAATCTATAAAAATACAGCATACTTAATTCCAATTTGTTAACACAACCATACACAATTCTGTAACGTTCTGATAGTCTCAAAATACATACTTATCCTGCTTTGGTATATTTATTAAAATTAGTGGGATTTCTAGATCTCTACTCTTTAGCTCAAAACAATGTTAACAAAGCTTTATTCACTATGAATTAAATAGCCTTTAATGGTGTCAATAAATATAATTCGAATAAACTAAGGTTTCTTTTTGTTTCTATGCAAAAAAATAGTTTGTCATTAACTCAAAAATGGTCAAGTAATAAAAACTTTCAACTCAAAATCTATCAAGTCTCTCAAACATTGCCGAAATACGCGTTTCCACCGCCTATTTGATGGTTAGTTAACCTCGTCAATAAAAGGTGATGCAATATTTCATTAAGCTGCTTCATATTCACGAATTTATAAATATACTTTAAGCTCAATTCAGCATCCGTTTTTTCATACCTTTCCAAAGATATTTCGTTAGCTAAATTACCAGCCTATCTTTAATTATGTGTCAACCACTCACAAGGGTAGTGTTTGTTTAAAAGCCCTCTTTGAAAAAAAAAATGTGTTCCTTTAATTGATAATCTATATCGGTGTCTCTTTAAGTTTATTCAATTTTCCTTCCTTTGTAAATAACTTTAGTGGAACATGTTCAGATCACTACTTCAAATGTCTTTCTGCTTGTCGTAGTAGCATAATAATTGGTTTTATACTCTGGTTACTAATGGCGAACCAGGGCTACAGTTATTGTACCCGTTAACATCTTGGATAGTTACCACTTGGTTGTCATTCATCTAGGCCAATTATCCAATGGACTCTGTTTCATTCACTATCTATATATACTGCTGCACAACAAATTGCAAATATTTTGAACAATTGACAATCCTCTTTCCTTTTTACTTAATAACCTCTCTACCACGCAATAAATCCAAAGTCCTTTAATTCAACTTCTCCCTGCTTTATACATATGATCTATATAATAAGGAACGCATTATCTGGCCTGTTCCTCTGCTCCTCTTTTTCTTTCCAATACTGCATCCCTTTTGATTGAATGATAAAATTTAGCCTACCTCTCCTTGGAATCGTATCTTCTTTTGTACTAATTTTGTTCTATATACATATATATATATATACCCTCTAACTTTAGCATTTATTTCATTTTTTGCCTTTGTCTTATGTGTTTTTAATCTCTTTGAATTGGCTAAATAAGTTTTTATAGCTATTACGTGCTCATTGGTCATTCAAATTTAATAAAATTTTAACTATTTTTGTCTGGAGATTAATTGTCGAACGCGCTCACGAAAAATCGCCGTTGATTTTTTTTATTTTTTTTTTTTTTTTTGTAAGCATTTTTTTTTTTTTTTTCTAAACCTTTATCCTAATACTAACTATAGAGTATGCCATCATGGAATGAGTCTTCTTCTTCTTCTTCATATTTTATACCCAAAATAGGCTCAAGTAAAAATGTTTTGAGTTTATCAAAGTCGAAGAATTCTATGAAGCAAACTTCTATAGTTAACAGCCTTTGTATTTCTACTGAACAAGAAAACAATCTAAACATACATGACATTGATCAAGTAAAGGTAAAGATTAAAATAATAATAATAATGCATTGCTCATTATAAATATTATCCCCATTTCAATAGTATGAAGGAAAAGGAAAAAATCGTTTAATAGAACCACCTTTTGTTTTAGAGCAACAACAACAACAACAACAAAATGATAAGGAAGATATTTCTATGGACGATGTTGAAATGGATGACAGCATTTGGCAAGAAGCAGCTGAAATGACAGATACGATTACTAATTCTAAAGAAATCAAACAAACAGAAGCAGATGATATGTTAGATAAAGCAACTCCACGATTTGAATCATTGTCCGTTTCTGATGACCCTAACTTTTCTTCAACAAATAATTCTAATTTGAATCAATTAAAGAGAAAACGAGTATTAATAGGAGAAGATGTTTTTACTCGAGATTGCGTCAAAACTTGGCAGGGATCTCGAATTAAAGCATGGGAGAATCGTTTTCTGGTAAGGTTTATATCTAGGAATTTAATAAGCAACCATTGACATATATATTTTTACTTTTCTCCCCCCCTTCTCTGAATAGAGTCCAGAAGGATATTATTATCGATTTGTTTTGCCTGGTGAAGGACAACAAAATGGAGCATGGTCTGCAGCTGAACATAGATTGTTTATGAATCGATATAATGAATGGATGGAAAAAGGTTATAAAATTGGTGCAAGTTGGGGTTTATTTAGTAAGACGATACCTCATCGTGTAAGTAATAAAATACTCTTCTTTTTTCTTGTTTATATGATAACATGGATTTGTGATAGGTGGGGTACCAATGTATGAATTATTATCGTAAACTGGTTAGTGAAGGAAAATTAAAGGATGATAGTTATGAAATAGTAGATGGAAAATTAAAACAAACAAACAAAGGATTTGCACCAGGAACAATTATACCAACAACTGAATTAGGACCAGAATGGAAACAAGAAGAAATAAGACAACAAGAAAGGGAGGTAGATGGATGGCTAAAAGAATTCCATGGACGTTCTGGACAAGCCTTAACTTCAAGACCTATTACTCAGCCAAAACCAAAGGCTGCACCACGAGTTATAAGGAATACATCTAGAAAATCAAATATCAGCGACCTTGTAAAGAAAATGCCGCCTAGATCAAGTTCAGATGATGATTTTGCAACACCACTATCAGAGTCAGATCCTGAAATAGCTCATCTTCAACAAAGAGATTGGGAAATAGACTGGCGTGAACGCTTAGAGATGTATAAAAAATTTTTAGAACCTTATTTAGACAAAGAAAGAAGGCAAGCCTATTGGCAAGCAAAACAAGAATGGAGAAGAGGACTTGTTACAACTGAAATGTTACTACGAAAAAGTGTGATGCAAAAGGTGCCATCTTCTTCAAGTATAGTAGACTCAGTTGAGACGAACAGTTCCAAAATCCAGCAATCATCATTGTCTCGGTTCTTTACGGGCGTAAAGAAACTCAAAGTAGATACTCCTGATGAATTCATTTCATATGTTCGTATTCCTAACGAATTATACAGTGGTGTAAAGCAAATACTTCCTTTAGCCAATAGACCCAAGTTTGATTTAACGAAATCAATTTATCTAGAACTAGACGATATGAATTCATGTGTATCTATTCTAAATGAGATGTTAACAGAAGAGACTATGACAGAATCGTTAGAGGATAGAAATAAACAGTCTGCTTTAGAGGGTATCTTAGTTGATCCACCATGGGAATTCTATGTAGAAGATGGTAGAAATGATGGTAAATGTACTTGGAATTTGAAACAAATTCAAGATCTGTTAGAAAAAGTTATATGTCATATGTCAGCGGGTATGGTTTTCGTGTGGACACATAAATTAATTCAAGCTGATGTTGTTCGAATGATGTATGCTATTGGTAAGATAACGGAAATAATTATGTGCATATAGTATCTTATCAGTCTTTACTAGATTGTAAATATGTTGAAAACCTGGTTTGGTTTAAAAAATCCGTAAATAATGTTTATTTGGATCAACCAAGTCCTTATATCAGTTCTACTAAAGAAATCTTATTAATGTTTAAAAAGGTAATACACATTACTGTGTAATTTTATGGGGGAAAAAAAAACTCATATGCATATAGGGAGATGGATTTGAATTAAGACATCAACGTTCACCAGATGTTATTATTGACTTTGAAAAACCAGTAAGAGAATGGATTCATGATGAATATACAGAACCAAAGCCACCAGGAGTATATGATATGATTGAAACATTACTGCCAAAAGCAGGTTATGATGAATCTATTCGTCGTGGTCGATTTTTAGAATTATGGGCTAAAAAGAAAGCACCTCGACGAGAAGGTTGGATTGCTTTTCATGAAAACAAGAAAGCTATTACAAAGACAGAATTAATAGAAGATAAGCAAACAGAGGTGACAGTAAAGGAAGAGTATACACCACCTGATATAATTAAACATGAAACTATGGAAGAATAAAAATAGTTATTGTTTCTCTACTATTGATATAAAATAAGGAAGACTTTATTTTATTTATTTATTTATTTATTTTCCAAAAATATATGACTTAAAATGCCTTTGACAAACAATGAAGAACTCATTTAGAAAGTTAATATGCGTTAAAGGATAAATGTATGATTATGCTTAAGGAGGGTCAAGTTATAAAGTAAATCACAATACTTCACTGCCTAACGCCATCCAACAAAGATATGAATGAAAAACCTAAGCAAATATCTATTATTTCAAAACTTGTCTGCTGCACCTCGCTTTTATTGATGAGGTCTACTTTTTACTTGAAGCAGTTAATTTGGTCAAAATCAAAAAAAAAAAAAAAAAAAAAAAAAAAAAAAAAGTTAAAAACACTTTAGTTACTGCTTTGGGACGGCATTTACTAACTCTTTGGTTAACGTCACAAGCACCAATAGAGAATAAAGTAAGATTGTGGTGAAATAGACATGTTACACAATGTCAGTTGGAAAGGGGCGGTCAACTGTATCTAATAATTTAAGCATAAACAAAGTGCTTTTTTTTTTCTCTCTCTCTCCCTCTCTCTCTCCTTTGCTTATAATGGAATTCCCTCTCATTAAGATACCTATACCTGGACCAGTTATAGAATTAAATGTAGTTTCATTACTATTTGTATATACTTGTGCAGTGTTTGTAGATTATTATTTGTATTGCTGTACAACGATACCTTATCAGAAATATAAGGATTGGCAACGTCTATTTCATATTGTGTTGCCTATCCTATTTACACCTAAAATCCATGGACTATCAACTTCATTTATATTCTTTCCATGGTTTATTGCTTTAGTGGGTGCTTATTCTTCTCAGCTTTATAAGCAAAAATATGGAAATAAGTCTAATATACCAAGGCAATCTTTTAAGAATTGGCTAAAATCGATTGCTGTGGAAGGCCTTTTAGAAGATAAGACGCAACAGCCACATGATACTGTTACAAAAAGAAAAGCAAGATTAGAGGGTTTAAAAAGGATGATGATTGACATCATAACGATCATCATTGCTAATCGTTTCATTAATCCTTTATTATTGGAAGATCCTCGAATTTTCCTAACCCTTCCATGGTATTCTTTCAAGTGTATATATTATGCGATATTAATGGGATTTAAAGGATATGCATTAATACAATCAAATGACTTGATACTTTCTATTCCTCAAGTTATTACTGGAACAAAAACAATCCCTGCATTTAATCACCCATTTTTAGCCACTAGGTACCCTACCATACTAATAATAATAATAATAATATACACTCACTTATGTGTTATATATAGCCTTATTGATTTCTGGGGGAACCGATGGAATATGGTAATGAGAAATATTTTTCATAAACAAATTTTTAGCAAAAGGCCAACATCATCTGCTTGGGAACGTAACTTGAAAGGCCTGCAAGTATTTCATATGAGTGGATTAATGCATGAAATTATTATGACGATAGTTCATCGTGAAATCAATTTAGAGCAATGGTTATTTTTTATGATACAAGGAATTGCTATCTATTTACAGCTAAATTGTATTCCAAGAACATTTAGAGAAAGGATACCAAAGCCCTTGTCAACTATTTTAACTATTCTTTTCTTAGGATGCACTGGTAAACTATTTTTGGCTTCCTTTATTCGAACTGAAGAATATAAGCAGTTCCTAGCAAAGTATTCCGTCATTTAATAAAAGTAATTTTAGACTCCTATACATGCATGTATTTCAAAAGTAAGTTTTATCTTCATTTAGTTTGCTTGCTAAAGAACCTTTTTTCATAATCAAGTTACAAGAAAGCATTTTATCTGATAATATTATACACATTATAGTAGCAAGGCAATTATGCTATAGAGTGTATATCATTACTAAATAAAAATATATACTTGTTACTTTCTATATAAATACAAATATAAAATCCTTATTGTAAAATATCTGATTATATGCTTCAACTATTTCCTTGGAATCTTTTGGAAATTATCTTTGCTGCTTTTATGTCTTCCTTACGATTAAATTCTATTTCATTTCTGTAACTTTGATTTCAAATAATTTTAATAAGCATTTGTAAGGATTATGTAAGACAATGAATTACTATAAAAGTCAGGGATTTTTTTTTTTTTCATAAAATTATTGTTAAATCAAAATTAAAAATATTATGATATCCTCTATAACTACTGCTACTAAGATTGCTAGAACCATTACAAAGGCTGTTCTTTCAAGAGAACAAATGGATGGAGTGGGTGCTAAAGGTATTAATATAAGCATACATATAAATATTATTATAAATAATACTAACTTTTTTTATTTTATATAATAATAGTGTATCGTTCTATTGGCAGCAATGCTCTTCGTAACTTGGATCCTTTCTTAATGTTGGATGAATTTGATGTTCATGCTCCTGGAGGATTCCCAGATCATCCTCATAGAGGATTTGGTAAATAACTAAATAAATACAATAATAGAGTAAATGAATATTGAATATTGACCATGGATCTATAGAAACGGTAACTTATATGTTGGAAGGTGAATTCTTACATGAAGACTTTAAAGGTCATAAAGGTCGAATTGGTCCTGGTGATTTACAATGGATGTCTGCAGCTCGTGGTATCGTTCATGCTGAGATCCCTGCAAGTAATAAGAGGTCACATGGTCTTCAACTTTGGGTTAATCTTTCGAGCAAAGACAAGATGTCAGAACCCAATTATCAAGAATATCCTAAAGAAAAAGTAACTCAAGTTATTCCTGAAGAAGGTGTGACGATTAAAGTCATTGCAGGTGAATCCTATGGTGTTAAAAGTCCTGTCATGACTAGAACACCTACTATGTTTATTGATGTTAAATTGAAAAAGGGGAAAAAGATGGAACAAATCATTCCCAAGAGCTATGCAGGCTTTATTTATACAATTTCAGGTACGGGCTTATTTGGTGGTAATCATCATTCATCAGAAGCACATCATACCTTAGTTTTAAGTGATAATGAAGGTGACTTTATTCCTATTGAATCTACTTCGGATGATTGTCATTTTGTTATTATTGCTGGTGAACCTATTAAAGAATCTACAGTTCAGCATGGTCCTTTTGTAATGAATACTAGGCGTGAAATAGAGCAAGCCTTTGCTGACTATCAACAAGGCAAAAATGGCTTTGAAGGTGCCCCTGAATGGGTTTCATCTATTAGAGATCGTTGGACTTTTTAGTCTTTTTTTTTTTGTATTTTTAACATATAATTATATACTTGTAAATAAATAGAATAAAAAGAAATGATAGGATTCTTTATTATTATTATTATTATTATTATTGGTTTTGGTATAATGTGTTTTACAATTTACTTGTGAAATCAAATTTAATTACTGTCTATACATGATGATTTGTATTCCCGTTCTTTTTGTTCATTTTCTTCTTGTTTGTCTAATTTTCGTTTTTTACGAATTTCAAATTTTTCTTTTTTTAATTCGTCAGGATCACAACGAGGTCTTTCCAGAACCTTTTTATATTTTGCCAATCTTGTTTCTTTACCACCTCCCAAGACTATTGTCGTCGTCCCTGCTTGATTATGGTCATGACGACTGCGATTTTTGACAAATTCTTCAACTGTATTAATTGAGTTATCAATCATTCTTACTGGAAGCTTTCCTACTTTTGTTAGATAATATTGACATGTGAGACTGCGTATCATCTGCACTGTCCATTCTTCGGTATAATGTTGATATGTTCGATAAGGTGAGGGCAAAGATTCATAAGATAAAGTCTTTGAAGAATAGATCCAATTTAGTTCTTTAAAATGGCAATCGTATAATACTAAAGGTAAATCACTAGCCATAGGGAAATCAGGCTTCGAAGGTACCTTCTCAATATCCAGCAAATCACGTACTACCTCTGGCTCCTCTAAACCCTGTCCTACCAAGAAAAGTATGGACATCATGAATCGTACTTGATGCCATAAAAATGCAGTCCCCTTTAACTCAACTTGATAAAAATCAGTCCCTTCACCAATACGGTCTGTCTGAGTATGCTCAACGGGGTCAATTCTCATGGACATGATTGTGCGTTCATAACTGGTTATATTCTTTGAAGGATCCATTTTGCAAAAATTACGAAAATCGTGCTGACCCTCAAAGTAACGACAGGCTGTTCTCATGCGCTCAATCTCCATCTTACCACGTGCAAAAAAATAGCGATAGGTGCGACCAACACAATCAAAGCGAGCATTAAAATCGTCTTTCACGGGTGCCCAAGCGAGGACACGAATATCTGAAGGTAACATTCGATTCAGGGTATCAATATAAGGTAGCTCTTGATCAGGTGTCAAAGGTTCTTCAGGGTTATCTGATTGTTGGAGCTTCTTCGATCGTACCTTTAAAGCAATCACTTGTCCTAAACCACTTACACCTTTATCTGTTCGTCCACAACGACTATAGTCACTTTCTTCCATATTCTCTATCAATCGGCACGTCTTTAAAGCCTTAAAGAGCTGATCTTCCACAGTTGGAATGGCTTCAGGCTGTCCCTGACTTGCATAGCCTGAATAATTCCATCCTAAATAAGCGATACGAAAAGCTACTTTGCGTGTTGTATACTTTGACATGTCAAATGGTCTTTTTTCGCCACGTTGGTTCTTCTTTTTGGGTAATCGAGTGCCATCTGATTCAGGTACATTGTTACTTGATTGATTTGTTTTGTCTAAATTGACATTATTTTTGGCAAGTTGTGCTTCCAACTCATGTATGCGTTCAATGAGCTGTTCTCTACTGAACTCGTTATAATTGGAGTTCATCTAGTATATTCTATCCTTTTATATATTTATATATATATATATGTGTGTGTGTATGTATGTATGTATAGACAAGAAAATGTGCATATCAGAAATCAAACTACATAAAAAATTAACCATACAAGCCACTGGTCGTCAAAGCCACCATCTTGTCGAAACAAAATAAAAATAATTATGCATATATAAATAAATATTTTTTTTTTTTTTAGCTTGATTATAAAAAATGACAGATTTCGAAGAAAAGGGGAACGCATTTTTGAATTGGCTTAAGGATAATGGCACTACATTGAGTGAAAGTATCGCTTTTAAAGATTATCGTTCTGAAAATGCAGGTCGAGGGGTTGTTGCTACCAAAGATATTAAGGTAGTTCAAACATGAAGAATAAAAAAAAAAAAGAAAGAGAGAGAGAGAGAAAATAAAAGACTTAAAAAATATTTATAGGAAGGAGAACTCTTATTTTCACTTCCTAGAACAATTTTATTATCGCAATATACTACCTTTTTAAATAAAACGGAAGGAATATCAGAAGACTTGGCCAAATTATCAGGCTGGAGTCCACTTATTGTTTCAATGATGTATGAAAGTCAAAAAAAGGACTCATTCTGGAAACCTTATTTTGGTAATACTTTTTTTTTTAAGTAATGCCTTCGATAATCTTAAAAGTTAAAAAAAAAAAATAGACATTTTACCTCGTAGTTTCTCTACACCTATGTTTTGGGATGAAAATGATTTAAAAGAACTGAAAGGCACAGACATTATTGGTAAGAAAACAATCATCTTTGTTTGCTTATGTGTATATATATTGTATTCTTATTAGCCATATAAATAGCAAAAATTGGTAAATCTGATGCCGAGGAGACTTTTAAAAAAGAAATAAAACCATTTATGGAGGTAAGCTTAAAATTTATTCAAAAATAAATAAATAAATAATGATGTTTTGTTTAGAAATATCCTCACATTTTTGATGAAAATGTGCATAATCTTGAATTATTCCATATCTGTGGCTCATTGATTATGGCATATAGTTTTATTGATGAGCTTGAAAAAAGTGAAAGAGAAGATGCAGAAGAAGAAATGAGTAGTGAAGAAGAAGATGAGGAAGAAGAGGGTGTAATTGTGATGGTTCCTATGGCTGATATGTTAAACCATAAAACAGGGTTTAATAATGCTCGCTTATTTTATGAAGCCGATAGTTTACAAATGAAGGCTATTAAAAATATTAAAGAAGGAGAACAAATTTTCAATACATACGGAGATCTTTGTAATGCAGATTTACTTCGCAAATATGGATTTACAGACGAAAACAATCCATTTGATCTTGTTGAGTTAGACGGGCCTTTAGTTGTTAAAAATTGTTGTACAAATCAAGACGAAAAACTTATTGAACAAAAGGTATACAAATATAAAATACATATTAGATCAAATATATAAAAGGGGCTTTAACCAAATCAATGTATTTAACAGATTGATTTTTTGATGGAAGAAGGGGTTTTAGATGAGTAAGTTTAAAAAGAAAAATTGTACATGTAGTGTTGAGAATAAGACTAATTTACACCTTGTAAAAGATGTTTCGTAATTGATACAGAGCATGAAATTCCGCTAGAACTTATTGTTTCGGGTAAGTCAAAATGTAATTTATTATATTATAGTTTCATTGAAACTACTATTTCTCACATATTCTCAAAAAAAAAGTTCATGTTTTACGTTCAACTCAAAATGAATTTGAAAAGATGCAAGAGAAACAGAAATTACCAAAACCAAAATTAACTATAGAAGCTAAACAAATAATTGAAAATATTCTTAAACAAAGACTAGAAAGATATCCTACTAGCTTAGAGGTATGACGCTCATTTAAAAAAGGAAAAAAAAAGGAAAAAAAAAAGAAAAAAAAAAAAAAAAAAAAAAAAAAAAAAAAAAAAGAGACTGAATAAAAAAACTAAATATTACACATAGGATGATAAAGTACAATTAAAAGATTTAATAAAGGATAACAAAAGAAATGCTTTAAGGGTTCGTATAGGGGAAAAGAAGATTATAGAGTCTACGCTTAAAACACTTGAATCTATGCCTACTGTCTCTGATGGTAATGAAAAAAAAAGACCAGCTAACACGGTGAATAAAAATAGTAATAAAAAACAAAAAAAACATTAAACAAGTGTGATACGATTTCAATAAGTTTAGAATACGTATTTTATAACTGTATAATATCTATTTTACATGATATGACATCTATGTTATACTTGATTGACGATGTATAATACCTTTTATGGTTTTGAGTTATTTAATAAAATTCCAGACTTAGTAACAGAAAATAGAAAAATTATCTAAATTTGGGTATTTATAAAAAAAGCCAATGCATTAACCCAAAAATAGAAAAAAAATATTATAAATATGTCAAAAATCTCTTATTTCCCCTTCCCTTCTTTTTTTTTTTTTCCTCTAATATTATCAATATACGTATATCTTCTTCCTTTTTTTTTTGTTAAATGACAGACATTTCTCTTCCATCTAATGATATTCAAACTACTATTTTAAAGAATCCAGCATTATCATCTTCAGTCAAAATTGGACATAATAACTTTGACAATTTAATTGCTTATACAGCTATCCATGTAAAAACACTCTTGAAATGTTCTAAAGAAAGACATTATTATCAACAACGACTATTACCGACTTTACCTATTTTTATTCGACATATATTTTATCACTGTAAATTAACTCCAACTATCTTAATTATTGCTATAATTTACCTTGGTAGATTAAAAAGTAACTTGCCTCGTAAATCAAGAGGAGGTAAATAATTACATTTATATATCATACATACGTACATATATCAATTCTTTTATCTTTTAAATATGTATAAAAATATTTATATATATATATATGTATGTATATAGAATTTGATACACCTTATAAAATGTTTATTGCTGCTGTTATTTTAGCGTCAAAATTCGCTGAAGATTCAAATAAAATAGCACATTCGATTTATAGACTTGTAGCGCCACTTTATAATCATAAAGAAATTAATGAAATGGAAAGAAGCTTTTTAGGTAAAGTTTATAATGATGTATAATAACAATTTAAGATTCTTCTTTAAACTAATATGTTGTGTAAACAGGAGTCGTACAGGTAATGGAATAAGAAGAACTATAATACTTTAAACGTTACTAAAATAGTGTAAAATAGTATGATTTATTTGTAAATCTTCTTGAAGTTTATCAGTTTGTAGAAGAACATAAAGATATTCTTGGCCTAGAAGTTAGTATTCATTAATTTTATTGGAAGAATATCATAAATACCCCCCCTTCTTTTATTTTATATATGTAATGTATATCTGCATTTAATTTAATTTTACACATAATAGACCTATACTATTTTTTTTCTTTTTTTACTTTGTGCCTAATAGATACAATTATATACGTTTGTATACTTGAATAAAATGTTCTATAAACAATCTTTTTTTTTCTAGTGCTTGGCATTCTATATACATATAAATATATGGATATTTTTTTTTTCTTAGGTTTCAATTTACTATACTGAGTTTTGATAAAGAATGTGCAAGATAGGCTAACAATATCATCTATTCAGATCGTAGCATCAACTATAACTCTTACATCTTATTTAGAATAGACTACTTCTATTTAAATTATTTGATAGACATGGTATATACAAGGATAGACACATGTATAGATACTTGATAGTAGTAGGTTATATGCTATTAAGCTTATAAAGAAGTTCAATATAAAGATTAATACTTTATTCAATTTGAAAAAGAACCTTTTTCTTTCTTTGCTTATTCTGAAATAAGCCATGTAAATGATATATTGATTAAAACATGATTTTACTGCAAAAATAAATAAAATGCAACTTGTACACAACAATATTAGCGGGGATAATAGATTGGATATTAAAGGAAAAAAAAATCTTCACCAAAGTTCAATTTTCCTCTTTTTTTTAATTTTTATTATTATTATTTGTAATTATGTATATTGAAAACTGGGACGAATTCGAAAAAGCAGCCGAGGAATTATATATTGCTAATCCTGAAAGAGTAATTTAGATCTATATTAAAATAATAAAGATAATTTGACAAACTAATATATTTTAAAAGACGCGTTATGTTCATTCATTTCGTCGTAAGGATGGAGATCTTGTTTTAAAAGTTACAGATGATTTAAACGTAAAGTATATTGATATATAAATGTACGTATACATGTAGATATATTAAGTTTTTTTATCAAATAGTGCGTTCAGTACAAGACTAATCAGATGGCAGATTTAAAGAAATTTATAAGTTTGAATAATACATTAATGTTAAAAATGATGAAAAAAGAAATTGGTAAGATTTTTATTATTATAATTACAAAAGAGCTCAACTGATGATGGATTTGATAGATGAAGATACAATGATACCCGATGCCCCTCCAGCTACAGCAGAAAATAAAACTGCTTCACCCAAACAAACACCGAAGGGAAAGAAAGGAAGGAAGAGAAAATAAATATAGAATGTAAAAATAAATTATTGTGTTTATAATAAAAGCACCACATTGCTTTCCCCCCCCTCCCCTTTTTTTCTTTTAGTAGTTTAAAAGACATATTGTGTAATATACAAATATGAATAACACATAATATATATGCAGTATGTACTTGTTTTATAAAGTGTTTATTACAGTAGATATATTCATTAATAATAAATTAGTGTTGGTAAGAAAAGACATTCTTTAAATCTATTTACAGTTATTAGTTTTCAGAAAAACACACACACATTAAAATGAAAACTTACAGCCATCTTCTTGAGCAAGACGGTTAAGAGAGTCATCAGACTCAGCTTCCTTACGGACGAAACCGCAGAAAGCATAAGTGGAGAAGGTGTTAGTGGCGCGACCTTCAGCATCAACATCAGCAACGTTGATTTGAACAGAAGCGTGATCCTTGGCAGTGATGAGACGGTTGGTGGCAGAACTATTAGACCAAAATAAGTATGATGCAAATGAACATTTGGATATCATTAGTAATTTACCACTTGCGAGGAATGTAAAGATCGATAAGTTGGCCTTCAGAATTCTCCATTTTTATTTATGTGACGAAAGAGAGGGAGCTCCAACATTTTTGACTACTTAGGAAATCAATATACTAAATTTTTTTTTTTTTTTCATTAGCTTAGCCAAGCCACTCAAAAAAAAATAACAACTTACATTTATTATTAATAAAATTTAAAACCCAATAAGCACATATTAAAATTGCCTGAGGAAGTTTTTTTTTTAACCTTGATGGACTCAAGTGAGGGGGTAAATAATAGAATCAGGTTTAACAGAACTATCGGATTATCGACTGTTAAGGGCGTATGCAACTAATCGAGGAGCTACTGAACAAAGGTTGCTAATAGTGATAGTGATGGTTCTTTTTTATGTTGAAAGTGATCGACTTCATATAACAGAAGTTGAATAGTTTGACAACACTTATTCCACTAATAGTGACGACTGTGAGATATTTAGTTAATGGTGCGAGTTGGTAACATATTTAATAGGAACAAAATAAGATTATTAGATATGTTTGGTGGTAACTAAAGGCAGCGGTAGATATTGAGTCATTGGGATTACGTGAGTTTTGGTGAAAATGTGGGATAGGTGCCAAATACAAAAAGTGGGATAGTTATTGATAAGTCATTCAAGACGGTACCGGATACAATGGTCATGTTTGACAAAAGACATAAGTAGCCATAAGATAGAAACAAGAGAAACAGAGCGTTGATACTGTGAAATCAACTTGGAATTTCGAGGGGTAGTCTGTAGATTGTTTAGGTCCTCTTGGCGATATTCAACAATAGCTTGATATAGGTTTTTGTGTTTCTTTTCTTTCTATTTACTAAAATATTTTTTTTTTTTTTTTTTTTTTTTTTTTTTTTTTTTTTTTTTTTTTTTTACTATGAGAATATCAATATTAAAGGCTTGCTGACTACAAACAAGATTCATCATTTGCTATAGTCAATTGATTAAAAAGAATGTAATATCATATGCTTACCGTATCTGCAAATAAAGTTACTATAAATTTTCTTGTTTGATCGTTATCCCAACCTCGAAAGCCATTTTAGTTATTGATCTTGTTTACCCAGTTATCAATTATGAAGATATTCTTAGCGCCATCCTATTTCCCATATTTAGCTACTACCAAGTTAATATCTTTGATATCATTATTTCTTTGTTTTCATTACTGTTCAAGTTTATTATTAGTCTGTTTAAAGTGTTTGTTAACAGGTTAGCCATATGTTGCATATTATCAATATTACTGCTCATAGATGGAACTCCACTGCTTGTGTTATAATTGTTATTATCACTTATGTACCCATTGATGTTGTTATTGATGCCGAATATCGTTTCTAGAAAAAAAAATTTGTTTGCTTAATTTTACCAGTGTATTCTTTACGCTTCTTCTTTGTTATACGCATTCTACTTTTCTTCTTATCTGTTTTCTATTGATTGCTGTCCTTAGTCTGTTAAATCCTATGATGACGTCTTCTTTATCAATTAGAGCAATTAATATTTGATCTTCAATTTCAAGAGATTTTTTTTTTATGCTTATAATTAATTGAATCAAACTTGCTTTCTTCCATATATATAATTCAACAGAATATGACTACTCTATCGGATACTACCAACTGTTAGATCCGATCAATAAGTTGTAATATTTATTATGAAACAAACTTCAATTATCATTTTTGGTATAGTGGTCAAAAAGAACGTCTCCTTATTATTATTTTAAACTATTGATATATGTATATAAAAGGTTGCTTTTTATTAATCTATATTTACTTATCATTATAAGATATACACAAAAAAAATTGTATTACACCATAAGGATTAAGTTATCATTAATCAAATTAACAAAAGTAATAAGAAGTATGAAATACAGATTATAAAAAATACAACACCATTCATCTCAGGGCAACACAGATGAAAAAATAAAGAAAAAAAGAATGCTGGTAGCAGGAATCGAACCTGCGTCAACACGGCCACAACGTGATGTACTGCCACTATACTATACCAGCTCTTGTCGTTTTGACAAATCGTAAATAATATATAAGTATATACCTTCCTAATTAGGAAAAAAATCACGTGACTTACCGCACTTTCCCGGGAATGATTGTCTTAATTTAATTTAGGTTATTATATTACTTTTAAGTAGAAAATAATTATCTAGAAGGAGTTATAGTATCATTTTATGAATAAAATTGTCATGAGCTGACTTTGACTTATAATGTCATGTTTCATGATTAAACATGCGAATCATAAATTTATTTAAGAAATTCTATCCTAACTCTCTCTTGATCCGCTCCATCTAATAATATTAAAATCACTAACACTTCGTTGTCAACAATATACCTAATTCGGTCGTAACTAACACTTTTCTGATTCACATCTTATCCTTAGACCTCTTTAACAATTCTTATAAATACCCAACAATTTAAATTCATAAATAAAATAATTAACTTTAGAACTATTGTTCGGTCTCGTTGACTCTTTTTGTCTTAATATTAATTTTTTATTTTCTAATATTTTTTTTATTTGATATTCTAAAAAAGAAATATCACAAAAATAAAGGTTAATAATGTACGAGTATTAATATATATTGTGAATATGGATGATAAGCAATAATATAACAAATTTTATTTGATAATATAATGATAGACAGAGAATGATTATAGTATCTGTTGTGTATATAATGATGTATTACATAATATCTTATAATGTACAAATCAGAGTCATGAAGAACCGAATGATATTATAGTTATTAGTTATACACTTTATGCATACAATATTATTTGATTTCAGTTTATAAGACATTCTTGTGATGAGAAAAAATAATGTTATAATAAATACTAACTCTACGAAATAATGATAAGGAAAACATAGTGTAAGGAGCTATTAATGATAAAGATATATGAATTGTAGATTATACCTATTAGTTATATATATATTATTGTTATAATATTGTCTAAAATACTAATTTATAAATATAATCATATACTATCTATGTTAACTTTATTCTAATTGGATACACTATATAATATAATGAAATTCATTTAAGTAGTACATTGAGGAATGAATATAATATAAAGAAGCTGGTTAAAATATAAATCTATATATCAAAAGTGTCTTTCCTATATCATTCACAAGTATGAACAAACGAGATTTCATTATTTTGTTTCAAGAAAAATAACCGGCTAGATCAAGCACCAATAATTTAATATTTATTAGAGTTAACTGAGATTAATTCTCAGTCAGGGCAAAGACTAGAGCTCTAACACAATAATTTTAATTGTTCTATGGGAAATATTCTTCTTTCAAGATATCTTCACTCTGTTCCTGTCTCGAAGTAACCCGTTCTCCACAAGATATAAATAAGGATCCATTTTGCACTCATCTTTTGAAAATTCAGTTTTTCATTTTTAATTTTTTAATTTTTAATTTTCATTTTTTTATTGATAATAAAAGTTTTATAAAGTTTTCACAGATTTATTCTGTCTTATTCTTTTGTTATCTTTGTCTTATCAACAGTATCAAGTATCATTATAGACATACTTGTGTCTTTTGTATATATCTATTTTTATAACTAATACGTGTACTCTGAGTGGAATCAATTTTTTACGCGTACTTGTTGTTATAGAACAAGCTCTGGATATAATCATGAGTAATATTATAATAGATGAATTACATAATACAGGATAAAATATAAGCCTGAATATGAAATAAAACTCTGTATATAACATCTTGTAAATAATATAAAACTTATTGACATCCAATTGTCTAGATGTATCAATTATAAGACATCGTATCATTTCTAAATATTTATTTTTATAACCTTGATAAAGGATTCAGGTCGTCTTTGATCCAATAAAATAAAACATAAAAGATATCAGGAACATATACTCAGATTAAACAATATTTTTTATATTTAAAACTTGATCAGATCATTACAACACCCAATAGATAATCCATAGATCAGTCTCTTGAATCAACAAGACGTATATCCGAATACTAACACTGTTTCATGACTCATGTTCTTTGACGGTTATTTTTATTTCTTTGATTCAGGATTCATTAATATAAATACAAGCAGTTGTTTAGACACAAAATAATCTTTAACTTCTTTCTTTAGCTTTTCTTTTAACTTTATTTATTGAATAAAAAACAGTCTCAAACTATACTTCCTTTTGTTCCCTTTCTCTCTTTTTATTTTGTCTTTTATCTTTTATTTACCTTCCATCACACTTGTATTATCCCAGTTTATCTTACAAAGTTATTTTTATAAGTTTATATTAGATATAGGACTTTTATTAATTATTTTTTCTATACAAGAGTATATATATATATTTTATATGTGTAGAAACAGAATCATCACAGAAGTGCACTATACGTTCTATCATGACTATTTATCTTATTGAATTAAGTTATAAATCTTACAACCATGACATCTGGTAAAAGTGAAGGTTTGATTGAAGGCCTCTATGTTGTCTATCAACGCAAACCTTACAGTTTCGTAATCCCTACATAGAGTACATTAAACTCACATAGAATACATTAAAATATACTTGTATCATATGATTTAACTTACTGAAGCCACTGGATTAAGTCATTAGTATTGGTCGTTAATCCGGCAAAATCAACTACGACAATCGCAATTGGCTTGCTGGAAGTAGACAAAAACTGTAACATGTCTATATTGTATGATAAACTAAGCAATTACATTATATATATATATATATATATTTAGTGTATAATACCTTGTGTATTTCCCGAAGTCTTTGGCACATGGATGGGGTTGGCTGTGTCACGGTCTGCAAATGGTTGCTTAGATCTACAAGAGTACGACGCAAATACCATATCAACAGAGGAATTTTGGACTAGTCTATCCACCATCGACTCCAAGAGTCGAAGTCTTGTGCTGGCATCCTCCTTCCCTGGTGATTTGCGTACGTAACCAATTACTTGGTACATACCCTTTTTCAAATCTTCAATCCGTGCTTTGAATTCTTGGCCCACATTCAACATTATCTTGGCTATCGATTCTGCGTATAAATATATAATTATATGAATATACTTTCACGCGCTGCGAGAGTATATTTACCCCGATGTTCTTTCTTGAGCACCCAGAGCAGTCGACGCCTTGTCTTTTGATCATTCTTTTGATATTTACGTTGTTGTTCGACAGCAACAAAGTCAAGCTTAGCCATTCCACACCAAGTAGAAAATGATTTCACTGACTTGTCATCAAACAGATCAGTGATAATAATTGTTTCTGAATAAATTTCTTTCATTGACATTAACTTGCTCTTGAAATTTTTTTGATTAGGTGGTGCACTGGCTAGACACATTTGATTCATATAATTTATAATTTGACTGCGATTTTCTAGTAAAGTTATAAACATTAATATATGATGTATACCATAATTTGCCAAAACAATTTCCATATTCACTTACTAAGTATCACCATATCCGCAGATATCTCTGCTTTTTGATGATGATCATTATACAGATGATAATAAGCTGGGTCGCCATGAATCTTTACCTTTGTTTGTAGCATCGGTTTCTTTGGATCTTCAGTGTAGCATATATCCAACCCGCAGAATGAATCAAGTCTCACTGCGGGTTTTTTCGCAGCTTCATCAGTAATCTCTTCGTTGTAGAAGATGCACAGAGCATCATTACGGGAGACGTCTGTCATAGAGGATTGGTCAATGAAAAAAGGATGGTCAATGAAAAAAGGATGGTCAATGAAAAAAGGGTGGTCAATGAAGAAAGGGTGGTCAATAAAAAAAAAAGGTTGTTTAAAAAAAAAAGATTGTTTAAAAAAAAAGGTTGTTTCTAAAAAAAAAAAGTTGGTCCGCGATAAGAAAGGTCGGACAATGAAAAAAGGGGTTGGTCATACAACAAGAAAGGTTGGTCCAGGTTGGTCCATATTGGTCAATGTTGGTCCATCGGAAGAAAGGTTGTACAATAAAAAAAAAGTTGGTCCAGGTTGGTCCACATAAAATTCTCTGATTGGCTGTAGTTTAGTGTAACAGTGATTTTTTTTGGAAAAGGTTGATCAAGGTTGGTTCATGCTATGATTAAATGATTTATTTATTAAAGGAAAAAAAAAAGCGGTCATAATGAGCACAATAGTTTAAATAATTACATTGTCCGAACCAGTTCGTGAAGTTAAGAGTAAAAAAAAAACCTCCTAAAAAGCAAGGGATGAAAGAAAAATAGATAAAAAGAAAAAAAATTCGGAAACAAGACGGAAACACTAGCATTTTTATCATTGCAACCATTTCACCAAACTAGCACCGATATCAGTTGGAGAGGGGGGAAGATCTTCATCATGGAAAATATGATCCAATTCATGTAAGATCAGGCAAATTTCAGGCCAACGTACAGACCAGGAAGAGATGGATGGAACATTTTTGGTTTTTTCAGGGGTAATAAATTTAGTAAGAAAGAAGGAGTGTCTTTTATGGATCTAGGCATTTGTAGACAACGGTGTGTGTGCAGACATTCGGTAGCATGGACACGAGAAAGATTAACTGCAGGATGGAAAAGACAGGTACGAGGTTTTCCACCAGGGAGCCAACCAAGACGCCAGCGGAGTACCTGACTACGCTCCATACGTGTCATTGGGAGCCATAAAATAGGATCAATTACTGGTCCATAATACAAAAGGTTGGTCCATGATACAAAAGGTTGGTTAAAATTCTAAAAAACCTTTCCTTAGACAAATTTCAAAGTTTAATGAGTATAATTAACACCAAGACTCGCTGCCATGAGTGATCTGGTTCTTTGTTATACAAATGACCCGATACTGCCAATGCTCATGTCACTGATAAGAATGCAATCTAATCCTTCAGAATATTGTAAGCATCCTTCATTGCTGACAAATAACTCAGACTTGTAGTTTTACAATCTCTGTCTGTATTTATCTGTTTTGTGTCGCTGTCGATAAATGTTGCTCGTTGTCACCATTGGGTAGATATAATACTCTTTAATATTCTGATAAGAAATAAATCTCAATATGTTGATAATTCAAATACAATTAATGCTGGCTACGTTTTTCTTTAAACATATCATAAAACTAGTTTATGGAATACATTTCATATTGTGTAAATGATTATATTCGTATTCTTTCTTGTACATGACTTGAATATCATTTATATGAAGTTGTCCAATTATTTGAATAAATTGGTCATACATTTATATGGATTACACTTGACAGATTGAGAATGGCAAATATCAACAATGAACATGTGAATGAAATAATATTAGAACAACACTTTTACTTTTGTATACACATATTAATCTACACTATATGTAGATGAGGCTGTTTTTCATATTAACTCGAGAAACAATTAGCTAGATCCACTGTTGGAACACTGCTGAAAACCAAGTCGCCATCCCATACAATTATTGGTGCTATACATTCGTCTAATGTTATCCATGTTGTTTTGAGGAAATCACCACCAGAAAAGGAGAAGCCGCTAGAAAACAAAAAAAAAAAGGAAATGGTAGTTGCAAAGAAAAAGAGAAAATTGAACAAAGACAAAGAACGAGCTATAAGTGGGATCATTATACAGGAACCCACTATAAGTAATGTCGATGAAAACAATAAGTCAATAGCAGGAAGCACAACCACCGCTCACTTTATCAAGTTCATGAATGAACTTCTTGATGCCATAGATCTTGATAAAAGCTTAAAAAAAAACTATCTTGTTATGGATAATTGTTCAATCCATAAATCGAAGCCAATGATTAAAAAAATTGAAAGCAGTATAGAGTGATATTTTTAACCCCTTATTCGCCTGAATTGAATCCCATTGAGCTAGTCTTGAGTTATAATAATGGGGGTGGGGGGGATTGAAGCATCAGCAATTAATGACTGTAGAGAATTTGTCAAACAGAATTGCCGAAGCTTATCAGGAGAATATATTTTATAGTTTTTCTCCCTTTCTTCTTGAAGCCACTTCGTTCATAGTCCCATCAAGTTCACCTCTCATTTGTTCTTGCTCAGATGGTTGAGCCTGTTAGTACTTTCGCAATGTCGTAAGAGTTCCTAAATGAAATGGATCAACCTCTTCAATTCATTACATAGCATCATTGCCTTGTTCGTCGAAAATCTTTCCTTGTCCGTTTTCATAAAAAAAAAGGTAGTCATCTTAGTTTTAGATTGAAGGTAAAAAAAAAAAAAAGTTACTTGTGATTTAATTTCACAAAAAAAAAAGCTGATTTTTTTTTTTAGAAAAATGCAAATCAGTCTATGAAAAAGCCGCAGTTTGATTAATTTGATGCTGCGTTCATTGTCTTTTATGTTTATCAGACATTATAAGAAATATATCAAGCTTTTGCTTTTGCTTTGGATTTTTATATTAAGTTTGTTTATTTATTTATTTTTTATATTTGAAATGTGAATAAGAAACGTAATTGAATAATTAGAAAGACAAACGGCATATAGAATTTTTAATAGAGATATTCTTGTAACTTATATCTTTGTCTCAATACAAGCAGCAAGAAGAACATAAAAGTTTTATATAAATATATATGCATATATATATATATATTACGCTTAAACACCGTGAATGTACTATTCGAGATACAGAATATATAATGTAGACTAATGAATATTTGGGTGCATTTTTTATTTTATTTTTTCAAATGTATAAATAAGAAGCCCTTATTTTTAAAAAGTTATTACATTATAGTTTTATTAAGCATGCGTAATAGTTTTTACAATAATGGTTAAAAAAAGTAAAAAGTATATGGGAATGAAATTGTATAAAAAGGCAGTTAGGGTCGTGGCTGATTATCAAGCATATAATTACCAGGAATCAAGCCCCTCTGACCAGCATTAACGGGACCTAAACGTTCAGCTTCCCACCATCCATCCATTTGTTTACGAATAATACCAAGGACTTCATCAGCAAAAAAGGACATTTCTCCTTCAATCTATATATATAAAGAATAGTTAGTATTTTTTATAAACTAAATATGTTCAATTTATTTACAGTTGCCTCAAACGGCCATTGAGCTTTTGCATATCCAACAAACTGATTGTGATCTGGCATATAATTTTGTGATGTTGTAGCCACTGTTTGCCGTGTGTGCATTGCAGTGGGGTTATTCACGTAATAATTTTTTAGATCAGATTGTGAAAGTTCTGTTGAAGGTTGTTGATGCATTATATGTTGACTCAAGGGACGTTCTTGCTGTGCAGCAGCTTCTTTCTCCTTCTTTTTTTCTTTTTTATTAGCAAAAAATCCTAATGAAAATCTTCCGGTTTTACTTTCTTTCGATTTTCCAGATGGTTCTAGATTGTGTTTGTTTTTACCAAACCGTTTTTTGGTATCACTTTCTTCATCATGCGATTGAAGAGTTTCTTGTTGCTCTGAAGCTTTAGCACCACCATGAGGATGAATCATATTAGGTGGTAAATGTTTTTGATGCCCACTAAAAGAGTAAGGTTCTGTTACCATATTATTGCCAGATATTATTCCTCTATTATAATTATTCATAGCACCTTCCTGATAGTGTTCATCTTGCCAAGGTGCTGGACGTATACCTCCATCTTCTAGTAATCCATTTTGATTGCTGATATATCCTCGCATAGTATTTTGTTTATCATCCATATTTAGCTGTTGTGGTGATTGTTTATTCTCTTCTACTTTTTGATCTGCAGAGGGAGGTTTGATGGAATTAGGGATTTCGATTTTAAGGGGAACAGCAGGTTTATGTACTTTTGGTATGTGTTTCTGTGGCACATTGTTTTTCCCAGAGTTAGTTACACTGTCTATTATCGCTGGTGCTACATCATCAGTCTGTTCAGATTGTTGGTTGTTATGAACCGTTATTGCAGCTTCTTTCATATTGATTCTGGTAGAGACTGCTGTTCCGTCAAACATGGTTGCATTTAATGTACGCACGGGTAATTGTTGAGGTCGACGAATAGATGAAATAACCCATTTTTCATCCTTGGGTGGTGGTCGTGGTAACCTGTTTTGATATTCATTTATTTTCTTATCCTCCTCATTTTCTTCGTCTTTAATGTCCATATCATAGCTGTTTATCAAAGAGGGAGAAGTCGTCGTTTGTTGTACAGATGAATTTTCAGACATGATTAATGATGACGTACGAACATTGACAGTAGGCCTTTGTTGATTGTTAAGTGCTGTCTCTGGAAGGGTACTACGCAATCCAGTTTTTTCTTTGGAAGTAACAGAGGATGTATTGTAGCTAGGATTCGGCATTGGCTTATATTTATTATTTTCTAATTCAGGATTAACGATAAAATCACTATTATTATTAATCGAATCAAGTGAAGATATGTTGTGTGTCTCAGTTGTTAGAAGGGGTGCAAGTTGAACTATAGAATTGTCTTTTTCTTCTTTAGCCAAATCAAGTTGACTTGATTTTTGTTCCTTATTCATACTTGATGCGTTATGGCTTCTATCCGAGAAATCATCTGGTGCAGAATGAGATTTTTCTGAAGAATTCTTTTTGGTAGTGCTGGCGGTAGAATTGTTTTTTATTAAAGAGGGATGATTACTAGCTATTATTTTATCTTCTCCTGATGAAGCTGGAGGTGTCATGACTTCTTGATTATTAGAACTCTCTTGATTTAGAATTTGTTCGACCTCTTTAATAGCTGTACTAACAGGGCCATTACTTTGATCTGTCGTATATGTTGCAGTAGGTATCATTTGTGGTCGATTATTAAGAGCTAGTTCACTTTTTTCATCAGAAGATTGAGCTACCTTATTTTCAGCCTTTGGTGCCGTTACATTTTGGACTTCTAACTGTTGAAGCTGTTGCTCAACTGATTTCAACTCTTCATCAGGATTCGTTATAATTGTAGTAGCGAATGATTGTTGAGAGGGTGAATTTTTATTTCCATTATTTTCCCTAATTGCTCGAGAAATGGATGAAGACAGAGACTGATCTAAATTATTATTCTCATTATTTGACAATGATGAGGTATGAGAGTTCGTAGGATTTATTGAAGGAAAATGATAAAAAGTTTCATATGCCAAGGGGCCTAAATAATGTTATTAAAGAGACATGTTTAGCAATTAATTCCTTGTAAATACCTGGTACTCTATTTCCTGTTCCATAACGCTGTACAAATGCTGTAATATCCTTCTGTACATCGATGAGTTCTAAAGCTGAACGAATACGATCACAACACTAATATATACATACATTTATATCATATAAAATAAGACATTTAATAACGTAATATAGTGTATATTTGTATTAACCTCCTCATCAGTACTGAATGTGCTTGTCATTATATTAGCATAACTAATGATAGAGCGATTGATTCATGTTAAGTTTGTTGATTACTACATACATATAAACTTACGACCAAAGTGTGCTCCTTAAATAAGTCATTCTTTTTATTTCCATTTCTTGAAATATATCTACACTTGATGACCAATTATTTACCCATTCCTTATTTACTGTATTAAAATTATCTACGGATCGCCTATATACTTGCTCTGATACAATATCAGTCTATTTTTTATATATGCATAAATTTAAATTTACCAGCAACCATGACTAATCTCCTTTGTTCTTCAATTTCCTTTTCGATCTATTAAAAATATGGTGAGACAAGGAAAAAAAAAGGAAAAAAAGAAAAAAAAAAAGAGTATCATATTAATCTATTTTTACTTGGGTAGCTTTTTCTGTTAAAAAGTCATCATTATTTTTTAAATCATAAAGATATTTTTCCATCGTTTTAAGCTTTGTACATTCGGTTGAATAATACTCCTTTGTCTAAAGATATACATGTGTATGTATGTATGTATGTATTTGAGTATATATGGAACATAGTGTTGAATATTAGCTTACCCGTACAACATCAGTTTCGTGTAAGCTCCAAAGCTGCCTAGAATTCTCTATCTGTTGCTGATGCTATATTTATATTTAATATAGAACAATAATGATAACAAAAACTACTATTACTACTACTACAAAAAAAAAAGTTTACCATTTTACGCATATCTCTTTGATCTCTTAAAAACCCGTCCAGCGGTGCTTCTAAATGATCTTTTAATTGTTGAGCTAAATCAATATGAGCCCGAGCAGTAATTTCAAGAGTTGCAGGAATACGTGATAAAGTGTCTGCAAAGCTATTTTCCTCAAATATTCCAATCTTATTAATACTTATTGCTAACTTTAAAAGTTTTTCACCATATTCTTGTTCAATATTAGCTCTAATAAAACAAAAACAAAAAAAAAAAAAAAAAAGGTAAGCTTTGTAAGTATAAAGTATAAACGTAATAACAATTACCGAAGTTCATATAACTTTTTGATCTCTTCACATGTGTCTTTTGACTTTCTTAGTCGATTTAAAATGACATCAATGCCTTTATTATGGTCATCCTACACATCTAATTAATTTAATGGGTAAAGATTTTTTTTTTTTTCATTTAATATCTACCCAGAATGCTTCTGAAAAGTTTAAGCCTGGAGGTAATCGTTGTTGGATTGCACCAGAAGCCATTTCAGCTTTTTTTTTAACCAAAAAAAAAAAAAAAAAAAAGAACCTGAATAAAGGTTAAAAATAGATTAAAATAAACACGTATAAAAAAAAAAAAAAAAAAAAAAAAAAAAATAACGATTATCAAAAATTAAGGGCACAACAGTATAGCTGTGAATGGAATTTAAATTTTACAAAAAAAAAGTGTTGTGATAATGGACAATATTTCTTTACTTTTATTAATTAAACTATATCGTTTTGATTGCAATTTTTCTTTTTTAATACTAAAGTGTTAAAGTAATAAATACAAAAAATAATTTTCTCAATCGTTCTCTTTACGTATCCGTAATCACTAATATTCTTTCACGCAATTCTATCTTCTATAATAATAGTCATCATTGTTGAATATTTAATTATATTAAAAAAAAAAGCCAGGATTCTGTATTTTAATTTAACCTATTTGTCCATCTTGTATTGTATTTTACCCTTCAGTGCTCATTACAAGTATCTCTTTTTATTTTGATAATAGAATGAAATATTGGCAGTACAAATGAATTTTATATTAATCATAAAGGTGGCATTCCAGGTAGTAATTGCTTATATCGGGCCAGATGGAAGAATGATGAAAGGAGTGATAATAGTCATATCTACGACTACATTCCTGTCAAAGAATAGTGAGTACATCATAAAGAGTAAAACCCTTCAAATGAAGTAAATCTCGTATCCACTAATGAGAGATCTAAGAACAATAAAAATATCATCATAACGCCAACAAGAGTTCTAAAATAAGAATTGATCATAAACTAGTATTAAAACTTAAGTCCTACTCCACCCTGCTTACATACAATATGACTGTAATCATTATTAAATGAATTGTTATAGCAAAAGAGACCAAATAACGAATTTACGTTTATAAACATATATATATATATATGAGTAACTCTTACCATGTCTCTTTGAAATGATAAATAAGTTATGCTGCCTGTATTGCTCATTTTATTCTTATTGATATATTATCATTTATATGACTATACATTTCTGTTGTATAACATACAATCAATCATAAGCATGGTTTCTTGATATAGCACGAATTACAGCATTTTTTTCGATATACTGATACTCTTCTTTACAGAAACGTATAATTTCAACCTAAAAGGATTAAATATTCATGATCTAATACCAAATATATATGTAAAATCTTATTGTTAAAAAAAACATGAACAAAGTAATTAACTAATTCTTAGAACCATTATTCTGTCTTGTTGATCTCGTCTTTATCAAATTATAACTTGAATTTTTAAAAAAAAATATGACCCATTCAAAAGCTTATTATTCTGTTTGTTTCCTTTTTTTTTCTCGGGGGGGGGAAGGGGAGTTATACAAAGTACTTGGATGTGGTGAACTATTTTTTAACTCTCATTACCAGATATTACATCCATTCCTTGGATCTGCCGCATTGGAAATAACAAAATTTATGTTTGTCACTCCAACAATTCAATCATAACTTACCACAGACTTTTCAATGATTATTCACAAGATTTGCAATATCCTTAGGGTTTTTATGTTCAAGGTAAATACTTTACTGGCTTCTTTCACATCATGCTGATTAATTATATTAATCACAAAAAGCCAGAGAAATAGATAGATAGATAGATAGACAAACATCCACTACTTTACATCTAACGCTTCTTTACTCCAGAGCAATTGTTGGTCAAGATAAAATAGTTGATTTATTCTTATTCTCGTTATCTACCAACGAATTTAACAAACTATAAAAGATGAATAACTTTACTGTGAATAATTTCATTGATACTCAACAATCATGATGGATTCAAATACTTGATATTTTTCATTGAAATTGCAGTCATGATAGAAAACAAGACAAGCCAAGTTGATGTTTGATGGTTTTTCTTTTTTTTGTTGTTGCTATTCTTAGATCTAATTTCAATAAAAGAAATAACCTTTAGAAATTACGAAGAAAGGCTTTAAACAAGAAATAGCATCCTTATAAAAGCATCAATTTAACTTTCTCTCTTGCTCTGTTTTCTGGAAACATATACATACACATATATATATATTTTATACGATAGCCTAATGCAATATATTACAATTAAAAACTAAAAGCTAGTAATATATCCAAATCATATTATATAGATATAGGATACATTATTACTATTAAATATTGCCTATTATTCATATACAAAATTATCTGCTTATATCCATCTATTATTCTTGAATTCAACACATAATAATGGAATCAAGTTAGCATATTTAAATATACAGTGTAATTATATATTTATAACAGGCAACTGTATATATTTCCCTATACCATATTATCAAAATAAATTCTAAAAAAAAAAGGATATTAAGGATTGAATGTTAGTTTAATACACATTGGCAAAGAGATATTCAAAACAAGTGTATTTTGTTGACGGTTCAAGTATATCAACTGTTAAAGTCATGCTATATATGGTTAAATTCCTGTCCATATGTGAAAGACTACGTCTTTTACAAGCTTCATTTTTATTACATTTCTTAACTTTACTCGCAGACGCTCCTTTATCTCAACTATTACTAGATTCTACAACTAGATCTTTATGGTTAAAGCTATTAGCAGCTAATCCTCTATCAATCTGAAATATATTCCTTCACACTAAAAAAAAAAAAAAAAAAGACTTGGATGACAGATTAAATCCTATCATCAGCAGAACTTTGATCAACAGTACAATCCTTTACGAACTTGATTCCCTTTTCCACTATAAAGATTCACCTTTACTGCCGTCACAACCTAGTCAACGATTCCTTAATTGGGCTATTACTCTCTCTTTCTTTCTTTTTCCTTTCATCACTACTAATTGTGTCTTAGCTTCACTTTTTTTTTTATTTTTTTTTATTTTATTTTAGTATCCTTTTATTATTGATGAACTGACCCAGGCAAGTTTGCGATAATTAATATATTGTGCCCAGTTTAGGAAGGAGGGGTTTGAAAATTAAATGGTTTGAAAGGTAACTGAACCATTTTGTAAAATACAAATGAATCCTTTAAGACCCACGTAGTTGAAGCAAAATAAACTTAATAAATATATATTTATACATATGAGTATTTAATCCCAAATATACTTGTTTTAAAAGGAGTGAAAAAAAAATAAGAATATATATAAATACTAATTTTTATATGTATAAAAAAAAAAAAAGAAATGTTTGAATAAGGTCAACAAAAAAAATGGGGGGAGGGAAATAAAACCAGACCAGTAATATATAAATGTTGTAGTATCATCAATTAAATAGGCGCTATGACACTGTTCTTTACTGACGATTATCAACTATTTTTAATGATTGTCTTAAAAAGATAATAATAGCAACATTATTAGATTTAATACCATCTCATTCAAAGTGGCTGCTGCTGCATAGTAGTTTAGTATAATCCATTCCGCGGAATATGCGAATATTTATAACGGCTTATAATAATAATCATAACAGCAGGTTGACTGTGTATTACATCATTAGTAGTAAAAAATGTCTGGATTTTTTTTTTTTTTTTTTTTTTTTTTTTTTTTTTTTTGCGGGGTGGTGAATTTTATTTTTAGGTATTACAAATGCTACCATTTTTTATTTTTATGAATATCCAATCATTTTGAAATGCAAACATAAGTTTATGCTATACTTAATTTAGAACGAAAAATCCCACGAATATAAATACCTCACATATTTTTGTTTTGTTTTTCTGATCTTAATTATTTAATAATAATAATAAAAAACAAAGCAAAAAATGGATCCTGGTTATAAGCTTCTTCAACATATCAAAACTGTTCCTAATTTAATTAACGAAGACCCAAGTATAACAACACCAAAGAATTCCACATTTATGGATATGCCTTGGTCTGAATTCTCTAAATTGTTAAAGACAAGTACAACACGTAGTAATTCATATTCTTCAGAAAGTAGTAGTAGTAGTAGCAGCAGTAGTAGTACTGGCTCGTCTTCACCTGCAAATGAAGATATTTCACTTGGTAATTGGGATTCTATGACTGGTTATCAAGACACTGAACATAGAAGCACTTTATAAAAGAAAAAAAAAACATTGTTATTATTATACCACCTATCCTTTTTTCTATTCAAATAAATTTTATTTTATTTTATTATCAAATGATTCTTTCTTATTCTTATCGATTGTTAAACTTGGAAGAAACGATAGATGACCCGCTTTTATTATATGAACAACAAATCATTATTAATTCAAAAGAAGAAGACTTTTTACATGCATTTCAATTATTAGAAAAAGCTATTCTTAAATATAAAAATGATATTCGATACAAGAATTCGCCTCGTTATCTCAAATTATGGTTAACCTATATCTTTTATCTTAAGCCTACTTTTATTTTCCCCGTTTTATTTGGCTTAATAGAGAATCAAATAGGCGATAAATTAGCTACTTTATACGAGGCTATTGCATATCAACTATTAAAAGAAAAAAAGTATTCTAAACACACTTTCATAGTTATAATTTTGCTTATTTATCTTTTTATTATTATTATTATTATTTGTTTATTTTTATTTAAAAAAAAAAGCTATCATCAAGTAGAAGCAACTTTAATATTAGGCTTGAAAAGGAAGGCTCAACCTATAAAAAGACTTGACCATGCTTTACATCAATTCAAGTCAACACATTCAATTGATTTTAATATCAATCAATACAAACTAGATAGTTTCATGTTGCTGGAAAATGATATTCATTACAATGTAAGTTAATGATATAAAATGTCTTGTGTCACTTGATAATAATAAAAAAAATAATAAAAAGAAAAAAAAACCTTTTATCGTCACTAAGAATAGTCAACATGCTGTTTCATTCAAAGACCAATTAAATTGGATTGATGTCAAGTTAAGACATAATGCTCGTTTAGACGTTTTAAGAGAATGTTATCGAAGAGAGAAACATGAGGTGTCATTTGAAGAATTAAGAGCGAGATCAGTTCCTTATAAGCAGATTAATAACATGGGTAATCTTCTTTCTTTCTCTTTTTTTTTTTTTTCTCATTATATTTAACAAGTCTCTCTTTTATATATACACTAGTCAACTATCAACAACTTCCAGTCATCAAGAGAGTTGAAGAGCAACATCATGTTCCTTCAGTTCAACAAAAATCAACTGTTGTACAGTTACCATTGGATCCTCAATTTATTCATCATCTACTTCAAATTCACCATTGTTTTGAACGTCATGAATATCATGATTTACTTCATCTTTCCTCTAAAAAAGAAGAAAAGAAATTAGAAAGTTGGTTTCTTTCATCAAAACAACAGCAACAACAAAAGAACACAAAGCTAATTCAATTGGATGAAAATACCTATCATGTAATTAAACTTTTAGGTCAAGGTGGAATGGCTCATATCTATCTTGTTCAGGATATTGTCACTTGCACTTATTATGGCTTAAAGGTACAAAGACCTCCTCATCCTTGGGAATATTACATCCATTGTCAATTACATGAACGTCATCAAGAGGAGACTCTCAATCTAATCCCCATTCATCATTTCTATCATTATAAGGATGCTAGTTTCTTATTAATGGATCATATTCGTCATGGTAGTCTTTTAGATGCTTTAAACATGTATAGACCCGCACAAACATATATGCCTGAACCTATCGTTCTTTTATTCACTTTACAACTATTAGAGCAAATAAAAGCATTACATGATCTTTCTATTGTTCATAATGATCTCAAATTAGATAACGTGATGCTATCGATGAAAAGAAACCATATAAAGGGCTTAATTATGCCAAAGGTAATACTCATCGATTATGGCTATTCAATTGATGTAGCATCACTCAATTCTACTACTACAACCCCATTATGTAAGGCGAATTGGCCTCCTGCTTGTCCTGAATCGGATTTTCCATATCTGAATCAACCTTATTATCCAATACATGCAGATTATTGGCAATTAGCTACTATCGTTCATTTACTCTTATTTGGCTCTCCAATGCATGCTATCAAAGATAAGAAGAATAATCAGTTTGTTATTCAACACATGATTAAACGCTATTGGCATAAACAGCTTTGGTTAGACTTCTTTCTTCTAATGCTAAACCCTCCCATAAATGATACACATAAAGCAATTCAAGACATGATAGACATGTTCAAGTCTTCTAGTCATGACATTACAAAAGATCATAAGCGTACATTTATTACAATGTTGCATGATAAATATAAATTTTAAAAACAAAAAAAAAAATAATATATTTATAATAAAACTTATGATCGTTATAGATGATTAATAACCTAAATAGCTATATTCACCTAAACTGTTGGTGGGCTTATAATCATTATCTACATAATATGGAAAAGGATTTGCAGTACGAACTGCTTCAAAAGTATGATCTACTGTATGATGGTCTAATATTAAAAAGAAAAAGATTAGGTTTTATAGATAAATAGATATAAATCTATAGATACCATTTGTAAAGGTTCCTTTTTCCATACAACTACTGCATAGGTCAACTTCTTCACTAATATCACATACTGTGCATTTATATCGGACACCTACAATAGGCTCTGTACCACATCCGTCACACTAATAAAAAGAGTTAATTGTTTGACGTAAATTAAAAAAAAAAAAATATTTGTATATACTTTACTGCATAACCCTCATGAATTATAATATCATTATTTGCTTCTGTTCCTTTTCCATTAGCCTATCATTTTTTTTTTATTTTTAATAATAATAATAATAATAAATTTTATAATAATTACATTATTAACAGTTCGCATCATCTCCTTTACACTAGAATCTTCTTCATCATCAGACATAAATATAGCAGGAGGACCTTGTGTTATAGCATAATGAGCTCCTGATATTCGTGTATTCGTTAAACCACCAGAGATCATACTATTATAACCTACACCTGAAGTACGTAACATGGGTGGTGTTGAAGATGCTTTTGTGACTCGACCTTTTGATTTATGCTTCGTTTTTGACTTGTGATTACCTTTTTCACTTTTAGGCATACAGGAAGGCTGCATCAAAAAAAAAAAAAGTGTATATAAGCATAAATCCTTCTTCTCTTATGTATTGTAAAACTTACAGGAATCGTAATTCGACCAGGGACAGGTAATCCCAATTTAGCTAGTTTAATAAAATATTTTTGTACTCGACTTGCTACTTGTCTTGGTGTACGTGTACCTAAAGCTTTTGATATTTTATTAAATCTTTGTGCTTGAACTGGTTCATCAGGATATATAATTAATAATTCTTGTAAACGTTTCTATATAAATATATATAAAGAGGTTAGTATGTTTATATAGCGTTTTTTTTTCCTTTTTTTTTATTAAAAAAAAACATGTATATGTATATATATCTGCTTCTCTTACTTGTTCTTCATCTGTCCATGGTTGCTTAAAAGTAGGCGTATAATTTGGATCATCCTATTATAGAAAATTGAATATATAAACATGTGTACAAATGAATAACCTTTCATTATTCTTCTTACTACTGAATTTAAATTGATCGGACTGTTTTCATCAGGTGTACGAGGTTCAATTGATTGAAGTCTGGATCGAATAGGACTAAAGTAAAGCATGAATAAATAAGAATAGGGATAAGATTACTTAATTTTTTTTTTTTACCTTTCTGTTTCAGAGCTTGCCTGCAAGTCTTTTTCTGTACCTATCTGTACCATAGATGTTCTTCTTGTCTTTCCTTTACCTTTTCCTGCAATCGTTCGATTTGAAAAAGGTGTAGTTTTATTACTACTGGTAGTTGGCATCTCATTATCTTCGTCTTCAGAAAAATCCGAAACTGAATTAGTTTGTGAAGGAATTTGACGTAAAGCTTGGGTTGCTTTAGCTAATTCTTGTTGAAGATTTTTAGCAACAGGTGTAGGAGGTTGTGAGGTATATTCTGTTGCCATGGTTGTATCCAAAATACTCTACACATAAAAAAACATATTGTTAATAGTTCAAATATATAAATATGTATTGATCGTTATAATTTACACAATAGGTTGACTTTTTCACTTGATAACTGAATTGCTGTGTTAAATTGCTTATGGCTGTATTCTGTTGTACAAGCCTTGATTCAGGTAAAAATCTGTATTTATTCCAATCGATACTTGGTACACTAATCACTTTTTGTAATTTAGGGACTTTACTTTTTGACTTCTATATATATTTATATATAAAAGAAATGTAAATAGACATGTCCATGTTTAATTGCTCACAGTCTTACTTTTGATTTCAAGCTGTCAATGAAAGTATATGGATCTTCAATAGCTTGACTTTTCAAAGATTCTAATGTTGCAATATCTGTTGTCGCTTTTGTCATTTGATTCTTTAGGATTTCTAATGCTTTCAAGATAGATTGATAACTGAAAAAAAAAAAAAGTAAGTAAGTTAACAGATAAAGAATTTCAAATCATTAATTACTCTTCATTTTTGTCAAGATTTAATAGATCGGTTTTATTAGAATCTGAAGACGAGTCATTATTTGTAGTGGTTGGTGTTTCTAAAGGCTGTTGTGAGGGTGTTGATATTGTAACAGGCATTTTATAGTAATCATTAGCAAAAGAATGAGAAAAAAAAAAGTAAGTTTATAAAAAGTATGTATCGTTAAAAAAAAAAAAAAAAAAAAAAAAAAAAAAAAAAAAAAAGTCTTTAGCTTTAAACTCAAATTGCTGAGCTTTGTCTAGTGATGAGTTTGAATTGCCTGTCAGAATTTCTATTTTTGATCGTTATAAGCACATAACAACTTAAATAGATTGTATTGTATTGTTTAGGTCAGATCAAAGAAGAAAAGGAAAAGAACGCATGAGAAGAATCAAAGGTATCAACCAAAATTATACAAGTTGTTGTTGTGAAATTGATTTCCAAGAGAAAGAATTTTAATAATGAGTTAGATAGCTTCATTTCTTGCCTTGCAGTAAGATACAAATGACTAGCTCATGTAAGAACCAACACAGTAGAATATTTTGATTGTCGAGAAGGTTATTTGTTTAGTAAGAACTATCAAAGAACCTTGATGGCTTGAGATAGATAGATTGATACAATTAATTATGCGTATTCAGGCAGGATATCGCCTTTTTTTTTTTTTTTTTTTTTTTTTTGTTTTCTTAAACAGTATGAATAAGACTGAGATTGGCTAAGGAGTCATCAGCAACCAAGTCTCTAACACAAAAAATAATTACAATCAAGTTTTAACCTTAATAACCAGAGAATAAGGTTAATAGAGAGTCAAAGGCAGCTAATTGAAAGCAATTTCAAATAAACTATATTTTCTTGATCGTGTAGCGTATCCTGAAAAAAAAAAAAAATCTCTATCGTACTCCATTTGTTGGTCAAAATCTATTTAATGTAACATTATTGAAGAGAACCTCAATCTGAATAAATTTATTGAAAAAGTTTAATAAAACTCACAAAAGTGAAAGGGCTACAAATGAACTTAGGGAATGCCTAGTGTAGTAATAATCATTTTCTAACTTGATATCAAGATAGGCTAAAACTTGGTTGATTTTTCATTCATATCATTAAAAACGAACTATTTAAACTAAACATACGCCTTGATTAGGAGAGCTTTAGACTGTACAAAACCCATTTTTTAAACAATAACTATCAACAAAGTCTAGAAACATGAATGAGTTATAGAGAAATTGTGCCTATAAAAAGGGAATATCATTTCCTTTTAAATAAAGTCAATTTCAGGTGCTTACCTAGAAGAAAACGTATGAGTAGTCTTTAAGATATTGTCTAAAGTAACTGAACAGATGTCGACTAGAAGAAGAAGAGAACTAGTGAATTTTATTTATTAATAGTCAGATTTTATTTGTGAATAAAGAGATGTATTATGTTAAACATATGTTTTCTATGGCTAGATCTAATATTTTATTAGGCAAATTATTTCGCTTGCTCATAACAGATACTCGTTTAATATTGCAACTGTGTAGATTACTTACTTGAAAATATAAGTATACATGTATACATTTAATTTCAAATAACAAAAGAGGTATAATAATAAATATAACAGAAGATATTTGTTTGTACATAATATACATAATATACATATACATATGTATATCTTATCATGTTCTTATATGAATATTGCCAGCTTTTGTCATACTTCTCACACCCTACAAATAGAGCCTTAGTATCAATCAAAATCATCTATTAAATATACATACATATATATATACATATATATATATATTTACCTTATAAGGCTTATAACCTTCATGGTATAAGCGAAGACTATCCACTTTTAGCCCTGAAATAGCATACATATTGATTTGAAATTCTAAATTTATACTCATGCCTAACTCAGGATTTGATTCACTATATGTATATATATATATATATGTGTGTGTGTGTGTGTGTATATATAAAGTAATTAATTAAGGCAATTTTCGATTACATATATAAATATCTATGTATCATTTACCTTGAACTAAATGTACCAGATAATAAAGGAGCTCGATCTCTTTGTGTAAGCTTACTAATTTCCCATCTAATTGTCTTTATATTTATCAGTATGTAAGCTCACTTATGAATATATGATACTTTACCTTATTTACTGGATCATACATATATTGCCCTGAATTACAAGTTGCATTTACACTTGATGTACTCTTTGGCATAGGTAAAGTCAAAACGATCTTTTCTATAGGTTTACCATCCGAGAATCTAGAATGAATCGTAATATCGAATTTACCGCCATTCTTACTAGCTATAATTTGTGGCTTGACTTGTAATGGCATTGCTTGATAAGATGATAATGATGTTCTAAAAGTAAACTTATTAATCAAAGAAAACACATACACATACACATAGACACACACATAGACACACACACACACACACACACACACACACACACACACATAATATATATATATATATATATATATATATATATATATATGTATTATGTGTATATAAAGACATACCTATATGACATTAATTTAAAATGTCCATCAGGAGGAACAAATGATAACACCTTTTCACTATCCCATTTACGATATCTACCATAATAGTTTGTTTAGAATAGTCGGTTAAATCTATCGAATAAATCATACCTAACACAGGGATGAAAACTAACATCATCAATCACTCTTGCATTAACAAAATTCAAGGTTAAATCGGGCATCCCTGATAATTTACAATTAGCTTGTACTGAGCCATGAACTTCACAAGAAACAACTCCACCATTCCTATATATATATATATACATGTTAATATACATGTTAATATACATGTTAATATGTATATATTGTATGTAGTATGTAGTATGTAGTATGTAGTATGTAGTATGTAGTATGTAAACTTACGCAGCAATAGTAGCATCTATTTCTTCAATTATATCAAAATAAATTTCATTCTGAGCATATTTAACTCCAGCTTTTCTCCATGGTATATTTGACATGCTCTGAGGGAATTTGGGAGCAACTCTACAAGAAATAATAGAATAAGGAGAGGTATTTACTTTTTGTTTTCTTTTTCTTTTCTTTTCTTTTCTTTTCTTTTCTTTCTTTCTTTCTTGTCTGATGGTTATATCTTACCCAGCTGCTGCCCCAACTGTAGTCATCATTTTATTCATAATTGTTGGTGGCATAATAATTTCTTTTAAAGCATTAGGTTCAGTTGTTAAAGGATAGCCATAATCCATCATTTCTTCCAATAACTAGTAAAAGAGAGAGAGGGAGAGAGAGAAAACTGATTGTTATTTACGTTATCCTGTTTATTACTACCTTATATTACCTGATAAACTGTTACAAAGTTTTCTCTAATAGATGATTCGGACACTTCACCCAAATAATCAGTCAAAATATCCATAATACGATGTATAAATTCAAATACAAGCATAGGATCCACTTTATATGTGTATAGATATAAGTATAGATATAAGTATAGGTATAAGTATAGGTATAAGTATAGTTATGTATAAATACTGTATACATATGAATTATATATACAGAATATTTACCTTCTCTTTCAACAGGACATAACCATGTCAAGTCATCTCTTAATACATTTAATAACCAATACTTATTTGTTTCCAATATAGGAGGTATGTCATCTCGAGTAAAATATGCATCTTTAATTGCTGTTACTCGATTACTTGCATTATCTTTAAGTGAATCAGGTATGGAAGTTATAAACTTTTCACATTCGTTATTAAACACTTCTACAATCTGTCTTGATATAATTCCACGCCAATGCTTTTCAATGATGATTTTACTATTTTATACGTCTATTTAATTTGACCCAATAAATATATAAATAGATAAACCTAATTTGTATCTACCCTTGATTATTAACTACAAAAAGTGAGTTAATCATTTGCTGCTTTACAAGAATGCTAATTTATAAGAAAAAAAAAAAAAAAAATAAAAAAAAAAATAAAAAAAAATAAGCAATGTATTATTCTAAATCTTCTTGAATTAAAACTCATCAGGTAAATGTCGCTTCAGATATTTTTACAGGACGCAATATTACAGTCAAAGAAACTAGGTTGAGCCAATAATAAAAAAATTGGTCGTTTCAAAATTGAATTAGGACACCAATATGAAAGTGGAACACGTATACAAAAATGGGACACTGATATAAAAGTGGGACATCAACATGAAAGTGGGGTATATTGAGACACGCTTAGTTTTTGGGCGAATGTATAAACAAGAAGCTATATTCTTGTTCCATTTAACTAGAAAGGCCACTAATAGACTATCAGACTACTAAGATGATCATCCAGATTAGGATATGATTCACCTAACTTGAATGATCCCGGAACGAACAATCCTCATGGAGAATATCCCAGATTCGAATTACTTAGGACAGCAAGGAGCATTTCTGTGAGTTTGATGGAGTGAGTTAACTATTGTTTTTGAAATAATAAAGCCAAGTAAAGTGATTAGGATACGTAGAATGTAGGGTTTTTATTATTTGTAAGAAAGAAAGACCTAGAGCCACCAGATTTTGGTTACAATCATTATTTATACCTGTAATATTGGGCTCCGTATGTAGTGCAGGTACCAATGTTATGATAATAGTGGATCAGAAAACCGACAATTTCAAATGATTTTATTCATGCAAGTAACAAATAGCGATAGATGTATATAAATGAGATCATCTTGGATCAATGAAGTTCTTCAGTCAGTTTACATTGAATAAACACTCACACAAGCATCTAGATCAACCCACTGTTTTGTTTTTTATATATATATATCTTTTTTATCTACAGATTCTACAGAATGAAAACTTAAATAACATCCCCTTTCTCCTATTTTGGTCATTTATGCTGATACCCATCAATTATTGGTCGAGGCTGTACCAAAACTGACTCACAAAAAACTATACAACTTCGCTGCTTTATTTGTTGGTCAAGGAAAGAATGCCGATGCCGAGATCGCTGAAGCTTTCTTACAATTTAGTAATAAAATGGGAGAAGATTTTAGTAGGCAACAACAGTTCCCCAATATTCAGTATAGCACACTAATCTCAATAGTCATGCGTAGTTTTGAGACACTTATAGAGAATCATGTTGGAACGAACTTCAAGCCAAAAATGCTGCGCTATCTCTTTACGAGGCTTTCTGACACAACTGAATTTCCAGACCTCCCTTTCCGAACTGGTGTCAAACGCGATCTAGCTGAGCGGGTAAATAATGCTATTTGTACCAATCAAGAAATAATTTATCCTGCTAATCTGGAAGTTGCCGATACTCACAAAACCTCAATCAACAATCTTATTGATGAATGCCGCCAAAGATTACATGGCTTGAACCTGACTGAAGCAGATTACTATGTTAAACCTCACTTGTATTTGCCGTGGCTATACCATGTTTTAGAAAGAATGGAGCAACAAGTCATCATTCGTGAGCCAGTACCTTAAACAAGAGCCACAAAGGGATTTGTACATCGTTGACTAGGAGAGATTGTTGACTTCAGAAGGCTACCAAGACGATTCCGTAGCACTTTGGAAAATCATGTTAGAGATTCCATAAATATGGAGCAGCCTACTATCCAATAACACGTTAACCATTCGTTCCTTGAAAATACACGAAGACGTAGTCGTGCAGCTGACCCAGTTCAAAGGCAAAGACATAATGATTTATTTCCACAAGAGAAGGCTGCTATTGATGATTTTGTAGCTAGGACAAAAGCTTCTATCTCCAGGAATGAATTCAGGCCTGGACAGTTTATTGATCCTCGTGGCGCTCGTCTCTTCAACATTCTACGAGTATACAGTCTTCAGCAACGATATATCCAGATTAATCTTCAAGGCATTAGCAAGATAATTAGGCAATCTAGAATAAGACCATCGGTAACAGCCAATGAAGATATGAAAGATGTATGCTGGAGCCTCTTTAGTATGAACCATATTGGTTTTCGTTCAAGAAATGACCTTGATGGAAAAGCATTATCAGACAAGAGCTTTACTGGTGTTATTCGTACTGATGGTATTGCTTTGGAATTTATTTGTGAACGACCTTCCCATGCTGCTGAAGCCACTTTGACACCTGTTGATATTGCCACTAAGGTTGATTTAAATACTGCTACTGTATGGGGGTTGGATCCTGGATTGCGTGATGTTTTTGTTGCTTGCAACGGTGTTAGTACTGGTGCTGGCCAAAGTAGACAAAGACATAGAATACGTAAAACTTCCACAAGCGAATATTATCAACTTTCTGGATTCAAATCTGCTGCCATAAAAAGAGCCAAACATGATCGAGCCAATGTTGACGCATGCCGTCTGATTTCTAATACACCATCAACAAGGACGTGTAACTGGGACCAGTTCAATGAAGCTTTGTGATATATATTTCGGAACTTTGAGGCAATTAAAGGCTATTACACAACCGGGTTGAAAAAGCTCAAATATCACGGCTATAGAAACAAGCAAAAAGCATTGACCGAAATGTGTAAACGGTTGTTTAAAAGTAGCAGAAAATACCAAGAAGGCAATCCTGATATACAGCAAGCAAATTAGCAAAATGTGGAAACCGTTAGCCCCTAGAGACAATGCCGGTGAAGCTGAAAGGCCTACTGTAGTGGCATTTGGTTCTGCCCGGTTCGGTGGGCTCCGTGGGAATGTACCTTCTCCAACAAAGGCGTTCAGAAAAGCCTTGCTAAATTATGTCAAATCAACCAGACGCAACCAGCCAATTTCAAGAAAGTACGTCGTTATGATTGATGAGTATTTCACAAGTCAAATATGTCCCAGATGCCATACAAGAAGTACTTCCAACCAACGTGATAACTCCAATATGATGATCCATGCAGTACTCAACTGTCAAACTTGTAATACTCGATGGAACAGAGATCACATGGCGAGTCTCAACATACGCTCTATCTTTTTGTATATGGCTGCCAAAAACAACAATCGACCTGAAGAGTTTCGGCGGGTAAGCTATCTTGATATTAATATAGATTTCATTACTTAATATACTAACAACAATATTATTATTTGTGGAAAAATATCCTTAACAATTGAATAACATCATGTCTTGTATAACAGCAAGACGCCCCATATTTACAGGTAAGTTGACCTATTGAAAAAAAAAGCTTTCATTCGCCCAAAAACTAAGCGTGTCTCAATATACCCCACTTTCATGTTGATGTCCCACTTTTATATCAGTGTCCCATTTTTGTATACGTGTTCCACTTTCATATTGGTGTCCTAATTCAATTTTGAAACGACCAATTTTTTTATTATTGGCTCAACCTAGTTTCTTTGACTGTAATATTGCGTCCTGTAAAAATATCTGAAGCGACATTTACCTGATGAGTTTTAATTCAAGAAGATTTAGAATAATACATTGCTTATTTTTTTTTATTTTTTTTTTTATTTTTTTTTTTTTTTTTCTTATAAATTAGCATTCTTGTAAAGCAGCAAATGATTAACTCACTTTTTGTAGTTAATAATCAAGGGTAGATACAAATTAGGTTTATCTATTTATATATTTATTGGGTCAAATTAAATAGACGTATAAAATAGTAAAATCATCATTGAAAAGCATTGGCGTGGAATTATATCAAGACAGATTGTAGAAGTGTTTAATAACGAATGTGAAAAGTTTATAACTTCCATACCTGATTCACTTAAAGATAATGCAAGTAATCGAGTAACAGCAATTAAAGATGCATATTTTACTCGAGATGACATACCTCCTATATTGGAAACAAATAAGTATTGGTTATTAAATGTATTAAGAGATGACTTGACATGGTTATGTCCTGTTGAAAGAGAAGGTAAATATTCTGTATATATAATTCATATGTATACAGTATTTATACATAACTATACTTATACCTATACTTATACCTATACTTATATCTATACTTATATCTATACACATATAAAGTGGATCCTATGCTTGTATTTGAATTTATACATCGTATTATGGATATTTTGACTGATTATTTGGGTGAAGTGTCCGAATCATCTATTAGAGAAAACTTTGTAACAGTTTATCAGGTAATATAAGGTAGTAATAAACAGGATAACGTAAATAACAATCAGTTTTCTCTCTCTCCCTCTCTCTCTTTTACTAGTTATTGGAAGAAATGATGGATTATGGCTATCCTTTAACAACTGAACCTAATGCTTTAAAAGAAATTATTATGCCACCAACAATTATGAATAAAATGATGACTACAGTTGGGGCAGCAGCTGGGTAAGATATAACCATCAGACAAGAAAGAAAGAAAGAAAAGAAAAGAAAAGAAAAGAAAAGAAAAAGAAAACAAAAAGTAAATACCTCTCCTTATTCTATTATTTCTTGTAGAGTTGCTCCCAAATTCCCTCAGAGCATGTCAAATATACCATGGAGAAAAGCTGGAGTTAAATATGCTCAGAATGAAATTTATTTTGATATAATTGAAGAAATAGATGCTACTATTGCTGCGTAAGTTTACATACTACATACTACATACTACATACTACATACTACATACTACATACTACATACAATATATACATATTAACATGTATATTAACATGTATATTAACATGTATATATATATATATAGGAATGGTGGAGTTGTTTCTTGTGAAGTTCATGGCTCAGTACAAGCTAATTGTAAATTATCAGGGATGCCCGATTTAACCTTGAATTTTGTTAATGCAAGAGTGATTGATGATGTTAGTTTTCATCCCTGTGTTAGGTATGATTTATTCGATAGATTTAACCGACTATTCTAAACAAACTATTATGGTAGATATCGTAAATGGGATAGTGAAAAGGTGTTATCATTTGTTCCTCCTGATGGACATTTTAAATTAATGTCATATAGGTATGTCTTTATATACACATAATACATATATATATATATATATATATATATATATATATATATTATGTGTGTGTGTGTGTGTGTGTGTGTGTGTGTGTGTGTGTCTATGTGTGTGTCTATGTGTATGTGTATGTGTTTTCTTTGATTAATAAGTTTACTTTTAGAACATCATTATCATCTTATCAAGCAATGCCATTACAAGTCAAGCCACAAATTATAGCTAGTAAGAATGGCGGTAAATTCGATATTACGATTCATTCTAGATTCTCGGATGGTAAACCTATAGAAAAGATCGTTTTGACTTTACCTATGCCAAAGAGTACATCAAGTGTAAATGCAACTTGTAATTCAGGGCAATATATGTATGATCCAGTAAATAAGGTAAAGTATCATATATTCATAAGTGAGCTTACATACTGATAAATATAAAGACAATTAGATGGGAAATTAGTAAGCTTACACAAAGAGATCGAGCTCCTTTATTATCTGGTACATTTAGTTCAAGGTAAATGATACATAGATATTTATATATGTAATCGAAAATTGCCTTAATTAATTACTTTATATATACACACACACACACACACACATATATATATATATACATATAGTGAATCAAATCCTGAGTTAGGCATGAGTATAAATTTAGAATTTCAAATCAATATGTATGCTATTTCAGGGCTAAAAGTGGATAGTCTTCGCTTATACCATGAAGGTTATAAGCCTTATAAGGTAAATATATATATATATGTATATATATATGTATGTATATTTAATAGATGATTTTGATTGATACTAAGGCTCTATTTGTAGGGTGTGAGAAGTATGACAAAAGCTGGCAATATTCATATAAGAACATGATAAGATATACATATGTATATGTATATTATGTATATTATGTACAAACAAATATCTTCTGTTATATTTATTATTATACCTCTTTTGTTATTTGAAATTAAATGTATACAAATATATTTGAATAAATATATCATTTTATTTATACATAAACTTGATATGGTCTTTATTTAGCATATGCTTAATTTAGAAAAGAGAGTTTATCATAGAGATAAATGGTTTACATTTTATATTTAATATTTTCTGATGTTAGTTTGTGATATATCATGCAGGGAAATAAAATTGATATGAAGCTTATTCAATATAGAACTAGCTTAATATGCGCCCTTTGTGGTAACGATATTGTTTATTATTATTTGTTATTTTATATAACAATTGATTAGCTTAAATAAAATAATACTCTAAAGTTAATACAAGCAAGCGATGCTACATGATTAAGCACATCTGGTTAGAATAGCTATGTATGATATCTAAGCAGAAATATTATCGTTAGCATCAGATTACTAATAACTATTGCTTGCTATTTTATCAGAGTAATCTTAATTTATTCTGTCTTAGACACTTGATAGTAATGATACTATTATTAAATTTTGGAAGAACCATGCAGCAGTAATTAGCAACTTTAGCCTGACATACAATAGTTCTAAGGCAAATAACCACAGGAAATACTTTTTGCGTGCTTGTAATTAATCAATGTTGGAACAGATACGGTTTAGAGCTTCGATGGCTACAGAAGTTGCGGATGAAAGTGAGCAGTCTGTAAAAAAGCTAAAAGTGAATCAAAGAGAAGATAAAGATCAAATTGAAGAGAACGAAGAGCATGAGAAGATTGAAAAAACAATCTGGGATGAATGGAAAAAGTTTGTGCAAAGTTCTGAGATTGCTTTGAGCAGTTGGAATGCATTGAGGTAAATTGAATTGTCATAAGTATTAATTAGGTCAACAATAATAGTTTTATATTTGCGGATCTAGCCTTGAGAAGCATAATATTGTTTGGTGTGGAGAACTAACTCGTTGGTGTTTTTTCATGCCGGAGTCCTTATATACACGCACGATCCACTTAAAGTGCCAATTCCACAGGAATACCAAAACATATATAGGTCAATAATTGAAGCAGTAAGCCTAGGCTCTAAGCCGCATAGCTAAAATACTTGATGTTCCGATTTTAAAGTTTTTATTGTAGGAAAACATCCAGATAATGAAAGAGGGAATAAAGTTGCTACAAAATGCCGAAAGCGTTGATAATAAATAAGAGTTTTTAATAGATATGCTTAACATTTTGTGAGTTTTTTTTTTCTTTTAATTTGATCGAAATATATTATTAATTACACATAATAATGATTTTAGCTCTAAAACAGTTTTTCCCACTGAGGGTAAGACTCTTGTACATAGCAAAAGCTGTTTTAAATCTGATTCGTTATGGTCTGCATAACCAGCTGTAGCAACATATTTACGCACAAAAGGATATAAATCAATATTCTATACAGGAGAAGAAGAGTTTGAGACAATATCCAATGAGCTAGAGAAGGATAGACAAATTGATGGACGATTCAGATATTATGCTGATGGAATTCTAAGAATAAATAAACTCGAAGTGTTAATAATAGAGGTATCGTCTGCCTATGATAAGGCAACAAATGTAAAATTCGCCTTTGATCATTACAAAGGCATGTTCGGTGCATTGTCCGTTCTAAAGAATATTGCAAGTAGATATAAATATGCTACTTTTAATACTTCCAAGGAACTGAAAATACATTTTATACACGCTTATGGTAAAAAAAAAAAAAAAAAAAAAAAAAAAAAAAAAAAAAAAACTTCTCTAACATTTACTCATTGTTGATAGAATAAAAATAAGAAAAGACTTGGAAGTTCTGTTGTGCAAGAGTATGCAAATATGATTGATAATGTTGCAAATGAGGTATGTACAGAGTTCAAAAACAAAGAAGTTATGGTCACGCACCTTCCTTCCTTGTTGGTAGTCTTAAAGATCAAATTAAATCTCACAATTAACTAATTCTTATTTTCCTTATCAATACACTTTTTGATAATCCTTTTTTTTTTTTAAGTGCAAAAGATAAGGAAAGAGAAAACAGAAAAGACGAGTATGTGGAAACTCTGTATAGTTTATATGTTGTTTTTGCATGGTGAGTGATATTAATAGAAGTATGATTTAGATACATGAATACTAGTATAATAAAGTATTATGTGTAAATATTGTCTATAAATATATGGTAAGTCTTCATATTACCGGCGCAGTTCACTTGTAACTAACACTATGTCTTCTGATATCTAGATAATACTTTTTTACATGTACAGACTTTCAGCAACAAACAATATGTGTTTGTAAAGGGAAAGGTGCCTTTTGACGTTATATTTCAACGCTACCAATTCGTTTGTGAATCCTTTTTTTTTTTTTTTTTTGATTCTGTTAAAGATTTTAATAACATCATGGAAGTGCGTACTTTATTGTATTGTTCAATGTAGTTCATACTGTTAATTCTGAAGTGAGGAAAAGGGTGTCGTGAGCTAACCTTATAATGTTATATTTCTTATTTAAACAAGTAGAACATAGTATTATTATTCAAGAAATTTTATCTAAATTCTCTTGAAACTGTCGTGATTTACTTTATTAAATAATATTAAAAGCTTCTAACACTTCATTAACTGTAACATATTGTATTCGGTCGCTAACTAATACTTTTCTGATTCACATCTTATCTTAGACCTCTTTAACAATTCTTATAAAGAATGATTTTAAGCACAATATCAAGGAGACTAGGCTTATCAAATACCCCTTTGTGGGGAAATAGTAGTATTTTGTACAAATGAGATGCAAATTAGTTGCCTAAATAGGAAAAAGAAAGTTGATGAGAATATAAACAAAAAAATGAAAACAAAAGACATTTATTTTACTTACTTTTCTTTTCTTTAACATAAACACATTTCATATAGTCATAAAGAAGATGTAAAATTGACAACATTTTACTATTCTACACATTGTTACTTTTTATAAGAAAGAAAGAAAATTAAATAATGTAACTGTGTGTATGTGTGTGTATGTGTGTATTAAATGTGGGGTAACACATATTCTTATCGATTTCATATGATTGTGACTGTAATTTACAACAACGACCTCCTTATTCTTATAAAAAAGTAGATATTCAAAGTTATTTTTTCTTCTTTTTCTTCTTTATTATTATTATTTCTTCCATAGGTAAGTCATTAAATAATACTATTTTATTCTTCTTCTTCTTCCCTGCCCTAGGAGGAAATTCTTTTTCTCATGGTTACCACTTATGTACCGGGCTCTTGATGAGGAAGACACCCTATCTTGCCCTCCTTGAATTAGGAGGACATTGTAGGGTATCTTGTTGATTCAGAGGGCGTTACATATTGTGATCGCTATGGTTTTTCTAACCTCCTAGTAAAAATAAAAAAATACAAGAACAAAGAAGGTGCAACGAATCCTAGCCTCCACGCGGCCACCTTTGGACTGCAGTAAATATTATTATTTTTACTGTTGACGAATTGGGGATTCACTTTTTTTATATGAAATAAAAATGAAAATAAAATACAATAAATAAATATCTCTTTTTTTTACGCGTCTTTTAATAATCTTGTGCCTTCTTTAACTATTGTTTGTATAATAAAATATCTTTTTGCTCTAAATTGACTTTAAGAAGTATAAAAATAAGTAGAGAAGTTATAAAGTAATTAACATAAAAAATACAGGAAATATAAAATGTGGTGTAGTAGTGATTATTTAAACTATTAACTAATATCTTATCAGAGAAACTATCATGATTATTTTTCTTCCTTTACAATCACATTATTATTTTTTTAAATTAACTAAATATTAAAGATATTGAGTACTTATTAGAAAACTTGTATTTCTTTTATGTATACATATTTCCTTTTTTTTTTTTTTTTTTTGGTTCTAGTGAAGCTACTTCAAAATGGGGGTGGATATTTTAAGCAAGCTATATCGAATGTAGAAACAGTTTTTGATTCTTTTCTCAAGCGACCTATTTCTCAATGACAGTCATCAGCAAACGAAGGTAAATGATGTTCTAATGTCCCTTATTAATCTTCTTCTTTCTTTCTTTATTATGATAACGAGCATTACTTTGCACTAGATTTCTACTGAAAAGAAGTATGAGTATATTAACATCATTAGGATTATAAAAAAAAAGAATCTGCATATTTAATTGTTAAACGACTTTAATACCATTATTGAAATACAGTGTACATAAAAGAAAGAAAGAAAGAGAACGCTACAGCAAGAGTACTTTAAAGAAGATGTATTTGATATACCTAATAATAATGTAAATTTAACGTGCCAAAGAATTTAAGTGAGTTTGATATTTCTGCTATGCTCTCTAAGAGAAAGTAAACAAACATAATAAGTAGCCCATTACCTATCTATACGTATATACTTTTCGGTAATGACTATATGAACCTTTCTTTTTTTATCTTCTTTTCTAACAAGCATATGAAGCATGTTTGATCCAAACAATATGACAGAAATCAATCTAAATACGACGTGATATAATTAAGCTAATAAGATGACTAATCATTGTATGAAATGGACGCATGCAGTTAGCTTTTGTTATAACCAATTAGCAAATATTATTCGTGGTAACCCTTTTGAGAGAATAGACACTTTCAATAGCGGTAATGTGCACTTTGTTTCCTTTCTAAAAAAAATAATAATACATATTGTCATAAGCTGACTTATAATGCCATGTTCCTTGATTAAGCAAGTGGATCAAGGAATTCTATCTAGATTCCCCTGAAACTCTCTTGATCCACTCCATCAAACAATATTAAAACTTCTAACACTTCATTATCTATCTTTAACATATCTTATTTGGTCGTAACTAACATTTTTTTATTATTCGCATCTTATCTCAGACCTCTTTAACAATTCTTATAAATATTCATCAATTTAAATTCATAAATAAAAATGATTGGCTTTAGAACTATTGTTCGCTCTCATTGACTTTTTTTTTTTTTTTGTCTTTTTATTAATTTTATTTGATATTTTACAAGTAATATCACAGTTTTATCTATGATTTTAACAGTTAGGTGCTCATATAACAGAGTAATTCTATTTAGTATTGTCAGTAGAGTGTACAAACTTCTTTAAGTTTATAAAACATAAAGAAGTATAATGCATAAATAAGTCGAAGTCGATTTCCCTTTATATTATTTGTCCAGCTACTTTAAGTCTGGAATTTAAAAAGAAAGAGTAAATGACACTGACTATACCTTTTTATTTCGATGGTTGTTGTATTATTGTAAAAAAAAATGTTTGATGATGCGAGATTACAGCATATACATGCATAAAAGGAGAATTAAATTCCATGGTGAATATTTGCTACCAAAACTTCATTATACAAGACAAAGAACCTATGAAATGATGCCATATATTGTTAAAATAAGAGTATGGACGCATTTTAAGTTGCAAAAAAAAAAAAAAGGCAATTTTGATTTTTAATGTTTTCAGAACGAATTCTAACGTTAAAGCAAATATCATCCATTTCTGATTAATGTACACATAAGTTTCTAAAAAATAAGAATTGGGTATTTCTAATATGATGGATGCTGAAGCTTTTGATAAGTTCTTAATTACTAATCTCCATCAAACGAAGCTAAAATCCGTATAAAGTATGTAATTAATATGAATAATCCTATATTGAGTGAAGTCATTAAAGTTGTTTACCACACATATCAGGATAATTGACAAAAATTATAACAATAGTGTGAGTTCAAATAATGTGCATGGTAAATGTGATGGTATGGCTTAAAGAAGAGCAAAGAGAAAGAAGAAAAGAAAGAGAACAAAAGGACGTATAGTTTGAGACTTGTTTATTCAATGTAAAAAAGAATGATATAAAGACTATTTCGTGTCTACATAACTACTTGTATTTGTACTAATGAATCCTGAATCAAAGAAATAAAAATAACCGTCAAAGAATATGAGTCATGAAACAGGGTTAGTATTCGGATATACGTCTTGTTGATTCAAGAGACTGATGTATGGATTATCTATTGGGTGTTATAATGATCTGATCAAGTTTTAAATAAAAGATTTATTGTTTAATCTGAGTATATGTTCCTGATATCTTTTATGTTTTATTTTATTGGATCAAAGACGACCTGAATCCTTTGTCAAGGTTATAAAAATAAATATGTAGAAATGATACAATGTCTTATAATTGATATATCTAGACGATTGGATGTCAATAAGTTTTATATTATTTACAAGATGTTAAATTCAGAGTTTCATTCCATATTCAGGCTTATAATTTATCCTGTATTATGTAATTCATCTTTTATAATATTACTTATGTTTATATCCAGAGCTTGTTTTATAACAAAGATAATGAATAATAATAAAATATAAATATAACAAATTGTATCTGATAATAAAATTATAGAAGGAGAATGATGATTCAATTATTATAGATATATACATGTCTTTTATATATATTTTACTGTTATAGCTAATATGTGTACTCCGAGTGAAATCATTTATTACGTGTACTTGCATTATTCTTGATTTACTCCAGTTTAACTTAATATTCAGCCGAAGAAGATCTATTTTTAGATGTAGGAATTTTATTACTTGTTGTTGATAAGGTAGAGATAAAAAAAGAAGACAGAATAAATATGTGAAAACTTTGTATAAACTTTTATTATAAATTGAATAGGATAAAATTAATAAAAAAAAAAAAAAAAAAAAAAAAAAAAAAAAAAAAAAAAAAAAAAAAAAAAAAACTTGAATATCTAAAAAATGAGTGCAAAATGGATATTTATTTGTATCTTGTGGAGAACGGATTACTTCACGACAGGAACAGAATGAAAGAAGAATATTTCCCATAAAATCATTAAAGTTATGTTGTTTGAACTTTTTAGTCTTTGCCCTGATTGTGAATTAACCTCAGTTAACTCACTCTAATAAATATTAAATTATTTGTGCTCTATCTAGCCAGTTATTTTTCTTGAAATCGAATCATGAATGATATGGGGAAGATACTTTTTGATATAGATTTCTTGTATTATATATCCATTCCTCAATGTACTGCTTGAATGAATGATATTATATTGTATAGTGTTTAGATAGTACATGATTATATTTATAAATTAGTATATTAGATAGTAATCTCGATATATAACTAATAGGTACAATCTATAATTTATATATCTTTATCATTAATAACACTTTACATTATGTTTGGCTTATCATTATTTTGTAACGTTAGTATTTATTATAATATTATTTTTCTCATCACAAGAATGTCTTATAAACTGAAATCAAATAATATTGTATGCATAAAGTGTACAACTAATAACTATAATATCACTCGGTCCTTCATGGCTTTGATCTGTATATTATATTACGTAATACATCATTATATACACAACAATATGGTACTATCATTATCATTCTCTAGAATTTTATTACGTAACAATATTCAATATTATAGATGTATATATAATATGTATGACTTGTATAAATAATTATGTAATTGTACATAACAGTCATAATCCTATTGAATTCTTATTATTATATAATATGCTGCTTAAAATTATTTTTTTTCATACTCAAATACTCTAACAATGACTATTATTAAAACTGAATGTAGAATGAAGATATCATGTATGCTGCAAAGCACAACATACTAGTTTTATTTGAATAACATCTTTATTCTGTAAATAAATGATTGATGGTTTATTCCTATTAATTTAGTTGTATAGACGACTACATTCATAACGAATAGAAATTAATTCACCTCCCAAAATGTCACAATAACAAATTTGTTTACTTAACGTAGTCAATAAACTTATTATCAAAAGAGAAACCTCCTTTTTTTTAACATAGATGAAAGGAAAATCAAAATATATAATAATAAAATTTTACGCCTAAAGGATGATGTCACACCCTAGCTCGTGACGTCATCAATTTTTTGTGAAATGTGTATATGATTTTTTTATTGATTTCCTTTTACGGAAATAGCCTTCTTGGCTCAGTTGGCAGAGCGTCTGCCTAGTAAGCAGAAGGTCGCCAGTTCGATTCTGGCAGAAGGCATTTTTTATAATTTTTTGGTAATTTTGAAAAACTTATCAAATGGAAGTAGTAGTGTTGTCATCGTCGTTGTCATTATTATTATTATTTGTTTGTTATTTATTTAAACAAATATAATATTAAAGTATAAGTTTTATCAATGGGTAGAAGAGAAAAGGATGATGATTATTGATAATATCTTTAGATCTTCAAGTAAATTTAGTTAACGTTAAATAAAGTTCTATGTATCTGCCATTATGTTAAAATGTGGTAACAGTAGCAGTAATAAGATGAATTATAAAAAAGGATATTTTTTCATGATTTCTCTCTTAAGAGTTTAAAAAAAAAAGTGTTGTCTATTCTTTGCTACATAGAATAAAATTTATTCCAATAATATATATAAAAGAAACAGAGGTTATATACGTGGGATACTTTTAGTATTGTCGAGGGAAAAAAAAAAACAATATATTCGTAATAATAGGATTTACATACTTATGCTACAATGTCTAAAGAAATACAGCAAAACAAATATATAAACAATTATATTTGATGAAGTAAATAGTTTCTGAATTTAACAGTTTGTTTAATAAGAAGTTAAATCTGATGATTGATTTTTTCTATCAATGGTAAATATCGTATTCATTGGATAATAGTAAAGCAATATACGCTAATAATGGAATATAAACCCCCTCCCCGAAATATGTATTCAGAAGCTGTATTCTTGTACATTAGAAGTTCCTATAATATGATATAGTGTTTATAATTAACTACAAGGTATATGTGTATGTGGAAATACATAAAGTTATTATTGGTTTGTTAAATCTTTAAATACTATCATTTCTATTAAATGTATACATGTATTTTTTTTTTCAATCATTATATAGAAACTCGATGTTAAAATATTTTATTAATAAATCTCTTTATGCAAGGCACATATGGTTAAGAACATTACAAACTTATAATAAATGCTACTGCTACTTTAGGAAGAGCTTACATTATTGTAGTACAATTTAGGGTATCATTAAATGTAAATTATGCTTCTTTTGTTTTTTTTTTTTTTTTTTTTTTTTTTTTTTTTTTTTGTTTTTTCTTAACTTATTTACGTGAAGAACCTTCACCATTAACATTAGTTTCTAAACTAGAAGGTAAAGGACCACCACGTAAAAGGTAAATCATTTCTTCAAGACGTAAACGACCCGATTGTCCTATTGAACCCTCGCCAAAAACACCATCCGCGATTTGCTATAGTTATATTACGTTAGTAAACTTTTTTAATATGCTATAATAATCAGTATATTACCTGCTTCTTATTTTGTAGTTCTAAAATACGATCCTCTACAGTGTTGTTGATAAAAATTCTATGGACATCAACTGCTTTTGTTTGTCCAATACGATGAACACGATCAATGGCTTGATTTTCAAGTGCAGGATTCCACCACACATCCATTAAGATAACTCGATTAGCACATGTTAAATTTAAGCCCAAAGAACCGCACTTGGTTGAGACCAGCAAAACCTTGTATTGAGGGTCCTCAAAAAATTTATTCACTGTTTCTGCACGATGTTTAATATCCATAGAACCATCATATCTTAAATATTTATGACCACGGTCTTTTAAAGGTTTATCTAATAAATCAAGCTGCAAATAATATTAATATACAAAACAAAATATAAGCACATACACACACACACACACACATATATATATATATATATGTTATACGTACAAACGCGGTAAATTGAGAAAATATAATTGTCTTATCTTCTCCATTCGTATTAGTAGCAGTTTGATCCAAGATCTGTAGCATTTTATCGATTTTGGCACTAGAAATAAACTCTTTTACTTTTGCTTCAGCTTTTTTTTCTTCAGCTTCTTCATCCAAATCATCTTCAGCTTCTTTTAAAAGATGTGGGGCATGAACCTTTACAAAGACCTCTACTGGAATAGCGCTTTGCTTATTCATTTCACCACGACAATGTGGACAACGCTTATCTACATCAACTTCTACGGTCAAAAAATTATCAAGACATTCTCTACAAAGGATATGACCACATCCTTTAAGAATCATTGCGTTTTCAGCGGTATCCATACAAATAGGACATTCTACACTATTGATAGGATTATCTGGTCTCAACAAACGTTCTACAACTTCTGGTTTCATTTTCTTTGCGACTTGAATTTGTGTATCTTCATTTACTGCAATGCCAGGATCTCCTTCAGTTAGTGTTAAACTGGGATGCAAACACGCTTGTCGAAGTCTTAACAATAACACCAAGACGGAGGAGTAATTTTTCATAACAGTTCCTGATTGAATATATCTATTCAAACGCGCTTGAGCTCGTTTATCAACAAAGTCATAATGTATACGTTCATCAGGCGAGAAATCAATATGTGTCATGTGGATATTACGTGCTGGCAAGTCCAAAATAGGTCGACCATCAACCATAGCCTTCTTAGAACGACGAAGAGCGATTGCTTTCATGAGGACAGAGGTTACTTTAATTGCCTTATGATGATTACCAGACTTCATTGGCTTAAGAATTGTGTCACGGAACTCTTCCCATTCACAGAAGGGTCTTATACGAAGAAACTTAATCAATGAATAAAGCTCTTCAATTTTATTTTGTATAGGATTAGCTGTCATACACCAACGGTAAGTTGCTTCAACTTGGCAACTAAATTGTGATAAGAAAAAAAAAGTTAATCTAATAAATCAATAACAATACTAATAATAAAAGAAGTATTACCATCCACGAGCAGAGAGTGTATTTCTATTTTTAATCGTATGTGCTTCATCTAGTATAATTCTATGAAACTTTACTTTAGAAATGGGACCTTTGCAATTCTCATGGAAATTGGTGGCAGTAACAGCATACGAAGATATAATGACTAAAAAATAAGAAGAAGAAAAAAAAATAAGTAAAACTTTGAAAGTCAATATATATATATATATATATAAATACCATCATATTGAGCAAAATCGTATGGATTGTTTGTTCTATTAGCACCATGAAATACTAATACTTTTAGTTTAGGGTTAGTTTTTTGTTCAATCTCTCTACGCCATTGATCCATTAAGGAAACGGGGCATACAATTAAAGTAGCTTTTACAAGTAGCTCGCCTTCAACTACAGTGATCCTTTTGCTACCAATCTTAGAAGCAGGAACTACAGTAGGGTTAGGGCAAGGCCTTTCAACTATGGTTGCTAAGGCTTGAATTGTCTAATAAATTTAAATTTGTTAAATTTTAACTTGTACTGATAAAATTATATGTATACTTTACCTTTCCAAGACCCATATCATCAGCTAAAATACCACCTTTATTACTTGAATTTTCCATTTTAATCATCCATTGAAGCCCAATTTTTTGATGTTCCATTAAGTTAATAGAAAGACCATTAGGTGTTCCTGCTCTGTCTTGTGGTGGTGGATCATCATCACTAATGTTCTCCAATAACTCACGTAGTTCTTTTTCAATCTCTTCAGGAGGAACATAAATGTTTTTGCGGTTTTGTATCGAATAATATTGACTAGCGATGGAAGCCATATGTGTTGATTGAATATCCAAAGGAAATGGTATATTGTTATTAGTCGTCATTCTAAAGTGACCACGACTGTTGTTAAATTCTCTAGTGGTCCAAGGCACATGACTTAAATAATCGACTAAACGTGCATCTTCTTCTTCATCATCGTTATTATCTTCATCACTATCATAAATCAAGTTACTATGATGAAGATCAGAATATGTTAAACGAATAGGAAGAGCGTCGTCATCTTTTGTTAAGTCAATTAAATCAACATCATCAGGAATTTCAATAGGCTCTTTGCCCTTTAATGTTTTTTGTCGTTTGTTTATACTTTCTTCTCTAGTAGATTCAAGTCCTCTTTTAGAAGAAGGACCAGCTACAGTTTCTGGGCGCGGCATGATAGATTGTGAGAAAGCTGAAGGGGAGCTGATTTGAGAAGTAATAACGGATGAAGATGTTTCAGAAGAAGAAGAGCTTAAATCAAAAGCATACTGACTTTGAAGCTGCTGTGCAATTTCAGCATTTCTCTGGTTTTCTCTTTCAAGTCTTTCTACAAGGCTTCTTTGAGCTTTGATTTCGTCAATGTTAATACCTAACTGAGAAAGTTCTTCAGGATTTTCGAGACCAGCTTCAATAAAAAAGGCAAAGGTATCATCGTCTAATACTATGCTATTTTCAATGCTTGAGCCAGGTAATGTACGATTAGTAGAATCATTTCCTCTGTTGTCAGTATCATTGATAAAGTTATACTCTTCTTCAGTTAAATCAAGTAACATACTCGATTCACTCTGAGGGCTAATGATTAAGGTATTAACTTCATCTGATTGTACATTGACTGAAGATTGATCTGATAAGTCAATCAAATCCACATCATTATTAAGATTTACAGTTTCATGATCAGAAATGGTCATTTTAATTTAAATTATGCTATTTGTTATGGTCTTTTCTATTTGATAAGAAAAAAAAAACAATAAGATAAATAAAAGAAAAAGGAGTAACCTATTTGTTTTGTTTTGCCTTTTTTTTTTTAAGGACTAAAGAAAATAAATAAATAAAATTCCACAGTTGATAAGGAAAAAAAAAATCTTAGTGGATCAATTTTAAAACGTTTTTTTTTTTTTTTTTTTTTTTTTTTTTTTTTTTTTTTAAAAAAAAAAAAAACAATTATAATATTTATTTTATCAGGCACATAATACTTCTTTATACAGAAACAATCTTTTCAAAACAAGGAATCTTTTATTCTATTTTTGTTATCATGAGTTGTTTATAACAATAAATTTAAGTAATCATTACTTGACCACTAAGGTATGCATTAAATCTTAAATCCAAGCTCAATTAAAGAAGCATATGATACTTACTTTACTTCCTTAACCTTTATACTATGTTGTTGATCATCTTCAATAGCAGATATACCCATTTGTCTTTTATTTTTTAAGGAGTAAAATTAAATAAATAAATGTACAAATAACAACTTTTTTATTTATTATTTGTTTGTATACCTTATTCTGAAATATTTATCACTTTATCCTCTATTAGCTACACAAACTATAGGGTCCCTTACTTGAATATCTTTTGGAATCCAAAAAGCTGACATACTATGTGTAGAAATTATTTCGTTTTTTGCTACTGAGGTCTTTCCTAAATTGAATAGTTACTTTGCTTATGCTTTCCAAATCGTTCTTCAAGTGATTGACTAGGGATCTTTATTAAAGATGCATGGAGTGCATAAATTAACTGAGCTGCAGGTGTAGCAAAATATACTTCCTTATTTGCTTCATAAGCTTGCATAACTGTATATATAAATATATAAATATTGATGTATATGAATATTCATATTTGTTTTATTATAATCAAAAGAATATTTTTTTTCTTACCAGGAAGCCATTTAGTCCAATTGGAATAGTAAGAACGGATTAGTGTTTTTTTTTGATCTTGAACAGTTTGAAGGGCATCTTGACTAACTATAATAATCGAAAGGCCTGTTGAAGAGCCAAGACCCTTTTGTGAACCTGTAATAACAACGTCCAGGTTCCATTTCACCATTTCACTGAGGGACTTAATATCAAATAAGACACCTGTGCTAAATGCTGCTAATTATATTAATTAGTGTATAAAGCTTGTACTTATTGTTATTATTATAATAATAATGTATTACATACGATGTGTCCACATGAGTAACAGCAACAGATTTATAACTTGTTTTAGTTAGAGCTTCTTTAATAACGTCTTGAGAACGATAAGAACCAATATTTATTGTCAATAAAGTTATATTTGCGCCATAAATCCTAAGACTATATGAGCATATTAAATATACTTCAGAATAACAATAGTAGTAATATATATATATCAATGGGCAAAATGGACAGCAAAATATTCTGTAGTTAGAATAAGCACTTCAACTAAGTTCACCATCATATCCCAACCAAGACTGCTTGAACCGGAAACGATAAATGGTTGTCCAGTTTCAGTCAAATGTAGTTTACGTGTCATAGTAATTGTTTCACCAAATACAGAAGCAAATTCAAAAGACATGTGATATATAGAAGGTGTAGACATGGCAAACAGAACATCGTCATGACATTTTACAGGACCTGACACTATATATAGCTTACGCTCATCCTTTGTCATTTTATAAAAGACCTAGGACAATGATGATCCAGCTATACTATAAAATATATACAAATATAAACAAACAAAAAGCTATTCAATAGAGCAAATACGTGTGTCATTTGATATATAGCGTACATACCTTATCATTCTAGAGGGATAGACCTTCCTTATCTTAAAATATGTATCAAAGGTTTATTTTAATATACAAACTTTAAGTTTGAAATATGTCTTCCTTTTACATATACATATATACTTCCAAATAAAAATTAATTTGTATACAGGTTTACAGCAAGCGATTTTGAGTAATCAAAATAATCATAAATGGATATGCTTTATCAATATACAATAGACATAAGTATTTCATTTAGGAGAGCTATCATGCTATTTCCTAACTTATAAAGTAGCCTACTTATCAGCTTATAATTACAATTGATAATATGTTAAGCAATTTATGCAATTGAATTCCATGTTTATCATAGTAGATTGTATAGTCTTTCAATAATAAGGATTATTAGAGAGAGAGAGAGAGAGAGAGAAAATAACTATTATATTATTACACCATTCTTCTTCGTATGTTTTATAGAATTTATAGTGAGTAATCTTTTTCTAGCTACCTTTTCTTAAACAAACTATCTGTACAAGGAATACTAACATCACATGGTATAAAACATTATACCAAATAACAAAAAATAAACTAAAATAAACAGAACAAAAAACAATAACTTCCCATAACATAAATGTCATATATCACATTTCCAATAAACACAGCCTTACATAAAAATACTTTTTTTTTTTTTTTTTTTTGAAAAATATTTTTTTTATTAATATTTACTCATTAAACAGTGAAGTTCTTTAGATGAAACCAATCTAAAAAAAAATAATATAATTTTAATATCAAAATACACTTTTAAACTATATTATTTTTTCTATTTACCTTGTTGGCAACGTCCAAAGCATCAACATCAGCAGTCAAACGAACGAAGGCCTTCTTGTAACCATCGGGTCTATTAGAAAAAAAAAAAAGACAAAATAATTAATATGTGTATATAAAAAAAAGTAACTATCTTATATTAAAATATACCTAATGAGAGTGTTAACAGAGGCGGCTTCAACATCATAGAGACGCTTAACAGCATCCTTGATTTGGTTCTTGTTAGCCTTAACATCAACAATGAAGGTCAAAGTGTTGTGATCCTCAATCTTCTTCATGGCAGTTTCAGTGTTAAGAGGTTGACGGATGACACGATATTGATCCATACGAGGAGCATGGGCAACAGACTTACGAGGATACTTGGGAGCGCTCTTCAAAGACAAAGTCTTGGGGCGGTGGAAGTGGGTAGTAGTACGAATCTTACGGACAGCCTTACCGTGGACACCCTTGAGGGCGGCCTTCTTGGCAGCGAGAGCCTTGTTCTGAGAAGCTAATTACAAGAAAAAGAATAATCTAGTATTAATATTATTTCTCGTCTTTTTTTTTTTTTTTGAATAGTCGAAATAAAACATCAATCACAATCATCAAAAAGAATCGACCATTTCTCTTTCTCTCCTTCTTTTTTTTTTATTCCCAATCTTTTTTTTTTTTTTAATCGAGTATATCAATCTAGGTTAATTATCCATCCATTTCATTTTCGTTAAAGCAAGAGGTCGTCTTGATCGATATTTTCATTTGATGCTTACTGATTGATGTTTTTTATCGACATCTTTTTTATATATTTCCTTATTGATATTTACCAGCCATTGTAATTGTTCAGAAGGAAAAAGAGACCGTATACAGCTTTGCCAGATTTTGCTCACTGTAAGTATGATTTCAGTCGGACTCAATAGTGATTACATAATTGGGGAAATGTTTGACCGAACAAGCTTTAAAAAAAATTCGGACCGGACATATTTATTTTATAATAATAGCATTTATTTTTTTATTATGTAAAAATATAAAATATTATATACAATTATACATATTTATAGATATTAATTTGATATGTCAACTAATTCATGCTTTAATCTAGCCAAATTCATCAAGTTATCAAATTCACCCGAATTACGACACATCTTATAGAAGGAAGATTCAGGATTATTAATTAATGTTAAAGGGCTATCAAATTCTATAACTTTTCCTTGATCTAATACCAAAATACGATCATACTCAATAACAGTATGTAAACGATGAGCAATACATAAAATAGTAGAGTCTGCAAACTCAGTAGAAATTGTTTTTTGAATTGCTTTATCAGTTTCAAAATCAACACTTGCAGTAGCTTCATCCATGAGTACGATACGACTGCGTTTCAAAAGAGCACGAGCAAGACATAGTAATTGTCTTTGGCCTTGAGAAAAGTTTTTACCTCCTTCCGTAACAGGCGTATCCAAATCCTTGAAGACATTAGCATTCACTTCATTTAATGTTGATTCAGAATCAGCAGTCGCGCTAGTGACTGAACGTTCATCTCCTTCTTTAGGTAATAAATGAACACGACGTAAAGCTGCAAAGATATTTTCATCTGTAAATTGGTCAAAAGGATCCATGTTAGAACGAAGTGAACCAGAGAATAGAGTAGGGTCTTGAGGAATAATGGTCAAATTAGATCTTAGATCTTCTGTACCAAGATCTCTAATATCAATTCCATCAATAACAATAGCTCCCTTAGATGCTTCAACAAATCTAAAGAAAGATAAAGCAAGCGTTGATTTACCGCTACCTGTCCTACCAACTATACCAACTTTTTCTTGAGGCCTGACAGAAAATGAAATCCCCTTCAAGACAGGATCAAGATCAGCAGCATATCTGATTTCCAGATCTGTGACTTCAATTTTGCCACTTGTAGGCCATTCAGCAGGAGCTCTTATTTGGGTAATAGCAGGTGCTTCTTGATTCATTTCCATAAATTCGACAACACGCTCTACTGCGTTAAAGCTCATTTCTAAACTAGTATAACGACGAATACCCCAAAACATCTAACAAAAAATAAAATATTAATATCTTTTATTTATTTTATTTACAAATTTTCTCTCTCTCTCTCTCTCTCTCTCTCTCTTTTTTTTTTTTTTTTTTTTTTTTTTTTTTTTTTTTTTTTTTTTTTAAATACCTGATCTGTAAATAACAAGACGAAACTAAGGCAGAAACCAGCAAGAGCAGAATCTAGTCTATCGATATTAAGTAAGATAATGGCACCAGTGAATGAGTTGATAACGGCACCTGTAAAAGCGTATCTAACACTAACCCAGCGATTTACTAACCATGTAAAGTAATAAGGACGGGCATTATCATCAATGTATTTCAACATCTGTTGCAAAAATTGACGCGTAGCACCAAAGGCACGAATTGTAGATACACCAATAATTGTTTCGGTAAAATGACTAAACAAAGGTGAACGACTGACAGAATCCATACGTTTCAATTCACGAGAAGTAGAAACAAACATGATACCCAGCCAAATATTAATAACAACAATGATTAGCATAGGAAATATAAAAACAGGTAGGACAGCAGAAACAGTTAACATACTTGAGAAAACAATTATCCATTGGATAATGAAGTTCAATACATCATTAGGAATGCTTGAATCAATAGTCTCAAAATCTTTAGAGAATCGATTCAAGATACGACCGATAGGTGTAGTGTCAAAGAAACGAAGAGGAGCTCGGAAGACACGATGCAAGAGTTCGGCATAAAGTAATTTATTAGCTCGAAGAACACCCCAATAAAGAACGGCAAAACGAGCAGCACCAACAACAATATTAGTCATCGTGATTAAGCAATAAACTCCCATGTAAAAGTTTAGAGAATCATCCTTTGAATCTTTTATACTCATTTCAAGGTCATTTGAGTTATTGATGACTGACAAAGATCGATAGGCGTACACAGGTTTAGATTGTGAAATCATGCTTTGTTGTTGAAGGGTAAAGTCACCATCAATAGCATTGCTTTCAGTTTCATAAGACTGAGACCATTTCTTGATCCACCAACTTTCTGTTATATCCAAAACACGAGAGCCCATAATCAAAATAACCATAAAAGCCCAGAAAAAGGGACTGCCTACCATGTTAATGTACATTTTATAAAGTCTCAGCTTGACCATACCAAAGGCACGAGTCTCTTCTTCAACAAGTACACGTGGTTTCTTTTGATTAACATCATTATCATCTGTAGCAGGTAATGTGTTCTCAATTGCCTCTTCTTCAGCTGAAATTTCTTCGACAATTTCCTCTTCTTCACTTTCAAAAATAGAGGCAAGTTTACCAGATTGACGTAATTCACTTGGTGTACCTATAACATCTACAGAGCCATTATCAATATGTACAATATAACCACAACCCTTGGCACAAAGTTTAACATGATGAGTAATCAAAATACGTGTACGGGTTTTCATTAAGGGCCCTAATAAGCATTTCTCATATAGATGCTTAGCCGTGTGGGCTTGTATATGATGTTAGTACCGAATGATAATTATAAAAAAGAAAAAAAAAGAAAAAAAAAAAGAAAAAAAAAGAAAAAATACGACAAAAAAATAAAATAAATATTCATACCATCAACAGCACTTAATACATCATCCATCAACACATTTTGGGCGCGAGAATATACAGCTCTAGCTAAAGACACACGTGCCTTTTGACCACCCGAAAGTGTAATACCTTTTTCACCAATTTCAGTTTGATCACCATCCTCTAAAATTTTAAGATCTTTATCTAAAGCACAAGCATATAATGTTTCACGATATCTTGATTCAATATAAGGCAAACCAAACAAAATATTATCACGAATAGAGGCATTCTGTAGCCATGAAGTCTGTGAGACAAAGGCTAGTGCATAAGGTAATAACCAATCTTTCGGATCAATATCTTTAGATAATAAAGCAAAATCATCAGAGACAGTATCAGCCACAGCTTGACGAGGACAATGGGTTCTACCTTCAAGGACAATGGCCTCTCCTAGTAAACTTAGCATCATTAAAGTTTTTCCTGAACCTGTAGATCCACTAATTAGACTAAGTTCATTATTTGGAAATGTAAAGTTTAAATCTTTCAAAATAAATTGGCCATTATTGGAACCATCTGCTGTTACATCCCGATTTTCATTATCAGTATATGCTTGCTGACTCCAGCCAACAGTTGCATGCTCAAAGCCAATAGTAATAGCGTTAGCATTGCTATTATCAAGATGGTTTTCTTCATATTGATTTGTGACAGGTTCAACTTCGTCTTCATTCAAGTAAGCATCAATTCGTCTAATACTAATAAGAGCTTGTAGCCATTCAATAAAAACTTCTGGTAAGATATTCAAAGCAAATCTTAACTCATTAAAGACAGTGATAGCAGTAAAAGCAATAGGTGCTGTTAATTGTTGACCTTCTAATTTTGTAAACGACCAAAATGAAACCAAAGTGACCAGAATGGGAGATCCCTGCCACAAAAAGGTAAACAAAACATCTGATAAATAGGTGATACCCAAATGATGAAGTTCAACTTCTCTTGCTTCCATAATACGTTTTTCCCAATTTGTTTCCCAAGCAAAAAATTTAATTTGTCGAATGCCTTGAAGGACTTCATTCATAAGGGAAACACGCTTATCACGCGATTCCATTAGTTTGTCTTGAGTTTTAGCAAAGATTTTAGCATTATAATGGTTTATAGGCAAGACGACGATCATTGCCAAAAGGCCCAGAAAACATGATTTACCCAACAGTTTGTATAAAAAATAAATACCAACCACTAACTCAACAGGAGCGGATATAACGGAGAACCACCATACACTAAATTCTGAGATACGGTTGGAGTCTGTACTCATCAAGTTGACAATCATACCAGTAGACGAACTTGCATCTTCTTTTGGTTTAACTTCACTTGAATTTTCCTTATTATCCTCGTTATTTTTCATATTTTCATCATCATCAAATTTGGGTGAAGCCACAGCCAAGTCACGACGACGTAAAGTTTTGCGATAAATTTCGATATTTAACATTGCTTTAATACGTACTTGAACAGAAGAAGAAGCTATTATTATAGAATAATGATGAGATAACTTATTGGATACTAAATAATTTTACGTTTTTTTTTTTTTACCATAATACCATAGTTGACCAGTAAGGATACCTAAAATAAAAATAGAAGCACCTAAGCTAATAACAGTAACAAAACCTTTTTCAATGAGTCCTCTATCTTGACCATGATTTATACTTTGAATCAACAATAAAAGCTGATTAACGAAATAAGCGGGCACATAATATAAACAAGAAGTAATAAAAGCTAGAATAACTTGAATGATAATAGCTTTCTTATTTGCTCTATAAATACGTTTAAGTAAGCTATTTCCTCGCGAAGAACCAAAGATGTAATAAAGGTTATAACCTCTGAAAAGAGGAGGTAAAATAGGCAAATCTTCTTCTGTCAACTTTTTGTTTTTATAAGCAGTTTTAATTAAAGGGGTAGCCCATTGAAAATAAAGAATCGAAAAAATAGAGGCTACATTAATGTTTGCTACTTGTTTACCATGCTCATCTACGAATGGTTGACCACGTTGTGCTGTAGCGGTTGTGTAAACAAGATCTGTACTTAAAAAGAAAGTTAAAGTATAAGGTAGCATATGAAGCCAGCTATCAGTAGGATTTAAAGTATAGGCTTCATACAAGTCATAGACCGAAATGCACCACGCAGAGGTATATAAGATACATAAATGAACGTTCAGAATCCATCCCCATTTGTTAGGAAATTTGTAGCGATGAGAAACAAGCACCAGCACAAAAGTATACAGCCAGGTAATAAGCTGAATGCATGCAGAAACAGTTGTTAACCAATTCTCGGGATGTTGAACAATAACATTATCATAAAGACTCAAAGCAGATAAAATTAATAGAATAGAAGTACTGAATGTAGTTCTTGTTAGTCGATTTGTGTCGTTTGATATTAGAACAGTTAAATCGCGATCTTGATCGAAACGAAGTGGTGCAGGATCCTTTTTTTGTGTCTTGTGTAGATGAACACGCTGAAGTGACAGTACAAATGCGCTTGTACATGATATAAGTGCTAAAGCACTAGATAGACATGTACGTATTAATATACTATCTGTCATTATTTTGATAGTATAAGATTAAAAAAAAAAAGAAAGGCTTTTTTTTTATTTGATTTTTCATAATTACTGCGGCTAAAGTTTTTCCTTTTTTTAATTTAATGCTGCGCCATTATGCCAGTAAAATAACAAACAATTGTGCATTTCAAAAATTATGAGCAAAAACAAAGTTTTCTAATAGTTAAAGTAATCACATTATGCTAAAGGGTTAAATAGCTCTGTCTTTTTTTTTTTTTTTTTTTTTTTTTTTTTTTTTCAGATAAATAATATAGTCTTATATATTTATTCAGCTTTATATTATAAGCGGCTTCTTTAATTTGGTTAGCTGTCATAATATTATCTTCCTTGAGTATTTTGATAAATGATTACAAACATATTCTTTAACTCAAAAAACGATTATAGACTTGATTTTTTTATTAATTTAACTGTATCAAGAAATTAAAGCTGATAATCATAGTGATTCTCTAGATACTACAGTAGCTTTTGCTTTAAATATACATATTTTATAAGACCCAGGGAAATTGAACAGCCGATCCATTATATAATATAACTTTTTTAGTCAGAATAGGTTATTTAAGAAAATTGTTAGTATCGAAGTACATGAATTAACAAAGTTATATCATTAAAGACAATAAATACGTTTTCTTTCACACATTTAATCAAATCTTTGATGCCGAGTTTATATCCTTTATGTTAACATTGAAAAGTTTGTTAGCTCTAAATAGACAACATGCTTTACAAGCTGCAACTATTTTAGCATATTTACAATTAATTAACTAAATGAATAAATGAACGGCCCTACTTATTTTTATTCTATCTAATATATTCTTTAATTATTCAACCACATTACCAGGTATTGATAAGTTATAGTCACCAGACAAAATAAGTACTTTATTACAAAAGAAATAGCAAGTAATTGGTCAATTTTTTTATTTTTTTTTATTTTATTTATTTTTTTACAAGTCTTATTTCTAGTATCCAATCTTCTATTACTCCAAAAAAAAAAAAAAACGAGGTGTATAAACAATTATTTTATACTTACTATTACCTGCTTTCTGTCGATATACTGTTGAATAATTACAAAACTACAACTAATAGGCCATCTATACACTATATGTATGTATGTGTATTATATTTCCAACTATGCCAGCGCTTAATCTTATCAATCATTATATAAGATTTTCTCCTCTTTTTTTATTTTTTTTTCTTTTTTTGTACTTGATCTGCGCAAGTTTAATTCTTAATAAAAAAAATTTTATTTTACTGAAAATTTAAAACCTACTCATATATTCTTATATTTGTATGAAAAACAATTCAAATACTAATATTTCTATTGTTACTTGATAGTTTTTATGGTTGTAAATACATTTACCATGGATATAAATTGTGCAGTTTAGTGCCAACTCTTTTATATATTACCCAATAATTTTTAAATGGAGAATTCCTTAAGAAAACGCTTTATCTGCTGCTGTGTTTTAAAGAAATAATAATATTAATATTGAATTGGTGTTAAACACAAATTTCATCATTGTCATTAAACCCGTGACTAACTAAAATCTAATATCATTTAATCAAGTGCCACTTAAAAAATATACATACACACACACACATATAAATGTATGTCTATATATAAATGCTATTGAAATCAAATTGTTGTAAAACTTTTCTTTTTCCGATTACATTTTAAGGAAAAAAAAAAAAAAGGAAAAGAAAAAGAAAAAGAAAGAATGCATACTAGTCTTGAAAATAACAGGACAACAGAGACAACTTCTTTATTGTATAATCGTCAATCGTCTTTACAAAACAGAAGGCACTACACAGAAAGCCCTTTAACAATACCTTTACCTTCTCCTTATCGAGAAGGTGAACAGCAAATTGCAACACATCCTACTACAACACCAACCAATAGCAGTCGCTTTAAATGGTTCAATAAACGTTCAGGATCTTATGATGAAGATAGACTAGGATTAGTTAGGGAAAACACTGGTATTCGAGTTTGGAGTGAGTCTTATTCTAGTATAGGTAATAAATATATATATATATAAACTATCATTTAGATTTTACATATGTAATTGATTCTTTATATCATAGATTGGATTCATGATAGAATTAAAGAGGGTGTTAGAAAAAGAAAATTACAAGAAGTATCCGGTTTAAGAGGACGATTGTTAAAAACAAATGATGCATTGCAGGCATGGCTTTTAGTCATTCTTGTAGGTACTGTTGTAGCTGCTATTGCCTGGTTTATAGACGTAGTTCAAGAATGGATGTCTGATCTCAAGCAAGGATATTGCACAACTAATTGGAGGTTAAATAGCAATTTTTGTTGCTGGGAAAATAATGGTACCTTGAAGCGATGTTACATAATGGATTTTGATATATAATCCTTTTTTTTTTCTCTTCTTAGAGACATGTCATGCATGGAAAACTTGGCCAGAAGTATTTGGCGTTGAAGATGAAGAATTAAGTTATTATGTAGCCATGCTTATGTATACTGTATTTGGTGTAAGTAGTATTAAAATATAATTAGTAGTAATACATTAACTTGATATATGTATACACATATATTTATGTTAGTTGTTGTTTTCATTAATTGCCGCATTAATGGTCAAATTTACAGCAGAGAAAGTTAAAACCCATCATACTGCATATAAGCCAGTACCTTTCTCGAAAACACCTTCTATCACTTCTATTCCCTGTGATACTGCATATTTGTCAAGTTGTGAGCCAGATAAAAAAGATGAAGTAATTCAATCTTCAAAGAATGAAGCAAAGGTTGCGTATTATAGTGCAGGCTCAGGGATTCCTGAAGTAAAAGTTATTCTGGGAGGCTTTGTAATCAAGGGATTCTTGGGCATAAAAACGCTCATTGTTAAGAGTATTGGCATGGTACATACATCATATTAGTTTGCTTTACTTTATTTAAGCTAACTTTGTTTATAATAATAATAATAATAGATTTTTTCAACATCAGCAGGCTTGACGGTGGGAAAAGAAGGCCCTTTTGTTCACTTGGCATGCTCAGCAGGAAACATTGCATGCCGTTTATTTCCAAAGTATAATAAAAATGAGAGTAATTTTTATTTTATTTTAGAATTGTTAATTTGTGAGATAGATCATGAACACAGATATTTAATTTTTTTTTCTTTTATAGGTAAGCGAAGAGAAATTTTATCTGCATCAGCAGCAGCAGGTGTAGCTGTTGCATTTGGTGCACCTATTGGGGGTGTACTTTTTAGCTTAGAAGAAGTTAGCTATTATTTCCCCATGAAAACTATGATTAGAAGTTATTGTTGTGCTGCTGTAGCTGCAATTGTGCTCAAGGTATATCTAACATATAGACTTCATTATTATTATTATCATTGAGTTTCTTTTTCTTTTTTCTTTTTTTTTCTGGATAAATAACAGATTACAGATCCATTTGGTACAGGAAAGATAGTTTTATATCAAGTCTCATATGATAAAGATTATCATTTATTCGAGCTGATTCCAATGATTATCTGTGGCGCGTTTGCGGTATATTCATATACTCAATAATATAATTATATTGCAAACTCATACTTTTAATTTATATATAATAGGGTTTTTTTGGTGCATTTACAACTTTTTTTAATATCAAATTTCAACATTTAAGACGTTCTACTTTTATTGGAAGGTATCCAATTATTGAAGTGTTGTGTATCATGCTTGTTACAGCTATTATTAGTTTTTGGAATCCCTTTTCAAGGTATGTTGCATTAGATCCCTATCATTTCTTATTATCAATTAAGCAGAAATGATTCATATCTTTTACAATAGAATGAGTCTTAATGAATTTGCAGCTCAATTATTTTCAGAATGCTCATCCACAAATGATAATGGTGGTCTTTGCGCGTAAGTTTCGATTATGATGTACATATCTACACTTGTATTTTTTTGATCTAAAATATCGTTGTACAGTTATACTACAGGAGAAATTCCAAGACTGCTTTATTTACTTATTACAGCACTAATTATTAAAATGGCACTTACAATCGTCACATTTGGTTGTTCTGTTCCTGGAGGTATATTCTTACCTAGCTTAATTATTGGTGCCATTACAGGAAGAATTATAGGCCTTATCATGCAATATGTAACATTATCTTATCCAAGCTTGTTTCCAGCGTGTGCTTACGATTTAGAAACACGTGGTGAATGCATCATTCCTGGAGTTTATGCCCTTGTTGGTGCTGCAGCTGGTTTAGCAGGCGTAACAAAAACTACTAGTAAAGAATATTATCATATGTTAATATTGGCTTGGCTTAACTTTTTTTTTTCTTTTTTTTCTTTTCTTTTTTTTTTTTGTAGTTTCTTTAGTAGTTATCATATATGAATTAACTTATTCTCTTACATATTCTTTGGTGAGTTATATCTATGATGATAGTTTACTGCTATAAACTGACATATCACACATTTCATCCTATATATTATTTTTAGCCAATTATGATTGCTGTCATGGTAAGTAGTTTATACATATACATATATATATATGTATTTAAATGTTTGTTTACAATACGATTAAGATAAATATTATACGTAATTTAAGGTTGCAAAATGGATTGCAGATGCCATGTTTGTGGAGGGCATATATGATTTATTGATTGACCTTAAACAATATCCTTATTTGGAAGCACGAAGAGAGTATATCCATACAATGACAATCACGAATGTGACAGAATATCTTTCCACGATTAGTGTTGATCTGCCTATCACAGTAGGCGAATTAAAGCATAAGCTTTCAGTTATTAGCACCATGGGCTATGGAGAAGATGGTGGCTTCCCTATTTTAAGTGATGGAAATATTTTAGAAGGTTACATTGCTACTAGTGAAGTAAGTCATGGATTAGAACAATTAGAGAACGCTCTAGAATCCTCTATGACAGAGACCGAAATAAATCAAGTACCTTGCTACTTTACGACATTTAATCAAGGATTAAGTTTTGATAACCCTTCAACGAATATAATTGATAACCAGGATTTGAAAACACCTATTCGTACTTTATTAGAGAATAATATAGATACATCAAGCATTAATAATTTAGAAGAAGTTGCATCAAAACAAATGACCCTAAATAACTTTTCACAATATATTGATCACGTAAGTGATTGTGAAGAGGCAGGCAATATTTGGCGTTATACTTACTTTACTATTTCTATATTAGGCTCCTCTCACTATTAATCAAAATGCTTCCATGACTTTACTTATGGATATGTTTACTAAGCTTGGTGCAAGGTATGTCTGTGTCACTCATTCAAATGGACGCTATTTAGGAATCATCCACAAGCGAAGACTCTTAGCATACTTGAAAGGATTAGATGAAGGAGATGAATAGAAAAGATGTTATCCATATCACTCTTCATAATACCTATCACATACACATTCATACATTCATACATACATACATGTACATATACATATACATATATATGTGTATATATTTATATATTTATATATTTATATTACTTTGAATAGATTAAAGCTTTTTATATTATATAACAAAAATATATGTCTTTTATCATCAATTTAAAGTGAAGCATATTGCTTGTATTTGAATTCAGTTGCCTATTTATATTAATCTTTAATTTTATTTATTTTATTTTATTTTATTTTATTTTATTTATTTATTTATTTTTTTACTTATTTTTTATTTTATTTTATTTATTTAGGAACACAAGATAATAATGAACGACTTTATGGAATATTGCTTAAAACGATTTTATCGTGCGTCTGGATGGAATGAAGATAATCAATACTCTAATTTATGTTCATGGTCTCATGCTATTCTTGATTTTCATACTCCAAAGGGACTTTCCCTCGTCATTTCGAAATTACCAACCCCTCAATTCAAACCTTCATATACTTTAAATGCCTTACCCACTTTGAATGGCAGTTTAGGATATCTCTATACTTCAAGACCATTAGATATTGAAACAAGTGCAACTGTAGACTTTCAAGAGTTGATTGATCGATTTAGAATCGTTGTTAAGGAGCCTGCAAATGTAAAAGTAACTACAGACTATCGTCGTGAGTATTATGTAATAAAATAAGTTATAATATACGTTGACCCTTCCCTTTTTTTTTTTTTTTTTTTAATTTGGTTCTATGTTTAGAGAACCCCGACTATTTATTATATGGACGTATGTTCTTTCCAGGTGCTCGTTTAGAGGCAATGTATATACGTCGTATTTCAGAACACCTTCAATGTTCAGTTACTGCTGTTAATAACCCAAAAACAAATATATCTCCGCAGGTAATTGAATATGAGCGAGAAAAGAGAACGATCTATTTAACAAAGTATACGTATAAATAAATAAATATATATATATATATAAAGGTGGCAATGCAGTTACAATATGATGTTGATCAATGGTGTTCAGAATGCTCATATACGTCAGATGATGGATTATTAGGCATACGGGCATTATATAATTTTGGTCAGTCTGTTTCTTCAGGACAATGGTCTATGGGGACAGAAATGTATTATGGTATACTTGATAAAAGTGGAGGATGTAAGTTATTCAGCGAGAACTTTTTTTTTCTTCAAGTTACTAAACACTATTTGTATATTTGTGCAGTATCTATGGGCATTCGATATCGTACTTTACCAACATCAAATACATCACCTATTAGTTTTACATATACATTAAACCCAATTGTAGGCCATATGTCAACAAGTTATACAGCTAAAGTATCAGATCAACTTGTCATGGGCTCAAAATATGATTTTAGTATATATTCTTATGAAAGTGATTTAGTACTTGGATTTGAATATCGTACAAAGAAAAAGTCACCAACAATAGAAACAAATGTGAATAAAGAAGAGGGTGTGATTACTTTAACAGCAGATCATACAGAGAAATTAGAAGGACTCATAAAATCGAGTTGGAGCTTCACAAAGGGACTCGCTCTCATGTGGGAAGGAAGATTTAAAAATACAATATTTAGTTTAGGATTAACAGCAGATCTAAGGAATACAAACCCTATTCGTACTATAGGAGTAGAAGTTCAATACTTTTCATAATAAAATAACATTCCCTTCCTCCTTTTCTTTTTTATTAGTAATATTATTATAAATCTTTTTTTTTTTATACAATATTTAATGGCCATGTCCATCGTCTCCAGGATTTTCTCTTTGTTCAGGTGCAACCTTAATAAAGTCATCAATTCTTAAAATAGCAATAGCAGCCTCAGTGGCGCTCTTTAGTGATTTGATCTTTGACATTGTTGGTTCTAAAACACCATTTTTAACATTATCACGAACGGCACCATTAATTAATTCAAGACCGTACCATTTAAGTGCACGTTTACGTTCATCTGTTATGGCTGCATTTAAAGCTGTATTATGATAAGCACGAAGTTTAGCGACTAATTCTGTGGAATCCTTTGCAGCATTAACAGCAAGTGTTTTAGGAATAACAAGCAAAGCATTAGCAAATTCAGCAATAGCAAGTTGTTCACGAGAGCCTAAGCTAGTAGCAAAATTTTCAAGGTATATGCTTAAAGCAGACTCAACAGCACCACCACCAGGCACAACACTGTTACTTTCTAATGTTCTCTTAACAACGCAAAGAGAATCATGAAGTGATCTCTCCATTTCATCCAACATATAATCATTAGCACCACGTAAAATAATAGATGCAGAATTTTGAATCTTTGTACCCTTGATCAAAATACATTCGTCATCAGAAATACGTTCCTGAACAGCTTCTTCAGCTTGACCAAGATAACTTGCTTCAAATGTTTCTTCACCTTCTAAATTGGCCAAAGAAGAAACCAAGGTAGCGCCAGTAGCCTTTGCAATACGTTTCAAATCTTCTTTCTTACAACGACGAACTGCCATAGCGCCTGCTTCAACAAAAAGTTTAAGACACAAATCATCAATACCCTTTGTTGTTAGAATGACATTAGCGCCCGTATCCAAAATTTTCTGAATGCGTTCTGTTGTAATTTCAATTTCTCTTTTACGAATATCTTCTAATTTATCAGGGTCATCAATAACAATGTTAACACCAAGATGCATTCTAGCCTTTTGTAAATTCATATCCAAACAAGCAATCTTTGCATTCTTAATTTGTTTCTTCATAGCCTGTGAAGCAACTGTACAATTGAGAGCATAACCACGAACAAATTGTGACTCAAGGCCAGATTTACCGTGAGCCTTAAGGATGTTAACTGCTTTAACAGGATATTTAGTTTCTCCACGAATATTTGTTGTTTTCACCGCTAACATGGCTTCAACAGCAAGGTTGGCAAAGAACTTGGAATCTCTTTTTTAGTATATATGTATGTATATAGAAAATAAGTAAATTGTTTTAATCTATTTAATGAATATATAAACTAACTTACGATCCAATAATTTTTGAACTCATAGAAGTCTTTGCTGCATTGATAAGACATTCTTTACCAAGAGTATCTACTTTGATAGACATCTCATTAGCAATGAAACGACAAGCCTCCTTAGAAGCTAAACGGAAACCAGTAATAATAGTTGTAGGATGAATCTTATTCTTAACGAGCTCATTAGCACGTTTTAAAAGTTCAGCAGCAATGATGACGACAGATGTAGTACCATCACCCACTTCACGATCTTGTTGTTGAGCAAGTTCGACTAAAACTTTACCAGCAGGATGCTCAACTTCAAGTAATTGAAGAATAGTAGCGCCATCATTAGTAATAGTAACATCCTAAACAAGAATAATAAAAGAGTATAATAAGTTTTTATTTTATTTTTTCTGGTCCCTGGAATTTTCGAGAATCTTTTTTTTTTTCTTCATCATTTGTAATGCGAACTTACACCAATTTCATCGACCAACATTTTATCTAAACCAACGGGACCCAATGAGCTTTTAACAATGTTTGCAATTGAGGCAGCAGCAAGGACTATATATATATATATATATAAAAAGGAATTAGATATTATTAAACAAATGATCTATCAAAAACGCGTCATTGAAAAATAATAGAAAAATAAACAATTCAAAAAAAAGATTCATTACCATTACTAGAACGGACATCTTGACCGGTAGTACGTTCACCTCCTAAAAAGAGGGAGCTACTTTGTTCTCTTCTGTACATTATTATTTTAATAAATGATGTAAAAAGGAAAAAAAGCAAAAAAATAGAAGAACAAATGAATTTATGAACTCCACCCAATGATCTTTTTTTTAGGAGATTTTAAGCTGGTGCTCAATTAAAAGAAGGTGGCTTTTTTATTTTATGATTATTTTTTTTTTTTTTTTTTTTTTTTTTTTTTTTTTTTTTTGGAACGAGAAAGAAACTTTATTTTATATTAATAGTTTGCCTTGTTATTACACGATTTTTTTTTTCTAAAAAAAAGGATATAATTGTGTTTATTAGAACTATTTACAATGAAAAATTATTATGTATAAGATTATATAGTAGTAATAAATATAGGATTAAAAGCCTGCAAAATGAGTGCAATAAGAATCATTTGTTTGTATCAAATGGTAAGGTAGTGGTGGCTCTTCATAATAAGCAAAACAACGGGTATCACCATCATGATTAAGTTCTGGAATAAATGGTGCAGTAACATTTCGAGTAACAAGGTTCTCAAAGTTGATATCCTTAAACCATGAATGATTCTTAATATCATCGCTACCATCTTTCAAATTACCATATCTTTCAGAAGGCTTTGTTTTCAATAGGTTTTGTATTAAATCTTTAGCTTCAGGACTCATATGATTTGGCCATGTAATATTACCCTCAAGAATCTTTTGGTATTGATCAACAGGATTTTCTGCAGTAAATGGTGGATAACTAAATTAAAGCCAACACAATGGTTAATATACATGTATACACATATAAAAGGCTCTTCCTAATATTACCCTGAGATCATTTCATAAATCAAGATACCAAGACTCCACCAGTCTACAGCTTTTGTAGAGCCCTTGGATCGAATAATTTCGGGTGCAATGTAATCTGGTGTACCACATACTGTCCAAGTAACATCACTTATTTCTTTAGCAAATCCAAAATCAGTTAACTTTATATGTCCACGATGATCAATTAAAATATTTTCAGGCTTTAAATCACGGTAAACAGTATTCCTATTATGAAGATATTCAAGAGCCAAAGTTACTTCTGCAGCATAAAATTTAGCTTCATCCTCTGTAAGCCTCTACATGTATATGTGTATATAAAGACTTATGTTAGTAACGATGATTATTATTATTATTATTATTTATAACAAAAAAAAAAAAAAAAAAAAAAAGAAAGAGGCATATTACCTTTTTCTTACGTATGAGTCGAAACAATTCTCCACCCGGGATATAATCCATAACTAAGAAAACATGACTTTCAGTTTGAAAACTACCCCAAAGTTTTACTAAAAATGGATGAGAGACTTTTTCCAAAATAGTTCTTTCATTATTAGCGTGCTCTAATTGACGTTTTGTTATAAGATCTTTCTTATTAATGGCTTTAATTGCGTAATATTTATTATTATTTCTGCTTTTTGCTAAATGAACACGAGCAGAGGAACCTGTGCCTACTGTTTGTTTTATTTCAAAGTCATGTAATGAGAGTTTATGATTTGATTTGTTGACAGAGTCATGCGATGAAGTCAAACCAGTGCCTGTTGTTGAATGGGATATCTCATTCTCGCTTATGAGTGAAAGTTTTTCTATACATTTTTCAATAGATTCAACTGGACATGATTTTGTTGCCTTTGGATGAATTCGAGGAGAAGAAAGAGGTGAGTTTTGTTTTGAAGCGAGTAAGCTGATAGGTGAAATAGGGGGTGGTGGTGAATTGGAGGAGAAGAAATTACTTGGTAGTTTATGAGTATATATTGATAAAGGGGTCACTGATTCTATTGGAGTTGGTATAGGTGAAGCAGGCGAAGAATCTAAAAAAATAAAGTTTTTTTTTTTTTTTTTTTTTTTTTTTTTTTTTTTTTTTTAAAAAAAAAAATCAAAATAGATATCAAGACATTATACCTGCTGATTTGAATTCATCAACTAATGATTTAGAAGTGCCTGGTAAATTATCATGATTATCGTCTTGTTCTTTTATTTTTAATTCTAAAGTTGTGTGGCTAGAAGAATGATTATTTTTTTCAAGTGAGCATCGACAAGCAGTAATTATAGGCAGTGAGTTTTGTTGATGAGATACAATAGTTGGTGGTATATAATAATTTGGTATAGAAGAATCTACTATTTGAATAAATTCTGTGCACATGTGTTGTTGTATAATAGAAGAGAAAAGTTGTATTATAATTAAAATTGATATATAGTTTACTATTATATAGAATCCATCAACATGTTTCATTTTTCAATCAATAACAGATAAGGTTTCAGTTTTCAAATAACCGTTTATGGTTAATATAAAAAAAAAAAAAAAAAAAGAGCTGATTTTAATAGAAATTTTCTATTAAACGCAGTAATCGATAAGCTAATTATTATATTAATTAATTACTATTGTATAACAGTAAGTACTTTATATACAACATTTATAGATGGATTAAATAAAAGAAGATATGCTATTTCCAGGGAAAAAAAAAAGAAGCATCATAATTGTTAATTCCAACTATTGTAAAATCATGACTGATCAAGAATGATAATTAAATCATAGAAAAAAAAAGTTTAAAATAACTTTCCAATAAAAAGAAAAAAAAAAAAAAGACAGTCTTATCATTTTACAATAATTAAATAATGTCCTTTTTTTTAATATCGTAGTTACAGTTATTAACCTGAAAACAATAGTAACCTAACCTAAATAGGTTCCATCTCCATTATAGATATTATAAAGATAGTCATTTAAAAAAAATAATATTTATATAAAAATAATTAAAAAAAAAAAAATTAAATTTATGCATAATGTATTATAGAAAATATAATAAAGAATATTTCTTATTTCTTTGCTACCACTACAACATGCATGTCAGGCCATTTTTAACAATGTAACAAAAAACAATCCAACTCCTACTAATTGTCAGATTTAAATCAATCAAATTATCATCGTGTTCAAAAAGAAAAAAATTTAATTGGCTTCCAAAATTTGACATTTTATTATTGTTACAACAGCATCATCATACAACGTTTTTTTTTTTTTTTTTTTTTTTTTTTTTTTTTTTTGGCAGTAGTAACTACCATAAAGGGCGACATTCATTATATATCGTATCATAAATAAGTAATACTCGTTTTTTAAAGATTTATGTGTGGAAATGAATATGAATAAAAGAAAATAATACTGACTAAAAGTACAGCTAACAGCAATGTGATATCAAACTATTAATCTAATAATATAGATACAAGTTGAAGGAGGAAAAGTAGATTAATTTTAAACCTACTAAATAAAAGATCGACAACAAATCAAATATTTTCATAACTGTTGTCATCGTAATAAAGGTTTTGTCGTTATGGACAACATGTCAAAACATCATTGCTATAGTGATAAATTCATGATTCAAATCCATAATTATATATTTTTTTTTAATTCGTAAATTTTAACTGATATCATATTATTTATATATAGCAGTTTATTAGAAATATATGAATATTGATATACAATGACGGTTTGCATTTGAAAATAAAAGAAAAAAAAATGTTAAATCCAATATGAATATATATATTTTTTTAATATAAATATTGTAAAAGCCAACACTATTGTAAAAAATAAGAAAAAGCTTTTCGGTGCTATAACTAAATTTAAAATTTTTAATATAGCAGCTACAATGGTAGGGATTTTTCCAATAACGAATTTGCATGTCAATTTTTATTTTTTATTTGTATATAATCTTTTTAACAAAATCCCTCATAAGTTTATTCATTGTTTCAAAACTGCCAATGAAAATCAGGACGATCAAATGGAAAATGAGGATCAGCAACTAGATCTTTATGCAGTTGCAAGTTTGAAATAGTACCATTGGCACCCAAGTACTAGTTATAAGCCTAATAAATCCAATCAAGAACCCGACTTAAAAAAGATGCATGGATATTGATAGCTATGAAGGGGATTCTTAAGAGCCCTTTACAAGTAGCTGAAAAGAAAAAAAGCAATAATAGTTGAAAAAACCTAAGAACGAAAAGAAAGAAGGAAAGAAAGAAAGAAAGAAAGAAAAAAAAAAAACAAATATTGCTGTCAGCAAAGTTAGAGGTCTTTATTGTTCTTATACGCCTGCACAAGTGCAAAAATTGCTTAATCTTGTTGTTGAGCAGGGAATTTTAGCAAGAGAAAGCAGGGCTATATATTACCATTGTTGTAAGAGACGACTCAACATTATGTAATACTTTATAGAGACGATAAAGAAAAGCAGCTCTCAATTGCTTAAAAAAAAAAACTCTCATCTTGATGGAATAAACAAGAACATTAAAGAACCTCGCACAGAATTTTTCTAATAAATATTTACGCAAATAAACCTGCTGCTGAAATCCTCTGAAAAGCCAAAGCGGAGCAGCTCTCTGCTCTTTTTTTTTTCTGATCTTGAATCGATTTCTCTTTTGATTTTACACAAACATCCAGAAAAACATGCTTCATTCACTCTTGCAAAACATTAGAAAAGGTTATTGAAGCTAGAATAGAATTATCTTATTCGAAAAAAAAAAGTCGGAATGGACGGCTGATGGAAAGATGGATTGGAACAGTAATGGTGTCTTTTTTTATAAATGTAGCAGGGGTTAACATGGCATATTTGATGTAATTTTGGCAGATCAAGACGAAACGCTCCTGCAAAAAAAAAAAAAGCCTGTTCCTTCGTCCAAAAGAGGTTTAATAACCATTATAATTGCCAAAGTAATTTGTAAAAAAGGGTATTAACGATTTAATATTTGTGCAAACTAAAGTCTACTCAGAAAAACAAAAACAAAAAAAGGTTATGTCTTAAAAGAAAAAGAAAGATTAACATCGCTAGCTCAGCGGAAGAGCTCATTAATTTAATCACAAAAAGTTGAAACTCTTAGTAAGCATTTCTTGTAATTTATTAGTGGTGTAATGGATGCCTATAACATAGAAAAGACTATGAATTGTTATAGATAATGCCTCTATTCATAAAATTAGCAAAGTTCAAAAGTTAATTGAAGGTTGAGGATACAAAAAGTATTGATTTGACTCCATATTCATACTTTTTTTTTTTGAGTTCAATATGAATCGTTTTAATTAAAATCCAAAGCTGATGTCAAAAGAGCTTGCTTTACCGCAAATAATAACAATCTTAGTAATAAAAATATTGAATCAGATCGAAATAATATAGTTTAGGATTGCCAAGGATGAGCCTATTATGCTTTAATTTGTACACACATAAAAAAAGTTGATTACATAAAACCTGAATAATTGACACGCAAATTCATTGGAAAAAAAGACTAATATTTCTGAATAAATTATTATTCCAAGTAAGTGTTATCATCACAATTATTCCTTCATTTATTACTCAAAAGAAAGCCTTATCTTTTTTTTTTTTTTTTTTTTGATAATGAAACGAGAAAAAAAAAAAAAAAAAAAAAAAGAATGCCAGAGAAAGCGTGTACTACATAACATTTGTTTTGACCGCCGATTAAAAAGAAAAAAACAACTTTGCTTGGTGAAACTCTTTCTTTGTATTCCCCAAATTTGAAATCATAAAATAATGACTTTTTTTTTTATTTTTTTATTAAAAATCTTATTAAAGCGACATGTAACTTGTTTAGTTATTTTTTTAATAAAATAAAAAAAAAAGAAAGAAAAAAGAGAGAAAGGTAGCATGCACTGCAATAGGTGCCAAGACATTTAGCTTTTAATATCTGCCAAGAAGCTGGTGTTTAAATAAAAATTCAAGCTTTGTCGATCTTTTTTCTCTCTCTCTCTTTTTTTTTTTTTTTTTTTTTTTTATTTTACTTTTTTTTTTCATATTACATTATCGAATCAAATCCACTTGCCAAGAGAGGACTTAATTACAAAGAACACTATACATACAAATAGATATATAAATATATATATTCCTACATACATAGAGTAATTTCTCATTTTCTTCTTCTCCTTTTCTATACACAAATGATTAATATTTCTTGTAATAATAATAATAATAATTCACAAGTTACTACTACTACTATTATTAATAATAATAACAATACCCCTTCCATATTACCTTCTCCTCCTTCTTCTCCTATTGATTGTGAGCCTATTAATGATACACAAGAATACGCCATTAATAGAAAACGCGCTTACTCTATTTCATTTATTCAAAACAATTCATCAACAAACAAGAAATCAAAAACGGTTGACTCTGATTGTTTAAAAGAATTTTTAAACCGAAAGGGTTCTCCTAATACCTGTGATGGACAGTTCAAGCGTTCACTTTTAAGTTGGGCTTGCATAGGTCGTTCTACAGAAGCAATTAAAGAATTAATGAGCTCAGTTCATTTAGATATCAATCTCAAGACGGGACCTAATCTATCAACTGCATTACATGAAGCATGTCTTGTAGGTTTTAAAGAGGGCCTTGAGTTATTGTTAGAGCATCCAGATATTGATATAAATGCTTTAAACAATCAAAGCCAAACACCTCTTTATTGTGCTGTTCAAAATAATCAAGTAGATTGTATTAAAATCCTGTTATCTGCAGGTGCTCGAATGGATATCTTTTGTCAAAGACGATTACCAATCCATTTAGCTATTCTTTACGGTTATCAACAATGTGTCTCTATCTTGCTTTCAAAACAAAATCAACACGTTAATAACCCAAGTCGATTAGACATGCTATGGGAAGTAAATAAAATAGATAATCGTAGTTCAATAGAATCTGCTATTGTTACAGGCTATACAGATACACTTCAATTATTACTAGACCACGATTCTGTAATCAACAAAAGGATGCCATTGCATCAAAGGAAGCATGGACTTGTATCCTTAGCAGTAGAATGGAATCGTATCGAGTGCTTACAATTATTAATTAAAAGAGGATGTATCATGGATGAAAACAGTATGTTAATGGCTGTACAACAACGAAAGATTGATATAGTCCATGTATTAGCTTCTGCTAATGCCAAGTTTTGTTTACCAAATGGTCAAAATCCAGCTTTTCTTTATGCTGTTAATCATGGTTTCTTGGATATGATACCCTTATTATTAACTCCTAATACTTCAAAAGATTGTATTCAACAAGCTTTATTACTGGCTTCCCCTATAGGTCTTCGAAATCAGCTTGCATCTATTATTGTTCAAACACTGAAATCATTCATTGTAGCCAAGAAAAAAAATGTTTCATAATCATACATACTATTAAAATTATTCCTATTCTTATTTATACCTTTTATAAAAATAAATAAAATTTATTCCTCCTTTACACACTCTGTATTATCAATAATCATCCTTATTCAATCATAACTAATACCGCCACTCTTCTGATGATATAAATAGCCATAAATAAAATAATTGACTTCAAGGCTTTTATTAGGGATTTTTTTTTTTGGCTTATTAGTCTTCCTTCCACCTAATGTCTTTACAACGTTATAGAAACAAAAGTTGAATTCTAGTTTATTTGACATATACATATATGCTTTTTTTGTTTCTTTTTCTTTCTATTTCTCTAATATGTTTTTATCTATTTTGTATTCAGTAATACCATTTGTTTTATTTGCAACAAATTCGTCATCATGTTAAAACGCTACAAAAGGGAAACCAAGAACTACATTATTTTAGAGTCTGAGATTTTATTGTCAATAACATTTGTGCTTATTTTATTTTATTCTTTTTTTTTAATAAAAGTATATCAGTAAAAAATATTCGCCATGTATATAAAATACTGCATCTAACTCTTATTTTAATATACATATTTGTATAAATCCTTTTTTTTTTGGAACATTTTTTTTTTTTTTTTTTTTTTTTTACTCAGTTTCTCTAAAACCCACAATTTGATCCCTAAATCAATTAAAAATACTTTAAATATAATGAATCAAAAGCGTTATGAACGTCGTTACGTTCAACCACCTTTAAATACTTGTCTTGTTCGTGTGGCAAAAACTGCCGGTATTGATAGACATTCCATAGAAGATGATGTAGAATATATTTTATACCATTTCATTAGTGTAAATACTTTTTATTTTATTAAAGATCAATGAGGAAAAAAAAAAAAAGGCTAAATTTTTTTATACATGATTTAGAGACCAAATCAAACATTTAAAGATTTCGACGATCTTTGGAATGAACTTCATTTCAATTTTGTTCATTTTGCCTGTGTTAAAAGAGAATTTCGTGCTATTTTTATGGATGCTTTCTTTGCTAGTTTTCTATGTAAGAATTAAAAAAGTTTGACATTTCCTTTTATTTATTTATTTTTAATGATCCTCAATGTTTTTTTTTTCTAGTTCATTTTTCAAGTCCATTAGTTTCCGTCAAATGTGCTGTCCTTTTTTCTATTTATTTTTTATACATGACACAGCCCAGTGTATGGGGAAAAAATCGAATCAGAGTAACTAAAGGTAGTGTATACATATGATTTCACTTTCAAGTAAACTCACTTTTTTTTTTGTTTATCTATAAAAGAACTTTTCAGTCAATTATTTGATTTTTATGTTGAATCGATTCAATCAGAAGAAAACATAGAAGCAGCTCTGATTTTTGATAAATTACGAACCATGGAAGCATTTTTATTTGTGGGTGAGCAAGAACAAGATCCTTTTCAAGTGCAAGAGAGAATTGAATTTAGTAAAGTAATAGCCATGAATGAAAGTTTACACGACTTAAAGAAGAAAAAAATAAATAATGATGTTGCAAGTATATAAAAATCATTCACTGAAAAAAAAAAAAATAGACTAATTTTTTTTTCTTAATTACTATTAGTTAAATTTATGTTCTGAATCGCATTTAAAAGAATTTAAAAATCTTGCTAAAGAATACGATGCTGCAAAAAAGGAATTATATTATACTCCACAAGCAACTTTGGCAACCCAAAAAATGTTAAAGGAAACTTTAAATGTCAAAGAGACAAGAAGAAGATTATTACAAAACGTATTATTGGCAAATACATTTGCAAAAGATGAAACAGAGGCTATGAAACGAATAATCGGCTCTGGTCAACAAATGTTGAACTCAAAGAGAAGAAAATTAGAAAGGAAAAAATTACAATAATAATGTTTGTTTATCAGATGATTTGCCATGACATCATGCGTGTCGAGTATAATACCTGTATTTTATTGGATAGAGTCATTTTTTTTTCTTGTGGCTCTTAATGGCATATAAAGCTATTCATTCTCTAGGAAAAAAAAAAAAATAACATTTCCTTTTTCTATTTCCTTTTTTTTTTTTTTTTTTTTTTTTTTTTTTTTTTTTTTTTTTTCCTTTCTTCTCCCTCCCTTTTATTATTTATTATATTATATACAAATAAAATATGAAGTTCTCTATTCTAACTGCTGCTCTATTAATGGCTGGTTATGCCACTGCCATTCCCATGATCAATCCTACGTCATTTTCCGATGGTACAGTTGCACCACTTTATGCACCTATAGAAACTGAAGCTGTACGTGGTTCTTATATTGTTGTCCTAAAAAAGGATTTGTCCCCAGAACAAGTTGAAAACCATGCTGAATGGATCAGTAGCATGTCTGCTGCTAATTCTTTTAATAGTGGCGATTATCTTGATAACCAAGGCATTAATCATGTTTACGAAATGCCCAACTTTAAAGGTTATTCAGGTCGATTTGATACAAAGACTTTAGAGGCCATTCGTCAATCAGACGAAGTCGCTTATGTTGAAGAAGATTCAGTCGTTTATGCCAGTGAATTACAACGGGGTGCACCTTGGGGTCTTGCTCGTATTTCCACACGTGACCGTTTGTCACTACGTAACTTTAACAAGTATCACTATGATGCTAAAGCAGCTGGAGAGGGCATCAAAGTGTATGTGATTGATACCGGCATTAACGTGAAGCATGTGGATTTTGAAGGAAGAGCAGTTTGGGGCAAGACGATTCCTTTGAATGATGCCGATATCGATGGCAATGGTCATGGGTAAGTTGCACTTCTCATCATCATGTATTATATCAATGTGTGTTATTATTAACCTATCCATTTTTATATGTAGCTCTCACTGTGCTGGTACAATTGCAGGCAAGAAATATGGTGTTGCAAAGAAAGCTATTCCTGTTGCGGTGAAGGTGTTATCATCTAATGGTAGTGGCAGTATGTCTGATGTTGTGAAGGGTGTTGATTGGGCCACAAATGAATTTTTAAAAGATAAGGCAGCTTCTATAAAAGCTGGTAAACCTTTCAAGGGCTCTGCTGCTAATATGAGTTTGGGTGGTGGTAAATCACCTTCTCTAGACGCCACTGTCAATGGAGCTGTCGAAGCGGGTCTTGTTTTTGCAGTAGCCGCTGGCAACGATAACAAAGATGCATGGTAAATAAATCATATCTAGATAAATATGTGTATTTTTATTTTACTAATGACTTATTAATAATAATAATAGTGATTATAGCCCTGCTCGTGCTGAATTAGCAATTACAGTGGGTGCTTCTACCATTTTTGATGAAAGAGCTTATTTCTCCAACTATGGTGAATGTGTTGATGTCTTTGCACCTGGTTTGAATATTGAATCTGTTTGGAACACAAACGATCATGCAACAAATACAATTTCTGGAACTTCAATGGCTTCACCTCATGTTGCTGGTCTTGCTGCTTATCTTTTGTCTTCATCACCTGAAGGTACTACTCCCAAGGAAATTAAGCAACAAATCATTGAATTAAGTACTCGCAATGTCTTTAAGGGACTTCCTAATAAGACACCTAATCTTCTTATCTTTAATGGTTATGAGTCATCATAAATATCCTATTTGATACAACAAACAAATATATAATATCTCCTTTTTTTTTTTTTACTCTTGATACACGTATCGGAGATTAGTTCATAATACATAAAATACTCATTATGCATTATGATTTATAAATATAATCATTTGTTTAACTTTTTAAGAAAGCAAAAAGTGTATTTATACATATAGTTGTCACTCGCCCCCTCCCGTTTAAAAAAGAGCCAATTATAACATATAATCTATTTTATTCACCCTAGCTCCCCATCTAATGCAGTATTATTACATAATCAAGAATAGGTGATCAGGTTTAAAAATATACAAACAAAATGAATAGGACACAAATTCCTTTGTTGTATAAAGCATAAATAAGTATACATTTTTTTTTTATGTTTATTTTTGATGAGCAGCAACGAATTTCTTTTGCTCTTCAGCAACTGCTTGTTTAAAGTTATCGACTTCTTTCCAACAATCAAGTGACCTTGACTTATTTTTACTAAAATAATAATAATTAGTTTCTTTTTTTAATACCTTTCATGTATTTATTTTTTTTTTTTACTTGTAACAAGCAATCACTTCATCTTGACATTGCTTCACTTTTGCGGGAAGCTCTTTTATTCCAGATCTATTATAAATATGTATATATAAGAATTTAACTAATAATAATAATAATAAAAGAATCTTTTTTTTCCTCCTCCTCCTCCTCTTTCATACCGAGCAATTCGTTTAATCATTGCTTCAATGTCCTCATTCATATCCAATGCATTTAAATCATCTTTTTCGGCATTTTGTTCTTTTAATTCAACATGGAATTCTTTTTTTAATTCAGCTTCTTTTTGTTTTATTTTTTCTAATTCTTCTGCAACACGTTGCTGAACAATATGTTCTATATGACGTTCCTGCTGCTTTTCGGTTGATTGTTCCACTTTTTTCTCTAATGATCCTACCAAACTTTGAGAAAACTAAAATATGATTAGCATTCATACTGAAAGGAAAATGAAAATAGATAAATAAATATAATGTACTTGAAGTGGCACATTGGGGTTATAGAAAATAATAGGTTCTTGTTGTGTTTTTGATTGAACGAGACCCATTTTATATGCTTCAACAGAAAAAAAAAAAAAAAAAAAAACAAGTATATTTATTTTTTCTTTGTCCCCTTCCTTCCTCCCCCTCAAAATGACGAGTAGTAACCGGAGCTTGAATAATACCCAAAAACAAAAAAACAAAAAAGAAGAAACTTCATTCTATATGATTACATAATATATAACTATTTTATTATTGTTCTGCTATAAAATACTTTTGATGATATGCTTGTTTGTTTTCATCTTGTTCTTTATTCTTCTTGTCTTTAGTCATAAAATGGTTTCGTTGCTGCTGCTGCTGATAATCATTTTTATCTAATCCAAGTACTAATTCATTCATACCAGAAAAGATAATCTGACCGCGTTCATCTATTGTAAGTAAAGGGGTTCTTTTATCTCCTTTTTTGTTATTCATTTGTAATTTGAGTTGATTGATTTGATCTGTTAATTCAGAAATCATCTCTAATAAAAAATGTTCAGGGTTTCCAACTTGATCTTTTTGATTCAATAATAATGTATTTTCATTCATAACGATGGAATTTGTTTCTTCTTCTTTTGCCTTTTTTGCTTCTGCTTCTGCTGCTGCTGCTGCTTCTTGTTCTTGTTCGATCCACTTTTCAGAAACGATAGGTCTGCATTTAATACGGTGAGATTCAGCATGATGTCGTCTTGATAAATCCATCTCTTCACATAGACGAGGAGTTGATATAATAAGTTGATAGTTGCAAGTAGATTTTTCAACAAAACTAGATACATAATCCTGTCCTTGTAATAAATCACATCGATACTTTGTAATTCAAGTCATCATTTAACATGCTTCCATGTTAGTCATCATTTATACATAACATATACATATATATATATATTACCTGAATTTCAACTGTACGCGGTTTTCCTGTTAAATCACATATAGAACCCTCTTTCCATATCTGTAGTAAATATCTTTCTTGACCCTTATTATTGGTTCTTAACTCAGTGGGTGCTTTAAGGTAAACTTGACTAGGCGTCAATTTCTTTTTCTTTGATAACAATAACTCCTTTTTATTATTAGCATGATCTCCTGTGTTATCATCCAGTGTCATACTAGGATGAAAACCTAAATAAAACGATGCTGTTTCTTGTTCTTTCATTTCATTACCATCATGACTACGTTCAAGATGAAATTGTCGGACATATTGATTATGACAATATTCATAAACCCAATACTGGCTCGTCTATAGAATTTAAATAATCATGACATATGAGTGAGTATGATGATATTAAAGAAAAAGAAAAACCAAATAATAAAGGGTGGGGTTGAGTAATACCATCCATTATCTATTATTGTTACTATTTACATGAGCATAAAATTGGATACAATTTTGTTCTAGAGGTTCTAATAATTTTAATCCCTTTTCAATCATCTTTTTTTTATTTTCTTCTGTCTCTACTTTGGCGTTTTCTAGTTTTTCTCTGTCTAATTTCTCTTGTTCAACCTCTACATTTGGAATAATACACGAAAAAGGTTGTCCTAAAGCAGAAGTCATAATAACCCTATTCTATATATATTAAAGTTAATAATGATACATGTTGAATTAATAGTATTCTATTACTTTCTCATCTGAATTTATATCTGTATTTGCTACTTTTTCCTTTGTTACATAAACTTTATAATGTGGAAGAGATAAAACGTCATCTTGTATAAATGTAAATTGTAAAGATGGTTTAATCAACTGTAGAATAATTATGGAAGTTAATAATTTTGATATAATCATTTAGAATAGTTTTATTAATATATATATGTGTGTGTATGTGTGTGTGTGTGAGTATGTATATATAAAGGAATAATAGGAAGAGGACTATGCGAGTGCAATATATTGTTGTAAATGAATATTTATACAATAAAGAAAGAAAGAATGAAAGAAAGAAAATAAATAAATAAATAAATAAATAAATAAAAGATTGAGTTTTAAAATATTTAAAGAAGATAATACAACAACAACAACATCATCATCATCATAACAGATATGATCTTGTTTAGTTGTAAAGATTAAATCTCACCTTGTAAGAAATAAATTTCATATGTTTTACTATATACAAAAAAAGAAAAAAGCCTGTTTGCATCATATATAATTTAAATGTTATGATCTCTAAATTATTATGTTTCTACATTTAATTTGTATGCATGCGTATGTAAATATAGATTAAAATACTGAAAGAAATTATAAACATTTAATTTTATTCAAAAGAAAGCAACATCAGGATATGAATTTAATTTAAACATGATAATGATGATGATTAGCTAAAGAGTGAATATATTCTTCTTCTTCTGCTATAAATTATCCAAATTAGGAATTACCATCAGCTGAATTCAAAAAAAAAAAAAACCCTCAAATGAAAGGTGACATGTATATGTTCATACAATGCTGATAACATTTCTACTTTGATAAAATAGAGTCATTCATGTACAAGCAAGGAATAGAAGACTCTTTTAATGATTTTTTTTATTTTTTTTTACTCTCTGTTAACATAAACATTTGTTTATATTGGCTCCATTTAAAAAAAAAAAGGAAATTTAATGCTATAAAAATGAGTCAGGAACAAAGTGAAAGGAAATCAAAAATGGGTTCATATTTTATAAAACCTTTTTCATGTGTATGTGTTAGTAGTAAAAAGAAGACTTGAATACATGACATTTTTATTATCTTTATTCTTTCATTCTTATTTTAAGGTGAATAAAAGCCTTCTTTTCTTTCTTTTTTTTTTTTTTTTTTTTTTTTTTTTTTTTTTTTTTTTTTTTTTTTTTTTTTTTTACATGTAATAATTTTGTCTTCTTTTTCCACACTATGTTCTATATTCTGATAATTGCTGCTTTTTGCCTTCTTTCTTTTCCTTCTGGTTACGCGCACAGTCACGCATTCTACTTTTTTTTTTTTTTTTTTTTCCCCTTCTTCCAGGTTGTCGTTAATAATTTACATCAATAATAAACTCTTTCTTTTTCTTTTTCTCTTTTTCTTCTTGAGGTGTACAAATATATACATATTATAATTATTATTCATATATTACACACACACACACACACACATATTTATATAGAATAGATAGGTGATACTTTATAAAACCTTTTATCATCTATATCCTTATTGTTACTATTTATATACGCATATATCAGAAAATACATCTATTCGCCCATTATAAAGAAAATATAAAAACGCGTTACAACATATAATAATGTACATTATCAAACCAGATTGGATTACTCATGGAGGTAAAATAATTAGCATCAAGATTATAAAATAAAACAAAATGACTAAAGTAAGTTTATGATTGTTGTTATTTATTATTATTATATAGATCGTACACAGGATGCAAGAAATAAAAAACCTTGTATTTATTCTATCCATGTTCATCCAGATGGAAAAAGATTAGCTACTGGAGGATTAGGTAATCGCAAAATATATATATATTTATACAAATACAAATAAATATGTATTTTATGCTGTATAACAAAAATAATACTGATTTTTTTTTTTTCAAAAAAACAAATAAATAAAGAGGGCCATGTCAAAATATGGAATACACTTCCCATTTTTGATGAACAAGCTGAAAAAGATCCAGACTGTCACAAATTACTTTGTACAATGACAATGCATAATGGTATATAACATGCACATTTCTCTCTCTCTCTCTTCTTTTTTTCTTTTTATTTTTTCTTTGCAACATGTTAAGCTAACTTTATACATGCATTTGCATTTTTTAGGCGCTGTCTTATGTGTACGTTGGTCAAATGGTGAAGGACGTTATTTAGCTTCAAGTTCAGATAATGATAATGTTATTATTATCTGGGAACGTGACAAGTAATATACATATAAAGATAGATACAAAAAAAAAATAAATTACAATGTAATCTAATTCTTCTATCTATAGAAATGCAGCAGCTGGATCAGTATTTGGTAGTAGCGATGTAAATCATGAATCTTGGAGAGCTATCAAGTATTTAAGAGGACATGAGTCAGATGTACAAGACTTGGCTTGGTCTAAAGATAATCAATATTTAGCTTCAAGTGGTGTTGATGGTTTTGTTATGGTTTGGAATGCTTCAACATTTGGTAAATACATAATATAAAATTAAATCAAAATGATAGATGTATAAACTTATGATTGTCAAATAGAGCTTGTGAAGAAAATAGATCAACATACAGGTTTTGTTAAAGGAGTCGCTTGGGATCCTTCAGGAAAATTTTTAGCCTCTCAAGTAAAATAAATACCTTTTAGTGTAATTAGGATTCTATGCTAACGAATATGTATGTATGTATATATGTATATAAATATATAGTCAGATGATAAGACAGTCAAAGTCTGGAGGACTTCTGATTGGGGTTTAGAAACAGATATTACAACACCTTTTATAAATGCTCCTGGAACAACATTATTTAGAAGATTAAGGTACATTTTAATTCTCTCTTTTCTTTTATTTATTTATTTATTTATTTATTATTCTTATTTTTCTAGTTGGTCTCCTGATGGTTGTCATATAGCTGCTGCTAATGCTGTAAATGGTATTCAATGTATTGCTGCTATTATCAATCGCGACGATTGGAATGCAGATATATCCCTTGTTGGACATCAATTGCCAATTGAAGTGACTGTAAAGTGGTTTTTTTTTCTTTTTCTTCTTTTTATTAGTACACATACTTATCTCTTCTTGTTCATACATCTAGGCATTTAATCCAAAAATGTTTTACATGAAAGACGATGATGATACTACAAGTAAATCATTATCTACTGTATGTGCATTGGGAAGTCAGGATAGAAGTGTGTCTATTTGGGTAACAAGGTTCAGTAGGCCTGTCTGTGTTGCAGCAGATATATTTGATCATAATGTGTATGATATGGCTTGGACACCTGATGGAAAAAATTTATTTGCATGTTCTCATGATGGTACTGTAGCTTGTTTATTGCTTGCGGAAGAATTACAAGATATTGCCCCTGATGAAGTCATAGTAAGTGATATAGAGATAGATGTGTGTGTGAAGGTGAAGGTGGATGTCTTTACCCAGTCATTCATATCGTTCTATTCTATTAGTATAAAGAATTAACAAAATATGGCTATGGTCGTAAAGATAGTCAACTTCCAGAAACACCTATTCAATTAGAACTTGAGGATAACGATAAAACAAGGGCTGATAAAGCAAATACATCAAACCGAATTACAGATCTTATGTCAGGTAATATTAGTATTGAAACAAATAAATCTACTAGAGATACTATCATGACAGAGATAACAGAAGATTCATCTGTCCCTAAAAAGGATAAGGTATCGGATGGTGACTCAGTTATGACTTCTTCATCTTCTACTACAACTTCCTTTTTACTTGCTCAACAAAAGGTGACTATCGCTAAAAATGGTAAAAAACGTATTCAACCCATGTCAATGAGCCCTTCTTCATCTACCACCTCTAAAACAGCAAGCCCCGTTTTAAGTCAGGAAGCTAATTTTTCAACACACCAAAAGAGAACGAAAACAAACTCACAAGTACCGTTTTTAGAATACGATGATCCCATCATCATACCTACTACCTCTGGTATTGGAACTACCATCATTGGAAATAAACGTAAAGCATCATCAGATGAGAACATGGTGATAGGTAATCATAGTAAAACGCGAGTAAGACCTGAATGGATTGATTCGGCAGTAGCTCCACCTGTTCTTCAAAAGAGTCAAGTTAAAATAGGGCTTCCAAAAGTAAAATCGATTTTAGCTTCAAAGCCACATCCAAATGATCCTACTATTGTGATGGAATGTCATAATACAACAACAACGCCGTCTTCTTTATCTATTCGAGCAAAGATTGTAACAAGTCGACAAGGTGTTCCTATTTGGATGGATTATTTACCAAGTGCTGTATTATTGATGGTGAGTAATCCTCTCTATTCTGCAGTAAGTTGTGAAGATGGATCCATCTATTTATATTCACCATCGGGTCGACGTCTATTACCACCGTTGATCATGGAGAGTACACCTGTTATTTTAAAGCAACAAGATCAATGGTTATTAGTACTTACAGCTACAGGACTTCTTTATACATGGGATATGAATCACATGAAAGTGGTATTAGAAGGAATATCCATTGGACCCATCTTACAGGCAGCAGAGAAACCAGAAACAGAAGAAACAAAGGCGCCGAGTATTAAAGATGTCCGTATACAAAAAAGAAATGGATTACCGATTCTTATCACCAGTTTAAAGCAAGCATTTATATATCATTTAGATATGAAAGTTTGGATGAGAATTAGTGATGCATGGTATATTATTTCTAAATTTTGGGGATCTAACGGATCATTAGAACCACAAGCGGCACATCCATTAGGATGGTTAAGTTCAAGTATAATGAGTCATAGTGGGCATGATCCTATTGCAAAAATATTAATAGATATAGCAAGAGCAGATGAAAGTACGACTGCTGTAGTGACTTTAAGCCATATTGAGGTATTTATCCAAAATAGTTGGTTTATAAAGAGAAAACTAATAGAAAAATGTGTTTTTTTTATCTATATAAATATATCTATACATATACATATATAAAGACACAATTAGCGGTAGCTGTATTACTAGAATCACCAAAAGAATATATAGAATGGATGAAGTATTATGCAAGAAGTTTATCAAAAGAAGGAGCGAAAGAAAAAGTAGAAGAATTATGTCGATGGCTTACAGGGCCACCTTTTATGTAAATACATTGTATATATATATATACATTAGAGATAACAATTTCATTAACTATGTGTATATGTATATAGATCTTCTGAGCTTACTCCTTGGGAGCCAACTATTCTGGTAAATACATTATACATCATGGAAGATAATAAAATATAAAGTCTTACATTTATTTTTATATAGGGAACAATATCAAAAAAGGATCTCTTAAACGACATTCTTCCTATTCTAGGTAAAGAGTTTTTTTTTTTCGTATTTAATTCAATGTTAACATCTTTTTTATAGCTCAAAATCGACAACTTCAACGCATTGTTACTGAATTTAAAGCATTTCTTCAATAGAAAAGAGAAGATTGTATTTTTTTTTTTTGATTTTTTTTTTTTGATTTTTTTTTTTTTTTTTTTCTATTTTGAAAATAAAAATCATTATTCAAAAAAAAACAGCAACAGTTTTTTAGTATCATTGTGCGTTTATTATACACTTATTTTTTTTTTTTTTTTTTACAGTGACAAAATGTTAAAAAGGAAAAAGGACTGGCATCCTTTTTTATTTATTGTTATTTTTTTCAGTTTATTTGTTGAAATTATGGGTCAACAATCCAGTAAAGCACACAAGAACGATTTACAGTTGGATATATATTAGTAATAGTAGCAGAAGAAGATAACAACAGGAGACGGTTGAAGGTGGCACTCTAGTTGAACACCAACCTCATCTTTATCAACTCTTCTTTTCACATCATGAACAAAAGGCAAGTCTCGTGTGTGATGATCGAGTGGCAAGAGATTTAGATGATGTTGATCAGACTTACTATTCTCATATAGAAAAGAGGAGAAAAGAAGAATGATTGATCGTGATGGAACAAGATCAAAAACATGATCCTCCTAGTTTATTCGAGTTATGTGTACGAAAGATAGTTCATCATCTTCAAGGTAGTGATGATGATGACACCTTATTATTCGCCTATCCAGTGCTTATTGACTATTTAAAATGTGGACAACGATGGTCCTTTTGTGGTACTCTCTCTCTCTTTTTTTTTTTTTTTTTTTGATTCATGCGTGAGCCGATATAGAGTGATTGAACGGATGAGTAAACTGATCAGGTTGAAATACACATCATGTCGTGAGCATTGGTTGGATGAAAAGGATCGACTGTACGCGGTTATTTTCTTCTACTAGTTTTCTTTCGTAAGCATCGTCATCATCATCATCATCACCGTTTCTTAACCGAATCTTCTTTTTTGCATCAACGATGACTATAAACAACAAAGACACAACGCGTCAAAAAGATGACGGTACTGTTTTAAGCTATACACATCATCAACAACAATACCATCAAAAAGACATGATGCTTACATCATGTTTTTTCTTTTCAATACCCAATTCCATCAACAAACATGTTGTTAGACAGGATGACACCATTTCATCATCATCATCATCATGAACCCCACTCATCACAAATAGAAAATAATCAACATGTATTAGTAGAAGGGAACAATGATCATCAGCGAGAAGTTATGACAGTGAATCATAGTAGTAGTAGTAGTAGTCGAATAACAGTGACGTCAATGATTCAAAAATCAAATAAAAATATTAAACAAAGTCTTGCTCAATTAGGTATTAAACTCGGTAACAATAGTAAAAAAAAAGAATAACGTGGAAAAAAAAGTGAAACCAAAAATTGTTGCTGATCATTATTATTATTAAAACAATGGAATTAAAAAGTTACACCAATAAAGAGTAAGCAATGACGTGTTACTTATAAATCGCGAGATATGCAACAAAAGTTTATTTTATTTTATTTTATGCAGAATCCCACAAGTAATAAAGAATGACCCTGTCATAATAGATGTTGTAACAACATTGAATAACTGCTGCTAACAAATGTATATTCAATTATTTGCCCAAAAAGTTTATTAAGATTATTAAGATTATCATTATTATTATTATTATTAATAAAAAGTAAGTACATTAGTGTTAAAATAAAAAATAAAAAAGACAAGTGGAAAAGGGGAGGGGAGGGGAGGGGATGGGGAAAGGGGATAGGGGATAGGGGAATGTGTATATGTGTATGTGTGTGTGGGCATTAAGTGAAGGAAATTAAAATGAATAAAGATTATTATTAAATACTAAATAGATTAGAAAATGGAGCCAAATGTATGCCATCCAAGATGGAAAGCAAGACCACCCATAGCAAGTGTAAGAGCAAAGAAGAGGACATTGAAGAGTAAACGAATATAATGATGATGATATCCAACTTCAGTAAATGCATGGAGACAGGTAAAAGCAAAATAACTAAAAAAGAAAAAGAGAATGATAAATTAGTCTTTCTGGCTGGATTTCACCTCCTCGCCCCCATTTTATGTTATATAAATAAATATATAATACTTTACATCCATGCCAAGATCATAACAGCACGAGTAGAACCTGCACCAAAAGTGTTCAAAACCAAGACGGATAAAAGTAAAAGAGTATTTTCCTTCAAGATTTCATGAGCTCTTGCGAAACGATCATATAAAGAATTATGTGTATTTGTAGTTGTGTTGTGATTGGAGCCACCTGAATACCACTTTCTCTTATGAGATGTCTCGGTAGTATTTGTAACACCAGGAGCATTACCAGTTGTGCCTCCAACCTCTGGATCAACATCAGCACCTGTGCCTTTATTTACATTACCAACCGTATTATCACGAGCAAAGACATGACGAAGGAAATAAGTTAAACCCCAGAGAACCCAGAGTGTAAAGAAAGCGATCCAAGCTGATCTGACATAGGGATCGGCTACAAAAGCACTAATGACATTGCCTCTTGTACTAGGAGAATCCATTGTTTATTTTATTCTTTTGAGTTACAAATAAGTTAAAGTAGTTTTTTTTGTTAAAAAAGTAGTTTGTTTGATAAGTAATTGAATTGATAATGAGAAGAAAAAAAAGTCCAGTTTCGAAAGCAATCAAGTCCTTTTTATATTTTGAAGGGAATCACCATAAAATATTATTTAATCAGTTCAGACTAAACCAAATAAATTAAAAATGATGTTACTAAACTGTCATAGGCTAATATTTTTTTCCTTTTTAAAGTTATGTTTGTTATGTACAAAAAAGATGTACATCAGCATATAAAATTAACTTTGGATCATTGCATAGTAGTTTTTTCCAAAAATGAAGCATTGTTACGTCGTAGCACACTAAACTTAAAATAATTATCAGTCATTTTTAATCGGAGATTAAATTATTTTATTCAGTTATTCATATATACAATGAAAAAAATGTATATCATGATTACATTATTAGGATAGAAACAAAGGACAATATTATTTTCAAACACGACAATTTTCAACCTATCAAATATAATAAACACACATCTTCTAGACTCATATAAATTTATTTTCCATTGCCGTCATAACGCTATTATTTATTGTACGAAACTTTTTTTTTTTTTTCCGATAATAGGAAACGGTATAATAACTATAGTAACTAAAAACTTTTAATTATTATTTTATTATTTTACTTTATTTTTTTTTTTCGAATAAAACGCCTGTAAATAACTATATAAAAAAAAAAGCTTATTTATTTGTGTTTGCATATTTAATATAGACACGCTTTAATTATTATGCCGTTTTTCCCGGATAATTCATTTCGAGAATTTGTTCAACAATACAAGGAACATATTAAAGAAAAAGAAGAAAGTAATAAGGATAATTGGGAATTTTATGTAAAGAATAAAGACTTTACCGTCTATCGTCGACCTGCTCATGATCGTAATCCGAATTTATTTGAATATCGTTCCTTTGGTGGATGGGATGATGTTGAAGCAGACATACTAGCCCATGTCTATCTCGATCTTGAATTTAGAAAGAAATGGGACAAGAACATGCAATCTCATCAATACTTTCAAGTGACGACAAGTACAAAAGAGAATGATTATAATGGAAATCATTTTGAAATGAAATATCCATGGCCACTTGCGAATAGAGATTATGTGTATACCATTGAGCGTAAGATAGTAAAGGATAAAAATGAAGGTAAAGAATATCAGGTGATTCTCGGAGAATCATTACCTTCAAACTATTTTCCTGAGCGTAAAGGTGTCATTCGTATTGATACATATATGCAGAACATATGTATTACATCAACTGAAAATGGAAAAGGATGTATTGTATTTATGGATTATTTTGATGATCCAAAGGTAATAAAAGTAGAATTTATCCTTTTATGTATAAATTAATCATCATCATCCATTAGGGTAATATACCAAAGTCACTTATTAATTGGGCTGCAAAGACAGGTGTTCCAACATTTATTAATAATTTAAAAGCAGCTTGTCAAGAATATAAAAAAGAACATCCAGATGGCACACCCCCTTTAGATAAACCTAATATTATTGAACTCTAATAATCACAGTAGAACAAACAGCAGCAACAACAGCAACAACAGCAAAAAGCCCTGATAAATTACGTATTATTATTAACTTGATTTAGAAGAAGAATAAAATAATCATAACATCATATACTAGTATTTTTATTTTTATTTTTATTTTTTTCATTTTTGCATAATAAAATATGACATTTAAAGTTATTAATTATTATAAACAACAAGCCTTTTTCTATTGTATGTCATTTTTTTTTGTTACTGCTTATATCTTATTGGTAGTTGATCAATTGAAATAAATGTTTGAATTAATAATAATAACAATAATTCTTATTATCTCGTGTCTTTGCAGAAAACAAACAAACAAACAAAAAACCCTTGATTTTTATTTTATTTTTTGTTTAGAAGCCTCTTCTACAACAAAGAGAATCATTGAATATTTTGTTTAAGATTTGGTTTAAGAAAAGTAATGCATCACTTTCTTCTAATTATTACTACGAAGGAAAAGAAAAAATCATGTATTCAATTTCTTTTGCTTTCAAGAACTATTTTAGGAATAGTCTTGAATGATATATACGTCTTTAAAGAAATGATTTTATTACAACATCATTCATTGACGAGTGTCAATAACACTTTTATGTGCATGACGTTAAAAGGAAATCTTCTTATCCTTTCTTTATGACCTATGCTAGACTGTTTCTCCTTTTTTTTTTCTTTTTTGAATACTTGTATTATGATGTGTATTCATGTTTTACGGGTAAAAAAAGGGAAGAGTTTATTCTTCTAAAATGTCAGACGAAACATCTTTTTTTTTTTTTTTTTTTTTTTTAACCGTGTATCATGATAAAGTAAACCAACTTGATAAATAGCGTACGCATTAGTTTATTACCAAGTATACAATTAAGACAATATCAAGTTGATTACGTTATTAATTTGGCCTTAAATGTTCTATTGAATTACCATTATCTTGTTCTTAACAATAGGCTCTTTGGGCGATCAACAGTATCGGCATAAATTAATTCATTACAAAAAAAGTCATGTTAATAATATCCTTTTAATTCTATTGGTTAAATGGTTGGGAGGAGGTTTTTTTTTTCCTTCATTTTTTTTCATTTTTCCCAGCATTACCTACTACTATCATGAGTGTCGCTCACTCTGGTTAATGTTTATACAGAGTGGATTGGTTTAATTCTTCAATTTATCAAATCCCTTTATATGATGCCATAAAAGGAGATATCATTTTGGTAATGTATACATGCATGCATACATACATAAAGCCATTATGCGTTCATTCATTGATACTTTTTCTTTCTTGAATATACATATCTGTTTATTTGTTAAGCTATTTATGGAATTCATTTTCATTAACTCATTTGTTGATTATAGAATTAAAAGATAGGCATCTCAGTTTTATACATCTTTAAATAAGAATCTAGTTTACTTTAATGTTTATTATATTTACTATGTTTAATTTATGCCCCTTTTATAAAGACTACAAATCAAATAAAACAAACACAGAACATATCATACTATCGCATGATATAAACAAACATTCCCAAAAAAAAAACTCTCCTCCATGACAATGTCAAAGTTAATAAGTTTTTATTAATTTTGAATTGACTCGAGAAATCAAATGAAAAATTTAACGAGTCTTGAAGTCTAATTAAAAGAAATGTAAATTAGTTGATCATCGTTTTCTTTTCTTTTTTTTCACAAATCTATAAAAAAAATACTTACAATCCAAGAGAACGTTCATGGCTTCAGATTCTTCTCCAAAGTCGGTGACGGCAACACAAGAACAACCGACAACCTTACGGGCATTACCTTCACGGTCAATCTTGCAGAGACCGGCCCATTCACCAAGCTTCTTAGCATCAGAGACCTTGATCAAGTTGATGTTGTGTTCAGCACAAAGAGCTTCAACAAGCTTGATGTATTCAGATTCGGTACAAGATTCACAGAGAACAGCCAAGTGAGCTTGACGTCTTTAAGATAAAAATGAATACAGTTTAATTGCTTTGTCTTCCTTCATCTCCTCTTTTGTGGAAGGGGGGGGAGTTTTTTTTTTCTTACCTGTCAAGAGCCTTAACGGCTTCCTTCAAACCACGAGCAAGACCATCGTGGATGAGAGCACGACGGAGGACTTCTTGGAGAGCATCCTCAACGGACATTTGACCAGAGGTGGCTTCAACAGGAACTTCAACTTCTTGAGTATCAATAACTTCTTCGTGGTCAGACATACTATAATTTAATATTTATATATAAAATTAAGGTTAACAAAAAAAAAATCTCTTTACAGTTTTATGCAAAATAAATAAATAAAATAAATCCATCCATCTATCTATAATACCCATCCATTTCTTTGTCAATAGATGTATTTATTTATTTATTTATTTATAATAAAGTTCTTAATATGTTTCTTGATACATTACTTTGCTATTCTAAGGGTGTAGAAAAAAGAGGAAGTTTTCTAAATGGCCTTTTGTTAATTGTTCCTTTAGTTTGACAGGCAGCAGCATTCATCATACTAATCATCCTTAAGCGGAGAGATAAAAATTAACCCTTTCCCTCCCCCCCTCCGTCATGTTCTTTTCTCTCCGATCCGGACATTTTTTTTTTTTTTTTTCACCATGATGATAGCTTCAGAAAAAAAAAAAATGACTGATTGGAAAACAATCATTAAAGCCTTTGATCTGAAATAATTTACTATTCGAGCATCTCAAGTGTTATAAACCTTACTTTTTTTTTTTTTTTTTTTTTTGTTATGAGTATATTATTCCTGGAGGGAAGAAGCAATAATCATCAAAGAATTCGATAAAGTAGAAAGGTTAACTTGCAGTCTTTTTTTTTTTTTTTTTTTTTTTTTTTTCGAGAGCTATTATAAGCAGATATTCTCAGTATATGTTTATCCAGTCTTATTATTATCATTTTCACATATAGTTTTGTGAATCAAAAATTAAAGCTTGAAAGAAGATCTACCAAATCCTATCCTAAAAAAAACAAAGATACATATATGTATTGTATATATTATTTCTATACAGCAAATCATTCATAATCTTACGCCTACAATAAAATATCAATGACTCTAAATATAATACTTTGATTTTGTTGGATCTTAATATTGACTCATTGAAAAAGAAAAATGTATATTTAATTATTTACTACACACCTCAAAGGAACAATAAAGACATTTACACTCCAAATAGACACACACACACTATCTATCCTATCCTTTTCTATCCTGTTATTTATATGAATAAAATATATATAATGTAAAATGATTTATTTCTTCATCAAATAAATTTAGAACTCAGCATTAGCAGGGAATTCGAAAACAACATTCTTGCCGGTAAGCTTCTTGTAGACAGCAGAGAAAGTGTCAAGCTTGTATTCAAGAGAAGTAGCGTCCTTAGCATCAAGGAAGACCTTGAGTTGCTTGGAACCATCAACCTTTTGACGAAGTCTCTTACCAACAATTTCAGTAGGGAAGACGAGGTCATCCAAGATAGCATCGTGGACAGCAGTCAAAGTACGAGATCTGGGACGAGGTTGCTTACCTTGGCTACGACGACCAGGAACGGCCAAGATACGACGTTGAGCAACAAAGACAACGTGGCGGTCAGAGAACTTCTTCTCAAGTTCACGAGTAAGACGAGCTTGGATCTTGTGGAAGCCGGCAAGAGCAGGAACAGGGACGAAGATGACGATAGCCTTCTTACCAGCAGGGAGTTCGACCTATTACAAAAAAAAAAAAATAAATAAATAAATAATACGTTAAAACAAAGATCATCAATAAAATCCGTATTAGATCTATCACATCCTAATTGCTTACCTCCTTAGCAGCAGCAATTTGGAGAGCACGGAGACCCTTCAAGTCAGGGACGCTGCTTTCCAAGTCAACGAGAGCTTGAGCAACAGAGAGTTCGAACTCATCGGCAGCTGGGGCGCCAGCTTGCTTAACAATCTTGTTAGAAGCCATCTTACTGTTCAAATTAAATTATAGTGTTGTAAATTTGATGAAAAAAAAAAGTTCGAGAATTGAATTATGAATTGAATTTTTTTTAAAGTTCGATAGTGAATGATATTTTAGAGAAATAAAAAAATAGAAAGTTAGTAATTCAAATTCATCATTAATTTAACATCAACTCAATTCCCCCTTTCCCCTCCATTTCCTCTTTGTACATGCACAGAAAGAGGTATATAAAGATGGTCTATTTTTATCTAAAAAAAAGTGATGGCTAAAAATCGATGATGATTGTAAACTGATGAATAAATTTGATGAATAGATAGATGGATGTATATTATTGTATGTAATGGATATGAATCGATATAGCTTGAATCATTGATCTGTCTTTCTCTCTCTTTCTTTCTCTTATCTCCATCCATAATGTTATCCAGTTGAATCGTTTTTTAGCATCCATTTTTTTTAAAGAAAAAAATGGTCATTATCATCTTTATATATCTCTTTCGTTTGTGCATTATACCATCCATCACCCTATATATTAAAATAATACGTACGTGAAAAATAAAGGAAGGAATCTTAACGTTGCCTTGTTGGCATTTGCTTTTACCGAATAGGTTCTTTACCGGAGAGTGTGGAATTTAAAATTTAAAATATGTATTTTTGATTTAATTGGATGAAATTTTGGAAGCGACAGAATTAAAGACTACTGTTATCATCTTTTTTATTTATTTTTTTTTTTTAAAGGAAAATATGTATATGAATATATCCATATACATATGTATACACATATATATAAAGTGTTTCTTCTATTCATTATTCTATGCTGCAGGGGCACTACAGCCCAATATGAGGCCATTTGATAGTAATTCCTTTTCATTCATGATTGTAATTGAATGAACTGTATTATAAGGAGAAAGTAAACAGACTTGAACCAGCAATCTTCTAAGTCTATCATAAGAGCTTCGACAGCCAGCTAATTAACAATAATATAGAATTCATTCGTATCAAAGAAATCATATATACACATACATATATACATATATATATATATATATGTATATATTATAATATTAAACTTACCTACTGCAGCACTCTCAAACCATAATGCTGCCTTTTCAAGATTGACTGGGCAACCTAAACCCTTTTCATAACAGTTTGCTAAATGATACTTTGCAGATAAACAGTCTTGTTCTGCCGATTGTTTAAATAATTTAAATGCTAATTCAAGATCTTGTCTGATTCCATAACCAGCTTGTAAATAATGAGCCAATTTTTCTTGAGCTCGAGTGTGTTGCTGTTGAGCTGACTTTTTATACCAATAAATAGCCTTTGATACATCTCGATCCACTCCAATCCCATTCGCGTAACAGTATCCAAGATTACATTGTGCCCAAGCATTCCCTTGAAGGGCAGCCTTTGAGTACCAATAGGCAGCCTTTTTAGGATTCTTACCCGTCGTTCCTATCCCTTCCTCATAGCAAAATCCTAGTGAATTTTGTGCTGTAGCATTTCCTTGCTCTGCACTGAGTTTAAACCATTTTACTGCTTCGTCTTCATCTTTCTCCACACCTGTTCCTTTACGGAAACAATAACCAAGGGATACTTGAGCTGGTGCATGATTACAATTCGCACTTTGCATATACCAAAATACAGCTTTACGTTCATTTATTTGAACACCAATGCCATTTTGAAAACAATAACCTAGTGAATGATAAGCAAATACATTGCCCTGCGCTGCACTTTTCTCATATAACCGTACAGCTTCCCTTTCATTTACTTTTTGAACACCAATACCATTTTGATAACAGAATCCTAAATTGTGTTGTGCCCTTGCATGTCCTTGCAATGCAGCTCTTCGATACCATCTCACACAACTAAAGCTATCCTTCTCAACACCTAATCCATTTTGATAACAATAACCTAGATTACATTGCGCCCATGGATAACCTTGTATAGCAGATAGAGTATACCAATTGACCGCCTTGACAAGATCTTTTTCAGTACCAATACCATCTTCATAACAATAGCCTACTGCGTTCTGTGCGACAAGGTCCCCTTTCTCTGCAGCAAGTTTGTACCACTTGAAAGCCTTCTTGACATCCTTCATGACCCCAATGCCTTCCTCATAACAATAGCCCAAGTGATAGATGGCAAAACAATCATCATAACGTGCTGCCCATGCATAATACACAAACGCCTTCTTCTCATCTTTTTCAACACCTATACCCTCGGCAAGACAAAAGCCTAATGTAGCTACGGCTCGAGGATATTTCCTCTGATCTGCACTCCTTTTATACCAATAAACTGCCATCTTGCTATCCTTCTTCACGACCCAACCATAATGATAAAAGTGACCTAGACAAAATTGGCTCGCAGCACAATTGTCTCTCTTGGCTGTACGTTGAATCCATGCTGTTGATCTTAATCCACCTAATTCTAAAAGGGATATCCATTGATGCGCCTGATTAGAGTCAACTTTAATACCTGGTTGTCCAAATTTTCGAAAGACTGCTAAACGATAAATAGCAAGTAATACTCTCTCTAGATCCTTGTTGTCTCTCTCATGATAAGATGGAGTACGAAGTTGTTGTTCTATATTAGATGGTATAGCTAAAAAGTAATGTCGTTCTGCTTCCTTGAAATCGACGGGTCTACCTAGACCAAATTCAGAACAGAAACCAAGTATACTATGTGCACTTTGATTGAACATGATAGTTCCTCGAAGTAATTCAATTGCGTATTCTGGCTTTATAAGATAGCCATGTCTACCAAATAAATAATTTTCTGCTTCCTCTATCGATTCTCTAGCACTTTTTATTAATGATTCATGCGTAGCTGTATGTTGTTGCTGTTGTTGCTGCTGTTGCTGTTGTTGCTGTTGTTGCTGTTGTATATTATCATTCACAGAATGTTTAGAGTTATAAGAAGTAGCATTTTTTTTATTATACATTTTATTTATGTTATGATGATTTAATATTTTTTCTAATACATTTCGAGAATAATGGATAATTTGATTAAGCATTGGAGCTTGATTATGATCACTACTACTCATTTTATCTGGTGGGAAGAGGTAAGTAAATAATATTAAAAAGTAAATATGAAAGGAAATAAAAAGAGATGATACATTTATATATAAAAAGAAGAAGCAGAAGCAGAAAAAAAAAAAAAAAAAAAAAAAAAAAAAAAAAAAAGATCAAAAATAATTATTGCCTTCTTTTTTTTTCTTTTTATTAGATAATAAAATATGCAAGCATTTTGGTTTCTCCTCCTCCTCCTCCTCCCCCCCACTTTTTCTTTTTTTTTTTTTTACATGTCTTGAATGCAACATTTTCATCTGCGTCGTCATTTACAACTGTATTCTACTGCTTTGAGTATAAATTGTACTACTTTTATACATGAATAAAGCAGAAAATAATCTTGTATTAAATGATGAATTCCCTCCGTTTCACTTTATCCTTTTTTTTTTCTCATTTATAAATATGTATTCCACTTCTCCTTTTTCCCTCCTTTTTACAAAAAAAAAAAAGAGAAGATCATTACGTCTCCTTTTCTTATGTATCCATATATAGTTAAATAAATATATTTTCACTCTTTTTTTTTTTTTTTTTTTTTTTCAAACAAAGGCATCAAATACACCTTTTTATATCATTTGCATGTTATACACTATCTTATCGGAACTAACTGATCCGAGTATTACACCTTTTTCGAAAAATAGTTTGCATATTTTGGGGGAAAAAAATGAAATCATGGATAAGCACTTTTGAAGATACAAGGAAAAAGAGGCTAAAGAATATTTCTTATTGTATATTATCATTTACTATATTAAGAAAAATAAAGCGCAACTCTTGGAGTATATTACCACATTGCAATCCGAGTCGAAGGAAGTCAGAAAAAGAAAACAAGTAACAGGGTGGTGTTCGTGTCACTATGAAAGAAAATCAATGCTATTTAAGCACAAGCCCGATTGATGGATTTTTGATTTTTTTTTTCTTTTCTTTTCTGTTTCAACGGAAAAAGTTTAAAGACTTAATAGATAACTATGTTTCTATACAAGCATTCATTGACAAAAGGAGAAGGGGGGGAGATGTTCTATATCAAACTTTGTAGAAAGTGTGTCTGTTTCTCTTTTATGCAACCTTTATTCCAAGTTTGACTCTCTTTTTTTTTTTCATTGATACGTTTAGAAACTTTCAAACTTAGTGCTAATTAAGTGAATGGTAGATAATATACTGAAATCGTTGATGTATTTGTTCTAGTTGTAGACATTGTTACTATTGAATGAACTCCCTTCTTTGAACCGAGTTCTATTTCGTTCCAAAGACTGATTCATCAGGAAAGACGTAATGCATTGGTAAATCCAAATCAGTGTTTGCTGTCAATTTTGAGCCCCAAATTGTACACTCTTTACTATTTTTTTTTTTTTGTTTGTTTGTTTGTTTCCTCACTACTGTTTCTTTTTACAAGTTGAAATGGTACGTGTTTATATTAGATAAATGATATGAAACCTATGAATTTCTGTATTAAAAAAAAAAGGTTCTTCTACTTTAAGACAGTAAAAGGATTGTCATGAATAATAGAATTAAATAAAAATTAAGGAACTTTGCTTTCCCCCCCTTTTATTTTTTAGGCGACATTAAAGCTATGACTATTTCTTTTGAAATGACTGTAACTTGATACCATCACCTCTCTTTATTATCATTAAAATAAATTGGAGGAAATAACTCTTTATTTAGAATCTTCTGTCTTTGTCTTTTGCTTATTAGATAATCGATCTGTTACTTTTTTTAACCATTGAGCAATACGCAAATCTTTATTTGTTTCCTCAGTAGCAACTGCTAAACAGGCTGCATAAAATAAACCGGATTCTTTCCCACTTCTTGCTAATGCATTGATTGCATTATTCATAGACCCTTCTACGTTTGCTATTAAATAACTGAATAGTAAAATATGTTAATATATATGCATATATATTGTATATTGTATAGTCTTAATTTACCATGTTGCTGTTAGAGTATCTTGCTCGCTTTTTTGAAGTTCTTTTGCCCAGTCTGCAAATAGTTTTTGTACAATAGGATCCTTGGGTGGTAGTCTTAATTTTGCTAAAACTATTGCCTCTCGAAACATAGCATGTCGACTATATAATTGAATAGCTTCATAAATATGTGAACATGCGATATAACACGAAGCAGCTAAATGGAATTGTTTCGATACTTCCAACTTTTGTGCTTGCTGTAACATTAATTCAATCCATTTTTGCTTTCCAGCTTAAATATATATATATATAAAAAGGAGAGAAAAAATAAATATCATGAGTTATATTTAATTTTTTTTTTTTTTTTTTTTTTTTTTTTTTTACCCATTGGGCTTAACGCTAATATGATCCAATCTGTCAAGACAGAACTAGTATTTTGATTTGCTTTAGTGTTATCCATAGTTTCATATTCACATCGCATTAGATTCATAGCTAGCTTGATATCAAATCCTTGAGATACATTGTTCTCTATAGAATAAGTAGGCTCATCTGGTAATTTTATCTGTTTATTTTCTATTGCACGTACTATCCAATAAAAAAAAAATGAATGAATATAAAATCAATAATCTCTCTCTCTCTCTCTCTTTTACAATACCTTCTAATTCTATTAAATGTTGAATATCATTTTTATCACCATAAAGTAGTTCATGCGAGTTTTCAACTTGATAAGCTGATCTATTCTCAAGTTCATCCCAAAATTGTGTATATCGAATGACGGTTGCATCTTGTCTTTGTTCTTCTGTCAAGGAATCTGTAACTAACTGCTGAACAACAGATTTTACTTTCCCGTTTAATAAATTATTCGCAACGACGAGACAGTATTGCTCCTTTTTCACTTTACTTTTCGCTTTTTCAGATTCTAAGGAAAGCATCATACTATAATCTTTTACATCTATCATGGTCTTTGGCCTTTTTTTTAGCATAAAAGTAGAATTTGCAGATGTATTGTTGGTAGTAGATGTATCGATTTTTCTTTTTAAATGTGTCTTGTTCAAAGCCTTCTTTTCTCGATCAAATAAGCATGTATGAGCTATAGTTATAATATAAATTAAAGATATCTCTATAGATATATAACTAAAGTAGATCTTACATTCAATTGAATCTTTGCATGGGAAATCCATATAATTCCATTCATAAATAAATCTATCTTCACTACTGCTAAAAATAACATCAGGATCTAATCGATTCCAATAAACAGACAATACTCGACCACGATGTTTATCAAACAGAGCAATCGTCTTTTGCTCCTTGACATCCCATACTGCTGCAAAGTTATCTTCAGATGCCGAAGCTAAAAGAAGCTTATCTGTATGTGAGCTCCACTTTAAATCCAATATCTCTTTCCTATGTCCCTTTAATAGTGCTGTCACTTCAGTCTGAGGCACAGGAATATCTTTATATAAAATGAAACAAACGAAAAAAAAAAAAAAAATTAATAATAAAAAAAAAAAATAGTTCCATTAGTTTCATATTATATATGTATACCTGGTAAGCTTGATATGTCAATATGACTAAGATCATGAATAGCTATTTCACCACTAGTGCTACCTGATGCTAGTAAAAGTCTTTTATTTGAATCTAAAAGAGAAAATATAGATATGAATACAAGTTTCTTCCTCCTCCCATTTATATATATATAATATATTTACTATTCCAATCTAAAGATTTAATCCTTTGACGTTGACAATTAGAGACATAAATAACCTTAAGACTATTCAAACTATATACTTCTACTAATCCATTCGTATGTCCAATAGCAATAAATTCAGCATTTTTATCTATCTTTATAATACAACGATATGAATCAACTGCACTCAAGCTAATAAACCAATCAGGGTTTTTCTCCTGTAGTCGTTCATTAAAGTTGATGGGTGGTATGTTGGGATGATCAACGTCATAGATATGAATTATACCATCGCCGCCACATGAAACAAGTGTATCCTGCATATCTAAATCTTCTAAGCTAGTTGTCATATTTAAACCCCAATCTAAATAAGGAGCAGTTTGCGATTTATGATAGCTTTTAAAGGGTATATGCTTAGAGTTAAAGGTATCTATCATGCCTACGTGTCCATATTCATTTGAATAAGCAAGAAGACCTTCTTTATGAGGATGCCATCTAACCTAGATATAGACAGTAGAAGCATTCAAGTTATTTGGGGGGGAAAAAAAAAGAAGGATTTTTTTCTTTTCCTTTTTCCTTACCTTTTCAATTTTCCCTTGTAAACCTTTCCAAAAGACAGTAGAGTCATAATAATCATGATATTTTTTCTTTTTCATAACGAGACCTAAAGATGAAAAGGACCATAACTTGATTGAATTGTCACCCATACTAACAGCTAATTGACCTTCATTCCAATTGGGTGAATCAAGACCATAAGGGAACCCAGCATGTGTCTTTAAATTTTGTAAACATAATTTTCGTTGAACATCCCATTTGATGACTTGCTTATCTATAGAGGTAGTGATACAGTTTCGACCATGGTTAAACCAGTTAATGGTAAATACATTTCGATTATGCTTCTCTAGTCTCTTTTGGGCTGTACTATAAATCGGTTTCCCTTTACTAATGTCTACACAATGAATCAAGCCAATATACGAAGAAAAATACAAATGATTCATTTCACAAGGTGACCAAGCAAGTTCGATCCATACATTCGCCTTTTGTTGCTCAGTGACTTGTGCTGATGGGTTAGGTAATTTAATGGCCATCCATTGTGATTGTGACGGGAAGGCCCAGAGAGAGATGATTCTCTTACGTTTAGTACTTGAAGCCAATAAAGGCCAATTTGCATTCTCTTGAGCTTGTATATGATCAGGTAACCTTTGCCAATCCAAGGAAACAATTGCATCGTTATCAGTCGCTATCTGAAATACAGTGGTCATTGATAAATCGTTTCCAATTTTCTCTACAAAAATCATACCATTTGCATAACCAACTGCCATATAATCTTCACCTTGATAGTGTGTAGTTGCAATGCTTGTGATTTCTGAGTTTACTTTTGTTTCACTCTCTTTAGTCGTCTTTCCAAACGTTTCAATTAATACAATTTTGCCAGATTTATCTCCTGAAATTAATACTGTGCCATTTCTTATCGTCTTTAATACTGTGATATCTATCTATAAGAAAGGAACGAAAAAAAAAGAAAAGAATAAGGTTACAAAAGACAGAGTCCTTTTATTTCCTTTTTTTTTTCATGCTTTACATTATGTTCGTGATATTCTATTAATAAAGTGCCCAATAAAATATTCCATACACGAATCGTTTTATCTATGCCTGCAGTAAAACAAAATGTATCATTAGCTGCAATAGCTAATACTTTTTCATTTGAAGCTGTAAATGAATTAAAATATCTCATATTGTCCAAGTCAAGAACAACAACGCAATTTTTAGTTGCATATAAAAAAAAGTGAGGTTCAACTATGGCTGTAACATGGGATGAATACCAATTAGGCACTGGTGGATAACTTTGACATTTTGGAAATCTTTCCGTTAGATCCATTTCGTGATCAGAGGAAAAAAAAAAAAAAAGAAGACAAAAGGAAAAGTAAACATCCCCCCTTTTTTTTTTTCTTTCCCCTTCTTCTGTTCACTTTTTTTTTTTTTTTTTTTTTTTTCTTTATGCTTAAAAAAGACAGTCCAAAAATTTAAAAAATAAATGCTTTACAAATTTTTTTCCTTTTTTTTTTTTTCTTCAAGTTTTAGATAAAAAGAAAGCGATCAAAAGAAAAAAAAATGGAGGTTGATCAAAAAATTGTTATACCAGGTGATGTAATTGACGTTAATACAGAATCAACTATTGTTTTGGGCCCTGGGTTAAGGCAAGAAGGAGACGAGGTTGTAGCAATTAAAGCAGGCATTTTATGTCATTTAGAAGCAGGCAATCGTTACTGGGTTGAAAGTAATCAAAAAAGAGTAAACATCATTATGCAAACACACTTTACATGAACTTTTTATATATGTATATCTATTATTTTTTTAGTATATTGCATCAACAGGTGAATCAGTGATTGGTACCGTTATTGCCAAAATGGGAGAATATTTTCGTTTAGATATAGGAACTGCTCATTCAGCAGTGTTACCTGTGTTAGCATTTGAAGGAGCAACGAAACGTAATAGACCTAACTTGGCTCTTCATTCACTTGTTTATTGTAGAGTTTCGATGGCTAATCCAGATATGGAGCCAGAACTTGAATGTATTAATCCTAAAAACGGTAAAGCAGATGGTTTTGGTGAACTTACTGGAGGATATGTTTTTAAATGTTCACTTGGACTTTGTCGAAGGTAAAGGAAGAAGTGAGTGGAAGGGGAAAGAGAAAGAGGAGAAAGTAGTTTTTTGTTTTGTTTATACTTATTATATATTTATATAGATTATTGAATCCCAATACACCTATTCTGACGTTACTAGGTGAACATTTTCCTTTCGAAATAGCAGTTGGTATGAATGGACGTGTTTGGATTAAAGCAGAGGAAGTGAAAACGACCATCTTGATTTCAAATGCTATACAAAACTCTGAATATTTAAGTGCTGAAGAATGTAGACAAATGGTAGAAGGACTTGTTAATAAACTATAATACTTTATTTTTATTGTACATTAAAAAATATGCGTTATCTTCTATTTTTTTTATATATGATGACTTTTATGAATAATCATGCATTAAGGGAACTGATCATTCTAGTCCAGCTGCTTTGAGTTGAAGATAGTGCAAATCAACTAAAAATTGAAATCCAGAACTGATTAGATGAATCTAAAAAAAAAAAAAAAAAAAAAAAAAAAAAAAAAAAAAAAAAATGTACATGTAAATTGTATGTGGAGAAGAAGATAACTTTATTTTCTTTTTTTCTTTTTTATATTCTTTTTTTTCTGCTAGTTGTAAATGATTAATCTAATGGAACCACCTACACAAGTTGGAGCTGCTATTCCAGCTCATACACCACATGCTGTTTCTGTTATGTTTCCAACTTGGCAAGATAATATTTATTATGAAGAAGGGAACCCAATTGTCACTTCAAAAATGGAATGTGGTTATCCTCGTTTCTTTATTCATCCTTTCATTCAAAAAGTAACTAATAATAATAATAATAATATATGAGCAAACTTGGGTGGAAAAAGAAAAGAAAAAGAAAAACTTACATCTTTTCTTATCTTTTTTTTTTATCAAGTTATGTAGTTATGTAGTTGCAAAATTTGGTAAAGAGGATGAAACAGGCATGCTCTTCCCTTCTCATAAAGTAGCTGAACAATGTAGATCTTTTATGAACCGTTATTATGATCATCATCATCAAGGATCTACTACAGGAGCAGCAATACGTATTGCAGAATTCGAAATTACTCCACAAGAGATATCGAATGAAATTCAAAGAGTTCCAATTCATATCGTTCTGTTCCCTAAGGATGCTTTCCCAATCGCTAAGCAATTTTGGCAGCATTCGGGTAATATTATCTCTTCTCGTATGGCAGAATATTGTCTGCGGATAATAGATAATAATCAAGAGAAGGATAGAGAAGGAAAAGAGACTAAGAATAGGGATATGACTGTACCTCGATTTACAATGGGAGGACGTAGTCGAACTCATTATAATAAATCAAATATAAAATTGAAAAGAACAGAAAAAAGAGAAGAGGAAGAAGAAGATGATGATGTTGAACAAAATCTGTATCTTGAAGAGCGTTATGGAAGAAATCTACCTGCCAAGTTTGCTTTAAATGCAAAGCAAGCTTTGAGACGAAGAATTGCTGGCGTTTTGAGTGAGAGAGAGGATACAGATGATTTAAAGAAACAATGTGAAATGAAGGGAGATCGAGGTATCAGAGGCTTGTCGGAAGAGGATGTTTACTTGTATCCTTGTGGAATGAGTGCAATTTATCATGCACATCAACTCGCCATGAATATAGGGGACACATCTTTAAAAAGTGTATGCTTCGGGTAAATACTTTGTAACTATATATGAGTTGTATTGATGACATTAATAATAACAATAATTAATATTAGATTCCCATATACAGATACTTTAAAAATTCTACAGAAATGGGGAGCAGGTTGCTATTTTTATGGTTTAGGAGAGGATAAAAGCATGGATGAATTAGAAGCTCTTTTACAGTCGGGTGAAAGAGTTCTAAGCTTATTTTGTGAGTTTCCATCTAATCCATTATTAAAGTCTCCAGATATAAAACGTCTTCGTCGTTTAGCAGATACATATCATTTTTTACTTGTCGTAGATGAAACCATTGGTAACTTTTGTAATGTTGCTGTACTTGAATGGGCTGATATGGTTGTTAGTAGTTTGACAAAAATATTTTCTGGTGACTCTAATGTAATGGGAGGAAGGTAAGTCAGAGATGACTACTACTACTAATAAGAAGAAGAAAGAAATAAAACAAGTTTATTTATTTTATTTTGGCTTAGTATGATTTTGAATCCAAATGGAGTTTATTACGCTCAATTAAAAGCATTGTTGAAACAAAATTATGAAGACTTGGTATGGTTCGAAGATGCTGTCTTTTTAGAACGAAATTCTCGAAACTTTAAAGAACGATCACATATTATTAATCAAAATGCAGAAGCACTATGTGATTTTTTAGTAAATCATCCAAAAGGTAAAAGATGAAGCAAGTAATTATTTATATATGTGTATTGAAAAAAAAAAATAGTTGAAAAAGTATTTTATCCAAAGTATGTATGCAGAGAACATTTTGATTCAATCAAAATAAATACAGATACAGCAGGTTATGGTGGATTATTTTCTGTTTTGTTAAAAGATGAGAAAAGTGCTGCCACATTTTATAATAACTTACATTGTGCTAAGGGACCTTCGTTGGGTACAAATTTTACTTTATGTAGTCCTTATACCATTCTTGCTCATTACAATGAATTAAATTGGGCAGAACAATATGGTGTGTGTCGATATTTGGTTCGTGTTAGCGTTGGTTTAGAAGATAAAGAAAAATTATTACACATGTTTTCAGAAGCATTAAATGCTATAGAATAAAAATAAATTATTGTTTTTTTTTTAAATTTCTATAAATTATATTTATTGTTGTAATAAAAATACATTTATAAAATTACAGAAAGAATGATGGCATCTAATATTTATAAATATTAGAAAAAAAAAAATAAAGAATAAAAATAAGATGATAATACAAAATTACTAGTAATACATGGTTGATAATAAAAATAATAATAAAAAATTAAAGAGTAGAAATGTAAAAAAAAAAAATAAAGGGAAGAAAAATTATTATACGACTTAGATGTAATCTTCAAGTCTGATGCTGGCCCAGCCAAGTTCACGACCAATTTGTTCAATACTCTTTTGCTTGGTTTCAGGGATAAAGATAAGAATGAAAGTACCGCAAAGAGCAGAGATACCAGTGAAAATCAAGAAAACGTAAGAACCACAAGCATCAAGAAGAGCAGGGAAGATAAGACCGATAATGAAGTTACAGAGCCAGTTAATAACCAAGGCCATAGAGGAAGAGGCAGAGACAGCGTAGGTAGGGAAGACTTCAGAATTGATAACGAAAGGAATGACACCAAGACCGATGGCATAAGCAGCAATGAAGAAATAAATAGAAACAACTTGAAGACCGGAGATATTCTTAACCATACCAACAGTCATCAGGATAGACCAAAGGGTCATACCATAGGCAGAGATGACCAACAAAATCTTACGACCTAAACGATCGACTAAACCAAGGGCAATAATGGTCATGACAACGTTAAGAATAGAAGAACCGATAGTGACATACTTGGCACGGTCACCGAAGGCACCTGTGAAAATAGAAGTAGAATAGTACATGACAGCGTTGATACCAGTCAATTGAGAAGACATATGCACGACCATCATCTTCAAAGTCAAAATGGCGAGAACACGAATACTGAAAACTTGTCTAAGAGATAAACTCTTTTCACTTTCAATAGGAGAGTCATCTGTGGGGAGATTATCGAAACTATCTTTTTCGCCGGGTTCACCATTGTTCTTCTTGGCATCATTACCACCCTTAGTAAGAGACAAGATCATATCAGAGAATTCTTCTTGAACATCACCATAACGAAGACGCATCAATTGAACACGAGCTTCATCAATACGATTCTTAGAGATCAACCAACGAGGAGATCTAGCACAGAAAGGCAAACAAATCATTTGAATAATAGCGGGGGCAACAGTAATGATAACAACAATACGCCATCCGACAGCAGAAGAAAGACCGAGACCAATTAATTCAATAATTAAAATACCGATGGTTAAGAAAAGTTGAAGACAAGAACCAAGAGCACCACGATACTTTGGAGGAGAAATTTCAGAGATATACATGGAGATAACGACTGTCATAAAACCAGAACCCAAACCAACAAAGATACGACCAATAGCGAATTGAGCAGGTTCAGTAGAAAGAGAAAGCAAAATGGCACCAATAAAGAAAGTAACGTTCATTAAAATCATAGAATCACGACGACCAAGTCTAGCAGCTAACCAACTAGCAAGAATAGCACCAAGCAAACCACCAACGGCAAACATACCAGTAGCAGCACCCCTATAAGGTAAAAAAAAATAATAATAAAGTTTAGTATTTGCATAAATGTTATGGAAACTGGTAAAAATAAAAAGGCTGAATAAAAGCTGAATTAAAATACTTACAAAACCCAACTCGTCATAGGAATACATTGAGGCAAATGTGAATGAGGATAATAAGTCTTTACACCAAAAGGTACACCAGGACACTGTGTAAGAACATCACCAGGAATATTCAAGGCAGATGTATTCATACCATTGTTGAATGCACCTAATGAAGCGATACATACACAAAAAATACGAATGGTCGAAGTCTTTCTGATGAACTCATTTTAGACTTGGGAAAAAAAAATAAAAATTAAATGAAAAAAATAAAATAAAGTTAACGGGAAAAAAACTTGAAAATATGGAAAAAAAATTCCCGTCAAATTTATATAAAATGAATTTTTTTTTCTAAAACCTCATTGACTAATTTGGAACATCATGTAAGTAGAATCCTGTCCCTTTTAAAATTGACATGTTTCAATACAAAAGGGTCGGTTAATTGCGTAAAATGAAATTTTGGTTATTTTATTTTATTTTTAAATTTGTTAATAAATAATTATTATGTTCAAGTAGATCATGCTATTTTTTTATTACTCTTCTTCCTTAACTTTATAAAATAACTAATATAGCTAAAAGGTAGTTGACCTTATTAACATTATTAAAAAAAAAGAAAATAAAATTGAACAGAATAAACATAAATACAAATATCAGTCATTTGTTTCAGTTATTTATTTTACCTTGATCGAAGTAGTAAGACTACGAAACAAACTAAATATGAAGTTTGGATGAGTTTTGTCAACCAATAAAAATCTTTGTCTGTTCAAAAGTGTCATCTGATGTTAAAAAAAAAGAGAGAAATGTTATGGCAAAATCATTAACCTTTATTTTCATTTACTATATTGTTACTTAATAACAAAGATCCTTCATGCTTCACCACATGGTTGAATCATATTCTTTTTGTTTTATTTTATCTAAAATACCAAAACATACTTCTAAAATGAAAGCCCTTTTTTTAAAAAAAATTTATATGTATAAGAAATTAAAAATAAACCTATTTACATTTCTTTTCAAATGATACACTCATAAAGCTTTTTATTTTTTCCTATCAATGATGCTCTCTGCTTCCTCTTCCTCCCCCCCTCTTACCCTTTGTTGAAGTGTTTTGTAAAACACTTGTATACTTAATTTAGAAATTTTTGCGGAGTATATATATTCCAGTGAAAAAATATGAGAGGTTAACATAACTTGTTCAATTTCGAACATGTTCCACACCTAACAAAAAAAAAAAAAAAACAGAATGCTTGCGATATTAACTATGGATGATTTGTAATGAAGAGGATGAGGTCCTAACTATATCGATATACTATTCTTTGGTTTTTTTTTTCTTTAAGAATTAATCTTCTTTATTCAAGTGTCTACTTTATCTTTTATTTTTCCATATTCCAATAAATTTATAATTATACAAAATATATTGCGGGTTATTATTATTCTTCTCTTGGTCACTCACTCATTCACGCTCTTCTCTCTCTCCCCCAAAAAAATATAAACAGTCCAAGTGGTGTCTTTTTTTTTTTTTCTAAGACAAATTTATTAAAAAAATAATAATTTCTGCCTTTCAACTATATTTATTATTTTACTGCTATTTCTTTCTTTCTTCTTTTTTGTTAGATCAAAAAAATATGTTAAAGAATGGATTTAAACTTGGTTTTCTTTTAATTAGTTTTACAATAATTATTTCAACTATTTTCTGTAGATTCAGGTACGGCACAAGCGGGAAAGAACAAAAGAATAATTAAAGGAAAAAAAAAAAGGGAATATCTTTTTACATAACAACCGGGAAAATGACGGGAAAAAATTTTTTTTTTTTACTGTGTAAAAAAAATCTCATATATAAACACGCCGAATTTTATAAATATACGATTAAAAAAAGTAAAATAAAATAATTGCTTACTTGTGCAATTATAATGACATTGTATATCATAATGATCATATATCAATTAATTTAAAAAAAAATGGGGGAGGAATGGTGGCCCGATTGTTAAGTCTAATGTTATTATTATTTTCATAACCGACAATGTGGAGCTCCCCTTCTTATTATAGCTTATTCACTCATCATAAAGTGGAGTGAAGTAATAGTATTTTTATGAAAAAAAAAAAAATCGAGACATTTGAAATTCCGCATATGAATGAAAATAGTGATAATAATATAAAATTCACTATAAATGACGTCAATTGTTAAAACAACGTTATACCGTATTTGGAGAAATATATAAGTTACTGTAGAAACAATGCCTTTTTTTTTTTTTCCTGCAAATATATCATTATATAATAATTTTTTAATTTCATTGGTAAAATAAAATATATTAAACAAGAATAATAATAGACAATGTAATTTATCTTTGTAATGGATAATAAGTAAGGAAGCCTACTTTACGGTTAAAGAAGCTATTTAATCCTCAAAGTATATCCCAATTATAAATTTACTTACATAATGAGAATGAATGGAGAACTCTACTTCTTTTTTTTTTTTACTATTACTTCAAATTAACTTTATAAATAAATTAAATAAATGTTATAATAAGAATAATAATAATGTACTAGTTTGTGTCCATTACTCCTTGAAATTGAAAAGTAATAACTTTCTATGACGCTCTATGTTTTAATAAAAGTATCTGAAATGTTCCTATATTTAAGCAATAGTTAATATTGAATTTAAAGAAAAAAAAACCCCATTTCATTATATATAAATATGTGTATGTACTTTTTCATTGGGATGTTTACTAAGACGGCAGTTTTCTCTGTATAATAAAAAGCCAGTCATAGATGACAAGAAAGCAGAGATAAGTGCTGTTACTAAATTGAATACTAGGCCAAAAACTAATATAATAAATCATATTATCAGTACATCATATTTAAATAGTGCATGTATAAATATATATATATACCATATCGAGGTGAATCTTTAGATTGAAATAAATAAGATGCTAAAATGCTACCAAGGTTTCCTATCATAAGTACAAAGGCTACTGCAATAGCTCGAACAGTTAAATCAGGATAATTTATAGCAGACCATCCAATAGCAGCAGCAGCTTCAAAAAAAAAATCAGAATCATTTTATTACTTTAAAACACTTCATATATTACCTTGTATACCAATCCCCGTGGGGATTAAAAATAAAGTCCCGTATAATGCTTTATAATAAAAGTTTAATATACTTGGTGTAAATCAGGTTCATTCATTTAAAGTTACCCAGTTTATCTCGAAGAATTAAAAGGCATAGATAACCAATAGCTATAATAATGGAGCCTGCAAATAATAAGGGAGATCTTTTATTATACCGTCCTGTTAAATATCCACCTAATAAAACACTAACAGTAGCGACCGCACAAGGTGGTGCTGTCAATAATTGAGAATTTAATGTTGTAAAGCCAAACCCTAAGAAGGTATTTAAATACAAAAATAAATAAATGAAAAAAAAAAAAGATACATATACATATATAAACCACTAATTCTCCTGTCTTATTTACCATCAATTAATGTTGGTGCAAATACAGTAATACTTGTCATATTGATAGAGTTCAATAAAAAAACGAATGCAAATGCCCACGTTTTCCAATCGAATAGTACAATTTTAAATGTAGTTAGATTGACAGTAGAGTTTACCGCTTGAAGATCTAGTTTTTGATGTGTAGTCATTCTAATAGTTTGGAGTAGTTTTTGTTCATCAGATAACCATTTGACTTTCTGAAGATCATCAAACAAGAATATATAAGATATAAATGAAAGTAGTATGGTAGGTATGCCCTCAAATATAAATAAATATTGCCAGTCATGAAGACCATGTTTGCCGTCAAAGTAAGACATCGCATACATAAGGGGTCCAGATAATAGACCGGAAAGAGTAGCCATGGTTAATAAAATACTTACACGAAAACCATACTCCTTTGGTGTATAAAACTGTGACATCAAGAATAAAATACCAGGAATATACCCACTTTCTGCAGCTCTGATTAAAGGAAAAAAAAATAGGAGAGGAAAGGAAAATGATAATAAGAATAAGAATATATTACATATAAATAGAGAATTACCCTAAAATAAGTCTAACAATCAGTAGTCCTGTAAAATTAGTAACAAAAGCTGCTAATAAAGTAGCTAAACCCCAAACGAGCATGATAAAAGATAGCCATTTTGCAGCATTTACTTTCTTTAGAATAATATTGGAAGGTATTTCAAAAATAATCTAAGATGTCATAAAGGTATAAGAATGTTATAAGTATTCATCGTATACTTTTATTTTTAACACTTACATAGGTTATAAAGAACGCTGAAATTGTAGTACTAAGTTCAGATGAAGACATCTACAAGACATACACATATGTTATCCATTTTAGTTGATAGTATTAAGCTTTGAATTATATTAACCTTTAAATCAGTCTGAAGGCCTGCCAGTCTTTATATATATATATATATATATATGTATTTAATACACTATACTACGCAATATATACAATTATATTCTACCTACGTGGCATTTCCAATGTTAGCTCGGTCCAGAATATCTGCAAAATAAAATAAACAAAATAATGGCATAATACGTAAATCTAATTTTCTAACTAGCTTTTTTTCTTGTTCATTGTAATGAGGATTTATAGCTTTATCTCCATTATTAGAATGAGACTGGTTACTGCTTAAGGATGAATATGAGAAACCGGAATCGTCGTCCTTTTTCTCTTCTTTTAAAATATCACTTTTAAATAATACGTCATCTCTGCTTTGAATTACAGGTAAAGAAGTATTATATGATTGTCGCATATTATGGAGGATAAATGAAAATGCAGATATTTATATATCTATCTATTTTTTTTCTTCATAAAATGTATGTATTATATATAAGTGTAATTATTAATATTATGCATTAACCCCTTATGTCTTTATCTATGCACTGTCTCCTCGAATATTATTTTACCAAGTAAAATGCTCAGGGTAATATTATAATATCTCTCCTTTACTTTTGTGTTGTATAAAATCAATCATTACATTCGTATTATTATATATCATACATCATTCATTGTAAGTTTATCTACCTGTATAATTATAAGCAAAATGATAATAACTTCGAGATATAGCAAGTTGATGATCCTTTTACTATAGCCCCTTAACTATCATCAGGATAATTCAATGGCCCGAGATAATCAGAAACATTATAAAAACCTTAAAAAACTTATACAGTCATTCTAACCGTCAATCAGAAAATAATGATCTAATTTTAGACAAATCTTTAAAAAAAATATAACGTTAAATAATTAGAGATGCTCTTACTTAAGCTTCAAAGGCACAAAAAAAAAAAAAAAAGTAAAAGCAGTTATGGTCATCATAAAGCCTTGCTTGGTACCTTAATAAAGATAAAGAAAAAAAACAATAGATAATAAATTACCCTTCTTATATTATAACACTTTCTTAAAGATCAATTTTTTTTCCCCAAAGATTTTGGTATCTTACTCATCTTTTCCATAGACGCGTTATATCCATCACAGAACGTGATTGGGATAAGATTTAAGGATTTGGAACTATTGATATCATAACTAATTCTATGGTAACCAGTGTCTAGATTAAATCTAATATATCTAATCTATGCTTTCAATAAGAAATCTTGTCACCTATTTTAACTTATTGCTTAATTAAACGAAATTTGTTATATAAATTTATGATAACCATTTAATGGTCTATAAAAAAAAAGAAAAAATTAGTAGACTTTGCTAAATGAACATTTGCTTTATTACAACAAAAAAAAAAAAGATCTCAGTACAATTATGTTCTCTTAATTCACTTTGCTTGTGTCATTCGATTTCTTTTAAACCGTCAAGATTTATAGATCTACGTTATTTTCTTAGAATATCATTACCAACTCTACTTTCCAACTACTACAGCAAAATAATTATTTGTCAACAAATGCTTTTATTTCTTTTCTTATGAAAAAAGAAAAAAAGTTCGATACAAGAGTTATAACGAATATAGAAATTATAAATAGCACGGATGCTAGATTCAAAGAAGTAACACTGTTTGTTATCTGTTTCTAGTTAATAATGCGCATTTTCGTATCTTGTATAAATGCTTTATTTTACTGAGAGCTTAAATAAATGACCACCTCACTTTTATAGTGAACGGTTTATATGTTCCTTATAACACATGTTGCAAATTTCATTTTTATCAAAGTTAAATTGCTTACTTCAAGTAACTTAAAGTTAGGAGGTGGTGAAACAAGACTATGGTATATTTACCGTGTCAAAGGAGTATGATATCATTAGGCTATTCACCACATCTCTTTGAGTTTAGAGAAGAAGCTTCTATTTATTTCGGATAGATTACAGAATATATAAGAAAATTAATAATGGGTTCTATTTGGAGAAAAAAAAAAAGTAGGTTGCACTTGTCAAATGCTATCAATTTTTGTCTGTAAACTTAAAAAATTAACAAGGGGGAGACGATTTTATTTAAAAGCCGTATCTTTTTAAAATTTTTGAAAAGATATAACAGCAGCAAATCAACGAACGTAAATTCATTTAACCGAACAGAAATTGCGGCAGTTAAAAGTGACGGTCAAAAGAAAAAATTTTTTTTACATTTCTTTAGATTTAAAGAGAACAATTTTTCTATTATTTTCAATGTTTTTTTTTTCTCCAGTCAATTTAACAGTTAAAAGGCAAGTATTAACTATTCGAATAAAAATAGTAAAGAAAGTATTGCAGAGAAGAGAATATCTTATTTTGATACTTCGGAAGGGTTCTTGACGAAGAAACGGATAATGGAATTCCTCGTATCTGAGCATTATAATTTTCTTTACTTCCTTTTTTTTTATTCTTCTGTTAAAGAATATTTTTATTGACTCGTTTTCTTTTATTTAATAGTATAAATATTTTTTTCTTCTGATAAACTTATGATGGCATTCTTTTTTGGAGAAATTCTGCATGGCTTTTATTTATTAAAATGTAAGTAATCTTGTTTCTTTTTTCTCTTTTTTAAATAAGAGAAGATGACGAATTGCATCCACTTGGCTGATCACAAATGATCGAATGGATCAAAAACATGCACCACCATCTGATTCTCTTTTAAGAAAAAAAAATCCCCGTACAAATATACTAATTTATATTTAATGATAATAGTCTTCTCTTAAAAGTCATGAATTCTCGAGAAAAAAGATAATAAGCTTCCATTATAATTTTTTGGTCGAAAAAAATTATTTTATGCCTGGAGTGCACTGCTGTTTAAGGTAAACTATTTCTCTTATTTTAAAGAAAATAAAATCATAAAGTTATATGGAAATGATGAAAACAAAGTACAAATTCGTCAGTTCTGCTACTGATTAGCCGTGACGATAAATACTTTTCGCATCCTGAGTACCATATATCTTTATGGATTTTTTTACATTTTTTATATTAGATAATATGTATACTCATTTCTAATTTATTTTGTTTCTTCTAGTTTACGTTTTTTTATGTGGCTTAGTCGGTGTATTTTTAGTTTCTTTTAATAGAAGAAAAGTAATAAGTGCATTTTTTAGGATGAAATTAAGTTAAATCCATTCTATGATTTGAGGCCCACATTCTTTAACACTTGTTATAAAAGGGAGACTTTCTCTTGAGTTTTTCAGGGGATAGACAATCTTTAATGACTACCGTTGAAGGGTGGGGATATTATCTTTGATTAGTCTTTTTTTTCTTCTATTTAGTTGAAGAAAGGGTTACTAGTTTTAAAGATTTTATCTTTTTGTGGTTTCTAAGATTTTAACAAACTTGCTGACTAAAATCACTTATTGCCCTTTCCTTTTTTTCATTTTTTATAATAAAAGATAACTTTATACTTGTAATCGTCTTCATATCGTTTTATTGTGTGTATATGTATTCAATGTCTTTATTCTTTCTACTAAGTTGCTGCAACATAAATGGATGATATTGCTATAATGTAAGGAAATAGAATAATATAACAATGGCAGATGTATATAATTATGAATGTAAATATAAATATGTATATTTTTTTTTATGTTTATTTTTATAAATCTGTAGCGATTACATATATTCATCATTATGATTGTAAATAAAAAAATAACAAAAAAAAAAAAGATTGTATGGGAAGGATCTTTGTTTAACTTTTATGATTTTGATAAAGTTGTTGTGTTATCTAAACTATGAATGTCATCAATTGTAATGGGTGGAGTGACAACACACCTTCAATGAAAAAAAAAAAAAAATAGTGAATAATCAACGTAATTCCCCTTCTTTTTTTTTTTTTTTCTTTCTTTTACTTACATCCAAATACGAGTTTTATAAATCTTGAATAATTCTCGAACAAGTTCTCGAAAATCAATACGGTTTTCAGCTTCAAAGTAAAAAGTTAATTTACGACGATCCCATTGGTATTCAGCATCAACTACTTCCATTGGCAATTTCCGTTGTTTTGTCTTTTGTTGACAAACAACTAGAGCTTTATGTTCATCTTGTCCTTTAACTAGTAATAAGTTAACTTCATCAGATGTAGCTAATCTAAAGATTCGCTTAATATGAATCTCTCTTTGAGCTTTAACAGGTATACTAGAACCTGCTGCTGCACTTTCTTCTTCTTCTCTTTTCTCTTTTTCTGCTGCTGCTGCAGCAGCAGTATTACTTTCGACTTGTTGTAATTGTGATTGTCGTTTTTGTTCTAATGCAATAACTTGCTCAATAGTTAAAGTATTCACAGCTACTTTACCTAAATCTTTACCACGATCCGCTTCCACTATCACGAGGTCACCCACTTGAGGATGAAATTGCTTTGAGTCCAAAACATAAAAGAAATCAGTTCGTCCTCCTTTAAATTCAACCATGTATAAAGGTACTTTAGGATCTAAACGATGCATAGGAATACCTTTACCAAGGTCTTGGAAGCATTTTGGATCAGTATCAAAATAGTCTTCAGCAACTTGTTGTTGCTGTTGTTGATTAGGAGAAAAGAATTGTTGTTGTTGTTGTTGTTGTTGTTGGAGATGGAAATAGCCATTATTAAAAAATGGTTGTTGTTGTAAATGCTGAGTATAAAGGTCAGGTTTATATTGTGGTTGTGTAGGTTGTTGTTGCTGTAGCTGTAGCTGTTGCTGTTGTGGTGGCGGTGGTGGTGGATGAAATGATCCTAAAGTTTGTAAATCAGGTCTTAAATGTACATTTTCTAATTGTTCTGCTAATTGCTGAATATTACTTGGTGGTTGCGTATTTAATGTCAAGGACTGTCTTCTCATTAAATTGTAATTATTTGGAGAACTTTCAGCAGGAAAAGAGTAATCTTGAAATTGACTTTGCTGAGATAAACGACGTTGAAGAATGTCTAATCGTTCTTTATCACCTAAAGACATTTGTGAAGCATTAGGTGTAGTGGGTGTTGTAGGTTCAACTGTATTAGAAATATTAAAGAAACGAGAAGAAGAACGACGTCGTTGATTGATCATTAAATCTTCCTGTTGTTCAGAACCACGACGAACACCATCACTGTTCATTAAACGAGAATGTTGTGATTGGGATAAAAGACCAAAGGCAGCGCCAGAAGACTTGGAGCGTGATCGAATATGTGAAAAATCAATATCATCAAAAAAGCCATCCTCCTCTTCTTCCATAGGAGCTAAAGAGGATTTAAAAGGTGGCTGATAAGCAGGTTGAGGTGGATGATCATCATAATCATCATAACCAAAAAAGGTTGGATCCTGACCCATTGAGAATGAAAGACTACGATGTTGACGGTATATAGGTTCAAGCGAAACACCAGGTAACATTGGAACTGAAAGAATATCATAATTTGTATTATGCAAAAGTGAAACACCTTGATTATCAACTACATCTGGAGGTGGAGGCTGAATAGGCGGAGCACTAACTGGTTTACCATCTTCGTCAAATATAGACGGTCCTTCCCATTGAAATCCACCAAATGAGCCCCAATTATTATTATTTCCTTCTGACACAACAGAAGCTCTTCTCATTATATCAACATTATCATTGATAGGTGAATCATTGGGACTATTTTTACTCGTATTATCCAAAACCTGAGGCGTATTTATAGTACTTCCTCTTCTTGAAGGACTACCTACTATTTTCCAAGCATTATCAGAATTAGGATTATTTATAATTGGAATTCCCATAAAGTTATTTTCCTCTTCACTCTAAAATATAAAATTAAATACTGTCATGTATTATAAATAAACAAAAAAAAATAAATTTACAATTGCTTTAGGTTTATTCTATAATGAAGTAGAAAAAATAAAAAATAAAAAAAAGGAAATGTCAGTTTTTTGTTATGCTTATTTATTAATTCAGTTAAAATATACCTTTTGTTGTTCAAAGGCTTGTTGTGACATTTTAAAGTTCGTTTTTTTTATTCGTTTTTTTTTTTAAAAAAAATTCTATATGTATTGACTAAAAAACTAGTTAGATTTAATAATAATAATAATCTACATTGACAACAATTTACAATAAAATAAATATACCTTTTTTTTTATGTGTCTAAGATGGATATTTTACGTCTAATTAGATATGAGAAAAAAAATATAATAAGACTCTAATTGAAGTATAAAAAAAGGGAAATGCAGTTCCCTAATTATTAAATGAAGAGATGACCAATTTAAGTGATGTAAAAATAATGAAAAAAAAAAGAGACTCGGACTATATATTTATAAAAATATGTATGTATTTTTTTTTTTTTTTTTTTTTAAAAAAAAATGGACTCGTGTCTTATTTCTAAATAGTGCTGAAGATGTTGTAAATGGTTAATAAAATATAAACATCTACATTTATTTAATTGAATGCACTTAAATACCTTTTTTTTTTATAGATGTAAAGAAATTTTTATTGTGTAGAATGAAAAGAATAATTTTTTCTTTTTATCAAATGCGCACATAAGCTTCATCATTATTATGTCTCGCTGTGTTTAAAATATTCTTGGGTCTACTGTGGATGACACAACAAAGTAAATGCGTGTTCTACAACTATTCAATTTATCTTATCATTTTTTATTTTTATGGTATATCCGACTTTTGTTTTGAAACAGGCATCAAACAAAATATGGAATTCAACTATAAAAATACCAGAATTAAAAACAACTCTTCCTGCATCACCTCCTTCATTTGACCAAAATGAAGTAGTCAATCTAGTGACAGACATGTTTCGACAATATAAAGGTCGTATCTTGGTTATAACTGGTGCAGGTATATCCATACATACATACATACAAATATATATACATGTATTACACATTATTATTACATATACTTACGAGTAGACGCACATACATACATACATATATGTGTAAGGTATATCAACTGATTCTGGTATACCTGATTACAGAGGAGATCAGGTATTTTTCGTTTTTCTTTTTTTTGTTTTACATTCTCTTTTATTCGTTACTTTAATACATGTATAACATTATGATAGGGAACGTAAGCGTATATTCATACATACAAATATATATAAATCTGGGTATAGAAATAGATACAGAATGAACGGCTCTAAATACATTTTTTATTAGCTATATCAGAAATCCTAAACATAGACCAATTTTATATCATGAACTTGCAAGCTCACATAGTTATCGACAACGTTATTGGTCTCGTAGTTATTTAGGCTGGCCAAGCATGTTTGCAGCATTACCTAATCTTAGTCATCATATACTAAAAAAATTAATCACAGAGCAACCTTATGTTCAGAATATTATTACGCAAAATGTGGATCATCTACATTCAAAATTAAATACGCCCAAGGATAGACTTTTAGAATTGCATGGAACGCTATATAAAGTTGAATGCATGGAGTGTGGGGAATCAAGTGCGGACCGAAATTTATATCAACACCGAATTCATGCTCGGAATCCAACCTGGGGTGAATTTTTATTGGGCAATAAAGAAATGAAAATCAATCCAGATGGTGATGTTGAATTACCTGAAGGTGTGTCATATCATCATTTCGATATTCCTCCCTGTCTGTCTTGTGGAAGTAATAAGATGAAACCAAAGGTTGTGTTCTTTGGTGAAAGTATTAAGCCAAATATAACACATCAAGCTGAAAATTGGGTTGAAAAAGCAGATGCTTTACTTATCTTGGGTTCCTCATTGGCTACCTATTCTTCTTATAGACTTGTTAGATTAGCTCATCAAGCAAATAAACCTATTGGAATCATCACAAAGGGTCCTACAAGAGCCGATAATTTGATGAGTTGGAAGGGTGAAGTAGCTTGTACTCCAATTTTAACTGAACTTTATTCGAATTTGATTTGATTGGAATTTAAATAAAATAAAATAAATAAAAATACTAGACGCACCCTACATTTTTCAGTTGGTTCAAGTATTCGTTATCATAATAATTCTTTCGTAAATTTCATTCTCTTTTTCTTTTTTTTTTTTTTTTTTTTTTTTTTTTTTTTTTTTAAATTTCCGTTATTTTATTTAATTATATAGTGTTAAATACACACTAAAAAAAAAAATACATATTTATTTATTCTATAAGATAATAAATCAAACTTATTACCTGTTTTTTATTTTTATTTCTTTGTAATTCAACTTACCTTAGCAATGCGAAGAGCATCTAACAATACAAATATAAAGACAGCCGATTCAATAGTAAGCTTGCCATTCGACTTGGCAACAGTAAGAACAAAACCTGACAATAAAACGCTTGAACGTACAAAAGATAGAATATTTGGATTACAAGAAGCACCTACTTACTTTCCTACAGAAGAGGAATTCAAAGATCCTTTAAGTTATATTGAAAAGATTAGTCCTGAAGGTGAAAAATATGGTATTATCAAAATTGTCCCACCAGAGAGCTATCAACCAAAGTTTTCTTTAAAGACTGAGGTATTCTTTTCTTTTCTTTTTATTATTATCATTATTATTATTTAACCTTTTTTTTTTTTTTTTTTTTTTTTTTTTTTTTTTTTGTTAGACCTTTCGCTTTAAAACTCGTTTACAAAAATTAAATAGTATGGAAGGTGAAACTCGTGCAAATGTAAACTATCTTGAGCAACTGACAAAATATCATATCTTGACTGGCAAGCCAGTGAGTAAAATTCCTCAACTTGATAAAAGACCTATTGATCTCTACAAGTTAAAGAATGAAGTAGCTCTTCGTGGTGGTATACAAGAGGTAACTCGTTTAAAAAAATGGGCTGAAATAGGTAGAGTTCTAGGCTATGCACGCAAACAATGTACCTCTATGTCGAATGCTCTTAAAAGTGCCTATACAAAAGTCGTTTTACCTTATGAAATTTGGTATGCTAACCACAAAGATGACGTTGATCAAATCCTCAAAAAAGGAGGTAATTTATAGATTTTTTATAATCTTTGCCTTTCAAGAAAAAGGAAAAAAAAAAGAAAACTCATTATCATTAAATATAAAATTTTATAGAAATACCGTCTATTAATAATCCAGAAAGTTCATCTGATAGTTTAGATAGCGATACTTGTGAAATATGTGGAAAGAATGAAGATGAAGATAAACTTTTATTATGTGATGGCTGTAATCGTGGTTATCATATGTATTGTCTTAAGCCACGCTTAACAAGTATTCCAAAGACAGATTGGTATTGTATTCAATGTTTAACTGCAGTTGGCAAAGATTATGGTTTTGAAGAAGGTAGTGAATATGATTTAACTGCATTCCAAAAAGTATGCAATCAATTTAAGAAAGAATGGTTTGAAAAGTCTCTTGGTAAAGAAAACCCAACAGTTACAGAAGAAGAATGTGAAAATGAATTTTGGAGACTTGTAGAAAACCCTCATGAAACATGTGAAGTAGAATATGGTGCTGATCTACATAGTACTCAACATGGAAGGTATGTTATGCACACTATATAAACATATACTCCCCCCAAAATATATATATATATATATATATTAATTTGACTTTATAATGTAAACACTTGCATAGTGGATTTTTAACTGCAGAACAAATGCGTAAAGAAGCCTTTGATCCTTGGAATTTAAATGTAATTCCTGTAGCACCTCAATCGTTATTTACTTTTATCAAAACAGATATTAGTGGTATGATGATACCTTGGCTATATATTGGTATGTGCTTTTCAGCATTTTGTTGGCACAATGAAGATCACTACACATATTCAATCAATTATATGCATTGGGGAGAAACAAAGACATGGTATGGCATTCCTGGTTCAGATGCTAATAAATTTGAAGAAACGATGAAAAAGGCAGTTCCAGAATTGTTTGAACAACAACCTGATTTATTATTTCAATTAGTGACCATGCTTAGTCCTGGACGTTTATTAAAGGAAAATGTCAATGTCTATGCCGTTGATCAGCGTCCTGGACAGTTTGTTGTTACATTTCCTAAAGCTTATCATTCCGGATTTAATCATGGCGTAAGTTTTTTTTTTTTTTTTTTTTATTTTTTTTTAGTAACAATAATTAATGATTTTGTCATACTTTTATACATATTGCATATAAAGTTTAATTTCTGTGAGGCTATTAATTTTGCTCCTAAAGATTGGGTCAGTTATGGATTAGAATGTGTAAAACGTTACAAAGAATTTAGAAAACAGCCTTGCTTTTCTCATGATGAATTATTGGTTACTGCAGCACAAAACATCCAATTAAAAGAAAAGATGGATTGGTTAAAACAAGGTCTTTATGAAATGCAGAACAGAGAATTTAAAGACCGTCAATTAGCTAGATCAAAAAAAATCAAAGAGCACTTGGGTGTACAATCTGAAGAATTACAATGTATATATTGTAACTGTTTTACCTATTTATCTTACATTGGTTGTAAATGTACGGATAAAGTAGCATGTTCTGATCATATTTCTGAGGTAAATAATAAGATGGAATCTTTTCTCTCTCTCTCTCTCTCTCCCTCTATATATACACACACACATATATATATATATATATATGTAAAAGATGAATTTCATTAATTGTTATAATTTAGTTATGTAGTTGTGATCATGCATCAAAGACACTCTATTTACGGTTTACTGATGAGCAGTTATTAGAATTAATCAAACATATCTCCAACACAGATTCAAGTTCTTCAAATTGGTTTCAAAAGCTTGATAAGATCATGTCTTCTCGTCCTGCTCCATCTTTAAAAACATTAAAGGAACTTTTGAAAGAAGGTTATGAAGCAAATGCTCCTAAGGATTCTTTAGATACTTTAGAGGACTATATTGAGGCAGCTGAACGTTGGATCTTGGAAGCAGAGAAACTCTTGAATTATAAAACTGATTCATCTAAACCAAATCATCTTAAAAAGAACAAAAATGAAAGAGCAAAAGAGTTGATTGATAAGGCAGCAACAATTGGCTTTGATCTGCCTCATGTTGATAAAATTAAAACTTACTATGCTAAATTGAATGAATTCTCAAATAAATTGTCTAATGATGTATTAGAAGCCAAGGACAAAGATCTGATGATGCATCTTTATAAGGAAGGTGTTCGACTTCGTGCTGATTCTGAACAATTTAATCAACTTCAAACTATCATCGAATCGTCTTCATGGGAGGAACAAGCTCAAAAGGCACTTGAAAGTCCTTTTAATCTTAAGAATGTTCGAAAACTGATTAAAGATGCTGAAGATATGACTATGAAGAATGAGCCATTATTAAATCGACTTGTGAAAATAGAAGAAATCGGCAGTAGCTTATTACAACGTATTGATAATATTTGTAGAGGGAAGGAAAAGATTGAAGTCGATGAAGAGGAAGCTATACTCCAGTTAGGTCAAAATGTCAAAGATAAGACATTGTCTATTGAATTAGAACCCCATTTGTTTGTACGATTAAAGAATAACTTTGCACGATCAAAGAAGACTCTAAAAGAGCTTGAGGATGTGTTAAGAAACAAGTGCACTCATCCCTCTGTCATCAGTCGTCCTTCACTTACTGAAGCTCAACGCTATATGACATTATGTCGTGAAGTCTGTTTTAAATCAGATTTGATATCCGAGTTATCAACTGGATTAACTCAAATGGGGAAATGGAACGAGAAAATTCGTTCTGCTTTTATGAACGGTCGACAAAAGTCTTTAGAAGCAGTCTTGAAGGAGACACTCAATAACGTGCAACGTATCACATCAAGTGAAGGTCAAGCCGGTTTGTGGTGCATCTGTCGAAAGGCAGAATCGGGTCTTATGATCGAATGTGATATCTGTCATGACTGGTATCATAATTCATGTGTCAAAGTGCCTCGTAATGTAGTTCGTTCATCTAATTCATATATTTGCCCTATTTGTCTTCCTGGAGGAACAAATAAGAAGATTACGCATTTGTCAAGACAGCCTAGGATAGAAGAAGTCCATGAATTGATTACCCTCAGCCAAAACTTGATGTTCTGTCCTAAAGATTATAAGCTTGTTTTAGATATTTATAAGTTAATGCAAGACTATAGACTTCGTGTACAGTCATTTTGTAGATCACGCACTCAATTAGGAATACAGGATATTCCACAAATCAAATATTATTTAAGAACGCTCTTGGGCCTTGAAGTGGCCTTACAAGATGAAATGGAATTCCTGCGTACTAAAGTTGAAGTGCTTATGCCAGTGAATCATCCTATGCCAGTAACAACTGCAGTACTTACAGAAAAGGCTTCAGAAAAAATATCAATTCCTACTGGTTTACCCTCTCCATCCATTGAATCACCACCAAATTCACAAATAACTATACCAAATCTTCAAACACCTACCACCTATACACTAAAGAAGAAAGAAAAAGAAGAAGAAGAAATATCAAAACTTTTACATTTAGACGAAAAAGCACCTTTGACTAATAATAATTCAAAAAATATTGAATGTATATGTAAAGATGCAACTGCCACTGATTCAAAGCAAAAGTTAATTCAATGTATCACCTGCAATCATTATTCACATCAAAACTGCGTTATCCGCTCTATTTACTTTATGACCAGTGACTTTTTTAAATGTTCTAAATGTCGTTATCTTGAAAACAATGCTTCTACATCCACAAATACCGAAAGCCGTAAGTATAAATATATATACAAGTAAAACCTTTGTTGAAAATTAAAAAAAAAAAAAATATCTTTTATGTAATTTTAGAACCTCCTCGTTTACATATAACGGCATATGGTACGAAACGTAGGATAGAGGAGGATAATGAAGTTTTATATAAACCTCAAAAAATTATTCGCTTAACTGTGAACCCACCAGCACAGCCAACAGTATCATCACTGCCATCTTCTTCATCATCTACACAACTTTCTACTCCATCCAGTGGTAAGAAAAGTTCTTCCTCTATTCATGGAAGCAGCGCCAATAGTAAAAGAAAGCCTCAAAGTCCTTTAGATGAGAATTATAAACATACCAGCAATAACAACGGTAAGAGAAAGCAGCGTTTTTCAGATGAAGATAATAGCCATAAACGAAAGCAGCAGCATTCTCCTGATGAGCATGGTCGATCTAGTCCTAAAAAGCATCGTACTTAAAAAAAAAAAAAAGTGATCGCTTTTTGTTAAATATTTTGTTTTTATTTGTCATATATGTATATCCTCTCTAATACCATCATCATCATCATCATCACTACTACTACTACTACTACCTTTTACTATGTAAATTATATCAACTGTTCTTTGCTTTTCTCTCTCTTCTCGCTTCCTCTCTCTTCTTTTCCTTTATAATTTATGATTTTATTCCACTCTAATCTCTTTCTCTTTTGTTATACATTCTGCCCTACCACCTTTTCCCCCCCCCTTTAATCGGCTTAAAAGAGAAAGAGATTTACTAGCCCAAAAAATAAAATTTTTGAGTCATGGTAACTGTCAATAATGTTTGTAAAGAAAAGCATTTTAAATAGCGCATAGAAAAATCAAAAATAGAAGTCTTTTTTTTTTTTTTTTTTTTTTTTTTTTTTTTTTTTTTTTATACATATTTGTATATGTGTATATATTTTTTAAAAACCAAAATAAAATAAGAATTATACAACATTCTATACAAGACATTAATGCCTAATAATATACCATCACGGACATCTATAGAAAATCCACACATGACTCGGACAGCCTCTGGTGTTAAACTAGCTTATTTAGCGTCCTCTCAACAGCCTCAGGTGCACATAAATAGTTCAACACATCATACATCAGCATCAGCATCGTCAGCATCATCACCTAATTCGAATTCAGAAGTCACTGACGCTCTTTTCCATGGCACCTCTTCATTGATGCCTGCAACTAGTTATGTTCGTCCTTTAGCTCGTGAAAGACCATTTGCTCGTGAAGATGTTGGCAATCCAAATACGAACAGTAGACCTCCTTCTATTCGATCAGCTACATCATTTGGAAGACCACTGACACGATTCAATACGGGGTATCATGCTCGTCATCATTCTAATTACTCCAACTTTAGCACCATGAGTGAGACTGCCTTGCCCTGGACAACTCGAGATATTGGATTTAATGCTATCTCAGGTATAGCTGAATTACCAGATATATATATATATATATATATAAAAGAAAAAAATTAAAATAGCTTATGTCTATATATAGGTGTCTTGAATGATCCTGCAAAGCCTAAAGATTCAACCAAACCAAATAAAGTAGATATTCCACCCGTACCACATGCCTCTATACCTCGCATAAAACCTAGCGATTTTGAGATTTATTTAAATCATATTGCACCTATCTTTGAAAAATACCAATACGATAAACTTATTAATAACAAAGATGAGCCAGTCGCTGTAGTTGTAGAAGAAGAAGAAGAAGAAGAGGAGGAGGAGGAGGAGGAGGAGGAGGAAAAAGAGAAATTATCATCATTAACAAAGCAGCAAAAGCAACGATCAAAACGTTCAAGTCGTAACCCGTACAGTTTACCACCTCAACATATTTTATCGAATGAAAGTTTATTAAATGAGGATACCTCCAAGACATCATCATCATCACCACCACCACCACGCGATTTACCCATGTTGGAGAATGTGCCTGCCATCTTTTTTGAGCCTGACTTTTATCTTGAAAATCCACAGATATTTGATACCGTCTGTGAGGGAGCGGATATTGTAGGCAATAGTGGACCCAACCCCGCAATTTCCACCAATTCAATCCTTCAAGAGAAATTATCCTATTATTTGGATACAGTGGAGGTTCATTTATTACAAGAGATTGAGAATCGATCCTCCTCCTTCTTTGAAGCACTTAGTAATTTACAGGTATTGCATCAACAGACGCTTGATTGTGTGGCACAGATTCATACGATAAGACAAAAGATGAAACAGATTCAGAATACAGAGTGCAATGATGGATTAGAGATCGTTCGACTTCAAGTGAGGAAAAGGAATTTGGAAAAGTTGTATCAAGTGACGAAAGCAGTTCAGGAGATACGATTATCTCAACCCATGATACAAACTTTACTTGGAAAGGGTGATTACTTTGCTGTATTGGATTTAATTGATACCACAAGGAATAGACTGAATGGAGGGAATGATCATATTGATTTGAGTTCAGTAAAGGCATTAGCGAATTTTTCAAGTCAGTTGGATGAAATGCAGAAAGCAGTGGGTGTGATGATGCAACATGATTTCCTTAGTATCTGTCTGTCTGATTTGTCTTACAAGGTTGAAAGTTTAGATTCAGACGTTGCAAAGCAGAGACTGTTAAGACAAGCTAAAGATGGGATGAAGGAAAGTGAGATACTTAAAAATGAGGGTATCCAATTGGATAAGGAGGAAGAATTACAAAACAGAGTTACTCCATGTATAGTGGGTTTATTAAGAACAGATCTGCTATCATCGACATTGCAAGGTTATCAAGAGCGACTCATGGTTGAGATAAAGGACATCATTCGTAAACGATACCCACCTACTACTACCCCATCCGAAAATTCAGGTGCCCATCTTGCGAAACAATTAAAGTCGATGCCATTTGCATCCTTTTTCCAAATGCTTCTAGACATATTTTCAACTCTTATTGAAGTCATTCAACGGGCTTCAGTTTACCATCAACTTTTAATACGCGTGATAGAGGGTCAAGATCGAGATCATAAAGTCTTGCTTAGTCTTAGTAAGGAATCAGCCGATATCGTCTTCTCTGCTGCTGACTTGGCACATGTACGATGTGGCAAATTAATTGGATTTCGAAGTGATCAAAATGCATTACTGAATCCTACCGACTTTTATCGACTAACAAGTGTGATACGGACGTTCATTTTACAATCTGAAAACTTTTGTGGTCGTACCTGTTTTGGTTTACGAGGAACCATCGTCTCTCAACAAAAGGCATTTATTGATCATTTTCATATGGAGCGTGTAAAACAAGAAACACAATTGATCGAGAATGAACAATGGACAGCGAGTGAAGTGCCCTCTGATTTCCAATTGATTGTAGATAGAATATGTGAGGGTCGTATTTCAAGTTTTGTAGATGAAGCACAACAACAACAACAACAGCAGCATATAGATGGAGAAAAGACCACAAAACATTTATTTATAAATGGTCATAGTTATTATATTGTGGGATGCAGTTTATTAATATTAAAGATGTTTGAAGATTATTTAAAATGCATTTTAAATTTAGAAAGCATGGCACCTGAAATTACACAAAAACTGTTAGAATTATTAAAGGTATAATAATAATAAACAGAATGATGAAATGTATAAATGGATATGCTTATTTATTTATTTATTTTTTACTAGTTATTTAATTCAAGAGTTTGCCAAGTTATTTTAGGCGCAGGAGCTATGCGATCTGCTGGCTTAAAGAATATTACTGCTAAACATTTAGGTAATAAATATATATATATGTATAAGAGTAATCATATTATAGGCTAAATAAAATGCTTATTTATTAATTATAGCATTGGCTTCACAATCCTTGGCTATTATGATTGCATTAATCCCGAAACTGAAAGAGTGTATTAGTCGTCAAATGTCTACTAAACAAACTAGTTTATTATCAGAATTTGATCGAATCGTAAAAGATTTCACAAACCATCAGGGAGAAATTCATGCTAAACTAGTTGCTATTATGAATGAAAGATTTACTGCACATGTTAAATCAATGCAAGCTATAAAATGGGATGAAGATGAACCTCAAACTGGTAAAAATGCAAATACATACATGGAAACATTAGTGACAGAAACATGCCGTTTACATAAAGTACTTTCAAAGTATTTACCAATACGTGATTTGAAGGTTTGCTCATTATATATAATAATAAGGAAAAATTATAAGAGAGAGTTTTTTTTTTTTCTTTTTTTTTTTTTTTTTTTTTTTTTTTTTTTTTTTAAAAAAATATTCATATATGCATATACATATATCTATGATTATCTTTTAGTTTATCATGTCTCAAGTATTTGAATCTTTTACGACACAGTTATCAGATCAAATCAGTCATATTTCTATCAAGACAGAAAAGGGCAAAAATAGATTAGCTCAAGATGCATCTTACTTTACTCGACGCTTAAAATCACTTCATCATATAGATCCACCTTCTAATTCTGTTATTGAAGCAGTGGAACATCTTGTTATATTACCATCATCTACTACTACTACTACTACTACTACTACCACTTTACAAGCAAATGAATCGTTATCTGATCATTCTAATAAATCAACAGACTCTCCATAATGATTATATAAAACAGTAACATTCTGAATGATATATTCAAGTTATTATCTAATAAAGTAATTTTTGATATGTACATCTATATAAATATATACATACATACATACATGTATATATAGTGTGTATGTGTGTGCTATTACGACTAATTAAGAGAGAGAAAGAGACATGCTATTATAAATGATATTTCATCTTTTTCTACATTGACAATCAATAGCCACTTACTATTCACTTTAAACTCCCTCTTTCACTCCCACCTCCCCCTTTTTTTTTCTACTACTACTAACTAAGAAACAGTAATTTCTTTTTATATGATATTATTTTCATAAGCATCATGTATACTGAGTTTAAAGTCTATAAATATGTATTATGTCGATGGCAACAAAAATGTGGTGCTGCCCCGGTAAGACATTACTATTATGCGAAATTATTACACTAAATGCTGTGTGAATGTTTTTTTTTTTCCTATCTTTAACGCGCAAATTTATTTTTTATTTTTTTATTTTTTATTTTTTTATTTTTTTGCCTCATATTATACCTAGTAATAAACCTTACACATAGCAAATTACATTTAGTAATTAACTTGATTAAATTAGAACTATACATTTGATTCCATAAAATATTTTAGACAAATAATGAGTGAACCTATTCAACTTACAGGACGTAGAACGGATACAGACATTGTATTAACAGAGCAAATTGCTAATAAAGTAAGTCTTTTTTTTTTTTTTTTTTTTTTTTTTTTTTTTTTTTTTTTTTTTTTTTTTTTTTTTTTTTTTTTTTTTTTTTTTCCATCAAAATGTCTATACAAGTATATAAATGAATTGATTCAATTTTTTTACTTTAAAGTTAAAAATAGAATTACCTCGGCGTTATCGATTAACACATGAAATGAATTTATTATATAGTATAGACCAACATGGGATAAGTTTATCCACATTGTATCGACTAATGAAAAACAATAAAGGTCCGTGTATATTGGTTATAAAAGATGCAGATGGAAATGTAAAAAAAAGAAAAGAAAAAAAGAATACTTTCCCTCAAAATTACAAACATAATAAAGATCATTCTTTATTCTTTTTTTTTTTCATTTAGATTTTTGGAGCGTTTTTAAGTGAGACGTTAAAACCTAGTACACGTTATTATGGCACAGGTGAATGGTAACCATAACACGATCTTTTTCCAAGGATAATATAATAAATTAGCATGTAATTTTTCTTTTTCTTTTTTAGCTTTCTTTGGAAATGGAATTCAAGTGAATCTCAAATTAAAGCATATCATTGGACTGGTAAGAATGAATACATGATACTTACAGAAATGGGTTTTATTGCAATTGGAGGAGGGTAAATGAAAACAAACCAAAAAAAAGAAGAAGAAAATAAGATTTAATCAACAATTTATGTCTATTAGTGAAGGTGTATTTGGGTTATGGATAAATTCCGAATTAGAAAAGGGCTATAGCCAAACATGTCCTACTTTTGATAATGAAAGGTTATCACCAAAACCAGAATTTGAATGTGTAGAGTTAGAAGTATGGGGATTTCGTATATGATGAGCAACGACATTATTTTTTTTTTTTTTTTTTTTTGCAGTTGATATATAAACTACATAATAATAATTATAATAATAAAATGCGGTAAAATTGTTTTTCCCCTAGTGTTTACCTTCTTTCATAATACATAAATAACACACATAGAATCTCCCGGAGCTTAAATTTAGCTGTCTTCTTTTTTTGGTAAATTGGATACGTATGCAATACTTAGACAAGTAGATGGATGACAGGCGGGATTTAGCGGGAATCAAACTGCCAAAAAGAAAGAAGAAGAAAGAAAAAAAAAAAAAAAGATAAATTTTTTACATTCAGGGCTCCAATCTAAAATACTTGTTTAGTCTTGTGCTGAGCCTTATTCGAAAGATAATATCGTTACATGATTGGATAATTTTTATTTCATCGTAATATGACTCCGTAGCATAATCATATTCGTCATCATCATCTTCATTAACCATCTTGAATAATAAATAAATAAACAAAAAAAAAAAGAAAAAAAAAAAGAAAAAAAAAAGAAAAAAAAAAAAAAAAGAAAAAAAAAAAGGAAAAAAAATTATATTAATTCTTATTACTTATTTGCATTAGATTGTGTAACTAAAATACATGATCATTCTCAATAAACTTTATTTTATAATTTTTAAATGTTTGGCTAAAAGTGATGCAAGGGGGTGCTTACTAAAGCTTACAATAGGAATTTCAAAAAAAAAAAAGATTTAAACTTTTAGACTCTGTATATTAAATATATAAAACGCTTTTTTTTTTCTCTCCTTTTATTTTATTATTTATTTATTTATTTTATTTTTTTATTTTATTTTTAAAAAAAAAAATCTTATCTTTTCATTATTGTTAGTAAATATGACTACAGCTATTGAATTACTTCGCGAAGAAATTAACAAAGAACTTCAAGGTTCTGTCACTATTGTTGGTAAATATGTCTATTCAATATATAGCTATGTGTGTGTGTGTGTGTGTGTGTGTGCGTGTGTGTGTGTTTTTTGGATTACGCAACACGCATATTCTAGATAAATAAAACTGGGAAATCGAAATAGACTATTATTTTCCGGATTTAATTCACCTTTATTATTATTATAGTTCTCGGTGCTTCAGGTGATCTTGCCAAAAAAAAGACATATCCTGCTTTATTTGGTCTTTATCAAAATGGGTTCTTACCAGAGAATACACGTATAGTCGGTTATGCACGTACAAAGATGGACCGTGAAGAGTATTTGAAACGTATTACACAATACATCAAATTGAAAAAGGATGATGATAAAGATAAATTAGAAGCATTCAAAGAAATTACAGATTATATTTCTGGACAATATGATCAGGACTCTTCTTATCAAGATCTGAATCAATTTATTGAACAAAGTGAAGAGAAACGTGGTATTGAAGGTGATAAAAAGAATCGCGTCTTTTATATGGCTTTACCTCCTTCAGTCTTTGTTTCTGTTGCGAAAGGTTTAAAATATAATGTGTATTCAAAGGAAGGTAGTAATCGTGTTGTGGTTGAGAAACCATTTGGTATGGATTCTGAAACCTCTGATCATCTTGCTCGTGAATTGGGTGCTTTATTTACTGAAAATGAGGTAAAGTTGGAAAATATAAATAGATAGACAGGATAGATCATGTAACAAATGGTGGAAAAAAAAAAAAAAAAAAAAAAAAAAAAACTAAAATGTTCGCTATAAACCTTTTTTTTTCCCCTTCAATCTTTAGATTTATCGTATTGATCATTATCTTGGTAAGGAAATGGTAAAGAATATCATGAATCTGCGTTTTGCCAATGTTTTACTCGGTCATGCTTGGGATCGTACCTATATTGATAATGTACAAATTACATTTAAAGAACCTTTTGGTACAGAAGGACGTGGCGGTTATTTTGATGAATTTGGTATCATTCGTGATGTAATTCAAAACCGTAAGTTCTCCCTTTATATTAAAGGAGAAAAGACATTTTTTTTTAAAAAAAAAAGTAAATAATAACATACATAAACGATGAATTAGATTTACTTCAAGTTCTTACTTTAATTGCTATGGAAAGACCTATCTCAACAGACGCCGAATCTATTCGAGATGAAAAAGTAAAAGTATTGAAATGTATTGAGCCTATCTCTATTGAAGACACACTTTTAGGTCAATATGTAGCTGCTAATGGTAAACCTGGTTATCTGGAGGATGAAACTTTAAAGAATAAAGAAAGTCTTACCCCTACTTTTGCTGCTGTCGTCTGTTGGATTAATAATGAACGTTGGGAAGGTGTGCCATTCATCTTAAAGGCAGGTAAAGCTCTTAATGAAGCCAAGGTAGAGGTACGTATTCAATTCCATCATGTGGCTGGTAACCTTTATAAAGGATCTCCTCGTAATGAACTTGTCATTCGTATCCAACCTAAAGAAGCTGTTTATATGAAGTTTAATAACAAACAACCTGGTTTATCTTATCAAACTATTCAAACTGACCTCGACTTGTCTTATCATGAAAGATATACGAATTTATTCATTCCTGATGCATACGAATCTTTAATTTTAGATGTCTTGCGTAACGACCATTCTAACTTTGTTCGTGATGATGAACTAGAACGTGCCTGGAAGATCTTTACACCTTTACTCCATAAGATTGATCGTCATGACGATGATGTGGAAATCAAACCTTATGAATACGGTTCTCGTGGTCCAGCAGAGTTGAAAGATTTTGTTAAAAAGTATGGTTATCATCGTGATACTCAAGTTAATTATCAATGGCCTCAACAGAATGTGAATCCTTCTTTGAACAAACTTTAACCAAAAAAAAAAAAAAAAAAAAAAAAAGTGCCATCTTATACGCCCTATTATATCTCGCTCTATTCTCTCGCTCTATTTTCTTTCTCTCTCTCTCTCTCTCTTTCTCCCTTTAGTTCCATTCTCTTTTCTTGTATTGTATCATATATGTCATAAAAGACAAAAAAATACAAAAGGGCAAACGTATACATATAAACATATTATAAATAAATTTTTGTTATATAATAAATCATATAAAGTATATAGTAAATGATGTACAGCTATTTTTTTTTCTTTTTTCTTTTTTCTTGATTGATTTTTTCTTTTTTTTTTTTTTTTAAATAAAAAAAAAAGGTGGTGGTAGTGGTGGTATACATATGTTAGTGGGATTAATTTATCCATTTTTTCGTTTGTTGTTGTGAATCATGTATTGCTTTATTATATTTCATAGTAGTATGTTTAGATGAGGAGGATACTTTCTTTTTAGTAGTAAATGAAGGTGATGAGGATCTCGTGACAGATCGCTGAACTGAGTAGCGTCTATTTGGTATAGGAGAAGTAGAAGGTGGTGATGATGGACCTATTTTTGTGCTTACAGGTGATGATGATGGGCTTATTTTCGTACTCGTAGTATTTATTCCACTACTAGATAGTCTTCTTCGAAATGGTTGCTGGTTCGTATTTGTTGACGAATGTATGATTAATGATTTCGGCCGTCTGTTCGGCAGTGAAGGATATGAGGTATGTTTCGGTGAGGTAGCATAGGTTGTATTTGTGGAGGCTTTAAAGAAATAGGAGTGAATTAGTAAATATTCTTTTTCATTATTCTACAATTTGATTATTAAATAAATATACCATCTATTAATTGTCGATTATTTTGTGAAACAGCAGTTTGTGCCTGATCAATCAGATCTACAAGCATCGTACGAATCCTTTCAAATGCAGCATCTTCGTCTTTAATACATTTCTCTAATTCAAGTATATCATCATTATTAGGAGAAGGAGGCTGCTAAGAAAGAAAGAAAGAGAATATATAAGTCACATGTTCTACATGATATAAATAAATAAAAATACCATAATGTCATCTTCACTTAAAGTTGTATCTAAACCTGGTGTTAGTGGTCTCTCTATTCTGCATAATGATGAGTCTTTATACATGCATATGTGTATATATATTTTTTATTTTTTCAACTTACGCTGCTAATCTATTTTGTAAATCACTTATAGTCATTGATTGTTCTTTTATTACTGTTTCTAATGTTTGATTTAAAGTCAATAGAGACTTTTTTTCTATTTCCAGATCTTCAATCTTATAACAAAATAAAGTAAGAAAAGAAAAGAAAAAAAGGGGTTTCCTTACATTATTCTATTGTCCCTCCCCTTACTCTCTCTCTCTCTCTCTCTCTCTCTTTCTCTTTCTCTTGTTTCTTTGTCATATCTACCTTTTGATATACTCTTGCTTCTTCTAATGGATGACTTGACTGTAGTATATGTCTACCTCGAAGTAAAAATGAACCTACACCTCCTCCACTACTGCCTATAAAACCAATACCGGGTTTAAATGTTGATATTTTATTATCTGTAGTCGGTGAGGATGATAAAACCCTTTCTTTTTCTTCTTCTTTGTTTGTTATTACAGATTCAACTTGATCAGTTGGACGATGCTTTTTAACATAGTTGGGTAAATTGATCCGACTTATGACTAAGGCTGGAGTAGTATTAGCAGAAGGAGTTTTTAATGTTGGTTTATGTTGATTATCAAATGAGGAGTTTTGTACATTGAATGTTGTTATAATGGAATGATTTGCGACAGTATTAGTCTTATTGTTATTATTAGTATTATTACTTGAATGACAAAAGAATGAAAGCCCCGGGTTACTTTCTGCTGACAATTGTCGAATCATGGGAGTTGTTGTCATTGTAGTAATGGAGGATGTACTTGAAGACGACGAACCATTATAAGGCTGTTGTAAAAGCTGATTAGAAAATAAATACTGTTGTGTTTGTTGTTGTTGTTGTTGTTGTTGTTGTGTTTGTTGATTAAACGGACGGATTATATTGACAGCCTTTGGATTTGGCGTCAAGTCCTTTGATAGCATTTAAAAAAAAAAAAAAAACTAAACTAAAATTTACAAACAACAAAGTTGATTAAATTACAAAGAAAAAAGAAAGAATAATATTATGAACAAAAAAAAAAAAAAAATAACATAATGTGTATATAAACACAGAAAAAAAAAAAAAAAAAAAAAAAACTTTGATTCTTTTAATTTATTGTATTTGTTTTTTTGTTTTTTTATATTTTGACAAATTTGTTACCAAGACAACGAACTTACCCCCCCCTCCTAATATAGTTATTAATATGTTCCTATTGTGTAATATTACATTACAGTTCATAAGAACAATAAATAAAATTTATCCATCTTCATTATACCCTGCTTATTATAAACAAAATCTCTTTTTTGGAAAGTGTAAGTTTCACTTATAAAATTCATCCCCTGAATATTATCTAATATCTTTACACAAAAAAAAAGTAGTAAACTGAATCTTAGCATCACCATTAAACTAGTTTTAACATTACTACAAACTTGATGTAAACTATTCTTTCTTTTTATACATGCTATCTTTTTTTTTCTAATACATAACTGTATATATTTATATTTATATTTATATATATTTACTTCGCCAACACATCATCATATTGAACACCATCAAAAGATCCTCCAACAATAGATTTCTTGACATTAGTCTCAAATTGTTTTCTGTTATGTCTCAATATTTCAGCAGCATCTAGAAAAAGAATAGCAAATATACGTTAATATCGAAAAATATATTATTTTCTTTTTCGCTCTCTCTCTCTCTCTTTTTTTTTTTTTTTTTTTTTTTTTACCTTTGTTCAATGGATCATCTGCATTAGGTTCGAGGAATAAATATTGTAAACCGACTAATACAGCTTGTAATGAAAGAACTGGTTTCCAATCCTCACGTAAAATATTTAAGCAGATGTTGCCTTCCAAATCAATATTGGGATGATAAATCTAATATGAAATCCAAGTTAATCCATCTACTTTGTTTACTCATATTTTGTTCTCTTTTACATATAACTATATATACCTTTTGAACACAATGAACTTTTGGTGGTTCATGAGGATAATTGTTATTAATAGTAAACGTAAATCTAAATAAGCCTTGAGTATAGAAGCCTAACTTACATTGTAAATAATAATAATAATACTAACATTAACTCATAGTCTTCTTTTTTTTTGTTTTCACTAACCTTCATCAGGATGAATAGTAACATTGAAATTAAGAATGTTTGAAGGATCAGGGAAATCTAGTTTTATGGTATCAGGTATATCTAATTCAGCAAGATCTAATCATTTCAAAAAAAAAAAAATAAAGTTAATTCCAAAAAAAAAAAGAATAATCAATCTAACTTGGAGCTGCAAATTACCTTTTTGAACACGGATTTGGGCTGCACTTGTTCTAGGTTTCTTTTTCTCTGCCTCTGCTTCTTTAGACTTTTTCCCCCAAATTGAATACATCTTTTCTACTGTGTGCTATGTATGAAAAAAAAAAAAATATTTATCATCAATCACTGCGTATGTTAAGTTAGAGAAAAAAAAACTCCGAAAATGAATAATTTTCCAAAGATTTTGGAATAGTATTGATCTTCATCATGTTCATGTGTCACAAGAGTTTCAATGAATTTTCATCTTTTCTTTTTTTTTTTTTCCTTTACAAAATTAAAAAAATTAGACTCAGAGTTTCTTTTGAATTAATTATGAATGTATATTTGGTAGTAGAAGAATGAAAAGAATACATGTTGTTTAAAAGGGGAAAGTTATTATTACTTTTATTATTCAGATAGTATAAACTAGTCTATGAAAGCTACAGACAAGACTGATAATAAATATTATGTAAGAATCCAGTCATAATTCATTCTCCTCCTCCTACTGATTATCCTTTACTACTCCTTTTTATGTTGATTCATGTTTGTGTATCAATTAAAAAAAAAAAAAAAAAAAAAAAAAAAAAAAAAAAGAGTCGCTTGACTGTTCTATGATCATGAAACATAACACATCAAATAATAATGCACAAGACCACGTCTATGATAGGCTTTCTTTTACAATTGAATATGATACATGACTTAAAATAAAAACAAGGGAAATCATATAATACATAAATAATGCATATAAATATGTGTGTAAAAGCATGACACATCTTTATCATTTACATACATCTAATTGTATATCTAAAAGAAAAGAAAAAAGGATATCCATGTATTTAAATAAATATTTACTATGTAGTATTATAGATTTGTATGTAATATAGATAGATAGATAGAAAAGGGTATATGTAGATGATATGTACATTTCAATAGTCATAATAATGCGTGTGAAATAGAATAAATTTGTACTATAAATGATATTGTTGGTCTAGAACATCTTCTATTAAATCCATTTCTAATGTCTTTCCATGTATATTTAAATATTCTTTAATTGATTCAACATTTACGAATAAATTATATTTGATAAGACCAAGAAAAGATCTTTCCATTAAATTGATGTCCTTAGGTGTGTATATATAATCAGTCATCATTACTATGGATTGACTTGTTAAGCAAGTTCCCGTTTCAGATAGAAATTTGGATGCAGTCATGATTGCAGCTAAAAAGAGACGATAAGGTGTATCCATATCTCCACGAGCGTGACTAGGTAAACCCGTCTTTAATCTTTGAAGATAAATTAATGAGACTAGACAAACACAAGGTGATAGTCTTGAACGTTGAAAGACATTAGCGATAAATTCATTTAAAGGGGGTAGTTGTTGACACTTTTTAGTACGTAAAGAAGAACAAGGTAACAATGTAGTTGCTGTATTTGTTGTAAAAGCTAATATATAAGAAGAAGAAAAATACATGAGTATACACACACACACACACACACACACAAATATATATATTATGTTATATATAGGCTTTACATAAAAGTGCTTCAGGACTTTTTGAGAAAACTGTAGTAGGCATTATCAAGTTAAAGAAAAAGAAAAAGAAAAGAAAAAGACAAAAAAAAATAAAATAAAATAAAGTCCTATTTTAGTTGATTACACATATTCATCTTTTCTGTCAATAATACTATTTCTTATTAACCAATCAACTGTTGAATACTTATTTATTCCATTGTTGTTGCTGATTATTATATACATAGACAAACATTATAATAGGGTCCATTATTAACATATAGAATAATGTATTTTTTTTTCACGACTACTACTACTGTTTGTTCCTTAAAGAAGATGATACTTTTATTTCTTGACTAAAAATTATTATATTTCAACATGATGGATGGTCTCTTTTTAAAATGAAAAATTGAACATACATTTAGAACGTGAACGTGAAAAATGCTACTGCAAGTTGGGTAAGTATCTTGTGAGCTCATGAAAACTTGTCTTTTTTTTTTTTTTTTTTTTTTCCTTTTACAATGTCACATGATATTTAAAGAATTTCCATTTTTATTACATAATTTTATGAACAAATACGCATGCTATTTTAATACATTTTTGTATATGTGTATATACTTCTTTTAGTATCTGATATTTTAAAGTTTATAACAACATGGACATCTCTTCTAACTTTTTTTGTATGTCCTTCCTCTTCTTTTGAATTTTAAAGATCCGACCCCCGCGCTTATTACAAATAAGATGACTATACTCATACCCATACCTTTATTACATTAAAAATAGACGGTGTCAATATATTTTATTTACAAATATATATATATTATACATATATATAAAGGAGTAAGGGATATATATATATATGTGTGTGTGCATGTGTATGTAAATGTGAGTGCTGTATAATAGATTGTGTGTATGTAGAAAAGCAAGAGTGATAGAGTAGTTGGTTAAAAATAAATAAATAATGATGATATAAGCAACAAATAAAAGGTTCTTTTTCTTTTCTTATGCTCTTGCACTACGTTTTTTCTTATAATCATTAATAGCAGATTTAATAGCATCTTCAGCTAACACTAATAAATGGATCAAACAATAATGAGTCATCAATAAAAATAGAATCATATTTTGACTTACTCGAACAATGTAACTTCACAGGAGGTAAACATAATTCTTTGGCAATTTCAGTATTCTTGATTTGTCCTGCCTGTTCAAGTGTCATGCCACGAACTCGTTCAGTCATAAAACTACTTGAAGCAATAGCAGAACCACAACCAAAGGTCTTGAATTTTACATCAACAATTTTACCTGTAGCATCATCTACCTTAATTTGTAATTTCATAACATCACCACAAGCAGGTGCTCCTACAAGTCCAGTACCCACATCGAGATCAGTCTTAGGAAAGGAACCTACATTACGAGGACGTTCATAATGATCAATAACCTATGTTTCAAAAAGAAAAAAAAATTAATAATTTTTCTTTTTTTTTTTGTAAGAAAAAAAAAATTTTTTTTTCTTATGTGTATTATAATATTATTACTTTTTCATGATAAAAACGAGCTCCAGAAATAGATAAAGGTTTTTGGATAAGACGTGTTGACTTATTTAAAGTATTAAAAGTAGTACGCAACATTATTATTATTTATGAAATAAAATAAAAGAATATATAAAATAAAAATGTAAAAAAAAAAGAAACAAAAAGAAACGAAACAAAAAAAAAAAAAAAAAAAAAAAAAAAAAAAAAAAAAAAAAGTTAATCAGATTTTTTATATAGATTAAAATAATGATTTTTGACGAATCAAATGAATGATGATAACTTTCTTATCTGATTGGTATAATATTTTAATAAGCTCAAAACCGGGCCTCCACATTTAAACCGAGAAGGAAAAAAAAAAAAAAAAAATCACTTTATTTGCCGAACTAGCCCACCACCACTATAATCCTGTTTACTCAATTATTTTATCTAAAATTGGAAATGAAATTTATAACTTTTTTGTCTAAATTAGGCTTAGACTCAGATGTTCTATTGCTGCTTCTTGTTAGTTGTAGTTAAAAATAATTACAAAATAAGAAAAAAAAAATATACACTTTTACCATCACTACTACTACAAGTAGTAGTAGTAGTAGTAGAATTATTAGGTTGATATTTTCAAGTAAGAAAACTCTTTTTCTTTTATTTGTTTTTTCCTTATTTTATCAGTTATTATTTAACGTCTCGTTTGTGTTTAGCATCAATGGTAGTCAGCATATTATACTAGCTTAAACTGAGACGGATGTTTACGATAATAGTGGCTCTCAGAATATATTCTTTCAATAAAATACCTTTGTGAATCTTGTTACATTATCCATCATGACATAATAGCCTTGCATATCATGAATATTCAGTATAATCTAACGCTTCTTCAATATACTTGAGGAAATGTCCTGCTTTTGTTCCGCTACCAGATGAGCTACCTGTTTATTTTTTTGAAGAACTAGCTGTTTTCTTTCTTTCTTCCTTTTTTTTCTTTCTTCAAAGTATTATCTTTTGTACACTCTTTGAAACTCTATCTCTTTCTTCTCTTTAAAGCCATTATTCCTTTCAAATTGATAAAAATCAAAAGAGCCTTATTATCATGATCATCATAAAAAATAGCTTAATTGCCATAATTCAGTAGTAAGAAAGCTCACAGCCTAACTATTTAAAATGCATAAACTGCCAAGAATATCTTGTGCAATTGAAAAAAAAAAGTGTCTAGTTTGTGTGTGTGTGTGTGTGTGTGTGTGTGTGTGTGTGTGTGTGTGTGTGTGTATGTCTAAAAGTAATATACAAAATGACATTTTTTATATTATTGATATCTTATCTACTCTTATTCTTTTAGGGAATGTATGAACATCATGCTCTGTTGTGTAACTGCATTTAACTAGTTTTGGCTTAATTACTTTACAAGAATGCTCAGCATATTCACATGAATATTTATACATATAAAAAAAGTAAACACACTTCTTACTTTCTTACTTTCTTGCTTACTTTCAAAGAAGACAGTAATGCTTTACTACATTCAAATAAAAGGCAAAACTTATCTCTAAAGTATTAAAAAGAAAAGAGAAAAAAAAAAGAAAAGGGGAAAGGTAGGAGAGAAGATTTAACGCAAAGTAAATTAAAAACAAAAAAAAAAAAAAATACGCTAAGATTAAACTTTAATAACTTCTCCTTCTTTTGTTTATTTTTTTTTTCTCCTGAATTTTACTATAAAAAAAAAAGTACATTTTTTCGTTTTTTTTCCTTTTTTTTTCTCTTCTTTTTTCCTCTAGCTTTTTTTTTATTTTTCCTATTCTTCTTTATTTTTACTTGAAACTATGGGTAGACATTGTCAGGGTTATGAAGTGTGCTCAAGTCACATAGCTTGGCTTACTTGAGTTTGTAGAACTGTCCGTTTATAACATGGCTAAAGGAGAGGGCCTAGACTCTCTTTTGGTTACTACATGCATATCCGCCTTCACCTTGGGTTATTGCAACCTTAGATAATTGATGGGACCTTATCGAATTTTGACTGCTCAAGTTTGATTTATTTCCAAAGGAGGAGGGAAATAAAAAGGATACTTGGGGTTGGAAATTGTAAACCTGTTCCTTTTTTAGGGAGATTAGCGTACTCTTTGTCTGCACCATTGAAAGGGCTTATCTCAAGGTTTAGTTTTTCTGTTTTTCTTTTTGGAGGTTTTTCCTTCTTTTTATTTTTATCTAGTTGCTGTTTATAAAATAAAAATAGATAAGGATGCACAGCTTACGTTTCTGACCGTGGTTTTTTCATCTATTCATTTAGGTGAAGAATCCCAACTTGTATTTACTGTTAAGTCAAAAGTAGATGCTAGGGGTCAAAGAAGGGACATTCTCAGGTAAACAATAGTCAGGTCGTGCACTTTATATATCTGGATTCCTTCCACTTCGCCACGCTACAGGTCAGAATGTTTAGCCCGGCTTCCAATGAAACTTACATCCAACTGTATTTTTTTATTGGGTTATGGGGTGAGGAATCCTATCTTTTTCTTCTAGCAAGGCTTGGGTCAGGTTGGTACTTTGCCAAGTGTCTACTAGTTGAAATTGGACGTTTATCTTTCAAGTAGAAATTTAGAGGGAGAAGAAAAAATTACAGCCCGTATCAATTTGTGTATGGGTTGTAATATTATTTTTGGGATTAGATATGCTTTCACCTTCTCGTGGTTAATCCTGTTAGTATCAAGTCTCTTTTAAAGAGATTTGAGAACTAAGAAAAGCATCCTTTTTTTTTATAATATTAACAAAAATGAAAAAAAAACAATTTAATGAAATCGTGTTCTACAATAAAGTTGCTTCTCTAATAATATTTAATAATTAGGCATGTAATCCTTTCATTATTTTTTTTTTTTTTTTTTTTTTTTTTTGATAAACTCTTTTGTCTCATAAAATACTAATTGTATACTTTAATAAGGGAAATATATAATTACTGGTTAAAGATAAAAATTGTAATATATATACAGTACTGTTCTCTATACAATTAAGCAAGTGTACGATAAAATATTCCATTACTATTATATATAATAACGAAAATGAAATATAAGAGATATGAATACGATATCAGTTTATTTGTATAATAATAATATAATTTAGTAGAGAATACTTATATTCTCATATTTAATAATAATAATCATAATAATAATATATAAAAGGTTCAATGATTTAAACATAATATATGTTTGTATATAGTTATGCTAATTATATGATACATTTACTCTTTAATGATGATTGTTTCATTATGCTCTACAATATGGGGTTCATCTTTATTCACTGGTCCAGGATCACCGGCATGATGATCTTCTTTGTTATTTCCAGCTTCAGGATTTTCTGTTCCAACAAAGATGACACCAAACTTCTGACCTCTATTATACATATATTGCCAAATGAACGAGATGATAAAGATAACGGGAATAAAGGCAATCATGATGATAACATTACGAGTGAAAAGATAAAGAACTCGGTGGTATGGATTACCGTCCAAGATAGTTTTGATTCCAGCTAGATAACCAGTGTGTGCTAAAAAGTCAATACCTACCACAAAGCAATAGGCTCCAGTAAATGCAAAGGTAAATAGGAGCACATATTGTTCGGCAAAGAATGTAATAAAGCAAATGAAGACGGGGAGTGCAACTAACAAAGCAGCCCTTGCAACTGTTTGTGTTATTAATAAATCTGATTTACAACATAAAATATACAAAGCAAGTGTGAAGCCACCCAGTGCTATATACAACATATAATTATGATTATATTAAACAAATGTGATCTATTCAAAAAAAAAAGTAATATATATTATATACCTCCTACAAGATAAATAGAAATATTCCAAAAGATGGCGTAGATAATAGCACCTAAAAGTCCTAATCCAGCAGGGACAGCTATGATGGTAATATTATCATTGATATAACCATAATAAGGCTGATTATTTGTCATAGCAACCCAAGTAATCAAACCAAACGTTAAGAACCCACATACGGCGAGAGTGATTCGAAATGATCTAAAGCCAAAGATAATCAAATAGAGCCCCAAAACGATCAGGATAGCACCTACCACACCATTTTCTGGTGTAATACCCCTGCCTCCGTAGATAACAGCTAATAACGCATTATATTGATAAATATACCCAGCTATAATAGCAATCTATGTAATTCTATTTAATTTATTACCTGGATCACTTGAAGCTGGAGCAGAAGTGGGTCTAATTGTAGCTGTAGCTGTAGCTGTAGCTGTAGCTGTGGTTGTGGCTGTGGTTGTCGTCTTTGATCCACCCGTATTATGAAGTTCCAAGACGTCTCGTTTTTCATTGATCACTGGTATTCCAAGATCTTTCATCTGTTTCTTGTTATCTATTTCATTACTATTATCTGCATATATTAAAATAATGAAAACTGATAATAAAATAAACACTTTTTGTAATAAAAATAACTTCATTATTATAAAACAAGATGTAAGAATAAAAATAAAAAGTGAAATTGTTATCTTCTATTATTTTATTAGTAGTAACAGCCATGCCATAACATCTTCTATATTAGGACAATGTTTTTTTTTCTTGTATGAATGTATGTATGTACATGTACCACTTTAAACGAAGAATAAGATGTAATTCAACTGTCATTTATAGCTACTATTAAGATAAACAAGTGTTTGTTTTCATAATGCACTTAAAATGTATATCTTTTATATATATTTATATATATAAAAGGCATTTTATATATGTTAATATGAATGTATATCATTTCTCTTGATTATATTCCTAATATATCTTTGTGTATAACTGTAATTTCTATAATTGTCTACTATTTTTTTTTTTTTTTGTGTGTGTGTATGTATAGAGGCTAATTCAAGGAAATAATCTTTTAATTTTTTGAATTCAAGCAAGTAAGTAAAAGGGATTCTGGAAAGCACGTCGAAAAAAGGTAAATGATTAGTTATTAATAGGCTAATAACTTTCTTCCTTATTAGATATGAATAATGGATGCAAGTAAAGCATTACAGCAATAAGTATACACTATTTAATTAAAATATATCACCTGTAACATACATCTATGCTAATCTACTAAAGTAAATATAGCAAAGCAAATTAACGTAAATATGAATAGTATTTATTATTCTATGCTATCCAATTGTAATAACTTTCTGCAAATGATTCATTACTTAATTGTTCAAATTCAAACATGTTCAAAATGTCACTCAAGATGGCAGCTAACAAGTGTCGACACTAAATAGCATACACACCAAGTAAATAAATCGCCTTTTTTTTTTTTTTTTTTTTTTTTTTTTTTTTTTTTTTTTTTCCTTCATTTTTACCATAACCATTTTATCTTCAATAATAACTTGCTTTAAAAAGATATCGCATGTACAATGTCTAGGTAATAAAAGACAAGTGAACATATCTTTACGATATTTATTCTTTAACTCTAGACATGCATCAGAAACTCTATATATAACTCGACCAGATTCACTTTGATATTTCTTTACTGCACACATTTCAAATTGAGTTTTCTTTCTTTCTTTCTTTTTTCTCTTTATTTCAAAGTATTGTGTTTTTAGTTTTAATACCTGAATTATTTTCTGTAATGTGTAATGCCTCATATAATGTATCTTGAAATATTGAATATAGTAGTGATATAAAGTCTTCCTTTACTTTAGATATGTTATATATTTATTTATATTTCTTTGGCTGATTTCTTTTTTTTTTGTTTTAATTTATTTGATTTCATAGTTACATTCTTTTGATTTATAAAGATCATCGATTACTTTGTCAATCAATGCATTTGAAACTTTTTCCATTTTATTGTAGAAATTAAAAAGCAAGCATTTTTTTTTCCCTTTAATCATTACATTATTTTTTGCTGAGGTTGAAATTCAAGAATACTAAATAAGAATACATTGCTTCTGCTTAATACTTGGGGGGGGTTTTTTTTTATAAGTAATGGGAAACAAACAAAGTCAATTGAAAAATAAAGAAATCGAATTATTAGCAGAATGGACACCCGGACAGCAACAAAAAATTAAGAAACACTTTGAAATTAAAAGGGAATTGACTTTACCCACTTATTTCTCGAAAAGACTTTACACGTCTATTGAAGGACTCTTACAGGAATATGCCAATAAGGATTTTAACGACTATGTGAGAATAGTACATAAATTACACAGATCAATAGATGGCCATGTCGTTTATCTTGTCTTTAAGAAGTGTGAATCAGTTTCATTAAAGGAATTTGTAGCTTGTATTGTTCGGTCAGCTATTCCATTATGGTTTGAAGAAGGGGATCATTTGAGTTATTTTAACAAATATGGACAAAAGCATTCAACAAAACTAGTTGATTATATACTTTTTAATGCAAAAGAAAAAGAGAAAGAGAAAGAGAAAGAAAGGATGGGATGGTTATTAGATGAAGAGAATGACAATGTCAATAAAGGAAGCTCAGAGGAATCATCAAGTAACATTTCATGGGAGGACAAAGTAGAACAAGAACATCACATTACTGAAGCAGAGTTCCTTGAATGGTTTGAAAAGGCAGAGGGTGGTATTCAACAGCTTCTTCAGATAGTGATTGAGTTTATTTTATTTGGAAAAGAAAAGGGAGATCAACAGAACCATCAAAGACGTATACAGCATTTATCCTCACCTTCTATTGAGCTACCAGACAAGGAAATGCGTCTATTATTTGGATCTGACGAATTTCTTTTTTCACGTTTAATGACACCCTTTGATTATTTTATGTTAACGTTACATTTGCCTCGAGATGCTCTCTCTTGGACAGAGTATGAACTGAATCAGAGAAAGACGACAGAGGATGTAAAGCATAGACTCTTATATTCATCAAGATATGACGGAGCCAGTTGGCAAGTATTTGTAAATAAAATAGTAGGACAAGGAGCGACATATGTGATTATCAAAGCCAATGATGGATCTATCTTTGGAGGCTATGTGGATGAAGCGTTGAGATACATGAATACAGGATGGTATGGAAATGCATCCAATTATCTATTTCGACTTGAACCAAGCTACGGTGCCTGGGAGGGAAATGAGGAACATAATGATCATTTTCAATATCTTTGTTGGGGTAAAAAGAGTTTACCAAATGGATTTGGTATGGGAGGACAATTTGATTATGCTGGGTTGTGGATTGAATCCGACTTTAATCAAGGACATTCGAGAGCAGGACCTTTATGTACGACTTATCATAGTCCTCAGTTACCTTCTTTAAGCGAGAATTTCTTAATAGATGAAATTGAAGGTAAAATCATTAAATAAAAAAAACAAAAAAAAAACATAACCTTACTAATTTATCTTTATTTATACCTATCTTAGTCTGGTTAGTCAGGCCACTTGAAGAAAAAGACGATGAGGAGACAAAGGAAGGCAAAGGCGTTTTAAATTATTCTGAAGACATGGAGTTTATGGAAATGGCGGGCAAAAAATTATATTCTAAAGATTTGGGTCCTGAAAGAAAAAAAAGATAATAATAATCATGACGACGATGATTAAAATGATTTGTTGCTATTTTTACTAAAATCAAAAACTGGTGTGATTTTTTTATTTCCCTTATTTATTTATTGTTCTATTTTTTTTTTTTTCGCTTTATTTATCTCTTTTTATTATTATCGTTTATATATTCTTTACTTGCTTTCATGTCAAATACAAACAGCTTGGATTACTTAATCGTATATGGTGACTCCTATTCTGGTATATTAAATTTAATAAAATTTATGAAACATTGTCTTATTTCTTTTTCCTCTTTTTTTTTTATCAAGATATTCATCAAGGAACAAAAAGAACAAATGGCCCAGTTTGGAGCCAACGTCTCGCAACTCAATGGAATACTCAGTTAGTTTCATTTGCCAAGTCAGGGGCAACTTTCTGTGAAAATAATAAAGTGAACGGAAGTTGGTTAAAGAAGCAAGCCTTGGAGGATACGATTACTTCAAATGGAACTACATCAAAATCAACTGTACATGCCATATTTCTTGGTGTTACAGATTTAATTGAAACAAAAGGGGAAGGTAATATTGGAATATAATACTAACTATTCAGATTGGATCCTTTATTCATCTATCTTTTTAACTTTTTTTTTTTTTTTTAAAAAAAAAAAATAAAAAAAAAAATAAAAAATAGTGAAGAATATAAGTGAATGGTTACAATGTATTAAAGATCAAGTGGTAAGGAAAAATATATATATATGTATTTATACATTGGAAAGGTTTAATTAAATGAATTAACTCTTGATAATAGTTATTTATAAACTCGAATAATCCTAATTCTCGTATTATTATTATGGGCGTACCTGCTTTAGAATTTTCACCTTATGCAACAGCTCATAAAACGTCAACTGCACAATTAAAACAAAATATTATAGACTTTAATGTAGCACTTGAAGAAGAGGTACTCGAGTGGGGTAATGAGTTATCGGCAGAAATTGAATTCTTTGATACCTATCTTGTCTTTAGTGATGTTCTCGGTGATCCTTCTGTAGCTAATATCGAAAATGTAGATGATGCTTATTGGGAAACATGTCAAGGTCAATGCAAAGATAAAGTAGATGATTATCTTTGGTGGGATAACATTCATGTTACAGGCTCTGGTCAAAAGGCTATTGCAAATACAATTCTCTCAAAGGAATTCTTCAATATGAAGGGATTAGGAGTGGATCCATCATTAGAGATGGAGAGTAGTAGTAGTGATAATACGTCTTTCAGAAGTAGTTACACTAGTTTACCATCAGATTATACAAATTGTTTATCATGGCTTGCTTTATTGGCTTTATTAGGAATCATTCTCTATCTGTTTAGACATAATAGAGCTGTTGTTTCTTTAAAGAAAAAGCTTCAAACTAAAGCATCTAAAGTTAACCCATTTACATCTCGTAATCATTCTGAATATACAATTGTTTAATAAATAAATAAAATAAATAAGCATTGATAAGCAAGCATATTGTATAATGTGAATGTGTATTATAGATTTTTTTTTTTTTTTTTTTTTTTAGTTCAGGAATGAAACATGAATTCAATGAAAACGTTGCCAAGAAGAGTTTTAAACTAGTTTGCTAAAATTAAAATAAAAGTAAAGTACTTATATACAAAGGATTTTGTTAATAATAAACATTTATTAATGTCTGTAATTAAATTTAAAAATAGGCATGATCAAGTGCCTGGAAGAAGTATGAGTAGTAAAAACCCAAATCTTTATTATTTTTATTTATTTTTATTTTTATTTTTAAATTTGGCAATAGCAGCAGGATTATCTTCTAACATGTTTTTCGCTATTGATTTAGAAAATAGAAAGGATCTTTAGCATTGCACAAGTTAAAATCCATATTAAAAATAAGACTTGTGTATAAAATTAGAAAAGATAAATAGTATAGATTTAATAATATCGATAAGCCTGTTATTATTTAGAAAACAAGCGTGTTTAATTAAGTTTCAAACGATAGACTTTATTGCAATCATTGTAAATATTACAAGTATTACTTTTTATGTACGTATCTATTTTTCTTTCTTTCTACCTTTTTTTAAAAAAAAAGATAGGGCCAGCTTTGTTAAAGAAAAGTGGGAGAAGGGGGAATAATTATATAGTTTATAGTGTTCATATATCAAGATTTGTAATATTAGTATACTTTTAGAATTCAAAGTTAAACTCTAAACAGTTATGAAATGACTATAAATATTTTATTAATATAAGCATTAAAGAAGTTTTTGTATAGCTCTGGAAAGGCTTTCAAAGTAACTTGATATTTTAATCCTTCATATTACTGCTAAGAAGGAGTATCCTTTCTGTTACTTGAAATAATTAAACACACATTTTCCTACTAATATTTATCAATTAATGAAAACACTCTATATTTGTATTTATCATATGCTTTTCGAAGAAGATAGATTGAATTCTTAATATTAACATAACATCGTCTAATAATAGCTACTTGTACTGCTATTATTTCCATCAAGAAGGTATAAAAGATGATGAAGAGAAAGGAGTAAGACTAAAAAATTAGGCTTATTCTACTAGAAAAGCATAAATATATTCCGATAGAACATGTGCGAAAATAATTTATGCTTTAATGAAAGAAAGAAAGAAAGAAAAAAAAAACAGCAAAAGCATTTATGAGTAATGGCAGTCACACCGTATTTTAGACACTTAAATATTAGAAATGGAGGGGGTTTTCTGTTTCTTTTTTTTTTTTTTTTTTTTTTTTTTTTTTTTTTTTTTTTTTTTCTTTTTTCTTATTGTTATTAGTTTACAATAATGTCAGCTTTCATTCGCCCTATTGCCAAACCACTAAAGTTTGTTAGAGTAAACTAACAGTACAGAATTTCAAAAGAAAATTAGTAGCCAAATATGATTTTTAATTTTCTTTCTTGTTTAGGCTTTTTCTGCTTCTTCAGCTCGCTCTGATTGTAAATATTTATATAAAAATATTTTTTAAATAAATCTAACGTAAATATGATAGTAAATAAAATTCAATTGATTGGACGTGTTGGAAGTGATCCTACTACAACTGAATATGATCAACGTCACGTCAGTAATTATACAGTTGCTACTTCAGAAACAAGAGCTGATAAAGAGGGTAATGAATAGATACAGAAAAGAGAACAAGGCATAAAGTTAATTAAAAACATTATTAGGCAATTTAATTAAACGTACTCAATGGCATCGTGTTACTTATTGGCATAAGAATGATTGGTTTTCAAAGATTAAGAAGGGGTAAAATATGCACATAATATGCGTGTGATGTGATATAGAATACTTTGATTGACGAAATTGATTTATAGTGATTTAGTCTATGTTGAAGGTACACTGAGATATAAAGATTATGTCGATAAAGAGGGAAATCCAAGAACAAAAGCTGAAATTGATCAAAGTAAGTCTTGAAAAGGATAGTGTTGAGAATTGTAAATTAATTTTATTATTATTTAGCTGGATTTAAGTTAATAAGTCCTAAAAAATCCAATCAAGAAGAAGAAGTAGCAGAAGAAGAAGAAGATGAATAAAGTGCTTTATAAGACATGCGTAATGTAATGTATACGTATCATTGTCATTAAAAAAGAAGGAATTTTCCTTAATTGCTTTTTTTTTTTGGAAAAAAATAATAAAATAAAATAAAATAAAAATTTTTTTTATTATAACTACCCCCGTCTAATAAGCGTAATAGAATTTGATTTAACACCTTAATTTCTTACTCCCCTTTCTCAGGTCCGACTTGACTAAAATAGTCTCTTTAGGAAAGAGAGAAAATAATAATTGTAAAAGTAAAAAAAAAGAAAAAAAAAAGTACGGTGTAGCGAGTAAAGAAATACAAACAAGAAAGTATGTTCATGATCATGTATTGCTTAGGAAACTTTTGGTGTTTTATAAATTGAGGCAATAAGCATTAGAATACACCCAAGATTATCTAGTGTAGATGTTATTTCTTCCACAAATAATAAAAGGTGGCTTGAGTTAATTGCCATGGGGGAGACCTCTATCAATATCAGTTATTTTATTTTATTTTTCGACCGTTTGATTTCAGAACCTGTTGCAATCTATAATACTTGAATTGATTCCTTCTGGCTAAATTTCCTTTTCTGTGTATGTTCCTTTTTCGAATCATTCTACAGGACGCTCTCCTCCTTTTTTCTTTCTTTCTTTCTTTTTTTTTTTTTTTTCTTTTTTTGAAATTAATCCCATTTCCCATCATATACTCAACAAGCTACTTACATTATTCCCTTGTATCCTCAGAGTTTCTGACTACTACCCTGTGTTGGATACAAGTAAATTTATAAAACTTTAGCTTTTTTCAATAAAGTGTTTTCGTACATAGTGGATTCATTAACTGATATGCTGTTAAGAACAGTAAAAAAATACGTGTTGTAACATCTTTTAGAATGCACAAACAATATGTCTTTTGATGTACTCTTTTAATGAACTGCGGGTATTTGTTTTGTAATCTTAATGTCGTTTCTTTTTTTTTCTACTTTAACCTCAAGATGCCAGTTTATAATCTCATAGCACTCTTCTCCTTCATTTGTTTTCCATTGTTTATTGAACCTCTAAGCCAAATCATATTCAATAACCGGTTTCTTTTAGTATCAACAAAATAAATTGAGACGACTTCTTAGGATGGTTTGTACTTGGTGTCCATGATCATTTTAGATAACGGGTTTGCGTTAAAATCAAGTTCTTTCTATAACTCTTGTTGTGTAGCCAGAAAGTTCATCCTTGTCTTTTTTTTTTAACTGCATTGAAACATCAAGAAGATTATCCAAAAAAAACACTATTTTGATAGCCTGCATCGTGCTATTGGCTGGTATTTAGGCTCTTCACCATCCATTCTATCACCAGAAGGAAGATATTGATAAAAAGTAGTTGTGCTCATGATAATTAAAAAATAAAGTATTAAACTACAGGTGGTTTATTGTTCAAAGCCTTTAGACTATTTTTAAAAAAAAAAAAAGAAAAGAAAAAAAAAAACTTGTACCACTCAACAACAAAAAAAATGGAACGATTAAGGTCCTTAATTTAGTTGGATAAAAATCTTATATTTTATTTTTCCAAATTCTCGCAAATCATTGTAATAAAAGAAAAAAAAAATAAAATTAACCAAGAAGAGGGGCATTTTCCTCAGAAGAACGTCCTACAAGTCTGAAGACGTATGGACGAGCAGGATATATGAGAGTGATAATAGCCAAAGTTAAGGCAGTCCAATGAATCCATTTATCATGTTGGTTAGTGAAGATGGCTAAAAGACCCAAGCCAATTACCATGGCACCTGTAACGTCACCCTTGTGCTTCTTGTATTCAACGTAACCAATTGCAGTTGAAGTCAAGAAAAGAAGAGCCATAATAACTAAGATACGAAGCCAAATTGAGGGTCCATTCGCCTTAAGACCAGTAAATGCCTGGAAGAGTGTAACAACTGCAGTGAAAACAATCCAGCCATGCCACAAAGAGAAAGGGGCATGAATGAAGAGCTTATCCCAAATACTTGTAGTAGGATAATCCTTTGTAAGTTTATCTAATTATAAAAAAAAAAAAGAGAGAGAGAGAGAGAGATGTACAGTTAAAAACTAAAATAAAAACGTTACAATGCTTTTTTTTTCCTCTAAGCTTACAGAAGACACATGAAACAGAAGAAGCTGTGAGAAGAATAAAAATAAAGCCAATGATATAATGTCCAGATTTCTAATAAATATACATTTATATATATATCTTAGTATACACAATTTATCATTTTAGACTAGACTTACAATCAGTGCTAATGAAGCAGAGTTAAGCAAAACAGAAATAACAAAATGCCAACCAACACCGTGAATAGCAGCTTCATGAGCAGGCTCAAACCATTGATAAATTACAAAACCACCAAGGAGGATATGAATAAGAGACCAGACATATTCAATCCAATATGCTAATATAGATATTAATATATTTCTACCATTATTACTATTGCTAGTTTCTTCCTAGTTTAATAACTTACATGGAGTAATATAGGTTTGGCCTCCATGTGTGATACCGTCATCAGGATGAGGACCAACAATACTATAAACAGTAGCAGAAAGAAAGAGAAGATAGACAACAACGTTAGCTACCTTCTGAAATATATGAAGATTTGACATTATAAACTATTGTAAAAAAAAAAAAAAAAAGAAAAAACAAAAAAGAAAAAGAAAACAAAAGAGAAAAAAAAACGAATTTTTTATATATGCGAGAATATGTTTATACTTTTAATAATAAAATTAGTGTAAGTGTGACGAAGTTAACTTTGTGTTTTCTGTTTCATTTTATTGTTTATTTATATGCGCATTAACTGCATAATTATACACACATAAAAGTGAATACTACTGCATTATTTAATATTCTACTTATGCAATCCGTTCTTTTTTTTTTCGTTACTTTAATGTAATATGATAGAAGAAGAATATTTTATAGTGGTACAGATAAAACTGTGTAAATCCCTAATAATTTCTCATTCTTGTACTAGTCTATTAGTATGACGTGAACCTCTGTAAGTTTATTATGCAAATTTTCGATCAATTCTTTTATAGATTTTCTTTAATAGTAAAAGTATAACTGATAAATTCTAAACATTATTCTTATGTTTATAATAATCGTAACTAGTGTCAAATTAATATTTTATTTCCTTCTTTCTTTCTCTTTCCCTTTTTTTTTTTTTATTAGTAACAGCCATGGTTTATTAGAGAGCATTTCAATCATGATTCAAAGTAATGAAATCTACAATTTATAATATAATCCATAAAGAGTTATTCACTATTTATAAACAGAACAATAAAATGACTAACAGTAATCATGTCATGTGTATTTCCTGCTATATACTAGATTTGAAAGGCCTATTATTATTATTGGCTTGTACACGACGTGATCACTAGCTGAATAATAAAAATGCTAGTATTTACACGCTTACATTTGTAGTCTGCTCAATATCATTTTCAATCGAATCTGTTAAAAGCCGTTATTTCTAATATTAATAAGTAAGCTTATTTTTATTCTAATGTTGAATAAATGAAGTTTTTGATCTGAATTTATCCCCCTCTTCTCCCCATTGCTTTAGTAGCATGCCAAAAATTAAACTTGAGAAAACAACAGATGACTGTCATTATTCTACATATTAAAGTTAATGACTAACATTATTTATAAGGTATGCAGAATTAAAAGTTAACATTTACATTAAATAATGTGGATAAGAAATTATTGTATACCCACACAAAACAAAATTAATAGTAATCCTTCTACTATTTTAAAACAATATACATGTATAGATTATTATCGAAGGGAGGTTTTTTTTTTCTGTATTATATACTTGTATTTCAATCTTTATAATTTTTTAGTTACTAATCCGTAATATTCTTAAGGAAATCGACTATATGAAGATTTCATGAACAATGTTCTATTCTCTGTTGTTGTAACTGCTGGATTTTAATACATTTTATATCATGATTTACATTTTTTTTTTTTTTTTTTTTTTTTTTGTAGTAGCAATAGTAGTGGTAGTAGTGTGTGTAAAAGCGTAATACATGATTGTGTACGCCCCCTTTTTTTATTCTTTATTTCTTTCTTTCTCTTATATTTTTAAATAAGAAATACACTTTTTTCCTAACATCAATGTCAATTTTATTATTAGAAACATTAAAAAAAGCTGAATTAGAACAGGTATACCTTTTATTGTATTGCTTTTTCTGTACCTGAAAAGAAAAGAAATAAAAAAAAAAAAAGTCATAAATGTCTAAATAGCTCAATATTTCAATAGTATTTTCCAAGGTATATAACTGTTTCAATTATTACTATGAATTGAAATTATTCTCTAATTTTATTAAAAATTAGTTTTTCATTAAACGGAATTACCCAATTAGAAGCCCTTGCACAGGTAAATATAAAAAAGACTGTGGAATTATAATGATCATGTACTTCTTTTCTAAACAATTTATATAAAGTTATCTATGCAAGACTATGGTAGTTTTGGAATAACTTCTATCACAGATAGAAAAAAATTATTTCAGGTAAACTTAGCTTAATTTAGAGTGTTACATTTATTTATCATAATTAATCTAATATATACAGCTCGTACAAAGTTTAAGACATGAAATTCCAACTGTTGAAAGTGGTTTAATATATTCTTTTAAGGCTAGTTCTTCAGTCTATAGTAGAAGTAATAGTAAACCACCCTCTACTTCTAATAGTAATATATCTTCTTTACCTATTGCTGACTTTTCAAATTTAAGCATCACTTCTAATGTGAGACGGGGTAGTGGTCAACCTTCTTTACAACAAACAGCAACAGTCCAAATACCAAGTCGGACACGTTCGCGCACATTACCTTCTTCAGATTATAGTAATCATTATTTATATCAGCAGCAGCAGCAGCAACAACAACATTCTGATTTCTTAAAAACCTCAACATCTAATTTTATGATTCATGAAGGAAATAATAGTGATAATCCTAAAGATTCTGATAAATGCGAAATTAGACGGGGTTCTGGCCCTTTATTAGATTCATATGGTATTCCTATTCAAAATAAGATACGTTATAATTCAATGCGCCATCAATATCAACATAATATATCATCTTCCTTCAATAATAATCTTTATTCTGCTTCTCCCTCTTCTTACCTTAATAATAATACTACTACGACTACTACTACTACTACTATAGATACAGCATCATCTTCTTTACAACAACAACAACATCATCATCATCAATTAAGTGACTTGAATCAAAAGATCCGAGTTTGTGTTAGAAAGAGACCTTTGAACAGAAAGGAATTGGAAAGGAACGAAAAAGATATCGCGCCTACAGTAGGCATAAGAAGTATTAATGTGAATGAGCCAAAGTAAATATGGATACTTACAAATACATGTATGAATAATACTAACTTTTACATGTAGAATGAAGGTTGATTTAACAAAATATATTGAGCAACATAACTTTACTTTTGATGATGTATTTGATAGTAATGAGACAAATGAAAGGGTAAATGTATAACATATTTTAGACAACTATTCACACATACATATACATATATGTATATACGTGTATTTGCATTTGTCTATTTTTGTATATAGATTTATCAAAGAACTGCACAACCTCTTGTTAAATATATTTTTGAAGGTGGAAAGGCTACATGCTTCGCTTAGTAAGTTGTTCATTTGATATTCTATTTGTATAGAAATGGGATTTATATATGTATGTATATAGTGGGCAAACAGGTTCAGGCAAGACATACACAATGCTAGATTCCAAGTTAGGGCTTTATGTTTTAGCTGCACGTGATGTGTTCTCCTTAATTCGACAACCAAAATACAAGCATTTGATTGCTTGTATCGGCTTTTATGAAATCTACCAAGGTCACCTCTACGATTTACTCAATGACCGCAAAAAACTATTTGCCCGAGAAGATGGAAAACAGAATGTAGTTATTGTTGGACTTAAAGAATTTGTCATTGAGAATGTAGAAGATTTGATGCAGGTATTTGAATACGGCAGTCAAGCACGTAGTACAGGTAGCACAGGCGCTAATTCGGACTCTTCCCGATCTCATGCTGTCCTTCAAATCTTATTACGACCCACAAATAAAAAGAAAACGATTATTGGTAAGCTTAGTTTTATTGATCTTGCGGGTAGCGAGCGTGGTGCTGATCGTGGTGATAATACGGATATGAAGACAAGAATGGAAGGCGCAGAAATTAATAAAAGTTTATTGGCTCTAAAGGAATGTATCCGCGCTTTAGACCAAGATAAACGACATACGCCATTTCGACAAAGTAAGCTCACACAGGTTTTGAAAGATTCGTTTGTAGGTAATTCGCGTACATGTATGATTGCAACTATTTCTCCTAATCAAAGTAACAGTGAGCATACATTGAATACATTACGATATGCAGATAGGTATATATATGTTAAAAGACGTATAAAAATGTTAAAATCTAAATTACATATTTATAGAGTAAAAGAGCTTAAAGGAGAAAAAGATAGAAGACTCACCAATAGTAATGATTTTGATAGTAATGCTAGTGAAAATAATACCTATTCGCATCAACATCGCCAATTATCTGGAGATTTTTTCAATAATAGTAGTAGTAGTACTACTACTACTACTAATGAAAGAGATTATATAGATTGTTATGCAGATGATTCAGATGATTCCGACTTGTATAATAATATAGATGATGAGGAGGAGGATGAAGATTTATTATTACATGAGGAAAATTTTCCAAATAATGGTGATGACAATATCTTAGATAAAGACTTTCCTCATGAAAAGCATAACTCAACAGCTGAAATTAACCATCAACAGTATTACCAGCATACATCACCTGTGAATATTATCCGGCATCCACTTGATAATAATATTATATCTTCTTCACCTGAATGCAAGTTATTCTATAACAATCAACCTACCAAGCTTCCTCAGTTAGAGAATTGTTTATTTTTTGATCCTAATACAATTGATTCATTTGTCAAGTTTCATAGAACACAGATTAGAGAAGTTTCCGAGTATTCAAAAAGGGAAACCAGACTATTAGCTAATTTAACTCTAAGCTTATCAAGTAGAAGGCAAGAAGACAATAATCAGAATTCTTCCTTACGAGAAGAGTTAAAAATGTCAAGTGAATTTATTGGATATTTGGATAATTTAGATGAAGTGTTAGAAAAGAAAACTGCCGTTATTGAGGCATTAAGAGATAAAATTAGATATGTATTAGGAGAAGAAGAGATTTAAGTAATATATTATTATAATAAATAAAGAAAACTTATTATATATATTTATATATATATGGATAATGTTTATTATATTTACACTAAGAACTTTGTATCAATATCATGAGCGAAGTCATATATTACTACTTTAACGACATTAGAACTACAAGCGATCATGGTACAGTCAAATCTTAAGTTAAAAATTCTTATGTAATAAAACAAGTTAATACATAAACATAAACTAATATGTATACACATATATATATATATATATATATTTCATCTTTACCTTCCTTCTGTAGCTTGGCCTAAATCTCTTAATAATCTGCCTTCATCCAAACTCCAGATCTTTAAACGACCATCATAGCAACCACTGATAATTCTATTAGCAATAGGATCTAATTGTATAGTACGAACAAGCTCTGTATGTCCCACTAAAGTATAAATGCATTCGCCTGTTGCTGCATTCCATACTTTAATCGTTTGATCGCTTGAGCCACTTACGATACGATTTCCATCAAATTCTACACATGCCACTCCTCTTGTATGAGCTGTTAATGTTTGTAGACATGTTCCGGTCTCTAAATCCCATATCTTAATCGTTCGATCTCCTGATCCTGACACAATACGATTCCCTTTCCATTGCAGTGCATTTACAGCAGCATTATGTCCAGTATAAACACGAATACATTCTCCAGTAAGCCTATTCCATAATCGCAATGACCCATCCTTCGAGCAACTAAGAATTCTATTATTCGTTACCATCTTCACGCAAAGTACACTTTCCCGATGGCCTATTAATCTTTTCTTTATTTCACCCGTCTTCATATCCGTTACAAAGATATTAGAATCTGAACTTCCAGTCACAAGTATATTTTTATCATACTGCAAACATAACACACTGCCATCATGTCCCCTCATCGTCATCTTGCATTGACCTGTTCTCATGTCCCATACTTTAACTGTCATATCTCGACTGCCTGTAACCATGATATTTTTATCAAATTGGATACAATAAATTCCATCCGTGTGTATATCTGAAACAGGACAATTCAAAGGTGGGAACATGCGCGTCACACAGCTACCTTCTTTCCAACGTCTTTCAATTGTAAATCGATTTTGGTATAATTTTTGCCAGTTGATAAAACGGGTATCAGTAACAGGGTTATAATGGTAATTGGTATTAGATGCTCGATGACTATTCATTTTCTCTAATGCTGTATTTCGTTTTTTATCCCGAGTAACATGGCTATGGCTATTACCTCCTCTATCATTTTCTATTGTTTTTTTGTTGTTATTCATATAAAGCCGTGACCATGTGTTCATTTCTAATAACGGTGATGAAGTTCTCGAAATGGGTACTGGCGAAATATTTGATTGGGCGGCAGTTGATTTTTCACTAACATTATTATTCGTATTAGTATCAACAGTGATATTTTGATAGTTATCATATTCCTCATCTGCATAATTAAGATATGCATTCATTTCTGCTTGATTGTATGTCCAGTTTTCCAATTCAAACAAATTCCTCCATAAACTTTGTTCCATGCAAATTGAATGCCAGCCTTTAGAAACTTGAGATGCTTGTATTAATGAGTATACATCCAAAAAACTCAATATATATATAGCAATCTCGTGAGGTAATTGCTATTTAAATGTCGTTTTTTTTTTAGCTTTCAACTATTCTATACAAACTAAATAAATGACATTTCTTACTAAAAGAATATTATATCGTAAATGCGGTGAAATTTGATCTACAACCCGGACTACTTCATTCGACGGTAAAGTTTTTAGCAACTGAAAGGCAAATTCTTTTTACGATTATATGAAATTAGCACATTTACTTATTGACAGAATAGCACAAAAAGAAAAACTTATAGAATCTTTTACCTGCTTTTTGTTTATCTGTCCATCCTGACATATATTCTGGAATTTGGAATTCTGATTCCAATTCTTCTGAATGTTCCATTTTTCTCTCTCTCTTTCTCTCTCTCTTTTTTCTTTTTTTTTGGACTTTATTGGATAACGTTATATTGATGTTAAAAAAAAGAAGAATAGTTAGAATAAAATAATATAAAAAAAGGTTAAAATAATGGCACAATAGAATAACTCAAATATAATTGGATAAAAAAAATTTAAAAAATATAGATCATTTTAATTATATAAACAGAAAAGGAAAGCTTTCACCAGCCAGAGATGAGTTCCTTAAAATATGAAAGTATACCACCGTTAATTGAGTAACTATCTGATGACTCACTAGGATCCCTTGCGCTTATACCAGCTCTTCCACTTCCAAGTTCAATTGGTTTACTTGGTTGAATATTAAATGCTGCTTTAAAGACGCCTTTACTACCCTCTACAGGTATAACTTTATGAGTCTCGGGTGTAGCTGTAGTATCCTCTAATATAACTCCAATCAGATGATTTTTAGATATAATTGTTCCATTGCTTTTGAGTGCAGCTAATGCAGATGAATCTTTTTCATACGTAATACTGATCCAGTTACCAGGTGATTCAACATAGTGTTCAATTTTACCGTACTGTAGAAAATGATGGATAACGTTATTTGCTAAATTTACAGGATATCCAAAAATTCTTATTGTTCTTGAATTTGGAAGTTCATCTATCTTTGTCTTTCTAAATACATGTATACTAGATTAATGATTGATTCATAATAATCTCTGTCTGTAACAATACTTACAATTTAAGTCGAACTGCATCATCTGTTAATGAAACTTCATATTATGCATTAATTTTATGTTTTCAATAGATATGTTAAAATTTAAATACCTTTACGTTTCTTTTGAACATTGCCATCACCAAATATTCCACGTTTAGCATCTGAAGAGCCTAATACAATTCGTCTATTTAAGAAAAGAAAAAGAAAGAAAAAAAAACAATGTTTGGTAATCCTCGTTTTTTTTTTGTTATAAACAATAATGCATACTTTGCAGGTGATTCTGTGTCTGGCTTCTTTTCTTTATCTACTGGCTAATATAAATAAAAAATAAATACCAAAGATTATAACAACATTAACATACAAGCCTTACCTTTGTTAAAATCCCTGAGAGTCTTCTATTACCATAACCAATTGAAAGTGAGCGAGTATTTCTAGTTTCTGGTACAAGAGGGATTTTATCTTCATTTTCTTGTGCGCCAACAAAAAATGTAGGAGGAATGCATGATATATCTTTTGTTTCTTGTGTATCTTTTGAATTTGTAATTGGTATGTTTAAAAAGTGATCTAATGTAGTTTCTGTGGTATTAATGGATGATGGTGCTATTAAAGGATGAGGATTAGTCTGTGAAGTAGATCCTTCTGTAAGGGTAGACCTAAAATATGCATTATTCGACATTATCTCCCTTTTTTTTTATTACTGTTATTTATTGTTTAATAAAAAAAATTTATGTAATTGTTGAAAAAGAGAAAAAAAAAAGAATGAAAAAAAAAAAAAAAAAAAAAAAAAACGCGTCATAAACACCGCCTTATGTCATACATTATAGCAAAAAAAAAAAAAAAAAAAAAAAAAAAAAAAAAAAAAAAAAAAAAAAAAAAAAAAAAGATAAGAGAGAAAACTAACTCTTTCGCGGCTTGGAGTCTTATTTGGTCAACTGAGGTCTAAATCCCATGTCACAACAACGGCAACAACGGCAACAGCGTATTTAATGAATCAGCAACAGGTAAATAATGTGATGCGAATGATTAGTTTTTTAGTGAGATGATTTTGAATTAAGTAGAGATGAACCGCTACCTCAGTTGAGACAATTTGAGAAAACTATGATATGTTTTAAGAACAAGCACAGTATTTTCGGTTACACTTGAGAAGGTTATAATTTTATTTTTTTTAAAAGTGCTTGAAGAAATTGAGGCAAAGTGTGATTTTTATTTAGAAAATAAGAGTGATTTTTAAAAGATAACTTGTAGACATTTTACATATAAAAAGGATAAGGACAATAGCATGGCATTAGTTATTTTAAACCCTTTTCTTTCTGAATATCTCTCTCCCAATAAGATTTAGCGTGTCATATCCTACTGCAAACTGTCTTTTGTAACTACCATGTTGCATGCTTCAGCGATATGAGGTGTCAGTTCACCACCCTTCTTCAAAGGATTTCTTCTAATCCCACTTTTAATCCTCAACCAGCACTCTTCGATGGTATTTAAAAACAGAGAGTAAGGTGGCATGAATAATGGTTTGTATCCCCGTCGTTTTTCAATGGCATCAACAACAAATTTGGAATGATGTACCCTACAATTATCCATGACAATGAAAACCCCTTTCATCAAGTACATCCATAACAGGTTCTATATATTTGACCATATGATAAGCCGTAGTGCCTTTCTTTAAAGGCTTTTTTTTTAGGCTCCTCAGTATTTCGCTTTCTTTTTTTTAGCTGATAACCCGGAATGAAACTCTTTCTCTATCAACTCAGCATCCTCTATTTTCAAAGGTATAAATTTATTAAAGCTTATAATTCCTCTATCACATATACACCCAATCATGCTCAAATTAACACCTTTTTGTGTGTATGCACTTTTACAGTTTCTGGAGTACCAACTTTCGACCATGCACGTCCTCTCATCAGTCGGGAGTGAAAGCCAGCTTCATCAATAAACACACAGTTTTTCTAGAAATCAGCACCGGCCTCTATCCACTTGCTGATGATTTCATAGCGGAAATTAAGCGTTCTATGTGCATCCTTTTCAATTGTGTATTTACTAGCTCTCTTTAATGACAAGCAGCACTTTTTCACTAATATGCACACACAAAGAGGAAATAACAACAGATAGTCCAAATTGCTTCATCAACTCTTCTCTTGTCTGTTCCAAAAACGGTCGAAGGGTTTGCGTCAAGTAACTGGATCAAAAAAGGCGGTATGGACAGGAGGTAGCTTTTTTTGGTTTTACTTTTCCTTTTTGTGTAGATGTACTACCTGGAAGAATGGTTCCATCATTACTGTCATTAAACTGGTTTAGAAGTCTATAAGCACTGTTGGTAGGTATGCCGCAAGCTTCAACTGCTTTTGGTACGGTTTCCCCTCCGTTTCCTGTAGTATGTTTATAAAGCGTGCGATTTGCTCGGGCCCATACTTTTTATATCTTTTAATTTTAGTGATTGTCATCTCTTCCAGCTCTAAAACCAATTTCCTCCATTTTCTCTCATCAGCTGTGCTTTGAGGAGTATTTTCTACGAGGTACTCATTTCCTCCCTGAGCGTCTCAATGTCGCCGAACTCAACAGCAACCTCATCAACTTTCATTTCCCTCAGTCATAAAGTTATTGTAGTTTTCGTCTGGAATATAATTAATGAAGTCCAAAGTTCATTTTTGTTAAAAGTTATTGTCTTATCTAAAAGAAAGAAAATTTTCTAAAAACTTATTTTTTAAAAGAAAAAAAAACTCTCGATATTTTCTAAACTAAAAAGAGGTATAATTTTTGAAGGCTTCCCAAAGATAAATATAATTCTAAGGGAAAACTCTATTGGTCTATAATCTTCTCAAGTCTAACCGAAAATACTGTAAGACAAATCAAATTAGTAAGCAGTCACATTGAATCCCTTTTTATGTGAATCTGAAACAACACTAAATAAATGGAGATTTCAATTACTTATATAATTTCCTTCAAAAAAAAAAATATCAACCTATCTTTTTTTACTTGTATAATATTTAGGATGACTACCGCTAAGAAGTTACGTATTCTTTGTCTTCATGGCATGGTTCAAAATGCTGCTGTTTTCCGTAAAAAGACATCTGTTATTAGAAAGAAGCTTGATAAAATAGCAGATTTAGGTATATTATACATAAATATAAATTAACTATATAAAGATAGAAGAGACAGGCACATAACAATTAATTACTTTATATAGTTTATGTAACTGCTCCTCAGATGACAACCGATCCTAAATATACTTCTGAAGCTCACCGTGCTGCTGCTGCTGATGAAAATGCACCTGAGGGTAAGTTTAATTTGATTAATAAAAAATGTGGCGCAGTTTTTCGCCTTTTTTTTTCCAATGCTTTAACTTCTTGTTATTAGAGGAAAAGCCTTTTGCTTGGTGGCATCCTTATGATGATAAGCAAACTGAAGATGGTTATTATATGGGATTCAAAGAGTCTGTTCAACATTTGAAAGATATTATGATCAAAGAGGTAATATATTGGCTCAAGAAAAAAAAAACCAGGAATTATATGAAAATAACATTTCATAAAAAAAAAATATAGGGACCATTTGATGGTATTTTTGGTTTCTCTCAGGGTGCATGTCTTGCTGGTGTTATGCTTGCTTGTCTTGAGGATCGTTCTTTAGCACCTACTCTTTTTGGTCCTGATTTCGATCATCCTAACTTCAAGTTTGCTATACTTGCTGCTGGTTTTAAGCCTTTCCCTCAGAAAGCTACACAAAACATCTGGACTCATAAAATTTCTACACCTACTTTGTTTATGATTGGTGAAGAAGATAAGTTGATTACTCCTGCTCTTCAAGAAACTCTTGTGGAACAATGCATTGACCCTGTTATCATTCGCCATTCTGGAGGGTAATTTATAATTTAAAAGAGTTAATCTAAACTGGTATATCTAATATTCTTGGTTTTTATAGTCACGTTGTACCTTCCAACGCTGCATCCCGTAATGAAACTCTTGCATTTGTTTCCAAGTTTGCAAACAATTAGATAATAATAATAATATCCTTAATATATCATTTTCATAGATTTGTCATAGACTATTAACAAACAATAAGCATTTGCATAATATAGATACAGTACATACAGAATAATAATGATATGTCAATAGAGAAAAGGAAAAGAATAGCATACATTGATTTAATTTTTTTTTTATAATAAAATGAAGAAATAATAGATTATATAAATGTGTGTTAAGCAACTATCTTTTGTGCTAATGTAATTTTATCACCAAGACTTAAAGCAATACCTTGAGTCTTTGAACGAATACGAATATGACCAGTAATAGGTCCATCACCGCTCTTTTCTATACTCAAGTTTGCCAGTGCGTCTTCACCAAAGATACTTCTAGCATACATATTAGCTGATAAGAATCCACAATCTCCTTCCAATTGCCTCTTGGGTGTTAAACAACTCATATTAGTTGAGTCCATAATATGTTGCAAATATTCTCTCAAGTCACTAAATTTATATAAATAATAAAGATTTACACATTAATATAAATTTGTTTGGGGATTTTTTTTTTTTCTTTTCTTTTTTTTTTCTTTACCTAATAGTAGTATTAACGTTAACTTTGTTTTCCCATTCAAACTCTGTCCACATGGAACGGAATTGAGTCTCATTACAATAAGCAGGATTGATATAATCCATAATATCAATGTGTATATCATTTAAGACAACACAATTTTCAGTAGAACCATGAGAATCATAAACAATATTACCAAAGATAACACCAGTTTCTGTAGAAGAAACCTTAATAGGTGCCTTCACAGTTAAGAAGGAATGAGGTGCCAAATTATGTGTAGCAGGACGATCTACTAATTTTAAATCACCCAAGGTAGCAAATTCAACTGTCAAGTTTTGTAAAGTTTCGTTTGTTTGATTTACAATCAAAACATCCATCAAAATATCATACTGATGCACATTAACAACTGCTTCAGCATAAACCTTATCAGAGAAGCCAGTAAGTTGAACAATACGATTCAATTTGGACATTAAATCATTTTTATCATCCAATGTACCAGTAGCCCGAGAGAGGTCTTTATCATATTCATCAGCAATACCTCCTGATTTCTTTTCAAATTGACGGAACGCAATCACATCATCTACTTGGACCTGAACACTGGCTTCATTTTCAGCTTTAGCATCTGCTAAACGTTTATCTTCTGTTTGAAGTTGCTTACTATAAACTTCACGTGTATCTTGAAGGTATACAGCATTGATCTTTGTGTTGTTTTCATTATCATCACCTGCTGTGCCAACTATACGCAAGTCTTGCATAATACGGTCATAGGAATCCTCGTCAATCTCAAAAGTAACAAATTTTGACTGACCAACTCGTAAAATACTTGTCATGATTAACATTGCTTCAGCCTGGCGAGTATTTACAAGCGTAGCATCATCAACAAGTGTGCTATAACGAAGTACTAATTTTGTAAGAGCGGTTGAAAGAACAGTACTTAAGAAATAATCACCAGCAAGGATAAGTGAACGAAGGGGTGGTTTCTTTGCTGTCTTGACAGCTTCTAATCTTGATGCTGCAGCAGAAGATTCAGTATAAGCGCTTTCACTAGCATAAGTTCCATCAGCGAGAATACGTCGAGGAGCAGCAGCACCCGAAGGAACAGTAGTAGTTGATTTTTCTCCTTCCTTTTCTTCATCTTCTGCAGCTTCTGCAGCATCTAATAATTTTTGTTCTGAAGCTAATAATGGAATCTCACCTAAGGCTTGACGAATTTGTTTCCATGCATCATCAATTTCTTTTACGGTTTCACAATATTCACCAATAATCCAAAGTGCACCACGGAATACTTTTCCTGATTTCATATCTGTAAATATATCTAATAATTTTTCCAAAATTGATTCTCTTAATCCAGGGAATTTTTCAACTACTTCACGTACAAATGAAACAACATCTACAGCAGCTGGGTTATTAGAATCGCCTAAGAATTCCATAAGAACATGAACGACATTAGCTGCAACTTCTGAGAATTTAATAGCGCACGTATGAATAGATTGAATCAAAAGTTGACGGTATTCAGCATTCTAAACATTGAAATTAATTTGCTTTCGAATCAATAAGTGCTTACTTTTTTTTTGCATTTACCTTTTCATATGCATCATCTTGGGTCTTTGTTAATTCCTTTTTGAGGAAAAGAACAACTTCTTGGACATTTCTCGAAGAAACCATTTCTAATGCAATACGAATAGCCTTACGACGAACATCAATGTCAGGACTAAAAATAATAAATTATTCTTTACTGTTAATATACATGTATATATTTCCACTCATTTTTTTATATAGGTTTTACCTATTTAAAACTTGAAGAATATCCATAACTAAATCATCTAATACGCGATCATGCTTATTTCTAATCTCTTCAAGTCGATCAAGAACAATGAGCTTTACATTGTTATCAGACTCCTTAACAATAAGCTCAATATAACAAGAAGCAGCAGCTAATAGAAAAGTATATCATTTTACTATTGATGACTTTATCTTAACTATAATTTAGTTTGCTATTACCTTTAACAGCAGCAGGGCTTGTAGTTAAATATAAAAGAATGGCTGCAGCTTCATATTTAACAGAATGAGAAGCAGCAGCCAAAAGTTCGGATAAACAACGAATATAAGCCGCCTTTTAATATATACATACATACATATATATATATATATTTATATGAGAGGTTTGTGTTATTTAATTTTTTTCATTTGTTTGTCATTTTGCTCTTTACCTTGTTTGCGGAACTGTTTTTAGAATCTTTACGAATTAATTCTATAACAGCTAATTGCAATAATTCATCAAAAGTAGGTACAGAATCAATAACTTGTAATAAATATTGAACAGCAAGAGCTTGATCTACATTGCATAAGACAACAAAAGCATTACGTCTACATGTCATATCAGCTTCCTATTTCATATATAAAATGGTACGTTAAGAAAAAAAAGTAAACGGATTAAATTCATATTTGTCTTTTTTTTTTTTACCGAGAGTAAAAAGGATTGAACTACTTCAGGTGCATCTGGAAAGAGATGGTCAAATGTCTTGTAAATGGAACCAATAGCAAATACAGCATTCTTTCTGACATAAGAGTGGCGATGTTCCTGTATAATAAATTAACGTTAGATGAGAATTTTATTGAAACTCTCTTTCAAGCAATTACCAAACAAGCTCTGACAGAAGGAACAAGAGGCTCAAGAACCTCAGGTTCTTTAATTTTACATAAAAAACGAAGAGTTGAACCTCGAATATATTCATTAGGGTGTTGAAGATCATTCATAAGAGCGTTACTATTTTTAACATTGTATAGAATTTCAGATTAATTTTAACATTAATATCCTTATCCTTATTTTTTTTTTTTTTGTTGTTCATTCATTCGCCCTTTACCAGACTAAAATAAACTCATCTTTAAGTTTTCCATCCGGTTTTGTCTTTGGACATATTTCCCAATAAAATTGCAATAATTTTTTCAATTGCTTGTTTCTAGATGGTAAAACAAAACGAATGACATGTAATAAAAGCTTTTCCATGGGATCTCCATTTAACATGATGACAAGTAACTTTTTCATTGTTTCGATGCGAGTTTCGTCAGAACCCTTTTCAAAAGCTCTCTGAAATTCTTGAAGGGAGGGTGTTTCTGTCGCGTCATCTTGATAAACAAGCGTGTAGCAAAGGTCAGTTGCCATCTTCTTTTTATGTCTGTTTAAAATGCTTTGTTAGTTTTTTTAAAAAAAAAGAAAGAAAAAGAAATGTAAAACTCTTTGTTGCTTTTTTTGTTTTGTTTCTGTACTTTAAAAAAAATAAGTACAAAAAAGTAAGTAAAATAATTAAAATAGAAACTGTGAAGGGTAAATTTCAAATTACAAAATATTATTCGACGTTATGAACGTATACTTGAATTGCTGTGCTTCCACTCTCAATTCACCGGATGTTTGAAAACCCCGCCCAGTTTTTTTAAAAATTTTGGGCATTTGGGTGAGGTTAAATTGCCCATTTTTTTTAGAAATAATTAGACCATTTTTCCTATTTTACACTTATAGCCTTATGGGTTATTTTATGCCTTAGGCTATGCCTCAGTTTATGGGTTAGTTTATACGTAGTTTTATGCCTTACACTATGGCGGATAAATTGTTGGGTGCAAATAAGTTTGTTTACAAAACTAACAACTAAAGTTGAAATTGTTAATAAATTTGTTTGAAAATCAAAGAACTATTATTTATTTATTTTTTTAGTATGTCCGAACAACTTCGATAATTTATTGAACAAGTTCGTTTATTTTATTTTTTTGGTATTCTATTACTAATTGCTTTTTTTTTTTTAATAGAATTATAACTATTCTATTAGGTTTCTTCGATGAGAAAAAAAAAAGAGAATACATGCACACTTCATAGATAAATGCTATATATTAGGCCGAAATTGTACAAACATATTAACATTTCGCTTGAGTTTCATAAATATATTTACTATTAATGAAGAAAAAAAAGTTTATGTCTATGCTTAAATGTATGAACTAAACTGCTTCCATTGAACCCAAATGCTAAGATTGTGTTTGAGAGGGCATGCCTATATTTGATAAGCTTAATAACTCTCTAAAAAAACGCTTACGATTTATCAGAATAAGCTGCTTTAATGTCTTCAATCAAGAAAAAAAAAACGCTCTCAAAAGTTTGACTTGAAAAAATACATGTTGGAAAAAAAAGATCCTAGTTGTTCTCATTTTTAAAATACGTACAATGAAGAAAAAAAAAATCTCTTTCTTCAATTTCCCCAAATAACTTTACAACTTCATTTTTGGTGAACGCCGTCGCGTTACAAACAAGTTACATTATAGCAACTATACATCACGATTTATTTTCTACATGTATTTTGCCTGTATCACTCGTTTCATTCTTCACATTTCATCTTACCAAACCATGATGCTATAGCATGAATCACAAATATCACTTTACTCTATCCTAACACATATTTATTCACAAATATAATTCCAAATTTCAACATGAAGTACATTGCTCATTTCAACATGAGTTATAATGACCCTTCAAAAAAGCATAGTTCCAATCTGTAAAGGGGCAATGTCATGAGCTGACTTATAATGTCATGTTTCATGATTAAACTTGTGGATCAAGGAATTCTATCTATATTCTCCCGAATCTCTCTTGATCCGCTCCATCTAATAATATTAAAATCACTAACATTTCATTATCAACAACATACCTTATTCGGTCGTAACTAACACTTTTCTGATTTACATCTTATCCTCAGGCCTCTTTAACAATTCTTATAAATACCCAACAATTTAAATTCATAAATAAAATAATTAACTTTAGAACTATTGTTCGGTCTCGTTGACTCTTTTTATCTTTATTTTATAATACTTTTTATTTGATATTTTATAAGGAATATTACAGTCCTGCCTAACCTGTCTTTAAACTCTCCCCCCCCCTCCTTTTCTTCTCTGGCTTAGCCAGCATTCATAGACACCCCTCCTTTCCTCTTTTTCTATCCTTTTTCCTTCAGCCCATGAAGGTTTTTTCTTTTCTCTAAATACAGATTTGAACTGGTCCGGGCAACTTTAGTATATAAAATACTTGTGCTCATTTGGATTTTTATTTAATAAAACACAACATAAAAAAAAATAAAAACAATTTGCGCAGGACTCGACTGAATTATCGTCAAGTGGATGCATCGTGTTATTTAGTGTGATAAAAACAAAACGATTATATATTGCGTTGCTGGATAAGGACAGATTTTTTTGAATTATGAGCCCAGACAGTAGCTAACAATTTGGTGTTAAAGTGACAGGACATTCAAACTTTCTTCAATGCTGTAAGACACTGCCAATCGTTATAATAATAAACATAGCCACTAAGAAAGAAAAAAAGGGAGGGACACGATTTACTACCGCCTCATCCATTGCAGCAACTCTTTACTTCTGAGAAAGATGATTGATAAAGTGTTTTTTTTCATGAATATGTGAACTTGTATGAATATCTGCTAGAAATAGATAAATTATGGTATAATTACTTAAGTTTACGTTGTTGTTGAATTCGACCATAAGATCACATTCTATTTTTTCACAAACTAAGCGAGGATGATTTGTAATGATCCCTTTAAAATTATCAAAAAGATCCTATAGCTTTTTTTTTTCTGTTACTCGTTTGTCAATACTAAAGGCTTCTTATTGGTTTTTTGCTTTTCTACCAAAGGCAGAGAGCAACACGATATGGTTAGTGATATGCTTGCTGTCTCTACCAAGCCATCAGATATGATTATCAGTCTCACTGATGCTTTTCCAAGTACCGCCGCGTTCACGGAAAGAGTATTTACAACAGCATTCAAAAATGCAAACAGGAAATAATAGCTGGTAAGACTGCTGCTCAGCATATTATTGGAATTATATCAGGAGACGTTCTCTGGCCACCAATTTATGGGAGATAGTATACAACTACGCTCCAGCCTTGGCTAGTTTCAAAGAACACTGGAAGTACTGTGGAAACTTCCCTGATCCAGGAGTTGTTAATAAGAAAGACTCAGTTAGCACAGCCACATTTAGAAAATCTTTAGATAAAGAAGAGGGGTACGATACTACGAGTCGTCCTTTTAATTTTTTTTTCTTTTTATCCAATGACTTTTTTATTGTTATTATTAAACACGTATCATTACTCATTGAAAATACATTTATCTTTTTGGCATATTAAGCTTAGAGAATATTGGTTTAGCTTTTTGTTTTCGGGACAAATAGTAAAAAGCAGGGAACAAATTACAGTTTTTTAATGAAAATAGGGTATAAAGAACTAATATTTTAGAAAATCATTAGTGAAACAGATCATTTCTTCATCAGCAACCTCAGTCAATCCCAACTGTTCTGCTTCCAACTTCTCGAATATTCTAAGTTGATTGCTAAGATCGTTCTAAAATTAGGAATATTGAACATTATTAACGTTAAAATTTTAATCAAAAAATGCAAAACTTACATATAAATACGCGAATATGTCAAATACTGACATCAGGTGAATTCTTTCTTCAAACGAGCATGGTATTAAAGCGGAACTACACTCTATTGCTTTAAATGTGTCCTTATCTTTTAGCGAGTATTTGATAAGTGTCATCTTTGTTTGGATTATTTGAATAGAATACACATTGGCTACTTTGACTGTGTTCATACTTGCATTAGGAAATCTGCATATAATATTCTTCAAAGCATCTGTAGCAGTTTTAATATTCTTAACGGAATCTTTAAGTAAATGATTTATATCAGTGGTTACTTTTAATCTGTGTAAAGAGAATTAAGTATTTTCTCTACTAATACCATAGAATCATTTAATTCTTACCCTGAAGACTCAAGGACCATACAAGGAAATTTTTTGTTATTGATACCAATCCCATCTAAGAGAGTTGTCGAGCTTTTTTCTTGAGTAACGAAAAAAATACTTGTAGCTGACTCTTTGTCCTTTTTTTCACACCTGTACTCGATCATTGAAGTTAACTTCAGTATCAGCTTACATATAACACGTACTTACCAAGTGAAAGACATTAGAGCCGTAATATTACTAAAATATTTTGGTATTCGTTTTTCGTTATCATCTAAACCTTTATACTTAAAGAAAATAAGTAAATAAAAAAAGTGTACCTATTAACAATTACCTCGGTTACATCATACCTTTCGCTTTTGACCTTTGGATCGTAAATCTTCACTTACAAGCTCATTACTTGTAATTTCAATTTCTTCATTAATTTCAATTACAGATTCCTTAAGCCTATTAACTCTTTCACGCTTCTGATACAATTGCAAAAACGATTTCTTGCTATGCGGCATATTTAAATAAGTAAGGAATTTTTTGGTAAATGTCTTCTCTAATTTGGTGCCATGATCCCTTGATTCACTATAAAGTTTTAGACTTTGAATGGCTTCGTCATAAAGAGAATGTCCAGTTGCGAATGGAACATCCACAAATAGGAAATAGTCATCCAAAATGTTTTCAATTTTCCAATCCCCATAGTCCGCGAGAAATAGATATTCAGGTATACTCAAGGCATTACTTGTTTGGTTATTTAACTTTTTTGCTATTAATGTTTTATAACATTTTGGCTTGCGTATTTCTGACTTTTTTTTTTTTTTTTTGATAAGCTCTGAGAAGAAAAAGCAATAGATTATTATAAAGCGCAATCCTGATATACAATCTAGAATCAGTTGGGTGACGTTAATAAATTTTGATACAGTCCAACGTTTTTGGTGTACTTTTCTCTTGCAACAAATAACTGTTTCTTCCTGTTTTAATTTTGAAATCACTTTTCACCCACATGAGGAAAACAAACACCCCCAGGGCGGGGTTTCTAAATGGAAAATCCTATTCTGATATCGTTAAACGACTACCGACTAAACAACATTCAATCATGGATCAAGTTGATAGGCTCCTGGTGTCGAGCATTGGCATGTCGCTTGGTTCATATATTAGAGACCTTGCGCGCAAAACTATAGTTCATGATAGTCAATCACATTATTTTATGACCTGTGGTATGAACGGCATAGTCGATATATCGGATAAATCAGAAGACTCGCAACTTTCTACTATCAAAGACAGTACTGACGAGATAAACAAACTTTTGCCAAAGTATCATATGCCAATCAGTACCCCATCCGAACATGATGTCTTTGAAACGATAATAAGAGGCCAAGTAATCCGTCAAAACGATAGCTCTAAATATTTCAAAAAATGCTTGGATAAAATGAAGATCGTCAAGACCAAGGATAAACTGGAAATAATCAAAGACTTATACCAATTTGTTTTCAAATTACACAGATTTCATAAGTATTTTTTCAACCCAAATTACAAACAGTTATCAGAGGAAGACTACATGATTAAAATTTGGTCCCCTTTGATCGAAACTGTGTTTAGATCCCTTGATGATAATCCACCTATCATTCCTCATTGGGGAGATACCACTTCTGAACAGGTTAAAGAAAGATGAAGGGAAGATCATTAGAATGGATTTGAGATTGATAGCTTGTGAAACGCCTATCGAACAAAACAAGATAATTGATACTGCTGTTGCCGAATTTGCCCCAACAGTATTCAAGTCAAAATATTATAAAGACAAATTGAAGACAGTATTAGCGAGCAAAGCACAATTAAATGGCCTGCTGAGGAATAATGGGGATTTGGACGAGCAAACAGTGAAAGACATTTCAATTCCCTTCATGACTGTAATGGGATTAGAATGCGAAAGCGCCAAAAATATTCCCAAGGAAAGCAAATTAAAACCTTGTAGCCGTGACGAACTGAAAGCTCATGCAGTTCATCTCGTCGACATTTATCCAAGAAATAGAGCGAGGGCTGTCGCTTTGGAACTTAATCTACAGCCAAGAAATGTTCAAAGATGGTACAAAGCTTGGAAACAAAATCCAGCTTCTTTATTTAAGAAGGTTGGGAGACCACGTATTATAGAACCAGAGGGTGAACTTGCTGTGGCCACCAAGCAGATAGTCTCTGATTTTTACTTCAAGTAACCTACTGCTACTGTAGACCAACTTATCAACAAGCTGACTGACGACTTTGAAGATTTTTCTATTTCAAAAGCAACAGTTTATCGTTATTTGGGTGATCTATGGTTTTTCACATCGAAAAAAGTCATGTTAGAACCTGTTGAAAGTTTATTAGAAAACGGTGTAGATTATATGAAAAACTGTATCTTTATTGATGAAGCAGGTTTTCATACCAACTCAAGATGAACTCAAGGTTGGGCATCGAAAGGTGAAAAGGCAAAGGCTAAGGTTTTAACAGCAAGAGCGAACACCATATCAATCTGAGATGCCGTTTCAGCATTTGGCTTAATTAAAGTTTGTCTCAGAAAGCCTATCCCGCCTTCTAAAAAAAAGAAAACTTAACAATGGAGTAAAGTACAGCAAAGGCACTGTTACAAACCATTATGTTAATTTTATAAATGACATTTTGGATGAGATGGATAAATATCCAGAGATGAAAAAGTATCTGGCCTATTATGGACAATGCTCCCATACATATGTCTAAAACAATTGGTGAAGTTATCAAACAACGTGGATACAACTATTTGTACTTACCTGCTTATTCTCTCAAGTTAAATCCTATTGAACAGTTCTGGTCTGCTTTGAAGAGTTCTGTTAAAGAGAATTTGTCCTCAACAAAGACTCTTTTCCTAAACATATCAAGAAGGGTGCGGAAAATATTCCCGTTTCATCATTTGAAGGTTTTTCTCGTTATTCTGTGAGACGGTTTGAGGATTGTTTACAACTCCAATCTATTTAATAATAAGAAACTTTACGCGACATAATTTTTTCTGATAAGATTTTCTTAAAACATGCTGTTGTGAAAATAAAAATAAAAAAAAATAAAATAAAATAAAATAAAATAAAATAAAATAAAATAAAATAAAATAAAATAAAATAAAATAAAATAAAATAAAATAAAATAAAATAAAATAAAATAAAATAAAATAAAATAAAAATAAAAAAAAGAGTTACCAGCCCCCTTACCCCTAATTTAATTATTATAAATATTTGCCAAACTGAATGACCTTTTTCTTAGTCTTTAGACTAAAACATATCTTCTTTTTTGTGTCGTTTAGGTAAAATAATACTATCCTTTCAATAAATTCAGACTAAAACATGTCTTCTTTTTAAGATCCGTAACAATTAGTCTCTTATATTCATTTTGAGTTTTTTTTTTTTTTTTTTTTTTTTTTTTTTTTTTTTTTTTTTTTTTTTTTTTTAAAAAAAAAAATATAATATATAAGCAAGAAAATAATTGAAATGTATTTTGCTTTGATTGCTTATATACCATAGCTTCATAATGAGGTAGTTATTATCTTCAAAAGTTAACTACAATTTTTTACAACACGTATATTATCAAATAAATATATCTCTTCTATAATTAAGCAGGAAAAAAAAATATCTTATAATTTTAAACAATGAATTGTCTTTTTTAATACAAATTTACTTAATTTGATATATTTAAGATTATGTAATACAACTTCTTATTATATTAAATGAATTTTGATTTTTTTCCGTCAAGTATTAAACAATTTATTTACAATTTATTAGCGTACTAATAAAAATAAAAAATCACGAGCAAGTAAAATAAAAGATAACATATGTATTAAGAAGTTGGAATTAAGGAGAAAATGGTTAGAATATGATAAACGAAAATTTTATAATGTTAAATTAATCAAGTAAATGAGAAGCGTTTATGAATATATATATATATATGTATAAAAAGTAATTAAACTTACCAAGATATCTTGATGGACAGATTAAGGATAATTAGTTAAGTATGTTTACTGATTTCTGGAAGGTACCTATCCTTGCTTTTCCTTCTAGTGTCGCATTTGTCTTTTTGTAAGAAGAGAAATTATAATATTAGTATGATAAAGGAATTAAGCATACTCACAAAGATCACAAACCATACAGATTCAACATAGACAAGTGGCTTTAAATCCCAATTTCATAAACAATATATTAACTTTAAACTTTAAAAAAAGTCCTTGAAAAGCATCAATAAGCAACACAAGGAACTTGTTATTGCTTATAAGGTCATAGGTTGAAGGGTTTTGTTGAATATTTGAAGTATAGTTGCTTATCTTACATTTATTCTACATGTTGCTCAATATGGTCTTTCCAGGCCATCACTAAATGATATGCCATTTAATGCCTACAAGTATTGGAAATACTTGTCAATGGCTTGCCTTTTCCCTCCGTTCTGTTCAATCTATTATATATCAATAAATGCAACGGCATGATTATTATATTATATTCTCCACGAGTTTAATTATTTCTTCCAACAATAAAGTGGTACATCCAATGTGATTCAGCTTGGGATAGCGACAATATTTAATAGAATAACTTCTTCCTTTCTCTCAACACACATGTGTATTTTTTTTTTTTTTTGAGAATAATTTTAAGAATATCATATCCGTGGTCATAAATTAATTATATTCATGAAAACGAAGGCTACAAAATATCGTATGTTTCAAATATTTGTAACCAATATATAATGATGCTATAGTATTTTTTCATTAGGTAATATTGCTTAAATAACAAAAACGATATAATCTCTTTATTTTTGATTATATATTATATACTGAGTTGAGTATGTGTAAAGAATAGAATAATAGAATCGAAGGTAAATAAGCAATATCAGTCTTTAGTATTAAAGTTTATATGCTTAAAGAGTAATTTTCTAATATATAAGAATAGGATTGAAAGGTTGATTAGGAAACTATTCGAAAAATCTATAATAATTTGATAATTTATAATGAATGCTATTAAAATTGGATATTAGTATACACACACACACATATATATATATATATATATGATATTCATCTTTACCAAATTTACAAATATAGTATGAGGAGTACAATCACCTATCATGTGCGCCTGTTGATTACATGTTCAAAATTCTTCGCTAGAAAACATATATTTATTTTCACCTTTATGAGGAATTAATTCCATGTCTGGCAGTTGTAAGGATTTATTCAAGATTAGATTTTCCTCAACTGGAGCATATATAAAGCTATTAGATGAAGAAGTATTGTGCTGAAGATAATTCCAATTCTGTTTTGGGGAAGGTATAGGATACATTAGAGGAAGATTTATATTTTGTTGGTGGTTATGATAGCTAGAAGAGCTTACAGTATCATTTGCAGAAGTAATTGAGGTATTATGATTATCATCTCTTTCAGTCTTAATAGAGTTTACTTGAATTTGCTGTTGAAAACTGGAAGAAAAGAGAGTATTTTTATAAGAATAAGTGGGCAATGATGATGATAATGTGGGTGATTCTATGGTTTCCTTTAATGATTGCTCTTTAACCCTATTAATTTCTTTTAAAAGTTTTTTATTCTCATTTTGTAATTGCATAATTTGATATTGATATCTGTTCTCTTTTGTTGTACTTTGTTTAACCCAGTCAAGAGCCTTTTCTACTATTTGACCTTTAGATGGACGGCGATGATGTTGGAGATTAGGAAGAATTCTAGCCAACTGTTGAAACTTGGTATTTAAACACTCTCTACGAGCGCGTTCAATAGCGTTATGCTCAGCCCTCTTTTCAGCTTTATTTGTAGATGTTTGATAGCGACTAAAAAGAAAAAAAAAAGGGGGGGAAGAAGGGAGTGAGGCGAACATGAAGATAAATATATATTACAAAGTTACGAATACTGCTTTAGCTAACCTATGCTTCTTTGAACCAAGGCTATTTTTGGATGCTGGTTCTTCTGTTGTAATCTTTTTTGTAGCTTCATTCTCTTTGTTTTCGACTATGTAAGGTGCTGGTAGTGATCTTTTTAGTTCCTTGGCAGATTCTGTTTCATTCATACTTTGATCATTTGGAAATAGTTCCGTAAACAAAAATATATCTTCAATTTCGTTAGTAGTATCAGCTTTTTCATATTTATTATTGTAATGAGTACTACAATGATACATCTTTTTTTCTTTATATATGACTCAATTAAAAAATCAGTTATATTGAAAACAACTAACAGATAGCTAAAAAAAAAAAAAAAAAAAAAAAAAAAAAAAAGATAAAGTGTCAGAAAAAGTCTTCAGCTTTTATATTACAAAATAAAAAACAAGCGTATTGTAGATATTGAATGGTCAATGTATTATTCACAGATTATATGTTTGATCTCAAAATATTAAATTGGCGAAATTTCTGTGAGACAATTTGTAACCGAGTTGCTACTGCTGCTTGATTTTTGTAATAATACTCCGAAGGGCCCCATGACTATTGTATCCTTGATTTATTATCACATAGTATTGTGCAATTTATATTATAAGGATAATCTCATTGCTCTTTACCTTTATATGAAGGAAGAAGGAAGGAAATCATTAATCTATCTAATAGATACAATAGTGATAATTGATGAAGAATAGATCAACGTAATGAAAATACCTATTAACTATGTGATCTGGTTTAAAACTGTTATCTAAAACCTTAATGTTGATCTTATACTCTTCCTTTATTCATAGATTATATACATAAATAAATTAAGCTAAGATATATAAGGAATTATAAGTTATGCAATTAAATGCCCATACTCCTTCTAATTAAAGTGAATTGGAGCTTTTAATTTACTTTGATAATAAAAAGAAGTAATCCTTTTAAATAATAATAAATTTACAACTTAATAATATATATATAAAATAACGATTTAAACTCATTATTTATAGTTTTTTTTAAGAGAAAAATAGCATATGTTATATATTTTATTTTTGTGCCTTTAGTAATAATAGTAGTTTAGCAACGGAAAAACAAAACAGATATAGTAAGAAAGTTATGTAAAATTTAGAATTTACAATAAGAAAGAGAAAGTAATTTATACGCTGCTGTATTTTATTATTATTATTATTATTATTATTGCTTATATTTTTATCTATTTTTTTTCTTTTTTTTTTTTTTGGAAACGACTAAAGATTATTATGACAATTTAAAAGGAACTATTAAAAGAATGTTTCAAATATATAAATAAGAAACTATGCCAAAAAGAAAAAATTGGAAAAGGTTTACATATTAAACCAGACCAGGAAAATAACAGACTATCTTATACAACAGAAAATTAATAAATAGAATATTCTTGAGCCTAATCCGAATAGTATATTTTGTCATCACAACTATTATTATTCAAAAATAAGAATAATAAAAATCTTAAAGAAAAAAAAAATTTTTTTTACAAAATAGTCAATTTAACGTGAATCATAAAAAACACAGAGTTACATACACGTTGCTCTTCAGACTTTAATAATTCTTATTTGAAACTACATATTTATTAACTTATTTAGTTGTAACACTATTTATAATTTTGTTTTCCTACTTTAAGCATGAAGGCTTACTTTTTATGTTTATATAATAGATACAAGTAATAAGTAAACTAATCTATAATATTACAGAAAATAAAGAAGAGAATGCGTATAAACTGAAAATTCAATTATGACTATTTATAAATTCAGTGTAAATCTTCTTCTACTTCTTTATCATAACAATGATTTAAGGGCAATGATTATCTCTCAATGAACAGATTTGTTTGGTTAAACACTGCCTAATCAAACAAATTTACGGATATTATCCAGCTATGTTCTACAAGCGTGAAATAAACAATATTGATTATCAACAGCTGCTGGGAGGACATGCTGAACTGTAATTAGCTCTACTGAAGATATATCAATAGTACATTTTATGGGGTTAACCAAACTTAAACTTTTCACAAATAGCAAAAATTGCTGAATAAGTGCAGATGTTTAACCCATTGGAAATAGATAAGCTAAAGAGCAACTCCCACCAGTGACTGAGTGTTAAACAGCAATTGTATACAATAATTCTTCACAGATATTGATCCTATTGCATGTAGTATCTAGACAAAACTATTTTCAATTAATTAGATTTTTTTTTTGTAATGAAGCACATATTTCTCTTTCATTAAACCCTACCATAAAAAGCCTTAAACTCTTATTATTAATGTTGTTAGACAAGTATAGGCATTGCATACCTTCTAATGAACCGATTAGAACAAGTTCTGAATATGAGCATAAGTAATATTATTAAAAATGAATTACATAATATAGGATAAACTATATAGCTGTATATAAAGTAAACATATCACATCATACTGTATATAACATCTTGTAAATGATATAAAGCTTATGGACATACAATCATGTAGATCTGTCAACTAAATAAGACATCGCGTCAATTCTAGATATTTATTTTTTATAACCTTGATAAAAGATATAAGTCATCTCTGATACAGTAAAATAAAAATGTAAAAGACACCAGGAAACTATACTCGGATCAAACACTCATTTTTTTTTTTATTTAAAGCCTCAGTCAGGTCATTATAACACCTAATAGATAATCCATATAGATCAGTATCTTGAATCAACAAGACGTATATATTTGAACACCAACATTGTTTCATGTTTCACCTTCTTTCATAATTATTTTTAATTCTTTCTTTGATTCAGGGTTCATTAGTAGTTGTTTAGACACGAAATAATCTTTATCTTTAATTCTCCTTTTATTACCTTCTTTATATTGATCAAACAGTCTCAAATTATACTTATATTTTGTCTTCTTTCTTTTTATTTTTCAAATATAATTTATATCATCACAGTGTAAACTAAAAAGCTTAGTATAAACATAAAGACCATCACCTTTCTGGCAATATGCTCTTAATTTAGCTTTGTAGTCGGTTCGTTTCGAAGATTTTTACATTAGTCTTTTCTTATCAAATAAACCATTTGTTGCTTTTTTATTGTTAATCTTCTTTGAAAAAAGCTTTATGGCAATTAAAGATCTTGATACATTTATAAAGCAAGTTTCTTCCTCTGTTGCTAGATTACCTTTTATTTGAAATATAAGATTTACTGAAACCAGACATGCGAGTCTCTTTTAAAACAAATTCAACACCATCTTTTTCTAACATTTCTTCAATTATTTTTTTTTCAAGCTCATTAATGGGTAGGGTAGATTAATAGTGCTGTTAGGTGAATAGAATTTATTTATTTTTATAAGGGGTAGTAAAATAAACTATTTTTCCAAATAACTGGCTTAATTCTTTTTTTGTTTGTAAGGGGCGATGATGGATGCTCAGAGTTTTATTATTGTCAGTTAATGTTACGACTTATAAATTTGAATTAATAAAAATATGTATTTTTTGATAAAAAAAAAAGGAAAGATTCAAGATTAGATAACTAAAGCTGCTAAAACGAATACTTATGCTGATTTAAAGCAATATATATATATATATATCACTCAAAGACGTTTTTTTGAACGTTGTTTATTGACTAAGAAAGATTTATAAATTTCTCAAGCGTCATGAATTGTATTCAAGCGAATTAATATATACATACGCATATTTATTATATGATAACAGATTATAAAATTTGGAGAAAAAAAATTAACAAATTTAGTTCCTTTTTTACTATTGTATACACGGTGATATATTACATCAAGTATAGTTTATGCGTATTAACAATCGTTTATATTTAAATTGACAGCTGAATTGTAATTATGATTAGTGGTACCTTAAATTCAGATCTAAAATTGTTTATTACTGTATTTGTATTAATACCAGCACTGTGTATGAATATTTGGTTTAACTTTTAACTTTATTTTTTGTAAATAAAACAATATTATACTTATTTTATTATTATATGCAAATATGACAAATTCGGAAGAGATTATAATAACAGAAAGCATAAAACAGAATATTTACCCTTTTACACCAATAAATTCATATTCGCCTTTCTGATTAAGGGTAAAGAAACGAGGCTTCCATTGAATACCTTCCTTTTGTCGAGTTGCTGTTTCTTCACGTTGTCTATTTTCGATAAATGTTTTTTCGTCTGTAGCTGTATCCATATCTTTTGCAAGTATTCCAGCAGTTACTTTTGACCATAGTCTATTTATTTTAGTTAGTTAAAAAAAGAGGGGGAAGGGGGTTAAAGTCTATTATTTTTTCTTTTTGATTATAAATTTACTTTATGACTTACTTTCTTGATTCATTCCATTCTTGATTTTCTAGTGGCTCAACAAGTTTTGGAATAATTTCGTGCTTAGAAACATTGAAGAAAGATTGTTTTGAAGAGGAAGACTAAAAAAAAAAAAAAAAAAAAAAAAAAAAAAAAAAAAAAAAAATGAATGACATAAAAGAAAATGAATATGGAGGAGTCTATTACCTTTCCTTTTATAAATAACTCTTGAGTCCAAATACCTGAAATTTCATGCAAAACTGCTCCTACAGATTGACGTTTAATTTTACCAATGACTGAGTGATATTGACCAGAAAAAAAGCCCTATATATTATTATATGTTAATAAATAAATGTAATAATAATAGTAGTAGTAATAATCATAATAAAGACAGCAGCATAGTAAATTTTATAATACCTTAGTTTTGAAATCTAGTTCGCAAGTAAGATCATTTGACAGACATTTAATTATGGATTGATCCCCCATTTCCATGACCATTTTTCCGACTTAATGAAGAAAAAAAAAAAAGAACGTTAATACTAAAACTTAATATGAATATAAATAAATAAATGTATATATTTGTGTGTGTGTGTGTGTGTATAATACTAACTACATACATAGAATACCACGTGCATATACATTTGGATTAGAAATTTCATATGTTTCATTTTGTAATCCACTAAAAGTAATACGAGTATAACCTTTCATGATAGTAGCAGCGCTATTACCAAGGAATTTTGCTTTTGGATGCGCTTCACCAGTAATAAATATACCATGTTCAGGTATAGAATAATAATATACAGAAATAGGAGGATGATGAGAAACTTGTTCAGCAATATATAATCCCTTTGAACCATCGTTTAATTTATATTCACAACGAAAGAATTCTCCAAGAATTGGATTATAAGGTTTCTTTACACCCTATATTTGATTATGTAAGCATTATACAGAAGAGAGAGGAAAAAAAAAAAAAGATAGATGTATTATTTACTTTCGGTTTAACATGCCAACCTGAAAGAAAAAAACGACAAACTTCTACGAATCGTTGCACAGGATCAGTGGTTTTAGAAGCTCTGATAATAATGTTATTGCAATGTATATATTGAAAACCTCTTCTTGTAAAACTTACTTAACGAGCAATTCTGGGTGACTCATAAAGTCTGTAAACTTTTCAAGCAGACTTCTTGGTTCTAAAACAAATGTTGGTAAAGTTACACGAGAGAGATCAGTTCCCTTTCGTAATTGAGAAATGAGCCCCATAATGATGCTATGATTGTGATCTTCCAATACTTCAGTGTTGTCATTATCATCTTCTAAATGCTTAGAACATTTTCTATTCATATTGACTCTAACCTGTGAATAGAAAAAGGAAAGAAAAAAAAGAAAAAACGTGATTTTATGGACTTTATTTTATATGTATAAAAAAAAAAATCTATTTACCGCTTTAAAACATTTACAAGATTTTTATCATTTCTTTTGTCCCATGAATCCCTAACTTTTGGGGAGGAGAAGGGAAGGGGTTTAGTGTAAATGATTTTTTTTTATGCTTATATTCTTATAATTTCTTGCTTTTATAAACTTATAGATCAACATCAAAATAATATGGCACAAAGAAGGAGAGAACTTTTCTTTTACGTAATAATAATGATAATAGGCAATCAATATTCTTATGTGTCTATTAACGAGTCTTATTACATCTATCATAGATAATATTGCCTTTTTGAACAAATGAACGTTAATAAATTGCAGCTATGTTTGTACGAAATTAAAATAGGATAAATTAATAAAAGTGTTCGGGGGTCCGGTATAAAGTCACGTGATAAACCGGTTGTCAAAGAACATATACTTCCTTTAATTATATTCATCCCTTACATCCTTAGAAACCTTCTTTCTTATCGACACAGGTAAAGAATCATCAAACACAAACATTCATCAAGCATAGCGTACTCACTATTTAATTATTTTTATTTTGTTTTTGATATTGTACAATTAATATAATTTGGATGGATTCAATTTTTTACATTATACTTTTTTCCTGTTTATGAATTTTGGCTCTTTTTTTTTTTTGAATTGTGGAAATTATAAACATTAGACTATCATGCCCGCCTTAGGTTTGCCCGCCGATGTCAGTGCCACTGCTGATGGTACCCGTAGATTGTTCAACAAGTGGACTTATGACGATGTTGAAGTCAAGGATATTTCTCTTCAAGATTATATTCAAATCCGTCAACAAGTTTACTTGCCTCACACTGCTGGTCGTTTCGCTGTTAAGCGTTTCCGTAAGGCTCAAGTAAGTATTGATTTTCATACAGTGAGACGGAAAAAAGTGATTAATCTGAATGAATAGTGCCCCATTGTTGAACGTTTGACCAATGCTTTGATGATGAACGGTCGTAACAACGGTAAGAAGCTTATGGCTGCTCGTATTGTTCAACACGCTTTCGAGATCATTCACCTTTTGACCGATGCCAACCCTCTTCAAATCCTTGTCGATGCCATCATCAACTGTGGTCCCCGTGAAGACTCTACCCGTATTGGTTCTCAAGGTACTGTCCGTCGTCAAGCTGTTGATGTCTCCCCTCTTCGTCGTGTCAACCAAGCTATCTCTTTGTTGACCATTGGTACTAGAGAATCTGCTTTCCGTAACATCAAGACTGTTGCTGAATGTCTTGCCGATGAATTGATCAACGCTGCCAAGGGTTCTGCTAACTCCTACGCCATTAAGAAGAAGGACGAACTTGAACGTGTTGCTAAGTGTAAGTTTTATTTAAAACAAAAGGTTAAAAAGTTATTATATTCTAACTTTTTTTTATTACACAGCCAACCGTTAAAATTATATTATTTTGGTTATTATTGTTACAGCAATAAATACGTTTTTTCTATATTTCAATCAAAAAAAAAAAGGAAATAGGGAGAGTTTATTTGGTTTTATCATTGATATAAAAAAGAAACCAAGAATTTATTTATATTTTTTGATTATTTATTGATTATCTTCTTGAGCATAATATAATTTGCGTTCATCAATTTGCTTTTCTATTGCAGCTAATTCAGGGATTCTGAGATAGGCAGTTTTATAATACTGAAGAACCTTATCTAGTGATAAATGAGGAATCAAATTTCTATAAAAAAAAAATTATTAAACTTTTCTATACAATGTATAATCTTACTTACTTTCTTGGTGCAACTTTTAGACAATGCTCAGCATCCATATGTAAATCTAATACGCAATCATAATGAGCTCCAGGACTAAAGGCAATTCGTAAAGAATATTCTTTTTCAGTCCCATTATGTCGATTTCTTTCATATAATTCAAATGTTATTTGTGTTAAGACTATAATATAATAATGTTAATATCATCACACACACACACACACACACGATTTGTATCTATCTTACAATCAAGTTCAGGTAAAATGGGACGAGGAAATTTAGTTGGTAAACCAGATAAATAGACCAAGTTCAGCAGAGCATGTACATGAGATTCTGTGATTTGCATATCAGTTAGTATTTAACAACTACTATTATATTTGTATACATATTACCTTTTGTAAAATAAAGTCTTGTTTTTGGCTTTTCTGATACTTTAAAATCTTCTAAATCATGCAAAATACTCTTCAACAATGGTAAACCAATTAACATACCAATTGTCTTCTTTTCTTTTTCAGTAATACCATATTCTTGCGGCGCAACAAAATCAAATAATGCTTTTACATAAGCATATAAATTATGAAGATCTTCATTAACCGTTTCTGATGATCCTTTTTCGGTACAATAGTTTGAAGTATCAGAAATATTGATTTTCGTTGTGCTAAGATTATTATTATTATTATCTTCATTATTCATTGTTGATGTTGAAGAAGAGGAAGGAGAATCAGAATTGTAAAAGATAGCTTCTAAGAACTGTCGATTATGTAAAGCATCGTATTTTAAAGAATCGTATAATTCAGGAATACCAGAAGGATCAGGACAAAATGGTTCTTTTTGTAGCACATCAGAATCACTACTATCGTTGGGTTCATTTGAACAAAAATGATTAAACATCTTTTCCCATCTTTCTCTAAATAAATTAGGTGATTCAAAACAACACCAACGACGTTGTAATTGATCTACATCTTTGGTTTCCCAATTATTTCTCATTGTTGCTCGTAAACGATTCATAATACTTGAGACTTCTTGAAGGATGACATGAGGCTGTGGCATATTAGCAGGCCAGCCTGCTTGTGCTAATAAAATGGTTGAGATTTCATAACCAGGGCGAAGTAATGATTTCAATTGTTTCTTTACTGCATCCATTTGCTCTTTAGCTGAATTACTATCATCAAGTAAATATTTACTCTCTGATATAACACCCTCAATTGACTCGGGTCTACCAAGAAAATAACGGGTAAAAACATCAGCTAAAAAAAAAAAAGAAAAAAAAAAAAGAAAAAAAGAAAAAGGAATAGCTTAATATTAACCGGAGTGTATAATATATATATGTATACATGTATAAATATGTATAATAGGCTACCTGTTGCACGCACTCTACGTTCAGAGCTACTCCAAATCTTAATATCATCCATAATATGCTTGTTCAATATCTTCATATCTTTTCTAAGATTTTCACCTAAATCTCTAGATTGGTGTAAACCTGCATGAGTAAACTGTAATAAATAGATAAATAAAAGAGTCAATAAAATAATCTATATATGTATATGTATACATATACATATATATAATTTACCTCACCACCCCATTTAACATTGACTTGTAGTTTTTTGAGTGAATTTGATTCTTTATCGAAAATGGGTTTAACTTGAACTTTTGTACCAGGTAATTCGCTTTTTCTTTCTAAAATTTCTTTGAGTGCTAGTAGTTTCTTTTCGTCCTCTAGCTTTTTATCCAAACACTTGGTAATTGCATCTATCACTAATTGTAATTGATGCTTTTGTCGAAACACAACTTCCTGAGTACTTCCATCCAAGAGATCAATAAAAGGTTGTGCAACTAATGATATTTTATGTTTATTTTTAGGTGTGCGATCACCATGACGAAATACTGCAGCAAAGCCCTTTAATCTCCATGAATTTTCTGGTAAAATTTCACGAGGTATATCATGAATAGTAGCTGAAGGTCTTCGCACCATAGATTGTAGAAAAGCTTCACTTAATAATCTAGCACATTGGTCATAGTAGTGTTCATTGCCTTTGACAAAACTCCAGCCATTAACATCGATTACATAAGATTTCCCTTTCACTCTCAATAAATCAAAACCGCAAATCATTTGTCCAAAAGCTTTTGAGACTTTGGCTGCAATTTCTTTTTCTTCGGTTGTTAATTCTGTAACGTATCTAATTTCTTTTCCTTCTGTATTACGTTTAACAAGACCATCAACAGTAGGAGATCTTCATAAAATCGAAAATAATAATAAAAAAAAGTAAGTTAATGATATTATATACATATATAAATGATAATAATAAATTGCTAGCTTACTTTCTAGTTTCTGCATGTACATAGGTTGGGCCTACTGTATAAACCTTGATATCTTCAGAATTCTCGGTAACCATCATTGCTTCATAAATCCAAGAGCCTTCAGATGCTGGCATATTCAGGTTTGGATCAAACTCACTTGACTTATTACCAATCTATAAATGATATACATACATATATAAGTTGATTAGAATGATATCCTATATACTATTTCAAGTAACATACTTTTCTGAATAAACGCCTACCACCTCCTCCTCGCTCTTTATCAAAATAAATATTTATATTATGATTCTCACTATCTACAGGTTTTTCTAAAAACGTTTTTGAAAGGAAAGCACCATCCACTTCAACACCTTCTTCAGAAATACGATAGTGTTTTGTATTCTTTACATATTTTCCTAATATACGATGAATATCCATTCCTGATATTTTATGAAATGCACGCGCAGCTTCAGGTTCTACTTTTACTCCACCATCACGCGATATAACAAGACGTGGAGGAGTAGGTACACCAACGGCATCTAGTATAGCAAGAACAATTCGACGATCCCATAATAATGATTGCATATAAACATCATTTACAACAAATGGCTTTCGAAGTTCAATATATTTAATAGCTTTATCTAGCGGAAATCCTGCTGAAAAGAAGCAAATCAAAAAATCACATCCAGGCCAATTCTCTACTTCTATTATAAAAAGTATAATATGTGAGTACATGCTGTGTTGTTATGCATTTGTGACTGTTGCTGCTACTTGTATTATTGTACCCTCATCAATAATCGTCTTATCACCAAAAATTACAACTTCAAAATCTCCATATGTAAGCATTCTATCCAATATATATCGCATAGGTTTTGACCTAGCTTTTTATCCATAGCGCAGACACCGATAACATCTATTACGTTTAAAATAATTCTAGCATTCGTTTTTTTTTTTTAATGTTAAAATTTACATGAGGCTTTTTCTGATGATTTATTTCTTAGTAGAGATGGCATTTATTCTATAAAAATAAATAAAATAAATAAAATATAATTGTATGAGGAAGAAAAAACAAAAAAAAAAAAAAAAAAAAAAAAAAAAAAAAAAAGAATTGTCTGTGGGTTTTCTAATTTTTATTTTTATTTCTGAAACTATTATTTCTTATTTTGACAAGTTCACTATGTGTAATGAGACTGTTTTTTTTTTTTTTTTTTTTTTTTTTTTTTTTTTTTTTTTTTTGTTTATCATTTAACTAAAAAGAAGCATAGCCAATTAAAACAATAAAAAATGCATACTACTTAAAAAAGTTACATTAAAACAATGTAGTGAATCACAAAAAAAAAAGTCTATTATGTATTACACAAATATTTTTAATAACTTCATTTTTATTTAAATGATCATATTCCCTTGCCATTATCCATAGACTTTATGTACTTTTTTTAATACACATTTTTAATAGTTTGATTGGAATTTATAGTTAATAATATTGAATTAGCTATTTTTATAGAAATTTATGGTCAATATTAAATTGCAAGAGAATTTTAATATTATTATTTCTTTTCTTAGTATAATCGAGTAGAAATGATGTTATGCATACTTAATTACATATAAGCTTGATATCATTTTTGTTTTTATTTTTATCATGCATTTACATATTAGAAAAGAAAGAGATGTGGGTTACATTTTATTCAATATTTTTTTTTAAACTAGTGTAAATGACGCATCATGTAAAAAAGATAAAAAGTATTATGAAGTTTATTCAATATAAAAATAGCATAGTACATATCTTTTGTATTAATTATATCGCTTACTATTATCTAAATTACAAGATATATATTCTATCTATTATTTCATATCATATATGATAAGCTTAAATAATATAATATTCAAAAATTAATATAAATATAAACGATACTGTATATCTAATTGGAATAGCATTTAGCCAATAATATATCTTTGTCAACATCAGATTATTAATAACTATTACTCGTTATTTTATCAGGCTAATTTTAGAACATTATAGTAAATTTTAGCAAAAAGAGAATTATGAATTGTGTCAAGACATGGTACCTGAAGAAGCAAACTATGTCAAATAATATTGTATGCTGGTGTTTAATTTGGTTGAATCAAGGTTGTACCTTAGTCGTCAAATATTGATTGGCTATTATCAATTTCCGTAGATCAAATACACCTAATGTAGGATCAAAACATCTATAAAAGATACCTGTTAAAAAACTATAAAACGAGCTGGTCATTTTGGGGAAAACCTTCGATTGTCAGATTCTAATTTTCTTTACAAAAAATTAAAATAAAACAATATAACAGATTCTCGAAGACTTTTTTCTGTCTATTATTATTTTTTTCTTTTTTTTTTTCCTATTACCGATCTAACAAATCTTATAGATGTATCGAAATTTAAGACGATTATATGAATCATTGTAAAAGAAGCTTTATTCTTGTTACGATTAGAAAAATCTATCTGTATAAAAAACAACTGTAATATCTCTAGGATTGCTAAAACGGTTTCCAGAGAACTCCTTATAATTAGCACAATCAAAGAAATCTTTATATACTTGTCATGATTGTAAGATTTATAACTTAATTCAATAAGATAAATAGTCAAAATAGAATACATAGTGCATTTGTACAATAATTCTGTCTATAAACATATTTAGTATATTTACCCTTGTATAGAAAAATAATTAATTAATAAAAAGTCCTACATCTAAAAATATACTTTCTTCTATTATTGTTCTGCTGAATATAAATTTATAAAAATAACTTTATACAAGTTAAACTGGGGTAAACTAAGAATAATACAAATACGCGTAATAATTGATTCTACTCAGAATACACGTATTAGTTATAAAAATAAATATATACTAAAGACATGAATCTATAATTATAACTCTTAGTAATCCTTCTATAATTATATTATCAAATACAATTTGTTATATTTTTATTTTCTTATTACTCATCATCCTTATCCACAAAATATATAAATACTCTTACATTATTCACCCTTATTTTGTATAACTCATAACTTATAACTAATAACAATACTTGTATTGAATTAACTTTTAATAAACTTATTGACAAGTCTCAACGTACTTCTTCTGTCTTATTTTCTTTTACTTTATTTCTTTTATTTAATTAATTAAACTTACCTAAACCACAACAATACTCCGGGACTTGATTCATGATTAGATTTGTATCGTAACATTGATCTTGCTTTTTTTGTCAGCCAGTACTTCGGATGAGAGATCTCCAAATGACATGGCTTTCAACTTGGAATTAGGATTATACGTTAATTTGTTTTTGAATCTCTTTTCATGATAATAAAGACATATTAGTTCTTGATAATCTATGCCAAGTAATTTGCAATCATTACGATAGGTATCCTGTTTTTGACTTTTTATAGAGGACTTTTTTTTAAGCAAGAAACCTACAGCATCTCCAGACAATATGTTTGCATCAGGTTCTGTAATATATAATTCAATTTAGAAGTAAATAAAGTATATGTATAATACTTTGTAATAACTTTACCTAACATCAACTCATCATTATCTCTGATAATGGTATTTGTGATGGAACGTAAATAAAAAATGAAAGAGAAAATAGAAGAGAGAGAATGTTGTATATATGATGATGTATTACAAAATATAGTATAGATATTCAATCATTATCAAAGAGGGATGATGTTATCATATATTAGTGGTGCACTTCATGTACACGATACTAATCTACTTTAGTATATGAGACACACTTGTGTTAGAATGAAACTATAAAATTACAGAGATGTTATGTAATAGATGTCTTAAACATGAAAGAAGAATAGTTGCTGATCAATATATAAAATACTTAATATTGAAAATTAATTACCTATAAGAAGCACTATCTTCAGTATGGTTATGCACAATTATAAACAATCTCTAAAGAGTTATATAGAATAGAAACTTGAGGAGTTGATTAGAAGATGATAGAGATATGTGTTTCAATAAAGAAACAATATTGTATCAATTCGAGATCATTCTGAAGTTCTAAAAAAAAAATTATTTAGTTTAATTTGAGATACCATTGGTAACTAATTATTTGAATCAGATTAGCATTTGAAACATAACTGACAGCTGAGATTAATTGATCAGTCAGGTTCTTCATTATCAAGGTTAAACAAGATTCATAATTATCTATTGGATATGTCTATGGTTTTATAATATTAAATCAAGAAGTTTTACCCGTTTCCAGAAGATATAAATAAGGATCCATTTTGTATAATTTTAAAGAGACAGCTTTTTTGAAATAAAAGAATTAAACAAAGTTTTCACAGACTTTTATCGTTTCTTATATTTTTTCTTTTATATTATTTTCTTCTTAATCAACAGAGAAAGGGAACAAAAGGAAGCATAGTTTGAGACTGTTTTATTCAATTAAAAAATAAAGAATAAAAATTGAAGGTTAAAAGAAAGTTAAAGATTATTTTGTGTCTACACAACTGTTTGTATTTATATTAATGAATCCTGAATCAAAGAAATAAAAATAACCGTCAAAGAACATGAGTCATGAAACAGTGTTAGTATTCAGGTATACATCTTGTTGATTCAAGAGACTGATCTATGGATTATCTATTGGGTGTTATAATGATCTGATCAAGTTTTAAATAAAAAATTTATTGTTTAATCTGAGTATATGTTCCTGATATCTTTTATGTTTTATTTTATTGGATCAAAGACGACCTGAATCCTTTAACAAGGTTATAAAAATAAATATTTAGAAATGATACGATGTCTTATAATTGATATATCTAGACAATTGGATGTCAATAAGTTTTATATTATTTACAAGATGTTTTATACAGAGTTTTATTTCATATTCAGGTTTATATTTTATCCTGTATTATGTAATTCATCTATTATAATATTACTTATGATTATATCCAGAGCTTGTTCTATAACAAATAGTTCTAAATGTTGTGATTGTAGTAGCCTTTATAATTAAGTTAATAGAAATAAACCATCATTTATTACATAATAAAGAGGTTATTCAAATAAAACTAATATATCGCGCTTCACAGCATAATATTCATTCTACTCTCAGTTTTGATAATAGTCATTGTTAGAGTATTCGAGCATTAAAAATAATTATATACATTATATTATGTAATAATAAGAATTCAGTAGGTTTATTACTGTTCTATTCAATTACATAATTATTTATAAGTCATACATATTATATATAGAGAGCTATAAAGATAAATATTGTTATGTAATAATATCTTATAGGATAATAATAATAGTAGCATATAAATAATTGGTATTGCTATAGCTGACATATTCACTGTGAATTAATATTGACGCGTCGCTCACCCCAGAAATAATAATTTAATATTTTTAGTAACAGCGACAGCTCAGGCAGAAAAGAATAAAAATAGATTTTATTGTAGGCAGAATTATTCGGAGAAAATATTTATGACTAATGCTTTATTATAGCAATATTTGCTTATCCAAATCATAGTTCTATTAATATCACTTACCTTGCAAAAACATATAAATAACCCTTTACATTTTCACATAATTTTTCCTTGGACAATTTTTTGTATTATTCTTCTCAATAAAAACTACACGAAGTTTTCACAGACTTGTCTTTTGTCTTTTTCTCTTTCTTTAACTTTTTGCTTATCAAAACAGAAATAAACTATCATTTATTCGAATAAAACTAATGTATTGTACTTCACAGCATAATATTCACTCTACACTCAGTTTTAATAATAGTCATTGTTAGAGTATTCGAGCATTAAAAATAATTATATACATTGTATTATGTAATAATAATAAGAATTCAATAAGTTTATGACTGTTATATTGAATTACATAATTATTTATACAAGTCATACATATTATAGATACATCTATAATGTTGAATATTGTTATAGAGGGAATATTCACTATAAATTAATATTAACGCGTTGCTTATCCCAAAGACAATAATCGTGTATATTTTTAATGTCAGGAACAGCTCAGGCAGAAATCTGCATACTGCATGCAGAGTTATTTGGAGACAACATTTGTGCATATTTGTGCATAAAGGCTTTATTATAGCAGTATTCACTTATCTAAATCACACTCCTATTAATATGACTTATCTTACAAAAACATATAAATAGCACTCGTCATTTTTCCATATTATTTTTCTTCGTTGTACAATTTTTGTATTATTTTTATCTTCAATAAACTATACAAAGTTTTCACAGATTTATTCTGTCTTATTCTTTTGTTATGTTTATCTTATCAACATCTCCTCTTATTTTGTCTATTGATTCTGTACGGCAAATTATATTCTACTTTTATTGGCTGATTATTTACTTCGTTGCATCATAACGAGCAGTAAGCAGCCTAAATCGGGTCACGTGACGCGCTGGACCCTACTACCCTTTTTATTCATTTTGATGCCATCATGTCGGAGTTTGAATGAATTAACGTATATGAAATTAAAACTCCGCTACGCATAGACTTTCTATGCTCCGATTTTTGCAAAGTTATCTTTTCAATGGTATAATTGTACTTGGCGATTGTATATCGTAATTTTTTGTTTTGGCGTTCAATTCCATTGGTATTCGTTTTTCGTTATTATCTAAACCTTTATATTTAAAGAAAACAAGTAAATAAAAGAGTGTACCTATTAACAATTACCTTAATTACATCATACCTTTCGCTTTTGACCTTTGGATCGTAAATCTTCACTTACAAGCCCATTACTTGTAATTTCAATTTCTTCATTAATTTTAATTTCTTCGTTAATTTCAATTTCTTCATTAATTTCAATTACAGATTCCTTAAGTCTATTAGCCCTTTCACGCTTCTGTTACAATTGCAAAAACGATTTCTTGCTATGTGGCGTATTTAAATAAGTAAGGAATTTTTTGGTAAATGTCTTCTCTAATTTGGTGTCATGATCCCTTGATTCATTATAAAGTTTTAGACTTTGAATGGCTTCGTCATAAAGAGAATGTCCAGTTGTGAATGGAACATCCACAAATAGAAAATAGTCATCCAAAATGTTTTCCAATCCCCATAGTCGGCGAGAGATAGGCATTCAGATATACCTATGCATTACTTGTTTGGTTATTTAACTTTTTTGCTATTAATGTTTTTTAACATTTTAGCTTGCGTATTTCTGACATTGTTTTTTCTTAATAAGCTCTGAGAAGAAAAAGCAATAGATTATTATAAAGCTTTTTGTTGTGGTTTAGGTAAGTTTAAGGATTAAGTATAAAAAGAAATAAAATAAAATAAAAAGAAAATAAGGCAGAAGAACTACGTTGAGACTTGTCAATAAGTTTATTAAGAGTTAGTTCAATACAAGTATTGTTCTTAGTTATTAATTATAAGGGTTAATAATGTAAGAGTATTTATATATTTTGTGGATAAGGATGATGAGTAATAAGAAAATAAAAATATAACAAATTGTATTTGATAATATAATTATAGAAGGATTACTAAGAGTTATAATTATAGATTCATGTCTTTAGTATATATTTATTTTTATAACTAATATGTGTATTCTGAGTAGAATCAATTATTACGCGTATTTGTATTATTCTTAGTTTACCCCAGTTTAACTTGTATAAAGTTATTTTTATAAATTTATATTCAGCAGAACAATAATAGAAGAAAGTATATTTTTAGATGTACAGTAAGTGAAAAAACTGGTGCATAAAAATAATTTTTTTAATTTTTTGACTATATCTCTATGAGAATGCATAGTACATATATGAAAATAGGCTAAATATTAGCTATAAAGAGCTCATATATGTTTGTGAAATTTAAATAAGATTGGTCAATTTTAATTGGACAAAATATACATTAGAAGCTTTATTACGTAATCAACATAGAAACAAGGAGAAGGTAAACTTAGTTAATATTTTGTGTATCCTCCTTTAGCTTTAATAACGGCCTGAACTCTTGATGGCATACTCTCGTAGTAAGACAACATATCTTCTTTCTGGAACTTATTCCATTCTTTGTCGATTCTATTCCATAATTCATTGATGTTCTTTGGGTGTGTTGGATATTCTGCCAATCTTATCTTTAAGTGATGCCAAAGGTTTTCTATGGGATTTAAATCGGGACTATTAGGTGGCCATACATGCATATAGTTTATACCTTTTGTTTCAAGCCATTTTCTAGTGAATTTTGATGTGTGCTTTGTGTCACCATCTTGTTGAAGGATAACATCTTCTTTACTCCACCCATAGTACTCTAATGTATCCATGTATGTAGTCCCTAGGATATACGTGTATCCTTCGGAATCAAGAGTTTTATCTTCTATTTTACATGTATAACCTGGTCCTTCGGCTGTCATACAGCCCCACATCAATAAAGAGCCGCCACCATGCTTTAAAGTTTGCTTATAGTGATGAGGACGAGTAGGATGACCCCTTTGCTTCCAAGTATATTGAACCCCATCTGATCCCCATAGATTTATCTTTGTTTCATCTGAGAATATAACTTTCTTCCAGTCTTCAACTGTCCATTCTTTATATTTCTTAGCCCAATAAAGTCGTTTCTTCATATGCTCGTATCTGAGAAAAGGTTTCGATTTTTTTAATGTTGCATAAAGGCCAAGCTGATATAAAATTTGAATTGTTCGACGATAACTGATATTTATATGATTGTGCTTCAGCCATTGGTGGGCAGCTCTGGCTGTGGGTAAAGAACCACACCTAACTTTAAAACGCAATGTAACTGCTGTTGTTGTGCTTAAATTAGAGGTTCTACCACCAGAGGGTCGTTTATAGCTAGGGTTAAGCTTCTTTTTCAACCTATTAACTGTCCATTTTGATACCCCAGTGCGTTGAACAATATCAGCAGTAGACACTCCATCAAGAATAAATGCTTTAATTCAGTTGTGAGTTTCTCGACTATGTGTAAAAGGCATTTTATGAATAGTAGTGATAGATAAAAAGATATAGAAAATAAGGCAAAATGAAATAGGTGAACCCTGCTTATTTATATATCTCATTAAAGTGAAGCAGTGCCTCCGTGGTGTGATCCATAAATAATGACGTAACTATACGTAACTATGATAATATAGTCATAATTTGTAAATATGACGTATTTTTAGAGTGTCAAAAAATGAGTTTATTATAAAAATCACATGACGTAATGTAACGTTACACAACGTCACTATCCTGTCTAGTGTTTTATACTCTTTCAATTGCATTTTAGATCAACTTTCTATCTTAAGGGAAACACGAGATACAACAATTTTACGTTTTATGCACCAGTTTTTTCACTTACTGTATAAACTGACGCATGCAATATGAACAATAATAAAAATTAAAAAAATTAATACAAAGACTAATATGAATATGAATAAATATATTTTAATACCTTTGACTTGTCTTGTTTCTTTATTTTTTTTACTGAATAAAATAAAAAAATGTCGATATATATCATAGATTTAAAAAATAAACTGGAAACCATTATGATAGTATATTTTGTATTCTTTTTTTTAATGATGAGTTGATGGAGATCAATGGTAATGTTAATTTTGTTAAAATAATTCAACATTGCAGTAATTAGAGAACAGATTCTCACTATTGATACAATTAATATCGCTAATGTGGACTGGAATTCATTACTTCTCTAGAAATCCGTGTTCTTCTGATTAAAAGACTGAAATTGAGATTAGGTTTTTTAAAATTTTTAAAAATGAGATGAATGAAATTAAATAAAATAAAAAAAATCTTTGTCATTTTTTATTTAAAATGAGTAATCACTGATTTTTTTATGAATTTGATCTTAATTCTCTTTTTCTCTTTTTTTTACATGTGTTGTAATCATGTTGACGTAACATTACATAAATACAATTATAATAATTGAAAAAAGAATAACTAGATTTCCCTAATTAACAGTTACATTAGATTTATTTTTTCACATGTGTTATTTTAATTAATTAACATCAATGTTCACATCAGCATAAATAAAATAATCATATATTTTGTTTATTAGTTGTCCAACTAAATACTTTAATTGTTCTCCATTTCAGTTAATAATCTATATATATGTTTTTTTTAATTTTTGCTGTTTTGTATATTTGTATATTAAAAAAAGAAGATTTTAAAATCTTATCGTTTTTTTTAACTGACGTCAGTAAAATAAGAATATTTACATTTTAGTAAATATTTTCTTGCTGGATTAAATAGCCGCCAATTTTAGCTGTCAGCTTTAAAAAAAAATAAACAAAGAAATTGCAAAGTGCTTTTCAAATTCAGATTAAACCTTCAAATTTCAATTTCCGTTAGTCTGATTGGCTAAAGCTCCAAAATTTATAATTTTTACAAGTGATATTGCTCACAACCAAAATAAAAAATATTAATATTTGCAGTAAACATGTATTTTTTTTTTACATATATTCAAAATAATTCAATATATAATGTATATTATATTTTTTATTTGAACATTCTATAGTAAAAATTGATAAAATTATAAACTTTAAAATTTTACCAAAATTTTGCATATAACCTGTATCGTAGTAGGTCCCGGTTATTAAAAGTTTTTCCGGTGGACTAAATTTTTTGTGTGCAAATTTTATATTTCTATACCACTTGTCAACAATGATACGTCTGCGGTGCTTAGGTGTCAAATAATAAAATAAATACTGATAAACTAAACTTAAATATAAAAACTAAATAAGACTCAAACTCAAATAACCAAACGAAACGACAATCTTGACAATATCTTCTTTATCCAAGTTCTTCTCTTGACAATGTTTATTAATATTCTTTTTCAATTGCCTCAGCTGTAATTGTAGTACTCAATGCACGCAATTAATTTATTATCAAAAAAAAGCTCTCTTTATTAAAGATTTAAGAAAAATAAAATATTTATCATAATTATAAGAAAACACCCGGAAATAACTACAAGTCACGTGACACTGGAAGCAATTTGGTGTGTATTATCCTTGAATTCGACCTGTAAACAGATGTTTCAAATAGTGATTCCAGGTTACCTTTAAACGGACGTTTAAAGGGTATCCTTGAATCACAGCTTGAAACAGATGTTTAAAGGTACTGTATTACATCTGTGAAAGCTCTGAAAAAAACACGAACTGACCTTCATTTTAGAATTATATAACCCTTTTCATTTGCTACTTCTTTAACGACAGCATCCTTTACTATTGGCCTTATTATGAATGATTCTCATTTTATGTTTACATTTAATTGGACCATATACACATCTTTTTGTGGCTTTTATATTACATATCCTTTTGCTTTATTGGTTTAAAATATTATATATTATTTATTTTGTAGGCCTTTACATGCCATATATAGAATCTTATTTATAATATTTGTTTACAAAAAACGCGATTTTTATTTATAAAAATAATAATAATAATAATAATAATAATAATAATAATAATAATAATAATAATAATAATAATAATAATATAATAATACAATAATACAATAATACAATAATACAATAATACAATAATACAATAATACAATAATAATATAGAAAATATATTTATATAATATTGTATTCATTGCATTTCTTTGTATAGTCGAAATAAAGTATTGTATATAATAGAAGAAATACTTACCTTTGATACGTCTTCATTAGCACAAACACTTGTATTAGCCAGTAGAACCTTTTGTAATAACATGTGCAGTAGTTACAAGAATCTTTATCTATATATCAATAATTAAAAATAAATAAATATTAGCTATTGTAATCCTATAGAAGAAATTATACTCTACTCTAAAGTGTTTACCTTTTAAAGGACCCAAAAGAAAAGCGATTAGTAACTGCCAATGTATGCCAGAATTAACTAGAGAAAGTAATACTATTTATACAAATTAATAAAAGTTAGAATTAATAATAAGATAGAAAAATAATACATACCAAAAAGTATTTGAACATATCGTTTATCCTTAGGCACAAAGAAGGAATAAAAGTAAAAAGAGTGGCACTTACTAAATAGTAAACATATAACAGCATAAGATATAAATTGAAATAAGATTTATACAAAAAAGAATAGCTTACCTTATATATTATAACAACTTATCTATTATTACAACTTATATA